CAGGGCTGCCCTCTGCACTGTCCACGAGGGTGCCTGCCTCACAGACGATGTATTACGGAAGCAATGTCTGAGGAATATTCCTATGCGCTAACATCTCTCTTGTCCCAATTTTGCTGTTTGCTTTGGCATCAGGTATCACTGGAGATGTTGGAGGATTGAGTTCTTATCTTGGATCATGTATGCGGCAAGTCTTTCCGGAATTCATCAAACACACCAGCCCGACGCCGAGCCAATGCATTTGGTCATCAAGGCTAATACAAGAGCTTTCCAATCCATGCTTCCACAGCGCTTTGTGAGAACTTGTTGGGTGGATATACCAGCTCTCTCAGTGTTATTTTGTCTTTTGGCACTTCTGAGTGGCAATGAAGAATCCTCTCAGGGCTAGTCTTGTCTGAAAATACCAACAAATAAGATTGCAAGTTTGGGTCTCGATATCCCGATCGCAACATACTAGAATCTGGATCAGGCATGTCTATGCTGGTACTGTTTACAGTAGTACACATATGCATGCAATAACGTCGTAATTTAAGAAGACACTCAACTGGAGAGCCCCGACTGGGTATATCACGCTTCAATAGGTTTATCACCTATCATTCATCATGTCGCCGACAAACTTGGGTGTGTGACGCATTGATTTCGGATACAAGCGTGAGAGCATTGAGAAAACTGCTCAAAACTGCACAGAGGGTATATTCGCCGATGGCGCGGTCGATATAAACGTATCACAACGATAGGATGCTCACCTTGATTTGACCTTTGCAGGAAATGGGATTTTATGCTCACCTTTTACATGCCTGATCAGCAAATAAGTAGTCAATGATCTAGACGCAGACAAGGCTTCGAACTCCTGTCTCCTTGGTGAACGGGCATACGTCCGCATTTGACAAGATCGGAAGGCGTTTTCTTTTGACCCTACTATCTAGAAGAGACCTCCTCAAAAGGTCATGCGCAGCTTTAGGTGACTCGCCCATTCATGTGCCAGGATGCACAAATCCCGGGTATTAGCGTGTCTGCTGGGTACAACTGCTGCATGCCAAGCCGTGTCATATCATAGAGACCTTATAAGCCAAATGAATTTGCACAGCAGTAGCATGGGCCAGATCGGTCAAGCTCAAATTCGTGCGAGTCGAGATAAATGATTCAAGTTGGTCTGAGCGGAAGGGCAGACACTCACTTGTCCCTGGATCATACAGATTCCAATGTGCCTGACATTGTCAGTAGCACAATTGCTTACTCACTATTCAACCGATTGATTTCATGCCCGAGCTCCAGTCCAAATCTGGATCGCAAACGAGATTCTATTTACTATAGCGGCTGAATGTGTCGAACTTTGACAATCTACCACGTTGGATACCCTTCTGCACAGCGACAGTCAAGCTGTCGACAGTACTGAAAGGGGGTTTGGGGGGAGCCAAACCACAGGTAAACACGTGCAAAGGTCTGCCACGAGGACGAGAACACCTGCACCAAAACCCCTCCCCGCGAAGGTTCAACGGGGAGCCTTGAGCTAGAGGACCAGAGATATTAACCAGTGAGAGCCAACAGAGAGGGGACAAGAGAGATGATCGCGAGATCAACTCTACACCAACAAGTGGGGAGACGCGGTAGAGCCAACCAGAGGAACCACTAGGAGAGTAGGGCAGAGAGAGAACCAGGTGAAATCAAACACAAAACGAAAAACACGAAAACGAAAATGGAAAAGTGGGGAAATCACATGGCAGAGTGGTGAGGAAGAAAAAAGGGGTTAAAAGGGATATTGTCAAACGAATATACCGCTGAAGCCGACCAACAAAAAAGTATGAGCATGAGACCAAGACCAGAGGACAAGTACGACCTGCTACCTCGCAACAATGGCAACAGAGAAGGCGCTAACCGGAGCACGCTGCGGTGTTCTTGTCGGAGCGCCCTTCGCGGCGGAGAACATGGCGAAGAGCGGGATGAGAGCAAACTTATCTAAAAACAGTCAGTTGGTTCCACAGTAACATTGCTGAAAACATGACAAGAAAACATGAAGAGAGGGCAGACTTAGCTCTGGCCTGTCCGACAGGTGTCAGGCGAATTGAATCCATAGCGGTGGCGGTCTCGATCGAGCCTAAAGAAGATAGTAGCAAAACAGCAAAGGGGCACTTACGTCTGGTCGAAAATGGTCTGGTCATGGTCTTGGTCATTATACTTCATCCTACACATGCCCCAACGGTTACTGTACCCTGCCTTGTTAGATGTCAGCACCCGGCGCGTGGGACGAACCTCGAGCTGAGCGCTGCCGATGCGCGTTGTTGCTAGGACCTTCTCCGTGGCTTGAAGAAGATGCCTGCGTGCGGCGCCGGCTGCTCTGAACTGCTTGGGACGGCCTGCGCATCTCGACTAACTCCCACAAGTCGTCCGTTTCGCCAAGTCCGTTTTTGTTACGGTTGCTGCTGCTGTTGCTGCTGCTGCCGCGACCCGTGAGACCCTGGAGCAAACTGGTGCGCTTATTCCAAACACGTTCCGCAAAGGGTAGGTCGATATTTGGATGATATCGACCGTACTTGGAAACGCGGTCAGGCTGCAACCAGAAAAAGGGCCACTACAGAAAAGACGTTAGCCATGAAGAATTCCCTATTGCGGTTCTATAGGAAAGGCTAGAAGCCTCAAAGCAGTTAAGGGATATGTAAATTTGTTGGAATATTTCTTTGGAGACACCCCGAGGGTTTGGAATGCAAGGATGAAAGAAATAAAGAAGAAACCCTAGAGAAAATGGGGACTTACCTTCCACCAAGAGCTCCCCAACACTTGGTAGAGGTTCCCTGTGTAGCCAAGATCCCACGGGTTTCCAAAAACGGTCGCGAAATGGATTCTAGGGCGTCCTTCCTCCTCGATTTGGAAACCCAATAAAATGGGCCTCTCGGTGTGGCGGTACTCATGAGGCAGCTCATTCTTGAACGCCAAATGCAACCATTTCATGGAAGTCCACCAGGAAAATCCAATAATGAGGGCAACGCCGGACAAAAAGACAGTGACCCCGAAGGGCCAGTCTGTTCGTCCAGCAGGCGATACCAAAGATACTATTGACACTATTAATGTAGCAAGAGCATCGAGGGGACAGAAGAGGAGCGTCATGAGATAGGACTTCATTGTACGGGAATATACTGACACACGAAGCCAGTCGCAATAATGATCGAATATGGGCAGGTCTCTGTTCGTCCTCTCGCAATGGTACACGCGATCAGAACATCGCTGCTCATGAAACGGACATCGTCGCAACTGGCTACCTGGATGGCCATCGATGGTAGAGCCAGATTCTTCTGTGGGATGGAATGAGATATGTCAGTGACTGGGCAAGTCGTAATATGACAAAGCTTGGAACAGAAATTTGAATAGGACGGGGATGAGAGGGGATAATATGGCATAAAATGGAACGTGAAGTAGATTGCAAAAGAATAGCATGGGACACGGAACGACTTACGATGCTGCGCCTGCGAGATAGATCGATCCTCGATGGACGATTGCCAGTTCTTGTCACAAAACCATGTGATAGAAAGGGCCAACATCCAAGCACCGAACCACTGCGCTTTGAGGACTGCAAACATCGCGATGATGGCAATGCCTGTGGCCTGTGTGTTAGTGGCGTCAATAGGCAGAAATGGAGCATCGTTGACAGAGGGGGCAATGAGTGTCAGATACGCATAACGATACATGACCGTATACGATGACACCCCAGCGAAGAGGACGAGCCACAACGGACTGAGCCATGTGGCTGCAAATACAAGCTTCTCGGGAAGCAACAAAATGTTGCCCCACGTAGCCTCGTCCATCTTCAAGAATCGAAAAGTCGGGAAAGAGGCGGAAAAGGAAAAAGGGTAAAAAAGGAGAACGGTGAATGGGGAAAGGGTAGAGATCGGTGGGGAAGTCGAAGTTGGAGGTGTTTGTGGATGCACGTGTGGGAGTGTATATGGGTGACGTGATGGGTACAAGAGTGTTCGCGATGCGGTCTTTTGTGAAGTCGTAGTATGATCAACTCGTGAGCCGGACCTAGGTCTAGCAGACTTTCAGATCAAGAGGACAACACGAATAATGCGCTCGCGGTTACTTCAAATACTCAAAGATAGTCAAGATTATGAAATCGAAATGGGATCTGTGAGAGATGATGAAAAGAGGAAGACAAGAGGAGCTCAGAATCTCGAATGCAAATAAAGGGCATCGAACTCGGTAGGTCCACCCTACGATGTGATTGCCTAGCAACCCTTAGAAGTCGCTTCTACGTAGCAACCAGATAATCCGGAGTTTTTGAGCCTAAAGCGTCAGATGGAATAACTAATGGAATGATTCATCCTAGCAACCAGAGCCTGAGCTCCGAAGGGCGTGGATATAGTGACCCGGAATTTGACTGGGCTCAGGCATTGTATTATGATATTAGGCTGTAGTAGCTGATGAGGAATCTTGTATTGGCTCCATTGAATATAATATTCATATATATATATTTATGGGAAGCCTCAAAAGCCTCATTTAGAAAGCCATATCTAACACCTTAGGCATCGAGCCAGCAGCGTCGAACTCTGGATCCCACACTAAGAGTTTCATCATGTAGCTGATCTATCCATAAGCGAAGTCTAATACTACAGGATGAGGTACAAGAATTAACGTTGTCACTTGTGGTCGGAAAGTCTCAGGCTCAAAGAACGATGAATGTGGTTAGGATTGAATATAATGAGTGATAGCTGACTAATCCTGCCATGGAATCGTTGCTATCTGAATACCTTCCGACATGGATTACAATAAACTCCAAGCATAAAATCATTTTAGAAGCCAGTGGCAGAGGGTCTCACAGTCCATACCAACAGAAGAAGCTGAAGTTGTGATTGAAACTCGACTGAACAGTTTGCCACGGAGTCAACCTCTTTGCCTTCCTGCGATGCGCTATCAGCGATAATGACAAGTTTCTCGTCCAGGCGCACTTGATTTGCTGTTCTGGTTATGTCTTCCTTGGCTAGCTTCTCTGCATAATGATGTGCCACAGCAAGCTACAGGCCTGGTCTGCCACAAACATCATCGAACCACTTCTTGGCAGGGTCGTAACAGTGGCGAGGGCAGGAATCACATTCGCCAGCTACACAGAACTGCAAATGTTCCTTAATCCAGTTGCCCGACCATGTCCATTGTGAGTGGCAGAACTCATCTGCAGTGAGGTCTCGCACGTCGCCAATGGCTGGCCAAGTTTTTTGACCCTCTGAGTCAAAACATTTGACGTAGCAAGGCGGAAGTTTGCGGTAAGGAACTTTTCCTGGCCGACCGTCACCTGTTCCATCCCTCATTTCATCAGCGATCACGTCGGCTCTTCTAAAACTAGGAGCTGGCTGTACGTCGACGTCGGTTTGATTGTCCCCAATGTTCTCCGTATTGGTCTTGTTGAATACAGGCAATACAGCCGCAATGCCTGCAAGCGTATGGAGTGGGAGCAGTAGAAACTTGGCTTGCATCGTGAATTATTGTGTAGTGCGCTGATCAGAGTATGAATATGGTATACGCAAGAGTTTTCCTGATTATATGATGACGGGAAAACGATGTTAGGATTATGCGACTGAAAAGTCAGAAATAATGGGAGGGGGTGTGGCTCCTTAATATAGATAGATATCTTGCGCAAATTCTCGGAATTCCCAGCAGCATGACACATCCGCGAGCAAGTTAAGCTGCGCACTCTAGCATAACTTCTGGAATGGGAGACTTGCTGCTATGTGGAGACATGCGCACACAAAGGGAATCACAAATAGTTTGAGTCAGTTGGAGCCACGACCAATGCAAGTTGGAGTTTCTGTGTACATGCTTATATACATGTTGGTGAAGGATATTGATCGTAGGACTTGCTAAGACTGACCATTGGGTGATATAATGCAAGGCTTTCTCCCATGATTGGGTTCTCGTCCCATGATGTGGTAGGTGGTGTGACCTCTTATCAATATGCTCGAGTGGTAAAACAAAATGAACATATAATGTGAAAAAGACATGATTTCTTTTCGTGAACCTGAAGAGGACTAGTAAAATATTCAATCCTTTTCCTTACTAGCAAACCTTGTAATCACAATTGAGCAGTTTTGAGCGTTACCTTGGACCAGGGAATCGAATTCCGATGGCCATTCACCGGTGCTCTGTGTATTGGATAATGAATCATAATAGTGCACAGCAATAAACTGGCTTATAGTGACATGTACACCGTCACTGCAGTCCACACAGACCTTGAACATTTATGCTATATAGTTAGTTTTATAGCTAGCCACGAGTGCAATTTTGAAACGTGAGCAACTACATTAACTGGGTAAATAAAGTGGTTCGTGATCGTGGCTGGGAATTTCATTATGGTAAAATGAATGGTAATAGTGCCAAATTGTAGAAAGAAATTTGCTTCCACGATAATTTGACAGAACAACTACTAATATGGAAGTCCCTGTGACTCGAAAAGAGTCGAGTCCTCTTATCATACAGCTATTAGGACAGTTAAAAGAAATAGCCAAGCGTAGCGTATCATGCAAGTTTGCACCAAAAGGTCCCATTCCTCTGAAGACCTTCTATCACAATCATGCCTTCATATCTTCCGTCCCGGCCCATTCTGCTAACTTCCGTCTGATAGCTGTTTTGCTTGCGACACGGTGGCTCCCTCAAGCCAGCTCAATATTTCTTCAGCGCATACTTCCCAATATGCATCCATCATCAAATGATGAGCACAGCCTTCAATGGTCACTGCTATACAGGTCTCTTGACTGATGCCGGCTTTTACTGCAGCCTGCTTGTAGGCCGCTGCATTGTCTAGGACCATAGATGCCGGAACCAGTCTGTCCTTTGAACCCGCGATGCAAAGTACTTTTCTCGTCCTTTCTGAAGTCTCCAGGCCGGTTAAAGCGTCCATGACCTTTTTGGCGTCTCCAACAGGCCTGAATATAGAGAGACCAGCGCGAGCGCTCTCTTTGGGAGTTTTGCAGGTTTTCATCCAGTCGAGGATCGTTTGTTCTTTTGCCTCTTTGCTGAAGAACGATGCCCTGACCTGCCTGGGCGTATGAAGCAGGCCCCGCGCGCTGTAGAAGCGCGGATAGCCCCCGGGTGCTTCAACCTTTTGCCAGTTCGCCATGATCATTTTACCGCCTCCGTATAATGGTGCGGCACCAAGGAGGATCAAACCAGAAATATCAACACGTTCACCGGGGCTGCCTCGCTTCAGGACTCCAGATGAAAGCAAATGTTGCACCACGCCGCCGCCAAGCGAGTGGCCACTCAGCACTGTTGGAGGCGCTTTTGGATGAGCAGCGGCTATATGGGCAAGAGCGGCTTGGATATCATCAACCCAGCTGTGTATGTTCGTGAAGAGCATTTTCGATAACCAACACTGCGCCGAAGATGCGCCATGCCCTCGAATTGAAAGAGCATACGCCGGGTAGCCATGGTCGGCCAAGTACGGCAGAAAGTTTTGGAAATCATGTGCCGAGCAAAATGACCCATGGATGAAAAGCAGGGGTGGCTTGTCGTTTGGTTCATCTGACGGGAGACTATGTAGTAGCTCAAGCATCCCTCGTCGACCCTTCAGTCGTACTGTCTGAAGTGACATGTTGAATGAGCAACGATATTTCGCCGCCATAATTAGGAATTACGATAAAACAGGACTGTCGTGTGCCCAGACCTCAGACAGACTACTTATCGAGATTACTGTTGAAGGGAAGCACGTCGCTGCTTGGTATTAGACTGATACTGTCAATCAAACGCATTCTCAGATTCTCAAGAGTGAAAACCCTCTTGGCGGGTATACATTGGGTTTTGAGTTCCTGGAGGATTCGACTTTCACGTAAGGAGTTAGTATGCCGTTTGGTAAGCAACCACCATACAGCGGAGCTAACAGCCCTAATTTCGAATGTCAATGGACTGATTGGTTTCTACGACTTATGCTTCTGGGTACCGCATCCTAGAAATGATGATTAGTGTTATAATGATAATATTATCCAGTAGCTCGGACAGAAATGCATGTGATGGATCCGAATGGAGTTCAATATAGCCGGAGTGTTGATGGACGTACACTGGTCATGACAGCATGATGACGTCAAAGACTTTTTCAGTTTTGGCAATCCAGCCCGCTAGACGTGGCGTCCCAAATCATTCCACGTTTGGTTTTTTACAATACTCAAACCCTCCCCTGTTACGGAAAAAGACGTCAAATTAGGCAGACTTAAGTCGAGTGGGATGGTATTGTATAGAATAACATGGATTGTTGTAGAATGCGTTGTTGTAAGAAAGTGGTGACCTTTCAGCTAAGTAATCTGCTTCCAGTCCTACCAATTCAAAAGACACTGCGTCAACTCGTCTGTTTACCGTTTGTCCCTGACCAATTCGAGTTTCCCTTTCCAATATCTGTCCGTACCTCTCGTTTGAGCACGATATTCCTTAATAGCTACAGCAACATCTTTGTGCAAAGCTAGTAATGGTTGTAGGTTGGGCTTAGCATTGCCTCCAGGGAAAATCATTTCATCCCAAGCAGTATAAAAGATGTATGACCCATATGGCACACCTGCAGCAACATGATGAGGCATAGCGGGCCCAACATTCTTACGAAGTTTAGGATCTTGTACATTGGCTGTGTACTTGCTGACAGCAGGAGACATTCCAGTTACCTCACTGCCGGTCCAAACTTTCAGGGTAAATACATTTCCAGTCCAAGATTCAGGAGCTTCAACCCGATGCACGATGAAAACATCTCCTGAGTGCTGCCAGATATCGCTTTGAGAGTTTCCGGCTGTTTCTGACATTTTTGGCGAACCTATCACCTGGGTTTCTCTGCCGATTTGGTTTTCGGCGTTCTCTGCAAGTAGTCCTGCCTGCGCGTCTCCGCTTGTTTCATCTAGGTTATCATTCGTAAAACTAGCAGGGTCGAGGAGTTGATCGAAGTCAACGTCGTCATCGAATAATGCAGTTGGTAGCTCTTCATCAGACAACAATTCCAACCGGATGTACTGCAGTCCTCTCACGACCTTAGAGCCTCGTTGAGTGCTTGATGCCAGGACCTTTTCAACTGCATGCTGTTGACTTGAGGCGAGATCCAAGAAATTAGTGAGGGCCAAAATCAAAGGGCCAATAGAGTGCGTTGGTATGTGAGTAAGTGTCAAGGATGACAAGCGTGGGTTCGTGTCTGGCACAAATACTTGGGGATAAGCTATCTGGGCGTGTTCGCGAACGACAGTTTCCGCGAAGACCGCAGCCGCTCGCTGTGACAGCTCCCGGCTGTTGACAGTAGGTATGTTTGTCACCAGGGAGTGATGGACGCGCAAATGTCGGAGATTTGACGAGAATACGCTATAACGTTCGGAGTTAGTAATTACATCTTAATACTGGGTTGAAGACTCTTCTAGAGCATTGCCAAAGTCATAAAAATGCCTTCACGAGCAGTATACACTCTGTAGAAATGCTGCAAGGGACAGAAGATGGTCTTTATTTTGCTTACGGCCGGATCAGGTGTGATGTTCCAAAAAGCCCGCTTATCCGGAGACTAGACTGGGCGTTTGAAGTGATTGAAGAGATGTGCTGAACGCTGCAATCGAAATGCTCCAGTCGTCCTAATGTACATCTCAGCAGCCTCCGAACCCCTGCCGATGTAATTTGGTTGCCGCTGATGGATAGGTGAGTGAGCCCCCCTTGGCCGCTGCGTGCGTCGTGCGTAAGACTGCTCGTAGATACTGGTTGCTGACCGAGCAAATCTGCAAGCAAGTGACTTTTCACGCTGTCAATGTCGTCACACCGTCGAGGACCGGCGCCACTACATCGCACAGTCTGCCACTCCTGTAGTTCCTGGTGGCTTCTACCACAGATGTATGGCGGCGCGTCTGGAAAGTAACGCATAGGATGAACAAACGTGGAACTTTCTTTCGATTCCATTAGGAACTCAAGCGGCCCATACTCAATAGTACCTAGTCGTCCAGGGCTGATTAGTTTGCCCTCGATATGGAAATGTGCATCTGACCGCAAAGTCAGAGACGAGAAAGACATCCTGATCAATGTATCGATTGTGGCATCGGTTAGCTTGTTATTGGATAAATCCAAACTCCATAATTGTCGTCCAAACCTCTGAAGCAAGATACGCGCCGAGGAATCATCCAACTCACGTTGCCGTATTTTGAGCACTCGAAGACCCGGTACGTGATCCGGATTAAGGGAAGCTTTTACTGTTTGGCTTATGGAGCCGGGCAACGACGATATGTCTAGATACACGAGATCTCTGAGATAGGCGGATCGGAAGAAGTTAGCGTTGAGGTGGTGTGGGCAATTTGCAAGATCAAGTAATTGAAGGGAGTTCGGGGTTTTCCTGTCTGTGTTGATTACATCAACCCACGCAAGTGACTCCGGATTGAGCTCGGGATGTCCATCAACAAGTAAGCACACAAGTCGGGGGAAGAGGGTTGGAAGATGCTTGAAACTATTGGATATTGCCCTCTCACTGGCATCTGTTGAATAAAGACCAGAGGCAACGACGGCAAAGTTTCGAAAGTCCAGCGACCGCACAAATTCTCTCGTCATTAGTCTTACGGAGTTTAGGTGGACGTAAACAAATCTGCAATACCACGCGAGGTCCAAAAAAAAGTTAGCAGGTACGATTTTGGTACAGAACGGAATTTGTCTAGTTATCGCACTCCGACGGCTCTTTCTTCATGTAGGCATATTGTGTGTTGCGAGGTGGACTGTCTATCTCTAAGTGGAAGTAAATCTGAGAACTCCCTTGAGAAGCTTTTCATGGCACAGAAGGGGTGATGATCGAAATAAGAAGAAAAGCATTAGATCTTGAGCTCGTAAGACAAGTTCACGATAGTGGATGGCCCAAACGAATCCCTAGTGCCCGTCATTAAAATGCGGGGCCAAAAACACTTACCATCATTTGGATGCAGGCCGTGATGTCTTGCTGTGACAAGAGGATCAAGCCAGAGGCGAGGAGCAAATTGTTGGTAGAAGAGCTTGTTAACGCGGGAACACCGTCTCCAATCAGTCGTTAGCACATATGGGCCTACAAGCTGCAGCCAATGTGGCGCGGTGGTTGCTTGTTCGTATGATGGGAGGCTTTCCATTGTAACATTGACAGCTAATAACTACATCGAATTTTTTTTAAGGGATCTGGAGGTTGAAGATGATAGATGAAGATGAACTTTACAGCGTTGGCCCATCATGCTGTCAGCCTCATGTTGAGAAAGAGTGGTCGTGCTGGAGGGGTAGGTGCAACTTCGAAAGTGATTGCCAGCTGCTGCCGGATCTCCCAGCTGGATCCCTTTCCTTTTGTATACATGAACACATTGAAAGGGGCTGGTTTATTAGACATCGCCCCTGGGATTTAGTGTGGTATATCTTGTTCTTGCTTGCTTAGAACCATCTGAGACTGAAAAGAAACCGACCAACAAAACCGCGACAAGATGAATGTAAATGGACGAGATCGTCTAGTTCAAGTCCAGAGTTACCTTACCTCTGTACTACGAGAGTTGACCTTTTCCTGTCTAAAGCAGACTGTAACAGAGTGAAGATGATCACCACTATTATGCAGCTTGCCATTGACATGAAAAATTTCGATCTCCACTACGACTCGGAGATAATCAACGATCAACATGTCAGAAGCTTCTCGCGAGCGTCTAAAGCGGTGATGGCTGCAACACAATTTCCTTGCTGATCCTACCAGCCTCTAATAGCTCAGCCCAATTCTTTGCAACGACTGTTGTACATATCTGTTAACAAGGCGAAGCTGTGCGAGGCAATCAAAAAGCACAGGAATGACTAACATCAGCTGGGTTGGCAATCTCTGCATGAGCTCGGGCGCTGTAAGGCAATATGTAAATGTCATAACATGCTTCATCCTTGCCGCTGGGTCGTTTATTGGTGGTAATACCACTTCATTCAAAGATACCGTATTTGTTGAGGCAGCGCTGCACACAGCCTCCTATGAGGCCTTATCAAAGACCTGTGGCATTTGGTGGGGTAATTCAACAGAGACAGTGAGGCTAATGTGCATCTGTTGTACATCTAATTATGACTAGAGGACCATAGCCGAGTCGTCTTATCCGTTTGCCTGGGCGCAGCAGACGACCATCAAAAAATGCATCCACAACATAAACCTGGCACTCCAGAATTGGAAGGTAATTTGCTTGGTTTTGTTACTTTCGTTGCATCCTCACGCCTGAATTCCGAAGATTGACTCCGCCTTATGCCGATATTGCTTCGAAATCGTGTCACACTAGTGAGCAGCCGGATTCGAAACGCATCCATGTCTAGTTGATGCACTGCTGCTGTTGGTCGTGGTGCGGTTTCATGCGTAGACCTCGGCCCGAAACTATATTGTAATGAATCGGCAATACCAAAACATGACCCGAAATACACATGTTTCAATGGGATCATGAGTGAATCTCACGTAACGGTGTGCAATGTTACCATATGGTAATCTCTACTGATAGGTCGATATCCGTATGTTCAGTCACTCCAAATAATGTCGGGCGCACAGTGTGTAGCGGGTCAGAATTCTGGACTAAACGTAACTCGATGCGAGATGATCCTGATGGGATCCGGCATATCAAGCAAAAGTATAATAGCACGTCAATAGAAATAAAAAGTACGAGGTCGCTGGTTCAATTGTGATCAGAATATATCCTCAAGCTGCCAGGGAAGAGAGAAATGTTCCGATAACGTCGCACCTACTCTAAGCCAAGACCGCGAATATGATAAGTCTGTCCATCATGCTAATGCTTTGTATATATTTGGCGCGAATGAGGTGAGCTCGCGGACATTTGCATCAGTCAAGGTGATAGTGATTTCCCGAGTTTACCGAACGCTCGGGATTAGACTACGGTAGGTCCAATGACCTGACTCTTATGCACCACTCATGCACGTTGGAGCGAGAAAAAAAAACTTCGAAAATCAGCAGCACTGCCCGACCACGTTGCAATCTATTTCGATGCTACCCATTTGCCTTCTCAACGCACCGTTTGTTTGGTTGTTGTACTTCACAGGACCATAGGATCTTGACTTGTCGTTGAAGCACTGGGTCCAGTCTGGCTAGGTCTGTGTCTCTCCGGCTTCAATATTTTGCTTTTTGAAAGCAACGGCTCATGCTGCGGCTCAATTAACTCTTTGCACATGCCCCTGATTACCGTTTTGTGCTGCATTATCTCAGCATGCACACTAACATCCTTTGGATTATTGCTTCTTAGTAGCAATCTACTGTAGCGCGTGTTAGTCCTGAGGGGTTGATGCATATTGCATGAATTACCCAATCTCAAAAGGGCAGGATGAAAGAGCTTAGCTTCAGCCCAGGATCTTTGCTAGTCTAGTTGTCAAATATGAGACCCACAGAGCCCTAGAACGTATGCAGACGTGGCGTCCCAACTGGTATGTTACACAGCATTAGGTATTCTTTGGTATGTTACACACCATGAGGTGCTCTTTGGCATGCATGTCATTTCAGTTCATGCTTCTTCCGATGGTCCTGGTTTTCATGCCAACTCGGGCATCCACGGGAACGACGACCATACATCCATGTAGACCACTGTGTGGATTCATAGTATGGCGTTCATCAGATAATCGATTATTAGCAAACATGTTGTTTCAAAGCAGGCGGAAGACATGGTGTTGGCGGCGTGTTGCATTCAAACTAAGTGAACATCAGGCGAATCTTGCGTCAGCTTTCTGGTAGGTCCCGAGACAATAAGGAGGAACACCCTTTCCGCAAAACTTTTCTCTCCATTTCTGATATACAGTGGCTCTGAAGATGGTGACACAAATACCAGATCTAAGCTAAGCAGAGCCGGTGTGAACCTCGCTGTGTCCCGGTATTTAGCCTGCGAAATCTGAGACCTAATTATCACTGGTATCTCACCCGCGGAGGTTGCCAAGTGGCATGCACTAGATGCAATATACATTCCGTCGAAGGCTTCCACATTTGCAGATCATAAACATGGCAACCTTTTCCCAGTGGATAAGTAAATCAGTTTCATTCAAATATCTGAATTGATTTTGAATATGTTTGCAACATTGTACTAATGATACATTGCGTAAAAAGAACCCCGATGTCCCTAGACATGATGTATTCCAACCTGTGAAACTTTTCATCCGAATTCGATGAACTCGACTAACAATACAACTGCTCAAATACACTCATGTAAAAACGGAGTGCTTTTTAAAATGCAATATGCCAAGCCAATCCCATAAACGCCATGCTTTAGTGACATTCCGATCGATCTTAGCACGTCTTAAAGCTCAACATCGTTGTGTTCGTGAAGCATCTTTTGGCAATATCCAAGTCTATATCAGACACTTGTCTTACAAGACTGAGACCGCTTTTCTAAGTATTCATTTCGTGTTTTTCTTGGCTGTGTTTCGTCGTTTTGTTTGTGACATTATCTCAGCGTACTCCAGTACTGCGTCTGGATGATAGAGCGTCCTCGACGTGCTTGAACGCTCATGTTTGGTGTGCAGGTACAAATGCGACTTATAATTGTCCTTTCTAGTGGAGAAGTTGTGACCACAGAACTTGCATATCTCGTCATCCTCTCCATGGCTGTGTTTTCTAAGCGATAATTAGCTGACAGTCCTGGATTTTGGGCAGGATAGAGGACTCACGATCTAAAGTGACGTTTCAAATGCTCGGCTCGTTTGTAACCTTTCTTTCCCGCATCCTTTAATGCACATTCAGGCATCTGACATCGGTGTTGCGCTGAAGGTATCGAGGCGATGAAGCCAGGCTGGAATTTGCCTCTTCGGGACACTTCTCCGTTCTGAACGCGGTGTAATACGCTTGATTTCCGCTGCGCATTCTCCATTGGCAGGTGCCTTCTCATGGTATTAGACAGATACGGCGGTGGGCGACGTATGCTTCGGTCTTGGAGAGATACATCGCTTAGCACTGGCACCAAAGCTGGAGAATCGGGTTTATCCAAGAACCCCAGAGAGTTTTCGGACGGGTTAGTCCAAAGGGAAGAATTGTCCCAGGTTGGGTTGTGTAGCGAGTAAGGAGGAGGTGGTACATTGAAAGGAGACGTCAGATTATCCGAGAAGGGATATTGTTCTAACATATTATGGTTGTTGAAGTCCATAGCATTGCCATACTGAGGAAGGCTGGAATGCATTACTGTTGCATGTTCGATATCCATATTGTATGGTGAGTCCGTAGGATATTTAGACGGCGTTGGTGGGTATGCTTCCCAGGCCAGAATCTCTGCCTTCACCTCTGTTATCAAGTAATCATCCATGGACGAGGATGTTGGTGTTGTGGTAGGCCCATTTTCTCGTACTGGACCGAAGCCCGTAGATGTCTTGTGTTGCTGAGGTGTGGAGCGACCGGAGTGTGGTGTAATGGGTGCGCAGGAAGGAGTGGTCGAAAAGCTTCGAGTGGATGAAGCACTGGACAGCTGACTTCCAAAGTCAAAATCCTCCTCTCCGTAGTCCAATGAGATATCGAGGTTGAAAGGCTCCATGTTACACTTTGGTGTATAGGGACCTGTGACGGTGATCGAATTATCAGGCTGATTTCTCGTATTGGTAGTATAATTACAAAGAGTTCATGGTAGTCTCGAAAGGAATGAGGGGATAGCCAATAGATATACAGAAGGGCAGAAATTTGGTTCTATTGAGATTGACAGCCCCTCCCTTGAACTCTTCAGAGTCTCATCGGCCCCAGGCTGGCGTAGTCTATTTTACAATAGGCACTCGGACCGCAAAGACACAAGCGGAGCCTCTGATAGGAATGCTACCTACGAACGTGTAGTGGCGTCCAAGCTGCGCAAAAAAAGAGATGTGCTTCGGGCCGGGAATCTGGGCACATCTTTGGAGAAAGGCAGTGGGAAAGACCAGGCATAAGCCTTCTCACACCAAGCCACTAGCCTCACGGGCAGACTTCTGACAAGGTTCGACCTGCAGCTGCGGACCAATTCGAAATGCGGTTGCGTCCCGACAGCTTGGTCAACCAGGATGTGTTGCAAGCACGAACTACCAACATGCATATTATAAATAAACCCAGCCATGTTTGAGCAAGTCCCAGCGGGGTAGCTATAACTGTAATCTTATTATTAAAAATTAGGATACATTTGGATGCTCTGGTCGTGACAATTCTTGTCAGCTTATAGGCCAATGGCGGCGAATGCAGCTGTCACTTACACATTTTGGCTGGTGTAATTGGATCAGCGAAAAGCAATCGATCTTGCATGAACGCGACACTGTCGTACTCATTTTAAGGGAAACCCAGCTTGAGACACATAATATCAAGTTGCCACAAGGAGACATATAGCATAATCTAGTTTTTAGGAATAAGATCAGGAATGGCCTCAATAGATCGCAGCCGCATGAATCTATCACTCCTGGCTGTCTAGAAACGTAGACGTGGCACGTACTTGCAGCAAAAATCCAATCTGGCATCCGCCATCTGGTGATTCTCTACATCACCCGACTCGTTGTCGTTGCCACAAACATGGCGGATGTCCCTCATCCTCTCGCGCAGTGGATGATCCTTGAACAATGAAAATCGTGGAACTTCATTGCTGTAATCCTTGTCGAAATATTTGTTTGCTCAACTCCCATGACCATCCTCTTGCATCTAAGAAAAGCTTAGACTAGTCTAGGTTACGACAACATTCCAGAAAGTCGGCCAAAAGAAGCTGCAGGGACTGTGCCCCATTAGGCCACCTCAGGAGGTGGAACTTCTACTTTACCATGGCAAGGGGGTCGTTTTTAGATGTCATGCGAGCTGGACATGCATACTCGAGACATGGCAGTACCTCTCTCTCCTAAGGTTGATATGTCGGCACTCGGGGAAGCATGGAGACGGCTTTCTAGACAAACTCGCTAGGTTAGATGAATAAGGGTTCAGGGGCCCGTAGTGAAGATCATGGTCGCCGTACGCATCCCACACTATCAGCACTATGAACATTCATGCAGATCACTTTGATCAGTGTCTGGCTGCAAGCCACTAGATGCGCGACTCAGCGGCTCGATCTCGTAGTAGTGGTAAGCAGGGCACCCGAATCAAATATGGACATGTTCGCCAAGTGATCTGCGATAACCTGTAGGTGGCAGACGAGGTGTAAAATCAAATATCTCGACTCGACCATGAATTGTTTATTGCGGGAGAGCTCTTCCAGGGTCTTGGCTTAGTGTTCCACTTGAGAAGGATCTCGATGCAGGGTTTGACTCCACTGAGAAACTCACTAAGTTAGCTTGTACATAGGTCTTACCCAGCAACTACTGTAATAAGCAAAGTGCTAATATTCACCCGCCAGACAATCTCGCTTGTTAGAAGATGAGCACAACTAAATGCCAACAGCCTCAAGAACAAGAGGTTTCCTCGAATGGCTTGTTTCACTGACTCGATTGTGCATCTGGTACACATCCAAAGCGGCGGTCAGTCGGGATCGTTCCTTAGGGGTTCGAATGTGAGATAATCGCAGTCTTATGGCTTCCTGTTTGATGTTCCACTCAACACGCAGTTTAACAGCATTGCGCAAATTGCTTTAGATGATTATTAACTACCGTATTCAACATAGCGTATGCATTGCAGGTGTAGCGCCACAAAATGTAGTAGTCTGCCTGGTCGACTAAAAAACTGACTATGATCTTTGCCTTTGGCAGAACAGTCGATCTAACGGCTTCTACTAGCTGCATGAACCGACCGTTTGGAGGAGTCAGGGTAAGCTTAATTAGGGTTACACAGTACCTGGATGGCGTCCAAAGGAGAGCCAAACGGCTATTTAGAGGAGCGACAGCACTCAGCGCCATACTGGAAGTTTGCCCTAGTTTCTGGTGTCTATGGCAAGTGTGTAGTCTAGCCATTACCCTGTGGGAATCACTAACATCATATAGAAATGGTAAAATGACTGTCCTGAGGCTCTCGATAACAGAGTCAAGAGTCTCGATAACAGAGTCAAGAGGTGTGCTATGCATATAATAACGGGGATAGTCTTTCATCGGTTTATCGTCTCGGCGGCATGATTGAAGGGCTAGGTTTTCTTTAATTTCTAGACTGATAGTGAGCAAGGCTTGTGTGAGAAGAAGCAACATAATTCGACATTTTCAATCACATTTGGTCCTTCTCGATACATATAATCACTCAAAAGCTTGTACGGGCTTTTCCAGGGGTCTTATCCGAGCTGCGTAACTTGATAAATGAAAGACAGGAAAGAACTTATCAGATTGGCCGAACACTTGATTGGAGATAAGAAAAAAAAAGAAAAAAAAAATCCCCGCAATCCTGCATCTATCTACACCGATTCTTGATCATGGCGAACTTGTTAAGGTTCTTGTGTGCACTTCGCAAGCTGATGACTATCAATACCCTTGCAGGCGCTTTCAATAGCCGCTTGATATATAGTTCTTGAGTTACCTGCAGCGTAGTGCATACATAACTATGGATTAATGGATGATGATGATGATCATCATCATCATTATTGATAGTGTAGGTTACATGGTTTCGACACACGAGGATTGTAAGCCAGACGTGCAGGTATACGGTGCTGCTGACTTTCTTACGGAAGGCCGCAGGATCTGGTACGATGAGGGCATTTGCAGTGCCACACATTCGATACTACTTAGGCCTCTCCATACACCTCTCTTCACTTACGGGGACTTGCATGACTTCGTGTCACCAACGATATGCTTTGTCAACAAACCGGAACGATAGGCGTGGCTTACCAATGTGCATTTGTCGTTATCTACTGTAGCATTATCAGATCAGACTGAGTTCTTTTATTTTTTTATTTTTTTGAATGGCTAGTGCTGCAGCTTCTTACACAGGTCACTGCAGCCGGTAAGCGATGACAGTTTCTATTGTAGTAAGAAACAAATCGTAGCAAAGAAGACTCCGTAAACAGTTTTCGCCGTTGCCGCCTTATTCAATACGTACCAAGCGTCGTATGCATCAAATGCCTGGCACTATGAATGGTTGTCAGGCTGCAGTCGCGAAACAGGCTACTGATGTGTATTAGTACGAAAGCTGTATCCTGCGCGGAAGCCCATGCGTCACAATACGCAGACTTGTTTGATTGTAGAAGCATCAGAAGCGCCCTATAAAGGGGATGGCATTATCTTGCAAACATTGTTACCGAGCTTTCTATCTCTTTCCAGGTCGACGCTTTCATTGTCTTCTTATCTTCTATATATATATATTCTGGCAAGAATGTGTTACAAAAAGGTGCAGTTCTACAACTGCACTGAAAAATGTTGCGAAAGAGTCTGGTCGGAGTCCTGCCCCGACCAACTACACTACCATTGGTGCTACAACCAGAATCCCGCAGAGGAAGATCAGAACAAGGGCGGACTGATTTTACAGGAGTCATTGAGCTCATATTGCTGTAGGATAGGCCACAAAGAACTGGGCACTGGTAAGCTATTTGGCTAAACATACTAACCGTATCATCCAATATTTGTAAAATAAAAAGTGTACATCATGCTGACTCTACTTGGCTTGTTTCAGAAGACGCACGGCGTTTAACACCTGAACACAACTTCTCCGCCAAGCGCCAACAAGATGAGTAATTAAGTGATAGGAAATGTGGGCAGGTCATGTGTATGTAACAATTGTGACTCAAGAAGGACGATAATACGTGGTTACGTTTTCAAGAAACACAGAAATAGGCATTCTTCGTATTTCCAATCACACAGTTACTGCGACAGTGTATAGAGCTGTGTATAATGATCTGTGTAAAAACCTACCTGCCATATTCCCTAAACAACTTTGGCCATGAAACAGCGATGTGGATTAAGATCAGCTACCTACATGCACTGTATAACTTTAAAAGAGCCGCACTTAGGGATTGGGCCGTGAGCATGACCAGATCGTTATGCGTTGTTGCAGTATAACAACATTACTTGCAGCCATCCCCACGCCGAAGTTAGCGGAGCTTCTAGGTAAAACCACTAGCTGCCCACATATTATTGATTCCATCTACGGCTCTCGTCACTGATACATGATTTCTTGTAAAATGCTGTCAGAAGGGGGGCTGTCTGTTTGATCCTTTATAACCCCGGACAGATTCTCATTAGATCACCAAGCAATTCTGTTCCTTCTCTACAGCCTATAGTGTTACATAGAATGCAAGAACTAATTGACGTACTGATGTTGTTAGAGGTTGACAGTTTATCAACGGAATATCGCATGATAGCGTGAAATGCATCACAATTGCGCGCTATCATGCAAATGCAGTGTAGCTAGTCGGCTCCGCTATTGACGCAGACGACCACCCGTAGTAGAGTCAGACGATCTTATACAATGCAAAGCAATTCTCCAGTATGGGGTATAGCAAGTTCTGAAGTTCATATGTTGGCGCGTGATGCGGATAAGCACCCCTAAGGATGACCTGATGCAGTAGAACGGTTGCGGTATGTGCAGATTCTCCTCGTTCAGAGAGACCAAGCAAGGCTTGGCGATGGCTTACATGACGCACCCAGCAGACAGAAGACCATGCTACTTGCGACAAATGACAAAACTCTGTCAAATCTTGCTCAAGGATAATGATGCATTCTACTGCGAAAACCTGCATTCATCTCTCCTATTTTCAAGGCTGATACTGTGAGACAGGTAAAGACATATAGATCGACTCAGCCGGTATCTGTTTGAAAGAAAGAAGGCGTCGTTGTCAACAAGACTGGTTGAGTGCCAGTGACGCACAGCATAAGACTTGATGTTCCCAGTCAGATGACCTTTGTGGCAAGCCGGACCGCACACTATAAGCCGGTTTCAAGGATGTCAACCAGGTAAATGGACCCTGTCTGCTCCTGGTCCACCGTTCAGCCTGAGGATTTGGTAGAATATGCCATTTCTACGACCTCAAAAGAAGAAACCCTGCGCAGCATGTTCTGCAGCAAGCATTATTTAGTAATAAGGCTGTTGACGTTTAAGAACAATTAGAACACCTCCTGCAAACCAGCATGTTACGCTCAATCACATCTTTTAATCTCTTCATGGGCAGCGACACGTCTAGACTGAGCATGGATGCAGCAAGCTAGAGTGATACCTACATAGTGTTGTGCTTGATAGCAGGCCCAGCAAGGCGGAGTATGTCCGCCGGGTTTCGGACGTAACTCAGAAGAACCACCTGCAAAATGGATTATATCACGATGACATGATGTAGTGCTATCATTAAATACCGGAAATGTGGGTTAATTTCACCGCCGCCCATTGAACAATCATAAACCACGCTGATCTTCTTGGATGATCCCAGCAACTCGCCTGCTCGCAGCTACGTACAGATTTTAATTTTTTTCAAGAGTGTTGATGTCTGTTTTAGAAGCAAACAAAGCCAAAATCCGAACTCCGATTGACTTTGGCGTTTTGCCGGAAAACATTGCCACGTTTGTTTGAGTACAGGTTTCCGTAGTCACAAGCATCCTGGAAACGTCCCCAGCATCCCTGTTCGTGCTTGTCGGCACCTGTCGGCGCTCCAGTCCTATTTGCAGATTCCACCCCGTCTTTAATGATAGATCATGGAAGTGTGTCAACTGCAGTTTGACTGCCCTGGCTGCATACTTCACACAAACATACACATCTCACGCATGCGACAGATCGAATAGGGTAGTTGGGCTTGCTTGTAGTAGACTACGTCGTAGGTTGAGAGTATCAATGTGCCTTGGCGTTCCAAATACCATGGTTATGGAGATTTAGCGTGGAATGGCGGGAAGATAATGCTGCTTGATCGCACCAATTGGCCAACTCGAACATTGCGAAATACAACGTGGTATTTCAATAGCGTACGTAGAGCACACTAAAACATAAGTCACTATCGGCGGCAGAAGAGAGCTCATCCTGGTTTGTTTTGAGCACGCCAAGTGGACGCGGACGAATGATCAATTGTTTGCTCGTCAACTGACAATCATGGTGTAACTGTTGTCTAACCCATTAAATCAATACCAGCGTCATCCATGGCATCTTGTAGCTCCTCTTCCGTTGCTTCAAGACCTTCACTGCTCATGAACTTGTTGTCCTTTTCCTCGGCTGTAATCGAAGGTGTTAGCCGCTGCTTCGGGATGCCGACAAATGGAGTTCAATCTCGCATAGGTGGGTAGGACTTACTTCGTGGTTCAACCAACAGGTTTTCTTGTACCTCACATTCTGTCAGGATGGACCCCTCCCCAATATCGCTGCGCTTTCCTAAAATACACCGCGTGAGCTTACAGCCCTTGCCAACCACAACACCGTCCATTAGCACACATTGGAACAGCTTGGCACCTTCCTTAATTTGGCAGTTAGCACCAACAACGCACTCTTTGATCGAAGTTTTCTCTTCCACAGTGACATTGTCAGCCACTAAGGAGTCTTGCTTGGTAATTGTTGTTCGCGGCTTAACACCTTCAGGCCAAGCTACCTTGCGAGCATGAGCGAAAATAGATGCATCTGCGCCCGCCTCCTCAACAGAAGGGAGCTTAGCTAATTGCAGCGAGACGGCTAGTAGAAGCTGTGCCGTGTCCACACGTCGGATGAGGGGAGCGTTAGGATCGGATGGTTGGACATAAGCCAATACCGGTGGCACTACGTGACGCCGTGTCGTGGCAGAAGCCAGAGTGTTCCTTTTTTTAGAACCTTCAGGAGACAGCGGTGAGACCTCAATTGTTGGTGAAGCTTCTCCTTCGCTAAATGGACTGCTGATGCCCTTTTCACGCCCGGAGAAATCTCCCACTGTTGAGCTGAGCACGTTGGGGAATCCGAGCTTCTCTGCCAGGCCGTCCTGCCAGCTTGACTTAGCCCACCAACCAATAACATCCTCACCAATAGTCTCGAGACGTCCGTTCTCGGCAATGAGCTCGAGGATCCAATGAGGCAGAATGTATACATGTGCATCTCTGTGAGAAGTCAACATTCTAAGTTTAGGGTGTTTACGCATCAGTCCATGCCTGATGGGGAAGCCTTTTTTCTCTTCAGTTAAGTCCTTCAGAGAGTCCGTGGGGATCGAGAGGGCCAGCTTGGATAGATGCCGTAACAGTGAGTCCTTAGATGTGGGTGTAACCGGCTGCGAAAGTGGTGTGGTCGCGATAAAGTCTGTTTCCTCGCCCTTGACCGGTGTCGCAGTCTTCGTTTCGTACCACACGCCCAGCCCTCCGCTCGCTTGTGGAGGTTCTTGATATGGGGCTGTTGCCCGTACCATCCATGCTTGAAGGAGTTTGTCACCTCCAAGTTCGCAGACAAGGTCACAGGGCAGCACTACGAAGTCGGAGGTCAGGACCTGCCTGACTTCTGGCAGTCGTAATATTTCAGCTGTGCCTGTTGACAAGTCCAGATCATTTGGAGCCAAAAGATCTGGGCGCGGATGTGGTAGGCCCGTCAGAAATGGGTTGGTCTTTAGGGCTGTTTGGATGGCCTTGGCCGCAGATGGCGGGCAGATCAATGTAATATCTATTTTGCATATCAGCTAATGTTAATGAATTGCAAAGGAACGAGTTTTTGAGCGCATGAGGTTGATGGACGTGATATATTCCGATCGACCCAAGCTATTAAATGACTGAGATGACCCAACAATTACCGTGCTCAACAAGGGAAAAAAAAATTATTTCCGTCATCGATAGGCACATTTGGGCTTTCAAAGAACCGATTAAGCGACTTGCTTAAGATCTATTTCCCACGCGTTGTAAGGTAGGTGACCAGAACACACGAGACATGAAATACTCTAACATGTCATTTCGTACCTGTAATGCCTGTGCGATAACAGAACTCAAGCGGGTACCACACCATAGGCCGGTTTGCGATGGGCAACAAAGCCTTTGGGTTCTCCTCCGGGTTGGCTGTGAAAGTCGGAAATGATGAGCCAGGCCCACAAAGGATGATTGCCTGAAGGCCTGGCGGAGGCATCGAAACTGCGTGAGGCATGCTCTACTCGTTGTGTTGCGACGCCGAGAAGCCCAACGGCAAGTGCTTGGTGGGGTGAGAATTTGGACCAGGTTCGATCACTTTCTTAGAGCATGAGCCTCGATTTCAGGGTTTCGAAGGGATAAAAAGATTTTCCTTTGCTGATTGGCCTGTCGCAACTTGAGTGGCCAGGCTGATGTGAGTTTTAGAACTGTGCTTTTGGTGCAAAAGGCATCAAGCAGAGCTGTGATTCTGCAGATTCTCATTGAAGAGTCATCGCCAAATGATGCAGAAATGTGGGGCCAAACGGACCACACCAATTACATAACACGTCTTCCTGGAGACTCCTCTCGATTCGTGCTTTCCTTCCACAATACATTAGTAACAACATTGTTCACCTCTGTATCCCCTGTTACACACTTCGTCTTACTTATTGAGTGACATCAACGAAGCTGAAGAGTCTGGCTTTTTATGACAATGAAATGACAGAGGGTCCATGTGCATAATGGAAGGCTTAGTCGGCACATGTTCGGCAGTCAGATACGACTTAACGTTAATGCCTTGATCAGGGTTGCCCCGCTAACAGATCGGCCTCGGTTTCTTGCCCGACACGTCCCAGCTGTCATGGGTCCGTCAGCCGTGTTGGTCAACAATGGCACACCAGCCACCCGCCGTCTTGGACGTCTACGTCGGGAACCAGCTTCTACCTTTCGAGCTGTGTTGATGTTGTAGTGCCGCAGATCCCAATCTTTTGTCGCTGCTGTACTCAGGCCTGTTATTGAAGGCAGTAATGGTTTATGCGATGATATTGAACCACTAAATGTCGTCCGAATCAAGATCCCGCCGGAGAGGCGTATGGAGCCATTGGGTTCCGCTAGCCGTGACCCTCACTGTTGCGACAGTCGGCGTAGCAGCTTGGGCATGGAGCCAGCGGCAGGGCGACGAAGAAGAAGAGGCACCGCCAGCCGACCTCGACTATGAGAATGCAGACTACGGCGACAACCCAGCATACGGCGCCGACAACCGCGAGCACGGATATTCCAAGGCCGAAAGCGCTACGTACGGCGTGACCGATGCGCATTTAGAGGCGCAACAAAATGCCGGTTGGGGCACTACAATGTCCGGCGCGTTGCGTCGAACGCCTAGCCCTCAGCAGTTCTTCAGCAATGCAGGCAAGGCTGTGACCGCTGGTGTAGGCGCTGTTGGCGCGGCTATGGGCAGCGCATTGGCTGCTATAAGAGAAGAAGACAAAAATGCATATGCCGATCACGAAACATGGTCAGAAGAGGCAGAATCTAGAAAGGGAAAAGACAAACAACCAGGCCTATCACGCGACCCTAGTAAACGTAGAAAGACGGTGGCTGTAGTCGTCTCAGCCGATACAAGCATAGACGATCTCGATGAAGATAGTTTCCACGAGCATGCGGTATGTACACCTGAGATACTCCATTGCTTCCTTATCAGTCTTACTAATGGTGCCACAGTCCATCTTATCGCACATCCCCCGGAACACCGACTTCTCCAAGATCAAGCTCTTCGTCTTGATCTACTCGCCAGGTCTCAAGGATACCGCCCTTGAAGCGCCGGCAAGTAACCTGCCTCCAGCTTCTCTGAGTTCTTCATTCTCAAACATTAGCCATAACCAGGCCCAGACCCCTGGCGAAGAAACCAAGAGCCCTCTGTATGTACCTCAATGCTTGCACTAGTCTGCCATGATCCCTACGCTGACTATCACCAGACTGAAATCGAACGGCGATGCAGCTTTCAACGCCGTATACTCGCAGGCTTTGACGTTGGTTGAGAAGGAAACCATGATTATGCCATTCACATCAGAGAACGGTCATGTTCATATCTTACACCACCTTCAACCCGAGGTCGTTTACCTGCAAGGATCACTAGCTGGCGAGAATGGTGTACACATCACACGTCTTCAGTCATGGCTTCGATACGACGTCATTCTAATCGTTGGAGCTGACGGCGGCCATGGAGGTCTTGCCGATAGCGAGTCAGAGGCTGAGAGGCCCAGTAGGCCTGAAAAATGGTGGCAAAGAGAGGACAGAGTGGGACGCGGAAGAGGTGTCGTTGTGGTTGATAGTCTGCGTGTTAGTGACGACTGGGCGCGTCGCGTGCAAGGCAAGGAGTAGAAAAGAGGAACTCCCTTGGCTAGCGATTAAGAATGGATTATGACCGGAACGTTGGGCTAGGATATTTGAATTGGTCGATATGTAGTCATTGCGTATATAGTTCTCAGCACGAATACCACTTGCAATTTGGTTTAGTGGGGGGTTTGTTTCTGATGAGTAACTGCGATGATCCTTTTTGTGGCATCGTTAATAGACTGCTATGAACAACTACAAAACCTTGTAGGTTCCTTTTTAGTCTAGCCTTATTTTGACGGTATGTCTTCGTTCAGGAAAAGGCGGCTTTCTGTCGGCTGGCAAAGCCCGTGAATAAACCTGGTAGACGTTGGCGAGCTGGCTTATACATTGCATATATGAGACTACAAGTGGTATACAGTTATCTGCTTCACACGACGACAATTTGTCCTGACCCCTACAAACTTTACTGTCGGCACACGAGCATATAGCATTTCGTCTCTGGGTTCAAGCGGCATCTGGCAGGGCCACTTCAATAGAGTTCCACACGACCGCCACAATAACCGCAAGGCTGCTCACGCAAGCCCAGAGCAGTGTATGTTCAAGTTGCATAACTCGCAAAACACCGCAACGTAGCACGGATCCTGCAAGTAATTTCCCGGAGGCTTTGACATCTCGAGGCTATCTAGGTAGAAAGCAGTTCTCCTCCTGGTTGGTGCTTCATGAACTAAGACAAGGTAAAATGAAATGACAGATTTCTTGTAGCTTTGCTGTCTATAATCGTTGACGCTTGATTGTGTGCGAGACATACGACCGGAAAATACGTTTTCCAATTTGTGGATACGAGACAGATCTTGGAAGGGAAACTTCTGCCCTTTTCATCATGGCTGACTTACCCCGGATTTGTTGTCAATATGGGAGGTCACGTGGAGACACTTAGACAGCAGCGCGGAGAAAGGTGGGACCCACTGTGTAAATTTAGTGGCTCGACTCCTTGTCTTTGGCTTGAAATCGCTCGTTGAGCCGCAATGAGATTTCCACACTCAAAGGCAACCCCACTCAAAGGCCATTGACGACATCTCATCAGGATCAGGGCTACTGTACGGAGCAGGTCAGGCTCACTTCAAGTCATTCGCTACGTCGCAACAAGCGATCAACAGTCACATTCGGTCGAGGAACAGCGACCTCGCGATTGCCGTCCTCGGCTTTCGGGGCGACGTCACGAACGCAACCCAGCCCAGCTCAGCTTCAGTAACACTTGGCTTTGTATTACACGCGCCTCGTCTCGTCTTTGTGACCCACCAACAAGAACGGTCACCCTTTACTCCAACGCGACATCGTATCGAGAGATAAACCCATGACCGAGTCGACGACGGCTTCTTGCTTGTCCAGGGTTGCTTAGCGACTCTTTGAGAAGCGAAGGCTCATACTCACAGGACACACGAGGCAGGTGCAGTCTGCTTCACTCGCAATGATGGCTCCGGTCGCGACTGCCACCGCGACTCCCGTACCCAACCACACCCACAACCACAACCACAACCACAACTCGAATACCACCAAGATAAAGCGACCTCCTCCGCCGGGCATACAAACAAATGGTGCGCCATCTTCCCGATCATCACCGTCGCAGTCACCATCCATGTCGGTAAAACGCACACCTACCGGCGGCAATAAGGCGCAACCAACTCCTACCTCGGCTTCCGTCAATGGAGTCAACCGCAATGCACCAAACCGCCCACGACGAGAGCAGTCTATACAGCTTGCGGGCGCTGGCGCTGGCACCGACAAACGAAGCGGGAGGTCCAATGTTCTGCGCTCTGCGAGTCAAGCGGTAGATGGTGCACTGCCTCCGTCACTCGGGCCGCGCCCAGATGGTAAATGCCCTCCTCCGCTGCTTGTCAACTTGGATACTTATCCTTCAGTAGTTATTACGGACCAGTACATCCTTAAGAAGCATGCTGGCAACCCGCCGTCACTTATTGTACATCTTCATGCAACACACTTCCGCTTTGATCAGCAAGATAGTATTTTCCTTTACAAGTCACCCATGCGAATATTCCTCGATCATGTACGCGCCAGAACTCTGCCGCACGACCTCTTACCTTACTTTATAGACCAAGGTATCTCGTTCTACGATGGCCGTTTGATCATCGAGATCCACGACCACAAGTCGTCGGCTCAATCCAAAGACGTCGCCAAACCAAGTCCATCTGCCAATAAGACTGCGCCTTTCTCGATACATAATTATACACCATACATTACTCCGTCGCCTTACGCACCCTATCCCAAGGAGAATACGGATCCACCACCAACAGCAGGGACTAATGCTAAGGGTACTGACGCAGATGGAAACAATAAGGAGAACATGCTAGCACCTACGGCTCCTGATACCCAGAAGAAGAAAGGCCCAGCAACGCCGAAAGTTATCACTGTTGTTCTCCATCCGACCTCCCAGAGTCTGTACGCGGATCTGATGATCAAGACGACAACACCACAAGGCGCTCCTGATGCCAATGTTCCGCCAACGCCCTCGGCGCCAATACCACCGACGCCCACGATCGGAAGTATGCCACCTCCTGCCAAGAAACAGAAAAAGGAGCGCATGGAACTCGACGGAAGAAGCATTCACGCTGCAGAGAGTCAAATTCTGCTTGCCACTATGGAACCTCTTCATTTGGAACCGACCAAGAACAAGGAAGAGTTGATATCTTTACTGGGCCAACTGGTAGATGAGAAGCACTCCGATGAACCACCCAAGCCGAAGACCAGGAAGCGAACGGTTGCGGAACGCGCGGCTGATGAGGCCGCAGCTGCTGACCACGAAAAATTCATGCTTACCTTTGACGACCGCTTGTCTGGCAACAATGGCGGTACACAGGGTGGAGCCGATGGCGCTGAAGTTTCCGGGCAATCGGTACCGGCTGATGTCAGGTTTGAGCGCTTCAAGGTCATCGAGGAGATCAAACGGGATCATGCCGAGAAGAAGGAGCAAGAAAAAGCCCGACAAGCGGAACAAGAACGTAAACTTGCTATCCAGAAACAACAGCAGCAAGCCGAGCAGGCTCAACTTATGGCGAGAAACCAACAAGAAGCTGCCGACAAGCTCCGAAGGGAAGAAGCCGTTCGGCAGCAGCAGGCCCGCCAGCAGCAAGAAGCCCAGCGACGTGTTCTGGCTCAGCAACAGGCCCAAGCCCAAGCAGCTGCGCAAGCTCAGGCTGCTGCTCAAGCTCAAGTACAAGTGACCTCGGCGCAATCACCGCCTAATATGCAACAACAACTTTCTCAGGCTTCACACAGTCACCCCACGCCGGGTACCATGCCAAATACTTTACCGCAGCACCGCTTTCCACAAGGAGTATCTCAAGCTCCAGCTTCATCGCCCGTGGTGCGCCAAGGCACACCGCAGCATATGTCGTCGCCTATGGTACCGAATGGCAACCCTATGCAGCAGACGGGATCTGCAATGGGTGGCAGCCCAGCACGACCACCATCAGTGGTTCAAAACCACCCCATGTCGGCGCCCATGGCTGTCAGTATGTCTGCAAGAGGCAGCCAACAGAGTCATCCTGGCGGGACCCCTCGAATGCCAAGCGCGACACCGCAAATGCAGCATGGTACGCCTATCAACCGTCCAATGCAAACTCCACGCATGCCTCAAGCCAGTCCGCCACCTGCTATGATGGCGCAGAATTCAGGCATGGGCCAGCACATGGGCCAACAGATGCTTATGGGTGGGCAAAATATGGCTATGCAAAACAATACAATGGCTGTTCAGATGCTGGCGCAGCAGCAACGACAACGCATTGCACAGCAACAAATGGCAGCTATAAACGGTGGAATGATGAATGGTCAAAACACACAGCAGATTGCGCAATTCCAGCAGCTCCAGCAGCAACGGCTATTACAACAACAATTGATGAATGCTAACAACGCTCAAATGATGAACGGCAATGCCCAGATGCTGAATGCCCAGCAACAGGTTCAGCTTAGGCAGATGCAGCAAATGCAGCAGCAACAGCAAATGCAGGCTCAGATGGGCAACCCGAACATGATGAATGTCAACGGCATGAACGGTATGAATCCAGCGCAGATGGCCGCACTGCAGCAGCAGATGCAGATGCAACAGCAGCAGCAGCAGCAACAGCAGCAGCAACAACAACAGCAGCAGCAGCAACAACAACAACAGCAGCAGCAGAATGGACAACAGCCACAGATCGCAGCGGTGCGTAATGCGGGCATGCAGCAGCTTGTTGGACAGAGACAGCGCATTATTTATCAGCAAAACATCGGGAATCTGGCCACGAAGTACGGCAGCGTGCAAGCCATACCGCCTGAAATACATAGGCAGTTTCATGCCAATTGCCACAGTAGAGCTGTTGCATCCATACAAGAAGCAATGCGGAATCAGCAGCAGCAGCAGCAGCAACAACAAGCCATGATGCAACAAAGCATGCAGAATATGAATGGCATGGGCATGTAGGGAAGGCCCACGACAATCCATCAAGTTGAGGACTTCATGAAGAAACGCTTTACGGGCATTCCAGCGCGAAACGCCGTGAAGATCATGAATGATGTGGCATGGCTTGTGCGATTGATGCAGTAAAGTCGCTTTATATTATTGGCGTTCACGGAGAATGGGTTTTCTTCTTGGTACAGGGGAGTTTTCTACAGAAAAAGTGGTCGGAGCAATTAGGATGGTCGCGGTTCTTTTATGGCTTTTTCTGTCATCATGACGGGTTTCCAGGGTTTTGGTTCATATACCCCAGACTATATCCAATTGCGCGGTTGATTTCACCCGAATGGGAGCTCAAAGGAGAGGGCTATCATTGGAAGAGGGACAGGGTTGCAATGGTTTGAGATTTGCGATGCGCCACTCAAGACTCGAGGCGAGGTTCTGCTTGTAAGTTACACATTTTGTACATTGCTCGTTGCTGGGAAAGACAGGAGGAATAAAGAGCCGCGATATTTCAAGGTCTAGCCGCTATGAGCGGTGCGGTATGAGTTCTCCATTTTGAGAGGATGAAACCCAATAGAAGCCTCGGAGAAATTGTATGATAGCAACCCCCGGTCCTCCCAGATGTACTGAACAATAATGACACATTTATTCTATTGAGCCATTGTAAGCGAGTGGAATCCGCCAAGCTCGAGCGGCAGCATAGCACCTTGAGAATGACTTATCAACGTTAGACAGCTGCTGCTTGGTTAGTAGGGCTTCGACGGCAATAATCAGGTATTACTAGTAGCCACGGCCAGAAATGTTAGGCCATAAATCAGGATGACTTCCAGTAACAGGAGACGCAATGAAGCATAATGGATATTGCAGACTACCGCCAAGTCACGTGACGCTCGGTTTCGGTAGGGGCGCAATGACGACAGAGCTGCCAGCACTGGCCAGGTAATAACATTGAGATCAGGTCAGTCCTCCTGGGCCTGGTTTAGCACATGAGCTCCTTCTACCTTGTTACTTAGTGTCTACTTATGACCTGAACGTGTTCCCTGATATCCGAAGCACTGCTCGACACATTTAGAATTTCGTGACTCTCCTTCACTTCCTTCACTATTCCGTTCATTGCTCACCCGACCCCGGCAAAGTCGCGTTACCTTTTAGATCATCCTGCTCCACTCCCTCTGGGCTCACAGTAGGTCTCAGAGACTCACTTCACGGCAAGCACGCCCCAGTCCGGAAACAACACATTTTGCGACTTGCATCCCGAACGTCCACTGCATCCAGGCCTGAGCCACTCGTCCTCGCCTCTACGACACCTGCAGCACTATGAAGTTCTCCCAAATACGGTCTCCGGCTGCCGCGGCCCTCCTGCTTGCTGCGCCAGCGGCATCGTGGCTGGACTGCAAGAAAATCGTGGCCTCGGAGCGGAAGTTTGACCTGTCGCCCCTGGGTGGCCCCCACTCGGTGACCATCAGCCAGCCGGTCGGTCCCAACTTCCACAACACAACCTTCACGACCGACATCTGCCGCGGCCTGAAGCGCAAGGACGACGTTAGCAAGACAGAGCAGTGCCCCCACAGCACGCGTGTCTGCGCCATAGAGCGTATCGTCGGTAAACGTGGCGAAGACAAGTTCGATGATTTCAACGAGGCGTGGGCGATAGCCGGCGAGCTGGCGCAGTATGGTGGTGGACCCCTGGACAACGAGGCTGTTTACTTGCCGACCAGCGACTCCAACTCGGATGCCGAGAAGGATGGTGTGAGAATTATCATCAAGGGTGGTTGGCATACCGGGAGTAATGGACAAAAGAGACAACAGAGGGCGATCATCGAGTTCGTCTGTGATGCCGAGCTGGAAGGCACCGAGGGTGAATGGAAAGCCGAGGATGAATATATCCCGGGCGATGATGACACGCCGACAGAACGAAGGAGTTTGACGGGCCTGGAGCTCCTCGACGCCGCTGACGAGGATGGCGGCGAGAAGGAAGGCGACGGTGGTGACAAGGTCAACAAGCCGGTACAACTGGGCGACAACGCAAACCAGGCACTCGTTTTCAACTCATACGGCCCGCTAGATTCCGATACGAACGTCGATATACTACGGCTGACATGGAAGACGAAGCATGCATGCCAAAAGCGTGATGGTGATAAGGGCGGCGAGGGAGGAAGGCCAGGGGATGGCAAGCCAAGCGAGCACTGGGGCTTTTTCACTTGGATTGTTATTATGTGAGTCTTCTACGATTACTGATCAAGTTCATCTATGGGTATATTGAGGTCACTGACATCATATAGTGGCTTTCTTGGTACAGCTTCGTACCTCATCTTCGGTTCATGGCTCAACTACAACCGGTATGGAGCACGCGGCTGGGATTTGCTACCTCACGGTGACACGATCCGCGATATTCCCTACCTCATGAAGGACTGGGGCAGGCGGGTTATGAGCACAGTTCAAGGCAGTGGCGGCCGCGGCGGATACGCTGCTGTATGAGCAACACGGTTGAGGGAGACTGGTCCAGACTGAGCTGAATCGAGAATTAGCATTGCGCTTGGGATTGCGGGCTTTCGGCATCTTTTCCTTGGGCGTTCTGGTTTATTATAGGCGCTCCTGGAATTTTTGGGGCGTCAGGCCTGTATTCATGATGTGCAATAGAGCCGGGCGTGTAGGGTGTTACAAACTTGCAGATTAAACTGTCACTTCTGATACTTCTTGGAATGTCGACTACTCACAGCATCCCAGATCAGTCCTTGTTTCGTATATTTGAGCCTTCCTTTAGATCAAGTGCGCTTTCATTCATCTGGGACTTGATGAGCGCCAATTAGTGCACAACTATACATGAAAGCCACAGCGGCGAATTCATCCAGGTTCTTTCCGCGCCTGGTTGAACAAGGTCAACACCGCGCCACCATGACTTCATCAGAGGGTGCAAGACGGAAACATCAATATAGTCTCACCATGGATCAGAACTAGCCCATTTCCTATTCGAACGAGTCTCCCAAAAGCAGATTGCCACCATTACTCGGGTATCACATACCATAGCCGCCACACCAACATCCCCTTGAGAGAGAGAACAAAGCAGAACTCACAAAAGCCAACCAACAGTATGAAGAAATCCATGACATCCGCCCTGCCTACTAATCTCAAAACACGTCTTGATACTCAAAGAAAGAGAAGGGGTAGCAATAGGATCCCCACCGATGCATCGATGCTCTCTATCTAGTTGTACGGTCGACGCCGCTACTACGGCGCTTTGATGGCGTGTTTCCTCGGCTCTTGGTGCTATTATGGTGATGAGATGAAGACGACTTGGAAGTAGACACGCGCTGATTTGAGGATCGCGCTGGCTCTTCCACGCCACAGAGCTGGCGTGTGTAGCGAAGTCTTGTCGCTGCAATGGACTGCGATGATCAATCAGGAAGTTATTCTTGAAGTGTGAAAGGTTGCGCTTTGAAACGCGAGGATGAGACGCCCGGCTTATAAATCCTTGCAGACAGACCGTCAGGGCGGAAGGCAAGACCTTAGCTTACTTCATTATCGCGTTGTGCATTTGTCAGGAGAAGTTCCGGGTTGTCAAGGATCTCAGCAGCCTGCCGTCGCTGCTCCACAATGGAGAAGGGCTCTTCCTTTGTTCTGTGATTTCTCGTCAGCCACCTTGGAACTGTGAGACAAAGAACAGACAGGCTTAGGAGTCAAGGCACCCTGCTTTGCTGTATTGTGGGATGTCTTTCATACCGGCGTCTTCCTGCCCAGTTATTCGCATCTGACGAGTCCCCCAAGTCTTGATACGGGTCCTTGCCCCGCGCCTGCCGATCCCGCATCTCGGGGGTGAAGACATCGGCGGCCGGCTGCCCATACGGCCGCTGGTAGTTACCTGCTGTCATTGGGGAGCTCATGTTACCGCTGGGATGGTAGCCATAGAAACCACCTCCATGCTGACTCATTCGGGCAATGATATTTATTTATTTTTGGAAAAAAAAAATCCAGAAAGAATAAAATTGTCTGGCAGCTTGAGTTATTAAGTAATGCTGCTTGAAAGGTTTCCGTTCGTTACCCTCGGGATATTATAGCATGTGTTCGCTAAAACTCCAGTAGCTTGGGTGACTTGTAGGGTCCAAGTAGTGCCAGCAGACGACTGGCTCAGGCTTGGCTTTTTGACCTTGATACACTCCGTAGCGATCCGAAGGTGAAAAAAAAGGACAGAGCTGTCAAAATGTGGAGAGCGGTTCCACAGCTTGTAGGCTCTTTTGAGTCGAAACTGCCTTAGCTTGGGGGGACGTCGATGATTTTTAATTCTCCGTACTAATCAGTGGTTAGAACGCCTGTATGACAGAAACTATAAACCGAACTAGAACCCCCGGTTTTTAATTGGGGCCGGGGGTCTCGCCATGTGCAGAACAGAAGAATTGGAGCTTTGAATCCTGGAATCCCAGCCTTTCCAACAAACCTTGAATCCCAGCAGATTTCCCTTCTCATCCGTGGATGTCCAGAACTTTTCAATATCAACTTTCCGACCCGTCAGCTGCCGTATGACTGTCCGCCGGGCTGTGCGAGATGAGCATTGTTCATCTCCATTCTGAAGCGGGTTGCCGTCGGCATTTACGATCCGCACACCACCACGCACGGTTTGGCACTCAGGTCTAGTATCTACACATGGCATCTGGTTTCTGCCTTGGAACTCACGTTAGCCTAACGGCTTTCTGTTGCGGTGATCATATACCCTTGCCGAGTCGATCCGGCCGGTGGCAGACGGGGAATGTCGTGGCAGCGTAGGCCCTGGCTTTTTTTTTTTTTCTCAGTATACGCCCTTGTCATAATTGCCCACATGCAGCACTAGCCGAATACTCGCATAGGGTTTTGTCTCTCGCTACCGGGGTAGCAGGGTGCCAATGCCCGTGGCGTGGCACTTGGGGATTGTCCAGTCAGAACTCATCGCTTGCCGATTGGGATGCTTTTGCATCTTCTGTTGTCATGGACGCCTCGCTGTTGTGTTGCACCATAAGCGAAGTTGGCTGTCAGAGATAACAAAAAAAAAATTTGTACCATGCAGCCTAACACTCGGTGTGTCTTGTTCGAAAATGTTCAAGGGGTGAAAAGCATTCCCATTTTGGAGGTCACGCCTGATTATATCATGCCGTTCACAGTGCATGCTGTGGAGCTATGCAGCTCTTATGCGTGCCACGAAGCCCCCAAGCGATATGATATGTCATACTCAATGGGAAGCGGACGCCGAGGAGGACATCTGCAGATGCAGTGTTTTGCAGAAGAGCAATGCAACGGCACCTCTTTCCTGATCGGTCAAAAGTGGATTCGAGTTCACCGAGGAACCCCTTCCGAGCCAATTGATGGCTGGCGGGTTGTTTTTCTTATTTTACAGTTGCCATACTGCCTCCTGTGGCTATATCGAGCAAGAAAGTTTTGTTACCTGAGAATTCTGCGAAATGTGGATGCATTGAGGATGCAGTGAGCCAGTCGGGTGGCGGCCACAAGAACTTGGCGCGCCTTCAAGGACATTACTGTCGAATATCTAAGTCCAGTAGCATCCATTGACAATAGAGGCCCTTGCATCAAGGAGATGATATAAACGTATCGAGATAGGCTGATCACATATCAATATTAAAATGAGGACTCCTTTTGTACCAGAATCTATCAGGCCCAGGAGATTGGGCGAAATACGGTGTCCACTGCCGATCAACTGCATCTGCTGTAATTACCACTGAGGTCTGTCATAGAAGGGCAACTAGTCGGATCAGTGGCGCCCTCAACGGCAAGCTTTTCGTATTGCTTGCTATCTCGAATCCAAATATAGAGCGTGTAACAAAGTGGCTAGCTGCCAGACCGATGTTCGATACCATGCCGCAGTTGGCTGGTATGGTGGGTGAGTGTTGTAATAGCGTTGGGATATGCTTGACGCTCTTTGGGGTTTAGTTTCATCATTTCAGCTCACATATCAATCAGTGAAAAGGTACCCTGGCGCATTGTCACCCCTGGCTTCCCGATTTCTCATTCTCTCACATATGTCTTACTTGCCTCTGTTACGTCTGGAAGGAAAAGCAAGATTCAGAATTTCCGACACGTCAGAAATGTTGCATTATGGTTAGCCGCATCGATGAAGAACAATGACTTGCCGGAGGCGTTTCCCGAGATGCACAGGCCGTGGTTGTTGTGGAAATTGAGTGATGCCGGCTGGACACGCCGTTTTGATCATTTGAGATATTGCAGACACTGAGCAGTGTATCGACGTCGATATGACAAACAGTTTTGTTGGTATCTAATCAATTTGGGAAAATGTGTAATGACACCGATCCAGGCACAGCTACCTTGTTGGCAGCCTAGTCATCCATCGAGTGGTGTCTCAATAAGACGTAAAGATGTCGAATAGAGTCCAGCAGGGGGGCTTCTCCTATAAGCTGGAGACAAAAAAAGGGGACTTAGCTGATGACACCCAGATCTCAGCGGGACTGACTTTCAGCGTATCATTCCGTAATCATGCCAGCCCATTGACCGTTCCGGGAACTCATGGATCACCCAACCTTTCCGAGCAAATGACAAGTGATTCAGCTCATTTCTGTTACATTTTGCCGCGCTCCACCTGACATTGAAACATATACCGTTCCATATTACGAATGCCAACTACTTGATGTACCTCTTATGAAAAGCGGTAACTCTATGACTAAGTGCCGTGGTACTCCAATAGCGCTCTCCCTGAATCTAATGAGCATTTCCTTCACCACTATGATTCATTTTCCTGGAGAGTGATCCGCGCTGACCTGTTCACTGCTATATTCACCAGTATTCATCCCCGCGCGAAAAGTCGCCATTGATAGACTCTAACGATCCTCCAGTGCCGAATGGGTGACAAGTTGAGAGCTCGTTGCTGCTCTACTGAGGTCGGCGAAGACTGGCAATGAGCAGGCATTATATTCCCGCCAAAATCGAAGCTGCTGTCGAGATTTTAGTCGTTGAACGGAGCTGCGGATGGCATCGTCCACGGAAAGTTCGCAATGGGTTCCATGCTAGCCCTGCTGGGGGTATCGGCGCATGTTGCAGTCTGATGAGAAACCGACATCACATTTAAACTGGGAGAGATTGGAAAGCCCTGAGCGTCGTAGACATCTTCAGTATCCATTAGCTCGCTGCCTTTGTCACTGTCTGACTTGCTGTCGCTGGCTTCAGGGTCGTGAATGCTTGTCTGATGGGCCTCAATATCGAAATGATTGTCGCTGCCATGGACACCGTACAAATCATAAGGGCCGAGCCCAATATGTGGGTAGAACAATGAAGAAAATTGCGCTGGGTACTGCATTCCTTGCGGGATGTCTCCCTGAAGCTCTACACCTTGTGATTGTTCTTGCTGCTCTCCCATCTGTCGCTGTTCTCCATCCTTGGGGGCTCTTAGCGGTGAACGCTGGGCGGCAATGTCGGTGTACGCAGATCCAAACTGGAAGCCGTGATGGAATATTGTTCGTGGATCTATCGGACGATACTCTCCACCCTCACGTAACTCATCATACACCTCTTCGGGGTGAGACTTGCCAACACCTCCACAGGCCTGAAGGATATCTTTCTCAAGCTTGCGTATTACTTGGTCGTTAGAATCCTTCTTCTTGCGGTCGTGCTCTATCTTCGCGTTGGTCATGGTGTTCTTGTAGTCGATATCCTTGATATGGTGGCGGAAATGACCGAGCACTTGCTGGCGGAGCTTCTTCTCCTCGGGAGTCTCGTGAATCAGCTTCCATCTCCGCTGTTCTCCCTCCACTTCGCGCTTGTTCTGCACATTCCACACTGCCAAAGTAACAATTTGCTTTTCCAGCTCTAGATCGCGAATGCGCTGTGCCTGCTCATCAATAGTGCGATAAATCTGATCGTGCTCGGCTTTTGCGGCCTCAAGGCGGACACGTTGATCGCAAATGACATTTCTGGCAGCACTGATATCGGCGTTGGGGTCAAGCTCCTTGATGTCGTCAGCAACTATTCCATCAATTTCGGACTTCATATTTCGTTGGCGATGGTTCTGAGCCTGGGGTGCAGAAGGGCTCAATTGGGCAAAGAACACATCGTTGCTCATAGGACTCATTGTTTCCGAGTCCACGTTGCCATACTGCTTGAGCTGTTGCAACTTCTTTGCCGCCTTGTAGTCCATGCGCCTATAATAATCCTCGAACTGCGGCTTCCATTCCATTCGATCGCCGTCTATGCCTTCGGCATTCCAAAGCATCGAAGGACTTGAAGGCACTTGATAGTAAGGCGAGAGCGGTGTTCCAGATTCCATACAATCCTGATGACGATTCCACGTGGGCCAGCGGTCACGTCGCAATGTGCTCGGCGGAGTGCTGTATAGCTCAGGGGACTGTGGTCGACGACGACTTGTCATTGTGTTTGCCATCGACTCTTGTCTCTGTCTCCTGGAACCGACCTCTTCCCAGGCCTTACAGCCCTTGGACCAAGCAAGAAATGTGCAAGGTGAGATGCGACCACGGGGAACGTGCTCCTCATCATCAGTTCCATCCTCTTCGAATTCGAAGTCGTCGCAGCAAGCATTGAGCATATGCATGGATAAGTCCATGCCTTGAGGAGGATGGATATGTTTGACATCAGGACGATGCAATTCGAAGACGTTAGTTTGAGGCGAACTTTTGGGAGACTGCTCGGAGTGAAGGACGCGATTAACGTTTGATAGCAACCTAGCGAGATGAGTATTCAGCGTTAGTGGATTTAAATGCTTGTGCTCACCTCCGGATGTCTTTCTTCCCTCCACCAAGCTTCTTTCCCTCCCTCATTTCGATCTCGTCACGAAGGAGGACCCAGTCAAGTAGAGGATCATCCGGATCTGTACCGAAGCCCTGACCAGGTCCGCGCATCATGACATAAGCCTGTAACATCTCATTTGAGATGGATATAGGCTTTTCTTCCATATCATTTGCTGTGCATCCTGGTAGCGTGAGAGGTCTCTGTGGCGAGGTCAAGCCTGGAGTATTTTAGCTGATTTTCTCTATTCGTCCGCGTAAAAGCCTTACCAGAAAGATATTGACGAGCAATAGGGCTCAAGCTGCCACTGGGCGGCATATCCATGTCGACACTAGGTTTGACGAACTTGGTGACCATTGCTGCGTTGTTTTGACATGAGTGAACAGCCCTTTTTAGATCCAGAGCAATATGTCCGGTTCAGGCATGTGTAGGCAGGCGAACAGGGCGGCTATGCTCAAGGAAGTGAAGACAAGAAATATTTACAGAGTGTACCTAGACGAAAGAACAGAGGGGCACACTTCACGATGAGGAGTCAACATATGTCCTATTGAGATAAATTTTCATGAATGTTTGAGTGCAAGCAGGTCGGGTCCACGAACAACAACGCGCAACCAGAATCGGCTCAGCAACCAGGTTGACAGCAGGATGCACAAGTCAACTAATCAAGCATTTCAAACTCCACCTCACAATGGTTTCTTCGGGTTATGCAGGGAATTGGTTGCATGAAGGCTGGCACGTTGCAATAGGTCGCCTTTCTATGTTTTCATCAGGTCCAGATGACAACATACATAAAGACCAACAAATACCATTCTTGAGATAAAAGAAAGTGTACTTTCATCTTAAGTCAAATGAATTAATGGTTGCAAAGGCTTTTATCTTCTGTTTACTGTAAGCAATTGTTGGAAGCTGTCCAACATAAATGTGTGTTTGTTCCTTCTTCACATCCATTGTGCCGTAGCATTGTCAGAATAGATGAATTGCAAGTATAATCAATCACAATCCACAAGCACATATCCCGGTCATATAGAGATAGAGTTATTGAGTTGAAAATCATTGTTGATACATGTTTGCAAAGACTAAGAGTGACAATGCTATGTTTATGTTTATCTGCGTCCATGAAAACCATTCACAATAAATATAGATATGGTCTATTTACAAGTTCCTGCCACCTAAGAACTGAGTGCTTCGGTATACAAAAGCCTACTCATCTGTAGAAATGTCTTGCTCTTAGTCAAATGTTGGCCAAAGAGGCTTGTCGCAATGTCTGTGTTCTTGAACCCAAGCCTTAATCTTTTCCACTGGCCATCCACTAATCCATCTTTCGTCTTCTTTCGGGTCTTTCTTCTTGGGATGGCCGAGAAGGAAACCTTTCTGGTACGAACAGATACCATCTTGGAAACGGAATTGGAAACATTCCTCAACCTCGTCGCACATCTTGGCACAGTGCTCAAAACTCATGTGCGCGTCCTCCTCAGTGTCAGACAGGTCGCCCTGCTTCGCGCGGTCTAATTGCCACGTTTCGTACTTATTCGCTTTAGCGTTGAGGTAATAAACGTCTTCGCTCAAGTTGTCCCAGTCTTCGCGTTTGGCCTCGAGCCTTGGTCTTGAGAACTCTTCGTAGATATCTTTGAGAAGTAGGGTGTGATTCGACGTTGGCTCCTGGGACTCGTAGAATCGTTTTTCGAACTCCCAAAAGGTGGATATCTCCTCAGAGTTCATGTGGTGCATCGTCGCGATGGGCTGACACCACTCACTTGGACCAAACGGGAGAGTGAAAGGTTTCTCGCCGTTGATAGTGGGCCACTAGACACAATTAAAATGCATATGGAGTCTGCAGCGGACGATAATACTTACCACATTCTGGACCTTGATACCGGTGGTGTCATTGAGGGCTTTTGCAAACATATAGTCACCACAACATGTCTTCTGAGTTTGTACGTCGTATTTGCTCGCCACGCCAGGATTCTCTTCCACGAAAGCCTTCATTGCTGCCTGGGATAGGATGTAGCCGCTTCCGCCATGACCAAAAGGAAAGTCTCCAATCATTGTCACACTTCCGATGTAGTGTTTCTGCGAAGGGTCAAGAGTAGAAAGCAACTGGACGAGGTTTGGCCAGAGCACGTAGGTGTCGGCATCAACCGTAATGTACCAATCGTAGTCGGGGCGCATATCGTACACTCTCTCCGCTATATGGATATTTTTGTACTTGTCGAGACTCCAGCCTTCCGAGCTAGAGGAGCCTTCGGCTTCCTTGTTACACTTCTCCTGGTCAACGGCACAGGCTTTCTGTCGACGATAGAGATCGAAGTCAGGGTTGCCCTCCATAGCCTCCGGCAGCATGGTTTCCAGACTATCGTGGATGTCGACCCCGGCTATGCTCTGTTTCATGTCTGAGAAGATAAGGAAGTCATCATGACAGCGCAACGTGGTAACTAGCTGTGTCGGGACTTTTTCGTATGCCTCGCTCGCGCCAGTTTTCATGATGAGCAAGATGTTAGACATATCTGGAAGCCATGCGCAAGACGGATCTTTCTCAGGAGGCTGCGGAACCTCGACATGTTGAATTGTTGTTGTAGTACTGGCGTTTACAATATCTTCTGTATTCGTTTGCTGGCCTTTTTTGTAACTGTATATTGAATGTGTTTCGCTTTTGTAGCCAAATTGGTAGCTAGGACTGACGGATCGAAGATGTCGAGATGCAAGAAATAGGAGAAATAGGATTGCAAGTGCCACGGCCATGCCGTGAGAAAGGCGCCCGGAACGTATCATGATTCCTGAGGCAATAGCATGACGTGTCGAAAGAAGAAGAAAAACGAAAGGCAAATTATGAGATTGGGAAGAATAATATAAGGTGTGTCTTTTGCTCTGAGCGTAGTTATGAGAAGTTTAAGGGACCCAAGGATTTCGACAACCTAGAGGAGATAGCTTGAGCCATTCCAGCAACCGCCGTTCCAGACTGAATGGAGCATTAAAATTTTCATCTTTCTGACTTGTTCCTGCAGCAGGGAGCGAGTGAATGGATACACGAAAAATGTTAGTTGCCGATTGTGGTCTCACCTTCCCTCTAAACGTGATTCACCTCCTGATGAAATGAGAAGCAACTTGATCAATACATTCGTCCCACCAAGGCCACATTGGTGTCACTTATACAATCCCATCTTTGCAGCTCATGCCACTGTTGTACCCGGGCATTTTTTGAGGTCGTGTCTTTTGTGGCAAGGGAGAAATTCGAATGGAGATTCAATGGTCATGTTTCCATCAATCCAATAAGATTAATACAGCAGGTCAATAGCAAAGTCACTATTTGAAGCACCTATTGGCATGGATACCTAGTTGTCCAAGGAGGTAGACAGTTGGGATGGAGAAGATCTCACAATGGCGATGCAGCCGTCGCCAATGGGCTTGTGGTGATGCTTCCGCTTTGACAGACAACACAGCAACAAATACTGCTCTGTATCGACTCTGACAGACTAAAGATTGAGGATTCAACGACACGAACGGCTTTTCTGCAATGGCAGCAGGATGTAGGATGGCAATTGCGGCACGAAACCGGTGGCCGAAGCGACACGACCTGACTCGGTCGTGGTTGTTGTTGCATGCGGCCCGCTAGAGTTGACGCCCTAGAACTGCGTCCAGTTACTAACTTAACCTAGTTATCCTGTAGAGGGCCAAAGTGCTAATGTGGCACCGTGGTTCAGAGCGTGACAGGTCCGCTACCAGCTGCTAAGCTTTCTCGCATTCTGGTGCCTACTACAGTAGTGCACCTGGTTCAAGCCCCACCCCCCTCAATACCCATAACAAAGAAACATTTCTATGGAAGCAGGGCACTAAAGTTATCGACTCTCCAGCAAACTTTATCTTCATAAGAGCATCAATCTAAACTTGGCCAGCTTAGTCTAAACTACAAATCACTGTCCATAATCGAAATTATGACCCATGCCTCCCCTCACAATCGCAAATCACGTCCTACGTTCACTTGCCAGCTTGTTTGAGCCATTGCCAAGACTATGATAAAATGATTGTATTGTTTGCCTAGCCCATAGCCCAGCCACATTTTCCCACTCCACAGGTCAAGAACTAATTATGCTGCGGTACCGCCAGCGCTACCTAAGGGGTGCGTCCGAGAAGACGGTTGGCAACGTCACTGACATAGGCAGCAGTAGCACCACGTCCGTCGCTAAGATCGTTGGGGTTGACGGACCCGGAGTTGTATTCACGGAGAGCCTTGTAGATGGTATCGGCATTGTCGGCATTACCGAAGTCCTTCAAGTTGAGCTTGAAGTGGTTGGTGCCAGCGCGGACCATGGAGGTGATTTGTTCCTAGAAACATGTTAGCGCCTGGTTCTCCGGGATCCATCTTCTGAGTTGAAGAGAAAGGCATACCTGAGACAAACCATGCTGCCCGGGGAAGCCCGGGGAGCCATCACACTGCATCAGGCCAGCAGTGAAGTGGCCATCGGCGTTGGTGGTGGTGCGAACACCAACGTTGCCGGTGCTCTCCTGCATGATAATGGCGAAGATGACGCGCTCCTCGACGCCGATCTTGGCGCATTCTTTGACGGCGTTCCAAATACGGCCAATATCTTCGCCAGTGTCACCAGTGAGCGACATCTCATGCTTGTTGGCGTTGAAGATCTCCTCGAAGGACTTCCACTGCGATTGCGGCGGGAATTTCGAGGAAGGACCGGAGTACCAGGTGAAGCCCATTTTGATAGATTGATTCTGTGAAAGAGTTTAAATAAGTTGAGTTACTGAGTAGTGAGATGGTTGGATTGTTGTGGTGCTGTGAGTCCTTGTTGGCAGAAGATGAGAGGGACCTGTTCTTATATACTCGGATCAGGAGTGTCTGTAGCAGTCAAAGTCAGAGCGTACTGAATGTCCCTTCGCCATCATCAACTGAGATCCGGTGTATGTTCGTAAGGACTCAAGTCATCAAGGAGACAATGCCGCCGTCACGCGCCGTTACAGTGCTACGGCTCGCAACGGGATGAGGCTAAATAATGTTATCCCGTCTCACAAGTGAGTCAGCTACACGATCCTCTCCTGATCGCATGTTCACGCCAACCGCTCAATTGGGGTCGTTACGCCTTTCTGTTACCGCTTTTGGCTTTGATGCACTCCACGATTCCTGTAGAAGGATGGTGCTTCAAAAAGGGCTGCTGACTTCACGTCATCGTAAGGCCGCGCTCTCACATAAGCTTGACTGCGACTCTTCGCAGTGTTCCCCCAATTTTCTACTGTTCTTGAAGGCAACTCCCTATGGTGGGTTGGCCAACGTAAGCGCCCTCAACAGTGAGTAATCGCCTAAGCCTCGCTCGAGCCTCACCGAGCACCCTGGCTTCCTTTGCCCCTTGCACACCGCAAGTGGAGGGTGTACCAAAAAAGGGGTAATAGCAACATCGTCGGCCACAGTTGTTGGCTGTTCGTTTATACGCAGTGAGGTTTCGGCATAAGCTTGGGAGGATGGAGGAAGAGCTGAAAGTGCAAAAACATAACTCCGACACGGGGAATCGAACCCCGGGCATGACGGATCAAAGAATGAGAGCGTCATATGTTAGCCACTACACCATATCGGAATGCTTGATGATGGTCGCCTTGAAAACGGCATCATGAATGTGGACTCAGTCTCAAAATTTGCATTAGGCTCTGAGCGTTGTGTCATTAGATCCACTTTGACACGAGTCGGAACCCTTCAGCCCAAAATGATGCCAAAAATGTTACATAGTTTAGTGACAAACGTAATACTCAGGAAACATTTATTCAGAAAGGATGTGAAAGAGTGTAGTATTGAGATCTCTACTAAAAGTCCATACATCATGCCAATCTATAGGTCCAGACCAACCAAAACGCCAATATAAGCGACACTTAATCAAAAACATCAGTAGCATAACGCACGTTTCTCAGCTCATTCCACCATTCCGTGATTTCTGCGTCACTGAGCTCCTTACCATGTAGTTTGGCTCCAGCACTCCTCATCCTGAATGCAACGTCTTGCACAGCCGAGCCAACACGCTTCGACCCGCACACAAACAACTTCGCATTGTTTTCCCACAGCTCTGCAATCTTCTTGCGGTCGGTCCATAGGGCGTCCTGGACGTACTTATGGCCATCACTCTTCTCGGGCGTTCGTGAGAATGCCCGCCTGATGTTCACGGCACCAATCTTCTCCCACGCTGCAAACTCGTCCGAGTAGAGATCATCACGACCTGGCTCCCGACAACCATAGTAGAGGAACAAAGGTGCAATCTTGCGACCAGCTTCGATCAGGGATGCACGCTCCTGTACGAACCCACGGAAGGGCGCCAGACCAGTACCGGCGGCAACGCATATGACTGGCGTTTGCTCTGGGTTCTGGGGCAAGTGGAAAGAGGCATGCGAGGGTCGGACCGAGACGTGGAGCTTGTCACCGGGTTGGAGACTGTTGAGGTAAGATGTCGCAACACCGAGATACTTGCCCTGGCCCGATTTGGAGGGTTCCTCCAAAAGCGAGAAAGTGAGGGTGACATTCGTTGGCTTCCACATCGGTGATGATGAAATTGAGCTAGATGCCGGTCAGTTTCAACAATTCATCGAGAACAAACCAGGAAGAACATACTATTGGCGGACACGCATAGGGGGGAGCATGGCCAGGAATGATCCAAGCGGCAATTTGACAGACGGGAACTTCTCCAGCAAGTCCAAAACGGACACACGCTTGGCGGAAACCTCGTCGTCATATGCCTCACTTGCGAGCTTCTTTAAGGCGTTTTTATCATTCTCTTCTTCGGTAGCCTCGGAAATAGCAAGCACATTCTGCATCTAATTTAGCCAAAGAAGTTGAAATAGCCTTAATGAGTTGGTGGTGCACTTACTCTTTTCGTTGCGGGTTGGGCCAACTCAACGTAAGCACCAAAGATGTCGCTAGCAGGCAACGAGGAATTGGTCGGCAAAGGAACTTGGCTACCGGCTTCGATGATGAGGTGGGAGTCCCAAGGAAGTTCGAACTTTCTTAGCACACGTGACACTGTCGCCCTCGGGTTGATGGGCAGGATTGCCAGGTAGTCTCCAGCTCTGTATGATGTGTCCGTTGGAAGCTTGATCTCGATGTGTTTCTTGATAGGCTCTCCTTCTGCAGTCAAAACCTTTGCAGCAATAACTTCGGCTTGTTGTACGTCGGCACGAAGAGCTGATGTGCGAGGAGTGGTCACTGTTACCTTCAACGAAGGGCCTTGCTTAATCGACTCCTGGTCACTCGTTATACCATAGGCTTCGGCCAATGCCGGCCAGAGGGTCTCGTCCTCCCAACTCTCGAAAGCAACGAACATTTCACCATCGCCTGCATCAGCGACACCCATCTTGGCTAAACGGCGAGCACCATTCTCCTCAAACTTATTGTCGACTAGCTTAGGAATACGGTGGAAGGTCTGATAGTGTTAGTTTTCTCAGCTAAGGATTGTTCAATGCCTGACTCACCGAAGCCCAATCATGGTGACCACAGCCGAACACAGCATAAGAAACATCCTTCAATGCTGACTTGTCCTCGATGCTTTCGAGATAAGAAACGAGATGGCGTGCATTGTCCGGCGCGTCACCCTCGTATGACGCTGTAACAATAATAACGGGCTGGTCCCTGGGCAAGTTGCCGTTTGCTGCGGTGTCCATGCAATCAACAGTTGTTGCCTGGAATCCATGCTGGGGAGCATCTGCAGCGATACGGTGGGCCATAGCTTCACATGTACCACTGTTTGAGCCATAGAGGATAGTCATAGGCTTTCCCTCGCCAGTGGGTTTGGCGTTGATCGGAGCGTGCTGTTCAGCCTGAGACGATTTCTTCTCCTCAGAAGCACGGCCGGCCAACCTCTTCTCAAGCGTGGTAGGCGTCAAACCGTCACGCAGCATAGCTCTCATATGAAAGCCCTTGGGCTTGATCGTCAACGTTTGCTTGTAGGCAAGATGATAATTCGGGTCATCCAGGACGAAGTTAAAATTCTGCAGGAGCATAGCCATCACAAGTAGCGCCTCTTGCCAGGCAAAGGGACGTCCTATGCATCCTCTTACACCGTTACCGAAAGGCTTCCAAGCATTCTTGGGCAGCTTCTCGAACTCCGAGTCCAGCATACGCTCAGGTTTGAACTGATCGGCGTCATCACCATAGACTGCAGGGTCAAGGTGCGACTTCTTGATCAGCAAGACCACTGGATCCTCCTTGCGAACTGGATACTTCCCTGCTAAAACTGTATCTTCCACTGCGTGCACGCCAAACATCGCAATCGGTGATTGCAGACGCAAGGTCTCACGTAGAATTGCACTGATGTATGGGAGCTTTGACATATGCTCAACTTTGATTGGTCCTTTACCAACGACCTCGTCAACCTCCTGTTGCGCCTTCCTGTATTCCGCGGGGTTCTTGAGAAGCTCGTAAAAAGCAAATGAGAGAAGGCCAGACGTCGTTTCATGACCAGCAATAAGGAACGTAATCAGATTGTCAATGATGGACTGATCCGTCATGTGATTGCCGCTACGGGAGTCGACGCCCTTCAGCATAGCCGCAAGGAGATCCTTGCGGTCACTGTCGCCTGATTTCCTCTCATCCAGGACCTCTTGGGCAGTTGTACGAAGTGTCTGAATATCCTCCCAAAATTTTGCCTCCTGGTTTCGATAGAACCATGTTGGTAATGGTGGTCGTTGCGTACGGGCTCCGGATTCCGTCAAGAAGTCACCCATGGCATCAATGAAAGGGTGCAGCTCCTTGGTATAGAAGCTGTTGAAACGAAAGCCCATTGCGCAGAGCGCGAGGGTGTCTAAGGTCAACCTGGTAAAATCGTCCGTGACCATGACTGGTGAGGATGATCCGTAACGAGCCCATTTCATTGCTAGTTGCGTCGCAATATCGTGCATCTCGTCAAACATGCCTCGGATGCTCATAGGTCCAAAAGCCGGCATCAGGACCCGGTGGGCAATACCCCAGTTCGGCTCCTCGAGCTCTGCGGTGAAGAGGCCATCGTGCACACCATTCCTGATCTCCTTCAAGGCGCCAGCAGGAACCTTCTTGAACCGCTTCTCGTTACACACTTCGTCGATAAGGGCGTGCGTCGATACCACCACCACATTTCTTCCAGGGAACTGCAGGCGATAGATTTCACCGTACTTTTCGGCCAGGCCCATAAAAGAGCCCAGTGGGAAAGTCTGGTCTATTGTACCAATATGTCCAATAAGAGGCAGGGCCGGAGGCTCTGGGATCGGGACGGTTTCTGTCATAGTGGAGACGGTAGGTATGTGTTTGAAATAACCTAGAGGAGAGGAAAGAGAGACGGAGGAAATATTGAATGATATTTATATTGTCGATCTTATCGTCAGAATGCATCGCCATCGTCGAAAGTGTGGGTCGCCGAGCTTGAATCGGTCGAGCCGGGCTCCGGCATTAAGCCCCTGTGGTACAGCCCAGGACATTCTCAGACGGTATATGTTTGGGCCACTCATGTTATCTCATCATCGTACATGCAAGGCTGGTCCCAAGTAGAAGCTTAATTGCAAGCCACCAAGCTCCAACGGCACGGGACAACTCTCTGCGCTGAAGGGGGGACGGACCGGTAGATGATGTGCTCCACCGATGCTCTCAAGGGTTCGTTTTGGGCCCAAGTCGACGGCCTCGGGATGCTCGAACGAAATGCGGGTCTAGATCACCTGAAGCCGAGGCCTGGTGTGCTGGTGAAGGCTTTTAGTGGTTGTGTGTCCCCATAAGAGCCTATTAAGAGTCGCGTTAAATTAGATTCATTCACTCTTGACTATGCAAAGCGAGAACCTTGCCTCGTTGTCAACCCGAAATCCGAATTGTCTGAAGTTAGGTTCTTTTCGTACAGGAATGGTCGATCAGTGCGTCTTGGCGCTGCTACCAATCACGAGCATCTAATTATCGATTGCCAGTGGGTAGTCTAGCTTGCACAAAAGCCTCCCAAAGTCTTACCGTCCACGACGTATGTGATTGACGTACAGTGTTGAAGTGCTGCAAAGATACTGAAAGATCATTCCCCATACAATTCAGCATTTCCGCGAGTTCAGCGAGTCCTGGCTACGAACACGACATGCTGTACGAGGCTTGTCAACTTGTGTACTGGGTAAGTGCCGTTGGGAAAGGAGTCTCGGATGGATTGCCAAGTGGATTCGCCGGTGGTTTGTTTCTCGAAACTCCGACGGGGTTTTTCGGCGGCCACTTCAATGGCGTTGGCGGATACACCGCCCGATGGAACGATTGCACACCATTGTACGGAGCGCGCATGTGTACACTCCAAGATGCAAAATGAGCGATTGCGACTGCATAGCACACGCGTCGCTGCAGCAAATCTCCGAATCTTGCTAACGGCCAAATATGCTCAAGACCAATCCTACGAAATAGTCGAAGTGCCCACGAAGATTTAACTGTCCTTTGACATCAACGTCGCCACAACTTTATTACTACTGCGTGGTGAATTTCGAAGCTCTAGGGATTCATCCACTGCATTAGCCAATGTCGACGCAAGTTGTCGCCAAGAAACACATGGCATAAAACATTCGCTCTTTTGTTACTATCGCTACGGTATCAATACTAGGTCTATATACGACACTACTACAGCGGTCTCTTCTTTCAATACTAGTCGGTCTGCCTTCCCTACCATCGTCTACAAATAAGGGAGTAATGTGTAGAATGGTAAATCAGTAGCCGCCCACTCCGCCATCAACTGGCATGATGGGGCCAGTAATGCATTATACTTCTTTGCTACAGAGAAACGGTATTGCTACATCATTCGGATCTGCAGGTGAACTTTTCATTCTCAAGTTTTCCAGAATACTACATAGCGCAGCGAACATCTTAACCCCCATCCTTCTTGTCTGAGAAGTTTATGGTTGATGCGGTACTAAACTATTAAATCCTCATCTTTGAGTAGTATACTCATACATACAGGTGTCTCGCTTCATCATGCATACTTCGGCCCCTGGCCATGGGCGTGAAACCTATTCCAGGTGCGATGCAATTGACACGAACTCGAATATAGCTCGTGTCATCTATATAAACCACTCGTCTACTTATAGGCTACAGTATGGAACTGTTGTTTCTCATCACTAATATATATATATATATATATACCCCCATAGCGTCAGCTTCTAGATACAATCTAGGCAAAGCGAGCATAATTCAGAACCACTTACCAAGCTCATGTTCACTATCGCCCCTCGACAATTATTTCGCATTTCGGGGATAACTTGGCACGGCATTAATACCATGCTTGTTCTGGTGATCCTAAAATTTCGTTTCCAATCATCAACGTCCAAGTCAACAGCATTGCCCATGGCACCACCAGCGCCAAGTTGGCGGTTAAGCAGGCAAGATGCACACATAAGATTGAGGCTTGTACCGATGTTTACAAGAATGAACTGTTCTGAATATCTAGGCTGTTTGAGCTACAGCAGCTCTGCAGCTTTGTTCGATTATGAGATTATGACGTCCGCTTGGATGACCTCAGATGTCCCACATTCGTCGACTACTTGCTTGTTTTCTGTGCCTATTCTCTTATCAAATTAATAATGACCACACATGCCCCTTACACAGCCAACAAAACTGCTGTGGCACGACCTTTGCCGATTTCATCTTCAGTGGCATGTGTTGGAAAGATCATAGCGCCTGCAACAGAGCCGCTGTGGTCACCATTCATTCGCGAGCCTGCTCCCGTCACAGTAGCGACTAAACCGGCAAAATCAAAGGCTTTTAGAAGTGACGAGTCCATACAGTATTGCAAAAGGTCACATAGTTTGTTCTGGCGTAAAAAATTTTTACTTACCTGCTTTCTTCACCGACAGCAACCAGGGCCTTATTTGAACTTCCTATCAACTCAACGAACTAATCTCTCGGAACTACTACGTCCATAATCAGCAACGGCTAGTTGCCACGGAGCGTGGCCGCATAGACCCACATTACCCAAGTCCGATGGTCTATGTTTCTCCAACAGCTGTTGAATTTCTGCACACATACTCCAACAAAGGCAAGGCTCCGGAAAGTCCCCGGCCGTTGAGTAGCAGTTGGCACTGTGCAGAAGATCTCTGCAACTATTCGAAACGTAGCTAGAGACACTCGGTGGTCATCCGGGACATGCTTCGTGCTAGTCTGCATGGGAATTGGCGTTTTGGGCCAAAATTTTCCCAGGTACCATCTTCGTGTTGGTGACATATCCGGTTGATAACTGACATAAATTCTTTCATAGATAGTATAGCCCATGGCAACTCACCGCTACGGCCTATGCATAGGGGATCAATCAGGTACAATAATTCTTCGACAAGGATGTATTATGAGCCCTACAACCTGGCTCAGGTATTTCGATCCCAGAACACGCTGATAAAATATGGAAATGACGTGGCGTCTTGGCCGAAAAGCGCTCATGGATATCCCTTACCTACTCACAAAGAAAGATGATTCTTACTGCTATACCTAAAAAGCCAAAACGTTGTGTTATAGTCAAAGGAGTACCAAACTAGCCTTGAGTCATCAACCGCGCCAGTGTCCCTCATCCTTGCGTAAGCCAGAACTCGAACCATTCGATGATCCCGGATAAACTTTGTTCTTTCACCCAACCTACTGCATATTAGTTTGTGATATGGTTGGCTGGAATAACACAGGCTCACGCTGGTATGGATCCTCCATGTTACCTCGCAAAGCAAACCCATGCTCGACACCAGAAAACAACTGAAGATGGTACACCTTGTGTGTGGAATTCAATATATCGAGTACACGGTTTCTCGCCTCCGTGGAGAAAGTGTGGTCAACCTCAGAACAAGATAGAAAAAGGGGTTCTGGCGTTCTTTCGTTAAATGATAACTGAAGATAAGCATAAGTAACCACTCACTTGACAAGCTTATGAGGTGGTGCTCTTTTAGGAATGCCGGGTGGGCGAAGGCGCCAACAGAGCAGACACCACTTCCTGATAATTGGTCACAAACATAAGGGGCTCCGAAACAGTACCTAGTAGACTTTAATGAGGGCATGGCCTCTCAACTTTTCCGTCGAGATATACTCACCCTACGCAAGCATACTTGGTCTCCAATTTTCCGTACTGCTCACGGACAGCCTCAACCCAAGCGGGAACTGCTACGTCAGCAAATGATGTGTGCATTGCTTTCCAGGCTTCATAATCAAAACCTGGCTCGGTTGTTTTATCGTGCCGGTCCTTCTTGTGTTTGGTCACAGGGTCCTGACCTCGATCAGTAACTGTCATCAAGAGTACCGTATGAAACCCAACTGACGCCTCGAAAATAGTCCGGGCCAAGCACAAGGAATCCGGCCGCGGCGAATCCGTCCATCACCAGGAGGCCGTTTGTAAACATACCCCATACATCAGGAAAATACAGGATAATATGTCCATTTGATTTGTCTTCCGGGGGTTTCGATACATAAGTGTCGACATTGCCGATTCTCAGAAATTTCCCAAGAGGTTGTCCTTCGTGAAGATTACCTTTTAAGCAACAGACCCCAGGAGGTTGCGCCATGTATTCATTTGTGGCAGCCATTGGAATACGAGGAATATTTTTCGGAGGTTCAGAACGTAGGTTGCTATGCATCATTACAATGACCTCCTATATACGGTTGAGCTTTTCCTTTATATGCTTGCCGGATATGAAGGCGATGTTTCGCCTTGCGGACGTCAAGCATCGGACGTGACACCGAGCTAGCTTCTCCACGATATAAACCGGCTATCATGCGGGGGCGAGTAGACTATGCCGGACAGTGTATGTGCTCGGACTTAGCTACTGTGTAAGACACAGCCATATCCTGGATAGACATGCAATGGAATCCCGGGAATAATGCAGGTCCCCACAAGCCGAGACCCATCAGGGAACGAGATAACCTTGGTAGCGATTGCCAGCCGGGTTAGCAACTCGCTGAACTTGGTTGCTGACATTATGAACAAAGCTCTTCCGTAGTTTTCTGTCCTTAACAACGTTTTGTCTATTCAACTGATACATGCTGTAATTAGTACGCAGAAAAAAGCTCTCCTGCTTAGATGGCTGAAAAGGAGCTCGAGGGACTCGGTGGCGCTCGGCTTGAAACTGCTGCACATGGTGAAGTTTTGTCGGACTTGAATACAGCCGAAGAAGTAAAAAGAATTACGTCTAGCGAACTAGTGAGTGAGCAGCCGCTGACTTGGTAACCAGGATGCAGCTGTCGGCTATCGCGAATACATCGAGGGCCGAGACATCGAAGTGTTGGACCAAGAAGCACGCAAGGTTCGATGGAAGATTGATCTTATCGTGCTTCCAATCTTCTTGGTCACACAAGCCCTCCAGTTCATGGACAGGACCGCACTCAACTATGCCAACCTCTTTGGATACCAGGCAGCCCTTGGCTTGAAGGGCCAGCAATTCAGCTACCTTTCAGCAAGTAAGTTATACGTTTACTGGTCCCATAGCTTTTGATGTTGCTAAAAAAAAATTCACTAGTGGTATACGCTGGTTATTTCGTCGGACAGTATCCTTGTGGCTGGCTCGTTGGTCGATTTCCTGCGCAGAAGGTTATTGGTACGGCTACCTTTATTTGGGGCATCACAGTGATTCTTATGACCCAATGTCGCACCTTCTCGAGCGCCCTGGCTCTACGTTTCATTATGGGTAGCTTCGAGGCTGCTGTGACACCCGGTCTAACAATTATGACGGGTTTCTGGTGGACGAGGCGTGAGATTCCCCTCCGCCAATGTATATGGTACTCAGCTTTAGGCTGGGGTGGGATTATTGGGTCCTATATCTCAATGGGCGTCTCGACTGTACGTATAAACCACCTTATCTTTTTCAGTTTCCGCTCATCATCCGAAAGAAGACCATTCAGTCTTCTGTCTTGCCGTGCAAACCTTTCGAGCAGAAGAATAATCGTCATAACGAACCCATAATATATTCCCATCCGTTATGGAAAACTGCCTAACAATAATGTTTTTGTAACGCAGCTTCCAGAAGACACAACCCCGGAACGGTGGCAGCTGATCTTCTATATTCTGGGTGGTGCCACCATGCTCTGGGCTTTCGTGATTTACTTCATCCTGCCAGATGCCCCATCGAATGCCAGGTTCTTCAACCACCGCGAGCGTCTGGTCGCGGTCAAGCGAGTTGCAGGCAACGAGACCGGTATCAAAAACAAGACTTTCAAAAAGGACCAGTTCGTGGTAGCGATCACGGACCCCAAGACCATCATCCTGTTTGTTTCGGTGGCGGCAGCTGCTGTTCCCAACGGGGTGGTCAGCGCATTTTCGACTGTCATTATCCGCGATATGGGCTTCTCGACTACCATGACGACAGAACTAAAGTCCGTTGGCGATGCAGTCCAGATTGTTGCGTTATTTATCGGTGGTGTCATCATTCTCAATGTGCCGAACAGTCGGCTTCTGACGTCGACAGCGGCCAATGTTCTTTGCACAGTAGCTGCGGCATGTATGGCTTATCTACCAAGATCAAATACCTGGGGAAGACTCGTGAGCTTCTGGCTTATTAACGCTCAGTCGGTTGGGTTCACAGTGTCATTGACCACGATCTCATCAAATGTAAGCTGTAAAACCAAACATCTCGTGCGCTCAGAGTTCCCCTGGTGTTGTAAGGATGCAGCCACCAATCTTCTCTTTCCGCAGTGTTATAAAACTATACCTATCATCGAGGGACTCTGAAGATTAACAAGTGTTGGGTGACTAGATGGCAGGCTACACACATAGAGCGTTTGCTAGTGCTGCAATCTTGTAAGTGGAAGCTATCCTCGCTTAGCTTCGTCTTGTGATGCCGCTGATAGTCTCTTTAGCACCGGTTATTGCTGGGGGAATTTTGCAGGCCCGTTTGTTGTGAAAGAGTCCGAGGCCCCTTATTACAGGGGCGCCACCATTGGACTGCTCGTTGGTTATGCCATAAAACTTGGCTGCCACGTGGCATTGCTAAGTAAGTCTTTTGCGATATTGGTATTTTGCAATATTGTCTCCCAACACGTTATGCCGTAGGCTCATGACTACGCTGATGCCCTTTAGTTTACATGTTTGTAAGCAATCGTAGAAGGGACCGAGTGTATGGACCTGCTAATAAGGAGCTCTCCGACGAGGCCGGTATGCGAGATAAGACCGAGTTCGAGAACAAGGATTTCCGTTATGTGTTGTAGTTCAAGTGCGCGCAAGACCCGTGGAATTTGCACGACACTGCTAAATAGATGCGGTTCTTGAGTGTAGTGCTTGGTGAACGAACGACGTGTCGTTTGACTAATCGACCGAGTCTGCGGCCTTTGGCGCACGCCAAGAGCCAGACATGGTGCATGGTGCACCAAGCGCAAAAAGGTGTTGATCTAGAGGCAAGGTACCACCGAGTCAACAATCGTCACGTTCACCACTTCATTCGTGCGTAGTAGTGTCCGAAATATATACTACACATGTTCCCCCATATAGTCACTCTACTGGGCGCGGCGACGGTCGTCAAGAGTCTCTGTCATCTGTACCTGGGATTATCACGATGCTAACAAGGATGGCTTCCTCTGGTTTGAGTTGAGACTTCTGGGGTTGTCAAATGTGGCCTAAAACTAGACCCGCGATTACAGAAAAAGATGTACTGTAGTAGTAATGGGGCCACATACCACACAGGTACTCGGGCAGCACATCAATGCATGAGCTGTTCTTATAGGGCTCAAGCAGTCTAGGCAGTGGGGTTGTTGAAATGCCATGCTCAAATATTCGGTTGACACGCCGCAGACATGGTGATGGGAAAACTTCAGTGTGTTGTTAACGATCATCGGTGCTGACCGAAGCAACAGGAGCCTACTTAGGGCTAGGCTAGGGTGGGATATTACATATTGTATGTAGTATCGCAGGGTTGAGAGCTCAAGGAAAGTGAGTTGACTTTGTCCTTTGTACTGACCTTAGGGTGTGCCCCGCGCCGGGCTTGGTTCGTCATCCAATGAGAGAATTACTTGCAAGTCAGCACCCTTGTCTGCCGTTCGGCGAACTCTCAGCTTACAGTCTAGCTTGCCCCAGTGGTGATCAGCGCTCAAGAATCTAGACGCTAGATTCGCTAGGTGAAGGGTGCCGCCCCCCGCCCCCCCGCTACGACTTTTATTAACGACGACCGACCCAGACCGGTGGGATTGCGACAGATGGGAAGGATTTTCTTTGCTCTTATCGGGGCGGCGTCGAAGGTGCGGCTGATGTTCCCCTAGTGTTCCCGTAAGAGAAGTTCTTTCAAGACTATTATATATAGATATATTTTGTCCTCCCAGTCATCAATTCCCAGGAGTTTGCCGATGTGGTTTGCTACATTTCCAGAACCATCTCTTCTCCCAATACAGCAGCACATCATTTGATGTGCTTACATTGGAAGTGATTTACGGCAAGCGACTTCAAAGTCTTTGCGCTTGCTTTCTAAAACGATAGAAAGACTTAACCAAACATTCTCAGAGCCAGTCTCTACAACTTTTTCGTGCATTCGTACGAGTTAGAGCCACGCTATAATCTCTACGCTTAAAGCGACTACAGGCAGTTTCGTGAGGAACAGTGTCGCGCAGAGCTCCCGCTTTGTTGCGCATAGCTAGCAACACGCTCGGCCTCAGACTTGGCCGGAATCCAACCCAGACGCGAAAAACGTCAGGCTATAGTCGGCTTGAGCAGGAAGAGGTAGCCGAAATGGCAGGTTCCAGCAACAACAACAAGACGGAAGGCACCGGCCCGACCGTAGAGGTCAATGGCCGTCATCCACACGCCGAGACGCCTGCTGAAGAGGCTGCCATCACTACAGCCATTCACCAGATTGAGGCCAAGAAGGTTCATTGGTATTCCTATCTGTCGACTTGGGATTTTTGGCTGGTTCTCATTATCGGTCAAGTCCTCGCTCTTTGCATTACTGGCACCAACACGTTTACCACTCTGCTGGTCATGGAGAACTGGTCCATCCCGGCTCTGCAGACGATTTTCAACTACCTCCTCTTGTCGCTCATCTACGTGCCCTTGACGCTGTATAAGCTTGGGCCGAAAAAACTGGGCAGTATCATCTTCCGCGACGGCTGGAAGTACTTCATCCTGAGCTTTTTGGACGTGCTCGGCAACTACTTCACCGTCTTGGCGTATCGATACACCAATCTGCTTTCGGCTCAGCTGCTCAACTTTTGGTCCATTGTCTGCGTGGTAATCATCTCCTTTGTCCTGCTCAAGGTCCGCTACAAGCCATTCCAGATTGCAGGGATCCTGATTGCTTGCGGAGGCATGGGTCTTTTGCTGGGCAGCGACCACATCCAGGGAACCAACGGCGGTCCCGGTGTGGACCTGCTCAAGGGCGATCTCTTCGGGCTCCTCGGCGCAACCCTGTACGGTATCTCCAACGTCTTCGAGGAGTGGTTCGTCAGCAAGCGTCCCATGTACGAGGTGCTGTCGTTCCTAGGAGTCTTTGGTGTCATCATCAACGGAGTTATTGCCGCCATCTTCGATCGCGAAAGCTTTACGGGTTCAACCTGGGACGGCAACGTTGCTGGTTATATTGTCGGGTACACGTTAGTTCTGACGATATTCTACTCGCTGGCCCCGCTCATCCTTCGTATGGGCTCCGCCGCCTTCTTCGATATCTCGTTGCTCACCGGAAACTTCTGGGGCACTGCCATTGGCATCCAGGTCTTCGGCTACACTATTTACTACCTGTATCCGATTGCGTTCGTGCTTATCGTCATTGGTCTGGTCACTTACTTCCTGGCCGGTAGCATGCTTGGTGACTCCAAGAAGCCGTGGTTGGGAGAGAATCAGGAAGACGGTGTCGCGGGGTTCGGAACAGCTAAGCTCAAGGCTCTCAATCTGGCAAGGAAGCAGGGTTTTGCTGCTTCGGAAAGTGATAGAGTGTAATTGGCTAAATCGTTTCCTTTTACACTTTGAAACCTAGTCCAGGACGTTTTATGAAGGTTTCTATAGCCACACTTGAAGGATCGGGGTATGATCCATGGTTGTTCGTTTTAATACTTGTTTTGGATTCAGTGATACCAGCTCCTTTCATGATTAGCTAATTATCAACTACAACTCGATTTCTCTACTTGGCCGCTTTGTCACGCCGGGTGTATCCTCTTTTTTACTATATATAGTTTTACATGTATATGTTCTAACAGAACTTGAGCACTAGAAGTTGACTCCAGTATACGCACTTTGTACACTTCCAAAACCCTGGGGACACTGCCGACCCAATGCCACCGATCCGCTGCGAATATAACACACCTTGGCATTTGCACAAGCCTCGCTCGTGCAATTGGGGCTCCGGATACTGCTCTTGCCCTGAAACCCATTAAACACACTGACGAGTGTCCGGTTCGTCTCCATGGCCTCGGTGACCTTGTGCCAGAAAGTAGCGTTCAGTGGCGCATCCTCGGGCCACTCGGCTCCCGGTCCATACGCAGCACGAGTACTATACTCGAGCTGGAACGTCGGGCCGGTCGCGTCCGTGTCGATGGTAGAAAACGAGGACACGTCCGAGTAGAACGTATAAGCGTCATAGATCTCCCAGCTACCGGTGTCTACTTCATACATCCTGTACCCAGAATTCAGATTCGTCAAGGGCGTAAGGCTGGGCCCGACCCAGGCATTTGCGATAGCCGTCTCAGCCGAGGCGTTCGTGGCATTATTGCTATAGTAAATGAACGTCTGATCCTCGTGTGTATGGCCGAAGAACACGTTAGCGATCACGTGGGGCGAGTACCGCTCAATGATCTGGTAAAACATCTCGGATCCGTTTGGAAGCGGGTTCGAGCCGTCCCAGCCTGAGAGGATGTGTCCGACAATCCAAACACGTTGCCCCGCGTCCTCGGCCTTCTGCAGCTCAGAGATCAGGAACGAGAACATGCCGCTAAAGTTCGGGTTTGAAGCGTGGAGGAGCGCGAAGTGGTTGTTGCGGTAGTACAAGTCAGTGTTGAGCGTGATGATGCGCAGACCGAGGGGATGCACTACGGAATAGCCGCCGTAGTGCGTCGCGGCGTCTGCTGCGGTGGCATTGTCAATCCAGCCAAAGTATGACCATAGTGAGGAGACGTGATCGTAGTTCCAGGAAAGCTGATTACCTAGAGGTCCATTGTCGTCGATTCCGTGCGGCACGTCTAGGTTATCTGGGTTTGTGTCGTGATTCTATGACGAATCATTAGCTCCATGGAGTTCTTGACACAAACTATTTGAAGAGCATACTCCTAGCGCGGCGTAAACAGGACCGCCAATGTATGACTTGAGCATGTGCCAAACCGACAGCTCAATGTTCTCTACCGAAAGGAATTCCCAATTAGTCAGCGTTCTTAGGCCAGACGGGAAACCTGCTCAGGGCTCGGTCCTGTTCGGGATCACTGATCTCACTTCTTGAGAGGTCTGAGACAAACGCCTCTCGACTAATGTTTCCTCGAAAGGAAATGGAAAAGTCAGAATGCTGGGGGCGGGGGTTGTTTCAAATCTTTTTCCAACGTACCTACATAGTCCCGCGAACGTTGCCATTGGGGATCATGTGCAACCAGGTCGCCAGTATAGAGAGCGAACGCGGCCGGATTATTTTGCGATGTGCCAGTCAACGGACCTATTGATTGCAATGCAGCCAATGCAAGGTAGTACGGCGAGTCGCATTTGAAATAGCCATAGATCGGTGCAGGCATCTGGATCGCAGAAACACTCCCATTTGCCAAAGGTGCAGCATGGCGACAGCACATGCTGGAGGTACAATTTCCCTCTGACCCGGGTTCGTACCGAGGATCAAGGTGCAAATCCGACAGATGAAGCACTTTTACTCTCGTTCCGCTGGCTTTGGGTCTGCATGTATTGGCTGGCTTGGGCTTTGGGAATACAACATTAAAGGTGGTTGTTACGTTGGGGGACGAGCAAAACGAGCCTAGATAGGCACATATGTATTGACCGTCTAAGCCGGTGACCTCAGCTTCGGAGAGGATCTGTGTCCAAGTTGCCCCAAAGCTTCCAGCCTCATATGTCGACTGACATGTCGAGTTGGAAGCAAATCCAGTCGTCTTACATAGTGAGATCATGGCATCTGGGAGGTAGCTTGGCGCCAATCTGGCAGCCATCTGGGCAACAGACAGAGCGGCCACACATCTTGAGCAGTTTGAAGTTAGCCCTGAATGATTCGCCTTCACGATCGTTAGAATCTCTTCCGAAGCTGCTGCGATCACCGCCTCGGAGCTAGCCTCCGATAAATTAGCTAGAGCCTGAGGGTAGTAGACTGGATCAATGTCATGGCTTGGGATTGCTATGGGATCGGTGACGTTCAACGGAAATGTCTTGTTGAGTATAGGGTCATATAACGCAGGTTGTGGCTCTGATGTTGGTCCCGGCTTGACTAATGCATATTATTAACTTTCTGCAGTGGTCCTACTCTACCTTTTACACTTACTATAATAGCTTGTGAATACCGAAGTAGGAAATGCCGCGGGCACAGTATACGAGGCTGCACCGGGGATTGAACTAGTCAGATCGCCAAGCACGATCTGGCTAGCCGCCATGATGAGACCCAATGAGGATCGCATCGTACATGTAATGTTCCCAGCGTGTTATCCTGACGGCACAATATAATTGTCAAGCCCGGCGAACAAACCGTGAACTGTAAGTGATGTAGGAATAGAGGTCGAGTGTTTTATAGCCATGGACCGCTGCCCCAAAGCACCGTTACCTCGCTCATTTCTTTTTACACCGATAGCCTAATGCAACGAGGTTGGGAGTTTAAGCGACCATCGCTCTCGGACAGGATGCCCTTCACTCGCGTGCGCTCTTGCGGTGTTACCCCGCGGCTCGAGGCATAATTCGGGAGTACAGGTCTCGCCATGTTCAGCTGGAAAGCCGGTTCCAGTCGTCTGGAATAGCATTTTCTCTGTCCAACGTGCTGTAGTGCTGCCAAGCGATTGGCGGACAGCGGCAAGCAGTGGTGGGGTCTGCATTAGCTCCAATGGTCCACCACAGAACCCTGACTACCTGCGGCATGATCTCATGTACTTCTATGATGTCTATTAGGTCTCACAGTTGCCCTTATGCGAAGTGGTGTACGGTCGGGTCTCGGTTCGTATATCCATCTTGTGATGATGAATGAATAGATGAATGCGCTTTCCTCTGCACCCAAGCTACTGGGTCATATCGTTCGGTTCAAGTCCAGTTCATCCCAAAACAGTGAGTTGTAACACCGTCGTAAATGCGTTATATTGTCAAATCTGTCAAGACATGGCACACGTGCAACAATGTCCCAGCCACTCGGGAATGCGACATCTTTTATATCCATTCGGACAACGTGTCTGATTCTCCGTCGGCATTGGCTCTTCTCAGGCCTATTCGTTCGTAGTGTTCATCGCTGAGGTTCTTGTCCTCTTTTGTGATGAGGGTCTTCTCCTCGATGCTTTGGAACGATAGATCCCCAGCTCGAAACTTTTCTGTTATCTGTCTACTTCCCTGAACGGGTAAACCTTCATTGCTTTGATAGCGAAGATCGATTCCGTTATCTGGCGTTCGCGACTGAAATTCGTTGTCATCCGGCCATAATATCCGAACAGCTTCCTCCCGCGTCATCTTTTCGCCGGGTGATCCATAGCCGGCCTCAATCACCTCGACCAGGCTGTCGCTCTCAAAATCGTTCTGATAATGTTCCAAGTCGCTGTCCTCCTCGAAAACAGAGCGAGGTTCTGGAGTGCGGTTGCTTCCATCAGATGCTATATTGATAGACTCCAGTCCTTTCTCGATGTCAGCAAGCCCTAGGGGCTCCCCACACGTTTCTAGATCTTCCTTCGCGCTGGGCGGGTTCATTTCTAGTCTTGCTTCTTTCTTGCTGCCCGCCCCGTGGATTGCCCATCTCTCAGGGGCCTTAGCTTTACCAATAAGGTTTCGTAGGAGAAGTAATTCATTGTTCTTAAAGGACTGGAAAAATGCCTTGTTTACCAGAGCGGCATTGTACACATCGTTGAGGTCGTCTAGATGGCGCATGACCCTCAGAATCACGTCGTCTGTTGTCCTCTTTGCTACACTAGAATCTGGTGTTGGAACGCCTACCTTCAAAACAGGCTGTGGTGTCATTGACTTGTGTCTACTCAAGGCCCAACCGTGCTTTCCCGACACGTCAAATAGCGTCAGCCCCGACAGACTGTTATATATGTCATTGATGGCTGCTCTAAACGCTGGAGCAAAGTCGCAAGGGCCAGTATGGGTTTGAGGTGGGCTTGCCATGAAACGTAAACTTCCGAGAAGCTGATCCAAACTTCGCCTTGGTGGCGGTGGACGGCGGCTAAGGACAGTAGTGTACATGATCTGGGGCAAGACCTGCAGCTCGCTGAAAAGCATCATAAGCCACCCCAGACAAGCCGCATCGCATGAATGACTCCCTCTCACGCAGCGAGGCTTCACAGTCGGAGCAAGGCCGTTCACGTGGATATTTCCCTTCGTCAGAGGCATAGCAGGTGGGCACCTTAAATACTCTTGGAGCATACTCTGACAACAATGATGAACCTGGCCGAATTTGGCATTGCGTACGGCCCAAACTTTGTCTTTAAGCCGTCTGGGCCATGTTCTGGACTCAAGATCCTCCTGGTCAACAATATTAAGAATTGCCGTTTTGGACATGCGTGTGAAGAGCGTTCTCATTCCAAAGGCATAGCTTATTAAAAGTAGTCCATTAGGCATGTCCTCGTTTGCTTTGTGTAACCACTGTGGAAGCCAGAGATACTCAACAGTCAGCTCCAAAGGTGCAGTGCATTTATAACGCATGCATACTTCTGCAATAGCGACAAAAGTGTCGAAGTCGATCTCCTTGGGAACCTTATCATTGTGCATGTGTGCCGCATGTAGAAGGATCTCGAGGGACTTCCCAGTGTTCAGCTCAAGCTGTGGCATTCTATACACCTGCACCTCAGCTCCATCTTGAAACGTGTAGGTTGAAGGTGGAGGAGGTAGGTTGTTTTGTTCGTCTCCCTCCGAGGAAGTCAGCATGGCCGAGTTTCCAAACATATGTGCAAATATGGGCGAGGCTTCAGCCAGCATATGAGAGGACACCCTGAAACGAAGCACCGGAAAGACCTCTGACTCCTTGTTTGCAAATTCCAGAATAGCATCGCCACGATGTGAGACAGAAATCTCCTCGATGTCCCTCTCTGGCGAGATGCCAGACTCACCATCATGCAGTAGACATTTCACCTCGATGAGATCAGCCTTTAGTTGATCAAAACAGTGAAACCTTGTCTCAAATGTCTTGAAGTTGTCCCATCTGGCACTTTTGCTCGCATTCCGTAGCCGTAAGATAACATTCCTTCGAAACGTTGTGTTCTGAAAAAGCTGCTCAATCATGGCAGGACTAGCGTCAGGCTCCCAACTCTTATATGTATCCAGCAATGGAATGCGCAGCGCGGCCGAAAGGATTTCTAGGCAGCCGATCCAGCCTTGAATCATGTCCAGGTGTTGCTCGTAGATATTTGGCGGTGGATAGCCATCGCTGGGCGAAATCGAGCTAAAGGATGCTCTCGGCACGGAGCCAAGGCGAGAGGAGCCAGGTTGAATGTTCGAAGCAGCACCTTTGTCGAGATCGGCCAGTGAGCTGGAGCCGGATGATTTCTGGTCGTGCAATGTTTGTCTCAGAAGGGCTTTACATAGTTGTCCCGCTTGTACTCTGGTTCGATTGTATTCTTTGCAGGCGGTATCTATGTAATTTTTGTCGATGGGGACAGCTCTTAGCCTCTGGACGCATTCAGACAGTTGCCGAGAGTTTGATTCGTATACTGTTTGTGGTACGTTGTCGAGCGAGAGCATATCCAAGGACGCCTCTAGGGTCAGGTCTGGCTTATGGACAAGAGCTACCTGGGCCACAGCGTGTGGGCATCAGCATTAAACTTGCGCAGAGAGTCGTGACATGGCGACAGGAAGACGGGCTAGCAGGCACACGACAAAAAGACAAAGGGACTGACTGAGGAACTCTCTCCGCTACCTCTACTGTTCATGGCAGCGTTGGGCGTTCCGCTCGCCCAAGTTTGCTTCCTCGGAGTACTTGAACTTTCGGCTGAGGGTTCAAGATTTCGAGCATGTAGACTTATGCTTGTACTGGTGCTCGAGGTTGAGCCGCCGTATGGAGAGTAGCCGGTCATATCGGCCTGTCATGCCTACAGTATTGCATTGTCGTCTCAGGGTCACGGACCGACGAGGAGGGGTTCGCAGACAAGACACGAGACCTCGGTGGTATCTATTTTGCGATACGCTCAGGTAAGTCTCGGGGTACAGCAGAGAAGGCGCAAGATCGGGATCAGGATCAGATCAGGCAGCCATGTTCAGAAACCAGGACACAGTAATGGCAGAGGGATAATGCGATTGGGAGTAATACGTCTGCCTTGGGGCATGCAAGACCTCGAAAGGCAGGAAACAAAACAAGAGGGGATTCGCAATGCAACACCGATAGCAAGGGCTGTTTCGTTCGAATGGCAGATTGGTGAGGATCAGATTGGCAGGGACCAACCTGTCCAGGCCCTGTGTAACTAATCCGTAGTGGTGGGCAGGTAGGGGCTTGTGCCGTAGTGGGGGGTTCGAGAGGCTCCAGCTACCACCTGAACTAGATTAACCTTAGGTTAGAAGTCGACTCATTACTTATTACGGTAGCGCAGCACCATGCGAAGACAAAGACGCTCGCTCGCTCGCACAGCCACCGAGAGACACTAGCCTTCGGACCACTTGAGTAAGGTCGACATGAAACATCAAACGTCAGTATCGTAAAGCTGTTTCTACATAGACTGCATAGATCATTGATGACACATGGTCCAACAATCTTGGGGAAGCCTCCAAACTAGTCTAAGGTTGCTTGATGGCAGTCACACTTGGCAGTTGGTATTATATGGCGACTTCTCTACCACTGGACATATTCGAACAACTGTTTGCCAACCTGGTGAACAATACCCATACAACCATCCCTATCCAAACTGAGTTCCCTAGACTAGCATCAGAATTACCTATCTGCAGGAAGCGGAAGGACACTGCGAAAGCTCTTCATTTGCATTTCACAGTCCTGTAGAGACAGCGTGTAGGGCCTGGTCGGCATAGACTCTACAGCCATGAGAGAGCAAACAGCAGAAAACAGTGACGCCGCCGACGCTAAGCTCCGAAGATCACATCGTAAGTCCAGGAATGGATGTCGGTAAGTTAGCTATTGCAGTCGCGTCCTTCACAACTAATGTGGTTCCAGTAATTGTAAGCGACGTAAAGTTAAGGTGGGCTGCATATCAGAAGCTTCAATGTCACAAGCTGGGGCTGATCTATCTTCAAGTGTGATGAGCTTAAGCCAGAGTGCACAAATTGCGTCCGCTTTGGTATGCCGTGCGACTTCACCGGCCTTGCCAATCCTAGCTCTTCGGCCACTTCGACAACTAGCCATCATATCGTATCACAGGATCGTGCTATTCCAATTCGAAAGAGAGGCCGTGGCCGACCACGAAGAGATTGGTCACAAGATGCGGAACCTAATACTCCAGCACCAGCAGCGCGTCCTCCGAGTCCAAAGCAGACCCAAGAATCCATCTACGATCCATACACGTTGAACATTGCCAATGTTGAGCTATTGGTACACTTCACTGCCGTCACTGCGAGCACTCTATCAGGCGCACCTTCACGCTACGACAAAATGTCGAGTTTCTGGGCGGACAACGCTCCTCGGATTGGTTTGACGCACCACTATGTACTCCATCTAGCATTCTCCCTAGCATCTTACCACCGGGTATACCTGCAAGACTTCAACAGCGGTCAGCTATCCGAATATGTTCAGCAGGCTGACCACTATTTCCGAATCGGCCTCACTGCCTTCACAGCAGCTCTGACGAACGCGAACAAAACCAATTGCGGTGCGCTCGATATTTCTGCGCAGTTAGTGTGCTTCTGCACTTTTGCTGCGGGGCCAAAGGATCTCAACGACCTCTTGATCTGCAGAGTCGACGACGAAATTGCGCATAATTGGGGCCCTCTAATCAAGGGTCTTCGTCTAATCCGTGAGATGTTCGACCCGAGTACCCTCTTCTCAGGGCTAATGGCACCTCTTGGTCCCTCAGATGGTCCCCCACCGCCCCACGACCAGCGTGCAGAATGTGCTCGGGAGAATTTTCCTCGTCTTGACTGGGAACCACCAGTGAAAGACCTGTCCAATCTCGTCGACGAGAGCGCAAGCCAACACCGCGAGGTCTACCGCGTGGAGTTAAGGAATCTTACCGCAATCTATCGTGGCACTTATGGCGACACGAGCTCTGAGTATGACGGTCTAGACACTGACCGGATGGTTTTCGGCTGGTTGTATCGTATGAACGACGCTTTTGTTAATTGCGTTCGCTTGAAAGAGCCGGTGGCCTTGATTATACATGCCTACTTCGCGGTTTTGTTGAAAACCATGTCGAAATGCTGGTATATAGAAGGCTGGTGCGAGCATCTCTTGGCCAGTGTCACCAGAATGATTCCCGGTTCATATAAAAAGTGGCTAGATTGGCCGAGGATGCAGGTTGGCATGCCACGTTGAAGGATGCGACCCCGATTCAAGGATTCAGTCTAGCACATGTGAATATCAACCTCGTTTAGTGTAACAAAATTTTGCGTCTATGTTGTGTTGATATTTTCAATGCTTGTGAATATGGCAAAATCAGGATACTTCTAAGAAGTTCTTCTACGTCAAAGTCGTCCAGGCAGGCTTTATACACAGTTAAGAGCTACACTTTTATGAATATGCTATTTGATCTCTCATTTCGGCTGAGCATGTTCTCATGATCATTGCCAAATTCTGCACCATAGGTTGACTATATGCACCGCTACTTAACCCCGAGACCCTAAAGGTATATGTTCATCTCGTCCTCCAGGCTCTTTCCCTGACCGACGCGCATCGCGGATCAGTCTTCCCGGGTGTATTATGAGAAACAGCAACATCACGGACCACATGAGAAATGCGTCGAAGACATAAATGAATACCTCGTGTGAGATGACGAACCCATCTTCGCCCTGTAGGTACTCAACGGCACGAACCACGCTTCGAACGATGGTCAACACTATTACCACCTCTGCCGCCCAGAAGTGAACTGCCCAGTTGACCGAAGGGAGCGACAGCACAACGTTCGGAGGGTGCTGCCGGATACCCCTGTGAACAATCACGCATTGCATGATGAAGAAGGATAATGCCACAAGTTGAGCGATCAAACCACCAAGGATGACCTTTTTGCTCAATTCGATGGCGCTCGGGTCTCCCGAGGCCGGTATGGTCGACCCGATGAGCTGCGTCGCCACAGCACCAATGTCGATGAGCACGTAGAGCTTCGTAAGCCACCGGGGGCTGATGAGGGTGAACCGGCGAGCGTCCAAGGCCATTATTACGCGCCCCACGCTCATATAGATTGTTGCCGCCAGCATTGGGGCGCCGGCAAGGATCAAGAGGTTCTGCATTATCCACGGCCCGACTATGTCGGGTGTGTCTGAGCCGAGCGCGCGTCCGTAGTACCCGAACATTTCAGCTTGCATACGGAACAAACTAGTTAGCCAAACCCTGCGGGGGCAGGTATAACGGCCGGAATTGGCTTACCGATACCTCCCATTAGGAAAGGGATAAAATACCAAGCCCTCAACCGGAATAAGTAGATGAGATGTCCGAGTGTAGCCAAAGCAAACAATGCCATGAACGCGAAACCAGCCGGCTTGCTGGGGCGGTACTCATAAAATACCACCACCATAGTCCCGTTGATTACGGGACCGAAAGGCCCTTCGTCGCTCATTTTGGTGGCTGGGAGATGTAAGTTGTGATGGCCTGCTAATACAAAAATGGGAGAACAAACTAAGCAAAACGAACGACGCTTTCTTAATCCTAAAGATAAAAAAATTATGTATCGTCTTGAAATGAATGATCTATCTCTCAACACCGTGACCATCTTAAATACTGGCCTCTTGAATGAATCCAGAGCACTGCCTTCCTCTTTTAAAACCCATCATGCTGTGTTAGTCGCAGGTTCATGGTGGATACCCGACATTTTTCGCATACCATAGTGTCGGAATACGAAAAATCGACCAATTGCTAGTTGCCGTCAGAAATGCAGGGGCCCAAATAGGAGATCACCGCCAGTGGCCGGCGTCGCAACTTAGGGACCCTTTCCTTGATCGGCGAGGTCTCAGACGGCTCGCATAACGCTTTATGTGCTGGTCAGGAGCTCAATTGTCGTCCATTTTATCTTTCGGAAACCCTATCTCAGGGACCCGAACACGATTGATATCTAATATGTGGGTCGATGGTTGTTTTGACTCAACGCGTTTCGTTGCTCGTATTTTTGAAATGGGATTGTTGCCTGTCTTATAGTCATGTTACCCATGTCTTGAGCTAATGGTGTAAGCCACATCTTTCAACGCCGATAATGCCGTAGATTATGGTGTGGACGTGTAGACGTTCGTCTTGCTCAGATTATTTCATAGAGCTAGAAATCGTGATTGCACGATTCGTCATGGATGATCTGTTTTGTCAACAGCAAAAGGCATGGGGATAGTTTGCAGTCTCTGAACTTCGCCAGGTAGTCTCTCAAAAATCAAAAAGTTTCTGGTAATTGTAGCTTGGATGGATTCCCTCGACGATTACTCCAATGATGAATCTACGAAAATATTCATGGCGTACTTCGACGGTTGAATATCTTATTACTTTTATAATTTTGTAATAAATCATATAGACATGGCTAAATGGCTGCTTTTGGTCTTTGTATACTATCTTGGTAGGCGACTTGTTTTAAATATGATCGAGTCTTATTTATGACTTGAAAGCTTACGGTTGGGCTTCGAAGTAAGCCGTTCTATATTCCCCGCGTATATGTAGGTATTAATCCAGTACACGGAGACTTTTGCTCAAATAGCGTGAGCCTATGTTATATTAATATAGATCCGAAACGTATATGGGATGGAATCTGGCTACTGGTAGTAACCGGTTGCTGCATTTTCGATTTCGATTTCGCGCGCATCCCAATCATCAAACTACCCAATTGCCATCCACCTCTATATCGGCTATAAGGTCTGTTTGACGTGTGAGACGATAGTATTGGTAGGAATAACGTTCTGTAAGTCTGAACGTTTGGTTAGTGCTCACGGCAATGCAGAGCAGATTATGTGCGGCAGCGTCTTAGCAGTCAATATGAATCTTATCGCAGCCTTGACTTCATAAGCTTCTTTCCGTTCAATTTGTTTTCCCATTCCTAACCGTAAACTTTCTAATCGCCATAGCTTTTGAGGATAGGATTTCGTGCAAAATGCCTCCCCCGCAATCGGAATTAATTACTAGGAGGTACCTAAAGCCGAGAGGGGAGCTTAGTGATGCAACAACTGCGTGGACCTTGGATGACGTAAAAACTCAAAGTCTTTTCACATAAATTGGCAGCATTTCAACATAACGGGTGAATGTCGATTGGAGATTGATACCGTGAAGCCTGGTGATACATGAAAAATCTCTCTTGACAACATTACCACCGCTATACCAGGAGGATTGTGAGCATTCGAGTACAGTGAATAACCCCACTCTTAGCTTGTCGAAAAACCATGCCTCAACTTGCTGGTAAGGAGGTAGGCTCCATTGGCTTCGGCCTCATGGGCTTGACTTGGCGTCCCAAGCCATGCCCTCAGGAACAGGCCTTTGAGACTATGCGCACGGCACTTAAGAATGGAAGTAAGTGGACGGGGAGGGGGCGAGGGGGCGAAGGGGGGCGGATTGTCTCTCTCATGAAAACGCCCAATACCATTCCCCATCATTCCTCCTACGTTGCTGACCTATTTTACTTTAGATAACTTCTGGAATGGTGGCGAGTTCTATGGTCCACCCGAATACAACAGTCTAGTACTTTTAGAGCGATACTTTGAGAAATACCCTGGAGATGCCGACAAGGTAGTTCTTAGCATCAAGGGTGGCAGTAAGCAACTTCCGAAGTGATTCCACCCTTCTAGCATGTATATGGAAATATATTACCTCTCCAGAGGTAGTCGAGCTTTCTACGACTATCTCACAATATTGCTGAACTTCCTTCCGCCATGTCATAAGAGAAATTACCTACTGACTCCGCGTAGTGAACCCCAAGACTCATAAGCCGGATGGTTCGCCTGAGAACACGCGGCGGACCATCGATGATTGTATGGCACAACTCAAAGGCCGTAAGAAGATCGACCTGTTCGAGTTTGCCCGCCGGGATCAAAATGTGCCCATGGAGGAGACTTTTCGTATCATCAATGACGAATACGTGAAAACCGGAAAGATCGGAGGCATTTCTCTTTCGGAGGTGCGAGTCGAGACGATTCATGAGGCTGTGAAGCACACTAAGGTCGAGGCTGTAGAAATCGAGCTCTCGCTGTAAGTTGGTCAAGCTTCGACTCGTAATGCACAACAGGGTCATTATCCCGAGCTCGTGCTAACTTTGTAACAGCTTTTCTACCGAGGTTCTGGACAACGGTGTTGCGGCAGCTTGCGCCAAGTACGGAATCCCTATGATCGCCTATTCGCCGATTGGCAGAGGCATGTTGACGGGTCAGATCAAGAAGCCCGAAGATATCCCGGAAGACTTCATGACCCGCCAATTCCCGCGATTTAAGCCGGGCAACTTCGAGATCAACGTTCAACTGGTTCATCAGGTCGAAGACATGGCTAAGAAGAAGGGCTGTACCCCAGCTCAGCTCGCTATCAACTGGACAAGAGCGCTATCAAGCCGTCCTGGCATGCCGACCATTATCCCCATCCCAGGTGCTACGACAGCAGCACGGGTGGATGAAAATAGCAAGGAGATTGAAATCACAGATGAGGAGCTGGCCCAGATTGATGCTACCCTGGCCAAGTTTACGACAGCTGGCGAGCGGTATCCCCCCGAGATTCCTATCAACACCTAAAGTGGTAGAATTTTGATTCTAGTGCATATAAGAAATATTGCTGCATATAATAAAAAACCCAATGTTGAATATAGGATAGCTGCCGATGCTGTATTTTGATCAAGCGCGAAATTATTACAGGTGTCAGTCTTTCCGCGACTTCTTGCCACAGCCTCTCCGTACGGAGGCAATACTAAAAGATTGAAGAGCAGCCAAATGGCCGAACAATTGTGTTATTTTGTCAGTTCAAAGTCCAGACATGTCCTCCCTCAGCTGTAATACTCGCTGTTTCCACTGCCACCACCCTGACATCCGCTAGTACAGTATATCTGGAAAGGCATGTTGTCATTCCCGAAACACACGTAGAAGTCATGGACATGGCCCTGAGTTGGCCCGCTACTTGGTATCTCGAAGGGCCTGGATGTTACCGTTGTAATAACTTTCTAGGAGAAAAAGGATCAATTAGTAATAATTCGGTCTTCGCCCATGGAGATATTTATATAATTCGTGGGCCCACCCTTGTGGGGGAGCAGAGCCCACGTCCACAAATCTACTCTACAAGTCAACCTACAACGTTCTAAAACAAGTTGCCGCCGAGCTGTCATCCAGCCTTGCGCAACTTACTTCAGGTACGCACAATTGTGATAGCATTGGGACCGGAGGTTGCAGTACAAATATACACCGCTGCTCTTTGACGTCTTCAAGCTAATGTTAGGATCAGCCGCTCCCATATGTGGGTCTGAGAAATCAATCATCCCACACATTCCATTAAATGATGAGCGAACACAACGGATCGAGACGTTTGACTGATGTACCGGAGTTGTCATCTTTTCATCCCTATTTTTCAGTGTCATATGCTAGATGCCAAATTGCCCATGCTCGCGAAGTCGTGAAGGCCCTCCTGATCCCTGAAATGCTCAAGCAAAACAACAGTACAGTACTCCACCCTATTACCACATCGAGTGATCCCCTCCTTCAATTTTGGTTCATTACCACCATCAAGCATTGTTCCATGGGAATACTGCAACACGAATGACAAGAACTCCCCTTTCTGCAATTGTAGTGCAAGTAAATGCGCGACTCCATGCCGGGTACCCAAGCACAACGGCACAAAACATCGAGGAACCACCGAATGCCAAACCAACCATTCCCTTTCCGTTCCAAAAAGAAGAAAGAAAAGAAAAGAAGAAGAAAAAAGCAACCACAACCCCTTTTACCACGAACCCCTTTGTACGAACTCCCCAGTTTTATTCGGAAAACAAAATCGTATATCTTGATGGATTTGAAGGTGTGAGAGACACATGACATCTGGGAGAAATGGTTGTGGACCGAAAGCAAAAACTCCGAAGACACTTTCACCTGTGGTCGTATGTTGCGTCGCCCAGCCCATCTTTCCGTTGTTCACAAAGGCCAAAAACACCGTGTGCTGATGCTGGAATCGCTCAAGCTGTGCCCCTAGGAAACCGACAGACCCTTTTAACACCGTGATTTTTGCTGTTAGCATTTACTCTTTATCCTCGTCTGCGTCCTCAACGTACGCACCCATCTGCGTCGAATTACTAGCGCGTCGTGGTGAATCCTAACCCCAAACGCTTGCCTGAACTCCCAAACCAGATGATTGTTTGCCCCAAACACTCCCTGACCGACCGCTCCAGCCATTATAGCCGTCGGGAGCGGCACTAGACGGGTTGGATGGGCCGCCCGAAGCCGAGCCGTTCTGGCCATTCTCGTTACCAGAAGCGCTGAAACCTTGACTCAAAGGGGACGGGAGTGGCGTGGTGGAACGCTTGTTCAGAGCAGGATTCTGAGCCTGGGAAACCGACGGGCGGGTTCCTATGGGTGCCACTGTGTTGCCAGCCTGTCCGAGAACGCCTTGACGAGGAGGTGATCCGCCCGGGGAAGAGTTGCTTGTCCGGTTGGCTTGGTGCATCGTGTTGTCAAACGGCCCTCTGCTATTGGAAGGATTCGATTGGGGGCTGGCATTGCGCGAACCAGGGCCCTCGCCGGCAGCAACGCCTTCGGGAGCACGTCGGCTATAGTCGTAAGCCAGTGGCGAAGGGCCGCGGTGACTAGAGGGTCCAGTTGATAGTCCTGGGGCACCTGGTCGCACGGTACCTGTCTCGTCCACATAGCCCCCGTTCTCACCAAAAGAGCCCTCTCCGTAGAGTGCGCTTCGCTGACGCGCAATCAAGTCTCGACGTTCGTCTTCAGACAGGTTATTGTTATTGTTATTGTTGTTGCTGTTGCTGTTGCTGTTGCTGTTGTTGTTGGGGTTGTTGTTGGGGTTGCTGTTGGGACTGATGGTGCGCTCTGCGGGCTTACCGGGGTAGGGTATCTCAGCAAGGACAGCTAGAATAAGCAACGGTTAGCTGAAAGTTGCGTGGAGATTCGAGCAAAGGCGGAAGAACAGGAGATGCGCAAGATGAGATGGCACGGATTTCAACGAAAGTCTTGCCCGACGTGAAAGTGAGGCCATCTTGTCAAGGTTTGGGCGGGTCTTCAGAATAGAGTAGAGTAGAGTAGAATAGAGTAGAGGGTCTTAGGGCAGGTAGGTGGATATAGGTAGGTAGAGCAGGTAAAAATGAATGAATGATGCTATACAACAGAGGGCGGCCTACTTCTATTGTATTGCTGCTCCTGATGGTAGTTTCGCAGCTCTCGCTCTCGCTGGGCTGCCATTCTCCGTTTTGCCTGCATCATCTGTTCCGCCTCGTTGGATCCGCGCGAGGACTGGTGTCGTTGAGAGGCGTAGAAGTTCTGCAAGCCGGGGCCGTGGCCATGGCCGTGGTTGTGACTCTGACCCTGACTTTGACCCTGACCCTGCCCATGACCCTGACCATGGCTTGAGCGGTCGCTCCGCGCATCACCGCCGTACTGCGAGCCAGTTCCCGAGGATCCTCGGCCGTCTGCATACCCGTTAGCCAAGCCTGACCTCCCTTTCCCCCTCCTTTTCATCTCTTCCGTATAGAATTTTAATACAGCCGGCCGCCGCGCCCTCCACCTCCACCCCCACGTCGTCCCATCGAAGGGGTCGCTCGTCGGTGCTCGTGGTGTCGCTGCTGCGGCTGCGAGTGCATGGGGACAAACTCACGACGCGGTCCATTGCCACCAAACATCTTTCCGCTCTTGACGAGGTTGTCTATTGCACGTTCGACCTCTGTAGTGATTGCTTGTCAGCTGTTTGCCCTTGTTTACTCCCGCTCGTGGTCAATTCGTTTCGCATTTGCAGCGTGGGGGGAATCAGGTTGCAAACGTACCCTCCAATTGTTGAGAGAAAGCGGTGGGCTCTTCGCGCTCGCGGGGATGCACCGAGCTTGCGCCTGTAATTTTCTCGTATTAGCCAAGCTCTCCAGCATACCACGACAAGGCAAGACAAGACAAGACAATGTGTAGTCTACTCTTGTATCTGGGTAACTCACCAGAGCGCGCTGGGGGAGGGGTCTGGTGGTCCCAGCTGGGCTGACCAGCACCAACACCAACGCCAGAACCAGCACCAGCTCCCCATTGCGACTCGCCATAGTACTGTGACATGATGGAAATGTTCCCGCTTTTCTAGCCGTAGAGATTGTTGCAAAGTACGACAAGACCAGGAGTCGGAATCGGATAGCGGCAGTCGCTACTAACTGAGATCAAATGACCGAGTGTATAGTGAGCAATCAATGAATCGTATCGTGAGCCGTCGTAAACTTCGTTTGCCGCCCACCAGGAAATCTCGTCGTTGCGAATGACCGTTGTGGTGATCTTCAGAAAAACAATTAAGGTTAGCGTTGCCGTGTCGGATTTGAAAGCCAGATTCGGGAACAGAATCAGAACCAGAACCAGAACCAGCACCAGAAACAAAAGCAGAATCGGGATCAGGATCGGGATCAAAACCAGGAAATCTGCGGTGCCAATGCCAGAGTCATGAATCTTGAGAATGTGGGTAGGTGACGAAAAAGCGGCGCGCTCGCTCAATCTCAATGCAACATTCCACCGTCATACTGCCAACCAACCATCCAGCCGAGAAGGAAAGAAAGGAAAGAAAGGAAAGAAAAAAAAGATTACATCAAATGACCCCGATAAGGACTGTGCCCATGGAAGCACTTCCATTCAGAGTACGTGACGTAGACGTGAGAGTGAGACAAAACACCAGGAAAAGGCTGGTATCATGATGCAGAAGCCATATTCCTCTCGTCTTGTATGTCTCTTGTGTTTCTGCAGAGAAAGGGAACTGCCCATTGTCTGGGTCGTTCCCACATGCTGACTGTCATGTCTCGCAGAAAGCGCGCACGCGGATAATTTTTGGGGCTGGCAGGCCGGGATCATTTTCCACTTCCAGCCGTTTGGCGCTCAAGGGTAATTGTAACTGCTTCTCCCGCCCATGGTAACTTACCAAACAGATTCAATCCCACGCAATTAGATCTGAAATCGTTTCAGAACTACGTCACGTCCTCGTTTGTTGGTGTTGCTGCAACGAGCAAGCCGTCGAAGAAGGAAAAGAAAGGAGGGATGGGAAGCCGGCACACAACAAAGGCACGCACGCGCACACACACATATACACACACTCTTGGGAGCTGGGCTTGTCTTGTAAACGGCTACGGTAGGTTGGACGGACCGTGAGTCGAGGGTGTCGTGTCTTATTGCTGACAAGTGCGGTAGAAAAAGGGAGGCAACTACGGGGAAACGGGAAAAGGAGAGGGAGGAAAGCGCCAGAATTTGGAAAAAGCCCAGAGGAAATATCCCGACGAGGGGCCCAGTCGATTCATACAAGTGCGCGAGCAAAGCCTTGCCAGCCCTGGGCCGGAACTGGACTTGAATTCTATGTAGATCGATTACCTTACCTACTCGGTACAATATCAAATCAAATTGGCCAATCCACCACCAAAATTGGTTATGGGTGGGTTGTTTGGCTTGTCGCAAAAGGGAAATGCCCGTCCGTGAATGGTGGTGCTGTGTGGACTTTTCGACTCGTTCGCCGTTGTCACCTGCAGCGACGATACATACAAAACTTTCTCAAAAAGAATTTCCTCTGCCCAGCAGACAAATAGTACGACGTAGGAAATTTCCCAGAGGTGGGCAAGGTGGGGAACCCTTCTCCTCCCGTAAGGCAAGGATGTCTGGTGTGATGGGTGATTTTCAATTCAGCGCAGAATCGCTTGTCGCTTGTCGCTGATCGCTTGTGGAGATGGCCACACGGAAGTAGAAGGTACTTCGTGCTTCGCGAAGGAAAGTCGGCGCACTTGGCCCGTCAATTCGATTGGTGATAGGGGATAAATTTAAAATGAGGACGAAACCGCTCTCGGGTCAAGTCCAACCGCAGCGGTTCTCATGTAACATGCCCGAATTCCCTAATAAATTAGTCAGGTTCCTTCCCTTCAGCTGCAGAGACGAAATTGGGGACTATGGTGAGCGTGATCCCATTTTCGGCGGTAACTAAGTTATAGTGGAAAGCAGTTCACTTTTCCCATATATCCAAGCGTCAAGTATTTTTGTGCCCTGGTGCCACCAAGTGCCCCAATGATGTGTAGCTGCAGAGATAGATGCTGTTCAGTCTGGTGCCGTGGCATAAAAAAGAGGAGTTGGAGCTTTCGGCCGGCAACAAACTTGCATGAGATTGGATTAGACTGGCTGCAAGTGCTTCCTGTTCCCAGTTGAGCGGCTCATCGCAGCAAGCAATGCGGGCAGAACCGCACCACCGGTCACAGCCGTCCGTATACTTACTCACGAATGGGCCGAGACTTCTTCCATGTTTGGCATCGACGAGGCTTTCCCTGTGGCCCTCTCTCCGAGGTCCCGCCAGCATCAGCGTCTTGTTGTTCATACGAAACTCAATCCTTGTCAAGGCGGTGCCTTTCTCCTTTATTTCTTATTATCTATGAAAGCATCAAAAGTTATCAGCTGTACACATCTATCATGACTGGAACAACAAACTTGCGGAGCCTGGCAGTCGTGTTCACTAACAAGCACACACCGGATCAGAAGATGGGGTTTCGTTAGTGGGACATAGCGTTCTGGGTATGTGATGTTGCAAGTCACGTTTAGAGCTACGGCGCAAATCTCGGGTCCTCTTGGATTGGTGGTCGGTTGGTTCGTTCGTCTTCAAGAACTACCGAGTTTTTTTCCTGCCAGTCTTGCTTGTTGTTGGACATCAATGATCACATGCGTCATCATCGATTCCTTGATCTATAATCTGGCATGTCGCTGGCGGCCTCTGCCTGCATGTGCAGCAGATAGTCAGACTAAGTAACTCATGAGTTTCGTAACCACTTGTTACAGTGACCAGTTAACCCTGCAAGATTCGTGCTTCCCTTCGAACCGTGTTCCAAGGCACCCCAGACCCTAAGCTAGGTGTTGGCCTAAATACCATGCAAGAGCACATTATGCCCCGAGCTTCGTTGCCGTTGAATCGACAAGGGTCTATTTGCTAGCGCCGATTGTCTGCACGTTCGAATTTCCTTTGATTGCACATCCACCATTCTCCACGAACCCCTATCTAGCTCAAGCGTCACCGAATCTCAAAATCGTCTGATGAACAACTGATGAGCAATACAACTCTGGGTTTATCGCAACCTCAGAAGAGCTGCGCTTTGTAATTGACCGCTCAGTGGTTACTTAACCTTCTCAAACCCTACTGAGAGTCGCTGGTCTTCAGGGACTGCACATTTGGCGAGCCAACGCACATGATAACGTAGAGACACAGAAACTCGAACACACGAGCCATCGCGGACGGACTTGGACCAACCTGCGAACCCATTACTCGTGCGATACCCGCTACCCCATGATGGGCATTGGATAGAGGCCCGAGACCAAAAAAGGGCCTGTGGCATTTCTTCGTGACGGCTTCGGTTGCTTGTTCCGTGCTTCTTCGTCAGCCCCACTGTGTAGTGAACTGCAATCCTGGAATCCCACAATTACAGATCAAGCCCCATCAATATCGTCGTAATAGTAGGATCACGTTTTTATCAAATATTTAAATCGTTTGAAAACTTCAAGAAGCGCGTCCTACTAAGGAAAAAGGGGACATGATGGTCGGCAATGTGAAAAATTCTAGCCTTTGGACGCAGAGTCTCTAGCATCCAGCCATGGATGTTATTTACAACATACTAGCAGCTATGAATAAGTGTGACCAACAAAGACTGAGCCTGTAGGTGGTATTCCACGACCTTGATCTCTTAGGCCGGTTTACTCTGGGCTCTTTTCATCGAACTTGAAGAGAAAACAACTGGTTCTAGCATGTGAAGCTATTATCACACTGATTACAAGGTTAATCTGCCTCAACGAAAGGCTCTATAGCAATGTCTGATTGTATATGGACTTGCTTTTGTATCGTTATTATACATACCAGTTTGTACCGACGACTCCAGTATCTACCTTGCGATATGACCAGCAATCTGTATCTCATCATGCAGATTGAAACTTGAATGGAACATTCGGGTCTGATGCTCGATGCCTCGTCTCTACTGCTGCTGACCGGGAGTTTTAACAGCGGGCCACCCACTACCCAAAATTGTGGGTTGCACGCCTATCCTAACCTAACCTAGCGCATGACATACCAAGTACAGTATGTAGATAACTCAGTGGGCTTCTTGGACCTTAATTCTCATATGAGGACGATCCCAAGTTTCAAACGACTCCTTGCACCTTGGAGCGTGCTTTGACCTTATTGTTAAGCGCTGGACAAATGTGCGGATATCCATTGACTCGCGGAAAGTTCCATATTTGGCACACGACAAACTTGACATGTTCGTAAGAAGGCTACACTTTACAAACTGCCAACCTTACTACACTGATCTTGTGCGCCGGGAATTCGCATGGTCTAAAACTTGCATTAGGTGAACTAACCCACCGCACATAGGAACGATGTTGCAAAGTGGTTCGACCATCTGTAGGCATGAATTTTCAACGTTTCGCCGCACTACAGGCTTGACTTACACACGGCTGAGATTTTCGTCACATAGCCGTTTTTGGCAAGATCTCTCCTTTTTCAACGTCCTTCTCTTAAGAGCTCACCCTCAAGTCGTTCGGCAAGCGGTGTATAGCATACTCGGTGCTTTGGTTCCAAGCCCTCAGTTTCTCAGCCGACATCTACAAAGGCATGCATGTACGAAACGCTAAGTCGAGAACAGTCTTGCCGCTCGAAAAACCGTAAATCTACTTGTGAAGGCGGCAATATACTTCCATCATTAGATTGTCGAAATATCCATGAAACGTTTTGTTACCTGAAACGAACAGCATAGCCCTTTTTTTTTTCTTCTTTTTTTTTTTTCCTAAAAAAATTGGTTGGATCCGCCATTTCGGTCTTTGTCGGCTCGTAGTTTATCCTCAAGTTGTGTAAAAGGTGAAAAATGATCTTATGGTCACAAAACCGGTGATCCGAGCGAATACAAATATTGTTCTGTAGATCAGTCTTTCAGGCTGGTGCTTCCTTAGACAATGGTCACCATCGCACCAACTAGGTTACGGCATGATGGAATCTCATCTGACCCTAGCTATTCATAGCTTGCAGCCACCCCATTGCGATTTTGCGTAGAACTAACGCATCTCCCTCACGCGCATTACATGATGCCGGAGCATCAGAGGCTGGTTCGTCCAGTCATGAAGATGCCCATTGATTCAAGGGTAGCAAGCCCGCATAAACCCCCCACGAAATTCGTACGTCTTCGATCATGTCGAGTAAATGGATTCCCCGCGTTCTCTCCCCTCAACGATGTTACTTTCATCCCACTTGGGCCACTGATGATGTATAATCTCACACATTCGGCCCATTTATCGACGCCTGCTTCATGGGCGTACAGTCATTTTCACTGCCACCGCTGTTGCTTGTCCTTGCGTCACTGTACACTCGACGAATCTGCATTGGCAGTGGACAAGATTTTACCATCGGGCGATGGCGATTCTGTAAACCTAGGGTTGCGATGAGAACAAGTAACTCCTGATTTAGAAAGTGCTCTTTAAAGCGTACCACAGTGTTCGGTTCGCGCGAACTTCAAGAAATGCTGTGGTACCAGCTAACCGGCTATTAATTTGGCAGATTTAAGAGCCTTAAAGCATGTGCTCCGGTCTCACGCACAAAGACTGCAATGTAGAGTCGGCTGGAACTACTGCAAGAGGCCCCATGTGGATAGCATCAGATCCATTGCGCAGAGTGCATACATGGGTACATCGGCTTTCTGGATTGAGATTGGGCCGCTGCTGCCCAATGGTTGTCGCTTGTGGTGACCCATCGAAACATTGTCACGTTTGGTGTGTGATACTATCAAGTGCGTTCATGGGTTACTATTCAGATCTGATTGACAAACTCCATAGAATATGTATCCCGATCCGAGCTTCCGGCTTGATGACTACGAGAGATATTGGCACTAAGCTCGAGAGAGCCATGTTCATACATCAAGTGCCTTTAAGTGTCATGTTTTGTTGCCATTGGTTCTGGCCTAACATTCTTAGGAACCATATTTCAGGAAATATAGTATATAAACATCTACAGCCGGTATATGATTTATTTACCATGGTAAGGTCGTTCCCTAAATACCACGGATGTAAAGTAATGTCCAGCGCTCCTAGGTGCTCTGCCACATTGAGCTCTTACGATGACAAGTATTTGCTATCCTAAAGACCCAATGTTGATGTGGCTCGAATCAGGCCCAGCTGTACCTTCACAGACGCCGTACCCCTTGGGCTGTTAAATTGAGTAGTTCCGAGGCAGTAAAGACACTACTGCCTCCTACTATAAGAAACATTGGCCATGGTTACCTCAGATAAGTAAATTGCTCTCACTTATTTCGTACTCCGACAGGAGCGGCACTCTACTTGAATCGTAAAAATACAGAGATGATTGATTAAAATCAAGAGAACACTAGTTTTCCTCTTTGATTCTTTTTTACTGCTTAAGTCTTTTTGCAACTCGGTGGCCATATATAAGCAACAGTTTATACATGAACATAAGAAAGTACTTTCGACTTTTATATCTCGCTTCCGCAGGGAACATACTTTACCACGTGCTATACGCTCAGCATTGCATGCCATCACTGGATTCTCAGGTTTGTTTTTGGGTGCGATGTTCGTACTCTACCATTCGCATGTGTTGCTTTGCCAGTTCGATGGTAGAACTATCCTCGAACACGCGTGAGTTGACCTTTCGGTTCAATCCGATACGATTGGAATCTCATTCAGTACACATCCTGCGGTGCGATGTAATACAGCTGTAATAGTAAGGCAAGGTGCTTAGAATCTGATGATCCCTAGGCGGATCTAGCAGCATAATGCACGAGCAGTGATGGCACATCATTTGACCTGCCCCCGGATCTGCCTAAAGGTGAACTCAGGGTCTAGCAATACTGGTTTAACTCTCTATACCGCTGGTTATGATTACCGAAATCACGCTGAACTTTATTGCTAGATCCGGAGACGGGAAAGACACCAGACTTGAGGCGATAAAAAAAACCCTTATCTAAAAGTATTGTGTTGAATATATATTTAGAAATCAATTGATTTTGAACCGTCGCAGTTCAGACATCATGCTTTGATATGCGAACACGGTAAAATAAGCGTGCGACATCGGCGAAGATCTTACCTCCTATCTTATTGCTCCAATTGAAAATGTCTTGAACACTTGACGAGGCGAGCAGCAGCACGCATACTGCAGGAGTTACCACACGCCTTTGAAACTATACCACCTCACTATTTTTTTCAATGAATAATGGGAATGCATTTCTCTTTCACTTTCACTAAAGTACCAATGCTCCGCATAAGCACTTCACAGACGTATGTTCGCGGGCTCTATATGTGCTTCCTCAGTCTTTACAGTTAATGCCAATCTTTCCTCACTTACGATTAAGGAACAGGCCGTAACAAGCCACGTGAACCGCCGTCAGAGTATATAGTAGTGTGCCGCAAGGTGAGTGGAGGCTATGATATAATAAATAAACTGGAAGGTGACAGCACATCTCTTGGACGGAGATTACTATTGCGAACTTGACCGGTGGCATCACAGCAAATCTGGAATTTGATCTCAATGTCTTCAAACGATAGGCGTCGCATGACCACTGATCCGGCATATGTTCACCTGCAATAGTTACTGGTATTGGCACGACCATGACTTTTGTGATTCCGGTATCGAGACTGGAACTTGATGTGTGTGTCTTTGCAATTAACCTAAGGCCTTTGCAAAACGGATTCGCGCAGTGTCGCCATATTGTTTGTCGAATATTCACAATTCCAACCTGTCTACTGAGAGTTCTTGCTGGGTGAAGGAACCAAGAAAATTAACCCGTTCAAAGTTAGTGAGACAGCTACGCTTACATTCATAGTGGTAACTGGACACCAGCCGTCTTTACCGTCTGTTGTAGGCTTGATGCTCCTCGGGCCAACAAATCAACCTTTTTCGAGCTCAACTATCTACTGTTCCTGTACCCGGACTTTTCAGAGCCATCAAGCAGCAGCTCGTAAGCCCGGAGCAGACAGATCCTATCCATCGTTGGACCTATCATAGGCCTGTAACAATGGATTTGATGCAGTTGGCATTAATCAGCTCGTAGTGTACACTTCATGTAATGATAGCAAAATCGTGCCTACTCAGCGAGTCAGTGTTGCCATAGCGTTGTGCTGCGGCTTTTGTTGAGTAAGTCCAACTACATGTGCGTACTCTGATACGCGTCTTCGTGCGAAGTGAGTTTGAACATTTAGTTTTCTCAGCCGATGGGAAATATGTAGAAATTGCCAAAAGTTATGCTCGTGAGAGATACTCATAGCCTCAGAAAGCTCTGTCAGAATCTTTGAGGTTGTGGTAACTTTCGAAAGAGCAGTTGCACTCCGCTACATCTTCGACCAGTGCATGTCTTGTTGCCAAACCCACAAGACTGTTATATAGTTTCTACGCATGATATTATGACACTGCGAGTCATCTAGTCTAGTTGTAACATCAGTTTCTTCTTGGTCACAGCAATTCAGTGAAGCTATCAACATATTACTTGTAAGATGTCTAATTAACAACCAACACCTGACGCTGGAAAAATGCTACCGACATTCATGAGTCCGTGATCATAATTTCGCTCACTTCTTCTATATGGCATGGTAGAATGGTTACCACCAATACTATGGCACAATGTCTCTTTTAAAACCCCAACGCTTTTGCTGCAGAATTCATGTCCAAACAATCATCAACCCGAAGCGCTTTCTCAGCCCACACCACCGTACCTCGACCGTCGACCGCAAATAAGCCAGCCTGTTGCCATTTGTTTCCCATCACCGTGCTTGGACCAAGATTCTCGGCCTCAACTTGCGTTGCTTCTGGGCCATTCACACCACTAGGAGGGGCCGGGGCTCCCACAGGCCCGTTGCCATTTAGCTGCTTCCCCCAACTCCCGGTTCTTGTGATGGCACCCGCGACTTTGTCACCTAGCCAGCCTTTCTCTTTCCATGCCTCCCGCTGTGTCGTCGGATTGAACATGTACCAGACGTTGCCCAAGCCCAAGCCCCAAATCGCGTATGTGGCGCGATCCTCATCGATAATCACCTCAACGTTCCAGGCGCCTCCGAGGAGGTCGATCCATTTCCGTGTTGCTTCGGGCGACGAATGCGACACGGCTATGCATTTCAGACCAGAGGCCTGATGGCGATTCGCGAGTGCACGGAGTGCTAGAAAGGATTTCTGGGCGACTGCACGACGCTTATTATTAGACAATACCTGCCCATGAGGACTGGTGAAAACTTACATGCGCATCCAACACAGCGCATGAATAGCACTATCATCTTACGTCCGCCACCAAAGGTAAGTTGCCTATCTCTGTCTAGCGGCGCTAGGTCCCCGATCTTGGGACACTCTGCTATGGGTATTGGTGGTGGAATCGGTGAGAGCCATGCCTGGGCGGTCAATGGCAGTTTGCGCGTGCTCATCCATTTCGGCCAGGCCCCGGAGGGCTCGTCATCGTTCAAGCCGGACTGCGTTCCATCGGTTTTGGAGGCTTTCGGCGTCGGAGAGGCGAAGTCAAAGGTATTGCTCTTGATGCCGACCTTGCGGAGAGCAATCTTGGTTGAGAGGCTTGAAAGCATCACGAGGAAGGACAGAAAATATAGTTTACAGTCTGATGAGGTAAGTAGTCACACAGATCTATCTAACTAGACATGCAACGACAAGACAGAATTACAAGTTGAGAAAGATCAGTCGATCACCCAAGAAACAAATGCGAACATAGGAAACGAATCAAGAAGCGATTTAGAAACGCTGAACACTTGGACCTCAGGAAACAACTGCGCAGATCCGTGGTTCATGAGGTTGAACGGTGTTTGTAGCCCCTTGACACACGATGGTCGTCGCAGATGCATGTTAAGAAGCTCGAATCCCTGAACCCAGATTCCGTCAGTGCTGTATCTGCTGTACTCCTTGCAGGCAAAGGCTAACGCCAAGCTCAACCGGCGCTGATCGTCCGTTGCACCGGCTCCTGGCTCAAACTGACTGGGATGGATAGGTCGCGAGGTACAGTGGCTGTTGCGTTTGCACGTTTTTGCGGGGTTAGTGGGGCTGCCGACAATCCTCTGGGCCCGGCCTCATGCGTCAGAGAGCTGGCCAGCGTACAAGATCTTACAGCATCTAAGGTTGGGTTAGTCCAGCAACCTAACCTAGGTGGACACGGTGGAGTTCTCCAGCTGCATGTATGGGTATAGTGATCTATGGATCTTTCAACTTACAATCCATCGAGACAAATTGAATGAACAGACCTGAATCTTTTCGCTCTCAAATGTGTCCCTCGGGGGAGTATCCCAGGTGTGACGCCATAATGGCCAAAGCCACGAAATACCTCCACTCGAATTAGATGTGAGTGTTGGAAGTTCCGTGGTGTCTCGGTATACCTGATGCGGTTCGGTAACTCTGCCAATCCTGAGAAGACGGGAAATATTTGTAATGCTTTTAACACGCCCACAGCACGGCTGATATGAGACCCTCAGCTTGACATCATATGTAGCAAGTGCCATCTTTTCCAAGATGTTTGGATACGATATTCTCCATAACCACCAATGGTAGCGGAGCAACATCCGCGTGGTGTGAAAGTTTCCAGAGACTCGCCAGACCGTTTTTGTCATCGGAACGAAGTTCTCAAAAATAGTACGCGCGTCTTTAGTACATATTGTATATCAAGGGTCTGTTATTAATTTGACCGCGTTACGTTAGCGCCTATATGAGCGAACTATGCAATACCATGCAACGTCAAGGAAAGGCCGGAAATTTACCAGGTGTGACGTCCTTTGACGCAACACTGGTTGCATTTGCGATATTGATTGTCGATTGTGTCCATATGAGATTTGCTGAAGGATGGCGGCGGAGTGGGATTTTCCACATTTCAAGATCTTCCGGAGGCCAAAAGACCCGGGGGCTTAAAGTTGCTTCTCGTTGGGCTACTACCTTACGTAAACTTGACTGTGGCTCTATGGCGTACAAGTCGGGATATGTAGTGTTGTTGTTCCGATCGTTGGTAGGGAAATGGACTTTTTACAGATAATATTCTAGCCGTTTTGATGTACATAACCAGGGTAAGGCATATTGTATTCTCGTGGCACGTTAACAGACTCGTGAACTGTTGTTCAAGCAGACGTACCTATATTGACCTGTCACGTGTCTGTAAATGATTAGCTGAAACCTTGTGCGATGGTGATATTGCTGGTTGTTGCGGCTGACGGTTGTATTTAACAATGACGGCCACATCATGGCTGTGTTGGTCGCCATCATCATTGGTGTTCGTAAACACATGATACAAGTTTACGAGGAGCTACGAAGACTGATCTTAGAAGTCCAATTCTGCCCCAATAGAGTCGGACCTTCTTCTATACTGTGTTATGCTTACATGCAGACTTCCCGGGTACATCAACTATGTCATTCTGCAGCCCATGCGCGCTGATAACCAGAATTGAACCCACCGAATTTCTCGAGGATTGTGAGGTACTGAATTGTCCAGAACTTGTACAAGTATTCAAAGTTTGAAGTGCGAGAATTAGGCACAGTTCATTTAGCGTAGGCTGTGCTGAGTCCCTCAGATTCGGGACCATTTCTTGGTCAGATTCGCTCGATCTGTTGATCAGCCGTTTAGTGGGCTTACTTAAGAAAAAAGCATTTGGAACAATATCCATGCTCACCATCTACGTCTCATCGAAAGATCCTTTAGCAAGGAGAAATCAATTTGATTGAAGGAGAGCGACTTTAATGCCAGACGGAGAGAAAAAACCTCTTTGCATGTTACTCGTCACTTGCATTTGGAGTAAAGTTAATTGTCACGAATGAATATGCATTGCCTTCGTGGGCCACCCCCCAGAATCTTGGACCCCATGAGTCATCTTGGCACTAACAGCGCGTGCCTGGTGAGACCAGATCTCAGTTAGACTGTCAGTTATGGTGCAATTGAAAAATGATTGAGTGGATTCAGAAAATGCTGAAGTATTGGAAATAGAGATGAATTATCATGTCTATATTTGTTGAGATTACAATTCAAGCGCTTAAGCTGATAGTTGCCAACATAAGAAGCGAACAAGATTTGGCGATGGTCGAGTATACTCGTTCGCGCCAAGGCCGTGCAAGTACATAGTGACCGCTTCAGCTACAAGATAGCTAGGAGTTGTTAGCTGCTAGGCTGCGACTTATGGGCGCTTGGCTGGTCAGTCAGTGGCCATGGATGCAGACCAAGCCATGTTGTGAGAGTCAAAAGTCAGACGCTTGTGGAAAGTGGCTGAGATATCTTTTATTTTTAGTTTTTAATCTTTTATCTCAGCTCACCAATTCCAAGGTTATCGCATTGAGGTGCAAAAATTGTTAGATGGTGGCTAACTTGTGCGACCAAATTGTTATGTATTGCTTACCGGAGAATCAACGAGGTTCTGTAGGGGCAATCACGGTGGATCATTACTATGTCGAACAGTAAAGCTGGGTACGGAGTAGGAAAGCTCAAGAAACGCCTTGTACTAAGCTGATGGTAAGGTGCAAGGACAGATTTGGAGACATAACATTGAAGTTCACACAGGTTCGGGTCGTTCCACCCAACGTTAACTGAGTTCCTCAAAATGCTGTGTAGATAGAAATAGCGCATCCTACTTTTGTTGAAATTCGTGTTCAAAGAATAAGCTTTCATGACAATAGAGAATGAGATCTTCCCGAAAGTTAGGGCTCATGCAAACGCGAGGAATAGGTGTGCAAACCTTGGCCTGTCCTCGTGATACACCTCGTATTGCACAACCAGCCCCGTCGTAGGCGCATAAGCAGATGAGGTTCTTCTAGTGCTTGAAGAATGATACCTATCATTGAAACCGATTTCGAATTATTTATGCCTTTGTAGCGGGTGATGAGGACTCATATTCTTGGTGAATGTTCCCAGACTGGAAGTAGGTGCTCGCATCTGCCGTCCGAAGTGGCTCAAGAGCCACCTGTAGGGGACCATTGGGGGCTCTCTAGCTATTGACGAAAAAGGGAGCTTTCAGGATGGCAAACCGTTCAACCGAATTGCCAAAGATGCTACTATCGCTCGTCATTTGTCCATCGATAGGTATACCCCAATTATCAGGCTTCCGGCTGAAAAGGCCTCCGCTACGTAGTCGGGACTCAACTTGGTTTTTTGTGCCGCGGGCAAAAAAAAATGACTGGGTGTTGCCTGGGTGGGACTTTTCTGAATACAGCTTGAAACAGGTGGAAAGTCAAATATCAACTGAAAAAATGCGGATGCTGAAGCCGTGTAGAAGGAGCTCATGATGAAATCGAAACCATCGACGAGGCATTCCGGCCTTGGAAGGATGGTAGATTTGAGACATCATCGAGTGGTCGACACACGCCTTTTTAGCACTGTACGAGTTAGGGAATGAGCCGAGCAAGGGGGCGCAATTTCTCCACCTCGACTTGCATCAAGATGGACCCCTCAGTACCCTTAATGATGAGCGCTAAACACAGTGCGTCCCCCTATGATGCCATACCTTTGAACTATGGTCCTACCAATTATGTCGCCAACGAAATAATATGCTGACGACGATGATTAGCCCTTTTTGTTAGGTGTCATTGACTTGACAATGAAAGCCTCCCTTTTCCGTCCTGGATGTTCCTATACAGTATGTGAGTCGTAGTTAATTGAACAGTCCCATGAAATAACAACGATGGGGTCAGGTGGAAATTGTGGGCTTAAGCATCTATCCGCAGCGGTCCCTTTTGGCGCCATTATGTGAGATGAGATACGTGCTGTACCTTCAATGGGTTTCATCATCCACTGCATCCCATGTTCTTTGGGCCTAAGGAGTAAAGGCATCGTGTTCAGCGTAGCGTTCGGTTATATGCCTCGTACTCTGAAAGAGAGTCAAGTGCCCCCGTCCGACTACCTGGACATGCCCGTATCTAGTACTACTGTCCTGTTTGTGCGTGTGTTTGTGCTTGTGCTTGTGCATGTGCTTGTGTCTGTTAACTCGTGAGTGTATGAGTGCATCTGGGACTTGCGATTTGCGTGCGGCTCGCCTTGGATCCACAGAAGAGGCCAAATCGATGGCATGGACAAGATTTTCCAACATTGTGAGTCCAACAAAACGTAATCTGGAATATTCCGATGCCAAACATGCCGGAAGATATCCGTGGTATCAAAAGCCACCACCTGGCATTGGCCTTGGGATATCGACCATTCGAATATTTCAACGTTCCCAGGAAACCTTGAGGATAGACTTGACCCCGGACCAAGAATGCTAAACGGTGAGGCTAGACTGTTACGGTACTGGCATATTTCCCGTTGGTAGCTACTAGCGCCTCGAACCCCTTGCCTAGGAGCGAAAGCACGAGGAAGAGGACGGCAGGCCATAGACCGCAGATTGACGAGCTGCTGGGTCTCCGCCTCAGGGAACTGCTGGCAACTGGGGTGGAAGTCAGCTGCATGGTGTGAAATGGAAGAGGCAAGGTGCAAGGCACGGACACGACACGCTCTTGTCCATCATTTGAACCCCTTCAATTAGATGGCATTGTAATTGAACTGTGGATTAATAGATTGTCTACTACCTAGGTAGAGTCTAGCACCTGGTTGACTACTGTTGATACTATGGTACAGCAGTAGGTACTTGCTACGATGTTACATACTCACACTCCATAACCAGTTCACAGATCAGACTGGCACACGTTCACCCAGCACCAGGCCAGAGCCAGAGCCAGAACCAGAGCCAGTCTCACAGTCTCAGTCTCACAGACTCGCAAGCACTGCTGCAACTTCGTACCTTACCTTGCCGTGCCGTACCTGCTTCCTGTATCCTCCTACAGATCTTGGACAACCACAGACCGCAATCACAAACTCGACTTGCTCTTTCTCACTTTTAACAACATTTCCGCATACAGCTTCTGCGTCTGCATTTGCATTTGCATTTGCATCGGCACCGGCATCTGCATCTGCGTTTTGATTGTCCCAACCCCCAATCACCTCTCCTGGCATCAAAGAGCTCTTGGGATCTTCTTCTCACGATACCCTCTCCTCCGGCTATTCTACTTCACCTCTGTCCGGCTCTACCCCGATCCGTGGGCGTGCATGTTTGTTCCAACCACCTCCCCTTGATCCGCCGCTTGAGATGCAGCACCACTAGATTCAAACCTGTCAAGAGGCTTCCACCGAGCGTTGACATACAAGTCGTCTTCCTTGGGGCCAACCAGCGACGTGACAAGACAGAACAGACCAGACCAATCTTTTGCAGTCTCATGCTATATTGATACATACGACAACCACGCCGATTTCAACCTTGTTCAGCCACCCCCGAGACCGATCCTGTTGGCTCCAAATCGTGGTAGGATTTCGCCAGGAACTGCTACCATCACAGCATTCCGTCATTGGTCGAATCCCATTGTTCTGCAACTTGCCTGCTTGCATCACGTTTGCGCAGTTGGAAGCCGGTACACTCACTACCAACATACAAACCACGTGGAGAAAGAGAGCGTCCACCTGCCTCTCTTAATCCGCATTGTGGTCATCTTTTTTTTTGTATATTTTATGTGTCTGTCTTGTTCAAGACTCCAGCCCAATCCAATCGAGCTGCATAGTGCCAAAGGTTCAAATAGACAGGGGGTCCCAAACACCCACAGGTCACCGAGGGGTTCAGTACTGGTACAGTCCCATTTTCCCCGACCAAGACAAGACGACAAGACAAGGCAAAGCCCAGATCAAGACCAGAAAACGGCGTTGAAGGTTGCTCAATTTGGCTCGCCGCTTTCTAAGCCGTGACCTCGGCGACCCTTTTTCATGGACGCTCGGCCAAATACGGCAGACTCGAAGCATCATTATCCTCCTCATCTACAGCTCTGGAACCGCTCGATTTCTAGCCCTGCTGTTCCCAAATTGGCCACTTCCGGTCTCCATACCGCCGCTGTCACTATCTCCGTCACGAACACGAGCGTGAGCGCCAGCACCAGCGCTGGCAGTAGTAGCACAATCTCACCACGGCCAGGACCCGACCTGCACCAGCACCTGCACCTGCACCAGCAGCCACACTCACAACACTTGCACTCACCACACTCTGCATTCCCCACCCACATTGATCTGCTCCCAATTCTCTTCCCTCAGCAAAACTCATTGTATCACGCGCAACTGCTACAGTACAATAAACTCATCGCGCCGGGTCGGGGACGCGGCGGAGGACTACAGACCACACCTCTGCCACCATTACTGTCGACTCCAAGCGTGCAGGTTGGACAGCGATCGAGATCATCCTCCAACGTCAAGGTGTCGAACAAGGACTCTTCCCGCGCCAAACCTGGCACGCAAAATTGCCATGGGAATAGAGGCGCACAGAACAATAACACCAGTAAAGGCGACCGCGCTGGTATAGCACCCAACGACAAGATGCCGCCACCAAGGAGAACCGCCGCCGCCGCCGAGCTCGCCCACCCCCTCCCATCACGACCAGCTGTGGCACCCTCCACCTCGCCCACGAATCTTACTGCGCCAGCAGGCCATTCCAATTCGGTTCCTTCGACTCCCCACCAACATCCGAGGAAGTTTGTATATGAATCGAGGGAGCCGTCGCCGAACGCAACTCAGGGTCACTCGCCCCGCTCTGCCTACTCGGAAACGAATGGTAACGTGCCTTCTCTGAGGCCGCTCCCGCCGCGGCAGGGTGGCTGCAAGTTCGAAACGGCAGTGCAAAATATCCGACGCAGAATACCGTACAGTATAGGTGCTGAAAAGCTGGAAGCGTCGGACGTTGGCAAGATCCAAAGTAAACTTTCTGAAGGCGATGAGAGGAGGTTAACCACAGACATGCGTGAACTCTACGATAGGTTAAAGCCGACTGCCGCTGTGGAAGAAAAGCGACACCAGCTTGTGCAGAAGCTGGAGAAGATGCTGAACAACGCTTGGCCAGGTTGTAATATTCGTGTCAACCTATTCGGCTCTTCTGGCAATCTGCTCTGCACCGACGACTCCGATGGTTAGTGAAGTTTGCTATCTACAATGGTCGACGATCACATGGATTCCTACAGACTTGCTGACATGTTATCAGTGGATATTTGCATTGAGACAACGTGGAAGGAGCTTGACAAGCCGATTTGCAAACTCGCCGAACTCTTAGCCAAAAGTACGCCTTCCTTACCCCTTTGCCTTAAACATGATAACATTGCATACTTACATGACATGTAGACGGAATGCAGAAGGTAACATGTGTAAGTTCTGCAAAGGTCCCAATTGTGAAGGTCTGGGACCCTGAACTGGAGCTGGCCTGCGACATGAATGTCAACAACACATTGGCTTTGGAGAACACTCGCATGATTCGGACCTACATTGAGATCGATGAGCGAGTGCGCCCACTCGCAATGATAATCAAACATTGGACCCGTCGTAGGGTGATCAATGATGCAGGTCAGTCAATCCAGCCACAAAAAACCATGGCCCGTAGAGAATCGGAAGAATACTGATATTTCATTCAGCCTTTGGTGGCACTTTGAGTTCGTATACCTGGATATGCATGATTATAGCATTCCTCCAATTACGACAACCGCCAATCCTTCCCTCTCTCCATCAGCGACCTCATCTCAAAAAAGGCAAAAAAGAAGGTGACATTGCTCCATTTGGCGACGACTTGGATCGATTGCGGGGACATGGCGACCCGAACAAGTCCACACTAGGCGAGCTTCTGTTCGAGTTCTTCCGCTTCTACGCACATGAGTTTGACTACGACAACAGCGCTTTATCTGTACGTCTAGGCAAGTTGATGCCAAAGTCTGACCGTAAGAACTGGATACTCGCCATCAACAATCGCTTATGCGTGGAGGAACCTTTCAACACGATGCGAAACTTGGGCAACACTGCAGACGATACTTCCTTCCGTGGGATACATCTCGAACTGCGACGAGCCTTCGAGCTCGTCGCAGCAGGCCAACTTGAAGAGTGCTGTGAGCAGTATGTTTTCCCAAAAGAGGAGGAGAAGCCTTTTTTCCAGAAGCCCGCATCAGTGCCTCGTCCCGCCCTTCTGCGCAGCGCCTCACAGACGAATCAGCGCAGCAATGGTAACACCAGGAGAGGAGGCCGACAGCAGGGCCAGTTTCGTGGTAATAACAATCATGGAAACAACCGTAGAGCCTCATCCAGCACGACATACGACAACAATGCCAATGTCGCGTATTATCAAGGCTACCCTTACGTCGCAACAAGCGACGGCATGTTTACCCTTGCTCAGACGCTTTCGGAACTGCAGTTGCAGGAGAACCAGCTTCGTTTCCTGCAGTACACCCAGAGTCAAGCGCTGGCTCAGCAGCAACAGGTCTTCACACATGCTCAAAGAATGCAAGGAAACGCCTCACAGCCCCAAACGTCGACAGAGCGATCTAGGACTAACTCCTTCGACAATCCACCATTAACAGCGCCAATTCGTCCCGAAATGTGGTATTGGCAGCAGTTTCAAGGTCAGCCCTACTATGCCGCCGCCCAGCCAAGCTTCACGTCGTATCCGTCGTCGCCTTCAAATCAGCAGCCTGCTGAGCAGCTTCGTGGCTCTCATAGATCAAGTACGACGAGCGAAGCTGGAACGGCAGCATCAGGTAGCGCCTTGCGCTCCCATTCGCAGCCGGCATCACGGTCAGTGCCTGGGAATCAAGCAATTCCCGGTGTACTAGGACAGATACCTACTGCAAATGGCACTGCGAGCATTCCTACGCAGCAACTCAATGGAAGAGCCATTCCTAGCTTCATTCCTGATGAAAATAATGATACCGAGCAAGGCCCCAACGCGAATTCAAATCATACTCCACCTGGCGAAGAGAAGCACTACGGCCAGCACCTTGACGTGTCTATGAGTCCAGCCGCTAAAGCCAATGGTGTTCATAATGGGCTCCCAGCATTTGGAGACATCGGAATACAGGGGTCAAGGCAAAACACTGAGGGGCGTCGTCGCTTATCGTCCGAGCAATTTCCCCAGTCTATTCTGAACAGAATTAAGCGGACCTCGCGCTCGCCATCACCGCTAGGTCACAACAGAACCTACTCCGCTGGCACGGGTTCTACCCCATTGGTGTCAGCTCCCTTGCCAGCATCAGCTAGTAAATCTCTGCAGGATATGAAGCCTTTAGTTGTAAATGGGTCGGGTTATAAGCCCTCAAGCGCTGTGGCAAGCCGCAAGCCTTCTGCGGGTGAAAGCGCAAACCTTCCGGACGTTATGTACGATCACCCAGTTCACGTTACCCAACCGCTAAACGGGGCGCTGGTCAGACCTGACTTACCTCTAAATCAGCCTGTTGCATATGCAATGGCCGAATCACGTCTTCCTGAACGGCCTCTGGTTGTCAATGGATCGTGTCCAGCACCAACTGTGCTGCGTAACGGACTAGAAGGGCCAATGACGCCCAATGGCTCTCTGAGTGCTTCTTCGTATTTCCCGGTTAACTCATCGCCCATGCACTCCTCGCCTCTGCGAATTTCACCGGCGACTTTTCAGCGAGGTCTCCTGCCTGAACATCTCCAGAGCCCTTTAACGGCACTTGACTTGGCGACAGATCGGATGCACTTGAATGACCCACATCTATCGCCAATTAATGAAGCCACGCCATCCCCAACAGCTAACCGCAAATTTGATTTGCCTCCAAACTTACCTCGGACGAGACCTGGTCCGTCTAGCTCGGGCAAAGAATCGAGGCACGAGGCGAAATCGAAGCAGAAAGCGCAGAACGATGTGCCAGCTACAAAGCTTGAGGCAGCGCATGCTTCTAATCCTAGACACAACGGCCATTCCCGAGAGCACGGCCACACGAGAGGGGCCAAGAGCGAAAGTGACAATACTTCCGCGAACGGCTGGCAAAAGATCTCAAAGGGAAAGAAAAGGGGCATAGATATGAGGAATCGAAGCGAGGCCTTTCCTCAGAGTGAGCTGCCACCCAAGAACGACTCGGAAAGAAAGGGAGGATAAGCATTTGATCAAAGTGTTGATGTCTTCCCACTTCTTGGATAACAACCTCTGCCAACCACGGCATCTGCCTGATGGTCGAATCTCGCTTCGAGATATGCTAAATCTATATTTGGACAACCATGGAGATCCAGGCTATTATGTGGATACGATCTCGCCCATCCGGACACAGGCAATGACTATGAGTGACGTACGAACATGGGAGTTGAAGTTATGATAACTATTCAAGAGCGTGGTGGATAACTCGGCCGAGCATTTTCCGTCAAATACAGTTCATGGCTGCAAATATGGTTCTGACACGACGGTATTACGGCAAGGGATCGCAATTATTGATCTATTTCAAAGAGGTCTTTTCTCTTCCTTCTTTTTCTTCTGATTCATAGCATCCTGGTTGAGGGTTATCAGCATGGCGACAAGCCTCGGAGTTTGTATGCATATACACTATATCTCATGGTTTTTTTATTTTTGGGTTCCTGTACTCCCAGCAACCGGCACTTAGGAACATATGTTTTAAGCGCGGAGAGGTTGAGAAGCGTCTGTGCATAAATATCATGCGGGGGGGAATTTGGAAAAGGCAGCAAAAGATGGCCTATGGGAGGGAGAAGGGTGCACAGTTGCATTACTGTCCGACGGCCTTTTAGAGAGTAGATGGACAGACCGGCTGTGCTGGATTCTTACCTGATAGCAGAGGACCTGTAAAGGTAGGGTGAAACGGGCAAGCATGCAGGTATCGCATCGCAGAAAATATTGTATAGACATAGGACATGGATAGGCAAAAAGAAGAAATAAAAGACCCCAAAAAAAATATCAAAAGGCATTTTGAATTTTGCTGTTCCTACAGGGTGTTTGCATGACTCTCGACTTGATCTGTCGCCATATCAAGCACCGTCTTTCTTGCGGTCTCCAGTCTTGACTCCCTCTGCCCAGCGAGGTAAGTTTCTCGTGAATATATGCGCAACAGGATCATTGTGCAGCCCCTTCATGACTGGACCTTTCACGAAAAATGTCCCATCCACCGTCTGCGTATAGATGGCGTTTCCGCATATGTCACAAAAGTGGCGGAAGACATCATTGCCGGAATCTGCCTTCTCTGTTCACCCTCGACGTGAGCTCTCTGTCATAGTCCACAAGTGAGAAAGGTGAGCCCCCATACCTTTGAAAACCTTGAGGTGATCTTTACCCTTGCTCACAGTAATGCTATCTTTCGGGTATACCAGGTTAATCGTAAACGCGCTCGCGCTGCAGGCTTGGCAAGAGGTGCAGCTGCATGCCACTATTGCCTTGGGCTCGATCTCCGAGGTGACCTCGATGTTCCTGCAGAGGCAGTGTCCTTTGGCCATGTTTGGGGGAGTTGATCCTTGTAATATGATTATATGAATAGTCGACTATCCGAGCCAGAGTCTTTACACAAACCCTGAGGATGCCTTGGAGGACGGTTAAGTACTCCTCTTTCGCTGCAGCGGATATCGCTCTCTACATCGTTATGACGTCCCGAGGTCTAGTTTAGTGTGCACTTGCCGACGAGGATCTCCACATACAACCAGAATTAAGTCTCAATTCTGGAGGACCTACGTCCGACTGTGCATTTGGTAGGCCGCATAGCGGTTTGGACTATAAATTGTGCGGGGGAAAACAAGACATTTTCGGAAACGGAATAAAATGTGATTGCGGAGTGTAGCAAAAGAGGCCGCACGTTGCCATAAGGGCAGCACGACTTTCAAGAAACTAAGATTCGATTGACACCATTCCATTGATCTCAGCTGCAAGAATTGCAAGGATTTATGGGTATTTCGAAATACTTCAAGATCCAGTCATAGTGAGCGTTATATCACAACTATCGGGTGTGTACGGAAGAGCAAGAAGAACATGAAATCTATCGAAAGTGAGATCTATAAGATGCCGGGTTTTGAGACGATAAGCAATGAAGATGCCTGTGAACTAGGTTAGTGCATTAGGGTCCCCACGTGGCGTATCCAAAAGGTTGAGAACATCCTTGATTGATAGGTACATATATATGCCAGGACTTCACGTACTCAGGGGGTGGGGCTAAACATATTGGAGGCAAATTTCGTCAATACTCTGTTCGGAAGGGTGCTTGATTCATCAACATAACACATGTCTATCCCACGCATTCAAGGCCGTGCGGCAGCTCAAGGTGACAGTTGCGCCTAACTCCATGTGTGTGATGAAACAGTATACTCTGCTGGCCACATCCCCGAAGAACTCCTCAATTTGAAGAATTAAAAAGAAAAGCATCAAGTCGGCCTCCTTTAGACACTATTATTACTCGTCAGACTGCAAATTGGGAAAGAGAGATGACCCTGCAGCCAAATGTAAAAAGAATCGCGCTGCATTACTGCATATACATTACGTGGGTATACAAGCGACTACTGTAAACCATGTTTAATCTTGCATCTTCCCTAATCAAGACTCGTTGAAGTATCGGCAGCAACGGTCTGTGTTTTGCAGGATTTTTGTCGCGTAATTCTTGCACTTGCTTGCAAAGAGTCCACGAGAGAAAAAAAAAAATACCAAGTCAATTTTAAAAACAAAAGAAATACCGGAACGGTGTGCCGACCATGCGTTGAAGGGGCATTTCCTACCCCAGGGTATCAAAACCACGAAAAAATCAAATCGTCTGGACTAATGTCCAACGCCAACCACTTAATAGCAAATGCTTTTTTTCCCCAATGCCCAAGCCTGGCCAGTATGAGCTATGCAATATGTTAAATCAATAAACATTATCTTTATAGGAAGCCTGCTCCAGTATGATCTCTCGCGACGAGCGGGCTTCTCGACGCGTACTCTGGTACTCTCCTTGGCGGCGGTACTCCTCTCCTTGGGCTCGGGCTTGATCCACGCAGACCGGAAGGAACCGTCAATTCTGTCATCTTCACCGGTGTTCCGGGCCGCGCATTAGTCGGTGTCCATGGTCGACTGAAAGATGGTATAGCAAATGGAGACTGCGACCGTAATGGTAGCGAAGGAGAATCCGGCGTCGGAAATATAGGTGCATCCACAACTGGAGCATTAAGCGGCCAGTTGACTGTTTCAGCTAATGGAGGGTTGTCGAGTGGCGGTGGTCGAGTTGTACTTGCCTCAGGGTCTGACCAGCTTCCGCTCGACTTTGACCAATCTGGAAACCGAAAGTTGGTGTCAAGTTGATTTCTCCCGGGGCTTCCCCTTGTTGGTTCGACCGGCAGATACATGGAACTTGCCAGAGGGCCGTTTGACGGCATGATCGGACTATCCGGCGGAGATTCAAGGTTCTCAGAATTGGCTAAAGGTCCATCCAGCGGCATGATCGGACTGTCCGGCGGAGACTCGAAACGCTCAGAATTGGCCATAGGTCTATCCAGCGGCATGATTGGACTATCTGGTGGGGACTCGAGGTGTTCAGTATTAGCCAAAGGCCCGTTCAAAGGCATAATTGGGCTATCTGGCGGAGACTCTAGTTCAAACCTAGTGATAGGACTAATTAAAGATACCGGGCTGCCTGGCGGAGACTCGAGATGTTCTGAATTGGCTAAGGGGCCGTCCAATGGCATGATTGGGTTGTCCGGCGGAGAGCCGTATTGAAACCTACCAACAGGACTAATCAATGGTGGGGGTATTGGCCTGCCAGATGAAAAGTCTTGGTTGGAAACGTCGTCCAGTGGCCTCTCGGCTGCAACGCCGTATTCGTCCGCACTCGGACGAGGTACTCCGCGTGTGCTAGGTCTAGTTGGTCGCCCGCGAGCACCGACAGCTGCAGCCGGGACACCAGTTCGCGGTACTCGACGTGGGCTTAGAGGAGATGGACTTGCTGTTCTTTGGATTGGGCCAAATGGCGCACTATTTGGGCCGTTTCCATCTGCACTACGCAACCCAGTATCCAGGGTCAGAGGTTTTGGGCGAATCGGCCGTGCACCACTGGATGTCCGCGGGCGACGGTCTTCGTTCAAAGCTGTTCTTCTGTCAAAACTGTCGATCAGCCTCTCCAGGCTCTGCTTCCTGGCTGGGCTGATGGTCAAGGTCTCTCGCTTAGCCCGTACGTTTTGGATAACCGGCTCTCCCCATTCGTTCATAGAAGCACGGTTCCCGGTCTCATTGCTCGCTCTGGGTAGTGATGGCGGCGGAGTTGGTACCGACGCGGATTCGTACAGCGCGAAGTCCTCAACGGCCATAAGCTCCCTCAGGCTTGTAGGTACGTTCCGTTGACTCCCTCGGCTCGATGGCCGCGATTCCCCAGCAGCAGCAGGTATAATGGGCCGCTCCCATACTGGCAATCTATCAGTCTCACTGGAAGCCTTTTCGCTTGCAGTTTTCACCGATGGTGGCGGAGAAGGAGGATTCCTCAAAGCACTTCTCGGAGGTATGGCGGGCGTCGCCAGTTTATTGATGTTGAGCCCCATAGGAAGTGCACTGTCTCTGATTGCATTCAGAACAGCAGGCTTCTCCTCATCCTGATGGGACTGGTTTAGGAGTGATTTGGCTGAGGGCGCCAGGTGTTGCTCTCTAGCAAAGTGGACATCTAGAGGATCTACCCAGGGTCTCGGTTTCCCGGTTCCAAGTGATTGCGAAGTTGTTTCCGGAGACGTTGTCGTCAGATTAGGAGTAGAGCCGTTATTCCATCGAACGCCGAAGTTCGGATTCGATATCGCGGGCTTCAAGGCATGAAATCCTGAGTCGCCGCTTGGTGTCGTCCGCGTAAGATCTTGCATGCTTGCTGAGGCCAAAGCTTGACTGCCAGGACTGTAGAATGCTTGCAGCAAGTGAGCATTTGGTACCAAGAGATCTGGCTTTGAAATGCCGGTTTGCGGCGTCGGTCGAGTGTTGTCATGACAAAGCCCTGGTTGGTTTCCATTATCAAGTGATACTTTGCTAGCGTCCAGCGCTCCTTGGTATACTGTTTGGGTCACTGTCTGGGTCTGTTGTTGAGGCAATTTAGAGTTCGGCTGTCCAGATTTCCTACAGATGTCAGCAAAGACATTTAAAGACAGATGTTCGATCCCTTACTTCTTTTTGTCACCGCCAATTCTCAAGCCAAAAATAGAAACCATTTTGCCGAACCAAAAACGGCGGACCAGGCCGGAGCCTGACGTCTCAATATGCTGAGGGTGCTTATACACGAAAGGTGTTCCATAAGCCCTTCACGGACGAAGCCTTATTCAAAGAGAGAAGATTAGAAGTGAGACGCGAGGCCACGAAGTATCCGCAATGGAAAGAAGGTTGACAGCGGGGCCGAGGTGTCAGACTAGAAATCCATGTCGATCCCAATTGAAGTGGTAGGCGACGTCACGAAGAGATTGATTGACTCCAGTATTTCTTTTCCGACGCGCCCTGAGTCCCAGTAAGAATTATCTCAAAAAGTTGTCTTTAACGTTGGACGAATTGGCAATGCGAATTTGGGCTCATCTGTGGGTTCTGGCGGATACGAGGGCGATGCTTGGCGGGTGTCAGGCCTGAAGCTCCGGTGGACGTTCAATATATCTCCTACCTCGTCGTCGGGTGCGATTGGGACGGAGAGGTAGGATTACACACACTACACTTGGCCGGGGAAACGACAAGCACATGACATCCGAGAGCGACGGAAGATCTCAAGAAATGCAAGAGTTAAGAGTCAAGAGTCAAGAGTCATGCTCAATGCGTTTGGATACCTCGTTTTCGACAACGCATCGTCAAATGCGAGCAAGGGAAGGAAATTACGAGATCCCAAAATGGTATCGTCTGCCCACTATTGAAATAGCCCAGGCTAATCGGATGGCAACCGAGAAACAATGCGCTACGGGGGCAGGACCCTGAAGCAATCTTCTCAGCGAAGAAGCCCCACAGAAGCAAAGAATGCCAAGAGAATCTGACAAGAAACGATCATTTGCTTGAAGTACGGATCCGTACTATGTAACAGTGACAAACTAGCCCCGCTGGGAGCAACAATAAAAAAAAGGGAGGGGAAAAAAAGGAGGAAAAGCAACAGACTTTTCAGTATCTTGAATGCATTTGGATGCCAGAAAGAGAACTGTTCACAAGGTCGTGGTTGTCGAAAAGTACCAGTCAGATAACACGAGATAGGAAAGACACAACATGTCCGGATCACAGCTGGATGCGAGGCGTGCTCCGATGAATACAGCAACAGCCATACTTGAACAAGATGCCAAAGCGGCAGATGGAGTCGTGGGAAAAAAAAAGCTGGAGAAGGTCTATTGAAAACCATGAGTCCGTCGCAAGTGATGAGTTCGTTTCTCGTCGTCTGATTGGCTCCCAATGCTCACGTCTGTCTTAGTTTTATAACGGTGGGCTTTTAGTCAGGTCCCGACCACATGGCGAGTCAATAGCGTTAAGCCAGCATATGCAAGTATTTCCCGATGCCATTGAGTCTTGAAACCAGGATTCTGTAAGGAAATCTGACCAACCATAGAGCTGGTCCTAAATCGGTACACAGCAACACAAAAATTTCATGTGTCAGCTTGGTACTGCACGTGCAGTTCGTCGCTACGAATCTGTTCTTGTCTCCACGCTAAATGCCGTTCAGGTAGGTATGCTTGCTTGACCCCCTGAGTGTTAGATCACTAGCCAGCCCATAGAAAACCGTACTTGTAGGCGCACACACTTCTTTAGAGTTGCATTCCCCCGTGGCTGTCTCTAATCGTTTCAGGCTGTATCTTTTTCCTTTGATTTTAGCCTCTCAACGGTCTTCGGCGAGACAATATTCGCTAGGTGAGAGAGAATAAATGCATGTAAGTGGGTGGTGAGCCATGCCCTCTTCCCTTTTTCCGTTTTCCGTTTTCCTTCCTCTTTCTTTCTTTCTTTCTGTCCCTTTTCTCCTCTTCCCCCTACAAATCTTCCCCCCCCCCCCCTTTCTTTGACAAACTGGCAACTTCTATGACAGTTGATGTGACTCGCCTTCGTCTTTACGCCTTTGGATAGGCAGAGGTAGAGCGGGTTTTGGATATCAATGTAGAGTGTATCTGGCTTCCTTTTCATTTAAAGCAAAGCAATTTCGATCCCTTGCTTTTGCGCTGCCTGGTCGATATCAAAGGTGTCTGAACCCGATTGCCAAGCTTGATCAAGTAATTCATTCAGCTTATCGACAGTTTTCAGGCCGAAGTTTTGGAAGACCGATACTCGAAAATCGTACAGAAGCTTTTGCCACAAAGAGTTTGTTTTCAGCAAACTGATTTCGAGGGACGCTATTGTATAAGGGTATAGTATTCCATGTGGAAATTTCGCCTGACCCATACTCTGCGTTGACATGAAATTTCGGTAGACGGCTTCTAAGTCGACCATGAGGCGGGCGTATATCGCTTCGGACGCCGGAACGCTATGAAATTGATAACCAGCCTGCTCATCAACACACAAAGTGTCTTTTGGTCTCGAAAGCTTCTGTCGGCGACGTAAATCGAGAATGCCAGCATATCGCCAAGTATTCCAGCAGTGGTGTTGTGGGTGTCTGTTCTGGGGCGCTTGCCAGTCCCAAAACCGGGATTCGGTTTCTGTCCCAATCTCATCTCCCAAGTTAGCAAAAATGTCCAGCAAGCTTTTTGGCATACCGGTCACGACTTCCGTGTCCGTCTGTAACGGTGTCTCGGGAAGTGTATCTGTACTGGGGATATGCTTCCAGATTCGTCTGGTCGGGTTCACTCGTCCAACCACGTTGGATGGCAAGTCCATCACCCCCAGGACTTCTAGAAAGTGCCGCGATAAAGGATGCGACCATGGATCCCGTGGAGGTTTACCGAGATCGTCAGGTAAGTTATGGACATCAGCTATTAGCCCAACGTAGGGGGTGAAAGGCCGTAACTGGTATATCTTGGATGTGCATGTCAGCAAAATTGGGCTTGAATAAAGTTACATTCAACCTCTGTAAAGTTTTTAAGGAATAGGGGATCTTTACACAAACGGTACACAGTAAGAGCCCACTGCATACTGTTGAGATAGCCGGCTGGCCATCTTGAATTGCTAATTCACCACGAAAAGCTCGAAGAGCTCGATCCAGATGTTCCATAGATTTCACCGTGAGGCCATCTTCCAGATAAGTTTGTAAGGCTGCCACTACGATGAGTAAAGATGTGGATTCTTTGGACAACTCTTCGAGATATGGTGCCAGCCAGTGTACTGGTCCGCTTGATATCGCAGAAAGCCCCGTAGTCAGGACTTCGTTGGGAGTCAGTGATGCCTATCATCGTTCCGGATTACTTACATCTATCAAAGACATTCTGGTCATCCTGCCTAAACGCCTTGTTCAGGCTTGTTCCTGATGAACCTCTGCCCCAAGATGTTGCAGGTGCAGAATCTAGAGAGATGGCCACCGATACATCCGGGTTGATCGGAGGTATGAGAAGGCCAGGGTTAACCCCCACAAACCTGCCACGGGAGGCAATGCCGTTGGCCCATCGTACCGGCCGTTGGTAGCCACTGCACTGGAGATTTCGGTTCTTGCAAGATTGGCACTCCGGCCGAGCCTGGTCGCATTTTCGTTTGCGTTGTTTGCAATTGAGACAACCACTTCTAGATCTTTTCATACCCCGCACTGATCCGTGATCGACTTTACACGAAACAGGTCAATATTACCGCCAGTCAAAAGCGCATGCCTGACCACAGATGATAACGGTCTCGATCGATTTAAGGATGAAATCCGGGGAAGAAGTCTTGACGTATCGGAAACCGCTTGTCATAGGTGGATAGGGGCGGCGCAATTGTTACCCATATACGGCTAAGGCTAGTGGAGATTTGGACTTTCTCCAACTACCGAATTACCCCAATCTCTTAGATAGTGTCGTCGCCTCAGAACCTAGCCATGCTGCTATCTTCTATCTCAGCTGCTCATGCAAGGGGATGTATTATCAAGATGGCAGATAACAGTGAGATGCGTCCATATACGGCTGAGTAGACATGTTGGACTATAAGAATCTAGCCCCTTGCATTGGTTTACCATGTTACTATGTCACTGAATACCATTCTTGAGTACATCGTGACTTTAGTGTAATTATCTACCCTAACTCAACTTCAAGATGCAATACGAGGAAAACACAGTGTATCCTCCGGGGACAGTCCCCTTGATTCAGTGTAAGTTGTGCTTTTCAGCTGGCCAGGCCACTACGGTACATTGACTGACAATGGATCTGTCTAGTCCAGGAAGCTACGAGTACAAGGAAAGGTGTCGCATTATTTCCACAACCATCAGACGATCCGAACGAACCTCTGGTCAGACCACGATTATATCGATAATGCATAGTTCTGGTTACTTACTATCGATAGAACTGGCCAAAATGGCGCAAAGTGGTAAACATGGCTTTGATTTTTGGCAGTAAGCAATTTCAAAAATCATTATTTTGTCATCTTCATCAAGTCTATGGATCATATATATCACCTGTCCAAGAGAATTGAGATCTTTGTGTCTGTTGTATAATACTTCAGCATTGACTCATCCTATCATAAAGAAATAATTACTGACTTCAAATACTGCAGTGACGATGGCCGCATTCACCATGTAAGTTCCACTGCTCATTGTTGTCACAATGCTGACGAGTACTAATTCCTATGCCTCCTAGGCTCATGGTACAAACAGTCTTCTGGCAGCAGATGGTCATAGACTTGGACGTCGACACTACTGACCTAACCAACGCACAATCAGCACAGTTAGCGGGACTGGCCGTAGGGTGTCTCTTTTTCATTCCACTCACAGTCAAGTACGGCCGGCGTCTTACCTATTTAGTCTCGATCGCTGCTATGGCCGCAAGCTCGTGGTGGATGGCTTATATGCACACAAAGACCGAGTTGATTGTGTCCAGTATACTAGCAGGGCTATCTGGAGCGATCAATGAGACCGCAGTGCAGATGACGGTAATACTGAATACCGATCTTTTTGTAGGAATGGCACTAATCAATATGAGGTAGATCGCGGACCTATTCTTCGTCCACCAGAGGGGTGCCGCTGTTGCAGTCTATTTCGTTGCCGTTAATTTTGGTAGCTTCTTGACTCCCCTCGCAGCCGGAACACAGGCTGCCGTCCAGGGCTGGCGATCGTCTTACACTGCGCTGTCTATCTCATTGACTGTCTTGTTCGTAGCCTATATCTTCTGTTACGAAGAAACAAAATACATACCTATATCGACAGGTCGATGTGTAGTCGATGCGAACGAGCAAAACTCGATTCGAGGAGAAGACAAGCTTAGGGTCACCGACGATGAAAGGAAAGCCATTGACACTCTTCGGAAGACCGACTCAGCCGCCTACATGGCGCCTGTCATGAATACCTACCACCAACGAATGCGACTACTCACGCCCACAGGCGAATCACTTTGGAAGATCTTCATTCTCCCTCTGGGCACCATCATACTGCCCCACGTCCTTTTCACTGCAATTCAATTTGCCGCAGGGGTTGCTTGGCTGGTAATTCTTATGACTGCGACATCGATTGTCTTCTCTGCACCTCCTTACAGCTTTAATACAGCTGGCGTGGGTTATATGACACTAGGACCATTCGTTGGCAATGTTTTGGGCAACATTTGTGGTGGGCCTGTGTCTGACTGGCTAGTCATACGAGCAGCACGTCGGCAGGGCAGACTGTTTGAGCCAGAGATGCGACTCTATCCTCTAATCATTCCAGTACTTTCTATTTCTGGTGGTTTGATTATGTTCGGCACAACAGCCGCTAGAGTGAGTTTGGATTACCAAATGATTTATACATTGATACGAGGACGAAATTGGCTAAAATTCTCATCAGGGCATGCACTGGATTTTCCCAAGTATTGGTGGTGCGGTTTTTGGCTTTGGTCTTGGTGCAATGGGAGAGATTACGTTTACACTTGTTGTCGATACATATCTTGAGGTAAGCCAGACACATGCCACTTAGTCCTGTTTACTCTTGCATATGCGGCATTTCGCGCTCTCACTGTCAAATACTTACCTACCAATAATGGCTAACCAGAATGTTATCAGCTCACTGCCGAAGCTTTTGTTGGCATTGCCTTCCTCCGAAATGCTATCAATATTGGTATACCCTCGGCACTTGTACCTTGGCTGACTGCAATGGGGCTCAGTAATATGTACATCTTGGCTGGTTGCATTGCACTTGCCGTTGGTTTACTCCACGTGCCTCTGATAATCTGGGGCAAAAGGATCCGCATCGTGTTGGCGCCTCGCTACCAATCTTTGGTTGCAAAAAAGCAGCCGGCTCAGCTGTAGCGGAAAAGAGTGGGATTGTCTGGCATAGCTATGCAGGAATGGACGGTACGCAAAGAGGAGCAAGGTGCTGGATACGATGACTTCTTTGTGACATAGTATAGAAATGATATGGCCTCAGTAAATGGCGGCACTGCCCGTCCCTTGTCGTTTGCATATAGCGAGTCCCCATTATCAGCAACCCTTGCGGTGCCAAGTGAGGAACACCATACGACATAAAGCCAAAGATACATAGTACAGAACGGATAATGCATTTTCCCCATTATGCTCGCCAATTTATAGGGGAAACGGGATAGCTGAGAAGAGACTGAGGAAGAACGGCGACAAAGTGGCGTTAGACGACGCGTAGATATCTCGATATTCACTTTTTACTATCAATTTACCAGGATATTTGTACGACTTGGATTTCGTTGAAACTATCTGCAGACTACCTTGTTAACACATTGAATTGCAGATGGGATCACAAAGACTGGCGAATTTTTTAAATGGGTAAGCAAGTAGGGTTGCTTCACTCGGGCATGCCAGTCGTCTTCGAACTCATCTTCTTGCACTATTATCTCTTCTTTACCAGACTGATGTTTTCACTATCAACAAAGCAGCCATGTTCTTCAGGTTGCCTGTGGGTTGCTGATGGCAATTGTCGTCTTGGGTGCTGACCATTTCACCAACTTAGTGGTCATTGCAACTCGGCAGTCTGACAAATATCGTTTCGCCCGACGTTGGTTGTTCTTCAGGATGGAAGGGCTCTGTTGATGTGGTTTTAGACTAATCTAACCAAACTAATACTTTCTCCACAGCGATCTCACCCCATCATCTTCTTTAGCATTTTACCCATTAACAGTCATCGCAACATGCATACATGTGCGCTAGACCAGATCAGCGCTGTTCATTCGTTCCGCATGCGTTCCGAGGAACGACTGAGATAAGGATTTTGAGCGTATACACTCAAACGGCGCCGGATTAGTGGACGTCAGGAGCCATGTAAAGTTCATGCGGGGAAATGTATTAGATGGACCAACATGATGGGCGCCATCCACTCTAGACAAAGAATATTTCGCTTGGGCTATGGTCATACTAAATAACTATCAAACGCATCGTTGACAGCTCTGTTTTCTGATTGGACTTTGCGCTATCTGCAGAACCCAAAGCTCGTAGCAGGTGGGGAGGCACTAGCCGGAGTAGGGCACTATATGCGCTTGGGACTGGGTAGACCATAGAAGATATCACTATCGACAGCCGCGGCATTCACGTCGGTAACTAATTCCACAACTTGAGCCACAGTGAAGAGACTAAAATGGCAGGCTGACTTTCCTACAATGCTTCTCCCATGCAACCACGAAGGCAAAGCTTGTCCTTCACTTCATGCTCGACCATAACTTTTCTTAATGAAAGAGCCATCATGACTCCTTGGAAGGCTTTAGCAGAAGGCCATCGTACCAAACGAGATGCTTTGATTCCACCAGAATGGATTCTTTCAGAAGAGCGCTTGCTGAAACTTTCAGGGGCTGATACATGCGACGCTGGGCGACTTATCGCCCTCGACGTTTTCTCGAGGTCAGAGCTTCTTTCGGATGAAGAAATTGAGATCACGACTCGATATGATGCAACCATCCTGCTTCGGAAAATCGCAACCGGCGTCCTGTCTTCCGAGGCTGTGGTTGTGGCATTTTGTAAGAGAGCGGCTCTCGCACAGCAATGGGTGAGCCACGTTTCTAGTCATGGAATGTCAGACTTTAACACAAAATTAGACTTCCTGCCTGACAGAGGTTTTTTTCCAAGAAGCCATAGAAAGGGCCAGGGGTCTAGACAAGTACTTGAAAGAGAATAAAAGAACCTCGGGTCCATTACACGGCCTCCCGATAAGCCTGAAAGTAAGCTATCACCTACCTCGACTTGTACATGTTGGGGATCACTCAACTGACTATGGGGACACAGGACTCGTTCCAGGTGAAAGGACACTATGCTACTTTAGGCTATACAAAAAGTCTTGATGGAGAAGCTTCAAATACGAATTCAGCTTTGGTATACCTGTTGCTTGATGCAGGTGCTGTGTTTTACTGCAAGACCAACATTCCTCAGACAATGATGGTAAGTTCATTGTATAAACTGTTTGTGATCTAGTGATCGGGCTGATGGCCATGATGTAGACTGCAGACTCGGAGAACAACATTTTCGGTCGAACGCTGAATCCGCACAAGACCAGTCTCACTGCGGGAGGATCAAGCGGTGGCGAGGGCGCTCTCGTTGCCGCTCGAGGATCACCCTTGGGTGTGGGTACTGACATTGCCGGCTCCATCAGAATACCGTCACTATGCTGTGGCATCTATGGTTTTAAGCCAACATGTAACAGGGTGCCATATGGTGGTCAAGCTTGGGCTCCATTTCCTCGGCTGGGTTTTCCTGGAGGCATAAGTCCAAGTGCCGGTCCCCTTGCCAACTCAGTAGAGGACTTGGCACTCTTTATGGAGGTAGTCATCCAAAAACGCCCATGGACATATGATCCGACTGCATTAGACCTCGATTGGAGGAAGATTGAGTTGGGTCGACAAAAGAACCTGACTATAGGCATTCTTGCTGAAGATCCAGAATATCCTCTGATGCCGCCAGTTCGAAGGACTTTGAGCGAAGCGACCGACAAGCTCAGCAGAGCTGGTCACACTATTATACATCTTCCAGCAGACCTGTCATGCGGGGTTGGGCTAGCTGGCAGGCTGGCATATCAATTCTATGGGCTCGTGAAGGCTGGGTTTGAGTGTGCAGAGGAGATCACTGGTGAACCGCCCATCAAATCTGTGGCGCTAGGGGTACATCCTTTCAGCATGGCTGGGTTTCCTGTCCGCCCTGATTTAGATTTGCCTGAAAAGATTGACCATCTTACTGCAGCACGCGAAAATTTTGCGATTGCCTGGCAGGAAAAGTGGCGAGACAATAATCTCGACGTCGTAGTATCGCCAGGGTCGAACACGACGGCTGTCCCCCATGACACATATGGTTGCCCAGTGTATACAATGATTTGGAATCTTCTTGACGTAAGTGCTCCATCAAACAGGACGTGTACTTACTGACCAACCAAATTTTAAGTTTCCGGCTGGAATCATTCCTTTTGGCAAATCTTCAATGAAAGTTGATGCAAGGTGCGAGAAAGCTGAAGGGGCCTTCGAAGCTGACTGTGAGCGAACAAGTCTTTGTCTATGCTGCACGAACACTGACCTCACACAATGACAGACGATCCTAGTGCTTGGGATGGGGCTCCCTGTGCAATCCAGGTTGTCGCGCCCAGGTTTCGTGACGAGGAATGCTTGGCGGCCATGCGTATCATTGATCAAGACCTTCGCAGGCCTTAGAAGGTAGGTTTACACCGCATGGCAGAGCATTCACACAGCATACGGAACTGGAAGAAAAAAAAAAAAAAGAAGAAAAAAAAAAGATCAGAGTCAAGTCTTTTTTGCAATATCTTTGATCTGTATTGTTGAGTTTCCTGCGTCTCCCATGAAGTCTGTAGCTACTCAATGACCTCCGTTCCATCACATCCCATCCAGGTGGCTCCACCTTGGCCATATACTGTGTACGGACCCTTGTGAGAGTCCGAGGCCTCCATTGGGTGAGACTCATATCGGACTACCTTTCTGATGACCAGTGGTGACAGTGATGTGATTTGTGTACAAGCCTCTGTAAGTGTCTGTCCTGTTGAGTCTTTGGTGATACTGGTTGTGGTCTTGCTGGTTAAGGTATGTTCGGGCCCAGCTGTGACTAAAGTATCATCAGTATTTTTAGCGAGAAAGGTCGCCAATGCTTGTGTGGCACCCGGGAAGGACCGTGGTTTTAGGAGACCTTGGACTTTGATGGTGATGATGAGGCTAGGTCTGGCCTGAGCCTTCCCACCATCCCCTGTCATCTTGATAGCAGTAACAAATGCCATGATGTGTTGTGTTTAGTATATTTTGGTCAATTCTCACTGCTGTTTATTATGTCGGTCTGGTGCTGTGAGGTATGCTTCAAAAATTGAGGGCGCTTGCGGATTTAGGGAAAGAACAACCTTTTTGCTTGACTTTATGGTGGTTGGTCGGGTCTGTATTGGGCCTAGGCGTTCTGAATTACTTAAATTGTCAACATTGTCACTTCGCTTTCCAATTTTCAGATGAATTTTGATCGACACGTCACCTAAGGTGATCAATAGTAGTCTATCGATATGGAGTGTGATGTTATGGTTAGTAACAGAGCTCACCTCTGCTCCACTGAAGGCGAATTAAAGTGGTTGCCCTAGTTATGTAACTAAGGCATCCATTAAATGGTGATGTGATACTGGGGGAGGAGTTAGTATAGTAAAGAAGTCATGGTGGACTGTGACTCTATGACTGCTGACCACCGATGCATGACCTTATGCGCACATCACAAGTTTGCGTGAATTCGGACATGATCGCCGAGTCAAAGCACGATTCCACGTATTGTTTTCCCCAAACGACACACGCAGAATTCGTGTTCTTTAATTAACACAAATCTAGATTCTTTAAAATCAAGCTTTGTACGAAATGACTGAAGAGCTGGTCATAAATCTCTACCTTCTCAGTGTCTATGGATGAGATTATGAAAAGTATCCATGAACATGGTTCGGCGGACTTGAATCAAAGATATAATGCGGGTGACATAAAATGAAGAAACAGTATAAAATCTACGGAGGATCATGTAAGATCACTTTCCCTTTTCATTCCTCTTCCAGAATACAAAATTCTGACCCAATCTACAGCAACTTTAGTCACGTTTCGGCAATACTGGCAGATTTCTACCACCAGTCACCGATGTAGAACTGGAATTCCTGTCACGGTTGCAACAGAGCACAAAGACTTGGTTTGCTGCTACACTATATATTGTGGAAATAAGAAAGCAAAAGAACGAAAAGACTTGATCGCGTAGCTTAGACTTAGCCTTAGCCGTTACGACAACAAGATTATCATACTACTCAAGCTCCGCCATGTTATAATGCTTGAAAAGTAAGCCTATCGAAAGAGGACTGTAAGTTAGTTATGAGATTATTCCGTTAGCAATTCGGAAACTTTAAGTAATATCGGCTGACGCGGTGGAGTATGGAAATTGTGTACGAAAATCAACTTCTCATCTTTCTACATAGCGAAACGTACGGAGTTACTGGCTTGTATGATTTTACCCAGATTTATTTTCCCAACCCACCAAGACACAGAATGTATATTTTGATGACGCAGTTCGAAGCAATCGTTTAATTAAAGTCAGTTCTGCTACTTGCTAAAATTGTACATCAAACATCCTTGGTGTAGAGATGATAAAGGCGATCATGATTCTCCCCCTGCTCTTCATTTCGTGACTTAGTTTATATCGAGATGCATTAAGGTTACTGATCTGCCAGGACTTATCGTCACTAAGAAAAAGAAAAAAAGAGACCTTTCAGCATTCTTGCATCAGGTGCCGCCCTGTTTACTGCGACGATCAACGTCACCCACCACTTTTCTCGATTACCCTCCCACAATCCTTCTTTGACTCTTCAGCGGTGTCTAGATACTGGTAAGCATGCCATGCGCGAGAGGTTGACAACATACTAGGATTAGGCAGGTTTGCCTTATGGTCTTGGATCAAGCGATGAACAATCTCTTTCGCATTTTGTGAGGGTTCTCATATCAATAGACATGAGCGAGTTGGCGTTTACCGACATGATTGGTAAGAATTATTGTTTGTGTATGAATATTAGTTTAGTGGTTCGCCGGTGATTTACAATGGGAAAACCATCGGCTATGATAGGAAGAGCTTTGGCTACTCTCATAGATACTGAGAAACCCAGGATATTAAATGTGACTTGAAATCATCTCGAGAGCGATTAAAACACCCTCTAACATTGTCGACATCGTGTAGAGTAAGAGTAAGAGTAAGAATTACATTCATCGGTACGATAAGCATGTGTGCGGCCAAGGAGCTAGATCATAATCGATCAGCTGTTTAGCAAGTGACTTCATGATTTTAGAGTGAGTCAAGATTTTATACATGATATTGTTTGCGTTCAAGATATTCCATTTGTCCCGTTGATATCTGGTAACCTTAGTGCTTTCTCTATTCCACCACGCATTCTGTGGGCATTGTTCAACAAAGCCCAATAATGAGATATATTGGACAGAGATTGTGCTGAACTACAGGAATGCTTGATTAAGCTGGTTCAGGCCGTTCGCCACATCAGGTTGAAATCTAGCAATTCGAAAACGCCAAAATATCTCAATACTTGTAGAAGTAACTTGTAATAATTGTAATGCATGTTAATGTGTTCCAAAAGATATCCATCATCGCCCTAGAAAAGCAGCCCAGCGAAACCGCCAGGTTTTTTTTTTCATACCTTATAACAGTCAATTTTCAAAAGAGTTACGCCCTAGATTTGTTCTATCCTAACCCAAGCTTCGGATGTGTTCAGCTTGGGATTCCAGTTTTCGGAGAATGCCTCATTGGCAACGGCCACGGAGAATCCAAGCCAGCATCAACAGCTAACACGAGAGTTCCGCAATTGAGACGACGGAATTATATTCTTCGAGGACTGCCTGAAACTTCGTTCACATCATACATATATCGTCCTAGTGATGCAGCCATACTGTAAGTCTGTATGCCCAGTAAACAGCTGCCACGGTTGAGGAGGACAGGCTTCAATATGCTTGGTGAACCCTATTGCGGGAAATGAAGAGGATAGGCCTCGACAAGCTCGGTAAAGATCATGGCGAGAAATGAAGAGGACATGGTCAAACCAACAGGGTATTTTTTTTCAATACAACTTGCGGACTTATGCTGCAAACTTGATATCCTACCAGATAATTTCAGTAGTATTCCACATGACTGATAATTCCTTTCGCCATAGCCTCAATATCCTATCTAGCGCTTTTTTCTTGACCCATCCGCTCTCCCAATCAGGAGGGCGAAGCGCCTTGCAATACTAACAGTACTCAGTATAGAAGCCAGAGAGCTCCCAGTCAAGGATTGCCACTACTTCCGACCCCCGGACGAGGATATTTCTCGGTGCAAAGTCGTTGTGTGTGAGGACAGTATTGTGCCCGTCATGATTTCCAGCCACAGATCACAGGTTATCACTACATGTGAAAACGAATTCTCATGTGTGAGGGCCTTGACTATGGCTGTATTGAATGCTGCTTCATCATTGAAAGGCCCGCAACCGCCTCTATCGTAGTCAAAGTAGTGATCGTCGCACCATGAACCATCGATTGTGCCAATGCGGTCCGATTTGATTTCACGAAGCTCTTCCATGTATTGACGGAGCTGGTTGATCCCGGACTCCTTCTGAGTGTCATCGTACATTTTCCAAGCTGCCTCGAGTTCGATGCCCTCAATATACTCCATTATGATCGTGTGTGGCCAGATTCTTCATCTTTGTATGCATTGTAAACCTCGGGAACCGGAATATGTGTACGTTCGCGAACAAACCGCATAGGTACAGCTTCAGAAAGTCGTGTTCTTTTGCTCGATTTGACAACTGTCTTTGAATCAAGTTTGTAAACCGGCACGAATTGACGAAATCGTTCGGCTGTGTCAAGCTCGGATTGCGAGACAGTCCGCGCCGTAGAATTGTGTACACGAGCGGACACTCAAAGTCGGTGCGTTTGCTCAATTTCACTTGTTGGCTAGCTAGGTAAATGCATGGGTATGTAGCTACTGTCATAGGAAAGGCTCGTCGATAGGATTGTTTAGGTACTTGATTTTTATTCTGCTGCAAAGTGCGTCTGAAATTGCACATTAAATCACTGGTCTTTATCCGTGTCTGACATCAAGAAATGGGACAGATTGTTACAGCTGCTAAAACTTGATATTTCTTGAGCTTAGAACTTGATGTATAATAAGAACAAAAGACTTTTATAAAGTAATAAAAAAAACCCCATCCCCACACACATCAAAATTCATTTATTTATACCTTGACATCTAGTGCTCTGGCTATGCTCGGATTGTTTGGGTCAGCTGGACACAAAAATCGCCCTCGGCAAGCACTAGCAACGCCGGTGGCTCGCTGATTCAGGACATCAGGATCTCCGTCGCCGCGCCATCGCTGAGGACCTCTCGAAGTGGGATCGCTGGTGCGGGCCGTACGGAGTATACAGGACTGATTCGGAAAGAAGCGTCTACGCTGTTCCAGATAGGGACCGGGAAGGTGGGACTGGCAACTTTTTCTTTCCAAGACCGGGCTTCAGGGGTATACTCGCCAATATGCCGCTGCGGGTTTCCCCCCGAAACGGCAGACCACGGTCGGAACTGTGTGTATCAGTGTCAAGCAAGTGATCCCAGGAGTATCAGGGAGGGGATGAATGTACATGTTCTGGGAAGGACTTCCACCTCTGGGTAGATAGTCATTACCTCCATGATCAATCTAAGCATGCATCCTACCCATAAGTGAAGCATTCAATACACTTGAACGTGGACGCTTGTAAACTCAGATACCTTGCACTCCTACCTTGCTCAGTTAGAATATCGTTGTAATCGACATCTTTCAGAAGCATAACTTCCCTTGTTAGCATAAACCTCTGCACACCAGTTCCTACTTTCTACGTCCTTGTGATATAGCCAGTAGTGGCGTCGTTACGGAAGTCCACCATAACAGGAAACGTTAACGAAATGCCGGTCTACGTCTGTGCATGATTATATTATGCCACGCAGCACAAGGCAAGCTCAGCTACGCCTGAGCCAGGTTCAGGCCAGACCCACTGCCGCGCTCCGGCTGGAGCCCTGCCAGGCTCAGGCTTGGAGCAGCACAGCTTAGGTTCCAGGACGCCCGCACGGGAAATGCAACAACTCTCACGTGGAACTCAGCTTTTTACCAAGACCGCAACCTCGCCTTTGCCGATGAAATTAAAAATCCAAACATCTAAATTTATTAGCAAATGGCTAGTGAATATAATCACAACGTTCAACACGATTATTCTACCGAATTGGCGTCTTAACATATAAGTAAAGTGCTATGTTTTAGTTATACGGGGCGGGGACTGGCTATATTTCGCATGGGGGCAGTCCTGGCAGTTGATGCAACTGGGATACATACCCGGAACTCCAGGCATACTTTTAGTGCCCTTAAACTCGGACCTGGACCGAGTTGACCGAGGCCGCCTCAATGGCAGCAACGTTGACCTTGACGCGCCTAACCATTCAACTGACAAGCATAATTCAGTCTTGCCTGCCCTGACTCGAGCATCAAAGCCGGGGTCTCTTGTGGTGATACATCCTCAGCTGTGATCGTATGCCATAGCCATACATATGTCAAGCCGGATTTGCTACATCGAATCAGTCTTCCTCGCCACAGCCCTATCGCGCTCTTTGAGACGCAGCAGCAGCACGACACGCCACCCGACCTAGACCCCGTCGTGCTACCTGACCTCGTGTGTAGAATCAATCTGATATGCGCGGCATGTCCCAAGAAGCAGTTACGCCGGTGGACTGAACTATGGCCTTTGGTTCAAGAAGGCCGCCTCCCTTCCACGAGCGTAACGGATCCAGCGTACCTGCCCCTGCCAGGGCACAAAGATGGAACCCACAGCTCCAAGGCCCTGACGTCTTCATAACTTCCCCAAACCAGCAGGTCCAGACCGAGTCGAGCTCTGATGACGATGTTCAGCTTCCCAAACCCACGAGATCTTCAGATCGTCCGGCTCATGCACGCTCAATGAGCCATCCATTTCCGTCCTTGTTCGGCTCCAAGAAGTCAAAGAAACTGCCTAGCCCGGACGAGACCACCGATGACGATTTTTCCAAAGCGGGCCATGCGAGCTCACGGCCGGCTATGGCGTCCAAGAAGCCCCATCGTGGGCCAATCGACTTCTCAAGTGGAAACTGTATGACTTGCGGCGGCAAAGTGCGATGGCCGAAAGAGTTGAGTACGTTCAGATGTACAATCTGTGCCACAATCAACGACTTGACGCCGCATGGCCCAAGGACGGAGGAAGGGAAATCGGCGGCCACTGCTAGGCCGTTGTCTCTGGAGCACACAAGGAGATTGGTGCGACAGTGCTTGCTCCAAGCTTTGAAGTCGTTTACTGGTGCTGAGGAACAACACCTGTCACCGGGCTTGCCTACAAGACAGTCATCGCTGCGTACACCAGAGGAAGGTCTCTCAACGCCAACCACACAAAGCCAACACGGAAGATCACCATCGCTGGGCGTGACGCCTCCAGATAGAGACTACAATCCGGTATTTGATGACCACGGCGATGGCTGTCTCGATGCAAACCCTCTGCAGAGAGCCAACCCAGCCATTCGATCCTATTCGACTTCGTATCCAGATGGCCGTAGTCTGACTTTTCCACTGGATGGACATGCTGATGAGGGCAAGCCTCTGGACTCCAAAAGAATCTTCAAGCCGATCGAAGACTACCTGATACGCGCCTTTCAGTTTCATACAAATATCAATACCTCTTTCATTGCCAAGCGCCATAGCTTCAGTTCAAGGGCTCAACCGCAACCACAAATGCGCATCAAGAGAAAGCCAGTACCTTTACGACAAGAAAAACAAGCTATCTTTGATGACACAGCGCTCGTTGCAGACCTGGACCCCAAGATGCTTATGGTTGGAGACCTAGCAGAGAATGCGCAATGGTGGGCCGGTGGTCAGCAAGAGGCCGTTCCCAGATCGCGGTCTCAACGGAAAGAAGATAACCATGTGTTTGTCAGTTCTCGTTCACCTCGCATTGACTGGGGAGAAGTTTTAGAATGGTATACGGTTGTTACCGATGCAGCCAAGCCATGGACGGAACTTTACAAAGAAAGCCTCGAGACCGGCCAAGTAAAAGAGATGTCATGGCAAGAAAGACAACGTTTCGAAGCTACTTTACTCGAAGCACAGAGTTACTTGCAGCGTGTCTTGTTGAAATGTACGGAAATGCTCTTGAAGCGCCCTGGCAGATTGCTTGAAGAGCCCCAAGACGTCAGGTTCTTACTACTTCTCGTCGTGAATCCGCTGCTGGCCTCAGACCACAAGAGCTTTGCTGGCGTATACCAGGATTCTAGCAAGGGGAAACAATCGACACACATCTCCCAAATTACTAGCGAGGAACGGTCTGCGATGGGACGGCACTCGGGCATTATCAAGAGAATTCTAGGATTGATATCGAACTCCTCAGATCAATGTCATCACCAGCTCGTGGCTTGGTTCTCTAAGCTTCCTGGGCATCTCTTCCTTCAAACTAAAGACCTTATCAACACTTTTGTAAACTACCGCTTAAGGCGGTTGAGCGAAAAGAAGTTCGAAGTCGAGGTCGATCTAACTGGGGGCTTGATCCCAGATCTGTCGAATTCTCGCACAGGGGCAAGTGCAGCGTCACTCCATGCTGCGTTAGCACCACCAGCGACTTCCAGGAACAAAAAGCAGTCACCTGAAACACCAAGAATCACATATAGTGACGATTGGCAGCTCAAGGCCGGCGCCAAGGTAATGGCCTTGATATTTGCAGCCAATAACCAGACACACGTCCGGCGGAATGAAGTAAGTGTTAGGCACGCTCACGACCATCTGCTACCCACAAGCGATTTCTATAATACGATGCTCGACTGTCTAGATTTCAGGACGGACTTTGAGATGTGGGAGTCAAGAAAGGGCAAGTTTGCATTCTGCCAATACCCATTTTTTCTTAGTATCTCTGCGAAGATACAAATCCTCGAGTTTGACGCCAAACGTCAAATGCACGGAAAAGCGCGGGACGCTTTTTTCGACAGTCTTTTAACCCATAAGAACAATGTACCATATCTACTGCTCAGTGTACGGCGTGAGTGCCTTATCGAAGACAGCTTGGCAAAAGTCAGCGAGGTTGTTGGAAGCGGCAGTGAAGATATCAAAAAGGGACTAAGAGTAGAATTTCGAGGTGAGGAAGGTGTTGATGCTGGTGGTCTTCGCAAGGAATGGTTCCAACTATTGGTCAAGGAGGTCTTCAACCCTGATCATGGTAAGTCTCTCTCATCTGGGTTCACGAAAAATTTACTAACAGCGATAGGACTATTTGTTTTTGATGAGGACTCTCAGTTTTGCTATTTCAACCCACATACATTTGAGACAACAGACCAGTATTTTCTTGTCGGGGTTGTCCTAGGCTTGGCAATATACAACTCTGCCATTTTGGATGTGGCCTTCCCACCCTTCGCATTTCGAAAACTTCTCGCAGCGGCGCCTGCATCCTCAACCAGCAATTCTACTCTCCAGCGACAGATGATGACGTACACGCTAGATGACCTAGCCGAGTTTCGGCCACGGCTGGCTCACGGCCTCCGCCAACTCCTGGACTTTGAGGGCGACGTGGAAAACACCTTCTGCCTAGATTTCGTCGTTGAGATTGAGAGATATGATACAAGGTCTCGTACCCCGCTCTGCCCTGGAGGTGATACGAAGCCAGTCACGAACGCCAACCGACGAGAGTATGTCGATCTTTATGTCAAGTACCTGCTCGATGAGGCCGTGAAACGCCAATTTGAGCCATTTAAGCGCGGTTTCTTCACTGTCTGCGCCGGTAATGCCTTGTCGCTCTTCCGGCCTGAGGAAATCGAACTGCTGGTTCGAGGATCCGACGAGCCACTCGACATAACATCTTTACGAGCAGTGGCCAAGTATGCGGATTGGAATACCGACAAACTCGATAGGGAGCCTGCCAATGAACCCACAATTGATTGGTTTTGGGAGTCATTTGCCGCTGCGCCCCCGAAGGACCAGCGGCGGCTTTTGTCCTTCATCACTGGCAGCGACCGCATTCCCGCCATGGGAGCGACGTCACTTGTCATTAAAATAAGCTGTCTTGGTGCAGATACTGGGCGATACCCAACAGCGCGTACGTGTTTCAACGTTATTAACCTTTTTCGCTATAGATCACGGGAAAGACTCGAAACATTGCTATGGCGCGCCGTCAACGAAAGTGAAGGATTTGGACTGCGATAGAAACGGCTGAGCAGAGCCTTGGATGATCAAAAGCATTGCGTGCATAATATTGGCGTTCAAGACCTTGCGTATGATTAGGATACCATGGAGTACTGGTTAATGTAAACGTGTAGTCGTGCTTATGTAACTCTTACCGGCGCTCAATCACATCCATTTGCTTTGTCTCTGACCCATCAAATGCCTGCCGGAGAGTCAGGCCAGTGAACCGACAATCTTGTTGACATACGGATATTAGAGTTCAGTTGCGGAGTGACTTGTTTCGAAGCTGTCTTATTAAGTTATAGCGTCGTGAGCTTTTGTTAACTGACTCGTGTTATAGCAAAAGGCGTGGATTATGTTGTGGAATTAACAGATCGAGCCAGACTCAACACGAGTGCGCCTCGTAAAAGGGCGTCGAAGGAGTTCATCTCCGACATGAGGATTTCCGTGATTCTCCGTTGCACTGTTTGTCTAGAAGCTATCACGCAGAGAAACATTTTCCGTGTCGAAGTCATGCGAATTCAGCCCTATGAAGGACGTGGTATTGTAGGTTCCAGTTTATTTTCGTCTCTAAGTGGGTTCGGAAGTGACCGCGGCTACAAATCAGACCATTCGGACCCCCGCATCATGCCATTATCACTTGATTTCTATAATGAGGCGTCGCCAATTGCACGAGACGGATTTGGCAGCAGTTGAAGATGAAACTTTTAAAATAATAAAAAGCGTTATATGTCTTAAGGAACTAATTTTGTAGACTCGCAATTACTCAGTTAATTCGTCAAGCAACTTAACTATTCAGAGGAGTCTTCCGTTGCGGAACGTGACCCTGCTTTCAAATCCAAGCCAGTAACTTGTTGCTTAGCCTGAAGATTAACTCGCACGCCCTAAAGTCGCCTTCCTGCAAGTAGCCAATCGTTGCCGAAGATGTTACCAGGAGTAGCTCCCATGAAGCATATAGATCGTAAGGATCTATATACGAATCTGGAAGCCCGCATTCAGTACCTCCACACATTCTTAGACTTCAGCTCGAGTATAGCGCCTATCACCCACGTCTCTCTCCCACGGGCAGACTAACGAAACCGCAGATGACATCGAAGCATTAATATGGGGTGCCAAGTACATCAAGCAGCTGATCCCCGCCATCGTCAACATCGTCTACCACAAACTTCTGCAGTACGACATTACAGCAAGAGCTTTTGAGACGCGGAGTACAAGTTATGAGGGTCCAGTGGACCCAACCCTCCACGACAACAGCCCGCAGATCCTCCATCGCAAGATGTTCCTGCGGGCCTACTTGGCGAAGTTGTGCTCAGACCCCTCGACGATGGAGTTCTGGGAATATCTCGATAAGGTCGGGTAAGTTGCCGATTGGTTCCCGCTTACTTGCGGACCCAGCGCCGCCGTCTCCATGTACACCTGCTGACGCCAATGTTCGCTGTTGTAGCATGATGCACGTGGGCAGAGGCCGCGAGCATCCGCTTCACATAGAGTACGTCCACATAGGGGCATGTCTCGCTTTTATCCAAGATACTATCACGGAGGCACTGCTTAATCACCCGCGGCTAAGGATGGACAAGAAGATTGCCTTGGTCAAGGCCATCGGCAAGGTGATATGGGTCCAGAATGACCTGTTCGCCAAATGGTATGTCCGTGATGGGGACGAGTACAGCGAGGAGATGGAGAAGCCGGAGATCGAGCAGGAGGGCTATCTGAACGGCAAGAAGGTACTGGTCGACATCGAGGAGGCCGCGTCGCCGGCGCCGGCAGCTGGGGTTTGTCCCTTTTCAGGGAGTAGAGGGGCCGATGTCAGCGTCTGTGATGGTTGCGCAGACAAGGACGATGACTGCAAAACCATACTAGCCGGATCCGTGTCCAGCGAAAGCTGAAGGGTCAGACCTGTGTCGACATCGGGGATATGCTCGAACGGAGGTTAAGAGACCTAATCCCAATTAGATGTTCGATGTATGAGTAAGTCTCATGGGCTTAAACCCTGCATGCTTGCTTTTTTTATGGGGCCTACTTGTTGCATGCGTGTTGGATTATCTTCGACTAGGATAGGCATCCAGGCATTGTGGCAAGTACTAAGCACTACCCGGGGTATAAAGTTTTCGCTACAGACGATAAAGCCGAGCCAGCTTTCCGAAAGTACGCCGTTGGTAATTAAGTCGCACACAAATCTTATGTATGTCCATGAATGTGCAAGATCATCTTGCTAGTCCTACATTGATCGTGACTTGCCCCGCAAGCCTCTTGTCCTGGTCCCGGATAGTTGGCCGTTTATCTTTATGGGTCTGCTATGCCAAATTAACAAGTCTATGTTTTGACCGTTAAGCTAGTTCAGCCGAGTAACCAAGGGGATTAAGGGCCAGGAATGCAAGTTCGAGGCCGTAGAGTTACACTTGCAATCATGACACTGGCTAATGCAAGAGCAGGACTTGTTCGAAATGGGCTTGGGGGGGGGGGGGGGGGGGGGGGGGGGGGGTTCCTCTCTCGCTTCTTCTTTGCTTTTGAATGATTTGTACTGTCTTGACAGTCTCGGTGAATTCAACGTGCTGACCTTGTGTGGTTATCCGCGTAGACATGAGTTGGCCGACAAGTAACTCCCGTACTCTCAATATCACGCAACTAGTTGCATGTATAGTACACTCTCCCGGGTCTGTCATAAAACCGGCCGCGCATACAGCAAGTCTGCATGATAGCATGCAAGCACGGGAAATAACACGCTGTCTATGACGGAACGTGCTCCTTCAAATCTTATACTCTTGATTGGTGAGTATGAGTTTCGAACGAGCTGCAAGGTTGTGCGTGCTTGCGTAGCAGCAAAGAGCGGGTGGCCTTCAAGCCCAATCAAAAGACCAGTTGGAAATACTGGAACGACGTCCGAAGCTGAGAGCTCGCGGTGTCTCCCTCGCGCTTCAATGGTTTAATGTTTGTACATAGTCACTACTGTTGGACCCCCCTCGCCTCCAATCGAGCCCCACCTCCCACCTCCGAGGTCCTATTGGAACCCGATCTACTCCCGCCCACGTATCCGTAGCGAAGGAACTAGTTGGACCCAGACCATGGGAAGTCTCACAGTAGCAAAGTTCAATGGAAGTTTTAACTCTGGCAATTCCCAGGGTAGCACTGGCGTTCAGGTATCGGTGGCCGATTTCATTTGCCCAGTCACTTAGGGCCCATCGCCGGACGAGCAGTTCATATGCAGGTCAATCGAATCACAGCAACGCCACACCAATGTGTTTCCACATGCCCGGGCCCAAGCCTGGGACAAGCAAGTCCTCATTCTAAGTTTGGTATCTTGTAGTCAGAACATAGCAGATGCTGGAAAAGTCAAGACTTTCTTTCCGAGGCCCCGTGCCATAAAACAGAGCTTGCTGCCACCCCCTTCCTTGGAAACACGTCTCCGCTCTGTAACCATATTCATCATGGCAACTAGTGTAATCAACAACTTCCCCCCATTCAACAACAACACGCACCAGCACCTCGATAACTCTTTTTACTGGGATGACTGGTATCAGCATAACCCGAGGTCATCCATACCCTTTGCAGCACCAACACACCCCGCCCTGGAACACAAGCTATCACTAGATCCGACACTGCAATCCATGATATCCTCGGTTGGCTTTGTCAATCCAGACTGCCTACAATCCCTGTCCACAGCAAGCACAAGCCCAGTCAGCTCTCAAAGTGCGGAAGACAACAGCTTCATCCCGGCCGGCAGAACCAAGCGACGTAGGGCAAGCAAGGGCACCAACAAGCCTACCAGTCCCCAATATGTCGAGGTATAGCCACCTGCCAGACTGTCCCTGTTTGCGACGTTGACCATGAGAGTAGTATCACGACGCCCTACACGAGGAACTTCACCACAAAGGTATAGCTGAGCCTGTCAGACGAGAGCGCAATCGCACAGCCGCAGCCAAATGCCGTGCCAAAAGCAAGGCAGCAGAGGAAGTCCTGAAGGAGAAACAACAAATCGAACGCGAGAGGAATCAAGTATTGCGAAATGCTTTCGATGAGCTGAGCAACGAGGTCCTGGCACTGAAACATGAGCTACTCTGTCACTCAGCGTGCAATCACCCGGTGATTGACAATTATCTCAGGCATAGCGCGGATCAGATTAGCAGAGGGATGAGTCTCTCGTCAACTTCGACGCGAAGCAGCCCCAGGATAATCGACTGATTTCGAGAGGCAGCTGTATTTCATTCATACCAATCATGTTCAGGGAAAAGCGATGGCGTTTATATTCCACGGCCTACGGGTTTCTGATGTCGTAAGTAGCAATACGTTGGTACCACGCTATAATGTACAAGCTTTAGCTTACGAGGAAACGAATGGTGGCTTCCGTCAATTGCCTGAAATGAACTCGACAAGGTCGTTTTGCACTGGTGAGTTCGACAGCTTGTCAAGTGATGATAGCGTCCGAAAGGCGACAACTTGTCTCTGACATATTCGTCATAAGGGTTCATAAGGGCCGAGGACAACAGTTGGTATGTTGGGATGCATTATCTACGTTCGAGGCTGATACAAGAAGTTTATAGGTTAGCGGGCTACGTACTTGCCGTGCTGATGAAAACATCTAGATCAGATATTCCAGCTTTCCACCGGCTGCCACTAAACCACGGTTTTAAAGTTATGATCAGGTTGCTGAAAGTCGAATCATATACGGTCACATGTATCTTACTAGGTGTATATTTACAAATCAGTAGATAGGAGGCTTTAATCGAGGTTCGATTCTTTCCAACAGCAATGGCACGGGAGATCTCTAGGTATACAACATGGACGAAACACATTACAAATTCACCGAAATAGCCCAAGCCTCTGTGGATTCAGCTCACAAAGCCTTCGCAGGAATGTGTTCAGCTCCGCCACCCCATGATATCAGTGAAGTTTGCAACCTGTGCGAGGTGAGGAAATATAAAGCAGGCCAAATCAACAATGTGGAAGTAGTCTCCATACTCGAAAATAGCTAGTTCGCGAGAACATTCATTTATCACCTGACGAGGAGCCCTGTTGACACGCTCCCGCAGCAAATCGACACTCCTAGCTGCGCGTTGAGGCTCGAAGATTTATCCCCGCCGCCTCGAGATTGTTTATGGGCCTGAACCGTGTACTATGTACGGACCATAAAGGCACACCAAGACCATAGGCAGTTTATTTGCGCAGCCAATCATAGAGCTCGGACAAGGTCCCGAGTGAGCTTTTTGCTCTACAGCTTGAGCATTGACACGACTTGTGTGGTGCCACCATTCGGTCATTATGAATTTCCTTTTCTATTTAATTTTCGTATCTCCTCTTCTGCAGCGGTGTCTCAGCATATGCAATGAGTCGAAAAAGTGTGAGCCCAACAATTGCCGCGTAAGTCTACAAACCCCTATCGTAAGGCTGCCGAGCCCATAAAAGCAGGCAACCGTCCGGACCCAACGCCAAGACACAAGAATCTCTCAACAGACATATTCAAAGTCACAGCTTCCTTGGCGAATTTAACTGCCGATACTCTTATTAATTGCTCATAACTGTGTTGGATTTGTATTGAGCATTAGTGGGTGTTAGGATCTGGAGTTGACAGTTATTTCCTACTTGATGCGTCACTGGATGTAAACACACATCATCGCCATATGGCAATGTCCCATTGATTTGCCACTTGAGTGCTAGAACAGCTTCAATATGACGGATTAATCTCCCGGCTCTTGATGCTGTCGAATGCTTGAAAATCTCTTCATCCTGAAACCACGAAACTGTGATTATTCCAGCGGGCGTGCGGTAGGGCACTTGGAGAAGATAAAATTAGACAGGAGACTTAGTAGTCACGCTGCCTTGGACGTTATCCTCCCTGCCGTCGACTAACCAGCAGTCCTGACTTGAATACCTTGATCCATCTGAGTACGACCAGCTAGAATACGACCTGAATTAATTTACATTGTGACAAAGGGTTCGCATCACTCGGAACACACCTCCGGCTTTAATACAACATTTAGACGGAGATACTTTTGTCCTATCTACATACAGCGTACGATACCGTTCTCAACTTGTATATTGACATCGTCCTGTTCCGCAGGGTGTCACATTCATTGCACGACAGCGAATACTGTGTCGGCCCCCCTCTGATACATCTTCGAGCATAACTCTTCTCAGCAGGTAGAACCTGGTTCTAAGTTTTCCTGCAGACTCTGTGCTACCAATGACACTCTTAACCATGACGCCTTTTTATTTCTTTGCCACAGATGCCATTCCATGTCTGGGATTCAGATGATACAACTTCATAGTGATTGGCTGGTAGCACCGTCACGCAATACTCTCCATCGGCGTGCTCCATATAATTGGCCCCAAGAACCCAGGAATGGATAGAGTTGCCGCAGTGTGAGTATCCTGAGATCAAATAATATCGCACCGGATCTTCAAACTACTGGGCCCCTGGTCAGATCAAAGATTTCCTCGGGACCAGCAGCACCTTCCATTGTCTAGTATATCCACAACTACGCCGTTTATGGTTCACCATGTTCAGCTGTTGCTGTGACTTTCGGATCTTTGGCCTGGATTAGTGTACTTCACGACTTCTTGAACATTCACTCCAGAACCATGACGTCGACCTGGACGATCGTAAGATTTGCGGCGTCCAGATAGTTCCAACCCCGTAGACCAAACATGACCCTGAGTCGACACACATACTCAGCAGGGATACGCCCCTATACGTCCATTCAATGGGCTGCGAGCCGATCCCAATACCGTGGTCAACTTCCAAAGACGTAGTCTTCAGACAACAATAGCATACGCGTGGAACTTCTTTCACGTCAGACAGTAGTACTTGTATGTACAAAAGAAGCACAACATCTACGCATGATACAAACTTGAAGATGCAGCATCATATCCGCCCTATTACATAGCTTTGACTGCTGCCTTGATCGGCACTAATACTCAGCACTTCTATATACACCCAGTATAATGGTAAGAAGAATGAGAACAGGACGTTATCCAAATGAGAGTTTGATTGGTCCAATGCTTGCTCAGCAAGAGGAAAATGACAAAGACGAAGGGGGTAAGAGTTGACGTCCAAGTGGCCGATCCCGTATGAAAGTGAGAGTGAGCAACAACTGCGAATAGTGGCAAACTGTACATAACGCATCAATTGTCGTTCCTGCTACTCTATACTGCCTAATAACGTCGATAGTAGGCCCCAGCTAAGCAGTCAGCTCGAAACACTCCGATCGAATAAGTACTGAAACAAACAGTACAAGTAATGTAACAAAATCAGCCCCTAGCGCGTGGAGGCCATGGTATCTGTCGGAGCTCCATGCGTTGATTGTTCCTTTCATGCCACACTCGTTTGTCCTCTGTTCTTGCATATCCTGCCCGAAGCCGTCCGACTCGGGTCAATTCTACACGACGATTGATTCCGTCTGACTCGCAGACAGCACCAAGCGTCTCCAAACCAGTGTCACCAAGGCGTACATATGAATCAATCCAGTGGTGTCAGAGAACCCATGCACAACCACATTATCAAGGCCGAAAATCGCAGGCTAGAAAAGCCTAGCAATCCGGTTTGAGAAGCATGATCCAGAAGACTTCTCAATCGCATTTTAATTTTATGGCCCCTAAAGGGCGGCAATTCGAATGCGACTCACTGCAGCTGAACCTCGTACATGGACACTATCCACCTACATCAGAACGAAGACCTTGCTCTATGCTAACAGCAAGAACTATTTAAAAGGAAAAGGAGAGAGAGAAAAATAAGGAAAAAAAAAAACCGAAGAAGGGGAAGAAAGGGAAGAGGCAGGCGGTCAACGGGTATTGATAAACATTCTTTTTTTTTTTTCCAATTCCTCAAAAGGCATGTTCTTGACATTACTGGAAAATGTACTTCAAACGCCCCAGTTTCAGAGACATATCACATTGATCTGCAGGCGGAGAACAACCCCAAGTCCGCGGCGGGACAAAAGAAGTTTTCTTCCTCCAGATCTCGCTTCGCGGGAATGAGAGCAGGCAGGACAAGGACGTGAGGTCATATCTTGAGTGTCTTGATGGCGTATCAAGGCCTTCACTTGGGCCGAACTGCACCAAACCTCGGCTCGTGGCCGGGGCCAGTATACCATCTTTCTATTTGTTTATAACACTGATGGGAACGTTCTTCCCAGATACCCATTCCGCTCCGCTGATCCCCCAGACATTTTCCATCTCCGAGTCAAGCAGACAAGGGGCCACCACCACCCCCAGGCCCCCCCAGATACAAGCGGGCAGTTGCTCAGTAATGACGAGCAATGCCAGCAGAGACCAACAGTATTGACGTTACGATAAAATAACAAAGTTAAGATTCAAGTTTGCAGTACATTATCATTGCTCGGCCTAGCCGTGGGGATATCACTAAAGCAATAATTATCACAGCCCGCATACGCATTTCTGCCCTTCCATTCGCTGGTTGTCCATTTTTTACACTCAGTCCCATGGTCTGGATCGTACCGAACTTCTTTGTCTCCTTTCCCTATTCTTCAGATAGCATCATCGAATCCGGAAACATTTTTCGCATCCACACCTCTTTCCGAAAACGCCATTATGCTCACTTCTTGATACTGTACACCGAATAGTTCATTAGAGTACGCCGTTTGGTTACCCTTCGAAATACTCGATGTGCGCGCTGTTGTGTCCCCGCTTCTGCAAGTCCTCACTTCCCCGGATTGCTGCTACCCAGTTTGTCTCAAAATCTCTGCCTCGTCCCAGATATGAACCGGCGATATTGCAAAGGCTACAAAAAGGAAACTAGTGGTATCATGTCGTTACAGTCGTCGTTTATAATATACATATACGAAAGAGGAAAGTGTGCAGTCGGCACGTAGTGATGACGGTATGTTAGCGCCACAGGTATGTTCGATGCAAGCCGCGATTGAGGATGATAGCCATCATAAACCGTTAGTCGTTGGCTCGCAAGCTTGAACGAGCTCAGGTTCAGGCGTAAATTTCTCATCATCGAGACGCATAACCTTACGCAAGATCTTAAGCGTGATGCTGACCACGTCCTCGACACTTGACCATGGACCCAGCCGGTCGATGAGCCTTGCCACTGGGCCACCGTCGTCTCCGCTCTGGTTGTCTTCAAGACGTTTCCTAGCATCGCCTGCAATCTTCCACATCTGTTCTTGATCTCGCGTGGCTTGAAAGAGCTCACGTGCATTCATGGCGTTGTCCGGACCCATGGACAGCAGACTTCGGCAATAACACAACAGAGTGATGCAATGCAAGCGTAAGAAAAGGGCCATGAGCTGATTGGAGTTGCTACAATCGGTCCTGTATGCTCTCAACAAGGGCATCATGCTCTTCCAGATATTGGGATCTCGCACCTTACGCTCAGCATCCCGCATATCGTCCATCGCCTTGAAGCCTGCCAGATATGCCACAAGAGATTGCAAGGCAGTAGCCATGACAGCGTTGCGCTCACGCGCCGTAGAATTGAGCGGACCGCCACCATCCCTTGGCTTGATGATACGATCTCTTTGATGCTTCAGCTTTGTTCCGAGCGCTGTCAAAGTACTATGCTGTTGCCTCAGGCGGTTGGCTCTCTCTGGATCCACCGAAGCTGATCGACGGTCCGGGACGGGAGCCGCTGGTGTGAGATTATTAGCGGCACCGGGTGTCCCAGCTTGAGAGCTACTGGAGGCGACACGCTGCATGGTCGTGGGATGCCTAGCCGGGGTAGATGGCTGAGCAATGTCAGAAGTCCTGGGGCGCTTGATTGCAGATGGCTGTTCGCTTGCGTCGGTAGCCGTGCGGGGACGCTTTCGGGCAGTCGCCGTCGACGGCGGCTCCAAGCTATCGGATCGCTCTCGGCCTGTGCGATCATCTCTCCTTGGGGGTTCGAGATGATCCCTTCTCGAGGTTTCGGTCTTTTTCTTGGGGGCCAGAGCCAGTAGCCGAGAAACGGTCTTAGCAATCCTTTTCGGGTATTTCAGCTTTACAATCTTGGTAGCTTGCTCCTCCTTCCTTTCTTTCTTGGTTTCAACGTGGATGCTTTCCTCCCTGATCGACTTCATAGGCGCCTTCTTGGCGGTGCCCGAAGCATTAGATAATAGAGTGGTCCTTTGGGTCGAATCCTTGGGGGGGTTCAATTTCCTTTCCGCCATTGCTTGAGCCTCTCTCACTACCGGGGGAAGTGTAGGAGATAACAGCGGCGGTAGATCGCTCCTTCTTTTTGGTGTTGGTGCCTCAAGCTCTTCCTGTTGCCTCTTGGACTGCGGTTTCACATCTTTGTCTGCTGCTCTAATCTGGGGACTCTGCTCGTATCCTGGGATTCTCGAACCAAGCTCCGGACCTAGGGGGGACAGCATAGGTATGGACTTGAGCTCTTTTGGGCCGGAATTCGTCTTTTCCTTCTTCGTAGTGTTGTCTTTACTGGCGACAGACTTCTGAGAAGAGCCGTTGACTTGACTACTCCTCGCATTGGCGGGGGGCATAGGGGATGGCTTGAGCTCTCTAGACAGCTTCTTATCAAGGTTAGCACCTGACCTATCGCTAGACCGGCTTGGAGTATCCGACTTTGAGCCTCCGCGGGAGAGGTTGTGGGTTGGTGTGCTCTCAAGCTTGGTGCGCTTGACTGCTCGATCATCGCTCATATCCGAAGGGCGCTTCTTCCTCTCAGGAGACGGCTCCGCGCCCGGGCGGCGCACATCAGGCTTCGGAGGTAAGCTGGGATGCGCTCTCTTCAGAGTAGCTTGTTTAAGCATGTTGTCCACCGAGGGCGACCGTTCCTTCTTAATGGACGGTATTCGTTCCTTTTCGATGGGCCTGGTTGTGGGGGCGGGGGCGGGTTTCGAGGACGGCGTCGATGCGTTGCTGTCGATATCCTGCTTCTTCTTCTTATAATCGGATAGAGATACCTTTGTTCTGGGCTTGTTTGGGTCTGGAGGTGGTTTTGCGGGTTTGGGCGCATGGCTTTCTTCGGCGCGGATATCGGAGTAGGCTCTTGTAAGCAGAAGGCCTCTGTCGACGTCGAAGAGATAAGTCATGTACTGCAGGGGCCGGATGACATCCTCCTCGAGGCGCGTGTCGTTGGGCTGCAGGTGGTATCGCGTATCGGGGGAGATGGAGAGCTGATGGGGGCGGTCGGGCAAGACGCTGACTAGACTCTTGATAGACTTGGCGGCCGCCTCCATGGTCGTCTCTTTGTCCTCATGCAACCTCGGCCAGTTGCGCACAGTGAGGGACTGGTCTCATGAAAGAAGAACGCGGTGGAGGTGCGTTCTTTGTGTTGTGTGGATACGGACGGTAGCGGCAAGGGTATTGGTATTGGTGTTCCGTGATAGTAGGTCGGACAAAGAGTGGCTAGGCCGTGCGGTGATACAATCAATATGAGGAGCCTCCGCGAGAGAGTGAGAGAGGTAAGGTGCGAATTGTCTGACTTTAAGGTTTAGCGGTTCTTGTTCTCCCAAAGATCAAGAGAGATATGGAGAAGTAGGGTGTTGTTGATATGCTCTGCCCGGTAACAAGTATATTTTTGGACAGGGGAGGTAGAAACTGCGAGATAGACTGACCTCAAGTCTTGAGATGAACTGAAAGGGAACGAGCGACAGTTGCCAATGACGGGAAGATGCACCGAGCCAAGATGATACAGCGCGATGATTCCCAGAGATGGCTGCTGTGTTGTATCAAATTGAGAATTCACCGTGATAACTGTGCATGTGTTTGTGTGTGTGTGCGTCTCTCTCTCTCTCTCTCTCTCTCTCTCTCTCTCACACACTTCTCTTGTCCAGCGACGTAAACGCGATCGACCGGGTAATTGACTGAATGAATGAATGAATGATTGATTGACTGGTTGGTTGGTTGACTGATGGATGGATGATTGTCGCTGCTTTTGCTTGCCGGATTACCTAACCTCCGACGTTGAGTCCTCTGCTTTGCGACAAGGCGTGGTGTCGTGCGCGACAACCCATGTGAGATTGGGAACGGGGTCGCGTCCCAAGTGTGCTCTGGTTCGTGATAGTGGGTAACCAAGTACCTACCGTACGGCAAAGTAATTGTTTGATTTGGTAAATGGAGAAATTGATGTGTCGGAGAATGTGATTTGATTGTGCTGCGCTTGTCTCAAGCGACGGGGAGTGTCGATTCGATGATACGATAGGCGAATCCAATCCGACTCGATCCAGTTCTGCCCAATACAATCCAATTCAATTCAATACAGTTCAGGAAGACGCCAGTAAGGTGAGGTGAAGATGAAAAAGGCGGGTTGGCCGATCCCACTTGGTTTGGGTGATCCCGATCCGCGACGGGGGTCTTTTGAGGGTCTGCTGGTCTTGGGCTTGGACTTGGGGGGAAGGCTTTGGGGCTTGCATCCGGTAAGTAGCCAGCAACAGAAATTGCCTATGGAAGGTACTTGATGTAGACTACAACCATATATGGAGTCTATGTAATAGTACTGTAGGTTAGATAGGGAGGGAAAAAAAAAAAGGCAATCGAGGTCAACTGCAAGGATGCTCGCTACCAGGCATGGGAAAAGAGAGGGGGACAAGAGGGGAGCTATCCGGCAGGCTCAGGCTCAAGCTCAGGCTTCACAAGCTTGAACGCTTTCTCTGAGTTACATACTACATATCCCTATGATACTCCCTCCGTGCAGACCTAGAAAAGAGGCGTGTGTACCCCCAACCCAATTTGGGTTTGGTGCAGGACATTGCCGATTCTGCGACAAATGCCCATTTTGGCGTCTGCCTGCGTTGGTTACAATATGTGCATATATCAACGGCATGTTTGCAGGTTGAAAGGTCTCAAACAAAGCATTACTCACACGAGCTTAATCTAGCCAGATGATGGCGAGTTATCTAGGTGAAAACATCAAAATTTAACCCGTCAACGTAGCGGGACCCAGCAAAGGGGTACACTAACTGGAGCTCTGTGTGCATGCACTCGATTTTGTTTACGCTGGGCGTGTTACGGAGTAGTCTATCTACATATGCAAGCTGAAAGACGTCTAACCTAGACTGGTCCTTATCATATATCTTCAGCTCTGACACTTGCCAATAGATGTCTACAGTTCAGCTTGAGATAAGGCGAGCAAGCATGTTGGGGAACGTCGAGCCGGTCCCAGGTGCGGTGTGAATAAGAATTGAAGTGTATTGTCAATTGATGACGATTACCTGGGATCCCACCTTGGCCGGCATCTTCAACGACCTGCCAGGAAGGTGGATATGGGTATAGAGATGGATATCAATATGGATGTGGAAACAGCCGGCGCAGGATTACATAAGAGGCTCGGTTCATCCCTTGTCCATTTAGTTCAGTTGGGCCAAAAATAATTTAATTCTGAGCCTCCCTCCCGGCACCAAGTCAAGTATGGGATAGCTTGAGGTCAGTCACAACACAATATCTGATCATCTGGATATACACAGTAGCTTGCATCCAGCTACTAACCTTACTGAGCCGCATTTCGACACACGACGTTCGGCCACTATCCAATTCGGTTCGATTCGATTCAATCAATCTTTTCAGTTCAGTTTACCCTTTACCAATCAAAGTCTCTGACACCAATTCTATCTGCCGCAAGAGCCCGCTGAAGCTCTAGCATTACACTTTTAGTCAATCCCATCCGGATCCGGATACTCGCCAGGCATCGCCGTCACAATGTCAGGAGAACTACCCAACAGCTGGACCACGACGGGTATGCTGCTGCCCACCAGCATCGTCGCCCTGCTCACGGGCTACCTGCTCGGCATGTACACCGTCCAGGGCTACCTGATCCCTCCCTCCCTGTCCGAGGAGCGGAGGCGCAACCTGTCCGACCCCGTCGAGAGCGACGAGTCCGACGTCGACGTCGACGACACCATACTAGACCACGCCCCCAACTGGGTCAATTCCACCGAGGCCGACAGCCGGGACGGGCTGAAGCAGAGAAAGCCCAACAAGGCGACAGCCCGGAGCGAGGGCAAGCTGGTGGACGTCGACAGCAGCAGCACACCGCCGGCGAACTTGGGCAGCCCGAACGAGGAGTGCAAGCTGGTGCTGGTTGTGAGAACGGATTTGGGCATGACAAAAGGTAACCATCATCCCCGGCTGCCCCTTCACAATAAGAACAAGGAGAAGAAGAAATCGCTTGTCTGTAAACAATATACTGACGTGCATTGGTTTCAAACAGGCAAGATCGCAGCTCAAGCTTCCCACGCCACCCTCGCATGCTACAAGACCTTGTCGCGCAAGTCGCCTACGTCGCCCGAAGGCCAGCTACTGAAGCGCTGGGAGCGCAACGGCCAGGCCAAGATCGCCGTCCAGGTCAAGTCGCAACAGGAGCTTCTGGATCTCATGGGCAAGGCCCGAAGTCTGGGGTTGACCGCCGAGGTGATACAGGACGCTGGACGCACACAGATCGAGGCTGGCAGCATGACCGTCCTCGGTGTTGGCCCTGCACCTAAGAGCTTGATCGACCAGGTCACAGGAGGCTTGAAGCTGTTGTAGGTGAAATTGCTCGTTTCGCGCCAGAGTGGTCCGAGTTTGCGTCCTCAACCTTGTAGGAGGGGAAACGGAGAAGGCGATCAACGCCGTTGAAACAGAATGACCTGATGATATATCATATATGGAACAAGCGGTCGACACAAAAAGGCTTCCGGAGACATAGACATAGATGGCAAAGGCGTTGAACTGGTGGCTATCTTGCAAGACAATGCAAATACGAATGACAGTTTTGACATGAGCCTTATCTGTCCAAGTAAAATGAATATTTGACTATGATTTGCACACAAGGCATAGAGCAACAGGCTCGCTCGTCATCTGCATGGGTCCCAGTAAGGCGGGTCTTTATTGCCAATCATGCGGGTATATCATTGTCAACGTGGGGGGATGAAAGACAAAAACCTAGGACCATCAATTCCCCTCTCGCCGTGCTACACTTGTCCTTTCGTGACAAGAAAGTACATGCTCTTTTTGGCCCCGAAACCAAGCCAAACAAGCACATGCTGGGTATCCGTGCTGATGCATACAATGTAAATAATAATACCGGCACAACACTGAACAGACATCGCCATTCCGTTCCCTCCCAGACCGATGCCTCACTAGGGTGGGCGTCAGCTGCAACATGCTACCACCTTGGCATTATGGCGAAAAGCTGGTAAACACGAACTTCAGCATTTCCTGGATGTGCATCGAATCGAAGCGTGAAGAGTTTGTGCACCCAAATGTTACCGGTAGGCTCCAGAACCACTGCGTGCCGACGCTGTCCTTGATGTATCCCCGGTAGTAGGCTCAAGTCTTCTCTTCTTGCTCATGTCGTTGAAATAAGTTTGGGGCGACGCGGGCCGTTTGCCAGCCTGTTGTTGTTGTTGTTGTTGTTGTTGTTGTTGTTGTTGTTGTTGAGGTGCCCATGCTTCCATCTCTGCCCGCAGCACTTTGAACTGCCGATCGGCGGCATCTAATCTGGTTGTCGCTACATCCATCCTGGGACCAAGCTTTTGCGCATATGCGTCCAGTTGTCGAACCATGTCCTGTGCGATTGATCCAGTATTAATGTTGCTGATATAACCATTAAGGGCCTGCATTTGCATCTCCTGTTGTTCGAGTTGACCTTCAACTTTCTTCTGCAGGTCGTTGCGCGCAGCCGCTTCCTCTTGTAGTTTGGTCTCAACTTTTCCTAGATCTTCGCTGATGTTTTTCTCATTACGACGAACCATTTCGACATGGTGAGAGATTTTCTGTGACAGCTGGAGTATACTTGGCCCGTATTTCTCGTCCTCAATGGCCTTGACTCTGTCCGCGAGTTGCGAATCGACAGTCGAGGGACTAACACGAGAGTCAAGTTGTGGCGTGAGCGCCGGGGTCCTAGCTTGCACGCCCCTTGATTCAAGCGTGTCAACACGCGTACTGAGCCCCTCGAAACGTGTAATCGAGTCATCGACCATATCAACCATTGCTTCACAGCCTTCCGCTATAGTCCTCTGCACCATTTCCTTCATGGAGGGCTCGATACCATCTACACGGCCCTTCAATGTCAAAAGGTCTTGACATGTCTGCTGTGTCACTGACTTCAGATATTCAGTCTCCTTCTTCGAGCTTTCATTCAAAGGGGGAGGTGAACAATGCTCTTTGCTACTGACAGCATCTTTGAGCTCTTGGAACTCCTCCGCAAGATGTTCTAACTGTTTTTTATGACCAAGAATTAGGTCACCCGCGTCAAGTGTGTTCCACCCGTCCACGACTTCTTGGATTTTCTCGAAATCATCATCATCCTTCGCAGCATTAACCTTCACTTCCACCAATTCTTTCTTGAATATTGAGATTTGGGACTCCAAGCTTTCGACCCGGTTCAAGAAGCCGGCTTGCTGGCCCAAACTATCCTGGTGTCGAGCAAGTTTGTTGTGAGACTCTTGTAAACTCTGTTTGTTCTGTTGTATCTCCGTGGAGAGGCGATCAACCTTTTGATTAACCTTTGCGAAGTCAACCGACATAGCTGTGCGACCTTCTAGCTCTTGTAAGCCCGATCGGATGGAACTCATATCTCTTTGCAACTTCGTTTTGTGCTCCATGGAGGCTTTCGAACTCTCTTGAAGCTTGAGAATATCCTTGTGGAGTGCCGTCGCCGTCATTTTAGAATCTGAATTCATGTCCTCTATACGGCTTTTGAGATTTTGGATGTCTCCCTTATTATTCATACTCTCGGCAGCGAAGTTTTCCAGTTTCGTCTTGAGATCAACGAAATCAGCTTTGAGTGTTTTCGTCTCAGCAGGTTTCGGTAGCCTTTCAAGAATTGATTCGAGTGACTCAATCTTTTCACTGGATTTCTTGCCTTCAAGTTCCAACGATTTCACCTGCTCATCTAGTGAATTCAACTTATGATTGGATTCCTCGATCTCCGTCTTGAGCTGTGTGCACTCTGTTTTGAATTGCTCGTTCTCCTCTTGCAACGTCTTGCCGTCTACCTTCAGCTTTTGGATCTCACTACGTGCCTCTGTCAGTTCTTTTTGCCAAGCAGAGAATTTGGTCTCTAGAGCTGCAATCGAGGGCATCGGATCTGGGAATGCGAGTGTTTCTTGACGAGCTTTGGTAACGTGCAAAATAGACGCAGCCAAAGTCTCCAGGCTGTCTCTATATTTTCCGTCCTGTATCTTGTAGTTTGCATCGATCTTTTTGTACTCAGCATTATCGCGTTCTTTGGCTGTTTGGATGAGATTCAACTGCTGTGGAAAGTCACTGGCCTTCGCCTGCCATTTCTTGGCTTCGTGATGTCTCTGCTCCATTTCTGTTCTCTTCTTGTTTCGTTCTGGTGCCAATATCGATCTGCAAAGCACGTGTTCACCATGCTTGTAAAGCGCGTCAACCATTAGCTGCAGGGTGGGATCGCTGGCCTTCGGGGGCGCCATGTTTGCGGTACTCGGAGCAGGGTCAGTCGAGATACCGGGCAGGTTGGCTTCTGAAGCTGTTGTCCGTGTTAGTATCCGGCTTAGGTTGCAACATGGGGGGTTCCAAGGAGACCATGAACCACTAACCGACAAATCGCATCTGGGTGTTTGTGCTTGGGTCTGTTGCAGATGCAGGAGTTGGCGAAACGAGGTTGCGTGGAGTTATCGGTGAATTCTTGATGCTGGGATTCCTAGGCCCAGTCGGTACGCTGAATGTTGAGGCTTCTGTATTAAGTGCAGGCAGCCTTCTGGGCCTGGTTTCGTGCTCACTAGCCTTTTCAGAAGAACGACTGTCGCGGCGCTCTGGGGAACCACGGCTACCTCGACGATCATCCCACCGGTCGCCATCTCTATCTCGTCCGCGATCTCTATCTCGTCCGCGATCTTTAATCTCGGCCGGCCGATACGATTCATAAGAAACGCGACGCCGTTCGTCGTCGAAACCGACTTGTCGATATGCCATTGTGTGAATAGGTCATGCTTCGCCAACAATTTAGTTCGAGACTCGGGGCAGAAGGGAAGCGAGCCTGCAAATCAGCCTTGTGGGTTGTCTGGATATCTCAAGGAACAACACCAGGACCAGGCCCAGGACCGGCAAACGGGCGCAAAGGTCCAATGTACCCAAGATCTACCGACGCCACCACTGATCGTATGCAGTAGCTGTTACGCAAAGCCTATGTTGGTCTCGGCATGTATGCGACATGCATCAGCGAGTCCAGTGGTTATTTGGGGGATCCGAGCTCGTCGTTTTCAGGATTTGTGTGTAGTGACTGGCGAGTGTACGCGAATAGTCTCACACTGTCCCGACTCGGGGGGGACGCGTTCGATTGCTCGAGCGCTGGGTGTTTTCCTAGTTCGGCCTCGAGGCGCGCAAACGGGACGAATAGAAGGGATCTGTATAGATGGGTGAAAGGCTAGGAACTTTCAACCGTTTGGTTTGCAGGTCTTGTGTGCGGCGAAAGAGGGCAGGTTGCAAATGCAAGTAGAAATTGAAGCACGACAAGACGAGACAGGCAGAAAGTGGTAGTCAATGGGAAGTATCATGCACGTTGTTAGTGCGTAGTCGTACTGTAGTTCAAAGGCATTCACTCACGACCCCCACGAGCTGGGAAGTCAAAACCTGGAGCGGGAGTTCAGGAATAGAACTGCTGGACCCGGGAGACGTTGAAACGCATCCGGGTTCAGGGCTCGCGTCAACTGTGCAATGAGTATGAGTGTGGACAGAAGAAGGAAAAACTTTGGTGAAGCGTGAAGACACAAAACAAAACAAAACAAAACAAAACCCCACCCCCCGGAAAGCTTTGGAGGTGTAGGCGTAGGTGTAGGCGAAGGTGTAGTTGCAGGTGCCGGTGTGGTGGACGGCTTTGGTTGGGTGACTCGAGGGTAGGAAGCAAAGGTAGGAAGAAAACATGGAGTAGGCCTTGACAGTTTTAGGTAGACTCGAGGGGGAGACCACCACCAATGCATACTATCAGTCGAGTACAAGCCAGTCTATAGGAAGGAAGCCACGAGTCGATCCAGGCGGTTACAGAGCTCTTGCGTCTTCTACATACCATGTTCACACCTTGGTTACAAGTTATTTTTGAGGGGCGGCAACGACTGGTGAAGTGATTTGAAAAGCAATGGGGGATGCAACTATTCTCCACTCTACCCTGCCTATAGGAGTGCTTGATGCGACTTGATAGATCATATGGATTACAAGTAACCATAGTGCTGCATCGGGGGTGAGCAAGGGTGCACGGCAGGAAATGCGTTTGCATGGGACGGCACCCATAACTACTGTATGTACCCGCCGGTAGCCATGATAATACAATCCACCACCAACGGGATTATTCGTCCTTGCTGGACTTCGAGGTCTGCCGTGGCTCACGGAAGTTGACCTGTAACTACCATATCGCCGAGAAGAGTGTCAATATTGAGGAGAGCACAATTGTTTCAAATTGGGCTGGGGAGCTTTCAGCTGGAAATTGACCTTATAATATGCACCCATGACGGGCCTGCAGAAAACAGGTTGGTACTGACAGTACTTTGCAGGGGCCCTTTGCTTTTTCATCAAGCAGGTGGAAATGACTCTCCAGTGTCAAGCCACTAAAGCAAAAGCTATTGCAGCAGGAAGAAGCGCCACAGACGCGGTAAGCTCTCCCCCTGGAGCCGCCACCCTCAGTGCCGCGGGGCTATTCCTTGGTTCGCTACTCTTAGTGCTGCTCTGATTAGACGCGACCAGCTGGCATTGAAATTTACCAGTCGCATTGAAGCTCTCATCGTTTCGCGGCGCAAATCAATTACATTCATTCCCCATACCTAAACACTTCGCCGCTACCCATCCAAACACCTCATCATGGCTGCTGTAGGTTATCCCGTGCCGTCGCTCAGTACAAGCAAGGTTGACTGACATCTTTCAAATGTAGCCGGTAATGACCGTCTCCGAGACGAAGGACCTTCGAGGTCTCAACCTGATTGCAGCGCACTCTCACATCCGCGGTCTCGGTGTGGACGCAGATACCCTAGAGCCAAGATCGAATTCGCAAGGCTTGGTCGGACAAGAGAAGGCCAGGAAAGCCGCCGCAGTCATCCTTGAGATGATCAAGGTGGGAAAGATCGCAGGCAGGGCAGTCTTGATTGCAGGTCCCCCGAGGTAGATATTGCCTTCCCCGTATGCCTAGTCCAGTGAGATCGATCGGGTTGGCTAACTTGAGACCTTCGCATGTAGCACAGGAAAGACTGCCATAGCAATGGGCATGGCCCAGTCCCTCGGACCTGATGTGCCCTTTACATCGCTCGCCTCGTCCGAGATCTTCTCTCTCGAGATGTCTAAAACAGAAGCCCTCACACAAGCTTTCCGCAAATCAATTGGTGTAAGGATCAAGGAAGAATCCGAGGTCATGGAGGGCGAGGTCGTCGAGATCCAGATCGACCGCAGCGTGACCGGCGGAGCCAAGCAGGGCAAGCTTACTATCAAGACGACCGACATGGAGGCTGTCTACGATATGGGCGCCAAGATGATCGATGCCATGACCAAGGAACGTGTCATGGCGGGCGACATCATCAGTATCGACAAGAGCAGCGGCAAGATCACTAAGCTGGGACGCAGCTACGCGCGGAGTAGAGATTACGACGCCATGGGCGCCGACACAAAGTTCCTGCAGTGCCCCGATGGCGAGCTTCAAAAGCGAAAGGAGCAAGTACACACCGTCACGCTGCATGAAATTGACGTTATCAACTCCCGTACCCAAGGCTTCCTCGCTCTGTTCAGTGGGGACACGGGCGAGATTCGCAGCGAGATCCGAGACCAGATCGACACCAAGGTTGCCGAGTGGAAGGAGGAGGGCAAGGCCGAGATCGTGCCCGGTGTATTGTTCATCGATGAGGTGCACATGCTCGACATCGAGTGTTTCAGCTACATCAACCGGGCTCTCGAGGTTGACTTGGCACCTGTCGTCATCATGGCGAGCAACAGGGGCAACTCCAAGATCAGAGGCACAGACTACCGCAGCCCCCACGGTCTGCCTCTGGATTTCCTCGACAGAATCGTCATCATCCAAACCATGACCTACGCGGCTGACGATATCAACAAGATCCTAACCATTCGTGCGCAGGAAGAGGAAGTTGACGTCTCACCCGATGCTTTAGCCTTGTTGACAAAGATTGGGCAGGAGGCCGGCTTGAGATATGCCAGCAATCTGATTACGACTTCGCAGCTCATTTCGGCCAAGAGAAAGGCAAAGCAGGTTGGTGTGGACGACGTACAGCGCAGTTTCAAGCTCTTCTACGACCCCAGTCGCAGTATTGCTTTCGTGTCGGCTTCGGAAAAGAGGCTGATTGGCAATGATGGAGCAGTTGACTTCACGGTTACGAATGGCCACGGCGAGGCGATGGACACCACTTAGAAGGATAACAATGTAGCGGCAACGCAATAAATGTCACTAGTTCTCGTTGTTTTTATGGCGTTTTAGGGGCTAAAAGCGGAAATGGATATTTCATGAGAGGTGCACCTGTCAAAGTCATAGAGAGAGTGTCTTGTAATATCATGTGGATTGGCGTAGGAATCTATTCTCATGAACTCATACTATCACAGCCTTGACTGTCCTTTCATTCATGTTGTCTCGTGACCATGGCTGTGCTACACAATGCCACTTTTGGGAGGGGTTGGGGGGAGGTTTTTTTTCTTTTTCCTTGGTGAACAGAAGTCCCGGCCCTTTATTACTACTGCCATGATTCTATCCACAGACCGCCCTACAGTTTGGGCTGGTCGATTCATTTGCCAGCGTCAACCTTGGCGACGTAGGCCAAGAGGTCCAGGACACGGCGGGAGTAACCCCACTCGTTGTCGTACCAAGAGACGAGCTTGACAAAGTTGTCGTTCAGGGAGATACCGGCCTTGGCATCAAAGATGGAGGAGTTGGTGTTGCCAATCAGGTCGCTGGAGACAACCTCATCCTCGGTGTAAGCAAGTACGCCTGCGTGGTATCACATGTCAGCGAATGTCACAATGTTTTGCAGATGAATATTCCACTCACCCTTGAGGGGACCGTTGGCGGCCTCCTTGACGGCGGCCTTGATCTGGTCGTAGCTGGCACCCTTCTCAATGCGGACAGTCAGGTCGACAACGGAGACGTTGGCGGTGGGGACACGCATGGACATGCCGGTGAGCTTGCCGTTGAGGTCAGGAATGACCTTGCCGACAGCCTTGGCGGCACCGGTGCTGCTGGGAATGATGTTCTGAGCAGCGCCACGGCCACCACGCCAGTCCTTGCCGGAGGGGCCGTCGACGGTCTTCTGGGTAGCAGTGTAGGAGTGGACGGTGGTCATGAGACCCTCGATGATGGTGAACTTGTCGTGGATGACCTTGGCGAGAGGAGCCAAGCAGTTGGTGGTGCAGGAAGCGTTGGAGATGACATCGGCCTTGCCGTCGTAGCTGGACTCGTTGACGCCCATCACGTACATGGGGGCATCAGCAGAGGGGGCGGAGATGATGACCTTCTTGGCACCGCCCTTCAAGTGAGCACCGGCCTTCTCGGTGGTGGTGAAGACGCCGGTGGACTCGACGATGTACTCGGCACCAGTGTCCTTCCAGGGGATGGCAGCAGGGTCGCGCTCGGTGTAGAACTTGACAGTCTTGCCGTTGACAACGAGGTCGTTGCCCTCGACCTTGATCTCACCCTTGAAGTTGCCGTGGGTGGAGTCGTACTTGAGCATGTACTCGGCGTACTTGGGCTCAATGAAGGGGTCGTTGACGGCGACGATCTCGATCTCCGGGTGCTCGACAGCATTGCGGAAGACGATACGACCGATACGGCCAAATCCGTTGATGCCGACCTTGACCATTTTGACTGAGATTCAGGTAATATGGGTTGCGGGTGGGAAGAGGAGTGAGGATGGATAGATACAGGTCTGAGTATCAATTGAGGGGTATGAGAATGGAGAGAACAGAAGCTTCCAAAAGGTCTGGGTGGAAGGGCTGTCACTAGATTTTAATACTGTCGGGGTTACAGTAGTAGCTCTGAGCTACTTGCAGCGCGAGTGGGAGAGGAGAGGGATGACGGTGGGATATGGTGGGGTGATGTGATGACATGCCAGCAACACAAACGTTGGGCAACCACAAACCCATACAGTATTCCACAATGGAACACCCTGCGTGAGGAGGGGCAACTGGCCGTGCGGCTTCTTGGGAGAAACCGCGTTCCAGCACGGGCGGCGCGGCTGGTCTAGATGAAAGCTACTTCCCGGGTACATCTGCTGCACTTGCCCCTCCATAGCTACAAGTATGATAAAGCACCTTACCGGTCCACATGCTGCCAGACACGATAAGACACGCCGTTTGCTTCCTGCAAAGTTTTACCGTACCTGGGACGATTGATTTCGTGTCTTCAGATGTATTGGGGCGTGACCTTGATGACTGCGAGTCTCTCTTCGGAACCAGAGAAATGCAAAAAGAATTACCCAATATAAGGCCATGTATTCATAACGCTCGCTCCGACCTTGGCTGAATTGAGTTTGCTGCCGAGTGCCTGCAAACTCAAAAGGACCCCGCGCTGAGGTAGAGCCGCCGGTACTCCTAACATTGAGCTTCCAGGACAGTGCGCAACCAGCTCTCCCATTATCTGATCCGAAGAAATTTTGCACCTACTTCGGAGGTCGAGGCCTCAATGCTTTCATTAAATCACTCATTTCGTGAAACGATATATGACAGGATCAGACCAACAAGATGTTTCTAGAGCAACCAAGAAGATTCAGGAAGATTCAGATAGACCTAATACCATGTATATGCCATGTACCGCGTCGCGTACCGAGTGTATCCTCGTTACCCCAGATTCACGAAAACCACTCGGGCAGCGTTGCGGAATCTCGGTTCGTCCAGGACAGAGTATAACGATTCTGCCCGAGGATAGCTCGGTCGGTATTTTAAAAGTGACCCAGAACCGTTATTTCGGGTATATCAAGGACGAGATGTCTCGAGACCCTTAAAACTGGACCTCTCCTGACTTCACGTTGTCGTTTCGGTGTCCGGGTGCATCTCCGGAACTTTCAAAACATTCCCAGAAAAGCTTATCGTCTGTCCTCGGACAACGCCAAGCGCTATCTTGCTTCCAGCCGCATTCATGGTGCTTTGCTTTTAATTTTGAAATCAAGTATTACAATTCGCCAGGCGTCATTTTGCGTTGCAGTACATCGCTTCAGTACGTCCTACGTACGATATCACGGTCATATCCAATCATGGCCTCGCTGCTATCAATCGTTCGTTGGCCTGCGAATCCCACGCTATGAGTCAATGAAAAGGACATCAGCAAGCAGCTACCCTAAGCAGTCCTTGGCTCGCCGAGCTCGCAAGTCAATGAAACTTGATTACGGAACTCCTGCGGTGACAAGACTGGGTCTATTTGAATAGGACCGAAACGCTGTTGCGGCCAATAGCAAACAAGAACATCTGGGCGTGTTTGGGACTGTACGAGAACCGCCGTGGCTAAAACGCGCATACAGTACCCAGAAAGTTCCCCGTCATTACTAATCTCGTACTCACGGTTTCTGAGGCATTGATTATAGAGGTGAAAAAGAGTCGCAGTCAACCACGCAGACCACGTACTGTTCAACATGGTCTAAGTCAGCAGGTCCACTATGCGCCGAGCTTATCGTCAGGGGACCCTGCTTGGTGCCATCGTAGGGCTGAGCCCAGCGGCCGGTACCTGCCACTTACCCATCAGAAGATCATGCGGATTTTTTTGGCATGTTACTCGACCGACATTGCCAAGAACGACTCAGATATATCGGCAATGCCGTACCCGTGGTAGCGATCTCGCCGAAATGAATTCGAGTCGGAGTCCGAGAGATGACGAGATAATAAGTCGCTGTCTATCGCCGTTACCATCACACCCGCCCTAGGACCCACAACTCAGTGTAGGGGGTAAAGATGCAATATCCGGTCGCAAAACTTTGTTCTCAAAGGCCTTGTTCTATTAACTAGTTTCACCCGTTACAATAAAGATCTTCTTCAGTCCAAGCGATTGGAGTTGATTGGATTTACTGCCAGCACTGTTAACATGGCAGTGTTCGGTCTATTATAGCACGCTTGTGAGCGGTGTGCTTCCAAGTACATATTCATTATTCAGATATGTTCTTCCCTTTGCATACAATGGCTAGCCATTCATAGATGATGCTTCCGTCCTCTAAACCCAAGTCCCTGACCATAGGTAGAATGGCTCAAAGCTGTCAAAGGGATGTAGCTTAACCGCTATACCAAACTCGACACCAGTCGGAATAATAGCAGAACCGCAAGTCATAGCCAACAGTGCTGCCCCTCTGTATCGTATTGACAGTCTTTGTACGGCTGGCAAATTCGTGGGACTATTACTTCGAAATCAAAATTCTGGGGCGGCTCTTAGGGGTGTCAACTGTGATTATATCGATCCCCGTCGCGTGGATCTAATATCGTCTTATTTCATGCTGATCCGAATCCAATGCGCTCCTGGGTCCAGAAAACCGGCGGTTTTTGCGAGTAATTCTTCAGGTCATCATCAATCCTCTGGCTCTTATCTGCACTGAGGGCAGCGCATGCCTTTCCGAAGTCGCCGGCATGCTCGAATTCGATGAAGATCATGAAGTCATAAGGGCTGTCGGCCTCAGGGGCCAGCTTTTCGGCCCTCCAGCTCTTGGCGTAGGGCTGCCAGAAACCGAAAACCATGGGGACATGGTTCTTCAGGTAGTAATCAAAATTCATGTTGGCACCCTTTGGGTAGGCAGCAACAACGATTTCAGCCATCTTGATGATGAGTTGATTTGGGATAAGCCTCGAGAAACGAAATGCTTCGCCGCTAGTTAGTACTGGGTGAATTCTCCGCCAAATCAGACAACTCACAAAGTATGCAGTAATATGATAGGAAAACACTACTCGGTGCCGGAAGCTATTTGGCTAGAGGATGACAAGTAATCTCCTGTACAAACTGAATCAGAACTTCTTTATATAGTTCTGTCATACTGAGTGGCCCCTTTTCACCCATGGGCAGTGGTTGTACAGCAACAACTGAAGTGGATCTGCTAATACTACTAAGGCGATCTCAATGAGATCTGGCAGGTGGGATCTACAGCGTAGGGACAAAAGACATGCCAGTCGATTCCAAATGATGCATACTTGACAAACTTTTTCACCAACAGTGTCGGCGCTTCCCAGAATCCTCAATATTTCCGCCCCCGACTATTATAGCCTGCGGGCCGCTTGGTCAAGCTTCTGGGAGAATATCATGCTATACCCAATCCGGACTTTTGGTGCTTGCGCCAGGCCCGCTATTTGAGGCACCGTCGAACAATGCCTGTTTGCAGCCGCGGCTCTTGTGTCAAAAGGTTGACGAGTCGCATCGCATCAAGGCAAATTTCGACGAAGTTGTGGAACACATCAAGTGATGACTAAGGTCGTTCCGGGAATATGAGCCGCAACGCAGTTGATTCAGCAACGTACAGAGAAAGAGATGATGAGTAGAGATCGTACGTTCACTGTGCCGGTCACAAGACGCCAGAAGTTGTGGTATCACCTCACACAAGGTGAAAGTGGCTGGTAAATCAATGAACTGAATCCCTAACAACAGTGGACGTTTCTCAGCATCACATCCAGTACTGCCAAAAAGTCTTCGTTCTGCCAGGGACAAACATGGTAAGCTGCGATCGTCTCTGAGCGTGGTGAACTAAAAGTTGAGTTCGTCCGCCGCCATGGTGAAAATGCGCTCACTCTATTAAGGCAAATGCAATCATGGATAGACACCAATTTGGTCATACCAAAGCCCTCAATAACCAACTTAACCTTAGTGAAGTCCCACCTGCACAGGATCTCTCTGCAGCTACGAAATTGATAGTACTAGATTCGCTCAAAATGGTCAAAAGCAGAAAACTGGGTCCTTCTTTTGTGGGCTTATCGGAAACTCAATCAGGAGTAACATGGCACTCATTGCTCCAAGGACATTCTTGGGAAGTTCGAAATGAGTCGAGATGTTTTCTGTTTCACCCTTCCTTGGTGTTCATCAACATGTTGCTCGAAGGATGCTATGCCTGTCAAGCCCAAGCGGATTGGCGGAGACATTCCGGATCAGATAGTTCACCAGAGGCTTGGCGAACATATTCTAGGGGTTGACCTGGCCTTATGTGCCATAGAAAATAAGCAACATGCTCGAACTTGCTCGCAAGCGTCTATTGAGCTGATTTTTGATTGGATGGGAAGTTCTGCTATAGTACCCTTTCGGGCTTCGGAACCAATTGTAACCTGATGGTCCCCACCGTTTTGGTTCAGGACCTTTACATATTCCGTCAGTGCTGCGCGGCAGCGTTGAACATACGGGGAGGGCATTCACTGCAACAAAATAGAGAACAGGATTGGTGCAGGCTTGTCAGGCATTATTAATCCATCCTGCATTTTAGGACACAGAAGCTTATGTTTACTTCGTAACCAAGATCGGATCAACTCGCTACCCCTTGTCTTCATGTATAAAAGGGAAAGGAAGTTCCACAACTCAATAGTTACGGTGACAAGAAACCACATACATGCAGCTTAGTAAATTCGAATATGCTTCCTCACGTGTTGAAAACGCTCTTATGTTGTATGCTCAGCACAACAGCGTTTGCTCAATCCCAATTCTACTGGCCCGCGAAACCTATAGCTCAACGCCACGGTTCGTTACACCAACCCGTAAAGTAAACACGGCCATCGCTGATTCGTGGCAGTAACGAATGAAACGATCCCTACCAAATGGGCCGCCGTTATCTTCGAGGCTTTCCTGATGCAAGACCTGATTGGAATTCTTGACCCCTTGCAGATTGTCGCGCACCAGCAACATCTTGAACTGTCCATTCTCGCCGAGACGCTAGATCCCGTGACGACGAAGCCCGCGAGCGTAGCCATGAATGCTTACAACTCGACTTGGTGGCCAACGATTGTGCCGACGCACACATTCGCCACGGCGCCCGAGGACATCGAGGTCCTGATCATCCCCGGAGGACCGGGAGTGAGAAGCCCCAACGTCACAACGATCACAGACTTCATTGCCGCACGTTACCCAAGCTTGAAGTATCTGATCACAGTATGCACGGGTGCAGGCCTTGCGGCGAGGTCGGGCGTCCTGGACGGTAGGAGGGCGACAACGAACAAGGCAGCCTGGAGTACTATGACGGCTTACGGGCCGAACACGACATGGGTCAGCCCCGCGAGGTGGGTTGTCGACGGAAATATATGGACTTCATCAGGCGTGAGTATTAGCCTCACATTTCACCACTGAGCAGGTGGCTGACATTGTCTATCAGGGTACTGCTGGGCTCGATCTTGTGTTTCCCCTCATTGAACACCTCTGGGGCACACAGATGTCAGACTACGTACAGGGCCTTGTGGAATACGTCCCACATCCCCAAGACTTCGATCCATTTGCTGCGCGGTTCAACATCACACCTACTGGCGCCATTTCTGAGGACTCTGGTCCGATTCTTACTGCCGGGTAGGAATCACGCTGAGTCTTCACCTTTGAAGAATAGTCTGCGTGGCAAAGAGGCAAAAGTCGATGCAACACAAGTTCCTGTCTAGTATTTTAAGTCAAATCAAGGACATAGTTTTGTTTAACACTATCCAAGGTCTATTGGTTGTATGCAATACTTTTTTGTGTCCAGCAGAGCAGCTGAAAATCATGGTGACCTCGGTTCCCGAGAAGACATTAACGAAGATTAGAAGGACCAACCACTTCAGGCGAATGACTCTATTCGGCTTGCAACGCAGTGTATGATTTCGCTTGATGTCCTGGTAGATGATGTCCAGCTTTCGGTATATAGTGGCCGTCAGGCCGTGTAGCAGCTCAGCTATGTCGTTTTCAATGCTAAGGTCAACTTAGGCATTACAGCCTGGAAGGGGCGCTTGCAAAACTATAATGCTGGCGGGGAAACCTTGAAGTCAGGCATGTTCCGGGGCAGTACATAAGATAACAACTTTAAACTGACCCGCTATGACCGTGCGGCTGTATTGTGGCAGTGAGAACTGAAATATCACGTGACTTAGCCTGGAGGCAGTGTTCACGACTTTACCAACATCGGGCCTTCGCCCAGTTCGCGATTGCCATCAGCGAAATTGTTTTAGACTGTCGCAGAGCAACAAAATGCAATGATCACTGGTATCCAATGCCGAAACTCGGATACTCGAAATCGCGCAATGGTTGCCAAAGATGCAGACAGCGTAGGGTGAAGGTACGAATTCCAACCTCGAGACGATGAAAATCCACGAGAAAACGGTCTCACCAGCTCCCAGTGTGATGAAGCGCGACCTCAATGCAGTGCTTGCGTTCGGCACAAAGTCACATGCAGTTTTGTCGCAGCACAAGCAAATCCTGGTGCTCACCATGAATCGAGTGTGCAGAGAGCTTCCGTAACCTCTGCAGAGGTATGTAGGAATTGGCGCAACTTTGTAGAGCATATTAGCACTAACAAAACGCAGTTCAACTCGAGCTCGACGGAATCTGAGCGAAAAGAACCTGACGCATACTCTCAGTATGGCAGGTCAGCATCTGTTAATATTGGGGGATCTCCGGCCATATTGAATGAATCACCTTTGCTTCCAGCACCTCGATCGGACCCATTTCCCCTTTTCTCCAAATATGTCCTGCCCCAACACGCAGAACGTCAAGACAAGACGCCGTGGGTGACGGATTTGGAGTTGATGCATCACTACAGCACAACGACTTGTTTCACCTTTCCTCGAGGCCAGGAGGTCGGCCACATTTGGCAGTCCGCAGTTGTGGAGCTTGCATTAAAGCACGTGCCTCTTCTGCATCAAGTTCTCGCTATAACAGCATCACATCTGGCTTATTTGCGTCCTCATCAAAGGCAGTCGTACGCTTTAGTTGCTTCTCAGCATCAGAGTGATGCTGCTAGAGGATTACGAGGCGCCCTTGCCCAAATCACATCAGACAATTGTCATGCTTCCTTCGCAGGCGCCTCACTCTTGGTGATCGGTGCCTTTGCTGCTGCTGCCTCCTCTAACAGCAACACCCACAGCGCTAAACATCAGCCAACTATGGCGGATATGCTTGATGTCGTTCTCTTAACAAGGGGTATGGCCGCTGTTCTACATTCTTCAGAGCCTACCATTCAACGAGGGCCTTTTGCCGACCTTTTCATGCAGATGACATACAGTGCACCACAGATTTTCTTGGAGGCTGTTTGTGGAAAGTTGCATGAGCTAAGCATTAAAGTTCTAGAAGATCATTCCATTGATCAAGATACTGCACGCATTGTCAACTTCGAAATTCATAACTTGATCACTTGTATCAAGGACCAGATACACAAGGCGGCAGTACCTGTCCTAAGAATACTCACTTTATGGCCAACCGTTTTATCTGACGACTTCCTCGGTCTTCTTAACCGCAAAATCTCACCTGCCCTTGTCGTGTTCACATATTACTGCGCTATAACGCATGAGTGTCAGGCATTTGCCTGGTATACAAGTGGATGGGGTATCAGTGTTGCCAGAGATGTGGAACGTTATATTCAAGAGCCGTGGGCGGATATAATCCGATGGCCAATGGACTGCATGAGTTTGCAGCGAGCCGCTTGATTCTTGTAAACCTAATTTGGCAGATGTTACCACTATCACTTGAATTACACATTGGCATTTATGAGATCTAACAATTCAAGATTTTAGGCACATACTGTATTTCACCTAGCGATAAGATTTTCTAGTCCTCCCAACCTGCCAAACTCATAGATTTTGGGCTCTGAAATACAAATATGGGTGTGCAAATCATAAATTGTGCGCCGCCAAGAACACTAGTGACCCTGCTTTCGAATCTGATAGGATTGCGAATATACTTAACCACTATCTTCTTCCATACCCAAACTTTCTCTGTCCATACAGACCACGAGCACACTCTTGACCTATCTGTTTATGTCGTGTATAACTCGAGACGATTTATACGGGTGGTGTTGAAAGGTTCGCCATGAAGTCGTGATATGGTATTTCTGATGTGCATTATAGGTCCAGTTGCTCATGCAATTTCCCTCGCTCGCTTGCGCAACATCTCGCGAAACAACGTAAGTTGAACTTATGCCCCAACGTGAATATGGTGACCTGCCTGGCTGACCAAGCTTCAATTGCTTAATACCAACGCACAATGTCGATTGCCCAGTCATCATGAATTTCCCACTTGCCGGACCTACTCTGCAACCCGCCTCGAGTCAGTCAACATTTTTCCTTCTGCGCCGCACCGACTTGCCCGGTCCTATCAGACTACGTTGTGGCTATGCACAATATTAACTTCTGCCTGGTAAGAATACGAAAAGTCAATCGTACTTTTAATCGATAATTATATAGCTAGTTTGTCTAGTCAACTATAGCATATTTAGGCTTCCCTAATTTCGATTTTTAGAGAATGAGAAAGCGAGCCAATGGTATGTGGATCCGAAGAATTGGTGGGTTCTCCAACCTTCGTTCCTCGGATGCAGCTTTGATTTGTGGGCAGGTCTGATACTTTCGGCAAAGTGAGTCGCTCTATCTAGGCGACGGATCGAGAAGGTCAAAATAAACTAATTGTGGCAACTGACATATTTGCACATCCCCAACTTGATGTTGGAACGCGAGTCGAGCCGAGTTAACCCCTGCTGTCTGCCTCCATGACGGTAGTCCATCTGATTCTCTCGCTATCGCAATCGGGCTCTTCGGCACTTACGCCTTGGCAACGTAGCTGCGGCCATTTAGGATATTGGCCATGTGTTGTACTACATGACCTTACAAGTTGAGGCCGATGGGTCTGCATTGCGCTCCGCCCAAGGGATCGATTGCGATCTCCTGAGATAGTCCTGCAGTAATGTTCTGACTGGCCAAGATGATGCAGTATCCCGGAATTTGGCCCAGCAATGAGTGTTGCATCATGTATAAGAAGGTAATGGTCGACCGCTTGGCCAGAGTCGCATAAGAACACCCATGCCTCTCTTCATCACTCAAATATGCTCGTCCTTACTCTATCTTTGGTCGCGCATCTGGCAACCGCATCTTGTACAACAAATGTCTCTGAGATACCAGTTACCACATTATCAGAAGGAGCACTTTGTGCTTGCCACCAACTATCAAACACATATGGAAATCTTACGCTCTTCGGTAACTCTTCTGGTTACGTAGAACGAAGCACTGATTTCTGGGACATTCGCTCTGACCTCTTACCGGAGTGTATCTTTCTACCAAATGACAAGGATCAGGTCGCTCATGCAGTCAGCACGTTTGCATCTTGCGGTGCCCAGTTCGCCATGCGCGGCGGGGGGCACATGAACGTCAGTGCATGTTGTCTACTGATTATGTTATCATCTGACATTTGTTTCGTATAGTTTCCTGGATCGAACAATATTGATGGTGGGGTCTTGCTTGCTCTCAGCAATCTGAACACTGTCAAAGTATCGCAGGACAACTCAACCGTCGAAGTTGGGCCAGGAAACCGTTGGGTTGATGTCTATGAGGCGCTATCTCCCCATGGCCTTTATACGGTAGGGGGCAGGCTCAAGACCATAGGAGTGGCGGGACTCGAACTTATCGGCGGGTTTCACTACTTCAATAACAAATATGGTATGGCCATGGACAACGTAGTCAGCTACGACGTAGTGCTTGGCAATGGCACCCAGGTCGTGGCAAACTCGACCTCGAATCCGGATCTCTTCTGGGCCTTGAAAGGAGGGGCAAACAATTTTGGTGTGGTCACCAAGTTTACTCTCAAGACCTATCCGATTCCGCTGGTGAGCACGACTGCTCAAATTCACAACGAGTCTGCTGTGCCGGATTTTATCGCCGCTACAACCGCGTTCGCCCGTCATGATGACCCAGATATTGCAGCTGGCGCCGTGATCAATATCAGTCTGAATTTTACAACCGGAGCGCTCACGACTTTGCTCCTCGGTGTTCAAGAAAGTACAGAATCACCACCGTCTAAGTTCGCTGATTTCTCCGATATCCCAGCTATATCCTCTACCAGTGCAGTTCTACCTCCTGTTGAATGGCACTCCCAATTCGAAACACCGAATCAGATGTTCAGGCATGTCAACAACGATAGCAGTCTTCTAGGTCGAGCATTTACTAACAAAAAAACAGGGTCCAATTCGCTCACAGAACAATGAAGCCAGACACAGAGCAGCTTCAACGTATCTACCAAGATTGGAGGAGCAAAATCGAGATCCTCAGTGATGTGGAAGGCCTATTTGCGACCTTTGTCATGAACCCATTGCCGAAGAGTGCCTTGAGTGTTGCAAAAAACAACGGTGTTGGCAATGTTTGGGGCCTTGATGATGACGAGTCTTGGATACGTAGGCATTACCTGACCGTGAACAAAATACTCACAAACATTACTAACTCCTTTTTAGTATGGCAAGTGGTCAATACCTGGGACAACGCCAAAGATGACTTACGAGTCACCAACTTCGCCCGTTCATTCATCGACTACTGGCATCAGGATAACCAAGACAAAGGCCTGTCTTCCGAGTTCATTTACATGGGCGACGCTGCAGAGTTTCAGGACCCCTTCCCTGGCATGCCACTAAAGAATGTGAACAGAATGAAGAGCATTAGGGCAGCGTACGATCCGCTGGGTACTTTCACCAGACTCAACTGGGGTGGATTTAAGCTCTCTCCCTAAGCACCTCGCCCTCCTCTTCATTAATTCAGGTTTACAAACAACCCTGCGGGCTGCTCGAGTTATTTATGGGCGAGACCAACTGCTTTACAAAGGCAAACTTAAAGCAGGATGGTGTGACACTCTCAGGCATACATAATACACTATCTTCTAGCATCAGCTGCATATATTGGAGCAGCATTTCTGATCATTACATCATCTTCACATGAGCTCCATAATCTAAGCTTGCATGTATACTTATTAGAGGAAAAGTGTCCCCATTATGAAATCTATCTAGGTTGGGATGAATTCTTGGCTTTAGAATAACTTTATCCAGACCATTGCAGATTAGCAATTGGTCATTTTGGTATACCTAAGGAATGGGTAACATACTGATTGATCTCGAGTTGAATTCATTCGAAGAACCAATGATACTATTAAACGTTTCTTGCAGATGAGTGTTTGCCTTCAACCAGACTTAACTTCCCAGTTCCGTGACAGTTTGATGGATCGCTGACTGTGCCTCAGTATTGAATCCTTTGGGTGTGCTGGCTCGTCTTGGCATCATGTTGATCTCAGGCGTAGCAATACGCCAGCTTACGTGACGTCAAGTGGCAACTATTCACGATACATATTATGTTACTCGTGCTCACTTTTGAACCGGCGGCAAAGAATTGAAAGTTCGAAGAATATCACCTTTGACCATTAACATGATTTTGAATTATCGCGCATCCACTTTGTTTGTGGCAGCCTCACTCATTACGGCGTTCACTTCTAGCTGTTGTGTACTAGCCTACGATGCTACCAAGCGCGAGTGCAACGGGCTTCTGTGCTTGACGTCTCTTATCTGGTGCGCGACCAGCTCATCAGTCGACCCTGGGCAGGAAGGATGCTCATACCCCGAAAATGCTTATCCTTAATTTGATCGTGGAACGCCCTCCAATCCGGCACTGCTTCTCACGAGCAGTACATACAATATCACATGGGACAACGCAGACCCTAGATACCTAGTGCTCATACAGTGGTCCTTCGACGGCGGAAGTGATTCAACCACCGTTGGCGCAAAGTGGGGAATCAGTACGGAAACTAGGAAAGCAAATCTACTAATAATATAAGACGCAGGTCATATGTAGGCCATGTACTGACTTGCTTGGCCTCTGTAGATATGACGGATTCCTTCTGTCTTTTCACGCCTGACGATGTCTTCAACCAATTCCCGAATCAGCTGGCCCCGAACTTAACAGGCGACGCAGCAAAAGGACTGGCAGACTCGGACATCGTCAATATCGTCAGTATATCTCAGCCAGAGGTCTGAGGTGCACGCAATGTTATCTCTTCCTCGCAGCAATTCACTGTTCAGGATAGTTGGGTAAGGCAGTTCATAGAGACTGCAGAAAGCAAAACATGCAAGGTTTGTTATCTAAATCATTCCATATTCGAGTATGGTCGTGTGTTATGCCAGATCGAGAATCGTTTCATGGGGGAAACAACTGACACTATGTGACATAGGCTTTGTATTATAAGTGAAAGCTAGGAGTCGGCATTGGTGTGGGAGTCGGAGTGCCGATCATCATAGCATTGACGTGGCTCAGTACTTGGGCAATTATGCGACGTGGCCAAAGCCCTAGTAGAAACTTGTTTGAGCATAAGTGATACATTCCAATAAAGCATTATTACTAACACATAACGCTTTCTGAGAATTTGTATGGATCAGACGCACGTATAGGTTAGCCATGATGCTTGATTGCAGCCATGTAGCAGGGACTATGGAGGCATTCCTGGAAACATCCGAACCCGGCGAATAGTCAATAAATCGAATGGCAGACGATGGCATATTTAGAAAGATGTATGCGCGACCAGGACTTTCACAAACACATCAAAAGCGCCTGTTTATAGTAACATCCGAATTCTCGGTCTGAAATAAAGAATTACCAAATTTAGTCTGCGAAATATCCCATCAAGAAATGTCGCGATCAAGCGGGTGGATGCTCAGGGCAAGTGGTTGATACAAAAGTACATATATACATGTTACAGTTGATTGGTAATAGCCTTCCACTGATACCATACGAACACCCTCCAGATATACCACGGATCTGTAGATGCTTCAGATTGAAAAGTAACATCATGACAAGGGATTGGGTAGGCCATCATAGTCACAACGATAGACGTTGCTCTTTTCTAATATGACAGTCCAGCTCTGCTTGCCTTCATCCCGAGTCGTGATTTTGAGACGTATATTCTGCTTAGGTCGTGGCAGGGTCGGTGTCCCCGACTTCACCGGCAGCGCCCGCTCCCAACTCCTGCGACTCACCTGTGTCAACTGCACCCGCAAAATCAATAAGGCCGCCGCGATTAGTTAGCACTAAAGAACCTTGTGAATTTCTCTGTCTATGACTGACCCAGAGGGCATCGGACATAAACGGACTTAGCGTCGGGACGAGGAGTTAACGACTATAAGACGTTTATAACTCCTGCCCCGCAACAGGATGAAGCATAGAATGGCAAGTTCACCAATACTAGGCCTCCATATGATAGCGAAAGTTCAAGCTAGAGCTCAATCTCGCTAGGAGTATCTCAACGATAAAGCCCGGGCTCTGGAGGCTGTGACCGTCAGTGTCTGGCTATAAAAAAGGTTCTAATTCCGGTGACGTCGTAATAAAACGTGTATATGCTCCCAAAACATCCTCGTTACTGGCATCCTGCACACAATGGATAAAGCAAATACAATACCGTACAATCTTCCTAGCGATGCCGTTTGGTTCAGTGAGTTGCTTTCTGCCAACGCATTGCTAGAATGGCCAACTGAACACATAAAGTCACGGGATGTTCCTCCGGCATCGGCCTCGCGTTGGCACAGGCTATCGCCAAAACACCAAATAGAGTAGTCACAACCGCTCGCAAGCCATCATCCCTGGCTGATATTCCAGACAACGCCAATGTGCTCAAGCTGGCGCTAGACGTAACTTCGGCGTCTGCCATCGACGACGCCCTTGGTGCCGCGGTCTCGAAATTTGGTCGTATCGACGTGGTCGTGAACAACGCCGGCTACGCCCTGGTCGGCGACACTGAATCCGCGGGCGACAAGGAGTCGCGAGCTCTCATGGACACCAACTTCTGGGGGATGGTAGACGTCTCAAAACGTGCTATGGGCATTATGAGAGACGAGAATCCAAAGACCGGGAAGCAGGGCGGCGTTATATTGAACATCAGCTCCATGGGTGGCGTAAGCAAATTTCGGGAAATTTCTTTTTACCCTTTTTAGCATGTCCATGGAGCGCAATCTGCTTATTGAAGGCATATAGTTCTTTATGGATACTTCACAATACTCCTGAGACCCCCTCGACAAACCAAACAGAAGTAATTGCTAACTCCGAATACGACAGTGGATGGGATATCCAGCTGCTTCATTCTATCACGCAAGCAAGTTTGCGATGGAAGGCTGGACGGAGGCGGTGGCGAAAGAGCTTCCAATCGAGTGGAACAGTACGCCAATCAGACATAACACATGAGAAATATCTGTTTGCTAATATTGCCCTTGTAGTTCATCTATGCAATATTGAACCCGGTGGTGTTAAGACCAACTACGCCAGCTCTTCGCTCAAGTACATGGCTGAGCGTCATCCTGCATACTCAAACCCTGCGTACCCTAATAATGCAGTCATAGCATATATGGAGGACCCGAAAAGCAGAGATGGTTGGGTAGGCGCGGACCAAATTTCTACGGCAATCTATCAACTCGTAAGTCGGGGCCAGCGGATCCCTATTAGATTACCCCTTGGGTCTGACTCGTGGAGCGCGATTATGGCCGATCTGGAGAAATGTAAGGTGGACTTTGAGGAATTGAAGGAGTTCAGTAATGGTGTAAATCGCCGTTCATGAATTTAACAGGGGCATCTCAGCCACCAGCAGATTCTCAAACGCTTCGTGAGCTGAAAAGTTTGAATGTCTAAGTCGTCGCTGGTAATCCTAGCCGGCTACAGGCAGATTCAGGGTCAAAAAACGTGATAACGATATACTGATCATCTAAATCAACCTCCTCACAATCGTATCGCGCTTTTTACTTTAAAGGGGTAAAGACACAGACAACAATATATATCTGAAACGGTTCCGATCATCAGTAATTAGTTGGGCCTGGGATGTGAAGATGTCTTGTAGGACGTCAAGTATACCCATTGCGGGGAGACTTGGCCGTCCCTTTGTCTACGAATGCAACTCCTTGCCTTCGAGTGGAGACTTTCTGCAGGACAAGCACTGCCGCTTGAGACCTTGGTCCACATCTACGCGACATCATAGAGCTTCATGTCGTTACCAGCGGGACGCCTGTGAAGTGGTAGGCTGTTCGGTAAATGCGTCGAGGGAGAAACTTACCTCGTTGATGAGAAGCTTAGCGAATTAATGACCAATATCTGAACTGAACCCTGTTACTACGGTTTTTGGCATCTTCCACAGTATGTACCACGCTCGACAATGTCTGAAATTCGGTTTCCGGTGTGTTGCATCTTGAACATAGGTACACTGGTGTAGTTGTCGTAGTATCCACACCCCTACACATTATGGGGAACGTCTGACGGATATCAGTATTCGTGACACCCGATGACGTCTATTTGCATACATTCGAGCACCTCATTCGAGGCTGCTCCATTGAGCGTTGGCGCATGCCGTCAGAAGAGCCGCAAATTGTGCTTCCGTACCAATTGGGGGCACCTTGTTGGCAAGTGCGGGGCGTGGACATATCGCGCACACGTCGTACCTTGATGGCACCCGCACGAGGCAAAGTATATAAACCAAGATAAACCCTCTTTTATAGGTGATCGCTGATGTATGTGCATATAATTTCGCTTTTTACCGTCCAATTAGAAGGACCTAGACCATACATTTGACTAGCCCTGTAACATGATTTCATATCGTCATAAAGATCTAGAGACTTGAACTTCCCGTCTATTCGGTGTTCCTCCTCTATACAAGATGTGCCACATCTAGTCAAAGACAATAGCAGCCTTGATGGCGGACTTGTTTCGGATGCTCTCGAGAGCCTCGCCCCATTGCTCCAACTTGAAGGTCTTGTTGACAATACCCTTGGTCTTGATCTTTCCGCTGTCGAGGTAGTCGACAGTGGCGGGGAACATGAAGGTCTCAGAGAAGGAACCAATGATGGTGATCTCATCACCGAAGATCTTGGAAGGAGCCCACGAGACACGAGCAGAGCTAGGGTAAACACCATAGCAGACAAGCTTGCCTCCACGACGGACATAGTTGATAGCGTCCTCGAGGACCTTGGAGCTTCCGGATGCCTCAACGACGATGTCGAAACCGTAAGGGTTGTCCTTCTTCAGTTGCTCCCACTGAGGAGCAGAGTCCTTTCGGGACAGAGAAATGTAGGTGTCGGCAGCATCGAGGCTCTTGGCCAAATCCATCTTGGTACCTTCAGGCGCGGCGATAGTCAACTGAGAGACACCAGAGTTCTTCAAGAACTGGGCCATCATAAGACCAGTGGGACCAGCACCGATCAATAGAGCGTGAGAACCGGCCTTGGGGGCGATCTTCTCGAGACCGTGCATGGCGCAAGAAGCAGGCTCGATGAGGGTGGCATCAACGTCGCTGATGTTGTGGATCTTGAAAAGCTTGCCCTGAGGATAGTTGCAGTATTCAGCGAAACCGCCGTCCAAGTTCAGGACACCATGGGCAGAGAAGTCCTCGCAAAGCAGAGCCTCGCCTCTACGGCAGTAGAAGCAGTGGCCACAAAGTTCGGAGTTGTCAGCGGCGACACGGTCACCGATCTTGAAGCCCTTCACATCAGGTGCCATGTCTATTAATCATGTCAGTCTCCAGTATAGAGTCCACGTCCAATTGATTTCTCTTACCAACAACAACACCAATTGTTTCATGACCGGGGATGAGAGGAAACTTGGCGATGAACTCGCCCTCGTGGATGTGAAGATCGGTTCCGCAAACACCGCAAGCCTGGTAGGACGACATGTTAGAGATGAGCAAGCAATTAAGTCATTCGTTGAGGATACATACCTTAACCTTGATCAAGACATCACCAGCGCGGATCTTGGGCAGGGGCACCTCGACGATGCTCCAGTCCTCGGGCTTCTCATATCTGGTAAGGCATGGAAGGTCAGCTCATCTGTCTCCGAGATTGAGTCAGCCTCAGTGGCCATGGGCTGAGGTTGGTTCCAGTTTACGAATCACACCATGGGATTTCACAGACAGGAGGCGTACCTGAGAGCCTTCATGGTCTTGGGGAGTTCAGCAGCCATCTTGAATAGTGAGTATTGGGTATAATAGGTATGTTGTAGGATTAGGTGCGGGGTATCACAAAGCTCAATGGAGCAAGAGTAGGTATCAGTTGGGTATTGATGATAAGAATGAAGAGAAAACAAGTCAAGTTTCGGCGATCAACTCGAATTCTGGCTTAAACTTATATGGAGAAGGCTTGGAGAGTTCTTGACTACATGCAACTTGGGGCTGGGTCGAGACTTGTTAGATATTGGTGACACAGAAAAATCTCAGCAGAGAATCCATGCCCACCTCCTCAATTGGCATTTGTCTTTAGTCTAGTCTCGAATAATCACCGCCCATTGTTTGCCAATGGTTTCTAGGCACACCTGCATACGAGCATCCTGTAGCGCGTAGTTTTTCGCGGCATTGACTGCCCACGCTGGATTGTTGGTTTTGACACAGCTCAGGAGGGGCAGTCAGCTTCAGTTCCCCCTTCAGTTCCCCGCTGTGGGGTTTATATGCGGTCACCATGCATGTCCGCGGGCCCATAGAATCAGTGAGAAAAACCCACGCTGCCCCCACTAGTGTTCGGCTTGACGCGCTGTTCTCAGCTTGAGAGCAAGAGTAGGGCGATTCTGAAGATCCTAAGAAAGGGCGTCATCGTCATCTCGCAGAATGATCAGGCCCCATAGCACGGTCTAAGTCGGTCCTTATATGAATCTAGACTGGAGTCCAACAACGATGGTCTCTTAATGGTGGGTTGTTGAGAGGTATTAAAAATTAAGCATCCAGTGCATCGTGATGTTCGATTTGAAGAGCAGAGTATATGTATTTTCGAGGCTCCAAGCTCGTTGGGAAGCGTCCTGGTGCCCGCACTATTAAACCCCCAAAGCAACCACATCGAGGAATTTACTGCCAGCTCCACAACATTAGGACAAGAATAACTTAATGAAGAATAAGGAGGTAATGCTCGAAAGGTATTATTATCCAAGTTTTACGCTCTCAAATTACACCATCAAATTTACCCAAAAAGAGACTTTGATTTGGTTCGTTAGACTCAATTCAAATTGTAACTATAATCACCAGTTGCTCTCTCTCTTTTCTTTCGGGTTTATTATTGTGGACACCAGGCTTCTGTTCAGTACCCCAGAAACGTTTACAGTTACATATGCAAGTGCAAAACTAAGCAGCCAACGCATGTCCTGATTCACTAAGATTGATTGGGCCTGTGAAGCATTTGTGGCCACAATCGTACCCATTCCAACTTATTTACAACCCCAGGTGAACGTCGTCGTTCGATGGCATGTTAGTTTACTCCTAGCCCACGTAACACAGCATATTTTGTGAATGGTGCTGGAGTTGAAAAACTTCAGGACGGCCATGGGTATAATTGTATCATCACGTACTATCAGACATCTGTCTGACCTGGCAACCATGGATTTACGAGCGTTATCCGAGATCATCGGAGCCAGACGAATCGATTATGGAAAGATATGCTAGATTACTGTGCAGAATCAATTCCCAAAGCTGTTGTGGTTGTCAATGCCGTCAAATGAGGCAGAAGACGAATACGATTCATTTGTATGGGCAAATGACCCGCCGTCTATCGCAGCTGAGGTACCGAATCGCTTGTGCATTTGATTTATACATCCGTTTCCACCACCGCCCCTAGATCGGGGATGCTTCCCCAACTCCGGTGCAGAAGACAAACCGAACAATTGTGGGACTAGATCGGGTGACAGGTACAAGTCGACTTGTCTTATACAAAAAGAGCAGTTATTGCAGCGATAAGCCCTTGGTTCCCTTCGGAGACTGCCATATTTCCCTCATTATAATTGATGGTAAGGCCCAGTTGGTGGTTTGTGATTGATATACAGATGACTTGTAATGTAGTGCTTCTGGACATTTAGACAGAGGATCAGATGGCTGGCCCGTTTGCTGTTATACAGGTGCAACTGAAAAGACACCTCTCTGTAGGATCAAGGCTTTCCAAAGTTACTGGAACTCCGCGGGTCGCAACATGTCACTTCAATCAAGATAACCGTTCGGAGATGTTTTATGCAGTCGTTTCACATGTAAATCGTGAGACCAAGTCAATTCTTTGTGACGTCAAAAGCAATGACCCTTATTCGCAGTGAACGGTTCCGAGGATTTCACATGAACCCTATAACTCCACCAGTGCATCCGAGTTTTCCCCCACGAGTTCTATCATGCGAGCAGAAGATTTGACCATGCAGGTGCCCTCCATTGTCCCTTGTGTACATGTCGGTTCCACCCCAATTTCATGGGCCTACTGCCATATGCGTCGAAGGAGTTTCCATTGAGTATTGGGCGAGATTAGCTCCTTTACGAAGGGGGAGCGGCACCACGGCCACGACCGAATCCACCACGGCTTTTGGAGAGTCAGCATTTCATCACAGTTCTCGGATTGAAAGAGGAAAAGGTAGCCACTCACAATTGAGGGTTGAATTCACCAGGAGCACCACCCTCCTTGCCCTCACCAGCGTCACGGCGGCGGTAACCGCCCTCGCGACCCTCACGACCCTCACCACGGCCACGGCCGAAAGGACGGCGCTCGCGCTCACCCTCACCGCCCAGCATGCCTCGGGGAGGAACGTGCGACTTCTGCTGCTTGATGTGGGTAGCAGGGACGATCTCGGCGGGAAGGTGAAGCCACTCTCGGAGGTAGTCGAGACCCTCGGGGGTGAGGGTGTAGTAGTACCACTGCCAGGAGAACTGAGTCTTGACGTAGCCGCGGCTGGTCAAGGACTGGAGAGCCTTGATGACAAAGAGGTTCTTGACATCGAGCTCGGGGTGCTTGGGGAGGTTGTAGTCCTTGGGAGCCACGAGGACGCCCTCACGGAACAGAGCCTCGTGGATGGTCTTTCTGTCGGCCTTGGGGATAAGCATCTTGGCGGTCGGTCCGTCTGGCGAATTGTCGAGACGTCGTAGTTGTGGTGTTTGATATTGGCGATCCGCTGCTGAACGCTTTTTTGCAAGTTGCAATCGCGAGGGGAATTTCCTAGAAGTGTTAAACCTGTGTGCGCAAAAATTAGCGGACCAATCGAACCGATAGGGCCTGGGGAGATAGAAAGTGGCTTAGCACCTTGATAGGGGATCCGAGCGCTACGAATGCGGGTCTTGGTTTGGGGTCTCGAACTGCAGATGTGGCTGGTGACCAAGGTGGGGCAAGACTCTCAATCTTATCGGCCTTCCGCTTTCCCGCTTCCCGCTTTCCCGTCCCTGCCTGCAACCTGCTTGCTCGGAGTGAAGTGAATGTTGATGGTTTGCGACTTTTGGTCTTCTGGATGCGCTCTTGCATTACTTGAATCACTGAAACGTCGGGAATAAAGGATCAGAGTCTGTTATTGGTTTTTTTTGGATTGGTGATACGGTTTGTTCTTTCCTGTACCCGCAAAGCATCAGGGTCTCGAGGGCTCACCCATCTCCGATTTCTTCAACATTCAACTCGCTTTGATCGCCACCGTTGCCTTGCTGTCCTTGACAGAACACTCCATCTTGATTCTCCTCCCCATGCGCCCGGCATCGAGTCAGCATGGACAAAATCAATATCTTCGTCAGCAGTATTGCTGGTCTTGGACCTTCGAGTCTCTCATTTCCCGTTCCCTCAACAGCTACCCTAGAGGATGTGGCGGATCATATCAGAGATCGCTTGCCGGCGGACCCAAGGCAGCACCGTCTCGTTCTTACGACGACTTCAAATAAACAGATACTACCCTCTCGCTTCCCACTATCGACCCCAATTTCCACCGTGTGTGGACTATCGGACAAGGATGACTTCGTCTCCCTGCGACTCTCTGCGCCGCTTTGTGGTGGCAAGGGAGGTTTCGGCTCCCAGCTGCGTGCTGCAGGTGGTCGCATGTCATCGCGGAAGAAGAAGACCGGGCACGAGAACGACTCGAGCAGGAATCTCGACGGGCGGCGGTTGCGCACAGTCAACGAAGCCAAGGCACTGGCAGAGTACCTTGCGATCAAGCCCGACATGGAACAAAAAGAGAAACAGAAGCGCAGAGAACGATGGCAACAGGTTGTTGAGGCTGCAGATCAGAAAGAACATGAAATAAAGAATAGCACAAAGGGCAGATTGGATGGCAAATGGGTAGAGGATAAGGAAGAGGCCGGCGAGAGGACACGAGATGCCGTCTTGGCCGCCATCAAGTCGGGCAAGTATCCGGACAACCTCGTCATCAGGGACAGCTCATCCGAGGAGGAGGGGGCAACAGCAGGCTCGAGTTCAAAATCAGTTTCGCCACCAGCTCCAGCGAAAGGCAAGCAGCCAGCAGCACGAACGTTTACCGGCTTTGACGACGATGACGAGTTCATGAGCTCGAGCGACGAGGAGTAATTTATCACAAAAAGGCATGGCAAGGCGTTTTTAGGGGTCCAGCGAATTGTTTCCACTGTATTTGTACCTTTTGAGGACCCTCGATGCTTTGATATATAGCTTGCTCAGCCAAGTTTCCCGCCCGGAGTTGTGGCGACACAGGCACGGTTGTGCTAACACACAACGATAGCCTTTCATCATCCCATAGTCGGACTTTGAGTTATTCGAAAGAAGAAGAAGAAGGAGAAGAAGAAGAAGAAGGAGAAGGAGAAATGAAAATAAAAAGGGGATGGGTGCTATGCACGCGGCCTTGTGTTGTTGTTAACTCTGCCATGGATTTCCCACGCGGCATAAGGCTTCTCTTATCATGACGATATCCTTAGTAACTTATACCAAGCTGATCTCTGTATCCTGATCGGTTACGAATAGGCATTAAACAATCCAATATATGGTCCAAAGGCTATAGTTTTTAAGCGAAAAGCAATTGGATTTGCTCAGGTGACCCGTGTTTGACTCGACATGAGCTCAGTTTGGCTGTAGGAATTCCGGTGTACGCCGGCTATCCGTTGCTTGACCTTTATCAATATCATCATGTGTGTTCCAATTGGCCCTAATGACTTGCATGAATTCAGCAGAAACAGAAACCGAAAAATGCTTGAATCTTGGGACGATATCATGTTAAAAATGTTGATTCGACAGGTCGATGCTCTGTACTGGTCTGACCAAAGGGAATCTATGATACATCCTAGCACAAGCCAGCAGTCCTCTTGGTCGGTGCAGCCTCCTCCATTCTATACAAGGGCCACCTGTCCGTTCATGGCATGCACCTATGCGTCCAACTTGGCCGGGAAGTTGCCGGCCTCACGCTGGTCGTCCCATCGCTGGTACCATCCGCTAGGGCAGAGGGATCGGTAGGCAAGGAAGAACTGGTCAAGTGTTAAAAAAGGATAGGCTCCCTAGACGAGTCGGAGATAGAAGATCAAATCGTACCTGGCGGCAAGGGGCGAAGTCCTCGCCCTTGGCGTTGATGCACTTGTGGTAGTCAACGTAGTTTTGCCAGCAGTGCTTGGTCTGGTTCTGGTTGGGGAATCGAGCATCGACACCTAGTTGGATAAGTCAGAAACCCAAAGAGTTTTCATGATTGCACCGCATCGAGAATGGCGAGGGACGGCATCGCGAGGGATGGCATGGCTGGGGTGAGTGGGTGGGAGGCTTTCTTACCGGCTAGAATAGAAATGGCGAGTTAGCACAAAAGGAAAGCCCGAATGAGCCTTTTTACAGGTAGGTTTTAACAGGTCAACTCACCAGTGACGAACTTGAAGGGCTTCGTTTCGCGATCGTCGTCAGACATTTTGGCGGGTTTTGAGCTTCTTTACGTAGGGGAAAGCGTCGAGGGTGCTCAATGGCAAGGAGTTTGAGATGATGAGGTCTATGATTCTCTGAGTAGCTTGGTAGTCGGAATCGTTCGATTGGCGGGAGGGCGAGCGGGTGAGCGAGAGCAGGCACAAAGCACTGGGCACAAAAGCACAGGCGCAACAAGCACGAGCACCAAGCACGAGCCGCAGAGGCAGAGAGGCAGAGAGAGGCAGAAAGCGAGTGCCTGAGGCTTGCAGAATCCTATTGTTCAAACGCAGTGAGAGGCTAGAGGCTAGAGGCTAGAGGCTAGGTGAGCCAAAGGCTTTTTTGTCACGGCGTGGGCCGTCTGTGCTCGGTCTGATTGGCCCGTCCCCAGCAGCCGAGCTCCAAGTCGACCCATTAACTTATTCGCAACTGGCTCATTTTCGCTGGCTTGGTTAGAGAATCCATCCCCAAGACGTCCGAAAGTGTCAACGACAAACAGCTTCGCATTGCCGACCAATCTCCCCTCTACCCAAACAAAACAACAAAAACAACGCCCATTATGTACCCCTCTCAGATTATGAGAATGCAGCCTACGAGACGCATGATGCGTGCTCCTCCTGTGGGTTTCCTCGTAGATACCGAGCTTTAAATGACGTACTAACGCCCTTTGACCAGACCGAAGACCAAGCTGGTATGTCATCGAGCCATAGTCGTCCGAGCCCCAATCGTGAAGCTCCGAACACCATCGGGGTTATCTCGAGATAGCCATGGGAACAGTTGAATCAATTGGGACATGAGCAAACATTAACCCGCCCGCCATAGGCCACACCGTCTCCCAGCGTCTGCGAAAGCTCCGAAAGATCCCGGCCGAGTTGATTCCTCTCGGTGAGCATTCTACGCCCCCCTCACAGAGATTGTGCGGCGAGTCCTTTTGCTTACTATTAATACAGGTGTTGTCGTCGGATTCGCTGTCTTCGCCGCCGGCTACTCGAGCATGCGCAAGTTCTGGGTCGACAAGACCATGCGCCTCAAGCGACAAAACCGCGCAGCCGACTCCGCTGCTGCTGGCACTGAAGAGCACCACTAGATGTTCCATGTTAAGGATGTTGAGGATGAGCGGATGACGAGGCTGTTGTCTGTCTTTTTTTCCTTATTCTTTCCTTTCATGTTTTCCCCAAGAAGGATCACAGCATTGTACATTCTAGTGACCTGCAGTATGCAGGTGGTTGAGAAATAGGGGAAATCAAGCATGCTACAGAAAGTCTCAAGCGCCTGCCGCCCAGGTCCAATATTTCCTTCCGTTCCATCAGTAGCCAACGCCGTCGCTATGCGAGTGAAAATAAACCCCCCAAACAAGCGCCTCGTGGTCTTCACTCCGGCCTGGGTCCTGCAACATCCAACCCTTCCAGGCCCTGCATTGGGTCCTCCGGCCGATCATCATCAGTCCCCGTAGTTGCCATTCTGTCCTCCTCGCCCACGGCGTGTTCTGCCAACCAGCTCTCCTATGTGGTGCGTCAGTGGAGATGTCTCATGTGTCATGCGTAGACGAATGTACCTGTTGCCAGACTGCTGTTTTGCTACCTAGTCCTTCTTCGGCGCTCTTGGGTGCTTTGGCAGCAGAAACCTTCAAGACCCGGCCAAAGAATTCCGACTGGTCCATGTTGTCGATTGCTTCCTTTGCGTCCTGCTCGTCTTCAAACTCGACGTACGCAAAGCCACGATGAAGGTCCGTCGCATCGGGTTTGTCATTTTTGGGCAGTGATATATCGGCTATTTCACCGAAGGGGATAAAGGCATCATGTAAATTGGATGGGTTGACTAGACCAGCGAGCCCGCCCACGTAGACTGTTGCCTTCCACCGCTTTGCGTCAGTCATGTTTGGTGAAGACCCTGGAAGGGTTGGTTTGATCCGTCGGTCTCAAGAGTGTCGGTTACCGTACTTGAACGTGAACATGAACTTGCACTGGTTGAGTACGAGAGAGCATGAGAGCACACATCGTTGGCTGCTCAGCTCCTCCCCCCGATGGCACCCGCCTCACAGAAATTCGGCGGACTTTCTTTCAATGTGGGGGAGGATACCCAGGCGACGGAGCACGGGCCTCTATGCGGTCGTCAGCCACAGCTTAGGGGGCCACTGGCAGAAGGGGCAACTCAGAGCTGCGATCTGTCTTCCGCCCTCAGAGAAAGAGGACTAAATCAAAGTACAGTGGCTAACTAATGTTGTTCCTCGCCTGCCCTGGTTAGATCCAGAAACTTGTCCGAGTTGGCATTTTTGACACCATTGTCCCTCCAGCTGTATAAAGCTAGCCCTTCACTCTCACGACTTCACAGACTATTCTAGCAGGTCTAGAGGGGCCAATGTCGACTCCTGCTTGAACGACCCCTGATTGATACATTGCAAAGTAACCCCTCCAGATTCGAAACCCAGCGATATAAGTGAACCCCAACTCCAACTCCAATCCGCTCTCGAATACTGGGCTGCCTCTAGTCGCAAGCAATCAAACTACAACACAACATGGTACGCTTGCGGGAGATCTCGCGCACGGCGGCCTTTGCCTGGTCTCCTGGTGCTGCCAAGCCCCTCCTAGTTACTGGCACACGAGCTGGCGCTGTTGACGCCGACTTCTCAGACGAGACAAAGCTCGAGCTCTGGGATCTGAACCTCGACAACCAAGATCAAGGACTGGAACTCCAGCCCATTGCGAGCATCGTTGCAGACTCGAGGTACGCTCGAGCCGACTGCCTCTGTCCGTGGTTACGTCACTTTACTTCTGCTGACTTGCCCCCGCCAGGTTCTACGACATCGCATGGGGTCCCCCAACAGAAGACTACGCCCAGGGCATCATTGCTGGCGCCCTCGAAAACGGAGCACTTGACCTTTGGGATGCCGAGAAGCTCATCCAGGGATCGTCCGATGCTCTAATCGCCCGCACCACCAAGCATACCGGTGCCATCAAGTCTCTGCAGTTCAATCCTCTGCGGCCTCAGATCCTCGCAACCGCGGGCGCCAAGGGAGAGCTCTTCATCTACGACGTCAACGATCCTTCCAATGCGTTCCGCCTCGGCAACACCGCCGCTCGATCCGACGACCTCGAATGCGTGGCATGGAATCGGAAGGTCTCTCACATCTTGGCCACTGGTGGCAGTGGTGGATTTGTCACAGTCTGGGATTTGAAGACCAAGAAGGCATCATTGACTTTGAACAATAACAGGAAGGCTGTCAGTGCAATTGCCTGGGATCCGAACAATTCCACCAAGCTGCTGACTGCCACCCCTGACGACAATGCTCCTCACATTCTGCTGTGGGACCTTCGCAACTCCAATGCGCCCGAAAGGACACTTCAGGGACACGAGCAGGGAGTCCTGTCGCTGTCTTGGTGCCAGCAGGATGCTGATCTGCTACTGTCTTGCGGCAAGGACAACCGCACCTTGATCTGGAACCCCCAGACTGGCGAGCGCTACGGAGAATTCCCCGAGGTTACGAACTGGACTTTCTTGACTCGTTTTAACCCGCACAATCCCAATCTCTCGGCCACCGCCGGCTTTGATGGCAAGATCACAATTCAGACTCTCCAAAATACCAACCCTGCCGCTGTACAAGCCAGCACCCAGAGCAACTTGGATGGCGAGGATTTCTTCACCCAAGCCCAAACCCAGCCTCAAGAAGCCACTTTCTCCCTAACCGCAGCACCCAAGTGGTTTGAGAAACCAGTTGGTGCCTCGTTCGGATTTGGTGGCAAACTCATCATTTTCAAGCCAAACACGGCGCAGCCTGGTTTAAAACGGTCTTCTAAGGTTACCATTGAGCAGTTCACGGTCGATTCGGACATCGGTTCGGGCACTGAGAAATTCGAGGAATCCTTGAAAGGAGGTAACCTCGCCGGGATCTGCGAGTCGCACAAGGAGCAAGCGAAAACCGAGGAGGAGAAGGCAGAATGGAGCGTGATAGAGACCCTGCTTGCCGACAATCCTCGAAAGCAGATCGTCGATTACCTTGGCTTCTCACAAGTCGAGGAAGAAAAGACTACCAACGGGGCTGTTGAGGAGTCGGAGACCAAGGAACCAAAATCAGAGGTAGAGGCAGACAAGCCTGCCCCGAAGAAGGGCCACAAGAAGAACCGTCTGTCCATGTTCTTCTCCGAAGGTGCCGAGAATGAAGGCGACGACTTCTTGGCTGAGCTCTCCGCGACCAAGGGTGCCAAGACCGACAATCCATTCCATCTATTTGCCGAAGGGGATACTTCAGTTGAGAAGTCCATTACCAAGGCTTTGATGCTGGGACACTTTGAGAAGGCTACGGCGATCTGCCTCAAGGAAGAGAGAATGGCTGATGCTTTCATGATTGCTAACTGTGGTGGAAAGGAGCTGGTTGACAAGGTTCAGTCAGCCTATCTCACCCAAAAGGTCGGGATGCCCAGCTACCTCCGCCTTCTGAGCTCTGTCATTGTCAAGAACCTCTGGGATGTTGTCTACAATGCCGATTTAGCCGACTGGAAGGAGACGATGGTCACACTCTGCACTTATGCCAGCCCGGAAGAGTTCTCCGATCTTTGTGAGGCTTTGGGTGATCGCATCTTCGAGTCTGGCTCACGACAAGATGCTTCATTCTGCTATTTGGTTGGTCGCAAGCTTGAGAAGGTTGTAAGCATCTGGATCTCTGAGCTTGACGAAGCTGAGAAGGCTGGTCTGGCGGAGGGCAACGACTCCTCGTACTCCATTCATGCCAAAACATTACAGCAATTCATCGAGAAGGTCTCTATCTTCCGCGAAGTCACCAAATTCCAGGATGCTGAGACTGGCCTTGGCTCCGACTGGAAGTTGGCCTCATTGTATGACAAGTACCTTGAGTATGCTGATATTGTGGCGGGCCACGGACACTTGGCCGTCGCTCAAAAGTACCTAAACCTGCTTCCCAGCACGTATCCTGCTGCTGATATAGCACGTAACCGACTCAATCTGGCTACCCAGAAGAAAGCACAACAGCCCACGGTCAACACGCGGGCAGCTACTCGCCAAGCTGCCAACTTTGGGTACCAAGCAACAGCCCAGCCGGCGTCAACCCCACTGAACTCATACGTTTCTCCTGCCGCTCAGACTCATGCAGCGAACCCTTACGCTGCACCCCAAGCTCCTACCCCATATGCGGCACCCCAAGCTCCTAACCCTTATTCCGCGCCGCAGGTCTCCAACCTCTACGCGCCATCGCAGCCTGCCGCAAGCCCATACGCACCATCGGGTTATCAGCCTAGCCCAGCTCTCCAGCCCTCTGGATATGCCCCGTCTGGCTATGCTCCGCCAGTCCAGAACTTTGGCGTACCGCCCCCTCAAAACTTGAGCGCGCCACCACGGGCAGGCACACCATCCCACAACCCGGTTATCAAGAAGGACCAAGGGCAATGGAACGACATTCCATTCGTGACGAAGGCTCAGCCAGCAAGACGGACACCTGCTCCAGCTGCTATCACGCAACCTTTCGGCGCACAAGGTACCCAGGCTGGACCACCTCAAAGCCCCGCTGGCCCGCCTCGAGGTGTCGGCACACCACCTCCACCTCCTCCTAAAGCAGGATCTGTAGGACCTCCTCACGCACGTGTCATGTCGCCTTTGGGAGGACCACCACAGGCCGGGCAATTTGCTCCTCCCCCTCGGCCAGGCTCAGCTGCTGCTAATGCATACGCACCGCATCCCTCCTCCCAAGCTGCTCCTGGCGGCCTTGGTATGCCGCCGCCAATGGGCAATGTTGTTCCCAGAACGGCTTCCCCCTATGGGGCACCTCCAGCTGCTGCACCACCCAGCAGCCGGTACGCGCCATCACCGGTAGCGCATGTCAGTCAACCGCCTCAGCAACCAGGCATAGGGCCACCCCCAGGAAACCGACCGCCGCCACCAAACCCCTATGCGCCTTCCCAAGCGATGCCTGCCCAGAGCCCGTACGCCGCATCCCCATACGCTGCAGCACCTCAACAGCAAGCACCACCTCCAACTGGGCCACCCCCTATGGCTGGCCCTCCCAAGGCTGGACCACCACGGGCTGCCGCATCACCAGCACCAGCTCCGCCACAGGCGGCGGCGTCGCCGAAGGCGAAGCACCCTGCTGGAGATCGCTCGCACGTTCCCGCCAGTGCTCAGCAATTAGTCGATATCCTAAGCCGCGACATGCAGCGTGTCGCCGGAAAGGCGCCACAATCGTTTGCACCACAAGTTAAAGATACCCAGAAGCGTCTAGGTCTACTTTTCGACCATCTCAACAACGAGGAACTTGTGAAGCCCGATACTATTGAACAACTGACACAGCTCGCACACGCTCTGGAGGGCAAGAACTTCCCCGAAGCTCAGAGATTACAGCTCGAAATCCAGACTGCCAAGACAGATGAATGCGGTAATTGGATGGTATGTAACCCTATCAAGTAAACCAAGCAGCGATAGCTAACAAAGCCACAGGTTGGTATCAAGCGATTGATTTCCATGAGCAAGGCAACGTCATAAGACACGCAGATGGGGATGGCATTAGAGATAGAAGAAGACACTCGCACGTGAGCCATGAAGCACGAGAGCAGTTGGTTGTTACCTCGATTTTGTGGTTCACATTGGTCAGCAAATATATGTAGAAAAGCGCTGCTTCTTATTTGATGTCAGCTGAAATTCCAGAAGTCATGAATGTTCAATCGCGTTTCAAAAGGTGTGACATGCAGAATTATACCAACCATTCGTGAAAGTCACCCATACCCTGAAAATCGCTATCATCACCACTCACTTGGCGAAGAGTTGCAAGGCATGGCCTTCCTTTCCCGTTCGCCTAGGTATAGTGCAGAGACATGAGACAGAGATCCTGAGCCACGCAACAAACAAATCGAAGGCGCGAAATCTTTTTATTTTTACTTTTGGGGGACTATCGCTTACACTAATGATTCCATCTCCGAGTCTACGAAAATAATTTCGTTTTAGTACTTTCAAAAGTTAATCGAAAGGCCCTGGTGTCGGAGCAGAGATTTAAAAGCCCAGGACGAAGTCAACCAGGAGTCAATCGTCCTTGTCATGCAAAATTAAATACTTGTCGCTCCATAACACAACACTCAACTATATCTTAATGTGGCATGCCAGGCGTTGGAAAACACATGGGATAATCCGTTTTGCACATTCGAGTATTAGACACTGACTTGACTTGATCTCATCAGCTCTCGTGCTTTCATTCATTATTATCTACTCCCCTTTTCGAGTAGGGTAGGTCATGTGCACATATGGTCTCTTATAACCTCTAATTTCCGTACAAACCCCGCGGAACAGTGAGCTGCTCGCGCGATTCTGTGCCGTCTGTGTAGTATATCTTTCCGTCGGCTGTCTCAGTTCCCACGCTTATATTCTCGACTCGCTACCATGCATCTATTGCAGGTTCTCAATGACGATGGCGCTCGCACCACCGCCACCGTTGCAAATAGCAGCGACACCAATCTTAGCCTTCTTCTCACGCAGGACAGTAGTCAATGTAGCAACGATACGGGCTCCAGAACAGCCGAGAGGGTGTCCAATAGCGACGGCTCCACCGAAAACGTTGACGACGTCAGGGGACAGGTTCAGGATCTTCATGTTGGCGAGGGCAACGACGGAGAAGGCCTCGTTGATCTCGTAGAAGTCGACATCCTTGTCAGTAATGCCGGCGTGCTTGATAGCCTTGGGGATAGCAAGGGCAGGAGCGGTGGTGAAGCGCTCAGGCTCACGAGCAGCGTCGCCCCAACCAAGGATCTTGGCGATCGGCTTGATGCCAAGCTCCTTGACCTTCTTTTCGGACATGAGCACAACAGCGGCGGCGCCATCGTTCAGAGGCGCCGCGTTGGCGGCCGTCACAGTACCACCCTGGGGCTTGAAGACGGGGCGAACGCTCTTGAGCTTGTCCTCGTTCAACTTGGTGGCCTCCTCGTCCTTGGTGATCTTGATGGCGGGCTTTCCCCGGCCACCGCTGACCTCGACCGGGACGATCTCGGTGTCGAAGACACCGTCCTCAGTAGCCTTCTGGGCACGCTTGTATGTCGCAATAGCATAGGCGTCTTGGGCCTCACGGTCGATGCCGTGGTCTTGTGAGCAGAGCTCAGCAGCGAGACCCATGTGTTCCTTGTTCTTGTAGGCATCGGTCAGACCGTCCTTCAGCACACCGTCGACAATGGTCTGATCGCCGTACTTGGCACCGTTTCGCAGCTGGGGGAGGTAGTGAGGAACGTTGGACATGGACTCGGTACCACCAGCGACAACGATATCGGCGTTGCCAGTGATGATGGTCTGGGCACCGAGGATAATAGCCTTGGTGCCGGAGGCGCAGACCTTGTTGACTCCGGTGCAAACAACGGTGTCCTTCAGACCAGCGCCGATTGCGCACTGTCGGGCAGGGGCCTGACCCAGGCTGAGGCAGGAGGCGTGAGCATCATTGAGCAGCAAAGGGGCTTTTGGGGGGATGGTGGATTCTAACTCACTTGGCGGAGAGAACATTGCCGAAGAAGACTTCCTCGACATCCTCAGGCTTGATCTCAGGGACACGCTCAACGGCGGCTGTAAGAGGGGTTGTAAGCAAAGCTGGAGGTTGTGGTTCAACTCGCCGAACATACCCTTGATCGCGGTAGAACCAAGCTGAGTGGCGCTGAGGCTGGAAAGGGATCTGTTCAAATCATATGACTGTCAGTCCTGGAAGATGCAACGACGACGGCTTGGGCATCATTTGCCGCCAAACTTGACGAGCACCAAAGTATAAGTAAACAGAAACGGCCCGCACTTACCCAAGGAAGGAACCGACGGGGGTTCGGGCCGCCGAGACGATGTAGACAGGAGGAAGACCAGACATTTTGAAGGCTGACAAAGAGATCACGAGATGAAAGACGAGTGTTCACGGGGATGGAAAGGAAAGAGTGTCTAGTTTGTCAAGGTCTACTTGGGCTTACAGAAGGAAAATAAGGAAAATGTTGAGGTTGTAAGGTCCCCTAAAATCGCTTCGTTGCCCCTCTATTCACCGCCCCTGGAGCCCTTGCAGGTGAGCCATCGCACAGGTACGTACTACACACGTACAGTACCAACCTTAGGTTGCTACATACATACAAATCGCAACCTTGCGGTGGGGAATGCGAATGTGGCCGAGATTGCACGAAACGACGCGGTACAGCTTCCTGCAGTAAGTACTGTATATATATGTCTTGTGTCTCTCAAGTGCAAAACTAGCAATGCCACGGGTGGCTGTTTGCGATTGAGGCCCGAGCAACTCAATCAATTGACTTTGTCGCCGGGGGGGAACTGCTATTATAGCCAGAGAAAGCAAAATCTGATGCATTGAGTTAACCGTTGGAGGGGCAAAGCGCAACAGCTGCTGCAGTGTCCGAAATGGTGGGATAGATCATACAGAGTAGAGGGATAGAGGACGGACGGTCGCAGAGGGGGTTTGCCCATCTTCCGATCCTCATGCCTTCCATTTGATCCTCTTACCAGGCTCCCGCATGATCCTGATTGTCTGAAGATGGTTGCTCCTTGAACAGGCCTCGCCCCATCCCACGTTGTCCTCTATACCGTCAGGTACCGTCCACTGGAGCCGGGACAATTTGGGACACTTTTTCCTCTACATGCACAATACAGCTCTGGAGGGGTATGGATGTTACACAGTTACCTAAATTACGGATCCGTAGTGGTCAATAAGAACCCGGACCCTTGACAGCGGGGGCCAATTGCGCGACCCCCCGGGCCGTTTATCGGCGACTGCTAGCACTCACTAACTCCCACCAACTCCAAAAGGCACAGTCCAGCACTAAGGCACGGCTACAAATCATTGGGTCTTACGCGAGAAAAGTGCCACTAAACCTAGATGAAGCTTCAGCCTTGTCCATCGCAGTTTCTCAACTTTTTTGAGCTTCAGTCGCGTTATCGCGAACCATCCCATTCCGTCATTTCATAACCACCTCGTCCTCAAACCACCGCACACCGGCAGCCATGGATGACCTCTACGATGAGTACGTGAAGCCGTGTCGCCTCAGTAGCATCCTCAGCCACTAACTTGCACACAGGTTCGGTAATTTCATTGGTGAGGAGGCCGAAGCATCAGAGGAAGAGTCCGAACATGGCGTGGACGCGGGCGCCTATGTCTACGATGACGAGCAATCCGAGGCTGCGCCCGAAGTCACGGGACAGGAGTTGATGGAGATTGACGATGGACCGTCCAACGCCGTCATCCTGCACGAGGACAAGCAGTATTACCCGACCGCGCAACAGGTGTATGGCGAGGATGTCGAGACCATGGTGCAGGAGGAAGATGCGCAACCACTCACACAGCCCATCATCGCGCCTCCCGACACGAGGAAGTTCACCATCGAGGAGGCCGACCTACCACCCGTCTTTTACGATCGTGGCTTCATGACCGATCTCATGAACTACCCAGCACAAATACGGAACGTGGCCATCGCCGGGCACCTACATCACGGAAAGACTGCCTTCATGGACATGTTGGTCCTTGAGACCCACGATATCCAAGGAAGACTTGAGAAGCGAACCGGCAAGAAGCGAGACGAACAGCTAAGGTACACAGACATTTCCGTCATCGAGAGGGAGAGAGGCGTTTCCATCAAGGCAGCGCCCATGAGCTTGGTTCTGCAAAGCACCAAGGGAAAATCACACCTCTTCAATCTCATCGACACGCCCGGGCACGTCAACTTCGTCGACGAGGTCGCAGCTTCATTACGCTTGGCAGATGGCGTGGTTCTTGTCGTTGATGTGGTCGAGGGTGTTCAGGTCAATACCGAGCAGATCATCAAGCATGCCGTGCTAGAAGATCTGCCTTTGACGTTGGTAGTAAACAAACTCGACCGCTTGATCTTGGAGCTGCGACTTCCGCCTAACGATGCCTACTTCAAGCTTAAGCACGTTATTGAGGAAGTCAACACCATCATCGAAAATACCGTCCCGGGCTCCGGAGAGACAAAGAGACTCAGCCCAGAGAAGGGCAATGTGCTATTCGCTTGCACAGATATGGGCTGGTGCTTTACACTTCAATCGTTTGCAAAGATGTACGCTGACAGCTTTCCCGGCGTCAACACCGATGAGTTTGCGAAGCGTCTTTGGGGTGACGTCTATTTCAACCCTACGAGCAGGAAATTTACCCGAAAGCCTGCACCCGGCGAAGCTCGCGCCAAGAGGTCCTTCGTCAACTTCGTAATGGAGCCTATCTACAAGGTCTTCTCGCACTCGATCAGTCAGAATCCGGATGAGCTCAAGGAGACACTTGCGACACTAGGCATATCTCTTAAGCCGTCGCAGTATAAGACAGATGCTAGAGTAATATTGAAGCTGGTCTGTGAGCAGTTCTTTGGGCCTTCCACTGGTTTCGTCGACATGATCGTCCAGCACGTGCCATCTCCGGTGGAAGGTGCCCAACGAAAGTTGGAGCGATATTACACTGGACCGCTGGACACCAAAGTGGCTGAGGCCATGAAGACCTGTGACCAAGATGGCCCTTTGATAGTGCACGTCACTAAACTCTTTAACGCGGCTGACGGCAAGAGTTTCTCATCACTCGGTCGAGTGATGAGCGGCATCGCCAAGCCGGGCATGCAAGTGCGCGTACTAGGCGAGGGTTATTCCATCGACGACGAAGAAGACATGGTTACGGCAACCATATCTGCTGTGAGCATCGCCGAGACGAGGTACAGCATCCCGACAGATGGTATTCCAGCTGGAAACTGGGCTCTACTCGGCGGCATCGATAACTCAATAGTCAAAACAGCGACTGTTGTTCCTCCCAAGCTCGAGGACGACGAGGACGCATACATCTTCAGTCCGATCACACATTTCACCGAGTCTGTTCTCAAGGTCGCCGTGGAGCCTATAAACCCATCCGAATTACCCAAGATGCTTGACGGTCTACGAAAGATCAACAAGAGCTACCCCTTAATTACAACAAAGGTTGAAGAGTCGGGCGAGCACATTATTCTAGGTACTGGCGAACTTTACATGGACAGTGTCTTACACGATCTCCGACGGATATATGCAGACATGGAGATCAAGGTCTCCGACCCAGTGACCCGGTTTTGCGAGACCGTCGATGAAGTCTCCGCCACAAAATGCTACGCTATCACCCCAAACAAGAAGAACAAGATCACTATGGTGGCCGAGCCACTGGATGACGGCATTGCGGAGGATATAGAAACCGGACGCATCCAGATGCGAGGCGGCGCCCGCAAAGTTGCGAAATTCTTCGAGGAGAAGCATGGATGGGACAAGCTTGCCGCACGAAGCATATGGGCATTTGGACCTGACGAGATGGGACCCAATATTCTGCAGGATGACACACTCCCTTCTGAGGTACGTTGGCCACTTTTCCTTATTTGTGATCATTCGCATTGTTTGACAGCACGACTACCTTTCTTGTCGCTTGCATGTTTCAGAGAGCATCAGGCACCCCTCTGGCAAACGCCATCGTTTGAAAGTCTGGAGGTTTCTGAATAAGTGGCAATGCGCTGCTCAATCTGGCAACTACCTCGCTGTCGAATCTTTGGCGTTTTCCAACCTTGGAATCATTATCAAATTCTTGGTGCAGTCGTAATCCTGGGTATGCCGCATGGAACCTAACGTGTTCGGCAGGTCGATAAAAACCTACTCAAGACAGTTCGAGAAACCATACGCCAAGGGTTCAGCTGGGCTGCTCGGGAAGGCCCATTATGCGAAGAACGTAAGTCTGCAACAGGTTTTCTTGGTTCCACATATTCATCTACCTCACCTCCCCGCTGTGTCTACATTTCTACTCATGTTTGTTCGATTATGCCCCTTCCACCTGCACCACTCTGTTTCGATCACCTTCCTATCAGAATTCGTGGCAAAGCTGTCTATATCTCGGTCACATTTGGACTGTGGGCATTTGAGAGAAGAGTCAACGGGCACATCCTTCACAAGAAGCGGTACAACAGTTGAAGGTCGCATCTTGCTGCAATCCACATCGCGTCAGGAGGCAGGGGTTCTGGCAACAGAGCAAGCAGTGCCTCGTCTCGGAGACATGGCCAGGCTCCCCACCCCTGTACATCAGAGGCACATGCCACCGAATACTCTGTGGAACCATATCATGCCCTCTGGACGTGCGCAACGTGCGGTTATGTCTCCTGCATGAAATGCCATGTGGCTGGCTCTTTTCTTGTTTTGTCTTTTAGATATTGTCGCGGCAAACACCGCTACGGCAACACATTTCCCACCGATCTTCAAACACAGCGCGACATTTCCCCTGCACAGTGCTGCGGATGGGCGCGAGCACTCCCTACCTCGTCGGTACTTGCTATCCATGAGATAGGGGGTATCAATCTCAACCCCCTCTACCCCACGATTTCCGGCACCTCTTGTTCTTATTGGCCTGTGCCCAGCCCAACCCGCATGAGTCCCGATATCTCGTTGCCGCTCTCTACTCGATGCTCGGCAGCGGGCTTCAGAGTTTGTCCGGCTACCTCTTGGCTCCCGTTTCCCATCTCGCTATTGACCCCAAGGCTTTTCCCTTTTCGATTTTCTCAGCAGAAACGACGAGGGTAAGGAAGCGTCAGCAAGCGCTACACATGACGATTATCCATATCCAAAATGCATCATAACCATAACGATTCTCAGTTCTACTTCTCGCATCGACGTGCTGCCTCAACCCCTGCTATATTTTTGCCTTGCGTTTTGATTCTATTGTAATTTCAACTACAGCAGCACTTCTGCGGGTTGAATTGTAAACTAATGTGCCCCTGCTTTAACAGCTATACGCAATACCAAATTCCGCATCATGGATGCCACGCTGGCCAATGAAGCTATTTTCAGAGGCGGTGGCCAGATTATCCCTACAGCTCGTCGTGCATGCTATTCTTCATTCTTGATGGCAAGCCCGCGTCTCATGGAGCCGCTCTATGCTTGCGATATGACGGGACCGCAAGATGCAGTACCCGTGCTGTATAATGTGCTTGCGCGCCGCCGCGGCCACGTGCTGGTGGACGGTCCAATCGCGGGTACTCCACTCTACCGTGTCCAAGGTCTGTTACCTGTAATTGACTCGTTCGGTTTTGAAACCGACGTGCGAATCCAAACGCAGGGCCAGGCAAATGTAAGTCTGGTGTTCGATAAGTGGCAGAAGGTACCTGGTGATCCGTTGGATAAGGACGTGATCCTGCGACCGCTGCAGCCTGCCGATGCGCAGGCTACGGCAAGGGACTTTGTGCTAAAGACCAGGAGGCGGAAGGGTTTGAGCGAGGACGTGAGCGTGGCCAAATTCTTAGAGCCCGAGTTTTACCAGAGCCTTGTCGAGAGTGGTGCTATGGACTTGTAAGAAGGGTTTGTGAAAACACCTGGCATCACGGTATGGGTAAGGAGTTCAGGTCACGTTGGCTGGTGAAAAAGATATGTTGCATCATGCGGTTATTTGCGCCTGTGTATACTCTAGATTTGCAAGCAGGCGTTGAAGGTAGCCCTCTGCAAAGAGCTTCTCAGAAATCATCAGACAGGAACGCGATTTGTCTGACTGCAGTGCAGGCATGTAACCAATGACACGATGCATGAACGATTGGCGGCTAGCTATTACGTGAGTCAATCGGCCCGTGGCGGGAAGTCGGATAGATGCCCGGGACGCGTGACTTGCAATCTTGCGACGTACAGCAGCATGATCTGATCTGACATGTTATGAGGAAGTAATTCCCCAACATGCACACGCATACGCACGCGCACGAATTCAGGTTTCTCGAAGCTTTTTATTTTATTTTTCTATGTCGGAGGGGGGGGGGGGGGGGGGGGGTTGGTTTAGGTCCAATGATTGATTGATTGATTGACAGCTTCGCCAGTCATTCTAACAAGGAATGTGCTTCCAAAATACCCGTTACACGACAGTGACTCGGTCTGCCGTTGTGCGTCTGGGGTTGCACCGCATATTTTTAATTCATATACTATGTACAAGCAGTTACCGTACCATGTCTATCGGTTGATGCAAAAGTTGAACCCTATAATACCTTTTCTTTTTCTTTTTCTTTTTTTCCGATAAGCGGTCTCCGACGGTGTCCGTACCGATTGAGCTGAGCTGCCGAGTTCATAGAGTGTGATTGTGACCGGGTGGGCTGACTATACGTACATACAGTATGTACTCATGGTGGCTTACGCGCATATAGAATAGCAGAGGGGGAGGGCAGGAAAGTCGCATCACGCGGAACCACGACAAATCGTTTTTAGTGATCCCTCTCTTTCGGTCGAGTTTCGGGTCTTTTTGGACGGGGATGAGAGAGTAGATTTCTTGGTTTTTTTCCTTCCTTTGACTTTCACGTGTCAGCATGCTAGGAGGGAAGGGCAGGTTTTCCCAGGCCATAGGAAGGTGAACGCGTAATCCTTTGCCCAAAGGATCGCAACGGGTTGTCCAAGGCTTGCTTGCCGCTCGCCAAGACACGCACAGTTGGGGCCAGGCCATGAGATATAGTAGATAAGTAAGCTTAGTCACGTCAGGGGGGATCGGCCAAGTTGGCACTTTCTTTAGATTAGCAATAGTGGACCACGAGAGGGTGTCTCTGTTGGCTTCGACCTCGGTTAACCCCATTATTTAGATTAAAGTTAATCGCGGGCCATACGCACGGGAGAGTGTCAGTAAAGAATGCGACTTGTGTTGACTTTGGCCTGGGAAGACGAGGGTGAAAGCATAAGCGAAGTGCGTATACGCTAATCCGTTACTCATTGAACCTGCATCATGGAGCCTCGCACTACTGCCCGGCTCTCCATGATCCCTCGTCATCTTCATCTCCTTGTCACCCTATTGTATTTCCACGGATATTGCGAGGCTGCAATGTTATAGGTTGCAGTGTATGTTACGTGTTCTTGTGTGAGACTCATTGCGGTAGTAAACAGGCATTGGGCGTGCGATCTGCAAACGGGCGTAGGAACTGGCCATGAAAGTTGCCCATTAGTCTTGCCCAATAACGGCAGTCGTTTCGTGTGTAATGCAAAGCGTCAAAAATACCCTACACTACGGGCAACCAGCAGCGAGCGTCGATAGGATCAGAGTCGTAGATCTACAACAAGGGCTATAGTGGGCTACCCTGGCAGCGGTTGGGTCTCGGCTCGAAGCGTGGTGCTGCAAAGAGAGTAGGGTAAAAGACAAGGGGCGAGGCACGCTCAGGCTTTTCCATTCACGACTCCGATTAGGGCTCCGCTCCCAAAGTTACCTTGGCCAGGAGATGACTATGGCGCAGGCAGAGTCGTAGCATCTGCTTCTCTCCACGATCAGATGACCACGGTAAAGTTGAGTGTTTGTGTTGAAGTTATAGATATGGGCCTGCGGCAGGCATAGTGAGAAATGGTCCGAGTTCCGCTTGACAGGTGGATACCCAAAGGCTTTATGGCTGGTGATGGGTAGCCTCAAGTACCGTGATTCCCACATCCACAGGCTGGGGTGCGATGAATTTTCCCATGTTTTCCGCGCCTGGCGATAAAGAAAATTCCACGCCACTCGAGACAGTTGGCCACCTCCAGATTCCCAGGCAAAATTTGATTCTATTTTCGCCTTCTGCTGCAAATCAAAGTGTTTGAGCTGTGTTTAGAAGCTGCTGGAGATGAAGCATCGTCAGCCTTGAGAATGTCATACTCGCCAACGAGGCTCCGCACAAGGTCCTTGCCCCTATGCAGCAAATACTTGGCCTTAGGTACCAATGCGTGTCTGCTCACAGACTGGAGGAAGGGGGAAACGTGGTTTCCATGCAGAGCTTGTAATTACTTATTCTCTCATGCCCATGAGCGCTTCCCTGTTGATTGGCGTGGGTGGCACACTGCCGTGAGATGGTTGACTATAAAGTCCACGATAGTCTTGCCCTTTCTGGTTTCTAACAGCTTCTGCCGAGTTTTACCCCACAACGGAACAGAAGGGTATTCATACCCTGTAGGTCCCCTTAAGCGATGGGATAATGTGTGAAAGCCGGTCAAGGGGCTTACTCTTCATCATTTGCTGAAGTAGGGTTGGTGCGGGTTGCTATTGGATAGTTCCACTGAAATGTAGCGGAACTAGACAGCATAAAAAGCACAGAAGCACCAACTCGCGCATCATTTTGGTAATACTCCGTATATACAAATAGCTACTGCCTTCCATCTTGTTTCGTCCCGCTGACTAAATGCCTTCGACGGTCTAAAGACAAATCCGACATGATTGAAGTGAACGTGATAAAACGCTTCATTGTATCGTGGGGAACTTGGTGCATACGGAGCAGGTCCGCGCCCTCGAGTCCAGTTCATCGTTTATGCCGGATGCTGAGAACATTTCGAGAGCATCGATCTCAAGCTTATATCCCAGCACAAACCAAAGCTGCACTACCCAGATCTCTGGTTGTGGAGCTCGCGTAGTGGTCTGTTTCTTGTGTGGTGATATAATTTAGATACTTCCAAGTACTTCCAATTGGGGTTAGATGAGTTCCTGCTGAGATGTTGAAATATCATTGTTCTTACATCGTAAAGACGTCTAGGCCGGAATCACAAGCCGAATGTAAGTATTCATTGGTATCTAGTTAGACAGTTTCTGGGCCGACTTGTGATTGAGAATAGTAAAGTTGTTGTTCCATATTGAGATAATCTAGTTGCGAAGCGTATTGTATGTTTTCCATATACCAACAACGGGTGTCTTTCGTGTTGTCAATCTCAAATGACTAACTCCGTTTTTCAAGATAAGATAAAAATAACCATTCTGGTTGCCATGAGATATCGAGTGTTCGTCGTTTATCCTTTGGCCGGGTTTTTAGCTGTCCAATAGCGGAAGCGCATGCCAGACCGCTGGTCAGATTATGATAGAACAACAGGGTGTTCATGTGCGAATTGTTTGAGATCGATGCCATCATTGACAATTCGCTGGTACAACTTCGTGAATACCTGGTCTCTCCAACTTGATAATCGTTCCCAGCTTGGAAATCGTGCTTTGGCTGACATACGAGGACCAGTGACATAGGGAACTACTACATTGTTCTTGTCCTGCAGCAGAACTGACATGGAGATTCTCCAAATTAACAGCACTTGTACCAGAGTTCAGATCACTTGAGGTGACTATGGCTGCATATTTCGAAACTGTTGAGTCGGGATGTCAGGTATCAGTGGTTATCGAGAAATACGCGATCTAGTAGGATCTGGCTGTTCTAGCGTGAGGTCTGGGGTATATAATCCTAGTACATGCAGCGTACCTATCTGTATCTTGTTGTGCCACATTGACCACTATCACCAGACGTTCTAGAAACCCGTATTTCATTGTCCCTGGCAGAAAGAAAGGCCCATCATACGCTAGGATAATCTGCATCATAGAGCTGCAAATCTGCAAAGCTGCAGTTGTGCTCAAGTTGATATGCGCGAGCAAGTAAACAAATAGCGCCCCTGCCGATAACCGAAGTCGCTTGTGAAACATCAGACACATGTCTCCAGCATTTTGTCGAGTACTCCTTTGAGAGTGTCATTCTCCAGAGCTGCAGCGACTCTTTCCTTATCAGCGAGTTGCTTATTGACCTGATCATCCTGGCTATGTGTTCCCTCCTTGATCATGATATCAACACGGTAATTAGGTGGTAGAGCCTTTTCCAAACGGACTCTCACACCGAGGCCAATGACAGTGGCCAACGAGCAATGTGTAATAGTAGGCGTGATTTTAACGAGTACTGTTGAAAGAGCATTTGTGTCTACCTTGATAGAAGGCGATGGAGTAATGTAGATATCTGGTAAATTGACCACGGCGAGCTCACCAAGTGAAATGGGATGCTCTGGATCGGTGATATTGGATATCAAATCTGTGAAACGTCAGCTGTCTGATGAGCATGACAGGACAAAAATAGATGTGTCGACATGGCCACGCAACTATCCACCAGAATGTAACTAGAAACACGAACCGCCACATTTCGTAGTTATGTATGGTAGAGTGTCGCGTAGCGTTCCAGTAGCTCCCTATGTTCGCGCACTGACACATATTTATAACATCCGACAGTGAAACATGACTTGAGACAGCGACAAAGCCTCTCTAACCTGCAGATATCGTTATACGTTACCACAATACAGAGAAGCTCTGCTGTTTGAATGCCAGTACTGGGACATGAATGCTAGAACTGAGCTTACCATAAATTTCCTGCTCATCGATGGGCTCATCGGTGAAGTCATCCTCGGTTTCATCTTCATCAGACCATGGCGTATCGCTGAAAGGCCCCGAAAGATATGAGGGCTTGCGTATGATTTCGGCCATTAGGCCAGTATCAAAGTCATTTCGAAGTGCCTTCTTCCTTTTTTGATGTTGTCTTGTGGGTAATTGAGCTGCAGTCAAGATGGTGGGGTTGGCGTTATCTTTGTCCATATTCCTAGCGTGAGCGAACGCCTGGAAGCCAGGATGCCGTTCTTGTTCCGTTTCGACGAAATAAGGTGGGAGACGGTCGCAGGCTGGTTGCAATGGGAATTTGGGAAATGCTCTGTTTGGGAACAAGAAATGTTGTAGCTCGTCGTGACTACGGCAGAGTGAAGTTCGACATTAACCATCGCCACTTCCGATCATCGCCCTTCATTTCACTATCGATAAGAAATAGTTAGTGGGGCAACAAACACCGCCACAAGCTTCTTACGATTCAATCTTGTAGTTGTGCCTCAAGAGTTTCAAAGGCACCGGTGTTACCGCTGCCGGCGTTTTAATTATTACACAATGTTGATGCATCACTACACATTATTCTCATCAGAGTCGGTAATATCTGTGCTCTACGACACAAACAGACAATTTGATTGCCATTATATGATCTTCCGCTAGATTCTCGTGTTCACATGGAGTTCAGTAGTCTACAGACGCTCGTCCCCGCATAAGTTACGTGACCATAAGATCACACCTTAGATGGGTTAACGCTAATTAAAATATCAATAAATGCCGTGATTACTGTTGCGTATACGCTTGGCTAGTTTCGGGGCAGCATCGTGATTTAGCTGGTGTCTTAGACCACCACACATGATTGCTCTCATAAAATAGAAGTTAAGTCGACTTTGCGTATCTAAGTAGTGCATATGGATTTTGATGCCACTGCATAGTTATCATGCGCTCGGGGTTCGCTGTTATCTGAAGGCGTCTGCAGGGCGCAGGGGTTTTGATATGCTCCACGTAATGGGGGTGATATCCCTCTGTAGGGACTTGAGCTGCTCGCTCTCGGCAAGGAGACGAGCTGTCATCATTTTGAAGATTCATGCGACCTTATTTTGCACTGTTTAGTTTGCCGTGATGGGGATAGTTTCATGGGTACCGCCCACTTGGACAATATGCTCCTCTTTTACTCTGGTGTGGTATGGTCGAGATGGGACGAGCGGAAGGCGGAGTCATTCCCCGTTACTCGACAACGGTGACAATGGCTGTCTCCTTTTCAATATGGTGGACACATTGCCTTTGACAAGTTCGTGAAGTTTGATTGAAATCGTCTTACGCATGAAGTCAAGGAACCAAGATCCCTGCAAAGAAGGTTTGCAGAAGGGCTGAGGAAGGAAAGCCACCCGTTCCCGACACTGCCTGCATGATAGGATTGGATTTGTCTTGGTTCTCCGCTTCCCGCTCTCGGCTCCAGCCCAAAGGGTCAGTGACGGACAGGTACCCAGAAGCCAGAAGCCAGGCACAAGCGGAAAGATGCACACATCACCGGAGTCAATTGCTGGAATGGGGGTAGTAGGCCATTCGGCATCTGAAGTTGCTGTCATAGGGCTACAGAGCCGCAATCGTTCCCATGACTTGCAGCAATGGCCGCGACGGTTATGGAGTCTCGATTTTGATCAACAAATTCAAACACATCATGTCGTGTACGGCTCGGTCCTCGGCCCAGCAATGTCGCGATAGCCCATCCAGCCTCTAGAGGATGACCAATTTCTCCGGCGGTGGCGTTGGGGGGCATGATTTTAGATTTCTGGTTGGCTTTTGCTTGAAAGGTTTACAAACCTGCGCTGTGTGCATTGGCATTCAATTGTATTTTGGTCGTTAAGCTTACAACAGGTGGCGCAAATTGAGGCATACGCAATCAATACCGCCGAGTCAATGAAATCCAAGTCTGGGCTACGAATACGGTATGCAGCTCACATCAAGGTTGCACCATCTTGATGGCAGGACATGCACTAAACGCCGGAAAGTCCCAAGTGAATGGGAGAGTTTGGCTGCAGGGCACTGCAGGCAAGCGGCGCAGGGTGACATTCGCTAGACAAGCGCGCTTGCTGGTGGTCTTCCTCCCCATCTTGCATGTGATTGTCAGGGCTAGATTAACCACAAGCTCTGGACCCGATGAAATATTTCTGTGTCTTGCATTAATCATATCGCCATTGGCTTAATTCCAGGTTATGGAACGAACAGCGAGAATACCAAGACAAGGACCCGAGCTGTTCATCTTATTAACATCTCCAGGATTGAGGATATTGTCAAGTGCTCTTGCTAGTAGAATATGGAGGGGACTTCATACAATCTGGCCGTTGCAACTTAGTCTAGACCTGAAATTCTCGGCACAATCGGCTGAGCTTTGAAGTTAATACATACTCACTTGAGACAACACCCTAGAGACGCACGATGGAGCTTACATCCAAAGCCAGGACATTGCGTGGTGAACGAAGCGCTGGGATTCCTGGCTTCCAGCATATTACTACATTGGGGTTGCAGTATTGGCGGCATAAACGTCAGCACCGTATATACCAGCCCACCATAACCAGTTATAAGGTCCCCTGCAACCCAGAACGCCATTAAGGACAAGGCCTCCTAATTAATACCTGTCAAGCCACCCAGAAGTAGATAATTTGTGCTGTTTCACAAACACGACCTACCACTCAGCAAGTCAAAGAGTCAGAAGGCATGAATAAACTGTTTCGAACAGGTTTTCGTAGATGAACTATCAATAACAACAACATTCATGCGTTTTGATCTTCTCCAGGAGATTCATGATTCCGGGGAAAGAGGTACACATGTATGTATCCTGGGGAAGAAATGCCAAGTCGGCAGCGGTCATCGCAGGAAATGTCAGACGTGGGTGAGGTGAGATTACTTGCGACGCCAGCGCCAAAGACAGCAGCTTCAGATGGAGTATGTATTTCCATCTTGGCGTGTGATTCATCAATGGATAGGCTTACGCAAGAATAGGGCCATGTACAGTCCCATCTCAGAGGTTACGTAGCTGTTAATAGAGCTTGAAATGTTGTAGGACTTGCGCTTTGCTTCATCTCATCTTGCATTAGGAGTCGTTCCATCACACTGGATCGGACCGCATTGACCAGTCTTTGAACTGTTCTGATCATGTGGGCATGGATCAAAGTTAGCCGGGATACCTGGCAGTCTTTGAACAATGGGCTGAGTACACGTGTATTCGGGATGCGACGTAAAAAGTGTAGGCGGTGATTTGCAAGGCAGATTTATTAATATATTAAGCACAGGATTCAGAAACTATTTGTTGACGATGCAGCCACTGAGGAAGGAGAAATCTAGGAACTCTCGACGCTTTCCAGGAACAGGACACCGCGATGACACATGGGGTCAATGTCACCATACCTACTGTATTTCTCAAACAGCGTCTAGGGTCTAGCTTGCACGCCGTTCGAATCATAAAAGAAGACTAACACAGAACTTAAAGACTTCATTCTAGAAGAGCGGTCTCTTACCGCAACCCTCGGCAGGTGGATCACTGTACTATGGCAGGCGCAGTTCTATCGACGGCAGAATCTAAGCGATTCATCTATTGTGTTTCTACTCCAAAGATCTAGACATGTACTTGTAGACCGCCATGGAAGAGTAGTCGTGTGATCATGTGAGAGTTTGCGCCAGATAGATTTAGACAGGCAGAACCGCAAGTCTCAGGTGCATGTGGGCGAGTGCCCCCTTGTTAGCTGGCAGATGTCGGGCTCCATCTTCGATCAAAGATCTCGACCCGTAAGCCCATTGTGATCCTCAAGCCTCCACTGTCAGCTAGGACGTATCCCACTGTGAGTTTCGGATGCTTGAACAGCGCGGTTCGAGCTGTCAGAAGGCTTCTCTTCTTTTCTCCCTTTTTTTGTGTGCAAGATCCAAGCCATATCGTTATACTAGAACAGAAGATCTTTTGTACTGATGTTCGTGAATGCCGCTATTCCACTGCCGACGGCGGTCTAAACAAGACCGAAACTACATGCTCGTCATTCAACAGACAGTTTTTGAGGGTCCCGCAGCTAACTGAGCTGTAGATTGGAGTGCGGGCGGATAGTCTGAACTCCCGACCCAACCGCTTAAGCCAAAAGTCAAAAATACACTACAGTAAGCGAGATGGTACCCTTGGAGCTTTTAAGACTGTGCCTTCTTTCATTGGGCTCTCCCCAAGAATCACGCTGTCATACTTATGACAAGAGAGACTTTCATCTTCCCCATCAATTGTTTGATTGATAAATGGCTTCTAGTTTCGTAACATGGTATTGTACTCAACCTAGAGCTGTCGGTGACACACAACTGTCAGCGCGTGAGGGATGCCCGCAAACTCTAAATCCTAGGTTACCAAGTATAGCGTTGTAGTCTTCGATAGGCTGCCAGTCGCGACTCAAGCTTGAGCAAACCTCTATGGTTTCCTTTCAAGGGGTGTCAGCGCGTACATAATCCCCGACAAGTCCGCTACAGATTGAAGGGCAAGGGGCCTACTTTGCGGGACGAGTGCGGTGACTTGTTCTTGTTTTTGTTCTTGTTCTTCTTCTTGTCGTCAAACCACCAAGTGTGGCGGTAAGGACTACTGTACGTCGTTGAAGGGGTCTGCGGGACTTGATTTGAATGCAAGCTACACAGGTTAGGTGTGCAGCTGGCCTCCACACTTGAAAACCCCCTGAGTCCAGCGAAGCCCCTCTCGCCATGATTCGGCAGCATCTAGTGTATGCATGATGCTGGAAAGCTATGTACTGTACGTACTTTCTTGTACATTCGTTCCCAGCACTTGCATTGTCTCGGCGTCCACGCGACAGGTCCTCCCCACAATACGATGCCGCTGCCCAGACATGACGGCACCGCCTCCCAGGCCAGTTTGAATGCTAGTTTACTTCACCTGCAGTCAAGTGCTGAGAGTGGAAGTATCTCTTGAGAGGCGCCCTGATCTTCATATGGGTCGTTTCACTCTATAGCAGAGGGTACTGACGATCCACGCACCGTTATGCCTGAGCTGCCACGCAGTATCATGTTGTACATGGGTTGACGACGAGCTCATATCCTGAATTTCGAGAAAGCCCGGGTTCTATGATTATATGGGACGCCGTATGTAAACGTGGTCGATAACGGCACCAGATATTAAAGGAACGAAAACGGCCCTTAATGATAGAGCTATCATCAGCTCCAACTTTTTTTTCTTCCCAGGGTCCGGGTTGTTCGACCATCCAGCTGCCACATCCGTAAGGATTTTCGCTAGCCTGTGACCAGGCTCAGCCGTGATACACGCTCACTGATACATAGTCTTATGAATACTCTTTATCTCTTCTGGACTTCCTCAACTAGTACTACTGGCAAAAGAAGAGAAGGCACGATACAACACGAGTCCTGCGATCTTGGTGTTCACGTACGACTCGACAAGACTAGCTAAAGACCTCGAAGGACTTACCTTCTGCTCTGGTCAAGTCAGGGTCAGAACTGCAGATTGTCCCGTTCTCTATGCAGCTAGGGAGATATCGAAGGCCCTCTCTAGAGTCGTCATTTACACTGAGGATCCCGTCCTCTCGAAGGCTGAGCGGGTGACCCTAAGCGTTGGGTTGTGCTCCACTGCATTTGATCTTGACTTGATTGACTTGCGGATTAACATTGCGACCTTGCAGCCAGGACATACCCTTGACATTAGCCCCTTGTCAGTTAGTTAGCTTGCACTCTCCATTCTTTGGCCCATTCATATTCATAATAAGGGACCGTTATCCCCTCAATTGACCTAACCACCGGCTCCTCTCTACCCAGAAGAGGCACCAAGGATCAGCCATTTGGGTCTGACGTCCGCCCGGCTCCCCCCTCCAAACCCACGAACTTCTGCTAAGCTTAGTGCGCCGCGCCGAACTCCTGCTACCTCGAGGACTTGCCTTGGGATCTTGATCCTGCATTTACATCTACAAACGAGATCAAGCCTGTCGCCTCGCACGTCCAATAGCGACTGCTGTGCGTGTATCGTTAATTCGAAAGCAAACTGAGAATTGGCCTCGCATCACCGGAGCTACAGCGCTGTAGTGCTATTACCCTCGATATATGCGACAGTGTCGGCATTGTTTGGAGAAGAAGGGCTCAGTGGGACAAGCATACCGCCATGTCGAACGACCCGTCTGTACGGAGGCTCCTGCCTCAGAACTCGCATCTCGGCCAGTTCTCTTATGCACCGCCGGCTTACCAACAGCCCCGCGAAACCCAAAAGAGTGCGCTTCTCAGAAAAAATGCTCCTGAACTCTTGGCTGGGATATTCTAACGTCCCCATCCTGCAGATTATGTATTCGTGGACGAGCACAACCGGCATAAGCGACTGAAAGGTGAGCGCGTCACAACTACTGTGCCAGAGAGTAAACTTGCAGCTAATCAGGCTTGTTCCTTGCAGTCATGAGGTACGATGTGCGGCATTCAAATCGCCGGTGATATACTAACATGTGGGAATTAGAGCTTGCGAAGGATGCAGAAGGAGAAAGATCAAGTGCGACGCAGCGACAACAAATACATGGCCATGCTCGGCGTGCATTCGCCTGAAGCTTCATTGCGTGCGCCCCAATGGCCAGTACGATGGTTCTGTAGATTCTCAGCCTTACGAAACACCGCGAGCCGATTACGACACCGGTCCAATGCCGGATGACTTCAGACAGATGTCGTCGCATCCTCAGCCCATGATGGGCGGACAGCCGAAAGCCGCCATGTATGGAGCTCAAGGACCATATACGGATGGTCATCATGTGTATCAGACCGTGCCTTATGCGGCTCCACAACCGGCACCGCATAGTATGCATTATACGACAATGCCTCCTGTCGGTGTTATGGATCACTCGTATGCACCAGCCAGCGTGTTTCCAACCCCGCCGATGCAACATCACCAAGCGCCGCATTCCGAATCGTCGCCTGAATCGTACTCTACGGATCAATACGGCCAAGGTAACGACCTGGCTGATCTACTTGGGTCTCTCAAGATGGACGAGAGGGGAACCGGTAAGCCTTGCACTATGCTTTGTGCGCAAAGAAAAGAATAAAAATAGTAGCTGACAGGCCGATAGCTCCCTATCTTGACAAGATGTTGGCATTCAGAAACGTGGAAGATGAGCCGGTCACTGAAGATGCTGACGAAGTGTCGTTACCTGCGCCAACAGTTCCAGGATCAAAGATTCGTATTCCGCCAGAATTGATGCCAGACGAGGAAACAATACTCCACTACTTCGACCTATATTTCGCGAATGTGCATCCCTATGTTCCAGTCTTGAACAAGGCCCAGTTCTATCATCAGTGGCACACGAACCGCGAGTCCATTTCACCGCTCATCCTGGAAGCCATATTCGCTGTTGCTGGACGTCTTGCTGACGAGCCAGCTCTGGGTCAGCAATGGATAGCTTTGGCTTCAAGTGAGCACCCAGCCGTCTTATTCTTGAATGTATTACTAACCAGAAGACAGAGCACGCCGACGCATTCATGGATGTGCCGAGGCTGAGCACTTTACAGGCCTTGCTCATCATCTTGAAAGCACGCGAGGCATCCCCAAAGAAAGGTTATTACTACAGATCTTGGATGTCTATCGTGAACTGCATCGCCATGGCTAAAGACCTTGGCCTTGATGAACACTTTGAAGACCACAAAGCCGGCAGGTCGTGCGGTTGCAGCGCTGCCGAGTGTCTGACCAAAACCCGTATCTGGCAGACTATTTTCATCTGCGAGCTGATGATTGGCAGCCCCCAAGGTACCATCGCAAATCTCCTATTCTGTGACTCGTCTAACTTTCAGTAGGTCGTCATGATCTCTCAGTTGATCTCGAGTCTCTGGACTTCAGTGTTCCGAGGCCTATTCCTGGTGGTGACGACGCCGAATACCATGTCACGCGCAACTTCACCTACTTGGCCCGAACAGTTCGCAGTGTCAGACGAATGAATAACGTCTACGCAAGAATCAAGAGGAGAAAGGATTGGGGTATCGATCCAGAATTTGTGCAATTGAACCCCTCAATGAACTCATGGCTAAGTGATCTGCCTGCTGATCTCTCTGTCACGTTCCCCCCGGATGGCTCCCCTCCTTGGCTTCCAAATCATTTCATTGGAAACTTGCATTCATACTATTATCTAGCGGTTCTCATGCTTCACCGCCCGCAACTCAACTTCTTGGATCCCAACGGCCAGGATGGTCAATGGAAATCGCACATGGTTCTCTGCTTGTCATCAGCCAAGTTGTTGTGTCGATTGCAGGAGGCTATGCTTCAATCATTTGGTTCGAGTGGTCTACAATGCATGCAACGAGGCATTAGCTTCACCATCTACGCGGTTTTGACTTGCATTCCACTTTATCTCGTGCGTTCCTTGATTGCTCGTTCTCAGCTCTGTTATACTGACATTTTCCTAGGTTGCCTTGACGTCTCCAGACCCGGACCTGAACTCGGATGCCAGGGATTACTTCACGCGCCATATGCGTATCCTGGAGAAAACTATGGGATCCTGGCCAATGCCGGAGATGGTTAAGCAGATTGATGCTGTTCGAGAGGCTTTCTCTGCCAATCTGAGAAAGCCATTTGTGCTCAAGCCAAGCTTTCCTTACGGAAGCCCTGCACAAAGCAACAGTACGCCGCCCAGGACCATCGGTATCAAGCCTCCCATGTTGCGGACAAATTCAGTGGACCAAGTTAGTTATACCAGTCACCCCATCACACCACCCATTTCAGCTGGTCCTGTGGACAACAAGAGTGACTCGTCTCCTGCTATACAGTCACTAGTCATGATGGCTTCCGGCCCGAACTCGCAAGCTCCGTCAATGCCGCATGGACTCTCGATGGCCGAACCACCTACTTGGAACCCATCACGTATTTTTGAGTATGCTACCCCAATAAACTGTAGTGGAATCTTGCTAAGCAATATCTGTAGTCAGTGGAATTCCACATTTGGTACGCCCCAGCCAACCTCAGTGCCCCCTCAGTCCAATTCCCTAAATGTTCCTCCGTCCTCAGGTACCCCGGAAGTCCCGTCTATCCAGGCTATTCAAAACGCAAATGCGTCTCTTCCATCTGGTCAGGCAATGCCTCCCCAACAATACTCCGCGGCTCCAGTTCAATCATTTGTGACTCCAGCTATGTGGCAGGAGTCTGTTGCCAGTGTGTACGAGGGAGGTATCAAGAGACATTGGGATGCTCGATGAGTGACCGCAACGGCCAGGTGTCCCTGATCCTTCTGCGTCGTGATACGTTTGAACGACGCATACGACTTTCCGATTAAGAACCAATGAATATTATCCACGACATTACGACCAATTGAAAAATCTTTTCTTGCGACATATCTAACAACCACGATTTCGTACACGCGCTCCTCCGGTTCCTTCGATACAGCCATTTCCGCAATCGCCTGACCTCGATATACATATTCGACATTTGTAAGATATCACAACCATATATGGAAGGTCTAAAAGAGAAGAAAAATCTCCGGGTTTCTTGGTTTTATGATCGACACGACCTGTATTGAGTAACGAAGGTGCTGGGTTTGGGGGAGATGTTTAGGAGGACCAAACGTGGAAGAGTTGGAAAGGCAGCTCTTTAGGTGCTTTGTATTTGAAGCTGAACCGGACGGCCACGGTTTGCCTCTGCTCGGCGTTAGGAGAGCATCAGCAATTTTCTCTTTTGGAGGTCTCAGCAATTTGGCTGTCTCACTCACTTTTTGGTTTTCTGCAGACGGTTTTGTACAATGCAAGCCGACTCTTCCGGGGCCTGCTGGCTGTATTACTATCATATTATACCATTTGACTGGTTGGTGTTGTCCTGGTACATAAACAGGCTAAGATGCATCTCATGTCATGAAACAGACTAATAGGCATGTTGGACAAACGAATAAACAACATTTCCTGGACTGGAAGATTTCGGAAAACCTCAAAAGTGACAATTTCTCGTGTAAATCTGATTGGCGCAGGCGGGGCCGAAGGTGCGATCCCGTCTTCATTTGCCAGACACTTTAGGGAGAATTCAGTTTCGTTGCCAAGTTGAGTCGTACTGAAGGACCGCTGATCTCGGAGCATCACTTGACCGACTACTCAGTATAACATGTCACCGTCGAGGACGTGTCCAGTCGTGCGAAAGAATTGTGTATTCACAAGTGAGAAAACGTTGCTGATCGATCTATTTATACAAGCAAAGTGCTCAAATCAAGTCTTATCTCTTTCCACCCCGACATGGTGTGAGATTGATGCCGTAAGACTCATGAGTGTGTATCGTCATTAAGCACTACCGCCACCACATGACAACGAAAGGAAACTATGAAAACCTCGAGAGTAGGGGAATCCAACTGCGAAGAAACACGATTAGCGCGGCCACAAGCAGACCTCCACCAAAAGCCCGTAACACAGCGAGGCTGTAGAGCTCTTGTCTCATCGCCTCAACGCCTTAAACGCCTAACGCGATGCTCCTATGTTCATTCCATACACGTATGTACTCATGGCTGAACGATGAGGAATGAAAGGTTCAAATAAGCAGAACGCATGAGCCAAGTGATGATGCGGCGGTGACGCCAGGAGCAGTCGTCCATAGTCGTGGCCGCTCCCTACTCGACATCGCCCATAACCTCGTCCCGTAGACTGGACGACGGCGTCACGCCATCCTTGACCCATTTCTGGAAGTTCTCGTTTGCTCTTTGAACCTCATCTTGAGGCAAGTTCTTCATCCAACCATCACTCAACCATCCGTTGTTCATCACATAACGCTCCTTCAGGCGCTGCTCCCGCCACTCATGAACCATGTTGCGGCGTTCTTCGGCGGCGGTCTGCTCTTCAGCCGTCACGGGAATGGTGTTGTAGATGAAGTACTCCGATGTACCTTTCTCGAAGCCCATCTTGTTGGTGTTCAAACAAATCTTGAGGATCAGATTCTCGTCAAACTGAATGGCCTTGGGTAGGTTGCCGTCATCGGAATCCACATCGCTAGATGGGAGGTTGCGGGCAAGCACTGGCTTTCGAAGCTTCTGGCGCGGAACCCCTTCCGTGGGCTCCACACGCATGAAAGATGAAATGTAGTACTGCCAGCGTTCCTTGAGTTCCAACTCGTCCATATGGAAAGTAGTCTCATCCCGTTGCAGCCAGCGAATGGTTGCGTTCGACTTATTGGGGAACTAGAATGAATCAGTACATGGCACTATAGGTTCACGACAAAGCAGGACTCACCCATTGAATCAAGAACAGATCGCCGTCCTTCACGCACTTCTGTGCGAAAGTACGTGCGGTCATCTCGGTTTGGAAGCTAGTCTCCTTCTCCGCACGGCTGTGTAAGAACTGTGAAACTAAGTCGGACGTCTTCTCCTTTGAGTCAGTGCTGTTGCAGACCAAAGAGAGTCGGCACAGTGTCTTGAGAAGATCCTGTATGGTGTACAGCTTCCATCCCTTCTTGAGATAATAGTGGCGGAGGACTTCTTGGTAGCGGTTGTCGTCGATCTCATTGGTAATGTAATCCTCCACCAGTTCAACTGTCTTGGGCCAGAATGAAGCTGGGTCATCTTCGTCGAAATAGCTCATCTCGTTGACGGCAATGCCTAGTTGCTTGGCAGGTTTCTTACTCCTCGACCGAGCAATCTCCTCCAGCACGCTAGCCCGACTCTCCTTAGCATCCTTCAGACGCTGGTATAGTCTCACGAAAACAGTAAAGAAGACGTAGATGGTCTGGTTGCAGAAGAAGTGGTAATACCGACGTGGGAAGAAGCCATCAGCCTTGAGCTCGCCATCAGCGTCCAACAGATCTCGGGATCCCTTGACGACCGTGGCACGCGGCACGATGGGGAGCCATCGCTCGTTTGACATCTCGGGAGGAGCTGCCTCGTCGTGGACATCGGCCGTCTCCTCTTCATTGCCGGAACCAGTGTCAGGTGTGCTCTCTTTGCTACCAGAAGCGGCACTGCCTTCCTTCTCCTTTCGACCTTTTGTTCCGTTGCGGCCCGGATCCAGAACGCCACGTAGGAGGTCAGACCTCTTCCCATTACGACGAGATCTTCCATTAGTTAACTCGGCAGGGAGTTGCTCCTCGGCGTCGTCCTCCACGGACTCGCGATCAATGTCGCGAAGGCGATCGGCCACTTTGTCCTCGGGCAAATCAAAGAACTGTGGAATGAAAGTTTCGAAGAAGTCGATAATGCGCTCCTTCTCGGATGCACTATGATGGCCATTGTTCGTCCCATAGAGGACCATGAAACGAAGCAGGTCGAGCAGGACTTCTTGATCGTCCAGTTCGTAGGAGTACTGATATCGGGGAACCTTGGATTTGACGCTGCGCAGACGTCGTTGCTCCTCATGCTTTGTCTTGATAGAGTCGATCAGGTGCTTAGCCGAAAGAGTCCTCTTATCACTCTGCTTAACCTGGATGCCCATGTGGTCCAAACTCTTCAAGTGCATGATTTCGGTCTGTGCTTGCCAGACTTTCTCCCATTCTCGTTGCGTAAATCGCCACTCTTCATCCTTCTGCTTGAGACGGGCCAAGACAACCGGCACGACAGCGAAGGGGTTCTCGAACATGTCGTTCACGACCTCGGCGCCCTTTTCTGCGCCGTAGATCTTCTTGAGAACTCTCTTGTAGATAGACGTGCTGGTACCGTTCAAGGCTTGAGGTAGATTGTAATGTTCCCGGTCATGTGGAGACATATTGAGCATCTGCTGAGCAATAGGCTCCAACAACTGGATGCACTTGTGGTTCGCCTCGATGTTGAAGTCATAGTCGTGACGCTCTTCCTCGATGCGGTGCAGCCCTTCCTCGAACGCGTTCTTGCGGTGGGCAACGAAACCCGAGTCCTCGGAAGCCCACGTAGGATGCGAGGCCCACTCATCATTCAAGACAGCGTTACACATCTCGTCACGGCCACTGCAAGGCTTCAGCTTCTCCTTGCGGGGTAAAAGGCGGTAACTTGGTCCGACACTACGGCAGTTGCTGAGGGAGACCTTCTCATTCGGTGGCTGGGGTCGGTTTTCGATATTCTCGTCCCAGCCTTCGTACCCCATGAACTCTTTGAACCACTTGAGCAGTTCAGGATTACCGCTAATAAAGTGGCTTGCTTTGTGGATAACGTCGTCCTTGTCGATGAGATTCTGAGAATACATATTACAGAGCTTCAAGAACTCGGTCATCGTAGCTCTATTACTGATGTGTTTCTTAACCTTCTCGAAGAAACCAACTTCTTCAGAAGAGGCTTGGCTATCCGGTGCCGGCGGAAGAGGCTCGGGCATGACGGGTGTCAGGGTGGGTTCAATCGATGGAACATCAGCGGCAAGTGGCTTGTGACCCAGCTTTGGTCTCTTGTTGGTGCTGTTGTTGATGGTATTGTTGGTATTGTTGGTGCTGCTACTGACTGCGCCGGGTAAAGGTCGTTGACCAACAGGGACAAGGCTTGTCTCTGCTATACTGGGTGCCGAAGCGGGCGGGGCCTTGTCATTGCGCGGTCGCTTCTTGTTCTCTTTGCTCGCGCTGGGAGGTGCAAAGTTGCCGACAGGAGGCATCTTCTGACCATCACGAATGGTATGGCTCGGCTGAGGAGTCGACTGGGCCATGACGGCCAGGCCAAGCGGTTCTTCGGAGCGGGATAAGCCGCCCTTGTTAGTGGATGCTGCAGTCTCGGGCAAGAATTGCTTGAAGTCCTCGAGAAGATCAGGGGCAGTGTTGAAAAGACTGGTGACCTGGGCATAGACGTCCTGAATAGGCTTCTGCTCTCGCTGGTAAGTCTGCAAAATTTCTAAGAACTGCTTATAAATCTCAGGCTTATCCTGAAAGCGATTCTGTACGTGGTTAGCGAACTATACTTTGCGCGAGTTGAATTGGTAGTGGGTGGTTGCTCACCTTGATCTTGTTCACATAGCTAATAGCGTGGTTGAATTCCACGGGCCCGCGCTTCTCCATGTTGGCGGCCTGGGCTGCACTTCCGTTCGCACTGTTTTGAGTTCCAGGAGTGGGAGTGAGAGCGTTCCGCGTGCCTGGAGCATTAGGCGTTGTCGAGTTGGGCACTTGCGAACTGCCTCGTTGAGGTTGTGCTGGCGTAGGGCCGTCGAACGCGCCTGCCGAGCTGGGAGGTTGGCCTTGACCTTGACCTTGACCCTGGCCCTGACTTTGACCAAAAAGACTGGGCCCAGGCACACTGACGGCAGGCGTACTGAACTGAGCTTCCGGGCTTTCTATACTATTTTGTGGTTGGGACTGCTGTTGTTGCCAATTGCTCGTACGGCTCGCGAAGAAGCTTGCGCCTGATGCTGGCTGACTGGAAGTGGTTTCGGCAAAGTTGAACTTTCCGGCTGTGATGGGTTGCAGGGTTGTGCCCATAGGCGTCGTGACTCGGATATGGCTCGGATTGCCCTCTCCGCATTCTATTCTATAGCCGGGCGGTAGGAAGGTGTTGAAGCCCTGGATTAGGTTCGGGTGGCCGGCAAAAAGCTCGGAAACTCTTTTGATTACGCCAGGTGTGTCGATGCTGCGACAAAATGAGGTGAGCTTTGACCTTCTGGAGACAGGAGAAATGGGCTCCAATGTGGACTCACGTTTGGCTTTTGAAATCTTTCATGATATCGAGAAACCTGTTATAGACGTCCGGTTGCTCGGCAAACTGCACTTTTACCTGGTCTAGATAGCTGAGAGCATCCTAGAAAAGCGTCTTGTCAGCATTGAAAATGCATATCGAGTACTGCCACAGCCGACGAGGGAGAACGAGAAGAAAACCAGGCACAAGCCTTGACACAGGGGTCTTCTCCAGGTCTGTGAGCGGTATAGCCAGGCTCGGCAGGCAGGCCAGGAGCCATGGCACACGGCAGTGCAAGCAACAACAGGCAATCAAACCGCACTTGCACAAGATTCTAGCATGTGCCCGAGCCGTTCGGTGGCAGCCAGAGAGCATTCAAACTTACATTCAAGATGGGCTGTTGGCCTTGCTGCAATGCCCCAGCACCGGGGGGCATGGGAGGACCTCCCGAGCTTGGGGCACCGCCACCACCAACAAACGGTATTCCTTGTGTCGGCGGGCGGCTGTTTTCCTGCTGCAGAGGAGGGCCTAGAGCCAGGGCAGCCCCAGCGGCAGCGGATGTAGCTGGGACAGGGGTCGAGCCGCCGATGGCACTAAACATCTGGCTGGATGCAGTTTGGGCGTTCTGGGGAGGTGGTCGGTTCGTGACATCGGCAAGAGGGCCGCCGGGAAAGGAGGCAGCAGAGGGAGCGCCTATTGGAATGGAGGGAGCAGAACCGTGGCTGGCCAGCAGTCCGCCGGGACTGTGTATCGCACCTGGAAGTCTCGAGGCAACCGGCTGGTGGATGGGGAGGGAGCCAGCATTGCTATGATGAGGTGTTCCTGTCGACGCAGGGTATGGGGGGTCTCGAGGGTCTCGGTGGTGTCGCTCTACCGAGTCGCGCTCTCGATGCGCCATCTCGTCTGCTTGGTGCGAATTCATGGCATCTGAGGCACGAAGACTATGGTGGAACACGTCAGTCGGGACACTCTCTTGCGAAGTGAGCCACGGACTCTGGGGTCGCGGAGCACACGAGCCAGCACGAACGAGTGTGTAGGTTTGTCCGTGGTCGGTGTTGCTGGAGCTCAGCTCGCTCAGCTCGCTCTGCTCTCCGGAAAGCTTCAGAGAGCAATGCGAGCACAGGCGGGGGAGCGTCAGAAAGGGCATTGAAGCACGAGGCGGACGTACCTTCTACATTACATCAAAGTTCCATCACCGGAGAAGCTGGGGGACAGATCGGGGGGGTGAGTATTCGGGCGATGGTGGGCTGAGAGGTATGGGGGTCACAAAGCTGTCGCAAGGCCTTTGCTCCTGACGCGATTCGATCTCTATCAGCCAGAGCCCCCAATAACCCAACAGCCCTCCTAGCCTGTGCCTTATCTAGATCTTATCTGTCGGACTTACTTCTGTTCCGCTCCGGTCCCCACATCCCTGCCGTCATCTCTTCAGTGCTCAGCGCCCATGGCACCGGACCTGCGCATTGTCTGTCCGCTAGTCACACCAGAAGACCTGCCCTGCCTGCTCCAGCCAAAAGGTTAGACCCCGCGTTTTGTCCGAAGCTACTGAGAGGGAGGGAGGGCGAATCAAATACTGCTTATTAGCGCCTGTAACCTCAAAAAATGCGGCTACTATATCTATTGACACCGACATCCGCTTCTGCACTCTTGTCCCTTGTTCGATGAACACCCACACCAAATGCCGTTGAATCTCACACCCGGGGAGGGTTTCCATCACATCTGCTCCAAACTTGCCAGTCTGCCAGTCATGTTCCGTCAAGGTGTTGAGATTGAAGCCTACGAACGCTCGGGTTCACATGCACTGAGAATCCTTTCTCGTTTTGCTCCGTCGGGTCACGTTGGCCCACGTCAGGACCCAGACCACAACCTGTGACCACTCGCTGAGAGAGGAAAGCGAGCAACCCCATCGCCCTGACATGACCCAAAACATCTCGCCCACAGTATAGCTATCCATGTATCTCAATAGGTTAGAAGGGCACACCTTTGGACATGTTTTAGTTCTTACACGGTACCCTGAAATTGTCGCTGAATCACGCACGGGCTTTACTTCCTTCCATACGCGTCTCTCTTCTATATTCCATCACTATACAATGCAGCTAGTCTAGGGAAAGGTTAGAGTTTCGCATCCGACCCGCCAAGAGATCTCCACTTTACCTACCTGTTTCCGACCATGCGGCATGCCTCCCAACATCGCTGCTGGCAAATAATCACCATGTCTACCATGCTTCAAAAAGTCCTGAGCTTGTGGGGCCCAGCCGGTCCGGCCGGTGTATCACACGGCTTCCACGCCGATGACACAAAACCCGACTACCCCACAGCGGTGGCAGGGAATCCGTTCGTAGAAGGATTATACGCGGATCCAGACACGGCCATCTACGATGGCGAGTACTGGGTCTTCGCCACAACCTCCACTGATTATGAGAAGCAGACATACATGGACGCCTTCTCCAGTCCAGACTTGATCAATTGGACGAAGCACCACAATGTCCTTACCCTAGATAACGTCAAATGGGCGACCAAGGCCCTGTGGGCTCCAGCGCCAATAGCTAGGAACGGGAAGTACTACATATATTTTGGAGCCAACGATATCCAGGAGGACGAAGATCAGGACGGCCTTATCGGAGGCATCGGTGTGGCTGTTGCCGATCACCCAGGGGGTCCGTACAAGGATGCCATCGGAGTGCCGCTCATCGGTCATTATCATCACGGCGCTCAACCAATAGATCAGGGTGTCTTCATCGACGACAAAGACGGTCAAGCCTACATCTACTACGGCGGACACGGACATGCCAACGTAGCCAAACTCAACAACGATATGGTGTCCATTGGGACCTTCGACAATGGAACGCAGTTCAAGGAGATTACACCGGAGAATTACGTGGAAGGTTCGCTAATGATCAAGCGTAATGGCATTTATTACTTCATGTGGTCTGAAGGCGGCTGGCAGGGACCAGACTATAGTGTAAGTGCAACAAACAACGTCGGGCAAAATTTCTATTCATACTGTTCGGGTCAGTCCTATAAGCTGGGTGTTATTTGGTAAGATATGTTCGAAATATTTTAACGTACAGTCAGCTGTATCAGTCAGTTGGTCTAAGTTGATTCGTGCTATTCTTGGTTACAGCGGATATTTTGCTATTTGTATCAAACTTTCCTTGTATTTACGTGGCACACAACCCTGTGAGGGTGACCTGGAGAGGCTGAAACTTCGTGGTGAAGTTTCTTTCAACCCAATTTTTTGTCTTTTTTACTTCTTCTTCTTCTTCCTTTTTTTTTTTTTTTTTTTTTTTGCAGGGGACTAACAGGATCTCACAATCAGGTCTCCTACGCCATGTCCGAATCACCTATTGGGCCTTTCAAACGACAAGACAAGATCCTCCAACAAGACAGTGCCGTTGCCAAAGGCAGCGGGCACCATGGCATAATCAACGTGCCTGGCACGGATATCTGGTATATCGTTTACCACCGCAGACCTTTGAGTGAATCGGACGGCAATCATAGGGTGCTTGCATATGACAGGATGTTCTTCAATGCCAACGACACCATTGTCCCTGTCAGAATGCTCGTACAAGATAATTTCGCAGACGGCAACATGATCGCTTGGAAGACCTACGGGTGTGACTGGTTTGTTGTGGAGGAACGCCTTACCGCTAGCAATTCATCGACGGGGCTGGCGATGCTCGACACTAACTTCGAGTCTTTGTCGTTTGAGGCTACTGTGAACCTTTCAAAATCCAATGCATCGGATGCGGAGGCTGGTGTCATATTCCGAGCCGAGCTCCAGGACGATGCTGGCTCATTTCAAGGCTATTTCGTAAGTGCCAAAAAAAAAAAAAAAAAAGACGGTGAATGGGTCAGAGAGATTTGACTGGCTGACTTTCCATGCTATGACTAGGCTGGAGTGACAGCCTCAGGTGACATAGTTCTTACGTACTCCCACGCTCTAAATGGTACAGACGTTCTTGCACGCAATAGTACTGAGATTCTTCATCTGGGCCATGAGCACAGGCTTCGCGTAACAGGCACGGGCAACTCGATACAAATCTTCCTGGGCGACTCCAAGACCCCCAAGATTGATACTCAAGTTCCAGATGGTTACCGGAGCAGCGGAGCAAATGGAGTAAGAGTATACAAGGCGGCAGCAAAGTTTGGAAGCATCTCAATCACACGACTGGGTGATGGTCTTTAGAGAGGATCAGCCGCTTCAGCAAGATGCCCGCTACCTTTGTTGTGCGCCATGATCACCATGTCCTGTGGTGTTATCATGATACTATAAAACAGAGACGTGATAGTCTCAATGAAAAACACAGCTTGGCCCCATGTTATACTTGTTCACATAGGATTGATCGATCATCGTTGTACTCCGAACCCGAGCCCAGAACTCGACTTCAAATGTGTACGGGCGGAGCGACCAGGTTACGAGTCTTTATCAAACGGTAGTGGAGTTTGGAATCATTCAGCGAGACAAATACCTCGGTAACATAACCCCCCCACTTCGGAATCTTTCTGAAGACCCTGGTGAAAGTGCTCGCTCTTGTGATTCAAACGAAACGCAGGCTAAATCATGCTCAAGCCCGTCTGTATCTTAGTCTTGGTTTTCTCTCGGAGACGCTTTATGACGCGCCCTTCGATATCCTCCAACCGCTTGTCGGCAGCCTCAATGTCCTCTTTGAATTCAGTCACCTGACGGCGGTCCATCACCCACCAAATACCAACAACCAGAACCGTCAATGGTACCAGTATGACAAAATATATCCACAAACTATTGGACACAGGGCCGTTCATATCTATCGATCGATCAGCAACGGCAATGCCTCTTAGCTTCGAGTCTTGTCCGGCCCTTACCACTATCGAAATTAAAGAACGGCATGCTGAACATGGAGGATATAAAAGTCCCAGGCAGAAAGATGGAACCTAGGATGGCTAACGTTTTCATCGAGTTATTTTCTCGCTTGCTTGCGTTGGCGAGGACGTGCTGCTGGGATGCTATGTCTATATTGACTCTTGATTCGACTTGAGCAATGATGTTTTGAAGCTGCCGCTTGTCAGTCACTTAGTATATCCTTGTCTCATACATACCACCTACCTCTTCTCGTTGCGCATCTAATCGTTCGAGCGACACATGTACGTAGTGCTCAAGGTTCTCCAATTTTGCGGCCATGAAGTCTAGACGGTCCGTGAGTTCTCGGTGGACCATTCTCATCCCTGCCGTTTTCTCATCTCGAGGCAGATTGTCCCAGAAATAGGTGTTTGCCTTCTGAGCCCGCTGGATTGGATTTTGCCAAGCTTGCGGCCGCTTCCAGAGTATCTCGCCCCGGCAGTTAATCAATGTCCCCCTTATGGTGTCCAGTGTTAGGTCTTCGGGCTGGGAGTACTCTGTTGCTGAAGGCTTATTACCGTAGCGTCCGGCCAGCGCTTTTTCAAGTTTTCGCACTTCCTCCCGGGCCAACCTTTGCCTTATGTCGTTTTCCGCTCCCAGCTCCTTGGTCAATATAATAATTGGCAAGAGTAAAGGGTGTGACGCCGGATTTGCACAAGCTCTCAGTTGTTTCATAACTTCTTCAATTTCGACGGCCTTTGTGTCTCCCTTCTTTTCAGAGGCTTTGGCGCCTTTTACGTAGCCAGAAGTCATCCTTGATGCGAAAGAGTAGGATAGTATTACCTCCCATCCTCTGGATATGCCATTCCAAGTGACATCAGATTTTCGAAATACGAATTCTGACTGTTATTAGCGCATTGCGCCAGTGGCGTCTTGCCAGCAGAGCTTCTCTTACGCATTATCTTGTCATCTAGGTTATCTTCATTATATGTCCACCAGAAGAAAGGCCCGACCACGGTTGATGTCTCGATCGAGCGGTAAGGTAAGCGGAAACCGTCCATCATGGTTTTATAAAACTCCTTTGGAAGCGATGTAATGTTCGGGTTGAATGTCGCTGGATCCGTTACTCGTTGATTAAGCCTACGCTCTTGTTGGAGCCCGCTCTTGCTTTCTGGTTGTAATAGTACTTACACAAGGCGGATGCCATTTGCGAATGTAACACCGGCTGGCAAGTCTGGTGGCCTGAACAACCCCTATTTACGAATCGGTGAGCGCTCTCAAGGAATTAAGTGGTGGGTGGGTGGAGACCTTTCGATGGACAAAACTTTCAAAGTCGTCTGAAGCTTCCCTGTGCTTGCTGGTGTTGACCGTTTCGTCCTGGGTCTCTTTAGTACTATTCCCCCAAGAAAGATAGAATCGTATAACTATTTACGGTATAATTCAAAACTTCCAAGTAGTGGGCCGGTTCCTGGATGCTACGGAGCATGCCATAATGTTTCGTGAAAAGATACTGATCCATGTCGTCAACAGACCACTAAGGTAGCGAAATTCAGTAGGCACCAAGCAGCAGAGAAAACGAGAACCAATTTAGGGATACAGGGGTTTTATCTCCTCATTTCATATGCGGCTCTGTGAATGGGGAGCTTGTTGAGGATAGAGCATGGCTTGCATACGAGACTGTATATCTGATTGGCCCAATGACCATATATATGCAACTGATATGCAGCCCGTAAGACGACCCGCACTAGACTAGTTTCAATCAGTTTGTGCGCTGTCGCGATATACTTGATAAATGCTAATAACCGATGTTAGATCTACCCTTCTGCTTCTATCTCATAACTGTTCGACTTGTGCTTAGGCTGGAACTTGAAGCCAGGATGCGCTGGTCCCAAGAACATCTCGCTAATCTTGATCCAGTCCTTGTAGTTGGCACTAGCAAGGAGAGTCTCAAGATCACTACGACCACGATAAGCTGGCGGCCTGTCCTGAAGGCTGGGTGGTAAATGCTCGAGAAGTCCAATTGGCACATAGCGATGCGTGAAACTGAGCCACTCCAACAAGAATCGCCGCGTGAAGCCGATTCCCATCTCATCCGAGCCCCAGTTCTCCAATCCGTATCGACAAAACTTCTCAACGTAACCGAGTCGTTCCGATGCAGACTTGTCCAAATACTGTCCCTTCTCGATCTCTTCAAAGACCCAAGGTTTGATCAGAGCACCACGTGCAATCATGACCGAATCAACTTTGCCATTGTCAACATGATCAAAGTAATCGATGTGCGAGTAGCAATCGCCATTGCCAACAAAGTACATCTTGCCACCGTTCGCCTGTGTGTTCGCATCCGGTTCCATGGCTGTGTCTGTGGTGTCATCCTTCTTCTCGTTGTAAGATTTGATCAGTGCGGCGCATTCGGCAACATATGACCAGTTCGCGCTCTTGGTATAACGTTGCTGTCGACTTCTACCGTGTAAAGTAATGGCCGCACATCCGGGAGCTCCTAGTCTGTCTCGCAGCTCCTCATCGCCAAGAGCGAGTCGCTCAACCAGTTTCAGTGCAGTCGGCTTGTTGTCCCGAACGCCCATTCGAATCTTGGCAGTGATAGGCACTTCACCAGAAACAACGTTCATGCCTCTGATCATGCGCTCCAATTTATTGGGCGAGTCGAGCAGAGCGCTTCCAGCACCTGAATGGTAGACTAGGTCAACGGGACAGCCGCAGTTGATGTCAACTACGCGTAGATGCGGCAAAAATCTCGTAAGAGCTTCTGTTGCCTTGATGACAACCCATGGCTGGTTGCCTGCGATCTGAGCACCGAATTTCAAGTCCTTCGAGTTATCATAGTCTTTGACTATGGTTTCTGTCGGTGTGAATTTAGGTGGTGCTACCTCAGATTCATGGGCTTTCATCAAAGCCCAGTCACTGTTGTTTCCTTGGACCATAGGCATTGCGAGCGCCATCTCACTGTAGGTGACCTGTGCACCAAGTTCGACACACAGTCTTCGGAAAGGCAGATTACCTTGAGTTGTCAAAGGGGCTAGAACTGGCGTTTCTCTTCCAAAGTATATTCGCCGCTTTTCAGAAGCCTTGAAAGGCGGGTCAACAAAGCCAGCCCGCAGCTCTTCTCGAATGTCTCGGTCATCCTCCTCAGTCTTCTTCTTGGCGCTATAAATGTCTCTTGTGCGGTCAATGTCCTTGTTGAGCCAACCGATATACGATTCCGATCTTCCAAGGTCGACCTTTTTCTTCTTCAGGCCCCATTTCTGGTCGTTGGTTGCCACGTTGACAATTCCGGGTCTCTGATCGGCGTCCTCGCCCATACTTGTCGATGCATCAGGCGCTCCCTCTAAGACTAACTCCTTGCGGCCATCTTCACGCTCGATTTCTTTGGAGTGGCTTTGGACAAATCGACACTTCCAACCAGCCGGACATTGACCGTACGATTCGAATATATGACACTTGCCGCCCAAGGTACCTAGATCTTCTCTTCGGCCCTCTTTGAGGTACTTACGTAAATCATGCAACAAGTTACATCTCTCTGCATACTTGCATTCCCTGGGTGAAAACTCGTCGCTGAAGGCTCTGCTATTGCAAAGCTTCAGTGTGTCCGCGGTGTAACCGTAATCGCGAGCCTTGTTCTGGCCCTTTTGCTTCTTGCGATCCTTGCCTTTACGATCACCATCCCTGCCACGGGGGTCTGATTTTCCAGTCTCAGGGTCGTCACCCTCAGTAGTCATTGGTGCGGCTTCAGCAGCATCATCATCCACTTCAGTCCTTACGCCGCCAGACACTTCGATAAGATACCTGTAGATAATTTCAGCAACAATATTCTAAAGGCTAGAAGTTGGCGCAGGATCTCACTCGGGCTTGATGGCAGCGAAGCCTCGTCGTCTGTCAGGTGGAGGTGGTGCAGTCGCTGAATCAGGTGCACTGGATTCAAGGCCGCCGTTGCTGTGAGATTGAACTTCGCCATCATTGCCAGCATGCATCAACTTAACTCTCTTGTATGCTGGACCATCTTGGCCGTCTGTGACAATGTCTTCTCCAGCCATTTTTTGTGACTGATTATATGTTGTTACTAGTTAGTTATTGGCGAAGAATAAATTTTTGGCACCAATGAAGGTGGTGGGGCAGGCATTTGCGATCGCCAAGAGTAGACAGGCGCTAATTGAAGTCGGCCTGGCAAGGCAAATAATCACTAGTCTAGTCTAGTCTAGACTAGTCTAGACTAGCCTCGAGGTTTACATAGAACCCGGTGACATGGCCCATGAGACCGACGATTATATTATTTAGTATCTTACATACTGTTGGCCTAGAAATCATGGTTACAAGGCTTGCTAACCAATTGCCATCGGATGAAGTGGAAGAGTGAGAGGAATTGTAATCTTTCATAGGACTATGTTCCTTTGGTATGGCGTCTTCTTTCTCTATATTTAGGGGGGAGGGGGTGGCGGTTTTTATGCGCTACATGTCTACTCCTTTATACTGTAGGCACTCTTTTCCCATTATCTGCAATGCGACCATCATTGTAATCGCCCGCTCCGACATACCGGAATGGAATCAAACTGTGTAGTATCAAGGTCGAACAAGAAATACGCTATGGAACAACAAACATGGTGATGTTACTTGAACACGGCTAAGTCAGGAGAATAATGGGATGATACAAATAATCTACCAGCCCCTACCAGTGCGAAATGCATTTGCCAGATATGGCCAACGCACATCTACACGTACAATGAGGTACATCATGGCATTATAAACCATGTCTTTCCAATAAGTTCTTCTCCTCCGGCACCATCACTAACCTGGCAAGTGTGTGTTTCGAATGGGGGCTTTGCATTCGTCGTCTAGCATCCACAGGTCCTCTTAGTTCAGCATCGAGGAGTAGGGGGCAAATCCCGGTGAATGGTAACAGAGATCCCAGGCAAATGGTGTAGATGCCAATCACCATGCCCTGCGTAGATCGGGAGGGAAAGAACAGACGGCGTCCGGGTAATGTAGTCAAGTAAGCTGTGATGCTAGTGGTTGATATGTTGGTTCTCGCCATGTGAATTCCGGCGGATCGAATAGATTACTCCTTTTGCAAGATCGATTTTGTCTGCTGCTTGACGTCTCAGCCCGGAAATACTGGCTCAGACGGACAGCTAGCCATACATATGGGGATAAAAGAACATGCGTCTCTAAGCCTTCGTGGAGACTTCTGTTACAGAGACGCTGTTAGACAACATCCATGGTAGCTAGCTAATAGCACGTAGTTATGTGATCAGAGAAAATATCGTGGCGCAGATCATTGCATATTGGTTAAACATCCAACCAGAATATCGGTAAATTGGTGTCCGCATGGATACGGGGCGACCTGGGCTACCTACTGCAGTTAACTCGCCTGGCTCATGAGCCCATGAGTTTAACCGAGCCTGGAGCGAACGGTGACATTTTCGTCATCACTTCTACAAGGAGAGTGGTGAGCACCACGCTGCGATGTAACTCTGAATCATCAACAAGCCGGAAGCCCCTGGAGGCCCCTGGAGGCCGTGGCACTTTGAAGGTTCACATGCACCGAATCACCGGGCTTTTGGGCCGTCTTCTTGGGTTCAAATGTTCATGCAGGGGCAATAGGCTCTGCCGTCGCTGGCCCCGGTTCTGTCCTCCAGCTCGCCTGAACCTTGGCACTAATTAGAGGGGGCTAGAGGGGCTCAATCTGGAACCATTGACTTGGTGTACATACGTACTTGCAGTAGAAACCTTTCCAATGGTGGGAAACATTGAACTCAACTCAACGGACAACGCAACGTGTGGTCTGGGGACTGGCGCATTCATCAACCATTTGTTTTGTTCGCCCAACTATTCCGTCTCGTGCCCCTGTGCCCCAACGCAAGTGCGCGCGAAGCCTCGAAAACGAGCACGACAATCGTAGCGATCCCGTCTACCATGATATATTGTCAGTGTGCTTAGAATCGCTCTGCCCCCACGCGACTGTTACCAAGACCGACCTCAGCCAAGCATACTGCACCAGGAGGTCCACAGACATACATCCAAGAGGCTTAGACCGTGACGAACACTTGTGAGGCACGGCAACGCGGCTGAGCTGAGCTTAAAGACAACATTGTGGGCGCATCCAGCTCAAGCCCAAACGACTGTGTTTCAGCTCAGTTCACATAACTCGGGATTCTAATAGAAAGGCAGAAAGGCCGAAAGAAGTAGAAGAAGCAAAAGAAAAAGAAACAGAAAAGAGAAAAAAGAAAAAAGGAAAAAGGAAAAACCACGGAAGCCGTTGTCACGACCAGAGAGCATTGGGTCTCATCCAGGGATCGCTAGGTTAGAGCTTAGAATGAAGTCATTGCCCCTCCAGCGATAACCACGGACAATTACATTATCAGCAATGGCGGACCGACCCTCCTCGTCCAAGTCAAAGACGGTGCGCTCGCAGAAGATCCAATTGTCCTCTCCCGTCGCCGAGCACGACGAAGCCCGCGACCGCGCTCTCCCAATACGAAGTCACACTCCCGGTCATATTTCATCCAAGAGCCAGAGCCATAGCCGGCGGAAGGCATCGGAACCATCAATACGGCAGCGGTCACAATCTGTCTCAACAAAGGGAACAGCAACGTCAGCATATTCCTCTCCACCGCCAGCGCAACCACCGCTCGATGTCAAGTCTTTTCCCGTCCCCAATGGCGCCGAAACGGGTGATACGAGGGACTCGAGCGGCGGCGCCGCTTCCTCAACCGAGGATACCAAACGACCGTTGAACATGCGGTCGACATCGGCAATAGCCAGTAAACCGTCTTCTACAACAGCAGCTTCACAAGCATCTCGAAAACCCAGCGCCGCGCCTCGAACGCGCGGTCCATATGCTGCCTTTCCACCCTTACAAGATCCCAAAGATGCCCCCGACGTACCCGCGGCGCCGTCGTCTGGCATGTACTGGTCTCGCGCGCCGGAGTCGGGGGCTCCTCATACACCTTTGCGGGCGCACACCTTGACGTTAGTGGGCTCCAATGTCTTCGTGTTTGGTGGCTGCGACAGCCGGGCCTGCTTCAACGAGCTATACGTGCTAGACGCAGACTCGTTCCACTGGAGTAGCCCTCACGTTGCAGGGGAAATACCTGTGCCGCTGCGCGCCATGACATGCACGGCGGTTGGCAAGAAGCTAGTGGTGTTTGGCGGCGGTGACGGTCCGGCATACTATAACGATGTCTATGTGCTTGATACCGTGAATTTCCGCTGGCATAAACCACGAATCTTGGGAGACAAAATCCCGAGCGCCCGGCGAGCGCATACTGCATGCCTGTACAAGAACGGGATCTACGTATTCGGCGGCGGCGACGGAGTCAGGGCGCTCAACGACATCTGGAGATTGGATGTCGCAGACACGAATAAGATGAGCTGGAAGCTGGTTTCAGGCCCATCGTCAGGCAGCCCCAGCCGCGACAACAAGCCAAAGGCACGCGGTTATCACACGGCGAACATGGTGGGTAGCAAGCTGATCATCTACGGTGGTTCAGATGGCGGTGAATGTTTCAATGATGTCTGGGTGTATGACGTGGACACGCATGTCTGGAAATCTGTCACCATTCCCATCACGTTCAGACGGCTCTCCCATACATCCACCATCGTAGGCTCCTATCTCTTCATCGTTGGCGGCCATGATGGAAACGAGTACTCGAATGACGTGCTTCTGTTAAATCTTGTCACCATGACCTGGGACAAACGGAAAGTGTATGGCCTACCACCAAGCGGAAGGGGTTACCATGGCACGGTGCTGTACGACAGCAGGCTGATCATGATCGGGGGCTTTGATGGTGGGGAGGTTTTTAGCGATGTTTGGTTATTAGAGCTGGCTGTGCATGCTTATTATTCGCAGATCAGCCATTTTTCTATCGAGGTTTAGAAGTTTAGCCTAGTCTAGGGGAAGAAATGGTGGAAGAGGATCTGACAGCTCTTGTGCTTTCATAAATCTTGCAGACCATATTTGTGTAGCTACCAACAGATTTCATGCGGTGGGATCGACCTACCGGCGTGGTCTAGGAATATCAGGTAGAATTGTCTTGATAGCTAAGTTGTTGACGTTGATCAATCAAGTAATATGCATAGGTCATTAATGAAATGCACTGTGCAATATGAAATAGGCACTATTTTGACGTGAATAATTGTCTATGATTGGCCTTTTTTTTGTGTGTTGGCCGCCAGCACTGCTCTAGAACCACAGCTCTCCCAGGCTGCGGTCACTCCCTCGCCCGTCTATCGACGAAAGTCGATTGGTATGATACAGTAAGGACGAAAAACCAGTAATGCCAACCATGCCCTGAACTCCGGAACAAATCGTCAAGATGCAAGCTTCATTAGAATGTGTCCTCTGCCCCTCACGTGGCCGTTCATCTGAACAGCAATTTTCTAGACTCGCCGTTTACTGCGTAGCCGTGGGCTTCTCCTTTGTCTTCTCGGCGACATCCTTGCGCTCCTTCAACCTGCGCTCCTCAGCGGCAACCATATCCTTCCACAGGTCCTGACCCTCGTACTCCTCCTTATGGATACGCTTCTCGATTAGGTGCTTGTGCTCAGGGTCGTTGGGGTCGAGGACCTTGACAGTCTCCCACCGCCCCTCGCCATTGCGAGCATCCCTGGTCTCAAAGGCAGCCGTGGCGACCAGCACGGCCAACGTCAGGCCCTGAGCGTAGACACGAGCCTGGACGAGCTTCTGGGAGGTGCTGATGTACTTGTTGCGGCCGACGATGGCTCCGGCGATACCCATGGCGGCGATCCAGGAGCCGAAGACGATAGAATAGCGGTTGTTCTTGCCCCAGGCCTGGAGGCGCTCGAGGGGGGTCTCTTGCTCCCTGGCGAGCTCGGCGGCGCGTGTTGCATCGTCCTTGTAGAAGTTCATGGGGTTGTTCTTCTTGTGGAACTCATTGGACCAGCGCTCGGCGTTGACGATAGCACCAAACGTGCCTGTCGAGGTCACCAGGAACGATCGGAAGGGGAGGGTCAGGCCGCGGAAAGCCGGGTACCGCTTCGAGGCAACGAGGACTCCCGTGAGACCTAGAGTGACACCAAACGAACCGCCGATGAAGCCACCTTTCAAGACGGCATTGTAGTGCGCTGACTCTTCTTCCTTGGAGACAACCTTCATGTTTGCGGTTTTTGGCTGATTCTTGGGGGTTTGATGACAATCAGATTGTTAAGAGAGTTTGGTACGCAGCCGGTATCAAGATGGACTGATCGGTACCTTGATTATAGGTGCGGGTGTCGACTTTTGGTTCGTAACGATGTCGTCAGAGCTCGAGGGATTTGATTGGAGCTCCAAGCGTGTTTAATGGGTTTGAATTTGGATTTGGACTTGAAGATATGGGGTATCTGGAAATGCTGGTGATGTATGTATTATGACAAAATAAGGGGCACTTGTACGTATAGCTTGTCGCTTCTTCTGTTTTATATTATAATCCGGAAGATGGCAACGGTATTCGCGCTGAGTAAGGATTGTTTTGTCAAATTGCAAGTCTTACGATATTTTCTAGGAGGCTCAATGCAGGTCCCAGAAAATTTACATGAGGTCATCGCCCGAGAGTGGGCTGATTGTTCTCGTCAGTTCGTTGCAGCAGCTTTCAAATCCCGACTGCCCGAATTATGACCGTCGTTCCCAGCAGCTGCAAGCTAATGCCGTGCCAGCTGGCGACCGCACCTAGTTGACGGGCTGTCTGCTTGCGAGTCAGCCAATTCGTGGCCTCGCCGTTTGGTCCGCTGTTTGCTTCACGAACTTCGGCGTTTGCTCAGGTCTTATAGCGTAGATATTCCAGCCACCGTTCACTTTTGATAAGCTTCGACAAGGCCATCATCGCCGGATCCCGTAGATTGCTCATATTGCATCCTCGAGGGCGTGCTTGAAGCCAGCGAAAACTACGTGCATGCAATTGTCATGACTAGCCCGTTGTGCAGGTGTTAGAGAAGGTATTATCCAAGTCGTTGGAAGAGCGATACTTTCAAATACGCGATGCGAAGACTACTCGCGTTGTCCGGTCAGCGTTGGTCGCCCACGGCGAACCGTAGACAATCAACAAAGAATACCAATTATACTCTGGCATTAATGAAAAGCCCGAGTTTGCGTCGTTAACATAGCACGCCTGGAATTAGATTGTGGGTAATCCAAATATCGATGGTCTAGGTTAGGCGATTCCAACCGCACGGTTACGAGATAGACGAGATCTCTCTGATTCCTCATGGGCGATGCGCGAAACGCGTGATTTAGCGGGTTGGTGGCAAGACATAGAAAGTGCTTGTGAGGCTTCTGGAAGCACTCTAGACTAGACGCGAGGCTTGCTTCCCTGTACGGAGTAGGCAAAACCTCGCTGCTTCGGTGCAAGGGGCAAGCGCCTTGGCTTCCTCAAGCCCCTCTGGCGGGGGTCCGTTGAAGAATCGGATCCTTTACTCCGCTATTTTGTGCTGTCATGGTCGGAGCTTTGCCCGGCGCTTCAAGCGGGAGCTATCCTGGATCTTGTCGTCGCTTGGAAGCTATTACTGCTTGGCTGTTGCTAATTGCAGGTTAGCAGGACCCTGACATTAAGGCCGCTTAGCCGAGCTATTGCTAATGGCATCGCTACCATTCATGAAGATCGGCTCTTGCCGCTACAGATTTTCCCTCGTCCTCAATATTAATTCCGAGACGATAGAGTTGGTGACTATTCGATAGGGCGGCTAATTTCTTTGAGATCTGACCTCCTGGAACCGTTTCATGTGAACTTCGGCTCGAGGGTTTGAAGTCGAAGCGGCGCTGCTTCTGGTCACGAATTACCGCGGTTCGGAAATGAAAATAAGCGAGTAATATAGAAGCCCGGAGATCTTGGTGGTGGCACATCTTCCTCGGCTATACGCGCTTCACTATGTATGCATGGTGCAATGAGTTTCTTGTCGAACACATGACAGGAGTAGAAACGAGCCTTTGACTGTCGTTGTCTCACTAGGGAGGGCCAGCCGAGGTGCCGAGTCAAGTGCCGAGCATAGTATTGTTTCGAGCTTTTGGGTGGCACCGCTGTGCATCGATAGTGCTCTGTAAAGCGTCGGGTGTCGAAGTTTGACAAAGAAAAAAGGTATGAACTGGACCCTGACTTAAAAATTCACGATATCCGCCAGGAATGACCTGGAAGATCATAAGAGTTGTGAAGCACAAGGCGGAACCCATAGCGCATGGCGAGCATGGATTATAGTAAGGCCCCATAACGCTAGCCTGTGCAACTGCCCAATGTGGCTTCTTCCAGCGTTACTTTGGAAGTTTCTACGGTTTCCAGACCAGAAGCTAGCACCAAACAATCTGGAAGAAATGACATGGTTCAGTCGAACGGATTTGACCGTCGTTACGTTGGCGGCGCAGCCAAGGCGGTGAGAGCAGCCTGGTGTTTGTTGTTTCTTGTTGCGGCAAAAGAGCTGCGGTGTTACGGAAATTAGAGGGCCGGGAACCCTTGGAAGTGGTATCAATCGTCGATCTAATGATCGCGCGGTCACTTTGTGGTAACTTATTGTTAAGTTAGTCCAGGTGCTAGATTTGATCACAACAGAATACCAACACCATGTCTCGGGTCAAGTTGGAGACCTAGACACCGCGCCTAGGTTGCCCGTTTTGATAATGCGCTTAACAAATAAGGAAGTATACGGCCTGTGATGCCAGGCTCAGGAAAGTCGTCGAGGAAGTAAGGCTGACGCTTGTAGTTAGCGCCTGGACGTGCTCAAGAAATGAACGGTCAGAGCGATAGAGTACAGGACTGCAAGAGTGAGACGGTTAACTCCATTAGCTTTGTTGCTTGGGCCACTATACACAGCTCAAGGATTCCGGGGATATTGGGGAGTCACAGGCTGAATCATGTCATTGGGTTTTCATGGGCACGAGAACGGTGACATGAAAACGAAGCTGGACAATGACCTCAATGCACGAGAGGATTACGATGTCTACGGTATTGTCCTTCCAGAAAGAGGATACTTGGCGGAGCGCCGCTATGGAGATAGGATTTGCGATGCTCAGCAGTGAAGTGGAAGTGATATTCAATTCAGAGGGGAGGTTGGTGGGGGCGCTCTCCACCACTAAACGTGATACTCGATTCTTTGCAGAGGATCAACATTGCAGCTGCGTGGATACTGGCCAACTGCTCCGCCAGTGGATTCACATAGTGTACTTTGAATGATAACATAGTAAACTCATCAGCGATCGCGTGTATGTATACAGCCGTTACTGTTGGTTGTTGTTCTTGTTTGTTGACCACTAGCATTTCTCATTGAATTCCTGTGTTTGTTGATAAAACATAACGCTAGTAGTTTATAAGGTGCGATATGTTCAGCCTTGCTATGGACATAGCTATGTTTTTCAACTCCAATTGAACAATGTTTCCTAATCGGGTATCCCAAATCTCATTGGCATCGTCGATGGTTTCATACACCCTAGCCCTTTGCGAAGGGATCAACGCATGCTTGATAGTCGTTGCACCAATGATATGTCAACGACACTATTCATTCATCTAGTTCAATCACTGGGGTTTCGCTCTTCCCCGGTATTAAAATGTTTAGTCAATCCGCTGCTGACCTCGCCAAATCCTCCTGACCACAGACCACTGGCAAACTGCCGCATGAGTCAAGTAATTCATACGACGGAATCTTTCCTGGACCAGGACCTAGCAACATGATCGCGACTATTGGTTAGCCTTGCCTTGGAAGCGTCAGCACATAGTTGCACAGTAATGCCACACAGAAATACCCCAGTGGTAGGCACAAGCATTTGCGCTATCTTTCAACCGGCGATAACATAGTGCCTTTCATCAAGCTAGGGACATGAGTAAGGTAACATATGTTGGGTAGCACTGATGAAATGCTCAGTGGTAGAGCAAGAATGAGACGTAAAACATATCGATATCTCCTAGTTGTGGAAGTTACAGGCGGCAGCACGAATTTTGGTCGCTGACTTAGCACCAAATTACCAGCGTATCAGCTTCATTCACGATGATTACTCTGTCTGGCGTTGTGCATCTGGAAGAAGATCAATGTATTGCAAGTTGGTGTGGCAAACGATGAGCATCGAGTCATAATAAAGTGGCATTTCGCTAATACAATTTACATTTACTAGCCTGCATACCTTCTCAGCCGGGTGCACATTGGGTGAGCGTTTGGCTCGGAGACTATGACAGCAAGGCTTGCATATTTCCACGGTTACCACTGTAATTATACCGTCACTCATATTAAATGCATCAGCTAGGTTCGACACCGCTTATTGGCTTACGGGCAACAGACAGCCATACTCGACTGCCATGTTGGTTGCAGTAATTGAGCAAGTAAAGAAGGTTTGGAGCTATGTGGAAATACTATTGATATGGTCGTGTTGCTAACGATGACCAGGACATGCTGATCGTCGGTAAGACATCATCGTGGAAAATGGTTCCGTAGTATGATGTCGCTTCCAGGGGCACGTAGACGATGCAATTAACTCTCAAGCGGCGGGAAACGCCAAGTCCGCCAACGGGAAAGATGGCGGCCTGTCAACACGGACTCGGTTCCAACACTTCCTACAGCATTGCACCGGGTTACCTGAATGGGCTCGAGTCGATGCAGTATCCCTGTTCATGTACAAACAAGACTATACGGTATGTACTGTAAGTTACTGGCATGGCTCTTTCACACCATCTCCTCAAATGGTGCAAGGTTGGATTTCGTAGATCTTACCGCATTGATGGTTCATAGGCGAGATTGTGGGCAAGGTCAAGTAAACACATCCCATAGCTGTCGAAGAAGTACTGTAGTCAGCACTGCAAACTCATGGGCTCAGATTATGGCCCAGAGAAGGTTGGGTGTTTTTGCTTCATATGGCCAAAAGTACTGAGCTTCGGGATTCTTCACAGAATCAGAATTGCTTCCTTCACCGGGCAGCGGCTCCAAGACAACGGATCGGTGGCCCGTATAATTGTACCTTAACTCTATCTGGGCTTCGCATGTTGACCACCCCAGCTTCTGTGTATAAGAACCTTGTAAATGTGGGCGAACAGGCGGAAACAAAAGGGGTTCAATAAACTCCCAGGCCATTCTCAAATTTAGATTGCATAGGCATTTACTTTTTGTCGAAATTCCAAAGTCTTTGGCAGCTTCATCTCAAGTCTTCTGTAACGCGTGGCTTCTCCACAAAGCACAAGCAGCCACTTTCACGACATATTCATTGTTGCAGTGCACTGCTGCGGTTCGATTAGTTTGAGGTTGGCCGCCAGCATCATCCAAGCATCTTGAGGACCACCCCTGGTTACATATGCGGTGGACGTTTTTCAACGAGGTTCCTGAGCGAACACTGCACGTCTGGAGGATTTCGTCACGATCAGCAGAGGCTTCACACGCGATTATGCTCTCCTGAGTCATACATAATCTTCTCGAAAAAAGAGAGTTCATACCCCATGTGGCATCTGCGGCCACATTAACTAGCGAGAGCCGCCAGCTTTAGTCTGCAGAAGCAACAGCCTGGCCGACATCAGTGAACTCTCGCCTTGGAGATCCAAGAAACGACCAGAGCGCTCGACCGAAACAGCGGGAGGTCCTTTTCGTCAGTCAACATAGATACGGTTCAGGAGTTAGCCACTACGTATCCCTCGGCAACAGTCATTAACTAGGACCGGACTAGTGGACGGTGTTGGATGTTCAGGGTTGTTCTTGATCTTGATCTTGTTCTTGTTCTTATTCTTGATCTTGATCTTGATCTTGCTCTTACTCTTACTCTTGGTCTGGGACTTGGAAGTGAGCTGTGCAAAGGCCTGCTCCACTGCTCTGTCACTGCTTGTACCCAACCGGTTCGCAAAGGCTAACTAACGTCCAAAATACGGAGCCTACTAAAGGAGCGGCAATAAACCAGCCAAGGCAACCCTACGATTATGACCCATGCAACACGACGTCTTGGATCTCATCGCATGCCGTCTCAATTTCTACTAATTCCACCAGACCCCGTCCCCCGAGGTTGGAATTTGAGCATAATACTACTACACCACATACACTCCATACACTACACTGCACTACAATACACCACACTACATACAGTAGCCATTGCACATACAAGCATTAGGTTGAGATTGTCCTTTTCTGAGATATTTCTCGGAGCTCTAAGTAGTTTGTCCTGGGCTTATTCATCATTGGGAGGAAACATTCTGTAATAGGACGTTCCTTGAGGAAGTCAAGTCCGCGCCTAAACCAAGCCAAACCCCACCTATTACTTACCAAGTACCATCGCTGGCGGCCCCAAGTTCAAAGTTGCCATGAATTGGTTAAGGCAGAAGACAGGGTCCCATAATACTGAGCGCCCTTCTGGCCGCACAACCCCCGATACATTCACATTCACTGCCAGCGACTCTTGTTCCGCTGTCGCTCCTACACCTTCTTCCACACATTCCGTCGATTCGCCTTCTCCCTCACCACAACCTGCAACGCCAGACGACACAACAGTATTTTCTACTGCCAGGCCCAGCAACTGTTTTGGCCACCGCACAGCTGCACCATCCAAGCCCGTCGATATTGCCGCGCCCACACTTCGGACCTCGGCCAGTGCATCGCCAACTCAACGCTACCTGACATCTGACGGCAGAGTCAAGGAAGTCGACGTCGCAAACCCCGCCCCCACAGCCGCCAACAACAACAACAACAACAACAACAACTACAGCAGCAATAACAAGAACAACAATAATTGTATCGTCACCACAGACACAGGCATAGACATAGACGCAGACACAGACATGACGACCGGACCCAATCTCGAGCCGGCCTTTGGCCGCAGCCGCCAGGACTCCTTTGTCAGCGCCGGCCCCAAGCCCATATCCATGAATCCCAACCGTGATCATGGCCGCGGTCGCAGAGAGTCCCTAGCTGGCAGTCTTATCAATGGTATGAGTTGGGGTGGGATTTCCGTTGGAAGCTACATTAGAGATGAGTAAGTCAGACAGGCGTCTTGGAGTTGTCTTGCATTATAACGGCGCGATCAATCAACTGTTTGAGACATGGCCACCAGACATTGTATAATCATCCCCAGGCTCTTGCTGACATCTTGTTTGTAGCCTTGCCATGGCAGGCACGTCGCCCTTTATTGGCGCGCAGTCGCCACACTCGAATTCATACGTTCCCAAGATGGAGGCGCAGTTCCTGAGCAACTTCTTCTGTTGCGATCAGAAACTTAAGGACATGCACGACCTGTTGCGCCACTACGAGACACAGCACGCTGGCGCTGGACCAAGAGCTGGCGTACCAATGAACCACCGACTTTCAGTCAGCAGACCGTCCATTTCGAACGGAGGCGGCCGACGGGACTCGACAGGTTTCCAGACCCAAAATCAGTTTGGCCAGCAGAACCGACCTGTGGGCGGCACCAGCAACGGTAATTTCGGGTTTGGAGGCATGCAGATGGGCAGACAGCAATCTGGTCTGGGTAACTCGATGCAGAAGTCGTCTGGTCTATTGGATATCAACGACGAGTTGGATGCTGTAGGCGATATGGAGATGGATGATGCTGTTGGTCCCATGGAGCTGGACGACGCCAGCCAACAGACTCGATCCATGTTCGGCCAACAGCAACGCCCTCAACTATCTCTCAACCTGAACGGAACGGGAATAAGCCAGCAAGGACTTCGCACGTCGCAGCCCTCCACGCCAGGCGCTACAGGCTTCGGATTCCAAAATAACCCGACCGTCAGCTCGGTCAACACACCGACTTTGACCACGACGCAGTCTCAAAACGGACAGATGGCCACAGATCTCAATGGCATGGACGATTTGTCAGGCCTGGCCAACAACATGAACCTTGACTTCTCTGCGCTGGGCAACCTGAATAGTTTCATCGCTGATCCGGCGAAGAGCTTGTACAGCCCAAATAATGCCATGGCGCAGCAACGCCTGCAGCAGCAGATGGCTCAATATGGCTTGGATCAGGCCCAGTTTGGTGATCAGTTCTCCGACCCACAACAAATAGCCATCCTTCAGCGTGCTTTGGCTGGTAATACTGCTAACCTCGTCATTCCTCCTGAAGAAGACAAACCTTTCAAGTGCCCGGTCATTGGGTGCGAAAAGGCGTACAAGAACCAGAACGGTTTGAAGTAAGTTCTCTTTCTCATTCTCTTTCCTTGTCTACAAACTTTCGCTTGGAATGCACTCTTGAGGTTGTCTTGATCTTATCGCTAATCGATAATGCAGATACCACAAACAGCATGGACATCAAACCCAGCAACTGCATGAGAATGGAGACGGTACTTTTTCAATTGTAAACCCTGAGACATCCCAACCATTCCCTGGCGAGATGGGCATGGAAAAAGAGAAGCCCCATAAGTGCGAGTACTGCAACAAGCGCTACAAGAACCTCAATGGTCTCAAATACGTAAGTCAATCAAATACTGTCTCTTGAACATCCTTCTCACATATTGTACAGCATAAGCAACACTCTCCTGCTTGTGAGGCCGCTGCCAACATCGCTGCTATGAGGGCTGGATGGGCTGCCAATGCTGCTAATGGTCAGGCAAATCTCAACATGTCAAGCTTATCCAATTTGTCCATGGGCAACCCGTTAGGCATGACGCATGGGCTTCCCGGTATTGGCGAAGAAATGCAGATGTAGAGTTCTGGATTCGGTTGTCACTTGTGGATATCGAACACTCTTGGATATGCACTGTGCCTTTCGGACCTAGTCCTACCTGCAACACCCCAATACCGGAGTAGTGACCCGGACGAACGCCTTCACGACTGCTATGCATAGACACCATCGCAACACTGCATATAGACTGGATTCTTGACCGCTTTCATGAAAGCACCGCGGTCAATTGGTTTCTTTACGGCTCGGAAAAAGTTGTCATTTTTGCATTGGCCGGCGTTTTTCTCGATCATTTCGACAAACTGGCGCCTCATTATACCCCGATAGACTTTCTACAGTATTTACACCTGCATCTTGGCGCCTAGCGCATCTTGGCGCCTCTGGCATACCTGAGTTTTCTCGGTCTTTTTGTGCAATACCTAAGCAGCCAGACTGCTGCTGTATTACACAGAGAGATTGATGACCTCGAGACATTTCGAGACATGACGACGAGGAGGGATACACGGACTGCAGGCACCGTAGGCAGCGTTTTATGTCCGCTGGCATGAGCTGCGAGGGCGTCAGTGTTGTTGTCAGTCTATAGATGTTGAAGTCACGATCGGTTTATTTCTGCTATGATGATTGTTTCCTTTTCCCTTTGCTTTGATATATTGTTTTAAACAGCTCTACTCATCCTTATATTTTTGACTACGTTGAAGCACTTATCAATTACGACGTTAGAGTCACTCACGGGAAGATTCGAAGCTGTTCCGCACATCGGACGTCTGGAATGTCTAGTATGTTTTATTCTCGTGGGCGTTCACAGGAGGCATCAAAAGTACCCCATTCCATAAATATATGCTACCCAAGCATGCGCGTTAGTTTATAGGTAGACTGCAGCACAGAACAGTTTCAGCGAATTGATTGTAGTAACAACACCTACAATGGCGCTTAGCATGATTCACGAATGGGATGACGTGTATGTGCTTCGCCGGACAGTAACAAACTTCACAACTCCGTTGCATATCATGACCTTTGATGAGCGTTCCAGCTTGCCGTGAACCATGTCTGTTGTCAGCTTGTACAAATGATCTTCGTTCATGCCAAGTTTTCAGTCAGCCATTCCCCGACTACCGCACGCTTTTCGCGATATCCGCCATTTCAACCTCGAGATGCCATGATCTACCAACCATTCTTTGGTAGCTACTGCACATCATGCAATATTCCGTCCTGTCATCAATGTCGTCACAGATAAGAAGTGTCCGCTGACATCATTTCCTGCCACTATTTCAATTTACTGACTCGACACCAATATAGTATGCATATTCCACGTGCCTTAGCAACATCAATCCTCATATCGGACCAGGACCCAGGATCCAGGATCCAGAACCCATGCTTCCGAGCTCTTGAAGTCATTCTCGCATGTATCTTGCCAGCTTTGGCCCTCGACTTCCAATCGGCATGCCAGATTTATTGCTGAGAATAACCCGAGTTTCCCGCCGGCTGAGCCTAGCACCCTGACAACCAATAAAGCTACCTCAATCAGACTGTTTCTTAAGCTCTTGTCCAGCACGCTGCTTCCTTGATTCTACTGTGGTACTGTACCACGGTAGCTGATTAGATACATCGCATCTCTCACCACTCCACTCACATGCCGACCCAAAACAAAACATGGTTCGGTTCAAACGGTGCCGATCGTCTCTCAGCTCATGTTACACCAGCTATACTTTATCTCCATCTAATCATCGATCCAACCCATTGACAGAAATATCTCGAATCCATAACGACCACCTCCCCACCTCCCCCTACTAGGTTAATGTCTTCTCTCAAAGGCGCGCAAGGTTTCCGCAGTTCCGGAATATCGCACTCCTTCCTGTCTAGTTTTTGCTCGACTCTGACCTCCCCCCCCCCCCCCCCCCCCCTCCTCCTCCTCCGAAAAAAATATGTACCCCACTCATCCCGGAACTCTAAAATACGGAGCATTTCCCAGTCGTCCGCCCTACGTAATGGTCTCGCGCGTTGATTACTACCAAAATCCACGATCGCTGGACTAGTCGTCTCCGATTCTGGACAAACGGCGGAGCTGCCGGAGAGAGAAATATGGCAGTTCTAAGCGTGAGGTGTGAGATACCTTATGCTTGAAATAACTTATCTCACCACACCTCAAATCCCCCCTAGTCACCCTCACGCATTGTCAAGCATGGCTCTGGTGAGACGCTATTTTATAATGACATACCAAGTACTTTGTAGTACCAGGTTGTAGAACTTGCGTCGAACAAACTCCATATTACATCGGTTCGATTAATCTAGCCCTTCTCGGACGGTGCTGAACGGGCATGTTGTAGATGTCTATTGGAGCTCCAATGTTGCAAGCCTGCTTTTGCTTCTCTTGTGTTGTTGTTGTTGTTGTTGTTCCTCCTCCTCCTCCTCTTCTTGTCAGGGCCGCGCCGTATGGATTTGCAATCCACCCCCCCACCCAAACCAACCAGCCAACCATGCGAATGCAAAGTTCGTCTGATCGCAACTATGTGATTGGTTTTGACTACAGCATAAGCAAGTGAATAGACATAATAATCTTCGTGGCGTCCTGAATCAATGGGATAAGTAGTCATTACCACAAGGAATAATGCTGTATGGTCCTAATCCATGGCGGTTCACCCATCTGCAAGAATTCCATATTGTCTTAGCTCACTACGCCGTTTCATTCTTTGATTATATGCATCAAAGGCTAGCTCATGGCGATTAATATGACCCCAGATGACCCGAGACATTCCGACTACGTGCACCAGCTATACCTAACTACTTTAAAATGTGGACAAACAGTTAAGCTCGAGAAGAAAAGGATTAGGCGGCCAAAAATGCATTGTGTTAAGCCACATAAATATGTATAATCTTCCATCAGTGATACCCTGGGGTGTTATAGCACTGTGATCTCGCTCTATGCCAATTTCCCCTCAACTCCTTGCAAGATGCTCTAAGCAAAACAGAAAGTATGTAAACCCAACCTCGTCTATGACCATGCACAAGTACCAAATGCCAACTGGCATACCGTAGCCCATATGCTTTGTGTATTTTACAGCTTCCATATATACCTCATTTGATCAAGCTTTCTTGTAACCTTGTAGCCGAAGACGGCGTGTCTGGTTTTGTGCTCATCATGCAAGGTCCATACCCTCCGAGTCATCCATGTCAGAGGGTAAAGCTTGTGTGCGGTCACTACTAACGCTGTCCTTGCGTGACATAGCACCGTCCCAAGGTCCATGAACCCCATCAACGTATTCAAGTTCTTCACCACCAATCACGCGACCTTCGGTGTCAATCTCCTGGGACAGCTCCACCAGCGCTGTGCGTGGCAACTTCAGGAAACCTTCGGTTCGTACAATGCGACCCCAGTTGGTTAGGCAATAGGCTGCAGCTCGTTTCCTCAGCCACTCTTCATTAGCGAGACCAGCACAATACCAGATAATGCAGGCGTGGACAACATCAAGTTCCTTTGATAGTCTGTTCACACAAAGTAGGCGTAGGTGCGGGATGTTATAAATGTTCGACATGACGAGTAGCCCGGCCACGTCTGATAGATCCGTCACGCCATCGTCCACGTGTATACTGTCAGTATAGAGGTAGTAAAGGAAAGCCTTGACGACACTGTACGGCTCAGGAATGTGCATCTTTTTTGTGTGGAATTCAGCCATCTGAGCGTTGTATAGTCTCGCAAAATGCGGCCATCGAGCCTGTAGAATTAGTTTGTGGACATGTATAGGAGGAGAGGTTGGTGCATCAGGAGCAAGCCAATTCTGCTCCGACTCGCCCGAACGGGTATGGCTGGAGCTCATCATATCATCATCCTCATACTCGCCAGCCAAGGCAGTGATGACAAAATCCGTGCCACTGCCTGATTCAGGAGGTTGATTGAACAACTTGGCAAGGTCTTGACCGAGTCCTTTGGACGGCTGTTCTGGCACCCTATGGGAAGATGGCCTTGACAACTCAGCTCGCGCTTCCGGGGCATTATTCCCCAAGAACCCATAGCGGCGCAAGTCAATCTCCATGATGTCGCTCAGATACTCCTCGAAGCCGTGTGGCCCCATATCGCCTGGGGTTTCCTGAGGAGAACCAAGCAGCCACGCTTTCGTGCCATCCTCGTTCATAGTACAGTAATGCCACCGATAACCAGGCCGGAAGATCTCGCGACCCTCGGCAAGTTTTTGCCACCGCAGACTACCAAGATCTAGTGCAGACAATGAACAGTCCTTTGAAGTCGCCGCTACTACCGGTGTGACGAAGTCAAGTAGCGTCCCGGAGGAATAGAGATGGTAGTGTTGGCCAAACTGCTGAGACGGCATATTCGGCCCTGAAACAAATTTCAAGGCTGAAATAGAGCCTGGTGCCATAGGTGCGTATGATTTCAGCTGGAAAGAGGGTGTGCTCACTTGGGCGGTCCGAGAGTTGGCTGCGTAGCCCGAGGCGCCAATAACACCGGTTCCGCTCATTAAGTAGGGCTGACGCGGAGATCCGCGTGTGCTACCCATGGCCGGATGACGGTCCGACGTACCAATCGGAGGAGGTGTCTCAAAAACTGGGCTGCCCTTCAAATCTAGCCACCACAAATCACCGATTTTATCCATGTCCTCGCTCAAACCGCCGAACACCCAGACCCTGTTGTTCCAAATATAGGCTGAATGGTCAAACCTCCCAACGAAGCGCCATGATTTAGACCATGTAAAAGTCTTGAGGTCGAGGTAGCAGATATCGTCCAGTACGTAGTTGTCATGACCTGTTATGCCGCCAACGATGAATAGCTTGTCCTCGTGAAGCACAGCAGCATGGCGGGCACGCCCCTTGGGGACCGGGCCTGTGACCTGAGGCTGCGTCCAATGGGCGGTTTTGAGATCGAATACTATCAGATCGGACAGATATGTGCGATGCTCATTCTCGCCGCCAAAGACCAAGAGCTTGTCCCCCTGGTAAAGGGTAGCAGTGTGTCCCATTCGAACGCCTGGGATGTCTCCGTAGTTGTCCACCAAGCTCCATTGATGACTTGCAAGATCCAACCTCAAGACATGATTGTAGACTTCATCGGTATACTGGTCAAACCCGCCAAAGGCGTAGATGGAATTGTTGCTGGAGTAGGTGACGGAAGCGTTGACCAAGCAGGCTGGGCGCTGCCCTAGGGTTCGTGTTACTTTGGGGCGATAGTTGCCATCGACCATGGTTCTGTTTTTCATGGGCGAGTTGTGCATGACGAAAGTGTTGTTCGACGACGCAGCGGACAATGGAGTGGGCGCACTGGAGCCGAGAGGTGTGAATGAGACAGCCGGAGGTGGAACTGGGGCTTGCGGAAGCAGGGTGGTGGATGAGGTGGGCGAGGCAGATGGGCCGCCGAACAACGACGGGAAGCCGCTCGGGACTGCATTTGTGTTTGTGTTTGCGTTCATGTTTGCGATCGGAGTCGAGGGTTGGGCCATGATGGTTGCTGGAGTGCGCTTTGGAGGTTGTGCGCCTTATCTATTCAGGCGGCACCAACACAACATTAGGTCGCATTTCGTGTCGAGGCTGTGGTCAGATGGCACCAGGGTATGCTGATTCGTGGACAAAGAATCGGCGTCAGAGGTCAGAGTCGACGTACGTAATTGTCGCTCAGTGAATAGTTTGCGACATGCGAAAGTTGTTGAAGTCAGACGTACAACGACGCGGCACGAAACGGCATGGCACTAGTCACGACGGGTTAGTGGTGAGCGCCGGCGGTATGCGGTATTGCATTATATCGCATTGTGCTGTGTTGTATTATGTTGTATCGTAGTATCGCACCTTATCGTGTTACTGTACTTTTCCGAGCACGGATACATGCACGCAGTGGAGAGAAGCAAATTGGGCACTGAACGGCGCGGGGAGGGAGGGGGGGGGGGGGGCTCCACTGCCGGCAAGTCGCCACGCATGGCTCTTGTGCTTGCCAACTTGCTGAATTTGATTAACTACACAGCCTACAGTACTCGATTGGGCGTCCGTACCAATTTTCTGATTTCAGCTTGGACAATGCACAGACCAGCTGCTGAGCCTGGCAAGCCTGGAGCCCGAGCCTTGGAAAAAGGCCCCTAAGCCCCCCAAAAGTGGCGGTTCAGAGGCAGCGGCGCCTGGACAACTGGTTGCCCTGTGAGACGCACAAGGCGAGCCCCATAGAAAGTCAACAATAAAGTGCGCTGGATGAAGCTGCGATTCAGCATCTCACTTCTCCTTCTCTCTCAATGAACCACACTCTATGCTCCCGCAAAACCCTCTCTGCCTCTTCCTACGCTCTATCTCAGAGCATCAACGCCTCGCGCAAGCCATCTTGAAAGTCCACTAGATCTTGTTGCTGTCACCTTCCACGTTCCGGAAGTCCAGCCGTTCGATCGCCTCCGACTCCCAGCCAATCTTCGATTTCATCGAGCACGACGACAAACAATACTAACTACACAACAATATTTCCAGGAACCATTAAATTGAGTCTCTTGGAGCTCGTTCCGTCTTTCGAAGCCAGCTTCCATACCTCATCAATCGCACAGGATACTGTCATATACTAGACAACATGGCCTCAGTTGCAGTATCTACCCCTTTCAAGTCCCACACCGGGCTCTTCTCCTCTCGAACCGCTGGCGGTCGTATGCCCCTGACTCCTTCTCCTCGCCAACGCCAAGCCACATCCACAGTGAACCTGGACTCGTCCCCCTTCACACCCACTGAGAGAAAGACAAGCATATCCAGCAAGTCCGTGTACGGGGGCAACCTATCTTCCCGCTTGGCCAAGGCTTCTACAAGATCTCATCGAGACTCGCCCAAGTCTAATATCGCCCATGGTGTCTCCACTCCCCGCAAGGTTCTCGAGCTCGGTGTCTCGGACTTCGCCCTGGTTGGCACCGGCAACACCAAGGAACCTGCCAGCTCCAGAAAGGTGCAGCCGAGGAAGAAGTCTGAGAAGACCACCCTCACATACGCTGCGGATCGTTTTATCCCAAACCGCAGCAACAGTTCCGCCATCGCCAACGTCGGCTCCGGCAAGCTTGACGTTCAAGAAAAGCAACGTTCCAAGAACAGCAACACAGAGAGCTCCGCAGTCCTTTCCTCGGCAGCAGATGATGCCATTGCCGCCCTTGAGGGCCTCAACATCAACGATGACGATGCCGCCACATACTCAAAGCCGTCGCCAAACAGCGTCGCTTACCAAGACTCGCTAGCTAGCGCTTGCGGCGTGAACTTGAGCACTCGTATCCTCCAGTTTAAGCCGGCTCCTCCGGAGTCCTCCAAGCCCATCGATCTGCGCCAACAGTACAACCGCCCGCTCAAGAACGCCACCAGCTCAGCTCAGTTCCGTCGCCGAGTTGCTACGGCCCCTGAGCGTGTGCTGGACGCCCCTGGTCTCATTGATGATTACTACTTGAACCTGCTTGACTGGAGCTCAGGTAACCAGGTCGCTATCGGCCTTGAGCGTAATGTCTACGTCTGGTCTGCTGATGAGGGTAGCGTCAGCTGCCTGTTGGAGACCAGCGCCGACACCTATGTCAGCAGCGTCAAGTGGTCCGGCGATGGCGCCTACGTCAGCGTCGGTCTCGGAACTGGTGAGGTCCAGATCTGGGATGTTGCCGAGGGCCAGAAGATCCGCAGCATGTTCGGCCACGATACCCGTGTTGGTGTCATGGGCTGGAACAAGCACCTCCTTTCCACTGGCGCCCGAAGCGGTCTAGTCTTCAACCACGATGTTCGCATTGCCGAGCACAAGATTGCCGAGCTCGTCTCTCACACCTCCGAGGTCTGTGGTCTTGAGTGGCGCGCCGATGGTGCGCAGCTCGCCACTGGCGGCAACGACAACTTGGTCTCTATCTGGGACGCCCGTTCCTTGGCTGTCCCCAAGTTCACCAAGACTAACCACAAGGCCGCCGTCAAGGCTCTTGCCTGGTGCCCCTGGAACGCCAACCTCCTCGCAACTGGTGGTGGTTCCTACGACCGCCACATCCACTTCTGGAACACCACCTCTGGCGCCAGGGTCAACAGCATTGACACCGGTTCTCAGGTCACCAGCTTGCGCTGGAGCACGACTTACAAAGAGATCGTCAGCTCGAGCGGCTTCCCTGACAACTCCCTCAGCATCTGGAGCTACCCTACACTCGTTCGCAACGTCGAGATCCCTGCCCACGAGAGCCGTGTCCTCCACAGCTGCCTCAGCCCCGACGGCCAAATGCTTGCAACTGCTGGTGAGTACTCGCCGAACCCCGGCATGAGTGATGAGAATATATGAGCTAACGTTCTATTATCAGCTGCCGACGAGAGCTTGAAGTTCTGGAAGGTGTTTGAGAAGAAGGCCGGTGCCTCTGCCGGTGTTGGCACAAGTGGTTCCACCAGCAAGGCCCAGATGACCAAGCAAATGACTATCCGCTAAATGGCCTCAACTACAAACGTCTGAATCATTGTCAATAAACGGTAGGTATCAAAGATTCCTTTTTGGCATGTCTCGGTACAGCGGTTCGAGGTCATTTAGCGAGGTGTTCTTGGCGCTCTTTCGATACCCATTCGCCAGGAAGGCTTCAATCCGGATTTGATTTGGTCATGAGATACGATAACGTGCATACGCACTTTCTGGAAGGCCACTTGCCGGCCAAGTCTGTCGGATTAATAATAAAATGTACAATTAAGGGAAAGAAATGTTTTGATGTTGTTTTTGGTTGCGCGAAAAAGCTAAAAAGCCGTTTGCGGCGCCCTTGGATAATCAATACTGATGATCTGCTGGGTTAAATCTGTGCTTTCCCTCAACATATGTCTGTGTCTGAATTGGATCATGACGTTGGTACAATGCAGACTTCCGAGACGGCTGACCACATCAGCTCTGCTGGTTTAGAAGTAGGACATGATTGTAACACCTCCGAATGTTGACTGTTCAGCGAAAAGAAAATGAGATACATCTTGACATCTCATCTCGGCAAAACATTCCAATCGCTTGCTTGCTTGCTTGTCTGTTGTGATTATCGCCTCAACGCCCGTCGAGGTCCCAAGGTGACGATTTTGATTAGTTTGCGCCATCTCTGCCCTTTCTACTCCGGATTGAGGCGGCTATGTCATGTGACTACTGACCCACTTCGGCGAAAGGGCTACTTCAGAACCAGGATGACCAAGCCAACTTAGCAGTCTACAACATCCGCACTCACATGACAGGCAATTCACGATCGAATCGCATTCACGTTTTGAGGCGCAAGGCGACTGATCAGACAAGCAGTAGAAGCACAACAAGCACGTTCACGGGTGATTTTGCGACACTACAGAGGAAGCGCGGGGTGTTTGGGGTGGAACACGGCAAGAGCAGCTGGTAGACCAGCAACAAACGACGACCATTACCCACACAACCGCCGATGGCGCACTTGTCACAGTCGTTAATCTAACTGTTCACCATTCAGACCTCTCGACGAACAAGCAAGCAAGCTAGGAAACAAGCAAACAAGGAAGCAAACAAACAAAACCCCCCTCAAAAAGCCAGCCAGCCAGCCGCATTGATTACCCATCTTCAGCAAGTCATCATCCACAATAGACGGCGCCGATATCACCTGAGCCAGCAAGCGCACACGACGAGACGTGAGAGACTAACCGGCGACATGTCCAACTCTCAGGTCGGCCAGATCTACCAGCAGATCATAGAGGATGTACTTGACTCGTCTCGCGTCGATCTGGAGGAGAATGGTGTCGATGAGAGTATCCTGGAGGAGCTGAAGCAGGTAAGCCATTTCTGTACTCGAATGTGTCCAGCCTCACAGAACCCGTCACAATTTTGTTTCCTCTCCTCTCCTTTCCTTTCCTTTCCTTTCCTTTCCTTTCCTTGCCATTCCAGGATTTCATCTCTTTCTATATCAATCAGCTTTCAAAGGGAGTCAAACCCTGCTGCCCGTCCTTTCCGGACTTGTGATCATTTTCGCGTTTGCCATGTTTTTTTTTTGTTTTTTTTTGTTGGTTGCTGAACCCGAGGCAACCTGCCTGGCGTCCGCTTTCTGGAGCCTGGATCTGGATGCCTGGGCGAGCGAGTGTTGGAGAGGGCCGGGTTCAGCGAGAGGGGCAGCCGCCGCTATTTGGCTTTTTATGCCTGCTGACATCCCCGCTAAAAACCTTTGCTTTCGCTTGAGTCATATTTTCTGATTGGACGTCTCAACACCTGGCACCACTTGGTGCTTGCCCATCCGCATTTATGCTTTCAGTGCTCAGTCATCCGTGGACATTGGCTCTCATGCAGCCTCCCTCAGTCACATTGATCAAGTACTACGTGCTGTACATCTTCTTCTTCTTCCTCTTCTTCGTCTTGCACAGATGTCGTCATCTTCTGCAGTCTTATTTATAACTAACTCCCAGACGGCAGGGTTGGCAAAAGAAGCTCTCAGCACAAAACCTTGCGGCATTCCCCTGGGATCCTAAGCCGGATCCTCCTGCGCCTGTGCCTGCACCTGCACCTGCACCACCGCCTGTTCCTGCACCACAGCATGTTGCTGCGCCCGTCCACCATGATGTTGGCATTGCCAATGGTTCCGCTATGGCTCAGCAGGCAGTCCACCATGGTGTTCCGCAATATGCTCAACCTGGAATCAACAATGGCGTCAAGACCGAGCCAGGTATCAAGTCTGAGCCTGGCCTAGAGCCTGTGCCAGTCCAAGCATTCTCTAACCCAGAGGTTCGCGATCGTGTTATCAACAACTTGCAGACCCAGTACGGTGCAAGAGCAGATGCTACTATCAACAAATTGCAGGAGTCCATTGGTTCAGCTCCCAACCGTCCTCAGTATCCTGGCCCCCCTCGACCTGCAGGCCAGCCAGTAGCGCAACAGCCTCGTCCCATGCCACAAGGTATGACCATGCAGCAGCAATATCAGCAGCAACTTGCCGCCGGCATGCAACAGCGTATGCCCCAGCCTTCGCAGAATGGTCAGAGACCGAACCCATCCCAGTTCGATGGCGCCGCCGAGGAAGGTGTGCTTGTCCACCAGGATGCATCCGGCCAAACGACTGAATTGGGTCGTGTTGATATTGATCGCATGCTCCACGCTCAGCTTGAAGCAAGAGCCAAGGCTATGGAGGGTGGTGGCCTAATGGTGCCTCTTACTTTGAAGCGTGCATCAAAGACCGCCGGTGTCTCTTACCATCGCACCCGGGATGGCTCTGGCAGCGGCCGCTTCGACGGTGGTGACGATGATGACGCCAGATCCGAAGTAGATGAAGATGCAATCAACTCCGATCTCGACGACACCGATGACAATTTGGACGATGACGATGATGACGACGATGGTGGCCAGATTATGCTTTGCATGTACGACAAGGTCCAGCGCGTCAAGAACAAGTGGTAAGTAGCCGTGACATTTTTACAGTATAAGAATGGCGTCGGCCTGGGTACTAACAATCTTCGTAGGAAGTGTGTTCTCAAGGACGGTGTCCTGAGCGTAAACGGCAAGGACTACGTTTTCCACAAAGCTTCGGGCGAGTACGAATGGTGAATCAGAAAACTGTGCCACAATACCAGCTTTGGGTAACCTTTCGTTGCCGGGTTTCTTTTTAAAAGGCGCATGGCGTTTGGCGGGACGATTTGGCAAGGTATCGATTTTCCGCACGACTTTGATGAAACCGAAATACGATTAGACCTTCTCTGATCAGCTATTCTTGATATGAATGTCCATCTCGGTATGGACAAGGTTCTTTGGGCATGGTTCATACTGGAAGTATGCGAAGCCAGCTGGTTCAGCATTACAATAGTTACGCATGCTCCAGGGAAGCCTGTTGTACTTGCCCCCTTGTCAGCGTGGTTGCACGAAGAAGATTTGTTTGTGGCCATTTAATACATTGGCTTATTTCTCTAGAGAGAATGGTTGTTGCGGACGAGGCAAAGCGGCTCATATGGATATAACCATCAGTTTGTTAATTATGTCAATGAAATGCCATTGCCTGGCCGAGAGTTGTCTACTTTCTCCTTTCATGACTTGTGCTCGTAGTCCATCGCGTCTCTGCCCGGTTGAGCCAGTACCACATCGGTTGTTATGATGTGAGCAGACACGGTAGGACTCCAGGGGAGTAAGGACAAGACTCAGGCATGAACCCACAAAAGCTTGGATATCCGAGGGTGCGCAATGCTGTTCATCTGTGCGAACCGAAGTCATTCGTCCTTTGTGGTTGGCAAGCCAGCCATCAAGTAGTGTCGTTATGACCCCTTGCTAGTGTCACATCATTGCTGACCTACATGACAGCTCGGTCAAATCAGAAACCAAGGAGGAATTCCTTCCCTCCCCGTACCAGTAGCGTGCCAAATTGTCGGGTCCAAGCAGACACGCTGTCGCCTGAGAGGAGCCAACTTGTTGTCAAGTCGGTGCTTACTGTCGCAACGGGCGTCTCGGGAGGGAGGATGAGTGTCAGACCATGAATTCACAAGGCCTCTGCAGGTTGCACAAAGAAGGAATAGGCCGGGCTCCTGTTCTCCGCCCAAGTTTGAAACAATAATATGACCTGTAATATTGCATTCCTGCTCCAATCAATATGTTCTTACTGGCTGATTGATCATGTGTCGGTGGGTGGAAACTTGATATTCTCAACGGTACTTTCGTTGCCCGTGCCGCTGCGTTCCCTAAAAACCGATCCTCGAGGCAGCAATCATCGAACCCAGGCTCTACGGTGATTGCGGAGTCGTTCATCTTGTGTTACTTGTGATGTGATCACCTCGTTATGGCACTTCTTATCCCCAAAAGGGTTTGGCGTTGCCGGCACTCCAAATGATGATGCCCGGGTATCATGGCAGACGCCCTCTCAATGGTTGCCAAGGTATCTAGTGTGCTGACCTTGCTTATCTAGCCGGACATCGAATCAATGCAGACAGGGAGGTTGCTTCAGTAGGGCTCGATCCGGGACCAAGCGCCTGGGTTCAGCAAGCGAGTTCGTCCCGGATTGTATCAGGTTGCTGTAAGCGAACACACACACACAAACACACACCCACTACAAGGGGCTGGCATCCAATATAGTTCAAGGCTGCATGATATTCGCAGCCGAGGACGGTCACGAGGTGCCTCGGACCGTGTGATCGGCTTACCGTTTTCGGGAATTAGGGCTTTCCCCATGGCCCAGTCGCTCGGTGGCGAAGAATGCAAGAATCCCCTCTGGGGCGGAGACGCAGGAGACCAGAGGATCTGTGTTCCAAGAGGCCAGCCGTTCTGTTCCTGACACGCAAGTCCTCTCATTCCAGAACTTGAAATTCAGCAGCATTTCCCGCACAGTAACCTTTGTCCATATGACTCGAACAACGCCGGCCTGTGGACGCGGCTCATGGTCTATATATTATTGGTTGGTCCCAGGGAGTCTTTCTTGCTTTACCATTGAACGTCACATCCGATCAGTCAGCTACCGTAGCTGCAAGGTCTGGCTTTCTTAGCGGGAGCGGCACCCGGCTTCCCAGTCGAGAGGTAGCAAATGAGGTTGTCCGCCTGTCGAGAGCCTGATCCCTGGCCACCCTCGCAAGCCATGGACCTGGATGGACTTCTCGAACTAGCACCCGGAAAACCATGGGCTCGGAAATATAAAAGTATCTTTTCCATAGTACATAGTAGCATCTTCTACCCTCTCGTACCTTTGTATATGGAAGGATCGACTGCTGCTAATCAACCAGATTCATCTGGGTAAATCCGTGGAGCTCAACCCATGTAGGCTGAAAGAACCTGGCACCCGAAACATAGTTATCGCTTTATTAAGGTTTAATATCCGATGAAAATCCCCAAAATATCAGGGAGTCGCCCGGCCCGTGATTGGGTTACCGAGAGCTTGGGAAGGATCCCGACCTAGTCTGAAGTTGGGTTCTTCCTGCGTTTTACCCGATATGGTAATTCACCGCGACTAAAGCAGGGAGCACATGATCCTGAGCTTACAGGGCCTAATTATATGTCGTGTGGCTGGAGATATGTAACGTAGATTCTTCATGGTGTATTAATTTGAAGTGATTATGGAACCGGATTGTGCACAAGGGCCTGCGTCAATGTACCCGAAGCGGGCTAAACCAAGCCGAACACTCGCTACGTAGAGCAAGGGTTGGGATCTCATCGGTTTCATTTCATGGTTGCAGCGGTCTTCCATCCCAACCCACTAGGCTTCGGCAGGCAACTCTCACGCAACTGGGCTGATGGCATTCCTTCCATGTCCTCAATCACACACCAATAAGTTCTTACAAGCGGTGTGCTCGTTATCCTGCGCCAATAGTGTCGAATCAAATCGGTGATGCGTCTAGAGCTGATGGTGACCGCTGGACGCATGGGTGAGTGGCTTGTGCGGAAGTCATGGATCCCTGATACGCAGTCCTCATAAGATAAGTTAGCCGAGTGCTGGTCTTGGCAGATGGTGAAGTAGCTAACAACAGACGTTCTGAAGGTATCATGCTTCGTGTCTGGTCTGTTGACGAGGCCCTTGGCAAGACATAAGAATCTCACGATGGGTGCTGTGGGGAGATAAGATGAACTGGTTACCTGTACTGAATGAGTCTTGCGCAGACAAAACGAGTGCTTCATGTACAGCTCAACAGATTGGGATTCATCTGGATCTGGTCGTCTACGTGGCATCTCAATTGAGGGTTCTCGTGTATGTGGGACTGCAGACGATTGGTCAAGTATGCGCAGTCCCCCGGACAGGAGCAAAACCGAATACAAAGCGGTGACTTTCCCGGCTGTACGCAAATTGCGGTTGTGGCACTGTGTCGCCCAAACCACGATGAGGCAACTACGCCGTGGTCGCAAAGGCCTCTTTCCACAGTCGAGGTGGAGAAACAATCAGCGAACTGCGCATCGTTACTGGTACAGAAGTTGAGGGGGTGGCCAGCATTTACAGGTGACAGGTTCCCAGATATTCGAAAGAGCCGGAGGCAGGTCCAGCTACGATCCCTTCCACCTGAGCAGTAGGGTCGGGTCTGAGAGGGATTGGCAGATATGTACGAGAAGCATTGGGACACCCGGCGCAGCATCCAGAAGGGTTTAATACAGCCAATGACATTGCGACGAATGAATCCGACAGTCTGGAATCATTTCGGAGGGTTTTCGGACAAACTGCCTTTCTGGTAGTTGAGCGGGCTGGTCGGCATTGCAGTGGTGCGCACCATGATATGTCATGCAGCGTGGCATTCGTTGTACCTCATACATGTATGATCTAATCCGGCACAAATACTACTTGTCTGCACAACCAATTCTGCTCACTATACTCAATCGAGGTACGTATGAATGCCAGAGAATGTCAGCTAGTAGAAGACAGAAGCGTTGGACCATGCGATTCACCAGGAGGGATTGAAATGATGTTACAACATTCTGGAAAGTCCCACGGCTTCCAAGTAGAGCATAATCGGCCAGGATCCCGACAACCCTTGCACATCGCCCACGGGTCTCAAGTTTCTGGTGCTCGGCAAATGAAGTGTATGCAGCCGTGAACGACGGGCAGTGCATCTTGAATCGAGTTGGCCCTCTTTCGATTGTATTAATGAATCGTGACGCTGTCTGTCGGGTTATTAGTCGTTGGCACCCCGGAAATGAATGTAATAAAGTTCTCAACTACTGCCGCTGGACAGCAGTGGGGGCGACAGCGGGACCATCACATTTGAGACAAGTACAAGCCTGGGTTTCTGCCAAGTAGATTGCACATCTAGGCGAACAGTATGGTTCGTGCAACGTTGCTGGAGCAGTCATAGTAAGTTCTGTGTATTTTACCCTGATCTGGAGATGTGGCTGTCCAGCCTGCTCTCAACTCTTATTGACGGGCAAATGGATTCGGTGCCACTCGGCCTATCACGGCTTGCAACAGCCGCGCAATGTCCTCTGCAAGATCGTGAGATGCACAGGGCTATATGCAGGTACGAGAATGAGCTAAATCTGGTTGATGTGGAACTGGCCACGAAAATCGATTATCTTCTCTAGATTATGCAGAAGACCGTGCTCAACTGATGATAGACCTTGCGCTTCCAATGCCTCACCATATGCAAAGAAAGCAAATGCCAAGGTGATATCCAGGCCGAAACAGGCCGTACATGGTAATCAATCTCACATAACAACCCTCTCAGCCAAGACGATGATCGACAGTCAACCAAGAGTTTGGGTGGAACGTCAGCTTCCTTTTTGCAAGAACATTACAATTGAAACTTGCTCTCAACACGTTCGCCCACTTCTGCTTCCAAATTGTCACGTTTCACAAAACCAAGACAGTGGAGTGAGAGAAACCCCCATCGAACGATTCTTCAACGGCATTTGGAAACACACCGCCATGTCGCACTCAACCCTGAATAGCAGCCAATAGAAGATCACTGGTGGAATGAGTGTTGCATTCTGCGTGGTCATGATGCGGCAGATACCAGGGGTTTCTGCAGCCCTGGTTCATACTATCAGGCCAAGATAGTGAACCGCGATGCGCGCGGTTCATCTTCCGATTCCCATTTTAGAAATAGCAATCCAATCAAACATATCACGGCGGGTTTCTGTCATTACGCGAATCCACGATCTAGGTATATTCGATGATATAGATGGCTTATCTAACAGATCTGTTGCGTAGACAGCCTCATCACATCCGTCATTCAAGCTGTGATGGTGGAAAAAAAGGTTGGAGAGTTATCTAAAAAGGTCAGTCGCATACCGCCAATAACTGCAAATTGCCTGCCCCAAAACTTGAGCGTATCCCTGGAATTAGGCCAATCATAAAACAAGCTACGCGTTTAGAGTGCCCCACCCACCCGAGCTGTCGGGACGACACTACTCCTGAATAATCTTTGCGCTTCATTTCTTGCTATGCCACTACCCTGCAGCTCCTTGCATGAAGCCCTTGAAGCAAGAACCCACCCTTTGTGGGGCTGAGCAGATGATGACGACCTGAGAGATGAGAGACAGTGTGTGTCATTTAGTTTGTTGCACGGGGAGATCGAGTCACGCGGAGAAGGGTAGAGAAACAATTATAGACTTAGCTGGGTAGTTTGTTAGCCATTCAGTATCGTCAGTGGTTCGTGCTAACCTAGGTGAACGCTTCGTTATACGATGCACATGGGTTCTGCGCTTCTCGCGCCTACGAATGCACCCTTCCTCGGCTGTGCTTGATAGCATGTAAATCTAAAATCTTTTTTCTTTCTTTTCTCTTTCCCTTTCGTTCTCTTTTTCTTCCTTTCTTTCTCTTTATTCAAAGCCGAACACTCAAGACAACCTTTAAAGTACACGCCAAAGCCAATTCGAAACCGAGTTTACCGCCTTCTGATAGGATTGTCTCTCGGTTACATGGTTCTGCAATGCCGCGGCACATGGTCCACTGCTCGAATCTTAATGAAGGCCTTTCAATTTGAACATCATAGCAAGCACACCCCGTTGATGGTGGGCTTAGCCAGATGTTGTAATTAATGTCTGCGATCTTATCATTCCAATCTGTCATGGTTGATACTTGGATTTCCTCGAAATTTGTTACTAGTGCTAACCGCTGAGATTGCTACCCATTGCTGTTGACTAACTTAGACTAACCTAGTCTGAGGGGTATTGTGATTTCCTGTAAGCGCTAGGTGTCTCGATACTTCATTTCCGTTCTACACATAGAAGAAATATGATGGAGAATATAAGCGATTGAAAGCCCTTTTTTTTTTTTTTTCTTCTCTTTTTTTCTTCAAAATATGTAGCAGTGTTGCGTTGCGCAACCGAAATTGCGAATCGATGAGACGCTTCAGATATATCAAATTATTGGCAGTTCCTGTGCGATACAGAAGACGTGCCGACAAAATCATGCACTTAATTACCACGTGCTGACCTAGGAGGGTATCCTCCTCGTTTCAGAATGACTCTGTTACTAAGACGCCACTTGTTTCTCGATGTGGGCATCTAAAACGTTAACAGCGTTACACGGCACAAGATCCCCAAGGGCTTAGACCGGCAGGCAAGTCGTGCTGGGATGTGTGTACACCATGCGAGGCTAGTCAAAACGCTCTTTTGGCAGCCCTGGCTGCCGGACTTGGTGACCATTTGGGCTCGCGACGCATATGAGAGGTTAGCCGTGCGAGAGAGGCCTATAATAATAAGGGAATGGCTAAGACCTATCCGTGGGATCAGCACACTCAGAGATAGAGTAATCAACCAACGTTTGATGCTGAACAAGGTCAAAGTAATGACAAGCGAACCATTTCTTTTCTTTTCTTTATTCTTCTCTTTTTTTTTTTTTTTTTTAAATTAAAAAAAAAAAAAAAGGAAAAGGAAAAGGAAAAGGAAAAGTCATATTTTACTACACATAAACCTTTGAGTTCCTCGAACCATCTGGTAATTACTCTATCGAACCCCCCCCCCCATTGTAAATGACTGCGTCGCTGCCTCCGCAGGAGGACTACAGGCTTATATACGAGGAGGAAAAACGGTTGCAGGACAGCCAATACAGCGTTAGTCTCAAGACGAAAACTGCTCCTAGCGTTACACTTACCACCACTTGGCCATATAATGTTTGAAACAATGTTGGTCGACGCTATGCATAGTAAGTCTCGCGTCCTGCCAGCGCTCGAACGTGCGGCTAAAGCCTCGAAATGACAGGCGAGCATACCCCTGTGATGTTCCTAGCCGCGCTACTATGTACAGTCCTAAGGAGGGTGAAGTCGCTTCGACATTCAGTGTTGCACACTCCGTTGACTCGCTCGCTTCACTCGTATTGCTACGTGTTCCACACGGAGAGACGCCAATGAGATTCTAAGCCAATCCTCTGGGAATAACGGAAAGTACCTTCTCTATGGAGGTGTTGCCGCTGCACAGTATTAGCTGACCCAGCACTCTGGGCAACATGACCAGCGGGCAAGCGGGCAAGCGGGCAGGCGGGCAGGCGGGATGTGTTGCACCCACTAGCAGCATCAGATCGACCCAACCCATGGATTGAGTCCGCTACATTAGCGGGACAAGCCGCTGAGGTGTATCTGACTAAATAGTCCTAGTTGCAAAAAGTACTGTAATATGTACGAAAGAATCCGCATTGTTGGTCATAAGTGCGCTCGAATATAACCTGCCCAAGGGGATAATACCAATGCTGGACAAAACCCATTTCAACGTGTAAGTAGACAACGCATCAATAAAGGACGCTTGGCTGCGATATAGGTCTGGCTATTCGCCTCGGCGCCCAAGCATGCCGTGTCACATCATGTCCAAGTATGTAATTGCGTTCAAATAATCAAGTCGATTCGGAGTACCAACAAAGAGATGGCACAGCATCCGTCTTGCGAGTAGTGTTGGGGTGTTACCAAAGCTAACTAGATCGTGGCATCGTCAGTTACATCCGAGGCTGGCAGGTCCTGTAGGCAGTAAGTAGTCTTAGTACATAGTAGCTCTTTCGCTGTCGCAGGGGTGTGAACGGACCCCCCCTGGTACAATGATGTTGGCGATCAAGCGGGTTTGCCGTTTTGCGCAAGCGAAAGCACAAAACTGCAGCCCAGCCATAACAGTAATAATAATGTTGGATGGCATATATGTAGGTCAGGTATTGGGTATTATTGCGGGCTGACTTGCACGTTTTGTACCTCAGTACCTCTTGGGAGCTGATCATGGTTGAGGCTAGTCTAGTCAAGGGGTCAATCGAAAGCCAGCACACTAAGATTTCCACTGTCCCCTGTACCCGATATGGAAGTACATACATAGCATAGCGCCTTGTCCAAGACTCCGTGTTAAGACGCAAAATGTTCAAGGTTAATAACAACTAGACGCCTCGGGTCCCACAGACGTGGTCAAGTAGAAGTTACGATCCCAAAACCTAATTGTTGATCCTCTTCTCTTCGCCAGGCCCGTGTTATTACTTAAAGTTCGGACTCTGACTGCCGGGAAGGAAAAGGCAAAGCGAAAGGAGAGGAAAGAAAAGGAAAGGCGAAAGCTGCTCATTTTCCCTTGGCCCCTTGCACCTCACCTAACCTGACCTAACCTACTTGAACCTCCCCTCCCCACCATCCTAAGGCTTTGCCCCAGTGCCAGCCAGTACCAGTTCCCCTCCCTCCACATTCTTTTCGCAACGAATACGACCACACTGCAGCAGAAAGCAGCCGCATCGTGGACAGCATCGTTTTTTTTTTTAGGTCCCCTGGTTGACTGGACACCAGTAACATTTGAACCGCCAACACTGATAGCGACCATTATTGGTTAACAACAACGGCTAATCTACATAAGAAGAAACCTAATTCGCTCAATTTATTCCTGGGTACTGCTCATTCATTTGGACGACTCATGCTCATCGGGCGCCGATCGATTTCACTACCAGCCTTGAGAAAGCTTCTTCGTATAGCTTGATCTTCGCCCGCCCAATTACTCCACAAAGCCACACCTCGTAGACTTGGATGCAAGTCTATCACCACAAGCCAATCATGGCGAATGGCTACAACTACCCGAAGTATGCTTCCTGAAGCGACACAGCCACGCTGTCATGCCAGCCTGCTTTCATTATCAGCCGTGCTGTATTAATCTCATACAAGAATCGATTTGCTAACTTCTCAGCGGGCCCGCTCCAGGACAACCACAGCAGCAACAGCAACAAGAACAATCCCCACCATGGTATGTTGAAAATGGCCGCTACTATGGGACATACCATCATGGGCGGTATCTGATGCCCGTAGACGAGGTATGAGACAGTCATTACTGCATCGGCATCTTTCTCTTGTGACTGACATCGTTACAGGATGAGCTAGACAGATTGGACATTTTCCACAAATTCTACACCGTCGCCCGCAAAGAAGACGCTTTTGGTGGTCTGCACGAGGCCGTCATTAGCACTAATAATCCACGTGTCCTCGACTTAGGCTGTGGTACAGGCATATGGGCTATCGACATGGCCGAGTATGTTTTGTTTCATTGAATCCGTAATTTCAGTACTAACTCTCGCCACAGCCGATATCGATATGGCAAATTTATCGGCCTTGATTTGAACTTTACACAGCCAGAGAGGTATGTTCCAGTATAATTGGAGCTCGATGCATAGACTAAGTTCAACTTTGAAAAGTATCCCGGCCACGCTTGAATTCAAACGTCAGGACATTGAGGAATCGAACTGGGAGTTGGAGGAGAACTCGTTTGATCTGGTGCACCTGCAGATGCTCGCTGGCAGCATTCAAAACTGGCCAGCTCTGTATCAAAATGCTTTTCGGTAAGAGCCTTATCAAGGGCAACTCGCAACGAGGAATGTACTGATAATCTCTAAAAGGCATCTGAAGCCTGGTGTCGGCCAAATCGAACACGTTGAAATGGACTTTCAACCTTTGAGTGGCGACAATAGCCTGCCCGCAGATTCAAGGCTTCGGATGTGGTACAACGAACTGCGTGCAGCTTACGAGCAAGCTCGGAGACCCATTGCTTTGGAGCCTTCACCAGAGGTATGGCTCAAGCAGGCCGGCTTTGTGGACATTAAACGAAACATCAAAGAGATTCCTTTCCATCCCTGGCCGACGTCTGAGTATCAGAAGGAGGTTGGCAGATGGTTCAACCTTGGGATGGTCCATGGGATAGAGGCGATATCAATGGCTGCAATGACCCGATACAGAGGCTATACCAAGGAGCAAGTGAAGTCGCTTATGCAAGAGGTCAAGAGAGAGATTTGCACTCGAGCATTCAGATCACATTGCACGATGTTAGTAAAATCAACGACTATGCCTCCACCCATATGTTCTCACTCGATTGCTAACCTCGTCAAGGTATATCTACACGGCAAGACGACCTGCGCCAAGCTTTTGATTGTTCTGACAGGGAGGGAGGCCCTACCGCGCTGCATTCAGCCAGCCTACCCCGGGCGCCAACACCCCAGAATTTCGCGCATGCACTTTTCTGGAAAGGAAGGCGGCTATGACAGACTGCTTGCACTTACTTGCGGGTTTATCGCGGCCCTTTGTTCTATTTCGGATTTAGTTGTGACGTGGAGCGGCAAAGTTTCCCGCTCGCCTTGAGCAATGCACGAAATTGCGGGAGTTTCCTTCTTGCTGCCAGCCATTGGCGGGACCGCATTCCGCCACGGCAGCTCACGTCACTTAGGTTATCGCCATTTCTTGGGGGCCATTAACCCTCCACAGCCCGTTGCCAGCAGCTTGTGGCATTTCTTTAAGCTGGAGCTTTCTTCTCAGAGCCGCGCCAGCCAACGTCTTCCCCTTCTTGGGTATCTGGCCTGCTTGGAGTGTCCGCCATCCTGGCTGTTGCCGAGACAAAGATGGCTGGCTCAAAATTGGTCATTTTGAGTTGCAGGAACTGCCCCAGTGTTGACTACAAGAGCAAACACTGTGTCCCTCAGCAATCATTGAATGCATCCAATAGGGGAACCCTCTCGCATTGGAACGCTATCTTCTCACTCATCATCTTATTCGGTATCATCAATCCAGGAAGGATACGAAATCCTTTAGCCCGGCAATGATACGTTGCTCTGATTGAAGATTTGCCTGTGCGCGATGCCATACAACAACGTTTGGCCAATTATTAACCTGGTCAATCGTTTTGAGATCGCATGAGGTCCAAATCGGTATTTCGGCCAAGTTACGGGGCCTCCAAAAGGAACAGGCCACCTGCATATTTTCAAGGCGTCTCAAGTTGCATTAGTTGTCGACTCTTCATTCAATGGTGGTATTCTGGACCAAAATTTCGGGTATAGATGGTTGGGCAGGATGCATTAATTTGCACATCATGGGTTATAGATTTATGGGTCGCTTCAATGTATGTTATCTGTATGTTGTTCCTTCTGGCATGAGTCGTTTTGCTGTACACGACACGTTACGCATGATTATTGCGGTTGCATAGGTGGTCGGCCTGCTGGAGACCGTCATGTTGGCCTTTGGACCTTAGGCATGACCTCTTTCACGCATTCACATTATGGATTACCAGCATAGCAAACAACCATGTTCCTTGCTGCCACGCTTGCACAGTCATCAACAAATATGCAACCTGTCTGTTGGCCTGGATTTATAACCACCTGCCTCCCCCCCACGTATCGACTTGTCCTTCCTCAGGCCAACAGAATTCTTATCGCTCAGCCTGTTCTGAAGCCGTTTTGGCAATATCAGTACGCCACTCAGTCACTCAACCTTATTGTATTTACACAGTATTTATGCGGCCTCCCGAGTGTACCACTTCGAGCTACTGTGCACCAATATGAACGGCGGCACGATTATGATGACCCAGGGATAGATATGCTCTGCACTGCAAAGCAAGTCACACAGCTACTAGTTTGAGAAGACGCAGACAGACGCGTGCCCAGTATTGATTTTGTATGCACTTCGCTCCAAGACCATTGGCACGCTCGCGTTTACCAGTGGCTATGGATCTTCCACACAGGCGAGCCGGTCACTCCACGTTGCCACTGTATAAGCATCACGTCAGATCATTACCCAGCAGCAAGGGCATTTATGCGAGATTGCCTCGACGTAAGAAGATGGTCGCTTTCTTTTTTCTTTTTTCTTTCCCGCCTCTGTCACTCTGTCACTCTTGAAGGACCAGAGACGCCCGTCCACGTCACGCTCCAGGCTTTTGACTTACCCTGCTAATGCAGACTCAGGAAGCCACCCACCTACATTGGAAAGACATGACGACCCCACACGTCCTATTCCAGATTCCCGGGTATATCACCTCCTCTTACTACATGCAGAAAGAGATGACAAGGGCCTGAGCTGCAGTGACAACTGGCAGTCGCATGCTGGAATGGAGTCTGCCTGAATATGGGGTCATGTGCTGTCCTACATCGTCTGGAAGTGTTCTTCTGCAGCTCGGTAAGAATCGGGCTCTCGAGAGGTTGGCGCAACTAATAAATCTGTTCGCGAAATACGTCCACATATTATACATCTGCATGACGGAAGACAAATCGAGCCATTCAGAATGGCCGTAAGAGTTCAGCCAGGGCTAGAGCTGGATGTCGCTACGTATGATTCCTCAGGACTTTGGCGAGCGATTAATGAAAACTGGTTATTTTGCCTAATTAAAAAGAAAGGAATGAAAGAAGAAGAAATATCTCAGTCACTAGGAATCACCCTACGCCTGAAGGTCTGTCATCACCCTTCCATCTCTAGCGACCTCAACTCTCTAATGCATACCCTCCGAGAGTCAGGCTTACCAGAGTTCAACTAGGTCCATGGGTAACTGTTGATTCATCAACCACGGGCCGGTTCACTCAATCGTCCCGGGACGCACGCTGCACGTTGCTGTGACGAAGACCCAAGCGTCAGATGAGTTGTCTCTGCATCTGCATCTGCATCTGCATTTGCGTCTGCATCTGCGCCTGTCTGCGTCTGCGTACGCGCTAAGTGGGCAACCACGGATCCATAGTATTGGACATATCTACTATAGGCTGGGATTTCATTTTAATTATTTTTTTGTTTTTTTATTTTCGCTTTTGTTCTTCTTCCTACTAATTTCGGGTGCGACAACGTGGTTTTTCGTTATAATTTATTAGGGCGACCATGTACAGGGTACATTACACACGCATGATATTGTATGCTTCAAGTCACTCATGGTCTGGGTATGTTATAGCCGCTCTTGTAAAGTTCCTTTTCTTTTCTGCCCCTGAGGCACATACACCAGGGCCGCCCACCACCAACAAACTATGCACGGGTCGTGATGGCAGTTACCATGCCAAACCGACTAACCCCTGAAAGCACCAAGGGCAGAAGATGCAGGCAGAAGGGGGGGGAGCGCGGGAGCGAGAGAGAGAGAAATACAACCCACAGTGCGTAAAACATGGCTCAATGCAACGGCTCTACCCTTTTCCATTGTTCGGCTCGCCAGAACGAATGGGGTCTAATCTTGTTGCACTGGCCCCCTTTTCTTCTTCTTTCCACTCTCTCTCCCTCTCTCTTTTCGGCGTCTCCGTGTTGGCCTTGGGCGCCATATGAGGATCTCCAGGCTCATACGTTTCCCTGAAGGGGTCATGGGAGCGGACGGGGCCCGGACAGATAGGAGAGTCTCGTATGTACGTGCGTACGTGTTGTGTATTTCTTACAGGATCAGTAAGCCTACCGGGGTTGTATTCCTATTTGAGGCTATGTCAAGTCGTTATGCTTGACGTGGTGTAATGTTTACCCTCTATATGGTCATTCCTTCTACCAAGAATCGTTCTTAAAAGTACCTCGAGAGCCTGGCATGCGCCCGCTAGATAATGCCGTCATGGCTTGTCGGCATCCGCCTTGCCTGTCTGGGCTATGGGCTGTTGCACGGTACTGATGGAGCTGTCTGTCCTGGTGATGGTTATGCATGAAAACTTTGCCTCGATGTCCAGGGAACCTGGCGTGAGGCATCGCAGGACCTGCCCGACTAGGGAAAACCGAAGCAGCAAAACCAATAAATCATGGCCACCAATGTTGGCCGAACCTGACTGATGCACACTTGGAACGATGATGAACAACATGCCATGTACTCGAAGGCCTGGAGAGACTTCACTGTACTTTCGGTCAATTACTTGTGATTCACTCCTGACTATCACCCTATGTCATTCAGATATTGTACAGGTACAGGATAACAAAAGGAAAAAGTATCGGGTCCCGCCATGGAGGCAGAGGACTATACAAAGGCGAGTGTCGTCTAGTACTCGCTATCCCTGCACCTTTATAGCAGCCCGCAGCGGACGGAAGACTGCTGTAATTACTGCGAGAGCCTTGTTGTCGGTCGTCTAATATCCGGAAGCAAAGCAGGCTCTCCTGACCTGCTCCCATTGTTGCGTGCATGCATGGATCAATCGGCTCATTTCACCAATTCGTGTCTATCCCATCTCCCTGCCGTTTGAAAGCGATGTGAAAAGGCCGGGAAACGCGTCTATTTGTTTCGTGTTCATTCGTCTCACTGCTAGATGTGGATCTGGATCTAGATCTAGTGGTGGGAGGCAGTCTCGCCGTGGTAGCCAATGACCTTGAAACGGCCAAGCATCTCGCCAACGGTGAAGAAACCGAGACACTCGGCGGCGACAACACCACCAGCGATGACCTGGGCGCGGTTGACGTTTCGGACGCGCTCGATGATGGAGGCGGGTTGCTGGGCAGCCTTGTTGGCGGTCTGAGAGGCGGTCTGGATGAGGGAGCTGGGGTTGAGCAGCTGCTGGTAGGCGTTCTGCCAGTAGCTCTGGAAAGTCTGCACTGATCTACATGCCGAATATATATGAGTACCATGTCTCGGGACGACGAGCATGATGGGGTTGTGTGGCATTAACTTACGGGGGAGACATCTTCTGGCCGCGGAAGACGATCTTGCCGAGCTCTGCGCCGACCTTGCCGTAGTAGATGACGTGAGGAACTTGCCCTGGAATGTGTGTCAGTCTCTTGCTCTGTAGTCTTGGGTGGTTCGAGATGGCGGAGTCGCAGAGGCGGGGGGGTCTCATATGTGCGGCTTTCCGAGATGATGACCGAATGCATGAATTGACGTACTCTCGACAAAGTTGATCAACCTTCCTGTGCGGCCACCGATCTTGCTCAGGGAGTTGGCGACGCCCTTGGCAGCACCGGAGATGGCGGGGCCAGCGGAGGAGGTGACCTTGGAGAGGCCTTGCTGAGCCTTGGACGCGTACTCGGAAGCAGAACCTTGAGCCTTGGAAGCAGTCTCCTTGGCAGCCTCAGTGGCCTTTGCTGTCGTGCTCGACTCGAACCTGCGGGCAGCCATTCGCAGGGCCCCGGACTGGCGGAGGACCGGGCGCGTGAGGGCCTGGGACGACATGGTGCTTAGGGTGTGGGATGGAGGAGAGGGCTCGCAGACTGGGAGTTGACGATGTCTGGGTGGGCGGATCGGCTGATGAACGGCGGATCAAGATAGTCGTCGTCGGGTGATGGGATTCGGGTTCGATTGAGAAGCTTCAATTGAAATGCGGTAAAAAGTTGACAGCTTCCGGGATTTCATCTGGTACGGAATCCACATTGATATGATTGGCCAATCAAAAGCTCTGAGTCGCCCCGACAAGAAAAAGGAAAAGGAAGAGCAAAACAAAACAAAAAAAAGAAATACAAAAGAAAGGGAACGTCGGTCTGGTTCGCTCTCTCACATGTGACCAACTGCCAGCAATTAACTTACTCCGTGCAGTGTGCAAATTTCGAGGTCATGGCTCTGTTGTCGTAGCATACATATACCATCACGACCATCGTCAAATTTTGACAATATTTGTAACCAGGTGGATATTCTACTCGATTGGCTTTCAATGCGCCCTTTAGTTCCGCACTTCACACGATACGATAGATACAAAATGCTTGCTTTCGCATCAACAACCACAACCAACACCGAGGTTCTCTGCAAAATCAAAAACAGCCGGCCATGGACAGTTCCTTATTCGCGGCGACGCTCGTCCCTCGTGCAAGATACCGAATGTGCACACCAGTAAGCTTACTATATACAGGCTTCTCTCTTGGGTAGCCATCATTTGTCAACTTGCCCCCATAGTCTCCTTTCTTCCTCTCTAATCCAAGCTCTGGATCTGAACCTTGATGGCGCCGGTCTTGGGGTCGGCCGCCGTCTTGAAAGCGTCCAGTGCATCCTCCAACTTGTAGCGATGAGTCACTAGTCTCTCGAGTTTGATCACACCGGCCTGCACCAGACGGATAGCCCGCGGCCACGTGTTGCAGTATCGGTATTGGAACTGCAGGTCCACCTCGCGCGTGCTACATCTCATGAACGGGAAGCTGAGCTCGTTCTTGCCGACGCCAATCACAAACACCCTGCCTCCGAACTTGACCGCCCAGATGGCTGCTGCGAGACTGCTCTCAACTCCTGTGCACTCTAGAACTACAGTGGGCTCTATCCCACCAAAAGACTTGATGATTGCCTTTGCGGAGTCCTCGGGGCTCGCCCGTTCGACCTTGTGGGTGATGACCGAAGGCACCAGTTCTTTGGCGAAGTTCAGCCGACCCTCATCGATGTCTGTGATGACCAACGGGCATGCTCCGGCAGCCTTGGCGCAAAGCAGGGTGATGAGTCCGATGGGTCCCGCACCGCAGATCAGTACCGGGTCTCCCAGCTCAACCTTTGCTCGTTGCATGCCTGCCAAAGCGACGCTGAGCGGCTCAAGCATCGAACCATTTTCGTATGACATGTCTCCAATCTTGTGGCACCACACCGCAGGGTGGTTCACGTATCTCCTCAACAAACCCGGCACCGGAGGTGTCGACAGAAACAGCACCGTCTCACACCCGTTGTATCGGCCAGTCAAGCATGGCTCGCAGTGACCGCAGGGAATGTTCGGCTCGATCGCAACTCGGTCTCCGACCTTGAGGTGTGTTACTGAGGGGTGAACAGCAATGACTTGCCCGGCAGATTCGTGACCCAGGATGTGATCGCCTTCCACGATCATGGGACCAATGCAGCCGGCGTGCCAGAAGTGAACATCAGAGCTACACATGATGGTCAGTGGGACGAAGCCATAGTTGAGGGGGGGTTCTGCGCCAATGCCTACCCGCAAATACCGGTGCTCTTGATGGCCACAGTGACCTCGCCATGCTTTAATGAACCCCCCTTCTGCACATCCTCGACAGTCGGCTCGGCCTCGGTGATCCAGAGGTCGTGGGCAGGGTTGGTATAGACACCAATGTTTGCCTTTGACGGCTTGATGTCGAGCTGCGCGGGGGCAGGGTCGACCGCGGATGGGCTCATCTTGGCTGCGATGACTTCTGGATAGCACACAAGTTCTTGCTCACACGGGTCAATTGGGGTATTGGAGAAGACGAGGAGGAATGTTTACAAATGCGCGGCGAAACACTGCTCTGGAAATGAGGGGCATTTGCCGATTATACCTGAAGTTTGTCGTCGAGTTAGCCGCCAAACTGGGCCGAATTCCACATTTCGTAATGCTGTCACGAGTTCGGGACATTGCTACCAAATCGCTCCCTTCTATTTACCGAAAGCAGCGACGCGAGTTCACTCGTCTATCATTATCTCTGGAGCCGGTTGTGAGGGGCAGTATGCGTAACTCACTGCTTAGAATTTTCGGGGACACGACGTTCGGCAGCTTTACCCCCGATTGTCCCACCAATCCTCGCGTGTTGCGCACCAATCATCAGGTAGCTCCCACGCATTCCCCCGCGATTACGGGGATGGTCCAGGCGGCTTGCGCGCCGTTACTCTGACCACCGCCTCGTCCACTAAAAACTCAGCCATCTTTAATCATTGTCCTACATCTGAGGTGGTGGTTTGCGCACGTGGTAACCAAGCAGTGCGTCGGGTGGCGGCGCTCGACTGATAGGAGAAAATCCGTCGTATCGAGCCTTGCAAACAAACCCACGAATAAGATGAAGCCATGACAGCTGCCATCTTTATACTCCCGAAGGGGGAAGGGGGAAGGGGCTCTCTTGCACACCGGGCTCAACTCTGTCAGACATGGGAGTTTTCCAGCCCTGAAGCTATTATCCTCCGCACTAAAGTATATTCTGTGACTCCCAGCCGGTCCGACAAAGAACAATCTTTCTACCTACTGAGCCTAGACGTTGTGTCTGCAGCATGGCCCACAGTAAGCACCACAGCTCCCCGCAAATCTACTGTGGAGGTAAGCCCTGTAGCATCTCTTTGGCGCGCCTATTTGCCTCCACCTATAACTACATGTACTACCCTTAGTGGCACCAACACTTCCCTGCCCGATGTCGCCGACCACGCTGATTTCTCGACGCGGATAGCGAAACATGTTGTTTGTGGAAACATCGTCACCCTTGACGGCTCCTTTGACCTGACCGCTGTATGTGGCCAGCCCTCATGCGCTTACTAGCCGGGTTGAAAACATTTGCAGGCCGCATGGAGCCAGTGCAGGGGCTCTGGATCGGGATACTTATCACAGCGTTGCTCATATATCTTGTCAACAGTTTGGAGCGCTCGATTGACATGAGCTGTGTCAGTAAACGCAGATCAGCAGAGTAGCTTATCCACTTGTTGCTCTTCGAGCAAGACCCTGCATGAATGAATCCCAATATGACCGCGTATGGTTCTAAATGTACGGTTGGGTCAATTCGATATACAACAATGCCGTATGAAGAACACAAGGAGAAGAAGTTTAGTGCTATACATGGAGAATATGCAAAGCTCCGTTCTTGGGCGTTGACAATCATCATCCCGGGACTCTCCACCATGTGCACACAAAGCCTAGGTGATCAGTATAGCACAAGCTCGATAATTGCGATTATAGCATGCACAGCAATTCGTGACAAGAAAGAAAATCGTCATTACTGCAAGGATCATATCGAGAGGGCATTGTTTACACCCAATCAACAATTCCATTCTTAGAACAACCTCTTTGTCTTGATGCGCATGACTAGTGGTGTAGAAGGCCAGGAGATGGTATATATGTGACACCACTGGTGCAAAAGAGGGTTGAGAACTTCGCCCGACTACACATCGAAAGAAAGAAAGAAAGAAAGAAGAAGAAAAAAGCAAGATGATTCCGTTCCGTCTGGTCTGCGATGGATGCAGCCATCCGCTCGTGCATGACATAACTCGCGATAGTCTCGTCATCCGGCTCTTGGAAGAGCTGAACAGCTACGCGTTCCTGGGGAGCCAAGCGGCTGTCCGAACCCAGTACGTAGGCACATGTACCAACTGCCAGCGCGGCAGTGCCCCGACTCCAGCGTTGAGTCGTGACCAGGCCAGGTTCTCGCAGTGGCTCGGTTCCTTCGCCCAGAAGCCACTGCCAGCAGGGGCCAGCCATGACGCGGCGCGAGCGCGCTTCCATGCGGAGCTCTTGTTCGAAATCGCGGCATTCGCCGGCCGTTGTTCGACCATGCTGGTCGAGTCCGCCGACGGGACGGACATCAAGCCAGGGCTCGTGAGGCCAGGTGACCGGTCCGCCTGCAGGCGCCTCGCCTTTGCGGCCTGCCGCGTGCTCGGCAAGACCGTCGTGGTGCGCTTGGCAATGGTGCTGCAGTCGGTCTACAAAGAGAGGGTCATGATCCTCGTCGCCAACTCGGAGGATTACTCCCAGGCGAGGAACAGACTGCCTTGGAGCCGGCGGTGCAAATATGACAGGTACAGGTACTACGAGCCAAAATTCACTGCGCCGGAAGCAGACGTTTTCTGCGTGATCTCTCATCAAATCAGAGACATGATGGAGCTGGAAGAAGAGAAGGCGCGCTTCATGTTGAAGCTAGAATGGCACAAATGTGACCTGGCTGCCCAGTGGGAAGAGTTCCAGAAGTTAGACCTCGATCTTGCAGCTTTACTCAAGTGTGGCGGGAAAGAGATCGATGCCCACAAGATTCGAAGAGCCTGCTCTGAGCTGATACGAGAATTGCCGATTGGTAACCTGAAGTCAGTTGAGAAGTCGGGGTGGGAGCCGCCTCCGCATGAAGATTTGAAGAGGATCAGCGCATCCATGCTCGAAATCACGAACCTTTGCCGCTCCGAATGCGTCGTTGCCCTGGTGAAAGCTACCGAGGCTATATGGGCCAAACAGGACTTGGGAGAGGTAGCAAGCATCCTACCTGAGGTTCGGACCGTTGCACATCAGATGTACGAAAAAGGTGTGTCGTTGGCCGGGCTGATACAAGATGCCAGAAGCGCTCAGCTGGTTGCAGACATCGCAAATGCAGGTTGACGAACTCTCATGGCCGAGTGATTCAAGCGCATCGTAACGAAAGGATCTTTGCTTGCATCAGCCTAAGCATGACATAAAAAACTTGGTAGGTTTCTAGTCTTCAAGCTTCTGTATTCTACGATCTAACCCGTGTTTTGTCCTGCGCACAATAACGGCCTTGAACGCTCCTCCTAGATACCAAGGACCTTTCTCCAAACTTGTCCCTTCTTGCTTCTTGAAGTTGTCAAGACTCATTGTGCTCCCAACGATCACAAAGTCCACACTCATTCCAGTAGCCAGAACGTTATCAACCCCAGCCCTTCCAACTGTATGCAGCATATATGAAACATCCATCCGGGATGTATCCGTAATAGGCAATTTTCTATCTAGAAGTGTTTCTGACTCCTATAATCTGAGTGTAAAATGCTCAACTGTCCTGTTCATGTGTGTGGCGCTTATGAGTTTTGACGATGGATGTCCGTCAGATTGCCGCAAGCACTTGTATAATTGCCCATACATAGTCCGGCGTGACTTTAAACTGGACGAGAGGACCCAGATTGTATATGATGCGCATCGGCGCCGGTGCTACACTACCAGTGGCTTGAGCCGTGATGAAGTGGCCAGAGCTTGCGATCGAATCTTCGCCCACGATGGTTTCCTCGTTTACGGTGGTGTCGCTCACATTTGTGTGACCACATCTGATTATAGGCCCCTTGAATCGTTGCCGTGCTTTAAGGTCATTGTATCTATAAGCCGTACGGCCTGCCTATCGGATTAGCAGACCTAACATGCACCGAATCATGATTCAATTTGAAGTGAACAAAAGTTTGGGACATGACTCATGAGAAATAGAAGAGCAGCTGAGATAAAGTTCGATTCAGTACTGACTATCTCTGCGAACAAAGAGAAGTAAGTTAGAAAGCCGCCGACAATGTAAGTGTTTTTATTTTATTTTAAATTAGGCCTGGAGAGCGTTACATTATCTACTCTGAGTATGTTATGGTTCCCTACCCCTTGGTACCTTCTCATGCTTGTCATAGAGCGCTTCTCGAAGTCACTTGCTCGTGACTACTGCAAAATATCGACGCCGATGCTCGACCAGTACCGGCATCTTGCCAGTAAATCTGCATCCACGGTCTCCATTTCTGTCTTGCCTGCCGTCTGGAACACGAGTCTTTCCTCGCTCCTCACGTTCCACGGCACCCATTCCGCAGAGTCAGGGTAGCGATACGTATTAGGATTAAAGCTCCTTATAAAGCTAGTCCAGTAACCTTGGACAACTGGGACTACTCCCGCATTTGTTCCGTTCGGCCAGTAACTCGCCGGTGGATTGGAAGCCACGTTGTCCGGGCCCCAAACAGCATTCGCCTCAACCGTGTGCGGAACACCATACCCCTGTGCCATCTGGGTGGGATCTTCGACGTTGTAGCGGTAGGCCCAAGATTGTGGTACGCCGTATTTTGTAAACGCAGTCGAGAGGAATAGACCAGGACACATATAACGCATTTCGCCATACGCGTCGCTGAGCTGACGCCAGTAGCAACCGCTGTTTGGGCAGGTCTGGTTATGATTTGGATAGAACTCATCGATCTGCCCGAGCTGCTCAAGCGTCAGGCGCGGGAACTGGTTGCGCAACCACATATTACTCTGTGCAAGTGTTGAAGTATTGCTGGGTGCAAAAACTGTCCCTCCGTTGGTATCGTCACCAAAGATGACCGGAACCTTGACAAATTTTCCCGAGTCAAACGCCCTATATGTGTAGTCAGAGAGCAGGTCGTTGTCGATAACAGGATTCCACATATACAAAGGAGATGCACTACCTCCAGGATAGGGCAGGTTGTAGTTCTCGGCCTGTAATTCGACGGCAGACTTGGAGCGAAGGCAGTCTAATGAGTTGGGTCCAACACAACCAAGGCGGATTGCGAAGTTATCATATTGATATTTTGATTCGTTGACTGTAAGAACCGTGGCAAAAGACACCGATTCGGCGGCCGCTGCATGAAACAGCCCAAAGTCCTTGCCTCCGTAGGCGGTCATCTGGAGGCTGATACTTGCGGCACCCGCCGACTCTCCGCCAAGGACAACATGGCCGGAATCTCCGCCGAACTTTGATATCCATTTCTGAACCCAGTCGAGTGCCTTCCTCTGATCTCGCAGGCCATTGTTGGCTCTGATTGCAGTCCCATCTGTGATGAAGCCATATGGCCCAACGCGGTAGTTTATGCTGACAACCACGATCGAATAGTTGCTGGCAGCAATCAGGCCACGTCCATCAACGTCGGGGTTGCTGTTAGTATTAAAACCTCCTCCCTGAATATGGAAGAACACGGGCAGCTTTGAATGGGCTGTTGCGTTTGTAGGCGCATAAACATCAAGAAAAAGACAATCCTCCGATGTCTTGTTTGTAGCAGGGTCCTCACCCGTACCAAGGCAATGTTTCCCATGCTATACAAGTTTAGTTCTTGACCAAGGTGTTTGCCACATGGTCTTACCGTGTTGGCTGGTTGGATATGGTTGGCACATGGTGGATCGGCTGGAGGACTGAATCTTAATGCTTCAAGCGGAGGTGCGGCATACCGTAGCCCGAGCCATTGTGTGATACCGTAGGAAGTAGGGACGCCAATATAGTGATTGCAATCAAGATGGACAGTGGGCAGGACCGCACTAGCAATAGCTATGAGGTAGCCGTAGATGATAGAGTTGAGCAGACGCATCATAGAGCCACGGGAGATGACTACGATTTGCGAAGAACGACACACACAAATGAACTCCGCGGCATGAACGCCAGCCCATGAAGATTGGGTATTTATACTTCACGTACTGGCGCTAGACTAGTAGTTGTCCCGGGTTCATTCATCGTGAGGAGTCCATAGATGCGTAACCACATCACATCCCGATTTGATTGTCATATCGTGACTGAACAGGGCTGCCGTTGATAGGCTGAAATGGAGCGAAGCACTAAGATGGGGTCTGCAAACTTGCATACTATTGTATGCAGCCCACTGGGTTAGGCAGTGCATATATTGCAGACATGTTGCAACCGGCAGTGGTGATGTGTTGGCGACCTGGTATGAGAAGCACTTGCTCGCTGCATGGCAGTGGGCATTTCCGCCAGAACACATCTGCTGGGAGGACGGAGCCATTTCGATTCGATCCTATAGTAGGCTCGCCGCAATGTCCATATCGTGACGATAACATGGAAGCACAAACCTGGCACTCCGCGGGCGAGCAGGACATTGTGTCTGGCCGCGGGGCTGTCTTGTAATAAGCGATGGAGAAGCAGTACTTCCGTCTCCTATATGAACTCCAAGTGGATAGTTACTAAACAACGTATTACCCCGCGAACTCGGAGAGAGTAAGCGAGAATCGGCAGTGAGAGGCATGTCGCTGATGGCACATGGGTTGTGGGTGCCGCATGACTCGTGACCTACGGCCGAAATTCACCGCACTACACTACAATCCAGATGAAATATGTATCCCGGTCTATAAAACGGACGGAGCAAGGTAACCAGGGAGAAGACAGACCAACAAAAGAAGAGGAAAAGGAAAGGAAAGGAAAGGAAAAGAGTATACATGTAGCCAAATGCAAAAGGTATGTTGTGGAAGAGATGACCATATGTAGAACCATATGTAGAAGCAATCTTGATCTCAAATGTGAAATGTGTAGCCATGCTGTTATGTTTACCGGCATTGAGATGGATTCATCACGGGTCGGTTACGGCGGTTTGTGGTGCCAAGAGACCAACGCACCGAGAATAGTGCTTTCCAAATAGCCCGCTGTAAGTCGCTCCTGACACTTGCCTCATGTGAAAGCGGCTGCCTACGGAGCCGTACATTTACATTCTGCATTACGCATTTTGCTTTGCAGTACAAGACCCAGAAAGGGAACCCCACACACTGAAAATCAGGGGTGCTGATTGAACGCTAAATGCAAGTAATCCAATTGGCTACCCAGCGCTCTGGCAGCACTGCACTGTACTGCTAACGAACCTAATCTACCCTTAGGGTAACCTAGGTTAGTGTACTTACTGCACAGCCTTGCGCCCCGTGTCCCTTCTCCGTCTCCTTCTGTGCAGCCGAGTTGGCAAAAGGTACGGGAAAATGCCGTCGGACTCTTCATAACCACTCCTCGCCCGTTTGCTTCCTCTGATACAAAATCTTGGGTCGTCAGAGTCCTGTAGTTGTTGTTGTGTCCCGGTGACATGGAATAACACACATTCGTTACACGCCGCCCTCCTTTCCCCCCCCAAAGACGCCCATCGCCCATCGCCCATCGCCCGCCGCAATGGGCGCGCTCTCCTTCCTCGGGAGCGTCTACGACCTCGACACCCTCGACACCCGCTTCACGAACTCGTCCACGACTCCCTACAAGACGGTGATAGAATCCCGCGGTGATCCCACGGCCAGCAAAGAGCGAGCTGCGAGGTTCAGTGGCAAAGCACAACCCTCCAAGTGGAGAACCCCCGAGTACTTCTTATACTACCTCGTCTGCATCGTGTGCGTGCCGCTTATGTTCTGGACCGCTTATACTGCATCGCGCCCTTCCTCCAACCCCCAGTACAGAAAGTTTGAGCGCTACCTTTCTCCCGGCTGGATACCAGGTCGTAACATCGTATGCTATCACCGTCCTATGCCCTCCAGCTACAGCCAGAGCCCCCTGCCCCTATTTTAACCGCTTCTGCAGGATATCTCAGATAATCAGTACCATACATTCCGCAAGAATGCTCCCTACATGGGCGCACTCCTGGTCTTTCACCCGCTTCTGCGACGCCTGTACAATGCTGTTCTACACCCGATTGCCTCGCGAGCGAGCACGACACGGCCCACATTAGAAGAGGCCGACCGTAGACTGAACCAGCGAACATCTTTCGACTTTGCTTTCGCCATCATATTCCTTCTTGCCCTTCATGGCATTTCCGCCTTCAAGATTCTCGCTATCCTCTATATCAACTACCAGATTGCCACAACCGTGCCGCGAAAATCTATACCCCTTGCGACATGGGCCTTCAACATAGGCACCTTGTTTGCCAACGAGCTGTTCTCCGGATATAGACTGGCACAACTCGCTGCTTTCATCGTCCATCCAGAGGGAAGAGGCCGCGTCGCCCCACAGTCGAATCTCGTCGAATGGGGCGTCTGGCTCGACAGTTATGGTGGTATCATGACCCGCTGGGAGATTCTTTTCAACATCACCGTGCTCCGACTGATCAGCTTCAACTTGGATTATTACTGGAGCCTGGACAGGCGTAGCTACAGTCCAGTGGAGGTGCGCTACCAACTAACCTTGCTCCCCTTTGCCCGAGATTCATGCACTGATACCCTTAAGAAGAAACAAATCGATCCTGCCGCCTTGAGCGAACGAGACCGTGTCTCCATACCTGCCCAATCCAAAGACTTCAGCTTCCGTAACTACATTGCCTATGCGATATACGCCCCGTTGTACCTGACTGGCCCTATCCTCACTTTCAACGACTACATCTCGCAGCAGCGCTACAGACCTGCCACCATTGAGACGGCTCGCACTATTCGCTATGGTGTCCGTTTTGCCCTGGCACTGCTCGCTATGGAGGTTATGCTGCACTACAACTATATACAGGCCATCTCCAAAGCGAATCCGACATGGGGCGAGTACACAGCTGCCCAGCTGAGTCTGCTCAGCTTCTTGAATTTGCACCTTATATGGCTTAAACTGCTCCTGCCCTGGCGGTTGTTCCGACTCTGGTCCCTCATCGACGGTATAGACCCGCCCGAAAACATGTTGCGCTGCGTTAGCAACAACTACTCGACGCTTGCCTTTTGGAGATCGTGGCATAGGTCATACAACCGTTGGTTGACGCGATACATCTATATTCCCTTGGGCGGGTCTAGTTTTGCAAATCCAAAGGCCGCCGCGAGGTCCATACTGAACTATGTCATGACCTTCACCTTCGTGGCCATGTGGCATGATATTCAGCTGCGCTTGCTCATCTGGGGCTGGCTGGTCGTACTGTTCATGCTGCCCGAAATGACGGCGCGTGCTCTGTTTCCGGCCAGGAAATGGGAGAACCGGCCTACCGCCTACAGGTTGATATGTGGTATCGGTGGATGTGCCAATGATCTCATGATGACCATGGCCAACCTCGTTGGCTTTGCTGTGGGGTTGGATGGGCTGCAGGATATTATCACAAGTATTTTCAGGGACGTGTCCGGTGAGTTCTATGTGAAAGGCCCCATGCCTTCATGGCATCGCATGCTGACTTCTATCGATTAGGTTTCACGTTCCTCATCGTCGCTTGCACTGCCATTTTCGTTGCTGTTCAGATCATGTTCGAAATCAGGGAGTCGGAAATGAGGAGAGGCATATCGCTCAAGTGTTGAGTCGTTGTCGCTGTTGCTGTTGCTGTTGCTGTACATATATATTGCTGCATGAGAGAGGCGTTTTGATAGCATGGTAAACTTCATTAGTCTTCAGCTGTATTCGTACAATGTTTCATCAGGACGCAGTCTCACATCGTAGCCTTCCGATTGTGAAGTGGTACATATATTTCTGACCCCAGCCAACCACGCGGCTCTAATTAATGATGCTATCAAATACAATGTTTCATGCAATGGGGTATCCGTGTCTAGTAACAGAAGAACCGCCCCCGACTGTACGCCCCGGATCGAGCGGTAATAGAGTGGGTATATAGATGCCAAAATAACCGATAAACCGACTTTTTGACTTCAATCATGAGTAGACATTTTGTGGTCAACCCTCGCAAAATCCAGACAGACAAAGTCCACCTGCCTCATTACTCATCACCCTCCCCCAAATAGTATATTAGGCGCTCCTGAAATCATGCTCTGGAGAGACGCAATTTCCCCCTTGGTCCATCCATCTCATCATGCCCTCGGGCTTCCTTTGTGGAGTTCGCGACTCGACGCGAGCTCGACATCCTGCTCGTCGCGCCAGCTGCTTGTAGAATCACTGCCGGCGTTCCTTCCGCCGTGCGCGTACTTGCCCTCCATACCCAGCTTCTGCTCCGTCAGCCACTTCCTCGTCCAGGTGGCGCCCTTGACCAGGGCAAAGATAATGACGATGGCGATGGCGATGCCGAAGACGTAGGCAGCCACCAGCCCGTGCTGCATCACCGTCGGGTCCAGGAAGCTGTAGACGTAGAAGCCCTTGGTGACGCGCGTGACGTAGGCGAGGGCGAGGTACAGGGCGAGCACGACGATGAGCCAGAGGATGTGGATCCAGGGCGCCGGGTTCGTGCGCGTCAGGAAGAGCTCGAAGAGGGCGAAGAAGGAGTTGAAGCCGTGCTCGGACAGGTTGCTCCAGGCGGCATACCGGGTCGGGAACCAGGCGCTGCCGTAGGTGTACAGGATGCCCCAGTATACGATGGTCACGAGGAAAGGGTAGGTCGTGATGGTGCTATAATAGAAGGCGTGGAGGGCCTGCAGCGGGCGGGGGAACTTGTCGAGGAGCGCGACATTCCAGCGCGCGTAGGTGAAGGTGTGGATCGCGGCGAAGACCATGTAGAAGGCGATGCCCCAGTATGTCAACACGGTGAAATACGAGAAACTCGCGGCGGAGGCCTGGCATGCATATGCCGAACCCGCGGCTGGGTGCGTACACTGGTAGCCAATCGTAAAGAACAGAGTCGTCAGGGCATATACAGCCTATCAGTCGAGAGTATTGTTAGCGATAGGGCTACACACAAGGAATTTGGCACAAAGACTGCGCTCTGTGAACATCCGATCTCGAGTCCGCGAATCAGTGGCAATGAGGAAGGCGTCGCAGAGGGAATCGGACGAAAGAACATACAAATAACGCCCTGCAAGCGAATAAAACATATGGCGATAACAACCACGATGTCTCGAACCGATGTGACGGATCCCAGAGATCTTCACCGAATTTGAATGCCTTCACCATCTTTTCTGCAACCATGGTAGGTAGTCCAAACCCGTCCCCCAAACCTGCTTCGATGCTTTCAGCTGATCGTGTGACCCCAAATGGTGGCCGTCACTGGAGACGGGGTCGAAGTAGTCGCAAACACGAAATACGATCCCCTTCAACACCTCAATCGAGTCCTGGTGTCCGCTGAACTCAGATAGTGCGATCGAGAAGCCGTCGGGAGGGAAAACCCAATTGTTTGGTGCTTGGCAAAAGTGGAATATAAAAGAGACGGACAGAGGGAACTAAGATGTAGTAAGGGATTCCAATCAGCTGGGATGGTCATTTACTAGACTAGTGGGCATAGACTAGTTGTGTACCTCGGGCTGCCCTTGACTTTGAACTTAAAAGGCCTGAGCTGAATCTGATCGTATGAAAAATGGGTCGGTAATCCCAAGGGGCCACGGTATGTAAGGTTTTCTCACGCTGATATGTAGTGAGAGTGGGTGATGTTCTGAGTATTGCAATCGCCAACGGCCGCTGTGGCTGGTGGTCGGGAAGGAGTCGTCTGCGCCAGCGATCTGCCTCTGACTTTCTCACTGCCGCAATCCCGCAGACTCTTGATGAAGAGAGAGTACAGTACATCCAGCAGTACCTGTGCCACACACATGGAGGACGAATCCCCTCCCTTCGGCGTGTTCAGCATGTTTGTGGGTTAGCCTGAGACAAGCTTACCCCACCCAACAGGCCTTTTCCAAAATAGCAGACCCTGGGTCCCGGCACTGTTGGCAGGTAAGGCTAGCGCGCAGTGTTCGGATCATGTGGTGAACCCTTTGCGAGGTGCCAGATCTCGGGTTTACAAGTGTCTCCAGTATTTCCCTCTCGTTCAGGTGTAGCTCAACGGTGAACTACTCCGTAATGAAGAAACTGCTTATTTACGAGCGAGTGCTTCATTCTCGGACAAGCTATCACAATCGTCTGTCAGACTCCCGATGAGAAGGAATTTCTCTTCGACATGGCAGACTGCGTGTGATGCGCATTGTTTTCTGAGAAGAATCACGGTGCACAAGCTCTTTTCTGACTTTCAGCCTCGAAATCAAGCATTGCGATTGACTGGATTCTAGAGGCCAAACATTCGGAGAGGGTTGTATTCCTGCAATACCTAGGGTCGGACGCAGGCATGAAGCTCCCATAGGGCGGGGACACGGACAAGTTTGGGGATTTTCGCCGAAAATCCTGCCATGGCTCGGCTACAATACAATATTCGGATAGGAGTAGTCGCCTCAAACACAAAAACAAGACCATGTCCAACACGTTGTGTCTGAGGAGTCTCCTTTGGACCTCGTCATAACAAGTTCCCAAAATCGTGCATGGCATGGTCGGAGTGGCATATCTGACTTGAAGTCCAGCGCCGACTACAACGGTAACAGATCTGGCTCGGCAAGCAATATAAGTCCCAAGATCCGCTTCAAGGCTGAACCGACAGCGAGGCACAAGGTTCTCAAGTTGGAGAGACGACTGTCTTCGTTGAACACATGTCAAGAATCTAAGGTCAGACATTTGGGGCTGGAAACCTTCCGCCCGCCAACCACGTGCAGCCTACCTGCCTATGCATGTGGCCTAATTGTATGTTCTAGCGCTGATAACATGGCCCCAGCTGTGGCGTAAGGCAGAGAACATCATAGTCGGCACCCAGGCGGCACTGTCTCCTACAGACAGGAGAGAGCCGAGTTTTGTCATAAAAAAACCCCCCCCGGGATGAGTGTGGGATATTGATGGGATTAGTTTTGACCGACAGCAAAAACCGAGGTGGGGCAGGTATCGTCATCAGCACCTGCTGCCAGCGGTGTGCTCGACGAGGCAATTATAAATGATCATTGACTTACACCCATAAAGCAAGTGCTCAACGACCTAGTTTAGCATATGATGCATTGCCTAGATGTGACAAAGCGTTATTTTCAATGATTTCGACATGAAAGGAGGAGCGCAGGGTCACGTATAAAATACCTTTGACAATGAGCTGATGGTCTACTCATATTCTGGAATCCTTTTCGGCCATTTATGTCGCTGGCGGCTCGATCGAACCGGACCAAACGATTTATATAATACCCCAATTTTGCATGGTCAGCAATATTTGCTGCGTGCTTGACGACACAAAGAACGCAGACCACCAATAGTACAGCGGATGTGGTAGTCGCATGATACTACGCCGCAGCTTCATATCGCTTGTCGAACTATTGAATGCAAGGGACGTCACTTGCAATCCACTTGCAGACGCGTTTCTATTAAACGTTGTCCGTCGAAAACTGCGAGTGTGACATCGTTTAGGCATGCTCCACCATAAAGGAACAATACTGGAGACGCATTTGAACATCTGACAGCTGATGCTGGAATTAGTTGCCGAATAGTGTGCCATAGTCCCGTGGATATCGTGGTTCATGGTTGCCCATTTCTAATAGCGTTGCGACCAGAAAGATTGCAGAAGACAATAGAACATAACTTGCGGAACTATTTTCGTCTTGGCCAAGATACGACATTGCAAGCTGCGAAGATAGGGTACGGTAGTCGAGTTTTGAGCCTATCTGCGTGAGCCTCACGACACCATACTGTGATTAAGAACATGGGGGACAACGGTCAAGGCTGGTCCGGCTAATGGCGTTGTCGCTGCGAGCCGAACGATCGACAGTCTCTCCCTACGAAGGTCCGTGTGATGCCTGTAGTAGTAATAACGCTGGATGTTCGTTATTTATTAAATGTTAAACTGTTCATTCTGATATTTATTAAACGTAGAGCAGCGGTGGAGACTCTCCGAGCCAATTTTTATTTACTTGCGTATAAAATCCAAATAGAAAAATTCAAAGTCTTGATGGGGTTCCAAGCAGGGTCCAATTTGAAATGATCTCGGTTACAAGTCTAGAAAAGGAGACACACTTAACGCAACCACTCGGTACAGATGAAGGATTGTCTTCGGTACGGATCATCGGGGAACTTGGTGGCAGCGGACAGGTTTATTCATGACGATATGTCGGCCGATGACAAGATTTTCATCTGAGCGCAGGGTCCGTTATTGTCCGTTGTTGTCTGTGTAATTCTCTCCTATGAAGTAAAATGGCAAGCTGCGACAGGGGATTTAATTACTCTGCGGGGGCATTTTCAGTTAGTCGGGCAAGTCGACCATCGGTTGATTGACTAGCCTGACCCCCTGCAATTCGTAAGATCGTGGTTCAGTGGTTTGCACTATTGTCCCAACCTACTATGGTACCTGGAATTGTGTTCAGGGCAGACTGGTCTAGACTTGTCCTCGACTGTCCTGTCGGGGGTGAGAAGGAGGTGACGAATGTCTCGAAAGTCCTCCAAGTCGCGCAAACACAAACATGCGGACTTCGTAAGGCAATGCCTTGGAAGGCGTTTCCGGGTTTTACTCGATTCACTATGTACAAGGTCGAGCAGAGGATGCTCGTACTGCATGCAGGTTACATCGATTCGTCAGTTCATTGATGAGTGATCCATTCCACCATTTGACACACCCACCGAAAGCGCTACATATCCCAGCTATCCCAGCTTGCCCATTTTGCCCACTGCAGGCGTTCTAAAATCAGCAGACGGGCTGATGCGGTTGGTGGAGCCTGGTGGGCTCCAGGCCACTGACCAGCTGCAAGCTTGTGCAGGTTCTAGCGTCTTCAACAGGGTTACACGTTAAGTTATCGGCAAACCACGACAGGGACCACTTGGGCGCTGCAGGTTGCTCGACTCGTCCCGAAAAGGACAAAGTCTCGTTCTTGGGCCTCCTGCGGCGTTCGTTTCTGCAATGTCGAGATGGACGCGAACGATAGCGTCGTCTAATCCCAGGGGGTGCTCGTGGGAACTCTCTACGTTAGGTATCTCTCCTTGTCGTCAAGCAGGAGGCGAGAGGCTCAGCTGACTCTCGTTGCACCCATTGCTCACCACGTGAATCAAACGCTTACGGTGTAACTTTCTGCCAAGGGCTAAACCAACAACACCTTTCTATCGTCTTGTCACATTCTTGTCGTCCATTCCCTCTCACCTCAACGACTCCCTGCGGAGGAGGGACGCATCCTTTGACTTTGTGTCGCCCAGCCTCGATCCCGACACACACGTAATCGCTGGCTTGCCGACTAAACTGTTCCTACTTCGCCTTTCCGTCACTCGCTTATAATCTCTCATTCGTTGCTACAATCACTCAAGTTGGTCACACAAGGCCTGTGTTCCGGCAACGACAAGCGAAAACTCGTGTCGAAAAACCCTACGGTAAAGCTGAAAACATCCACGACAGCCTGGTTTTTCAGTCCGACAACTCCAAGCCATGTCTTTGTTTGTCGGCCGAAACTGAGTAGGATTGTGAGGATTCGTCGAAATAGATATCTCAGACTGCTCCTGCAGAGAAGTTCCGTGTCGCGACGCACAGTAGCTAGGAATCTGTCGATTGATACAACTCGAGTAATCTGCCACGCAGCCACCGAACCTTCCGAACACTGCAGATTTGTGTCTTTGGCGGCTGTTTGCAACTCCAGTTGGCTGCAACCGTCAGGAACCGGTCTGTCGGTCTAGTCTTGGTCTCACGTGCCACCAGGAGGTGTGTTGCGACACCAGTTCTCCGGGCAGCGTGCGCGTACGACATTGAGGAACAACCAACATTACAACGTGTAAAGGCACATTGCGTTGGACAACTCGCAAGTTGCAGCGGGCGGTGGCTTGTCTTAATACTAGGCGTTGATGAGCTACGTCGCGGCCTTTCTACCGACAGTTGGGAATCAACCCGCTTGCCCTTGCATACGCAGTAGTTGGACCAGCTCGAACCTTGATTAGGACGGCAGCCTTAACGCTCGGAAACCCGCAGAACTTCAATTTACTGCACGCTCCGGCAACACTTGCTGTGCACCATGGCTTCCACTGCTGGATTTCCATTATATCTACACCAGGATGAGACGTCAATTCTCATGCTCTCTGACTCGGAAGATGAAGATGGGCCTCCAACTCCTCGGGACCCTCATCATCCCCGCGGCCCATCCAGAGCTGAGTCACGAACCGATTCAATAGAGCAGGACGAGGACGAGGATGCAGACGAAGACGAGGGCGAGGCAATGCGGAAGAGAACCAAAGATGCCGCCGCTAATGTCCCGCTTCATCCAATCCCTGCTTTGCAATCAGCCTTTGCCGAATCTCTGGTTGAAGCTACCGCCGATCCTATAGTTGCAAAACCCAAGTTAAGGTTTGGTGATGCCAAGGAACGTCGGGCACGATTGATAGACTCCGAGAAGGATGCCAAACTATACAATGACTTCTGGCGCTACCGACCAGGACAAATCCACCACGAACTGTCCAAGCTGATGGCGCAGATCTCATTCGGCGTCTATCTTCTTCTCAACGGAATCGCGAATAGCAATGTTCAAGTTGTGAATATCCTGCAGGGTCATATCGATGAAGTCGACGAATTCCTCGAAGTGACTATGGAGGATGTCAAATTGGCCACGGACGATATCCAAGAACGAATTGATTTCTTGAAGTTACCTATGCAAAATATTTCTACCTTTGAGAAAATGTTGGAGGATCGCGCCTTCAGACTGCAAATAGTTACAGGCAACGAGAAGATTGAGCACATCGTCAGCCGGACATCCGCAGCACTTGAGGGAAGTTTAGATGATGTCGAAGAGGGCCTGAAGGCCACCAAGGAATTTGCCGTGTACTTGGGCGACCAGCAAAACCAGCCTTGGAAGACCGCGAGGCCCGACGTGGTTGACATTTTCGATGCCATGAAGGGGAACGCAGAGGGTTGGTACAAAGCATTCGTGGACCTGCAAGAGAATGCCTCGATGTTAGACAATCAGTTGATCAAACTTGGTCAAATGGTGGCTGATATGGATCGGAGGGCAGGTGAAGTGAGTAGGCGGACAACTGTGAGCCCCATGAGTGGTGCTTACTCGCTCTCATTAAGAGCCAGTGCTTTAATGCCCTTGCAGTTCAGTGTGACACCATTCTCTGGACCAGCCGCGGGTGCTTCACGCACTTCGGTCATCAGCCCACAAGCTTCAAGAAAATCATCTCAAAGATCAACATCCAGCAGGGCTCATTCGACATCTGTTTCTTCTCGAACAGAGTCCATGCTTGCGGAAACGAGGAGTCCGTCTCAGAAATCTCCACCCTCGTCTCCCAATGTACGGGATACTCTGCCCGATTTTCAGTTCAAACCTCTACATTTGCAGAGCTCCCTTCCAAAGGAAAGTCTGATCTTGGAGATAGATACTGCATCAGAGCCTGACGAAGAGACTATTGAGCCTTCGAGGCCAAGTCCCATTGCGGAAGAAGAGACACTGTTTGTTCTGCAACCACGCACCTACACCCCTCAACCCCCTACGCCATTGCCATCACCCATGGTGCATAGCCAGCCCGCCACTGAGCCGGTTTTTCTTGACTCACGAACTTACACTCCGCCCGCTGAGGACCAGCCTGCGCACAATTCGCCTGCTAATGATCTGGCTCCCCTCACATCACTGACTTACACTCCGCCTGCCGCTGAGCCGGCCCCATTAAAGGCGCTAGTTTACACTCCGCCTGTTGACCACCAGCCCATTCGCAATCCACCCACCCCCGAGTCACCTAAAGAAGCTCCAGCGCAGGTGGAGGAGGTTTCAAAGAGGACGTCCCTGAGGCAAAGGTTATCGCTTAGGGGAAATGCTCCTCCTGATTCGATTCGTATTCCTCCTCGGAGCATGAACCGTCCGAAGTATCAATCTCCACAAGTGCAGCATGCACAGGAAATCCAGGTTCCCGATGAGTCCCCTCGAGTGCAATATGCACAACATATCCAGATTCCGGATCAGTCACCCCGGATCCAATATGCCCACCAAACCCAACGTCACGATTCTTGTACTTCTGACATGTCCCGTCCACCCCTTTATCCACCGGCTGAGAGTCTCCACGACTTCCCATCGCCCCCCGTTTTCCATCACACCATTCCTTCGCCTTTGAGCGACCAACAATACTTCAGGCCTGTGCAAGCAAGTCCTCACTCACCATTACAACGACCGTGGACATCGACTTCTGGCCATCCTCCCTTTCAACGTCCTCATACATCTGCTACACAGTATCAGCAGGCTAAACATCAACGCAATGCGCCTTCAGCCATGGGTATGAGCATGTTGAGTAATGTGACAACTATGAATACGGAAGGCAAGACCTTGAAGAAGAAAAGAAGTGCTTTCGGCTGGCTGAAGAAAGCATTCTCGCTTGACGAAGAGGAGCGTGCTGCTTTCGAGGCAAGAAAGCAGCAACCGGCGCCTAACCTTTATTATGAAGGTCGAAGCCCCAAATATCTTGACGGACGAAAGAGGGACGAATACAGAGGCTACTAGACGAGCTCGTCTATTTTCCGAAACGCAACAAAACTGAACTCGTCCATTTTCAACTCCTGGGTATGCCGGTATATCTTTCAACGGATCTGCGCGTATATTGTGGCGCGGGTGTCAGCAAATTTGATTTATCGTAACACACAACGGTGTATCCTACAATTCGGCATACAGCTCCAGGCTGTCATGGTCTAAATACCATATTAAGCACGACTCTGTCGCCTATCGCGCGAGGCCAGCGCCTCGATTTTTAATAACTTGATACCCCATACGCGACAACATCATTTTTTGGATAGCAGAGATGCTCGAAGCTAGTGGAGAAGGAAAACTACCAAGTTAGGAGCAGTGATGCGACTAGGTTAAGGACTGGGGCCAGGATGGATCAAAATGGTGGAGCAATCTCAAATAAGACCACAAGAAGACAATTGGTAAGAAGCACAAAAGCCTTTCAATGTGTAATGTATCATACGTGATCCGATATATAAGGATTTACGCGCATAGCCTTGGTTTCATAGCACGGAGTTAAGCGAGGGTCAATTAGAATTTGAATCAGATATTACAAATACAACGGTCAATGCTCTGTGCCTCATCCCACATTCCAACTCTTGGTTGTTATATTAGAAGGAGAAAGTCGCGAGAGAAAGTGCGAGGTTGTTACGAAAGAGTTTGCCGCAAGTATTTCGACTGTGACAGCCTACAATTGGTGGTGCAAATGGACCAGCATTCGTGTTTGCAGCCTGTAAACATAATTTTGCACCAACTTACATATGCAAAGACCCATGAAAAGATAATGACACGATGTGTGAACCACCAACTCACTATTTTGTTTACTCTTATTTAAACGATCGCGATTTCCACTAGTACTCACTTCTAGCAGATAATGGAATGATGCGGATAATGCCATATTCCCGACGCCTAACGGAATAATGAAACAACAGAATCGTGGTAAACTGGCTTTTGGGCGCTCGCCAGGCAACAGCCTTCAGTTATTTCACTGGATATTTAGACAAACGGTCTTGCAACAAGCCTTGTCTTCGTCAACTTATCGCAACACTCTTATTTTGTGATGGCGGGCAACAACAGCATCATGCGCCTTGACGAAAAGCTGCGCCACCAGCACCTCAGCAACCTCAAAGCTGCGAGTGAAAGCCGCTTGAAGCTAAGAAAACACCACGCCTTGGTACACTTGATCCAGGAAGTAGCCCCGGAGCTCCAGAGACGCGTGGAAGAGGTCTGGGAGAGGTTGGAGGCGGAGGAGGCTACAGCTCTCCACGACGAACTCGAGAACATTCAGAATTGCGTCAGTTTCTTGGAGCCGAAACTTGGTCGGCCGGGCGCGGAGCCTACAATTCACGATGATGATATCAGTACCGCGCTATACACGTCGCTTGCGCCACTGATCGAGCAACGTTCATCGTCTTCGCAAGACAAGTACGAGGCTACACCTCCGGAGAAGGGAAGTCCATCTTCGTCAACTATGGTTATGGATGATAGTGATTCGACGGGCGATATCGACGAGGAGATTGAGGCAAAGCCTACAAAGCAATCACGCCACGATACATCCTTTCCCTCTACATCTTCACCTGCAGTGGTATTGGAAGAGATGTTACGATCCAGTGGCTCCAGTCATAGCTTGCGTCGCCTCAGTAGACCCATAGGAGGGTACAATGTCAAGCAGGCTTATGAAAATATGTTTTCAGGGCGCTAGTCAAATAATACAGCCTGAGATGGGGAGTGGGTAAAGAATGTGTCAGAGATCAAAGGTGAAAGTACCATAATTACTAGGCACATTCTGACGATGAGGGAGATTCAATTATAACACACGTTTCTCGAGTCTGCTTGGATCTCAGTCATCGCGACGGCGAATTTGGCCTGCACGTTTTTGTTGTATGCTAGGTATTACATAGGTACATCAATCACCACTTCCCCTTTGCCCGATCTACATCTATGCAACGGCACTGCGTTCTCTGTTCTCTGGTTGCACTGATGAACTTCTTTGGTCCAACCCAGCTTTACTCATACTCAAGTTTGCGAAGGAAGATCTTGTCGCTCCTAGTCTGATTCTCCCCCAAAGCGACATCCCTCCTGGGTTTGAGATTCTCGAGTTGGATCTTAGTTTCGAGCACATCAAGCTTGGGCGCGATCTCACTCCGGACTTTACAATCACCCCTTGTAAGTTACGAGGACACGATACGTATCCACCGGCCGGACCCTCGCCTTTGCTGATGAAGCGGACGGCTGCCCTCGTCCAAGGAGAGCTTCAAAGACGCCAGCAATGCATAGGCTCGAGATTCGGGTTCAATCTCTGGAGTTGTTCCTCGAGTATCTTGAACGTCCAAAACGGCAAGTCCAGGCCTCTGGAAGATATGTTGAGACCGGTAAACGTATGATGCCTTGGGTTTGATTAAAATCATGCTCAATTCAATTTGCGACTATCTTATCGACAACACATCTAGGTCACAATCGGCTCGTCAGCCTTTTTTATGAAACATATTGTCTTTTGTCAATGTGAGAGATGATCAATAGGCTATAAGCTTAGAGCACGAGGACACCAATGGGATTAGACCCGAGTAGAAGAACGTACTCACTAGGTCGGCAGTGCGTAGCTGCCGAAGTCAGTTGGTGGGGGGATAAAGTGTACTTTGGAAATTCTAGGAAGAGAATTCGGAGGATGCGAAGCTCTACTAAATAATCCTACAAGCTTGCGCAAAGGCTCGTAGTACGTGATGATCAATAGCCCACGAATTTTGTTTTGGTTATAGAGATTCTTTTTTATCCAAACATGCTTTCAAAACATATTACGAGGATTGTATGAATTTAGGTGATCAAATACTTTTACCTCATACCCACTGGCAAGACCTCATGCGATGTGGACCCGACACCAGCCTCAAAGTTGCATTTACGGATGCGGGATGCCTAGATATAAGACCCAACCGCAGCGGACGGTCATTGAAGTGATTTCTACGAAAAAGAGGCTATAATCAACTTCATCGTTCGCCACTGAAGCCATAGCTCTTGACCCGACTGAAGTAAAACGCCTTGTCATTCTTCAACCCAAACTCGCCCCAGTCATCCGTCAACTTATTGTAACTCCAAAAACTCTTCCAGTTTAATTTGTTGTTTCGCGCCTTACCCGCGCTCTTCATACTGAACTCCATACGGTACATATATTTGGGGTCAACGCCGTCAGTTTCAACGACTAATTCACCCTCTGCTTCATTGGGCGCCACATCTGGGTTGTGGATGGAGGATGAAAGTCTCCAACGGCCCTTAAGTGCTCTGGATACAATGGCAGATGGAAGATGCGGTGCACCTCCCTTTGCGTGCTGTTGTAAGAGTGGTTTGGTCAGATGATGCACCACATCTGTGGGTTCAGTAGTGGTGAGGAGGCTGATGACGGTGCCGTCACGGAAAAAACGCAAATAGCGGTAGTAAGTCACTATATGTACGGGGCTGTTCCAAGTAATGTGGTTCCCAGAGGCATGACCGGTGCGAATATAGTTCACTGTGCTTATATAGCAGCCGTTGAACCGGATTCGTGGTCGTTGTTGGAACATGCGTTGCCAGGATGGGTAGACCGAGCCGTAGAGCGCATTGGTTGTCGCTTCACTCTCTTCAGCGCGTCGCTGGAAAAGCTCGCCCATGGTGACGGTGTCGTCATCGAGCTCGTGGTTGGGATCGAGTTCTTCCCAAGAATGTCCTCGTTGCCAGTGGTATACCATGCCCCCAAAGCCAAACTCGGCCCCAAGACAGATTCGTCGCCAAATCTGGCTCTGGGTAGCGATAAGGTAGGCGAACCGCTTGCAGACGCGGGAAAGACGCATGAAATCACCGACATCAATAACGGCCACATCTCGAAGAATATGGACCAAGATTTCTTCGGGCAACTCAGAGATGGGACATGGAGGCTGGGGCATGCCCTCAATCACTGGCGGGGCAGCCTGGACGCCTAGGCCGGCAAAACTGGCAATGAGATCGGGTATTGATAGGACGGGGGCGCTTTCTTGTGAATGATGAGCGGTATTGGGCACCGTGACAGCGGCATTTGAGGGATTGGGCTGAGCTGGTTGCGCATCTGCCGTCTTTTTCTTCCAAACACCTGGGAAGTGTTTGTCGCGATAGTCCTGGTCGACCCGGCTGTCCATCCGGTAGGCTTTTCGATAGAGACTAAGACTGTCTCCCAGCTTGCCAGACGTTTCGTTGTCGACCGCCTTCTCATAGTACTCAAGTGCTGTTTCTGGCTCTTTGTCGTGCTCTACTGTGTCATCTCGGGACTGGATGGTCTTGCCCCTGTGCGGGTCAACATCAAAGTTATGAGTCTGGACGTAATCTTCCTCATGGTCATGATGTGTTGTATCTTTCGACGGTACTCTTTTATGAGTATGATCAGTTTTACGTGGTGGCGCTATCAATGAAATCGGAGCCTTTGAGGGACCTGCTCGAGCTTGATGCTGCTGCTCCTGCTCCTGCTGTGGTGGTGCGTTCTTGGACCGTGCCGAGACCTCAGCACGCCACTGTTCTCTGAAGTTGTCTAACTCAGACTGTATCTCCGATGGTTTCTCCATCGTGAAATATAATATCCAATATGTAGTCTAGGACAGTGTAATGGGCTTATTAGTCTAGGGGTAAAATTCAATGAATGTGGTGGGGATTTACAAGTGAGATTCTATTGTAGACTCGGCTGGATTCCTCACAGTCCTGCGATTGATGAACGATTCGTTATATGCAAGTCGCACGTCAGGAGTCATCCGGTGAGATCTATGTAATAATGTCCGTTTATCTGCGATTATCGTTATCTATGATGGAAGTGGTCCCGATTGGTCGGGCCGGCTAATGACGACAAAGGCGTTTCTCTCAAAGAGCTGGAGCGCAGAGAGTCCAAAGGTCTCCAGGGCTCGTTTTGGGGCAACTTCAAAGGCTTAGGTTGGCATGTAGGCCATGTAGGTACCGCATATTCAGCTGCAAGGTGGAGCTGACAGATAAGTTATGTATGCCGTAACAACCCGGCCTTTTTTTTTTTTTTGGTTGGCCCTCCGATTTTCATGACGCGCAGAATGCTCTGGAGCAAAATTGGCCGCGATCGCTGCAAGCCGTCTGAAATCACCATGATCTTTCGCCCCCTAAGTTCAGATATGCTAGCCACATTCTCCAAATCCCCACGATAACCCAACACCATCCTCTCCCTTCACTTTACTGTACCATTCCAGTCGGATCGTTCATTTAAAATCGAACTCGGAACTGCACCGTAGGGCTATCCCGGAGACCCGGGATTCCCCCAGACAATGACCGCATCTCAAAGACACGGCGGACGAGAACACGACAGATTATCCATTCCGGAAGATGCATTCGCAGGCGCCACAATGCTCTCTTCTAAAGATGACGGCGTTGACGAGGTGATTGACATTTCAGCCAGCCAGAAGATGATTTCGGCCATCTCTGGCAGCTTAGTGACTTCACTACTCGGTGCGTACCTCAAATTCCAGTTCGCCATGGTTTCGTGACCTTGATGGGCTAACTTTCCCCTCGACAGTCACACCACTCGATGTTGTCAGAGTAAGACTTCAGTCGCAAAGCACGCCACACGCCTACACGGCCGATCTCGCCAAGCTTGCTGCTTCTTCGCCGAGCGCCTTCCGGCCATCGAATCTGGGGGTCACGGCTTGCTGCCGAGAGGTGTTTTTCATGAACAACAGCGCCGAGCTCTGTGTCGCTGGACCTAGAATCGACGCATTGGGAGGATCAACCGCAGCAGGTGATTGTGCAGTGGAGCAGACGCAAAAGAGAGCCTTCAACTCCACATTTGATGGCCTGAAAAAGATCGCTCGTAATGAGGGCATCACAACCTTGTGGCGCGGCCTATCGCCGACCCTAGTCATGGCTGTTCCCGCCAATATCATCTACTTCACCGGTTACGACTGGCTTAGGTACAATGAAGCGAGCCCGATCAGCAAATTGAAGTCGGATGGATATGCGCCGCTTCTTGGTGGCTCGCTTGCCCGAATCCTCGCCGCCACTGCCATTGGCCCCATCGAATTATTCCGAACGCGAATGCAGGCGACGTCAGGCTCTACAACAACCGGCCATTTCGCCAACACCATGAACAGCATGAAGGAAATGGTGGCCGAACATGGCACTCGCTCGTTATGGCGAGGCCTCAACTTGACCCTTTGGCGAGATGTACCCTTCTCGGGCATGTATTGGTGGGGCTACGAAACAATAAGAGGCAAGCTTACAGACATGCGCGAGGAGCGCCGCGGACGATCAGTCGAGAGAGAGAACGGCTCACGCCAGAGGGCTAGAAGCCGATCGCAGAGCCAAGAGAATCACACGGCGACATTCGTCGACAGTTTCGTCGCAGGTGCCGTTTCTGGTTCAGTTGCATCTGTTGCTACTATGCCGTTCGACGTCGGCAAGACCCGCACGCAGGTGTTCAGGGATTCAGCCAAGAAGGCTGTTGGCAACGGAGAGAAAGCAGCAGCACCACGACAAAAGTCCATGACCGAGCTGCTCTGGCATATAGTCAAGACGGAAGGTGTTGCAGGGTTATGGAAAGGCTGGATACCAAGGACACTAAAAATTGCGCCTAGTTGCGCCATCATGATCAGCAGTTACGAAGTCGGAAAGCGAGCATTCAGGAGCATCAACGAAAAGGCGACGAAGAAGCAGAAGAAGCAGAGAGGAGACTAGGCCGGCGAGCTTTGATTTCACGACATGTTTCGCCGCTCACTATACATTTGCATTGGCAGGCGTTTTGATTGTATTATGATACCTACTCTTGGCGCAGTCTCTGGCCGGAAAAGTAAACAGTAGACGTTTCTTGGCGATTATAGCGGAAAATCACATAGAAGAGTAGTTGGTGCAATGGCCTGTATACTATTAAGAGCATGAACGCGTGGGGCTTATACTACAAAGCCTCGCAAAGAGAGAATTAAACGATAATGCAGATCGATACTCGTCCAATGCTTTGAAACCCATGTAGTCTAGGTTAGTACAGTAAGTGGGACATGAAATCCGACCTTGACGGGGGCCGCGCTTGATCAGACCGCAGGAGCCCACTGCTGGGTTTTGGGGCTCGCTCATACGGGATAGATGGTGATGAAATTGGTTATTACTTGCTTTGCGAGCCAGTCGAAACAACCACTGTATTTTGAGTTTGCAGCTACTGCAACGTAGGGCTCCCGCCTCCGGATTGACCAATTAGCCTCGTAGATGTAAAGGACATCAGCGATGAGGTCATGCAAGGGCCGTGACGCGAACTTATTAACCTAGAGGGCTACGCGTGCGCGTCCAACTTAGCCAGCCTTCACCGACAAGGCTTCCCGACTGGATACTAATATTTGTGTAAACCGCAAATTCTCATCAATTGAATTCAATGTTTCAGATTTGAAATCATCACATCACAGACTTGCCAAGATTCAGTTCCCAAGACGTTTTTCGGCCATTGCCTCCAGCCCTGCACTACACTATCAGATCAGTCCTCGACTTTGCACAGCACTAGTCCTCGTGCAAGTAATTACTGTACGAAATCCTGCAACCCGATATCGCACCCGCTCCACCTCGACGACCGCAAGGACAGACACCATGTCTTCCAATCTCAAACGTAAAGCTCCATCGAGCATGGACGCAAGTAAAAAGGCCAAGACGACCAATGGAAACGCAAGCATCACATCATTCTTCGGTGCCCCCAAGGTGGTCTCCTCCTCGACACATGGCTCTTCCCCGGCACTCGAGGCTCCCGCCCCTAAATTCAACAAGGAGAAATGGGTATCCAGCCTTACAGACGAGCACAAGAAGCTGCTGCAGCTCGAGATCGATACACTAGACGAGAGCTGGCTGGCACATCTCAAGGATGAAGTCACGAGCAAGGAGTTTTTGGACCTGAAGCGGTTCCTAGACAGAGAGATGGCTGGCGCCAAGAAGATCTTCCCTCCAAAAGAGGATATATACTCCTGGTATGGCTTCCCTTCCCCAGGATGTAGTTCGTCGCCAAAGCAAAGCCACGTGCCGCACTTGGATTGTGGACGAGGCAATCTACGCATGCAGCTTGCACACCCTGAATAGTAGCTAACATATCCTCTCGCAGGTCCCGTCACGCACCTTTCCACACTGTGAAATGCGTGATCCTCGGCCAGGATCCTTACCACAACGTCAACCAAGCCCACGGCCTCGCCTTCTCGGTGCGGCCGCCGACACCCGCGCCGCCGTCCCTTAGGAACATGTACACATGCCTGAAGAAGGACTACCCGTCCTTCGTGCCCCCGCCGAACAAGGGCGGCCTGCTGACGCCCTGGGCGGACCGCGGCGTCCTGCTGCTCAACACGTGCCTCACGGTGCGTGCGCACGAGCCCAACAGCCACGCGAACCGGGGCTGGGAGAAGTTCACGCAGCGCGTCATCGACCTCGTGGCCCAGAAGCGCACGCGCGGCGTCGTCTTCATGGCCTGGGGCACCCCGGCCGGCAAGCGGGTCGTCAAGGTCGACAAGAAGCGCCACCTGGTGCTCACCAGCGTCCACCCGAGCCCCCTGAGCGCGTCGAGGGGCTTCTTCGACTGCGGCCACTTCCGCAAGGCCAACGACTGGCTTGTCACGCGCTACGGCGAGGGCAGCGAGATCGACTGGGACCTCGTGCCCAAGGCCAAGGACCTCAAGAAGCAGGAGCCGCCTGAGTCCAACAAGCCGGAGTCCGAGGCCGAGAAGGGCGAGAATGGCGAGAAGCTCACCAACGGTGCCAGCGAGGCGGACAAGGAGAAGGCCAAGGAGGAGATGCCGCCCCCCGTTGTGGTGGCCGGCGAGGTTAAGGAGGCGAAGAATAGCGAGGGTGTCACGGAGAAGAGCGAGGCCCTGGAAGAGGAGGGCGAGGACGGAACCGCCGAGGTCGATGGAGAGGAGAAGTGATATACGCGCTCATGATCACGATTTCTGAAGTATGTTGAAAACAGGTCGGCGTACTTGGACATTTTTCATTTTACAGTTCTCTGAGCCCATGATGGAATTATGGTTTGGCAGCATTTTCTTTTTTTTTGCCGCGACACGGTCTTTTCAGGGGCATGCTGCTTGGCATTCTAGTTGTATAAAAGCACAGGAACGAGTTCGCGTACCGGATTTAGCTGCGATGTTGGTCATCGGACAAAATAAAAGTAGCAATGAATGACACGCTTTTGTTTTATTTTATACTTTTTCTCTTTACGGGAGAAGTGAGGTAGACCTGTGGATTGTTGCTATCTCGTTTGAAGCATTGCATGCCTGTGTCATACATACTACTCTTCGTAGCTACTGTATATAGTATGCCTATGGATCATGTCACCCGAGCAAAAATCACTGGCAAGGGGCTTTGGTCTTATCAGCCAGCAAAGAACTGAACAGATATTTCAAGCGAGGGAGAGTCGTTCGACGTGGGCAACAGCCGTTTACTGTACGATATAGTCATTCGGCAATAATGCTAATTGTTAGTCCAACCACATTGTTACGCCCCATTCTACCTGTGCCACAGATACCCCTTTCTCGACGAAGACGCACAAGTCGGACAGAGTAGAGCATTGTATCACGGAAACACGGTGAAGTGTCACTGATGTTATGAAGTGTCATACAAGGTATACACGTCCCGAGAACCACACAATTTAATTCCGCAACACAAATTCGGTCAGAGAACGTACATGTGTCCAGGCCCGTATGATGGTCCAGTCTAGACTAGATGGTTTGTTGCAGATCAGGTAGACACTCAAGAACGAGGGCAGCAGGAAATATCAACCGAATCGTGTGTTTTATTATTATTGTTTGAAAGCATTGCTCGGCCATGAAAGATCATCGTTACCATCCGGGTCGAGACTCATCCGATCTTGGTCCAGCATCAAACCCACAGTCGGAAAGTGGAGATGTGGAGACGGCTGGGCGACCATGTACGGAGTACCTGGCCAACCCAGACAGTTGTACTGCTCCGCTTCGGGCTGGATACCGCTGACTCAGATATCGGACTCCTTGCAATGTCATGGACGAAGAGTCCTCGTTGTGGGACAACGATCATCTTGCGCATTTACTGATCAAGCTCAGCAATGGCTTTCGGTGATACTCGCGGGTACAGGGTCTCGGACATTTGTTTCAAGCAGCAGTAGCGCTGGACCTAGTTGAACAGTCAAGGCTGTCAGCTAGCTTGTAGGTACCTTGAGTGACATTCATGCAACAAGTCAAGCCACCGCTGTATGACCCCCCGCTGGGTATAGCATGCGGCGTGGGACAGAGGCACAAGCGTTGGACCAAGATATACGCAGCTAAATCGAAGAGGAGGGAGAAGGAGGTTTGAGTGGCAGAGTATAGCGAGTCGAAGACTTCTGTGGTTAGGTTCAGCCAAGGTAGCGGCCCGTCAAATAGGTTTAGGTTGCAAGAGTTTCTCGCGTGGTTGACAACTCATCAGATGTGAAAGTGCGGTCAAGTGAGTGGTTAGCTAAAAGCCAATCGCATTGCTGGAAGTTGGCTAAGGTTGAGCTGATGGGTTGGTGCTTCATGCATAGCCATGCTGGCAAAAGTTTAGAGTGGTGCCGTGCAGAAATAACATCCAGTGGATTCCAAAAGCTGGGTCAGCTGTGAAAGGAGCACTGTAATCTTTTCGACACCGAGCACGGCGCGAGAATGAATGTCTTTCCGAGACCAGTGGGAGATGAAGTTGTGTTGACTCTGAATACCTACTAACCTACTGCATCGGGAGATATTTGGTAGCACAACAGAGTTGGAGAAAATTGGGGAATACCGGGGTGACGCGACCTTCCCCCAGTCTTGTAAGTTAAGATGAGATTGTGCCTGACAACGACACGCTCGTTGTATGTAATGGCTATCCGGCTCAGTCCCTGGGCACGGCAGGGCATGGCATGGCAAGATGTCGGCGCTGGGATGGTGCTGGGCAGAGTCGTCTCGGAAGTCTGAAGACATCCCCAAACGATTCGTGTTCGAGGCAAAGCAAGCAAACAGACGAAGCTGCCCCTCCACGTGGGATATGTTGCAGCTTTATAAGTACGGGGGAACATTGTGGGAGACGACACAGACGCATGGCTGTATGGGATAGATTCTGCAGTGTGAGGACAGGAACAAGGACAATATAACTTCAAGACTTGATTGATCAAATCCAATGTGCAGAACCCTTGAGCGTGCATATCGCTGTGATGTGATTTGATGCGATGCAATGCGATGCGATGCTGAAATATTGAATGATTTGCATGGTGTGTTGGTTCTGGAGGGATGTACTAATAGTGGTTGGACAAGAGCTCCTCCAATTTCCAAAAGGTCAAAGCTCCTAAACTTTCTGGAGCTTTAATTGATGGCGGCAAATCGTCCAGGTACTAGACGTGCAGATTACAGCGGGTAATGGACCTGTCGTTGATTGATGGCAACACTAAACTTTTGTGGCCTTGCCCAGTTGGGCATTAATGATATTAAGTGCGGCTTGCATCAACCCACCCGTCGCACTTGATGCGCGAATGCAGCAGGGGACGAGGCACAAGGGGCCAGGGAAAGCCACCCAGGATTTCCATGGAACCCAACCCTGTAATGTAATCAGAGGCCGTCTTTTTCATGTTGTGACCATCCCAGATTGCTTGAGCCCAGAGACGGATGGGGGGCGTCCTTGAACCCCTGAGATTTAATCCTCATCGAGTCAAGTCGCAAGACTCCAGACTCAAGGCCAAGTCAGTCGTTTTCCGACTCGCTGCTCCGTGATCACCATCGTTATTGCCTTGTCAATCGCCGGTCTGCCTTTTTATGTCCTGTCCAGCAGCATCCTTCTCCACGATATCACGCGCTGGTGTTTTTCCCGCGACTTTTCCCTTCCTTCTTTCTTCTGCAGACATCAGATACCCTCATTGGCCCATTTCACTGATCCAACTACCGCTCGTTTATATCCTTTCGAATCGCAGGGATTGTAGCAGCTTGCTTGTCCCGATTCGAACACCTCTCGAAATTATTTTTTGATACCCGAAAAAGACCAAACGCCTCCCCCCCACACATGTCGTTCGCGACCTTGAACAGCTTCACGACCTTGAACCACGACTTCTTTCTTTTTCCACACTACATCCGATCGCAGCCCCTCCCCAATTGCTAGTCTACTGTTCTTTCTTGGTTTGTCCTGTATGCCAACAAGCCGAAAAATCATTGCATACACCCGCTGCGAAGCGTCAGTGCCACAATGCCGAGCCTCTTCTCTCGGATAAGGGGCAAGGATGGGAAGTCCAAGAAGGGTGCCGGTCTCACCGACCTCACAAGCCAGCTGCCCTCGAAGCCACGATGGGACGATGCATATACGCGAACTGAAGTTGAGCCCGAGGAGGTTGTGGAATTGGTTAGGCGCTGCACTGAGGAACTAAAGTCAAGGGGTATGATATCACTGAACCTGAACGCTTCGTGGAGAATAATACGACTGATGGCACTCTTCTCTTGCGGTGCTGGAAGCTAACTCGTCGCATAAACCAGCACTCGATCATCCCTTTCTTCTGTTACCATTCAGACCAACTTCGGATCCAAGCGCCGTGCGCATATTCATCCGACATTTCTTCGATGCCAGCCATAACTTACGAGGGGAAGCTCTGGCGCAGGAGTTGCGCATGACCGAGCCCATGGTATGTTGCAGCAATTTGGGTTCCTACTAGTCAGGGTTTGCCGGCAGCATGCTAATGTTGCATAGGTCATTTCCGGCGTTATCAAATGGTGCTGGAGTCGCATTCAGGGTGGCGTGGTTGGATGGGATGCATACGAGCTCTTCAAAGTCGGAGAGTCGGACTCAAATATGGCGCGCAATGCTTTCACCACATTCATCCCACTGAGCGTGGATAACGATGCGCGGTCTAAGATCATATTCGACTATTTTGACCTCATGTCTGCCGTTGCAGCCCACGGCAAGTCAAACGGCTTCGGAGGCCGCAAGCTCTCTCGCATGGCGTCCTGGTGGGCGTTCGAATACAAGGACACTGGCAATGGATTTGACGGTGGTTACAAGTTCTGGCTCGGGTATGTAATCCTTTGCGCCATGCGATATATCAGGTTCTCACGTTTCTGACTTGATGCAGGGCTGCCGATGCCACCACCCATCTGTTCTTCGCATATCTCCGATCTTTAGGTCCTGAGACTGTTGTTGGTGGGATCTCCATGCTGCCTCGGTCCTTGCAGAAACTCCTGCACGAAACCGAGTACCCTCCACAAACCCCATCTTTGATGCAGTCCTCCACATACAGGGTCAACATGATTGTCGATACTGTATCACCGACTCCATTCGCGCTTTTGCGACGCGCCAATCACTTCCAATATCGCGATAGCGACAGGGCGCTTTACGAGTATTCCGAGTACGAGGATCCCGTTCGGGCCCTTACAGAAGAGTGCCGTAGAGTCCTCAAGGCCATTTCCCTCGCAAATCAATCACAAGTCTCTAGTTCTAAGGTGTCTACGGGGCTGAGAGATGCATCTTGGTCTCGCTTTGAGGATATAGGCTTCGCCGGCTCCTTGGACGAAGACGACGTCGAGGACGAAGCGCCAAAAAGTCAGCAACCCCGGGGTCTGAGGACGACACCTGCCTCCGGAGGACTAGGTGGCGCCAGGCCAACGACACCATCTTGGGCGGATTTTTTGTCTTCCGGATTCGTAGATGATTCGCCAAACAGCCCTACGAGTCTGCTACCCCCTGACAAGGTTTTACCGCCAATTGATGCAAACCTCCGACAGCGCAGCTCACAGTCGCACAGGCCGCGTCTAGAGTCCAATCAACAGCTGGAGCCTGGTGAGTTGGCGAGCATTAACATGTTCGACTTCGACGATGCGTTTTGGTGGGTATGGATGAGCAGTTTGGCCCCCGAGGAGACCCCAGAACGAAAGGCCGCCTTTGGCCGCTGTGCTATCATCGAGACTGTCATTCGCTCTGGCAGATGGTTGATTATGGAAGAAACAGTAAAGGGTGCCGCCGCTGAACCGGACGCCAATGCTTATATCGCCGAGAAAAAGGGCTTCTTCAGTTGGACCAGACGAAACAAGGGCGTTTCTCGTTCTAAGTCAACTGGGAAAAAGGGCCACGACAAGAATGACCGGCTGAAGCCAAGCGCAACTGTGGGGGCTGGGTTGAGCAAGACCAGTATTGGACCGGACCAGCAGGCCAAGATTCAGGCTGCAGCACTGCAGCTTCAAAGAAGGGAAGCCCAGGAGCAGTACAAGCCTTTGCCACAGCGACGTGGGCGAACAGATACAGAAGTCATGAAGGAGAAGACTAACAGTGTTCTCACAATGCAGCCTGTTATCATGAAAGAAGCTTCGCCGGCAATGAAATGGGCAAATAAATACGACAAGGACGCTATTCGTGAAGCTTACCTGGGCAACGTGAATGCTGGTCGGGGCCTGGGCCAGGCTACCATGCAGACAAACGGTTATTCAGAGAACGGGGAGACCCCTACAAATGGTGCGCATTACCCCGAGGTACCCGAGGAGTCCCCTTCAATTACTTCGCCGGTCACTTCGAAAGCACCTGCAGTCCTAGAGCCTCGAGTACCCATGCAAGAAGTGGAGCATCCTGCCGAACCAGAAAGACCTTTCGATCCCGAACGCAACATTCACCCTGCGGAAAGAACGGGACTTACGGGACGCAACTCGCCATTACCTCCCACGGGGCGCAACTCTCCACTACCTCCTCCGCCTCAAGAGAATTCTTTTGAAGCAGGACGTGAGACTTTGCTGTCACCAGAGCCGGGGCACAGCCATGATCAAAAGCCCAAGAAACTCCACAAAGACGAGAAAAAGGCGAGCGGTGGTCTCCGTAAACTCTTCAGTCGTCGAAACCGCTCATCTAAGCTTCCAGAGAATGCTTCCAACGATTTGAATGCAATGCTCGCACAACAGCCTGCAGCTGCTTCTCAACGACGACTCCAGCCTATCCCGTCTGAAACAGCCGTTAATCGACCTGAAGAACCGGATTTCGTTACGCCTGCGGAGCAGCCTGAAGATTTGGAGTTTGTTCACTCACCAGCTTCTCCACCCGTGCCGGAGCCAGCATACGAGGCCTCCATCGACGATGATTTATCGCGTGTTGACACGGCTGACGCACATGAAGCGCACCACGAGTTCTCACGTTTTGATCAAGGGCCGTTAGCAGACCAGCCTGCATTTGTGCCTGGAGATGAATATAGCGAGGACGATGCCACACCTCCCCCCATTGCCCGCCACACGACCAATCACAGTCCTCAGTCCATCTCTTCAGATACAGAGGAACAAGCTGCGCCTTCACCTACAGTTCCTATGCAGGACCGATGGGCACAAATTCGCCAGAATGCAGCGGCTCGAGCTCGGCAAAGCGAAGAGCAGAGCAGGGGCGGGTATAGTAAAACAACTGACGATGACGACAACACTAGTGGTGAGGAGAGTGAGTAAATTCTCGATCTATGAAAGGGACTAAGCTAATTCCTCAAAGCAATCGAAAGTCGTGTTGCTCGCATCAAGGCCCGCGTGGCTGAATTGACAGGCAACATGGAGGGTACAACTGCACCAGGTAGTCGAACGCCTCCGAGACGCTAGGGACGAATTTTTGAGGACAACGCCAAATTTGATGCAATTTAGGAGCGGCGTTCATCGGAACTATTGTCGACTCCTCATGGGAAACACCACGTAATGGCCTTCGAATGTCGTCTTTTTGTCTGCCATTTTCGGTAGTATTTCCCACCGCATTTCCACCAACCCCTAATACGCCTAGCTTGTTCTTCCTTCACTTTAATTCCTATGATACCACTAGAAGAATTTTCGAGCTTTTGTTTTTGCCAGCAAGCAAATTTGTCACTTTCTGTCACATAAGTTCTCCCGAGTTCAGTACCTTTGCGCTCTTTTGGTTTTGTTGAAAACCGATACATTTCTGCGCCGCATGCTCTCCAATGGATAATATTGCGCCTAATCCTTCAAGCTTACCGATAGACTGGAGTCTTTCAGGACTATTCGTCTCCGGTGATTGGTTGTTCCTGATTTCAGGACTCATGCATTGACGGCTTGGGGCTAATGCCGACGAGGGGATGGGAGATATCATTATTGCGTGTAGGGCAGTTGCCTAATAGTTGAGGTACCTTTACCCAATGGAAGTTGTTGGCCTGTGTCTGCCATTCTTGCTATTGGGAATGACCTGGTGTTTCCAGCTGAAGTCTTGGGCAAACTTACTCTAAAACAATTGGATCGTGGACGTGGCAACCAACCGCAAGGGATTTGTTCTACACCAAATAAAGAGGCTGACAAAACCTAGACTAGGAAGAAATCCCAAAACTTCAACTCTTAAAAGGTTAGTCAAGGTAGAATCTTGAAATTCATCGTTGATAAGGCCACGAATCCTGCATTGAACATCCTATTAGGCTAACATATTATACTCCTACAAGGTGTATATGCTTGCTGATTCATGAATTAATATTCAGTATGTTGGCATGTCTAATATTCGAGATACCTAGATAAACGAAAGGCTAGTATGTTGGAACAGGGCACGTCGAGCAGTCCGAAAATCATACATAGTCACATAGTCCAGGCAATGGTGTCCGAAATTGGCACTAGACTAGTAACTATTCCTGATTTCAAACTTAGTCCAAACCTTAATGAACGTCACCTTGGTCGGCACACTTGCCCAGGTTCTCCATATCTTTTTCAGCTCGGGCAGTTTTCCTTATTAAGAGATCTCCGTGTCGTGAGTGATACTTGACGGACATTCTCACTTACTAATGGTGGATTCTAACTGGAAGTCATGGTAGCTGCCGACGCGCACAGCGAACTCTCGCAGTACATTGCTCGCTTGCTGCTGGAGCGCTCTGACTGGCCGCTCGACAGTTTGAGTAACCCCGTGCTGCGCATCGAGGCCTACCTCGAAGATAGTCCCCGGGCCGGCGAGAGTGAAACGGTGGCGTTTAGGAGACAGCCCACGCCCGTTTTTAGTCATGTTGTTGATCTGGCAAGCCTCAAAAGGAGGAGTATAAGAGTGTCCAAGCCTCAACCAACGAATGCCGGCGAGGTAGAATCACAAAGTCCTGGGGATACAGTCACTACAGTATTACCCGGTAGAGGCCCAACCGCGCCCGAGGCAGATGATGATGATGATGATGACGATGATGATGATGGTGATGATGAGTCTGATGCGAACTCGGACAGTCAACGAAAAGGCACTGGTGGGCTCAGACCAGCCAGGTCAGATTCGGCTATTGTCGAGGAGACAGATAGCCAAAGACAGATTCACAGCGGGGACAAATTTCCCAAGCGGCGGAGAGTGAAACCCGAGGGTCATTTTCTGCAGCCTTCGACCTTGGACAAGCTGATCGGCGGCATCTGGGAGCAGCTCCACGGCAGCGTCAGCCTTGATCCCCAGAGTCTGGTCGAACAGCTCCAACTCAAAGGAAACGAGAGTAGCGGCGGAGCGGGCGGGCTCGCTATGGCGCCTCCGATGACGGCCACTTTACGACCTCTGAAGGCGAAAGGCGGCAGGGCCGAGGTGGCAGGGCCTGAGACACCCGATGCATTTAGCAGGAGCAACATCTTCTGCCGGCAGGTGACACAGGCAAGCCGGGCCTGCCGGTCTCTCGAGGTCATCGTGCAGGCGCGCTGGGTCGAGCACTTCGACGCGTATGTAGACAGCTGGGCTCACGCCAACCCAAACGTGCCGCGGAGTCGGTATAACAAATCTGCACTCATGGGAGCGTGTGCCGACTTTGGCTGGGCGGAGAAGGAGTTGAGGAACAAGATGTACGTGTGGCGAGGGTACAAAGAGATCAAAGACGCTGGTGGGTGGGCGGCCCTCGTGTTTGCCGGCATGGGTATCTACAGATTCTGCAAGTACCGCATCGGCTTCGACAGGGAGAGCATGCAGCGCCTGAGAAATCTGAAGCCTGCGATGGAGGTCGCGGCCGACACAATGCACCCGCAGTGGCGGCAGCTGCTCACGGTCGTGGGCGAGTCCCCCGAGAAGGCGTTCCTTGGGCATCAACATGATTGGGTTGTACAGCTGGACGGGAATGATCCCATCCCGCTCAGGAACACGTATCTTCATTGGGACCCGCAATTCAGTTACCGTCAGCTGGATGAGGCGGTCGTGGACGAAGCGGCCTGGGGCTGCGATGACCCGCGTTGGTCGGCGCCCCGAGACGACGTGGTCCGGGCAGCAGCACTCCCGCTGTGCGATACATGCGAGAAAGAGCAGTCCGACAACCCCAAACTGAACAACTGTTACTGCTTCCCGACGCTTTTCGGATGCGCCAGTTCGACCCCCAGCCCTGTGCTCGTCTTCAGGACGGCGGACGGCAAGAACAACGGCCTCCTCGCTCTCTGCGCTTTCGAGCGCGGCGCGCCGATTGGCGAGTTTGTCGGTCTGATAACGAAAGGACTTCGCGACGTTGACGTGATGGAGAGCTCGACGCCGACGTCGAGCTATCAGATATGGCAGGGGCGGCAGGGAAACTTTACGCGGTTCGTGAATCATAGCTGCAAGGCTAATGCGCAGTATCAGCGCTTCTCCTGGATGAACACGCAGAGGATCATCTTGGTGAGCAAGGGGATCGATGCAGCAATGGAGATCACGGTGGATTACTCGGAGAAGTATTGGAAAGGCTTGGATAAGAAGTGTTTGTGTGGGGAGAGTTGTTGTAGATATCGGAAAGGAAGCAAGGGTAAGAATAGCTGAGAGTCATTCATACAGACCAAACTAGTGAAGGCGAAGTAATAGACGATAAACAACATATATATATATATATGATGGCTCTCTTGTGCTAGCGTCTTGTAGGCAAGAGCGAGTCCCATCAGATGAAAACGTTTCTCCTTCCTGGCAATCCTCAGTTCTGCGTACCACCTATTTCACATTTAACTCATTGAAAAAAAAATAAAAAATTTAGAAGTCCTTCTGGAGAGTCCTTCCAAATTTGTACAAAGCTGTTAAGCATGACAACACCATTACGTTTATCTTAAAAGACATATAGGAGAGGAGTGTACAGATCTACGCAAATAGTGAGCGGTCGTGACCTACAAGGACAAGACCCCAAGAGCAACGATACCGCATTGTATCTCAGATATCGGACCTCTCTCGTCCCAGGCCTCGAAGCTGATTGGGCGACGGAAAATATGGCGGACACTGCTCACCGTCAATCTTGAACTCTATAGCAGCAAGGCGTGTAAGCCCCCCAGTTCAACCTAAGCAGGCAGCTACATAAGGTATCTTAAGTAGACATGACTATGTTGTAGGTTCTGAGAATACAGGAAGCATTCTAACTTCCTTCACGTGGAGAAAGACGAAGAACATCCCAAGTGTATAATAAGAAAATGATCACCCCCGTTCTCGCTTGATCTTCAATATCATTTCCACTTTTCTGGCCCACGTATTTGAATTCACAGCGAGGAAAAAAGGATTAATTCCTGCCACGTCAGGTTAGTCAGCACCCGGATCCTTTTCCTCGCCTGCGCTACATCCAGACGTGGATCCTCGGGCCGCGGTGGAACGACTCAGCGACTGCTCACGATCACGGCGAAGGATCGGAGGCCCTGTCCGAATCCACGGTCCAAACCGGTCGCTTATCTGTGATATTGGGCACCAGCCGTGATCGAGACGAGCACTACACAAGGGCTGGGGACAGGGATGTCACGGGGAGCAATGACGGCATGGCATGATTCCTTCATTGCATCCTCTATTGAGAAGTTGGTCGTATGGCTAGGAGAACTTGGCCAATACACTACCTTGGCACAAGGCGCTGTCTCGTGCACACATGAGGCTATACAGAGCTGAACTGTCGCAAATGCGAACATATGAATGGGTTTCAAATTCGATGAATTGAAGTTTTGGTCATGACCAAGGAGGGCTTGAGACACTTTAAATACAACGCCAGAACGCCTTCCATACTACAGTCGCCCGTTCGTACCTTTTCCATTAAAAATGTAAACCACGATGCTTGCCATAACAACAATTGAAATCCATTAATCATGCCTCATCTCTGTACGAAAAAAACAGATAGCATCTAATGGTATATAAGAGCTGGGTCCAAACGAGGGCAAAGCAAATGCCAAACGCCATAACATGCCTGCTTAGTAACGAATGAGAGGTATATGTCTGCCACCGCAGATGGTCGGCGTGAAATGGTGTCAAAAACTAGTGGGATATCCGACGTAAATAGATCCTAGCCAAGGAACCAAGCAAATGAAGGACGCTCAGTACTTTTAAAAGCTGTAAGTAGGGTGTTGTACACGCACGAATTGCGAAATAGACGAAGTCAAGTATTCGGGACAGTTGTTTTGAGAGGGAACGTTTCAAGTGTCAATTTTGACTCTTTTCGCCTCATAACCTTCTGCTCCGTCCGAGGCAGGACCAGCAGTGCTGATTTCGGGGCTTTTTCGCTTATTTGAAGTCTCCTCTCTGAGGAAAGATGGTCCTGTGCCGTGAACAGGCGTAGCGAAGTTGAGAGGACTGGGCAAGGTATTGCTGTCATTGCGCGAAAAATTCCACTCAGGATAGAAGCTGCTCGGGCTGGGCAGAAACTCGGTGTTCAGGAAACGGGAAGGCAAAGCCGAAACCGGGGTATCAATGTTCATATTGCCACCTTGTTGGGACTGGGAAGTGGGCCTGGCGAAGGGATTTGGTGGCCCTGTTGCTCCAGCGGAAAGGAGGGCAGAGGCAGATGGGGACGGTGGCGGCAAAACGATGCCAGGGTTCTCGGCACCATTTCTTCTGACGGGCTGAGCATTCGAATCTGTAGCGTTGCGAGGAGATGTTGTCATGACGGATTCTCCTGCATTGCTACCAGTCTCGGACTGTTCGTCCGGAATCTGAACCCTAAGTCTTGGCCGCGGTGCACCATCCCGCAAACTGTTTGACCTCGAAGGGGGCGTGAAGGATGTTTCTGAGATGGTGGGAACAGAGTTTCTAATCTTGGCCAATGTGGAAGCGCTGGATCTCTGAGGCAGTGGTGGAGAAGAATCTGCATTAGTTCGTGAGAAAGAACCAACATCTACGGACTGCGAGCGGATTCCATTGGTGCCAGGCTCATCTTTCAAACCCCTCGGCTCTGCGAATGAAGCCAAGTGTTGAGAGAGAATGGAACGGTCCTCGTCAATCGGTGTAAAGATACTGTGTTGTTTACGTTGCGGCATTTTCTTGATGGCTGAAGCGGTATCGAGAAAAGGTTGGCTGGGCTTTTCTGCAAAAGCTTCTGGTTTGGGTTCCATAAGGGCAGGCGGTTGAGGCTCCTGAGATGGCCTGTGATGGGACTGCTGAGGTACTTCCAGATGTTGTTGTTGATGTGACTGGGGAGGAGACATTCGAGGAAGAGGCTGCGCGGGTAGCTGCTGTGGGTGCGATTGTGGTGGTGACATGTGCTGCTGGTTCTGAGGAGGTTGCGACGGGTAGCCTGGGGGAGGGACAGATGACTGCCTCCGATCTTCGACGTATGGTTGCATCTGAGGATGTTGCTGATGTTGAGGAGGATACGGATTCCCATACTGAGGCGGCGGCGGGTGCTGCTGGTGCTGTTGGTGCTGTTGATGTTGCTGGTGCTGGTGTTGCTGCTGCTGGTGCTGGTGCTGGTGCTGCTGGTGCTGCTGGTGCTGCTGCTGGTGCTGTTGCTGGTGCTGCTGGTGCTGTGGTGGCATAGGATGTTGTATGTTTGGTTGCATGTTCTGGTTCTGAGGCTGGTAGATCTGGGGGTTGGGCATATAGGCATATCCATTTGTTTGTGGAGGCCCTGGAGGCCCAACATTAGGACCCCTTCCAAAGTCGTTCCTGGATGAGGGCCTTGAGCTCATCTGCGGTTGAGGAGTGTGGCCGCGTGGAGGGAAGGGAACGCCGTTGATGGGAGGTGAGGCCGAGGGAGTGTTCCGTCTCAGGTGTTGCGGGAAAGGGGCGTGGTGCGGGTTCTGGTAATGAGGAGGCATCATCTGAGGCTCGACAGAGCCCTCAAGCCCGTGGGGAGGAGTGCCGTCGCCATCGTCGTCTTCGTCATCGTCTGCTCCACCACTGAAGTCGGAGGGACCTTTGTGCTCGTTCGGACCACCGTGCTGCAGCGCGCCTTCCTGTTAGCATTACGGTTACACATCTAGGTTCAGGTCCAGGTCCAGGTCCAGGTCCAGGTCTGGGGTGAAAGTGTTGACAGGAGGTATGTAATACGCACATATGTGTATCTCGTAATGAGCTCGCGCATGTCAGTTGACGAGTACTCGTACAACTTCTTGTTGCTGCCAAAGATGAAGACCGCAACGTCGACGGAGCAGAGGACAGAGAGCTCGTGCGCCTTCTTGAACAAACCGCCTTTGCGCTTCAGAAAGGTACTGCAAGGACATGGCATTAGTACAGGACATGGGGGAAAGGCCAGCTCGCGACAGGGCGACAGTAGGAAGTATGAGGTGGGGAGGGAAAGCTTACACAGAGCGGTTTCTGTCATCCTTGATGGCCTTGATCTCAATCTTCCTGCGACCCATCTTGAATTATGGTGATATTAGATGGCCTTGTTGTAGCAAAAGAGTGAAGGCGCTCTGGCGTATAGTCAGGAGCGGGCGCCAGCGTTGAGCTTCGCCTCAGTCTTGCGGTGGTTATCCCAGCTTGAAGGCGATGGACCGATTGACCGATTGACTGCTTGCCTGCTCGGTGTCAGATTGGGGGTGATTTAGTGTTGGCGGTAGGTCTGGTCCTTGGTCTTCGACGGGGTCTGAGTCCGGGTCTAACGGCTCAATGGCGCGGGCAGATTATGTCAAAATGTTGATCAGATAAAGCTAACAACAGATAAAGATATTATAATTCCTTGCGAGCTGGGAAGGAAGAGTGGGCAGGTAATGCAAAGAGCGTGTGCCGGAACGAAATGAGAATAGTAGTAATAGTAATAAATAAATGAATAAATAAATAAATATGTCCGAGGCCGACGTGTGTGTTTTGGTGCTCGAGTCGAAATCTCGAAGGGGGGACAGATGGGTCAAAATATGAAACGCTCTTGACGGGACGCGGTGATGCGACAGGCGTGGGATATTTGAACTGTGGCCGTGTTGTACGCAGCAGACAATCAATTCAGAGTGCGCATGCAGATACAACAAATGTGTATAGCTTGCTCTTGTTCGTGATTGCAAAGATACAAGATACCCAATGATGCTACACTTGCAGGGCGATGGGGCTGAATCTGGCGTGGTTGATGCTAATAATAGACAAGATCGTGGGAGAGGGCGGACGGCATGCTTTTAAACTTCTTGGGAGAGCGGGACAAGTGAGAGGGAAAGACTTGAGACTCGAGAAGGGAAGGGGTGGGGAGTGGGTAGGGTGCTGGGGAGGGTGCTGCGTATGGGTCATGGTCACGGTCAACGGTCATAGTCATTGGTTCAGGTCATGGTCTGGGGTCCTCGGAAAGCAGGAAGACCAGACTGCCTCCTGCCAGATACATACAGTACCTAGAAAGCCCACACAAGTCCCTTGTAGACAGCCAGTCAAACAGCCGACCGCAGAGCTCTCTCAATGAAAGCAGACCTCGAAGGAGAAAGTGAGAGTGAGAGTGAGAAGTGAAAGTGGAAGTGGGCGGGGGTCAGACTACCGACAGCATAGGCCTTAGGTCTTCGCTTCTAATGCACCCATGTGGGCAGAGCACCGTTGAACCTCGACTACCTGCAGAGACCGTTGTTCCGAGATGGGCTCCACCGCCTCCTCGAAACCAACATTGGCCCTTTCGACACCCTCATTGATTAGAACCCTCCAAGTAATCGTCGCGTACGAAAATTAAAATTAATTTTTTCTCCAAAAAATAAAAAAATAAATCATCGTTGTCTCTCTTAGCCGTGATCGCTGATGACTGTCTTCAGTACATAGAGAACAACCGCCCACCAACCTCAACAATCATGGACAAGAGAGAGCGGGCCCGTCATCACGAAGTCGGCTCACTCCGTAAAATGCTCGCAATTAGCACTGGTGCGTTCAACACATCGACAACCAATATTGGGTGTGAGATTTCTAGGACTATACAGTATGAAAATTGGACTATGAGGGGTACGACAGGCATCGGTACGTTATGTCATGGATTTACCCGTTGAACCAATAACCGATCGTTTTAACCTTCTTCATCCTCAGCCTTACGGTCCTCGAGATCGACAAGAGTTCACCCAAACCTGGCCACTCCCTGCGCATCAGGTAACGAATTGCAGCTTTGATGTGTTGTGTACCTCTCCTCTTCCTGCTGACTTGATCAAATTGAGCCGGAAAACCCCAAAGTGAGCTTAGGTCCTTTTGCAGCTACCCTTCTTGAGACGCACGTCGTCGGATATCTTTAGAAAAGACCATGCTTCTCGAAAGCTGCTGCGTCGTACATTGGCATCAACTCACTGCTCTGGGTTGATGATGATGGAATGAATTCATCTCCTTGCATCTGCACGGCAGGCTAACCGCCTGCTACTATCTTCATCACGAGTCTCGATATACGTAGTGCCCATATCTTCTCGTTTCATATCCTAGCAAATCAATCAATGACCCAATCAATAGGAATCCATCGGAAAACATATTTGCGACAGCCGGATCGGTATTGCAACCTTGCCCGGCAGACTGGTTCTCTATACGTGTCCAAGTTTAGGCCGGCAGGCATCGTACCAAAGACCTAATTGCGATAGGCAATCTCATGACACTATCGTGAATCTCCATCATTCATGGCCATCTGTTCTCCTCGCCAAGCGAGCGAGCCCCCACCCAGTACAATTTTCCAGTAATTGGTAAATCACTTTTTTTTTTAGTAAATCACTGATCAGGATAGTGAGCAAATACCACTTGATCATTCACACCAGAATAATCGACGTCCCGAACGTCAGTTTCTTACCCATTCACGCGAAAAGTGTACATAGACCAATTTGTGGTTCAATGGCGTCTTCTATCCTCGGATACTGCCGTCATTCAGATCACATACTAAGCGCCGTGGCCTTGAATGACTAAACCAAACATTTGCTAGCGAATACCCTAAATCCTAGTTGTTTTAAGCTCCCGTTAATGGTGATTGGATCATCGCAACATCCACATGTGCTGCAAGTAATTCCAAGGCTTGGACAGGAACAAATAAGTGACGAATGAGGGAGAACCCCTGCTGGGCAAATCGTTTATGGTGGAACGAGAACGACGGAGCACAGGGGGCCAAGACAAGATTGCTAAAAATAGCTATTTATAGCAAGCCGACAGCTACCCGAACAGCTACCCGCATGTTCACCATGCTCCTAGTCCGGCCAATTAACCCTCGACAGCGAAAGTACTTGTGGGTAAATTAACCATCTTTCGTCGTAAGTGGTGACAATTATGATGCTGATCCTTGTCTGATAGCAATACCAACCACTGCAAGCAATCGAGGTGCAATGTTGGACTTTGAAGAAAGGCCGAAGCTCCTTGCGAGAAAGTGTTGATCAATGAAAAACCTCACACGACGCCAAACTGGACTTCCCCGCCTGATGCAGCTGCCGAATTAGGACATATGTTTCGATCTTCCTCGATGGAACCTTGAATGTTTGCAAACGGGCAATAGGCGATTTACGAAGCAGCGGCAATCACCATCAAAACCACCACCGTCCATGACGACCTCCCATCATCCTCGCCCTTCTACACGCGGTACGCGTGGTTGTGCTTACACTTGCAGCTTGGCAGGCACATGTGCTTGCTTACCTGACTCAACCCCATCCATCCAGTTTGCTTTACTGATCATCGACGATTGCCTCCTTGGCGAATGCAGTCATCAATATCCTTCTGTCTTATTCTCACCTGGAAGCCTCTTCCTCCGTTGTACCTAGCTTACGGTTGGTCAGAGTCAGGTAGACTCGGTTCCTCGTGGACACAAAGTAGTACCTTGCAAACTATGTAGAGTTACAGCGAGAAGATGGCGCACATGGAACTCGTGCTGACCATCAAGCCATCTGCAAGAACGGCCCTTGGTCATGGTTTCTCTGGACAATTAGCCGCCGAGTGGGCAATATTGTCTCTTTAACCTAGTACGTGCAGGGGTCGAGGGCATTTAACCCTTCTTAGGCATGCACTCAAAGGACAGCGGACCGCCTGCGCCGGCAGTGAAGAAACCCGCTGTTCATGTGCTGCGCAATCTTGGCACCGCCGGCCCAGCAAACAAGCTCGGGTACCTTTTGTCGTTGATGGGACTATGTATGCATGTTGCGCTCTTTCGTTTGCAGCAATCCAGCTCGTCCACTTGGGCTCACCGAGAAAATGAACATGCACGGCTCTCAATAACGTCAATTCGCACTTTGGCTGTGGCAGAGCCAAATCACATTCGCCCGTTGCGGCTGCTGGGGAGCAAGCGCTACATTTCGTAGAGCGTACAGATGATTACTGGAAACTGCATAGTGTTGCCTTGCTGAAAACTTGCTCACGACCCGAAGCCACCGGATTCAGAGGACTTCAGCACCATCCTCTTCTAGTCGCTTCAGTCATCATTTGTCTTTTCGTTGCGATAACGTCCTGCAAGAGGTGCACGTTCGCTTACTTGCCTCATCCTTCAGAAAAATGCAACGCAGGCGTTTCTGCACTATTGCACATCAGACATCACCTTACTAACCTCCTAAATTCCTCACTCTCACGCACGAAAAAGGCTTAAAAAAATTTCACACGCCAATGCTCACCCACATATACATAACGCACACGTGTTGTCATCACATCCCTGGCCCCTCTCTCAAGTACCTTACTTCACATACCACTCGACCGGATGCGCTTGTGAAAGGGGGGGAAGGGCGGGACCCACCGCCTACTTGGGGTCCAAAAAGCCCTACCTTATCTATAGACTTACATAGTGTAGGGGAGCGGGTTTTTTTGGCGACGGAAAGGGTTGCTCCCCCGGGGAGGGCATCATCGCACGCGCGACGATCTGCACATGCAGCAGCAATGCAGGTTCTGCTTGCTATGTTTAGCAACAACGCTCATACTTTGGGGGGGCAGGGGACGCACATCCCATCCGGCCAGTCGGTAAGCCTCATGGATGCAGACCACTTCTCTCTTGTTCCTAATTCTCTCTCTCTCGCCTGCATCGTTACTACTGTTTATTGCCTGGGACCATGCGTCCATGTTTCCAGAAACAGACCACATCGCTGCGATGCATCGTCCTGTACCGTACCTGCCTAAGCGCCCGCGCTTCTGCGACCACTTACACGACGGCCTTTCTTCCCAGTAGTCTGGGAGAAGGCTTGGTCAAGAGATGCATTGCATTGTCTGCGGATGTCTTCTCGACTTCAACACCAACCACAACAGTCGTCACGGATATTCATGAAGGTCGTTTTGGGTAACAATTGCAATTTCGCTGTTTGCGGCATTGCCATGCCTTGCTATGCCTAAGGGGTGTCCTTCTGCAGTGAACGCCTCGAAAATGCTTCCAAATTTGGTTCAAGGATCTTCCGGTCCTCAGGTACAATGCAGCCGGACGCGCTTTCTGAAGTCATGTACATGTAAACGCCAAAAAGAAAAAAGAAAGAGGGAAAAAAAAAAAAAGGTGTGTAATGTAAGCTATCCTCTCCCAACACCTATGCATATGCAATATTCCGTAACCATGTCGTCAATCCTCTGGCCTAGCCCCTATCGCCATGATGCCACGGACACCTTCTCAATGTGCTGAGCACCAATCATATAATTATATCAGCTTAAGTTGATTTGTTAGGCGAGAAAGGTTGATTGGCGTCGCGCATCTTAGCTCAATGCATTATGAGTATGTCTCCTGAGTCAGTATATTTTGTAGTGACAAGTCACTTGCAAACCCCTCTTGATGTACCTATTGCAGGGTTGCTTGTTGTTGTAACGGCGATTTTTAGGGCAGTTCATACAAGGCAATCGCTTGGCCCTGGCTTTTTGCGTCTTGATAACGTCACCCTTTGGCCTTGGTTGGCTTTTTCTCTAGCTAGAATCGGCGGACATGCCAGGTGCGCTGAAGGACCCGAAGCCTCCAAGATCGGCAGCGTTGTTGTCTGTCGAGATCGTGCCATTAAGCAGTGGACATTTGCTGAGACGGTCATGTTAGCAAGACTGTACATGTTGAGCATTGGGATGGGTTATCAGTAGACCGCCGTGATGCTTTCTCTGTGTTTATGTGGTGACATGATTCCAAGCTCAGAAGTCATGCGACGATGAGGTAGGAGTGTCATCGTGTGATTGTACGATTGACAGTCGAGGGAGTGAGCCAGTAACGGTCATACAGCCTCATTCAACTCGACACAATCTACTTGATGCAGACTGGAGACTTTCCAGTATCCGCCAGGGGAAGGGAAGGGAGTTCATAAGAGACATCGGCAATAGTACCTCTTGTTTGTCTTAATATGACCAATTTGCCCACAGTTTGCACATTTTCGCGTCGTGCCTCCTGCCGCCTTATCGACAGAATCAGACGGACCCGGAGAACCTGCGTTGGTGTCCTTCTTCTTTCGCTTGCCTTTACCCTGCTTCTCGCGCACTTGGCGTCGATCGGCATTCTTTTCAAGGCGCTGCAGTTCTTGCTCGATGCTAGAGAGTTGTTAGCAAAATAGTAACATGACTCGAGGCAGGCGGAACAGAAAACTTGCAGTTTCTGGTTCAAACGATCCGCGTCGGCATCGCCAGTAGGTTTCGCAGTATAGATGCTAAGTTGGTGTTGTTAGTATAAATTCACACGACGGCGTGGACAAATACTTGGCTGCCATTGGGAGACTTACTCTTTCTTAGCGACATCGATCTCACGTCGTTGCTTGATGTAACTTCGGATGATCTGGGGGTCGTCGATTATCACAGTTTCGTCCTGGATAGTACCATCTTCAGCCCGCCTTTTACGTGTAATCTTCAACTTGCGCCGTCCAGATCGGCTGCTTTGGCTGAAGCGACTCAATTGACTGCGTCCATCGTCCATCATCGGGGGAGCCGAGGTGTGATCTGCGGATTTCGTTGGGTTGAATCTGTCATCCTCATTGGTGGTGTCAAGGACATCTGAATCTTCATGAGTTGTGGGGTCAGACAAAGTCTGCTTCTGTCTTTCCCAGATCTCATTGATGGCTGCGGTGTACATCTCGTTTTGCTTCTTGACGTTGTATGAGTGCCCGCCGTTCGCCTTGCGCTCACGCTCAATAGCATCAGCACTTGTGGCGAGAGGACCTTGCACTGCATTAATGTAACCTCCCTTCATAGACGTCTTGATGAAACTGAAACCAAGACCATGGCCAGTAGGATCTCCTTCACCATGGAGGGCGACCATCGCTTTGCTTTGGCAGGCATCGAGGAAGTTCTTGGTAAGCTCCCAAGGAGCTAGCTTTGCAACAAGAGGAGTGTCAGTACCTAACTCGTCGTCTTCGTCAGCGAAACTTGGTGCTTTGGGATCGTATCCCGCATTCTGAAGTGTAGCTGAGCCCACTTGGGTCGCCTCAATGAGAACAACATCCTCTGGCTTGATCTGCTGGCGAATGGTTCGCTCGTCCATCGGGGCATCGCCTTCTTTGTATTTCCACGTCTTCGACTCCTTATCGTAGACGTAGAACTCTTTCATCTTCTGTCTGTCATTGGGGTCAATTCTGCCAACAGAACCGTCATCTCTGGGCTGGTACCTGTTTTGAGGATCCACCTTGTCAAACACATGCGCAGTCACTTCTCTGATGTCGATATCCTGCGTTGGTCTGTGGCGGGCCATGCGATCACAAATTGCTCTCATCCGCTTCTTGTTGGTACTGGTTATCATTCTAGCATGAGGACCTGGGACTTCTTGGAAGACGTTCTGTTGACCGACGACTTGCAGGCTATAAGCCTTTCTCAGATAGTAGTGCGGCGCATCCTTGGCAGTGATGGTAAACCCGAGAATAAAATCGTTGCTGCGTTGTTCATGTTTGAATACGGGCGCCCGGTACAAAGCATTGTGAAGAGTGGGCACGACCTCACCAATGTCGACAGTGCCGAAGATGGAGAAGGGTGATTTGTCCTCTGGCAGAAGCGTCTGTGTTTCTCCGAGCTCCGCCTTGGGAAGTTTGTCAGGTTCCTCCTCGCCTTCGTGACGACGAGTGTAATTGATGATACGACTGCCCATTCCAAACTTGTTCAGTAGAATCGGAGATTGCTCACAGTACTCGAAGAGAACGATGTTGGAATTGTCATTCAGACTAAGATCCCTGCTTGACTTGTATACGTCTGGAACAGGCTTACCCTTGAGTTCCTTGCGCTTGACCTTTGCCGGCTTCTTAAACTTGACTTGATACTTGATGTAGCTGGCGATGTCGAACTTGGGTCGATGATGCTCCCAGAATTCGACATTAAGCTTGGTTCGATAAAATGGAAAGGCCAACTTCTGCGCAGGCAAACTGTGCTCGACGTCCAGGTTCGATAACGTAGCTCGGACTTTGCTCTTGTGGTTCGCCTTCAGGGCCTCGTATGCAGCATCGTTGGAGTGGTTAAAACGATGCATAACGTCACGACCCAGCTGCCCGTTGGCCATGCGCCTTGTCTTTTCTTCTGTTCGTGCCTTCTTCACAGGCCTCTCCATTTGCATGTCTTCAATGAGCAGATAAGGGTCATTTTGGTCAAGCTGGATGCAGTGTGCCGCTCTCTTGGTAGCCTCCATGAAATTCGAGATACCGGCTGATTGATAGGAGGCCAGACTGGGCAAACCAGGTTCGTACTTTCGCTTTTTCTTGGGTTGCGGGCGTCGGTCTCCAAGAAACTCTCGCTCCCAATCGTCCATGGGTTCGTCCTCCTCAGCAGGTGGTGTGAGCTGACCGTTGAGCTGTAGCGAGGTCGGAGCCTCATTGATGTTCTCCCAGTCCTCGCAGATAGTTGCAATTTCGGTCATGGTGTACCCGCCCACAAGTTCGTCTTCGTCGTCGGAATCGGAAAGGGCATCATCAAGATCTATCAACGTTGGACCGGTGAGGTTGCTCCACTGAGGGAGGTCTCCGAATTGCTGTTGCTGAGATCTCTTAGATGCTGCAGTGGCGGCAAGGGCAGTGTCGGGAATCCTGAAGAGCTTGGAAGTATCAACATCAATCTCCAATTCCAGCTTGGTGGGCACTAGTGGTGCCGGACTCTTGGGAGGCTCCTTGTAGAGATATTCTGCTGGCCACTCTGGGAAGAGCTCTCTAAAGTCCAGGACCTTGTGCTCTTCGAAGGACGGGAACTTGTGCTTCAGAAGCTCATCGATGTTTTGCGGGGGCACAGGGACGGACGGGTCTTGATGCTGAGTCTGGTCGGTAACCCAGGCGCTGACGCTGTTGGGTTCCTGCTGTGGGAAGTTGAGTTTGAACCTTTCTTCCCAGGACATGGTGTTCCACTCATCGTCGGTGACGTTGGCGGCGGTGATGGGCTCCTTTCGAGCCTGAACTGGCGAAGAGGGAGCTGCTGGCTGTGCATCGCGTGTGATCTCAGGAGACGACGGGGGAAGATCGACATTACCGCCATCCTGGTCGCCAAAGAGATCGTCTAGATCAGCATCGCCTTCCATGTCGACATCGTTGCTGATGCCGCTATCCTCGGTGAGGCCGGGAACTTGCGAGATGTCAGCGGCGGCGCCTGGCTGGGAAGCGACGTCTTCGTCGGAGGCAAGATCATCGTCACTTAGATCCTCGAAATCGATGGCATTGGCATCCTTGTCGGTCTGATCGATCTGCTTGTTGTCGAAACCTTCCAGTCCTGTCACGTTTCCCTCGGTCGCTAGGCTGTTCAGAATGTTTTGGAGCTCTGCATCATCTTGCTTGGTGGTGTCTTCGAGCCCGCTGGGCTCGGGGCCGTCGAGACCACCAAGAACATCAGGAGCGTCGAGATCAGCAAAGAGGTCATCGTGATCGTCGAGGCCCTCGACCTTGACGGCATGGGGAGACGATGCCATGGTGAGATGCTGTGTGGTGGTTGCCGTGGGGGTCCTCTGGCGACGAGTCGCAGTTGGTTGGTGGGGGAGCTTGAGCTGAGCCTCGCCTCTCCTGCCTGTGCTCCTCTCCGGCGTTGTTGTCTTCGTGTCTCGTCGTCGTTCTTGCCCGCGCACTCGTCCGCGTTGTCGTGGTCGTTGTCGTCCTCGTCCACTACCAGGCGCAAACAGGATGAAGATGACGTATCCAGTGTATCATGCCTGGAAGAGATGCTGATGATCAAGAACTCTTTCCCGGTGGCAAAGAGCATGTGGTTGCTGTTGTGGCCATCAAAAAGTGAGATGGTGTGCCAAAGTCGACAGTGGAAATTCAGGAACCTTGAATTTCCTGAGGTTTGCTTGACTCCGACAGGTCGAGCCCCGAGGCCAAAGCCAGAGCCAAAAGCCAAAAGCCAAAAGTCGAGCTCGATGATTGATGGAGCAAGTTCGGCCTGATTGTCACTAGCGCGTTCTATGATTGTGCTTTCCACGCTTCACGCGCCACGCTGACTTGGACTAGGCTAACCGTAGTACTCAATAATACTTGCTTACCCCAGATTGCGTTGCGCGCAAACACGACGGGAGACTTTGAAACAGTGGGCTACATATCTACTATACGTGAGCAAGCACGCAGGCAACGTTGGGGGTTGAGAGGATTCTCCATCGGGAATCTTGGTGGGGCTCAACCAGCAGGCACCAAGAAATCGGAGAGAGAGCTCCAGTGCACCTGGGGGCAACGTCCAGTTGACTCACCCCCCTGAATGATCCTGTGAGCCGGTGCTACGGATGCTACCGTGTATGCCAGTGGACACGATGCTTGTATGTTTAATCAACCCAGTCTAAGCTTGCTCTCACTGTTGTCCCGTACGACAATAGAATTTTGATTTCGGGCATGTCACCTTGACCTGTCCCCATCTACAGCTGCACCATCAATTCCGCAAACAAATCGATTCAGAAGTGACCGATCTTTTCACTCCGCTACTTGCAGCTGCTGCTGCAGTCAGACATTATCTCATGGCTACCCTAATTAAATCGAAACATTCGTGAGTACCGGACCATGCCTACAGCTCCAGAAGGAACATTAAGAGTCTCGCGCACCCATTCAAGTCAAGTCGTCGCGGGACCCATCCCAGAAATCCGACATGGATACATACAACCTTCTCTATGCTATCATTGAATTGACCAGACTACTGCAGTCTAATCTGCGATTCAATGCAACTAATACTAAACCATCATCTCGGGTCCACATGACAGGTGCCGAGGTCGGTATTCCACGTCGCCTGCATTGTTTCTCTCCATTGCTCTAAACTAAGTGGAGTACATGATTTCTTAACTCGAGTAGAGAAAACCCACGTTTGAGTAAGATAATTCCGACTCAAAAGTTTCTGAAAGCTTGCGTAGCCTTTGAATTTCGTCAAGTCATTCGCCCTCCACCAGGACAACGCGTCATGGTGGCTTCACTACCCAAAGACGTGTTGAGGGCCAGGTACGTTGGAAAGAGCTTGTATCAAGTTAGTACACCTGCTGCCGTCCTAGACTTGGCCAAAGTTGAAGCCAACTGCAACCTGATGCTGGAGGCTGCACAGCGGTTGAACCTCAGCTGGAGAGCGCACATCAAAACGCACAAGGTACGGGGCTTTGTGGCCATACTCTCTCCTCTTGACCATTTGGGACTATGCTATGCTCTCAATTGGCCCTATTATCGCAGTCCATATCACTGACCAATCAACTGTTGACCCTGACTAGACCGCTGAACTTACACGCCTGCAAGTTGGAGATCAAGACACAACCCCGGTCAACATAGTCGTGTCCACTCTTGTGGAAGCAGAAAATGTCCTACCTCTGCTAAAGGAATACCAAATTCGTGGCCGACAAGTCAATGTGAGTTCTATAGTTAACCGATATTCTCCACTTTTTTGACGTTTTAAGGTTCTGTTCGGTTTCCCTATATTCGCATCATGTGTGGATCGACTCGCAACCATATCTGCACAATTAGGACCTGATGGTTTGTCAGTAATGGTAGACCATCAAGATCAACTTAAGCACCTGACCTCCCTAGCTTCCAAATCTGGTAACCCTCCACTCGTCTTTCTCAAGGTCAATGTGGCTAGTGGTCGAGCCGGCGTGGTTCCCGGTTCACCAGACTGCTTACGCTTGGTCGACCAACTCATTGTCTCAGAGGCCGTCGGCTCGTGCGTATTTCTCGGCTTATATACTCATACCAGTCAGTCATACGAGATGCGTCAAGACTGGGAGGCACTAAATTTTCTCGGCCTCGAGCTTAGTTCACTGGATATTGTCGCACAGGCCGTCAGGAAAGAGAGACCAAACCATCCCTTGGTGTTGTCTGTTGGTGCATCGCCCCAGGTAACATCCCTACAACACCCATCGTTCAGTGATGACGACTCAAGCTCGTTAAATTTGGACGGCGAATCACTCCTAGCTAAGATCTCAAACTTGATCGGCAGCCTCAAGAAAGAAAATTTCGCCGTTGAGGTGCACGCGGGCGTCTACACAACCCTTGATCTTCAACAACTTGCTGCGCATGGACGAGATTCGAGGTTCTTAAGCCCGGCAGCCATTGCTATTTCGGTGCTGGTGGAAGTGGGCAGTTTATACCCAGGCCGTGGACCCGATGGTACCACAGAGGCTTTGATCAACGCAGGAACATTGGCACTGGCCAGGGAACCCTGTGTGGACAAAGGAAGTCCTCCGGGAAGAGATTATAGCAACTGGGGCATCGTGGCTCCTTGGAACTGTGGAAGCCAGCCGGTACCGGGTCCAGAGTTTCCAGCCAAGCATGGCGGATGGCAAGTGGGAGAGGTGACACAAGAGCATGGCATTCTTCGGTGGGTGGGCGCGAAAGATGATGAAGTCAATCTGTATGTTGGTCAAAGGCTACGGATTTGGCCGAACCATGCGTGCATCACGAGTGCCAGCCATGGCTGGTACCTGATTGTTGACAGTCGAAACCATGGACAAAAGGACGAGATTGTTGATGTGTGGCCCCGGTGGAATGGATGGTGAGAGGCCATTAGACCCATCGAGCGCTGCAAAACTATCTGCTGGTCACCGCCGGCTCTGGCTAAAGTGTGCCTTAAAAAGCGCGTCTCAGCGGGCTCGTCGTTGCCGTCTGAACGATGGCGTGAATGAAGATGGGGGAAGGCTTATAATGACCCGGATTTCGCATGTGCCTTCACATGATATTATACTATGCTTGATGAACTACAAATCTGTGGCATGTTTCCTCTCATGAATCCTTATGAAATACGAGAAATATCCTAACCGTGATTCAAATAATTGAGCGGGCAAGCCGAACGGTTTTGGGCAGAGATGCCGGCATTCGTAACAGACGGTGTCATGATTTCCTTCTTCGGATCTTATGTCGAGGAGCAGCATTCTGGAAAGGACGAGCACCATCAAGACGGGACCTGGGGCATAACAAGCACGTGCAAAATTAGCTTAGGGGTCGCCGGTAGTTGTGAAATGGAGATGACTAAGGTCAGACGAGGAAAGAAGTCTGGCGGGTTACGTGATCTCCATCGGGGGGGGTTGGTAAACAAGGCTTCTTCCTTCTTCGTGTCAACTCAATCGTGCTGAGCCACGTCCCTGCACAATTGGGGGTGCTGGAAGACGTCACTAGGTTAACGTTAAGCAAGTGCGCACCTTGCGGGTGGTAGCTTCAAAGTTCTAGTTAGAACACCGCTAAACACCCCTCTAGACTAGCCGCGGCAGTTCATTTGGAGTTGTGCTGATCAGTGCAACTGGTACGGGGTACAGCGCAATCAAATCAAATGCAAATATTTGTGTTGGCGTGGTTTCCGACCATCAGCATTCCGATCTGTACTACTACTAATACCCAATACCCATATCCACGTGGCTGTCGGGAAAGCCACGGACTTAGCCCAAGAGATCCGAGCTGTTGCAATTGTCTTTCTACATGATTGGGCCTTGAAGCATTCTTCGCCGCGACATTCCATATCGCGAACCGACACGACCGTCGGGCACACTCCTTAATTTCCCTCGGTATGCTCTAACGCTGCCATCTATTTATTAAGGGATCCGGAGCAGCAATCCCCGACATCTTCGAACTTGGCATGCGAGGAGACCTCTTACTGGGTCAAGGTGGTGCGCCCGGATGGCAAATGTAGATGGAAACCCCCCGCATACGCAGGGTAGCTTTAATCCTGCGCCCCGACAAACGAGAACGTCGACGGCGAGATCCAGCTGGAGCCATGGTAGCTACGAAACCGGCGAGTCGAGTACGACGGGAGGCGAATCAAGCACGGCGCGGGACTCAGACTTGTTGTCCTCTACCCAGCCAGAGTACCAGGCCACAAGCAGACCACGGCAGACAGCCAAGGAGGATGGCCGTCGGCGATCGCATAGACCTCGGCCCACCGGTGGCTTCCTCCTTTCGGATCCAGTCTTTGATGGGAAGCCATCCCGCCCAAAAGCGACAGACCGAGGCGATGGGCGCAGACGATCCAGGATACCGGTTGACAGCCGAAGAGCAAAGAGCCCCATGTATGCTACGCCGGACAAAGCGAGCTCCGTTAATACAGCATCGCCCGAACACGGAACGGACACAGCCGACATGGAAGAGATCCAAGGGGACTCGCTTCATATGGGAAAAGTACGCGATCCGAAGGCATCGAGAATCCCTTCGCCAAGAACAAACCCGCCAGTTGATCTCGACTCCACGCAGATCGTAAGCATGGCCTTGAACTTGAGCGAGTCTAGAAGAATGGCGCAGAGAAGGAACGTCTCGACTCCGGTGCCTCCTCGGCTCACTCAAGTCCCTGATAGTCCTGTCGGTGGGAGTCTCAAGCAGCATTTACAACAGCAAAGACGGACCTCACGCAACATATCTCCCAGTGCTAAGCCAGAAAAGGGCGGGTTGGCGCCGCGGAGTGTTTCGGTTTCCCACCCGAGGCTGACCAGTCCGCTACAAACATCTTTCGAGCCTGACAACAATTACACATATCATTTCTCGTCCTCCACCCTCAACCGGGCCCAGAAGGCGAAGGAGCATTTTGAGCTGATGGCGCAGTACAGACGGCTACTAAACCTGGTGCCACCCCTACAGCACAAGGGCCAGACCAGTCGTCCTTCTACGTCAAGCCCTCCCACTTCTCCGACCCTCGGCCCAGCTTCATCTTTTCCCTTTGCTGCCGGCCAACTATCTTTAGGTCGTCCTTATAATCCTCTTCAATACATCAGAAATCGTAAAGTGAGGGCTCGAGAAAGGAAGGCTATCGACGGAGAAGCCCAAGGCTTTGCTGATGTCAATAGAGTCACTGACTGGGTTGATCAAGCTGCCACAATGGTTGCTACAACCCCAATACTCCAGCCGGACTCACCATCTATCCCTGTTTTCCCCGGAGCTCATATTGCTGATATCCAGAATGCATCAAGTCTACCCATGCCGGTGTCAAAACCAAAGAGACCAAGACTGGATTGGTATGTAGAGCCAGCTGATCTGGTAGCCGATCTTTACTGGGTCGAACAAGACGACAATCGGACTTTGATCGAAGATCGGAATTACACACGCATTTTCCCTTTCCCAAAAAAAGTAGCGAGCGGCTCAAGACCAATGTCTCAGGAGATTCATGAACCAAACACGGCGTCATCTATGGCAGCGGTAAAGTCCCGTGGAGATGCAGAAGGCAGTGTAGCATCTGCCGACCAGAACCTTTCGGACTCTAATGCAGTCTCAAGGGCAAGTACGGAAACGTCTCGCATCGGCACAAGAGATCGTGCCCGACAAAAGCTTCATGAGATTAGGGGTCTACATCACCGACACGAAGGCTCAGCTTATGGCCATCATGACTTCTTGCACTTGAGAAAAAGCTCATATTCAGATACGTCCGATAGTGAAGTTGATCGCCGCAAACGAGATCGGAGTGGAACCATCAGCGCCAGAGACCAGGCGCTCCTGGAGAAGCAGATGAATGAGATGCTTGCAAAAGAGCCAGTGACAGCCCGTAAGCCCACCCCTCAAGTCGTCGATATGGAACCACAAAAGCCAATCAAACCAACCTTGATGACACCTGAAAAAACACCAGCTTCTTCGGGCTTTTTTAATAGTGGTCATAATCGGAAAGGCTCGAGAATTGAAAGTTCCAACAACGATCATTTCAATCGTACACATGTGAGGCATGGGTCTCCAACTCGTCCGGGTCGTGCTAGCCTCGAAGTTCCTGGCTGGAAAACCAGAGCTTCAATGGATCTTGATAGTTCTGCCCCTTCGTCGCCGGACCTCAAGGCCTCGAGCAGTGGTGTTTATATACCCGCTATTGGGATGGATCTCTCACCGCCAAGCAGCCGCGCTGAATCTCCTGTTCGCAATACATTCTCAAAAGTCAAGAGCATCTTCCGTGATCGTAGCCGGGATCGCAGCCGAGAGAGGGCAGTTCTCCAAGGAAGAGATGACACACTCGATAGTCCTGTAGAAGAAGTGGAGCAACCCATGCCTTCTCGGTTGTCGGTAGAAGGCATCGGTTCAACTTTCAGACAGCGATCAAAAAGTCCGGCGCCAAAGATTCCCAGAACAGAAACTCAAAAGTCCCATAAGAGCATGGGTAGCTTACGACTGGGCAAGGATGAGCAGAGTGGCCTTCGGACCATTTTGAAGGGTAGTGCAAAGATTGATGGTATTATCCGGCGCGGCGTTTCCAATGTTTCTGAGCTTCTTTGGAAGAAGGATGATGGTAGTTCGACCGACACTTCCAGTGATGAGTCCGAAATTGAACCTGCTAGAGGGAGAACAAGAACATCACCAGTGTCACATGTGGACTTGGGACGACCACTTGGGCAACCACAAGATAAGCATTATCTGGACATAATGCCACCGTTCAAGCCCACTTCTCAAGTTGGACCACCAGCCGTTTCCGAAGACGATAGTGTGGCAGTGCCTTTGAACCACTCAACAAGCCGTCGATCACCTCGTGTTGAGAGGGAACGGCTGAAGTTGCCACGCATTGACGTGTTGAATGCCTCGCCTGACTCGTCGCCATTTGGAGCGTCGAGACCTCGCGAAATTTATGACGAATCTGCCATCTCTGATACAGAATTGCAGCCCCACAACCAGGAGATTCCAAGTGAGGCAATTAGAAAGTCATCTACACAACTTAATTCCATACTAGCATTGCCAGTGCCAGCAAGCCGTCAACATCGTGGCTCACTTGGCCAGAACCGGCATTGGTCCATCTCGGACCGCTCGCCTTCTCCGCATCCTCAAAAATCAACTCAGCTCTCGAAGCGTGAAGTAGCACGTCTTCGCACGCTTGCTCTTTCATCTGGAATCAAGGCCATGGAAATCGCTAGGCGTACTACAGAATTACAGTCTCTAACTTCTCAGCCCAAATTCAAGTCCGTCTTGCCGATTTCTTGGGACGAGTTGGCTCCGTTTGTGGGCGACGGCACACAGGTCCCTGATGCTGTGTCGCAAATCGAGGTGTATGTCGCGACCTCTCATATCCTGACTACGAGCATCGATTCTTCAGATGCAGCACTTGAGAAATCTGCCTCTGCATTTATCAATGGCGATATGAGGCAGCTTCGCAACCGCGTCGATGGCCTACATGCACGTGTTGCCACAGAGCTCATCGACATGACTCGCCGCGCTGCGGACGAGGCAGACGAGTGCTCAAGGGACATGGTAGATAGTCAGCGGCTTAAGGTGAAGAGGGTTGTTGACATCATCGATACGATGCTGAGACGCAGGAGACGTCGTTTCAGATGGGTAAGAAGGGGCGGCTGGCTCATGGTTGAATGGGCGCTGGTGGGCTTCATGTGGTATGTGTGGTTTGTCGTTACGATCCTGCGCATCTTCCTAGGTATAGGAAGGGGTGCGTGGAATGGTGTGAGGTGGTTGCTTTGGCTACGATAAATTATAAATGATATTGTAAATATAATATGTGGGCGGTGAGGTGAGGAGATGGAAGGGAACCTCAAATGGGCGACGGACTGCAAAGGTGCAAGCCGCTGGGAGACAGTTTTGATACCCGTGATGCGTCCTTTTACAGGGCCATTTTCCTTTGTTTTCAATACACACGGCTTCATTGTAGGAGCATAGTCTCCGGATGTCGGAGCAGGGAGTACGGTGTTCACAACAACATTAACATCGAAATTCCCAACTATTTGGCAAGTTTATGGGTAATACGCTTTAAGAGAGTAGTATGGTCTGTAATTAATGTATTAAGAAATACATATTCTCATTCTACTTATAGCTTTCTTCTCAAATAATTGCGGCATGGAAAGAACCTGCGATAACTTGAGCCAGTCCCGTGAAAACTAAACAATTAGCAGCATTTAGTCAAAAACCACTATATTCAAAGCTTGGTCGGTGGAGTAAAAAAGAAAACAAAAAAAGAAAACAAAAAAGAAAACAAAAAAGAAAACAAAAAGGGGGGGTATTAGACCTTAATTTACTGCAAAACAAGTTTGTGAAATCTCAGCTGGCTACCGAGCCAAAGCGTGGCGCTGACACAAATGACCCCTTGATTCTCATATTGTTGTCTCTATAACTCCTGGCCGGCGCTGAATTTAACAATGTTATAGATGTTTTCGGAAGAAAACATCTTGCTTTTGTACCACAAAGGGCATTTCTGCTAGTTTGTGGCCACCATCTGGTATAAATACCAAGTCGAAGTCCTTTCCCGCCTCTATAAGAACGCGATATAAGCGTAAGGTTAACAATGAAGTTATATCTCTACTTATCTCGCTAATAATAAGCATTAAAGATCCGCCTTACTTGTATATATTAAGTTATATTAAAAGAATCCTCATGTTACAGTATAGGTGTGACGCCCCTCGGTCATATATAGTGCAATTACGCTATCATGGATAACCTCCGTGATACACACTTTTGGCTCATTAGCCTAGCGGTACGCCAGACGCAAACGTACTGTAATAAGATGATATACTTCTAAAGCGATTATGGTAAGGCTACCTCCTTATAGTTGTAATTAAGGTTGTATATATCAAGATCGCCGTACCACTTTATTAAATGGCCATTGGTACCGAATTACCGAGTCTGTCCCTTACATTGAAAGCGTATCCAGACCCCGTTTGGTGCCACGTTGATTTACTAAAAGGGGAGGTTATTAGGGCTGAATTCCTTCTGTATGGCTTTGCTAATGTTAGCTGTAAGCGCGTTATGATCAAAAGCCGCTCTTCGAAAGTCTTTGATATAGTCGACCAAGATGAATTAAATCTTTCCTAGCTCAAACTCCCGTCGATACCAGAATACATTGCCGCAAGACAGCCATTGTGGGAAAACACTGGCCCGGCGAATGCAGGCTTTCTCCAAGTCATATAGGTCTTGGTTCATGGTTTCAATCTGATTAAGCAGTGCATGTGTCGAAGAAGAGGATTTTCCGGCTACCCTAGTCAAGATACTTCGTAAATAAGCACACCGGACGAAACAGATAAAGAATACATACTATGCGTCGAAGGCCACAGGGGGTAGACAAGGATGGAGTGGGTACTCATGCGCAGTATTCAAAGTTTACACCCGAGTCTATGTATGTATCCATGCATGTACTGATATCATCGAGTGCACTGAGAAAGGAAAGGATGGATATCAGGGTGTAATTTTCGAACCGAGGGCTGGGTCTACAGTGTTCTGGGAGAATACGCCTCCTAATGGTTCTACCCATGATAGAGTTTATCATGCCGCTCTCCCGGTCAAGGCAGGAAAAAAGGTTGGGTTGAACATATGGTCATGGGACACCGCCTGGACCCGTGCAAATATTTCTGTCTAAGAAATATTATGCCTTGGGTTCAATCCGTGGAACAGAGTCACGACGCTTCAAGTCATCCATTGGTAACTCCATAGTAGCCTACTACATATCAAAAATGAAATACTTACTACGCTATAATATCTATATCAAGATGGTCCCTCAGAAGCATCTCAAACGTGTTCGACATCTGATGCTTTAAAATAATGAATGAGAAGACTGCCGGCGAATGGAAACCAGAAATGTGACAGCTGGTTAGTTGGCTATGTGGTAACGGGCATTGCATTCCATCAGTGACATGCACCAGATGACCGTACATATATCAACCGTCACACCAAAACTTAATATGTATAAGAAATGGAAGGAAATTCAGGGGTAAGGCGGTTGGAGGGGTTTTCTGGGGGCGTTTGTACGCTGGGACATCTCCTGAATAAGGCAGCGCTGCCACTTTCCATTTTCCGAGTCTAGCTCTTTGACAGCTCACTTGTTTTGTGGTGCTCTGGTTCCCTGGGCATGTACAAAGGCGTGGTGTCTGACCATGACCACTGCACCACTCGGAGAAAAGTACATAACCCGGTCATGTTAGAACAAATGCTTCCGCCCACTCTTGGACCCGAGTGGAAAATCCTGGGGTTGTTGTTTTTCCTGCCCACCCATCGTCTTCTCCCTGTGGCCTATTTCCTGGCTCGGAGCTCAACCCACATGATATCACCCTCGATGACAGTAGTCGTGCATGATGTTTTCCACCGCACCACTGTACTCCGGGCACCTATCTGTTGCCGCGAAACACTCAAGTTTAACACCACATTCTCCTGATGGCGCGACGTTGGGTCCCCAGCACGCCGGAAGTAGACCGTCATGAACCCACCTCCTCGTGATCTGGCCCAGCGTGTTGCTCAATCAAGATCCCGCCCCCAGAGAACGGCGTGGTGGATGTCAATTCTGCACACGCAAAAACACAGCCATATAAACTTCTCAGCAAGTGCCACTTACTGAGACCACTTACTAAGTAGCCTCACACCTCGTGAAGAGCGAGGCCTCCATCGAGCCGTGCCGATCCAGGTAAAAGGTAGCTGGTACCTCGGGGGGCTGCCATCAACCACTTTGACGGCTCGGGTAGATGTAATGAGTAGTACGCCACAGCCAGATTGCTGATTCGTCCAAGGCATGGGCACCATGCGTTATGTGACCCGGTCTTTGCGGGGCTTTGTTCGGACGATGAATGATCTCTCGGGGTCGGTGGCCCCCGGGATCGGGATACTTTCTGAGTCCATGTGCTTCCGTACCGATGGGTTAGTGATTTGAGCCATTTGGGTCGCAAGGTAGGGCTACCGAAAATGCGCATGTTGTAATGATGTCGAGTTTTGGATCTGCAAGATATTATGGATGCTTTCTCGTTGTAACTGAAAGTCATCATTTTCATGAGTCGAGTAAGAGGTGTTAGCGGTGATGAACTAACGTCTTGTAGAGCGCAACTTATCTGTACTTCGAGCAAAACACTACGATAACTTTGCCCAACTGTAAAAGGTTGCACTATGGCATCTACATCACCAGACTCTGCGTATAGTGACGCTTCTCATTTCACACAAAGCGTTTCGATGTAATTGAATTTATTCGGTATGAATGTGTATAGAGAAAGTGTTACTTCCATTGGATCTGCACTTTGGAATATTACAATTCTTCTCTTTCCATTATCGGGGCGTGCTTGTATAGCATACAATCCGGTAGGCTAATCTTACATTCATTGATCACCATTTGGCCCAGTCATGCAAAGGTAATCGCACGAAAGAGCAGGGTAGGAGGTAATGCTTCCTCCATCCACCATCTATCTGCCAGAACGGCACATCTACTCAATTCTCTTCTTGCCCTCCTCAGCGCTCATATACCTAGCCGTGCTGAGTCCGCGCTCATGCTTGGCGACAAATGGACCAAGCAGCTTGTCTTTCCGGACTTTGCTGATGGTGTCCTGGTAACCTTCAATTTGCCAGGGTCTGGGGTTGAGTTTGGGCCAGTTGACCTGAGCGTCACATTAGTAGTGCAATCATCAGTCAGGTTTTGGAAATGTTGCTTACAAATAGCATTCCGTTCTTCAATATGAACTGTGCACAATAGACGGCCACTGCGAGCCAGACGAAAATAAAAAGCCGCAGAGGCAAGACGGCCGCATCCGGAGCACGGCGTGTGAAAAGAGATAGGAAAATCACGAAGACACTAAAAGCAAGGATATAGGGAATACTCTGGATGAGAATGGGTCTGCGGTCGGCAAATACAAGAGCAGAGCCAATGTTGGCAGAGCTGGCATCATAGGCGCCAAGGAAGACGTCGAAGGCATCTTGCCGGGGACCATCCCGGAAGTTGTTGAGGTAAAAGCGCGAGATAGCTACATTGAGATCTTGGAGCTTGCCACCGTTCGTTCGCTTGCCCATGCGAGTCAAATCCGTCTTCATGGCGCCTGTGCCAGCGTAGGCACGGGAAACTGTATCGGCATTGTCGGCCCAAATGTTGCGCCACATGTAGTAGAAATCGTGGTCAACATCGGCAAAATTTTCTCCCTTCTGCAGAACACCAAGATCAATGAGCATACGGTCCAACGTCCAACGGGCTAGCATGCTTTGAACCACATTGGTACGGTCGAGAGAGTCCATGCAATTTGTGCGGACTACGCTCGTTTGAAAATTCCGGGTTTCGAGGCCGCCATTAGCAGGCATATCAATTCCGCGAAAGTATTGCTGAGCGATCAAAGCGTCCTGCAATCTGTCGACAAGCAACATGGCACGATGCATCTGCATACCCTTGGTTTCGTGATGAAAATCGAAGTAGACGTAATGCAGGCGGTCGAACTTCTGCTGCGAAGTCGCGGGCTCAATGATATGGAACTTCTCATCAGTCCGGGAGTCACCCTTAACGCTTTCCCGCGAAGACGAGACAAGCTTTTCTACCACTTGCTCATAAAGTTCCTTGATGCGCTTCTCACGACCGCCTTGATTGACGAGATTAACCAGATAATTATCACCATAGATGCGGATCTGCTGGTCAAAGTGCTTCTGTGCCGCTGGCAATGCTGCTTCGACGCCACGAACTTGAATCTTTGGGGTATACTTGAGAGTGTTGACTTCAGCCCACAAGGCCGGCACACTTCCTCGTGTCTGGACATAGGACAATACCTGCATCTCCTTGCCGCTGGATGCTCCAAATTTGCCACTCTGCATGTCGTTGCTTCCAGCATAGCCCCCTAGTCCGCCATTGGAATCATTCAAAATGAGGATTTGTTCTGTCTCATTGTAGTTGGCAGCATTACCATCCTCGTCAAGACCTCTGGTCAGATATCGTGTACCAGCCCGATAACGGGACTTTCGTGTGATTAGGCCGATCGTCAACGGCGTACCCTTGAGAGTAGTCGGGCGGATTTCAAGTGTGCCCCACATGACTGGAAGGATGAAGGGGTCTGCGGCGGCTTGTGGACCTGGTTGTGACCGGCTGCCTCTCTTGCGGAAGTCGATCAAGTCGGTGGACACGAATCTGTTCCAGTAGAAGCGGTCATCGGCTCGTTGCCACAGAGGGGTGGTGTTGTCCATGGAAGCCTGCCGTTGGAAACTGTTGGTGAGGTCGAGGGAGTAGGAGAAGTACATAGGACCGGGCAGCACGAAGGTCTTGAGCAGAGATATGAACATGTCCTCATCGGGGTCTCTGATTTGACGTTCGCGCATAGGCAGAAGGTCGGTCGAGACGACTTTGTACACCATATGGCCTTTGAGACGGCCCATGGGCTGGGCTTTGGTGATAACGATGACATATTTGTCCAGTCTCAATCGGACGACACCCAGTATACCGGCGATGCTCGTGATGCGGGACACTCGCTTGTTAGGATAGGAGGTGCCCTCGCTGAGGCGCAAGTCCCCAGTGGGACGATCGATAACGAGAGCGGGCGCATTGGGGGAAGAAGGAGAGGTGAATGTGTAGGAATCGGGAGCCACCTGGACGTTGATGTCGCGAAATGGGAGAGTCATTGTGGGCGACGGAGCTCTGTACTGAGAGCTTTCGGACTAGAACCTTACTGGCAGCGCATAACAGGGGGTTGTGGACGTGGTAACGGTCGAACGAAGGCCAAGAATGCTTCGAGGAGCAGGGTCCAGGGGAGATGTTGGGTGTCAAAAAGGCACTCAGTTACTTAGTGCATGGTGTTTGTGGTATGTTGTGTTATGATATTTCGGGGCCCAAAGGAGTTCGGCAGGCTCGTCGTCATCAAGCAGCTGGGAGCTTTCCTTGAAGACACGAATTGGATTCTACAGTATGCACCAAGGAACCTTTTCTACTTGGTTAGTTGGTTGGAATCCTTGTCAGCTTGCAAGCGCCAAGACTACCTACTAGTGTAAAGGGGACCCTACCCAAGACCCTCTCTCAAGACCCTCTCTCAAGACCCTATCACCCAAGCTGCACAGCTGATGTGCACCTTTGGGACATAATTATGTATGTATGGAATTGCGCGGATCATGACTTCATAGAATGTCTGCGCCACACCATCAGACTAACCATAGGTGCTGTCAGCCTGTCAGCCTGTGTAGTGAGTACGTACGGACCCGTACGGCGGGTAGATGTGGCGTGTAGACTAGTTAGTGCCAGGTGCACAGTGGGCCTTGGGCTTTGGGCTTTAGGCCTTGCCATCTGCCCCCCTCCCCAAGCGAGAGAGACCCGTGCCAGCTCCAGCTCCGGAGCCAGGTCTTGGCCTTTGGGTCTTTTTGGTTGGGTTCCAGTTGACGTGCAACTTGCTCAGCAGCTACATACACTAGTCTAGTGTCAAGGCAGTCACTTTCACTGCCCCCAGATACCAGGTATCTACAACACACACCTCAGCGATCACCTCATTCACCTCCATCACAACTACCTACGTCCAACATCTCACCGACGCTGTTCCTTTGATAACAGATTGCGACAACGTCGAGACAAACATCGCCGGCAATAACGTTTAGTTGATTTCACCTGTCGCGCCGCATTCAAGGGCAGGCCGTCTATCTTCGCCTCCTGTGCTGCCGTCGACACTCCCTCGCCTTGCGATTTGACTCGGCCGCATATTCCCACAGACACCTCGTGAATCATAGCCATGGCTTCCAGAGGAGCTCCTGCCGGTGCTCGCGGTACCAACTCCCGCTTTGCGCAGTTCAAGCTTGTGTTATTAGGTATGCTGCACCCACAACCTTGAGCCTCGGTCGGACCAGCCCAGTCACTAATCCGTCTACAGGAGAGTCTGCTGTCGGAAAGGTATTGCACCGGCAATTGCTACGGATCACTATCTAGATGGCCAAGCTGACAAAACACACAGAGCTCTATCGTCTTGCGGTTCGTTAAGGACCAGTTCGACTCGTACAGGGAATCCACTATCGGTGCCGCCTTCCTGACCCAGACTATTTCACTCGACGAGAACACAACAGTCAAGTTTGAGATCTGGGATACTGCCGGCCAGGAGCGATACAAGTCACTAGCACCCATGTACTACCGAAATGCAAACTGCGCTGTAGTAGTCTACGACATCACACAATCTGTATGCCACCCTCCCAATCTTATCTGCGTCGTATCCGTGTTCCACTGACCTTGATGTACCGCAGGCTTCCTTGGACAAGGCGAAGGCATGGGTGAAGGAACTCCAGCGACAGGCCAACGAAAACATCATCATCGCCCTGGCAGGAAACAAGCTGGATTTGGTGACGGAACAGCCGGACAAGAGAGCGGTATCGACTGCGGAGGCTGAGGCCTACGCCAGCGAGGCTGGCCTGCTCTTCTTCGAAACATCGGCCAAGACGGCAGAGAATGTCCGCGAACTCTTCACGGCGATTGCGAAGAAACTACCTCTGGACCAGGTCGGACCCCGGCACACTAGGCCAGGCCAGCGAGCCGGTGGAGTCAGCCTGCAGTCGGAGAATGCGAATACCCAGTCTGGAGGAGCATGCGCTTGTTAGATCTTGCGAAGGAATCCATCTAGTGAGGTGTGGAATTGAGCATGGCCCGGCTCGTGGAACTGGCTTACACTAGAAACGTCCCAAGCGGACGGTAGAGGCTGAAGATATGGATGCTTCTATTGTGACCGAGGCTCAAGGTACCGATTGTCTGCCTCCGTGTGGCATCATCGGTCTAGAGGAGATAGCGGCTCTCACATACCAGCCTGCCTGAGGTCAGAGGTTGTACAGACACCCCATTTTGTTTTGGACCTGGAGTTTGTAGGCAAGCTGACATACGCTTTTTAATAACCTGTACTCATCTCGAATTTTTTGGGGAGGGATTTCTTTTTGGAGAATTGAATTGCTCTTCGTAGACAGCATCACAAACGCTGGTGTGCGGCGTGATTTCTATTTTGTTTTTGTTTTGTTTTACGGCATACTGACATGACTTGCATGATGTCGACAGGAACGTGTAGTGTAAACTAAACGGTTCGATCGTTTAAGCTGCACTCCAAAACTATATAATTCGCCGTTTCTAGTGTTACTGAAGATAGAAAATCTGCTTCCACGTGCATTGAGATCGGTAGATATGTTTACGTCTGCTGGCATGCTGTCATACATTGGCTGTGGATGAGCTAATAGAATTGTAACCTTAGAACTAGGTTAAGCAGTTACTGGCCAATGGGCCGGGTTCTCCCGCGTGCCGCCAAAAAGCTCAAGTTCAAAGTCCAAGTCCAAAGTCCAAGTCCAAAGTCCAAGTCCAGGTCCAAGTCCAAAATCCAATCCAAGTACTGACGCCGAGCTACGCTCAAGTTATTACTTACATTACCCGAGCTTTTTTTTTTTTACACCTCATAAACCTCCACGACCAACCACGTCAACAACCAACATCTGCAACTTTTTAGGTCGCTCGATGCGGTTATGTTGCGGACTTCGTTGCGATCCGTGAGGGCCGTCGGCAGCCAGCCCATTGCTGCTGCCGCCGGTCGTCAATGGCATCCCGCGGTCGCAAGATCTGCGAGGGTCGCCGGAAGGGTATGATGCAATCCATCGAGTCGCATCCAGCTTTCTGGGCCACATTGAGCTAATCGAGACCCGTAGAGATTCTATGCTGGCGACAAGAAGATTTCCTTGGACGATTCGAAGCCCGTCAAGCTACCGAGCGCCGAGACCAACACAGCAGCTGCCAGCCAACCTCCCCTTCTGAAGCTCGAGTCTGATGTTGCCAAATCATCAGTCAAGCCTCAGGATATTCCCCTCGAGCCCCCGGCTCCTGAAACCACAGCAACTACTCCCGTGGCACCCAAAACCCCAACAGGACCTGTCGAGACTACGGCTGTCCCAACCGGGCCTACCGTCGCCGCTACCGCTCCTGTCAAGAAGAAGGGCTTCCTCCGACGTCTTCGCAACCTCATCATCACCCTGACCCTTCTGGGAGGACTCGCGTTCGGCGGTGGTATCTGGTACTCGCGCATCAACGACAACTTCAACGACTTCTTCTCCGAGTACATTCCCTTTGGCGAGCAGGCCGTGCTCTACTTCGAGGAGAAAGAGCTCCGCAGGCGTTTCCCTCGTCCCGTCGGAGCCGGTAGCCTCCATGCCAAGGATGCTGGCAACCAGGTCAAGATCGGTCCTCAGAGCGGTGTATCGTGGAGAGTAGCAGACAGCGGCGAGCAGGCCCCGAGGATGTCGAGCGCCATGCGTGATGTTGTTGCCAAGCAGGATCCCCCCACGGAGACCGCAGCGCCTCCTAAGAAGGAAGAGCCGGCCGTGGACCCCAAGGTCAGCGCTGTCCCGGCTCCGGCTCACTCTGCTCTTGAGGCCAATGGCGACAAGTCTGCCCAGAAGCAAGCAAAGGAGGACAAGCCTGCCAAGCCTGCGTCAAAGTCCGCCAGCGGTTTCAAGGCCCCTGAAGTTGATGAGCCCTCGCGGTTCCCTCCTGCTTCGCCTATCGATCCCCTCAAGGTCAACGATGCCCAGGAGCCCGTAGTCCAAAACCTTGTCAAGATGCTCAATGACATCATCACCGTTGTCAACGCCGATAATGCTGACGATCGCTTCTCGGCCACCATCGGCAAGGCCAAGAACGAGCTCAACAAGGTTGGTTCCCAAATTCGCGATCTCAAGGCTGAGGTTGAGAAGGAAGCCGCTTCAAAGCTCTCCACCAAGGTCAACGAGTTTGAGGCTGCCGCCAACGAGCTCGTCGGTCGTGTTGAGAAAGCCATGGCTGCCCAAGAGGGTCAATGGCGCGAGGACTTCGAGACTGAGCTAAAGCGCATCCATGAGATCTACGACAAGCGCGCAAAGACAGAGTTTGAGCGTGAGAAGCTCGTCAACGAGCAGAAGTTGGAGAACAAGCTCCTGGAACAGGCTGTCGAGCTCAAGCGCCAATTCAACCAGCAGGTCAAGGAGGCCGTGGAGGGTGAACGCCAGGGACGTCTCAGCAAGCTTGACCAACTAAGCTCGTCTATTCAGGAACTTGAGAAGCTGACCACAGGCTGGAACGATGTCGTCGACACCAACCTGCGTACTCAACAACTCCACGTCGCCGTCGAGGCTGTTCGTGCCAGCCTTGGCGACAACGAGCACCCCCGCCCATTTGTCCGTGAATTGGTTGCTCTTCGTGAGATTGCCAGCGACGACGAAGTCGTGAATGCCGCCATTTCTTCCATCAACCCTTCGGCCTACCAGCGTGGCGTCAGTTCACCGTCGCACCTCATTGACCGCTTCCGCAGGGTCGCCTCCGAGGTCCGCAAGGCCAGCCTTCTCCCCGACGAGGCTGGTGTTGCAAGCCACGCCAGCAGCTGGGTCTTGAGCAAGGTCATGTTCAAGAAGGAGGGCCTTGCCGCCGGCGATGACGTCGAGAGCATTCTCACGAGGACGCAGACGTTCCTCGAGGAGGGCGACTTGGACAAGGCGACACGTGAATTAAACGGCCTGCAGGGATGGGCAAAGACGCTCAGCCGGGACTGGCTGGCCGAGGCTAGGAAGGTTCTGGAGGTTCAGCAGGCACTTGAGGTACGATCCTTATCATCCCCCTTGTAACGCTTTTGTGGCCATGTTGCATGCTAACACGCTCTACAGGTCATCTCTACCGAGGCCAGACTACAAAGCTTGAAGGTGGAGCAGTGATTGACTTGAGACGGCAGAAACGGGGAGGCTCTGGAGGGGCCATATTTTCTATGTCAACTGTACATCCTGTGAGCCAATGCGTATCCCTAGAGGAAAAGGATCAGGCGGCCGGGTTTGTCGTTGGCCGGCTGGTCTTGTGTATTATGGAAAAACATGCAATAGATGGCGATTCTAGATCTTCAACCGTTTTTCTTTTCTTGTTCTTCTGCTTTTTTTCTTTTTGTCCTTTGACTACTGATGAAAAAGCTTGAGGGTATCATAAAACACATGTTGTTCATCCGTCGACATACAATGTACATGCCGTCCGTTTTCAGTAATCGTCATGTTCGTCGCTTCCCCCGTACCCGTACAAAACCTCATTGACACCGGCCAGCGGCACATCCATGACACCATCCGTGCCCTTGTTCCAAACCGCCCGCCACTCGACATCGAGCGCCCGAGCCTCGCTGACTCGTGCCCCCTCGCCGCCGCCCTTCAGCCTCAGCCGACCCCGCGAGTCCACGACGGCGACCTTGGCGGCGTCGTCCACGACGGTCTCCAGCGAGCCCAGGGGCAGGGTCAGGTACTCGGTGTTGTAGCAGGCCAGGGCGACGTAGATGTAGACGATGAGCATGGTGAGGAAGGCCGGGACCGCCAGCGCCCACCAGCGGTTCGGGTAGTAGAAGATGCCGAGGGCGTGCAGGAAGGGCGACGGCAGGTACGCCCACAGCAGGTACGTGAGGAAGACGAGCGTCGAGAACAGGTACAGCACGAAGCCGTAGTACTCGTACGTCGGCACCTTGGGGCTCGCCCGCGGCACTGGCTCCAGGGCGTGCGCGGCGTCGTCGTCCGAGGCGTCCGGGGTCGTCGGCCGCGAGGGCCGGAGCAGGGAGGTCAGTGAGGGCGAGGGCGGTAGAGGGGTCTGGGTGCGGAGGGTGCGTTAGCCTTTCCAAGTTTGCTTGCTCGTGCATATATGTAAATACACATATATATTATATATAGGCGGTGACAGTAGCACCCGGAAAGAAATGTGGAGTGGGAATTGGCCGCTCTTCTTGAGATGAGCTGAATGACTTACTGGAGGTCTGCCATAGAAAGGCGGCGCAAAGAAGTTTTGGGAGACGGGCGGTGGAGGGAAAGGGGGGCCATCGTCGTCTTCCGAGGCGGATGAGTCGCCTTGGGAGGAGTCGTTGTCTGAGGACAGAATGGAGGGGTATTCGTCAAAGTAGTCGGTCATTTTGACAAGCTGGACGGGTATGTCACAGAAAGACAAGCCGTATGAGGGGGCGATCAAGGTAGAGCGGTAGCAGAGTCGTTGGCGCAAAGTCGTCTGTGTATGTCGCCGTGGCAGAGGGTCTCTAACGTTGCGCTCGGGTTCAATTGAGCTGATGAATATCTGCAAACAGCTCTGGAGATTCACACACCAGGGCAGGCTCAATCAAGAGTGCCCAGAGGTTGCGCAAGTCAGAGCCTCGGGCATTTCTAGTGCATGATGATGACGACGATGATGTCGACAGGAAGCGAGGTTGCGAGCTGCGTTGTTGAAGCACACGGTAGCGATAAGGAGAAGGAGAAGGATAAGGATAAGAGAGGCATTGACTTCTCGACCTTTCCTCCAGCTGTGACTATGTAAGTTAACCTTGGCTAACCTTGGAATCAGTGCTCTGGATCCGTAAATAATAATAATAATAATAATAATAATAATAATAATAATAATAATAATAATAATAATAATAATAATAATAATAATAATAATAATAATAATAATAATAATAATAATAATAATAATAATAATAATAATAATAATAATAATAATAATAATAATAATAATAATAATAATAATAATAATAATAATAATAATAATAATAATAATAATAATAATAATAATAATAATAATAATAATAATAATAATAATAATAATAATAATAATAATAATAATACGGAGTAATAATAATAATAATAACAATAATAATAATACGCACTTGCATCCCCCCTGCCAATCCACTGCCCCAGAGCTTGAGCTCCAGCTCCCAGTCGCCCACCAGCCTCCCCCCCCAGCTCCAGCGCAGGCGCGACAAGACATTTCGAAGCTTCAATTCGACATTTGCTAGGTCAGGAACTCCGCCGCCAAAATTCACCAGCACGAGCTTTGCGCCAAACCTTGCAACTCCAAGCTTCGGGGGGTTTGCAGCTTTTTTTTTGTCACAACACCAAACACGACAAGACAGACCAGACAGACGCCACACAATCCCACACACCCCAACATGGCACAACCACTCGGCACTAACAATGCCCCAACCGACATCTATGGTGGAGGTACGTCGCGTCACATTGCAGCCTTGCATCCGTCTCCTGCCTGCCAGCCAGCCAGCTAACCACTGCGAACAGACGAGGTTTCTGCTCTCGTCCTCGACGCGGGCTACGTGAATACCCGCGCCGGTTTCGCAGGCGAAGATGTACCGAAATCAGTCCTCCCCTCCTTCTACGGCTCCGTCGACGGCCGTCACGTCTTCGGCGACGAGTGCCTGATCCCCCGCGACAACTTCCAAGTCAAGAACTACATGTCGCGCACCGAATCCGTCGTCGAGGACTGGGACGCCGCCACCAAGCTCTGGGAACACATGCTCATCGGAAGACTACAGCCCGAGCGCGAGACCCCTCCCTCCAAGAACGGATTGAACGAGGCGGACGGCGAGGGAGATGTCGCCATGGACGACGCCAATGCCGCCGAGAACCAGGAGAAGCCCCTCGCCGAGAGCCCCCTGCTGATGACCGAAGCACCCTGGAACTCGGGCAAGGCTCGCGAGAAGGTGATCGAGATTGCCATGGAGAACTGGGGCGTGCCGGCTTTCTGGCTCTCGAGAACACCAGTCGCTGCTGCATTTGCTGCCGGCAAGGCGAGCGCACTGGTTATCGATGTTGGAGGTGCCAACACGAGTGTCACGGCCGTTCACGATGGCATGATCCTCAAGCGCTCCATCCAGAAGTCCCCCGTCGGTGGCATTTGGTTGTCCTCACAGATCCGCAGCATGTGGGAGAGCAACGAGCCCAAGGTCGACGTCGTGCCTACCTTCATGGTCGAGAACAAGACCCCCGTTGATGCCGGTCAGCCCGCTCAGGCCAGGTTACGAAAGTTCGGCTTCGACATCCACCCCAGCTTCCGCGCTTACGAGGAGGAGCGTCTTCTTACCGAGTTCAAGGAGTCAGTCGTCGAGGTGTGGAGAGGCCCCGGAAAGTACAGCAACCCAGGAAACGAAGAACTGGTCAAGAGCCAGCCCGGCCGTATCTTTGAGATGCCCGACGGTGCCAACCAGATGTGGCGTGAACAGCGGTTCCGCGTCTCGGAGGGCCTGTGGGATGACGCCGCACAATTGCACGTCTCCGGTTCCGACCCCATCACAAAAACCCAGACCATTCCCGAGCTCGTTCGCAACTGCCTCAACAACGTCGATGTGGACTTGCGACCTAACCTGCTGGGCAACATTGTTGTCACTGGTGGTTCAAGTCTGCTTGCCGGCTTCAACGACCGCCTTACCAACGAGCTGACCGCCATGTATCCTGGCATGCGGATCAAACTCCACGCCTCAGGTTTGACGACAGAGCGCAGATTCGGTGCTTGGATCGGAGGTAGCATCCTCGCCAGTCTGGGTACATTCCATCAAATGTGGATATCCAAGAAGGAATACGACGAGAACGGTGCAGGCATTGTTGAGAAGCGATGCAAGTAGAGGGACTTGCTCTACAGCTTTAAACCCATGGGTCAAACTAGTAGCAAAAATTACAGCCTTTTACATGATATTTTACGGCAGACAGAATTAGGCAGAGGCGTATGGCGTTGGCAGGGCCTGGTAGACCGAATCAGATTGCCCGTATACTCGCGAGCCAAAAATAGGGATAAACCTTATAGAAAAAGCTTGCTTGTTAAAATGACTTTCCTAAGCCAGATAGCACAGGCAGCATCACCGCGACAATAACGTGACCGTGTAATTAAAACGACTCTATACGTGTGTGAGACTTGCATTTGCGCTTTCTAGGCTATATTGATGCAACAATTCACTCTGAACTAGAATTACCTAATGAGGCCCGCGCACGACATGGGCCGAAGCCGAAGCCGAAATAATGGACACATCATGACATTCCGAGTGGAACATTCGTTGCGTATAATCTCATATATTACATCGAGCAAATCGTACAAGTGAAGTAGCTCGCTTTTGGTACAAGACCAGAACATACAAAAAGATAGCTTGATCGGACGTGGACAGGTAAGTAACCCAGAGCGAACAGCGGTCTTTTCTTCCTTTTTGAAGTATAACTAACCGCAGTTGTGCAGCATCACAAGAGATCATCATCAAGCAGGAGGAATACTTCCGGGTCATATACATTCAAAGATACTGGTTGCATATATTATCTAAGGTTCGAACCGTGATTTGGATGTCCCCCTGTTTCGTGGGACCACGCAATATCATCAGACTACGAAATCATGCCGCCTGAGATACAAACCTACGCGTTGCAGCCAGATGGCCATCTGGTGTTGAAGAACTCGACGGAAAGTAGCGCAGCGTACTCGTCTACCGACATTGTCGCATTTCTCACCAAACGACTACCCTACTCGCTCCCCATTTTACGACGACTCCAATTAGGCAGGCGCGGCGAGGAGACTTTGCTGATCACAACGAGTCTACCCCTAAATGGACGGGTCAAAGAAGCAAACGATCCCAAGGCACTTACTCCGGATTCTCTGTATACCATGGCAGTCATAGACCGAGCCGGGTACCCCTCGACTGAGATCTGGCCCTTCTCATCCCTGGAGCTCTATCACGGCACCGCAGACCACGAGAAGGCTCCCCAGATGCCCCAGACAGACCCCAGCTCCTTCGTCCTTCCATTCAGCGACGAGGTCTTCAAAGCAGCAACCTCCCAGCTGCTTGCAGTCCTCTCGCGCATCCCCATCACCAACCCCCAGCAGCCCGACCTAGCCCACTTCACCACGCCCGGCACCTTCTGCTGCCTGGCCGGCAATGTGCACACGACCGTCGCCGCCCTTCTCGCCGGGGCCGACCTCATCATCCGCAGCGCGCACGAGAAGAGCCACCACACGCCGTACGGCAAGTACCTCTTTCCCTTGCCACCACCAGCGCCGTCGTCCTCCTCGTCCGGCGAGGGTCCCGAACCCTTGCCCCAGGGTCTGGAGTGGAGCACCATCGGCCCCGGGGACTTCGCGGGCGTCATGGCCGCCAACAAGATCGTGCGCAGTGCCGCGACCATCGCCGGCTTGCACAGTGCGGCGGTGCGGGACCCCCGCGCGGGCGGCCGGGCGGTCGCCTTCGCCTTCGCGTCCACTGACGGGAGCGTGCGCACCCTGCACGTCGACCCGGCGTACCGGCGGCGCGGGCTGGCCAGGGCGGTGGTGCTGAGGCTGTTGCGGACGGGTAGGGGAAGTGCGTTCGGGCCGCCGGCGGGCGGGCCGTTGTCCGTGGTGGCGGCCGCGGAGGGAGAGGAGGGAAGGGCTGGTCCGCTGGCGTTCACCGGGGTCGAGGGCAGTAATGTGGGTAGCATCAAGACGTTCGAGGCGGTCGGGGGGAGGTGGTACTGGGATGCTTACTGGCTCTGGCTTGATCTGGGTCGTGTCGAGCAAAGGATCGGTGTTTAGGGCGGCGGATTAAGATAAAGTCACACCTGTAGATACCGCTTCTTTAGATGAGCTATTAGAATGGCCTGGTCAGGTGCAAAATATGCCGAAATGGCCATGATTATTTGAGTAGAGTGGCCTTTTTTTCTTTTATTCTTTTTTCAATACTATACACATACATGTAGATAATACAAAAACTTTACACGCTGCAGCTTCTCCCCTGAGACCCCCAACACTAGTACGATGGCACTCGCCATCTTGCCGTCACGCGACATACCCTCATCTCGTGAGTACTTATCTCGCGAGTATTTATCTCGCACCCAGAGCGCCCAGACCAACCCGGCCCCGGCTTGCAACGGCCAACACAGCCCATCCGCCGATCAAGGCAAGCCCTCCTAACGGGGTGACGGGGCCCATGGCGCGGAACCTCTGAGGGTCCAGGGTCAAGAGATACAGGCTTCCGCTGAACATGGTCATGCCGGCGATGAAGAGACCACCTGCCCACTTCGTGGCCCGGGTTTGGGGCGCCAGGGATACGGCCACCAGTGCGGCCACCGAGTGTAGCAATTGGTACTGCAGACTTGTGTTAATGTTTTTCACCGAGAAATAGTCGGGAGCTAAAATATAAATGTATGCAATGGGGGCATGAAGACGGGGGCCGGCCGGCCGGGGGCTGAAAGCATTCCCGCTTCGTCTCATCTATGGGCAAGGTTCCGTGGCATCCGGCAGTAAGGATTGGGGCGGCGTAGACATTACCTGAGCAGCGGTGTTCCAGTTCTGAAGGCGCTGGGGATCCGGGATCTTCTTCTTAAGACCATGAGCTCCGAACGCGCCCAGAGCTACGGCTGTACCACCGTACACGGCGGCGAGGGTCTGGAGGATAGCCATGATTTTGACTTGGGTGGAGATGTCGTTCGTCGGTTGATTCTCGCGGTCTGGGGAATTTATGAGGGGCGACTCTTCGTTGGCGGGATGTCCGATCTCTTCTGAGCTCATTTGCCTATTCTCGGGAGTTGACTGCGAAGAGTTATATCGACGTTGAGAGTGCCTGAGTGGCCGGTTGGATTACCGTCTAGCGAGCTCGCGTATTTGGGCGGATAACTATCCGAGGCCCCCACTTTCTTTCCTCAAGTCTACCTACACAGTAACATACATGCCACCCTCCGGCTGATCCAGGATACGCACTTGTCAGCAAGAGATAGAATCCCTTAGATTCACTGGACAAAGTAATCAATTTTGTCTTATCATTTATCGTCTATCATGAGAACAGAGCGCGAGCTCTTCTAACCATACAAATCATCAGGTGCCTGTCGAATCAAACAATGGCATAAGCGGAGGCATAGCTCACGCTCGAATCGCTGGCGTGATCAACTAATCCGCTACGCTGGTACTGCACAAATTTGAATCTATACTTTCCTTCTTCGGCACTCTCTTTTGACAAAACCTCGAGGGCCGCCATTGTCACGCCAATGGGATGGCGACCACAAACTGTGTTCTCCGTCTCGGCAAGGTTTCCGACAAAGTCATCGTGTTTACCCCCCTCAATTGCGTCCATGGCCTGGTGATCGATGTCTTTGATGTGTTCATGAATCGGTGCGCCCTTGGTGTAAGGTGTATAACTGAATCGCGAGCCCCAGTGGCAGAAGTCTGAGCTTACAACAAATGCGGTCTCTGGATCTTTCAGGTAAGGCGCTAAGAGCTCGCCGAATGCCTTCTCCTTAGAACCGTTGTTATCACCAACCATAATCGGAACGATGGTCGGATACTCCGCCTCGGACGAAAAGGTTTGGCTGCAGCGCTTGTAGATATATGGCAGGTGCATCTCCAGAGAGTGCTCCTCCACGTCATTGTCCCTCACGCTGCGGCCCTTCACAGTGGAGTTGCGGATATCTGAAAACTTTCCAGTATCACGAAGCTCCTCCGTCACTGATGCATCAACGATCAAATCGCCGAATGGCGTGGCATATTTGGCGTATCGAGTAAGGGCACAACCCTTCAAGTAATATGTATGTGAAGGACCTAGGACGAAGATGCGCTTGACGTTGCTGAGATCGAGTGCCTTATATGCCCAAGCAGCACACTCTCCAGAGTATGCGTAACCAGCGTGACTGATAAAAAACCGTGTCAGCTCTCAAACTTACAATCGGACTCTCATGCCTATTGGAAAGAGCTCACGGTGCGATGATCACTCTTGCACCAGGTATGGGCAAGCTGCTTTCGTTGAGAGTGCTAGGTACTTGGTCGAGCCACTCATCCAGCTCTTTTGAGAGAGCTGCCTTGTTGCCTGTGTACCAAGAGCCTGCCTTGCCCGCAGGTCGAGTTCCTGTCTGTGCCATGACGGGTCGCGCGGTATAGCTAAGAACACAGATAGATGATTCTTATGGGCTAGAATGTAGAGTACATGAGATTTGCTCGAGATGAAGTCAACATTGAAGCTTGAGCTTTGGGTTCAGGTTCAGACGGCACTGACACCACAGCCTGCAGCTGCCCCTCATTGATGTAATTCAGACAGGTACCAACTCAACTGACGCGGGGCGGCGGGGTCGTCCTTTGCGGCGTCTAAGCACGCTATAAGCCAGAACCACTAACCGCAGGTAGTCTTTGTTGTATAATCATAATAATGATTAGAATTTAAATGCATAGCCATTCATTTCCCTTCGCTGCCATAAGATGTTCCAGTATAATATATATAACCGTCTTACTCCTGTGAAGACGGAAGTACTGAAGTCAAACTTAGACTATTCAGTACAGCTGTATCTCTCTCACTCGCTTATCAATATAGCCAATAATTAGATATCCTCAAATGTAACAGTCAGGAAGTGAGTAGATAGACATACAAATGAGCTCCCTTATAAAAGCAAAAACGGTCATCTTGCTTTACTTCCAAGGAAACTGATGCAACGAATATACAAGCACTTTGTAATGAACAAAGACATACCCTAGGAGATCTCTTCAGATCATTCCGAACTTGGGTTCAACAGATGGACGTTGCTGACTCCTCCAAAGTCAAATCTCACGTAAACTAGCAGCATGTTTCGCCTATTGGATATTACAAAGAGCTCCTTCTTCAATCATCACTCATGACATCAATTTACCAAGCCGCAAGATAAAACGCATCAAACCACCGCTCAAGCCTCGAGTCTTTATTTTGTGGTTTGTTAGTGTGAAAACCTGATAGCTCGGATATCTGTTGGGTCCTTCTAGAGCCTCATGTAACAAGCATTTACTGAACCAGTAACTGATCACAACATGATAGAAGCGATTGCGCACATATATAGGTAGCTGTTCAACTACTCGGTATTTGTATTATCTTGTTGAGACTGGCTGGCTAAAACCTATAGGACGTCACCACCAATACTCGAGTTTTGTACGGGGGCCTCGAAAAAGAAAAGAAACCGACAACAGCTTCCATTTCTCTTCATGGATGATCTACGGCACGTGCTAGTTAGAAGCTCTTTTCTACTGTTCAGCTTGAACGTGGAAGCACTTGCTGCCCTTGGCTTGGTGGGTAATGCCATTACGTTCATCGATATTGGGGTAGATTATCGTCAGTAGCACGGAACATTCAAGACAGCTCCAGTATTCAAAACATCAAGGCAGACGAATCGCTAGAGCTTGTCACACAACAGCTGCAAGAACTAAGTCTTCGTTTGACCTCCACTACTCCTACTCCTACTAGGAACAGCGCTGAATGATCCATTATCAAGTTAGTGTCTGAATTCGCAGGGCTTCTTCAAATTATGGTCTGCTTCAAGTCCATGATTACACAAGCACGGATTTATCCATTGTGGCAAAGGAGAAGAATCTTTCATAGTCAAGCACCACCCCCGTCTTCATCGCCATGGGATAGCAATACGGAGGAGATTGCAATACGGAAGAGATTGCAATACGGAGGAGATTGCAATACGGGAGATTGCAACGGAGATTGGCCAGAAAGTTCAAGGTGTCTTTCTACAGGTCGCTGGAGTATTGCAAGTGGTTTAAATCGCCATCACAGGTTGAAACACCAGAATCGAAACCAAAGCTCAAGATACATGTCTCCAAGAGAGCTGAAGATTTCTACCAAACTCTTTTCGACGCGAGATATCCTTTTGACCAGAAGATGGCCTTCCAAGCACTTTGTGTGTCGAAACTATTATATACCGGATAGGGAGGATCATTGCTGCATTTCTACTTCTTGGATCAAGTATCGGAGGATGCAGAATATGGCTTGGGTGAGCCAACTGCCTTTTGGCCGCAGGGATGGCCACGAAAGTTGAAGGCAAAACCCATGAATCTGCATTTGACACGAAGATGGCTGAATGGCTGGTGGAAAGGATTATTCCATCTGGAAGGCGGAGTATCCAGAAACGCACAGCTTGTGCACAGCACAATACTTGAAGCCAGGGCCATGTACAGAGTTTGGTCGAACAGGAGTTTTACTACATATTTTTCTGATCATGTTTTCCACAACTTCATTCTGCATTTCAAGATGGTACTCAGGAACACAAACGTCGGACAGTTTCCACAACTGCTCAATTACGAAGACTCGAAAATGTTTTATTTTAAGGAACGCTTTCTACGCATCATGACTTGATGCGCGCGGTGTTCTGGTACTGAGCCGCAAGGTCTCCTCACCAGTGCCCAACCTTGTAGTCATCTGCCACATTTTTGTATGCCGAAGCTGGGTCAAATAGGAAGGTCATAGAGAGTACTCAAACCTTTCTGTCTATTATTATGTAGTCACTCGAGACTGCCTTTCCTAAGATTTATATCCTAACATGACATCTACAAAGCAGCCTGTGGCAAGCATATGAAAGCTGGGCTAAATAAAATTGACATTTCCGTGCACGAGACCAAGACTGCGGAAGATATATTTGTCATCCAACTATATTTACTCCTGTAACAACATCAATGGGTATCAAGCATACTTGCTATGCCTATGAAGTAAAGCATCCTTCGCCATCCATTGGTCTCTGACCAAAACTTGTCCCGTAACGTCCAACAATCCAGATACGCCGTAAAGGATGAAATGTTCACCGGCCCCCTGTTTTCGATCTCAAAAGTGTCCCAAACAAAGAAAATACTCTACGGCAAGTAATGCCAAGGTCGACCATCACACAATCCCCCGCCCTCAATTTTATCCTCTACAACTTCAAGACGCCGTCGTGCATCCACCTACTTAAGTCGGGGGCTCTTTCTCCTCGAGGCGCCTTGCGCGAAGATCTCACCAGTATTGTCATCAGCACCCTCAGATAGCATTTGCATCGATATCGGTATGTTCTCCCGACCATGGGCGGGAGGTGCGGAACCGGCCTTGCCAATTCTAGAACGTGTGGTTTTGGGTTTCTTGAACAGCGGTAGTGAGTTATCACCATCGCGAGCCACTGCAACAAGAGGCCCCGGCCCAACGCTAGCTCGAAAACCATTGCTGCTCTGCAACTCCAAGTCCAAGGCCGGGGTGCTGTTGACATTGGGGTGGATCTCACGAAGACTCATGGAAAGCGGGTGGTGAGACGATTGTGATTCCGATGATGGTGGTCGCGAAGGTGAACGGTTCTCACTGAGCTCTGGATCTGCATCGGCAAAGACACCCCCATTGGCAGACGACTTGCTTGGCGATGAGCCTCCGTGCAGCTCGTTAATCAGTGCGGAGTGCGACTTGGTTTGTGGGAGATGAGTTGGGTACTCGTAGGACACCTTCTGTGGAGTGCTGCCGGTCGGTTGATATTCCTGCAATTTGGTGGCTGAGATATCGTCCCGTAGTTGCGACAAAGGTCTGCATAAATTCTCGCTCAAAGGCTCGAGGGCTTCTGATGCCGTGCCAGTTGCTGTGTCCATTTCACCTTCGAGGTGTTTGACGCGGGAGAAAGTCTCCTTGAAGTGTGCATTCATGCCGCTGTATGAATTTTCAACAGTTTCGGAGAGTTGGCCGAAGGTACCGGCGTGTTGTTCGTGGTGGGTGGCATTTTGTGAGCGGGCCCTTGTGACGAAGTCATCCAGCGAAGTCATCTGTTCGTCGAGATCTTTCATTTGTTCATCGACAACACGCACAGTCTCTGCATGAACCGATTTTGTGGTTTCCTGGATCGATGTACTATGCTTATCCGCAGTCTGTTGATATGTTAGCCATACGTTCTTATGGGGTACGGGGGTTGCTGTGTAAACTGACATTCCAATCATCCTGCAATTTTGTCTTTAGAGTTTCTCGGGATTTAGACACATCATCAAGTAGCTGCTCTTCCTTGTCGCCCCAAACATCCATTCCTTGTGAGTATGATGTTATACTTCCTTCAAACGATGTGTTCATCTCCTGCATACTCTTTTGTATGGACGCAGCCTTGTTGGCTAGTCGAGACTCCTGGAGCTCAGCTTGTGAGTTAATTAAACCGGCAATCTGCAAGAGAAGATTCTTCCGTTCTTCAGCGGCTTGCCTCCGCTCTTCTTCAACCACCTCTTGTAGTTTTGCAGAGATGGAAGCATTCGACTGCACGATAGTTTCACTAGCACTCTTCAATTGCTCGCGAAGACCATCGGACTCTGTTCTTTGGCTAGTGATGTGGTGAAACAAAGTCTCAAAAACCGATTTGAAGTCTTTACCCAAAGATGAGTAAGAGGTGTGCAGTTGATTGTGGAACATACTCAGCTCGCTGAGTACATCTTGGGCAATCTTCTCAGCAGCCGTAGCTATCGCTTGGAGGCTCTCGCCAACACTTTCCTTGATGTTGTCGCGGACCTCCTTGATCTCTTCCAGAACTTCGTCCATTTCTTGCTTAGACTTTTCGCTTTGCGAAATAACACTTTCCCGGGACTGCACGAAATGCTCCAGGTTCGAGTCAAGAAATGATTGTGTCGAAGAAAGTTTTTGGAGTTCGCCCTGCACAAATGATTGCATCCTTTGAGATATGCTGGAGATATGCTTTTGTTGTTCATGCTGGAACTCTTCGACGCGGCTTTCCACCAGAGCAGTCACATCTGAGACCTGATCTTGAGACATTTCCCACGTGCCTCGGTTCAAGGATTGGAGGTCGGACTTTCTCTTGTTCTTCGCACGTAGCCCGCCAACATGGCCGACGGTTTCTTGCAGTTTCGAGATCAGCTTATCACCTATCGCATGCATCTCCTGCTCGGTCTTCTCATGTGCCTTTCGAATGTGCGCTTCTTCAGCCAATGTCTTCCGTGTTGCGCCCAAAACGAGTTCTGTCTGTTCAAGTACACCTTTCGTGTCATCTAGTTGTGTTCTTGTTTGCTCATGGTCGTCTTTGAGCCCCATGAAATTCGAGGTCAGCGAGAAAAGTTCCTGGACTTTGTTCCTCAGATTAGATTCTAGTGTCTCAATCTTGGCGGCTTGCTCCTCGGTCTGAATCCTTCTCGACTCGCTTTCGACGGTCATTTCCTCGTAGCTGTCGTTGGACAAGTAGACACCATTTCTTGTCCTTGTAGCGATTAGCTCACTCTTCAATCGCTCAATCTCGTAAGTGAACTCCTTGAGGAGTGTCTTCTTGTTGATCATTGCGGTGATTTGAGGCTTGTTTCGAATATTCTTGGCGCGGAAAGCGTAGTCGAGTGTTGATATTGTCTCTTCGAGGTTGCTTCTTGCGGGCGATATTGTGGCAATAATGCAGGTTTTTGTCCGTCCTCCGAGCGAATCTTGTAAAAGCCTTGTGAGCTTGGACTCACGGTAGGGAATGTGCTGGCTACGGTCGACTAGAGCATTGATGACACGGCCGAGTGTGAGCAGACTCTTGTTGATAAGACCGGCCTCGGCTGCCCGCTTGTTCTCTGCGCCAGATCTTTGGATGTTTTCGCTACCGGCCAGATCGACCAGGTTCAACTTGCCCGTGCTAATATAGTCCTCCCCATCTTCGCCGGTTTTCTTGACGCAGGTCGTGATAGTAAAGACTGTGTGACTTCGACTGCTGAGATCGTTGCACTTGGTAGCCGCGACTTGACGCTTCAGACTGCCGCCTTGAAGAAGCCTGACGCCCTGTGCAGCTGTCTGGATGTAGGTTTCTTCTATGCCCTGGACGACGGTACTGGTGTGACCTTTCCGGGAGGTGTCGTCAAAGATCTTGAGCTTTGTGTTTTCCTCTTTCGAGATGAGGTCGCGAAGCTCTTCGTTGTATAACTCGATGAAGGAGCACTTGACAGAGCTTTCAATTCCTTCGCTGTCTAGCTTCTTGAAGAGAAAGTGAAGCACGCGAGGAATGATACCAGCATTATCCGACAATATCCCAAATGTATCGTTCATGTCTCCCGACATTGTGTAGGTCTTGCCGGTTCCCGTCTGTCCGTAGGCGAAGATGGTGCAGTTCATTCCGTTTAGCATCTGCAGGGCAAGTTAGATATGTGTTTTGGAAGAGGGCCTGAGGCTATGCAGGACTCACATCGTCAAGGATGGGCTTGACAACATCCTCGTAGATCATGTTCTGGTCAGAAGCCGGGGAGAAGACGCGATCAAAGTTGTATGTCTTGTTGGTGACAGCATTGGGACCCATGGACAATTCGACAAGTTTCCCCTTTGCGCCTTCTGTTTCTACGACGACAGCACTGTTCTCCTTGACCTCGCGCTCGTTGCGGCCCCTGCAGCGGACGACGACGTTGATGTTTGTCTCGAGAATGGCCTCCATCTCAAACTCGCGTTCCTTGCGCTTAGTTCCGGTGGCCGCGGCGGAGAGGAGAGATTCGGCGGGGGATGGAGCGGCCATGCGGTCGATCCTGGCTGCCATGACGGCATGGTGTATCGGTGGCCGCAGGGAGGATGTGCGAGTTGTTGTCTGCCTGACGCCGGGTCGTCCAGGCACGCCTGTTCGTGCGCTGGTTGAAGACGAGGCCATCGAGGGCCTCGAGCTCCGTGCGGAGCCTTTTTGCATGGCGGGTATTATATACAGCGAGTATCAAGGTCTTGCAATAACCAAATTGACGCGACGCATTCGTGTGCTGGTGGCGGTCAAAACAAGCTGTTGACCAGTATATGGAACGCACTGTGATGGATGTTTTGTATCGGACGGGCGCGACGACTTGACTACATGTAATACTGCAGGTGTGAGCGCATCGGGTGCTAGGTCGTGTCGGCGGGCTGGGGCATGTACCTAACGATAACTATAGTACTGTATGTAACAAATGCAGCCACGAACAAGCTTTATTGATGGGAAACTGTGAATCCACTTCCGACTGTTCGGTTTGTTGTTGTTGCCCTGGCAACTATCCCAGTCCACTAAGATAAGACCCTGCACCGCTCCGGAGTATTACATATATGTATGTACAGCGATGAGTTGCACCACGGTAGTTCAACTTTGGATACTAACCTTAGACTAGTCTAGCCTAGGTCAATTACGGATCCGTAGTTGACGTCTAATAGCTTCAGGTGGGTGTTTGGATGGCGGGGTACAGATCTGTAACCTTAGAACTTCTATGCCCAGAAACCGTCGGCCCTTGCAGCAGCTACACAGTACAGCCTGAAGCCCCTCCCCCCCTAACGTCCCTCAGCCCCTGTGACAAACTGCCATCGGCGGCTGCTGTGGGCAAGTAACTAGGTTAGCGTATACATCGCCAGCATGGCTGCATCAACTGACATGGTAATCTGGAGCAGCCCCGCGCCCCCAACCCTTCAGATGACGCCCTTTCCAACATCACCTTCAGCCAGCTGGCCTGGTATTTGAAGTCGTGAGACATGATAAGCCGGAGCCACAATTGTCAGAATAGTATCCTGCAAGTGCAAGGACATGATCAGACATTCTCTGTTGCCCGCATCATCACTGCCGCCTCGACCTTCATGTTTATCGTGACCTGCACGGCATCTTGACGCCGCTCTTGATTGCTACCGCCACGCCATCTCCGTGACCCATCAACAGACCACCCCGCCGTGAGCTTCGATATGTCTTCGCTGTTTACTGCCACTCTCCATCCTGGGATAGCCTTGGGTTTCTTGGGTAAACCCACTCTCTCGGAACTTCCTTCTCTACCACTAACAGCTGTTACTCAGTGATCGGCGCATCGCTTCACGACATCCTCACACGACTGAAGGCTGAACCCCATCGTTTCCCAAAGCTCGATCTAGTATACTCGCCCTCGCACCCCGTCACAGAGCCCGTCGTCCTCACGTTGCCGGCGAATGGCATCAGACTGCGCTTCGATGGCTCCGAGCAGCGCTTGCGCCTAATCGAGGTCATCGACTTCACCAAGAACCGAATAACCTACGGCCACCCTGAGAAGGACATTGTAAAGCCCACAGCTGATCAGGACAATGCATCGTATAAGGGGGCTGGCGAGTCGACCGCTGGCCCCAACTTTAAGACAATCTACCACAGGTTGATGGGCCCAACCTATGCCGGCGAGTATATACCGGCCGAAGATGACAGCAAGACTGCTGTTGGCACATACGTCTTGTCATATCCAGGCGTTGCTTTCAGCTTCCCGCTGCCTGAGCCGGCCTACTCACCCGAAAAGGATGTAGTGTCGCTCTTGTCGTCCACGCAAAGCCAGACCGCGAGGTCGATGGCTATCTTCAACGGTAAATCATGGGCTGAGGCGCGCGAGACTTTATGGACCGAACTGCTGCCGAGTGTCAAGTCCACGTATCTGTTTAACAAGAGCAAGGATATAGTCCCAGACGAGATCTCTCTAGTCAAGATTCATGGTGGCGGAAGATTGCAGCTTTTTAAGAAATGGACACCGGCATCGGTATGGATAACCCTCGGCGAGACCACGCCACAGGAGCTGGTGGCGGAGCTGGGGCCTCCTGATGCAATATACAGAAAGAACGACCAGAGGATGTACATCCATAAGAACAGGACAGCAAGCCACAGCAGGTCTAGGTCAAATGGCCCGGATTACAAACGGCCTGATGATCTCACGGATACCGATCAGTCCTCCGCGCATGCTGACTCAGATGACACTGACGACGAAGCTATCGAAGATGAATTCGTCGGCAACGTCTCGAAAGAGTGCTTCTATAACTACTTCTACTTGGGTTTCGACATTCTTGTGTCGCCACCAGTGCCCCCCTCGCCCCTTCCGCCTTCGCACGACGCCGGCATGAATGGCGACTTGCATATCAGCGACAAGTCGGTGAAAACCGACAACTCGGGTCGGCTCGTCGCCAGTAAACTAGTGTTACACGCCAACGTCCCTGGCGCATACCCATTCAACCGCCATCGTCGTTGTCGGTGGGAGATCGCCTACCTTTCGTCCCCTGCCCGAGACCTTCCGGTCGCAGACTCCGAAACGAGGTTTAACGACCTCGAGGAACGCTTGCGTGAGGAGTGGAGGAGTACGTACTCGTCCGACCACGACGCAAACAAACGCCAGCGTGGGATGGTCCTGAATCGAGGTTGGGGCGACAGTCCCGGCTCAAGCTGTGAGTTCCTCGGTGGTTGGGAGGACAGCAGCGGCGGCATGGCGGCCAAGAAGTTCGATGGGAACGAAGACTCGACAACAACCTTGTATGGGTTCCCAGGCCTAGTGTTTGAGGTGTTGAAGAACGGGTTTGTTAGCGCCGTAACTGTGTTCTGAGACTACGTTATATGCCACATGCTGTTGTTTCGGATTTTGATGGTCTCGGTGTTCAGCGGCGATAGCTGTTCGCGTTAGCCATGTGTTAATGGGCAGCCTTGCATCAGGCTGGTGGGCGGATTCATGGGCAGGGGTTGAGAGTAGCAACGTGTAGATGAGTTTCTGATTTCATTAGACGCATAGAATACTGCTGCTTCTGAAAGCACACCCAAAGACATTATGATCAGAGACTTACAATGTTTACAAGTCATTCATCACTGATATACCCAAAAAGTCTTTGCTGGTCTCTTTTGCGCATGTAAATTCCAGGCTATCGATCTATATACTTTATACTCCAACCCTTGGGGGTTTTTTTTATGCTCCACCCTGATCAAGCTCAAGTGTTCGAATAGGAGGTCCTTGAGGCTCAAGGTCATGCCGCCATGGCTGAAGTGACGAATTTCTACTTCCTCAGGCTAGCGAGGCGGATACTGACGGCTCTCTTGTGAGCTTCGAGTTCCTCGACCTTGGCGAGCTGCTCGACAGCCCCGCCGACGTTCTTGAGGCCCTCAGCCGTGAGGTTGGCGCTCGTGATGTGCTTGACGAAAGAGCCGAGGTTGACACCAGAGTACTGCTTTGCGTAACCGTATGTGGCTGTGATAATGTTAGTTGGTTCTTGTTTGTCACTCCTGATAATACGAATGGGGCGAGAAACACTTACGCAAAGAGTGGTTGACGCCAGCCGAGTAATCACCAACACTCTCGGGCGTCCACTGGCCAACGAATACACTGCCGGCGTTCATGACCTTCTCGACCACGGCCTCGGCGTCGGCGAGCTGCAGGATCAGGTGCTCAGGGGCGTACTCGTTGCTGATGCGCATGGCCTCGTCAATGTTCTTGACCTGGATGGTGACCGAGTGGGAGATGGCGCCACGGACAATGTCGACACGGGGAAGAGCCATGGCTTGATCGTGGAGCTCGTCTTCGATGGCCTGAAGTTGCTTCTCGTCGAGGTCGATAGCGATCAAAATCACCTGGCTATCGACGCCGTGCTCGGCTTGAGACAGCAGATCAGATGCCACAAACGCAGGGTTGGCGTCCTTGTCTGCGATAACGAGCACTTCTGAGGGGCCGGCGGGCATGTCAATGCTCACACCAGCGTTGGTGTCGTTGCTAACATACATCTTGCCTGCCGTGACAAACTGGTTACCAGGTCCGAGGATCTTGTCAACCTTGGTAACGCTCTCAGTTCCGTAAGCCATAGCTGCCACTGCTTGAGCACCACCCGCCAAAACGATGCTCTCGGCGCCGACCTTGTGAGCTACATAGACGATTTCTGGTGTGATGCTACCATCTGCGCGTGGCGGGGAGGCAAGGACAATCTTCTGGCAGCCTGCGACCATGGCAGGCACACCCAGCATGAGGGCCGTGCTAGGCAGGACAGCCGTGCCACCGGGCACGTACAAACCAACTCGCTCGATGGGTCTCGAGAAACGGCTGCAGACAACACCCGGCATGGTTTCGACTCGTAGGGGCTCCTCCTTTTGTGCAGCGTGGAACTTTCGAATGTTCTCAAAGGAGATGTCGATTGCTTTGATAGTCTCTTCCGGAAGCTGCATAAGCGACTCGGGGAAAGGAGCCTTCAGTACAGGCGTTGTCAAGGATGTAGCCCTCTCGAACTTGTGAGTATACGACAATAAAGCCTTGTCACCATTCTGTCGGACGTCGCTGATGATTGGAGTAACTATACCAAGAATAGCCTCGGCAGACTTTTGTGATGGTCGTTTCAAAGCTTCCGATACTTGTGCTTCACCAACCTTGTTTACATCGATGCGCTTCATGGTGATCCTATCCGTTTCCGGTGCGGTTTGAGCCTTCGCTGCTGGTGCCGATGTGAGCGGAGCGGCAGCGGGCGCTTCCTTGGCTGCGTCCTTGGCCTGGTTCACGGCACTATTCGTGATGCCCTCTTTCTCTGCCCATTTGCCCTTCGCGTTTCCTGTCCTCCTCTTGACCTTCAAGCTCTTTGCATCCAGGTTCTTCTCAATATCCGCCAAGCTGACACCTGCACTGACAGCCTTTGTGAGTGCGAAGTAGATCAGGTCGGCGGCTTCGAATGCCACATCTTCTGGTGACTTTGCGTCACAAAGCTCCTCCGCCTCTTCCATAATCTTCGCACGCAGCAACTTCTCGTCTGAGAAAAGACGGGCCGTGTAAGAGCCTTCAGGGGCTGACTGTTTTCTTGAGACAAGAGTCTGTTCCAACTTGGAAATACCTCTTAGGTCACCAAAGCAGCCAAATTGATCCAGGTGGCAGAATCTGCCTTTTTGCTTGATGACGAATTTGAGGGCATCATTGTCACAGTCCAGCGAAATCCTGACGAGCTCCTGGGTGTCTCCTGACGTGGCGCCCTTGTACCACAACCCTCGCTTTCGGCTTTGATAGACACCGGTCTGTGTCCTCAGAGACTCGGCAACGCTTTCTTCGCTGCTGTAAACCAGACCGAGGGCAATTCCTCTCTCATCGCATACCACAGTAGGCATGAGTTTATCCGTACGATCTGAAGTCCACGACCCTGACAATAACTTGGAGACAAACAGCTTCTTGTCGTCATTCTTGTCGGTTGTCAAGGCCGCCGAAGGCAAGACAGGGATGGCAGAGATCTGCCCGCAGATGTCGACAAAGTGCTCGTATACGACCCTCTCGGCAGCAGGCTTGATGTACAGTGGTGGGGTCTTTTCGGTCTTGTTCTTCTCGAGGAATGCAGCGACGTCGCACTTTGTTTGGTCGAATTCCTTTAGGAGAATTCCATATTGTGTTGCAGCCTTCACCTCACTCGTCTTACTGACCGCCGGGGCAACTCGTCCCTTGAACTCTGCGAACTCAGATAGCCTATCTGGCTGCACGAATATTTTCCTGGCTCCATGGTTCAAAAGTGAGATGATGTCGTCCTTTGATTCAATGGCTGTTACATCGAAGAATGTTTGGTAATTTGAGTTTTGGCTGAGCCAGTCCAAAGTGTTGTCGAGGCTGTCCTGAGTGAGTTCGAAGAAGACACAACCTAAGCATGAGAGCTCATGGCGGGTGAGCCCCTCGTCTGATGCCAACTCTGGTGGTGCAGACACACCAACGAGGAAAGGAAGTGGCAACGTCGTCTCCATTATGAATGATCTACACAGTCTAATTGAGTGCCTGTGTAAGTTTACGACTCACTTTGACAACGGTACGGAGAAATGACTTATAATCAAAGGATGACACAGTGACGTCCTCTTTTGAGATCCGTTTTCGCAGTGGTGGGGCAAGATACCAAAAATCCAAATTCTGCCCCTCCATCATGACACATCCAGCCTCATCCACTGGGATGCCATGCAGCCATGCGACACGCAGGGGTCCATTTATTTATTTGCTTAGCAGCCCATGACCTGGCTTGCCTGGGACTTGCAACGGGCAGCATGGCTTGAGCTGTTGGCGCGGATTATTGGCCGGCCGCATTCCGCGCAAAGGACCAGAGCGGGTCCGCCATCGCACCCGCCAGCCCGCATCGCATCCAGCCATCACCTCGAAGCGAAGCACGGCCAGCCCGCCATTGAGGTCCGAGGCTCAAGCACTGACAAACAATCGGTAGCTGCCGACTTCAAGCCTCAATCAGTCCTAATTACAATTACAACAATTACAAGCACAATCACTTCCATGTCCATGCTCGTATCTGGATCAGCAGTTGCGATTGCTCTTCCGAACATTTCATGAATTTCCCACATCACAGCGACACTTCCAAGCCGGTAAACATCTTCAGACGGCCAAGTGTTTGCACTACAACCGCGTTCAACTCACGTTTAGTGTCACGCTTTGACGAACTACCACAGCTTCTTTCTTGAATTTTGTCTACGAGCCTGACAGTGTAAAACCAAACACTACGCGTCGTGCGTGTACAACGACTTGACTACCACAATATATCAGTGAACAGCAAAATACCGCCCCGCTGTTCAGTACGCCAACTGGCGATATGGCATCGACAGCTTCACAGTCGCAGCCTAACGGCGTTCCTTCCTCATCCGCGGGTCCGTCACAGTCTCAAACACAACCGACACAGTCATCTCTCACAGTGTCGGCCTCGCAAGCTACAGCAGCCGGTGCAGGACCAGCAGCAAACGGTCAACCATCTCCCTCGACCTCAGCCCCGCGCCCTCGCGACTCTAGGACAATCGAGCTACTTCTTACTAGCCAAGGCGTCACGTCCTACGACCAGCGCGTGCCCCTCCTTCTCCTTGACTTTGCCTACCGACACACATCCTCCATCCTCTCAGACGCGCTCCATCTGGCCTCAGACCCATACACAACGCAAGCCGGATCGAAACCTTCAGCCGCATCAGGTGTAGCCCCTTCCGCCCCAGCCAACATCGACGCCACTGTCAGCGCAAATGCTATCAACATTGCAATTGCGAGCAGACAAGCCTATCAGTTCCGTGGCGGCTCGGGTGCTGGCGGTGCCGGCGGCGGCGGTGCGAGCAAGGACTGGCTGCTGGAGCTCGCCAAGGAGCGGAACAAGGTTGGCCTTCCCCGAGTCATGGCTCACGAGTGGGGAGTACGTCTGCCAAACGAGCGCTTCGTCCTCAGCGGCATGGGATGGGGTCTGCGCGACACTTGGACAGACGGAAGCGACGACGACGACGACGACGATGAAGACGAGGAGGAACTGATGGAAGATGCCATGGAGGGCGTCGAGCTTGTGAAGAAGGAATCCAATACAAAGGAGGGCGGTGAACCTGGTGGGCTCGACGAATTGCTTGGCGATGATATGGTGGAAGGTGACGAGGACATGGAAGGGATGGAGTAAAGGGACACAGGTTTGATGCTATGTTATCTTGCCACTTTTGGAACATCCTGTAGAGTATTTGGGCTCGGCGTTCGGTGGCGTTTCAGGTGCTGAGGAAAGGGACTCGCACATTCTGGGATGTAAATTCAACCCCCCAGAAAGGAGCATTTTAAATAATTCTTGCTCGACTATACGACAAGAATGCCGCTTGGATCACGAACTTACGGTTAGCGAAAGAAAAGACATGAAGAGGACCGGGCTATATCAGCCTCGGATTCCGCCACGCAGTTATTTTTGATATGATTCAACACCCTGGTGAACTCGACAGGACACATGATGGCACAAGTTCACGTCCAAACTGGCCGACAGTCGCCCTAATCATTGCCAGTCTGTAAAGCAGTACTCATTCCATGTCAAAACCAACAATACAACTTTTCTTCTTCTTTTTTTTTCTTCTCTTTTTTTGTTGTTGCGCAATTCGACAAGGTTTATGTTACAGACGTTGTTTTAATGTATGGGTGGTACACAATCCGCTGCCGCTATTCCCAAGCTCTATTTGTAAACGCCTCGCTATGCCACCAAAAAAAAAAAAAAAAAAAAAAAAAAAGGAAGGAGAATTTGCTGTGAGCAAAGTTGGACGTTTAGTCCAAGCTTAAGTCCCCCTCATCTTCCAGGCTGCCGCCTATGATAACGTGACGAAACATGTCGCCTGGCTGGCTATGTTGAATGGATAGCCAAATCTTAACTCAAATCTCCTGTTCCCCCTTCGGCTTTGCATCCTTGTTCACGTGCAGTTTCTGCACGCCTGTCATGATCTCAGCATCAAGGTCCGGCTCCGCAGCCTTGGATCCGCTAGGTTTGCCCTGCGGTTCGGCATCATACGGGACAACCCCGGAGTCGACTGCTTCGTTTACCTCGTCCTCGTCTAGTCCGCCATCTTCTTCGTCTATCTCTTCATCGTTCTCATCATCTGCATCTTCCTCCTGGATTATGGAATCCAGCATGTTTTGCTCATCTTCGTACACCCCACTACCGCTGAATATGCTCTCAGCACCTTCGTCAACCTCATCATCCTCACCACGGGAGAGATAACTATCACCCATGTTCCCGACGTCTTCGTCTTCTTCCGCTTCCTCCTCATATTCATCCTCATCCTCCTCTTCTTCGCTGGCACTAAACTGGTCCATATCCAGGGGCTTCTCTCGCCAGTAGGTGAAGTCGGTATATTCCTCGTCTCCGCCCTTGATGAGCGTAGAAACCGGTGGGAAGTAATGATCGACGACCTCGGTCATGTTCACATAGCTCAGTTTCAGCTTGTTCAGCGACAGCAAATCGAGCGATACTTCAGCGTTGGAGTTAATTGTGAAGATGCGGCGCCGAGGTACGTCAACTGTTCGATATGATATCTGATCAGTTAGCCGGTTGCCAAAACCAGCATAAAAGCAATGGCTGTCGGGCCCGTATAGGTTACGAATGTCACGCAAAGTTGCCATCTTGAATACCTGCGGTTTGCGCAGATATATCTCTCGACGCAGAGCTGCCATAGTCCGATCCGGGGAGAGAATCGTGGGTCCTCGCGGGATCCGGTATCCATTCTGGACGATGCCGTTCAGATACGCTCGAGTGGTGTCGGCTTGTCCTACTGAACGGCTTGTAAGGTACATGATGTTGTAACCATTTGCACTGATATCGCTGTATAGTTTGGCAACGCCGGCATGGGTCCAGTCTCTTCCGATCATGTTCAACACATGGCCCAGGGCGTCGGACTTTGTGATAGTACCGTCAATATCAGAGATGACCACTGGGGTGTCATGCTTCCAAAGATACATGTTGGCCTGGCACGTTGCCCGGTTCACTGTGAATGCCATTACATTCTCTCCGGCTTTGAGTTCTAGCTCCTTCAACTGATCACTAGTCAGCCGGAGAGTCTTGGCGTAATTCCGATTCGGATTGCCGGCGTGAGCTGTAGACCCCGGAGTGGTCGGAGGCGTGCCCACGCTCATTTGACCGGCATCAGACTCGCTACGTCTATGACCTAGCAGGGGAGCCGAGGACGCCGAGTCGTCGCTTGCATATCCCGGATCCGAAGCTGCATCGATGGGAAGCGTTGCAGCAGGGCGGAGTGATGCCACCGTTTTCATCATGGCGGCTTCTTTCGCATCTTCGCTGCTGTAGATCCAGAGGTTCCCCTCTTCGTCCATTCCGAACAAAGCACCAATATCATAATCACCTTCCATCTCTCTTGCCAGGATATCGCGAGCGAGGATCTCAGCTCTTATGGCATCTTCCTCGGTGCTTCTGAGTCCAGTCATGTCGAGCATCAAGTCACCAGACTCGGTAATTCGGCTCGGAATATTAACTGCGTGCAGCTCTTCTGAAATTTTCATGGCTCTTTGAACGGCTTCTCGTGGCGCGAGCGAGGGAGGGCTTATCGATCTATGTGAAGAGGGTTCAGGAGTTGCTCCGCGTCCAGTTCTAGTGGGTGATTCATCACGGGTTGAATGGGCTCTTGCATTAGAGGGTAAAACGTCCTCGCTGTGCGATGGTCGTCGGCGATTATGTTCATACAAGTCCTTGAACACTGGACGGCCGTGGCTGAGCTCAGGAGATGTGGCATGAGGAGACAAAAGGCCTTGGCCCAGAACTGGAGCAGGTCCCGGTCTTTGGCTGAGTGTAGCCGATCTGGGCTTTCCGCCAGTTCCGTCAAGCTGAAGGAGATCGGGCTCTTGAAGGGCACCAAGCGAGGTTTGGTCAGGCTGAAGCGGTGGGCTCGATGCGGGAGACACGAGCGGAGATGTCTGTAGGCTCTGTGGGATATTGTCTGTTGTCTCGAAAACGAAGAAAGCCTCACCCCCCTCGCCCAATTTCATAGAATAATCTTGCTTTATCCCGTTGACCTTGAATTCGACCTTCTTCTCATATGGGCGAAGCAGCGAGAATTTGCCGAAACGAACGTGGAACGGAGAGCACGCCAAGGTGCCATCTTCCTGCTCAACGACGATGACATCGATCGCACCACTCAGCGTGGAGGGGTTGATGGAGTTCCATGCTGAGGAAACCGAATCGCTGATGCCTCTGACGTACTGCATTGCATCGACTCTAAATTACTTCTTTCGCACTTCGCTCACAGATAAGAAGAGGGTTTGGCGACCGGTGTCGCAAAATCGTTCGAGCAGGGCGAAACGTGAGAAATGCGCCAAAGCCTCCAGGAATCTTTCATGGGCAATCCTATGGCTCATGCAGTACAGAACGAGCAAAACGATGGGGCACGGGCTGTTATTCCTGAGAAATTCGATAGGCGGATATTGTGATGTGGGCTTCAGAAATAAAGAGCGAATGAAGAGAAGGAATGAAGGATCTGGTTCTGGTGGGAGCGACGCTGTGACAGAACAATGATGGCTGACATGAGGGTCCCGTGGGTGAGCTTCAATCAGTGCTGCAGCAGCTTGCTGGGGTCCTTCCGGCCCGACGTGACGTAGTCGAGAAAGTCCGACGGAGTTCTTTCAGCTCTCTTTGCATGTGATGGCAGATGAAAAGATACAAACAAGAACGATTGCGAAACGACGGGTAGGGTCCATAACGTGGACAAGTACTTAAGCTTGAAACCTCAGGTAGAACAATTCCGTACCATCGGAAGAAACGGCATGCTGTTCAATTATGACGGCGTCTATTTCTATTTCTAACGGGCTGCATGGGAGCCGAAGCTCCCCAAAAATCCCAAAACCAAAAAAAGCTAACCGGTTAAAAGAGTTGGGGGGCACAGTACATGCTCAACGCTGGACCGACCCCCCAGGCTTGGGCAGCCGAGTATGAAATGCATTACGGGTACCCCAGCATTTGAGGATGTGCTAAGCTTCTTACTCTTGCCGCAAGCAAAAGGCAGCTCAGCCGATATGCGCCAATCCAACAGAAATAGGTCCGTCAGAAACCGGCCGAGAGAGAACCCATCACCTGTCGCACCGCACCATGACTGTACTCCTGATTAGATATGCACTTGGCACATAGTCAAGCCACACGCTGGGAATCAGCGTCACATCCGCTGTAAATGCATATGGACCCGGCACCATCCACTAGAAGCTAGAAAAACTCAATTCCCCCAACTATACTGTTACATCGCAGCTACCGGGTATGAGAGAGGATTGAGATCAGAAAGATATCTTGACCGAACCAGATCCAAGACTTCGGGTTGCGGGACAAACCGTCTAACCTAGTCTAGGCAAATCGAGGTTCATACATACAGCACTCAAGAAGCACTGCCGATATCACAATCACGCGGGGACGATGGGCAAGAAACACACTGACACTTGGTCGGATCTTCGTCTCACCATGTTGCATATTGCATCGACTGTCATCGGCTTTCTGAGCACAAACGGTGGAAATACTGCAGATCCACTAGTTCAGATGTTGCGGTCCAATGGTAGAGTCGAGTCGAGTCCTCAAGGCCGAAAGACCAGGGACGCATGTGACACCTCCATTCCTGACGAGGAAAACGAACGCATAGTACTCTGTCGGCTAGCCTGCATATAATTACATGCTTAGAAGAAGGTGGATGTTTTTGCTAGCAAGCCCTTCCGATGACAATCTGCACCAACAGCCTCCGTGAGGTGCATGCTACCAATGTACAACCAACTCTTCCACACAGCCAAGGCGAAAAGGCATTGGTGTTGGTAAGAGACGCATCGCGCAAGGTAGACTCAAACCCAAAGTGGCAATTAGCCACTGACATCTTTATACTGCGAGAATGCTACCAGGTTAGACTAGACTAGTCTAGAAAACTTCTTACAGTAAACAGTTTTGATAAGTGTTGGAGTCTCATCCATGGTTGCTGCATATGTAATACATAGGTAAAGTTTTAAAGCGTGTGGAGACACTTAATGACAAGTGCACGCCCACCTGCCTCGAGAGATGCTTGTTCCGCTTGTATAGATAGATACTAATGTAGTTGGACAAGCAAGAAATGCACAGCTCGAAGATGCGTAGTTTAGTTTGTCCGAATATAGCCAACTTCACAAAAACATAAAATGAGGAAGTAAAAGTTTCAAAAAGAGGAGCGGCAGATAATCAACGTCTCCTGCATAAGCTCTTCACGTACTCATTCATTCGCTAACGTTGCCATTTTGTGTAACGACTCACTCCTCCTTGTTGGGTCGTGTGCCATTTCAATGGTCAAGCCTCGAGTCTGCAGTAGCGCAATGCTACGTCGCAAGCAACAACTGCTTTCCCGCCGTCGGCCAAGCATCTCGCAGTAGCATGGCGAGCACTGCCGAAGCCTACCGACAAAGCAGCTGGTCGGTCAATAATCAGCCGTCGTGAGACTCATGGCCATGACAAGGTGATCGCTGCAAGGTATATGCATGAGCGTCGAAATTGCTCTTCCCGCTTCCTGCATTTGCACTTGCATTTTACTGCTGCTGCTGCTGCTGCGTGCTGCAGACTCGGCCAGCTCATCGATGGCGCGTTTTGCCTCTCCGCACGAATATCCCACTCGGCATGCCTCAGGATCATTCCGAGTCCAATTCAGTTTGAAGGAGAGAGTAATCAGGCTGCGTTGGAGTTGGGACGCCGTGCTGCGCACTTAGTCAGAACGGACCATCGCTCGCGGCCATGAAATTATCCACAATTCCCAGTCCCGTAGACCCCCGGGCCCCCGACCCCCAAGTCCAGTCCAGTCCAGTCCAAATCAAACCAGACCAAACATTTTCGGATCCTACTTTGCTGCTGCTGCTGCAGCTGCAAAACCTCCCATTTGTCTCCTTCCTGCTGTACACACTGCCCGTACCGTACCAGCAATTCTCCCCTCCCCTCCCCACTCTCCGCCGCATCGCATTTATGACCGGGAATTTTCCATCAAGGTTCCCAGTCGTCCCCCCATTCGCGACGATATGTCATGGAACCCACTGACAACGTCCATACCTACAGTTCTGGTCCTCTGTGCTGTCCTGGCTTGGTGGTTCACTGAGCCCAAAACGGTACACTTGAACCTGATTGTCGCCATTGGCTGCTTGCTGTTTTTCTGGGCTATTGCACCCGAGCTGGCTCACCAGTCGCCCGCCTGGCTTCTCGACACGAGTGTCAACCTCGCAACATTCTTCAAGTTGGACTATCTTGTCTTGTATCATACGAACATGCTTGTAACCGGCGCTGCCCTGCTCTGGTATGTAACATAATCTTGACATTGCCTCGGCACCATCTCCCTGCATTGAATCCTCAGATGCGTTCTAACGCGCGCGTGACCCCTTAGGTTGGCCCAAAGAACCTGGCAAACCCTTCGCAAGCCCGTTCCCGAACTCATCAACATCCTCGGTGTCGACGTACCCGATGCCCCCGATGTGTCGCTCGCTGGCATTCGACCTGATGCTGCCACGCTGCACTGGACCCGCCCGCGGCCCAACAGACCCGTGTCCAAGTTCTTAATACAGGTCAACGGCATATTGGGTGAGTAGCATCGGTTACGTGACCTCAATAACATGCTGATCAAGGTCATACATAGTCGGGGAGTCGGCGCCGACTGAGACGGCTATAACTGTCACGGGCCTGAAGCCAGACCACTACTACAATGTGGTCATCATTGCCGTCGGGCACAACAATTTTCAGGCAGGCAGTCGCGTCATCAGATTATGTACATTTTCAAAGGATGGTCGCCCACAGCTCGGTGATGGTCGTCTACCGTCCAATTTCGACCCGGAAGATCAAGCACATACCGAGGCAAGGACCCACGATGACGACGGTACACCTCGAAACCCTGCCGCTGGTGTCGAGACTGCATCCGTCTCCAAAGATTCCCTCGTGCCACCCAACTCGGCCGGTGTCTCGGGGGTAGCTAGACGCAACACCCTGACCCGAAAACACTCGCCTTCAACGACAAGCATTGATCAGTCTGTCCGCGAAGCTCTCAGCAAGTCTCCGGAAGAGTCGCTACAGAAACTGGGCGAGAAGTTTGAGAATATCAGAAGGGAGATGGAAGAAATCCAAATGCAGATTGGCAAAGATGAGAAAGAGCACAGGGAATTGATGGACGAGCTGCAAGACGAGAAGAAGTCCAAGAGGCGTATACTCAAGGACAAAGACGACACAACCGAGAAACTGAAAAGGGAGATGGGCTCTACAGATAGAGCCATGAGGAGTGCCCAGCAAAAGAAGACCCAGTTGGAAAAGAAGCTGAAGGACAAGCAAAACGATCGTAGCAAGCTTCAGGACGACATAGCCAAGTGGGAGAAGGACCTGGCGCAAATGAGCAAGAGAATAGGAGGCTTCGAGAAGGACAAGACGATTATCCAAGAGGAGGGGGATGATCACATAAAGACCCTCCAGGTCGACATTGACGCCTTGCAAGCCAGTCTTGCCCTGGAAGAGCGAGAGCTCAAGGAGAAAGGCCGGGAACTGAAAGACGCTGAGGATCAACGCAAGAAGCTTCCGGGCGGGGAAGAAAGTGAAGAATGGTACGAGAAGGACCTTCAAATACGGAGAGAATGGGAGATGAAACATCAGGACTTGCTTCGCAGGCTTGTAAACACAAAGCAGCGAATCAGAAACCAGAAGCAATACGAGCAGCTGTTGCAAAATCAGTTGCTCGCTGCTCAACAATCTGGGCTTGCCTTTACATACAATCAGGCAAACTCGTCTGGTGTGGATTTCGATCCAACCCTGCCGGAAGGGCTTTCGCGACGCAGTCGCGCGGCTAACTCTTTGTCGAACGTTGCTGTACCATCGCCTGTCTCGTCTTTTGCCATGGTTGACAGATCATACGCCCCAAGCAGTTTCGGAATATCCCGTGCGTCAACTATTCCGCCTGGGTTTTCCGAGGCGCCAATGCCCCAGCTTCCAGGCATCCCGGATTATGGCGATTTTATTGCATCAGCAGAGGCAGAGAACGAGGATATGGAACCACTCGACGAGGACCAGCTAATGACGTTGACAGGCGGCGCGCCGCTTAGCCCTACGGCAACCATGTTACTCCCTGCAGGTATGCTGGACATGGTAGATGACTTTTACGAGCCTCATGATCCAACATCGCAGCCCATGAGGCAAGGCACTTTTGGGTCCGCCATGTCTCTGGAGAACGATCCTCAATCACCAGTCTCGTCCGGGCGGTCTCTCAGTATTTCCAGTCCTCGAAGTTCTACTCAGCATCTACCCTTTTCTCAGTATACTGGTGAAAATAGTGAGAGAATGTCTCTGCGGGGCGAGCGACGCACGGCATCCCCTAGTGTTGTGCGCGCCCCAGCAACTAGCCGATTCGCCATCCTCCCATGGTTTCATCACGGCGAAAAATCCTCTGACGAGCTTCCGGCTCTCGGCTCGCTAAAGCCACACCAAAGTCAATCTCTCCCGCGAAATGCTGATGATGCGGGCATATTGTCTGGTAAACGACGAATTAGTCTCACTGGCGGCGCAGGTTGGGGTATGTTCAACCGAAATTCGGCAGGACCTGACACCCTAGACCCTCCGGGATCACGGAGCTTGGCATCACGCCGTTTGGGGCTTTTTGGGCACACCAGCGGAAGCGGCGGGCTACATGAACGAGACCCCAGCAGCCCTCGGCCTGTCTCGATTGCTTCTTCGGATTTACCACGACCCTCTACTGAAAGCGGCCCTATCTGGGGAAGACAACAACAACAACAACAACAACAGTCCAGCAGAATATGGTCACCGGAAACCGGCGACCCATGGTCGTCGAGAAATGTCTCGAGAAGGCCCTCGCTCCACGGATCCCCGTCTGCCCTGAAGACAACCCTTGCCGATGCGGATGATGTGATCCTGGACAGAGAGGATATGTTACGTCGCGCATCGGCAGTCGGCGTTATCGGTGGGCCCAGAGCCTCCAAACAGACCTTGACTGCGCGTCTTAACCCTACGGCACCAAGCTTCATGCTTTCTTTCCGCAGTAAGGACAAGGAATCAAGCAATGGAAAGGAGAAGGACAGAAGTAAGGGCAAATCCAAGGACAAAAACCCTCGACATTCCTTGACTTCTGCATCGGAAGCCACAGACACACCATCACTGGACGACTCGCCCTTGAATTCGCGCAAGTCGAGAGATGCCTTTTCCGTAGATACACCTTCGATTTCTGAGTCGCACGAGTCACTTGCGCTAGACCAGTCATTCTCCAATACCCTCTCGGAAACGGCTTTGGGCCTGGCGCTGAAGGAACCAGAGAGCGGCCTGAGGAAGCTCCTACGCAAGGGAAGTTCGTCCAAATTCAGTTTCTCATCGATTCGCGGGGTGAGTGGCAAGAAGGGGCCTGGAAGCGTTGCCAATTCAGACAAAAACCAAGACCGTACCAGTTTTGATATAGACGAGCATGCCGAAGACAGTGGCAGCAATGGTGCCGGCCCTGCCGTGCTTGGACGCAGCTACGAGAGTGTCACGAGCAGCCCGAACCTTGGGGCGCGGCCTAGTACGAAGGAAGGACGTGTAGGATGGGCGGGGCGGTTCTCGATAAAGAAGAAGCCCGGTAAGGAGAGGGAGAGCATTGACGTCGATCGCGAAGACTCCGTTCCTCCTACACCGTCAACTACTGATGGCGACCACAGAGCTTGAGTATCCCAAGTATGCGATGAACTATGCTACAAAGCATCTGGCGACTTTTCAAACAGCTAGTATCTAGGTCGCCGAGGTGACTTGACTTGGATATCTGACGTTGACTTGATAGTACTGCAAGATTTAAAATAAAATAAAGTTATTCAAAAAAGAAAATTAAAATTTTACAAGCGTTGTTAATGCAGAGATTGTCGTAGCTCAAACGCTCCTCATGTTGTGTGCTCTTCTTTTCCCTTTGCTCGGTATTGATATTTTCAGTCTCCATGTATCCATGATGGATAACAGGTGCTCATGGTAGGGTGCATGTGCATATGCATGTGCATGTGTATACCGGCATTGCATAGTATATGTCTCTCGATATACATGGATATTCATCCAGAGAGCACTTATGCACAGCTCGGCCACTAGTCTGACTTAGAACACAAGTGATGAGTGGAGCCGGTGGGAACTCCCGTGTCGCTCGTCCGATTCAAGCGATTCAAGCTCGAGAAAAGCTCCGCCATCACCTAACGACACATGCAATTTGTAAGGGCGATAGACATACCAAGCAACATTCCGGCAAGCTTCCTGACGACGGCGACGGCGACGGCGACGCCATCTACGCTCGAGGTACACATTGACAGCCGGGGCTGACCTCAAGATCTGACTACCCATCCCTCGTTGGGCAAAGCGCCGAAAGAAAAGAGAACCCATAATCACCCACGCCGGGCCACGATGGCCTCCTCGTCCGCAAGAGATGACGGCCGCAGCACCGACAGATCGGCCATGCCCTCGCGCAACCCGTTGCCGCTGTCCGCAACCCAAGAGGCACAAGTGCGGGAGGTGTTCAACGCGAGGGTAAGGGCGGCATGTGCAGATGAGATCAGAGGTTAGTGCCGATAATGCATTGGGTTTTCTAGCTTTCTTCCCTGCTTCCCTCTCTCCCTTTCTCTTCTTCTTCTTCTTCTTCTCTCTCTCTCTCTCTCTCTCTCTCTCTCTCTCTTCCCAAGGGCGAAATGACGGAGGTATTGCAAGCAAACAAGACTATATCAAGCCGGCACTAACGACATCTTTGTCAACGGATTCCAGCCTTCGCCGAATGCGCAAAACAGCACAACTTCACCGTCGCCTTCGCGTGCAGACAGCTCACCCTCGCCATGAACTCGTGCATGGCCTCGCACGCGACACAGGCCGAGCACGACCGGGCGCGCGAGGAGTGGTTCGCGGGCCGCATGGCGAGGGCCAGGGAGCGGGAACGCAAGGAGAGGAGGAAGCTCGAGCAGGAGAAGTTCCACCGCGAGTGGTGGGGCCTGCCCGGCAAGGACCCCGAGGACGTCCGGCGCGAGGAGGAGAAGATGAGCAGGGGCGAGAGGATCGGCGGGTTCAGGAGTCAGCGGCCAGCCGGCGATGGGCACCAGGCGAGGTAGTCCCGATCCGGCGGGCAAGAAGGCGGCTCGAGAAAGACGACGTGATTCCGCAAGCGTTGAGCCTGCCCCTTGACTCAGTGTGTGCGAGCCGTTTATGCCGCGGCTGGACAAGGGAGCGGGAGAGAATATGGTGAAAATGTGTATAAGATCATTGTGCATATATCGGCGTTCTACTGGGTTGGGTTTTATACCGTCACGCTGCTCCAGGCCTTGTCGAGTCAGATAGCAATCTGACAGGTCTTGTATAATACACCGAGTCAAACATTATTGCGGATGACTGTCAGGAATTGTGCCGTGTAGAAATTGTCAGCATCTCTCTGGATGCCTGTGTTTAATTGAGCAGTTTGTTTTTTACTGTTGACTTGAGCATAAAAGTCTATGCTTTTTCCTCTTCTTTATCTTCTTCTTCATCGTCTTCTTCGTCTATATGGCAGCTGTACGCCGCTCGATATTTTTCTCTATACATTCAACAAATCCCAAACGCCCTTTTCCGGTTCCTTATGCCCGCAAAGTCCATCACAAAACAACTCTCTATTGGTTCAAGGCCTCCTTGGGGAGAGTGTTGACCTTCTCATCGAAAAGATCCTTGGCTCCAGCCCAGACCGGGTCATTTTGCCAGTCGTTGAGCTTGAGGAGATATGGTAGCAGATCGCCACTGAAAGCCTCGGAAGACTCTCTGGGCAGCAGACTGGGCAAGTGGTCAATGCTGATCACACTGACGGGAGGGTCGGATACGCCTTCCACGGGGACGGTAGGCTCCTTGAAGGTTGTGGCGATGGTGTAAATGGGGACTGGACGCCATGTTAGCATGTTGGTCGCATGGAAAAGGACCTAATGTAGGGTAAACTTACTAGGGTTGTTGGGGTTCGTGGTATCAGCCGAAACGTCGCAGACGACGCTCAACTTACGACCCGGCTTCTTCAAGGATTCCAGGTCAACAAAGTGGGGGATCTTCTCGTTCAAGTAGATGCAGTTCACGAAGATGTCGCTCTCCAAGATCTCGTCGAAGGGGCCGCCCTTAGCAGTCTCGGCCATGTCCCACTTGAGAATCTGGCTCTCCGGCACACCAGCCTTCAGAGCCATATCCACAGCTCCACGACCGCATCGTCCCAGAGCACCAATGACGATGACTCTTGGGAGCCTGCCGACCTTCTTCTGGCCCTCGACGATGTCCTTCTTGATGTCGGCGATCAGCTCGCCCTCGTTGGGGTAGCTCTCGACGCCAGGCAACGGCTCGCCGGGGTGTGTGAGTTGCCATGACCAGGTCTTGAGTGCGAGGGCGCTGCCGCTGAAACCAGCAGAGTATCCGAAAGCAGCGACTCGGCGCTTGGTCTTGGGGTCCTGGAGGAACTCGAGATCGAGAAGAGTGCCGCCACCGCGGGGGAAACGGGCGAGGACGGTGTCCCAACCACCCTGCTGCTTGTAGCAATGGGCAAACTGGACGTGTACGTGCTTGAGAGGGACTGTAGACTATGTGTCAGTGTACTTTGTTCCAATTTTGTTGCAGGCTCGGAACATGTTGCCATGACGTACATGTCTCCTCTGGCAGCTCCTTGAGACCGACGACGATGTGCTCCTTGGGAGCTTCCCGCCAGCTACCGGTAGGCACTAATGCGGCGCCGATCTTCTCGAACTCGGCATCGTCGAAGATCCTTACAGGGCTCTTCTCAACGTTGACTGTGTATCCGGCATCGATCAATGCCTTGGCTGTGGTGGGGGTGAGGGCAGAGCGGTGCTCGAGAGGCTTGTCCTCTGAGCGCAGGTGAAGAACTGTAGGCGACATGATGGAGAGGATTCTGATGTGGCTTGCGGTGCACAAATGATGTGCAGCAAAGGTGACTTTAAATAAGGGAGGGCCAATTGGTTTGCTGCGAGGCAATTGAGCAAGAACTTGGGCTCCGGTATAGTTATTCTGTTATAGGTAATTCAAGGGACCAACACAACGCAACACAACGTGGGGCAAAGGCGGGATGACTCGATTTCGCACTGGAATACCAACGAAATTTCCCGCCGATAACGCAGCGGCTTCACAAGTGACGTTTGCAGGGGGGCGGCACGAGGGTCGGCTTGGCCCGTGCCAACTACCATACGAAACCCCAAGACACAGACACAACAGCTTACTACAACTTACTGCCATTAGCTACATATACCATGGTATCATCTCATCCAACACAGGCTCGGGCAATGCTCAAAGCGACTTAGATCTTACGGTAATTACTGTGGGATTCACCAGAACCGAAAAGAAGCTTCCAAACGCCCTCTATGTAGCCACTACTATTCTTGCGCCGGCTACGGACTGGTCCTTGTTCACTCCTTCAGCCTTGCGTAGTACACCTGCTTCTTGTTTTGGTTTGGTTTTGGTTCTTGTTCCGTCGATATTCTAGCACAGGTCCAGTCACCAACACGACACAGAATGAGAATCAACAGTTCCTGACCTAGAGCATACGTCGATGGATAAGCTCAAAAGTCCACTGGCAACCGGTTGGGAAAATCCTCGTATTGCATATCCTCCCCTCCTGTGTCCTGTGCTAATCCACCTCTTTCGCGAAAGCCGTGCGCAGGCTCGTGCAAACGAATGCCATGCCATGGATCAATCGGTGCCATAGTACCATTTGAAACCTTGACAGCAGGACCACACTTGCTTCCAGTGTTTCAACATTCTACTTTCTCGGGAAGAGCAGGGGGACCTGAGGTTTGGAAGAACCTTTGATTGCTGAAAGTGACCTCTTTCGTCAATGCAAAAGGCTGCATTGTATTTTGCAAACGTTCCGCCATCCGCGTTTCAGCAACACAAACTGCAACGAATGGATCTGCTGTTGAGTCAGGCAACATGACACTCCGGTTCCCTCCAAAAGTTGGCTGTCGAGAGAACTCTTGAAGACGTCCAGCCCGAAGCTTTTTATTTTCCACCATTCTGGCATGGTTATACCATCCCAAGCCTTTAGTGCTAGACCTGTGTCAGTATCGCACGATCCACGGTGGTTTACAACTTACTTATCTGTTATTGAAGTCATTGGTGACAATGAAATCGATATCAAACCTTGAAATATACCCAAGTGCAAGCGGCAGGGAAGGGATAAGGTGATTTAGTACCGACCTGAGTACGGCTCATGAAACTAGCCCTGAGGACAAAGTAACCTCGCCATGGGAATACGTGGCCATTTATGTTCACCAAAATTGGTAGATTGTCACACAAATGCCTCGTTCCTGTTGTGGCATATATCTTCAAGACCTCGACCACATGGGTCGAGCAAGCTGCCGATAGGTACTAGTACCTAAAGATACTACGAGGAAATATTGCGCCTGGCCCTATCCGAGTGAGTCAGATGGTAACACTTAGGAAGCAAGTCCTAGGTCTCTGTAATGCTTCAGAAGAAGATATTGCTTCTTTGGCTTCAAATGTACGGGCAAAACGTTGGGCCACAATCTTCGGCTTGCCTATTTCGGAAGGGCGCGGTCATCATGGGGGCTTGGTTATGCGGATCACCCCCCTGTCTTGCCATGGACCCATTCCCATCCACCGCAATAGATCGACCTTTGTGGCTTTAGTTCCTCTGCTCTTTTCTTGACCGCGCCAATATCTTCGTACTGTTTCTCCAGTTCCCCGACGATCTTTATGATGAGGCTACAAATCGGCGTCAAACTAACTACTGATAACCGTTGGCGCGGCGTCCGTCATCCCAGCTTCTCGTTTTCTCGGTCTTGCCCTGTTGTCTAAAGACACGTATCGTTGACCGAGCAGACTTCGCGCCGTGGCGTCGGTGTGACAGTCTCCTACAAGGTTACACAAACAGTTGACGGTTCCAGTCGTCTTCGTAAAGCCTTCGGCTCGTATCATCATGGTTCATATCATCGTCAATTGGATCACATCGGCCGATTTTGCATCAGCGTTTAACATGAGAATCAGTTATCGTTGCTGTAAGAGATCAAGTTGAACGCCACTAATTGATCATGTTGGTTCCTATGGTATGCGGCACACCGAGGTAACAGTATCTCACGTGGCAATCCAAACCTTTGGGTTGGGGTCAGTCTCATTCTACCCCGACTGGTAAGAGGAATGCGTCTAAGGTTAGGTATCTCGAAATTTGACACTCCCTTGATGGTATTTTGCATTATTATGTTAAATTATCTACCGACCCAGCTAAAGTTCTAGGAACACAGCGATAGATCGACATACGCACCTCTGTTTTTCGTTGATATATTTTGTGGTATCGTTTGCAACATGCTTCACCTTTCATTCACCAGGAACGAGATGCCTTATCTGCTTCAGGAGCAGTGCACAATCTGAAGCATAGCTGGTGTCATCAAATGCGGCTCATAAGCCCTCCTCATTTCGTGGTGTCTAGCCCTCCCAATCTCCATGACCACAACCTCTTCACCAAGGATGATCTTTCTTTCCTTAAATTTATGACCTCCTATTAACGTGCAATCAACCAAGGAATCAAACCTACATTTACGGCATCGCTCACCTCGTCTAATAGGCGTTGGGCCCAAAATACGTCAATATCAGTTAGTGCCGCTCCCCTCGTTTTGTGTTACTCAGGTTGACAAAGCTGTACCCGGTGCCAGTCCTGATTCGCTTCTGGCAGCCTAAGTATCGTTCGATGAATCGAATGACAGACGATCATCTAGCACAGATCAACGCTTAAATCAACCTCATCAGCACAGTTAAATGACAAACGACTACATTGCGACCTAAAACATTCTGGCCACATCAATTCTTCTACATTCGCACTTCCGGTCATCCCAAAAGTGTCATCTAGGAGCCTCGCACATGCCATATGACAGCTCTAAGGCACAGATCGGCAGACATTATGGTACAGATTTCTCTCAAGATCGAACGATTCATGCAGTTGAGCTTCCGTTCTTTGGGCCGCACTTGTATTCAATGCTCGAAAGAGTCCACACCCCCTACGTAGCCTTGAAAAGCTACCTAGAGATATCTCGGCGCTTTTAGTACAAGAGGCGATGTTAACTCTGAAAATGAGTTGTACGCGTGTTACTAATCATGTCTTTAATATACATTTTATTCATCGGCATCCTTCCAAAATCTCTCGCAGGATTTCCCCTGGTCCCACGGACTGCCGCGACAGGTAAGAGTGGTGATTTCTAATCGTAACTGAGATGCCAAATCATCTTGTTGTGATTGTGATGGCATGCGGCTGGCACTGCCATATCACCGATTGCTTCTTGGCTACCCATTATTGCTGTATGCAATAGCCCATTATCCTTCGGATCTGTGCGGCCATCGATATCTCAGCTCTTTCGACGGCCGCCGTCGCGTTCGGTGACTGATCTGCCAGCGTCACATTGCGATTGCCGTACTCGAACGGTTCGTGAAAGAAGGCAGCCAGACGCAGGTTGGTAAACTCATCGCCAGCCCCTGCGCTGGAACTTCGGCCTTTCGTCGACACAGCCGATCCGTTCTCAATTGTGGAACTAAGAAGAAGAAAGGACCATTGCTGTTAACATAACCTCTTCAAACCAACTATAGATTCAGTGATTACCTGGTTAAAGCGGTCTTTTTCGTGGGACGGTTTGCAGAACGATCAGTTGAAGCCATAGTATAGGGGCTATCTGGAGTATTGTGTCAATGAGCGCGGCTATGAGGCAAGGAATCTCTGATTTGCAAAGAGGAAGATGATATGGGTTTGAGAGGTATTGGTGTTAATGAGTTCAGTGAGTTTCAAACAGGCTTTATTTCATCGGGGGGAGTATACAACATCATATATGCTCTGGTTTCTGCTCTGACCAAATCGTGCTCTCCTATTCACGTGAAGTATGCTGCCAATGTTAAACGACTTTATGTAGCTTAGAGACGTCGGAGTAAAGGATCGAAGCTTATCAAACGCCAATTGCCTGCAGATAGCTTTGCTGGATAAAACAAGAAATCTATTAATTCGAAGGTAGCAAGTTGTCACTGTTGTGCCTTTCAAAGACTATCATTGGCAGCTCTTTGCATCCGCAATTGATCTTCTGTGAATTAAATAACTCAATGTCACGTATCATAGAACTCAGCCAAGATTCTGTGATCCGTACTCATATTACCGGCTCCTGCAGGGCTGCTACAAAGGTCCCATAGGATCATGCTGATTGGCAATAGAAACAGGCATGTGGTTCGGTGGGTCAAGTTTGACCTACCATTCAACCTTGGCTAGAGAAGGGTTCTAGAAGCCTTCTGGCCTATAGCATTCCTCGACTCACGTCTGACCTCTGCATTCACCGAACACTGTGCCAAGAAACCGGGAAAGGTATGAGGATTCAGGGTCCCGTATTATGCAGCTCTGGCCCCCAAGTCATCTAGAAGACCGAGTAGGCATCGGCAACTCCAAAATTGGTGTTAAGCTTTTTGCCCGGCTTCACGCCTATTGGTTGTAAATTATAATGAGCTGATTCGACCGTTGAACATGCGCCACATCTAAGTGGCGAGCCAGCTTCCCTTTAGGGACAGCTGCAGGTATAGACTGTGGCTTGTTCGCCCAATAGGGTATACCCACGGGTCCGGATGCCAATTTGATTATGCATAACGCCGAGGCATGCCACACCTGCTGACACATATGTGTGGCTTAACTCTACTAGAGGGACTGATGAGCGGGTTTTCTTCGTGTTGCTTCACGATCATGACATATGTACTGTTTCGCAAGGGCACCGAAGTGTCGAGTGGAGGCCTGCCAGTCTTGTTGCTAGCACGTCTTGCGTAATTCTGCTTCTGTTCATCCAGGATTCTTTCAAACTTCCAGAAAATGCTCGACATTCTGTCACTACGCAGTCGCCACTGAGGTATATGCAGATGCCATTTCGTAGCCTCGGAGCCAATGGTGAGTATCTGCCGGTGATGCATGGGAAATGAGGCAGCCCAAACTGACATGTGAATCCAAAGCACAGTAAGAGCTAGTGAAAGCTCAAAGAAGTTCGCTATAGAGATCAGTATGGACATTCATTGGTCTCGGTACACTGATCGACTGGACTACTTCTTCGGGCGGAAGCACCCTCATGGTGTTGTGGCAATTGCAGGTCTCACCTACCCTGGAGTCACAGCAGAAAACCGTATGAGGACATCGGTATGGGTGAGGATCTATGCCAGGAATATTCACGCAGAGCGGAAAGCGTTCCTCAATATCTTTTTCCTTTTCCAGAGGGTGCCAGTTTTACCGGGAATGAGGCAATAATCAATGTCGAGGACGATGGCAGAATCATAACATTGCCGTTGCCACTGGAATTCGCCACTTGAAAGAAACTTTCACAGCAGCCTTGCGAGAGCCGTTCTGGTTGACCATTATATCCAGGTGATAAATCTGGTGGCTGCAACACTGCTCGAAGATTGGTATGCTCAAGTTGGGCTGGAACATGGAGAAAGGCTCGAGACCAATTTGGGACTGGTAGGGACGAGACAGGCAAGCATCAAGAGATGATTGGCGCCCAGAGCCTACGGGCAATTTAATATGCGTATAACCCTCAGGGTCTAGTGGGCGAACAACTAATTTCCATCATGTCGCAATCTCAACCAAAGATGTCAGCAACTCATGGGTTTGAATCATCATTACGACGATCTTTTGATGAACTAGTACCTCTCTGATGCTACTGTGAGGCAGGTATCGTCAATATGGAGTAGGGTCGAGTACTGAGTTGACCATATCCTGGAACAACTGATGAATCCAAAGTTAGCCTTTACGCAGCAGGAGGCTTCGAACTTTCCAGCGTATCTTCCTAGTACTGGGGCAAACACCTCTATCTTCTGTGGTCCAATGCTGTTTGGTCTCGTCAACATCTCCCCCAATTTCTTGCGCTCAGTTCAAGCTACCATACTAGATCGTGGTATCATAAGATCTGTGAAAAGAACGAAAAAGATATTCTGGAACATGATGACAGCCTCACTGTCTAATTAGGTTCTTGACTAGCGTTTTGGTCTATGAATACTGGTCCAACTTGGACACGAGTCCTTCGAGAATATCTGCTGCAGAGTGCAATTTAAGCTAAATTTTGGTGAGAAATTTCAACCTGCGAATGATCCAATGAGAAGACTGGTGGTACAAATCAGCCCGATTGGCCAAGTGAAACCAGCCACCGTGACCTGGCAAGGCATACACCAAGATAGCCTCACCTCAAACCTTCCCCTAAACAAAGTTCGTTGAGTGGGTTGATTTGGACAAGTCAAACCGACATAACGATTTACGAGTAGGAGCGATAGGGCATCTCATACGACATGGAGTTTGCTGCGACTTTTGGCAGTCTTGGCGACATCATTGCTATCTGCCAAATAACAATTCAATTAAGTCGCGCACTTGGAATTGGTACGGCCGGGGCTTCCAGTAGTGCCTGGGAGTATCAGGAGCTTCGCAAAGAAATAGATATTTTCATCAACATATTGCTCAATGTGTGTATTCTCAAACCCCCAGAATAAACCATGCAAGAAATCTCAACTGACATAGTGGCCCAGGTCGTCGCAACGTGTGAGCAATATACTTCACCGAGTTTGAGTGACTTGAATAGGACTATACATACTATAGTACAAGACTGCCACATTCAGATCCAAGAGATTCTCCATCGTTTTGTACCTAAATACCACGAAAGTCTAAAACCCGGTGGCTCAACAAGAAAGATTGTAGATGCTTTCAAAAAGCTGGAATGGACGGTTAAAGAGAAAGAACGCACCCGAGAATTGCAGGATAAACTCCATACCAATGGACAAAAACTTTCTATGCTTATGCTCATTGTTTCAAGGTGAGTCGATACGCATCACCATAACGGCCTCTTTTTTATGACCGTAATAGGCAATCAGCGCATGCAAACAATGCAACACTCCTAGCCAGGATTGAAGAGGTGTCGATTTTGGTCTCCAAACAGGAGCAACACCAAAACGTATTGCTAGATCGTCTCAACCGAACTATCGATCATTTCCAACGACAAGAAAACCAGATCGATGCGATCGAGCACAACATCGAAGTCCACTTAGATAACAACAATACCATATTGACCATTGCTAAAAGCACGATTGACCCAATCAAGCACTTGGAGCAATTATTGGCAAATGTTGCGCACGATGTTGTCCAATTACGTGAGACAGTATCGAATTCCAACTTTATACGGTCGTTGGATCCTACTCGAGAAATGCCACTGAATCTGAACGACGCGTTCGGTCGGGATATTGCAATACCCCTCCAGCTCATAATAGATTGGCAGGTATGTAACTTCTTGGAACATCAAGAAGATAAAACTTAACTCTGTCCAAGTCTTTCAACACGATCCTCGGAATTTTGTTCCAAAGTCAGAAGGGTCACGACATGGTTCTAAAGCAGCAATTTGCTCTTGAAGAACACTTCTCTGGGAAGGATATCGCGCGGGATTCACCTTTATCTGAGTGTATCAGACGAGGCATGCGGATCGATATGAGTATGATTTTCGAAACAAACATCGTATTGCTAGGAGCCTGCCCTCGATGTCGCGAGGATACCGACGCGCCAGAGAATGTAACAATACAATGGTGGGTTCTCCAGACCATGAATTGAATGGCTAGTGATCTAAATAAACCAATGGGCAGCAAGACACAGAACTGCGGGATGTGGTTTCGCGTCCTACAAACTAAGATCTCACGGACACCTATTCAGCAAGGATTTCTTGGTGGCGTGATCAGGGAACAAATCCAGGGAAAGAGTACTAGCACGCTCAGCATTATCGCAGAGCCATCAGACTTTCAGCGTGTTAGAATATTGAACCTGATTCCCGTCACAACTACACGAGAGCTTTTGGGAGACGAGTCACAACTCGATCCGACTCGCACCCAGAATAAGCAACACTCGGATAGCCCAGCATTGCGCACATCCTATAAGTGTCTTTTTGAGGAGAACCAGTCATCTCACAGACATGGTTTTTGGGACCCTCTACAGAATTCTCTATTTGGGACCAGGTAAGCAATTTATTCAGGAAATACATATATCTCGCAGCTTTTAACGATGAAAACGTAGCTCTTCGAAACCATTCTCAAATTTGGACATTTCGAATCAATGTACAGCTAGCAGCAACGATGTCGAGAGTGAATCAATTAAGCTAATTGATTTGGTTTCCGTAGCCCCCACGAATCTAGACGACCTCCAGACTTGCGAGTATGAAGGCTGCTCGTACACCTATGGCATCTCTCGCGAAGGCTCCAGAAACTATGCCAGGCACTGGAAGGTATCTCATCGTAGCCCTCGGGTGTACTGGTGCCAGTTACCAGGATGTGGCAGAGTATTTATCAATAGGAAAGATAACTTGATCGCACACCAAAACCTCAAGCATGGTGTTAGTTCTTCGAGCCAATTTAGTGTTGTCCGGGCACCATCATCATTATTATCCCGACAAGCCTCAGAATCTCCAATTTCCGTGCCAGCAGATAGTTTCTCCCCAGCCCTAGACTCTGACTGGGTTGGAAATCTATCATCCCAAAGGCCCAGATACATCGGTTCCCCAGTGACTTTCACTGCCTCTTCTAATCGCTCTGACACCGATGGCGATCATGACGGCACATACGGAACCTTGGGTACAGAAGCAATAATGAACAGAACTCCCGGGCTACATGCGACTGAGGATGAAGACAGAATACGCGGGCTAAGTCTAGGGCTACCAACAACACCCGCCACATCAAACGAATGGGGCTTTTTGAGTTCGCCGGTAGCGGGTGTTCTGAACGCTTCCACGCCTACGTATCGAATTGCAAGACCAGAATTATCTCCTACCCAGTTAGCTTTAGAGACCAATCACGTTCCTTCAAAATATATCATCACTGATCTTCTGCCACATCAAAGTATGCCTGACAAGGACGAGTTTTCCGAAGCCTGGTTTCCTTTGCACATTTCTGGTGCTCAGCGCAACCATAAAGAAGGAAAACGGCCTCGTATTGAGTCTGAGCATGCTGAGGTTCTCAAAAAGGATGCTCCGCTTTCTCGGTCCAAGAAACGCCGGTATAAAGTTGCCGCAGAAGGGGCACAACCGGAGCCTGCATTCTATATGTCACTACAAGAAGAGGGCCCGTCAAGTGTCATGCGGTTTTCCCGTTATGAGAACTGACGTATACACGCACACTACTAACCAAAACGACGCCGACGTTTAGCACGTACATCAGATTCGCTGGAGTATATATAGCGGGTTGGCTCATCTAAGTAAAGCTATTTTGGTCCGTTCGTCAAAGCAATCTGGGGAGTGGTCTAAACGCCTTGGCTTACAGCACAAAATAACCATATGTCTTTTCCCGCAAACTGCAAAAGACAAATTCTTTTCTTCCCTTTTTTTAGTTCTACGTATAAATAAGAAAAATGGTGCCTTTAGATTGCTAGTTGATACTAACTATAGTGTTTGTGCTTCCATTTCAAATAAGGTGTCTTTGATCATAGTTTGCTTTATGCAGGACAGATGAGATATCACAAACGTCCATGCCTAGATTCTTTCTGCGCAACTTGGTCGATTATCCCAGTTGCCTGTAGTAACTACGGCATGCTTCTCAGAGCCGGGTACAATTGCTGCAACAATGCAACTAATAAATCTGAACGACAATGTATCTCTATCAATCTAATGATTCTTAGTCTTGATGATCCCTAGCTTCTTCATATGAAGGTGGTGCCTCTCGGCGTTGTTTGGGCACCCTAACCAGAGCCAAGATCACAATGACAATGACCATGAGGCCCATTATACCGAAATAAGGGAGCCCTACCCAGGGCTCGCCTGTTTTCATTCCAAGGGAGAACAGCCCCGCCAACAACGGTGAACCGTCTGTGTAATTAAAATATCAGAGTCAGTCAACTTTTTAATCATGGTAGGGATTGTGTTTTGCAGATTCTAGCTTGATAAAGACCAATAGTCTCACTTCTAGGGAGATCTTCAGGCTTAGATGGCCATTGACCAGTACTTTCTGGAAGGACAGGAGTTTCAAGGGCACGGACTGTTCTTAATACTTACAAACACTACCAATGGTCTCTACCATTCCCACCATGCTAAAAAGCCGAGAACTGTGCTCCGGATCGACATATAAGCTCAAGAGACTATGAGCCAGGGCGGCAGAGCCAGAACTAATAGCCAAGACGAAAAGCCCGAGTATAAACACCCATAACTTTGGTGCTATTGCAAGAACGAAATAACCAAGAAGCGCGAGGACGTAGGACAGTCTTGCGAGTGATAGGTCGCGCTCTTGCTCATTAGGACGACGGAATGGCTTGGGGGTCGTGTCTTGTAACATGAGCCGGGAAATCCAAGGCAATATGACAAGTGCTTGAATAACTTGAGCTAAACCGTACGTCGTTTGCACGTAACCGGTAGATGCGATCGAGATACCGTAGCGCTTTGATACAAACTGTACAAGAAACTGCTGCAAGCTCTGAGCGGCAGGGTTCGTTGTAAGCATGGCGACCATAAGGAGAATGAGTGATGATGACTTGAATAAACCAATGGTATCCTTGAGCTGGCCAATAGCGTGATGGTAGTGACCTGCCAAACCTTGCGGTTGGTCGTCGTCGCCAGTTGTATCATTTTGCTTATGTTGCAATGTCTCGGGTACGAACATGAAGGCAATGGCCCCAATTATCACACAAGCAACTCCAAGAAGCATAACAGGCCAAGGTCCTATCGCAGGCATTATGGCTGATGACAGGGCCGGGGACACCAAAGTACCAACCAGACTGCAGACTTGTATACGCAAGAACGCAGTTGCTCTGAACAGAAAATTAGTGCAAATTTCCAAGCATGAAAACTAAGCCAGGAAATACCTTCCGTCCTCGGGGATAACATCAGACACCATACTGAGGATAACGCCAATCACGACAGGACTGCCACCACCGATAAGACGGAACAGGCAAGCCGTAGCAATCAGCGCAGGGTTGAATACTGAGTTAAACCACAGGATTGCCATCATCCACAGGATGGACAAGGCCATACCAACCAAGGACAGCGCAAATACGGGCTTTCGCCCAATTCTGCGACAAGCATCAGCATTCTACGCATACTAGTGTATCTCATGTAGGAGGACTGATTGACATACTTATCCGCCGCGACGCCCCATGGAAACGCAGTAACGAAGCCGGCTATTGCTTCACAGACTTCCGCGGTGGCAAAGATATAAGCCATTTTGGACTGAACGGCTGGAACTTTACAGAGTTTCTCATCAATTGATTCACCGAGGTTTTGCACTTCGTAGTATCGGTGGCAGACGACATCTTCGACAACCCTTGTCAGCGGTATGCTGACGAACCCATTTGCGCATGAAGCAACTAAGAGGATGACACAAAAGAGAGCGACAATTGTGCTGCCACTGTGAACCTGAGGGACGCGGAAGCTCGAAGCGATGGAGGTGACCGAACGCATTGTTCGATGAGCCGGACGGCGCGGTTGAGCAGCGGGTTCTGCGTCGTCCGTTACCAGCGGCGTCTGCTCCGTGCTGCCATCATAATCTTGATCGTGGTCGCCCATGGTAGTTCCAGTCGAACGGTTGGAAAATACTCAATCAGAAATGAAATCACGAAAGATCAGTATTACATTAAAAACACAAACAATAATGAAGTAGTCGAGATGTCTGCCTACTTATTCAACACCTCGTAAATTCCGTGTCTTTCGGCGTGGTTTACCAATCTAGACTGTAGTAAGCAGGTAGTACACACGCATGTGCGATATGGTTTTGCTACACTACACGCAGAACACGTTACTGCACAAATTTTGACCTTGATTAAATGACGGGGATCTGGCTGCCCAAGCGACGACCCCAGAAACTTGGAACCACTCAACCACTGCCAGACCGTTTATTACCAAAAGAAAAATGGGCCATGTTGTGGAAAGGTTGAAACGTATTCCGGGATTAACAGTCCGAATTCCGATATGGCTTAGCTTGCCAAGATCGTACCGTAGCCCATTAAAGTAAGCGGTGCGTTTGTAACGGTGATCATTTATGGATTGGAACCTCACTGATACTGGCACATTTGAGACGTCGTAACCTAACAGTACCTGACTTGACGGCGATTCGAACCATGTACTATCCTCTGAAACCATATCAATGGAACAAGCCATGTTTGGGTACAGTCATCGAACAGATGCTTTGTCTCCGTAACGTACTACCGTAGAGCAAATTGTCGTGTCTACCACCCGACGTTAAATGAGTAGTTCAGCCAAAAGTATCATTTTGCATCGCCTTTATACTGCGTATCATGCTTATCGCGTGTAAAGTCCTGGGCTTGATACTTCTTATCCATCATAAACACCATAAACGCGCTAAGTCAGTCACCCACTCCATGACTTCGCTCACGTATCCAAAAGCCATGGACCATAGTTATGGCCCAATGGAGTTGTACTGCCCAAGGATCACAGGCACCAAAGTCTCTAACTGTTTCTATTCATACCTTTCTTGATCGCAATATGTGGTATCACAGCAAAATGACAAACTATCAATCACTACTTGGAAACAGTTTATCGTATCTCTGGCCTTTTCTTCTTCTTTTCCTTTTCTCTCCCACCCAGGGTCGCCATCGCTTTGGTATTTCCTGATTCGTAATTTTTCTTTTTTTGCTTTCAACCAGTGGTACATTGAACTGCTTAAGGTTTTGAGTTTACAAACACTGACCATTAGGAGTTCATTTCATACCCATCACCCATTTCCGGGTCATTATGCTCTCGGTAATCATCCCAGAACTAAACGTGTCGCACGACCACTACAAAACTATTCGACTTATGGTTTAGAAGTCGCATTTCCCGTTCATTTCGCTTCTGAAGAATTTTGCGTCGTATTTATGACACGCTGGCGGTTGACGGGGTGAATCATAGAGCAAATTAGCCTGAGAGGGCTGAGCAACTCGGTCGGCGGGGATGAAGGAAAACTAAACGGCGATCTGAACCTGGCTACGACGTCAGCTTTGTTTCCAGATGTGGAAGGAAAATTCCAATTGGTTGGATAAACGAATTTGGAAATGCCACGGCCGCGCGCCGGGAATAAACAACGAAAGATGCCTCAAAGTACCAGAACAACACAAGTTTGGGGGCAATCGTGTTTATCGTCCCACTCGTCTTGTTCTGGACGATATTTGTGTGCAATCCGAGCGGTCAAGGCTAACCGCTCTGGTCGACAAAACAACAAAAACTGAGTCGGTATTCATCACTTCGCCAACGCGATGCGATTTAGGTTTGTCGAAAGACTCAATCGTGGATTCAATATTTTGTTAATGCATAGATCATCCATGCTCGATAATTGTTGGTCCCTTGCCTAGCACAATCGCGACCGTAAAAGAGCATTCTTTGCTGAACCGAAAATTGGTGCGCGCCATTTGAGTCACACGGATAGTCTCTGTGCAATCGTACAAAATTAGACCTGGGAATTTCTCAGTGTGCTTCCAATTACCTGGGAATTGGAGTTCGACAGCTCCACTGTGATAGGTGATGAGTCCCTGCAAAGTGAACCACAACTGCAACCTTGTCCTGCTGATTTTCCAAGGACAAGGTATCCAAATTGTCGTGGTAGGCTTGAGGGACGGCTTGCAAATAGCGTCTGGGTCTTCACACTGATTATTTGAGCTGGCATTGCTCACATCCCGTGTTTCTTCTGCCCATGATCAAATGCATTGTACGCTGTTGAGATAAGACAGATAGAACTCCATGAAGGCTCGGGCGTTGTATACTTGACATCTTCCAAAGAGCCAAACCAAAGTGATATGAACATTGGAGCGATAACCCTGGATCACTTGAATGGGCTAAGACAAATAGTTCAAAGCATTTAATAGGATCGCAAGCCGGCAGGTGAGCGTGGACAATTACCCGCATAGTCCGAAGATCATGTGCCGTCCGTGACATTCTATGACTATCTTCATAGTCCTTTGATTGACTGCTGGCTATTGCGTGGTTTTGACGGTTATCGCTAGCCGCATTCCTGCAGATTGCATGTTCAACTGCTCTAAAAAAACCATTCCAGGCCCACACCGGCCCAACAGCCTGGTGAGTAAGGTTGAGATGTCAGATGTGACCTTAGATGTTTTGACGTGGCCATGCCCCTTGCAGTGTTGATATCACCGTTAAGGCAGGGTATTACGGGGGAACTACCCTTGATGTGTCAGGGTTCGAAATGGCGCATGGCCCTGAATGTGGAGGATATTCATTATGCTTGTCCAGTCAGTGAAGTCATTTTCTGCAGCCAACCTTTTCGGAACCACCTTATGTGCAGCTTTAAGAGCCGAGAACAAAATCGAATGTCCTTCATTGCGGCTGAATATAAGTCTACCTATCTCTAGTTTCCTTCGATATAAGAAAGCAAGTTGCTCGAATTCATCTGAGCCAGAAATTATTCAGCTTGATAGTTACAAGCTCTGGTTCAGACAACTCGAAGCTTTAAAACAAGATAATATTAATTTTAGAGGCTTTGACTGTACCAATATACGAAGCACCTTCTCTCTTCAACCCGATTTCTTTATTCTTGCGAACGCATCAAAATGATCAAGCAGCGAACATAGTCGGCACACGTTATAAAAGCAAACTTCCTGCGTCGCTTTCAATCTTCGATGCTTTCAAGGACCATCCAATCCCTTCTCAATGGCCATTGTATTGCCCTGTTGCCACGGCGTATACCGCTTCGGATGTAGCGATTGTGCTGCTAAAATATGGCCTTCTATGTACCCATCTCGGTGGTTACCACTGCCTAACCCAGCAAATCATACAGTAAAGAATAATCTACGACCAGGCATACAGCAGGATACAGTACCCCTACGGATTGTCAGACGTGGGTGCCTCAACTGGCTGGAAAGGTTACCTTATGAGATCATCAAAATGATATTAATGAAACTATCCTACAAGGACTTGCTACGACTACAAGTTGTAAGCAAAGCAATGTCTCGAACCATCAACCCACAAATCGCTTCAGAAGAGGAAAAGATTGCCTTAGTTATCGCAGCAGAAAAGGACTTCGAAGCGAACTACAAGAAGAAAGAGGATGCCCACTGGATGGTCGGATACGGATGCTATGTGTGCTATCGAGTCATTGACAGCAGCGAATTTGCATTTGAGCAGTATTGTACTCATTTTCCAACACATCTACGCCGTTACTGTATTAATTGCGGTTTGGAAAGAGGCTATTACCAACCAGGAGATACTTTGAAGAAGCGGGACCAGACTGATATTTGGATCTGCAGATGCAAGCAAATCAACGACAAAGCAACAACGATTTTCTGTAATCGTTGCGCAATGAACATGCCTTTGAGGAAGCGCGAGGAACAGTGCGTGGCGTGACAACGTTCTCTCATTAGAGTATCAGGTACATGCAGTGAAATAAGTTGATGCGTTTGCAATGGGCGTAACCTCCTTTCTCTCTATGTACACGTGCCTTGTTTAGTCTAGATGCATCGGTGTTGTTTCTGTCTCCAATATACCCTCCTAGATACATGCAATCAAGATAGCCATCTATTACTATTCTGTCTTCTATGCTGGGAGGATTGCATTTACTGTCGATCAGGTATAGCTTCCCTTATAGGTGCAACATACATGCCCACTTCCTTAATCTCAATAAGTGTGAGCAAATATGAGGCAATGATGCTAGAGGGAGAAAGGTCTAAACATGCCATAATGTCTTTTTCATTCAAAATTGCCACAAGAATATCTTCTATCTAGAAAGGAGATTATCAGGCAAATGCCGGGGATCTGTTAATTCGGTATGATGGATCTGTCTAAGAATAACAAAAGAGATGGTAAAATCTAATCCGGGGCGAACCAGCCCTAGGCGCCGCAACCAACGCAAGAAATATGTCGAAGATGAATTTCGAAGACATCATTGTAAGACATTAGTTGTAACCGGTACGGCTTCTGCCTCTTCGTTTACTGCTCTCCTCAGGGGTTTGTTCAAATTCGACGGTATTCTCACGAGATTTGCGCCCACCGCTACCAGAACTTGACTCTTTCTTCCCCCCTTTCCCGTTCGAGCTCTTATCTCCTTTCTTGCTGTAGCCTCCAGAGTCCGCCATGGTCACTTCTTTTATTGTTCGAAAGCCTAGTCGATGTGAATTGCGAAGTTGCAAAGTCCTCTTTATCTTGAGGTAATATTATAACCCCCGTTGAGTGGACGACTTGAAGCTCTACTGAGATCTTGAAACGTGTGGTTGATCAACTCTTTCTAAGTGTCAGCTACCAGACAAGATCGGACTGTGGCGATATACTTACGCAAACCTCGAAATTTTCAAGCTCGTCCGAGTTATTGGTACTGGAAGAACTCTGTAAAAAAGAATATATTGTGTAGAGGATAGAGCTTTATATAGAATGCTTGAAGATGCAATATCTTTGAAATCAATTCGTGATACCAGGGCGGCCGAGCATATATTTATACTTGAACGGAACTCGATCTTGGATGTGTGGAAGATTATAGGGCCAAGCGCGATTTGGAGCTCATGTCCTGCCCCAGGCAGTCGAGGGTGCCTAACCTCAATCTCGGTACTCTCTTTACCACTTCATAGTCCCGAGAACAGGGTACGGATGGATCCATTTCCACCCACCAACATTCACAGCATACGACGACACTTGATATTGTGCCCGACGTGCCTCAGCAACTTCTAAGTACAGTGTTTTCTTAGAGTCATGCCAAGGACGTGGCATCACTGCAATCCTTCACGAAGGATTACGCACGTAGCATTGTTCCGTGACCTCACGGGCTGTGACCAATGGGCAAGGAGAGGGGCGTAAGGCGTCGAATGAAATTGGTGCGGCCACACAATGCGAGTTTAGGATCTCTTGTCCCGTGGTTATGGTACGCAATACTAGTACGCATTGCTCGATAGCCAGGCAGCGACAGTCACTAAAGCTCACGTTGAGCTACATCACGGGCCTACCCTCAGAGTTTGATGCGCAACCTGGACGGCTCAGGATGCTGTGGATGGCTGTGTCAACGAATTCAGTCAAATCGCATTATCATGTGTCTTGCAAGCAGACCTTTTGATACTGCCACAATTACAGTTATCTTGGTTAGCATATCCCCCTTGCATCTGTTGAGAGGAATGCTAGCTGAATCAAAACTGCCGGCCCTGGCTGCGCAAGGGAATGAGTGGTTGATTGAAGGATCTATTCAGTATTTCGAGCTGCAGGGATGGATATGTCATACGGCCAGTCAATCCTGACTGCAGAATATGTCTCAGCAATGGGGGCCGATGGTGGATCACGGCATGCCCACGATATTGTCTCCACTGGGTAATTGACAATGGTCTTGTCAACGTAAGCATGAATTCTAACAGTATGAGCCAAAAAGTTAGTTCAATTTCTCTGTGCCACGTTCTTACAATATAAGCATCCCTGGCTCTTTGGATCGGTTCTTTTCAGCGCTTATTACTCATGATTGGTGACTATCCGAGGCGGAACCTCCGAAGTGGCGACTCTGTTGATCGCCGGTAGATATGCTTCATGGCTCTCTTGGGGACAGGATCAGCGCTATTGCGTGATGCTTAAATTCGAGGAGTCTCGTCAATAAGCAATGCCGTTGCATGGAGCAGATGGGATTCTCTGGTCCCTGCATTAGCTTATTACTATGCTTTGCGTAATACTGGCAATAGGTGCAGAAATTCTGTCAATTACCCTAGGTTAGTAAAGTTTTGGGGGCCGCTTAGCCACGCAGTGCTACATCTGTTGGTAGCTAAGGCATCCAATCACTTGAGACATAGCCGGGTTCGAGCCTCATTGGGGACAGCCTCATTGCGACAGCCAAGACTCGCCTCCAATCTGACTTCCTAAAGGGAACATTGCACACTCGGGCTTGCAAGAATGGGAAAGACCATATCGGGACCGAGATCTCAAGAATGCAGTGTGTGAACCCGCACCATTCTGGTTCATCCTACCAAGTCTCCAAGTAGCTCGGACTTTGATCAATGAAGAATGATTGGCCCTGCTTCATTTTCCGATTTGCACTCTCTAAATATATCAACTTGGCTCAAGTCACAATTATTGCATGACCATTACTCCGTTTCTCAAGGCGACAAAGCGATCATGTTGGACGATTAGGTAACTTGAGTTGACATGCTTTATCTCACAGCTGTACTTTGTAGGAGGAGGTAGCGCCACAACTGGACGCTAGTCTAGACTAGTGACCATTGAGTACCTCCATGAAATATACCACTCTATACTCGAACTGACTAGTTTTCCCATGGCCTGGGCCTTGCTAAAGAATTCTACCTGTCGCAACTAATATTCATCTCTTTGAAAGAAAATTTATTTGGGGTTTTTTGATCATGTTTTTTTTTAATTTCATGCCAGAGTGCGGCGGGCATCGCAAGCATTGCATCACAATTCCGCCTAGATCTAGGCCAGACCTGCAACTCAACTTGCTCTAGGGCCACGAAATGTACTGTAACACCGCGGCACAGAAGAAGACGAGTCCAATAACAATTTGGGATCCTTGGAATTTAACAAAGTTCCCAACGTAATCACATCGAATACTGTGCCCGGCTGGTTTAATCAGGTGTTGTGATGGGTATCTCATGGGTACACAGAAGCTCATTTATTACCCACCATGTATGGAGCCGAAGTAGTTTTGGCCTCAAAAGGCTGGCCCTCATGCTGCGCCTATCAGCTCTATATATAAGTTCAATCCTCCTCAAAAGCAAATGATCTGATACCAGCGATATGGCAATTAGAGTTCTTAGTAATACGGCATGACAAAGCCCCCGTGCCCACCAGCCACTACTTTGCCAACACGGCGACATCAGTCGAGCTTGGCACAGATATTTAGCGGGTTGCTAATTCGGCCTTGGCCATTCCAACGTCAACTGCTGCCGTTGTGCGGCACCAAATAATACCCATGACCACCGTTTTGATTGTCTGCCTCGGAGGATTGCATCGGCTGATCATGATCATGGTCAGGATGTTTTATGGACCACGGGCTCTGGCGGGGTCGACCGCCGTGCCGCAAGCCACCGGCAGAGGCAGGCCGCAGACCTTGAGTGGGGGACGTACGATACTCCGCCCACCCCTTCTCGGTTCTGGCTGCACTGGCGCCAACAACAAAGCCTGCCACACGGAAGTCCGGGTGAATACAATGGCTCAAAATGTGGTCGCGACTTAAGTTCCTGCTGAGTGCGAGTTGAACTGGTAAGGGCAATGGTGAGGATGAGAGCGTAATCCTACGTAATTGAGGATCCTGTGATGTTTCTCGGCCCTATCAGTATCGTGGGGCCACGTTGAGAAGGAGCGTAGAACGCGGCCTGTGGTCACGTCCGTTGGCTCGGAAGTATCTATGCTTATTACTACCTTTTTAACTGTATCCGCTGCCTTGGTGAAGCATGCAATCTAAAAGCTTAATACGGTGTCATGAAAGCTGGATCAGCCCTACAACACTATTATTTTACTATCAAGCCGACCACCGAAGCGCACACCCTACTAAGACTCGCAACGTGGAGTGGCTGTTGCAACCCGAGAAAAATATATAGGGTGATATTTATGCGATGCCGGCTATCGTCATGCACATGTCGTCTAACTATAGCCGCCCCCATCGCTGTACCACGACTATTGATGGCCTGGCGTTGGTCAAGACAACCACGGTAACCAGACCACCTTAATTCATGCCCTCGGAAGGCATTCTCATGATGTCAAGAATTTTTCTCCCTTGTCTACCCCGTATATAGATACGACTGAGAAGAAGCCAAGCATGAATGCGAACCAATGCCTGTCTCCCCTAGCTCACTACTAAAACTCAAAAATTTACGCACATTATGAAATAACTACCTTTCCTGTCAGATATCTTGACGGATCTTGTCTCCCGAGCGAAATCACAACCCCAGGTTGGGTAAGGGAAAGTCTATCCTTCATCTCAATTAGGTGATCCATGCCCAAGCTCAGACTACTCATGATCCATCGGCCGATGGCATTGACATACGCCTGTCCCATTAACGCGTTGTTGTAGAAAAGTGTACCCAGGCAAAGAACTGTGGTAATTCCGAAGATGGTGTTCCACGTATCTCTCAATCGCGGATCGAAGTTTCTGGCAGCTACCGCGAGGAGCGCGGTTCCAATCTCCAGCAGCACTGTATATTTCCAGCCAAGATTTGACAAGAAAGCACCAATCCATTGGTATAGCCATATGGAGATACCAGTGTCTCCCAGTAAGGTGGCGAAGATGAGGACAATACTCAGCATTCCAGCTTCCAAGGCGCCACCGAAGAGTGTGCGGAAGAAGATATGGTAGATGATGGCAATACTGGCAGCAAGAACTATCGTGAGCAAGGCGTTCCAGTGTCCCAAGATCCAAGTGCGCAGTAAATACGTGAGAAATATTGCGCCAGCGGCGACCAATCTGAACAAAAACTTGCGGCTGCCAGTCCGCTTCCACGCCTCAGTGGTCTGTGCCGGTTTCTCCGTACTCAAATAATAGAGCAAAGGACTGCCATCAGCCTCGAAATTTTCGCTGGTGGTTGACTTATCTTTCGGATATATGATCCCTTGGTAGTAGACTACAAGGCATTTACCAATCTCGACAATGCGCTGACCTTCACCACTCTCGATCTCGTCCTGACTCGGAACATCATTATCATCAAAACGTAGGCCACGAGTAGGTCGCACAATTGGTTGACCGATATTCTCGGGCCTGTATCGCGTGATCATAGGCCAAACAGCAAACTTGACCTTTGCACCACGAAGCCGATGGTGTGCTTCGAATCTGTGGTGTAACTTCAGCTTCCTGATACTTTGCTCCTTCTCTGTGTACTCAGGTTGGCTACTAAGCTCAGTGAGCTCCGCCTTGGTCTTTACCGACTCTACCTTCTCTCTTCTCTCAGCCTCCTCTTTGGAGAGCTTGTATAATTCGTAACAAGCCTGGCCTTCAATGGGATAGTCCATTCGGGCCGCAGGTGTTGCTGATAAGAAGTGGAAGATCGACGAGGAGCGACGCATACAGACATGGAAGTAGGCTGCGTGGGCGATGATGAAGTGTAGCTCTGCATACATGAAGGCTATATCGTTGTTTCTTTTCAACTTCAATTTCTCATACTTAGTAAGATCGTTGCCTTCATCCATGATGTTCGTCAATGCAAATAGTTCCTGAAGGATGTTGGCAGTGTACGCGGTCAGAGAGTCTACCTTCTCCCAGAATAGGTCAGGCACTGCCTTTCCACCCATAACCATATTGATCTCGTGGGAGCGGGCTGCTGCGCGCTGGTAGCCTGCGGCGTAGTTAGTCCACTAACACACTCCACTCCGTGGTCTGATTTCCTTACCATCGTTAACAATGTAGTCGTTGTCTTGTTGATTCAGGTGCTTTTCCTCTTTTGCAGTGGCGCCAAACAGGAGTTCAACATAGATCTTCTTCTCGATGATCTGCGCCAACATACCCACAATCAACCACTTTCGGTTCTTTCTGTCTCGAATAATATGTTCCCAGCCATCAACTTTGTCATTGAACTTGGGGCCGAAAAAGATGTCTTCATGCGCAACTAGGTTGGCATACTGGATAAACTGTGCGTTTAATCTCGTAAACCAGGTTCTATCGTTATAGCTCTCTGGTAGGTTCCTCTTCGCGAAGTAAGTCTCGGACCATTTACAAGATAATTCATATAGCACCAGGTTGTTCTGAGAAAACCAGCCATCATCGTATCCTTGAGGGGGTGGTGTTGAGTGACCAAAGTCAACGCGACGAACTCTACATTCCCGCCCAATGCGAACATTGGCTCGCTTGATGCGCCGAGCCACACCAGGATCGGTTTCCTTATCTGCATTGACTGTACAACCATGGGCACCTGGAGTCGGGGATCGTGGCCCCGGAGTGTGGCCCTGGGCGCCTGCAGGCGTGGAGCTGCTGGTGCCTTCTTGGTTTTTGTCCTTCTTAGGAGCGACATAGCTGTACAGTGTAGTATCCTCATCATCTGGATCGACATGGAACCCGGGTGTGTATAGATCTTCGACGTCGAATTTAGAAATACCAAGACGATGCTCCCTCCGAAGGTATTTCTCAAAGCCTCCATAAGCATCGGGCGGATCCCAGATATTATCGTAGAACTTATACCATAAGTTAGGGAAGAAGCCATAGTCAGGGTCGAACGGATATGTAACAGGTTTTGCGCAATCCACACAGATCTTTGTTGTGCATTCACCGCATCTGAAAGCGTGCAGCTTTTTCCCCTTCTGTTGAGCGCTACCGTTTTTCATACGTCGCGTGGCTTCTTGGTCTGTCCCGCAACTCCAGCAATTGAAAACAGTTGCTTGCACTAATCTGTCAGATGGAGGGAGTCCTACGGTTCTATCGTACGCCTTGCAGACTCTTTCGCACTGAGCCCGCCCACATTTAAAGCAGATGTCATAGTTGCAGGCATTGCAATGTACGATAGTGTCCCCTTCCGCGACACACTGGTTGTATCGCACCACATCAATATTTGCACCGCAGACACCACATTGAGGATGGCTGCTGTCCAGGAATGAGCCGGATTGCGGTACGCGCTGTCGGCAATGAGACTGGGAACAAATGTTGTCACGTCCATCCCTCTGCTCGTCTTTTGGAAGTTCGGTTGTATTCTTCTCCGCTGCCCAAGGTGCCTGTACGTGAGGTGCTTGGTGTATGTTAATTTGCTCGTAGTACCGCCCATATTTCGATTTGAAGAAACTCATTTCCTTTTCTACCCTGTCCGAGTTGAGGTGCTCATTGAGAACCCGTCTGCGAAGTCGACGCCAATCACTCAAGGCATCTTCGCGTTTTTCTTGCAACCACCGGAGAAAAATCGCATTTTCCATAGCAGCATTGTGTGTGGTAGACCTCGCAGTGGCTGCACAGGGACTTGCATTAAACTCGCATTGAAGTCTGGCACTGGCTCCATCCATTTCTGGGACTTTAATTCAACAATCAGACGCTTAAAGGAAGCAGTCCAAGATGAATGATGCTTAGCAAAGATGAACAGCCTGTTAATCGTCGGATGGCATCAAGTCCTAAGTGTGCTCATATAAGAACCCAACAAAGAGCAATTAACATCAATTGAGACATTCCGAGATTCTTGAGGGACAACTGGCCGTTTCCGTATTGAGACCCCATGGTTTACCTGGGACAGCTCGGACAATGCGTACAGGCAGCACCTGGCTAGGTCACATTCCAGAGTTGAAAACAGTGGTTGTCATCCCTTGTTTTGATGGTACAACGAGGCCAACAAGAATATTGACGAGGTTCAAGAATACAATAGACAACGAAAACGGCTTCCTCTTTGTTGGTTCAAATTTTGGATGAAGTGGTCCGATTTTGGCCTTGCGCCATGTCAATACTTGATATCCTAATTAACTGTGTACTTTTGGGTGACTGCGAGAAACACTTCAACACTGGACTTGTGTCCACTCCCACCCGGCGCGGTTTCTTCCTTCAGCCATGTTACTGATCAGCCCACCACGACGCTGTAAACTAAACACTTTTCCTCGGTTGTATTCTACACGACACACTGGTCTAAGTGAAGACCATGGACACAAAGATGGGTGTTTTTCTCGGTGTAGATGACCCCGCGCTTCGGGCTGCGCCTCGCAGCAGGTACTCGCCAATCGGATTGGAGGCTGCGATCAGCCTCATTGTAACAACGCAGTGACGCGAAGAAACGACTTCCTCGACCTTCCCGTCGGCCTAACAGACTCCTTGCGACGAACTATCCTAGCATACTAAATCGAAACGCTCGAACTATACGAGACACGACTCACGCCACGAGCACTGGGTTTCCGACGCGTCACACTTGCACTTCTAACACCGATGGCTGAAGCCTTCGGCGTGGCTGCCAGCGCCCTTGCTGTTGCGGAATTATCTGCCAAGATCGTCAAAGTCTGTGCACAGTACACGAACGACGTCGTGAAGGCCAGAGAAGACATTGAGCGGCTAAAGAGAGAGGTGAGCAGCCTGGGGGATCTAGCCAAGAGTGTGCAGGATTTGTTGGATAAGTCTTCGCAACTCAAAGACACTACACTTGAGAAACTACAAACAAGTCTTGTTGAGAGTCAAACACGTCTGGGAGAACTACGGGCGAAGCTAGTGCATGGGAAGCGAAAAACTGTCATGAGGAAGTTTGGTTTCCGTGCCTTGACATGGCCGTTCAAAAGCCAAGATGTGGAAAAGACTCTCCAGGACCTGGGGCGCTTGACGCAGGCAATCTCACTAGCAATCCAAGTCGACCAGACGTAGGTGACTCGTCTAGAGAAAGGAGATTACATTATTAATACGTCGGAACAGGGGAATATTACTTCATATAGATCAGAAGATAGCGCTAGCAAAACTCCCTATAGCAGACGGAGCTGCATACAATTCTCACGCCGACGAGCACAACCCACAGTGTCTCCCCGATACCCGAATCGAAGTCTTGCGAGAAATATCTGGATGGGCTCAAGATCCACATACAAAGACTGTTTACTGGCTGAATGGCATGGCTGGGACTGGAAAATCGACCATATCCCGCACGCTAGCACATATGTTCTCCGAGAGTGGTGCCCTTGGAGCTACCTTCTTCTTCAAAAGAGGCGAAGGCGACCGTGGTGGAATGTCAAAATTTTTTACGACAATTGCCAGTCAATTAATTCAGCAAGTTCCAGAGATAACCGAGCACGTGCAAGCCGCTATAGATGCCGATCCTGCCATTATCTCGAAGGCTTTGCCGGAACAATTTGACAAACTGATTATCGATCCAGTCTTGAAAACCCTACCTAGAGCTTCCCCCCGTCAGAGTCGTCTATTAATTATCATTATCGACGCACTTGATGAGTGTGAGCGGGAAAAGGATGTGCAGGTCTTTATCAGGCTATTATCCGGCGCCAAAACACTACAGAATTTACAACTTAAGTTCTTCCTTACAAGCCGTCCAGAACTACCTATCCGGCTTGGCTTCAGGGCTATTGATGGCATATATCAAGACTTCATCCTCCACGAAGTTGCAGAGCCGGTTCTCGAGCATGACATCGCTATGTATTTCAAGCACGAGCTTCGCCTGATTCAGCAAGAATTCGATCGAAGCAACTCTAGAGACCGACAATTATCCGCAAATTGGCCAACTAGAGCCGACCTCCAGACCCTTGTCCAAATGGCCATCCCCCTTTTCATCTTCGCGGCAACGGTCTGCCGTTTCATCTCCGACGGTCGAGTAGGAAGTCCAGATGAACAGCTCCAAGAGGTATTACAGTACCAATCCAAGAGTCCAAAGTCTCAGCTAGACGCCACTTACCTTCCTGTTCTGAACCAAATGGTTACTGGCCTTCATCCAAGGGATTTGTCTCGGGTCTTGGAGCGCTTCCACAAAGTTGTAGGGTCGATCATCGCTCTTGCCAGCCCCTTATCTATTTTCGCACTTGCTCAACTGCTCGATATTCCAGTGGCTATAGTCGATGACGCGCTTAGGACGCTACATTCTGTATTGAGCATTCCTATATCGCCGCAACAGCCCGTCCGACCGTTACATTTGTCCTTTCGCGATTTCTTAACCGACCCAGCGAGACGTGACGATCCGTTTTGGATTAACGAAAAGAAGACCCATCATCAACTAGCTATCCAATGTCTACGTATGTTAAACACTTTGAAGACTGATATATGCAAAGTTCGAGCCCCCGGAACATTCGCCTCGTCCATACCCTCGAAAGAAATCAATGCAAAGTTGCCCTCCGAAATTCAATATGCGTGTCGCTTTTGGACCTATCATCTTCAAGCATCCGGAATTAATAATTCGGATATAAATAACGTTTGGGGCTTTCTCTCATCACATTTTCTCCAATGGTTAGAGGCATTAAGCTGGATGGGTAGACTACCAGAGAGCCTTCGTATGGTCAAAGATCTACAACTGTTGTTTCCGGTACGTAAATTGATAATATACGAGCCATGACTTATTAACTTAATAAAATATAGCCATTAGTGTCTCAGAAAGTATCGGACTTTTTGGAAGACTCAATACGATTCATTCTAGCCATAAGCTCGAGCATACAACTTGCTCCCCTTCAAGCATACTCGTCAGCATTAATATTCTCGCCTTATCAAAGCATAGTTCGCGGTATTTATAATCAAGAAATAACGGACTGGATAGCTCTAAAACCGAAAGTGCCTTTAAGATGGGGACAAAATCTCCAAACGCTTGAGGGGCATACGAGTTGGGTCAGTTCGGTAGCGTTCTCGCCCGACGGCAAGCTCGTGGCGTCGGCGTCTAACGATCACACGGTAATCCTCTGGGATGCCGACACAGGCGAGCGACAGCAGACGCTCGAGGGGCACACGAGTTGGGTCAATTCGGTGGCGTTCTCGCCCGACGGCAAGGTCGTGGCGTCGGCGTCCGACGATCACACGGTGATCCTCTGGGATGCCAACACGGGCGAGCGACAGCAGACGCTCGAGGGGCACACGGGTTCAGTCAGTTCGGTGGCGTTCTCGCCCGACGGCAAGGTCGTGGCGTCGGCGTCTGGCGATCACACAGTGATCCTCTGGTATGCCGACGCGGGCGAGCGACAGCAGACGCTCGAGGGGCACACGGGTTCAGTCAATTCGGTGGCGTTCTCGCCCGACGGCAAGGTCGTGGCGTCGGCGTCTGGCGATTACACGGTAATCCTCTGGGATGCCGACACAGGCGAGCGACAGCAGACGCTCGAGGGGCACACGAGTTGGGTCAATTCGGTGGCGTTCTCGCCCGACGGCAAGGTCGTGGCGTCGGCGTCCGACGATCACACAGTGATCCTCTGGGATGCCGACACGGGCGAGCGACAGCAGAAAATCGATATCGGAACTGTATCCTACAGCCTGAAATTCGATATTAACAACAAGCACATTCTTACCGATATTGGAACTTTCGCTATTCATAAACCAACTGACACCTTACCAGTTAGGAGCTCTCAAGCCCAGCCTTTTGCACCAGACTCCGCGGCCTCTAATATGGAATGTGTTGGCTACGGTATCAGTCAAGACCAGTACTGGATTACCTTGGATGGAAGGATGATGCTATGGTTACCTCCGGCATATCGACCGGGAACGTCCGTTATTAACGGCTCTACTATTGTAATTGGTTCCAGTTCCGGTAGAGTTCTTATTATACGGCTTGACCGGTATAGTGAGGGTAAAATGTTCAAACCGCTTCACTAAGATCAGTCTCTCTTTATCGTCCTCTTATTTCTTGTATCTTTGCAAATTAGGGGTCCAGGGAATAAGATCTATTTATCTTCGAGCAATCTTGTTAGAAAAGCTTCTAGAATCTTCTAGTATTATCGATTTTTACATTAGTTATATGGAATAGTCATTACGCAATAACCTGCTTATGACATAGCCGACCTTGGGTCTTTAACATTCCTAAAAGGTGAAAGACGGCATTTATCACTATGCCTGTGGAATCTGCATGTCGTGTATTTGGGACGGCCTGACCCCTGACTAGCAGGATCCATACACCAGCCTTACCACAGGCTGATCAGCTGATCAGCCTGATAGTCAAGCGCTATAAAGCCATGCTCCACGAAAGGGACTCGCAGACCTTCTTTTACTTCTCTTTTTTTCTTCGTGGTTTTCGTTAATAGAAGCACCGGCCCTTGGTAGTTGGCTTCGTCCCTACTTGCCCTAATGCTCGCCGTGACAGTATGCTAATAACTACGAATTGACTAGACTACCTCATATTAGGCTAATGGAAAGTACCGAAACTGAGCTGCCCCACATCCTGGCGCGGGCTGGCACTGTGTGAGCGCCAAGCTCCAAAATTGGCTGTTCTGACAATGAAACCTGCACCGTGAACGCGGAAGGCAATAACGTTACCAACTGTATAATAGATAGTGATGCATAAATACCATTTTCGTAAACATCCTAGGCGACAAATGAGGTCGCTCCACTCACATTGTCACCATACCGTTTTTCTGACTTGGGGGCTGACATGCCAGTATCTATATTCGCTAAACCAAGGTTACTCGATTATGGCAAGACTGAACCATGATATAGAGAATTCCATTCCGATTCAAATCAGTCTCTCCCCGTACTACGTACAAGGAAACGGGTGATTAAGAGCTGTAGTCGGCAATGTATGAATAGTAGCTCAATTCACTGAACATCACATCCCCGTTTCCTCTCTTCTAAGACAAGAATTAGACCTTAGAAATACCACAGAGATTCATTAGATAGCCCCAAGATCTGAGTTACACAGAATATGACCCGAAAGTCTCCTCTTGAGGCTATTAAGTACGTTAAATGGGTTCCTATCCGCGAATCGGCTTGTTCCCGGCGGCCCAGGCGGGACTCCCCCTCGAAAGGGTTCTGAGGTCGGACGAGGTGAAGTTTGTCTTAACCAATAGATTTGCTAGCTTCATGAACCCTTTTTGTGAAGTAGACGTTCTGACTCGAAATTTCCTCTGCGCTTACCAACGGGAGTACAATATGAAGACGGTAAGTCGTGGGTCTGACTGGATAAGGCAGATTTGACGTACTAATTGTGGGAAAATTTTGGTAAACTTCGTGTTTGAATAGCCAGACGCTCCGAATCTGGGGCGAACGTCCAAAGACCCTGGGATTAGCATCACTTCCCACATAGTTCAAAAGTCGATGCTGCCATACTTTTGAAATCAAAGCTAGGATGGAGGCGCGTAGGTCTTGGAATCCGTTTGCGGTTATTCGTCTATTTACGTCTGCTTCGATCTCATTTCGCAGATTGGAATCGACGGACATATGGCGGCCAAATGGATAACAGTTGCGGCGATATGACTATGTCGGTCTTCAAAGATACAGACCAACGTCATCGTGCCGTCTCCGGCCTGCTGCAATATGGTTTACGTCCATTATTCGTCGCCTTAGCTCAATGTAAGCGTCCTTGTATCTCCATAGCCAGTTAAATGTTGATCTCAACCCACCCGTCCTATTACGGTATGTGGGTACCATAATCATCTACGAAGTTGTCAATCTTCAGTTCGATATGGTATAATCCCCAGGCCCTTTCGTCCAACAGGGCGCGCACTAGTGATGATGAAACTAAAAATTATGAACTTAATTCATGATCATCTATGGTGCTTATCCCGTACATCGTTGGGAAAACGGCGAAGGAATCGGTCAAAAAATAGCAGGCTAGCCAGCTTCTGTTCAAGATGGACATCGCTGTTGTGTATACTGAGATTAGCGCTGACCATATCTTCCTGAAAATGGCCAGAACTATACACCGGGTTGTGCAAAGGATAATGGCGGAGGCTTGTAATCCAGACTCTTCGGCGAGTCCCCGCCCACAACCTATTCCACTCGGGAAATATGTGCAGCAGCGCTCTCTTCAAGTAATTTGCACTGATATTAGCTGGGACAGCCTCAGAGGCCATCACTGCTTTGAAATAATTGCCGTGGTTGTCCTTTATTTGGAAAGTATCCCGGTAGTGTCGGGCCAAAGTAATTAAATTGTCGCACTGTGCGAGGAGACTGCGAGCTCCGTCGTTATCGCGAATGTCCTTTCTTCCGCGCCAGGTAGAAAGACAGTGCCGATTATTGGCAGAGTTGAACCAAACTTGTCTCTTGCAATATATATGGGGTTTGCAATGTGGACATTACAACATTGACTACATCAAAATTGTCACCACTAGCATCCAGATCCTAGTTATCATCAGGGCGGAGCTTCCATCGCGAGTCTGAAGCGTTGATGAGTCCGAAACGATCGGCATGGGCCATGTTGAAAGGTTTGTAAGTATTAAGCTACAGGATGGTAGGTCTAATTGTGTATCGTTGTGTTGTGACGGACGAAGTGGCAGCTATGTGTGATATACACCCAAATCACACGATCGCTAGCAAGTGACTAATCTCAAAAAGAATTCATATTTAAAGTTAAAGAACTTCTTTTCATTAATGACTTCTTTTTTTCTTCTATGAGGGCTCCCATAAGACTAATCGTCGATGCCAAGTCGTCTCTGCAAAATATGCTGGTTCCGATAGCATTGATTCTAGAAGAAGGCCATACCCTTATTATCACACCTGTTTACATACTAGGATGTAAGCATGACAACAGAGCCTGAACGGCAGGCAAAATAGACCCAAGTCAATTGTTGGTAAATCAACCATAAGCAAGCCTCTGTTGATTCACCTGATTACTGATTGATAATCGCTTCGTCTAGCTTCCGGCGTGCCAACATCAATCAAGTTCACGAAACACTGTGAGACATATATGCCTTCAAGTGTGATGAATGTGTTGGCCACTAACAAGCATCAGCACACATGGTGCTGAGCCGCAGACCGTTTATCAACGGGCGTATTCAAGTACAGTGAGAAGACTGGCTCATAGCAAATACATATTAAAAAACCGAAAGAGAATTACCAATACACATATTTCAGTATATGTTTTGGTGACAATACCCAATCTGTTGATTTAATGATGGACTACAGAAGCATTCCCGGTTCTCTCGCAAATACCTCCTCCATCTCTCTAAGATGTTTGATGGTTCGTGTGTTTTGCATACATGCTCGGAAGTCATGGTATTGGTATCAGAGTTGTCCTTTTCGACTTCGAGCCTTCTTTTCAGATTCTTGACCTCGGTCAGATCGGGTTTGGAGCTTGCCGCGGAGAATGCTCAGTTCAAGCCTGGCCACGTTGTGACTACCTCCTCCATAGCTGGAACCATCTTGAAACTCATTTGCTAAAGTATTCAGGGCGATCTGAGTGTTACTAAGAGCTTATGTGTCCCCCCGTTCCCCCCGGGAGTAATGAATTATAGGGAATTTCTGTTGGACGAACCCAAGTCGACTTCATGCGTTAGGCTGGCCCAGAAATACTTGAATGGCTTACAGTTGTTCTTTTTTTTTTTTTTTTCCGCATGCTACATAGATAATTTGAATTTGATTGCTCAGAGCAGCAATTAATTTCTCACATTCCTCACTGGTAAAACTCAGCTCCTTTTGCAGCTGTGCTATTTCGCTCACATCAGACATGTTAGCAATTCGGCAATTTGGGGTCGAGTTTAGTAGTCAATATATCTTATTCTCTACGTCATGCTGGCAAAATCTCACAGGGATTGGATGCTCGGAAAGAAACAGTGTAGAAAGGAGTAAGAGGCAGGTGTACATGAAACTGACCGGTGAAGCTCGGTTCCGGTCAACATATGTCATATGATGTCGAAGATGACGCGATGTGCAATCAAAGAGGACGAGAGAGAAGTGGGACGTCAAGTCACGGTCATACAATGTCAAGGATATATGTAATGTAATGGTGCCAACTGAAATCCGTTCAAGACAAGAACGTACAGCAACATACCCAAGATCCCTACCACATATGAGCACCTATCGTTCAAAGTACTCAGGTCTAAGAAGGATAGTTAATATTGAGGGATTGGCAGTCATGAGCATGTGAACAAGCCCCGTCCCGGAGAACCGTTGCCGAAATTCGCACGCCTTAACACACCTGGTTCGAACAAACTATACCGGCGTAGTCCAGCTTCATCACACTAGTCTAGGTTCAAGATCTTAGACATAAAGCACAAGCTCAAGGTGAATAGATTATTTTGATTTCTCTTTATGCGACGTTAGATTCATTTTGACTCGTAAGCAATGGTCTTCCGCGACTTGGAATTTCGACACATGCCACGTTCATCGTCATACCCCGTCTCGCTATGCTCATTTGATTCAAAAGATCACAGAATCTTACAACTCCCCCTCCATTTGGTATCATCAACATACGCCCTCCAAGGCAAACCGCAAAGCCAATATATACAGAGTGCAGCTGAAATTCGACCATGCGTGTTCGGGTCGCGCCTCATCAGGCTCTGAGTCGGTCAAGCCGGCAGTTGGGCACCTCCAGACTGAATTACAACATGCGGCGGCGTCTTGTGAAACAGAATTGCGGATCGACAGATTGTACGCATTCGCTCCCGGTAGCTGCTCGCGATTTTTCGCTGCTCATGCGGATGGTCAACATCATTGGCAGTACCCTGGCACGTTATTGTCACCGCTTCGACGCAGTTCCACATTTGTCATCATCTTCATCCTCCGAGTCCGACTCTTTGACCGGCGACTGCAGCTTCTTATCTAGCAATGTTTCAAGTGGTTGCGGTTTGCCTGAGGTCGAGTCGCTTCTCTTATGAACATCTTGGCTGCCTCTGCGTCCTAATCCGGTCTCAAAGGATGATTGCACCGTCGGGGTGTTGGCCTGACTCCCACCACGCTGACCATGGTAGTGGACAACCTGGGGAGGGCCCTGTCCGTCCTTGGAGCCCAGGAGGTGTTGCGGGTATGGGTTCAGATCTTTGCTCGAAGTAGAGAAAGTTGAGACTACAGGCTGATGGTAGCCATTACTACTAGAGGTACTATCAGTAGGGGTATGCCCGTACTGAGGGCCATGCTCAGCCTGGGTCGGAGTACCCGCCTCGTTCGGAGATCCTGGGCCTTCAGGTTGCCCTGTCAAACTGTTCATGCCGCCTTCAATGTCCCGTAAAAGACGCACATACTCTTCCGGTACCAGGCCGCTCTCTTGTGTCTTCGGGTCTTGTGCGACCAGCCAGCCTTGTCCATGTCTGTAGGATACCCATATGATTTGACCCTCGACCAAGGGCAATTCGTTCTCATTCTCCCTAGCGAAGTCGAAAAGTGCAACAGCTTTCCCGTGCATTTCCTCATCAGGTGAGGTTATGGTGAACTGGTAATCCCTCGAATACCGAGACTCATCGTAGGCATTGAATCCTGGCGACGAGGCAGCGCTTGAAGCTTCCGATTCCGATCGATACCCGGCATCGTGCTCAGCATATTGCCGCGGCCTTTGTTCTTGGAAAGACCCGTGGGTAGAGTGTCGTGCCTGACCAGGTGCATAGGTGACGTATTCGCCGCCGGGTCCATTTGCCTCCCCCCCTTGACTTACGTAGTACCGCTGCGGTGCATCTCCACTTGTTCCGGCATAAAAGCGTCTGTCACTGTCGAAGTTTTCGGGGTTCGTTGTAGAGGCCCGCCCTTGCTCGTGTGATGAGCGCTCTCTGCGGTGCGGCAGGGCTGCGGAAGACGATTTGTGCTTTTTGTGGCGTGAACTAACTACCGGGCTGGCCAGGTCCTCATCCTCACTCCACGGGGGCCCATCACCAAGATGGATGGCCGCCAGGTCCCCGCCTTTGCCCAGGCCACCGTCTGATGTCCATTCCCAGCCCAGCTTGCTCTCCCAGGATACCGGTGGGTCTGACAGTCGGCGTGATTCGCTCATAGGTGTACTCATACCCGATGGTGGTCTCGAGCCTTCCGGTGGCGGCCCATAGTGCATAGGATGCACCGGCGGATATGCGAAGTCCCTCACCACGGTGTAGGTTAGGCTGGAGTGGAAGATCGGGAAAAGGTAGGAAGCGGGTCGCGATCGCGAGGGGATTGAGCCTGTCGAGTACTGCGACAGGCGATTCTTCGAGGCGTGCGACATTGGGCGTGAAAGGTTCGTGCGACGAGGGGCCGCGGGCGGCGATGTGATGAGTGGAGGCAGAGCGGGGTGATTAGGATTTGGATTGAGACTTAGATTTGTATTTGTATTCGTACGCGAGGACGGAGAGGTAACTGCTGGTGGGGAAGTCGCTGGTGATGAGCTGGGGGACATAATTGCGGTCATTGTTGGATTGGATTGGACTGGTGACGTCGGCCTACCCGAGAGAATGTGTATCCGTAGAGGAAAGAAAGTGAAGCTTGTGTCACTGTAGTGGCCAGGCTTGACTATGGCCGAGCCGCCTGCGCCTTGCGATGAGAACAAACTTGGCCAGCAAGATGGTTCCAGGTTCTGAATCGGACAGTGCCAAGGCGGGGTTCTGAGCTGAATTGACAAAGGCCTTCAAGACTGTGACAAAAGACGATGAGAACTATAGCGTTGTGAGCTTGCGCTGTGTTGGTGTTTGTTATTCTTGTTTGTGCCTGTGCTTGTGCTTGCTTGTGCTTGGGATGGCGGGATGGGCAAGGGTGTCAGCATAAGCCTAACCTTAGACTAATGCTATGTTTAGATACCGGTCGACGGTCCGTACCAAGATACGTACGTACTGTAGGCAGATAGGGCGAGGTACAGTATGTAAGGTAAGTGAGTTGCGACAGTTCGGCTCGGAGGGGCAGGGAAGGGGAGCCGTGAGGTAAGGTTAGGTTTCTTGCAAAGTATTAAACGGATGGTCGCAGAGGACACCGCAGTCGCGAGAAGAGGTGTTACAGCGACAGCGACAAGACAAGACCGGACAAGAAGAAGAAAAAAACCAAGCAGAAGGACGCGAATGCGAAATATCAAAAATTGGCGACGTTGAAGTTGGAGTGGGGAGGGCAGGCAGGCGCAACTGCTTATTGAGTGTAAGGATATGAGTGGTAAGGATTGGATTGTCAACTTTGAGCGGACATCGGTTCGCTTCCATGACCTGACTCCAGTTCTTTCGGTCGCTGCAGTCCTCAAGAGGTATTCAAGGCCTAGTCTAGGCTCGCTGGGGGCGCTCACTGCACGCCCGCTGCAATTGCGTCTGTATGCCCATCCCATGCCCTTGTTCCCATGCCACCACGGCTTCGTAGCCTTTGCCAAATATGGGCAGAATCAAAGAGTATGGAGTCGATCTAGTGCCGCTTGGGTCAGGCCGTTCGCTCCGCTTAATGGCTCGTTCCAATTCTCAATGCTCCTGGTATGCTAAATAAGCGCGTGGTGGAGCGATCCTACTGGTCGCCCGTTGCAAGTCGAGCCCTTTGACGAGATCGAGAAGGCCGGGTCAGCGCATTCGAGAGCGCATTCGACGTGAGGGACTGCCGCGCTGCTACCTTGTGCCTTGGGGTTTGCGGGTTAGTTTGGGCGCGAAGAGAATACCATTCATTGAATGGCAAGCCGACTTGTCAATTCTTGTATGGGTGGATTCAGTTCCCATAAAAGACAAAAACCACTCCGGTTGGCTGCGCAACGGTCGTCCGAGGCAAGTGGTTCTTTGTCTGATTGATGTGATGGTTGTGGTTAGAGACTAACTAGTCCAAGGTTAACTAACCTACTACATACAGTACAGCATCTACAGTACGGACGGCACTTGTCGTTTTACACAAGAAAGGTTATAACCTTGAAGACAGATGCAACTCCCCACGGCAATCCGGTTATAAAGTCTAGGCGTGCCTGTACTGTGGTTCACCACCATCTGCGAAAGTTGTTTTTCTACAGTCTCCAGCCGAACCCGTGACAACCATGCCGCGAAAGAGTTGAGACGACCCATGATTGACACATGGCCTCGATGTCCCATGCACACGGAATGAGGAATCTGAGCGTCACGGTTTTGAGACAAGCATAGCCTTCTGCAGCACTGTAATCCGGCACTTTGACACACGCTATCTTACCGTCAGACGAGGCTGCAATTCTAACCTTCCGTCCTCTCTTTACATACTCACTGCCAACTGAACTTTTGTCTGACAGCAGCTCGGGCTCCGGCGGCTGCTTTGCTGCGAAATCCACTTTGTACAGGACGAGCAGCACCTCAGACAGCAGAGTCCCTTTTCCCAGGTCCCACAAACCTTCTCTGATACCATGCGGTGCGCTGCGGATGAAACGAGCGAGCCAAGACAGGCTGTGGACCGTCATGGTCTCTGCTGATCTGGTGTAAGTCGTATCTGATTCAGCTGTACATAGAGTCCAGTCCGTCCAGGCTGGGATAGTAAGTCTGGCTCAAACCAATGTTCCCGCATTCTCTCGTCGAGAGTCGGTGCATGTAGCATTTGGCCAGAATGTCACGTGTGGCTTTGTTTCACGATATGCAAGACGGTGCATTGAGGGATTCTAGTTGCAGAAATAGAGTCAGCTTAATGCAAGGCGGGAAACGCTAGGGGTTAGTCAATACCGCAGGCTCGCGTAGGACGGTGGACGGAGCGACGAGATTTTTGTTGTGAACTAGTAGGTAATCCTAATAATACCTTTCAAGCATACTAAAAAGAAAAGAACTACGCATCAAAATTGAAAAGCAAGCAATTTTCGGTCGGGATCTGAATCAAGTATATGAAATCGCCCTGACAGCGTGGGTCTCAACCAAATAGTTCCCGAAACAAATGGTGCAAACAGCCAGGCCTACATGCGGAACCGTCAGCATGGTACACCAAGCAGTGACATGGCACAATCAAGCAGCAGTTAGCGGGGTAAGACTCAGAGGGATCACATTCGCTAAGATACTGGCGGTCAAGGTCAAGAGATACTTGTTTCCTACACTCTGAGCTTGAAGATATCGAGATCTACCATCTGTCAAGTCCAAAGAATCGGGATAAGTGACCGACTTGTGTAATTTCAGTATAAAGGCGCGACCAGTACGCGCAAATCACAATCCTTGAAGAGGCGCCTGGCTCCGCCATCAGGAAACCGACGCTAGGGGATACGCTTGGAGAAGACAGCTATCAACTTCTTTGAAAGGTGTTTTCATACCATGTACATGTATGTTTGGTTGCTGTCTCTTTCCTCCAGTTCCGCAGACAGAAATACCGTCGACATACACACTTGTAGATGCAGGTAGGTGTGTAGGTACGCAGTTATTGAGATCATCCAAGCCTTGATTATGTAGTCCTTGATCTGCATTGCGGGTACGGATCCCGTATGAACGTGAGCCCCGAACTCGACCAACCTTAGGCTGGTCTACTAGTAAGACCAAAGTCGCTGGAGGCCGACCGCCCTTATCGTTATCGCCCATGGATCCACCGCTCAGCACAGCACGAGTGGTTTTGACTCCTGGCAGACCTAGTCTTGGCCTATCTTTGCGTTGCGGCTCCAAGCTCCCAGTTCTTAAATTTCTTCTCGTCAGCCATTCCTGCCAGACAACAAAGCAAAGCTTCAACTCCAAGACTCTAAGCACGTTCCGACTTGGAGCAATACAACACGTTTCCGCTTGCAATGGGATACCACACATTTCCAGTATGAGACTGGCAGCAGACCAAAGGCATAATCACTAAGCGGTCTTGCTTCCACTGCCTTGTTCCAAGTGTCTTCTTTTTGCCAGGTAAGCCAATCAATTCTGCTACTGTTTCATTCACCACACATACCACCCGCCTTTTTTGTGATGAAAACTTATTGGAGCTGTCTGACCTCCTATGGTGACACCTTTATATTACCTATACGCAAACTTCTGAATTATTGAGCTATCTTCCCTGCCTTAACGAATTTTGATTTTTTTTTACCTGTGGACTTGGACACTAACCGTTCTTGAGATTTACGCACGGTCTGCTCGATCCCAACCTCGTCAATCTGTGAAAAGTCGCCGGTTGTCTAATCCACTGGTATCGCTTCCATTCAATCCATTGAGACGCTGTGCATCCTGGATTATGGACGTCGTGAACGGAGGCGTCGCGCACTTGGCGCCGGCACCAGCGTCATCAACGAACAGCGATCGACCGGATCCAGGCGGTTACAAGCTGAAGTTCTGCACCGTTTGCGCCAGCAACCAGAACAGGTAGGCCACAGCGTGTATTCATCTCCGACAATTTCTCTAACAGCAATACACAGATCTATGGAAGCCCATCTGCAGCTCTCCAAGGCACAGTACCCGGTGATCTCGTTTGGCACGGGTTCTCTGGTCAGACTTCCTGGCCCAACCATCAACCAGCCCAACGTCTACCAGTTCAACAAGACATCATATGACAGCATGTTCAAAGAGCTACAGTCGAAAGACGAGGACCTCTACACACGCAACGGTCTGCTCAACATGTTGAATAGAAACAGGGCGGTCAAGTGGGGCCCTGAGCGTTGGCAGGATTGGCAGATTGGCATCCCACGACTGAATCATGTCACCGACCGGGGTAGTGATGGCATTGAGGGAGGTGTAGCAGACATCGTCTTGACATGCGAAGAGCGCTGCTGGGATGCAGTCATTGACGATCTACACAATCGAGGGGCCCCTTTAAACCGGCCTGTACATGTCATCAATATAGATATCAAAGACAATCATGAGGAGGCGTCCATTGGAGGAAAGGGCATTTTAGATCTGGCAGACTCCTTGAATAAGGCCGCCAAAGAGGAAAGAGAAGCCGTGGGCACCATCACATTCGATATGGCTACGGCAGCTGGCCGGGCTTCGTTTGATGAGAGAGTACCGGAGATTATTGGCGAGTGGCAGGAGAGATGGCCTAATCTACCCGCGACATGGACATTGGCCTGGTTCTAAGGGGCTAAATTTTGAGCGTCTATGCAGATGAACGTTGTCCATTTTGTGTCCTGTATTGGCCTTTTGTCCTTTTTGTTTTACTCACGAGAATTCTTCGAGTGATGCTTGTATTTGAAGACGATATTCTCTATGGCGAACACTTGCTAGCTCTGGCGTATTCATGCGGAAGCGGTGAATATACCGACTCCTCATCGTCCCAGTCTGACAAATGACGTCTCCAGGAATGAGCCTACAGTATATATTGAGGCAATGGGTCATTATCATGAAGGGAAGCGGTCTTGTCGTGACATTGTCGGATCGCTGCTGTGTCTTGGTTTCACAAGGTTGCCGGGTGAAAATCCGTGGCAAAAATTGTACCAACTACCCATCGCAAGCATCAGAAGCTAGGAGATGGTAATAAGACTACCCCCTGCAGTTCCTGGTCTTGAGGAATTTATGTGTGCTTACGAGAATCAAAGAGGGGACACCAGGCTCAGCTGTGCGTGCAGCAGCGTGGTGGGTTCGACACTCCAGCGGAACACAGACATGCAGAGAGAGGGAGGCGGAGAATGATGGACTGCCTGCTAGCTACATCGAAACCATCTGCATGCACATCTTGTACTCAAAATAGCTCCAACTCGTTTGCCTTTCCTTTTCTGCACTTTCCTCGCATAGTCGATCGATATATCAAAATTGAATACTGATAACTCGAGCTGACTCCCACCCCCCACCAAACACACCACAGCAATTACCTGCCTTGCTGGAGAACAACGGTATTCTAGCCAATGATTGGCATCAGGCTTCTACGAGAAGCCAGTTGACCAAAACAGCGCCGACATTGATAGCACAAACAACGAAATCGACCAATCCAAGCCTCACCGCCCGGCGCGATTGCCTACAAAAAGCACTTGTTTAGGAATCTGACATGGCCAGTCACTTCGGGCGATCCTTATGTCCGCTACCCGCTCGTCGGACTTGCTTCTGAAGAAGAAGAAGAAGAAGAAGAAGAAGAAGAAGAAGAAGAAGAAGAAGAAGAAGAAGAAGAAGGGAAAATGATATACTTGAAAGTCGAACATTCGTCTCGGAGAAGCACCAATACCCTGACTAATCTGACGCGGCGAGTGACGTCTGCTGGCTGTTTGATACTAGGCATTCACGTGCGCAACAAGTCTGTGTAGATGTTCAACAAAGCCAAAGGCGCCAAGATACAAGCAATCGCAGCTGTGCTGACTGGTACGAGCTGTAATCCTGTGTTTCATGACCCAGCTCAACGCGCATACAACTACCACGAAGCACATATGTCGGGCTGGCATTGACGCAGATCAATGTCTCCAATTGGCATCTCATGATACGCTGCCATGTGGTCGCTACGGAATATGTAGTCATTTTCAGTGTTGTTTGACCCCCACGAGTGATCTCAGGATGTTAGAGTGAAGAAGGTAGGGGGGGTAATAAATGCACAGGGCAGATGGCGGACGAGGTGTTAGCAAATGTGTGAGGCTCAAACGGCTTGATACACTATGCAGGAGATGGGATGGTGTTATGCTTGTCTGATCCTAAACCTTTGCTCGGCATATGTGAGCACATGTTTCTCGTGATCAAACATATCGTCGCGAGTACTGCCAAGATTCCAGAAGGCTTTGTTTGGAATTGCTCTTCCTAGGAAATGCTGGCTTCCTACGCAGAATGGAGATTTGCAAACTCGCTGAGATCGATAGTGGGGAGCTTTGGCGATCCAAAAGGCTAGACCTTCTGCTCTCCACAACAAATTCCAATGTGTGCCTTTTTTTATTTCGCTCTGCTTGCTGGGGTGCAGGAGCACATGCATTTTGATGTGTACAGGTAATATAGGTATACATTCCAGCCGTGCTCACTCACGTTCAACAACGTCACCATCAACGATAAGTACTCGTAAGCGATCATAACGAGCAACACGGTAAGCTCCCATACCATTGATACTATCAGAATTAATGAGTATTTAGCGAGCTTAGCACTCTTGTTGGAATTAGCGCAAATAAGGGATTCATGCATGTGTGACCTGCTCATTGGCTCATATCAGGGCGAGTCTGCGCGTCCCGGGGGGCTTGCTGCAAGGCACATGGACTAGAGAATGTGGAGGAGAATGATTCCCCAAGGGTGGGTTGCCGAATTTTAGAATTTCAGCGGTGTGCTTCCAAAATCCATCAACGCCTATAAGGGCAACGGTAGCGACGATTTGAAGAAAAATAACATAAAATAAAAGAGAAAAGGAGGGGGGAAAAGGAGAGGCAAACCAGTAAACAGTTGGGTGACGGGCAGGCTCGCACCTATGTCGTGTGATGCTAAATCTGTAGCAATGTTCTTGAGTCATCATTGGATAACCTTAATGCACCCATCTATAGCGCGCGACAAATCGCAACTCAACACCAATGAACGACTAGCATTAACGTCAGTATCAAGTGGGTTCAAAGGTCGACGCAACAACTCGAAGTTTACTACGGTATGTGAAAGCAGCATGAAGTGGTATGAAGTAGCTGATTCCGCGCATATGATGTGATTTCGTTGGTTGATCAAGGGATACCTGTGTGCTCAACGGGACGGACGACGTAAGTGCACATGTCGCCTGAAAGAGGAAGAAGCATCTAGGTTAGCTACTTGTTCCAGCCGGCGTGATCCATCGAGACCGACAATGATATTGCCGAAGCTCAGGTCAATCTGTTCAGTTGTTAGCGATGCTTTCGCGCGGCGACTGCTTGCTCCTATCTGAGAGCACTGCCATGATAATGTCCGTCAATCCCGCAATTGTGTGATTAAGTGGGAACTGTGAAGTTGGCAACGGACAACGATAATCTTATTTATGTTTACTACAAGTACCAAACGACGACTAACACTACTGCCAAAGAGCTAACCGTGGGCCTTGGAGAGCAGGCTTTGGATCTTGACGGGCTTCTAGACAATTTCGGTGTCTTTCTGGATTAGCGAATTAGGCCAGATCCTACAGGGGGTGAGCGGCCTGTACCCACCCCCTTTCCCGATTGGATAGGCGGCCTTGGATTCCCCCTGGCCGTTCCCTGTTCCCTTTTTTGGCGGCTGATGGGTTTCATGGGCTGCTCCTCGTGGAGAGATTTTGGATGGATTTCGACATCTTCCCGATTCACTTCCTCTCTGGACCAACTCTGACACCTCATGTGCAGCGACGGCTTATCGCCCTTACAGGTTTCTGTCCCACCGGTCTTCTGACAGGTCTTCCCACTCCGCGTTTCTACCCTGACCGAATTCGGTTTCGCTGAAGCCCGTATTATATATAATACTTCATATGAAGGTGCACATTTCCGAAAGTGTTGCTACCGGGGAATGTCGACTTGGAGACATCAGAGCCGCTCTTCGTAATTAATTGCGTTCCGCTATCACACGTCCGTGTTGTGTCGCGCGCCGGGTCAGAGTGAACCGTTAGCCGTCCTGACACACGGCATTTGACACACGACATAAACCCAATTCCCCTCCAGACCCGAAATTCTGCTTTCGCCGAGACTGAGAGACTGAAAGACTGAAACCTTGCAGCTGCGGCTTGCAACTGCGGCTCTCTCCATCACATAACGCCTGGACTACACAAAAGCATCGGCACCTGCGCAAGCGCCAACTTAATCCGACACGATAACCGGGGACTCACAAGATAGATACTACATACCCGATCAACCGACTGGATTGCATTGATTGACGAAGCGCCAGGCCTTTTCTCTCCTCCCATTCTGTTCTCCTTCTTTCTTCTTTCTCTCTTGCATTAATTTCTTTCATTTTCGTCGCTTGGGGTTGGACGCAGGAAGGAGCCGAGGATTGGCTTGTCGGTGTCAAGTCGCAATTGCAGGAGGTGCCAACGTCGTCACGCATCGAGCACAACCGACCTCGACACCGGCTTTCAGACGAGACGAGACAAGACAAGACGAAACGAAACGAGGCAACTCGGACCTGAGCTGGTGCTTGACCTTTTAGCTGTTCGCGTGGCGTGTCGCTTTCTTTGTCTAGACTGAGCAATAGAAGAGCATAACCCCGCAACAACAACATTATTGTCGGCACTTGACTATCATCATACCATGAATACTCGAAATGCGCCGCTGTCACCAGTCTCAGTAGGCGGCAGCGAGTATTCCGTCGGCAAATACCAAAATATCGACAACAGCGACCCCTACAACCCTAATAATCGCGGCTTGATCTCACCACCCGACTCTGGCGGCCCCAACGGAAATATGAACGGCTTCCCGGGCCCTGGCCCTCGGAGCGCTGGAGGTCCTTCTCCCCCGGCCTCCGTCGCACGCTCCAGCACGGCATCGGGCTTGTACGCCAGGAGTGAGAGCGGCAGGAGCATGAAAGACGAGAACAACGAGGTCATCCTTGGAGTACACTACATCGCACTGAAAAAGTTCCTGCAATCCACTTCCAAGGATGGAAGAGCCAACCCCCCACCAAACCGAGCACGCGACAAGCTCCTGCGTCTGTCGGCTGTGCAATTTCTCGAGCTGTCCACCGATGTGTATGATGAACTTCTGAGAAGAGAGAGGCTGAGCCGCCTTGGTCCCGCCAAGGTCCCGCCCAATCTGCAGCCTGAGAACAACTTCCACCCCAAGCGCAACCAAGCAAGGCAGAAGCTCTCGACTCTGGGCCCGCCGAGGTTTAGGGATCTGGCGACAGACGTGTTTTGCGAGCTGGAAAGGCGATTCGAGGGCTTTGCCAGAGGCGACATCCCGCGCATGGACAGTCCCGTTTCCGGAAGAGGACCGCCTAGCAGGTCGGGCACTCCTGTCAACGGCATGAACGGTCTTCCCCCAAGAAGTATGAGGAGACCTTCGAATGCCAGCTCTATTCGCTCCGATGCACCTCGATTCGGCGAATACCCGCCACCGCCTTCTCCTGGCATGCCCCCGAATGGCTTCGACCGTCCACAACCTAAGCAATCTCAGAGCAATACTATCATCCCCAACAAGAGCACAATGGTGGAAGAAGATGACGGAAATGACGATGACATGATGCTAAACAATGCTCGCGATCAGCAGAGCAGGAGAAGCGCAAATACTGGTCTTTCAGAGGTCAGTTCTACATGGACCCTCGGGTACAATATTTTCATATGAAAGCTTTTTTTTATTTATTTTTTTTACTAATTCTTGGGCTATGCAGACCGACAAGAGGCTTCTCGAAGAGTCCCAAGCACAAGTGCGAGATCTCCAATCGAAGCTGGATAATATGGAAGACCAGGTCAAGAAGAAGGACGACGAGCTGAACAAAGTCCTGGACGAAGCACGGGGTCGTTCTTCAGCTGAAGATACACGGAACGCAGAACGGTTGCAGTGGGACGAACAGAGGGCCAACCTGGAAGGCCAATTGTCGCAAGCCAAGAACCTCGGCGATACGCTACGTGAGGAGCTCGACCGTATGCGAGCTGGTCATGATGCCGAGCAACGCCAACTCCGCCAACAACTCGACGATGCGGAAGACGCTATCAGAAATATGAGCATCGACATGAACAACATGAGCAAGAGCGGCCCTGCCGACCCGGAACTGCAACGAGAGAACCAAGAGCTTCGAGTTGCTTTAGAGGAGCAGGAACAAATAACGGAAGACGTTCGTCGTGAAGCTCAACAGTTCCTGCAGGAGATGAAGGTTCTGTCAGAACAGCACACTCCTGCGTGGGAGAAACAAGCGGAATTACAGAAAACGGCGGAGCAGTTGGAACAGGAAGTCAAGGATTGGCGTAACCGCTATGCTCGTACCAAGACTCAACTGCGAAATCTGAGGGCCGCATCACTCGGCCTGAATATTGAGCAGGACGCTGCAAAATACGTACGAGAAAAGGGATTCACCGAGGAGAATGGTCTGGTCAAAGACGTCCATGTCACCAAATTCCAGATAGCTATTGATGAGCTGCTGAAACGCGCACGAACAGACGACCCGGAAAAGTCGATTGACTCTATGAAAGCCGTCGTCGTAGCGGTCCGTCGCATTACTAAGGATATCGATGAATCAGCGCCTCGAGACGAGGAGATCATGACACAACAACAGAAAATGAAGAGCCGAGTTTCGGCTACCGCCAATAACCTCATCACAGCCTCGAAGAACTTTGCGGCTTCTGCAGGCATCTCACCTGTTTCGCTTTTGGATGCGGCCGCTTCACACCTTGTGGCCGCACTTGTTGAGCTTCTGAGGACTGTTAAGATTCGAGCTACGCCCGCCGGTGAGTTAGAGGATGACGACGAAGGCACCATAACGCCTGTCGAATCAACTGGTTTCTTCTCAAACCGGACGACACAAGACAACGCCTACCCCAAGCCTCTCGGGCAAATTAACCCCTACCCCCAACCTCTCTCACAAGATAGCGCGTATCCTAAGCCTCTCTCGCGGGATGTTCAGGACAACCAGTCGCCCCTTGAGCCTCCGCCGCGATTCAACGGGCTTGGGCCTCGCGATAGTGCACAATCATCAGCTTACAGTCCCGTCCAGTCTCCTCGTGAGTCTGTAGACCAACAATTCGACAGCAGAAGATCCATGCCGCGAAACCTACCACCCAACGGGATTTATACTGATAAGAGCATGCCTCTCGCCCCTAACGGCTATGGACAGCGACCAGACATCACCATGGAAGACTTGAAGATCTACATGGACAACCAATCAGATCAGCTTGTTGAAACGATTCAAGGTCTGGTGGGGTCTATTCGTGGTGACGCACCTATTTCGCAAATCAACGAGGAGATTGAGCAGATTGCCGACATTGTGGGCAAGATCGTTTCCGAGACCGAAGGAACAGCAAGTGGGCTTACAGATCGTCTGACTTCCTGCCGACAACGCCTGCTTGAAGCTAGTGACCACGGCCAGGAACTTGCCTCGAGAGGGCTCGGGTCCAACGACAGGGAATGGCGCATGTGGACACAGACACTTCCGCCCATTGCTTTCGAAATTGCTCGCGAGACCAAGGAGCTAGTCGAACGAATCGGCCGCATGGTAATGAACGATGGCGAGGACTTCTCGTAATGCAATAGGGTTAAGGCCAATTTCTCTTTTTCGCCCACAATTGACGACGCTCACGCTTTTCGAAATCTAATTCGCGGTACTCGCTTGCGACGCGCTTTGATACCCCTTATAGTACGGAGTGTTTTCTACTTGTGCTCTGTAGAGTCAGAGACATCAGCAATTATATTGTTTATTCTTTCAGCCTTGAGCATTGCCACATAAACAAGCTTGCTCGTTTCAGGCGATGGCCAGGAGAGGCTGCCCAAGGCCCGCTTTATGTGGCTTTCATTGTCTTTGAACGCACATGGTCCACTGGCCCTCGTCTAGTAGGAAGGACGAGGTTTTGCATTTGTCTACCGGCGGAAGGGCCTTTTCTTTTTGTTTCCCATTACACTTGCAATGCAGTTCAAGGTACTGCACATCGCATGTGATGTGTTTTTGGCCCTGAGATTTGACGACTCTAGACCTATGAGCGGCATATAAATGATTGGGTGAGGTTGATGCTATGGGATTGTTGTGACGAGTAAGAGCATCTGTATATTAGAACATGCCCTTATAGGTAGTCGCTACCTGGCATAATCATGCCTGGAACAACGGAATCGGATATGGTATCTTAGAGTTGCATTTTGTTCCCTATTGTTGTCCTGATGCAAGCCTTGACTTTGATCATGCGACCGATTGCTCGATTCTGTTTAGAATGTTGCAATAAGGAGTAGTGAAATATCACACTGAGCATGTATAAGTATAGCATTGCTACAGTGACAACTTGTGTCCGTCGATGTATCATGCTTCAACTTTACGACATCATTATACCGAGAAGGTCTCTTACCCCGACCTGACTATGTCCCCGCAGACTGCAAGTGTATATCCACCAATGAGCGTCAAGATACATACATTCTTACACCCACCGGCCACCAATCTGCAAAAGTCCATTGACCCGGATGACGCCAGCATTCTCGAAGTTATTAGGGATACTCCGCGATTCGATCACGTTCATTGGCTCTATAGTGTAGTGTGTAAATATAAAGTCAAGCGCATGTTCACGGGAATTTCACTTCGCGACGGTCACAGTCTGGTGTATCTGACGGTTCGAGTTATCTTGTCTGGATTGCCAGTTTTCTTGATAGGGGTTTTCTCTTTTTCTTCTTCGGTGATTGTTGCAGCAATAGCGAAAAGCTCAACAGTTCTTGCTGCCACGCGATGAAGAGATTCGTCCTCCCGCTCGTAGCTGGGGTCATATTACAACAGCCCGCCTCGGCGCTCAACTTCTCCACGCTCGTGGTATTTGGAGACAGCTATACCGACAATGGGGTGCACTCGTATACCCCGGACGCCAACGGCACCGTTGGCACGCCGGTAAGAAATGAAATATGAAGACACAAAGTAGAGTTTCATAGTTTATGAGGCTCTTCTTCACAAGACATACCGGACTAACATAAAAACTCCCCCGTGGAAGAAATCCGTAACCTCAACCGGCGGCCGTATCTGGCCCGAGTATGTCGGCCAGTACACGGGCGCGCACGTCTACGACTACGCCGTGTCAGGCGCCGTGTGCGACAAGACCATGGCGCCGCGGCGCAACGCCGTCTCGCAGGACCAGGTTGCCAGCTTCCTGGCGGACGACACCCACGTGTCCAACGCAACCGGGGCGGACGTGCCCGCGCTGGTCAACGACCCGGCCGACACCGTCTACGCCGTCTGGATCGGCACCAACGACCTCGGCAACGGCGGCTTCCTGACCGAGGTGCAGCAGCCCGGCACCCTGGCCGCGACGGGCTACGTCGACTGCGTGTTCGCGCAGTTCGACCGCCTCTACGCCGTCGGGGCCAGGAACTTCATCCTGCTGAATGTCGCGGCCCTCGACAAGAGCCCCCAGTACGCGCTGCCCGCGAACGGAGGGTTGAACTCGAGTCAGTTCTGGACGGATAAGGTGGCGTATGACTCGAATATTACGCGTAGTAGCGAGAAGATTAGGGAGTATAGCACCTTGGTCAATGCCGTGTATGAGTATCGGCTGCCATATGAGGTCAAGATTGCGGAGAGATACCCGGGGAGCTGGTTTGGTTTGCTGGACGTTCATTCGCTGGTGAGTCGTGCATTCAAAAATTTGCATCGTTTGAAGTGATGGCTGACGCCCGGTTTTCGTCCAAGTTCGAGGATATCTGGAGCAATCCGTCGTCATACCTGAACGGCACCGTACCGCTGAATGTCACCGGATGGGTAGCATCGTGTAAGAGCTCGACGTGCTCGGACCTGGCGGCGAGGGATAGCTATATGTGGTATGACGAGCTTCATCCTTCCGAACAGACTGATCGAGTTATTGCTCGTGAGTTTGTGAACGCCGTTTCTGGGAAAAGTAACTGGACAACTTACTGGAGTGATGTGTGAGAGCAGGGCCGTGGTAAGAGCGCAATATCCTGATCAAAAGTGTGGCGGTCTCGAGAAACAATTCTCCAGCCATATACTTAGCATTCCATCCTAATCGAAGTTCACTGCATCGTTCGAAAAGGATCTTGCTTGCAGTTTAAGTTCCCGGTAGTGCCAATATCCGAATAATCAGAACCAAGTATCAAGCATATCTAAGACATCAGATGCAGCAATGCTTTTGTTTCGCCCATCTATCTCCAACATAACCTTCACATGTAAGTTGGATTGGAAGGAATAATTTACGAAATCTTTTCCATTTTCTCCTCAAGTATAGTCCCGATGGCGTCCCCTGAGCTGGGGAGGTTATGCAGTGCAGTTGTTGTCACCTGGACGCGTACCATCGCCCTTTGATATCCGGTATACCGCAGGACGGTCATCGTGGCCGTCCGGACAAGATGAAGGCTGGCCGCAGGGGCAGGTCTAAAAGATGCACAAACAAGCCCCAATGTTGGAGCGTAAAACCTTACACCCAGTGCCTTGGTCGATCGAAATGGAAGGGGGCCGCCGCCTGAAAGAGAACAAATGCGAAGAAGCACATGAACTTCACGAAAAAGTACCGGAGCGGACAGGGAATAGTGTAGCCGAACGCAGGGGTCTTTGATGAATTCAACACTGACTATTCAAGTCTTCTCACCAAAGGATACATATAATCTAGCAGAGAAAGCGCATCGGAGACTCTGCCATAATCTATACCTTACCCGATCTCCAAGGCCGTGAATATCGAGAAGACACTCACGAAACATGTATGACACATGGGTAATAATATGCAGTTTCATAGAACCATTATAATAACCAGGATCCGTAAATTGATTGAGAAATTGGTGATCAAAGTTTAGCACACACGGGTGCTCAGTCCCCGTAACAACATGGTATGTTGGAATCTCACCAGAAGTGGCTGTTTACGAACGCCTTGACACGAGTATGAATTTACATTATCTTCTTTCTCCAACATGCTTCAAGCAATAAAAAACCGTTTTATGCTACCTCTCAAACTCGCCCTCGGCGAAGTATCTGTCAGGCATATCTGTCTCAAACAAGGGCCTCTCCACCAGGGCAACTTCGAGTGTCTGGCGAATTTGTCCGTTTGCGTAAGGCGTTACAACATCATCGTTATGCGCTCCTTCCTCAACATTTTCAAGAGGCACAATGCCCATGATTGGTCTATATTTCAACGTGTGCCAAAATCCAGTGCCTTGGCTGGGCGGTGCATCTGGACCTTTCCTGCCTTCTGCCCTGCGCCTCGACACCAGCTCGCCTTGCAGCTCGTCTTCTGAGTCCTCGCTTTCGCTGTCGTCGTCCGGAGCACTGGTAGCATCGGTATCCATGGCATCGGGCCCATCAAGGTTGAGTTCCTCCACTTCGCCCTCGGCATGTCGTTCGATCCTGGTAGGACCAGTCGCACCCTTGGTCATCTTGTTACCAGCACCAGTGTCTCCACCTCGCTTGCGCTTCTTTGGTCTTGCAGGTTGATCATCGAGGGGCACCAGTGCAGAAGATGGATTCGTCACCTCTTCTGCGATGTCCTTGGACATGTCCAGCATGACAAGGAAACTGTTGCCATAGAGCCATACACGATCACCAGCCCAAAGGGCACCCTTGACCAAGTCACGGATATTGCGAAACTCGACGGGAAAGCGGGTGGTCGGGTTTCGCCTAGACCAAGGAGTGATAGATCCGATCGTGGGATGTATCGCCAAGATGTGAGGTCGTGCGGTAATTGCGAGTAAGACATAATCATCGGTCGCTTCGTCACCCCCATCAATCATGTTGAGGTGCTCCGTCGGTACGTGGCTCGAGAACGAAAGCACTGTAGGTGCGCCATGCAGTTTGGGTACCAGTGAGCTATTGGGGTTGCGAACCCAGCGCACACCAACGCGACCTGACGCGCTCTCGTCTTCGCTATCGGAGTTGTCGCTCGAATCATCGGAGTGGCCATCAACCCCATTCGTGAGCTGTGATGGGTCCTGAAGCAGCCATGTATCGATATAACCAGCCATGTCAGCCACAGCAAGCATTTTGGTGTCGGGCGAGAAGGAGATTTGCGTAATACTCCTGTCATACTGACCGAGCCCACCAAGAATGATGTGTTTCGGAATGTTGCGCTTCAGCCGGTTTAGCTTGATTGGCCTTTGCTGGATGACGGGGCGATTGTTATCTTCAGAGTCTTGGGATAGCTGCAATAGCGAGACCTTACTTCCAGCCTGAGCTGCGCAGACCCACTGTCCATCCGGAGATATCTTGAGGCTGGTAGCTCCTTGCTCAGCAATAGCGGCCGGGACGTCGACCTTGGACACTTTGAGCTCGTCTTTTCTGGCATCGCTTCGGGGTTTGAGGTGAAAAGCTTTGATGTCAGAAGTCGTGGACACAAGGAGGAGCGTTCCATCACTGCTGATGGTAGCGGAAGTGATGTTGGCTTCGCCTTTGACAAGGATTCTAGCGAGGAGCTTTCGGTTCTTGGTCACAGCAGAGTCGATGCCTGCAAAGTCTACTATCTCTTTGAGTGGCTTCTGCAGGCGCCAGACATGGACCTCACGATCCCACCAGCTAACAACTAATCTAGCCCTTGGAGCGCTTATCAGAGGTACATTCTGAGGCAGGTTGGACAATGTCCTGTGGTTCTCCATTCCAGCCTCTCGCAAGGGAAGTACAATGGGCTGGGCGTCGGGACCTTGTAAGTGTTAGCGTACGGCTACGCAGTGCCTGGGGTTGAGCAGCTTACCTCCTGACACGATGATGCTCATGCCTGGACCTTCGAATGAGGCCATTGTCTTGACATCGTGACTGTGGTATCTCCTGTGCCAGACTTTGCCCCACCTGGAGCTAGAGCCGGTCGTTTTCCTGTAAAGAATTGTTCTCTTGTCCATGCCTCCACTGACGATTGTGGAGCCATCTGCGCTGACAGCTAACGAAAGTACGTCCTGCTTATGGCCCTGCAGTCGCTGTGCCTGAGAGTAGGTCTTTCCATCCCATATGCATACATGACCGGTGGAGTCACCCGACACAATGTCACCATCGCTCAAACACTTGACGGACCAGACAATGATTTCCTTGGTTCCGCCAGCCAGGTCGGAGCCCAACGTCATCTTGCGCAGCAGGTTACCGTTTCGCATATCGTATACCTGAACAGCACTGTTGGAGCATCCAACGACGGCAATGTTGCGGTTTTGGAAGGCAATGCTGACCATCTTTGTCTTCTTGGAGGGAGATCGCACAAGGATACGGTCGAAGCGTAAGTCGTCGTCGTCAATCGAGTAGAGGGCGAGACTGCCGTCCATGGTGCCAGCAACGAGCCTCTTGCCAGTCTGGGCAATCTTGTTGGGCTGGCCTTTCTTGCCGGGGATCTCGAACGGCTGCACACCGAGACACCATATGTCTCCATGCATGCCACTCGCCTGCTTCTTTGGGCGCTTCTTCTCGAGATCCCATTCAGTGACGGTGCTGGTGTAGCCGATGCTGAACAGCCTCGACTTTCCGACGAGTACATGCCCGTCCTGCAGGACTTGGTCAGGTTCGTTGACCCAGACCAGGCCGTCTATGCTTCTGTCCTTTCCACCATGAAGTATCGTCTCCTGGTGCCATTGGCCGTTCAGAGGGTTCCATATTTCGATGTCGCCGTTGGCGCGGCCGATGGCCAGGCGGACTGGTGCGGAGGACTTCCTGCCGGGAATATACGAGTATGAAAAGGCGACGGCATTAATGGCCGAGGGGGGGTAGGGCACAAAGCGGCAACGGTGAATATCCATGGTTGCGAAGCTTCGATCTCGACCCGGCGAAATGGGCGATGCACCAGATGTCTGTCTAGGCGAGCTTTCAATTCGATGTGATGTGAGAGAAGAGCGTGCCGAACTTTTTTCTTGCTGCTCTGTTATCGATAACAATAATTTTCTGGGCAGGCGCGCAAAGAACGAACTTGCATACCTACTCCGTAGTCTAACTAGTATCAGGACTAACCTGAGTTGAATGAATATTTTGGCGCATCCGATCTGAGCACTTGACCAGCCTTGGTCTAGACTAGACCGACCTAGACTAACCTAGGCTAGACTAGTTGAATTGAGATCTGTGCTTGATTACATGTGTAGTCGATACAGTACACAGGCCGTCTCACTCCACTCGCTCTGCATGTGCTATCCTATCCTGTCATTGAACATTTAGGCGAGCGGCTGGCGGTAACTCCCCTCCCCCAAATTTGTAGCACAAGTACGTACAGCAGGCAGTCATAAGGAGGGGCACTTTCTGATTACCCCACCATCCCTCTTGCACGATGATGTCCGCTGTGTACAGAGAGGCATGATGGACGCGCAAGCCCAAAGCCGGAGCCTCAGGAGAGAAGTCCGCCGACAGTGTGTAGACGTCGCGACCGGACTGATTGACTCCTATCTCCTTTCTTCCTCCAAGAGGATATCCTTGCCCTCCTTCGTTCTGGCATCAAGAGCTGGCCACAAGTTTGTGTTCGGTTTCACCATTGCCCAAAGTCCCACTACGCTTAATCCAGCTCCGTATTTACAATTGACCTATTCTACGGTACAGGAGCTATTTTCCGACCTCGCCGCAATTCCATACTTCGCGGCTCACAGGTCTTGAGTCATTATTGGACAGCAAAGGAATTCTCACAACTGGTTTCCAGCTGCCTCTTGTTAGCCTTGAACCTCTGTTTCCATCAGCGCCAGAGCCTATCTGTATACATATACTCCTTGACCCCCGCATATCCTCCCCGTCCCACGCTGTTGTCATCCTTTCCTCACTCAGCAGGGCATTGAGTTTAACACGGAATTTTTCACGAGGCAATCATGGACTTCGACTGGTCTACGCCCTTTCCGGAAGGAGTCATCTCCTTCCTTGACACCGACTTGTACAAGCTGACCATGCAATGCGCCGTCTTCAAGTGGTATCACGACATTCCTGTCACATACGCTTACACAAACCGCACGCCCGAGAAGAAACTCTCAAGGAAGGCATTCAAGTGGCTCGAGCTACAGATCAGCAAACTCGGCAATATTTCGCTCTCCGACGACGAGCTTCGTTACCTGCAGAAGCACTGCTCATACTTGACTGCCGACTACCTCCATTTCCTCAAAGATTTCCGCCTCTCGCCGCGAGAACAAGTGACCCCGACTTTCACCCCCATTGGCGAAGACAGCGGCAGCGACGATGTTCTCGGAGACGTCCACCTGGATATCCGCGGGAAATGGGTCGATACCATCCTCTACGAGATTCCCCTCCTCGCGCTCACATCTGAAGCCTACTTCAAGTTTATGGACAAGGACTGGAACTACGACGGACAGCAAGAGAAGGCTTTCGAAAAGGGAATCAAGCTATTGGAAGCTGGCTGTGTAACATCAGAGTTCGGCACCCGCCGACGTAGAGATTACCACACTCAGGCCTTGGTCTTCCGTGGCTTTGTGCAGGCAAGCAAAGCAGGGCAAGAACGCGGTCTTCCCGGCAAGATCTCAGGAACCAGCAACGTCCATTTGGCGATGCGATTCAACCTCCCACCTGTTGGCACCGTCGCTCACGAGTGGTTCATGGGTATTGCTGCCCTTACAAACGATTACCCAATTGCTTCGGAAGAGGCGCTTCGGAGATGGGTTGGCTGTTTCGGAGAGGGTACATTAGGCATAGCTCTGACCGATACGTTTGGCACGCGAGCTTTCCTAGAGGCTTTCAAGAAGCCCATCAACTATCTGCCAGAAACGCCCAACATTTCTCAAGCCAAGCAGAGCAACAGCTCGCCCAGATCTTATGCTGAAGTCTTTGCCGGTGTTCGCCAGGACTCAGGCGATCCGGCTGACTTTGTCAAGATGATGCGAAAGTTTTACGACGAACAGGGTATCAAGGACAAGAAGACTGTAGTCTTCTCAGATTCGTTGGACGTCGAAAAGTGCATTCACTACAAGAAAATATCCGAGGACGCTGGATTCCAACCCACGTTTGGTGTTGGCACGTTCCTCACAAATGACTTCATACAGTTGAGTACCGGCAAGAAATCAGTGCCGCTGAATATTGTCATCAAGCTAAGTTCAGCTGCTGGCAACCCGGCCATCAAGATAAGCGACAATCTTGGGAAGAATACTGGTGACTCCGCCAAGGTGGCTGAAGTCAAGAAGGTTTTGGGGTACGAGGAGAAGGCATGGGCAGGAGGCGATGAGACTTCGAGGTGGGGCAAGTGAATTGTTCTTGCTCATCGCGTTTGGCATGATATAGAAATCATGACCGAATTACGCGGATAGAAAGAGAATTTGGGGTGCGGGGTTTTGAATTAGTTTTGATACCATTGTATATTGTCAATCGCCCGGTTGGCTTGACTGCAAAATTAATAGACAGCACAGGGGGGGTAACTCGCATCCACGATCTGCACTCTGATGAACACTAGAGTGTCACATTTGAAACTCGATGACCACAAGGGCGCCTTCTCCCAGTTTTGAGAGCAGTTCCTACAACTTTGACAAGGTGGCTTGTATGCCTGGTCGGAAGTATACAAGTTTTATTCTTGCAAATCCTGCTGATGTTTCTTTACCTTGTCACAACCCCTTGCTCCCTTGTTGTTATAAATACATATAACTCGTCCTACATAATCAAAGACTATCGTACAGCCTGGCAGAATGAGTACTGGGTTTGCGTAGCACGGCGGAAACAGTCGAGGAGCACCAAATAGAAATCATGGAATGTTTGTCTTTAAGGCTAAGTCAGCCCTCGGACTACTAGTATCCAATGCAATCGCAGCATACTGAACACAACACTGCCCCTTGTGTCCCGTGGCTGCAGGGCGACCTGAGTTGAGGGGGAAAAAAAGCAATGCGCCTCACATCTGGTGGTGTAATCGAGTCCGGCCTCGATGAGGTGTCGGTAAATAATTTGACTTCCATTTGTCTAGTCAAGCTCCATGGAAGATTTCTGACTCCCCATAACTCTCATCTCTTTGGAGCACTGAGGAACTAATGGATCCCCTTACGATCGTCACAACAGCGGCCTCCATAGTCGGTACGGCGATCAAGCTCTCAAAGACCCTGTACGACACCGTCGAGGCGCTCAAAGATGTCCCCGCCGATGTGCGCGCCCTTTGCTCCACCGTAGACAGCGTCAAGTCTGCGTTGTCGCGGCTGGTTGGATTCATGAATGATGGCAAAAAGTGTGGTTGGCCGTACCACTGGCTCGAAGACGTCATGAACGATGTAGATGCGATCGGCCAGGAGCTGAAAGAGGTGCAGAACCTAGTTGTGGGCTGGGAGGGTGGTGGGGGACCTACGAAGACAAAAGGAGGAAAGGTTAAGGAGACTTGGCGTAACTGGAAATGGCACTTCAATGCGGAAGAGATCCAGAGGTGTACGAAGAGACTAAGAGCGGCCAGGGAGGACCTGGTCTTACAGATTGATGTTATACAGGTGTAAGTCGTGCATGGCGAGACGGGCCATGGCTTCGAGACATTGGACGTATAGCGCTGACTATAACAAGATCCACTACGGCGCAAACGAGCCACGACGTCAATGCAGTCAAAGATATTGTTGGATCGATCAGGGCTGAGCTGGCTGGAAAGACGTCCAGTAACGATGGACGGGCCCTGACTGCCGAGTTCCACCTGTTCGCGGAGCAGATATCAGACTTGCGGGAGGTAATTCGTGGCCTGATACCGGACGCTACAGTAACAGTTGGCGAACCTGGCGAAGAGCGAGGTTTATCGTCAACAGATAGAGTTGTTTCAACACGAAGCACTGCGGAAGTGAGGCCTCACGCTCTCTCAGGTCGTCGGCAGAGCTTGAATTCTATCAAGTCGAACCTGTCGTCGCCTGGCATCTTATCGCCTCTGGCAGCACTGAACCAGCAGGCGTTCTTACAGAATCAGAGGATGCCCCAGGAATACAATGTCGGGACCGTTGCTTTGGAACTGAAATTGAGCGAAATGCAACGAAAACACGACGAGCTCTCGGTACACTGGGAAAATGCTCTGGCGCATATTGTGCATCTAGAAAGTGAATTGGATGGATATGTACTGTCTGGCTCCAACGACTATAGCGGCACTGGTGGATGTGGAAATGTCGTTGCGGGTTTCGGGGAATCTGATGAGGTTACATCTCGCGAAGCTGTGATTGATGTCCTAAAGGCACAAAATGAAGCTCTTCAGGATATGATCAGCGAGAGAGTCACGATTGTGGACTATAGTGATGAAAATTTGAACGCGAGAGATTTGGGGAGACAACTTTTGAAGAAAAACGAAAGACTTAACCGGCAACAAGAAGAGATTGATCTATTGAAGTGGAGACTCAAGGGGGAGCAAAGTTCTCTCCGGGAACAATTGCAGGTAAATAAGATATTGGACGATAACGTCAAGTCAATGCGGCGAGCAACAAAAAAAGATCGCCAAAACGGAGAGAAGCGCGGATGGAGAAACCTATTGACACCTAGCCTTGGCTGGCGGCCTGCCGAGCTCGGTGTTCACTCATCCACTCCCGAAAGCTATCGTCCTTCTGTTTCTGCTGTTGATCTTTCAAGACCCCAATCTTCGTCTTCGTCGTCAACCAATGGGTCATACTGGCAGAAGTCGCGCCCTCTCGAACTAATCGAAACAGTATCGGGGAATGCAAATCTAAGTCGGGGGCCGCCAGTGCACAGTTGACCGGATATTTCTGATGCAGTCTGCAAAAACAGGATTTTAAAAGACTGCAAATATTGAAAAGTGTGGATTCAAAATACCGTCGATGGAAAAGACTGTTTGAGCGAGTTGATTCGCGGCATGACCAGCTAAGCAAATCAGTCGTTGTTGACGTCAGGGGTCGACTATTCGGAGAGTCTCTGAGCATTATGTATGTGCCTTACGGTCTCTATTGGTGCGGGATGCCTCATGTTCCAACATACCAATTTTATTGATGCAAATTTCAATCTCATTAACAAAGCTATGGCAGACTTGTTGACGCATGGTATCCAGAATGACCTATCACATATCCGACGTGGTGAGGCTGAAAGCAAACACTCCAACATGATTCTTCCAAGACCATATGGTACGCACACCGTCGTTGGCTATTTGCCCGTTCAAAGTATGGCCACATTATTACACAAAGATTTGTTGCATTTGCAGGTACTTTACTTTCTAATCAACCACCTTTGTCCAATTTTCATCTCGGTGTCACCTGAATGATGCTGTGAAACAGCCAACACACTCGCTTCTTCATATCCTACTAAAATTCGTTCTAAACATGTGTGATGGCACGGAGGGCCTCTAGAAACAGAAATACGACGTGACAATATTAATCGCAACTCTGCAGTGAGTCGCATTTGTCGTATGAGCTTGTGGAATATTTCTAAACCTTCAACTTGATCCATAGACCGCGTAAAATGGCGAGAAGACATTCTATATGTGAAGCAGATATCCATACGGAGCACCCATATGACCTGCGATAAAATATGAACGTCTGACGAGAAGGATGCTGATGATATTGTCAACTAATCTTTGTTCTTCATGTTACCGTCAACCTGGCGACTGGATATCGGGGCGCTGTTATGCTAACTCAGACATAGATTTGCTAATGAGGAGAAGGAACACGGTGTTAACTCTAGTAGTCAATAGTACTAACTCACCATGATCCGCATGCAGACTAACACTCGCGATGTGGTATTGGCGATCGTCGGTAGTAATCCCTAACATGTTCTTATGGTGTGCTATAAGAGGAGGTTTAACTTCACGCAAGGTCAGCTCTTTTCGCAGAAGATCATAAACTTGAAACCTTAGAATTGAGCACTCTTAGAATTCTTTTTCTCAACAAGGTTTCGACTGGAAAATTCTCACCACAAGACCCGAACTCGTTCTCAAATGGCCTTTAGTGAGTAACATGACTGATACAACTGCCTTGCTTACAAATAATAAGCGCTGGGGTATGTTTGTGAGAATGAGTGAGGTTCAAGAGGCAAGACAGACTGGAAATGAAAAACGTGAGGTAAAAATGATGGCAGTCTTATCCAGGTTATGCCCGAGACCCTCCAAAGTGGTCCTTATGTGAACTGGGAACTAGAGCACAGGGCAACCACGCTAGATTACAATGTAGAACTTGTGCAACTTTTTGAAATTGAAGCTACAGTTCCGACGATAACACCAAAGTGCCTTGTATACAAGCTCCTCACTGACTCAAAGGCAACCCGGGAGGCTTGTGTTGAAAATGAAGATAATAGTTCAACTGCCAGTAATTTGTGAATTGATTGCTGGCGGAACTGGCCATATTCATCTATATTTAACTTCTGGCCAATGTGGATATGTGTGACATTATTCAACAACACCAGACCACCGCAGGTGAGACAATATGTGAAAGAAAGCGTATAGATAAAGCTCTACAGGAAGAACGCGACGAACCATTTCAACCTCGGCAACGAAAGTGAGAATGGGGAAATATCTTTTACAGGAAACGTACACCCTGCGGATTTAAGCACTTTCGATCCCCTGTGGCACAACTCGATTCTTCTTGAGCTCATCCTCAGCCGCGAGCTCCTGAAACATCGTTTCGCCTCTCTTCGCAGCGTCCACTTTCTGCCGCTTCAGCCGTCTCGTCTCATTCTCCACGTCCTTCGTGACCCACCAGGTGACCAGAGTGATCATAGCGCAGCAGCCCACAAGGGCCATGGCAACACCAAAAGACAGCTGGTATCGCGGTGCGTAGGCGCTTCTGAAGAGCTGCGGGCCAATAGCCCCGCCAATCTGTCCGTAAGAGTTGACAAAACCGATCGAGAAGGCAGACCCTGTGGCCCGGCTGGTGGTCTGTACGCGCCATGGCCACATTGTAGGGTACCCTACATTTGTGTTAGATGCTGTATAAATTACCGACGTCAAGGCCTCCAAGAAGCTTGGGATCTACTCACAAGCCGCAGTTACAGCATTCCCAATCATTGTCGCGGCGTAGACGCCCCCTACACTGGGGTATGCGACCAACACACCATAGCAGGCCATTATGATGACTAGAAACGATAAAGGATATAACGGTCGTGGCAAGCGGCCATTATCAGCAAAAATACCGGTGACTGCGATAACAATAAGACCCAATATGGTGATGGGAAGATTTAGTAGTTGAGCAGTAGCGATGCTCCTGAGACCGATATCAGTGGGCTGTTCGGCAAGACCATATTGTGGAAAGGGTCAATAGCTTACGTGAATCCCAAATCAGCAATAACAGTCGACTGATAGAACCTAACACCACTTGTGCCCACGGTATAGAACGCCCATATCATAGTGAAAAGCCACAGTCGAACGTCCTTCAATGATGCAACTATTTCGCGCCAGTCGAAATTTTGTTCTTGAGCTCTTGGCGCGTTAGGGGGTAGACGTGCTTGGATAAACGCCTTTTCTTTATCAGATAGCCACGAAGCTGTCTCGGGAACTGGAAGATGTATGTTAATATCACTTGAAACCGTGATCGAGCATGAGTGTTTGCTTGTCACTTACAGTCTGGAAGTAAGAACCATATAGCAACACCAATGATTATTGTTACGATGGATTCGGTCAGCATTAACCTATCGCGAGATTAGCAGCGGCTCCTGAAACATGGTGGGCAACCTCACCATTGCCATCCGGAAAGCCCGCCTCTGCCGGAAGCCTTGTCGAAGGCGTAGGCTAGAATACCACTGAATATTCCGGAGAGATTGCCACATATGTCTAATGATGTTAGTCAAAGGAATGGGAATAAATCTGGACAACTGACAGAAATACAAAAGTCTAAGGGACATCTCGTCTGGTCTGTACCAGTAACACATCTGGAGGATAACACCAGGGAACTGGCCTGCCTCAGCCTGCGCGTTGTTAGCACATTGAACATAAAAAATGTTCTGCTATCTTACTAATCCAAGGAAGAACCGCGCAGCGTATAGACCACTCTTGTTTGTAACCGCACAATGGCAAGCAAGCACGATGCCCCATGTAATCATAATCCTCGATTGCCACTTAGACGGCGAGAATCTTTTGAGGAGTAGATTGGATGGCGCTTCACCAATGATGTAGGGAATCTCAAGATATGTCAGTTTCATCCATCATGGCTTTATGGGAGCAGGGACATGAACTAACATAATACATTACAGTGACCAAATTGTAGTCATCGGCAGTCATGGCCAGCTGCGTCATGATGTTCTGGTTTGTTCCTCGATTCATTATTCGTGCGTTTGAAACCTATTTCTCAAAGTTAACAATCACACCTCCCCGGAATATGCGCGTTCTCACATTATCAACATCAAGGTTTTTGAACATAAATATCAGAGAACACAGAGGCATGAGGTGCCAATCAATGCGTCGGAGGAGCTTTTTCTCTTCTGCTGGCGTTAGTGCTGCAAGCGCCTCCCTACGTCTCTCTTCAGCAGCATCTGTCACGTTGTCGCTGCCGTTGAGTGACGCCGGAGCTGGCAGAGCCTTGTTATCGCTATCATCACTGAGGTCGGCTGCCCGGCTAGACGTCGCTATAGGCTCTTTGGTGGATAACATTGCTCAATTTTGGACCTGACGAGAACAAAAACGGATCTAGACACCATGTAGGGACGATAATTACCAACTTTTAAGCCGTTCCTCGCGAATAGATAGTTGCCTGCTCGACCAATTTCTGATAGTCCGGATATCGGGCAGATATCCGAAGATATATAACATCATACTCCACCGAAATAACGAAAACCGTGGGGTGTTTTGCTCATTGAATTCGCCGGTCCACAACACGGGGCAGGCAATTCGGACTGTCGCCGGGAGTAATCTGTAGCGGCTGGATGGTATGCCGTTGGAGACGTTTGTATGTATAGGCCCACTATCTCCGGCCAACCACAGGTTGCATGGTGGTGAGCTCGTCATTTGGACTAATTATCACGACAGCCATTAGTCCCTATATTGGATGCAACGGCGTACCATACCCTTGGAATGAACGTTCTCAGACGTGCGCCAAGCCCTTGGATATTATCCGCGGAACATTATTCCCAGACGTGAGGTGCCATGACGTGCAGAAATAATGCACCTAAATATTGAGTGTGAGCATTGCTTTTCTCCAAACTTCGTTCTCTAAGTTGTAATTCTGCGAATAAGTCACACTTAATAAAAATTGTCAAGATGGCAACTGCAGTCGCATCGCATGGTCCATCTATCCCCACATATAGCCAAATTCCAGAAACCAAGTACGAACGTAGGTGTCCAAATCCCAGATTTGGGGCATCAAAGTTGACAAATAATTCATAGTTGATTGGGCTGGATTAGCCACTCTGGATTTATCGACCTTTGAGCAGCCTGGCGGCAAAGAAAAGCTGGCCCAACAGCTTTCCGAGGCAATTCAGCAGATTGGTATGCCCTGATATCGTGGGGAAAAAAAGAGATTTACAAGCTGAGAGTCTGTAGGTTTCTTCTATATTACCAATTTTGGACTTGGCCAGGATCAAGTTGACCGTCAATTCGCTATCGGCAAGGAAGTCTTCCAGCTCTCACCTGAGGAGAAACTTAAGTACAGAGCAGACCTAGAAAATGGTGGTTACAACGGCTATAAGCCCCTTGGACTTCGTGTAAGTTTGTACTAATCTTCGATTGTGATCTTCGGCTGATGTTTGAGTAGGAAGTCCGACCGGGAGTCAACGATAATACGGAAATTTACAATATTCCGAAGTTCATCCCAGAGCTTGAAAGAACCCACCCCAGTGTTATAAACGAGAACAGGGCGGAAATCGAGCAATTCGCTCGACACATCCATGATCATGTTGTAGGAAAGCTCCTCGTCCTCTTCGCTCTCATATTAGAGTTGCCCGAGGACTATTTTCTCCAGCACCACAGATACAGTAAGAAGAGTGATTGCCATTTGCGGTATATGAAGTATCATCGCCGGACCCAAGAGCAGAACAAGATCCTTGAAAATGTCTGGGTGAAAGGCCATACAGACTTTGGCAGTCTGACACTCCTTTTCCGACAACCTGTTGCAGCACTCCAAGTACGAACACCCGAAGGAACGTGGAAGTGGGTTAAGCCCTATCCAGGAAGCATCACTGTCAATATAGCAGATTCGCTGGAATTTCTAACAAATGGCTTCTTGAAAAGTAGCATTCATCGTGTTGTTGCACCACCGCCTGATCAGGCCAACGTGGACCGACTTGGTGTTTTGTACTTCGTCCGCCCAGAGGACACTCTCGAGCTCCGGCCAGTACAAAGCACTGTTCTCGAGCGGTTGGGATATGACAAGTCTACAGACGGTGCCGCCGTAGGTATTACGGCTGGAGAGTGGGTGAAGGCTCGTGTTGCAAAGGGTGTAGCCAAGGAGAAGCCCCGAAGTGAGATTGGGGAACAGCCAATCATTGGCGGAAAATCAGCCAAATATTACGATTAGCCAATATATTTGAGGCTTCTTAGCCTGTAATAGCTTAGTTGTCATCCCCAGTATACTGCTCGAAAACCTCAGGATAAAACTTTCGTCCATTTGCTCGATGGCTTCTAATTTTCGTCCTTAGCTGCGTTTCTCCCCAAGTGTCGTATTTGCCTTGAAGGAAGGCTGAATCGATGTCACGGCCCTCGACTGACTCCGCGCTTGAACTAAAGGAAGCAAAGACGCTCTTTAGATTTTGGGCGTAGTTTTTGGTGAGATCTCGCCGTACGCCTTGGAAAAATGGAACGCTGTATCTCTCGTGTACACCGCACAATACTCTATGTGTCGTGGCTTTACAGACACCGTCGGTGACAACCTCGAAGGCTTGACCGATATTGACCACGAATGTACCTGGTTTCACCGGTACATCGATCCATTGACCCGACTTGTTCAAAACTTGAAGGCCTTTAACTTCGGGAGGCGAAGCTTGAAGTAGAAATGTCCACCACCCCGACGAATCCTTGTGTGGTCCAACTCCTTGATTCAGGATAGTCGTGGCACGCCCTACAGGTAATGCCGGATAATGAACCAGCTTCAGGCGGTGTTGATCTGATAGGAAGGGCAGGAATGTCTTTGGAGGAAGTAAAACTGCGCGAGCAACGAGCTGTAGAAAGCGTTCGCTCAAGTCTGTCAGTGCTGAAATATAGCTCGTGACGATTCCTGGCAATTCCGGAAACGCCGCCGGCCACTACATCGCAAGTTAGACTAGTCTCAAATTCACAGCCAGAACTTCGCGACTCACTTGATTCGGTCCTCGAAGTCGCTCGTACAGAGGATCGCCGTCCTTCCAGTCATTTGGTAATTCTGTCGCAAACTCCACTTGCTCCCTATAATCGGTCTTGCCGCCTGTACTTTCATCGCCAATGCCACTGTAACCAAGAAAATGAGGCGAATTCTCTAAAGCGATCCCATCTTTCGCTTCCTGGGCAACTCAAATAGGACTGGCAGCGCCTGTACCAGTCGGTCTATTGTTGATTGTGGAATGCCATGATTTGATATGTAAAGGAAGCCGACTTCTGTCAAGGCATGGCGCAAGTCCTCCAGCAGCTGTGTTGAGGCAGCGGCATCCTCGGCTAGAGCCAAGTCAATTACGGGGATCTCTGTAAAAGACCAGCTCGAAGGCATGCTTGATACAGATTCTAAGTCAACAATTCATGTCTGATCAGCAACCATCTAACAAAGATTGAAGACATTGTTAGTTACAAGTTGACTATGTTTAGTTGTTGAAGTGGGGCATTCGATCACGCAAGCGATATCTAGGTCGGCGTGATCAATGGATGCCATAAAGGATTTTGCCAAGATAACTACTTAGTTGTAGCTTGTTTGTTGAATTACCCACAAAGCGGGGGTGGAAGGAGCTTCAGTGCCAATGAAATTGTTTAAAGTTTAAAACAGCGCACAGAAACAGCATATGATGTATTAACGTAATATATCCAATATGGGTCGTTCTTGATCGAGTCGGATTGAATTGAGGCATTCAACGGATGTATAGTGAAGTATGATGGGGCAAACCTGTCACCCTATCACTCTTAATGCTGTCTCTAAATGCTATTTATTGTAAAATCCAGGCGAGAATGAGACCAGCAAGAGCCAAGGTGCCGGTGAGTGGCTCACCGCGTCCCAGTATGGCTGCTGACGTTCCAGTAGCTGCTGTAGCGCTCTGAGTTCCCGACACAGTACCCGATATTATGGCACTGGTGCTGGTGCTGGAGCCACTTGTAATCCTGGATGCAGAGGCAGAGGCAGACGCTGCCGAGCCTGTGGCGCTCGCCAACTTTTCAAGGCCTGCAGTAATGGTAACAGGCATATAGTTCCAATCGGTGCTTTCGGGAGTGTATGTGGCAGTCGGAGAACCATCGTCGTTTCCTCCAATGTTGGTAGTTGTGCAGACACCAGGTGCAGTCCCTGTCATGTCGCAGTGAATATGGAAGTACCATTCCGTGTCCAACTTAATCTCAAGATCATAAACGCCGGTGGATGCTTCTGGAGGAGGTGTGGGCTTTGCCCAGGGCCCAACGACTACAGTCTCATTGTAAGTACCGCAATCGTTGCTGTCGGTGCCGGATGGGCAGTTGAGAAGGAATGTAGTGGCCGTTGCGTCTGCCGCAAGGACATCAGCAACGAGTGTTTGTGGGTCGGTGTTAAACAAAAACACTTTCGTCACGGAAGTTGTTGTCGCCATTGCAAAAGAGTGGTAAGTATCAAAACGAGCGACTACAGAATTGATTATAAGGAAAATTTCGGCGGATAACACACTGCAAAGAAGAACACAAATAAAAAACAAAGCAACACAGGAGGGCGACTAGAATTTCGTCGTCTGCCTCCTTTGCAACGGGCATGCCTAAGGGATGACCTAGACTAAGGGGCGTACGGGACCGATTACCGAGATTGCTGCAGGGGAAGTTTCAAGCTTTAAGCTTACCACAGAGTTGCTGGCGTGAAGCGTCTAAGAATGGCTAGAACCCGCACTACTGTATAGTTGAGGATTTTAGTGGCACGAAGGATTCGCCGTCAATCAAACGCGCCTGTCAAACAATCCGCATAGCTGCTCTTCTACTTTGTGGGGTACCTTGTGGGCTGATTGAGGTTTATTGTCATATGTTTCTTGCAGGCTCTTTAGTTAGTATGGGGATGTTCATGTGGAAGGTATGACTCTACGCGATGTAGAGACGTTACAGTAACTTCTTTTGACACTTCAGGTGCACTAAATGGCACTGGAAGGGACCATTGAGACGATAGTGAGCAAAGTCAACCACAGGAATGTTAATTCGTGCGAATCTGCTGTGATAGAGGGAAGCTCTCAGAACCTGGAGTGTATAATAACGCAGATGACACAATTGAGGATATGCCAGCCTCTGTGCGAATATATAACTGAAATTTCGTGGCTTTAGTCACATGCAGTGAAATTCCAATGATGGTGTCCCATTGTCACGATGCTCCGACATGAATCGGAACGACGTCAGAAGATTTATATGCCTACCGTACGAAACAGGACTTTTCAAGTGGGTACTTACAGCACAAGAGACAAGTTTATATCTAGGTAGACGAGTAATCAGATCGCGGTTGCCCAATCTGGATAAACCTCCTCTTCTCTCGGAGTAGAAGCGGCGTTTCGATCACGAATATGATCCTCCAGCGGCAAATTCTGATGCTGCGACCGAGTTCCCATATCAACACCTCTCTTCTGTATGTATCTAGCGAACCCCATAGTCTCCTTCCTCCACTCCTCTTTAGATATTTTGCCTCCTACGTAGTCAGCAAATATCATCGCGTCAAATGCCGCTTGTGATGTTGACGCGACAGTATGAGGGCGAAATCCTGCAAGCGCATCGCCGACCAACACGATTTTGTCGTTCAGATACAAGTTTGTTGGGCTGATTACATCAGTGACAGCTTGAACGAATGGTTTCTTGGTGGCGCGGACAACCTCAGCAAACTGAGGAGCCAAGCGCTGTTCCGCTATTTTGCGTTGCCTCTCCCACGCGCATGGATCTATCATGGCCGGAGGGACTGTGATCGGACGGCGTTTCCCGTTCTTGTCAGTCATGATCTCCTCTAACTCGTGAGAGCCTTCTGGGAAGTTGGTGTAATAGACAAAATTGATGAGACGTTTTCCAGGATCTACTGTGCCACCCTCACCGGGAATTAGGTATGCCAAGATCTGAATTCCTGGACAGTGGAAGAACGTAAAGCGTTCACTGAAAGCTTCCCTTGCCGCTTCACTCACATCGTTCTCAGGAATGGTGCCACGGAGAGCGCAATACCCCGCATATTTTCGCTCGACGTCTGGTTGCAAGATTTTGCGTACTGTCGAGCTTGGGCCGTCGGCTCCAATGACCATGTCGCCGACGATACTTCCCTCTTCACCTTCGCTTAGCTTGAAGAAGACTCTGACCTTATTGCCTTCTTCTTTGATGCCTGTGACGTTGTGATCATGCAGATGTTCTGCTTTGCCGTGACCTGGAACAGGTGGCGGAGCCTTGCAATGATTACTATCTATGCTGTCATAGTTTGCTCGCATGAGAAAATAGGCGAGATCCCACTATGGCCCGAAAATCGGTCAGAACCCGAGGTCTTTGGATTGGATTATACTGTTTGTCATTGCTTACTGAGGTCATGTTCTGATCCATCTCTTCTTTGTGCACAACATTTCCTTCCCTGTCCAGATACTGGCGGCGGCGAGAAGTCACAGCTATTGGGCGTTCGCAGCGGTTATAGCGTTTGAAGAAAGCCAGGGTGTCGCCTCCCGCAACAATGCCAGCTCCTTGCTGTTCTAGCACTGGTGTCGGGTTACGTTCCAGAATCGTGGTATCATGGCCGATTGACTTAAGTGCTAGCCCGGCAGCCAAGCCACCCAGTGAGCCACCAACCTGCTCCAATATCAGCTCGTTGTCCGGATTAAGTCAACATAACAATTTGGCATACAATGATGAAGTGGAGTGCATCTGTTTGGGCCATTTCGGAAGCCATCTCAATTGACCTCAGGAAATTATGACCTGCTCGGTTGCATAGTCCACTCGATTAAAGGCTCCATGCTTTTTCACAGAAATCTGGCCATTCCGTTCAGCCTTTGGGGTTGGTGGTACCATTGCGACGTCTGACGTCATTACATCAACAGTGGAGAGTAATTTGTCTTGTCTGTCAGAATATGGATATCCGCTCACCGAAACAGTACACCAATATGTTGATGGTTTGTAAGATAATATACCCCGTGCTTGGGGTTCAATTTTCCTTCGCAACAATTAGATTACAGTAACATATGCGCCTACCGAAGACTGCCAATTTTCCTTTCTCAACAACCACTTCGTAATTTCTTCAAACTTCAAAGCCAGCTGTTTTTGCTGCTGTGGATTGAAGCTAATCCCTCGTAGGTCAACAAAGAAGGTGTTTCCATGCGGCCCACCCAAGCCCACATTCCAAGACATTCCTTGACAAGGACGCACTATCGCTGCCAGTGCTTCGAAGTTCTGATATTGATTTGTTCCAGATGCCCCCAGACCCGGCACCCAGTTGAAAGAAAGGTGACCTAAAACCTCCGGTATCATATCCCCGGCCTCACCTAATGCAGACATGACTTCGTGCAGAGGGGCCGGGGCATATTTTGTCAGGTTCAGCTGGTCCTCCTGCAGTCTCTGCAACAGAGACAAGACTGACTCACTCGGATTGTATTCCACCAGATTTATAACGGCTTGTATTGTAGGGCCCGATACATCAGTTGCCTCAAACTGTCCTGTAGCTTCGATTGCCTTGGGTAAGAACGGAAAATTTGTTCGAGCGGCCTCCAAGTTGGCAAAGACGGCATGTGTATGGTGTGTATGAGAGACAATTAGAAGTGATAAAGCTGTTTTGGCAACGATGGTCGCTGTGACTTTTGGATGGTTCTGCCGGAACTCATGGATAGCTGGAGTGTCAAAGCTATGATGAACTGCATCCGGTTCTGAGCTGGCCACAATGTACTCGTCTGCCTTCTTTGGCATGGTATATGGGGGCCACAAAGCTTTTCTATGGGAATGCAGCTCCCTCAGCTGCTTGACATGCCATTGAACTGCTACCTTCGCTTCAGCAGATGTTCGTTGGTTGAAATATGAATCGGCCCAAAGCTTGTAATCAGTATGCTCAGGCAGTTGAGCAGTACTGCTGAGCGCCTTTTCGAGGTCTGCGCTGAAGATCAGGCCTGTCGACGCATCCACCACGGCGTGGTCGATACACAAAACAACTCCGGGTGTGCCTGTTTCCTCTATGTCGTATAGATCAATACGTGTGAGAGGCCCGGGATACGCCACCTGCTCACGATAATCCAAGGCTTTGACTCTGAGATCATCCAGGGTTTTTAATTTTCCCATGTCATTGATCACAATGTCGAACAACTTATTATTTTGCCGTACCGCAACATGCAAAGCCTCTCCGGCTCCAAGCGATTTACGGCCACCGACAAGGAATGATGCTAACGTGCGGTTGTTCTGGAGAACCCGTTCAAGGGCTTCTCTGAATTCCTATTCGGTGTTAGCCATAAGCAATACCGCAGACAACGAGACCAAAGGAATTCATACCTTCTTGTCCACCTTTTTGGACACCATTGCAAACTTGAAACCCCAGCTGTCAAAGAGCCCTGTTCTGACCATCATGTTGCCGAAGTCATAGACGGGAATAACGTCCTCAACGTCATTCCAATTCAACCCATATGGTGATATTGTATCAATAACAAGCTTTTTCATAGGCTCGAACGACTCAGATTCGCCCATCAGATGAGGTGTATCCTCGATGCTAGGCGGCCCGCTCCTGATTGTGCGCTTAATATTTTTTACGCCGGCAGCGCCAGATTGTTTTTTCAATAGCTCAATATGACCAGAGACCGTCCCGGCGCTCGCCATTTCGACAAGTGAAAGCGTCTTACCAATCTTTTTCCTTATGATGTCCCTCACTCTCATCACAGTGATGCTGTCGGCGAATTCGCTAATCTGCGCATCCAAAGCCAGATGATTAGGCTCAAGGCCAACTGTCTTTGCCCAGATCTCCCTTACTTCAGCACCAAGGTCAGAGCCATTCATTGATGCGGGCAGGATTTCCCTTTTGGCCCTATAGTCCTTGACAAGAGATGCCAGTTTGGTTTTCTGAACCTTTCCAGCCATAGTGCGAGGATAATCTGTCAAGCCCAAGTCCTGGAGTGAAACCACATCTTCTGGCACGTAAATGTTTCCCATGCTTTTTAAGACAGCATTTTGAACTGCGTCACGTAGATCGGCATCTACCTTGCCAATCATAACAGCAATCGGGACCTCTCCAGCAATTAAATCAGAGGCTGCTACGACCTGAGGGTTCAATGCAGCTAGTGTAGGGTCATGCGATATAGCTGCCTCAATCGCCGTAGGCGACATATTCTCGCCACCTCTAATAATGCTGACGAATTTGTAAGTATTATGAAGTATCAAGTGACCTTTCATAGCAGTACTCACATATCCTTGTACCTTCCAGTTATGAAAAGCCGGCCTTGATGGTCTAGTCTTGCCTGGTCGCCGGTCCTGAACCACAATCGGCCATCTGGATCATTGTAGAAGCTATCCATTTCGATAGAGCCAATGTAGTAACCGAGTGAAGTAGCTGTCCCGTGCAGCTCGCCAAGTGTATTTCGAGGAAGGATCTTACCAGTATCGGGGTCTATGATTCTGAGGCCGGCGCCTGGAGCAACCCATCCGGACGACACATCTTTTCCATCAACGATCTTCGTTGGGTCTCGGTGACTATTGGATCTGATTATAAGCCCTTCAGTCATGCCGTAGGCATTTTCAACCCCCTTTGTCCCGAGCTCTTCAATACAGGACTTCAGATGGTCCGGTGTCAAAACAGCGCCACCGAAAGTGACGGTCTTAAGATGCTCAAGTCGGTGTCCTGCAGCTGCTTTAAGCCCTATTAGAGCATGCATCATAGTTGGGACGAGCACAGTTTGCGTAACCTTTTCTCGATAAAGTGTTTTCAGCATGATATCCGCCTGGAAGAAAGGACCAGGAAAGATCATGGCGGCACCAACTCCGAAGGTTAATGGTATGAAAAAGTGGCCCATGGCACTACAGTATCTGGAGTCAGTAACTACATCTTCATGATGGGTTGTGGGATTTTGGGGAGCCCTGTGAAACAGTTTTGCAAAACGCAATGCTCCTAACGGGCAATATACACCCCGTAGACATGCTGAAAAGGGTCAAGAATAATTCCGAAATTTGCTTACTGGTTGTTCGGTAAGACGCCACAGATGCGGTCCCCGGCGATTGGCATGCCTTCCGTGGTGTTCGCCAATTGGCACTCGATCGGGTAATTGAGTGCTGGGAATTTTCGAAAACATCCCTTAGGCATGGAAGTAGTCCCGCTTGTAAACAAAACGTAACCGTCAATCACTTTGTCTGCCATTTTCCCGCTCGTTTCAGCCCCTATACTGGACACGGCTCCTAACATCAAGTTTTCGAATGGCAACCATCCGTGGTCCTGGTGTGTTTTCGAGTTACCGATCTTGATGCTATCTTGAAAGATCGCGAGTTCCTCAAGAGTATTAATCAGATCTGGACTTGTAGTGATCACGACGGATCTCTTTCCTGGAACTGCCTTTCTGGCTGTGTTCACCATGTGTATTACCTCCTCTCTGTTTGCTAGATTTCTGGGGTTGATCGGAACAAAAACGCAACCGATATCAGCTGCAGCCCAGCTAGACGACATCAGTTCAGATACGACAATACATTCCACGCGACAACTTACTACGAGATAACATGCTCAACGCTGTTGGTGTTGAAGGTAAATACTGGCATCCCTGGTTGGACACCGGAGCCTCTTAGGCCAACGGTGCACCGCTGCACAGCTTCTTCGAGATGTGTGTAATTCCATCGTAGGTAAGGACTTTGGCGAAAATCGACGTCGTCCAGGGGCTGATTTGGAACGTTAAATAGTCCAGGGGGTTGATGAACACACGCTATTGCCAGATTATCGGGATACTTGGCTACAACGTCTAGGAACATTTGCCGAAAAGGGCGACATGTTTCTGGAAGGGGGCCACCGTACACCTCACTCAATTCCGGCATCCTGAGCACGCGAGATGTTGCCTGACCTAACATCAAGAATAAGAATATGCTCGATTCAAGAAGAATTCAAGGATAGTCAATCATTAAAGGCCAAGACAACCGGCCTAGTTAAGTCCCTACACCTCTGTGGATCGATGCAGAGGATGCGACGATATTTATTAAAAATAGCGGCACAGTTATGCCCGACCGAGGTCAGACCCATCAGAGTATCCTCTCTTTTTCATGGCTGATGAGCACGTATCCAATCATTTCTCATGGAGTGGACTTTCATACTGTGTAACTACATAGTCATTCCCAGATGCGTGCGCGTCGGCGTTTTCTTCGTCCACCCCTCAATGCTGCTTTCAGTACCCCGTACCCACTCACTCAAACCCCCTCTAACTAGCTAGGTTAGACTAAAGGGTGGGTAGGGTGACACCTATCCTACCCTGAATGCAGAACTATGCTTGCATCTACATAAGTCGAGAGAACACCTCGGCACTTACTCTACTAAAGTTATTGTTGGACTAGATGATTTTTGCAACTTCAAAACCACAACCCGTAGTTGCTCGGTGTTGTCAATAAAGTTTGAGTTGCTGACAGTAGCGCTTAATGGTACGATGGAATGTCATACGGGCCTACGGCTCTTGATAGTGACTCTCGCCGCGCGCGGCCGCTGGTGCAATCCTACACATGCCGCCAGCGTGAGTCCGAAACTTTGTTGGCAAGAGTGATGAATTAGTTGCACATGTGCCAGTTGTATATCTACATACCCCATTTAAAATAATATGGGAGGTATCATGCTACGAGATAGAGCGACCTTTACCCTCATACACAAGAACCTTGACACAAGTTGCAATGTTTTAGGCTCTGATCCGATTAGATGTGCAGCAAGTCGAGAGGAAAATACCATTGCGTATTCGATCTATTAAATTGGTTCTTCTTGTTGTGTAAGACAGTGGACGTTTGAATTGCTTGCGATTGTCATATCTATATCAACTATACTACGAGATGAACAACTGTTTGATGTGGGTGAGCCAGGCTGACGTTGCGATCACAGATCTTAACTGTACGTTGATTTAGCATCTTCCATTTATTCGGCGGGTCCCCAAAACTGAAGCCATCCGGCAGATTATGATGGGCACATCATGGTTCTGATTTCCACAGAAGCAAGGTTTTTTGTTGCTGGTCGTTGTGTTATTGTCGCAACCGTCTTATCAGCCCCTTTCGCCTTCGTGTTTTCTGTATCTTTTCATCATTTTGGTTTGACGTCACACTGGTAAATCAGTTTCTTATATAAAGAGATTATCAATATCAATGATGTTCGAGTTCGAGAGGTGTGATATGGATATAACTGCTAAGGTGGCTATAATTACTTTACGAGGTATATTTCGCGGCTATTAACCGGAACAATTATGTAAGCTTACTCACTAAAAGCTGGACAAATTGGAAAGATTGTTCATATCTAATGATGTTGGTTGTACAAACAAGCATTAAAAGGCACTTGGACAATCAAATCCCGTTGGGGATCCAAAACCCAACCAAAGAACTAGAATTAAATCAGAAGGTAAAGTTCAATTCAACATTCGAAAGTTTTGATAGGCATTGTATCGAAATGTTAAGGTCCAGGTGTTCCTGGAAAGTCGAAACACTAATCTAATAGTGACACCCAGCTGACTCAGATCAAGGGGACTTGTCCATCATTCACTAGATTGAGTAATTCAGTAAAGCTTTTAAAGCAAGAGGTTCTCAATTTTCAGACCCTGTGTCTTTCTCATTCGTTGCGCCTATAATTTCCATTCGACATTGCAGGACTTCAGAATGAATCGGCGATTATGTAGTCTGCCTTCCGTGCCATATCTGGCCTATTGTTTATCTAAACGTGATGATTCCCATAGACATTTAGTAGTTGAGACGACCGTCACGGTTGCGACTCTTCGACAAATTGCTGCACGAGCAACGGTGATGTCTACGACCGGAATCTCAGTCGCAAACAGCAGAATGGTGTTCACCAAAGACACCAGAAATGTACAAACCGAACTTCGTTTAAACCAAAAACCCAGGAATAACTTGGCATTGCCCCTTTCCAACATTCATCATCAGTCGAAAGTTAAAAGAAATAAAAAAAAATTAAAAAAAGGGAAAAGAAAAACAGTATACCTCCTAAACACAACGAACAAGGTATAGATTACATCCTGTCGGCATGCAAAAAATCAGAATCGGAATTAAGAGTTCGAAAGACCATGTTTTACCAGGCAAATCCGCATACCAACATTATGATCGTAGTGAGCTATCCAAGAACTCATCATCACCGATTGGCAGGTCTCTATAGACAGGGGGGTTCTTTTCGCGGGTCGTACGGCGACCGAGTTCTTTCAGAGGCGGAAGGTCTTCGTCGTGTTGAGAGGCCTCATATTCATCGTCATCCGGATTGCGATATCTCTTCGCAAGAGCCGACTTCTTGTTCCTTGACGATGAAGAACATCCCGACGGTAGAGCCACGGCCTTGGATGGAGTGCTAGCGTTCATCTTGGCGCGCTTTGTCGGAGTCGTTAAACTGATACTCAGTGCTGCACGCTTGTTTTGAGGAGACGTTGGTGGCGTATGTTGTCGGTTGTCCTCCGAAGTCTTCGGCTCGTGAGTGACCCGTGGAGAAGTAATAGTAGGGCGCTGTGAATTTGAAGGATTGGATGCTGCGAGAGTGACTGATCTTGACCGTTCCGGCAAAGCGAAAACATCAACATCCATATCAGCAACTGGAGCTCTTGGTTGCGAGGATGGATGACGATTGACCACACCTGGGCTGCTGACATGATTCTTTGAGCCCGCTAGCATAACAGGTGATACGAGCTGATTTGATGCATCGATGATAGAAACGTCATGTTCCAATCCATCTATCAGCTCGTCGACCGCGCGGTGGAGCGCTGGCCTGACCCGTTGCAGTAACTCGGTGCACCTATCAAGGAATTTTTGCTGCTGTGATAAAAAGAACTCATACGGATGAGGCTCATTTGGGGTGATAGCTCTCAAGGCATCATCTCGTAATCGTTCCAGCGCGTTTAGTCCTTCATACTGAAGTATCTCGGCGATCTTTTCTCGCATAAAATCCTGAATATTAACACTGCATTTGTCGATGACATCTTCTGTGCTAAAATTCACAGGCGTGGAGGCCATATTGTACGACTTTGACCAATGATTGAGTGGCGCAAGTGTAGACTGAGACTGCAAGTCCCACACAGCAATCGACGACTGCACAAGCAATGAACAGGTTGCGTGAACACACTAACCTTAGCGTACTATAATTTTCGTACAAGATCTAAATCATGTAACCATAATAGAGTATAATCTGACAAACTGTAACCGATTGTACGGATTAGTGTGGCTTTACATAGTTACATGGAAAAATTTGGATAGAAATGCCGTGGTGGCGAATCCCCAGTCCGCCATTGGTGCCTAGTCTAATCTTAGATCGTTTGCGCGGTTGGAGATCTCAAGTATGCCTTGCAAGAGAATACAGATTATGCTTCCAATCAACGTCGCTAACAACAAGCTCGTCATTTCGGACAAAGCGAACCAATGAATAACATAGCAAAAGCAAAAGATCAGACGACAACTAACGGAGGCCTCAACATCACCGCGATTTACTCTCGCTCCAAGGTTTTGGCGGTTTCAGGCGAGGGCCGCGTCTGCAGGCCAGGGCCTGAGATGAAGCAGATCTCAATGCCAACAGCGCAACCGGCTCGAATGGTAAAGATAACACCGCTGATGTGCTCGATTCGTGTGGAATCTCATCTTTCTTGTAGAGATGGTTGCTTTAATAAATTGGTACTACGCACAACTTTAAGTTTTACTTTCTTGTGCGAAATTACACCTAGTCTGGGTATTACACATGGTGACAATACATAAGACTTCTTATATGGTATGATTATCAAAACACAGATCTTGAGACACCGTTCTGGAGCTTCTGAAGTCTCTCTTCCGTAAGCTCAAAGCACTCCGGTAGATCGGTGTCGCTCCATGACCCGCCCAGGACGAGCTTTACTAGCCCAGGTGCGCAGGTAAATATTCGCGCCATGCCTACATCAAGACTTATTAGTCAAGTGTCCTAGAGGAGAAAAATTTCAAAGACTTACCATGACCATTGTGGCCGGCGCAAACCCATTGACCAGGTGCATGAGGGACTGCCCCCACAAATGGTACCGAGTCGGGTGTCATTGCAATGATACCTGTCCACGTATGCAATAGACCCTCTCCATGCTTTAAACTCGTTGGATGACAGCCAGGAAAGCACTGTGACCAGTTTTCCAGCAAGTCAATTTGCACTTCCTCGTTAAAATCACTATCGTCTGGCAGCAGCCGACAGTTCAGTGCGGCTTGGCTGATGTGAGGATTGTCGCGCGAGGCTCCCAAAATAATTATTCCATCAGGTCGTCGTTGGGCGACGGAGTAGAAATGCTTTAGGCTATGTCTTAATGACATGGTGCTTTGCAAAACGTTCACTCCGTTGAGACTGGACGGAGGAACGAAAGCATGCGCTTGAGCTCGGTTTGGTGTGACAAAAGGTGAAAGCTGAGGTAAAAGATGAGATGCGAATGCGTTTGTGCAGTGAATCACATGCGATGCTGTAATAGTTCCACGGGGCGTGACAATGTCCCATTGGGGCTGATCGGAAGTTGACCAGGAGGACATGACGATATCTGTGGCTGGGCAATGGGTAAAAAGCTGAGCGCCTTTTTCTAATGATTGTGTGAGAAGCCAATGAGCTAATTTAGCTGGATGACTTGAGCCTGCAGGCCATTCGTACGCCGTGACTGTTTGTGCGATCCGGGTCTTCTCTTTTGCCTCATCGCCTTCATAAACATTCACGTGCGAGATATCACCGCCAGCTTCCCGATACTCCCTGAAGCTCTGAGCGTTGAAGTCTGCAAATTCTTTGGTGAGACACACATCAAAAGTAGTTGTTGGGTAGAAGTCGCAATCTACGCCATGTTTCCTCACGAACTTGTCTACATTGTTGAATACAGTGCGTTCATTGGCAATGATCTTCAGTGCTTGCTCCTTGCCGTGCACCCTCTGGTAGACTTGAAACCCTCGAAATGCATCTATACACTACGTCAGTACAGTCATCTTTACAATTAAGACCATCTTCGGCATACCTGGTCGGACATGGCCAGCATTTCTTGAGCTTGCCCCACTAGCTGCCTCCCGTGCCTCCAAGATCGTAATATCTGCGGCGGCAACACCGCCCTCTATCAACTCGAAACACGTCAACGCTCCAGAGATTCCAGACCCAATAATGACATATTTCACCTTTCCTGGTACCGTTTCAGTATCGTTGGCATTTAGATAGGGAAACGATCGTGTGGTTTGCTGCCAGTACGAGAGACAGGGGTTTGGTACTGGCAATCCATTCCAAGATTCTGCAAGCGAACCCATAATGACCAATGTATAACACTGTATGGAAGCTTTGCACGGCTTCGTCTCAGATTTCTCATAGCAATTTGAATAAACGCTTGAGGAGCTACATTATCGAGATAAATAGCTCTCGTAGGGGTTAGTATCGAGATTTGGCTGTCCGATATAGGCATATAGATATTGCGGGGGAGCGTGTGCGGCAGCAAGACCTTGAAGCCGGCTAGGACAACTAGCTGCAAACTGTACTGTAGCTGCTTCTTGTTACTGTAGTAGATAGCATTAGACGAAGGGAATAAATCCAGCTCCATAAAAAGCTGATGTTAACGCAGTGTATGTGACTAAAGATAACTATAACGCCGACCGATGGATTGTTGCATTTGGGGCGGATCGTTTTGCCGCGAAGTCATGATAACGGATCTTAGATGAATGATTAGAAGCGATTGGATCCCTAGTACTGCACAGGCATTTATGCCCACGTCTGATGCAGCATATGCAATATCGCGGTTTAACAACCCGTGTGTATAGTTGTATGATCTATATAAAAAGAAAATATTGAATTTTTTTTTTTTCAATAATAGAGGTAAACCTACCCCCTCTCCCCCTGAAGTCACGGCTGTCGGTTCTCGGATGTTCTTGCTCTTATCCTCATTGCGCGTAGGTGGCAGGTTGCCGAGCGCTAGACAAGGAATACTGGTCACAATACCCCGCTGAGAGCTTGGAGGACGATCAACGGGGTCGTGAGACCTTGGCAGTGATAACAGGTGCATGCATGGGTTATGGTAGCACATTGCTCGTGACCAGCAGTAATCAGGATGAGCCGCTATCGCTTTAATGAGGTTGCTGGAGTTAATTACACAAAAGTTATCCTGCTATTGAGACCAATCTGAAGACTCATCTGGTCTCGGTATATCTGAATCATGTGCTTGTTTATAAATCCGCTGTAGAGACACCTCCACGTTTGTCTGCCATAGTTCGTCCTTCGACAATATCGCAATCACCACAGAAAGCCCCAAACGGTTGTTTAATCCGCAGAATGCGATTCGGAAATCTGGCGTTCGCCCAGCGCCATGAGCGCACACCTGATGAGCGGGAGTTAGTCAAACGACTGGATATTTTCTTGATGACATTCGGGTGCATTTCTCAAGGTGAGTATGTGAAAGCGTGCCCCCGACTAAATCATGCTGACAAACATTTCAGTGATTAAATGTAAGTCGCATCACCTACAAGCCTACTTGCAAGTGTATTCATGAGAGTTAGACCTTGATCAATCAAATATAAGCAATGCATACGTGTCGGGTATGAAAGAAGACCTCGGGTTGAATGGCGATGAGTTGAACTAGTGAGTTTGTACAGTCTTTAGTGAAGCTCATGGTACCAGCTCTAACAGTGCCAACAAAGCTTCCAGACTTATTTCAATGTTGCATACTGCATTATGCTCATTCCTTCACAAATCATCCTTACATATGTCCGCCCAAGTTACTGGCTTCCCGGCCTTGAGATATGTTGGGGAGTAATCACTGGGTTGATAGCCATTACCCATCATGCCAAGCAAGTCTATGTCTTACGAGTATTTCTGGGTCTCTGCGAGAGCTCTGCGTGGCCGGGAATGATGACTCTTTTCAGTGAGTATTGAAACTCTGATCGTGGATTGCCTGCTATGCCACTTGTGTTTGCTAAAACCGCTAACGATCGCAGTGCATTGGTATACGCCTACTGAGCTCGCCAAGAGAATGGGATTTTATCACTCTTGTCAAGCACTCGGGTCTATGATGTAAGTATAGCTCTTTCTACCCTCAAAAATCTGAACTTCAGAGTACACGGTTGAAATCGCTTCTATGCTATTGCGCACTAATTTTCGTTGATTCCAAAATCTCGCCTTAAAAGTCGCCAAAAGGTCACCAAAAAGTATTGCTAACCCCATTTGATACAGGTCAGGAGCCCTACAAATAGCCGTGATCAATACACTCCATGGTACAAGTGGCTTAGCTGGATGGCGTTGGTTGTTTGTCATCAACGCGATCATGACGGTCGTGGTTGGACTTTGCGGCATTTTTCTGCTTCCAGACTTGCCTAACAATGTCAATCCACGAGCCTTTTGGTTCAAGAAAGGCCATGCTAAACTGGCCATGGAACGTCTGGACCGGCACGGACGGACTGAGCCTAAGAAGATGACTTGGGCAGGCGCCAAGTATGCTCACTCACAACCCGCCTTGCTCGAAAAGCACTTTAGTCTGACCATTCTATTAGGCGTACTTTCAGTAATTGGGTTGTATACTTTGTGTCAGCTCTTTATATTGCTACTGTGCTAGCACCGTGGGGATATGCTTACTTCAACCTCTTCTTGAAGAGTTTGAAAAACGCGGATGGTAGCGCGAGATGGTCAACATCTGAAGTCAATGCCATACCAATCGCAGGTGGTGCTATCAATGTCGTCTTTGGTAAGTACCTGATATCGGTATGCTATTTTAACTAACTTTTCCGTAGTATGGATATGGGCAATACTATCTGATCTTCTTCGGACAAGATGGACACTTATTGTTGCGCAAGGTGAGTACCAATCAATGTTTACTTCTTTTTAAATGCTTGAAGCTAATGATTTGCAAGCTGTCATTGGCTTAATACCGTGCATCGCGATGACCATCTGGACTTCCCATCCTGGTTCCACACCATTGGCTACCGCTTACGCGAGTTACTTCATATCATATTTGACCCTCGGAACTGCACCGTTGATCTTCGCATGGCTCTCTGATCTGTACGTATACTAGTCCAGTCAACATAACCGAGCTAATAGCTTTAAGTCTACCACAAGATCCAGAGGCACGTACCCTTATTGTTGGAGTAGCAGTCGCCACATACTATGGTGTATCTGCTTGGTCACAAGTCCTAGTTTGGCCAGCATCCCAGGCCCCTTACTGTCAGTATACCGTTTGTCGTAGATTATCATAACCTAACAAACAGCAGACAAATATGGCTGGCAATCGGCAATTGGCCTCTGGATCTTTGTCATCATTATGACTTGTTCCCTACGATTCATTGACGTCAAGTTTCTGCTGTAAGTCAATTACTAAGAAATGAAATATCATGAAAAGCTGACCACTAGCAGTCCAAAACGGAGAGAAGTATTTTCCGCTATTCACGGAGTAGATGGAACTGACGACGAGCAAGAGACTGCAGATTCTGGACCCATTAGCAAGTCAAAACCACCAGAATCGGTAGCAGCAGTTCCAGAAGCATGATCGTTCTCGTAGTATTTTAAAGGCTAAGTCTGGGTGCTTCTCATGTAATTAAGCATCGAACCACACTCAAGCATTTGGCTTGCGTCTTGTACATGAGGGAATAGAGATAGTTTGACTGTACTTTGGTTTGCCAACTTTCCTAACATTTTCGTAGCTGCTGCACTTAATGCAAAGAACTTCGTAATATCAATGGTTGTACAAAACTTTAAATCTTCAAAATCATGCTCTGCATGTTTCATCAAGTGTTTTCCGAACGCTCTATTAGACCAACCTTTTCCCGCTCCTGTTTACAAAATATCATTGCAACTTCCCCTTACGCCAAGTACATATTCCGTAACCTCAACACAGCCTGGCCATCATCAACTAGGCATAAAATAAGATGGACTCAGCAAATAGTGTAGTTCCATTTGCCCAGCATCATAACCATGGCAGTTCTGCAGACCACACCAGCTACGCTGATCATGATGGGCATGCTGGCAACTGCAAAACTGAAATGCTCTGGAACTGGAACACAATTGACTCTTGCTTCCTGACCTCCTCCTGGCGTATTACGTCGACTGCCATGTTTGCAGGATCATGCATCGGCGTATTCCTGCTTGCAATTATCGCCGTACTGCTACGCCGCCTGACGACCGAGTACGATGCCTTCCTCGTTCGCAGGACGACTGCTACCAATGATGAGAAGGATGGCGCCGTCGCGGCAGCTTCTGCTATGCGACCGACCGTAATGCAGCAACTCGTCCGATCGGTCATCTTTGCTGCGCACGGTTTCTTGAGTTATGTTTTGATGCTGTAAGTTTTATTGTGTGACCATCGTGGGTCCGCGTCTAATACCTTCCTGGAATAGTTATGCTAAACGCGGACAGGCTCGCCATGTATCTCAACGGCTACATCATCATTTCGCTTATCGCTGGCTTCTTTGTCGGCTTCTTTGCATGCGAATGGCGAAGCGTTGGACATCCGACAACGGCCAAGGCGCAGTACTTGTCTGGAAAATGCTAGGCCTCAGTGTTTCAGATGTCAGTTCCTGGTTCCCTTATGGCAGATTTGACGCAGTCGGTGAAGGTCTGTCTGTATATCACGCAAGGACAATATGGAGATTGGTACAATCCAGTTCGAAGGCCAACCCAAATTGAGTTTATGCACCTGGAGGATATAAATCAAGATCTATGCCTAATGCCGCCTCTTTGTGAGCATCGTTCTTCGTCGCTTTCTTCTATTGTCGTCCTACTCAGATTGTATGGAATACTAATCAACAATTGTTCGCCTGTCTGCCGTTCGCTGAGTAACTGATGCTTCCTGTGCCGCATTTCTGCATTAGTGAAGTATTAGCGCTTATCAAAGGCCATACGCTTTCAGCTCCTACCAGAATAGTGGACACGAGTGATCGGACTCCCTAAATTGAGAATTAGTGCGAATTTCGCGAGACACGTCAATACTCCATTCAATCTGGGACCCAATACAGCATGTAGAATTGTAGTACAATTCTTACAAGACTGTAGAGAGGGTTTCTAACCTGCTTCTCGATATCTGGTATGAGTTTCAGCTATATTGAGACTTTATGTTTCAGTCAACAGGGCTATATGAATATGTAGAGATGGCGTGTTATGGTGGGGCTCTAGTTGATGAGATAGGCTGTAAAATGTGTAAGCATCCGGTCAGGTATGTCCACCATTCTGCCTACAGCACATACGTGAACAGCCAGAAGTGCAGTGGCGGGGGATCCGTTGCGGGACCTTGGCGATTCCTTTGAGGTCTAATGCTCGCGCGTCTTTCTTTTAGTCAAAGTTTTAGCAATTTTCTTTCGTTTTATGTAAATTCACACATAGTTAAACTGACTGGTGAATGGATCAATACACTGGACATCCTTATTTCATATGTTGATTCGCAATTATACACTTTGGTTCTCAGTATTGCAGTGTGCGATAGGATACTGAGGACGAGGACTAGCACGTACGGCAAACTACATCCAGACCCTCGGGCACTATTTTTTTTTGTGAGATGTATAGCACAACAGCCACAAACCTGGTAGGGATTTCTACCAACGTGAACTCGCAGCGCATACGAGCGAAGAAGCCTAAAGTGCGTACTGGCTGTATTACAGTGAGTTGACAATCATTGGCCGTCCGCTCCTTTTAGTTCATCAAATCATCTGACACCACAACTCTGGCGAATTATGTACTTGTCATTATTGTTAACATCTGGGTCATAGTGGTAAGTCTATTCATCGTTGCAAGTGAATTAGAACACATGATGAGGCGATCGAAAATGTAGATCGAGCTGATTCAAGTTTTGTAGCAAGTAAGGATAATAACACGCTAATAAAAAGGATACCAACTGATAATCAACAGACTGCGCAGGGTCAAATGCGACGAGGTACGGACTATGCCAATAATGCGAACTGCAAAGTATTAAACGATATGTCAGGACACGCCTGCATGCACTCGCTGTACCTCTACTGGACGAACGTGTGAAGGATATCATATCCCGCAAAGGAAGAAACACGTGTTTACAAAGAAAAGTCGGAAGGAGTTAATCTCTACGTATGCCAATCTATGCCAGAGACTGAAACCTCTGCGACCAGTACGTGCAAGTATAACAGGTACTGGCGAAGAGCGTATGTTCTTCCACCATTTCGAGATCTCACTATTAGCGGGTGACCGCCCATTCTTTCGCAAGGGAGACTGGAGCACGAATTTTTGGAGTTCTCTTTTGCCGCAGATTGCGCATTCGAATAACGCAGTCAAACACGGGCTAATCGCTTGGATGGCAAGTTATCGATCAATGAAGTTGCAGAATGAAAGTTCTCCAGATGCTTCGGCAAATCAGTACCCGGAGAATTTCTCTATCAACCAGTACAACAAGTCGATACACTATTTGAAGCAGTACACAACTGACTTGACGTTTGAGAACATCGAGACAACGCTGATTTGCTGCTTGATTTTTATCTGCTTGGAGACGATTCGAGGCAATGTGAAAGCTACTCGCGTCCACCTCACAAGGGGCTTTGAGATAATCGATAAGCTTGTGTCTAATAGCTTCTTTCTTTTCTGCAGTGTTCCTGAAGATGACCAACGGGTGCAGGATTTGCAGAACAATGCATGCCGTCAGGGCTTTAACCCCTCTCGATTATCCAAGATAGAATGGTATTCCATACTACGATTCTTCATAGAGCTTGAACTAGGCGCAACTCTTTATGACAGCACGACAGTGCCATCTATGAGCCTGCGCCTGCTCAGCCTAGGAGAGTTCTTTGTGGAAGAGGTGCCCAGATTCCAGGTTACGGTAGACGCGACTAGTGCTTGTTCGCATTGGTATTATCATGTCTTCGCGTATCTATACAAAACTGCACCGTACAAAGGCGATACCGACTGGTGGATGCAGCCTGAGCAGCAGCGCTTACATACAAGATTATTATCGTGGGGCCGGAATCTGCTGCGTCGTATTGACGAATTCACATATCAGCCATTCGCCCCCGGGCCAGAACGAAATGTCGAATTTTGTAGTGTGAGTCGTTACCTCCAGTCAACAGGCCCTCCTGGGTTATAGTTGCACTGACTCTCTTAATCTATAGCTTCTGATGAACAGAGCGCAAGTACGTGGTTTGATGCCACTCGTCGAATGGATGCCGCACCGGTACACCCGAGAACAGATTTTTGACAGCTACGAGGCCATGCAGCGAAGGAACGTCGAAGACTGGGAGGATATTATACAGCACCTTGGGTCTCCAGATAACGTACCAGACCTAAGCATCGATTTCAACGGGTTTCTTGTGATGGTATACGGCGCAATGTTCCAAGCATACGACCCCGAAACTCGTCGAAGAGCAAGAGAAATAGTCGGTTTCTTCAAGGGGAAGCACGCGCAGCTTTTCCATGCGACGACGATGTTGCAGATCTTTGACGAGAACGACATCGGAAACCACGACTGGTTATTGCCCGTCCTAGATGTATATCTGCAGGAGCCGGTCGGCCCGTCGATCAATGACAATAACTCGGGCAACGAGGTGGATTTGTCGGGATTCATTTGCTCTAAGTCAAATTCACTTCTTATTTCAAGCCAATTGGGAACACCCCGTGAGATCAGTCGACGTGGGCATCCCCGGGAAAGGACAACTAATTTGGAGTTGAGCAATGGATAAAAGCTGGCCAAAAGTAACATGTCTAGGACAGAAAGTGAGAAGGAAGCTCTAGTAAGCAATGTAGCACAAAAGCCAAAGACCATAATTTGACATTTGCTGGTCTCGACAGTATCGACAAAATAGCATGGTTGTGTTGGTGCCATGGGGCAGTTGATTCTGGGGTGTGTTCTCAGGCTTCTTAGACTACTGTTTACATGACAAGACTGGAATAAAGAATCGCAACCAATAGATGAAGATCGGCACGCCACAGATTGAATGGTGCTAATTAGCCGGACTGATCCAAGCCGAACGCTAAGATATTAGGTTCGGCCCTAAGCATAGAAGATCATGACACCCACTCGGGTATGGAGTGTGGCACGTACGCGACCTGGCGGAATCAGATTTTAGCTCCGTTACACTAAATTGGTGCCCGTAGTCCTCCATCTTCATATCGTGCATGTTGCTTCTTGCTGTTTGTTCTAACAAGACAGAAAGCGTCCTCACGAACAGCTTTCATAGTATGCCAAATTCGGAAGCATTGTAGCAAGGATCAATGGCACCGGACCGACATCAGGTTCCGAAAGTGGGGCCATTCTCCTCACTCTGGGCTCTCTTTCGCGATGGTGCAAGGCATGAGGCAGCAGCTCAATGCCCCAACGCTCGGGAACTGGCAGTCACCACAACTATAGTGGCATGAATCTTTGTACGATATCAATCTTCCAACATGGTATTTGTACTAGTGACTGGTGAATGTGCTTGATGAACTACGCTGTGCCGTGCCGTTCACTTGGCTTGTCCAGATTGCCAAGATGGTGCAGGGGTATCCGGAAGACGAAGCAAAATTTCAAGCGCAGGACTCACCACACGCTCGCCAACACATGGCTTCTATCGGCGCATGGATCGATAGCGTTAGCCTAGCTGGAGCATCAGACCCTCACCAGCTAGAAGTGCGCTGTACCGAAGAACCGGGCCGAGCCTTGACATCCGTGCCGCGCCACATCAATTACCTGCCCCAAACCGAGACGCAAAAGGGCTGTACAGGGGTGGTAAATGCAAGCATTATGCCGGTATGCTGCTACAGGCTCTTGAACGATGGCTTTGTGGTCGTCAGTGAAGGGCATCCCTTCGTCTGTGCTTGCGCCCGGAATGGACGATTGCATGCTAAAGATTCGACGTATGTTTCGGCCATGCCTGTTTATAGGACGTTACCAACCGCGATTCATCTCATAGACAAACGGCAAAAATACCTCAACATAATGATGTTGTCTGTAAGCAATTTTCGGTATCATTCCAACCCTTGATCTGTTGCAAAAAGATGCACCGATAATTTCCCGCCCTTTCCAGCATGGCTAGGGAGCCGATATGGCCTAGACGATCAGAGGCAAGTGTCTCTTCCTGACTGCTTCACAATACTTCCGGAGATCCCCGGCCCATTATCAAGAAGGAATTACTGACTTCAAATTTTGCAGTGTACGGAAGCTTGCTATCCATTCGAAAGATTCGGTGTTATGTCCTACAATCCTTTCCACCATGCCAAACAGCGCGACTCCATAACCCGGGAACCACTGGCGTTGGAGCCCATTTTGGTAGCTGGGGCCGCCATGGATATGCTCCACCATGGAGATTTCCAGCTTTCGATGTTGGAGTCCAGTGTCGCTTACATCCTCCGCATGATAAATGAAATCCGTGAATCGACCACCATACCGTACCATCAAACGGCTCTGGAAAAACAGTTAACCTTTCACGCTCTTGGCTGCATTACTGCTGTGTCTGTAAGTAATCCTGCGCCCGGTCTGTATCATTGAGATCTGACCGATAGCCCAGTGGTCTACGGGTGATTTAGTATTATGGCACAAACATATGAAGCTTCTTCGACAACATCTTGAGAAATCAGGGTTTTTGCTTACGGCAGATCCGCATGATATGATGAAAGTGAGAATGTAGGTATACTGTACTTGATATGGAGATCTTTGATTTTGAACTGAATTCTTATGCTGACTATACGAAAAGGGCCGATATCGAAGGTGCTGTCATCGCTGGAGTAGCACCAAGCCTTCCTTACAGCCGCCAATACCCACTCTTACCTTGCGTTCTGCCTGTTCAGGACGTTTTGCTCATTTTGACTAAGTTACGCCCGCCATTGCAGGCGTGCAACGTGGACAGCGATACAGTTGATTCAATCCTCGCTGTCTGCATCTTCATTTCGACAATGCAAATGTCGCAAGAGTATGGACTTGAGGAAAAGTTCGACCCTGAAAATCTGATGGAGGATTATGATTTTTTGCAACGCGACTTGCTCACGTTACCGCAGCCTCTCGGGACTAACATGAAGGATACAGCAAGCACTACATGGCCATCTTATGACGGTGGACTGTCTGCCGCTATGAAACCGTCCTTGGCTTTTGAAGAGGCTATTCGTGTTACAACTCTGATGTGTCTTCGCGCCGCCAACATACAAGCGCCTTGGAGCAAAGCGACTTATTCCAAATTACTCGATATATTAGTCGATCGTCTACGGGTTATTCTCGACTGGATGTATGAAAGTAAGGAGGACTGCGCATTCATTGATCCCAGTCTTCTGCACCATCGCGAGGAGGGTTTCCCTGTTAACAATGCCCGACGTTTCCTCATTTGGATTTGTATGATAGGCTATGAGTTATCGGTTTACTATACCGTATATCATGAGGGTTGGAGCGATCATCGTCGCAAGAGTTGTTTATACCTTCAAATGCTTGGTGCTCTTGGCATACATGATGAAGCCGATATCGACAATAGCGACAACGAAGAGCTTTCTATTTTCGATACTATTAACTTGAACTGGGCCACCAACAACAAGTGGCAGGCAAGGGATATGTTGAAATGGATGATCAAATAGCTGGGCAGATCTATCGTTGTGGGTTAAATAAAGAAATTCGGCATGCTCTGCCAGAAAACATATTCGATCTAGCAATGAGTCACGGCAATAAAAACAAAACCGTCACACCGGCACGTGATCAATTTTTTTTTAGGAGACGTAAGTAGTGTAAAATGGGGATATTGTTAGCAAGGCTTTGCACGAACTGGAAGGTGTGTAAAAATTGGAGCGGAGTCAAGCGAAAATACATTGTATTGTGGTATTGACGCTCGACGAGTATAGCGCACTAGTAATGTGAAATGCTTTGTAGATTGTTGCTATTTGACTTTCAAGTACTCCAAGGAAGAATGTTGACTTGCCAAATTATGAACCACGAGAAGAAGGGAGGCACCTGAGACCATAATCTTGGTTCCGCTTCAAAAAGGCTTGACGTGACAGAGTTGGAAACAATCGCCCGGTTACATCAGTCAGTTATGTCATCCTGAACAAATTATACATACGCCCCATGTCAGTTTTAGTTATTTTGCACGAGTGGGATGATTTGAGCAGGATTAAAACGTTAGTACAATTGGAGCCGATAAGTAATCAGATATATCCGGAGATGGTACTGCCCTGGTTACCACTATACACGACCTGAAACAAAGCTAGTCTTCAAGTATGAATTGATTTCTGGAGTGTTTCAGATCCAATTAGGGAAAAATGCGTATTCCAGAAGCCTTGCCTGATCATCCTGACATCATTTCACTTAGTGACGTTGTGGTCAGTGAAGATACAAACCCACGAATTTTGGGCTTTACCTTGCGACATATCCCCACCAAAGATCTTGCTCACGATATGTGCCGGCTTTTTCTGTTAAATATCAAATGGATAACGCGACTTACGGATATCGCCGGCTTTTTAATTTTCAAATATGTAATTCTGTACAACGATACTAGCAAACCCAAATTTACTGGTAGACCTTGAGAAGGACGAGTTCAAGCTCAAGTAATAGTGGTTGAAATAGTTGGCGGCAGTGGTTTTTCTTCTCTTTTCTTTTCTTTCTTGATTGGGACAAGCCGGCCTGTATTGGGATATCGGCCGAACTTATCTACCAGTAAATACGATATCCGATGAAGCCTATTTATTCGATTCTAGCAAATTGGACCTAGTATTTAACTATCGTAAAATGCACAATTTTCTTCAGTAAATTAACGATGTCCAAGTAGTTTCAACAGATTACGAGACGGTTATGAATGACACCAAGCCTCGGAATGTTTGGTGTTTGGCACACCAGTCCAAATTTATCCAGGATATTGCGGAGAAAAACGGATGGACGAAGTTCATCTTGACAAGCATGGGTGAGCGACTATGAAATAATCAGATTGATTTTCGATAGAGGGTACAATCCTAACCACTGCTACGAAAAGGGTCTTTGGGAGGAATCACTACGGAAGCGTGTGTGGACAGTAGCTTTTGTGATCCGTCCCATGGGGTCGAGGCAATTCTTGATGCTAAATAGCGCAAGAAAGAGGAAATATAGAGCACAAAGTCAGAAGTAAATCCTGACACACGTCGCCAGGTCTAATGCACATACTCCTATACAAAGGGGTCGCGACAGAAGATACACTCGGTTTGTGACCAGAGAAAACGGTCGAAGGAGATCCGTTGGAAATTTCCACCTCTTCGGTCAGGGACTACTGTTAAACTAATTATCTGTACCGCTGCAACTCTTTGAATCGACGAAATATGGGACTTAAGAGTGTCAAGCAATGATGTCCTGCCAATCTTATCTGAACCCATATGCATATTGATAGGCGATGAGATGAGCCCCTTTCGGGACACTCCGGCTCGGTCTCGGTTGTGCCGGAAGTCGGTCATTTTGGAATGAAGAATGAGTGTCTCATGCTTGATCGTCGTTCCTGCATAGTAGTCGTTTGGTGGGGTCGGTTATTTGTGTTGATTTAGGAAGGTGTGGTGGGGATGAGCAGGCGAGAGCATGTGATGAGCCTATCAACTGAGTAAGGGAACAACGTCAGACAACTATCCTCTTAGGTAAATGTAGAAACGGTCTTAAAAGATTGAGCCAGCATTACCGTGTTCCACCCTAGGCGAACGATTGTAGATTGGCCGCGACCGGGGCGTGTGATAGTACCCTTGTTTCCATGTGCCGGACAGGGGGTATTTGAGGTTTGTGGAGACCGTTCGAGCTTCTCAGAACGGCAGGCCGTATCTTCTCTGCAACACAACGTCTGAATTACTGATCGAGCTTCCAGAAGAGATCTCGAATTCTACATGCCTGCTTCAGCGGTTCGGTCCTAGGTTGGCACTCATACACTGGTAAGGCCATACGTCGCCCCCATAGAGTTTATCTCTTGGCGTTCGGCCGTCACACATGTGCCAGTCTGCCAGGCCCAGGGACATCTCTGCTATAAAGCCTTAAGGCACATGATGTCGCCCTCGCTTCATTTGCCTAGTGGATGACACCATTTCCCTACAATAGATTGGGAATAACGTGGGGTTCATCACTACAAGTTGACTACTTTTGTATCCGGCGCACAGCAAAGTAGAACTCCACGATGGGTCAACTTCCATCAAAGCCCAAGAAGGGCGCTAAGTTCCGAGTTATCGGTGCTGGCATGTATGTAGTAGCCCTGAGCCAATGTCGACTATTGTCAAACGTAGAGGCTAACGCTGACCCAGGTGCCGCACTGGTACGAAGACTTTGAATGAGGCCCTGAGCATCCTTTGCGATGGTCCCTGCCACGATTCTGGTATTCAATCTCTCGGTGGCAGCCCGCACGAGATAAAGACATGGTTGGATGTCATGACCCTTGCACCCCAGCAGAACACCAAGGAGGATGAAGAGCAAATGGATCACCTGATCCGTTCGCTTTTCGATGGCTACGTAGCGACCATGGACTGCCCGGCTGCGACCCTCGTCCCCGAGATCATGCGGGCTTACCCTGATGCTGTGGTTGTCGCGACGACACGTGAACAGGCGTCTTGGTGGAAAAGCATGAAACACATGAATGGTTTGATGTCTAACTGGTATCTGCCCTTGGTGGTCATGTGGCTGAGGAAGGCTCAAGGTTATGGGGAATGGGGTTCCAAGTTCCAAGCACTCAGCAAGTGGAGGTATGGCTCCGAAGGTATCCGTGAGCCAACCAAGGCGATCCATGAGGAGCAGCTGAAGCAAGTTGTGCCACCAGAGAAGCTATTCTGGTACAATGTTAGTGAGGGTTGGGAGCCGCTATGCAAGATTCTGAATGTCCCAGTACCGGATAGGCCCTTCCCGCACAATAACAGCAAGCTCGAGGCAGAGAAGACCTGGCAAAGGCATATTATCTGTGGTTCCGGGTCATGGCTCTTTGTATTGGGTCTCCTCACCTGGGCTTTATATTATGCCAACATTTACATGAACGAGATGTCGGATGAGCCTCAGGTGGCAGAGGTATAAACAGCCGATTCCTGATCGCATCATTTGTATTTAAGAGCTGCAACATGTAAATAGTTCTGGGTCCGGGTTATTCGTAATATCCTACATGCCGATCTTGTTCATCAGAAAGCAACCCAACCAAACACCTATTACACATATATTCGTATTAATTCCAGATGCGACCTCAAACAGCTGCAAACCAAATGAGATCGACAGCTATTGCAGAGCATAGAGTTGTTTAGGCTGGCCGTTGGAACACGAGCTGAACTTCCACCATCCGCCGTGCCATGAGCCACCAATGTTGGTCAACCCCCATTTGATCGGTGCCGGGATAGGGGGCCAATTTGCCCACAAACCATCTTCCACCGTACCGTCGAGATTCAATAGGAAGAAGGGCACCACGTCCAAAGTGCCAGCTTTTGTGACGGTGCTCTTACCCCATGTCTTGAAGGTCGCGGAAGCCGCAGCCTCTTCTGGGGAGCCAGGCTTCGGTGAATTGGGGTGGTCCTTTAGGGATGTGATCGTGACAATCTCGTGGTGGAAGTGTTGGTCGAACGGTTCTTGGAAGCTCGACATGATCTTCTGGAGCTCAGCGCCATCGAATGCTGAGGGTGCGTTCAGGGACCTCAGGTAACTTTCGAACTTGGCGAGGCCACCCAGGAATGCCTCTGGAAGCGGATGTTAGTCAAGGTTCGCACACAACGCCTAGGTCTCATCGCTTCCCAGTACATACCATGTTCTTGGATTGTTTCTGCCCAAATTGTTTTGTCATCTAGAACTTGCTCGACTTTGGTGAACAGATTCTCTTCTTCGTCATCGTGATGCGACTTCACAAACTTGTGCCACGTCAGAGCATAGCCGATGAAGTCGCTCTTGTCGGCCGGTTGAACATGGGGAGCTTGCTGATAAATGGAGTTGTAACCGCGGAAGATTGAGTTGTGCAGTAATGCCATGTGGGTTGCGCCGGTCGTGAAGATATCAGTCTGTGTAATCGTCATGTGTCAGTCGCAGCTTCATGGCAGAGCTTCACCGAGATTGTAAGTCGCCGAGGGAGCTTGCATTGCACACACCTGCTTAGTTTCAAACTGAGGAGTTGTGATGAGCTTGATTGGGGCGTCCGCCCATGGTGTGTTCTCTGCCGGTGCAGTGGCCGCCATCATATACGGCGATCGCAAGAAGAAGCCTGCGATAAGGATTGGAATAGCAAGCACAAGAGGACGACTGAAGAGACCTCGTTGGGGCGGGTTATACTTCGTAGGGGGGTCCATCTTGGCGATTGTAAGGAAATTGTTGGACTGGCCTTCTATTTGTATCAACAAACAACCTCACAGGTGAACGAGGATTCGCCAGCAACCTTCCAGATCACCTCATACGAGGACATGCGATAACAGTTCGGCAGGCGTCCGTGGTGGAGTCCGAGGTAAGCTTTTGCTGAATAATTCCCAATTGTGATTGGACACCACTATCGCAGGCCCACTAGATAAAGCCAGCTTCAGGGGTCTTTCTGAGCCGGCTAGGTACCTAAGACCCGCAAGCCCCGACGAAGTCCGGGGTCCATGTACATTACATGTACAGTATCCGTGGCGTGTATCTTTCAGTACGTAGATTGATTTCCAACGACACAGCATGAGTTTGTAACTGGCTCACCTATCGACAGGATACGCAACCCAACTTATTTTTGGATGCCCGAAAGGTCAAATAACTATGACTTCTGCCTCTGCTCTACAATTCTACGGGTGGACGCGACAGCAGAACCTCGATACATCATAATTATTTCTAACGATCACTTGATTGTGACTACAGAGCTAACGACGACATGATGAGCATTTTATCAACATTGTTTGTTCATGTGGCGCTTTTGATACAGAAGAGTTACAGCTCATGTCATGGCGGGCATGTTCTAAAAATAGTAGGGGCAATTCAAAGACTCTTAATCTGCATTCCTCGAGGTTGCCCTTTGTTGTTATTAAAATAGCCGGTGCAGCTTCCCTCTAGAAAGCGCATCCGATCAAGGCTTTGAGGCCTTTGTGCAGACGCCACTGACAATTGGAACAAAGACCGCTGTATTTAGTTTACACCACCAGCGACTCCCAGTACCATATTAGCAATACGCCATTGGTGCAGATCCTATGACTTCGACGAGGTCCCCCCTGTCAACACTCCGCACACCAACCAGCCATGAACTCGATGTCCCTGTCAATGTCGATGATGCCTGGCATGAGCATGCCAGATGCCACAGCGACGACAACAACGGCGTCTGTGTCGACCAAAAGCTCGATATTGCCAACAGCAACTTCATCAGATAACAAGGGGAGTATGAGCGGAATGACTATGGATGGCTGTAAGATATCTGTGCGTCCGGTTCCGATCCACCACTCTCTCTTGGTTGTGAAGTATGACTAACTGTGCAAGATGCTCTGGAACTGGTATACTGTAGATACTTGCTTTCTATCCCCTGGATGGAAGATTAGAACAGCTGGCGGATTCGCGGGCCTTTGCATCGGCATCATTCTGATGACCATTTTTCTTCAAGCGCTTGGTTGGTTCGCCAAGTTCTATGACAGGCGTCTTGTCCGAATACATGAAATCCAAGTTGTCGCGCTGGCCACAAAAGTCGCACACAGCAATGCCGGGACGAACGCCGCCTTGATCGCTAAGAACGCCCACAACTTGTCACCTACGGCAACGTTCCGCCCAAATCTGCTAGAGCAAGCTTTCCGTACTCTGATACGCACCGTCCAGTTCGCGCTCGCGTACTGGATCATGTTGATGGCTATGTACTACAACGGATTCATCATTATTTGCATTATCATTGGCACATTCATCGGCACCTACATTTTTCAGTGGGAAAGGATGGGAGGACCACATGGTTCTGTGCCAGGAGGTCATTCTGAACCAACAGGGTGCTGTGGTTGATTACTACCATCGTACAATCTTCTTTGGAGAAACTCCTTCGTTGCGATGCATTATATACTTCAGTTTTTACGGTAACCTTGGGTAGACCGGTAATGAGTAAAGACATAAATAATTGGGCGACTTTGCAATCAATCTTTTTGAGACCTGATCTGCTTGTGTCGAAATATTTTCGGCGATTCAGAGCGCAAATAGGGATTGAGATATCAATTCGCAAGCTTCAGAGTTGTAAAATGCCAAGTTAAGGCAGTTTGTAATTCTGAGTTAAATGTCGAGGCGATATTGAGTGCGTACAACGTTTTGTTGTCCAAGGTTAGACTAGGTTGGGGGTTTTAGGCTTGAGCGGAGTGTTCCGGGGAAACCGCTTTGCATTTAGTCCTGATTTGGTACTTTTCTAGGTTAGTGCTTGAGTCGCTCAAAAATGTACCGCTAACTTGGTGACTCGGGAAGTTTATCCGGAGCAGATAGGTTAAGATTGCTGACAAATTAGGAGCTCCTTTAGCCTTACTGCCACCAGCAGCTGAACGTCGCATGCATCTCACCCTAGAGTAGATTCTTGTAAGCTATAGTACTCCATCAAAACAATACGGGATACAGGGGTTCGACGAAGCCGAAAGGAGTTTCCTCTTGTGTCTGTGAAACGGCCAAAGTAATTCATGGCGATGCCAGTATCCGCCAAGATTAGGAGTTCACGTGAGTTCAGGTGCCAGGGCGCCGCAAACCTATCACTGATGTACAACACGCAGAGGGTTGTTGGACGTGTCGTCTGCGCCGGAAGAAATGTGACGAGCAGAAACCAACTTGTTCAGTCTGTAGCACGCTGGAGATAACATGTCTGTACAGCGATAAGAAACCAGATTGGATGGATGGAGGGCAACGTGAAAAGGGGATGGCCGATCAACTCAAGGCAATGGTCAAGGCTAAAGCCCATGAGCGGCGCGACAGAAAATGGTCCTCAGAGATCCCTGCTAAGGAACCAGAAAAGGCCCAGAACACCCCTTCCGAGAATAATGAGGTTCTTTTGCAACAGATGGCCAATCATACTCTGGAGGCAAGCACTGAGCACGAAAATAACGACACCAGTGGCAGTTCGTCCTATACGCCTGGAACGAGTGTCACTGGAGATTCCCCGAACGCAGATCCTACGACGGGAAGCTACGTGGCAAATATACCGCCATTCGAGCCAGTCTTGGTTGAAACATCAACTAATACGCACATTGGCCAATTCCTGACGCCATACCACACCAAACATTACCCAGATATTGAATCTGAGAGGGAATTAAGCTTTTCTATGGTGTATCTCGATTATGTTTTCCCCTATATATCCCCATTTTATCGCCCACCATTGCTTCAGGGTGGACGTGGGTGGCTTCTTGTTCTTCTTATGAGAAACAAGCCACTATTCCATGCCGCCCTCTCATTAGCGTCCTACTTTTTTTCCGTCATGATTAGCTCGTCGATTTTGGGCCATGAATCTTGTCACCAGAACAACTGGAATGAGTTGCTGAAACAGCAAGAACTCGCCATTCAATCGCTCCAAAGTTCAATGCAGTGGTTGACGGGGCGTGGTGTTGCGAACTGCTTTCGTGAGGCAATACACTGTCTGGAAGGCATCAATCAACTGTTGTTATTTGATGCCACGATCGGCAATACAAACAACTGGCAGATGCATCTCGATGCCACAAACTCCATATTTGAGCAGATTATTGAACATCATGCGACTGACAGCACAAAGCCTTGGTACTCTATCCTAGCAAGTATGGACAAAAGAAGCATATCCATCCAATTTCCAAACGGTGAACACCCGTGGTCTAGTGATCAGGCTTCCTTTCGCTTCTTGACCATGAACCTGCTTTGGACAGATGTCCTAGCAGCGACTGCTTTGGAAAGGCGTCCCCGGCTTGAGCGATTCCACCAACAACTACTTGTGGGTGATAAACCAGCACTCCAGGCATTGGACTTCATCGGCTGTCACAACTGGGTTATGCTCATTATTGGCCAGATTGCGGGATTGCATGCCTGGAAGAAGGAAATGAAGATATTGGGGTCTTTATCCATGGTAGAACTTGTGAAAAAAGGTTCATGCATCGAGAGAAGACTCCAGGAGGGCATCGCTGAACTGAATATGGTCCCAATGGATTTGCTGTATGATCCTTCGGCACGGGCTCCAGACCAGCCGTTCGCAGGATCTGGTTTTGAGGCCATCACAAATGTTGGAAAGCTCCGGAGTGCAGCCGCACAAGCCTTTCACACAAAAATATGGGCCAAGGCGGCGCTCACTTATGTTGCCGTTGTCGTTTCAGGATTCCAGCCAGCGCTGCCGGAGATACAGACAAACGTCTCCGAGACGATGGATCTCTTTCGCACGATGCCTAGTTCTCTTTGCTTACGCACGCTAGTCTGGCCGTTTGCTGTGACTGGCTGCTTGTCCTTGGCTGGGCAGGAAAACTTTTTCCGTGACCTTGTCGGGAACATGGGCGTGTTGCAAGTTTTTGGTACGGCCAAGGAGGCGCTCAAGATCATGGAAGCTATCTGGCCACATCGCCCTTGCATAGACGCTGATATTTGGGATATTGCAACGTGTCTCAACTGTCTTGGACACGCCTCCCTGTTGATATAAGTCCCGGTAACTTTGTTCATGAATTGCTCTTGGTCACATATATCGATATTCATGATTCAAGACCGTGACTAGACTATACCAGCGTCGAACTTGAACGGACTGATGCACAGTAATTGCAACCTCTTGAGATCTGCCCACTCTCGTCTGTGTGAAGCCATGGCAGCTCGACACTGGAACCTTCTCAGTTGCCAACGAGCTGACCCACCGTTATCATTGTGGTCTCCGCGGGCCGATTGAAGATGAAAGGGAGCGTGTGACTAGGCCGCGAGGTGCTTCTTGATACTGTGAGCGTTACTGTATCCTCTAGAGCTAATAACTGACAAAATGCCACTCGGGGGAGTTGCCATTGCCACTAATGGTATTTGCGCGGTGCTTAACACTGAGGCTCTGTTCTCGTTCAAGTCGAACTCCCCCTTCATCGACCAGACTCCACCTTGGACACCTTAGCAAGTCACCAGCTGTTTTGTGGGAGGAGCGATAATGGCCATAGCAGCAACGAGTAGCACTACGATCATTGCAAAGATAAGACCATGCCGCCGAATTTCGTCTTCAATAGCAAGTGTTCGGTCAGGGAAGTTTTCCGAGGTGCTACGTTTGTTGGCATCGGAGTTTCGCAAGTATTTTTTGTATATCGTCCCTCAATGGTAGCTTAAAGTAGCGAGCAACCGTCAATCCGGTGACGTGGTTGTGGCCGTACTATGTCAAAACTTCAGCGCGCAATACCCCGTCATATACACAGTACAAATGTTGTTTTAGGGTGTGACAGCCGTACGACTTTGGGAATACTTACTGTTGCGAGATCTGTGTCTCGCATTCACTTTTCCATGTGCCAACTAGATCCCATGCTTGCGATTTGCCAGTCCATTGCCCGCCGAGAATACAGACGGAATTGGTCTGCTTGGCACAGAATTAACCATCGGACGAAAATTGATTAAGGCTTGTGCAACCCAACTTATTGGTACACCTTGATGACATTAACCTTCGCTAGATATGGTGACAATTTTCCAAATCAGTAAAGCCACTGGCACTGTATGGCTTTTGTTTGATCCTCATTCGTCTTATTCTGCAGAGATGCCACAACTGCAAAACATTCTTGCAGCCTGAGAGTCATTCTACCCGTGGTGGCATCCCATGCATGTGGCTGGCAAATGAACAATTAGTCATTTGGTTGCCTGATTGAGGCAGCAAACCTGGTGGGTTGTCAGCACGCAATGACGGAACCTCGCTATTCTCGGCGGCACAGTCAGTGATATTTAACTCTAACAACATTGATTCACGTTTTATATTTTGACGGCATATCGATAAAATTGTCCGTAATATGCGCTATCAAACTAAGATTGCAGCTATTATATTCCTGTTCGCTGGCAGCTGTATATCTACCCCAGCGCAGCAAGAGTTTGGGCCTAGCATTGCATCAGTCCACCAAAATGCGCCCCAAATCTTCAATGCAGTCCACAATGCTATGCGCCAATTTGGTTCGTCACTTCACCACAACGGCATGTCCTTCTTCCAAGCCACCATACCTAAGGGAACCATATTGTATCATGGGTCCCCAACAAATGAGGTTCCGCAAGGGCTAGAGTGGCTTGCCTTCGAGATAGAACATTCGGAGAACTTCGCGTTTGGCACATTCAAGAAGAAACCGAATGATACCCCGCTGGTGGTCCAGGATAGCAGCCAGCGGCCCCTGGATATCAACTCACAACATGCCATTAGTGATAAGACTGTCTACATGAGGGAAATCATTGCTCGAGACCTCGGAGCACCAAGTTCTCAAGGTTGCAACCCCGCTGGCTGCGATGATGGTGATGATGAGTGGATCCACGTTCCGGGCTATCTGCATATTTACCAAGCAGCTCGACCTTTGAAAGTACTGTATCTGGATGGTATGGCCGCAGGGAAGACTAATATGGGAACTAATGATGCGGAGGATTACATTCTGACTGGTAACAAGAGCCGGCATGGCTTCGACGATATGAGACGTGCCGATGATCTCTGCGATTGGGCAAAAACTTGGGAAATCGATGGTTTCATCCGAATGGAACCAGGGTTCGAAGTTGTATACTGTAATTTTGGGGATGGGGGAGTGCACCAAGTATCGGCTACGCGCCACTATAAAGGTTTCCGGCCCATGGAACACCACATCTATCAGTACTTCCAGTGGGTTAAGGCTGCGTCGCAAAGATATTATGGCATAGGAGGTGGGCGTGTTCGAGTTGACTATGCTTCGATGGTATCAGCCTACTTCTATCCTCTGAATTTGACCAACCCAAACATAACAATGGCCGAGCATCCGAGGCTGTCGGCCGCGAGCTTGGAGGAATTAGCAGTTATCAGGAAGCATGTTGAGCGTATGACACCCAAGCAGCGACAGAAATCGTTCAGCGGCGTCGATTGGCAGGGCGTCACTGATTTGGTTGTGACACGATATGCGGATAGGCTCGCACTCATGGCAACCTATGATTCGGTTACCGCAATAAACGTGTCTCTTCATCACCTGATTGACACACACATTGCCTATCTGGATGACGACATCGATTTCGATAGTGCGCGAAGAGCATGCGCTTCCCATTACCTTGCAGGAGCCATACCGGAGACAGCAGAGGAAGAATTCATATACGCCGGCATACTTGGAACAACTGAGCTGATCTGCAAAACGTTATTCGATGCACACAGCTTAGTTGAGAAGGCTGCATACACAGATCACGATGCAACGCGCGAGGCGTTATCTTTAGTCAAAGACCTGATGGATAAGCTTCGCTGGTCAGAGTGGAAACAATGCGGCCCTTGTAAGATGGATGAAGTTTGCTTTATTGCTATGTGGCCATTCGGAAATACCGAGGATCACTATAATCCTAGCTGTCATAATGCATCGACACTCGTTGGGAGGGATAGCTATTGGAGATGGGAGTGGTGGTAATACGGAGCACGGTCGTGGTGGACACTAAAATAGATAACAGAATCGAGAGCCAAAGTTTCCCCTTTCCCTTTTCGGCCACGATCCATTATGCTGGCATGGTAGAACATCACAGTTTTGGCTTTGTGAGGAATGTTGTCGCCGCGGCCAGTCTGTTTGCCAGGAGCATTTGGCCGGGCGCACACAGATTTAGACATCATGCCGGGAGCCCACGTTGACCAACCCCTCTTGCTTGTTTTCTTTATCTTCAAACCTCTACCGATACTCTTCCTGTAACTCGACACACAAAGAAGTCAAATAGCCAGCACAGCTTTAGCAACATTAGCATCTAAACATATCCCTCGTGTGGCGCAATGGCCAGCGCTTAATCCGGGGGTTCAGAGTTCAAGTCTCTGCACGAGGGCTTTTTTGCAAGATTTCGTTTGACGATAAGAACATATGTATATATATGTATGTTCGTAGTGGCTTTGGCGGTTTGTGTTAGCTGATGCATGTTATGTACTCAACCGATCTACGCTTATGGCACATACACAGCGTTTGGGCGAAAGCAATGCACAAATGTGATCAGTGTCCATCTTTTACAGTTAGTCGGGGGTAATGGTTTTTTTTTTTCTGTGGATTATCGGATGAGTCATGAGACTCGCGGCATCAATGAGGTTCGAACGAAACGTCGGTCCAGCCATTCCAATCGACAGGGCTGGCGCTATAGCGAGGCCGAATTAGAGAAACTTGGGCATCTACATACAATACAGTACAGGTACTTGAGCTTGCGATACGGTTCAATACCTGTCATGTTTTACTATGCGTCATATATACCAGGGCAGACTCCAGGTTTGTGCATCTTATTAATTTTGGCATAGAACAAGATGGCATACTACGAGATGTATTGCTGAATCGCCTCGGTAGCTTATGCTACACGTTGCACTCCCACAAGCAAGGGTTGATCGTAACCCCAACGAATGAGCAATACATAATGCTTGGTCCACTATCATCGACAGTATGGACGTACTATATTTTCATTGAGCATCTATAAACTTTGCAGGTGATATGCAGCTTCGCCATCTAATGCATAGGAAACAACTTAATTGATAAGTGATTGCTGGTTCTGGGGAATGCATTGCAGCCGCTGTCGGACGTTCCATCTCTTCAGGAACACTTGCCTTTTCAGGATAGGTTGATCCGCCCCAAACCACCATCACAGCCAATCGCACACCACAATGCATGGGCAATTGTTACGAAACATCCTCTTTGAGCGCAAGAGCAGAAACACGCTGATTCATTTTCAGCAGGACAAGTCTCGCTACGGGACGGCTGTCGGAGCGCTGAAACTCATGCCATGTGTTGCAGAAGGTTACTTCAAATCACAATTCCTTAATATTCATGCGCGTTAGAATGCCGGTCGATGCAAGCCTAGCCCATTCATGATCTCACCTTCTCCTCGACCATCCCTTGTGTGGCATCGATAGCACGATACGAAGCAATCTTTATCTACACTGCGAGTGCCCTGAAAGTTTCACTGGTAATGTACAACCTCGCTCAAGGTTCTCGAGCATGATGGGTATGCTACCCAAAACGATGTGGTCATGGTCTATTCATGCAAATGGTGAGCCTCGGGAGGCCTTGAGATTGTCGCAGGTTCCTTTGCCGCCATCGCCCTCAGGCTCCAATCTACTCATTAGAGTAACGCATGCTGCGATCAATCCGGCCGATACCTCACTGTTTGATGCGTGGATCCCTTTTCGAGGCCGCCCCGGCTTCGATTTCATCGGGTCGGTGGTTGGTGTAGGTCCTAAAGTTCCTGTTCAAATCAAGCGATTGATGTCCGGCATGGAAGTTGTTGGCGCCTTGGGCTTGAATCAGATTCTTTGGGGAGCCGGTACGTTGGCCGAGTATGTGCAGGTTCCAGTAGACCTGGTTGCGCTAAAGCCGCCAAATCTGACAACGGAGCAAGCGCTTGGATGTGGTATAGCGGGCCAAACAGCTGTCATGGTTATGCGGGAAGCAGGCGAAGTGAAAGGATCAAGAGTGCTCGTGAACGGTGCAAGTGGTGGTGTTGGAACTATATTAGTTCAAGTTTTGAAAGCAAAAGGAGCTTATGTCGTCGGAATTTGCTCCAAGCGAAACGAAGATCTTGTGAGGCGCTTAGGAGCCAATGAGGTGAGTCCCTCTGGTGTATTCCCACCGGTTGACAATGCTGAACATAGGCAGGTGATCGACTACACAGCACGTGACGATCTGTACCATTTTCTGGCGGATGCATATTCGAATGAGCAACTGGATCTGGTCATTGATTGCGTGGGTGATGACGCTTTGTTCACCAGATCACCCGCATACTTACTCCCAACTGGAAGATTTATCGAAGTGGTTCCCGGTCGAACGCGTGGTATCTATCCATTCCTGATGAATCAGCTCCGCCCTGTTTTCCTTGGTGGTACACCGCGACAGTACAAGATTCTTGGTCTTGCACCTTCTGGCAGGTATGCCCACGAACTGGCTCAGTGGATCGAGGACGGCAAAGTGAGGGAAATCCTCGTTGACTCGGAATATGGAATGAAAGACGTCGTACGCGCCTACGAAAAGTTAATGACCAGGAGGGCAACGGGCAAGATCGTCATTAAAATCCAAGACTGAAGTCATTTTATTCATAAAAGATGTGTTTGCAAGGACACAGGCCTGAGACGAAAGTTTTCTGGTGGTGATTAGTGAGGGTTTGGAGCTTTAGTCTCTTTAAAAACCTCTTGCTATTTCGCAATTGGACTCGACAACATCAAATAGGTATTGAAACTAGCAACCAAATCTGGGAGGCACGTGTCCAGACACGAAGTCGTAAGACAAAGTCGTGATTTGCAGACACCAGCAATATCGTCGGACCATGCTCATTCATACGACGGCGAAATGAGATGGCGGACCTTCTTGCCTGAATCGTCGATTAGCTAAGATCAAGGAGGAAACAATCTACTGTAATTGTCTAGTAGTCATGTATATGGATCGAGAATGGTTGATGACCCCTCACTTCCAGGCCAACGCCTGCAAATAAACAAAAAGTTTGATTGTTCAGGTGTTGATAACATGGACTAGCGTTCCAAAACATAATGGACGAGCTACACGGATCCAGACCATTCTGCTTCGCGAACACGAATCGATCAGCGACCGACCGATCTGGCCTGTTGCAGTTGTTTATGACCCGGAGAGCGAAACAAATATCACGAGATCCTGGTCATCCGAGCTCGTTCCACTTAACTTGCATAATGACACGATGCCCTGGTATGCGATATTATACTGCACTTCTCCAAGCCTTACCTCCACGAGACAAACTCACTGGATCAACTTGTGCGCTGATTGGGCGAGTTATATCACCCGACGGCTAAAACGCAAGTTGGACTCACTCGCGTATTACTGAACCAAGCCCTCGGGATGAAGACTGAAATTTGTGAAGAATGCTGCTGCCGGGGACCTTGGCGAGGGTTCGTCCTCTCGGTTAGCAACACCGTTGGCAACGGACAAGGATTCTCCAAATTCGCTGGGGGATCGCCGGTGTGTGATTTGCGGGGATGGATCAATTCGAGCGGGCACCATGTAATGGCATGCATTTCCCCAGATCTAGTCTTGTGTTTCCGCTATTTTCCACCATTCAGCCTACGAGGTGAAGCGCATGGTGAAGGATGATATTCGGGGACCCGGTCCAGACATTCCCGCCAAAAACGGATCAGTCCTCGTTCCTCGGCGCTTTTGACGAATTGCATGCCTCGACTCTGATTTCGATATTGTGGGGATTAGTACTTTGTAGCAACTCCCATCAACGATGATCAAAGCTTGTTGTCTGGTCATGCAGACTATGGTCTAGGATTGTCGTCTTCGACACCTAAGTCGGTAGGCCTAGCGGCCCGAACATCCATTGCATGCTCCAATTTGAGTTGTGACTATCATACCCTTCACGAGCAATTAGGGAGAGTTGCAGTGCATATCATGGGCAGCTGCCCCGTTTCTGCATCCTCTATTGTCACTTACTCTCTCGTTTGAGCCGCTTTTTAACTTGACTTCTCGAACGCAACGAAGCCAAAGAGGATCCTCGGGGTCAGTTGTCAGGATGGCGGACGCAATCAATAACGAAAAGGGCCCAAGCTCGGCTCAGATCGAGAAGGGCAACCTTGAGTATACTAAATTCAACCAAGCCGGTTTGCACGACAAAGTCCTTAATGCTGAGGCGCGACAAGGAACCGCCAACGAGCATTCGTTGAGCCTGGTTCAAGCCCTTAAAACATACAAGAGGGCTGCTTTGTGGTCTGTTCGTGAGTATCATACAAGCTATAATAAGTTTGTAAACGACAGTCCACTAACATGATTCGCAACAGTCATTTCGACCACCGTGATCATGGAAGGTTACGATGTGACTCTCCTCGGTTCTTTCTTCGGTTATCCTGCTTTCAAGAGGAGGTATGGTACATACACCAACGATGTCAACAAATGGCAGATCAGCGCAGAATGGCAGATCGGTCTCAACGATATAAGTGCAGTTGGTAATATCATTGGCGCACTTCTGAACGGTTACCTCACCCCCAAGTATGGGCACCGCAAAGTGATGATGGGTATGCTGGTTGCTTTGACCGGTTTCATCTTTATAACATTCTTTGCACCGTCAATCGAAGTCCAGTTGGTTGGCCAGTTCTTATGTAACATTCCTTGGGGCGTATTTGCTACTACTGGTCCTGCATACGCTGCGGAGGTGGCACCTCTCGCTCTCAGAGGCTACCTTACTGCGTATATAAACCTTTGTTGGTGCATTGGCCAGTTCATCTCAGCTGGCGTTCTCAAAGGGCTTGTTAACCTCGAATCGGATTGGAGTTATCGAATTCCATTTGCTATTCAGTGGATTTGGCCAGTACCTCTGTTCATTGCAGCTTTATTAGCACCCGAATCTCCATGGTTTCTCGTCAGAACCGGCCAACTTGAGAAAGCGCGTCGCTCACTTGAGAGGCTCTCGCAACCGGAGCACAATGTCGACTATGAAACCGCGATCGCTCTGATGGTCCACACCGACAAGATCGAAAAGGAGGAACGAGCTGGTATCAATTATTGGGACTGTTTCAGAGGCACAAATCGACGCCGTACCGAGATTGCCTGCATGGCCTTCCTCTCCCAGATCACAGATGGTGGAGCGCTCTGCTACAGTGGCACATTCTTTTTCCAACAGACTGGTATTAGCGACGACACCTCCTATGCTATTGGTCTCGCGGGAACAGCTATTGCCTTTGTTGGAGTTATTGTCTCCTGGGTGTACATATCTAAATTCGGTCGCCGTACAATTTGGCTAAGCGGTTTCTACGTATTAGTCGCTGTACTGTTCACAATCGGAATTCTAGCATGCGTTCCAAACCAGACTACAGCGCTTGCGTGGGCACAATCGTGTCTCTGCCTAGTCTGGCTTGGAGCATACTCGATGAGTGTTGGTCCAATCGTCTACACTATTGTCGCCGAGATTGGATCAACTCGTCTCCGAACACAAACCGTTGTGCTTGGTAGATCTACTTACTACGTTGGAAACATTATCGGCGGAGTACTTCAGCCCAAGTTCATGTCGCCAACTGCCTGGAACGCCAAGGGAAAGACCGTAAGCTTCCTCACTACATACTTTTATTAACTCTACTAACTTCCTCCAGGCATTCTTCTGGGGAAGTTTGTCCTTCTTGACCACTGTCTGGGGCTACTTCCGTCTCCCAGAAACAAAGGATCGAACATTTGCCGAAATGGATTTCATGTTTCAGAAGGGCGTCTCTGCCAGGAACTTTGCTTCGTATCAGATCGACCAGGATGAGGAGTTCTTGACTCATGAGTAGTTTGAAAATGTTTGGGAACGCACCATTCATTACTTTGCAGTACCAGGTGTTTAAAGCACTCGTACAACAAGATACGAATTAGTGAGCTAGACGGCTTCTATTCACGATACCCTTTGCGAAACAGCTAAGAGTCAATACAATCTTGTCTGTACCTTCCCATTGATATAATTGCTACTATATATACTATAATGTGCCTTTCTGCGCCCCAACAAACAAATGACAGAATATCGCACGATCTTTTGGGGCTAGCTGGGCAATAACAAACGCTAACTGCAGAATTTATGTTTCATGTATTGGCTTGTCCCAACTCATACCAGCCTATTCATGAATATCACATCACTACATCTTAAATCGGTTCGGGGGGTTTACAGGGTATTCTCCACACTCTAGAGAATCTTGGCAAAGATTTCAGATGTGCATAGCTTGTGGTGGCTGTCATTTACACGAGCTATAGCGGTCTAAAACTCTCAAGTCGATATTACGGACCATGGAGAGAGGACGCCCAGACACTAAAAATTCATGACTATAAAACAGCTTTCTTCACGAACTCGCAACATACGACAGGGTGTTTTGGTACCTGGTGAAAGATAACGACTTTATCCTGATAAGAGAAAGTACGAAATGTAATAACAAAACAAATTGTTACTCGCGAATCAGCTCTACGGAGTGGGCCGTCATGTTTCCTCCTTCATTGCCAGTGCATTGAAGGAGGATCTAATACCGTGTAGGTTAGCTCTGGATAGATCGAATCTCGGGCAAAGAATGACATTAATGGGCTAGCGGGGGGTTTGTGTCTGTTTCCGCGACTGGCTTCGCTGTCTCCAACAACAAGATTCGCCCCAGCCACCCAGCCTCTGAATTTCAACAAAAAGCATCTTGACAAGACCTATGCGCGAAGAATTTCATCTGGATCCAGAAACCACCCATTTAGACACCACGAGCTGGCCTTTGACCGGAAATGAGGCACGCGACCTTATGCCCTGATAGGAAGGTGAGTGTGCGATAATCGTCGGCTCTCCGACGTCAGATCGTGCTAAACTACCCGGACCCATGCAGCTAGGAAGCATGCGGCAGATCCGGCATCATGGTTCCCCCTGCAAGGGAACATCGACCTATATAAGACCCGAGAGGCGCCGTCCCGACAACCGGCGATGCATTGTCCTCGGATTGACCATTTTCATCATGGTGGTGGGATTGTGGAAGAAGGCTCTTTGGCTCTTGCCAGTCATTGCCTCGCCAGTGCTTTCGGGCTCGTCTTGCAAGTTCGACCTCTATAAGCATCTGGGCAATTTGTCGCCTTACTTCGTACCGGACAACACTCCCGCTTCTTTGCAATCAGGGACACCGCCAGGATGCACCGTTGAAAAAGGCTTCCTCATCCACAGGCATGGCAGCCGCAACCCTCTGTCTGACGAGGTTGGCGCCATCCGAAACTTGTCGTATTACATTAATAACAATACGGCACTTTTCTCATCGCCACAGACCGAGCTTCCAGACGAGTATGCATTTCTCACCGGCGGCTGGAATAGCACATTTACGATCAATGATCTCTCCCCCACTGGCCGACAGCAGTTGTTCGATCATGGTGTTGCGATGAAGCTGAAATATCCAGACCTGTACACGGATGTTGTGCTCGCTGGTGATCAGGACCGTGTTGTCGAGTCGGCCGTATGGTTCATGGACGGCTACTATGGTCGCTCGGCCAATTCCACGGCAAAACTGAATCGTATTGCTGAGGGCGAGGTGACTGTTTCGTATATTACCCCCATGGATACGTGTGAAGGTTGGAAGTACAGCTTTGGCGGTGCGTTAGTCTCGAAATGGGGTGCCGTATACCTACCACCCATCACCAAGCGCATCAACCATGTGCTATCTGAAGCCTACCCTGGCGTCAATTTCACTACCGCACACGTCCATGGCATGCTATACGCGTGCGCGTACGGCACTGCAGTCTATGGCATTGACTCCTCTCCGTGGTGCCCGGTATTCCTTCCCGAGGAAATACTTAACCATGAATACGAGTACGATCTTCTGATGCGGGGAGCATTCGGTTATGGGCTTCCAAATGACATGGGTCCAGTTATTGGCAGCCTCCTCGTCTCAAACGTTACAACATTCTTTGAAGACAAATCTGGCCCGAATTTGTCGCTGAATTTTGGCCACGACACGACCATTGACCTTGGTCTAACCGCGCTGGGGCTTGCAGCGGACACCGAATATCCACCGGAGGGGCCCGTAAACGTAACACGCGCCTGGCGAACTGCGAACCAAGTGCCATTTGCGTCTCAAATGTTCTGGCGAAGCTTGTCATGTGGCGATGAGACGAGGATACAACTTCTTCTGAACGAAGCCAATTTTGACCTGAGCCCCACCGGGTGTCAGAGTGATGAGTACGGAACATGTAGTTTTGCGGACTTCATTACAGTCGAAACGGTTCAGGCGGCTTTGAACGTAACACATGGCGACGAGAGATGGGAGGCTGCATGCGCTTTGCAATCGTAGAGTTGATGTGTGTACAGAATAGAAAATGTAGACAAAGATCATTGTTTGTTGAAATGGACATATGAACTATAACAAACCAGAATTCGATTGTAAACTCACGAATGCCAGACTATCTCACAGATCGTATTCATACCCTCCCCCATGAACTCATTGCACCCAACAGTCGGTACTTCACTATAATTTGACACAAATTCTTGTAGCAGTAACGCACAACTCTTGCATCCAACAAGACCAAACCCCGTGTCCTTACAAGAGTACCTAGAATAAACGTAAGTGGTCAATACCTCAATGGTTGCGTCCAGATCAATGTGCCAAGAAGCAGCAACCTGGCGGCACCCAAGCCAATCGATCGGCGTCCAGGCCGCATATAGTAGGAGTACCCAGCTGCAACAACCGCACAGGAGAACCTGACGGCATACAATGCTGCTGAATGAGACTGAAGCTGCGCAGTCCAGAACGGGCTCTCAGCCGCGAACCATGCCCTAGCCGCAAGCAATACAACCAGGTAGACTTCTGGGAGGACAGATCCCAATCCTTTCCATGACTTGTATGCCCCAAAACCGCGGATGAACAAGCTAATGCTGAGCAGAGTATCGGCTGTCAATGCCAACGTTTCGGGAACTGGGATATACGGTCAATTGAAGCGAGATACATTACGGATGGGATAGCATACTATGGATCGCTGCGTGCGCTTGATTGTCTGCCAAGGTAGTATAGTCGTGTAGCGAATGGCCCAGGAAAGTGTACGTTAGCCCTGCTAGTGACACAAAACAAGATGCGGGGAGGATAATGAGGATGATTTGAATCCACGCCATGACTGCAGCAAATGCTTTCTGGTAGCGTATAAGGGTGCACAACTTTCAAGCTATATCATATTCATTCAAATAGTGTCTCTTCTAATATGTTATGAGGAAATGTGATGCCTGATAGGCAGCCAGAAAACAGAAATAAGAACTCTACCAAATGTGGAAACTGGGGCACTATGCTTACCAGGCAGACGCCCGAGATCCAAGTGCGCTAAGCAGTATCAGCTAGGTTCAGCAATACCATGCAAAAAAATATATATATATAAAACAGATGCTTATAAAAGGTTGCGGGATAGGCCTGTCAGCGCTATGTGCTATTGACTAGTCCACCAAGTAAGACGCCTGAGAAGGACTATAACAGGAGGACACCAAGGTAGAAAAGAAAAGAGATATCTAGCGCCGAGTGCTTGACATATACCTATGAAGCCATGCCATTGTACTGTACAACCTCTGGCTGACTGACCTGGCATCAGGTCACCGGCATCTGACAGAATGTTCACCATCACCGCATGATCCTGCAGAACTGCGGAGTGTAATGTCGTCTGTCCCGAAATGTTTTGAACGTCGAGGTCTGCATCCATGCCTATAAGATCTCGGGCCAGCTGCACATTGTTGCCCAGTGCGGCAGTGTGGACAGCGGTGCTGCCGAAAGTAGCTCGTTGATGAAGTCGCTTTGACTGACGCGGTCAGCCATGTGATTGGGAAAGTCCGGATATACTGTCTTGCCATTAAGAACCGGCCTCTTGAGTCCAGGCTGATTCAGAAACTTTGCGTCACTAAATTAACACTCCGGGGCGTCTTGGATCGTTAGCATTAATGGTGAAGCATACCCTGACTGGAGGTCTTACTATTTAGGCAGGCGACATGTGACACTTCTGGTTCTGATCATTTTAGTCATCGTTGCTGCATTGGCAAAAGTTGATGAGTTCGTAGCTCAATCATTTCTGTGACTCGAAGCAATGGCCGCCGAAGGAAGTTTTAAGTGGTTACACTGTAGCCAGAACTTGTCCAATATGTTGGTGTATTAGTCCTGAATTAAGGGAAGTGCGTTGAAATACGCAGAAGGAAGATGATGCACTAATTTTCAAGTCTTTCAAGCCATTCCGGAATCACCGGTCTTGGAAAATAGACCCATCAAAGTCATTAAGTGAGAGTATTGGTAATATTGATTTAGGATAATGTCATTGCTTGAATCGCTTGGGTCATTAAAAATGGCAATGCCTGGACTAAGCAAATATAGGCAGCATGGGTGCCTCGCTATGTAAAAACGCATTGTTTTCTCCTACATACATGTCAAAATTCAGCGTAGTCCAATTGGCAAAGTTAGACTAGTTTAATATAATATGGCAAATAGAATTTTGTATGTATGGAAATATGTCGGAACTATTGTCTCATTCAATGTAAACATTGAATGGGCGAAGATTCAAGTTATCTCACCTAGGAACTGATTGCATGTCGGGCTTTTGTTTGTACTGTTGTATCAGTTTTCATAAATTGATGAATCCTCGCTATCCAAGAAAATATTATCACTTGTCCTCATGGGCGTAGACGTTAAACTACTCAAGCAACGCCAAATCAGATATTTGAGTTAAGCATACGTCAGCCAATGGCTCAGGTAACGATGGCACGCGAGAGGCATAACCTGGGAAACAAACGCAGAAACACAGGAGGCAAAAGCAGCATGTGTTTCGCAGGTGATAGTTGGTATGCTGTCTCCTGCTGTTCACGATCTCATGAGAGAAATAAAACTGAATGCGAACATGGACAAACTTGATCACTTATGGCTGCGCGAGCCCATAATATCTCGAAGAATTTTCATGATATCGCCCATGCCCTAACATTCCTCTCACAGTGTCGCCAATATGAGGGCACATGTTTCGAAGTAACTGCCAACTTCTTCCTCGTCTGTGTCGTCTCTCATATCCTTAAATTCTTCGCCGGCCCAGGAGGTGCCTCCGATGCGGGAACATGGGGCTGGTGGGACTGACATCAAGACGTGGAATAATGACCTTGGGGGGCTTAAGTGGTAGTCTTTTGCCCTCGAAGATAACGTTGTAGTTGTTCGCATCATTTGCAGACATGGATTTGGCGCCGTGCTGCTTCTAGGGACGACCCTCGATCCAGGCCAGTACCAGTTCACTCTTTAACCAGTTTGACTGGATGTAATTCGAGAAGTAGTGCGGCTACAAGTTCAGCACCATGCAGATCCACCATCTAATTATGGCCTGCGTGATTATGAAAACGTGAGCGCAATGTACCTCTTGTGGTGACATATCCACAACAGCTACCTCTGTGGATGATGCTTGAAACGGCGACATGTCGTAAGAGTTGGTATACCGCCAATCCAGAGCTCGAAAAACTTTCGAAGAAGTGCTAGACTGTGGGCCGAGATTATAGTGCTCTGCCATAACTACAGGCGAATCCGTTGATGAGTTCAAGCCCCGTCCTCCCTTGTTCTGTACAGCTCGCTGCAAGTCCAAGACACCAATCAAGGTAACGGCGATAATGCAGTTACCATTGAAATCAGCCTGGCACAGCTCAACTACAGAACCAATACTTTTTCGTTCTGGAGAAGTAGTGCGCATCAATTGTGGCCAAGATCTCTCTCTCTATCTTCCTTCTTCAGTATCGTTCTTCCAGGATGCTTTGCTGGTCGTGCGACGAGCCATATATTCGTGATCGTGGAGATTAGGGCATACTTTAGATAGCCATGTAACAATGTACTGTAGCCCGGCGTAGTATTCCAGCATATGGTTGGAACATACTTCAGACGGCTGATGCGAATGAGTAGCTCATTTGTGTATCGGACGATGCGTTGACTTGCCATCTTGTTGGTGATGGGATGAATAATTATCTTTAAAGAGACAAATGGCAAATTAAGAGGAGGAATTATTTTGCACAGATCAGGAGCTATGATTGAAAATACTGTATGGGTACACTTGATAGAGACGCAAATTCAGTTGGCTGAACAAGTTGAATCGCTCTATAAAATAAAATTCCAAGTAGCAAAATCTAGTTCAAGACGCCGCTTTATGATGGATTAACACATATATTCGTGGTATACTATGTTAACCAAACATAGCATTAGTTTGCAGATATTATGGTTCAACGTAACCAAAGATTGTCTTGACTTACCGCCAATAAGACTTATTGGCATATCTCTCAGGCTTTTACAACCACCCATCAGGTCGCTCGTTTCGAGCATCGACGAGATCTACACTAGCTCTGACCTGGTGCACGTTTCTGGCAGGCCTGACACCCTTACTGCTTCCCCTAGAGGGGGGTATTTGTGCAGAGTTTTGTCTCACTCCCTCATCAAGACTCACCCTATTATGATGACTCAACTTGCTATCGAGCTGGGGCGGCCTTGTTAAAGACCGCCCAACAGACGGTCCAGTCACATCGCTCTGCGAGTCCTTCGACTTCAGCGTATACATGCTGGGAACCGCCTCCCTCCCCAGTGTCCTCATCCCTTGGAATGGCCCGGGTTGTATGTCGACAGGGCCCATTGGCTGGGCCCCATGTTGAGCCAGCAGCTGATCGTGTTGCCGAACGACACTAAGTCGCCGGGCCTCCTCCAACGCCTTTGCGATTGGCAGATTCGCTTGAGTACAGAGCTGCATGACCACATATGTTTGATCGCCCATATACTCATGGAACGGGCCCCAAAAGTCCAGCGTGAGGAAGACCCCCAGGTAGGTTTTCTCCAGGGCGATGTTGTGCTCGACGGCGTAATCTAGGATCCAGAAGATGTCCTCCGCAATTGTATCGACCTTCTTGTTTTGCGCAGGAACGCCCTTACTACACTCCTTCTTGAACGCGCTTGCGATTTGCTCCAGCAGACTGGGCAGGACAAGTACCTTGGCACCTCTAGCACTAATGGGAGATGTCGTCTTGCCCATTTTATTGAATTTTTGGTCTTCTGTCCACTTGATCTTGACGCTTCGCTTCGTACCGTTTCGCATCCTTACCTCGAAGCCGTTGGGTGATGAGCTCGTCTTGCCGTTGCTTGCTGCCATGATCCAAGGACGGATGACATCCTTTGATGAAGCAGGTACAATAATAGAGACAGCGCTAGCACCGCGGCCAGCGAATCCGTAGGAAACAAGGGCTGTCAGACCGCAAACCGCGTACTGGATACCAGGGTCCGACAGCATCTCGTCAACCTTATCAAAAAGTTCACCGAGCTCCCCAAGCATCAGTGCTGTTGTCGCAGCGCGCACGGGCACGACTGCTGTCGGCGGTATGTTGAAGGATGGGGCAAGTGCAGTAAAAGCTGCGGCTGGCGTCGAGACCATCTCGATTGGAGTATCGGTGACCACAAACTTAGGAGGCTTCTTGAACTTTGCGCGTATGTTGTTAGTGTGCCTATCATCGTATGAGGAAAGCTCGGTTGTTCGGCTTTGATGACCGAAACAAGGTCCGAGGCAAGGGGCGAGGCAAGCCATTAGTGATTCCATCATGTTTAAACTGACCGCGCCCTAAGACGTCTTCGTTTTCGATGATGCGTGTAGGTTTCTAGGCTTTACTGTGGGTATCCGTTTCTTCAAGTCCAGCTCTATTTGCCGTGCATATAAACGAGTGAAAAATATTAAAACAATGCAGTAAGAATATGTGACTTATGTCAAGGATGATATTGAGTTATATAGGCACTCGCAAAGGACATACAATACCTTTGTATTTTCGATATCGAAAGAAGGTCGACGTGCTTAGCACTGTCTCCCTTGTCCATTCAAAGATTCCAAACAAGGTGACCGAGGTTTCACCTGACAACGACAGCCAGGGCCCTCCTTGACTTGGATCGACGGCATTCCAAATGTTGGACAAAGGTTTTTGCCTTTATGGAAGGCTCGACTCAGTGGCCGACACAACCGGACTCCGAATGACGCAGTCCGAGTTGTTCCAAACATCGTTTCGGCGAAGACACATTGGTGGTGTGCTTGAAAACCAAGCTGAGCAAACACGCCTTGTTCATTACCCGAGCCTCTATATTCAGGCCGGGAGTTCCTCCAACGCCTATGATACACAGCCGAAGATCAACCATGCCCTCAAAATGCAAGTTTTGTCATGCCCAAATATGTCTTTCTACAACTCCTCAACATCCATGTGATCACCGTTCGCTTGGCCGTTGGCAGCGGAATCCTTCTTGGGCATGGTGGCCTCCTTGTCGATCATTTGTCTCGACACGCGCACAATGTTGTCCTCGATGAGCTGCTGGCCAACATCTTCCAAGTGCTTCTTCGGGTCGAGCTTGCCGACATAACGGGTCTTGAGCTGGTCCTTGGTCAGCTCATTCTCCTCCTTGACTCTCTTCTCGTAACCGTCGGCTAATGTGACAAGCTTCTGGAACTGTTCCTTGTTGTGTTCGTGCTCGTGTCTGAAGTCCTCCATTTGCAGGGCCTCAGTCCAGACGTGCTTGTGCAAGTTCATCAACATGTTCTCCTCGAGGGCGGTCTTTTTGTAGTCGATGCCGATGGAGTAGTAGTGTCGGTTGAGGCCGTGGATGAGGGCTTGAATGGAGGGCTTGTTCAAGTGTCCCAGGTTGGATGTACTTTGTCTGGGCTCCTGGCCCAGCATCAAAGACTGAGGGTTGATGAGGCGGAAAGCATCGATGACGACCTTGCCCTTGACGGACTGGATAGGATCGACGACGACGGCGACGGCGCGGGGTGTCAGCTGTTCGAAGGATTGTTGGGTGTTGATATCGACTGATGATAACCAACAGCCGAAACCAGGATGCGAGTGGTACCAGCCGACGACAGATTCAGGTCTGCGATGGACAGAAAAGATTGGTTAGCACAGTCCGGAATCGGGGCGATTGCTTTGTTGTAGGATCGAACAGGACGGCGTAAGGATGGGACAGGATGGGACAGGATAGGAGCCTTACCTTCCGGTCTGTGTTAACATATCCATCATCTTCTGCTGGAAGACTGGGTCCACGGCCTCGACACTCACGCCGGTGCCGCTCTGTGGCATGGCAAAGACATCGACGACCCGGACTGTGAAGTCATCGACGAATTCGCCCAGCATAAGACCCATGACCTCCATAGGCACACCTGCCCGGCCGTGTCGCAACATCTTTAGCAGAGCCAGGGAGGAGATGTAGACCGTCTCCGAGTTGTCGATGAGGCTGGAGTTGTCCTGTTGGCAGGAGTTGTCAGTCAGTATGCGCCGACAGTCCCGGCAGGTGGGCGGCAGAGACTCACAGATCCGGGCGCAGCTCCAAGGCCACCCATGCCGCCGGCGCCGGCCAGCATTCTGTTGAGGCGATCCATTTTGGTTGTTATATGCTGTTATTAGTGGTATGGGTGACTGGAGCCAAATGTGGTCAGGGTGGTATTTGTGGTGGTGTTGGTAGAAGGGATCGCCTCCTAAAGTCTGGGTCGGTTTGGTTTGGTTTGGTGTGGGTTGGGTTGGCTGGATGAGCTGGAGATGGTAACGGGATGTTTGGTGTTGACGCCGCCCCGGAGCTGCCTTGCGCCTTGTGCCTCCACGCCTTGTGCTTTGTGCTTTGTGCTTATACTAGACTAGGCTAGACTAGTCTTAGAGTTATTGCATACTACAGTATGTACATACATACATACATACATACATAGAAAGCTCCAGCACCGCACCCTGCAGTTGCCCGCTAACGTTGGACTAGACCAACCACCTTCGAAGCTTGGGCCACCCGCACTTGATGGCTTCAGAGCTTGGGATATTGTATCCAATTGCCGGTGGCTCAGCTGGACAAACCCTCCAAATCGAAGCTCTGCAGCCGTTTACAAATACGTTGTCTTAAAAATGCACAGCAGCCCTTATCCTCTCCGGTATCGTGAGTCATCTCTGTGTTTGTTCAAGCATCTCGTACTCCTCATGTCGCGTTATCAAGGCCCACCGAGACTGCGGCCTGGGCCGTGTTCAAGGTATTCGGCAAAATCGTTTGCTCACAGGTGAAGCCCCATGATCATGTCTCTGTATCTGCGCGCTCTCTGTTCTCTTAATCATACGTTCCGTTGCTATTCTGCATAGCACACCGAGTATATAAGCGTATGTCGCGATACCTGCTCCTAGACTGCATAGAGTCACTTTCGGGGCCCATACTTTACATACCATCAATGATCAAGGCCCTACCAAGTATGCTGGTCCAAGTCGTGACCCCATTGAAGGGTGGTTGTCGATTGGCGTTATGACTGTGTTCACGGATTGGTAGCCACCAGGTTCTAACGTAGCTATTGGTGGTCCTTTCTGAAGCGCCGTTCTCTTTCCTATTCGGCACATCTACTTGCAAACCTCCTGCCAGGTACAAAAGCCGACGAGCCAATGAAAAGCGTTCTTCGGATTTTGCACAAGGATCGAGAGCGTAATTTGTCTAATTTTAGTCCAGCGGGTCATGTCACTATCTATTCCTCGGCGTCGAGTTTCCGGACGGTTGTGCAACATTTACACACCATCTCGAATGTCGTTTGTCTATTGTGCTAACGCCAGCAACAATTTTCTAAATCATCATATTCTTTCTGTGTCATATTTGTTGGGGGGCAGGGGAAATTTTTCTTTTCTTTACTGAAGGATATCCCCAGGCGCCGCGTTTCACCCCGGCTCGTGTATACGCTCCCAGAGCCAAGACCCGCCTCCCCCGTTGCGCTACTTGAGCCTTTCCTAACACGCCCTTCATCAATCCTCACCTCACTCACATGTCTCTCCCAAATCGAGGGGCAACTCAGACAACGCCTCAACTGAGTTGCGAATTATGCCGTGATCGTAAGGTAAAATGTGATAAGCTGCAGCCTTGCACAAATTGTCTTACAACTGGCGTGGCATGTGTGCCGGTACACCGGCTCCGCCGCGCAAGAGGCCGCCATGCCCACCCTTCCAATAGCATCTTACCATCACCTGCTCCGTCGCTAGCATCGTCCCAAGCTCGAGCAGTTCTCGACGACCCAGATCTGGATGGGCGGATCCGCAGATTGGAAAACCTCGTGAAGTGTATGAGCTCCGCTCGCACTGGCCTTTCATCACCAAATTCTGCAGGCATGAATGGCGCTAGGAGGCAGGAGGGACCAGATGACTTTTGGGAGGATTTGGTGCAAGAAGTAAGGCTTTTCATTTATTTATTTTTCTATAATTCATGAACTTGGGGACCCTTGTCTAGCATTTTGAACCGCAGAGGATTAAGGTTGTTCATGGCCACCGTTCCCACAATAGTGTGCGCATAAACTTGCTATCAAGGCAAGAGAGGTTACTGACGATTTTCTCTAGGTAGAGCAGCTTCGCGATATCGTGAAACTAAAGCCTGGCGAAGCTGATGGCGAAATTGCACAATCTCCTGATCCAGCTCGGGCAAGTTCTGCCGTTCCGGATGGTGGACTTATGGTTCTTGGTCTGCCGAGTTATAATCCGTCTTTGGATTCCTGGCGGTCAAGTCCAAGCATGTTACCTTTGCACAAGGATAAAGTCTCAGCACGTCAGTTGTGTGAGATCTATCTTGATCAAGTTGATCCTATAATCAAAATATTGCATCGGCCGCTGCTTTCTAGTTGGATGATAGATGGGAACTCTTATCTACACTACTCAGACGAACACCCTTCCACTAATGCCTTGGGTGCTGCAGTATGTTTCGCCGCTGCCAACAGCATGACAGCAGGGCAGTCTCGCGCTATATTCGATATGGAAAAGGCTATCATTCTGGACGACTGTCGAAAGGCGTGCGAGTCTGCCATTCAAAAATCCGATCTTCTTACCACAAAAGACATCACCGTCCTCCAAGCTTTCGTCTTGTACCTTGTATGATTTATCCCAACTTATAATTAGTACGGATTGAATCTGATCTTACTGCATAGACCGCCAAGCAAACCGGGGAGCGCAATCGGACTGTGTGGACATTGATCGCAACAGCCGTCAGAGTTGCCAAGGCTTTACGCCTCCACTTGGATTTACCCATTGGCAACTCATCTTGCAGGACCTTTTTCGATCAACAGATGCAGAAACGCTTGTGGTTGACAATATGTGTGCTCGATCTTCAGACATCCTTGGCTCAAGCATCAAAGCCACTTATCGGCCTCGAGGAGGTTGCAGAGTGCTTGCCTTCAATCAAGCACATAAACGATTCTGACTTTGGACTCAGTACAGTAAAATCTGTGTCCGACAGGGAAACTCTCACAGACATTACATTTGCGCTTCTCAAGTTCCACCTCTCCGTGTTTGGACGACACATCGGGCAGGGAAGAACTTCAACTTCAACCAATGTCGGCCTTCAACTAGAGTGGGAAACAACGCAACAACGCTCTCAACACTTCGAAACCGAGATTCTTCAACTTGTTCGGTTTTGTGATCCGGAATCTTCGACGTATGCATGGTTCACTTGGCACAGCACTCAATTGTTTGTGACTGGTGGGCGACTTGCGGCACTACGTCCTTTACATCGAGCAAAAGTCTTGAATCATCAGACCCCGCCTCGCATGAAAGACGAGACAGAACTTCTCCAGCTAACACTCCAAGCACTGGAAAAGATGAAGATGATGCATACCGACCCACGTGCAGAAGGATTCCGCTGGATGGTCACGATTCAGTGGCATATCCTAGCTATCGCAATTGCTGAATGCTACGTGTGCCCTGACCAGACACTAGTGCGCCGGGCTTGGGCACTAATTGAGTTCTTGTACCAGAGACACGAGTCGCTTCTCACGCGAAATAGTGGCGGCCGTCTACAGGGTCCTCTGGGGAAACTCATGCGCCGAACGCGTGAAAAGCTGGCAAGTACCCTGGATGACGACCCTGCAGTGACCAGGACCAGGAACCACCAATGCATATCAGCTCAACCTCTAGGCAATGCATCACAAAGAAGCATCGTTGATAGATCCGGCTCCCAGCCGTGCCTGGACGCCGAGCTGAATATGCAGTCAAATGGAACATTTCGAAGAGCGCATCAGCTGATGTCTGTCCCAGAAACGTCAAACGGCGCAGAGCGAAGTTCAGGCATGGTCGATATGGACTTTGGACAGGATGAAATCGAATTGGACCAATCATGGCAACTCTGGGAAGAATTCATGCAAGACGTGTCGTTTGACGACCTCAACAGCCCTGATGAGCATCATTAAAAAATGACATGTCAATACGGAACCAAATGTTTGGCGGGTGGCACCATCTATAGTGCTCAGATCCGTATGCACGCTCTACGATCGAGAGTCGCAGCATTCGCTAAGCGCTGACCTTCCGAAAAGGGTAGCCATATCGTCCGGCTGGTTAGACCATATACCCCACTGGCGACGATTCCGCATGGACTCCCCACAAATACCACACCATGCAGGTGAAAATGCTGCGGTACTCTAAGCAAAGTAATAGATTGATAGGTTGCTATATTTTACCTGTTGACTAGTCCGCGATTGCATATCCTATTCGAGACCCATGTTCCAGTCAATACCCGGGCCAGCCTCCCTAGGCCATTTGAAGACAGTTGCTAGATGAACTGGCTATATATACTCGGCTAGTGTCAGTTGTGACACATCATAGCTGCGCTTCTTGGACAGGCAACCGTGCAGCCTCTAACGACATGATGCGCCGGATGTTGTTATCGCTAATACGCCTGGCATGGTTCTCACAAGCTTCAACTTGTGTGACCCGGCAGGCAGATTGGAAGATTGGTCAGGTCGTCGCAACATCGAGCGGACCTGTAACTGGCCATGATGCAGGAAACAGTACAGGAGTATCCGAATATCTGGGTATTCCGTATGCGCAGCCTCCAGTGGGTGAGTTGCGCTTTCAGCCGCCAGTCGCCTACAAGAACAACTCCACTATCAGTGGTGCCAGTTTCGGTGACGTGTGTATGGCGCTGGCTTCGTTTGCTGGCCTTCCAGTTCTCAAGAGGCGAGGAGTTCAGAAGCGGGAAGGGACACTTACACCTGACGCACTGGCCATTATACAAGGGTATTCTGCAGGGATTCCACCAATCAACGAGGACTGCCTGACTATAAATGTATGGACAAAGCCTCAGGTCGGTGAGGAAAAGAAAGCTGTATTGGTATGACACCAGCGTGGAGCCTTCATAGCTCAAGTTCTAATTAGAGACATCAGGTCTGGATTCATGGCGGCGGTTACACTAGTGGGAGTTCAGCTGTCCCGTTCTATAATGGCAAGAAGATCGCAGAAGAGCAGGACCTGGTCATTGTGTCTTTTAAGTAAGCTTGATTTGTTACTCTCTCCGAACTAAGCTGACATTTCTTGCTATCGAGCTATCGTCTCAACATATTTGGCTTTCCTGGTTCCGAAACTTACCCAGCCTACAATGTCGGTCTTCTGGATCAACGTCTCGCTATTGAATGGGTGAGAGACAATATTGCCAATTTTGGAGGTGACCCTGCGCGGATCACAATCGTTGGGCAATCAGCTGGCGGTGGTTCAGTTGGCTATCACAGCTATGCATTCACTGATGACCCAATCGTGTCTGGCTATGTTCTCGAAAGTGCTGTAACTCTAAATGCATCCAGTCCTGGGGGTGCGTTGGCATCTTGGGTAAATGCTGCCAAAGCTGTTGGTTGCGATACAGCGGAGAGCCCTGATCGATGCATGCAGCTCGAAGTCTCAGCCGAGGCCCTCCTGGATGCATCCGGTCAGTATCGCTTCGGCCCTACTATAGACGGTAGTGTTGTGTTCGCTGACTATACTACCCGAAAACCCAACCCAGGCGCTGTGCTAGTTGGTCATAATGACTTCGAGCCCGGACTCCAACGACCTCTTTCGCCGACGCTGCCGGATGCCTACTGGCAGCAAGCGGAGTTGTCCTTCACTTGTCCTGCCGCGGAGAGAGCTGCTTACTATGCACTCAATGGCAACCCGACATGGAGGTATCGCTGGTTTGGTGATTGGGGTAACCTGAGACTGGCCATCAACCCATCCAGTGGTGCTTGGCATGGCTCCGAAGTAAGTGACTTTCTGGTCTGGAGCATGAGATAACAATAATCACCAGTGCTTACATTACCAGATCATGCCATTATTTGATACAATACCGCAGACAGTCAGTGTCAGCACGCCTGAAGAGACGAGTGTAGCGGCGTACCTTCGCGGTGCCTGGGCGGCGTTTGCCAAGAACCCGATTGGTGGGCTTAGTGATTATGAAGGTGGTTGGCCGCAGTACAGCACGGATGGTGACTCATTGGTCAGACTGGCATACAACAATATCACCGGAACAAATTTGGCTCCAGGTAATTATTACGACAACGGTTGTCCAGAGTATCCGGTCGTTGGGGGTACGTAAGGTCATTGGGATAGGCAACATTTGTATTATTAATATTAACTTCATGACTGATAGCAATACAACTTAGGCCTTATTTTTATTGCTGGGGGGTATCAAGTATTGGTCTGCACTGGTGGGCTTACACTGAATGGCCAAGCTTTATCCCTTCCGGCACCCATTCGGAAGCAAATCTCCACAACGGATTTCTAATCCGGCTTATACGCCATTCTCCGCACCGATCGCACCATCCGTACAGCTGTATAGTCGAACCCGCACATTCCGCGACGAATACATTTATAGACGAGGTCCTGTTCCCTTGCATTCGGAGAAACTGCCACAAATGAAGAGCAGCACACCATGACTGGAAAGGAGAAGAAGCAACTCCACCTCGGCGCTTTCATGCGTCCGGTGTCCCTCCACACCGGCGCATGGCGGTACCCAGGATCATATCCGGACGCCAACTTCAACTTCGCACACATAGTCTCATTCGCGCAAAAGCTCGAAGCCGCCAAGTTCGACGCCTTCTTCATGGCGGACCACCTGGCGGTCCTGAACATGCCCGTGGAGGCCCTCAGGCGCAGCCACACCGTGACGTCCTTCGAGCCCTTCACCCTGCTCTCGGCCCTGGCGGCGCTGACGAGCCGGATCGGCCTGGTGGCCACGGCGTCCACGACCTACGACCAGCCGTACCACATCGCGCGGCGCTTCGCGAGCCTGGACCACATCTCGGGGGGCCGGGCGGGCTGGAACATCGTGACGACGGCCAACCCGGACGCGGCAGGGAACTTCGGCCTCGACGAGCACACGGAGCACGGCGAGCGCTACGCTCGGGCCCGCGAGTTCTACGACGTCGTCACGGGCCTCTGGGACAGCTTCGCCGACGACGCCTTCGTGCGCGACGTCGGCAGCGGCATCTACGTCGACGTGCCCGCCCGCATGCACGTCCTGGACCACAAGGGGCCCGGGCTCAAGGTCAGGGGCCCGCTGAACATCGCGAGGCCGCCCCAGGGCTGGCCCGTCATCGTGCAGGCGGGCCAGTCGGAGCCCGGCAGGCAGCTCGCGGCTGAGACGTCTGAGGTCGTGTTCTGCGCGCCGAGGGATCTGGAGGCCGGCAAGGCGTTTTACACGGATATCAGGGCGAGGGCGAAGGCGGCGGGGAGGGACCCGGATAGCATCAAGTTGCTGCCGGCCGCGTTTGTGATCATTGGGGACACGGTCGAGGATGCGCAGGAGAAGAGGTTGAAGTTGGACAGCTTAGTTAGTTACGAGAGCTCCATTGCGTCCTTGTCGACTCATCTAGGCACGGATGCTTCCAAGTTCGAGCCGGATGCTCCTCTTCCCGCGGACATACCCGAGACGAATGCGAGCAAGTCAGGCCGCGAAGCCGTGATCAAGTTGGCTGCAGACGAAGGGTTGACTGTACGGCAGCTGGCACAGAGATATGGCGGTTACTCCGGTCTTGCTTTTGTAGGTACTGCTGAGAGTGTTGCGGATGAGATGGAGAGATGGCTTGTAGAAGAGGGCTCGGATGGTTTCAACGTAGTATTTCCTTTCTTGCCCCAAGGACTAGATGACGTGGTGGAGCGACTGATACCCGAGCTACAGAGGAGAGGTATATTTAGGAGCGACTACGAAGGAGAGACACTCCGCGACCATCTTGGACTGAAACGTCCAGAGAACAAGTTCTTCACCAGCGCCTAGATTTAATAAGCATCAAGAAGAAAACATGAGCCTCCTCCTGATGTTTAGTGGTCATCTCTCTCTGACCATGGCTTAACAGCTTCCAACAACTTCAAGTGCACGTCGCCGTCACCACTGATACTCAATAGTTTCTGGAAAGTATCATCCCCAATGCGCTTCCAAAAGAGCAGATACCCAGCCCAGTAGAAATCAGCATAGGTGACTGTGTTCCCTTCGAAGAATGGGCCCTCTGAGTTCTCCCTCAGCAACCGTGTAATCTCCTTGACAGGCTCGGTGGCATATTCCCAGGCTTTGTCTCCGCGTTCATCCTCGGTGATCTCACTGAGCGGCTTTCCAATGATTTTTGCACGAGTCTCGTACCAGAACTCAGCACTGCGAGGGTTCAGAAGGCGCTCGGGTACGAGCGGAAAGAAGATTCCTCTGACGCCTTTACCGAACTGGAAGGACGCCGAGATCTGATCCACAACTTTCTTGACGTAAGGCGAGTCAAGATGGATACTTGGTGTTGGATACTTCTCTTCGATGTATTCGGCGATCTTCAGAGAATCCATGATGTATGTTCCATCCGTGGTTCGCACCGTTGGTATGGTGTAAATACCCACGTCATCCGCAAGGGGAATGCTATGCAGGTAAGCATACCGGTGTGTAGACCTCACGGATTTGGATATCAGAAACTATGCTTACTGGTCTTGAAACTTGGGCTTGATGTCTGGATACTCGACCTTTCTTGCATTAGTCACACCAGATTGCTTGAGGATAGATCAGAGATATCCACAAACCCATTCCGTCTTGTAATCCAAGCCCTTGAAGTTCAAGAGTAGGCGAGCTGAACCCGTTAGTAATCAAAAACAATGGTTGATACTGGAAAGCTCACTCTTCCAAGGGTTCAGTGACCAGCATTTGCAAGGAGCCTGGCTTGGCAAATCGTAGAGAATAATGGGCTCGGCCGACATGTTGTATGAACTGCAGATTGCACTTTTGCGAACGGTTGACTCGATAGAATGTCAGATGTGGTGAAGAGAGCAGTGATTGTGATGTTGCGTGTCGCACTCGCACTGCTTTATAATACACTGCTCTTGCTTACCCCAACAGTGATTGAAGGGCGCGCGGGTGGGACTTGTTTGGGCCGAGTGCGGGTGGGTTGTCATTAGCTCAGTAAGTAAACTTAGGATTGACAAGACTTTGCTTTGCACCGAAACCCATAAAGGGCCTCCAGAAGCTCAATATGCCCGTCAACCTTGAAAAGCAATGGGGATTGAGCATTGTTCCTCTAGGGAAAACGACGACGATCAGTTCTGCAGCACAACTACATGCTGATTGCTACGAAGTCCGGTTTTCACGGGCGCCTCATCAGCCACAAAACCTCTGCAAGCTGGGTGGCCCTGAGGGAACTTGGCCGGACCACGATCAGCTCTGACATCTCAGAAACATAACGCGCACGTGCGAGCGGACTACGTAGCACAAATTCCACGGCTACCATGGAGTTTCTGGTTCTGGTTCTGTTTCTTCTTCCGCCCACGCAGATGCTACTAGGCTGGAATATACAACATTACCCACATATAGGAGTCGGTTAGTAATTATAAATCGGCGAGGAACGATATGGTATGTACAGTACATATTCTGGTACCTGTGCATGGGGGCCAGAAGAGGGGCTTATCGAGGCTTATCTATTGGCAGGGTGTGTCCGCCAATAGACTGGCGAACAAGGCACAGACCTGTAGCTGGCCAGGGTAGGGGGCAGGGCCAACCAGAGGCAATGCATAAGCCGCCAAGTGGGCCATACTTTTCTTATTAGTGGTGTCTGCCCTGTCTGTCGTCTGTCTACTGTCTAAAGGTCTCGCCAAAGCTCCAGCTGCAGACCAAAGAGTGGACTTGCTTGCGCGAGCTGCTTCTTCTTCCTCATACTTTCTCTACACACATGTCACTTTAGTTAGTTAGTATCTGCGCGTAGCGTGTGACGCTCACCAATCTACCACCCACCCTGTTCACCCATTCACCCGTTCACCCATCCCTTCTCTTCTGTCGCCGACACAGGTTGGAATTCCCACCTTGAACTTGCCACTGTCCACAGTTCAAATACTGCGTGCGTCTGAGGATATACCCAATACCCAGACAGCATGGCGCACGCCGCCCCCGTTGACATCGCCAATGGCAATGGCATTGCGCTCGGTGCACCTTCCAGCAAAAAGGTCGCCTACTTCTACGACTCGGACATCGGCAACTTTGCCTATGTTGCTGGCCATCCAATGAAGCCGCACAGAATACGACTGGCTCACAGCTTGATCATGAACTACGGCGTTTACAAGAAGATGGAAATCTACCGAGCCAAGCCCGCCACCAGACTGGAGATGACCCAGTTCCATACCGACGAATACATCGACTTCCTGCAGAAGGTGTCCCCAGAGAACATGGAGAGCTACCAGCGCGAGCAGACAAAGTTCAACGTGGGAGACGATTGTCCTGTTTTCGACGGTCTCTTCGAGTTCTGCGGCATCAGCGCTGGTGGGAGCATGGAAGGTGCTGCACGCCTGAACCGACAGAAATGTGACATCGCCGTCAACTGGGCAGGTGGACTTCATCACGCCAAGAAGAGCGAAGCTAGCGGCTTCTGCTACGTCAATGGTATTTGTTCCTGCTACTCTTTCCTGCTCTCCAAGACAGTTCTGTCCTCCTAACACTCTCCCCCTCCCTTTTCTAGATATTGTCCTGGGCATCCTCGAGCTCCTGCGCTTCAACAAGCGCGTACTCTACATCGATATCGACGTTCACCACGGAGACGGTGTGGAGGAGGCTTTCTATACCACCGACCGCGTTATGACTGTTTCCTTCCACAAGTACGGTGAATACTTCCCCGGCACTGGCGAGCTCAGGGACATCGGCATCGGCCAAGGCAAATACTACGCCGTCAACTTTCCACTTCGCGACGGCATCGACGACTCCTCTTACAAGTCCATCTTCGAGCCTGTCATTTCCAGCGTCATGGAGTTCTACCAGCCCGATGCCGTCGTATTACAATGCGGCGGCGACAGTCTGTCCGGAGATCGTTTGGGTTGCTTCAATCTGAGTATGGAGGGCCATGCCAACTGCGTCAAATTCGTCAAGAGTTTTAACCTCCCCACACTCGTCTTGGGTGGCGGTGGCTATACTATGCGTAACGTCGCTCGTACTTGGGCCTTTGAGACGGGCCTGCTAGTCGATGCGAACATGAACAAGACGCTGCCCTTCAATGAATACTACGAGGTGAGACACATGCGCTGGCGCCACGCCAGTATCCTGTCTGCGGCCAAACACTAACGTGCGATCAGTACTATGGACCCGACTACGAGCTTGCTGTTCGCGCCTCTAACATGGAGAATGCGAACAGTCCCGAGTACTTGGAGAAGATCAAGAACCAACTGGTGGATAACCTACGACGTACGGCTCACGTGCCCTCTGTTCAAATGCAGGATATCCCGCCGGATTTCCCCCACACCATGACGGAGGAGGAGGAAGCCGAGCTCGACGATCTCGATGAAGACGACAACAAGGATATGCGAGTCACGCAGAGGCAATGGGAAAAGCGAAGAGAGCCCGACAACGAGTTTGAGGAGAGTGACAACGAGGAGCTTGAGAGGGCCAACGGCATCCAACCTCAAAATGGCGCCAGTCGCAAACGCCAGTTGATGGACTACCAAAAGTCCGATGCAGGCGACGAGAGCGGTGCCCCGACGCCCACCAGCGGCAACAACACAGAGACCGTTTTAAAATCCAAGGAGGTCGATGAGGTAATGGAGGATGCTCAACCTGAAAAGGAACCTGAGCCTGAGGGTATTGCTGAACAGGAAGAGCAACTCAAGAAAGCCCAGCGAGCTTCAAGCAAGGTCGACCAAGACGGCGACATTGACATGGATAGCGCGGATGCTGAAAAGGCCCCCGAGAGTGCTGACGTGAAGTCGGAGGATGGCAGCTCCTCTAAGCCAGGCAGTAGGGCACCAAGTGCAAAGCCAGCAGAGACGACCGTGACGGCAGAGACGACCGCGACGGCAGAGACGACTGATGTGCCCAAGCCTGATAACGATGCTGCCGACGCCATCCCTGGCGACAAGCCAGCCCAGGATTCGGCGACGACATCGACCGAGAAGGCATCAGAAGCAAGTGGAGACGCTATGGAAGTGGATGAGACGAAGAATGAGACGGATGCTGCAAAAGAGGGTGACGCTGCTGAACCTGCTTCAGCGGCTCCGGCTGAGGCTTCAACAGAGGGAAAGAATGACGACAGTGCTGCTGCAGAGTAGCTTTCGGCGATAGACCCCCCCCTTTTGATCCTTTCCCTATATACCCCCAGACCTCTCCCGGATCAGTTATGTTGACTGGCCAATGTCCAGACTCACATACCAGCTATTATAGGTTCCGCCCGTGTATTCTAAGCGAGGGAACGATTACAGGATTGGCGTTCAGGATCTAGCGCAAAGGCCGCGCCGCATGTATCATTCTGCACGATTATTGAACTTTCCTTGCTTGTATCAGAGCACTATGAAATGAAAGCTATTGCTTCGGAAGTCTCGGGTCGTGCACCGTGGCATGGCCCAGAAAGCAAGTGAACACCATGTTCATGAAGCACTCTGATGTTCGCAAGTTCCCGGGCTGTGTATATGGCAACAAATGTGCTGGTTTCGAGACATCATAACCACTTGATATCCACTCAAACTGTGTTTAGGCACGCAAGATGTGTGCATCGCCCCACCTCGTAAACATCAATCGACATCCGTTCCTCGGCCGGGTCCGTGTCCAGGCTCAGGATGAAGGCGTTGCATCGGTAGAGCGCTTCCAGGGCCTCGCTGGAGATATGCTGGTCGAGGAGGAAGATGCTGGGGGTGTTCTGAAGTCTGCAGCGCGTGCGGGATGCGTGCGGGGCCAGAGGAGGATGCAGAGGGAGGTCGGGAGGAGGTGGGCGTAACTTTTGTTGACAAGGCTTGATGCTTGGTGTGTCTCGTGGTCCATATTTCATTCTTCAGAAAGTTACATGTCATCGGATTGGAAGAGTGCCCTGGATATGCTGTTCCGGCCGCTAAGTAGGGAAATATTCTTTGAACCCCAGTAGTCTGATGTGCGTGGGCATATCACAGATTCATATCGTCTGACAAGCTGCAAGGAAGAAGTAGTGCATGTCCTGCAAGATGTACCTATTTTTTTTTTCTTTCCAATTCCTTCAACCACTCGGCATGGCGCCTTTCAACATGCCTCCTCCCAAAGTGTTCCTCACTGAATAGCTTGGCGCATTCTGGTGCCTTGCATTTCCATTTGCGCTCATCTTCTTGCTCGACGTACTTGCACAACTTGGCGTCGATGGAACGGTGTAGCGGCATAAGTTGGAGATTATCCAAACAATGAGCCGGGCAAGCAAGACTCAGACGCAATCATATTTATATAGATCTGGAATCTGAAATATGTTGCTTGACTTTTGACACTGAACCAAACCAAACCAAACCCCCCCGGGTTGGTGCATAATGCCAATGCTCATAGCTAAGCTATAGCTTTACCTATTCTATGTGGCGCAATCAAGTCCACTCCTCATTTGCTCTGTGCAGCGGCAGAGTCGTCGTGAAAGGCGGCAGCTGGCAGGTGGTGGGGGACAGGTGGTGGCGTTGTCGAATGCATAGTTCGACGTTGCTCCTGCCAAGATTTCCATTTCTCAATCATACGGGGATCCGTGCATGCATAACCCGATGTCTTATCTTGTCTTATCTCTATCCTGTCTCATCCGCACGCGAACGCGCACTGGCACCGGTGACTGGCTCTGGCTCTTATGATAAAAAAATAAATAAAAAAGGACCCACACCCGCCGCAAAACTAGCGTCGCAAGGTCTTGGCATAATAGGGCTTCCCACAGAAACCAAACCAAATTTCTCTGCTTGGTTTACCCGACTGTTTGTGATCGATTTCCGATATCCATCACGACCAACTTTCTGCGACCAACGCCAAACGACACCACCCTCCCGTCACTCGTCGCATACTAATCAGCAGCAATGGCCAAGCTTTCGTAAGTTTTTTTTTAATCCACCTACGATCCCGACTTCTCGATTTGCGACCTTGCTCTGCCCGGCTCCTGCGACTTTTGGATGTTTTGAAAGGCGGGAGAAGCGGAAAGGGACAGAAGACGACCGCCGCGTGTGCTTGGGATAGATCCGTGCAAGACAGCCACCACTTGAGAAGAGGAGGAGAAGAGGGAGCCACACATCTGCGACCCGCGTCCTCGACATGGACACACGGCCAACCTGAAGGGCGAGGATACCGCGAGATCGACATGGGAACCATCCAGAAAAGACGCCAGGATATCCGGGCAGAGCATAGCAAATCTCGAAGTTCGAATCACGTTATGGTACGAGCTCCAGCTAACATTTCTCCGTTAGACGTGGTGCCCCTGGTGGCAAGCGTGAGTCTTCCAACATATTCTACCAGTAAAGTCGTTGGACGCCCACTAACATTTGCTTGCGTACAGTCAAGATGACCCTCGGTCTCCCTGTGTATGTTGCAATCCCTTGCGAAGAAGTCCGAGATCGCGTCGAGCCTTGATTGGTCGATCTCTGCGACCATGGGGAATGCCTTGCTAACGCACATCGCAGCGGTGCTATCATGAACTGCGCCGACAACTCCGGTGCCCGTAACCGTGAGTGATTCGTCCTTCTTGGTCCAGCCTGATCCGCATCTTACCATCTATCTAGTTTACATCATCAGTGTCAAGGGTATTGGTGCCCGCCTGAACAGACTGCCCGCTGGTGGTGTTGGTGACATGGTCATGGCCACCGTCAAGAAGGGAAAGCCCGAGCTCCGCAAGAAGGTCCACCCCGCCGTTATCGTCAGACAGTCCAAGCCCTGGAAGCGCACTGACGGTGTCTTCCTCTACTTCGAGGACAACGCCGGTGTCATTGTCAACCCCAAGGGTGAGATGAAGGGATCCGCCATCACTGGTCCCGTCGGCAAGGAGGCTGCTGAGCTGTGGCCCGTAAGTTCCTTTCCCCCCTTGGCGTCAATATGTCCCCGTCTACTGACACCTTTCTCCAGCGTATTGCCAGCAACTCCGGTGTCGTCATGTAAATTGGTGATATACGAAGGGAAGAAGGTCTTTTGCGAGCGATGCTAGGAAAAGTCGAGGACACCATCCATCCTCGTCTTCGACCATGACGAGGATTCACGATTATGGGCGACATCGATCACTCAGCCGGCTATGTTTTCCTCGAATATTCAGGTGAAGTGAACGGGGAAAAGGACAAAAAGGCCGCTGCTGCTGGTTCGATGGTATTGGTCACTTTGCATTTCGGCTATGGAGGCGTAAAGGGCATACCAACATAGCATGCTGGACGAAATGAAGAAATAAGTTCAGTTCCGGATGCTTTCCATTGTCCTGTTCTGTTGTGGCGTGAGTGACCGACCTTGTCTTGCTTCAACGTTGTGGTTGAGCACCATGCGGTCTCGACACAAAGACCAAAACTAGCACGGATGTCAAATTACAATCCATTCCTGTCTCAATGACTGTGGTTGTGCCGAGAAGTGCTGATAGTAACATGCGAGGAGTACCGACCTATCTAGGTCGTAGGCACTTGGTTTTTGAGTTGTGTTCTCTTCAGATCAACTTGAGTCCCTTGGATCGCAGACATGCCCCTCATGGTTCCCCCATGCCTTTGCAAGTGACGAACCATATCCCTTACGGTATGACCTTCAGCCGTAATCTCTTTTCTATAGTGCAATAAACAGATTGTCAATTTTTTTCAAGCTACTCGAGAGATCATTCCTATTTCACACCCTCTTTGTGATCTCATCTTGCGTCTTGCCTCTGCCTTCGCGGCAAACCTCGGCCGCAGCCATACGCGCCCGAAATCATCACCACAGGGAGTGCTAGCTGACGTCCGGCCGTTTGAGAACGTCTCTGCCCTACGTATCGGGAACGCGGACGAGCCCTGCTCCGGTCTTCGGCCACTTGCGTTTTGGCGCGACCGATTTGCGATTCACTGTCAACTCTGACCATCCATGTGCCACGGACGGGACGATGTCAGATCCAGGCGCGCCGTCACGATCGATTTGTGAGCTTTTTAGGGGGAGAAGGGCAGCCGGTTACACTTCATCCGGATAAGATCGAAGAACTTATCATGTATATGCACCCCAACGCCATCTTCTGATAGTATGGTGCTAAGGGGCAGGGGGCGATGTCACACATAGTTCATACACTCGATAGCGCAACCAACCGCGGTGACACGAGGCATGGCATGGCCGATATTCAGAGTCACGCGATCAAGAATGTACGATGCTCCAAGAAAGGATCCTGCCCCATTTATTGCGCTACATGACGAGCTTCATCCTCGACCTCATGAACGTCCAAAAACAAATCATCAGCTCAGCTTTTGCTCCCTGCTAGAGCTTCACTCTGCGACCGTACCCTGGAACCACAAAATCATGAATGTCCTCTCATGCACCAATTGCATATGCTCGTGCCTGACACCATACGACGAGAAGGTCTACCTTCCCGAAAAACCGGCGCAGACAAGAACTTGATTGCTTGGCGCAGGAAGCATTCTTGGTGAAAGGATGATGTCGAGATCTGAAACGCTGTATGTATGCCAGTCCTAGTAATACACCAGAAGAAGATAAATCTTTCCAAGCTGCCTTGCCCGGACAATCCCCCCACGGGATCTTTTTGTGAACCTGAAAATGCTGTTGCGAATATAATATAGTGGTGAGCAGCTGAGGCCGCCTCTTGTATGCTGGCTGTGGTCTGTTTTACTGTGTGTCGTAGTTGAAAACAAGAGACAAAGATGATCGAAAGCTTTTGCCCTCTTTTAAAGCGGCAGTGTGCACAACGGTACTGTCTAACAAGGTCTGATACGGAAGCCGGGGCCACGAATGCACACTTCGATTGCTTCATGCTGTTGACGTGTGCATATCAGATGCATACATGCTACTTTGTAGTAAGAGTCGGCGCAAGAGCCGAGTGCTGTAAGATGAATAAAAATACCAGAATGAGCGACAAGTTACGCCTGTCCTTGTTGCTCCAAAACGACCTCGGGAGTACCTTCTGGCACTGGTGTCTGATTTGCCGCCTTCTTGGCTGCAAGGGTAGCACGTCTCTTAGCAACTGCGTTCGACATGGACCCAGAAGCCCAACGAGCTGTCTTATGTTAGCAAGACTGACTTATAGAAGATGTGTCTAGTTTGTGTTAAATACCTTTCATGCTCATCGACATCTTTTCAGACTTGGTCAACTGGCCATAATCTTTGTTCTCCTCAAAGATATCACCATTGGCGACTTGTGCAGGTGTAGAGTCACCACTAGGTGGCAAACTTGCTGCAGCGCTGGGAGGCGCAGCGGCCTGAGCGGATGCTGATAATGCTGTAGGATTGGAATTCTTGACCCTTATTCTAGGCACTCTTGGCACTACGGCGACAGGTGGTTCATTGCCAGGGATGTTACTAGGGGTGATATTGGCAAAATCTTGCTCTTGGACTTTCTTGGGAACACGGCGAACTCGTTTGGGCTTGGGTTGTTCGTCGTCCTCGAAGTCTCCGTCTTCATCGTCGTCAAGAGAAAAGCGCTTCTGTCGCTTCTCGCGCAGTCCATAGGCGGACGCAGAAGTCGAAGCAGTTGCAGTTGACGACGATGTATTAGGACGAGACTCTTCATTGGGTTGAGTAGACGCGTTACTGTAGAAGGAGCCAGACGGTATCTCACCAAGGCCAAGGCGAGAGTTGCGGCGGCGAGTACCTACACCAAGATGAGTCTGGCCGTTGGTGCCGTTGGTGAGAAAATCCTCATCATCATCCACATGTCTTCTTCTACGCTTGCGTGATGTACGAGTCTCTTCTTGCATTTCGGCCTCGGCGTCGAGATCGAGCATGTGATCATCCTCGAGTACGACAGCCGAAAGAGGATTCTTACGAGGTCGGCCACCTCTGCCGCGCTTCTTCGGAGATTCCTCGATGGGGGTTTCGCCGACAGCGCCCGGGACATCATTGTCTTCGGCTGCTTGACGACCACGTCGCTTACGTGGCAATGCTGGAGCCGGAGTCGAGCCTCTGCTAGCCGGCTCGACGTCACCCACACCAAACAGATTGGGCGCCTTCCTAGTGCGTTTGCCATGAACAACAGGGCCCTCGTCGACAGCTTCGGCCGCCTTAGCTGTCTGCTTAGGCCTGTCCCGCAGGCGGCCTTTGCCGATGCCACCTCTTTGACCAATAGGGTCTTGCTGGGAGATCTTCGAATCTCGATCATCATACTCAAAGCCGTAGGCGTTGGCCATGACACGATCCTGTTGCTTGGCATATTCGATCATTGCATCTTGTCTTGGGGCTCGGATACCCTTGACCACGAACTCCTTGCGAAGAGGATTGGCGTTAGGGTCTTTGCTGCGTGCTAATTTGACACGGTGTTGGAAGACCGATTCTTCTTGTTGATATTTGACGGCATTGTCTTCGTCATCTAATAGCTTACGACAATCATTGTGCTCGTTCTGTATCGTTTCCAGAACACCGGTCAAATGTTCCAGCCGTGCCCACAACTCTACAGGTGATAGAGTCTCATAATCAGCGATGAAATCAATGAAATCTTGTGCAGGTCGAAGCTTTTTGTAAGGGTACTGCTTCTTCGGTATGACTGCCGCGACGTCTGGTGTTCCTATTTCCGCCGCTGGGGAATTGGCGGCCGTGTCTTCAACAGGAGCAGGCGACCCAGCCGGTGTGCTATCATCCGGCAATTCGTTGGGATCCTCCAGGACTTCATCAACAGGAGTGTCATCGGCGATACCGTCTGGTTCGGTTGAGGGTGCAACCGCAGTGGCTTGAAGGGTGGGATAGTACACATTGGCTCCACTGATATACGGAGTCAGGTGCGAGTATGGATCCTCGGGGTCCTCTTTAGTCGCCGGCGCAGGAGACGAACGTGCAACAATGGGAGCAGGGCTCGAGGCAGACAGATGCTCGAGAGGCTCCTCGATCTCTGGCTGATGAGACACTGTGGAGCTAACGGCTGCCATCTCGAGTTTGGGGATGGAGACCTCTTGAACTTCTGACTTGATGTCGGTCTCTGGCTCATCAGTGAGCTCAATTGAGGAAATAGGTGAAGATACAGGTTGGGGGGAAGACATAGGGAAGACAGCTCTCAGACCTGGCTGCTCCGTAGTTAGCTGTTCAGAAAAGATATCTTTCTGCGAAATATTCGAGCTACGCCGTTGAGATGATCCCGCTGAGAACTGCTGAGAGCGATGGCCGCCGACCTCAATAGTGTCTTGAACCGCTATACCGTCATGAGGCTGATCTGCAATAAACGCACTCAGCTCGATCATCGACTTTCTGCTGGTATGACGTCGCACGGTTGGTTTGGACGGTAGTTCCGATGTCCGCCGCTGCTTGATCGCAGGCTCAAAGTCCTCTCCAAAATCGTCATACTGGGATGAAGGGTCAGCCTTACGCTTCTTCAATGAACGAGTAGTCGTGGGAGTTGGCTTGGCATCTATGCTCTGCTCCTCCTCGTCTTGGTCGAATGAATAATCGATGCGAGTGCGCTTCCGGAGAGAGCGGCCGCCTTTGCTTGTGGCATCCTCAGGCGAAGCATTGGTACCATCAATGTTCCGTGTCCGCATCCGTGTGCCTCTAGTATTGGATGGGCTTGGGGTCTCAAAAGTGAATGAGGTTGATGCCGGCGCCACTGGGGCGGCTGGGGTGGATGACGGCATCTCAGAAGGCTCTGAGCGTCGTTGAGAATTTGAGCGAGCAGGGACAGTGCTGCGCTTTCTTGCTGAGAAACGACCTCTTCCACGACTGCTATTGGGTGATTCCATGATTGCCGTGTGGTGTGTGAGAGGCGTGGCTGAAGATCTGATTCGGAGATTAGCTGATGCTGTAAGTGGGGGAGCGAAAATGCCTACCTTAATCGAGACTGCTGCTAAAAGGACAGCAGTAGTGTGGCGAGCGCAATAGTAGACGAGCGCGTTTTTACCATTCACAGGTGTGAACAGGTACGATCGTTGAGATGGCGATGATGAAATTTTGATTCAGCTGCTGCTAGATCAATCCCGAGCTGACACGATGCTAAGTGGTCAACGTGACAGGCACGTGGAATACGTCAGGGAGTCTGTCTGAACGTCGAGTGCAAAAATTGCCCAAAAGCAGGAATTTTTGCAGGGAATATTCCACAGAGATCAGCAGTGACAGAAGGTCCTAAGTGGATGATGTGTTAGCAATCTTGTGGATGGCGTGAAGTGAAGTTGGAAGATCACACGGTGTTGATGAAAAATCGGATCAGGTGTAAAGGGACGGCATTGTCGGTGACGACGAGAATTGTGGTTGTCAATAATCGGGGAAATTGTCGTCGCTTACCTGAGATGGAAGTCTTGACTATAATGGAAGACTTCTCAACCGCTGATACCGAGCGTGCAATGTAGTAGCTGTGGTCAAGCGTAGGAAGGGGAGAGAGAGGTAGAGAGACGTGAGGTGAGATGAATTACACCTTGTAAGAGGTGTAGGGATGTTTGATTGAGGGCAAAGTGGAACTGCCTCAGAATTTCCCAGATGACTTCAAAAGGATCAAGCAAGTTGATTGGAAAGCAGTTTACATCTGAGAAAATTCCTGTTAGCAGGCAGTTGGTGGGAAGTTGAGCTGATTGTTGGTGTTGTCTTGGGGCGAACCGGTGATGAAGCCAGTGTCATTGTTCAACTTACGTGGATGTTCGGATTATTAGCGGTGGTCGGGGACAATCAGTGGAATTGTGACGACGATTGCAAAGGGAAAAAGAACAGTTGCCGGTCACTTCTCTGCAGGTACAGGGCGATACAAACAACGGAAGACAAGTAAAGCTGGTATTATCACGGACGTCTTATTCAGACCCTTTCGGCAATGTTGCTGCATTGCCAAATTTTGGAGGTTCCAGCGCATTGCGCACCAGCCACAGCCAGCGCAGTGTGTCCAGCGTCGCCAGTGGTGTCAAACAGGGGGGCGGCAGTGGGTCTCAGCCGGGTGTCTATGCGAAATCTGGGAACGACCTTGGGCCAATCAGTAGCCATGAAATGCCGGGGACTTGGTTCATGCCGGTTTGAGTTAGTACCACAGTAGTCTTCCCACTTCCCCTTGCGGGTTGGAGTTGCATATGTTTGAAGCTCTGAGCTCCATCCTTGTGACGACAAGCTCAATCGAGCACGGTTCTTGGGTAACTTATCTAACCTACAGGACTGTGTCATTCGGGTGGATTTGCGTGTTTGGGCCTGTCGTCTGTAGAGACTGTAAACCGTCATTATACCTTTAGACACTCGCAACTCGCAAGAGAGTGGAATTCGCGGGCCTTCTGTGGTTTTGGCTTTGTTTTCCCCAACGCTGACACTCGGTGACAAGTCCCTGCGTTTTAGCCGTGTTTGCCAGTCTCAACCCGGCGAACTGCAATCAAGGTCTCAGGACGTAACACCGGAGGCTAGCTGCTACTGTAGGCTGGCTAACTTACCTCTGTACTTGTACTTGTGCTGCATCGGCCCGCATTGTCCACATCGCATCGCATGTCGACTTCAACAACAAACCATTTGATCCCCCAGACTTGTACTACACTCGTCCCGCCCATTGGCCTGCGCTCTCCTGAATAGCCACCTCGGCATCCTCCCACCACTGGCCATTGAGTGCAACAGCCTGTGAGCACCTATATCTACGTACTAACCACCCAATCCCCCCAACATGGCCTCGAAGAAGGCGGCACCCGTCGACGACATCGATGATCTATTCGCTGGCATAGGCGACGACGCTGGCTCCAAGAAGCCAGCTAAGCCCAGAGCAGCAGCCCCCAAGGCGCGGGCAGATAAGGTAGAGGATGACATCCTCGCCGACCTCGAGAACCAGCTGGGAGAACAGCCCGCCCGTCCCCATACACCTCGAGTGAAAGAAGCATCCAAGCGCTCCGGCACTGCGACTCCCCCGCCCGCCGCCGGCAGGCTCTCTGAGGATAGGGCCAACCTTCCCCGCAAGTCAGGTGAAAGCACCCGATCGTACCATGCCAGCTTCACACCGAGCGCTACGAGCTCCGAAGCTCAAGAACCCGAGAAGAAGGCTCCTGTTGCTGTCGCCGAGCCAGCTGCTCCAGCGCCCGCTCCAGCTTCAGCTCCCGCTGCCTCCAGCGGTGGGGGCTGGTGGGGAGGCAGCAGTTGGGGGGGCATCCTTTCAACGGCTGCGGCCACCGCCGCCGCTACAGCTGAGGCTGCACGGAAGCAAGCCGAGGCAGCATACACTCAGATTCAACAGAGCGAAGACGCCAAGAAATACCTGGAGCAGGTCAAGGGCAACGTTGGCTACATCAAAACCTATGGTGAGTACACTACTCCGTCGTCCCGGCATGCTGCCAGGGTCTTTAGGTTGTCTATCATATGACCGTTCATGCTGACCTGGGCGCACTCAAGGTGACGAGCTACGACACCGTGCGCTGCCAACTTTTGCCGACATTTTGCACACACTTGCGCCGCCGATTTCTTCCCACGAGCGTCTCCTTATCCACATCACGCACGACCTCGCCGGATATCCTTCGCTCGATCCTCTGATTTATGGCGTCTTCAGCCGTGTCATGTCGCAAGTCGAGGGAGGCGACCTGCTGGTTATTCAACGAGGTCAAGAGAGCACTGCCCGTCGTGCTTCTGATGCTGCCTATCACACTGGCTCTTCGTCGTCGTCGGCGGGCTGGCGTGATGGTCCATGGTGGCGCCAGGTTGATGTTCCCCGCGACCTCGGTGTCGTCAAGGGTCTCGTCGAGGGGACGAAGCTTTGCCGCGTAAGCGCCGAGAGCTATGCCAACGACTACTTCGCTGCCAGCGGCGGCATCTCCGAGGCCCAGAAGCGAGCATTGGAGCCTGTCAGCGAGGAGAACCCGGTGCGAACAAGCGATATTTTTCTTGCTGTTCAAGCCATCACCGTTGATGCTGATACGGCCCTGTTTGCTGGGAGCACTACGGGCGAGAAAGAGAAGGAGGAGAGCTCGGTCGTGGACGACACTTCGGATACTCAGGTCTGTTTTGCTATCTATGTGCTTGATCCTGTCCATGAGATTACCTACAGCACCGTCTCTCAAAGCATTCCTGCAAAGTGGATCCGCTGGCTTGACGCACCCAGTCCCTTGACTCCCGCCAGCAGTGAGTCTGAGAACCAGCACAACAATGAGCTGGAGCTTATCCCAGATGAGATTCGTGAGATTGTAGAAAGTGGTGGGGTTGATCCAAGAGAATGGGTTGCAGAGTGGGTGGAGGAGGCCTTGAGTCTCAGCTCTGGAGTTGTTGCTCAACGTTATGTTGCCCGGAGGATGGGTGTTGGTGAAGGTGGTTTCGGAAAGGGCAAGCAGAAGGTCGACGCTGTTGTCCAAGACGGTGGTGGTGAGGCTGCCAGGGCCGGTCTGATCTGAGATGTGATGCGCATGGCACTTTCTTCGCATAAGCAGCAGTTGATGCTATAAGGATGATTTGTTAGGAGTTGTCAGGAGGAGTATCACCGTTGCCTTGTTTTGGCCTACGTTTTCGGCGCTAGTTCAACGGAGTCATTGAGTTACTAGTTTAATTCTCATGCCTCATTGATGATCAAGGGTTAACCTAACCATAAGTATCTGTCTGTGTATTGATTGGTTTTTGGGCCAGACTTTCGTTTATGTGACGCCTATGTCACATGCCGAGTGTCTTGGTTCACGTCTAAGGTTGTAAAACCTCCTTAGACTACTGGTTATCTTAAAATTAGAATATGCATTTTTTACCCAGGGCAAAAGTTGTGAAGCATTAGTAGTAACAGTATTGCTAGTACTACAGACTAAGATGATCTATGAGAGGCGAACAAAAGAGCAGCATATCAGACCAAAAATCCGTCGCATCGTCTATTCTAAGCAGCGAACCAAGCACAAATGTTATGGCCACTGTCTACGATCCTGCTCCAAACACTCTGCCGATCATCGCAATCAGTTCTCCAGCGAGGTCATCAACCTCGCTTGGGAATCCCTCAATTGCGGAAATCTCAATCTGAGTGTCGAGGGAATCCCTAGCGATGACCAAGCCAAAATATGGCTTAACACCACTAATATCCGTAGTTTTTCGACCTCCTTCGAGCAAGTGCACGGTGCCATGGAAGCAGTAGCTGAGACCTGCCCAGGAGGGCCCAATAAAATAGGACCTGCTAGGATTGATACTTGTTAAGATTAGACGGAATTGATCACGTTGGTTGTATAGAATCATACAACGGAGTTCAAGCAAACCTCCTTAGCTCTACCAATGATGACGTAAAATCTCTCGAAGCTCATTTTATCGCATGCACTATATTCGGATATCACTTATGGATCCAGGACCTTGTTCTTGTTGCTCCGATGGCTCCTTATGAGACAGAAACGGTTTCTTATGAATGATTCGAAGGTATTCAAGTATAACAGACGACCGCTAGATTGTATGAGATCGGATTGTGATTAAAAAATATATATATATAATTCGTTAAATCTCCGCGAATGGTTCTTTCAAACCCGTTTTTCATCCTGCCAAGCTACCGACGATCTTCAGCTCTGCCTTGGCTTTGCGACTCGCGCCCTTAACCTCAACGCGCTTTAACGGGCGGTAGACGGGATCCCACATCTGCTCTCTAATCCACCCGTCCAGCTCCTTCTCATCCGTCGGGATGTCTTTCTCAGTCGCGACGCCCTCCTCCACGGCGGCCTGAATGACTTCGCGTGCAATCCTCACACTGACGTCTCTCACATTGTCGACACCAGGTACAAGTGGGGCCGTCTCATCCTTCAGCGCAGGGCTCAAGTCAGAGACACCTTTGACAGCGGCAACCAACATCTTGTCCGTAACCCTTGAAGCGCGGCAGAGGACGGAACCCAACCCGATACCCGGGAAGACCACGGAGTTGTTGCACTCAGCGGCCTCAATCTCAATCTCCTTGCCATCCTTGCCCCACGGTCCCTTGACCGGCTTGAAGGGCGAGCCGGTAGCAACGAGGGCTTTACCGTCCGTCCATTTCAGAAGGTCCTCGGGGACGGCCTCATGGAGTTTCGTGGGGTTCGACAGAGGCAGAATCACCGGTCGCTCGACGTGCTTAGCCATCTCCCTAATGATCTCTTCGGTGAACGCCTTGGGCTTCGTGGATGTACCAATCAACACATTGGGCTTGACGTGCTTGACGGCCTCAAGCAGGTCACTTCCTTTGCCTGCAAAGCCAGGGTCGTCCTTTGCGTAGCGCTTTTGGGCGTCTGACAGGTTTTCGGTCTTGGTGGTGAGCAGACCTGGCTTGTCAACCAACCTGTGATCGTATTAGCGCCTTTCCTTCACACTTTCGATAAAGTATGTTGTAAATACTTACCAGATTTGCTTTGAAGCCTCGTCTTTGCCGCAGCCTTTGTAAGTGACGATTGCGTCTCTTACCTGATCCGCGATGCCAACACCAGCGGTACCGGCACCAAAGATAATCAGTTTCAGGTCCTCGAGTTTCTGTTTGCTGACGTGCAACCCTGCCATGATTGCTGCCAGGGTCACGCAACCAGTGCCTTGTACATCATCGTTGAAACAGGGAATCTTGGGTTTGTAGTGATCAAGAATTCGGCGAGCTAAGATAGGTTAGATCGGCCTCAAGAGCGACTTCGTTGTTGTAACTTACCATTTGTGAGACCGAAATCTTCGAAGTGGATGTAAGCCCTCGGATACAACTTGCGGGCAGCAGTGACAAACGCATCGACAAACTTGTCGTAATCCTCTCCACGAACACGCTTCTCCTTCAATCCCAAATAGAGATCATCGTTCAGCAACCCTTCGTTATCCGTGCCACAATCTAGTACCACGGGGAGGGTTCTGTCCGGATGGAGACCGCCGCAGAGTGTGGTGAGGGTAAGCTTGGCACTGGAGATCAAGATACCACCAACACCTTGGTCACCAATACCGAGAATTTCTTCTCCGTCTGTAAGGTTGTCAGCCACTGAAAATATTCTTGCAGATTTATTTGTTGAACGAACCCGATACTACGATGTAGTCAATGTCGTCCGCAGTACCCCATTGTGCCAGGTCATGCTCAACACGATCTACATCTCTGATGTTGAGAAAGCAGCCCTCTGGTCGTCGGAAGAGGCGCGAGAAGTTCTCGATAGCCTCTCCTTCCGTTGGTGTATAGACTACACTAAACATTTCTTGCATGTGGTCTTGTAGCAGCTGGTTGGGGTCAGATACGCTCCATTCTGTCAGGCCGGGGACCAGTGGGGATATTAAGTCCTTACTCTAAAGTACAGAATGAGGTTCTGCTCCTTCAAGGAAGTTAGGAAATCATTCTTTGACAGATCATCGGGCTGTGATGAGTACTGCTCATAGGCTCGCTTGACTTGATCGTCAAGTGTTTGAACACGCGCAGGTAGCAACCCAGTCAGCTCGAATGTTCGTCTTTCCTCGGCAGTGTGTGCCGAGCCTCTGTTGAAATAAGGGGTGTTGAGCAGGACTGAACCGCTCACAGCACAGTCAATAGGGCCGCTGGTGCTCAGAGGCAGATGCGACCACTTTGACTTCGTTTCGGATGCCATGGTGGACGTTGTATGAAATCGTGAGCAAGATGTAAATAATGGGACGGAACGACGTAGAAGATTGCGGCTGAGGAACATAGGTCAAGAGCTCAGAAATGTGAAACTTGTTGCCTGTTTATTATGATATATAGTCTACTACTAGAAAAGTTCTTGGCACCTTATAAGCACGAGCAGAAGGTGCGCATCTAGATTTCCAAAAGCTTGCGTGTGGTGTGACGTCGTTGTTGCCAAACAAGCTCGTCCTTGGTCACGGCATTTGAGGACCAAATGGACCGATTGAATGGATGTGCAAGTGGGGATTTGACGGGCACCAGCGGAGAATCAAGCTCGAGGGTCACTGAGCGTCAAGCTTCACTAGAGATTCTAGCCTGAAAAAGGCGGTGCATCGAAGATGTAATGTAGGACTCCTGGGAGCCACGCTCGTGTCGTGCGATAAAAGAATAGACGAACGTGGACTATGATGGCCCGGTGATTTGTTCTAGCAGCGTTTCAACTGGCAATGCGAGCACCGCCAGTAGCATTCACCGAACCAACTTGTCACCGCAACACAAGACGCGACGCGGATGTCAAGACCCTCCGAAGAGGATTCGTGGGAAACGAATGGCCGGAGTGATGTTACTGCATATTTGCAATTCATGTAACAAAAGAAATCGTTGTTAGCCGAGAGCAGCTCTTACCGTGTTTTCAGCTTTTCATTCATTGAGTGTCTAACCACTCGAGATCTGCTTCCTTACTGTACAGTGAGCTCGACCATTGATGTAAATGTCAAGTCTATATTTACTAAGGAAAATTTTGTTGGCTCAAAGAGGTGAAACGCACGGGCCATGCAGCGCTGCTAAGTTCACTGTTGGGCGACGACAACTATATCCACATCCGTGGAACCGCCAGCCAGTGGTTCCGCCGACAAGAGGCCTGATCATGCAAATTTACATACCAGCGTAAGCTCCGAATCAGTCTCGGCATTCGGCAAACCGAGTTAACGTCACTGACTTTTACATCATACTTTATAGTCCGGCACTGACATCAAGTCATGTTTTCGGAGTTCAGTGGAGGGCTGACATCTATAGTCACAGCTCCAATAAATTGGTGTGTGTTTCAAGCGGGCGACATACGACTTCGCGCATCAGGATGAGTAGAAAATATCGGGCGGCTTTGTTAGTATAATAAAGACTTTGTAAATTCAGCAACATAATTCAGGATGACGAGTTCCACGCGGAAGAGTAATGTCAAGAATGGCAAGAATGTATAAATTGGTGCCCAAACTCTTGGTGTAAACGCGTTGCCCAATTCAGCATATAGCAACTGAAGCGAAGTTATGCATAGGTGGAGTTGCTCAGGAATTGTTTAGTCGCTACACCAACCGACCATACAATTCTAGCCACTTCATCTGTGAGAAAAAAAAGATAAACAATCGTAAAACGAATCTTGCATAAAACTCAAAACAGATAGTACTGGTTCTCTTGTGGAATTCCTTGTGCTTCTGGGGTTTGATTTGTGTCGTGTATTTGTTGATTTTCTTGTCTATGGTGCTGAACTTGGTAGCGAAGTCCAAAACACCCTCTACTTATATAAGACTACGGTCTGTGACGTTTGAAGGAGTGCTTGCAATGATGCTGCCCTGATGTTGCTCCACCCGAATCACTTTCTCTCTGTGCGCAAGGCCGTTGATCACTAATCGGCGTTATCTAGTGCTAGGTGACGTACTAAGGACAATTAAGTCCATCCCGCATCTATGCATTGTTTTTTGTACTTGATGCTTAGCAGGATCGATACGTACGGGGCATGGACATTGTTGACGTGGGTAGTTGATTGCTTTATGGGTTACTAGCCTCTAAACAACGAGTAGAAAACGACGTTAATCAGATATGAAGTAACGGTTAATCCATCGCCATGGAAAGTGTTCGTCCAGACACACCACCTCGGAGAGCAAACTGGCATGCTAGCAAGCAGCCATTGGCTTCACTTCCACGGGCAAAACAAGATTGAAACGAGAAAGTAAGAACCAATTGGTTAACAGCTTATTCCGCAGAAAAATTGCAACAAAAGTACGTCCTATGGGATGTGTTGAAGGTTCGTTTTGAGAGAGTGTTATATGGTACTGCTGATTTATTGTAAGAGAGCTTCAGCCATTGGTGGAGGAAAAACTTCATTCTTATAATAGGGCGGTTTCCAAGTGTTGAAAGGAACCTAACAGAATCTACATGGTATACAACTATCATCCTATTGACGACCACACAATCATATTCCTTGGCTGGACTGCCATTCGACAGGGCAATGCCAAGCTTACATGGTGCAAGTCCAAAACGTCTGCCAGCTTGTATTTATCCTACCATGTTAGAGATATTTCACTCGACAACAACATCATATTCACATGGAACCTTCTATAAATTCCCCAGCCACAACAACTCCCTGACTCCAAAACTCTATCCTCACTCAGCTAAACTTCCACATCACTGAATATTTCAGATTCGAAAATTTAAGCAAATCAACAATGAGACAATCTCGTTTGGTAGTCGCCTTCCTAGTTACTCTCACCGTGGCTCAATCTTCCCTTGTTCAAAAGAATGATATTCGCTACTGCACTCTCAAGGCCTGGGAGACTCTGCCAGCCTAATTCCTCTTCACCGACCAATGTCGAATGTCACGAAGCCCTTGTCGGCGTTATTTCAAATCCAGGTGGTTATCACACCAACCTGACTGGTGCCTCTGCCGGCGAAAGACGCGGCGTATTCAACTTGCCTTGCCGATTACCTCTGGGTCGGGGACCTGGACAGGCAGATCCGCTGGAGTTTTTCTTTGCCAACAAGGACATGCTTGATATTTATCAAGGAGTCATCTCGCGGTTCGGAAGTAGTGACCAAATGGCAGCCACAGGCACGATCACCTGCGAAGGAAAGAAGGTCCAGTGGTGGATCGATTGAATGTTCAGGAGTGAACATTGAAGGTGTGGGATTAGGAAGGCGTTATTATTAGCTGGCTTTTGAGCGCCAGATATGGGATAATCAAGCCCCTCGACCCGTTCTTCGGGTCAACATGAAAAGTACTTGATTAATTAAATTATAAAGCTTCGGCTTCGTGAACTGCGATCTCGCCACTCTCATTGCTTTCTATGTTTGGTTTTATTGTTGGCACGATCCTTGGATCCTCGCTTGCCTTAAGCTTTTTGCCATCTACTCTCGTGTATCTTTTGAGATTTCTACTATCCTGCAACAATATAGCTAGCTAGCGGTGTTTTGATATATGTGCTCTCGCTTGATGACCGACCCGTCGGCACCTTGTGTATTTGAATCTAGCGACTTATCGTGTTTGATTCTTATTCCCTGTTGGTCGTGGGCGGCTATGTAAGCTAATGTAATTGCGCAGCATAAGACTAAAAATGAAAGACAATCTGACGAGCCAATTAGGAAAACTGTCTGCACATGTTCAGGGGCTTCCGCGTTTGCTCCAGTCATCCGAGTCATCGTCACGGCAGCGATCCTGAATATTGTGGGGGCGTGGGATTTGAAGCTGACAAAATTGACCATATAGTGGAGTAGGTTGATAAGGCTGTGGTGCAAGTGCGTACGACCGTACGTTCCAACGATGCGTTGCTGCGGGTTAAGCATAATTATGATCAATGCATAGGTGAGATGGCGCCAAATAGTGGACACAAGACCTAACGTGATTGCCGGGATTCTGGCCGTTACCGGCGAATCAGAATAGCTTACTGTCTTTTATCATGTGTTTTAAGGTACAGAACCACGATCATACTTAACCGGGTTATAGAGATTCGTTCTTCATTTTCTTCATCGCAATAACAAGCAGTCAATGCATGGCAATTTCAAAGGCACACCACCTCTTATATCCACTATTTGAGCGCTAGTTAAGAACATACTGTAGGACTATGTATAGAGCACCGTTCTCAGACAACTTATACTAGTTAATTAATTACTTACACGGCAGATGACAGCTTGACCCAGTCCGCTCGGTCATGGTGTACCAAGGTAAGAGGGAAAAGCAAGCCAGAGCACCATAACAGTACGTGAAGAATAATATTGATAACAGTCACAACCATGTTGCGGCCGGTATGTAATTGAATTTTATAAACATTGACCTATTAGCATATCTATCCAGACCGGGTGAATTGTATCGGGTCTTGAAGAGAAGTGTTTAAGTTGCTGAAAAGATTATTGGAGAGTTGTGAAAAGATTATTGGAGAGTTGTGAAAAGAAGAAGTAAAAAAGAGACTAAGCAGTCGATGTGTATATTGCGTGGGAGGGTGGATGATAGGCGCCGCGTCGTAAGTAGCTACAAAATTAGCCAAGGTTAACCTAGTCAACGCAAGTATGGGTGCGAGGTCACGTGGCCGGGCGTCCTCTTTTGCGTAGTTTAGTGGTTGTGGGGGGCTTGGACAGTGAATCAGGCAAGCTGGGCCTACAGTACTTATGGAGCCTCTGCCCCTCAGCCCCTCAGCCCCTCTCCTTTCAAGTGGGCCGCCATAACAAATCACACGTTAGCTAAGCTATAGGCTCAGCTTGTGTGTAGTCACCTTGGACATACGGGTCCGTACTTTCTATCTATCTGGCAGTAAAGTACGAACAAGCCTAGCAATTATTATTCGCACCGAGTCAATTGGAACAACGCAAACCGCGTTCAGTTTAGTTGGGGTTATACTTGACTTGTCGGCGCAGGAGATCATGTCTGCATTTCGATGTCATCATTTAACCTTACTGTTTACACTGTATATGTCACTAAACAACTACCTGTTCTCGACGGGATTCAAAAAATTTTTTTTTTTTATTATTATTTTTAATCAAGTGCAGAACGGCCGTGTAAACATTGCCGACTGCCTCATCGTATGTGGCATTAGTGTGGTAAAGGACGCTGGGAATAATATGAGATCTGGTATTGAGCCAATAAGCGCGTTCCCAGTACTGCGCAACCAGGACAACAGGTCTATCCTTGTGGGCACACAGAAACTACAACGACGGGCTGAGTGTGGAGCCAACTCTCTGCGTGGGCCAGAAGTTCTTTGTAATAACGCCAACTACACGTTGGCAAGTCGTAACGATTTGAGCGACGGTCATGGTCACAGTGACACTCATTCACGGTCGTCCACGCATAGTCACGAATCAAGCCTTCATATCATCAATGTCCGGAAATTAATCCTCCTCACGAAGACGCGGATAATCTGAGTTGGTCGGTATAGCACGTTTATGCTATGAGCCTGGGATGTTTACTCATTCGCCACCTAGCTCGTCGATTGCCAACGCAGGTTAATCTGTTTCTTCCGAACCTTTTTGAAACTATTAGCATTTGTAGCAAGTGGAATTATAGCAAGACTTACCATAGGCCCCAAGGCCAAAACTCCAGCAGTTAACGCTAGCACAGTTCCGATCAAAGTAACCTTGTTGAAGCCCTTTCCAAGTACATCGAATGCCATGCTGGGAGTCACCCTTGTGCCGAAGACGTCAATACCATAGCCGAAGACCAAGCTGGTGCTTTCCAATATAGCTGGTGTCGTGATAATACTGTTTACGCCAATAATATCACGCTCATGTGTGATCAACCACCGCGAATCTAGCTCAATAGACGGGTGGTACCTGGTCAGACCCTCTTCGAGTTCGGCTGCAACAGGATCGCGACCCACAACGCGACGCGGTTCGATAACGACACGAGGAATGCCAATCACCGAGTGAAGATCAGGTGCATATGCCAGAAGCTGACGCGTGGTGATACCTTGTCTTGTCTGCGTCACAGCAAGAGACTTGATAGGACCAGAGAGAACAAACGTCTTCGACACAGCAGAAGGAGCTGCTGGTCCGTTAGGTAGATCTACAGGATCGAGCGACGAATAGTTGACGGATTCATCTAGAGGACCACGGTCGTTGCTTAGTTCCGATTCGTAAAGATCCGTGACGACAAGTTGATGACCCTTCAAAGTCTGCTTTGATGATTCCCGGAGCGCATACTCGCCATAAAATGAGCATACGAACCAGTTCTCAGCGATTGCGCACGTGACATCCTGGTTGGGATCGACACCCTCATGGGTTGAAGAAGTGAGAATCTGGCCAGAGACTGCATCCAGCAGATATACTGTCAAGGAAGAAGTAGCCTCGTCAACGGCCGCAACAACCAACGTGTTGGGATTTATATACTTGTACTTCACGCTCCGGTCTCCAAGAACACGACCGATTGAGGCAATGGGGTCGTGGACAGACCTCGTTGCAATGTTGACAATCCTCTGGTTTGGCTTTGTAGAGAAAACCCAAGCGGGCACCTCAATGGCTTGCTCACCCTGGGGTTCGAACGTCTTTCCTTGAAGTTCGTTGCTAGCAGTGCGAGTTACAACAACTTGCTTCGGAGCCCATTGAATTGGGAGATCACCGATCTTACCGTCTACTCCAATAGGCAGTAGCCATGGCCCAGCAGCACTGTCGACAAGCACAGCATTTTCAACCGGCGGCCAGAGGCCAGGGTTCATGGTCTCGACAGTCTTGCCAGTATCGGCTTTCACGATGATGTATTCGCCAGTAGCACCCCGTACAGTCACGAACCCCTTCGAGGAATCAGCATGGATGGCTCTGACGTCCCAAGGGTTCGACGAAGGAGTTTCTCGCGATGACTTTGACCAAACAATGCGGCCGTGGTTGCCAGCATCAAGACCATACAGCTTGCCTCTCTTAGTCGCTAGAACAACCAGTTTGTTGAAGCCGAAGCTATCACGAGAAAGAGGTGTACCGCTGCTATGATGAACCTCTGTCCCAAGAACACTGCTTGCTAAACGACTAGGGATGGACTGGAGCCAAGCAGGAAGGTGTTGCAAGTCGTTGATGTGGCGATTCACTCGATGGATATAGGCTTGAACGGGGTTGCTGTGAGCCTCGGCATCCAGAGTCTTGGCTAAGTCTTCCGATTCTGGGATCTCGGCCCATGTCGCTGCAACTGCACCGCTAAGACCTTCAGGGCGTAGCCAACCAACCTCTCCATTGCGAATCATTTGCCAATCATCGGAATCCAAGACAACTGCCGATCTGACGGCAAATTCATTCTCTGATTTTTTGATGACCTCCGAAACGGCATGCAGCGCATCCGTCTTAACATCCGCGCCCTTAACGGGCCAGCGTCCGATGATGCCATGGGAAATCGAAGAAGTGATAATGACTTCATCATGGGTGACACGGGTGAAATATACGTTTGAACCAGAAGCGCTGGTCGAGAATGCGCTGTCTCCATCGAGCAGTGGCAGATCGTACGCTTTCGTGACAGCATTGCTCTTGAGGTCGACGTGGAAAACATCTGCCTTGTTGGCTGTCTTGGTTCGACTTTGGACAAGGAAGTGAGGGAGAGACTGGACGTGGTGGGGGGCGTGTATCTCAACCGAGGTGGTATCATCAGGAAGCGGGAATTCAGCCTTGCTCTTGGTGCCGAGAACATTGACCTTGAACTTGGTCAAGGCGTTGTCGGTCCAGGCGACTATGGGCGCAGCAGAGTTGGCACCAACAAACATGACGTCTTCCTCATTTTGAACTTCTCCCTTGGTACCAATGCTGATCTCGTCAAGTCGCTTGCCAGTTAATGGATCCAGTACCGTGACCTTCAGGGTGTAAGATAACAAGTATCCGTGCAGGCTCACAACGAAGATTTTCTCCGAGTTTGTGCTGACCTGCAGTGGAATATCGCTGATAAGGGCTCTGAACTCCCACACTACATGACCGTCAGTTCCATGGATCCTTCTGGCTACTGTGGCGCCCTCCTCTTGATGCAACACAAGAACGTCCTTTCGGCCGCTCTCGGTGAGCTCCAAAACCTCGAGGTCCTTGACCTTGCCCGGGAAGTCCAGCGACCAGACATTGCGGCCTGTGAGTGCGTCCCAGGACTGCAGGGAGCCTCCCAGGGCGCTGGTGACCCAACTCGCATCTTCTGCAGCTCTGAGATGACCATGCCCGTCTGTCAGGTTATTACCTAGCAGCTGTCTCCAGACGACAGTGCCGCTGCTGGGATTGACAGCTCCTAGGACGCCCAGGTCACTGAGTGTGTAGAGAAGACTGGCCTTCTCCTCGGGCCGCGGTCGATGGAAGAAAGTTGTCTCTCGTTGTGGTACTCCGAGGAGTTCGTGGTGGTAATCTATGTGGTCGACTTCATCCTGGAAGACGGCTCGCACTGCGGCGGGCAGCGCTAACAAGATGGTAAGTGCTCGCGGGGAGATATGCATTGTCGATGTTGGGAGCTCGTCCCTGTGGTTGAATTCTTAAATCGCGATCATCGAAAGCTCCCTATGGTTTGGAGCGTTTGTTGGTGTTGTGCCACTGGAAGCTATCGACCTAATCGGCGTGCTCACAGATAGCTAATAAGTAATTGTACAGTAGGCTAACCTAGTCTAACCTTGGGTACATAAACGGATCCGTGTTGAATGGCGTGTCTTGTCCTGCCTTGTCTTACCTAAGGTTGCAGGCGGTCCTGCTCCAACGTCAGTGGTGTCCATCGGGCCCACAAGCTGCAGAAAGTGGCCCGTGCATGTCGTATTACCTGCGATCAATCAGGTTAATTGCATGCCGGAAGTAAATATGATATCGTCCAGATATCTGTTGCAACCTGGCTTACACCAGACGATTCCCAAGCATTCATATCGCATACCGCTAGGATGTCTGTTTCCTAAATTAAACGGTCGACTCAAATTCTTGATCTGAAGGGCCCTGTCCCATATCCAGCCGACCAAAAAAGAACGGTATAGAGACTGACAACATTCGCAAGGCGGGCCATGTGACATGGCGCTTATACAAAGACGCACCCGTTGAAATACGGCATGTGGTGAAGTTAGGACAAGAAACCAACATGGAAAACTTTTAGAAGCCCCGCCATCTACCACGTTCGAAGCTTCCACTTCTATTGCTCCTCTAAACATTCGTCTCATATCTTGGTATCCCAAGCGTTAAAGTAGCGATGCAACCGATCGGCTCGGCTGCGGTGCCCAAGAAGGGTACAACGCATAGATGGACCTCGGGGGGGGGGGGGGGGGGGGGGGGTTCGTTACTCTCAACGCGATTCTGCGTCGGAAACAGCCATTCGGATCTGGTTGGATATTCCAACGTCAAGGCTCGAACCCTGTGACTGCATCCATGAAGCGAGTCGGCTTTCATATGGGCCATGACCCAGACGTGGCAGAACGAATATGACAAGCACCAAACACCATGATGCTGGCAAGAAACTTAGCAAATACCAAGGCATTGCCGCCAGCTCACGAGTCTAGATTTAAAGAGCTGATTGCCGAAGTAGCGGTCGTTGAGAAACGAGACAGGCAAGCCGTCAAATATGGAGATAGATGCTGACTAAATTAATGCGGAAGAACCAATTGACGTCGCATAAGATTACCAAGGCACGACGCCGTCTACCTCGATCATCTGCCCAATCTCATTGTCTCTGTCGCCCGCAATGATATTGGCACAGCTCTTGCCAGGAACATCTGCCTCCCAAGCACCCTGTTCTCGTCGCAGTTCCACTGGCCCGAACAACTCGGTGATCGTATATCCCGGATTGAACGCCAGGACTTTGATGTCGTGCTCTTTCAGCTCATATGACTGGCACGCCGTCATCATATTCAAAGCTGCTTTGCTCATACGGTACTGGGTAGAAGGAACATCGTAGTTTTTGGAGTTGGGGTCGCAGCGCCATGCAATGGAGCCCAAGTCGCTGCTCACATTGACAATGCGCTTTTCCTTCCTACTGCCGGGGGCCTGCGCGATGAGCAATTTCTTGAAGGCCTCACTGACTACGAACGTGGCTATTACATTGGTTTCAAGCGTGATGCGGAGGTTGGCGATCCGGTCTTTCTCCCCGGAGATGATGCCGGCGTTGTTGACCAGCACGTCAAGCCGGCCAGCTTCTGACTTGACCGTTGAGACTGCCTTGTCGATAGACTCGGCGGAGTTAGTGTCAAGCTGTACAGCCGAGACTGAGTTGCCGTACTCGGCCGTCAGGTATGCTACTGCTTTTTCTCCCTTCTCAATGTCTCGGGCACCAAGATAGACATGATAAGGGCCTCTGCTACCGGTTTGAAGCAGTGCCTTGACAATTTCATAGCCAATCCCTCGATTGGCGCCTTGTCCGCGTCAGAAAGCTTCTTAATCAACGATTTGTTAGGAACGCACCTGTAATGAGGACTATGGTCTTGTTTGCGTTAGTGGTCATGTTCGCTGTTAGTCTAAGATGAGCCAAAATATTTTAAATAGCGAACTGTTTAGGTGACTATCTTTTTGGACTTGGCTGTGCGACCTTGGCTCTTATAAACAGAGTTTAGCACTCGCTGCCCTGTTTGCAATGACGTTCTCTCTCGGCCGATATCTCCGCTGCATTTACTAGGCATCCATCTCACACTCGGTGTTTAGGACTTATCACCAAGTTCATGGTGAGTCATTCGGTCTGATGGTCCATAGCCATTCACCAAAAATGTGCGAAGTCGCATAAGCTTGAGCGTTCACTAGCCCAAGTAATAGCCTCCATCTCGTCCCATTGCATTTTATACTACTGAATATCTATCCAAACCACTAGTCTAGGTTACTAAGACTTTTGGGGTTATTCCACTTTAGGCATGTTAGTGAAAGTTCTTCAGAAATTTAAACGCAGCGTCCTGGGACATTTATGAGCGCCACCTGCCGTCAGCTACAGTAAGGCGAGCGGTATTTGGCGATCGGACTTGGACAAATGGATACTTCGAAGGAAAGGCATTTGACGAGGCAGTCTGACTATTCACGCCAGAGTCAACGGGCAATAACGCAGGTTCTAGACATGCCAAGAGACGGTATCAGAATACAAGCTCTGACATAGTTGCCAAGTTGAGCCACCACAGCAGGATAAGTGGGGTTAGATCGACCTCCTGATAAGTCGGGTCTGCAGCTGTAGCGTCTCGTCTTGTCGCTGCCACCTCGCAACAGCTTCAGCTCCCAACAAAAATTCCAGGCAGCATCTCGCAGCGTCTTCACAGCATTATAAAGAAGTAGCGATATGGCGGAAAAGCGCTCTGCGGACACCACCAGTGACCAGCCCGGCAAAAGGCATCGCTTCAACGGGTCTTCGAATTCCTCCAAGCGCCATGGCCAGGGCGTCGACGAGACCTATGGCCAGCGTTTCGCTTTTGGTAACCTCGACGCAGCGACTATCCCTAATGATAGAGACCTCGAGTGGGAAGACGAATCCGACGCACTAGCATACCTCAAGTTCGTTCGAAACCAAGCAGAAGGCATTCCGCACGTGCTAGTTGCCAAGAAATCTGGACCAGAGCTGCCAACAGCTGAGGACGGCACGATAGACCGGAGCATCTACGAAGATGGAAGGGGCGACTTCAGGGGCTACTACCACGATGGCGCATACACTGCACTCCCAGCCGGCTACGACGAAGAGGGAGACGAAGATGACGAATACCGGGATCAAGAAGGAGCAGAAGGTGATGCCGAGACCGAGGACGCTGGCAACGACAATGAGATTAAGAGTGAAGAAAGCAGCATAGGAGGGCCTCGAAACAGCAATTCTGCAGAAATCCACGAGGCATACTACATCGCCCTCAGTCAACAATACCACTTGCTACGAACCAAGCTCCGATCCAAACCACCTAGCAGCGTTGTCTCAGCACTTCCTCCCGACCATCCCACAGAAGTTGGCGGTTTTGGCGCGTCGCCAAGTCCTTTCAAGCAATGGTCATCCCGACTCACGCATACAGATCCGTTGCCAGCCCAGATTGCATCAATGCACAAGGACAGTGTGCTGCGTTTGCTCCGCATCGTCCTGAATGGAAAGTTCTTTAGGAGAGGGCAGGAAGTGCGTGAGCGCACTAGTCGTTGGATCTGGGCCCTGCTTGCTCGCTTGCCGGAAAAAGGCGAGCTAGACTACCAAGACATCGGTGTGGTTCGCGAGCTCGGGAAACGTGCCGTTCTATTCATGTTGAGCTTAGCTGAGGCCGACGTCCTGCAAGAACAGTTTGGCGTGGGAAGCAGCGGTGGCAATGAAGACGTGGGTGAGGTGGAAGTCGAAGAGGCCGAAGAGGCGAGTGCAGATGGAGAAGACGAGAGCGGATCACACAATGCTTCGAAACCTGAAGACGGTCATGATACGAAAGACGATAACACGAAATCTCAAAATCAATCTTCAGGGACCATGAACACTGATGAACCAAGAAAGGAGCTATCGCCAGCGGCTAGCGGCATTCCATCTCCACCGTCTGACGTCGAAATGGAAATCGACTCAGACGAAGAGGACGGGGAAGTATCCTCCGAACCCCAATCCCAATCACACAACGACACACCAGCTGACATAGAGACGGCCAAGGCCCGGCTTCTGGCCCAGCTTGAGACTCAAGACGAGGAACGCACGGAAAGTCCCAGCACTACTGGCCATGCCAGCACCTCAAATACAGCATTAGGTGAGATAACTGTAGTCCAAGAGACCGTAGCTGCAAAGACCGACGTCAATGTGCGAGCTACCCTCAACATGATTCTTACCGTGGCTGGTGAGTTTTACGGACAAAGAGACCTCCTAGAGTTTAGAGACCCCTTTGGGCATAACATTGAAGGATAGCTCGAGCATCGCGCTAGTATATATTCACACTGTAATGTCTTAGATCAGCTTAAAGCATTCACAAGCAAGCACCTGAATAATAGACCAAACCTTGAGGGTGATGTCATTGTGCTGCCGCTCTGGCCGCCTATTATCCGAGACGGCAACTGGCTTTGTTGCCAGCCAACATAACGACCTCGGAGATTCTTCATAAATGATGCCAACGACGTGGTGACGAAGCAGTTATCGCTACAACAGGGACTCTAATGTGCACAGGTAGATCCTGACAATTTGATCATTTTGTTTGTGAAGAAATATTTTTTATTTCAGAAGTTGGGTCAGCTGTACGATAATTGTGACAGTCGACAACGCACCACGAATGTTGACATGTTTACGGAGAACAAATCAAAATCCAGCCCTAGTAGTGACATACACGTGCAAAGAAAACCCCAAAACGCCATCGCATGCAAATAAAGCAAACAAGCATAAAAGCATCCAGCATCCAAAGGAGCCGCAACAGTCCACCAGTCTTCCCTGGACGATCACTAGAAGGCTGAGCTAATCAGCAATGCCAGCCTCCTTGCAGTGCCAAGATGTAACGGTTCCTCGTGCGTCCGGTGAACCAGAACGATGCAGGAAGCAAAGCGCCATAGAAGCTCAAACATCATCCATATCCACTTCTAGACTCTGGTCCAGAAAGCTTGCATCTTCAAAGTCCCCACTGGGCATCATAGCGTTCTCCTGTCCGAATTGTTGGGCTCCATTGAAGGCTCCATTTTTGCCCTTGAGGCCGCCTTTCCTAGGCATGGCCATTCTCCTGCTGTTGCTCAGGTCGACCGGTGCCAGGCTTCGTGGGCTCACTTCAAAGTCTTGCCAGCCCATAAGATTCAGCTGATCTGGCACCTGAAGGATTTCATCCTCTTCATCAGCAAAGCACCGCTTTCGTGTGGCGGTGCCAGTGACGCCAGAAGCATATAGATCGTTCGACTCCACAGACTTCTGGCTGAGAGTAAGGCCTGGAACGTCGTCCATGGCATCGGGGTCAACGAGTCCCAATGGGACGCCCGCCGAAGGTAGACTGAACGCGAACTCATCCGAGACGGAAGACTCCTGTGTGCCGAACCCTCCAATCTTGTTGATGCCGCAGAATGGCAGCAGCTCTCTCGGCGTGGACAGTGCGTCTGGTCGCGGCCGGCCGGTGTCAGGAGTCGCGCTTGTCGGGATCCCGTCCTTCCTGTTCTCGTCCCAGAGCGAGAATGCGCTGTAGCCGACGGTCTTGTATCCTTCCGGCACTGCCTTCCTGACTCTCATGCCTACGGACAAGAGGTTCGCCTGCACTGTAGCGTCAGATGCACTGAAGCCTTTCGGAGAGGACTCGTCTGAAGGCGTGGAGGGGTGGATGGGGCCCGAGCTATTGAAGAAGGAGGTGATGCGACGCTGTGCGGGATCGCTTGCTGCGCCGGCAAACTGGCGCTTTGTTCGTGGTGCAGACATGCTGGCGTGTGCAGTGATAGGGCGAAACGAAAGGGTATATCGATGTGCCTCTCCAGGCCAACGGTTGGCGCTCAGTCGACCGAAGCCACCCGTTACAGTTGAGAAAAGGTCAGAGACCAATGTGCCTTGCGTCCCGGTTCGTACCCCTCGACGGATATCTAAGTCAATGCGGGCCGGGTGACGCAAGTTGCTAAGCAAGAATTGTGCAGAACCACTAAACGAATGAAAGGAAATGAGTGTTGCACTTATCGCACAGATTTATGAAGTTGTGAGCGATGACGATGAATCCAGGGTGAGAGGCTGGGGGGATTTGGGGTTGGGAATGATTAAAGCTCGGCTCTCGATTGGTTTCAACGGTGGGGAAAGAAGACGCGCACTGCATCTTTCTTAAGCGTGTTTTTTCGCGTAAATGGGGGACGGGGACCGTCGATCTTCCAAGTTGCACTGCTCAGTCCGCAGAATAATCCATGTGGGATTACGAATTACAGTAACCTTAGTTACATCACTCTCAAACGCCTGCCGATCGACCAAATCACCATGCGCAGGCATTGCAAATACACCGTTGCAAGCATCTGCCACTTTAGAACGAGAGAAGCGAAGTGCAGACTCTGCATTATCATCACAAGACAAATGCCGACCGGCGAGTAGGTACTTTGTATCACCAGTACTATAGATACAGCGTTGGGGCTATGATTGGCCCACTACGACGACCCAGTTTGAACTTGCATACATAACTACGGATCCGTACTGCCCTGCTTTCTTACGGAGTAGGTTAGTCACCTACTTTTGTACTGTGGTACTATTGAGCTAAAGACACCCACTCTGGGACGTTGTCTCATAAGAAGAAACCCATCCACTAATGATCTATTCGGGGGTGCCTGGGCAGCCTGGGGAATGTTTTTTTTGGTTCAACGCAGCAAAGACCATTGCTCTTCCTGCATCATCACATGCTTTAGCGAACGTTGTGATTGGTGAACGACAAATATGGGTGGGGGAAGGCGTTGATCGATTGGGTCTGTGGTCACGATATTTCCAGCATGCCAGAGAGTGAAATGCATGCTATTTGCTTAACCTAGTGGGATGCGGGCCGCCTGCTAAGTCCTTACATACCACCCCCCTCGCTTGCTTCCCAGCGTGCCAGGTGCTAAAGGACCCTGGACCCAGTCGATTTCGCCTTATTGGGCACGTTGGCTTCTGAATTGTCACATTCAAACTGACAGACGAATTGTCGTCCCTTTGCTATCGATTGGCCGTTGTCGCATTCTTTTCGAGAATGAGCTCATTGTAGGCGCGTTACTGAGCGCCAACATTGTTGACCGCCATGTCTCTCATGCCCAGGCCCTTGGATACTGGCGTCTCCCCAGATAACACACTGCTGTCCCCTATCGCATACGACGACGATGCGCTCTCGTTGCACAGCAGGAGCGACCAGGACACCGACAGCGAAGATGACCAACTCGTCGCCCGCGCTCGCAGCAGCAAAGAGCTACGTGCCCGCGACCGCTTAGTTCTGATGGAGGAAGAGGAAATGGACGAACTGGTCACGGCCACCCGTGCGAAACAGGACCGCCAAAGAAGGGGGAGTAACCTGGCCATCCCGAATCCGCTCCAGCTTTTCAGGACCACGAGTCGCGAACGATCGCATAGCCCCATGCTGAAAGGCAAAAAGTCAACTGAAGATGCACACGACGAGAAGAGGCGCGTCCGTCGAAATAGGAGGAAGCAGAAAAAGGACCGCCTGCTTGAGAAGGCGCAGCATGGCGAAGATGGCGAGCTCATGTACGAAATGGAATCAGGTGCAATAAAAGATGGGAGCTCAACTGGCGACAGCAGCGACAGAGAGGACAGTGAAGAACACGACCGCCAGCATCTGCTGATGCACACTGACCGGAAAACCGAAAAGAAGAGACACTGGAAGAAGTGGCTCTTCATTTACACAACCCTCGCAGTCGGCTTTGCTTTCCTGGCTTTATTGGCATGGAAGATGTCCGTAGACAAGAGGAACTCCATGCCGCCACTGGTCAGCAACGGCACTGCCCTTTTTGCCCCGACGACGCTCATAATCAGTTTGGACGGCTTTCGGGCAGACTTTGTAGAGCGCGGGTTGACGCCTAGATTGAGTGCATTCATCAAAGAGGGTGTAAGCCCGCTATACATGAATCCTTCATTCCCCTCTGTCACCTTTCCAGTATGTGAAATGAAAAACTGGCACTGCCAACTAAGCTAACTCTCATAGAACCATTACACACTAGCAACCGGGCTTTATCCTGAGAGCCATGGTGTGGTTGGCAACACGTTCTGGGACCCGGAACTCGAGGCTGAGTTCTTCTACACGGACCCCTCTCGGAGTATGGATCCGAAATGGTGGGGAGGAGAGCCCTTCTGGGTCACGGCCGAGGAACAGGGCCTGCGGACGGCCGTTCATATGTGGCCAGGTAGTGAAGCTCATATCATGAGTGTTGAGCCTAGCATCCTGGACGTGTACAATGGGAAAGAGGAGCTAGCCAGCAAAGCTGCCAGGATCCTGGCGTTCCTGGACAGACCAGGAATGGAAGATCTTAGCGCAGACGTCAAGGATATGAGACCGCAACTAATCGCAGCTTATGTCCCGAACGTCGATGCTGATGGCCACAGGTATGGCCCCAACAGCACAGAAATCCGAACGACTATCAGCCAGGTCGACGGAATGCTGGACACGGTCTTCCATGGTTTAGAGGAGCGGAATCTCACCGACATCGTCAACGTTATCATAGTATCCGACCACGGCATGGCCACAACTGACGTCTCGCGCATGTATCAGATGGATGATTTGATCGACATGACTAAAGTCGATCATGTTGATGGCTGGCCACTAGTTGGTGTTCGGCCTAAGGACCCTTCGTACCTGCAAGGACTGTATGAGCAAGCCGTGGAGAAATCGAACAACAACACAAATTTTGAGGTCTACCTCAGAGACAAGAACATGCCTGAAAGATATCACTTCACAAATAACGATCGCATTGCGCCTCTATGGATTATCCCTAAGACCGGGTGGGCCATTGTTGCAAAGGATGAGTTTGACCTTGAAGAGGCGAGGACCAAAGGATTGGTTTACCATCCGCGAGGGCTCCACGGTTACGACCATGAGCATCCTTTGATGAGGGCCATCTTCATTGCTCGTGGCCCCGCTTTCCCACACGAACCCAACAGCAGGGTCGAACCGTTTCGTAAGTCAAAAACCCAGCCGAAATTAGCAGGAGATACACAAACTAATGACTCTCCAGAAAATATTGAGGTGTACAACATTCTGTGTGATTCGGTCGGCATGACCGCAAAGCCGAACAATGGAACTCTCCGTCTCCCGCTCAAGACTGTTGGCATCCATGACGCTGAGACAGTGCTTGACGAACCAGCAGATCCAGAAGCAAGTACTACGGCCGAGGAAATCGCTACCGGAGTTATGTCGATCTCGCCTGTAGAGACGAGCTCCGCTGCCGACGCCAACGAGCAACCCCCAACAGCTGTTGGTATCGACCCTGTCGAACCACTAGAGGAGCCTGAAACGCCCGAAGAAACTGGAAGCCTCGGAGAGGAGGTCCTAGGGGACAGTGAAAACGCCGAGGATGATCCCAAAGAGTTTGCGTCCTGGCAAGACTACTGGGACTGGCTGACTGGCAAAGTTGATGATTTGTGGCATAAAATTACTGGCTCCGACGATAACGACGACGACGACGACGAAGGCGCAAGCACATCTGAATGAGATTCTGAGTTCTCAGTAACATGCGTGTATCTATATTGTGTTTTATAATTGGAGCAGCTGGCGTTCCTGGGGGGTACTTTGAGGCGACTCTATTTTCGGCTTTTCGGACCTGAATGATGTCTACAGACCGTTGCAAAATATGACTCATAATTAATCATACCGTGTACTCCTATACTCAAACCTAACTCTCATTGAGCGCATATCGTGCGACGGTTTTGCTTTTGACCGCAAATCAGGCGTTCGCAGCACGACGAAAGTGGCTTCGCTCGTACCTGTCGCATGACTCACCAAGGCAGGCACAGCCACTGCAACAAGTAACAAAACACTACCTTACTGAGATACAGCTGGGCCCTGGTGTCTCTCATCCGCCACACGACTCGACCAGTCAAACTCATATTAGCAGACAGTAGAAATGTCGAAATCGACGAAACTAATCATTCTCGACGGACGCACAGGCGAAGGCGGCGGTCAACTCGTGCGGCTAGCCTGCGCCCTCGCAGCCGTAACATCACAACCCATTCGCATCACCAACGTGCGCGGCAACCGGGCTGGACCACGCGGTGGCGGTCTGAAATCACAGCACGTCTCTTCAATTGCATGGCTTGCGAAGGCAACAGACGCTGAAGTCGGCGGTTTGGCAGTTGGATCGCACACCCTAGATTTTGCGCCAGCACTGCCTCCGACTGCGCTGAGAGGAAACAGGATCTGCATAGACGCCGAGTCGCCGGCGGCGAGCACAATGCTGATGTTCCAGGCTGTCTTGCCGTATTTGCTCTTCGCCGGGAACGTTGGGGGTGAGGGGGAGGAGAAGAGCATAGAGCTCGAGATTAAAGGAGGTACCAACGTCTCCTTCTCTTTGAGCTACGAGTACCTGGACCAGGTCTTGCTGCCCATCCTAGAGACACGTTTTGGTATTGTCATTGAAAGAAAGCTGAAGGAGAGAGGATGGAGCTCAGGGCCTACGAGGAAAGGAACTGTCTGGTTTCGTATTCAGCCACTCACCATAGGCGAGAGATTGGCGTCGAGAGGGCCGTGGGATGGAAAACATGCGGATCAAGATTTCGTGGTCGAGCGGATCGATGCGACCCTTCTCGCGCCCAGCAATATGCATTCATACCTACAAGAAGCGCTTGTTAAGGACCTAGATGAGCGATTTCCGGACGTGGATGTCAGGTTCGTTATCACGGAGGAAAGTGCACATGAGAGCCGGATGTATGTACTACTGGTTGCGGTTTCCAAGACTGGTCTGCGATGGGGTCGGGACTTTCTTTACAACAAGAATAGGAAGAAGAAGACGCCCGGAATGCTGAGCAGTGAGATGTCGCGCAAGGTATCCCGGGATCTTCGTCATGAGATATCGCTCCGTGGAGCTGTGGATGAATATCTACAGGACCAGCTTGTTGTGTTCCAAGTGCTTTCCCAGGGCATGTCAAGCTTCGGACGAAACGAGCAAGACGCTGATGGTGATGGCAGAGGCGTTGCACCCGAGATGGATGGGCTTGCCATCATCGAAGAGCAGAGGATGCGAAAGGATAAGACACATGAACCGTTTGGGCAAGGAAGCACACATACAACAACGGCAAGATGGGTGGCTTCCCAACTCCTGCCTCAGGTCAAGTGGTTCAACAAGGGAGAATTATGTGAAGGGGCGGGTATTTCATTTAGCTGATGAGAAAATCGTTAGTTGTGTGATCAGCATGACTCTATCTGCTTAAGACTGGAACGACAACAATTAGTGATGTGCTCGTCGCAATGTTATATTTCTGGCCCATCGAGAAGTCCCAGTGTACAATTGACGCATTGTGTCCGAGCCTTCTTCAAGAATATGCACAATGCACGAAGTCCTCTGCTTTCCGGGCAGCCTGGCAAATCCTGTGCCATTGGGTCTGCATATTCTGCACCCTGTTCTGCCACCAGTAAACCGCTCCAATGAGCAAAGTATCCAATTCATGCATTGACCCCTGCTTATGTGTGCACAATCAAACAATAGGCGGGCCGCAACTGAAGCCGAATTTCCATCCGCTGCAAAAACGTTTGCAGGAGGCGGATAAATTTTCCCCAGGACCTTTAAATGAAACATAGATCATCAGTCCACAGGGACATCTTAGAGACAGCCTTTCCGCATGACAAATGGCGTATTGAATTACTATAAATAGATTCGGTGATGACTGTTTTGTGTTTTCTTGCCGTTGGATATGGTATCAAGAACTAGCCATAGTATTGAATAGAGCAATAATTAATTGTGCGGTCCTCGACAGGAAGGGAGTGGTGCATGATCAAGCCAAAACCGGCGCACAGCAAGGTGAGTCGCTAACTTCTCACCTCACGGCGAGTTGTCGAATGTCTTTACACACAAACGATTCTGACGTGTCTCCTGTCTCAGCGACCGGAGAGACTTGACGGTTTATCTCGCTGGAATGGACTCCAAGTCCCTATGCATACTTCAAGAGCGAATGGTGGAAGCACTGAAGCACACACAATAGACTAGACATGGACCTCAACGGATAAATGAAGGTCAACATCGAGGTCGTCTGCCACAGCAAGCGAGCCATGCCCCTTGTTTTACTACCATGAGCAACAATCCGTGAAACATGCATTTCATCCCCAAATCGGGAGGAAAAATATGTGCAACTTGGGAAATGGCAACGTTGAAGACAATGAAGAGGATGGAGATGGTCACAAAGATCCAAATTCGAGTGATAGTGGAGTGGCTGATTGCCCTCCCACTTTCGCTTGTCCGTTCTGTGAATGGGCACCGCAAATTGCTGACAGAAGCTCCAATGTAGTGCTGAAATTACTCTCACAAGTCAAAGAACATTTGAGAAGAAAGCACTGTCATAACCACTGTGTTCAGTGTCTGAATGTCTATCATGACCTAGCCATGGTAGTAGTCATCAGGAAATTAAACGTACGGGTGACTAGAAGGTGCCTCTTAATTGTGTGAATCATGAGAAGTATGGATTAGTGTTCAATATTGACCGGAAGAAATCTCATGAAGAGATATGAAAGAACGTATTCCGCAATCTGTTCTCGGATGGACCATGGCCGAGTCCCTACATGAAAGAACCGGCCACTGAGTTAAATTTCTCTTCCAGGGACTACTGGCAGAAAGATGAGTTATCCCAAGCAGACCCTACACACGATGAAATGGGTCTAGGTAAAGAGATCACTGCGACAGACCGGAAAGCGTTGTTCCCAAGCGTCATGCGACGTATCGTTGTGTGTATCGAAAAAGCATGGTTCGAATCTGAATAATATGTCACTTGGGTCGCACCTCAGCCGAATGATTCCTGGTCGGTCTTAGTAGGAATCATTGGGTTTTGGTTGAATGCCACTGGCACTGCTGAGCTCAAGGGCCTGACTTTGAATGACATATGCGCCTCTCACAATTTAGAAACATACGTTGAGCCGAACCCTATCGGAGGATATGCGCACAACCCTTTGTATACTGATTCCACAAAATGTCCACAGATCGCATATACTGCAGATTATTCGCTTCATATGCTACAGTTTAGAACTCATGTGGAAGGTCTCCCGTACACTGCCGTCAGCTTTTCCAGCGTACGTCCCACAGACCAACTAGATGCCACCCATACCACGTTTCAACCCTCCATGGTGTGTCAAGGCGCACCGTTGCCACGCGTCTCATTCTCTGCAGTGTGAGGTATACGCGGCTCCTTACATCGCAGGGTCTCAGTTACGCCAGCCACCATTACGGTCGGCCTTTATGGAACCGTCGAATGGACTAGATGGAGAAGAAATCACTGCGGGTTGGGCGCAGAGTCATCGCCCCATAGAGATTCCATTTCAAGAGATGAACTGCGCCAGTTGACGTGTCTTAAACCGTCTTGATTTATATGTGAGTTTATCCCTCTTATAGTCTAATATCGAAACAGAGGGCACAGAACTGAAAGCAAGGCCTTTTCATTTATAAATTAAAATTTCTTTTTTGAATTATTATCATTGCTGCCACCACATCATTCTGCAGAATTGGTCCTATCAAGCGGAAGTTACCTGGAATCTATAAAATACACGGTTCATATTGCGCATCTGGTCAATGGTGCCAACCTCTGAAGGCTTTCTACTCATAGCATAAAACATATGCTATCGTACCTAATAGCACCGACAAACTCGTGTACCAAGCCGTCCAAACTCGATGCACCTTGTGCTGTTGTGCGATCTTCACAAGTAAACGAAATGTGGAGAGCCAAGCTCGATTGGCTGATACTGGTCTCCAAAACCTGTGATGGCGCAATGCTGAAAACGTAGGCATATTACTCAGCATTTTTATGACTCAGAATAATCAGTTTGTTTGTGCTGTGCAGCCTATGACAAAACTTATGTGTTGAATTGTCTTGTTCAACACGAAATTTGCTCGTGACAAGGTCGTGTGCTGTTGGAGGTGGTGACTCAAGTCTCAATCCAATCACCGCAATCTGCAACCTCGGCAATCGCCGAATTATAAGCACAGAGGCAATATTCTGCATCATCGTCTGCGCCACTCAATTCCGACGATTACACTCTGCGTGGCGAACAATGGGCGCTTACTTCGAGACAGTTCCAAAATCTTTGGTGCAATGGATTCTAGAACAGAAGGTATTCTGGGTGTCTACGGCGCCTCTATCCACTGCGGGCCATGTGAACGTTTCCCCTAAAGGCGGGGCCTACTTTGGCCTTATCGACGATAAAACGTTCTGGTATGTGACCCCTAGAGAGCCTCTTCAGCCTCCTCAGCCATGCATTTTTATTTATCTGAGAGAGGTTTGAGATCGAATGTTTCGGGCTTCCTTGAGTAGAGTGATACTGACCTCTGATTGTTCAGGTATATGGACATCACGGGATCCGGCAACGAGACGATCAGTCATATCTACGAGAACGGCAGGATCACGGTGCTTTTCAATGCATTTGAGGGCCCACCAAGGATACTACGGCTTTTTGGACGTGGTCGTGTGCTTGAACATAACACGCCCGAGTACAAAGACTTTGTGAAGAAGCACGATGTGGAAACGATCCCCGGGTCACGAAGTGTTGTCTTGGTCGATGTACACCAAGTTGGCACATCGTGCGGCTACTCGGTACCATTCTATGACTTCAAGTCTTTTAGGTCGACGTTGAACGAGGTCTTTGAGAGGAAGGAGAAGAGATATTTGGCGGGGAAGGACGAGGAGAGCATGCCCCGGTGAGAGTGCCTTGGCCTATGGTACCGTAGAGATTGCACTAACAGTAGCAGATACTGGGCGCTAAAGAATTCATGGAGCGTAGATGGTCTCCCAGGCATGAAGGTTGGCCAGGAGACCATGAAGAAGGAGAGTATCGTACCTTTGAAGAAGATGGTTGGTGCTGCTGCTCCGGGAGCTTATTTAAAGCAGAACAACGGTTTCTCCCTGGTACAGCTCGTTGCGGCCATTGTGCTCAGCGCCTTACTATCAGTTTTCCTGACCCTGCATGGAGCAGGGGTTGCTCACACACTAAGACATTTTTTTCAGGCAACTGGGTGGCCAACTTGAGTTCAACTCCAATTGCAAGACAAATGGATGGTGTGGCTAGTGCGTGATCCGGCTTGATTTATATCACGAGGCGCAAGGCGACGAACAGTGTCGTTGAGCACCGCTGCCTTGATATGTATGAGTCAGCCTCCTACATGAAATTTAATTTGTCAATCTTCACAAAAATTGAGACCTGGGAGCGTATAGTCCGCACCACCTCGGATTCTTGGCGTAGCAGAGAATTTTCAAGTTTTCGGTCAAGCAATATCACATGCCTAGTGACTACTGGTATTTGAGAAGCTTCGTGTTCATTTGCCACAACCAGGCACCCTTGAGCTGTTGCAAGCCAATAAGGACACCCAAGTCCATTTGCCTTGAGGCGCTGTATACATTCCATCGTGGAAGATGATATGTTCTCTAGCAGCCTCGATTATAGCCTTGGCTTACTTTGCGCATGCCCAGCTACTTAGCTCACACAGGTAAATTCTTTTTCAAAAACCACATGATCATCATACTTCTTGCACACCGAGCACTTCTTACTTACCGCTATCACGCATAGCTTGCAGAAGCCTGGAAATCCCAGTGGGTTGCGTAAGCCGGCTTCGTTCGGCTTGTGACCTTGCGGAACATGTGATATCGTGTGAGTGCACTACCACTTTTTGTGTCGCTGAATCATCCCACATCCGTAGTACCATCGTAACCAAAACTGTTCACCTGCACATAATGAATACTGGCTGTCAGGCCCTTTCGAATTTTTTTTGGATATGTCTACTGAATTGGTCATATCGCGAGGTCGCCCGTTGACCAGGCTATAATCTCGCACGGGTAGCATTAAGATTGAGGCGCAGTCTACAATATCTTCGATGTTGCCTAAATGTTTTCATACGTACTTTTAGGCAGTATTTCGGTCTGCATGAATGTCGAAGCACTGACAGTACCGACAGTTGGAGCCAATACTCCCACCTATTTCACTTGCTGTTGTGGCCCAAGAATATTAGCTCAATTTATATCTTCATAAAGCTACTTCATAGTTACATAATGATAGTAATCTGACGTACCCACTTGACGGATGACTGCACAAGAAAAACTACGAAAACCTGTCGCTATTGTGGTAATGAATTGATGTATGCCTGGCGCCAATTTTATTGTATACAGCTGTTCACCCGGTCGATTAGTAAGGGAACATTGACTATATTGCTGGGGTGATTCTTGGAGTGGTAAAGGCAAGCGAGATGTCCGCCCAGCATTATGGTGCCGTGACCTTTGACGATATCATTTAAAAAAAAAAAAAAGACGATGTACCGAGCGCCCGGGCAAGCGCACAGGCAAATGCTTGGGCGAGTGCATATTTTACATAGTCATACAACAAGATAAGGTTCCGAGATGCTGGGGCATCATAACTTGGGACACACCCGGATATGGAGATTGGGCGTGCTGTTGCGGTGAGGCAATCCTGTCTCGAAGTACTATTCAGCCTTCATCTCAAGACCTAAGGTGGTTGCTAGAGTTGGGCTCAAAATGAAGCTCCCCTACCGTATCAGCCTTTACACGTCATTCAAACGTCACTATAGAATGTCCATGTTAGTGAGAATTTCCATAACTGTCTAGGCTAATGGTCCAACAAGGCTTCACCGGCTTGGTAGTGGCTTGGGATAATATCAGTACAGTTGACACCGGAAGTTCGCTTCAATTTAAATCAATATCCAACATCCAAAATAGTGCGAAGCAATCATATTAAACGATTCCTCGCCGAGAAAATCGCCATAGAGGGTTTCTTTGCCGGTCAATACTTCGGATACGGGCCTTGGGGTTGTGTGACACTGGAATCGGATTGGTGGGAACTTCTCTGGCTCGTTAACCCAACAGAATTAACTACATAGCTTATTGAGAAAAAAAAGAAAAAGACCGTCAGTTGGTGAAATATGGAACTGGGAAACTGGGTCGACGGGCAATCATAACATAACAATTATGTTACATGATATCTCACGTGAATACACCAAGTCTCCAGTCACGATTGATGGCCCAAATATCTTGTAGCTACTTTCTGACAGAGCAAGCATGAGGAAGTACAACATACGTCTAGCTCGGGTGTATGCATTCCCCAGGCCACGAGTGCATGGCATCGGTGTCCGTAGTATTAGAGACGATATATGCATGTATTTATGCAGATAGGGTTCAAATATGGGCTCCACTCTGGTACGAGCCCGGATACTCATGTTATTGGCCGGGTGGAGTTTTTGTGCAACTCACAGACTCATATACGCCTTAGAGTGATCGAAACATGGCTGGCGAAATTGTCACCGGTGCCTCGTACTGCCTTTAGTCCATGTAAGTATCACAACTAATTGCTGAGATAGGGATGAGAGTTCTAGAACCAATCTTGGTAATACGCCGGTACCGATATGGCTGGGACTCTACATATCAATAGGTTCGTTCATAGCTCATAGTGATTTCAAAACAACTTTCATCACTAGGACTCATTGACGCTTGACAGCAACGGATTAGACATAATGTATCACATTGACTGAACAACACTCGTGTTCAAATGAAATACCTCCACGTGTTTATCTGCCACATCGACTTTGAAGATCCTATCAATTAAGTGTCGCCCAGTATTTCCAACAAATGTGAAATACCCTAGGGCCCGAATATATGTTCAAAAATATTGACAGGGAGAATACTCCATGTTAATGGCTTTAGTACAGGGCTCTGCAGGGGTTATCCAAGTCAGGGACACCCATGTCCAACCAATCAGCAAAATTTTGCCATTTTGCCACTGAGAACAGGTCGGAATCGTGGCAGAGGCCGCTATGGACATGAACATTAAAGTCGGAAGTCCATTTGTTGGTCTTTCCGAAGTTTTTCAAGTGCATGACCTTTCAATCCTAAGAACTAGCAGAAAACGTCCATTTTCACGGGTTATAACGGCACATAGCTGATCGGAAAGCCTTACAAGTATGATTCGTGCAGTATAACCTCACGTTTGCCTTGAGAACCCCTTTCATGTGTCTGATGATTCGACAAGATCCACTGTACAGTTTGACCCTTCTTCAAGGTAGACCCCATACCGGAACCAATGTGAGATATCGACTCCTGTCAATATGTGATTTAATCCTCGCCCCTTAAGTCGGCTGTTGCCTTGCCGGTCAATTGCCAATCAAGTCTTGTGAACAGGTATACTTGGGTAACCGAGATGACCATTTCAGAATTTCTTCGTTTCAAAGTGAATCATTATCGACCATCACGACTTCCAGTTTCGTCACAGGTTCGCCCTCATACGACTTGGGTGGTGAGATTGTTGTGCGCCTCACTCAGCTGAGTCGGTCGCCTTGCATATCAAGCATGCGCTGAGGACCTCTCTCCAGCAGCTGTCCTGGAAAGACATTGTTTGGGGTGAGCCTAGTGCACCTAAAAGCCTAGTAAGGAGCCATATATCCACACCAAGGCCATCTTGTTCGGCCCAGAAGTCTTCGTATGGCTTGCCTCAAACCGCCACGACATGAACACTCTATCTGACCAAGGGCGATGAGTAACATGAATGGTTGTTGACAAAATTCAACATGGGAAACACAGCATGGGGCGCAGCCGTTTAATCCTCTTAAGTAGAAACCATCAAGTTTTCATCAAGTTGCCCTTGACTCTAGAGCGGAGATTGATGTCGCCTTGATCACACTTTGGTTTCTGAGGCCGGCAAGGAGCCGACCACCAGATCGCTTCCTGGTTGGTTCACCGAGTTCGGACGTTGCCACCAACACCACCTAGCTGATTGTGAGCCGAGATCCTTTAGAGTAGTAAGTCGTCAATATTGTTCTCGTGATCAGATGTTGTAATAAGCATAAGCAGTGATGAAGAAAGCTGAAAGCTGGGTTCTTTTGGTTAGAATGTGGATATATTGACTACATATCCGACGAGTAACATGCTGGAATACTGTCCTCTTGTAGTCTAAAAAGCGATGTCATCTGAGTCAGGATCTTCTGGACGAAAGGAGGTTCATTGCCACTCGCGACTTTTCAGCTTGCACACTCACCCTGAACTGCTTTCCGGCCGATCTTATCGACCTGGCGTGGCGAAGTATCGGCTTCGCCGTGAACCAAAGGAGCGTGCGAAAAGGAGAAATCTTTAAGATCTTCTAGTGTAGAACATGTAACTTGCACAACAACCGTTGGGCGATAATTGCGCTCTCAAAACTAAGCTCAGAGATATGTTGTGTTCCAAAAACAGGTGCGAGGGTGTAACTCTCAATAAGGACCGTGGAACACACACACAGCATGCGCTCTCATAAATTGATCGGTGGCAGAGACAAGTTTGAGCCAGAACGATTACTGGATCGCTTGCACAATCCCTGGAACAGGATCAAAATTTGGGGAGGGGGGTAATGTCCAACGATATTTGAAGCTATAGCGTGTTCGGGGGTTAGTCCATGAGAGAAAAAGCAACACAAGCAAACACAAAAACAAGTAACCGGCAGTATATGCATTGATCGTGTCAAATCAAGGCTAGGCTAGGAGTATTCTGTTGGACGACATTGGCCGGTAACTTTCGAACCGCCGAGCACACAAACATCCCTTACCTGGAATTATTTCAACTTTGTGCGAAAGGTGTCAGAAATGATTTAATTTCTATTCTAAAGGTGCTTTCTTCGGTCTGATCTCATCTCTTGAACACATTAGTGATGCAGTCTTCGAAGTAGCGCCCACCACAGCGGTCGCCCAGTTCTGCCTGATTTCGGTGAGAGGCATGTACGAAATCATGGCCCTCTGAATCTGGTGTTTTACGAATCTGCCGTTGAAAAACCTGAGACTCCTGCAATGTCACCGTGGTTCAGGAAGCGTCAAAGCGAGTAAATATCTACAGGGAAATCCACGCCAAGTACTGCCGACACTCGAAACAAGCCATGGCAGACATGTTGTTTCGTGTAGTTCATCATGGAGCTTGAATATGGTTCTCGAAACTCGAAAGTAGAGAAAGGAGGAACTGTGGCAGTCAGACGGGGCTGACGGGTAGAGAAAGAGCGAACGAGAATGCGCTAGATTCCCCAACTCTGCGCAGTAATGGTTCGCAACCCGGCATGCGGCTCTGCAAAAGTGGGATTAAGGCAACCGCTTAGGACAGCTACAAATTTACTTGTACCCCACCCCGTTGATTTCGAACTTTATGCCAAATGTCTGTGTGAGGCGAGAACTACAGCCTTGCGCAGAGCGCGAGCCACAGCTATTTGCATTTAGGCCCATCTTTCGCTGTGATTTGTAGCTCATTTCTCCTCATTCTTAGTTGATTTGAGCTGTAGAATCTTAGGCGGATACATTTTCGTGCATTTCGCAAGACCCCGCATTTGCCCAATTTTACGTCAAAGCCGCGGCGTCTGCAAACAGAACAAACATATTTACGTTGCCTGCAAGTGAGTTAGTTCCCGGGCATTTGCAACAATTGGACCATGTTGAAATTGATCATGCGTGGCAGAACCTTTTGCCTAAGCCCGTGTTTTAGGCATCCTGCGTTGGGACCCAAGCGTCAACTGAAGCCCGTTGGAATGCCTCGAGTGCACTCGATATAACATTCTAGCAGGGAATTTCGGGGAATGATATCATCAACTTGACACATTCAACCTGTGCGCCAGTACTGTATTTATGCCTGCGTCGATCGAGTATCGCATTAAATTGAAATATATCATCGAAAATGGCTAATCAGTCAGACCTGCCGACTTCCTTTACCAGCTACTTGCGAAATGCGAACAAATTCCCATGTGCATTGGAGGGCTGCACGGAAAAGATCCCCAACACCGAGGAACGCATCAGGACTCATCTGCTCAACCGGCATAAGGAGTCTTTGGATAACAGTGGCACCACCATCTCGGAGGCTCTTTTGGAATTCCGGAGGAGAGCCCAGGGAGACAATCCAAAAGGAGACCGCGGGTACGTGCCCTCCATCAATATTGTACTTGGGGACAAAACTCACTTCTTGGCAGAGACCAATCAGGCCCGAGTAGGACTCTACCCGTAGCTGAAGACGACCACTCTCAGCAAGCCCTTCCTCATCAGGAACCTGTAGACGACAGACAATCCCCAAAGCTATTGAAGTCGTCTGAGCAGCAAAGATCGCGATCATCAAGTCCAACCCGTCGATCCAGGGCGATAGCTGCCACAGGCCCCCCAGATTCAGCCTTCAACAGACGAGCACCTCCAGCAGCGCAAGGTAAAAAGCTTTGGACGCCGGACCAAGCTGCCGCAGGGACGCCTTCCACCACACGAAACAAGCCAATCAGCAAGATCAGAAGAGAAGCTCCTCAAACCAAGAATCCATCTGCAGATGAAGATGAATCTACTCCTCTTATTAAGCAGCCTGAAACGCGGCCCATCTCACAGGAGCAGTTGGTGGCAGAGGTAAAGGGCATCTATGCAGGACTTGTTATGGTCGAATCGAAGTGTATTGAGGTCGACAATGCCCAGTCGTCAACAAATGAAACAAAATTGAACAACGAGCAATGGCAGGCCTTGATTGCGTTACACAGAACGCTGCTTCATGAGCATCACGATTTCTTTTTGGCTTCTCAACATCCTTCGGCTAGTCCTGCGTTGCGGCGTTTGGCTTCGAAATATGCGATGCCTGCTAGGATGTGGCGCCATGGCATCCACTCCTTTCTAGAATTGCTTAGGCATCGTTTACCAGCATCACTAGAGCATATGTTAACGTTCATTTACTTGGCGTATTCTATGATGGCTCTGTTATACGAAACGGTACCTGCTTTCGAGGATACTTGGATAGAATGTCTGGGAGATTTAGGCAGATATAGGTCAGTCTCGACGCTTTCTTGATCTAAGACATTATTGACCAAAAGACTATAGAATGGCCATTGAAGATGATGACATTCGCGACAGGGAGGTTTGGACGGCTGTATCGCGTCATTGGTATTCAAAAGCCTCAGATAAGGCACCCACTACTGGTCGACTATACCATCATCTTGCAATTCTCGCAAGACCAAATGCTCTTCAGCAACTATTTTATTATACCAAGAGTCTTTGTGTGCCAATCCCGTTTATATCGGCACGAGAATCTATCATGACTCTCTTTGATCCGATATTAAACGGAACCAATCCTCAGCACTCCCGCCTTTTACAAGTTGATGCTGCCTTTGTCAAGGCTCACGGTATTCTTTTTAGTGGAAAATATGCGGAAGATTTCCAAGGCGCGGTTGACGAGTTCCTAGGAAACTTAAACAACCATATCGGTAGGACTGCGAGGAGGTGGATGGAATCCGGTTATTATATTGGCATCTCTACTTGTTGTGCTTTGCTATCTTACGGGAAGGAAGATAATGCTATTTTTAAGGCAATTCGACCACAACGTTCAGACGATGTAACCGATATCGTCATGGCAGACGCTACAGAAATGCCCAAGACGTTCAATCAGGCGCTCTATTTGGCACAAGGTATATATGAGGTGGTCTTCCGCCAATTGGCAGATCCAAACGTATTGCCATACTTTCACACAATCCTCGTTTTCATGGACCACTTAACTCACTACCCTAACGCCATGTCATACCTGGAGAAGACCTTCCCTTGGAAGCTTGTTTCGGAAATGCTCAATTCCATTCTCTTGTCGTACCGGGATTTTGGTCGGATTGAAGACACTCAATTCCCTAGACCTGATAAGGAGTTGCCTCGTCCACTACCAGAGGACTTCGCCATGAAAGGGCTGTTGTGGGTGGAAAGATACTACCCTGTGGATTGGTTCACGAACGAAAAAATTGACGACGACGAGAAATACTTCGAAGTCGCTTCCATGACAGACGAGAGGAAGGAGCGAATTCTTTGGCTAGGATGTCGCCTCGCCAGTCGCCAAAGAGGACTAGTATACAACAAAGAATCTCACCATTTTGCGGTTCTCCCCGCATTTGAAAAGGACATCAGCTCTTTGTCGAAAGATCAAGGTCCGGATGATGTAGATATGATCAACGTTGCTGAAGCATAGGTTCAGTTTTGAGTCGAGCACAGCGAACTATATTAATTAGTTGACGGACAATCTACAAGGCAACGAAAACATCAATGACTCGAAACATCTTTGTTCAGCTCTAAGATGTGGTTTCGTCTCGCCTTGGGTCTATCAACGATTTCTTAGGTGCGAAACGCTCGGCCAGCTATTTTGTAGCGCCCCTACGTTCATAACGCCAGCGATGCAAGTCCATGAAGCTTGTAAAGGCTAAAAATGTAAATGTAGGTAGTATGGTGCCATTTTGAACTATCCTAGATATTCAGACACTACATAATATACATAAAACAACTCCCTTTGTTGATCTGCTATTGAGTTTTTACAATATCGCGCTACACCTCCATCACAAGCGTAGACAGCCGACTGCCATAGCAGGGTGGGACATAAGTACCCATGTTTTGCGGTGCCTACATAATAAGGTGAGGAGGGGCTATAACTCGACCGATGAGCGCGGAGCAAAAACAAGGCAACAATTCTCATTGAGTTGAAACCCTAGGGATAGGATTGCATTAATGCATTCTATTTCCAAAATTGGAAACTCTCGGTGAACAGCCAACTCGATCCCCGGATAACTTTCTTTTGGCTGGCAAGGCAGCCAAGGAGGCTGGATTTAGCGCATTAAGGAATAGAATCCCAGCCGCATCGTGCGGTTACACAGTAACCTGTTCCGAGGGGATGCGTTAGGCCTACTTTAAAGCCGTGTGGAACGGATGTGGAGGAGATTGTACACAGATATACGTTAACTCTTGGGGTTAATCTTTACATTCTCACTGCATGCCCTAAGCGACTCCTTCGCTGCGATATACCCTCATGACTTTTTGGACGTCGAAAGCTATCATGATTGGTTAATTAACCTGGCTATTGTTTGTTTGCCTTGTTCTCACGTAATGGAGTACGCTAACTAGCGGGGAACTATTGATACTTTCCGTGCCAGGCAATCAAGGACCCTTGTGATGTGCAACCTAGATGCCATCGAGCGCGTACAATGTGTATCTAGCATCGTATTTGACCCCTTTTCATAGTTTGTGTCCCGTCCACAGAGTGTATCACTAGCTGCATCAGATGGCATGGGGTTGGTGAAGTGCTACATACTGCATATTGCAAGGCATTCCGGCAGCAGGCTTTGCAGCCGATAGGATCAGGATAAAGTTTTTCCCCAGTGCGGAAACCAAGGACGCCTTGAACTCTGACTTTTAAATATTGTAGGACTCAGGCATCAATCTGGGAGGCAGAGAAAGCAAGATGTCAAGCCTCGGCGTTTCTTGGACTTCTAACGCCCAACCGCCTTGGGCAGCATGAGGAGAAAACACAAAATAGTCAACAATGTCTACATGTGTACAGTATGGATATGCTCATCCGACATGGAGTGGGGCATTTTGGGGCTGTTAGTATATGATAAATCATGGAGAGTCAAATGATAAGGCTCCGTACCGCTATGAACTCTGGCCACTTGGGAGCCACAAATTGATAATCAATGAAACCCAAAACGGGGCGTTCCCCACTAGTATACGATGTTGTGCACTTCTTAAACAAAGAACCGGCTCACAACGCACCAACTCACAGTGGTAGGCGTAGGCTGACAGATACATGGCATGCTCAGGTTGGGCGATCTATAAATACTACTAATCATTGACAATAACAATGAGGTCTGGCTATGGGGGGCCACTTTCACCACTACAAATCCAGTGGAACCTGGGCATGATCTTTATTGAACCACGCTGCCAGTATCTTCGCGGAGGATATGGGTTTCGGTAAATGCCAAAATTAACCAGGCGCCATCGGCGATGTAAGACCAAAGCCGGGAGGGAAGCCCCTTTGGGAAGCCCGGTCACCCGGCCTGTTAGTAGCCTCATCTTAGGGCTTACTTCCACACTGTCGCATAACGTATATTTATGCCCCCATGATACAGCCATTCGGAAATGTGACCCATAAGGCGAATATCAAGCTCAATCAGAGGAGTTCTGCATGAATACCACTTGCACGTAGTGTGGGTGATGTCGAGGAAACCATCGGCAGCAGATGGCCTAATACGTCAAAGGCGTCGTATCCAGCTTTCTCTAAAGTTGGCTGTGGCTTCGGTGAACAAAGACATCTAGGCATCGGAAAAAGAAAACTTATTGAAGGAGATTGCGACTGTCTGGGATGCCTTATTAGGTACAACCTCTTCGCTTGAACTACCAATAGAACTCATGGCAGCTATGAGAGATCATTTCGGTTCATTGGAGTACTTGCCGGTTGTACGGTAAAAAGAAAGGTTGTATACAGCGAAAACGTGCAAGCAGATTTCGGTATTGTACCGAGCACAGCACCTGAACCACCAATTTTAAACACAATTCCCTAGCACATGATGAAAAAGAAGGCAGGTTCACTGATACCTCATTCGAAGTTGAGATCCTCTCAAAGATAACATGTTGTTTTGTGCCTCCTGTTGCTTATGTCAGATGATCAGACATCGATGCAAGGGGATTTCGGGGCTCTGCTCACGTTTGCATAAGTGCAGTAATCACTTCAAAGCCATATATTAATAGAGTCTTCGAGTGGCAAAACAGAGATGAAAGCATTGCTTCGACAGCAACAATATTTTGCGAAACAAATATGAACAAAAAAAAGGGGGTTTTAATGCGGAAGTCAAGAAAATAATCCCATGATGCAGAAATATGGAACATGTGTTACGACGACAACAAACGGGGAAGGATTGTCGCTAAACGGTCGGAGGAAGAGAGAAACGCACAGATTTTACTGCTTTGGGATGATTTTTCGAACTTGAAAAATAGACTCTCATGAAAAAGGATGAAAACAAATTAAAAATGAAAAGAAAAGAATGCCTCACTCAAATTAGTAAGATATGTGTGGGAGCATGGTCGTTGTCCAAACGGAAATTTGTAACAGTCAAATTGGTGGCGCTCATCCAGTGATACCATATGATTTGCTATCCTAACACCAGGGCTGCAACAAGCTTAGAACTTATAAAATATATGCCTGGTTTTTGATTGAGTCTCTCCAGCCAAACCTGACGGCATGGGATTACCGTGCATAACGGACTGAGTGTTCCTTTTAAAGTCTTATTATTGTGCCACAAGAGTAGAGAGTATACCCTGTTCGCAACAGAAGTAACGCAGGAAATATGGAAAAAGAAAAGAAAAGTCAGTAAGGAGAACTTGTGACCAGTTCCGCAAATGTATGATATGAAGCGGTTTACAACGCAAACACTGAAAGCTGTTTCATGTATCCCTGTTTGGGCATGATACATGAACAACGTAGTGGGTTCTGTCACATAACCTGTCGCCAACGTTATTTATGTTCAGTTTCGATCGATGGCATACAACATATTGTTCTAAGACTTTGGTTCAGTTAGACACGCACTTTCGGGTATCCAGACAACTGGTTCTACGCAGGAGGCGCTCGTTCAACTATCACATCATGGACCGTTGAGGCCTGTTATGTGGCTATAACAGTAGGACATCGATTTGGAAATACTAAACTGGTTTGAGAGGGAACTTTCAGCCCGAAACAATGCTTGTATATGGTCAGTTGACCCGATTCCTATGAGCAGTTGTCGAGTAAGATGTCAATTGAGGTTGGCAAACCGGGCCTTCCGAATCCTTGAAGGCTGCGTGTATACCGGCGTCTTCCCCGGATTCTGTGCTATCTATGTATTGCGGGGCCCCGACCGTAGTGTAAATAGGAGCCCGTGTATCTCGACTTCGCTGATCTGGGTGCGGCTCTTCGGGAATGTGAAATCCATGTCTGCGCGCGTGCTCCTCCCGCGACGGCTTCAGCCCCCCGGTGTTCCACAGGCTCCACCTGGGGGTTAGTGATTGGATTAGTGCGCTTCACAGCAATCTTAGCAGCTGCACATAGGCAACTGTATTCATAGGACTTTCTGCACACCAACAACTCATATCGTCTACAGAAAGCCTATGAGATTGACGTAGAACATGGGCAACGCGATTCCCTTTCTCTCTCCGTCCCCCCCACCGATATTACGGGGACATGAATTCTTGCAGATGGCTGCATCTAGTCAGTAGACGCGCGGGATGAGGAGATAGCAACTGGTTGGCCTGCATGGACGACCATCAAGATGTCGATACATTACAGCACGTCATGTAGACAATACCCTAGAATGCGTCGCGGTACCCCCGAATATGTATGCGATCGCAATCCCACGCAAGTCGCAGATCAGATGACAAACATTGTACAGATCCTCACCGGTTGAAAGGTAGGCGCATGTACAGTACCACCCATGGTTCGATGAGCCACGTGCATACACATTTGCAAGTAGGAATAACAGATGGTGTGACCAAGCAGTCGCCACAATGCACGTCAACTAAAATACCTCACATGTAGAAATTTGGTCAACGATAATTTGGCCGCTCCGGCCACTGCAAACGCCACATACGAAGTACAATATTGTTGGGGGGATATTTACGATAAAATTGCATGCCATCATGCGCCATTCATTTACGGAAGGATCTAATAATGCCCACTCGTTGGATTGCTGAAGCTCCATATTGCGTTTGTTGGTTGTTGAATGATGCGGCGTCTGGAGGTCGCCTTGGAAGGGTCCCATGGTCCCGGGACAGCCTTCTGGGGCTGGTCTGGTGCAGTGACAAATACTACCAACAGCGTCTGCCGGAAATTGAACAATCGCAAAACATTCCTGGACTGTTGACGTAAGGTAAGGGAGCGCAACATATGGGGGCATGAGCTATGTGGCTCTAATTACACAAATAATGATAAGAAGCAAGCGCGTGATGGGAAGAAATTTGCTGTCTTCGCACTCTCTACATTCAAGTGTATATAAGTGATTCCAAACCAAGCGTTTGGGACCATCCAGCTACACAGGTGTGCGTCTACCAAAACGTAGATGACCAGGGGCTGGTCTCCGTGGTAATCTACAGCAAGGGATATGAGACGAGGCAACCAGCCCCAAGTGGATAATGCTTACCGAGAGACCAGTAAAGAGTCCTGCCGATGAATGTGACGATACCGACGGAATGTGCTCTGGATGCATGGGTCCGTCGGGTCCTTCTTTGCCTGAGGCTTCCGGCGATAGACACCGACATACGTTTTCGGTCATTGTAACGGGCAGGTTGAAGGGCATCGGATACTCTATCGTATATACCCCAGATTGCATGTAAATTATGCTCTGTGTTTAAATATGTGCTACGTTCTCTGCACCAAGACATATAGTTCCCGCATGCACTGGTGTACCATGGAAAACTAGGTTACCCGATCAAAAGATTACTCGGCCGTGACGTGATCAACGTGATATTATGTGAGAATTGTACTGGAGTACGTACTCTAGTGATACATAAGCCCAAGCAAGCCTCCTGTCGAGCCTTGCATCCCTCTCCTCTTAGGTCTACCCGGGAGAGCACTTACCGCTGCTCCCGCCCGCCTGCATCTTTCTTGCCAGGGTTCCCAAGGTTTAAGTGTTCCTTCTTCAACGCAATCCATTCGTCACTGATGAGTCCCGCGGGACGTGTGATTGTCCTTCGATTGGGCGCCTGGGCTGTACATTGACCCGCAATGTTTTCGAACGAATTGTGAAGGGTCTAGCCGTGACAAAATTTCCGATTTTGAAGAAATTCTCCTGTGTTCTCTGTTTTCTGAGTTTTATACACAAATCTCAGCTGGCTGTACTGTATTTTCTACGTCTGCCTGCGCGGCCATGGACTTATATTTCACCCACCCCGCATACAAACGCATGGAAACACTCCAATTAAATAATGCATCACCTCTCTTGTTATAGTGCATTTTAGCAGATACGTCGCGTCTCTCAATAGCCATTCTCAGACTTCCTCCGAGTTGTGTCGCAGCCCCAGACTCCCTTCTTCCACTGCGAAGATTTTTCATGAGACGTATGCGATCGACGAGACGGCAATTATCCAGAAAGGACCCCCGATAATCTTCATCTCAGCACTGACCGCATCGGTAGAGGAGCTGAAATGTTGATATAAGAGGAGGCGTACAAAAAAAAATCTAGTGGCTGGCTACTAATGGTCGGGGATGGTCGCGGTGGAATGCATACACCTCTGCAATCGATATAGCAGTTTTGGGTTATTTTGGCGATCATTGAGATATTCTATCATTGCTAATACGTATACTTTTAGCTAAAGAAACCTGATCGAGGACTCCGACTTATATTTCTAACAGTATCAAGACAACTGGACATGTACGCAGTGCAATACGCAGTCCACCTCTTCGAAGACCACCGCTTTTAGCCTGCCATAGTTTCTGTCAATATTCTATCCCTAAGGTTGCGCCTTACCATCGGCGCGTTCCACCTGGACCAACACTTCGTGCGCATGGCACAGCGGCAATAACTGCTGATATCGTACACTTTCGATTCTTGGCCAGCGCTCCCATCGAATAGACGCTCCAGGGATCATTGGCAGCATCGAGTACAGTAGCACCATCAAGCATGAAACCCTGCATACTGGGAAACTCTTCGTTCCCTGGCGGTGGTATATTTCCACTTGACTGAGAATAGTTATGCGCACTATTCTCATAATGATTCGGGGGCCAGGCATCCGTACGTGGTGTAGCACCATGTTGAGAAGTTATAGGGTTCTGCAGCAGTAGTCCGGTTGTGGCTGTTTGAAGCGCTGGAACAAGGCTTGCTTCAAGACCATGCACCGATGTCACAGGAGAGTCAGAATACCTGCAAACTCCTGTGTTCAAACCCAGCTCTGAAAGAATGAGTTGAGCCGGGTTTTGCTTGGTCTCGGCATCCAATCTTTCCCCATTCCGACCGTAGTCCGATAAGCGTGCACGAGTACATGGTGCCGTTGAAGAAGGATGCTTATCTTCTAATATTTCCTGAGTATTGCTAGATGTAGACTTGCAGAGCGGCTCGGGCTGTGCTGACTCGTCCTCCGCGGTATGGACTGCACTCTTTTGTTCGTTGTCATGACGTTTGGCACATGCTTTATCATCCGTGTGCTCGCATGCTGAGCTTGACCCAATATTTGATGGATAAGCCCATATCTGATATTCAATGCCATGTGGAGAACCATTGATATTGGAGGAGTATTTCTCCGCATGCTTCTTTTCTGAATTAGCACTGTTGATAATGTCACAGTGTTCATGAGAGTTGGAGAGTTCGGCCGGTATGTTCGGAGTACCACCGACTCCAGGTTGAAACCAATCATTCGATACGGAGTGGTCCATATGGACTGCCGGTTCTAGGCCAATGCCGTCTTTGGGTAGTACGGAAGAACAGGCAAAAGTGATTCGGGTGCTCGCGTCCTTGACACCACCTATCTGATCTTCTTCGATCCTGCTCCCAATGTCGGATTTTGATGCCTTATTAGGATGCTCAGTAAGTTCTGCGCTGGTGGAGGTCATAGTGCTCATATACCTGCCAAGGACTTCTACGAAGATATGTCCAGGTCGAAATATTTATGCAGTCTTCGTGGTCAACGCCATGGAGTTTCTCGGTTTGTCTTCTTGCTTTAGTACAGCACGTACGGTGATATATACAAGTACACGAGTATTGATAGAGAAAACGACAAAGCAAATAATCAAGTTGCGTATAAGGTTGAGTCAATTGCTAGTCAAGAAAGTGCACACAAAGTCCAATCAGTTTCTTTCATCGTCTCATCATTATACTACAATAGCATCACGCTCGACGCTGGGATACTAAGTTCTCATATACGCACACGAACATATAACACCAAAGATGCGACTGTGGTTTGATAGCAACGAAACAATGGTACAAAGCAGAGCCTCATTAGGCATGATATTTGTGGCAGAAGTTGATGCCCAAGCTGTTCAATCGGGTCACAAAGCCATTTGAGGGCTTCGAGCCTCGGTAATTCTTAGATTAGACCAAATTGTTCAAGCGGTGAGCATTATCCGGGTCTCATTCGTGCAGCATGCCTTGAGACTTAGAAGGAAAGTGGGAAGCTGTTTGCTCTGAGAAACTAACAGACGGAACGAAACTCAGTTTAGCATCAGATGCCGACAATCTTCACCGGCTTCTGCGACCTTAGTCACCGATGCCATAACTGATGGGCAGAACCAAGTGAGAGGAAAGGAACGACGAGCCATGTGGCAACAGGAAATCTTAGGGCGCATTGCTACATTCAAGGCGCAATGTAAGCAGAAGCCCCTGAGTTGAAAGCGGTGAGAACTCAATCCAAGGCAATGCCATAGTTAGAGATTCGAGAACCCAGTTGGTCAGTCGTGATTAGTGCTGACCGCCAGAACACAAATGGTGTTTTGAATGTCAGGCTCGGACAAGAACGACGATGATCGATGATCGACGATCGTTGCAGTACCAAAGAAGGGGGCGGAAATGATACCTAAGGGCTCGTGACTCCAAAATTGGCTGAGCTCCGCGGTTTCCGGAGCCTGCTGCCACAGTACCCTGTGCAGTTGAGATGTAGGAGGGAGATTGGGAGTAACTTCCTAGCGACTGTCTCTATTCGCAATGACTTAGTAAAATTACCCATTGGTAACATCAGGGAAACGTTGATGTTTGTAGGGCGGACGTACTACGCCTATCTGATCAACCCTGGCCATAGAATCCAAGGCAAGAAGGGAGATATGTGATCATGAGAGACTGACGACTTGTTCCCATCGGTTTGAGCCAATTGATGACTCTGCAGGCAACAGGTAACGGAAGTCCCTGAAATATAGTTGTCGAGAATATTGAGCTCTGCCAAGTCACCCTTTTTTGGGCCTTCTCGCATGACGAGACATTGTAAACCAATCCCAGAGCAACGTCCCGACCCGCGGAATGACAAGCCAGATTTAATCAAACGACCAGTGCTAGTGGGTGGTATACACCACTTCACGCATGCTGCGGCCCGTCCTAAGGCCCAAACATATCGTGCGTATAGCATAGCCGAGAGGCTTAGTGCCCCATGATGGAACTAGAATCGCACCTAGTAGCACGTCATTATTACTGATTTGAGAAAAACGCGCTCTGATTCTAATAGCTCAGATGGCGTAACCACAGATATCTCCCCGCGAAGCTCTACGTAATGAAACAATGCACATCATTTCCGTGCCTGCTCATCGAGTTTACCAATCCATCTCCTATCGGTCACTCCGCTGCGTAGAAGGCGGATAGCCACAGCTTGACCCAGATACTCGGCACCATTAGGCACAGAGAAATATGCATGACTGCTGCAGAGAAGACAGCCATCGCGAGCGGGGTATCCATATTTGGAATGCCTCCTTATCTTTTTCGCCGACAAGGTCGCAGCGGGCGCGAAAGCTGTTGTTTTTATTGCGTCTGCAAAAAAAGTTGACAACGTCGTTCTTCCTTCCAAATGCTGCGAACGCCTAGACGCAATTTCTCATACAGCAACGCAACGCAACGCAAGCGAGCACAGAGTACGGGGTATAAAAACGTGACGCATGCAAATAGGTTGCCGTGTTGAGGTGGGTATCTCCACTATTGGCAAGTGATTCGGCTGCAGCAAGGCACGCCAGAACAAGAAAGCCACAACAGATTTCCAAAGGGGGTGGGGATTTATATGGTCCATTCCGTGGATAGATTCCTCGGTGTTTTAAGGGTGCTCACTCAAGAAGATTTTGATGCTTTTCAGTGCTCCAGCTGATTGCAGTCTGAAACGCTTTCGAGAGTGATACCAGGTGTCATAGTGAAGCAGACGCTCTCAATGATGCCCTAAGGACTGAGGGGGGTAGTATTGCTGAATCTGAAGCTGAAGCTGAAGCTTGTGGGATGAATTAGTTGGCAGCGTCATATGCGGAGTACACCCTGGTCGTTTCTCAATTTGTATGCGGCCATTACGGTGATATATCCCCTTTGCGACCTGCACGGATTGAATGGGGGTCGCAAATCCGGCCACCGTCGCTAGAGCTAACTAAATTCCCGTAATATTTCTCGTAGCAGGAGCTGGAGTTTCTCGACAGCGAAATGAAAGGTCAATGCCTCTCAATCAAGTTAGAAGGCACATAGCTACTCAAAATGTATGTTCGGCTGCTCCGTGTTCTCATACAAATTGACCAAGGCTGCGAAGCCTGGCAAATCTCGAAGACCACGTAGATAAACCAGCTTGTAGTTGAGCCAGGATTCGTATACACAATGGCCAAACTATGACTGGCTACCATGTTGTGGTGTTGGTTCCATGTCTTGGGGTCGAGTCTCACGGCTGCAGGGCGGCATCCCATCTTAGGCTTAATGGCAAACTTCTGATTAAAATACCTCAGCGTGTAGGCAAAGGTACGTTTCCAAAAAGTTGTTCGATTCGTTGGTCCTGTCTTGCATATTCGGCAGCACGATGCGCACGATGCGCACACCTGGGCTTTGGGTGCAGGACTAAAGCGATAGAAGGTTGGGGGATGCAAAATGATTGCTTATTTCTGTATGACCTTCCGAAGTTCCGAGGCGGTCTGTTCAAAGACTGGAGTCCATCCAGTTCTCATATTTCTCTGTTCACGAATAACTCAAACCAGTCTCTTACTCGCACCTCCATAACGTGCCTGGCGCGAATCGACTCATTGTTCCAGGTGTCTGACCGACTCGAGATCCACCCATGCGTTCTATCGACCGGTGTCAAAATAAACAGTTGCCTCGCCATTGGTGCCCAACGGCGTTAGCCTTTCTTCCTCGGTGTTGGTGTGCATCTTATGCTTAACGTATCAGAAAATACTCTGTCACGACAGTCTAGTATGCCATTGACCAAGTCGTTTGCCGTTCCAACAACGATTGCCAGGTATACAACGCCCGATTTCTTCGACGAGCAACCCTGTAGCGTTTCAGACACGATCGTTCCATACCATTGAGTTTGAGGCAAGAAGGGCGGTGTGTATTCGACGAATTGAGCCCCTATTCACCACCGAGACTCGCCAATCCTAGCCCGAGTGTTGTGTCTACCAAACACTGAACGATTAATTTAGCGTGCTCCGGATATTAAGCCACGATGTTCTTTCGTCTTGCCCTCCTACAACCTCATCTGAGCGATACTGCGCCTTACTGGTTGGTTGCCTTGTGCGCTCTACTCCACTTCTCTCCCCAATACCATGGCCACGACTCCCCAAGATGGGGCGCGACCTCTCAGGCGGTCAAACTGCATCCTATTAAGAACAGGCGTTGATCCGCGCTTGAGGATAACGTCGTGGTCAAAGAATGTTATGCAAGGAACAGAGGCACCGGTGTTCTTGTCAACACAGAATCCTGGCATGCAACCATAAAACCACGCTCCGTTGTTTGATCTGCTGTCCAAGTCCGATAAACCTTTCGAATATACCACCTTGCATAAAGCCACACGAATCCGAAGCAGTAACAATAATGTCAGATCGGAGACGATACCAACGGGCGCACCCTCGCCAGGGGCGCTCGGTTCGCAACCGCCTGGAAGATCAGCATGAAGGCAGCAACGACTACGATCTGACGGCAAACCAAACATATGCTCTCGGCACAGATGACTCAGCAGAACTCGCCGATGAAGATCATGGATTTCCGCATCAAATGAATACCCCCCTGGCCACGTTTTATTCTCCAGCACAAGTCGAGAACGATGACCAGTCGATGGAAGAGTCTGCAACAGTCTGGCAAAACTACTCCCACTCTGGAGCCCGCTTCGATGCACATTATACCACATCGTGGTCCTTCATGACACCCAGGACCTCGGCGTGGGATTTCGCTCCACATGGACACAGCGCGGGTGGATATTTACAGCCGTTCGTGAACGAGCCAGATTCGTTGGAGGGGTCCGGGGACGGAAATGGCCGCGAGGCCCCAGAATCAGGCGGCTCGTTCTCATCCAACGAGGCGGAACAGGGTTCAGTCGTCGAGTAAGATTCCCTCTTTTAACCCCCCTCGGGCTTCAGCGATGCTGATCATCACAAGTGGTTATGGCGGCAGGCGTGGGACGGACAGACGCATGACGCCTACGCAGAGAGAAGATGCGGTGCATCGCCACAATCCCGACGGTCCCATAGGCAGCCGAGGTTTTGCGAGCCGGGAAACGCTGGAGAATAACGTCCGCCAGTACGGCAACACAATATACCAAGCGCAGCCGAGCTCGTCGTCATCGAAAGATAAACACAAGAAGGTCAAGGAGAAAAGGAGCAGGCAGTCCTAGAGATCATCCTCGGGCAGACTTTGGTAAATATTGGAGTTTGTTGTGGCCATGGTTCAGCTTCCCGCCACCAATTTGGTCGTGGTTCTTTGACAAGACCCCCTATTGTGGGCCTCGACATACCGACAGCGATTGTCTCACTCAAGAGCACACACCTTTGGCAGTAGCAATGACTGCGTGTAGTGTTCATTCTCATTCAAACTTTCGACCATGAGCGGCAGATGTAGATGTTGTCGCCGTTTGACAAGTTTTCCTTTCCTTGATTATTTTCCACCACTATATGCATTGATGCATGGGAGGGCCATTTGCCACCACCGGTCATCCCTAGCCTCGGAAGAGTCATGTGCACGCTGGGTGGCAACTACATCTATTGTCAATGTATTTGAGTTTGCAAGGCAACTTCTTCTTCTTTTCCTTTTCAGATGGCTGCATCAGAACGCTGGCGTTAGCAGAAATTTTGTACGGGTATCTGCATTTCATTCGGCCCGATCACGACACATCTCTTTATATCAAGTGGACATATACATCGCTTTCAAGGCCTAATACATTCGTGATTCATGCATACGGTGACTTGCCATGTTTCCCAGGTACCGTTTCCGAAGCGTATCAGGAGAATTGGAAACATATTCGTCAAGCGCGTGGCTTGGCTATATTTAGACACCTCTATCGGAACCAACTCTTGTGAATATTGGATTGGTCCCTCATGGCTGCCGCACATAAACACCACCGGCCGAGTAAAAAGCTGATGGACGGGCTATTGGATGGTAATATATGACACGTTTGCTCCGACGATGATTCTCAACGCATGGGAAACCTTTTTGCTGCAATGTGCCGGATCTGGAACCGAGTGATGACTTTTCCTTGGACGTTTGCATGAATGCCCAACTACTCTTGCGGTCTGCTGAATGCTGAGCCTGCAACGAGATCCAATTAAGGCAGTTAAGCACTGTGGCGGTGCATCGATCCAATAAGCGGAACCCGGTCGAGTGGGTGTTTACAAAAGCAATGTCCCCCGACTCATGTCCACGCTACCATACAGCCCCTCGAGCATAGCCACTCAGATCTGCCGCAGAGTCCGATTGGTGTTTCAACACGACTATAAAAGCAATGACGGTGGGTCAACATGTCTTGCCTCCCGCATCACAAAATCATACGAGATAATACAGCACCTCAAGACAGTTGTTACTTGTCTGGTAGGCGGGTGACACAAGCATTGGCGCACAGTTGAGTGAGCTATAGTGGCCAGTGCGCCGATTCTTCTTGCTGCCAGCAAAGGACATTGGCTGATTGGGAACTTGATATGCTCAGATGTGTTTGCATGTGCCAGGCTGAGTCTCCATATTTGGTTATAGGACCGGCATCTGTTGATTATATTGCATTGTGCAATGAAATTACACAGAAAACCAACAAATGTAATTCATTGGCGATCTGATCCCAAAATTCTTGAGTCATATGTGTATACAAGTAATCACAACAGCTCAGTTTTGCCAACACCAGATCTCGTCTTTTTATTGCGTCACGGGTGTACCTGTTTATGACATAGCAGATGGTGGTTTGTCCCTCGCAACCTGTTCATAAATTCTCTGGTGCCATGATGCTAAAACGTAATGTCTCGGGAAGCAGAGTGCCAGGCTGAGTAGCTCCTGGTAGGCATCTATAGGAGCAGGCTCTCTTTAAAAAGGGCACAACACCATGACTATCCATAGCATACGAGGGCTGAGACGAAGCTTCGTCAATATTGATCTTGCCGTAATTCCACCACTCTATCCATTGAGCCGCGGGCACAATAACGCGTCTCTGACACCTTGAGCACGGCAAGTCGCCTGCATTTGAATTAGCGTCAGCCTGAGTTGCAATGCGGCGTAGTAGATCTGGCAGATGTGATGGCGCATCGTCGGGAAGATAAGACGGTAGTTGTGGTAATTGACTTGTGCGTGAGCATGATTTCAATGCCAACTCCATCAGTGACGGCACGCGGCTAGCATTACAAGTCTTTGTAGATGCTACGCGGGCCAACGGGAGTGCAGGTGGCTCTGCTAAATTCTCAGTGGGCAGCACAGTCTCGGTGCTTAGCCATGATTCAGGGAGAGCGTGCTTGGAGATGTTGAATCCGCGGCTATCTTCAAATTGTATAGGAGTGCGAGCGATGATTTTAGCCCTCCAGGTCCAGTTCCGTTTATCGTGAAGCTCGGGGTACTCGGTGTCATTGCATAAGCCCTCACGCCTGTCCAACCATATCTTCGAGACCGTTCGACCTTCATCCCACAATCTCTCGCCGAGAAGTAAGGCATGCTCTGGGCCTTCCCATTCTGTGGTTTCGCCCTCCAGTTCAATGACGCTGTTTTGTAAGGGCAGAACAAATGGATTTGGGTTAATCATTAACTCCTTTAGCTTTGAAGGATAGGTCATAAGATCCAGCAATTCACTCGGCAGCGACCGCAGGCGGTTCAGAGAAATGTTCAACGTCTTTAGATTCCTTAGCTTGCCTATTGCCGGAGGGATTTCTGTGAGCTTGCCATTACGAAGACTGAGATAAGTGAGAAACTCGAGGTTGAAGACTGCGCCAGGGACTTTCGTGAGAGGGTTTTGGCCAAGGTAGATCTTGAGTGCTGCATCCTTCTGTTCGAAGGGTACGCCTGGCGTGACCGTCGGAATAGGTGTAAGATCTGATAGGGGTGCTATTGTGGCATTGGACAATTGTCGAATGTTCATAGATCTGCATCATGTTAATCACCACGTCATGCTGGTTGCATTGAGGATCTTACGTGAGATCGATGTCCTCATCTCCGTTCTCAAGCGCGTCGAAGACCTTGTCTCGAACCAATTCTTCCGCTTCCGAAATAGCTGCCGTTTGCCGAGACATATTCAGCTGGGGCAAGCGCGAGGTCGTGGGAATAGGGAACGGGTCCTCCAGTTCCAGATCGGTAGAAGCGTCGCTACCCATCCAGACACCACTATCAACTTGACGCTGAAAGGTGCGCTTGCCCTTGGGCTTGGGCGGCCTGACCTCCTCACTAAATGCAGAATCGCCCGAGGCGGGCTGCTGCTGAAACCACGAGCCGACATAACGCTTCTTGCGATGTCTTCCCTGAGTGTAGTTTTCTAGACTTGGATCATCATCGCTTGAGAACATGGCAGGATCACTCGAGTTTGCGAAAAGCTGCGCCTGTGCAGAGTCATAACTTCCATCGCGGCCGCGTTTACGCGTATTGTTGAAGCTTTGTGTGCCAGGATTCCAGGACACGGCGGGGAAGCGCGGCAGTGTTGGTTCGTCGGCCATAGCGAATACCTGTATGAAACACCTCGCAAAAGACTGCGACTATGTAACGGGGGAGATTACAGAGGCCCTCGATCTATGCGGATTTCCCGTTTGAATAATTGGGAGTTAGACCAATTGAATGGGCGACGCGTACCGGGAAAGTAAACAGCGGGTCTCAGGGTCTCAGGGTCTTGCTTCTTGGTGGATCCGCCACTGCGGTCGAAAATTTAGCGGACCACTCCACCAAAAACGCGAAACCCCCGGGGGTGGGCCATTCTTGGCAGAGCCGCTACGGAGTACTCATTTCCAGAGATTCTGAGTGCAAGTGTATACTGGGGCCGGCAACTTGCTTGGCAACAGCGATAAGCTTCGGTCGAGTCAGAAAGGATTCCCGAGGCTTGTTTTCAAAAGCATGGGATATGTGTGATGGGGCCAGTTGTTCAACTGGCATTAGATTCAACTCAGAGCATGACCCTCGCAGCAGGCCTTAAGCCGTGGCAAGGTGGAAGGTTGAAATGTGAAGCCAGTCGATATTATACGCTTTCATTTCCATTGTAGTCAGCTCGGCAGGCGTGATGACCTCCTATTGATACCCATTTTCCTGAGACATCAGACGCTAGATGATGGATGTTGCGCAGGTGCTAGGACCTTGCCGTATGGGTGTATCTCGAAGAGAATGCATAACAGCTTGGTGTCTATCAACAACGTGCCCGATGCAGCTGTCGACAACGTTTGTGTCACTGAGAGGTGCTGGTCACAGGGCAAGCAGGCCATCGATTGTATCTGACGTTTGTGAGAAGGGTCTAGTATCCTGCCTTTGACGAGAATACCGTGGATGAAATTTGTTTGTCGACTGCAACTGGACTGGACCGGATGGACTGGATGGAGCGGGTAGCATTTACCATGGACAGCCACAGTCCTACTCCCAATCATCGTCGTCCTCCATTGTAGCGTGTTTGAGATTACCACTTTTGATGCCAGCCCTGCCCGAAAGTCGTTCCTCTTTGGCGTCCTCGGCATCTCTCTTTCTTTTGACTACCCTCATGTCCTTCTCCCCCACGGCGCCAACCTCAACCAAGATGTTATCTATTTCCAGCATGCTGACACGGACGCCGCCTATGGTCATGAGCGTAACAATCTGTTTCACAATATCGCCATTCTTGTACACCAGAATGGTAGGGCAGTTGCGATCCGGATAGTTCTCGATTGCCTTGGAGGCTGGTATCTCACAAAACTTGACGTCGCCGTATTCCTTGGCTGCTTGCCGCCAGAGCTCGGATAAGACTCTGGATTCTATGTTGGTGCCCATGGAAGAGACGAGGTTGACAAAAACTGGCCCGTTCTTGGATGCTTCGGTGACTTCTCGCTGGTAGTCGGGTTTTGATATGGGATAAACGGCGCCATGTAGGGATTTCTTGGTCAGAGCGTTCAACTCTTGCATCCTCTTCTGCCTATAGGAGTCGAGGAAAGCTTCGTCTTCAAGGTCTTCTAGCTCGTCGAGCTCGTCGAGCTCCTTGCCTTCTAGCCGGTTCTCGTGTGCGATTCTCCTGCCTTCGAGTATAGCCTCCTCGATCATGGGAGTGGGGGATGGGGGTTTCTCGGGTATGACTCCATGTTTCCGCAGAATTTCGTTCCTGGTGGTTACGGAACGTCAAGATCAATGCTTTTGCGACAAGGAGATATGAATGCGCTCACCACTCCGTATCTGCATTGGGGTCGTCGATGGGTACGGCTATACGCTGCTCTGTCGGTGCTGCCATGGTTTCGATCTGCGCCCAAATGACCGTCGGTGCACCGTGTATTTACCCCGGATAGATGCAAATGGGGAGGTGTTTGTGTACTAAATCACAGAGAAGGCCTTCGAAAAGGAAACCAAAAAGGAGTGCTATCGAACGGGCGAGCCTTCTTCTTGAGTTGTATGCCTAGAGGCTTGGGGTGGTAGACGACATGGAGTGATTGTGACAGTATTCTAGGCATCGGCGTCTGTATCTGCATCTGCCCCGCGGTGGTCCCGACTGCAGACTGCCTGCACCGAATCCAAAACGTTCCAATGGAGGGGTTAGGCCGTTTAGATGGGCGAAGCTCGAGCCTCCAGTCTCGAAGCTTCAAGCTACGGCGCGAAGTGGGCATCTAACCTACAAGTGGTTGTCAGGCACGAGACATGCCTGCAAGGTTACTCGGCACTCTTCTTTCAGGATGGATTTTCTCGGTCACGATGGCGCTTGCACACATTCTGAGAGGAGAGACGAATATTGACCTGTACTCCCACTGTGCGTAGTAGGAGGGCCTATCCATGAGTTCGGCATACGTGTGTGCCGCAGGCAAGGAGACAGTCTGTCTGTCTGTCGCCCACCTACAACAATTGGTGACCCCCGTCATGGCTGTGTCCGCTTACTGTAGGGACTCATGGACGAGAATCAGACAACCTGGCACATTTCAAGGACGGTCAACTGGCCGGCAGCTGGATCCGTTTTTAGTGGAGCAGAGTCAATGACGGCAAGGCGGGCCCGAAAACAAAAGGGCCCCCAAAAAATGTTCTCTTTCTCGTTCTCCTGCTGTAACTCCGTAGGCACAGTGAGCCAGCGAGCCCTAAGCCCTCCTCCGCACTAACCCCGATACGCACTAGACCATTGAAAGTCGCCTTTCCGGTGTGGAGTTTCCATTGCAACAAAAGTGTTCGCCGAAAATTCGCAGTTTTGCCCTTCACAAGATCTCCTTCCCCTCACATCTATCGACCGCGAGCGTAAATCTGCCGCCAAACAATTCATCCAGATTTCCACCAGCCAACACGCATCTCGCATCGATACTGATCAGATCATCAATCTTCACGACAAGTAGTCAAAATGGTGAGTTGCAATTACCGATAAGCGAAGGCAGCCGTGCATCACGAGTTCCAACCCACGCCCCGTCAAGTCAAGTCAAGCAAGCATGCATCTATCTAGTATTTGGCCACCATGATATCGAAACAAGTCTTCATCACCACATCGACAACACCTGGTCACGCGACGGAGCCAACGCTGGAAAGAGCTGGGTCTACGACTGCACATGGACTCGGATGCCTCTGCTGCTGCTTGACGGATCCCCGGAGGACGTTCTCGATGATGACTCCAACAACACAAATGCAAACACACCATGCCAGGCTGCGGTGCTGACGAAATTGTCTTTTCAGGTTCTCGCCGTCGATCTTCTCAACCCCAGCCCGGCTGCCGAGGCTAAGAAGCACAAGCTCAAGGTACGGATTCTCTAGAGGCACCCCGTCGCCCTCTCCCCGTTGCTGATGATCAATCTTGCAGACTCTGGTCCCTGCTCCCCGCTCCTTCTTCATGGACGTCAAGTGCCCCGGTTGCTTCACCATCACCACTGTCTTCTCCCACGCCCAGACCGTCGTCATCTGCCAGGGTTGCACAACTGTCCTCTGCCAGCCTACCGGTGGTAAGGCCAGACTTACCGAGGGCTGCTCTTTCCGCAGAAAGTAGATGTATCGCTTCTACTTTTCTTCTGTTTTGGGCATAGGTCACGACTTCATGGTACAGCTCGGAAATCTGCAGAGCTTTCTCACGATGGTATGGGCGCATAGACAAATGGGCATTCTTGTCTTCTGGACATAATCGACGACATCATCCGCATGCAGATAGACGAGGGAGTACCAAAAGAGATCCTCAATATAAAAAGGGGCGTTTTGGGGTCCTGATATCTTGCATCACCGCATCAAAAATCTCGTTTTTCTGCGATATCTTTTTTTTTCTTCCTCTTTTCAGTCATGTCTGTTCACGGAAAGGTCATCGCCGCGATGGTTTTCCTTGCATGATTGGGTGGATAGCTGAGACAGCTCTTCCATATGAGCGTGGAGGGACTTCATTGTCCTTGCACGCGAGGACGTGGAACGCCGATTGAGGATCGCTATACCCTACAGTACAGTGGTTAGATTTCACTGTACTTCGCGAATTCATTGAGTTCCACGACCTGTTGCCCCTCCACGTGATACTCTCGTGTGTTCGCCATTTTTCTGCTATGAGCCATACGCCTAAGCCGAATCTTCAAGCCCAGTGCACTCGTCATAACTTTCAATCCTGCCACGTCCCTGAACCTCTACACTTCTCTCTCCACAAGCCAATCAATGCACGACCTTGATATATTAGTCTGAAACTATCTGTATGGTATTCTGCCTATAGCCGACATGCTGGGACCCGAGCGACATGTTGCCACACCCGGATGCCGAATTACTGCATTCACTGGACGGACGTGCCATTTTTGGTAGTCTAGTACAATGATTCCTATGCACCATCTTTTGGTCGTACGGGTTGATGCACAGGTCAGGGCCCATATGTATTTGCTTCAATGCAGTCAAAACAAATCCTGAAATCATCCAAGTCACTTCCAAACGGCCTCAGTGCTAACAATTGATCGTATGAGGTCATAGAAGCTGTGATTTGATGAGCAAGCAAGGGGCGGGTACTGTACACGACATGCCTCACCTATCGGCTGGTAGCCCCCCATAATCTCGCTGCAACTTCCAACCGTATTACGGACATGTTGTTCAAGTCGCTGTAGCCGAGCAAGGGACTACTCATTCTAAGCTGAACGCTCGAAACGAAATACGATGAACCTTCGCAACCACTTGACTTTGGTGCCAAGTTGAAAGTGGGCCATTGCCCAGCTTGCCTTGTTACAACGTAGCTTGCTCATCGCGATATGAATCCAAATTTGGAAATGTGGGACAGCTTCTTGCTATTGACATAGACAGAAGGATTCTCAGCTTTCGCCCACGTGCGATAATATTTTGCTCTCCAGGCAATAAAAAGGCAGATGTGTAAGAGTGCCGCCCTAGGTTTTGATAAACTCTGCAGAAGTAAGCATTCCTAAATCAATCCAGGACCCTGTGAGTCAACTTACACAATGAAAGTTACCACATATCTTTGTGTCCTTGCATTTACCTCCACATCGGCCATCGGCCATAACCTCTTGATCACGTTAGGCAAAGACGATCATGGAATCAACTCAAGTTTCTGTAAAGCCACGCCTGGCACCACATCCTGGCCGTCTGAGGTATCTTGGTCCCAATTCAACCAGTCTCTTGGCGGAGGGCTTCTCCGACCTCCTCCTCCAGGAGCTGTCTGTCATCCAGGACAATCAACCTACGATGCGGAGCGGTGTGACGCTGTCGCCACCGCATGGCGAACATACGACTTTCATTCCCAAGACCCGGTATCAAAGTAAGTGGTTTCTAACCTGTCAGACGAACTTTTCTTTTTTTCACTACCTGAGACGAGGTCAACATGGACATGAATGGCTGATGCGATATGTAGCATGTGGAATCAATACAGCAATGACTCCTGCCTTCCTAACGTCACTTATCCGTGTAGCGATGCGGGATATCCTACCTATGCCGTAAATGCCACAGAAGCAGAACACGTGAGGCTTAGTTTTCGATTTGGTCAGTATGTTCGCACATATCAAGTGATCGCATCTACTCACTCTCATACAGCACAAAAGTATAACGTCAGGCTAGTTGTCAAGAGCTCAGGCCATGACTTTCAGGGAAGGTCAACAGCACCCGGTGCCTTGACGATATGGATCCATCACATGCAGAGGCTGCAAACTCTATCTGCTTTCCAACCTCAGGGGTGTGATTTCACCATTGAGGGAGATGCCGTCACTGTAGCCGGTGGTACACAAATGGTCAAAATCTATGAAGAGCTTGATAAAATCAACCAAACTGCCGTCGGAGGTGGCGGCAAAACAGTCTCAGTCGGCGGCTACATCACAGGTGGCGGCCACTCGATTCTCGCACCTCGATATGGACTTGCTGCAGACCAGGTACTAGAAATGGAGGTCGTGACGCCGAAAGGAGAAGTGCTTGTTGCCAATGAATGTCAGAACAAAGACCTCTTTTGGGCAATGCGAGGTGTAAGTCATCTTTATTGAAAGTGATTAGACGAAGCTGATATAATCTTCAGGGTGGCGGCTCCACCTTCGGGGTCGTGACATTAATCACTATGGCAACACATCCTACGCCGCAAATAGTCGCTTGGGACGGTGCCATTGCCTCTTTTGAAGTCGGTGCACCTTGGTTCTGGGATATGATCGGCTATCTATTGGCTCAGCTCCCCTATCTCGACTCGAAGGGGATATCAGGTTATCCGACCATATATCCAAACGTATCAAATCCGATCGGTCAAGGGCCTTCACGAGTATCTGCATTCACTGGATCGTTCATCCTTCAGGACACTCAAAACGTTACCGAAATCCAAGAAATCCTCCAGCCCGTACTAGATTACGTGAGAACAACGTGGCCGCAGGCTTATATCCTGGCCAATGTTCTACCGCCGTACCCATCCTTTCTTGATTGGTATGCTGACCACTATGACCGATCGGCAGCCGGCACCAACGAGTACGTAGGTTCTCACTTGATGAACGCAAAGGCTTTTGAGGACGCTGCAGCCCTCGGCGCAGTGTTCAAGACTTTTTCGGAGGTCGGAGGTGGAAGTAGTCCATTCTTAGTTGCCGGAGCTGGCGTCAGAAACGCTAAGCCCAGGGGCGGCGGAAATTCTGTCTGTCCTGCTTGGCGGAAGGCACTGGTGCATGCAAGTAAGCTGACCCTTCCAACCTCCCTTGGTGCTCTGGCGTAAGGCCATACGATGGAAGCTGACAATCGTGTTCGTACAATAGCCAATGGGATTTCATTTCCGCCTCTGGACCCTGCGGCTCGCCAGCAAGCACTGGCCGATCTGAATGCAGCCGTGGAGCCCGTGAGGCAATTGTCACCGAACATGGGTGCTTATGTTAACGAAGTAAGGCCAAACCATCGTTTTCTCAAGCCGTGTGGTAGCTGGACTAATAGCGTTTGCTTCAGAATAATCCCGGTGAGCCGGATTGGCAGCATAGTTTCTGGGGGCAGAACTACGAACGTCTGCACCGAATCAAACGTGCCGTGGACCCCCATGATCTGCTCTGGTGCCATCCATGTGTCGGAAACGAGCGGTGGGAGGAGGTAGGATATCGACTATGCCGCATCAGCGACCATTACAAATAGGTACGATCGGACAAACGGACTTTTTTTTCCCTCGCTCAGGTGTAACGGTGGAGTTATGCCCAACGACAGGGCAGGATTAGGTATAACCATGGGCCAGATTAACCACCTTTAAGTCATAGATATCATCAATTGAAATGATTAAATCACAACAGATTGAGTTCAAGTCGCCCCCAAGGATTCTGGGAATAAGTGCGCGAATTCAACCCAGTCCCAGCCGATATCACGCGTCACCTCGGGCGACAGTCCCGCATCATGTGATAATGTCGGCGACTCCCCGAATACTGCAGTGAAATCAATATTCATCAGATCCATTGGAGTTCTGTTAAGGCTGTGCGGCCCTCCAAGCTGCGAGTGCGTCGCTTGATTCTGAGGGGCTGCAGTGTCAGCAACGGCCGTCCCCGAGCTCATGGAACCGGGCGTCGCTGTGCCCGAGTGCTGCACTGCCGCGAGTCGTCTTTCTATAGAACCTGAGTTGGATATGACCTTCTTGACTAGAGACTCAAGCTTGTCAAGTACTCCCTGTAATTTGCTGTTCGTGGAAGAAAGTTCGCCTTGCTGCTTCGCGAAATCGGCCGCATCATGGATGAACTATCGAGCCTGAATCAGCATCCAACACAAGTAACTAATTAGCAGCGGGTGATTTACGTTGAGATCTGATTTCGCCATTCTTGACTTTGGGTTTGTTATAATAATTATCGAGAGAACATATAATGCATGCAGCGGCGCCGATAAAGAAGGCAGGAGAGGTTTCAATTCCGATTCGGATGCCTCGATGAGGAGCTGCACTGTCCTCCTTGCAGCATTCGCAACAATGGATGGTCCCTTGCGAATTACATACTCCCATGGCTTTCCGACTGCCACATTGTCGATTGCCAGCTGTATGGCTTTGCTGCTTACCAGAAGGCTGTTTCGCATGAGCATCAGCAACCTAGTCCTCTGATTAGCAAACAACGTCCAAAGGGTAGGTGGTAGGTGGCACTGACGACTGGTTATACTGCAATGCGATGAATGATGCAAATGGAAAGCTTCCAGGATCATATATGAAGTCAGACCGCGGTCTTGTACTGTGTCAGTAACAACGAATCTCCATGTGAACGGGTGTGTGACATACCTATACTCTTCGGGCAAGCCATCGGCCCACTTCATTAACTTGGCGCATGACTCGCCAATCGTCTTGACCTTGTCTCGAATCGCGCCGTCAATACCACTACTCCCGGATGTCTCCTCGGTATTCCTTGAGCGCACCGCCGAGCGCCCAATCTCGCCAAGGATGCCAGCAAATTGGCCCAGTATGCGCAAGAAAGATGGCCGCGGATGACCTCGCCCATTGGTCGAAAATGACCAGCTACCTAGGTCCAGTTCCTGACAGCTCTCATCGAAAATCAGAGGCTGCCTTCCTAGCTCGAAGGCGAGTAACCTCTCGAGACAGAATATGCACCACCACGTTCGTAATCTATCCACTTCCAGATCAGGCATCGCCAACGACTGAGTCGATGGGCGCCGAGGTGTCGATACGGGCCGGTTCAACCCCTGTGACATGGCCATAGAAACGCAGAGGCTCAGCGCGGACCACGCGGCCGTGATCTGATCGTGGGCCTTGAAACATAGTGACATCAGAAACAACAGCTGGACGGTCTGCAGGTTGTTCCATCCGGTCATGTGGCCGACAAAGTTCTTGCAATAGTCGAGGTTTCCGGCTGAGAACTCGCGCCACTCTTTTCGATCATGGCCCAGAGCGCCGAGGCTAAGCACTACATAGATGATCAGAAGTGGCAAAAATCCATGGTCGTGAGTGAACTGAGTCGGGCCCAGCTGTATCGCAAGGTCGAGCAACTGACTTGTATTTGCCGCGTCCAATAGAGGGAAAACTGCATTGATCTCTTCTAGATAAAGAAATAACAGCTCCTGGCTCGTGGCTGGATCTGGTAGAGTTGGTGTATCCAGCTGTAAGGACGGCTTCTGTATTGATCCAGAAGATTCAGCGGATAGCAGAAGAGAACTGAAACGCTTTTTTATTCCTAGTCTTTGGAAAGCCAAATCCAGCCAATCTGTCAACAGTTCTGATGTACAACTTCCAGTGCTCGGTCGTAGAATGGGCAGCCGGCCGGAATATCTCGTTGTTTGGTTTACATGGTCAGTCTCGGCGTGCATGTCAGCGGTAGGATCCGCGTTTCGACTATTTCCGTATGTCTGTGGTTTCCAAGATGTGTCATGTTGGGTTTCTTCGTGAAACTCGGATGCTGACCGAGGTGTTAGGGGGACAGCTAGACTGGGCCTTCTGTGATGCATTGGAGGGATGATGACCGGGATCGCCTCTCCGGAGGCTTCTATAGCTGCACATCTCCGGGTGTTTGTTTGTACGGCAGGGTTCGCAGGTATCTGGCTATCAGATGTACCACCGGCCTCGTGTCGCGTAATGGCGACACCGGGCCGCCGTCTATCAACAGTGACACACGGGATGCCGGCGTTGAGACATGCTCGACAGGACGGCTTCTGCTCATCGCAGCGCGATTTCCTACTTCTGCAATAATTACAGGCGAAGTTGAGTCTTCTGCGCTTACTTGGTGCTTCTGGATTCGCCAAGCTAGGGTTCAAGTTGCCGATTATAGTATCAGGAGGCGACATGATTGGTCAAATCACACGTCTTAGCCCTGAACCGAGCTGTCGGAATTGCTTGGGGGAATCCGGGGTAACGTACGGCAACGTACGATGTATATGCGAGGTGCCGAAGCGTTGGGCCTGTGCGAAAGAAGATGCCGTACCGAATCTGGGGTCCTAGTAATAGTTATACTACTAACCTTAGACTCTGGGGTCGGCTTGTCGACCCTAACCTCCACGACGCTCCCCACAACGCGGAGTGTGGAGGGTTGCGGGGTGTAGTCTAGATCTTGCCTAGGTTAGTGCTGTTAGTTGCCGATTCCGACTCACATGGGAATTGTTGTGATTGGATAGCGAAATAGTACGCGGATTTTACCACCGGCAACTATTGTGGGGGGAAACTATGCCATGTTAATTTAGAATCAACGGCTGTCACCAGGTTTAGATATAAGTATAAGCATGTTAGCCGTGCACGTGGTAAGAAGAGGCAGGATCAGGTATCTGAGCCGCGTCGCAGCATTCCAGCTTGTATAGTATGTCAACTTTTCTTAGCCACCAACACCGTCACACTCCACTCATACGCAGAAGTCACAATCCGACATCATGGACGCTGAAGATACCAAACTTCCTGAGACGGAAACGATTGAGACAGTCGATACCGGCAGAACGCCGCATGTGCCAGATGCTCCTGGTGCTGGCACCGTACGGTTATTAGATGAAAATAATGTCGTTTTGATTCCAACTCCAAGTCCAGATCCAAAAGGTATGAAACTTCACCTCTACTGCAAGCGCATCGATACTAGATATGACTAACATACACTTCTTCCAGATCCACTTAATCTCCCTCCCTGGCGGAAGTTTATGATAATCTTCATCGTGGGTCTATACTCTGCCTTCGCCGTAGCCACGACCTCAGGTCTTGGCGCTGTATATCCAGAAGTCATGACAGCATATCCTGGACAAGAGACGCGAGCCACGGGCCTCTTGACCTACCCAACTCTTTTCATGGGTATTGGTAACTTAGTCGCGATGCCTCTGTGCGTCGCAATTGGCCGCCGCCCCGTCTTTCTTCTGTCCATGGCCCTTCTGGTCGCGTCTGGAGTTTGGTGTGCTTGTTCAACTTCTTTGACCAGTCATATCGCTGGGCGCAACATCTTCAGCATGGCTGCAGGACAATCTGAGGCTCTTGCACCCATGATGATTCAGGAGATTCATTTTCTCCACGAGCGTGGAAGTAGGATAGCCTGGTTCGTGGGTGTGCAGACTGTAGGGACTGCTGCTTTCTTCGTTGCAACTGTCTATATCGTGCCCGCAATTGGTATTGGCTGGTGGTACGGCATCATCACGATCATCAATGCCGTTGTGCTAGTTCTGGCCTTCATCTTCGTGGTTGAGACTAAATTTGACCGCCCGCAGGACGCCAGTCATGGCGAGGTTCATCTGCATCTTGATGAGAATGGCGAACTAATTGCCAAGGGCGGCGAGGAACTAATCTTCCGCGTTACTACTGCACAGAACCACATCCTTCAACCAGAGAAATTTGGTGCGCGAACGTGGCGTAACGACTGGAAAATATTCCACTGCAAGCCCGACTGGCATGCTTGTATTCTCTTCTACAAGGACACAGCGCTGGGTCTCTGTTTGCCTACAGTGTTTTGGCTTCTGCTGCTCAACGGTGCGTTCCTCGGCGTTTACGTCTTTCAGGCCTCGACTTTTGCTCAGATTCTCATGTCGCCACCGTATCTCTTCACGTCTGCGTACTTGGGCTGGGTGCAACTAGTACAGGTTCTTGACTGTGTGATAATGGTGCCTCTTCTGGGGTATGGTTCTGATCATATTGTCAAGTTGATGAGTCGCATACGCAGAGGAATCTATGAGCCGGAGTATCGTCTCATTGCACTTGCGATGCCAGCTATCACTGTTGTCATATCATGTGTACTTTACGGCCAGGCTGGCCAGTTCCCGACTCAATGGCCATGGATGACGGTTGTGGCGCCTTATCACCTTGGTGTTTTTTCCTTCATGGGCGCCAACTTTGTCGGCATTACCTATGCGGTCGACAGCTTCCCCGAGCGAGCCGGACCTCTGCTTCTGCTCATTTGTGCTGGGCGGGGCTTCATCTCGTTTGGGTTGAGTTATTCGACGGTGCCACTGACCGATATGATTGGTTACAATGGCGCCATGAATGTCTACGCTATCATCTGCGGCGTTCTAGCTGCGCTGGCCATTCCAGCATACTTCTTTGGTGGAACAATTCGGAGATGGGCAGCCAGAACATTCTGGAGACTTACTGAGGAGGTGTGAAAGGTGAAGGTTAGGCCCAGTCTGATGAGATCGAGGAGTATCCTGGTAGCAATCCCCCAAAACCTGTAATTTAATCCATGTACCTACTCCCACTAAAAGACATTGTTGTCCTCTCATGGCCAGATTCCTTCGTGTCTGCCTCAGAGCGAGAGTCCTTATTCGTGTAATGTCAATATTAATTTGAGTCGCCAAACCTCCCCCGCTCTCGTTTACTTTCTGGATTGCTCTGTCGGTTTTTATCCGAATATTCTTTTTAGCCTCGGACTAATTGCAGTTGAGCCCTTGAACAGCATGCCCAGCCCATCCGGACTTGGCACTATCGCAAACGTTTCCGAATACTGCAAAGAGGTTACGCGGATCAGAAATAATTATGACTTCCATGGTTCTTACTTCATTTTAATTCTACTCGATACATTAGAACATTTTACAATCTAAGCAGCAGTTGGTTGAATATATGGAATACCGGTCAAACGATAGCCCCTCTCAGTCAATTCAGGTGCCTTCCTTGGCTTCCCAGTGTTGTACGGACAATCTTGGCCATTTCTCTTAACTGGAATACCACCAACGTGCATGGCGTTGGGCCAGTGAGTGGTTCCCTGCAAGTTGTCGAAAGCGCTCTTCTTCCTGATCAAATCCTCTTGACTGGCATCAGCAGCCGGCATGTAGCAGGTGTAAGCGCAGAAGCGTGGGATGGTGCCTTCCGGGCTGAGATTGTAATGGGGAGTACGACTATCCCAGAGCAAAAGATCGCCGGGCCCGGCATTGACCTTGATCCACTCGCAGCCCTTGTTCTTGAGCCAAGCCATGCCTTCACCGGTGAAGCCGTACCACTCTTTTGTCCAGCTCCAGATTTTGTTGGGCTCATTCTTGAACTCATTGTGGAATTCTTCGCTGAGCCGGTGGGCACCTTTGCAGACGATCAGACCGCCGTCCTTGTCACCATTGGGGAACACGTTGACAAGTCCCTGAAGGCAGCGGAAACCAGGCTTCTCGGGGTCTTGGTCCTGGTGAGGCCAAGGATTGTTGGGTTTGATGTCTGTGCGGTTGGGAAAGGCCGTGTTGACAGCGTCGAAAGAAACAATCAGGTCAGGAGTGTCGTAAACCTTCTCGAAAGCCCCGACAACACCGAGTTCTTGTCGAATTTCCCATGTGAAGGACTCATGGGTCACACCATAACCAATAATCATGCCCTTTTCAGTAATTATGGGCAGGTTCTCCTCCTTGACGGTGGAGGGATCGTCACGCTTGAAGCCCAGACCGCCAGCGCTGATACCATTTTTTATTAGTCTTATGGGCTGTAAGTTGACAGTTGATTCATTGGTCACTCACAAGGTCTCAAGGTAGGACATCATATCCTCGCCATATTGCTCAATACGGTCCTTGGGAACAGCACCCTTGACTACAACGAAACCGTCCCGAGTCAGATCATCTCGCCAGTCTCCGTAGGTGGTACCTTCTTTGGCAAATAGTGCGTTGGGGCCGGCTGGCTTGGGTGCATTGTGTTCCGTGGTGCCCAGCTTTTTAAATTCGTAGGTGTGTGACTCGATCACCACGGCAGCAGCCTTTGCGTCACTGTTGATTACCATTTTGAGTGTTGTTGTAACGTATACCCTGAATACCAAGTTTTGGTACAGTATAAAGCCTTTGGATGTTAAATGTGGATGAGATATCCTAAGAGCCGTGTAAACGTGGTTGAGTTTGGGTGGCTTATATCTACGGTATTCTACTGCAGCACTGCTTGTCTAATGAGTGCTCCATCATATGCAGGTCTCCACGAGTTCAATGAGACGATGGTCGGTTCGGATGCTCAACCATGTCTCGCCTGTCACTTCCGTCTCGAGGCGTTGCGACAGTTGGACAACGTCGAGGGTAACCGGCACGGAGCGGTTCGGTTCGGTCCGGCATCTTCGTTACATTCTCCACAACTTTGACCATCACCTCGACTACGGAGTTTCTCCCAATCAAATGCTCCAAAGTACAAGCCACGCTAGGGCAATCCGGGGTAAAATATGTGGGTTGCGAAGTTATGGATCTGGATTTCTTCGAAAATCCTTCTGCATTTTAGAGCTATCGGCATCTTGAAGATACATATGGCCTACCGTGAGAGCTGCACCTGAGCCGGCCCCTCCCTCTACGCCGTGTCATAGAGAGGACTTGACGAGTCTCAAGAATATTTAGACTAATAAAATGATCATCGGACGCGTGTTCGAAAATGAGACATGACAATAAAGTGAAACCACCGTTGTATATCATAAAAATGTCGGCATCCATCACTAAAGCTCCAATCGTACCCATTGGCCTCCCGGAGATCGGCCAAGGGGGGTACACTGGCCTGGACGAACGTAGCGAGGTCCTTCCAGCAGGATGGAAATACCCAGATCCAAGGTCGAAGCCTCTCACCTCGGCTATCTATGTCGAGCATGACGTCCCTATCACCATGCGTGACGGCGCTGTGTTGCGCGCTGACATTTACCGCCCACCACCTTCAGCGAGCGGCGAACCGTCAGAGAAAATTCCTGCAATCCTGTGCTGGTCGCCGTTTGGCAAAAAGTTCAATGGTCTGATGTCACTCTCTCTCATGACGCCCTGGGATCTTGGCATCCCAGCCGGCACGCTGTCAGGGCTGGAGAAATTCGAAAGTATCGACCCAGCCGACTGGGTACCTCATGGATTCGCAGTTGTCAATATCGACAACCGTGGGGCAGGGGACAGCGATGGCACCATGGTCATCATGGGCACTCAAGAGGCAGAAGATGGCTATGACACCATCGAGGTGCTTGCGAAGTTTCCCTGGTGCAATGGGGCTATTGGCATGGCGGGCAACTCTCACTTGGCAATTGCGCAGTGGTTCATAGCTGCTTTGCAGCCGCCAAGCCTCAAGGCGATTGCGCCGTGGGAGGGCTGTGGCGACCTTTTCCGTGAGCAGTTTGCCCGAGGTGGCATATATGCTGGAGATCTTTTCGATCTTCTAATCGCTAGACATATGTTAAAAGGCCGTCATGGTATGGAAAGCTTCAGAGAAAAGTTCGCAGAACAACCTTTGGCCGATGCCTGGTGGAACGACAAGCGACCCGATATGACAAGAATAAGCGTGCCGACTTATATGACCGGTACGTGGACCAACACCATGCACGGCATGGGCGTAATCAGGGGTTGGATGGATGTTAGCACGGAAGACAAATGGCTTCGGTGGCATGGAACCCAAGAATGGTACGATATGTACGGCAACAAGGACGGTGCTCAGGAGCTGATGCAGTTCTTCGATCGGTATTTGAAGGGCATTGAGAATGGGTGGGAGAAGACACCACAAGTCCGCCTTGCAGCTTTACGATTTGGCCAAAACGATCCAATCGAAGATATCGTCGAGGCGGAATTTCCCATGAAGAGAACAGATTATAAGCAGCTATATCTAAATGCAGACAATACTATCAGCCCAAGTCAACCAACAGAACCAGCAACCATCAGCTACAACTCCGAAAGTGCCGAATCTGCTTCTTTCACATACACATTCCAGGAAACCACTCGACTTATTGGTATTCCAAAAGCTGTTGTCTACATATCATGCGATGATCTCGATGATATGGATGTCTACGTCTTCATTGAAAAGCTCGACACATCTGGACAAGCCATGACAAACCTCAATATCCCATGGAAAGGAATACCTGTCAAGTCGTTCGACGATTTTGATGCCCAACAGAGGACCGAAGTTGTCACATATAAGGGGCCCGTTGGTATTATTCGCGCATCGTATAGAGCCATTGACGAGAGTAAATCGATACATCGCAACTGGCCCTATCACCCGCACGAAGAGGAGGACAAGATCGAGCCTGGAACCGTAGTCCGTTTGGATATTGGTATTTGGGCCATGGGCATTCAGTATGAGGCTGGTGAAGGCCTAAGAGTCAGCATTAGTGGCAGGAGCCATGCAGTTAGCAATTTTGGAACGCTCGATCATGTAAAGAATAAGGGGAAGCACGTTGTGCATCTTGGAGGGAATCACCCTAGTCATGTGGTTTTGCCATTTGTATGACGGGGAACCCGTCCTTCAGCTACCAGCCACAACAAAGGCCTCAGGCGTCTTGAGTTGGACCATATCAGAGCTTATATTAAAGGTTTTGCAGCACATGCGGCTCGATGCTTGGCCATCTATCAGATCGGGGGAGCATCAAGTGAGACACTGGTGAAGCTTGGGGCGAATTTGAATTTCCAAGTGAGACTCGCACGTAAATCAAAAGATGGCAGTCCGACAGCACATTCCGAACCTTAAAATGCGACTGTCGCGACACATCACGAAAATGCGCGTGGGAAGGAAACTGGAAAGCACACACCTGCGATATCCGCGTCGTCCCTGCCAGATTGCTCAGAACTTATGACGATATACCGGATGAATACGCGTCTGTGTTATGCCAAGTAACATTGGATAGGTAGACTGCTGTCCCATGTTCAATGTTCTCCATGCATTTCAAGAGTTTCAGCACTATCAACACGGTGTTTTTGGTTAGCTTGCAGTCAACACCAACCGTTGACTATATTTAGGATTATCAACATGCAGCGCCGCAACAGTATCAAGTCCCGCAACCGACCGCTATCTCGCCAGAAATCTGCTTCGTCTGTCAAGAGTGTGCAGCTGGTTCATATCGATCCGCGCACGGCTGAGCATGATGCACAAAGCGCGGCAACGCAAGCCTTTGCAAGGGCCAGAGAACGAGATTTGAACGGCACGGCCGACTGGCCACCGTCGCGCTCGTGTGATCGCCCTACTTCGGGACACCATCAAAGCTCTCTGGAAGGTCACCAAAACGATTCGGTGCTGCGCAAACAGCAGAGCGTTCGTTTCGTCCAGCCCATGACCTACAGCACTCGGGTTGAGGATGAGACCATGCAGAGCACACCGTCAAAACAAAGGAGTGGCAGGATCCATACAAGCCGGTCTCGAAGTCACACCCATACTTCAAGCAACGCTTCAGCCGCTGGCATGGTCTTCGCCGCCAAGGGTACAGCAGGCGACTACATCAATGCACTCATCATGGGAGAGGACCATAACACGCCTGAAGATAACATCAACTATGTGCCATCTTCGCGTCGCCGCCTTCGCAAGTCCAAGTCCATGTTCACAGCATCGGAACTGAATGAATTATCAAGCTTCAGATATGAGCAACAACCTAGAGGGGAAACGCCACAATTTGTCGGCGCTGGTGGTCTCGCTTCGCATTTGCACCAGGACGCTGATACGGGGATGCGGCAGCTCAAAAACCCGAAGTCAATGACATTCCTAAGGTCGAAGAGGGAGATGCACACTAAACAGGACCATAGAGTAACTGCCCCAACGCTTACCGTACTGAGCGAAGATGCTGTGCCGGCCACTCATCCCAGCATCACTAAAACGCAGCCTTCTGCACTTTTGCCCATCAAACCTGTCAATCCAGACAGATATTTCAGGAAATCGATGCGGGATTCAAGCAACTCTAATGCTTCATCGGAGACGAAAGTTGTGGAAAATGGAAGCCTTAGAGTCAAGGCTCGTGAAGTCTCTAAGAACTTCAAACATCGGATAAAGAGCTTATTCCACATTGCAAAGGACGAAAATGACGAAAATAGGTTTCCCCCACAACAGGTGAAAGCTCCAAAAGCACACGCAATGGGCCTTGAGGATTTGGAGCATAACTTGGGGGACGACTACTTCGACGAAGCAGACAGGGAAAACACCACCGTCTCGCGAGTCACATCCGGTGTTCCATCACTCCATGCCGTACCCTCAGAGCTACAGTTGCGTTCGCGTCAGGGCAGCCTCGAAAGTCTCCGCAGTGAAAGAAAGGTGTCAGATGAGAAGTCCAGGGTGACAAGCTGGTCAGATTCTGATGCAACTACTTCAGGAACTGTCAGTAGCGGCCGAGTCGAATGGGAAAAGCAACGGCTGTCGGTAATCAAGGAGAATAGCTGTCAACTTGCGTCACCTTCTTTTCGGAGAGCCCCACTGCAGGTGCACCGGACAGGGTCTGAGATTGACCTGCGACAGACTTCGGCAGTTGCAATACCACCTACAAGATCAGTTGACGGCCAAAGGATATATTCGGCATTGATGAAGAGACATAATCGCGGTAATGATATAGTTGAAGCAAAGCATGCTGAACGACGAGGGAGCTTCGAGGACTTCATGGTCCAGGGAATAGTCCCAACGCGAGATGGTTCCAAGGCATTCTGCATCGGAGGCAAATCGTCGCCTGCAACCATTAGACCAGTCGTCACCGATAATGTCTTGAAGTCTGGTCATATGCGTGAGTCAACCACAACCGTTATACGTGGGCCTAGGCCGATGCCGAGTCAAGCAGTTGACAGCTACTCAAACGGCCACCAGATTAACAGGCTGGCAACGTCATTATCTACGAACACTCTGAGGTCTCCGAAGAGTTCTAGCATTGTATGTCATGACGCGGCAATGCTGCCGACCAGGTCCCTGACAAGTCCAAGCACCAGGACATTGGCACCACCAGGCAAGGCTTTAGCTGAACGTAGCTCAGTATTCTTTGGCAGCCCGTCAAGCCACCTGTTCCGGACGCAGAGTCCGTATCGACGCGCTATTCGAGGTTCGATGCATGCGGCTGCCGAAGCATCTATTCCTCAGTCGCCTGAATTCAATCCTTGGATGGCAACATTGAATACTGTTCGTATCCGCTGTCCGAATTCCTACGACTCAGACGAAGAGGACCGGAAGATGACATGTGCTGAAAGCTTATACTCCTCTGATGAAGTAGAGCCGGCCGGGGACTTGCCGGGCAAGGTTGGCCAGTCTGAACAAGTACCATCCCCGACTAAAGCTCATGGAGATGCTACCATTTTTCTTGACCCGCCAAAGTACCAAGCACCAACTTTCAAGCCGGCTGAGCGTATGACATCATCAGCAAGCTCTGTTGAGTGGAAGACGTGGCTTTCATCGAACATATCGAAATTGAACGATCCGCATTCGCCTCCGGAAGACTCTGATCCAGGCGAAGAAAAACTTGGGACTCGTAAATTGCCGTGGAACTCAGGCCATGTGCGCGAAAACGCGCAGATATATGGCGAAGACTATGACGGAGTAGCAATGGGGACCAGTGAGGGTAAATCCCATGACAACGAGCCAGAGGACTTGATCGTTCGTAGTCCAACTACTGAGCGCCAGCACCGAAGAGTACCGCCAGTACCCCCAAGAAATGTTCTCCGGCCAATACAATCTTCGGCAAGCCTGCGATCAAGTTTGGCGACCGTGAATACACCTCAAGAACGTAGCAAGAAACCTAGTCCAGGGCCAGCGCAATCAAAGCCACTCGCGCAGGCTCGGTCTCTTAGCGCCCTCAGCATCCAGGATCAAAATATCCTCACACCACGATCCAAGCTACGCAGAAAACCCAACGGACCCAGAGATTACGCCCCCCAGGCTTTGACCCCAGTAAGGAATGGTGGAACACATCGACAGCTGACCAGACTTTCAGAGGCGGCTGAATCGCAACTTGACACTAAAGGGCCCGGCGGTGTGCAGAATGAGAACATGAGCCCAATAATGGCTGATCCAAAGGATCGTGGCACAATTGACGATTCAAAGTTCCGCAGCGTGCAAAACAACACGAGCAGGCAATCACTTGGTGCTAACCATATGGTCGAAGTCTTCTTGGACAGCCGGAGGCAAAGTGCGGTTGGTGCCGGTGACACGGATGCATTTCTCTGATGCGGAGTGGGAGTGGCAGTTTTGTCGCTTTTGATGTCAAGTGACTAGTTTGGAAGCAATCGAATTCATAAAAGTAAAGACAGGAACGCGGTGGCTCGTAGAAAATATCACTACAATCATGTGTGGGCAAAGGAGTAGGAAGGAAGCGGGTCTGAACTTTGAAGTACATATGCTTAGACTTGAGTCATCGCTGTCGGTCGGGCACAACAACTATAGAAAGGTAGTGTGAATCAGAACAGTACTATATCTCATCGCATGAGTGTTCGACAGTATCGTTAATCACACAGCATTGTTGCGATACACAAGCACTTCGCATGATTGAGCCGGTATCGCGCACTAATGCCTCGGCGTCCTTATCATGAACCTGCTGTGTTTGTATGTACCAGACACTCGTCAGATAAAGCTGGGCCTGATTATGCGGGGGAACCGAGAGCATTAGATCCACATGAGCTGTGGGAAACTTCAGAAGACCAGCTGCAACCCGCGGAACGACCTCGAAACGACTCCACGGGCGAGTGCGAGTTGTATTTCAATACTCCAAATTGGCGCAACGTTTTGAGTGTTACGTGATGCTGATGAAGGTTAATCGGGAATCAAGTCAAATAAGCCTTGGCATTCGAATTGACAGAGCTGCAACCGAGACAGCTCCGGACCAGAGTCCAAGAGTCAAACATGACTGATAAGAGCAGACTAGAGGGTAGATGGTCTCCATCCGGATCTGCATCTTCTGACTCAAAACAGCCCGATGTGCTGCAATGGAAGTCGGTAAAATGGAGATGCGATTCCCACTCTGATGGCGAATTATGGTGACTTTCTTTAGCCCCATGGCGCTTCCATTCCGTGCTTTCGTGTGAGACAGGATGCCTCGAGGATGCGTGTTGATCTTTGAGGGAAAGGCAGGGACACGTGAGCCCTGCCAGCCTGCGACGCAGGGACAGATGACGAGCTAGGCCGACTTCGGGTTGGGGGGAAAGGTAGCAGGGTAGCTTGGGCGAGGCGGACGGACAAACAAGGGGTGCAGGTGGGTGTTTTGGCCCGGGGAACGCGCTATCCTGGTCCTCGATTGTGTCATCGGTCGGCCATCGTTTCCCCCAGCGGTTGTTATCGGTTGCCTTCGCGACAAGCCAGCTTTGAGAGCAGGGAGGGAAAATGATGATGCTTTTCGTTCCTGGTAGATGAGAAGTGGTTTTCGTTTTGTCCTGAGGCGCTGGTGGAAGTTTCCGAGCTCTTATTACTGTTTAACATCTAATATGTACATAGCCATGCTTTCTACCCGTACATAGATAGCTTGACTCCAGTAGAGTAGACATCTGATGGTCTGGAAGTATGTATGGATGGATGTGCAGACATAGCTAAGATAATGCGGAGAAGGCTGGGAGCTTGATCTTTGATAGGCGCCGGGCGCTGGTTGCGGCGAGTCAAAGGCGGACCTCGTGCCAGTCATCATGTCATAGGTCATACTGCTGCACTGTGGTTCCTTATCTTATCGCATTGCCGAGGAACCTGATACGGATGTCTGTTTCACAACCTCGAGGCGTTCCATCGCTGGATAGGAAGGATGCACGTATAAACGACGACATGATTATGTATATGGGAGTCGAGTAGGTATTCTCCAATAGAAAGACAGTGCTATTCTCGGTCATCTGAGAGGCTCAACCTTTCCCTCAGATTGCTTATCTGGTTTGTCGTCACGAGGACCTGGCTGAGGTGAGCGGAACCTGGGAAACCAACCAGGTACTTACGGGCCCACATATTCCTTTGCTTAGAAGATGGCATGTATGTAGGTACAAAAGGCGAGAGCAGAGCAGCGCACAGCACAGCACCGCACAGCACCGCATAGCACCGCGTCGTGGCTTTGGTCAATAATGAAGCACCCCAGCCGCGGGACGCAAGAAAGATGCAATGGGTCGAATTGCGATACATGAGGTCGGAACTACAGGTAAATGGGGACAGCGTGCAGCTTCCCTCCTCTATCGGTCGTAGCTGTCTGCTGGCTGTGACGGGTGCCAGTTCATGTTCCGATTAGTTGTAGCTCTAGCTCTAGCTCCAGCTCTAGCGTAATACTGCAATACTCCGTACAGTACCTAAGATAGGTACCGGGGGTAGGCGGGTGGGCTGTGCGCCGCGGCAGCCTGGCTTGCAGACCTCAGACCTCAGACCTACACCTGGGGGGCGTCTGGGGGGCCCTCTGCGGCGTCTGCGGCCTACAGGCTCAAAGCTCCTGCTTCCTACTTATCTCACTCCCTTTGCTTGGCCCCGACATACCGGACGTACTTGTACTTATCTGCCCCGAGACAGCTCCTCTCGAGCTCCATCTTCCTTTCTTCATTCTCAATCATCTACCCCTTCTTCCATTTATCCATCTACGTCCTGTTGTTCGTTTGTGGCCGTCTTCATATCTGCCATCCACTATGAAGGGCCTTTTCGCTCTGTCCCTCGCTTGTGTTGCGAGCGCAGCACCATCATGGGGCTCATCCGCTGATGTAGCACCGCTGGTGGTTTCCGGTGATGCTGAGCACATCCCCAACTCCTACATCGTCAAGTTCAAGTAAGCTGTTCTCCTCGTTTTGCTCATCCCCATCCCCATTTCCAGTCTATGCCCTCTCCATACGCATTCGATTCGGCCGCCCGTCTGTCGCCTGGAGCCCATCAGCCAGTTGACTGACGCGGCACCTCTGCGGCCCAGCGGAATCGACCGATGATGCGTCATATCTGTGCTCGGAGCTCTCTTCGTCGTCAACCATGGGATGAGAAACCATCAACGGCTAACACTTCCGTTCCCAGGAAACACGTCACATCGTCAAGCGCCTCTGACCACCAGTCATGGATTCAGGACATCCACGCTGAGGCTGAGGACACCCGGCGGATTGAGCTGCGCAAGCGTGGCCAGACCACTCTTGGTGACGACAATATTGTGTACAATGGCTTCAAGCATGCCTATCAAATCGGTTCCGATTTCTTGGGATACTCTGGCCACTTTGACGACTCCGTCATCGACCAGATCCGCAAGCACCCTGACGTCGAGTACGTCGAGCGGGATCAGATTGTTCGTGCCCTCAAAGAGGCCGAACCAGTGACGGAGAAGAATGCCCCTTGGGGTCTGGCTCGTATCTCCCACCGAGACAGCCTGTCCTTTGGTACCTTCAACAAGTACATCTACGCCGAGGATGGTGGCGAGGGTGTTGATGCCTACGTTATCGATACCGGTACCAACACGGAGCACGTTGACTTCGAGGGCCGTGCCCACTGGGGCAAGACCATCCCCAGCGGTGACCAAGATGTCGATGGCAATGGTCACGGCACTCACTGCTCCGGTACCGTTGCCGGTAAGAAGTATGGTGTCGCCAAGAAGGCCAATGTGTACGCCGTCAAGGTGCTGCGCTCTAACGGCAGTGGCTCTATGAGCGACGTCATGAAGGGTGTTGACTGGGCGGCTGGCGCTCACTTGGACCAAGTCAAGGCGGCCAAGGACGGCAAGCGCAAGGGCTTCAAGGGCTCCGTCGCCAACATGTCTCTTGGTGGTGGCAAGTCCCCGTCTCTCGACCAAGCCGTCGATGCTGCCGTCGACGCTGGTCTTCACTTCTCCGTCGCTGCTGGCAACGACAACGCCGATGCTTGCAACTACTCTCCCGCCGCTGCCAAGAAGGCCATCACCGTTGGTGCCTCCGCCCTTGATGACAGCCGTGCCTACTTCTCCAACTGGGGCAAGTGCGTCGACATCTTCGGCCCTGGTCTGAGCATTCAGTCGACATGGATTGGCAGCAAGACTGCGATTAACACCATCTCTGGTACCTCCGTAAGTTATTCCATGCTCATGTCGCAGCTTTGGTTGTTCACGCATCACTAACCCTGCACACAGATGGCTTCCCCTCACTTGTGCGGTCTCACCGCCTACTACCTCTCCCTCCAGCCCAGCAAGGAATCCGAGTACGGTCTTGCCACCATCACCCCCGAGCAGCTGAAGAAGGATATCCTCAAGGCCGCTAGCAAGGACAAGCTGTCCGATGTTGGCTCCAACTCTCCTAACTTGCTTGCCTTCAACGGTGGTGGCAAGAGCAACTACACTGATATCGTCGAGGCTTAAACTTGTAGCATGTGCATAAATACATGGAATCAGCCTGCCTGGTTAGGCAGCATGGGTTACGCATAGGATCAGCTGGGCATATTTTTCCTTTTTTGTTTGTTGATTAGTCGTTGCAAATGCCAATTAATCTTACCTTCATCCATTGTCCGCATTGCTGTAAGGACAAACGTCCAGTTGTGCTATGTATTGCGTATGATCGGTTTACTCATCCCTGTGGAGCCTAGCAACTGGGTGTAAACTTTGGGAGTTGCTCTGAACTGGATCAAAAGTTGAGAATACTCGGCGTAGCAATGCATGGAACACCCTGGCGATGATAGCTCTGCATACGGGATTATCGCCCACCGTATTTATCTTTTGTAGTGAGACTGTTAGTATGGTGGGTGGGTGTCAAGCAATCCATTCATGTAAACACTGTCATGCAGCGCATTTCTCGGACGGCATGTCGACATATTCAGCGCCACGGGGAGCCGTCTACTTATTCCGAAGATGCCTTGCTCGTGCTACGTATGTATGTCACGTAGGAGAGCTCGGGGCTCTCTGGTCAGGCACATTCAGATCTTGGAGAGGATGCTTCTTTAACAATTTCCATTTTGGTACACTTTGCATGGTTACATAAACGCCGTCTCGCTGGACTTCTATATGGCTGGGTGTCTGTCTGTCCGACCCCTTTACTCTTTCTTTTGGCCCTCTGCTGAAGATACGAATGTTTCAACGTGTCTTCTTTGTCTCGACGCCCGACTGCGCAGGCTTGCTGTACAGCCAAATAGCACAGAAGGCAACCCATCCGACAATGGTAACGCTGATGCCCGAGATCCAGGGCCAGGCACCGCTGATGACGTAGCTGCGAGGCCACTCGTCGTGGGCGAAGTGGCGGACGGAGACGGTGTTCTTCTCCTCGACGTTGGAGTAGAAGGGGCGCTTGTGATTGATCTTGAAGTTGAAGATTCCGTGTTGATCGGGAAGCTTGAACGAGGCCGAGTAGGTGGTGCTGTCGGAGGAGCTGTGGACGGGCTCCAGGGGCAAGCGGTGGAAAGGAGACAGCATGCTGAACTCGAGCTGAAGGGCATCCTTCTCTGGGACGGAGAAGGATGTCCAGGCGTCCCAGACGTACTCGGACAGGGAGATGGAGTACGTGACGTCGTTCTTGATGCGGTAGATGGTGGGGTTGCTGGCGTTGCTCTGGCCCTCCTCGTTCAGGTGGTGCTCGATCCAGTTGACTCGCAGGACACCGATCTCGCCAAAGGTCCAGCCAGAGACTCGCTTGGCGAAGTCGCGGTTCAAGGTAGCAACCGAGGTCTTGCTGCCGTTCTTCTTGACCTTGGCGTCGAACCACTTGTCACTCAGCATCTCAGCGCTGCCAATGACGGTGACTCGAGCAGAGTTGCGGGCCTGGAAGGTGGTGACGAGTGAGAGCTGGTTTCCGGAAGCGAAAATGTCGTCGACGGACTCGGCTTGTTCCTTAGGGTCGTAGCTGTAGGCGGTGTGGGGAGCACGCAGGATAGGGGCCAGCAGAGCGCCCGAGCCGAGTGTCTGTCCTACGCCGCTGGGGAAGGCGAGCAATTCGCCGTTGGGGGCGGCAGGAGTGAAGAAGTCCTGGACGTCGGGTCGAAGAGAGCCGGGAGCGGAGAGGAGGACGACATCGTGCTTCTCAGCAGCCGAGGCGACATCAAAGTTGAAGTGGTCGACAACGAGGCCGCTCCTGTCCGGGGGCAGGTGGATGTCGAGCTCGAGGAGGGTCGAGACGATCGAGGTAGGAGCAGAGCTCTTGCCGGACAGGGCGACGAGGACGTTGCCGTCGGCGTTGATGAATTGGACAATAGCGTTGGGCGTGAGACTGGGACCGAGACCCTTGGCCTTGGTGGGCAGGAAGATGAGGTGGTCGTACTCGCGCTCGCCGAGCTTAAAAAGGTTCAAGCTCTCACTCTTGGGTGTCTCGTAGGCGATCTTGAAGCCACGAGCTATTGATAGCGTTCAGTTCAGTGTCTTGCTTGCCGGGCAAGGGGGGTTGACCAATCGGGATATGATTGGAGGGAGTATAACCATACCTTCTAAGTCACCAAAGAACTTGGAATAGCCTGCCTTCTCGGCGACATCGTCCAAGATAACCAGCAACCTCTCGCCGCTAGAGCTGACGGCTTGGGCGACTGCGGCAAGCAGGAGCAGCAGGAAGGAGACGAGGGACCTCATGTTGGCTTTTACTTTCCTTCTCAGTCGACTACAGGGGGACAGAGAGAGGAAGGGGGGGGGGAAAAAGTCGAGAAGAAGAGGCAATCGACAATGAGGAGTGTGCAAAGAACCCCGATTATGTCCTCATTGGTGTTGCGCAGTGCTGTATCGTCGTCGTGGGGTAGAATAGAAGATACTTGGGGCCGCGTGTCCTGCAAGCTGTCTCGAAAAAAGGTTCGGAGGTCAGGGTCGCAATGCCATCAATCAGTCAAGTCAATCAATTGAGAGCTCTGGTCCAGGTACAGGCACAGTACAGCTTCAGCTAATGAAATGAAATGGACCACACCTGGTGTTAGAACGGCATACGTATCCCGTAAGTGCCAAGAGTTACAGCACGACTGGGGCATCTTGCCAAAAGAAAGTGGATCTTCGTTCATCCTTCCATATTCCATTGGTTGTAAGTTAGCTTATCATGGATGGATAGTCCATGGCCATGCGATACCAGTGCACTCCTCAACTCCGTACTGCAGCCCATCCTCTGAGCAGCTGCCGGCCGGTTGCTTGCCGCCTGTGGCCTGCTGTGCGGCCTTGTGTCAGCAAATCAAAATGCACGGCCCATATCTGACACGGGCCTCAGTCAGTTCGAGCTCCCATCTCCAAATCTCCAGGTGCATGTTGAAGAGGCGGGACTGCTTCGAATTCGCTTTGCTTTGCGACTACCACTCGAGATATCTCGGCACGTTAAACTACACAGCCAACTGAGTAAGCCAACCAATCCCGTACCCTACCAGCTACAATCCAACACGACACAATTGCCCTACACTGTGTACGTCCTCATCGCCTCGCCTCGCCGAAGCTAACCCCAGATATCTTCTGCCTGCCAGAAAACACCCGCCCACGGAGCATCAAAGATGGTGGCAGGCAACCCGACCCCGGCCTTCTTCAACGGCCCCCTCCGATACATCCGCTGGTCGTCCCGCGAGAAGCCCGCCTACCTGTGGTCCGTCGTCATCGGCACCGCCGGCCTCGTCATGCTGGCCACCGTCCCCCCGATCCAGACCCGCCTCGGCTACCAGAGGGCCAAGCCCATCCCCATGACATATCCCAGTACGTCGATCTCACTCTCTTCCTGTTTGTTCTATTCCGCAGAAAGGGGAGGGGAGGGCCGATGGTAGTGGACTCCGACAGAACACCTGGCTAACACAAGAAACCAGTCCCGGCTGGTCCTAGGAAACAGCTGAGCGGACACGATGATTGAGCTGGCAAGCACCGGGAGAGGATGGACACCAAGAACGGGAGAACGATCCAACGATACCACCGGTCGGGAGTTTTTAGAGCGCCAACGGAACAGTACATATGTGGTTTCCTACCGAAACACGGCAACGAACAAAGGTCATAGACGACGCATTGCCAGCCACTAGAGCAACACAGCTCATGAACAGCATCGTAGAAATGTACCACCATATTTGACAAGGCACCGAAAATCATTGAACCGAGAGACATGACTGGTCAGGCATTTCATATGTTCGCTTCATACCAAGGCCCAGCCTTAACAGCTCGACATGTACCAACAAGTAGTGCACCATTCTACGCCTGGGAGGTTGATGACCCCATGAAACCTCACATCCCACCATCCGTCTATCTATGTCGTAATGTTTAGGAACGCGCTCCCTTTTATCTTGTCTGTCATGCAATATGCACCAAAAATGCAGAATCGTCAACCTCAAGTTTCCACAGCAAATCTTCTCCTCCTCGTCCCCCTTGCATGATGACTATCATCCTCGCTACCACGCCCGCATAGCCTGACGAGGGCCCCTGCGGAGGACTTGCTGCCTGACGAGAGGCTCTATCTCTCTCGCTGGATCAAGCTCCATTCGTACTGTATAGCCATCAGTATATCATCGCCAAGTCAGAAAGCCTATCAAGTCGCCCAACTTACTACTCTGCCATCATCATCTCCTGTGTACACTATTTGGGGCATTGGACATATGCAAGTGATGGCCGCCTCCACGTTTGCTCCCGTTTCACTCCTAGTATCAACGTGGTCAAGCCGTCTAACCAGTTCCAACACCCACTTCCCATCCTCGTTGACGGCACGCTTCCAGATGTTGACTCTTCCTCTTTTATGACCAGTGAAGACTATGAATTCTTCAAGCCATTCACTCCCCGACCCCTCATAGAAAGCGCACGAGTGGATGAAGTCATCATGGTCGCCTGGAACACAGGCGTTCTGATCCAGAATCAGCTCTCCGTTGAGTGTATAGAGCGTCACATTTGGCCCGGAGCAGAGCATGATTTCACCCGAGACGTCGTTGATCCTCGCACACTCGACAGCGCGGGGACTGCGGGGAAGCTTCCGGATGAACCCAAGTCGATTCAGGTCCCAGAGGAACGCATGACCGTCGGCCGAGACGGTGACAAAAGTGCTGAAAGCCTTGGACACTGCTATGGTCGTCACCGGCGTCTTGTGGCCGAAAAGTGAAGAGCGAAGCTGTAGTTCAGCCGGTTTTCCTGTAGCTGTTTGAATATTGTAGACAGAGACAACACAATCCTCACCTGCAGTAATCACCGTCTTGGAGTCAGCCAAAACTATGCATGATATCTGCCCGATATGGAGATTCTCGTTGATGCCGGCGTTCTTCCTGTTTTCTGTAAAGTAGAACCGGATGCTGTTATCGGCATATCCCCATTCCAGGTATTTGTCATAAGACGGTGGCAGATTCAGGCGGAATGGGGACGAACACAGCAAACGATCAGATTTGGTGGAATAGATTAAGGACGAAACCCGCTCATGGCTATCCAGTAGGGGATGAGGTATCCGAGCCAAGGCGGTGCAGGAAGTGTCGAGTCTCTTGGCGGGAAATCTGATGTTTTCCCTTGATGGATGGGATTTCGTGAAGACTTGGTAAGGAGTTTGGCCAAAATTGTGGATAATGCTTGTAGTAGACTCTCTTTCGTGAGCGTTTGTGATGTTATCAAGATCCTTAGCTCCATGGTAAGAAAGCCAGTGGAAGACGTTCATGTTCTCGACCGCGGCTTCACCCCTTTGCTTGCATCCAAAGATGAGGTCAATCCATGAATGAAGATGCTGGCTGACGTACGGGCTTTCCAAGGCCTCGCGATGCTTGGCGATGAATATTTTCGGATCGCCTTTTGCCCACGGGGGCAACTGCACGTGGTTGACCTTGCCACCACTTCCCTGACGTTCGCCGAAATCATAGCCGTTCATGTTGACCAAAAACTCGGGCAGATAGAAAAACTCAGGGATGAGTTCACGAACGTCGGCACCGTTATCTCGTGATGCCGAGTTCCAGGAGCCTTCAATGGAGTAGAACAGTCTATCAGCATGGTCGAACGAGCCGCCCTGCAACAAAATATACGACTGAACAAATGGTGGCAAACGAATGAGATAGGACGCCACCACCATGGAGGACGAGTAATGAGTACCATAGTGGAATGGCTGCTCGCCAATCTCTGCCAGGCTCTGGTAACGAAGCGCATAATCAGATTGGCGGCCTGAAGTCTGGGCTCCCATTGGCTTAGACAGATCCCGGAATGTAGCAGGGTTATTGAGATCCAGTTCCTCACTGGTGTAATCTGCAAGAATCCAGGGAAAGACAGGATACTGAGTAAGATCGTTGAAAGTCCTGCCAGCCATGGTATTGACCAACATGAGATAGTGAAAGTTGGAAATCTCTCCTCGCTGCCACTTGCGCATGACTGGGTTCCACGGCGATGAATTGAATAGACTTCCGAATTTCGAGCCTAACCCCTGCGGGTTCTCGTCAGAGACCTTCAGAGACTCAAGGCGCCAAGTATCCTCCGGGCTAGGCAATGTGTTTCCACTAGTCGTATGCGGAACCTTGTTCATCAGTCTGTTGTAAACTTCGTCGCGCACTGTCGAGTTAATAGCGGTAAGAAGATAACTACGCCCGTCGGTGAAGAAAATCTCAATGGCTACGTCGCGGAGCAGGAAGCGTCGCTTGGAAACACTGATGACATCCTGCCAGGACCAGTTGCGGGAGTCCTGCGAGCGCCGAGTCTGCGAGGTGCCCTTGTCGCTGGTCCCCCCTGCCTTTCTGCCCATGACGATTTGCGAGAATGGGTCGCGTTCTTCCTCCGGAGCCTCCCACGCATTCACGATTTCTCCATCTGTGCAGTGGAAAAAGTTGTCCATCAGATACAAATGGTCCTTGCCTACCAGCAATATGCCCTCGCATGCCTCAAGACCAATGATCCGAGAGACATTGTACACTTGCTGGACAGCATCGTGGCTTTCAAGGCGGCGCATAACTCTACGATTCTTGTCTTCAAACCCATCTTGGCCTTCAGGATCATTTGGATCATCAACCAACTCGAACTCGTCATCTGGCACAACTGACTGGCTATCCGGTGCGTCGGGTTGTTGTTCGGACGCCTCAACTGGTATGTCTGCTGTCAAATCCTCGGAAAAATTGGCTGCGGGAGGTTTAGACACGGCAGACAGAGGCGTGTTTGCTCCACTAGTCGAACCAGTTTCCTCTGCAACCGTAGTGTTCAGTCTAAGGCTCGAGGCCGATTGCAAATCTGTGTTTCTCCTCTTAGGCTGGTATGTGTCGTGTTCTGTTGAGGAATCCGGGAGGACACGGATTCTCATACGATTGCGACCTTCTGTTCTGTCAAGTTTCCACTTGGTGGACCGAGCCTGATGGAAAATTGCACCGGGCCGAGTGAGATCCTGTTGCATCTTGATAAATGACGAGGAGAAGTAGATCACGTCGTCCTGTTGGTCCTGCATACTTCTCTGGTGCTTGTAGTGTTCAGAGCCATATATCGACTTCATCCATGCATGGTTGGCCATATCATGATGAATGATGACCTTTTCTCTTTCCAGCATTTCAACCTGCCAGCGCTTAAGAGTATCTCTGCGCTTGGAAAGGCGGGATCTCGCAGTATCCAGTGTTTTCTGGTTTTCAAAAGTCACAAAATCTTCCCATGTACGGGACAATCCGTTCAGGAACGCACTATCAAGTGATGGGCGATGTTCATCAACCCACGCGATGAACGTATCGTTGTCAAGTTCTGTAAGTTTCTGGAATTCTTTGCTCAGATTGCTTTGGTCTGGGATAACCAGGTGTCGGAACAGAATTGAGCACTCCTCTGGTTTTTGAACCAGCATTATGCGCCAGATATTGACGGCAGCAAGTCTGACAGCTTCTCGAGAATCATCAACAAGCTTGATATATAATTGGTACCAAAGAAGTTTCATATAATCGTCTTCAACAGACAATGAATCCAAGACCACCATTTGCCAGTAGAGAAGCTTGTTCATTGAAAAATTGGCTTCAAGGTCAGTGGTTTGAGGATCGTCCATTTCCGAAAGCCTCAGAAGTATCAGCTTCAGGAAGGACCCCCGGATCGTAGAGACTGCCTGGTTACAGAGCCTGACTGTTTTGAGCCTGGCAATCTCTGGCTTCTGAAGGTGTTCCAAGAGCAAACCCGCGAAGTCGAGCATTGATGCAGTACCATTCATGAACCAGCCTTCGAATATGGCTTCTACCATGTGTAAACTGAAGCGTGCCATGTTTGTAAGGATTTTCGGTTCTTGTAAGAGTTTCCAGTCCAATTTCAGGGCGGTGGACAAATGATTGATAGTCCTTTGCAGCACGAAGGATTCGAAATAAGCTTGATGTTCTTGGAATCCTGGTGGCACTTTGAGAAACAGCCCGAAACCGGGAAACTCTTTGCGAGTCAGAAGTTGGTCCATAAAAACGTTGACGACAAGTTCCATCATAGCTTCCAGGACGGCGTTTCCAATGCTTTGTGATGCCACCTTCTTTTTAGGAGACATGACATGTGCCAATCGCGGGGGGTTTGGCTGAGGAGACTTCTGAGACGTAAGGAGGATGAAAGAAGAGGCTTTGCGTAGTGCCGTTCCTCGGACATTGCTTGCGGGAGTCTGGAACGTCGCATCCGGTATCTTCGAAGTTCTTACGATAGGAGCTGGCGCTGAGCTACCGGGCAACGGCCGTATGATCACATCGCCTCCGTCAAATGTGAGTGCAGAATCTCGGGAGTTGAGTTCCGTCTCGGGAGTGACCGCATTGGTGCTCACCAACGCAGGATAGATACCCGTCAATAGTAACCTGACGTAGTCTGAGTTCAAGGCAAAATCTCTGAAGTCTGCGGAACGGCCATGCAAGTCTGATAGAAAGCGCAAGACTGTCTGTAGTGCCGCAGCATTACTGGCCACTCTGTCCTTGCCAGATTGAGAGGCTGCAAAAGATTAGCCTATTAGGGTTTGAAAGAAGGATAGAGCACTTACGTCGTGTCTCGAGTTCTTGAAGCAGAGACATCGACCTAGCACGTGGTCTTGTTATTGTTTGCAGATCGCCCACATCGGATGGCGCTGATGGAGACCGATCCCTAGATGGAGAATCCGGATCTTCTTGGTTGTTTAAAACATCCTTCAGGCCGTGTTGTAGCATAGATGTGATGATTGGCAAAGCTTCCGGGTGTATAACCCTACACTTCCCGAATGTCTCGATTAAGCTGAAGAAATCGAAATTCTTGTCGAAATCAATCTCTGCTACGTCATGTCCAAATAGAATGCTCAAGCAAATTGGCCAGATAGTTGGAATATCCCACCATCTCTTGAGGCGATGCGCCATTATGGAGAAGCCTCCAGTCTTGCCAGAAAATTTGCTCGTATAGGACGTACCGTGGGCCACCAGTAACCTTGCAAGAATCTTACACCCGTGAACCACGATCTCTGGGCTGTCTTCTGACAAGAGATGTAATAGCCACTGAACCATTGTCAGTCTGGAATGGGAGGTTGGCAGCCGTTCATCAAGTACCTTGTTTGTGACAGTCCTAGCAAACTTGCGAATGATCATCAGATTTCCCCGTTCGCAGAGCAGATGAGAATACATCTCCAAAATCTTTATCCCTGATTCCCTTTTCGTTAAGGGGAAAGCGCCTCGGTCTTTGGAATAGTCAATTGATGGCGTAGGCCTTCTTGCAGCCGGCTGGGTGCCAATTTTCAAAGGTGTCGAACTCTGTCTCGGTGTCCTTGAAAGAGAGGCGGAGGGTGCGTGGAAAGCATACGTAATGAACAAGGCAATTGATCGATGAACTTCTGTGTTGTAGCTACATTTGACGAGGTTCTCCAAAGCGGTCATAAAGAACGGTAAGACCACCCTCGGAAGAGGCTCAGCTTTCAAAGCATCTAACAACCTCTTGACTATACCTGTGATAGACGACCGTTAGCAAACGTACTTACTTCGCAGATTTAGCACTTACGCATTCGAAGCAAACGGCGGTTGTTGTACTGGTGATGCTTGCTCATGACAGCGAACGTGACGAATTGCTTGTAATAAAGCTCTTGGATGATCGGTGCACATTTCCGCCAGCCGTCAAAATCGATTAGCAAGATACGGTATGCCAGGGGGTTGATGATCACAGAGTCAAGCGGATCTCTGTGTCTATAGCCCACGAACTCCAAGAGCAGACTGAGCAGCTGGAAACAAAGCTTGTCTCTCTCGATACTGTCAATCAACAAGCGCTCGGTGGTTCTGTCATTACCAGCCGGAACACTACCTAGGCCAAGCTTGATCTTCAGCAATATGCCGATGATAGCATAGCCGCCCTCCCTTTCTAGAGCCTCGCTATTTCTCCAGCTCGAGTTGGCACAGCGAAAGACCAATTCCACGGCTTGGAGAAGAGAATCAGATGTGGTTGCCCTCTCGATTAGTTTCAGAGCTAGTGGTGTGAAGCCAGCAAGCCTCCACATTGTGTCATCGAGATACTGAGGCACAGCGATGATGGGCTCTCCTGTGAGCACGGCCACTCCGTTAGAGCGGATCAATGCATCGTTGACCGACGGTTGAGCGGTGTTGATTGCGACACCAATGCCATTTTTCAGCGTCATCTGGACGAGTGTATTGGCCGGTCCGCGTGATAGCGCTCTAAAAAGTTGAGAGTCGCCCAGCGGATCTTTCTCCCTGAATATTGATGATGGCATCATGCTCAGCAAGATACGTTGTTCCGGCATAACCAGACCGGCTTTATCTCGTATCACCCTGAGTATATCAGAGTTCCCATCCTTTCCCGTAATAACCATATCGTTGCGTAAACCTAGCGCTGCTGAGGCTTCGTATGTTTGAAAACCACCCAAGCAATCCTGGAAGTTTCCCTGGTAGCGAGGACCCAACCGACTCGATACAGCCAGGAGCTCATCGCTAAGAGCTTCTTCAAACAAATGTGTTGCAGCCAAAGACATTTTTGTGTGAACCAGGCCATGTCCCAGATACGTGGCGAGTTCTTTGGGGGTACCGATAAATGCTAATACGGGACGTGCCCGGGAGCTGCTAGAGGTAAAGGCGGCGAAGCTTTCGGTGCCTGCATTCGTGGGCGGCGGTGAGGACGGATAAGCGGCCTTGATTTGTTCCACGAACTCCCCATTCACATAGAGCGAGGCTTTGCTTGGTGTCATAGTTTTGGGTCGCCTATGAACCAGTGCGATATGATACCACTGGCCTTCCTCAAAGGTGAATGACTTGAAACGGACGCTAGGGCGCTGTGACCTCACCGATGTCTGTAGAATGAAGTTCCGACTATCTTTCTCGAGGTATATCAGGAGGAAGCATGTTTGCGTAGCATCAAACACTCCAAATATTGTGGTGTGGGACTTTGGGTCAAATTTGTCCACACGGATCCAAGCGGTAAATGTGTATCCTGCGGTGGACTGCGGCGGAAACGCCCTCCCCAGGCTGGGTACATCAATCGATGAATGGCCATGAAGCGACAAATCGAACTGGATGAAAGGAGGGCTCTGGTGCTTCTGCACCATCTCCAAACAAAAATTAGCGGATGATGATGAAGAACTATTCAACAAAGCCTGTGCATCGGCGAGAGTTCCCACTCCGAGATACATCAACTTTTTGCAGATGTCCATGGCGATCCCACTCTCAACGTCGTCGAGAAAAGAATCTTGGTCAAATGCAAGTTGCATGAGACGGGAAAGAATGCCAGATTCGTGAACTAGAGACAAGTTATACACAGATACGTCTATGATTGCCTCCAAGACTTTCAAGACCAGCACGGAAATCAGGCTGTTGTGTGTATCCTTCCCCCTGGGCATGGAGACCCAAAAGTCCACAATGGTTCGGATCACTTCGGGATTTCGAAGGGTCGACTTGACATTGATTACCTCATGGACGGCCTTGTCGATTTGTGTCACAGGATCCGCTAGCTTGCCGTCGCCATCCTCGCCGCCGAGGTCTCTCGGGAGGACTTCATAGCTACTCGAAACGTCGTCCAGCTGGACATCGATCTTGTGCAAGGTGGCAGTGGAGCACAGTTGATCCAGAGCAGTGTCGTCCAGTGCAAAGGCCCAAAGCTTTCCGAAGAGCTGGCCGCTCGTCCAAAAGTCCAAGTCGTTGCCCCCGAGTCCGATGCTCGCGATTGACTGTTCCAAAGCCTCCCAGCCGCCTCTTTCGACACGATTGCGGAAGTAACGCCTGTTTCCGGGATGCGCACGGAAAGCTGCGGATAAAACACCCAGCACGGCATCTAGCAATGCGAACAAGCTCTTTTTCTCCTCCTCGCTCCGCTTTGACGGATTGTAGAACCCGGAGTATGCACGTAGCACCTCGAACATGCGATGAAAGCCACGCAAATGCCTGAAGTCATCCTGAACGGGGCTAGGAGGAGGCGCAGCAGCTAGGTGCTGCTTGATCTGAGTGGCATGTTTTGTGAGCTCGTCGATGTTTGGGTAGTCGCTGCTGGCGGGCAATGCAAGCACGCTCGACACTCTGTCCAGAAGCTTCTGTAAGACCTCGACAGCCTTCGAGATGGGTTGTGGTGTGGACGCGGAGGTCGATGATCGATAACGACTAGGGCGACCTGCCATGGTGTCGGGGGTGAGCAACTCGCTTGAAAATGGATCTGTTATCCTTCTGCTTCATCGCTCTGGCCGTTGTGGGAAGGAAGCCCTCGAATGGGCAAGGGCTTGCTCAGAAGGCGTAAGCATCGGACGCTCGTAGGATATGCTGAGCTCTCTCCTTTTGCATGTGGTCGTGGGCTGGATCTGGATCTGGATCTGGGTCTGGATCGGGACCGGGACCCCGAGTTGGATTGGAGCTGTGTTCTACGGCACGGCTCTCTAGGCAGCGAAGCCGGGTTTCTAGTCGGTTCCCAGCACCGAACAGAGTAGTGCGCGGCTTTGAGTGTACGTAGAAGCGAAGAAGACGAAAGGAGACAGGTTCGCAAACTGCTTGCATGCAGCGGAACAATTGCTGCTTGAAAGTGTCAGCCTTGAGCGCGCCGCGTGTGGCTGACCGTGTCCCATGCCATGCCATGCCATCCCATCGTTACATGCTGTAGGCACTCTGTATGGGCGTCCCATCCCACTTTCACTGGCCCGGGAGGCCCACTGCCTTCTAACCTGATGGCTGCGTCACAGCCGCAGTGAGCCAATCTGAAGCAAGCAAGGATCGTCACAGGGGCCCCAGCTGCAGTGCCTGACGCAGGCTAGGCAAGCGTTAGATAAACTAGCATCCACTTCCACTTCCACTTCCACTTCCACCTTGACTGACTAATAAAGCAGCAGTATGCATGTCAACAGGCGTATTCGCCCAGTAGTTACATGGTGATTCGTACCAATAGATATTACCACGGCTTGTGCGCCCGGGAGAGCTCAGGAAGCTAGCGGGTATCGTTGAAGTGAACAGCTATGGGCAAGTTACAAGTGCCGTCTGAGCGCAACGGCCAAATGGCTACCTAGACTAGTCGCTGACAGCATTCTTTTGCGATTGCAGAACATTTGAAGCGTGCATTCGAAGAGTAACCCAGCAACATGTCAAGGTCAACAGTCAACTCGCAACCCTAACCGAACACCTAAATCTATACGTGACGAAGCCTGGGCTTTTCTCTAGAAACAAAGACAGATTTCCTTGTCATGATTACACAGCACCTGATCGAGCAAGGTCCGCAACGCAACACATAAAGCTTAGGGGGGTGTCACTGTGGCTGTCTTGACAATGTCGGGCGTAGTCTCAATCTTTATTGTTTACGTTTAACATACTTCCTTGCACCATGAAACCTATCACCACCACCTGAGAATCTATCTCTCTGAGCAAATCATGAAAGTTACTCTTGACTACCCTGCCTCAGTGATATCCGGTCGGCCTCAGCCACTGTCTATATGCAATTTTGCTCTCGCTCTCTCTCTCTCTCCCCCTCTCTACAGTTGTATACACCCACCCGCGTCCGCCAGTTACGCACCAACCGGCTGATAATATGTACACAGAGGCCATCAACCAGAGCCACTAAAAATGGCCCCCACGAATGCCATGACCAAGGATATTGTGTCTTTCTTTCTAAAAGTTTGTACGCCATCCAGAACAACCGAGTGCAAGGAGCCCAGCACAACAAAACACCAGTGACATGCTGTCCAGAGAAAACTGCCTTTTACCGGCCAAAGAAAAGAAGAAGAAGAAAAAAAAAAAAAGTCCAAAAGGTATCAAAAATGGGTATTCAAAGCAGTGCTCCTCCAAAAATCAAAGTTGTCCGCCAGTATCCATTTCTTATTTTTTATGCCTTCCGCAAATGATACCGTTCAGGAAGACGGCGTCTCACACAATAGCCAAATAACCAACAAAAGAAACAATGTATGTGCAGTGAGACCTTATCTCATGGAAAAGTACGGGTTGGGGTCTCTTCAGTGGGAGACCCAAAAGCCGATCCAAAATTGTTGGTGTTCTTCATTTTGAGCGGTTTCTCAGCAGGATCGTGAAGCTGAGTTAATACGTGATCGGTATTTCCGTCAAAACCACCGACCCTGGTGGGTTCAGGCGCAGGAGGTGGTCGACATTCGTCTGCCGCCGCTGATTTCTCCTAGAAGCCATGCAGCGTCCCAAGCGGCGCGCCAAAATTCGTATTGCCTGTCTTGAACTTGAGGGGAACCTCTTCAAGCTCCTCTGTCTGGCTCGCCTCATCAGGCTTGGTAATCGTCGCCGGCTGTTGCGATGGAACTTCTGGCTCATCGACGCCATGCTTAAGCACTGTCGGAGTAGCATCATCGCTCCGTATTGACTCTTCTAAGCCAGCAGCCACCTTGGCGAGAAAAATCTCATCAAAAGCTTGCTGATTCCTTAATGACAGCGGACCCTTGAGCTCGGGGTCATTCTCGCTGGGCTCTAATACAGCCTCGGTCTGCACGGCGTCGAAATCGTATTGCCCATCGGCGTATGTGGATTCTACTTCTGCCAAAGCCTGACCTTTGGGTGGACTTTGGCCTCGGCCGCGGGTCGGAGTCGAGGCACCAGAGCTTCCGGCCGTGTTTGTTGCGTTTGTAGAATGGGCAGTGGGAATGGCAGACAGCGAGTGGTTTGGTGTGTGCCCAGCGTGCATAGTAAGGCGTGACCCTTCCGGCGCCTGTAACGTCTCTTTGGTGACTTCAGCAGGAGTAGCTTTTGATGAGCGGCTGTTGGGCGAGCCCAAATTCGAGTTCGGGCCAGTAACGTTTGAACCTGACAAAGGCGGTGAGGGGGGCTTTTCGTCTGTGAATGTTGTCTTCTTGATGGCTGTGGGCTTCAAGGGAATGCCCTCGAGATCAGGATGCACTTCCTGTACGTCGATGGAGGGAATGTTCTCCTGGGTCTCGGGCCCATCGTTTGGAGTGTTTGCTTGTGGAGAGGCGCTCTGCATTCGAGGGTCGAGTGGCTCAAAGGGGTGAGACACGGGCATCGTGTGGCCTAGTCCTAGGATTGGTGTGGCAATCGGGGAGGCGCTGTCCATAATAGCACGAAACTGCACAGCGGATCTTCCTGAAGGCCCAGAACTGCCTGCCACTGCAGCGACTGGAGAGTCACGAGAGCTGCCAGATGCGCGCAGAGTAGCATTTTCGCGTTCCAATTCTGCGATCCTGGCCAAATATTGTGCCTCCTTTTCAGCCCACATCATTCGATCCTCATCCATGATGGCACGCTCTTCTTTGTAGATTTCTTCAGCACGGGATCGGTTCGCTTCGAGATGGGCACGCTCGGCTTCCCAGTTCTCCAGCAACCTCCGGTTCTGGGTGAGTACCCGTTGTAGATGAAGACTTGCTTGTTCGGGGTTTTCATTCAGAGGTGATAGCGATGGGGAAATGAAACCAGGCCTGCCAGACCGAACTTGTTGCTGTTGACTATAGCTAGCAGGCGGTAGACTGGCAGATCGTGGATCACGGGCGGCTGTTTCACCTCGTTGTGGTGACAGGTATCGTCGCTGTTGTTGAGCTTGCGCTGGGCTAGCGAATGGATGTCCGATAATGTGTGACCTCCGGTCGTCAAAGTACGAGAGATGTTGATTCGCGTTTTTCGGGAGGCTCAAAGGCGATATAACCGAGCCTGGGTGGCCGTTCACAAGCCCAGCCAAGGATAGTGCATGCTCGTTCGGGTCCTGCAGCGCGCCTGATGGCAAAAACGAATCGGGTAGTCTCGACATGGTAAGAGTCATTTGAGGCAACCGCGACGGCGAGACTAGAAAGGTATCCCTTGGGACCAAGGGGAAGTCGGAGGCGTTCCGCCGAGGTAGCGACAAGCCTAGAAAACCGGGGCAAGTGAGGTTATAGTTTGGCGGTACGATTGTCCAAGGCACAAAAGCAGCAGCGGTCAGCAGCACAGCCGTAACGTGCCAATTGTTGAGTTTTGGTTGTGTTCGGTCTTCCGTACAACAGGATGTCTTGGTTGGATTAACAGCGCAACCGGGTGCTGCCTCAATTATATTGCAATCAAGCAGCGATCCCCCCGAACTTAAAGGTCAGGCGGTGAAATACCCCCCAATACCAATCTAATCCAAGCTTTGGGCAGCACTCGACAGAGTAGTCCCGTTCAGACCAAGGCGTATCGTGTGTCGCGAGAGGAAAGAGCTGGTGTGTAGTCTTGTCGCGGCAGCGGTCAAATGCGGCTCTGAGAAGGTCGATATGCGGTGTGTGTATGGATTTCTATGTATGCGCTGTATTGCGTCGGGTGTAAATGCTGGCACCGAGAAAGTGGATACGCAGCACATGTAGACGAAGTAGAGGAGGTGTTACTATCTAGACTAGATGAACAGCCAAGGTGATTGAATTGCAGAAGTCCCCGGCGCATTCAATATTGCCAACACGTGAATTGGACTTTGTATGTCGATTGTGTACAGGAAGAAGCAGAAGGCATTGAACGATCAAGAGAACTAGTTCTGGGAAATGGGAACGAGAAAACTGGGGGTTGGCTACATACAATATACAGTACTGTAGATACAGTACGCAGGCAGGCGAAGAAACGATGGACGATACCTGCACCATCGATTCTCGAAGTTGGGTGCGGATTGACGTGGAGAAGAAAAGGGACCATCCAGAATGCCAGCATCCCCCCCACTCTTTTCCCGCTCGGGTCTACTTCCAAGATACCTGTCTGTGAGGGGCACTGCAATGGGCAAGGCAGGTATCGCCCTTGGGACTGCCACTTTCATGCTTTATTTTTACCGGCGGAGGGTGTTTGCCATGCGCATCCCCAGCATTGGCCCCCCTGTTCAATCGACTGGCCCTGACAGCAGGACCACGGTAGGTACCACCAAGCTGACTGCCTGAATCGGTCATGTAGGGCCGGCTCACAATTTGAGACGTCACCTGTTTCTGTGCCCCAAAATTGGCAACTTTGGTTATGTGAGATTGACCGCGGCCGAACCCCTTTCTCATTGCAACCAATCCAGCGCTTTGCGGTTCTCCCGAACAGCTGTGGCGGCCTGAGTGATTACCCCTTTTGGTCGGGCTGAAACTATCTTGAGGTCATGTCCTCGCTCACTCAGCATTTTGGTCTGAGCAGTTGACGTGGCAAGCTCCCAGCATCTCCGATCCGCTGGAAAACACTTGGAGATGCAGGGGACGGCCCGCGGGTGAATCGAGGGACACTTCCGGAAACGCAAGAACGTCGGGACAGTTCTGAAGCACTCGTTCTAAGCAGCACTCACGCTACCAATCAACTGCGTTCCAATTTGGCTCTGGAACATGTTTCCACCCCTATTCCACCAAGACCTGATTAAGGTTCCCGATTCCGTTCATTGGTTGCTTTTCGATCTTGAGTCTTGACTGCCGGCCCTTTAAGCCGAAATATGTAGTCTAGGTTAGTGGACTATCTCTCCTCTCAACCATCGTGGTCATGTTCATACTCAACCGTGTACAACGATTTCGTTGCCCCTCTGAAGACCTTAGCGACTATATTTACTATGGATGCCGAATATGCTCCCGTCCGTCCGAGTTCCAAGTGTGGCCTACCAAGTTGATCAATTAAGGTAACCAGAGTTCTGCAAACTATCAACCTCTTCATTGTTGTTCTTATTGTAAGCTGGCCGAAATTTCAAAATGCTGCCGAGTTTGGGAATTGTGGGTAGTGTTCTTGCGACCAAGTTTAACCGGTGCGCTTAAGCAACACTCAACCAGCCCCTCCCAACACATACAGAGTACTTGGTCATGTGAAGCATCGTGAAGCGCTATTTACTCGACTACAGCCTAGTTCGGCCAGGTTGCAAAGGGTCTACAGGGTCTTAATATGCGGTTCCGTCGTGCGGAAAATTGTGCATGATTCGCCCAAAGTATCAGAAATCTAATCCACGGAAAAATTCGAGATTCCATGCGCGCCTAGTGCATCGTTTACGGGGCTGGGAATTTCCACTTCTCAACGTTTGTCCAACATCAGGTAGGTATGTATTGTCTTTTCCACATCCAAACCGTACCTGATGTGGGTACACAATAGGGCTGACTATAGCGACCGACCATGATTGTACCAAACATTCTTCCAAGGCCGCGAATGGTTGGCCACAATGACCTAGCACTGAGTCCACTTAGGAAAGTAGTCAGTGTTGTCGGTGCATTGTCGCTCGCCTTGTAAATGCCAGAATGCAGATTCGAGGAGTTGAGGCACCAAAGGTATGACTCGCAGATCCAAGCTCTCTGGTCTTCCACACTAATGGCTAGTACTATGACGCCTCGGGGGCCTTGTGAGAATGCCCACTCCAAAGTCAAGGCAGCACGTATCAGCATTTCTCCGCTTTTGAGGAACAACCGACTTTTCTGGGAGAGCCCAACAACTTCAACGCACAACTATGATACATGGTTCCATCCACACGACGTGCCACATGGCAATGCATTTGGCGGTCAAATCCCAGTATTACAGCATTTTGATAGTTTGAGGACCCTGCATATACCCCTGCCATGCTCGATGACAATAACCGGCGTCCTGGGATCCCGTGAAACCCCTCAGACAACAACCAATTTCAGCCTCGACATCTTTCGTGGTAGCCGATAATTAGGACCTTTCTGTTGTCATGACGCTATCATAATTTTTTGTCTTTGATATGGCCGTGATGCAGTCCGAGTCATGTTTCCAGGAACAACGCCGCTAGAAATTTTCCAGAATATCATCCGGCCAAGACTCACTGAGACCCGTCCCAGTTAAGAACCGAGCGTTCCCATGCCCGCCAAAGAACCACACCGCCTGCCCCCAAGCAGCCAGACAAGTTCAGACACTAGCAGCCTCGGTGTTATTTGTTAGCTGTCGAATCTCGCCGCAACATTGCCGACTCGCCGAGCGCGTACAATGCGTGCTGCATATTGTGGAGCAGCGTTTCCGACGTGGCCGGCCTCAAAGAAAAGTCCTCGATGCAGGCAGACACGTTTCTACATAGAGCCGAGACTACATCGAAGTTTGTCGGTGCTACGTGCTGCACTGCTTCAAATTACTGTATCTGTTTACATATTGCAGTCAGATGCCTCCATACTCCACATTTGGCCTGGAAATGCACAAAATGGTTTCATGTCGGCCAGACAGCTCTCCGGCGTTATTTCTGCGGTATATTGGCCGGGTAATGACGTTGTAGCCATATGGATGTGGCTAGAATGACTGCACAATGCACACTGCTACTCGGCCTCTGTCAACTTGCTCGAAACAGAGGCTTGCGAAATGCTCTAACTTGATTGATCTTTCTGAATGTAATACTGTATGTATTGGTCTTCGGTATCCTTCATCCCTGTCGGCAACACGCCATCGCCTGCAGGGCTTAAGACGCACTGCGCACGATTCGATACAGTGGTCGTCTTGAGCAGCTAATCTGACTGAATCTTTTTATGACTGCTATGAAGCGCATATATATTGATAATATGTTAGACCACATGACATTGATCGGACACATCTGCGGGGCCCCGCATCAAGGCGAGATGGGAATATACAGCAATTCTCTCAATCCCTCGTGCAAGGCACTTCTGGATGGAAGTGTGGGCTCTCTAGTACTCGGCTACGGCACTACATGGATGAGGTCTGACACACAAGAGTCTAGGAGTGCTGAGTGTGACTGTTGCTATAGCCGCGCTTGCAACTAACATTACGAAAACAAGTCCACGAAAGAGGCCGCCTCACTGCACATGTCAGGCATAAATAGTGTCAACTCGGGTTTCTCATCTGAGTATATGCATTAAGGTAGGCAGTAATATTTGGCGTGCCTTGCTAGTTGTGATACATGTTGCCCAGTCCTTTGTCTGGTTGGGTGAAAAAGTCCTTCTCATGTCTTAGGCTCTAATCCCACTGTCAATTATGTAAACTATAAATGGCATACTGGTCAAATGACTATTGAATCTTACATGTGCTCATCGTGAAAGCAAATAAAGAAGTAATTTGGAATCCGAAGATCCAAGTTGGGAACCAAGGAAAAGCATAAAAGCTTTTCATGTTCTCAAATAAAAAGAACTAGGAGGGCTTTCATGTATAATTATTCAAACAGAACAATCTGTGCTCTAATGAAGTGTACAGAACTGTGAATCGCGACGGTAATACTAACACGTCTGCCCGGAGTATTAAGAAAACCGGGCAGGTCATTCATAAATTTGTCACATTAATTTCAAGGGAGTCGATGTAAGTGATATTGTCTGGGAACTATGGCCTATCTATGGTGCAGGGATCGAAATCGTACTTTTTGTGACGTTCCATAAGACGAGCACCTACGGAGATTTAATCATTACAATTACGATGAAAACGAGTTCAATTTGATTAAACTCTGCAGTAGCAAGCCATGTTTCATAAATCCGCGAGAGACTCCCTAGTACCACGTACCAGCGGCTCACTGTGTGGCCGTTACCTTCGCCGAAATCGTCCACAGCAAGACCGTCCAGTGCTCGTTCACAATGGGTCGCTTGTTGTCGTATACACCAGCAAATAGTAGGACTAGACTAACTAGTGGCCATGCCGGGGATTCGAAAAGATTTTGAGAAGAGTTGTGGACTGGCCCGGTGCGCTGAGCTCGTGTAGCAATCCCTTCTTTCAATTAATTTTCAAAACACTGTGTGGTTTGTTTTCTTTCAAGCCGAAACACCATTTATCTTTCCCAATCTACTGCTTTGCGTCATTCTGTGTGATGTTGCCTCAGTATTGTGCTTGGGAGCCTTCCTGGCCCCTAGCCATTGCAGCTGCTTGATGACAGAGGCTAAGGCACCCCGGACTTCCCCCCTCCCTCCCTCAACTTTGCCCAGGAAGGTTTAGCCAGGGGATGAGGAGTCTCCACACCAGCTCCAACCTCCTGAAGGTCATCATCGTAGCTTCAGCCAACCCGGCTGACGACAGACGTAATACGTTTGTGAAGCAACAGCCGTCAAGCTGTCAGCGATTAAGCCATACATTCTTCCATTGTGCGACATATCCGATCTACTGGCAGCATAATGGCTGAAGATACTCATGAGCGGACACCGCTCCTAGGCGCTGGCGCCGGTGGGGGCAATACAGGTGCTGAAGATGACAGTTTCGCTCACCTCAACCGGCAGGTCAAGAGCTGGCAGCGTCGTCGCTGGATCTCTCTTGTTGTTAGTTTGTTCTTGATCGTTGGTTTCGTCGTTATCTTGATTCTTTCGGGTAGTAAGTTGTTTCAATTTACCTCAACACAGAAATCGCATTTTGATTGATGGTATATGATCACGGCTGCGCTTGACCTGGCCTTGGCTGTTGAGCATGGTATGGAAGCCTTTACCATTGACCGCGCCATGGAAAACACAGTTGGAGTGTTTTTTAAGGGAGGAGCCTGGGGTCATGGCTTCCGTCTTACACCCATTGAGATGCTCCCTGCCTGACTTGGTATTTGCCTAGCCTATGATCAATCTTCAGATCCCATTGACACACAACCGACCTCATTGTGATCACCGTCATCTTTTCATGTACTGTTAGGCTAACATATCTATATCTCAGTCCTCTCTCGAGCCAAAGGCAAACCAGGGATGGCTTCGTCAGTCTGCCTTACTCCGGCTTGTGTCCATGCCGCGTCGGAGATATTGTGTAGGTTACTGCCTGTAGTCTTATTTCGTTTACTCACTGATTTCAGACAACCTTTCACCGAATTACGAGGACATCGATGCATGCACAAACTTTGACCAACTAGTTTGTGATGGGTTCAAGGCTCGTCACGACATCCCTGAGGATAGAAGTGCCTACACAACGACGACTGTCATGTCTGAAACTGGCCAAACCATTATCAGGCACATACTGGAAGGCTCCTACCCAGGCGAATCAAAGGTATGCCAATTAGTTTTCAGCAATGGTCCCCATCATTGAAGGATCGTCATTTCGACTGATGACTAACAACATTGCGAAGCACTCATCTTTTTCACCTATGAACCTTGTTGCTCTGGCTTCTTCAACGGATGAAGACAACTTCGACACGATGAAAACAGCCTACAATGCCTGCATTGACGAGACAACACTCAAACAGATTGGTGTCAAACCTCTTGTCCAACTTACCGAACAGGTTGCTCAGTCATTTCCTGTTAAGGATGGGTTCCTCAATACGAGCGATGTTTTGCGGAAGGACGATTACGCCAGATTGTCTGAAACCATACTCCTGCTGGAGAAATGGGGTATAAGCACGTTTGAAAGCCTGGATACTGGTGCGGACGACAAGAACCCGGTAATTCTCAACAAAAACCTCTATGGACTGCCCCCTAACAATAGTCTAGGAGCTCGTTATTATCCAAGCATCTCCAGCCGGCATTACACTTCCTTCTCCTGAGTACTATGAAGATGTCGATACCATCAAGAAATATCAAGAGACTTTGGAGGCGGTCTTCAGCAAGTTGCACCCCATCGACCAGGCTCGAAAGCATGCCGACAAATTGGCGGAGGCAGTCGTTGATCTTGAGAAGAAGATAGCGCGTGTGACTCCCCCTCCAGAAGATCAACAAGACGTCACCAAATATTATAACATCGTAGAAGTAGCAAAAGCGGGAGCAATCGCACCGGAATTAGGATATGATTCTGTGATTACAAGCCTCGGTAAGAAAGTTCCTGGCTGGCACCTTGCTCAAGAATTTTCTGACAGTCATCTACAGTACCGTCTAACTATACTGTGGAAACTATGTTGTTGGCTTTCCCAGACTTCCTTGCCAACGTTTCGCAGATCGTATCCAAGACCAGCAAATCCACTATTCAAGCATACCTAGTCTGGAATGTCATTGCGGCGTATTACAGCGATGTAAAAGGGCCAGAGGTAGAGCCGATTTCTCGCCTATTCAACGTGCTGGCCGGCAAAGATCCTGATGTGAAATCAGAGCGCTGGAAGACTTGCAGCAGTGTGGTGGACGGACAAGTTGGCTGGATCCTAAGCCGCTTCTTTGTCGAGGCTGCCTTCTCGGAAGAGGCAAAGCAGTTCGGGGACCAAATCATTATGGACATCAAGAATCAATTCATCTCCAAACTTAAAGGTCTCAGCTGGATGGATGACAGTGTCAAGAAGCTAGCTGTCAACAAAGTAAATCTTATCGATCAGAAGATTGGTTACCCCACAAAATCTCCGGATATCATGAGACCAGATGCTCTACGCAACTACTATCAAGGTCTTCAGATCACAGATTCCTTTTTCAACAACAGTCTCTCTAGCCGCCTTTTTGGCGTCAATGGAACCTGGTCGGCACTCGGGAAGCCGGTCGATCATGGAGAATGGGGAATGACAGCAGACACTATTAACGCATACTACAATCCTGTAGGCGCCGAGATTGTCTTCCCCGCCGGGATCATGCAATTCCCAGTTTTCCAGGTGGATCTTCCTTCATATGTCAGTTATGGAGCTTTTGCTTCCATAGCAGGACATGAACTATCGCATGCTTTCGATAATTCTGGGCGGCACTACGACGAGCATGGTAGATTTACTGATTGGTGGACCAATCATACGGTCGAGGAATTTACAAAGCGCGCCGACTGCTTTGTAAACCAATACTCGAACTTCACGATCGAGGGTAGCAATGGTCAACCGCTACATGTCAATGGTCGTCTCACTCTCGGCGAGAACATTGCTGACGCGGGTGGAATCTCAGCCGCCTTCACTGCTTGGAAGGAGCGTCAGAGTGCGTCTCCTGATGAGAATCTCCCGGGCTTAGACCACTTCACCCAAGACCAGCTTTTCTTTGTCTTTTATGCTACTTGTGAGTTCTACCCATGCACTAACTTGACGCTCGCGTATTAACGAGTTCGTGCACTAGTCTGGTGTGGTAAAATACGGCCGCAGCTTGCTCAGCAATACATTTATACCGATCCGCACTCCCCGGCTTTTGCACGTATTCTAGGGACAACGGCGAACTCGAGGGCCTTCAGAGAGGCTTTCTCCTGTCCAGTCAAGGAGCCTACCTGTGAGCTTTGGTAAGCAGATGGTGGACGAGAGCGGCAGCAGATTGTAACATTAGGCTTTACTTGTCCTAACATTGAAGGTGAACTGGAAACTGTACTCCATTGATTTTGCTCTTTAATAACCGTTCATAAAGTATTTTCTGTCTGTTTCTGTAATTTTGTGCTTGCGATATCAATGCATATAACTACAAGTGTTGGCCCATCCAGACCAACATTTACCCATGCTGCCTTTTCTTCAAGGCCGTTCGCAGAAAGACTTGCGCATGCTAAGCAGTTTGCCCATCTGCTACAGTGGAAGGGGGGTTGACCCACGGCCCAACGGACGATGGACTAAACAGCAAGTAAAATGAAGCTGATTCGTAGCACTACTTAGGTCCGGAAAGGTGCGTTTCGTGGAATCTCCAGGAGTAAGTGTCGGTTCATCGTAGCTGACGTCGCAGTGTTCCTACGTAGGATGCAAGTCCTGAGACTTATGGAGTCGAAAGCTGCTGATCTTTCTTTCCGCGTACCCTGTATCATTGCATACGATGTATACGTGCTATTTTTCGTACTCTATCCGTATTGATTGGCTGGGACGGTACCTGCCGCTAGATTGTGGGGCTTGATCGCATTGAACCCGAACCACTTACGTCGGCATAATCCGAATTCTCGGGTTTGAACTCGGAGCTAGCCTTTAAGCGTGTGCTAATTGGACACTATAACATCTCAAAAGTCAAACTCGTCCAAGACACCTCCATTTCTCTAGGCATCGGCATATTTTTCCAGGGACTGAACGTGGGACATCTAGTGCACTGGCGCTCCCTATAAATACACAGCCTCTGACGTGAAATCTCCGCGACACGGCCATTGCCGACTGCGTTATAATAGTGGGTTTTGTCAACCTTTTATATAGGAGAATGTCTTCGGTAATGGACAGTGAAATACCTGGAGCAAGGCCACCCTCGCTCATCATCCTTTAAGCAATCACCGGAAATCAACACAAAATGAAGGGAGACGGCAGTACGGACTCGCATCTGCCTCCCCCCGACTACTCCTTGTCCCTCTCCGATGCTTTTGCGGACGAATCCCAGAGTGTCGTGCAAACGACTAGAGAGGATGGCCGGATAGACCTAGACACTAAATCCAGGTTGTTTAAGACGCTAAGCAAAGTGGTCGCTCGTGAGCAAAAGCGTCACGACCAGGAAAGCCATCTTGAATGGGGTGAACCCCCCAAATATGAGCAGTTCGATAGCAAGCAGTTCAACCTCAAACTGAACATAGTGATCCAAGTTGTGGGGAGTCGCGGTGACGTGCAGCCGTTCATAGCACTCGGCAACGAGCTGGTACGTTGTGGGCACAGAGTACGCATCGCAACACACGATGTCTTCGCCGACTTTGTTCGCAAATCAGGCCTGGAATTCTATCCTATCGGCGGCGATCCGGCTGAGCTCATGGCGTACATGGTCAAAAATCCCGGGCTCTTTCCTAGCATGCGAAGTCTTCGCGAAGGCGATATCCAGAGGAAGAGGAAGATGGTTGCCGAAATGCTGCAAGGATGTTGGAGTTCTTGCATCGAACCGGATCCGGTCACCATGCGACCCTTTGTCGCTGAGGCTATCATTGCAAACCCTCCAAGTTTTGCCCACATCCATTGCGCACAGGCTCTGGGTATTCCATTACACATAATGTTCACGATGCCGTGGTCCAGCACAAAGGACTTCCCCCATCCACTCATAAACATGGACCTGAAGAGCTCAACGGTGCCAGTAGGCACAGCAAATTATGTTTCGTACCTTGCAGTTGAGTTTCTGACTTGGCAAGGGTATGTATGATTGCAGGCGTCTATTACCTCATTCTCAAAAAGACTAATTGTCGATAGGCTTGGCGATCTCATCAACTCCTGGAGAGCAACTCTAGATTTAGAGCCTATTCCGAGTTCGGAAGGACCAAGATTGGCTGAAACCCTAAAGATACCGTTCACTTATTGCTGGTCGCCAGCCCTTGTACCTAAGCCTGCTGATTGGCCATCTCATATAGGTTAGTTGCATGCGCATAGTTGTCATCCGTAACGTTAATACTAATCTGTTATTAGGAGTTTGCGGGTTCTTCTTCCGAGACCCCCCTCAATATGAACCACCAAGAGAGCTAGCAGATTTTCTGAAGAGTGGCCCGCCGCCTGTATACATTGGATTTGGTAGCATTGTTATCGAAGACCCGGCAAAACTGACCAGAATATTACTTGAAGCCGTGCGAGCCTCGGGCGCTCGTGCGATAATCTCCCGCGGCTGGAGTAAGCTTGGTGAGAATCAAGAAGGCGGCGACAATGTGCTGTTCATCGGAGATTGTCCTCACGAATGGCTTTTTCGACAAGTTGCTGCGGTAATTCACCACGGAGGAGCAGGCACAACCGCTTGCGGCCTTCTAAACGGTCGCCCTACGACAATAGTTCCGTTCTTTGGAGAGTAAGTGAGCTTTCTCGTACCACAATAGACTGTACAGCTGATTTGTAAAGTCAACCGTTCTGGGGTGCCATGGTGGCTGCCGCAGGAGCGGGGCCGGATCCAATCCCTCAGCGTCAACTCAACGAGGAAAACTTGGCAGATGCTATCAATTTTTGCCTTACTCCTGAAGCATCTAGTGCCGCGCTCGTGCTGGCCCAGAAGATGCAAGCTGAGTCAGGTGTCAGAACCGCGGTCGACATGTTCCACGCTCAGTTACCGGTCACAGAAATGCAATGCGACATTCTTAGAGATAGGGCAGCGGCATGGCGTTTCAAGAAAGGCAAGTTACAGCTCAAGCTGTCGAAGCTGGCTGCCGAGGTTCTAGTTGAAAACGCCAAAATTAACGGAGACCAGTTGAGCCGGTAAGTTGCTGCTATGTGGCTCGGATGTTTCGGCGGCAATGAGGCTGACGAGCTGGCGATACAGATACGACGCGAACCCAATAGTCATTGATGTGACACGATGGGAGCCAGTGACTGCCACGACTTCATCGCTCGTCAGTACACTGAAAGGCATGACGGTCTCGGCTACAGACATCTTTGTCAAGCCAGTGCAGGCTTATCAGACACCATCTGGTAAGTCCGTGGAAGCTGGGCTTTCGAAAGGCGATGATGCAGCATCTTTGCCGAGTCAAGATGAGAGAAGCAATCGTCACCTCCGGCCAGATGTGCCGGAAGCATCACGTTCTCGAAGCCGGTCGGGGAACCGCTTAGGAAAAGCCGTCTTAGGCTCAGCTTCGGGCGTGGGTGGTTTTTTCAAACATTTCACCAAGGGCATGTACGTGGACCTGCCTCTTGCAACCACGGAAGGTTTGCGATCCATGCCGAAATTATATGGCGGCGAAGTCCGTGAGATTGGCAAGGTCACCGACTGGAAGTCAGGTGCAATTGTCGCTGGAAAGAACTTCAAAGACGGGATGGTGGACGGGTTTACCGATCTGGTACGCGAGCCCATGAAAGGTGGTAAAGAGCAAGGCGCCTTGGGAGCGATCAAGGGAGTGGGGAAAGGCTCAGCGAACATGCTCTTGAAGGTATCATCTGGTAAGTCTGAATATAGCAATATATGGCCAGTATCAGCAATTGCCAATACACACTAACTTGTGGACAGGTGCTCTCGGTCTCGTTGCGTACTCTGGGCAGGGAATCTGTAAGAGCATCACGGCAGCAGTCAACACGGAGACTTGGCATGCAATCAAGAAGGCAAGACGCAACGAAGGGCGTCATTTGGTTGCCTCTGGTGCCCATGACGTGGATCAGGTAGTTGTTCGGATGTTTGAGGATTTGCGAGGGCATTAAACTATGGATGATAACTCGGTATATTGACATGTTTGTGCTTTTTCATTGCTCAAGGGAGTCAAGGTGCTCCTATACTTAGCTGTAAAAGCGTATCGGTCACTTCGACTTGCGTTATTCAAAGGTGTCCATATAATACCATTTCCAAAGATATCAAACAAACATCAACCACTGATGGAAGCCCGTTATGATAATACAAATATTTGTAGGGGTGGTGGGCGCCGAGTCTATGAATAAGTATTATAGCGACATGACAAAATGATGAACACACAAGACGAATACTTGGATGAAGATATGTAAGTCACTCCAGATCCCTCTTACACACTTTCATCCTAGTCTAGGGACACTATCAATGGCTGGCTCCAATATCATCTAAGCAGATGCTCGACTAACTCAGAAGAAAACGTACAACATCCTAATACGAGTAAACGCAATCTGAAATTCCGACAAAACTGCAAATATTCCACAACAATCACTCCTTGTATAAGATCTGCTGTATCCCTTCATAGCATGATTCAATGATCAGCGCAAATCCTCAACCCCAACCCCCCCCCCCCCCCTTTTTTTTTTCTTTCTTTTTTTCTTCTTCTGTTCCGTTTGTAGTGGTGTGATTTGGACTACGGTAAAGCTCAAGTCGAATCCGTGCTTATCGTGAACATTAAGTTATGAAGCGCGTTGAGGCTGACAGGGATAAAATGGTCCATGCCTTGTCGAAGCTATTGTAGTAGGAAGATGGGCCGCAAACATTGACTATAACGTTATAAATCGAGGCTGAAGTAAGCGTTGCCGGCTCCATGAAGATATTAAATCTTGCCAGGCTGCGTGTAATGGTCCAGTCAGGGCCTGTGCGTGGACCGTGGTAATACGGGCGTTTGATCTTCACGACGCTGTGATTGCGGTCGGGTTGCGCCTGAACCGTGAATCCTTTGAACAGCTAGACTTTGATGTGAGCAGGACCACGCGGACGGTACTTTCTAGTACGTTTGTGGTCCTCGAGGCCCTGCTTGATGGCCTTGGTATCCGGCGATGCATAAAGCTATTTGATTCTGTGTGTCTGTAAGCATGTACCATGTATGAGCTACTGGGGGGCTGTATAATGGTCTCTTACATGAGATGCAGCTTCGACTTGACTGGCTCATTCTTGATTGCGACGGGGTTTGCAGCGGGGATAGAATGGAGGTCGGCCCTGGAATTTTTCTTTTCGTTCTTGATGTTCACCCGCTTGATGTTTTTGCTTTTGAGGGGTGAGCCCTCACGCTTGCGAGCCATGGTCGTTGTGGTTGGTAAAAGCGGGAGCTTGTGTGAGATAGGAAGTAGTTGGAGAGAGGCGAAAATGGCAATATGGCCGGAATCACTTGACGCTCGTCTGATAGGTATCTTCGTGTCTTCGTGTCTTCATATCTCCAACAACAAACCCCCACCCTGTGCTTATTCAAATGTTTACTGCATTTGCATGTTTAAAGGAAAGCACCAAGGACATATACATAGATACTATCCTCGCCTCAAAACCGTTCACACATGCATAAGAATAGAACACAGTTTCCAGTCTCGTTCAATACTTACAGTAGGAACATGTGAAAGGGTCATGAATTTTGAAGCCGAAAGCGATATGATCGAGAAGTGGATTCCCTTCCTCAGGTAACTGCTCTAGTAGCTGAAAGTTGATATACTACCCTTAACGTACTGCATTTAATCGTGGAGTGGACGATCTGAAGTAAATCCTCGCCTCACTGACTTTGCAGTATATCGGCGACCGTCCAGCAGTTTCCCATATGGCCACCAGCTGGCTGCAAGCATACCATGGAATATCCTTCTGGCTCTGGTTTTTTTTAGATGTGCGCTTGAAGCTTTTCTTCTAAGCAGCAGACGCTTGCGATGCCCAGCTGTCAAAGTCTGGTGACTTCGCATCTTCCACGTTGAAGTACCAGTTGCCGTAGCCTTTCTCATGAAAATTTAGGGTCGAATTAGTGCTAGATGGATCAGCTATAGCATCCGTACTCTGCCTAATCACCATATCAAGTCAGCCTTTGTAATTTGAGGATAGCAATCTCTAATCGCTCAGGTTTAGTAGAAGAGCCCAATCCCATGATCCTGTTGTGACAATGAAGTGGAACAGAGTATCGGTTTCAGACCATATATAGTAACGATGAATATACACATATGATTCGATGTCACTTACGCCCACCCGAGGACCGGTTGAGTTGCATTAGAGTAAAATGTACGCCCATCCGTCAGAATGCAGTCGGTGCAGAGGAACGTAATTGTATACGTAGTCTCGTTCACGTAGGTGCCTGACGCGATTGAGTGAATTGCTGCATCGGTTCCATTTATCAAGTGAGGGTTTGCATATTCATCTGCCTGGCGCAGTGATGTGGTGATGCTATCTCCGTTTGGATAGGTAACGAGCAAGAGACTGTTTTGCACTATAATCTTTGTTAGCTTGAAGGACATGAGAATTTTCGAGATAGCCTACTTGTTCCACCTAATGATGCACCTGCCCAACCAGCTGTGGCCGTCACTGAAAATTGGCCGATAAAGTCGGTAGTGACATCTTCAGGAAATGTGATACCAAATGTATAGTCGCCATTGATATCTGACCACCAGCTTTGAGTTAGTTTATTTCATATCTGATAATACACTGGCTGCATGTATCTGCCTTCATGGTGGTCGCGACTGAATAAAAAGACAAAGCTTCCTTGAACTTTGCGGAGGGACTCAAAGGTTTACTCACAACGCCAAAAGGTGAAACCAGTCACTGGATCGGTATAGCTGGCGCCGGTCTGTTGGCACTTAGCAACCCCAGCTAAGATCAGAAGAACAACCGACGCGTATTTAGAGCCTGGCATGATGACGTGTAGTAATAATATACGATATCCTGAGATAAACTAATTGATAAAAGTGCTTCACGCAGAGCGCAGTACGCAATGGTCATGTTCAAATATATAGCGATAACTACGTAGTGGTACTTGCCTTTCTAATACCACGAATGAAAATCAAATCATTAGCAAGCTACTCACAATCTCGCATTGTAAAGTCATGAAATAGAATATGTCCCGGCCCCGAATGTATTCCCTGCAGAAGCTAAGACGAAAGAAGGAGTTGATGCTGCTCCAGTACCCCTGTTTCGGCATGTGAGTCCAGCTCCGATCACAACTCCGCCAAGATCATCTATACCGGCCCGATACCCACTCACACATCCCCGGACTTTCAACGGCGGTGTAAAGGCATATCAACCATGCAAACAACATTTGTTCACATATTCCAAGATGTTTCAATGACGTCCGCCTGCATGCGTCTACCTAGTCTATTCGTATTATGCCGAACACGGACCGCAATTCCACGGGAAGTTAAGTGGTTCTAAGTAGATGTATTACTGTCACGGTCTTATGGACACCCACTATAGCGGCAGAATTAGCATAAGTTAAGTTTGATGAGACGGTTACAATATTGGAGCGAGCGGCGGTGGCCGTCAAGTTGCTATTATGGATCGAATATAAGGACTAACTATTTGAAGAAATAGTCATGCCATCGGTTTAGAACTCTGCACCTTTGTTTGCATCTCGTATAAATATTATTATTCATCCAGAAGTGTTGCAGTATAGGTGCAACGCTCTTCTATCATATAGTACAATTGCACTGTCATGGATAACCTCCGTGATACACACTTTGGGCGCCTTCGCTGAGCGGTACGCAAACGTACTGTCAGTTATTTTAATTTTTGATCGAGAGAGACATAATAACTCTCCTCCTCCCCCAACCCTCAAAAAATGAAAAGAAAAGCAATCGAAAAATAAAAACGGGGGAAAGGGAAGAAAGAAGCTTGGCAGCGACATCTCGTTTGCAAAATTACAGCACGCAATTAAAGAGCGGGTTAATCGTTTTACCCCTGCAATCTACGTTCTTGACCAGTGAAACACATACAACAAGATCGCTGCGGCCCCGATGACGGCAGCTACAGCTACAGCACCTGCGATCATACCTTCGCATCTTGGAGCCCCGGCAGTAGCGACGGGCATGACTGAAGTTGCAGTCGTCGCAGAACCCCTCCCGCGCTAACCGTAGTTGTGGCAGTTACTGAACCCGTGCCAGTTGGACAACCACTTGTGTTGAATGCAGACAGCTGGGAAACGACTGAAGAGATATTCTCAACGAGAGCCTCCTTAGAGCATGAAGTGATTAGAGTGGTGACATTAGAGCTTTCGTCGCTGTACCAGGACGACACAGCCGACTCATAAGATGAGTAGTCTGATGATAATGATGCTGGGATGGCAGTCGTTGCGTCGCAGATACTAGTCGGGTTGCTAAGGTCGGCTGTGGCGACTATAGATGCTATAGCACTTGAAAGCTCGCCGATGGCCGACAGAATGGACGTAGCAAGCGACACGGCGAATGCGATGCATCCAGCGGCGTTAGTTTGGCGGTCTACCAAGCCGGGTTCGGTTATAATGTCGTGCGGACCCCGGAGTGCTTGAGGATGGTAAGTTGCCAAGGCACTCGACATAAGTCCACAAAGTGCGATAGCGTAGGAGGTAGTCAGCATGATGTGTAGTGGTCGATCGAGAACAAGGACTTAGGTTTTCGGATTTCTCATGTGACATGAGATTGTGTTGCAATGGAGAGCAATGCTGTATAATCTATATACTTTCCAGTATGGAATTGTCACCCACTCACTCCTTCGGTATCACGACGAAGTCGATGGTTGCCGCAATATCATACGCGTACGAATAATTTCATGCCAGTTCGTCGCCTTTATGCCAAGGTCTGCACAAGCTACCGTAACTTCTCGACCAGCCCGGACGATCTCTTCCAACTTCTGCCCTTATGACGATACAGACTGACATAATATATACTGCCTTGCGGTTTCAAGCCTCTGTTACCCTGACTTGATTGGATGTATCTTCTTTAGTTGTGGCTGAGCATTTGCCTATAGGACTAACAAACAACTAGCAGGAAGTTTGACAACATAGCATGAGACAAAATGCTCGGATACGGGCAATGTAAACACTTTGGCATGCAGTTCTTACTCCTCCGGCAATGCCAGTTTAGCTCACCTTGCTCGTTCAAATTGGCAACCCCAGGGTGAGCCCAGTGATACACCAGAATACACCAAGATGCACCAAGAGTTGCCGCATCGCTTTGAGCGTCCTCGGTGTCTTCCGCAGATCTCACTATGCAACCATCGCCGAAGAACAACAGGCCAAGCAGTTTGACGATCGCCTAAAGGTAGCAGAAGAGTTTCAGAGGGGCGAGGATGCGAAATTACAGACGCCCATCGGCTCGGCAGCTCAGAAAGACCAGGTAGCCATCGACGCTGATAAAGAAACTAGCTTGGAGAATGGAGCGACACGACAAAGACTGGCCGCTCGACCGGCTTAGTCTAGTGGGACGACAGACAACACCCGCTAGCAAAGCCCATCTTTATACCTTCCTGTAACAAGGTTCAGACACTCAGTTTTGTAGACTAAGTATTGCATTTCTCGTCTTGAATAGTTGGCTCATTGGCTTCTCCAGTGATATTTGGGTTGCCCTATCTCAAGATCATATCAAGATATTTGGGTGTCACGACTAGTACGCCAACTTCTGAGTCTAACGACTGATGAGTTCGCTAGGACTTAGCTGCTCACATGTTAGGGCTGGTAAGTTGAGCTTATTCGGAGTCAAATCAAGTTATTGCCAAAATTATAACACCGATTATTAGTTCAAGGCTACCGCAAGAAACTTTATTATAAATCGTCGTTTTCATTCAGTATGCTTTGCCAACTACTCTCTAGACTAGCGTAATAATCATGTCTAACGCCTAATTACCGAGGCAACTCGTTGGCCGCCAACCAACAAAACACTGCAAAGTCCATGATCTACCTCCTTTGAGGATATCTATTGAGCAAAACGAATAGAGCCAGGTATGACGTTACTCCCTATATGACGAGAATATCAGCACTGCTCAATTGCACAGGGTGATTAGATAGTCTCGGAGGAGACCCTATTCAAACACTTGCAAAGATGGTGTAGACGGTGTTTCGGATACACTTACCGTAAAGCAGAGCCCCGCAATAACTCCGAATCCCACCAGGTACTGGGGTGAGTCTTTTGATGGGAAGCTCAAGCCAAAAGAGTCAGTGCATTTGTTCATACCAAGTCAATAAATACAAGTTGGGCCATGGTCCAGCGGTAGAGACGTTCAGTATGACGCAAGAAAAGAAATACGCTGACAGGTTTGAAGATCGTGAGAGTAAATAGCTGATGCACTTACAGGTACGAGCCGTAGATCTGTGCAAGGTTTCCCTGTTGCCGGTGTTAGGCCAAATCTATGGAGTAAAGAACGACTGCGAACGAACCATAGCATTGATGAATGCAAGACTAATACCACGGACCTCTGCAGACTTAGAGCTGCGTGGAAATTGGAGGTCAGTTTCACTAGATTTCGACGAGGACAAGACGACTTGAAATAGCCTGCCAAGATAAAGGAAATCGCATGATATGAAGTGTTTTTGAGGAGTGGTATACCTAAAAGTTGACGAAGCATAAGCCAGTGATAGACCGTTGGATGCCCAAAGGCCGCACGCCATGATCTAGTTGTTTCACGTTAGATTTCTTGGCCATTTTAGGTATAGAATATCGAGAACTCCGCGCTAGCAAAGCATTGACTCTTCTCATGCACTTACAACTAGCAGTGCGTATCGTACTTTGAAATCGTACACCACACAAATGATAATAGCCATAAGCATTGAGACTCCCATGGCGCAGGCTAATACCAAACCTCTCCACTCAGGATATTTATCCATGAAGACAACGACAATACTGGCGCAAGATTACATAAGTTCTTACAATTCTCGCTTCTGGCGTTCATATGGGGTTGCTCACATGGTAATGACAAAACTTGCAGCATAAATCGGAATGGTCATATATTGCGCCTATATCTCAGATCAGTAGGGCTCCTTTAGAAAACGTTAATCATGAGTGCCTCTTGAAGGCAAAGAATAAAAGAGACTAAAAGTGGCGCTTTGAGAATCGCGTACCATTGTTGTAGAATAACCGAGTCCTGTGACTAAAGTTGGATAGAAGTATGACAATGTTGAAGAGCCTACAACCGCCATGTACCCGACGACAAAACCCCAGACCCTCCAATTGATGAGAGCCTCCTTGAGTGCCTGCCAGTGGGACAACTTGGGCGAGTCTTCAGTTTCGATGAGGCCGTCACTGGCCATTAGCCGCTTGAGGGCTAGTTCTCGCTCGGGCTCGGTAAGTCTTTTTGTGTTCGCAGGGAAATCCATAAGTAAGAAAGAGGCAACAATAGACCAAACCGCCGTTGCCGCACCTTCTGTGATGAAGAGCCATCGCCAGCCAGCCATACCGTTAACTCCTAAGAAATTTATATGTTAAAAATGATGCTTCAAAACGCACCACGATTCTGACTCCCAGACAAACATGAATCAAACATACCGTCGAGTCCACCAGTAATAGATCCGGCGATAAGTCCACCAAAGGCTCCCGATAAAATAGCCGCTGAGATATACACACCAAAACGACGCGCTTGTTCATCTGGCTTGTACCAACTGGAAAGAAGGAGCAACACTCCGGGAGCAAATCCTGATTCGAGTAGACCAATGAGAACTCTCAGTCCGACCAATGCTTTGTAAGTGTCTATAAAGGCCATTCCGATTGTCGCGCATCCCCATAGAAACATTATTGTCGGCAGGAAGATTGAAGGCTTTGTCTGGGCAAGAATCATACTGATAATTGTCAATACTTTTTGGTTCAACTCTCTCACGCACGAGGTTGCTCACTTCGATGGTACTTCCCAGATGACATAACCGACGAAGAAAACAATGAGTGAGATCGAGTACCGATTCGAATCTAAGCCGAGGTCTTCTGCCATACCTGCAATCTTGGCGTTTCCGATGCTGGTTTTCTCAGGTCAGCAAGTGACACTCAATTAAGTTGTGTATTCTACATACTTTGTCCTGTCCATATAACTCAAAAGATACATAATCCCTACACATAAACGTCAGTAATTTATATCCACCTCATAGCCTTGAGATCCCACAAGAAAGGACGCACACATAGTTGGCAGGATATAGAGATCGATCTTGCGGACTAGTTTGCGCTCCTCTTCCGTATCAATAACATAAGATTCAATGAACTCATCTCGAGTCTTTGGGCTTTCCAGCGGCTCAGTACCCATAACTTCGTATTGCTCAGCAGATGGCTTGTCCAAAAATTTGTTGTCCATTTTGTTAAGTCCGTGAATGGCAAGTTGCAAGAATTGTAGGGTTGAGGCTCGCAGATTGAAGAGGCGAGGTCTCTCGCACTCCTGTTTTCCAGACCTCAAGATATCGGCAGTCCTTGCGCTTTACGTCAACCGAATCGTGACGTCTGTTCAACTTCAATGTCTCCCAAACCACTATACCCAAGATTTCTTCTAAAACGACACGAGGAGAAAGCCCAGTTTCGCTCCTAAGCAAATCTGGATTTGGATCCGAGGGACTGGATTTCTCCACATGCCTCATTGCTTTGGGTTACCTAGTGCGCTCCACACTCGGGCTGCGCGTGAGACTAATAAATAAGCGCCCTGGTAAACACGCCCCACTGGGCTGAATGACTCGAGATGCGTAGTCACTTCAATAAGTGCCGACCCGAAATGGGATATGGCCTTGAATGGAAGAGGTCTGAATCATCTCTTCATAGCATAAGTTGCGGTTACGATCCAGGAGACCGCCGCAATGAGCAGCATCATTTTTCGAACAAGGAAAACTGGTCCAAGTAACCTATTCCACCAGTATTTGGAAACATGCGCTCAAATCTGTCTTTGATATGGGACGTCTAATCAATATCGCATCATAGTAATATCTGTACAACTCAAGTTCAACAGATCTTGAACGCAATTGTTCCCGGTCAGATTGACCGAGAATACTTTCAGCGTTCCATTTGGAAAGAACAGTTAAGTAGCAAGTTATATGTGTTATGATCAGTAGGGTTAATGGCTTCACTTTGTAGTTGAACTGCTCGACCATTGAAGTCAACTCCACCAACGACAGGCAGACTGTTGAAATATTAAATCAGTTGACGCGGAGCCTCCGAGTGAGCTAGACATAAATAAGTTATTATGTTAACAATTTTACAGGTCCATTATACTTATACTCTGCTGATTGATATGTGAGCTCTCCAGCGGACGTCCATATGTGGTGCTGTAGGTGTCGGAAACTCAACTCGACAAGCGTAGAGTCATGTTGTTTCAGTTACAAATGAGACAAGAAAATTATCTGCATTATTTCATCTATGCTTTGCCAGCTGAGCCTGTAACATCCATTTGCCAAGCGACCAACTTCTCGATCTCCATGGTACCCTCCTCCATCAGTGTCGTTAGGCCCACCGTGGATGCCTTCTCTCTGATATACCTTAGATAATCGTCCAATACCAGCTTATTTACGTTGATCTTGCTGCAGCCACCCTTGATACAGCTCTGCATTACGTCTTCTGGGAAGTCATTCGTACCGTGTAGCACGACCCTAACCCGATTGTCGGCCTTTTTCCGGATCATAGCCAATCTGTCGTACTCCAGTACCGGCCCTCTTGCGCCGTATTTTCCATGCACATTTCCAAAAGCAGGTGCTAAAAAGTCAATGCCTGTGGCAATGAAATCTTCGACCTGGTCCTCAGTCGTCAGGGCACCATTCAGATCTATAGTATCCGCGATGCCGTCCTCACCACCTTCAATGCGGCCAGGCTCGGCTTCTGTTGTGATTTTGTGCTCGTTGCAAAAAGCGACCAAGGCCCGCGTCTTTGATAGGTTCTCTTCCATCTCGAAGTGGCTCATATCTACCATTATGGAGTCGAAAGGCAGGTTGGCCGCTGCATGTTGAATGAGCTCCTCGTCTTGTGCGTGGTCAAGGTGGATCGCAATGGGGACAGAAGCTTCGCGGGCGGCCTTTGCAGCCGCGTGGATAAGTAGCCCATTACTATACGCGATAGCCCAAGGAAAAAACTGAAGAATTAGAGGCGCTCGTTTTGCTTCAGCGGCTCGAATAAAAGCTAAGATGCATTCAATGTTGTATCTGACGTTTTCATAGTGTGTAAGTCACCCCAATGTCCATAATGAACATGATCACTTACGCAATAGGTGCAACAACTCCATAGCCACCTTTCTCGGCGGCTGTGAGAATCTTATATGTTTTATTTTCCTTCTTCCACTCCATGATATATTGCTGGACGGGCTAACAGCGTCAGTCTTGACTTGTAGTCGTACAAGACAACACCATATATTGTGTCAATCCGGAATATTGTCAGCTCGTAAACAAGCGACAATTTGGCAATTGCGCAAGAAAACGGTAGAAATTCATTGACATATGACCGGTTACCAAACAGAATTATACTCCATCAGAACATGGCGCGCGAAGTTGCGACAAAAGCACTACCCATCGACCCTCGTTAACGAACACTGGCAGACACAACTTGAACGGTTCAAAATTGAGGGGCATTCCAGTCATCGCGGGGTTGTTGGAGTAAGCGACCCAGTTTCTATGCATACCCAGCACTGATCCACAACTCTCCGCAGCCGCTAGACGCGGACCCTTCCCACTTTCATAAGGCTGGTGCGACTATCGCAGAGATCAATCGGCGAGGTCTATAGTTGAAGTGCTGTCGACGCGCGGCGTAATATAAATCAATACCGCTAGATGGCATAAGACACAACTGTAAGCAGCTTTCTACTGAGCCTAATATGCCAGCCACGTGGTGTCAGCTTCCACATGACTACGAATGGCAACGTCGTGAAATATTTGACCGGCCAATTCTGTATTAACATAACTTTTTAGTCTTCGAACCTTAGAGAGATTAAATCATTTTCTGTCATACTGTCATAGCATACTTCTAATCAGAACCGTAACACTAACAATATGGCTGCCGACAATGACTTCATAATGGCTATTAACGAGGAGACTAGTAGAAGAATAGCTATCATACAGTTTTAATATTATAGATCACCACTGTCATTAGATAGTGTATATGATCATTTTAATAACAACAGAATAGACATCAGCACCAGCACCAGCACCAAAGGTACAAGCAATCAACGACTATGGCCTAAATACCCCGAGAAGTGTGAAAGGTTTAGTCAAGCGAAGGATAGTGATCAGTTCAATACAAGTTTACGAGAATGTGTTCAGAGTGATGTATCATAATATTTGGGTATCACTGAATTATGTATTACTGAAGATGATACAACAAAGGCTGTCATGAAAGCTTAGCCCATTCTGCAAGAAGGTCGTTTCGCAACGCAACCATCGGCCATCCCGTACGCGCTTCGCAGGTATCGATCAGCGACAATATCGCACTGCGCTTGCTCTGTTCCTGAACACATAAGCCAGCGCCGAACAAACATTGTGCAGACATGATCTGACTGCCTTCATCTTTCAGTTCCATAGCTATGCCGCAGATAGTAGCGACGGCGTCGGATAGCGTTCGCTAAAGAAAGTGGTCAGTGTAACTCTAACCTAGACTAGTCAATTCTCGAGTCGCTAAAACCTACCTGTGTTTTCAAGTATCCATCAAAGCCAGACACAGCTGGGCGGTGAAGCGTGATAAGTATACGTGCAAAACTATACACTTGCAGAGCACTAAAATTGAAGAATGTGTTAGGCACTCTCCTGCTTTATAGACTGCAGACAATCACTTACACGCCATAACGTGGTGGGTGTATCCAAAGAGGTTGAAATAAGCTGTTGGAGCTAGGCTCAGCTGTGGGTAGAGGTCGGAAGCTAGGACCAAGGAAGGACTTCCAACGCTCAAGCTCGAAAACGAGAGCTTCGCCCACTCGGATTCTTTTCGCGGTCGTATTAGGCTCTGCAGAATTTGCATTATCCAGCTTTGAACAGTAGTTGACTGTTTGCGATAGAAGATAAACCGCACGATCCGCCAATTCATCCTGGTTCAACTCGCCATAGTCCTTCACGGGTCTATACAATGGAGTTAGTATCGCATCATGATGGTATATATGGTAGACAGCTCAGATCTTGACCTTGCGGCAAGACATTAGCTGATAATTAGAGTGTGCACCTACCTCCAGAAGCTGAAGCACCGCCTTCTCTCTCTTAAATGTAAGCGTTAGTCTTTATTTTCTTTTTTTCTTTCTCTATTTTCTAGAGTTAGTGTGCTACGGTAGTACCATACCTGAATGCAGCCCAGATGTCCTGGCGAAGCCATGCCCACCACACCGACTGTCTTAGGCCACCTGATGCACCATTGACATCTTGCGAACGTTGAATCCAGAAAACTCCTTTTAGGTGTCTTTTCCAATTACTATTGGAAGAGTCCAGCATTTCATAGGTGGATATTACAACTTCTGTATCTTAGCAATGCTTTGTGTAGACGGTCCGAATCACTCACGTGCAGTGGCAAGCAACTCCTCCGAATGTGTGTAAGAATGATACTGCAAAGCATTTTGCAGATAGTGTAAAGTCTCGTAATAATATTGTACAGCTAAGCTCGAGTCTTCCTCGGAAGGAGCACCCATGTTGGCTTGTACGATGGCACTATGGCGAGCGGTCAAAGCGAGTATGGCTTTCATTAAACCACCATTACGGAGCTATACAGTTGTTCAGCACTTGATAAAAAAAATCTCAGAGTACAGTAGGAATGTACACTCACAGCCAGTCGGATTGCGTATGTTGAAAAATGCTTCAATGGATCGAAAAGGTCCATCTTTGTATGGTCAGTTTCCACGCTGGTACTAAAAGCTGATGCAAGCACTCACCCAAAGGCTCGCTCGTTCTGCAAAAGTTCGGAACAAAACAGCTTCCTGACTTGTCAACACAAGATCCCGATTTAGTGACCAGGCATGCCGTTCTGATGCTGCATTTGCCGAGGGAGCTGGAATTCTGACAGTTCCCGCGATAGGTTGATTTTCAGTGCCAATGGCGCGGACCTCTGAGCTACCTGCTTGACTGGTGGAGTCATCTGGAGCGGGACTTGGAGCCATAGAGAATCCTGAATCGGCCTGAGCGGCATCGGTTGCTAAGAGGTCAAGCCACCGATTCGAGGCCATGTCAGTCGTCAGCAGTTCTGAGGCAACCGTATCGGGAGAGTATGCATATTGATATGCATCAGCCAGGGGTATAGATACTGGCGCAGCTCGAGGAACATGCACCGGAGATGGATATAAGCTATGCGGGCTGGGAAGCGCCAGGGGAACTGGTTGTGACGGTGCTTCCAGGGCTGTCTGTGGGATGTTCATTTCCTTCCGCAAAGAGGGATTGGTTGGGGGGGACGCTTCAATCTGCTGGCTAAGCTTATTCGATTGTATATGGATCGGCCCATCACCATCGGCATACAGGCAGTCTCGGCTCGATATCGAGCAAGGCCCGCAGCTAGGCCCTGGCTCATAGCATTAGACACAGCTCGCTGCAGTTTGCGAAAGTTGGCTTACGTCTCTCATCACATTTCTTGTGCCTCTTTCTACAAGTAAGGCATCCGGACTTGGTGCGCAATCCTCGTGACCTTGATTTGCGAATCCTCTTCTGTTTCGGGGGCTTCGAGTCTGTAGCCAGGCCGCGAGCCGATGCCTCACGGGTCGGCTCCATATTCAACAGACGACCTCATAGGTCGAGCAGCGATCAGACACGCGAGGAAAGCAGGGGTCGCTCATGGACGGGAGACGAGGCAACACAACACAAGGCAGGACAACAGTTACCCAAAAACTGAACAAGCGCTCGTCTCGAGGCGCAATTTTCAAGAATGGCATGAGTGGAGCAAACACCCCAAATGCTCCCCGCATGAACCGTCGGGGGTCCACGCCTTTAGCATTAATTTCATGCAGGGACATGAGTCGTGCCGCGCGAATCATATTAACCACCAGCGGCGAACCACGAGACGCTCACGCTCAGAATTGCAAACCTATCATGTATTCACGAGCAATTCGACTGATCTAGCGTTTGCGAAATATCCAGCCCACGGATGAAAGGCTTTGCCATCACACAAGCGGGTAGCCCGGGCGGGGTCAAAAGTCTATGTTCGACCCGTGGGATTGTGGGGTTGACGTGTGAGGGTCAAGGCATTTCTGGTGTCGATACAACCTGATGGGCTCGAGACGCCGGACTTGAGGATATGCCAAATGTCGCGATGTGTCAGCTCGTGATGCTCTCCTTATGGCTAGGTTATGATCCAAAAAGTCTTGAGGGCGACATTTGTTCGGTGAAGACGACGTCCACTGCATGTCAATTGCATCCTACCGCATTGTGCTAACATCACACGCCCAAGATGTCTGATAATCATTTATTTTCCCCATAGACAGCTGCTGATAAACTGGTCCCTCAAAATCAAAGAGCGCTGACGGCTGCCAATCCTCACCTAGGGTTGATTGACTCGGAGATGGTTGTTTATCGCAGATACAATGATCTAAGCGCTGTATCAATGATATGTGGCGGTGGCGCTGGCCATGATCCTAGATGGTTAGGATTCGTAGGCGCGGGGGCTTTCTCTGCTGTTGCTTGTGGTGAAAATAAATGAAATTTTATGCATCGCCTAGCACCAAACAGGTCCTGACAGTTAGATAGGCAGCTCCCTCGAATGAGGGAATCATTTTGACAATCACGAATTACACAGATGATGAATTGCATTTCGTCCTGGTTACTGAGAGGGCGAGAGCAGGAAGCGTAATTATAAACACCGTTTCCACTTGTCGAGAACTTCAATGGATATTGTTTAAGACTTCTGTGTGGCCCGAACGACCTTGAAAGAGCATTCATGAAGTTCAATTACACAAGATGCCGTAGTCCTGCTGATCAGTAAGTACGGTAGCCTCAACAATCTGGAGCCAGGCACTTTGATAGACGAAACAATCAATCATTTGGATAATTACTAATCGTATTAAAGTCTCAAGAATATGCTTAGTATCGGGCGCTAGCACGATGTGGAGTATCGGTCAAGTTAGGATTCTCTCTAGTATCTTCAAAATATCATTATATGGTCCAGGGGTTTTCATTTCAATCTGCAACCTCACAAACGCCGCAAAGGAGTCATCGATTACTTTTCCAGAAATACTAAATCTGTTCAACGCGAGGACAAGCACTGTATGGTAGCCCCAAATCGTAGGTTTTCTGAAGGATCAGCCATTCTCTTGCGAGCCAGGATATAGATATGAAGAGAGGAAAGCCAGGATTTTTCGAAGAAAAGAACATTGAGGATACTTGATGAATCATATCAATTTGCATAAAAGTCTCACACTCGTAATAGTCGATCCAAGCTTGCTCGTCACTATCGTTCGAACTGCCTGTCAAGCAGCTATTGCGGCAAAACCAAAGCTGACCAAATGGGGCTTGATCAAGAGTGACAGTGATTATGGTAAAGCCATACAAGGTGTCTCCGAGGATAAGCCAATCTGTCAGATAATTAGCGAACTCAAACCGTACTGAATTTGCAACAAATATAATTAACAATCTAGATCTAGGAATTGCGAAACAGGGATCCGTTTTGAACCTTTTGTTGTGGACTATTGTGGCCGTGGATGACATGGGAAGCAGTTTTTGGTGCCATTTTAGGCATCTTACTATCGGTATTCATATCGTCTATTCGGGAGATCGCCAGCAATGCAGTTATCCCTGTAGACTGGTCAACTTATTCTTGGGCTTTAGCACGAGCTGTGGCGACTCTGAAGAACTATACGGGGGCACGCGAGGGAGACGGAAAATTATGAATGTACTGATCCCATTCACTGACGCATTTGAAAAGATGAGCGGGTTTTTTTGCAGCAGCGAAGGTAGCTCAGGAGAAAGCTGAAGTGACCAAGGACTTAAAGGCAAGGTTCAGCCGGGCCTCGTATGTGACCGAAACGCAGAAGCAATCCATCCCAGACCCTGGTGTATGGCCACTTTGCGAATGGCTTACTGGGATGTCAAACACGAACAGGTCATACGAGGTTGCTTGACCTCAGCTGTTCATTCCAAAATTGGCATTCTGAGATCTTGGAACGTTGGAGCAATGATAATATGGATACCAGCAAGTTGATAGAATGAATGGTTTAAATCTTCATATGGTTCAACAATATCGTGACAGCGTTTTAATCGGGCTCGACCACGCGTTCGAATAAGACGAACATCTGCTAATAGTCGTCCGTATAAGAAGGAAATGGCTTTTATTTTTATTTTTAGTATTCGGTGAAAACGAATCTGTAGGTTGCTCGGTTCCATAAAATTAGGCAGTGGGCAAAAAGATCGGCATAATCGCCTCCAATTTGGCATTACTGACATAACCCGAGAAACATATATTATTACATGCATATCCGAAGTCGCTCCCTTAGGTGAAGCCAAATAACAGCATTTGTTTTTCAGAGGTGCATGAGTCTCATGATGGGCAAGCGACGTCATCACTTTACATACCAATTATGGAGATAAGCTGGCGGAAATTTGCGATTATCGCACCAACTCAGGTTGGCAGCCAATACCAAAACCATTGATGCAGTCCGAATCATACAATGGAATCACTGCTCTGGAATGACTATTTAAGAGCTCAAAGAATTTTCAATCAATCTCAAGTCTTCCTTTTCTCAACTATAGTCCTCAGAAATTCTCTATACCATATCAAGATCAACCAGTCATTTTTGCACACAACTTACCCCGAAATGAAGTTGTCAGCTATCTTCTCTCCATTGACTATAACAGATCGCACACTTGGAGCTACTCTGCCTACCAACAACACCATAATAAATGATCAAAGCGCATTCTCATCTCCTTTTGTCAATACGCATGACGACCAGGCACTGTGTGAGCCAGATAAAAGTAAGTACCAGGGACCATACGCATTTTGAAGATAGAGAAGAAGAAGAAAAAGAAGAAGAAGAAGAAGAAGAAGAAGAAGAAATGGCTTATGGTTTCGATAGTAGTCGACACTAGCAAAACCTATGCCAAACAGGCAGACTGCGCGGTAATAGTCAATGCGTGGTATGACTACGGAGGGTATTTTGACGTCTCCGGTTGGATCACTGAAGCTGAGACGCTCTTACAATATGGTACCTGTTTAATTCGAATCAGCCGCGCGGATGGAGCGGATGGCCATGTCTGGTTTGTAAATCCCCAATAATGAAGGCGATAATTTGCTTATCAGATACACAGGATTGGAAATCAGGATATTAGTCGCTTCATAAGTCGTGCCGAGGAGATCGGTAATGGAGATTAGGTGTAGAGTGTCATTAATCCCTGAGTCTTTCTTATTGTTTAAACGGCTGCAATCATCGACTCGATTGGAAACGGGCATTGATGACTAACTTCTAAAATATAGGGGCGCTTTCGGAATGATCCATTTCTCACAGCCTAGCGGCGACGATGTTCTGCTCGCCATCTTGGTCTTGGCATAATTCAAGCCAAACCATCTATGTGTATCAGCGCATATAACCGAAAATCACGCGAGCACAATTGATTAGGGCTGGTATTATTTTCAATAGTACATCTACGAAGACAGACCTTCAGTGACTAATGAAGCACTTGTTGCAATGGTGTTGCATGACCTGACAATTGTGAGACCTTTGTAGTCCAAGTGGCACTCGTCAAATTATCAACTATTACCTCTCTCCCCAAAATTGATCTAACGCATCCTGTCTTACCTCATAAGCCCAATGGTGGCAAGTCTGGTGGACGACTGGGCTAACATCTCCTCTATCATCATCCTCATCGTCGCCTTCATCGATGACACTGCGAATTCCTTGTTGTATATACTTCTTTAACAGGGTTCTCCGCCACCGTCCTGACTCCCCAACGCACTTCTTCCACCTTGAGATTTGCCGTTCATCATCATCGCATCTTCGTCCCATCCAAAACCGACAATACCACTGAAACCATCCTCTAACATCGTACTGATGGTCAATCCAACCTGCTGCCTCCCATTGCTCGATGCTTTGACCACACGCAACGCCATACTTGTTGATTTCCGGGTTGTACTCGGGATTCGTAAGATACCGCTCTATATCTAGACCATCTGTCCAATCAGACGGAAGCTCTTTCCAGTCATCTTCAATTGTTGTTTTCAGGTGTTTAGAATAAAGAGGTCTCCAGTAAGATCCTCCAAAGCAACCTTCACGAATAATTTCTTCAGGTGACTTGTTAGGTGCAAAATCAGAATGTGACTCAAAGTGATATGCGCCTGCCGGGTCTCGACTTGGATTAGATGCTACAGCCGTCCAAGATGTCCAGGCAGCGCGAATGCTTTCCAAGTCTGGACGTGTCTCAGGCTCGACTAGCGTTGCAACTCGGGGGTTTGGTGCTTTGGAAGCAGTCTTGTTGCGAGTGGTGCGGTTTGGCTTCACGTCGACATGATCGTCTTTATATTTGCGCCGCGCTGTTGAAGCAATTCGCGCGGATGTACGCGTCGGCTGGCCTGTCTCAAGCTTCCTCCTCTTTACGGGTGGCTGCTTTGAGTGTTGAGGTTTGACATTCAGCTGATCGTTCTTAAGGCCCAAGTCCTGCACCAGAACAGTATTTCGTTTTATGTTCTCAAGGCGACGATCCGCATAAGAAGCCATGCCGATTGGATGCTGACAGAAAAAGAAGACGAAGAAGAAGAAAAAAGGAAAAGAAAGAGCTTGGTATCCAAGAAGCATGTGTTGGAATTGGGACCTTCACACTTCAAAAGAGGCTCTACCGATCCGTACTTACTACTTAACCTAGGCATGCATCTCAGCCAGCTAACATTAGTCTATACGTCATAGGCTAGCAACGCTAACGACACGTCGTGTATCGATGCTACGCGTGAAAAGCCAACAACCCGGACACGCGTCTCTTAGAAGGAAGTAAAGTTGAAATGAGCACTCTGTAAATGAGATTTTAGTATACACTGCAATGCTTGCCCAGTTTAAGGCGTCTACTGTAGTGTAGTTCGCAGCTGCATAAAACGTCCATTATCGGCATATCATTTCAATAATCCTAACTCCAAATGGGCAATTATTGACGACGCGCCGCTGCTTTTTTGATAGCTTCAATCACTGCACCGGTGGGAGTCTGACTTTGGATAAGGTTGAGATGCAGTAACGTCCTGTCTGTCTATAACACGATCAAATATTGATAAGACTTCATGCAATCATGGGCTGCTGGTTTCAGTGTGACAAAAGTCGCCATCCCAGAAGAGAGTCGGTCATGGTCTGTGCGGCAGGCAGTGTTGTGTATTGCTGATGTCTGCCTTGAACCACCATAAAAATGCCCGGTGGGTGTCTCCGGCTAGATGCATCTCTCGAAACCACTCATAAAAAACCAAAGGTTGACCAACACATGGTAACGTACTACCGGTTGGATCCATCATCTCACTGAACCTAGGCCATCAGGGTTGTGACTTGAAGAAATTTGGGGCTTTGTGTCACACAGCTACTGAAAGCGGTCGTCTTGAGAAGAACGCTGCTACCAACCGTAAGCGCACCACAACATCCGTACTCGGTAGGGCAGCGAAGCATCGAATCAAGTCCAGCCAGCCCTGCAATCAAGGTTAGCCATCGTCACACCAGTAGCGTCTCACCTCTTGAATGGATACTTAGGAATACATTGCTAGTTGTCCTAACGTCGCACTCTCCAAGCATAGCCCGCGCTAGACTGGCGCCTTTGCAGCGTTGGTTTTGCACGACCAAAGCCAACTGTCAAGCGCCTCAGATATTCGTTAGACCGTCGGAGTTGTCACCATGAATACCATGAGTTGGAAGCCGCTACCCGCCTTCGATGGCCTGCCAGTCTTGTTAGCGAGTGCTGTCTTCTCATCTCAGTCGTACACAATTCATGTTACTGATCTCGCAAATGTCTGGACTGAAACACTGGATCGAAAAAATATTGGTAGACGAAGTCTCAACGAAGACACCAGTATCGACCCTACCGAAGGCCCCGACCAGATGGCGATGCTTCTCACTAAGATCCGAGCAGCAGTTGACCCGAATGCTCCAGATTATGATCAGACGAGTATCACTCTAGCATCTAAGCCAGGAACCGATGGCTCAAGCCTCGTTCTCAGCGTCACATGCCACCTGCCGGATGGACTAAAGCCTCTCAAATGGACGTTCCAGTTGGTTAAATGCTCTGTTGCTTCCATCGCTTCCGAGCTTGTGCTTCCTCTGGTAGAGGCACAGCACATTCGATCCAGGGAGATCCAGGATCTTGTCACTAAATTGAAGGAGAAAGATCATGTGATCCATAAACTCCTCGACAAACTCGAACATGCGGGAGTTGGTCTAGACAACGTGTTCAGTTCACTAGCGGGTAATCGCAGACCATCAAGAGAAACAGCATATGAGATTATCAAAGGTCTCGCCCCTTTCAATGAGTCCGACTGGAGCTCCAAGGAACTGCCGATGAAAGACCCGCCAGGTGATATCGTCTCGCTTGTTGAGAATGCCTTCCCTGGCCCCAAGCACCAGTATACTGGAACTAATATTCCGGATGGACTCAGCGACTGGTGGCAGAGGCTCGGACCTGACCCGATCACAGCTGTTCATCGTGTACAAAAAGGAAAAGGGGCGGCTTCGCCAAAAGGCATACAGCGGGACGGCCTGGCAGAGAAGTCAAGGCTTGCTGCAAATGAGGACGACGACTTTCAGGTTCAAGCGACCCCTTCTCAACTGGACTCCGGTAGAAAGGGTTATACTGAGATCGGCGCTGATGCTACGACAGACGATGAAGCGGACACCATCCCCGACAGCCATCATAGTACAACGAGGCAAGCCAAGCAACGATTAGGTATCGTTGGCAAGAGGAAGACCGCAGAGCCTGACGCAGCAAGTCGAATTTATCAGCGCACCACGGTCGCCGGAGATGATACTGCATCCGAGTTGGACGATGAGACGGATGTATCTCTGCCTCACCGTCGAAAGGACGGTGGGCAAGGAAGTTTTGGAAAGACATCATCTCCAGCAAGAAGCGGAAGCAGAAGTTCTTTGTCGGGCTCACTGGTGATATTACCTGATGACGACACAGCGTCTGAGTCCGACGAAGACATGCCAGGTAAAGCGCCATCGCCAACACCCCTAGCAGACATGCAGGCGCCAAAAAGGAAATTAGGGGCCATCGGAAGAATTGGCGGCAAAGCAAAACACACAACTGATCAACCAGAAAGTGAATCCAAATTACTCGACGAAGTGCCAACTAAGCCTTTTGGACGGAAGATAGGCGCGATAGGCAAGAGAAAGCTTGAGGTCCAAGGGTCACAAACTGATGGTACCAACCGGGAGTCTGGAGAGGCTGAGTCCGAAGAGCAGAGAGCAGAGCGTAAACGGGCTGAGATCGCCCAGGACCTTGAGCGCAAGGCTGCTGCAAAACCGGTGAAGAAAAAGCGGAAATTTTGAGAACCTTGTAACCGAACATAACCATAATTGCATGGCGCAAATATAGACCGATTTTTGATGAATAATTCCTGCACTTAGCTCTGAGGTTATGCAACATCACATGGAATATTGAAAACAGTAGATAGTAGTTCGTGATCAAATGGATGGAAATCATGGGCCAAGAAAGCCTCCTTAACAATTACACCCAATTTGAGGACAGGCATTACGAAGGGGAGACTGTCAAATGCATTGTAAGCATAGCGGCTAATGCAAAATAAAGTTCTACGTGAGGGAGCCTGCAATACTCCGCGATCGCGTAGTCTTATTGTCTGTCCACCTAGAAACAGTCAACCTATCACATACGCTCGTAATCTCAATGTCTCCTATTATGGACATGTGATCGGGTGAACCGAGGCGGATGTCGGTCGCCTAGTCCCAAATGTAATCCGTCGAAAAGCAGACACCCACGAGACGTCAGGAGAGCCCATTCGAACGTAGCGCTGGTCTTTGAACAAAGCTCTGGGCCGTGCCATGCAGCAGAAGGCTGCATACAGAGTCGTGCAGAGTGTTGTACATCCACTCCTGAGTCTTCTACATCGGATTCCTCATACGTAAACGGTGAGGCACTCAAAGACCCATTTTGGTAGAGCTCATGAATCCCATGACCGGTCTAGAAGAGCCGTATGTAGGTAACACAGTTCTTCATTGGTTGACATCTCCGTAGAGGCATCTCGCCTGTGTTAATTCACGATCAGTTGCCATGTTGCACTGCGACAACGTGCATACGCAACTGGTACATCACGTTACTCCGACTCAATTGAATGCAACTTAACAAACCAACCATAACAAATATGACAAGCCTTGCAGTCAATGTAACACTGTTGTTTGATTAGCCCCAACGAATTCTTGTCAACACCAATACTTTGGAGGGCGTCTCCAATCCAGTAATATCGGTGGGACATATTTACCTTCTCAGATACCGGGTTCACTACTCTTACACTCTATTATAATTAGCGGACTTAGCGAGCTAGTACTCGAGTTTCCAAGTATAATGTCAGGCTTTCCAGGAGTGTACAATGAAAGTCGATATGCACTGTAAAATACACAGTTAGTAGCGATTAGGTCGTGGTTGTAGTTAACGAAATATTGTGCAGCTGAGGTAATGAGATAGGGATTTGTACCTGAAAACTAATGAATTGTGCCTTTTCACATTTCTTGTAGTTACACGTTGTTGGGTTGAAGTGAAGCTGTATACATAGTCCAACCTAGCTCTCGATCGCACCTGTATCATCTTACGGCTTACACACTAGTTTAGGTCCATATTTTCTTTCGAAAATATTGACGCCAGCTTCCGTTGGGCAGGATGGCCATCTTGAATTTATGGCATGGTTGCGTAGTTTGAACCAATTGCCAACGACTGAAGAGGACATTGCAGTAATAATTACAACTTCCATTCTCTTACCAGAATACCTCAATCAACCATCCACTCCTATTACTGCACGAATTTCTATTCTGTTCGGAAATAAATGACGTCTAAACTCTCGGCTCAAGATATCATCAAAGCTCTAACATCAGCCTACATCTTGAGAAGGGCTATACTTGGAGACCTTCTGATACTTTAAAACTATATCGGAAAGTGGGTCGCACGTTACCGTCATCTACTACCTGCTAAAGAAGGAGTCCGGCCGCTCCTTCTGGCACCGGGTCCTGAACGCAAATGAGACCTGGCACCACTTTGCAGGCTTGCCGTTGCGTCTTTCACTGGCATAGGACGACGGCACGCCATTTCGGGATGATGTCCTGGGTAACGATCTGTTGAGGGGAGAGAGACCACAGTTGGTCATACAGACAGGAGAATGGCAGTCCGCCAAAAGTTTGGGTGACTGGACGCTGGCTGGATGCACGATTGCGCCAGCTTTCACAACAGAGAATTTCGAGACGGCGAAGCAGGCTTGGGAACCTAGTGGCGGAGATTCGATATTCGAGTTGCGGGCGAGTAGTGATTGTTGTATGGTTGACCTATATGTGATAAACGACGAAATGCGTACTGAGTTTACGATTTTGCAACAACTGTTTGCTTTTGGGCATTCTGTTATATCAGGAACTGTCTGGAGCGATTGTCACTCGTCGACTGCACGGCTGGTTGGCATCAAAAGCCAATTGCATGATTTCAGCTACTATGTTACACGAAACCTGAAGCACTAGGGTCATAATATTCTCGCCTTCGTTCTCGAAACATAGGCAACATGATGATATGCCAATATCAATAAACTGATCGCCCTGCCTAAACTGTATCTGAAACCGTGACTTTCCAGTGCTATACACTTTCTCAGAATGCTCTCAGTATATTGACTCATCTTTTGTCAGCCAAATTCCAAAGTAGATGGTATCCTGATCACCTGAAGATATGTAGTTCTGATTTAGATAAAGTATAATTTTCGGTTTTCCGTATCAGGTGGCTCCTTGCTGTCTTGCATGTATAAACCATTTCACTCTGTCTCGCGTGAATTGTCAAACCAAGCTTGTTAAGCAGCGCCATAGGGCCTTACATGCGTAATATGGGGACTGGGTGACGATTCAAAAATCGAAATCCTGTTCTGGTTTTGAATGAGAGTCATTCTTGTAAGCAGGCATAGTTTGAAGCCAGCGATGAGTCAGAATATAAGTATGTGCCTGCAACAGCTTAAGTCGAAGCCAATGAGCCAAACTCAAAGCAATAACAGAATCCACATTTTTTTGATGGCATAAGCACTGCAAGAAGAAACCATTGTGCTCTAATGCAAGCCTCTTATTTTTAGCTTTCACAATCGCCTATATACCAATTTATCTTATCGAAGTTGGGCTTCGTAATGGAGTTCAACCATTCAAAGTTTACTGCACATTCTTAACAACAGCAGAGGTGGCAAATATACGTAGACCTTCATTGCTTTCTTAGAATCCCGGTAATTGTATAAAGTCTTGTATAAGTCCTCATAAAAGAAATACTCAAGCCGTTTTATGTGCGTAGCACGATACACGGCCGTTAATCCACAAAACCAGGCACAACTTCCACCTCGCTTTCATCGTAATTAGGCACATCTACACCTTTTAAGATTCTACATTCACTGTAATAAACTTTGTTCACTTTACCTCGGCATTGAACGGTTACCACAATATAAAAGTAATGCATGCTAATAAGACACGAGGCGTTCTGCCTAGCACTTCTTGACACTGGCCACGCAAAGTCGAGCGTACCCATGCGGCTCGCACTCTTGGCTTAAAAAGCCGGCTTCCTGTGAATTATACATGGTCGCCGATACAAAATATTACAGTGCTCCTTTATCGTTAACACTAGTAAGCTACTTAACATGTCAGTAATCGTGAACAGCTCAATGGTGGGGACTTCTCATAAATGACTGTAATCCATAGAATCAGCCAGATTTTCAGAAATGATGCCCGTCAAGTGTTTACTTTAACACTTCTACTCGTGGCATCAGATGTCAACACAGCGCGCGGTAAAATGAGAGTCGTACGATATCACGCTCAACAAAGTTCTAGTCACGAACGGTTCCGTTAATAGCCATCTAGCTCCTGGGAAGAACCTTCGAATGTCACTTTAAGGCGGAGACTGCCGCCTTCCATAGGGCTCATCATTTCATTAAGAGGAAGCTTTGTGTTTCGAACCAGTCTCCTGGAAATTGATTCCACTTTTCTGGGAGGAGTTAACATGGTGCATCGCTCATCAACGCGAGATGAGAACCCCCTGTTCAGATCAGTGCAGATTATTGACGACCGTTGGATACCCCTTGGCCTCTATCTGTCAGGTGCCCCTGTAATGCCGACACCAGGGTTCCACGAGGCGGAAGGCCAGGAGGCGCCCACCAAGTTGCGCTTACCAAGGCCAAACTGGTTCGTCGAAGAATTCTCTAGCTTGACTCATCTTGGGCCTACTCTGCTATATTCTGCTATCTTGACATGATGATATGCGATTCATCCTATAAATCAATTCAAAGCCTCCAAATTGCCTGGCACCGTCTGCCTGAGACTTTACGGTCGGGTTCTGAAACTCCGGATGGGGATCTAATCAATCATCAATCTCCTCCAATGCGCCTAATTTCCAGCGTGCCGGTAACGCTGGAGCACGGCTGATTGGTAGTGATGATCTCAACCCATCACACTCAACACTAACAAGCAGGCAGATCTCGCAAATTTGGGCTCTCCCACTGAAAATATCTGGGTGGTCTTCCTTATGATCTCCTCCCCTTGATCGTAATGTTCCCATTGACTCCACCTTTCATCTGAGTTCGATCTTCGCGACCCGACTTGTCCACAAGCATCGCCACGCACTCGGCCGGATCATAGGAGCGTTTGCCCCGGAAACTTGAAATTAACCAGCAACACCCACATTCTTGAACATGTATGGATTACTCCGTAGTACAGGCAGAATGTTCATTGATCTTGCTATACAATCGAGTATTGCAGACGTCTCTACTTTGGAGTTATCTTTGCTGCGCATCTGAAAGTGATCTTTTGCTGACGCTGCGTCAGTCATGATCAATTATCACCTATCATATGAGCGATTGTCGAGGCCTTTGCAGTCGTTCTGGAGTAGCGCAACTAACGGCTTGCCATAATGCTGCATGCTGACAAGGCTAAAACGGCAATGCCTGCAGAACCTCAATAACGGAACATGAGAGCTTCGTAGTCTCGCGGTGTTATTGTTAAGCGCTCAGGTGTATTGGGGACAGAAATTTGAGAGCTTCGGCGTAGTAGCGTGGTGATTTGCAGTGTGGCAACGAACAGTACCTTGGACAAGGGTTCAATTAGTCTCGAGCTCATGCGTTCGAACAAGTGATAACTTGCTTTGGTGGGCATGTATATATTTAAAGAAGAAGAATGTATCAAAATGAATGGTGTGGCTTGACCCAATTCCTGGGACCTGCTTGCAGGGTTGGAAGCAATTGCGACTGAATGACATTGGCATATCTCTTTTACTAATAAAGTTGGATAGTGGATGGAGACCAGGTTAGAGTGCATATTCAATACCAAACTTCGCCTAGTTTCAAAGCTCCTGATCCGGAAAGACCGTTACACTTCTCGAAGCTCAGATCTTGGGTCGCTTATTTTCGAATATCGTCCCTTAATTACTTGTCACAAATATGCAGTGCAAGAATTTGTTCGACAAAGATTATGTGTAAAACCTTCATATCTCATTCACATCTAGATCGTCTTGCAGACCCCACACACGCTTTCCGCATTCTCTAACTTGCAGATCAGTTATACCAGGAACCGGTGTTTGTGGACCAGGAAGAGAGCAACCCATATCCTTGTTCGACCAGTAAACATGCGACCCAATTCGGAGTTTACGATATGTTCACGAACTATGATGCTATTCTCAGCCCCATAACAGGCAGAGGATTAATACCGAACTCCGAAGACTAGACTCATCCCAGGTGCCAAAACATAGGCACGGCGCATTGAGTGACGATCTTTTCCCATGTGTCCACGAATCAGCATTTGGCTCCATACCCATGACTTCAAAGCGGTGAATTGGTGACGGTAGTATATGATGTGTATTCATGCACAGCCCGGACTGCGTGCAAACGAAACCGGGCTTAGGCCGTTGGGGGCCAAAAACCAACAACAACAACAACAAAAACAAGCATTTACAGGTGCCGATGCAGCAGCTGTCGCAGCAGAGAGACAGTCCTGTAGCTTCGATTGGTCTTCGATCTACTCCCTCCCCTGCACCCTGCACACGGCGGCAGGAAGAGTAGATAGACACGCGTACTGCAATTCTGCGGTATAGTGATCTAGACTAGACTAATAAAGGTTCTCGGTCCATGCTAGCGTCAACAGCTTCTGTGTAGCAGTGCACTTCTCCCAGCTGCTTCACAGGGGAACTGCAATAACAAATACAATAAAGTTTGATACAGAACTGACCGTTGCTTCTAGCATCATCAAACACTCACCAACTATAGTTGTAACTAGTCTAGTTAGGAACTTTTGGCCCATCTTTATCCGGGGTAAAGACGCTAGGCCTGCCAGTTTTAATCCACTCAAAGCGGCCGAACCCCACCCCTTATGGACACTATCGCTGAATCTGCTATAGCTGCGATTTTCTGGCAAGGATAAATCGTATGATCTGCAAGTCCATACTGTACTCCGTATTCAAATGTGATCTGGAATTGCTATCTTCGGCCTTCCATAATGATGAAGCCATCAATACGCTGGTGCGACTCCTCCATCGTGGCTTGAGATGGCCTAAGCGGTGTGGTACTTTTGTGAAGCTGCAGCTGATCTATCGCACAGAATGCAGAGTCACAATGTCATTTCCCCCCAAGCTAACTCTGCATCTTGACTGTGCTGTTGTCCGCCAATCTGTTCAGAAAAGAGAACCACGCAAAGCGTGCTTGACACGCTGTTGTGCTGGTTTGATTTTTCTCCTAACCTATGGACGGTGCATCGAAACTCTTTGTGTAATAGTAAGCACTTTAAATCCTTGAAACATAGGAATTACCCCGCCTAGTCTAGTACCTGGTCGACTTGCTATGAACAAAGTAGAAGAGGCCTTCAGAATGGTTTCCACAAGTCCTCGGACACCCTGCACGCTGAATTTAGTGTAGTTTTCGCAGAGCCTATCGACGGCCAAGTTTTAGTTACGATAAATCGATAGAAAACCAATATGAAATTATTTTGTAAGCTGTCTGAGATTTCTTAGATTAGGAATAATATAGATTGTTAGTTTCAGTAAATTTGAAATATTCCGTTGTGACCATTTCTATAAGTAAAAGCTGGGCATCCATGGCAGAGTTTTGGTGGGGTGGGCTGTAAGTGTCCGAGGACTTATGGAAACCACTTTGGGTCATGTTTCGATCCGTCTGCAGGATACATACATCCGCGTCCACCGTAGTCACAAGATCCTTGAGAGTTCGACCCGGACTGCATTCTTCGTGAAGAGGCTGTCACAATAGGGCTCGCACATGCCGCCTAGTCTGTAGGCTCTTTTCCTTTGACCTTGAGCAGCAAAGAGCTTCGCGAAGACAGCAAAAGCATGTCATGCCTGTCGCCGATAAATGGGAAGCTCCCTGTACCGTCGGTGTCAGCGCGATTGCCATAGCATGCCACACCCACTGTCGAGAGAAATGTCAAAAAGTGGTGGCTGAGAACATGGCACTGCTGTGTAACTCACTTTGCTATGCCAACTGATCTGATGATATCTTAGCCGGATAAAGGGCTCGAAATAAAGTTATTTTTATATTACGACTTGGGGGCCGGATATCTCCATCACGAAAGTTCGTGCATCTTCTCGAGTCTCCTTGCGTGCCTTGCAACAAAATGATAGACCTCACGGACGTGACCGTTGACAAGGAGAGGGGCCACGCGATGAGAGACTATCTTTGATGAGCCTGGATTAAACATTGCACATGACGACGACTGCCTGCAACAAGGGGCATGGCGACCGGGTCCTCTCATCGCCATCCATGCTGTCACCTGTGCACGCTAATTCAAGATGAGCGCTTCAAACCAACCCGGAAGGCTGCGCGTCTTATGGTCTCGTAGCGATGCTTTACAGCGGAACAAGATTCAGGAGCCCTAGGTATCAGCGTCACCGGAACGACACGACTTGGGTGAGGTGAGTACCAGGATGGATACGGCCGTGCCAGCGGGTATGGTCACACCCGATGCCTGCAACGTATGGATCTGCTGCTTAATTTCATGTAGACGCGATGCAGCAGATCGAATTGAACAGGGGTGGGGGCTCTTAACAGATAAGCGCGAGGGTATGAGCGAGGTAGGCTCTGGAAGAATGCATCCGCCGGGTACAGCTCAACGCATGTCCAGAATGGCACGGCACAACCGTGGCGGTTGACCCGGTCTAGGAACTCATGTCTCTGCATCGGATCAGGGAGTCTTTCTTGGTCAGAACGCGGCGTCTAACCACACCGGAATACTTGAGCAACCTCGAGCTTAGTAAAATGCAATCGACACGGCGGCTCTCGTCAGTGCATGGTGTCTCGTCTAATCTAGTCCGGCTGTGTAGCTAGGGTAGGCAGCCAAGATGGATGTGCTGACCAGGTTTATGGAGTTGGCAGACTCGAGGAACAGACTAACCTAGGTTAGTGCTGCAAGCCTTCACCAGCGGCCAAATCTATTAAACCCCACTACGGATTAGACTAACGTCCAACTAGGTTAGTCTAGACTAGTCTAATCTTAGGCTACTAAGGTTAAGTAATACTAAGGTTGGAGGGGGCCGACCCGAACTGTCGGACCGCCAATCAAGGCGCCGTCTCGCGGATGTCCTCCGTGGCTCATCGATATAGCCAAGAAATATGGTGTTCTCATTTTGGGGGAAGGCACCTGTGGAGGCAGCTAATTTCATCACTTCTCGTAGATGCTCGTAAACAATTTGTAGCCAATTAAAAGGAAGGTAGCAGAGGCCACAAGGGAGATGTAAAGAACGCAGGGCGAAGGCAAAAATAGGACAGCTAGCTTTCCTTCTGCAATCCAGGTTCGTGGAAGTTTTCACGGGGAAGAAGGGATGGAAGATTTGAGCTCTCGAAAAATCTTTGATACGAATTGAGAACTACGGAATGAAAGAAACACTAACTCAGGGTGTGATGGTATGGAATTGACGATGCAGAGATCTGCAAAATTATGTGGTCGTGTCTGTTGTAGGGTCTCCCTCCCACCCCCCACTAATACTTGTAACCATGCTCACGCGGCACCCATGTCTGCCCTACAACATAGAATCCCATGCATTACTACCTCATCGTGAGATTGAAATGCATGATTAAAGTCGACCGGGATTGTTAAAGAGACATATATCCTTTCCTGCGACAAGATACATGATTCCGACCCGGCTTCTTATTTCAAGATCTGATAATGCAAAATGGCGGAACTGATACATGAAATTTTCGACAAAACACAACACACAACCCTCCTGACAACAGAATTTAAGAACTTCAAACGATAAATGAGATGGATAATACAAGTGAACGTAGTGCATCCCACGCAATCGGGTATCGTATGAGTTCCAAGCCGAATCGAGCATGGAAATTCATTGGAACACCTCGTACATCTCTCAGTTGCCTGTGACAAGATCTACCGGGGGTCATAGAGTGGAGTTTCCAGGGATGGAAAGTGCGAAATGCAGGCAGGGGTCTTAGATGAAAAGAAACGCAAGTGGTCGGTAAATCGAAAATGCTACTACTCTGCTGTTAACCAGGTTGCAATGAACCGTGCCGAACCCCATATGATCGTGCCTGAGACCATTGATAAAACGGTTCGGGCGAGGAGTGGTGCTCGAATGAGCAGATGGCCAACGTCCAGACTCTCTGCCAAGTCGTTGCGCAGCGGCGATAGACAGTGAGCTGGCACCGCTACCTTGGGAAGCGCACATGACGTCGTGCCAATCTAACAAAGCCTCAGGGGTGTAGTAACCTAAGAGAGTAATTGGTCCAGAAAGTCATCATCGCAAACGCAATGCAAGAGAAACAGGGCCGGGGCCGGGGCCTGTCGAAATCGGCTCACGGAAGCCGGTGCGCTAATGCTGCCAACGAGACCCTGGTCGCTACTGCTTGTCTTCTGACAACCTCTAGGAATCACTACCACGCTGGCATACTCGTGTAGTGGTCTTCAGCGTTTGCCCCCCTCTAATCAAGGGTGGTGTAGAAAGTAGAAGTTCCTTTTGAGACCGAGAAATCTCCTTGCTTTGACGTCAGTTCGTCCGGAGTTGCGACCATGCTACCTTAGAATCTGGTAGATATCGAATGAGATGACAAGAAATATGGAATCAGGTGGAGGAACGAATGGTCTAGTCTTATTATTCTATCGCTGTTTGGCAATTTCAGCGCCCGTGAAGTAATTTTTGGATGATCAATATGGCGGCCTCCCTGGCTCGCATGATTTTGGGTCAAGGTACCGTCTATCCAGTTCCCATTTGGAATGGTGCCCCTCCACTGTGCAGCGATATAGAGGGGTTTGTATGTATTCCATCCATATCAGAGTTACAATTGGTAGTGACTGCCGTCATTCCAACCATAACCCATGTTGCTGATACGAGCGGGGTTGTCTCCGACATCGTCCGTGAATAGTTGGCTGAAGGCTGTAGGAAGATGTGCTGTAAGTTGCGATGGATCATTGGGATCAGATGCCTGAGCGACTGGCGGCGGCTGATAAACGCTTGTGATATCTTCTAGCTTGAAAGCGTTGGGGCCTGGGTGGGACTGCGGGTGCGGTTGACGGATATGCCTGTGTTGAGGCTGGGTAGGTTCGAAGTAGTAACCCTGAGCAGTGCCAGACTGGAGTACTTGATGTCCATGCATCGTGTCCTCGAATAAGATAGCGCCAACAGGAACCTCTGGAGGCGTGACCGGATTGCCCTCCATCGAGTGAGTAAAATTCATGCTTTGCGGTCCAACGTACTGCCGACCAATGAACCCCTCTGGTGCCAATGTATTTTTGGTTCTGATTGAGTGTGCCAAATCACAATATTGCTGCCTGCGTAAAGCAGTACGACTGGCCGCTGACCTGGTTCTACTGGCGGCATTGCCACCTTTGCGTCCAGATGAAGCTCGTGCTGATGGATGGTGATTACCAGGAAGGCGTTGCGAGTTCGAGCCGCCTCGGCGGCTCGGGTTGCTCTTACGATATCGAGTAGTGCTTTGCACTCCTTCTGTGACTGCCCACCCTTGTAGCAGCCATTCGCTCGTCTTCTTCGGCTCCCCATTGTCTGTCACTGGGCCACCAGCTTCAGGTAGCCTCTCACGCTTAACGAATGCCTTTCTTGATGTCAGCATATGCTTAGGTTTGTGTTATTGTCACAAAACGGAAATTCATTAGAGACTTACCCCATTCATGCTTAGATTGTGCCTGATACTGTTTTGCCAGCCCTTGTTCTCCGAGTTCGCCTTGTCTGTGTTCTCGCGGAACCACTGGTAGATTTCTTGCAGTGTCATAGCATGGTCCTCTCGGCTCATAAAAGCCTTGTAAATGAGTTGCGCATATGGCTCGTCTTCCCTCTTGGCTTCTTCTTCGTCTGAGCCGTTATCTCCCCGACCAGGGGCGAAGCTTGTTTCCTCGTCATCAAAGGTGTAGTCATTGCTGAGCCCGTTGTTTGGCACCGGTGATACACTACGATTAGACATGGCAGAATCTACAATGTCTGTGATCATACCGGGTGCCTCTGGTGACATGGCATTATGCTCCATGTTGGTTGCTAGGAGACTACTTGCATAGGGAGAAGGGGCCAATTGCTGATGGAAGCGATCATCCGTGTTCACATGGATGCTGAATTGCATGCTATAGGGAGGAGTAGATTCCTGGCTTCTCCAAACTGCCTGATTATAACTCAGCTGCTGTGCGTCTGGCGATGACCAGCTTCGAGGACTGTTGACAGAGGAACTGATAGAGGGCGTGTCAGGATGAACACTCAAAGGCCTGCTAGTTGGAGAATGCTGGTAGGTATAGTCCTCGAAGTCCTCGTAAGTGGTAGCTGGTGGTGTAGGCCACATGACCTGCGCTGAGCCCGCCGAACGAATCTGTGATAAAGGGTATGCTTGAATGGCTGTGGCTAAGATAGGTGGAAAGTGTGTGGTTTGATGATGAGCCGCATGAAATGTTTCAGCAGAGACCAAAGACGGCGAGGGAGTGTAATAACCCTCGGGATTGGGATGGCCTCCGCAGCCGGGTGTTGATTGTGTCGTGCAAGTCTGTCGTGGGTTGCTGTCAGGAGAAGCTGAACAAGGGTAGCTAACGGGCAAGCCGTCGCAGAATGGCATCTGCATCCCGGCAATGATAAGGTAGAGAGTCTCAGGAGAGCGAATATTGAGTGACTCAAGGAAACGTTGATACTCCCCCCCAGCATAAGACGAAGAACCAGCGAGTCGTAGAATGTGAAGCTTAACTTGACTGCAGGAAACTAATAGTTTGTTGAGTCGACAAAGAGGATTCGCTGATTCAAGTTGGGAATTGTAAGGCAAGATCGAGCTCCTGAATTGTGGCCAAGTGCAGGGCAGTTGAATCTTATGGGCATTTGATGGTTTGAAGTATAAGTTCAAAACGTCAAGGGCCAGTCTGAAGCCTTGACCCGCCAGCCATCAAGATGTCCCTACGATGATTTGAAGTAGATGATGGTGAAATCTTGCAAGGGTCGAAATCCAAACCACTAGGTCTGTACCTCGCAGGGTAGCCCTCCCACGATGCAGGAGAGATCAGAGATATTATGGAGCAGGTACGTACAAGAGGATACCAGGATACCAAGCATATTTTGACAGGGAGTGAGATGTGCCGGGGTGGAGATTTATTGTACTTTGTACGCTTTTGGGGTAGCCAAGTTTTGTGAGGAGAAGACCATGAACGACGCTGGCTGGGCTCTAGCATCCAAGTAGAAAATCTGGACCAAGATTGGCCGACCTGGTCAATATTTTCCACTCAGAGTTATCTAGGGGCGTGGAGGCCTTGTGTGTACGTGTGTGTACGTGTGTGTCTCTCTGTGTTATGCTTGTGTCAATACATACCGCTACATTTACATGCGCCTGTGTTTTGTTGTGCAAACGGCGTCGCGTTTCTGTGGTCCACTGCTCGGTTGCATGTACAATTTAGTCGTCATTATCTCTCGGGGAGATTGTTTCTTGTGCTAGTTGAGACTAACGTCAAGGGGTACACACACACAGCGGCATTGTTCATCAATGCTATACCACATTTGCAAGGTGATAGAACCGCATGTCGACAGTCCCACTATAAGATGTGATGCAACAAGCAGTGTTTGACCAGCGAGCTATACAGCAAATCGTCACAAGTCATTATGTTGGATCAAGGTAAATGCAGATCAAGATCTGAATGTATGTCATTGTTGTGGGCCGGTACATAGCACTGCAACCAGGCTTCAGGAAGATATCCCGCCAAACGGTTGCTTGCACCAAGATGGGCTCTGACAATTTGCCAACAGTGAACCAATCAACGCTGTTTGGGCCTGGCGTCAGGCCCCTTCTTGCAGCCTTACTCTTTTTTGCAGAAGCGGGACCAAGACGTCACCGTATGAGCTCAAAGATTTTGATCGTGTGTGACTGCTGGTGCCCTGACAAAACGGATCGCATGCAGGAACTCCCCGAAACGTATCCCAACGGCCCATAAAACTTGAAGGGGAAACGTTGTATAAAAATTCTAACACATTTCTGCTGAAACATGGCGAAGTCCGGTTGATCGCTTCCTTGCATGTGAACTTCGCTCGGAACGAAGCAGTCTTCATGGGGCCATTCCATAGCGCTGTAGAAAGTGGCCCAAGCGATCAACAATGTAGTCAACACTCAGTAGAGTAGTCATGGTCGGCTGGAATTTCGGCGGCGCAGTTGTATGGGAGCAACGGCTTCACCGGCTAAGCAATGAGACGTGATATCCGGTATAATCTCAGGAGTGAGGCAGCAGTTGCCCGGTTATAGGTGTCACAGCGCAAAAGGAGTTCAGTCTCAGTCACGATAGGAGTCAGATCACTGTCTTACAGCTTCAATTCATTGACTAATAGTGATTGCTCAAGTCCAGAAGTAATGTAGCATACATAAGTACTGGAATTATACGGCTGATGCTTCGGCCCCACGTGTTTGCTTGCTGTAGCATGGCCCGCGAAGTTGTTGAGCGTCCAGAAAGGCTTACACTACTTGCGATAGTAGATCTAGGGGTTTAAAGTCAGCATTCATTCATCTACAATGATTTACGAGTATAGAAAGCTTAGTCAGGGAGGACTCACCTTCTTGAACTGGAAGTGCAGCTGTAGAATTCCCTGCAAGTGTGTCAGATCATCTCAAGCAGGGACAGGGGATTTCAGGAAGAAGAAGAGTACAAGGGATGCGAAGTCGAGAGGGGGAAGACGACATGCGCACGTCTGAGCAATCAAGGGTCGCACAGGACGCGGTTAGGAGATAGTGCCATAAACGGCATCGGTTGCAGGTGTATGCAGACAGCGGACACTCCATCGAGAACCGCACGCAGCTATGATAGAATAGGGCTATCCATGCCACGTGAAACAGATGCAAGGGAGCGCCGAAGAAACGAAATTAGCACATACCTTGTCGAAGCTGCTTTTGAAGCCGCGATCCTTCTTTGCGCTATAATCCCATTCCCGATCAACAATACGAAAGGCGATGTCCTCATACGGTGGCCCAGCAATGAATCGTATCAAACAAGTGTCTTCTTCTCCAGCCGCGGCGAATGATTCGCCTCTTCTTCGCCCATGCTCCCTGATGATTTTGAAAGTAGGTGCTTTGGTCTTGTCGATCAAGTCTGGATAGAATATATTGAACTTGTAGCCCTGCACAACCTTGGGTGGTGGATTATCAATGTCGTAATGCGTTTGGTTGTACTTGTTCCATTCATAGCCCATCTGGACTCGGTTGAAGTACCGTGGCTTTCTGGGCCGATGCTTGTCGGCCCATTGAGGCTTCGCAACCCCAGTAACGATCTCCTCGGCAGTAAAAATTTCCTCGTTTTCACCAAAACCACGCGCAACCTCGCGCTCGTACAGTGCCTTGGTTGCCTGGGAGAAATCCTCACCAGCAGCAGCAGAGAAGCGTGCGGCCCCGGGAGCGGGAGCGGGAGCAGCAGCAGCAGCAGCAAAAGCTCCAACTCCAGTACTGATGGGCGGGATGACCGATGAAGGCTGTGTCGAGGAGGCCGGCGCATCCTGGGGGTTTGCGCTGGTTGTGGAATGAGAAGATGCAAGAGCGTTGGCCTTCTCTGGGTTCTTCTCTCGCAGCTCCTTGATTCTAGTCTCCTTGATTTCCTCGCAGATGATCTTCAGCTTGGCCTTTGCTTTGTACACGAGTAAGCTCTTGAGCAGCTGCCCCCAATAGTCCGTGTCCACGGCCTCATCGGATCGAAGCTTGGTCCTAATCTGGCCCTCGAGCTTCTCCAGCTGCTCAAGAGATTTGGGGCCGAGGATCTTGTCTACATCTGCACTGACCGAGCTGACAGCACGCTCCTCGGCCCCCATGGGCTTCAGCTTCTGGCGTCTGTGGGAGCAGAGGGCTTGCAGTGCCGTCCAATAGTCTCTGTTGCGACCAGTGGTTTCCAGTGTGTGATATGATGCGATCTCGCCGTCTAGGTCCTCGAGTTGGGGCAGGTCAAGGCCTTCTACGACGGCAACAGGAGCCGGTACGTCGATCTCAACATCGGATTCCTGGTCATCGAAGACATATCGCTCGGTATCGAAGTATCGCAGGTTGAAGGCAAGGAGGTCGATGGGCTTCGCGCGGCCCTCGCGGACTCGAATGTCGGCCTTCTTCTTGGACTGCTTCAGGACAAATTTGTCCTCGTCCGCGACAAACTTCCTGGCCTGTTCGTCTTGAGTGAGGTAGGTGGAGGGGGGCTTGCTCGTCGGCCGGGATGGCTTCGTGATCCTGTTGTTGGGGTCCCGTCTAGGTGATGTGATACTGTTCTGACGAGGGGGCGAGCCACGCCCATTGATCATGGCGCGCCGCGCTGGATCCATCTTGCTGCGAGGTGGCGCAGAATGTAGGTTGAGAGGGTCAAGTTCCAAGCTGGGCTGTCGTCAGCGCAGCTATCAAATCGAATTCAATGTAGCAATCACATCACGTCAAACGGGATCAGATCAGAGCAGATCAGCGCTATGCACCAGCGACGGCGGCGCTACCGTTAAAGGCCAGCCAGCGCCAGTGCACGGGCCGGGGGCATGGCCTAGAATTGATTTTACGGCGGTTGCAGTACACAGTAAGTTAGAGCAACCTTGAGAGTCTACAGTAGCATTGGCGCACTAACTTGCCACTAACTCGCCAGGACATTCGCTGGAATCGACGTCGGTTGTTGCTCGAGAAAACCACAACCATGACAATTAACTAACCTAGGTTAACCTGCAAGTGAGCCAACACCATCAAAAAGGGAGCAGTGGCTTGTGTCATTGGCTTGACATCACCATCATATTTCCTCTTCGCTCTCGTTCAAGCTTGGTAAGACGGAGAGGCCTCTTCTTCGGACACCCCTTCCACGTTGTACTACTTGTTCATGTTGTTTGCGAATGGAGCCTGTGGATATGATTGTGACTATGACCGTGGCATTGCAACCTCCCGGCGAGACAGCCATTTCATCCGCCGGTCAACTACATATGCTTACTGGAATAGCTCCTTTCCAAACGGCCCCGCAAACTGCATTGTTAACTGGTCGCCCTGCATAATTTCTTCCCTCCTCTGCACGAGCTCATCGACGTCCCAATGCGCCTGCATCGTTCGGCCACTCATAAACTTGGCGTGCGGTTGGCTCAGCCAGACCGCCAACCCGCCGACCAGCTCCGGCGCATCAAATCCCAGCCGCCTCAGCGGCGGTGGTACCATGTCCGTGTCTACCAGCCCAGGGCTGACTGCCACGGCCGTCACGTTCGGGTAGTCGGCTGCCGTCTGCACCGTGAGCTGCTGGGTGATGAGCTTCGATAGGGCATATCCGCCGTGTCCCCCGCCAGAACCGATAGTCCAGGATGCGCCCGTGGCCAAGTTGATGATGGTGGCGGGCGCCTCGGCGTCTGCCAAGAGGTGACGGATGAATGCTCTCGTGGTGAGGTAGACGCCTCTGCTGTTGACCTCGAAATTAGACCACCACCTGTCGGCGTCCTCCTCCGCGATGCGCGCGCCTGGGGTTTCGTTGCAAATTCCGGCGTTGTTAATCAAGATGTCAGCATGGCCAAATACGCTCTGAATTTTCTGGAATCCAGCTTCTACCGAGGCAGTGTTCGAAACGTCGACAGATAGCGATAGAACCTGGATCGAAGAATTGATGCTCTTGATTCCGTCTTTGACGGCCTCCAGTTTTCTCGCGTTGGTGGCCAGAAGAACGAGACCTTTGACTCCAGCCTTAGCAAAAGCAGGAGCAAATCCTTTGGCACCAATGCCGCGGCTCGCGCCTGTCACGATGGCGACTTTGCCGGCAAGGCTCAGCTCGGGTCTAGTAGGGTCGATAGCAGGGTAACGGTCTCGATGAACATGTTTGGTGAACTGGAAAGACGTCACCAGAAAATCCTCAGGTAGGCTTGCCAAATCATAACCCATGATGAGAAGTGTGAGATGGATATAAATTTGTAGAAGAAATCTGAAAAGAACTAAGCGCTTTGTTGATCATGTGGGAGACATTAACGATGCCTACCTCCTCATATATACATATACTTACATATCGCTGTGTATTAGACGCTTCGTTTCGTTCTCACCATTACCGCATCTCATCAACTAAACATGACATAGCTTCATACGGAGTACGGCTCAACATTATCACCGTGTAAGATGATCATACTCTCGCATACATTTCGCGGTGCGGTGTGGACGCCGGAACCTATAGTATCGGTGAACCCTGGAACCATGTTCACCCGATTCTATAGGTGACATTCAATACGGACATCCACGAGTATGCAACGCAAGTTATGGTGATGATAAGTACTCCTAGTTGATTACGGCACGGCTTTCTGACGATGTCGCAAACTATCAGGTTGAACCATTGGCTGGAGATCAGGCAGCACAGAGTCTGGATGCCGTCTAAAGCCCAGTCTCGGGGTGGATCCAACAGCGAACTCCGAGAAGGAAGCCCCCCTGTGCGGCTCAGTAGCTGGAAGTCACCCCTCCTGATATAGCTAACAATATAGATAACATGACTAGGTTAGCCAAGCCCACGGTTTTGCTGCCTCAGTTTCACAGTAAAGTCAGATTGTAGTTGGGTGTGTAACGCAAATAACCTCGAGTGCGCCTCTATAATAGATCCAACCTGCACACATTGTAAAAGAAAAGAAATATAAATAAAAATCTATCAAACAGGGTATCATTCCTTCCACGCGCCGAAACATTATCATCCCGTCCATGATGGCCGCCAGACGGCGAGACACACAGAATGTACACTCTTGTCCCCTTTCAATATGGCGTCTCGCGATATGCTGGTTGCCTAAACTCCGCCAGAGAACCCTGCTCCCATCATACCCATACCCAAGCCAGAATCTAGCTCAAATCCGCGCATGCTCTGTTGCCAATCTTGCCAGTTGAAGTCTTCTTCCATGTTGACATCAACATCTTCCGTGTTCGCGGTATTCGCCGGCATATTAGGAGTAGCATCAACGTCATTCCATTTCCAAGCATTGGGCCAAAGCCACGGTGGTGGGTTGTCGTCAAGGATGCCTGTAGGTTGAGACGGCACGGCCGGTTGTTGCATCGATGTGCCGATTGGTGTTGGAATAGCAACAGTGCTTGTGGGAGTAGCTGTGTTTTCGCGAGGGAATGCAATGCCACCCTTGCTCGTGATAGGACTGCTGTTACTCGACAATTGCGGCATCATATGTTGCTGGGGTGGTCGGGGTTGTGGCTGTGGTTGCGGTTGCGGTTGCGGTATACTTCCAGTCTGCATGCCATTGCCATAAATAGCTTGTCTAGCGATGTTGGCCGAGCTGTCATTGAAGGCTACAGACCAGAAATCTGCAGGATTAAATTCCGGCTGGGTCATCACCCCAGTGATATAGTCAAGATCGGTCTGTGACGGATTGGGCTGAAGATTGTACTGTGCTTGAGCGTCAGTCTGGGCTTCTGCTCGAGGCACTGGTGCCTTCTGCGGCATGGCCTCCTCATTTTCAAAACAGCCACCATGCATGGCAAACAATATATTCTTTTCAGGAACTGGCAGTCCCACCAGCTTACGCCAACGATCTTGAGCAATTGTCTCACGTACTGAGCTGGGTAGACGTTGGAAACTAGCAGGTGGAGTCTTATAGGAGTCTGCCTCGAGCTGTTTGGCTGCTTGCTGATCCCCCTGAAGGCGGCTGAGCTCTTCCTCTCGATGGTGTCCAGCTTTGAGCAACAGCCGCTTCAGTGGCAACCAGACACCCTTGTGCTGCGCCAATTTCTGAAACTCTTTGGGATCCGTGTCGCTGAAGGAACTGCTTAATGCGAGCCAGGCTCTCTCAACGGAGCTTGACCAAGGACGTCGACATATCTCGAGGAGCAGATAAGCCACTGCATGCCATTGGGTATAGGTCTGGAACAGCCAACGATACTGCTTGCATTTCGGTTCCGTGTTGAGCAGTCGATTGTACTCAACCACCTCTGTCGAAGACTGGAAAATACGGTCGCGAAGTTCCTGGGAGATTTCTTGGCCGTGGGCAGGGAAGAGAATTGGCTGGTAGATGATTAGGCTCATCTTTGCCATGATCAATCGAGCAATAGCAGCGGCAACCCAATGAAGCAGGTCGCCATCTTGGTCTGTGCATGGTTTCAAGTATCTGTCCTCAACCCGTGTGTACATTTCGAGAAGCATGTTTTCGCGCTCTTCCAAAGTGAGTTGAGTATCTCTCGGGCAGGGCGCCATTATATTGCTAGCCGCATGTAGTCTTCTCGCGAGGCTGCAAATCTCATAGCGTATAAGCGAAAATGTCATGTCGGTAGCTCCGTGCCGCTCTTTGGGGAACTCCTTCATATTCGGCGAGATATCGGTGTCGTTGACGTTCATGGGAAATTGGGTATCAAAGGTATGCTCCGCAATCGTCAACTCCGTGCCTTGGTCTTCCGCAGAGCGAAGATCCAGAATACAGATTGCCCACCATAGACGACGTCGCATTTCAATTTCAAAGGGAGTCAAATTGGCGAAATGAGTGCCCTCGCGATGTGTGCCGATAGACTGGCTGATGCGAATCAACAGGCCCGTGAGTGTCCACGAAAACCGAGTATCATCATAGCGGCGAACTAGTACCAAGAAAAGTGCGAACGCCTGGATGACAATCAAATCTGAAGTGTTCAGAAAATTGGCTTTCGCGAGTGCCTGCTCGGTGCCGTATCTGAACTGTTTGATCAGGTGTGATTTTTCGGCACCAAAATTTGTCTTGACCTGTGGAAAGTTGTGAGCACAAAACGTCAGTATTACAGAAAGGCAAGCGTCGACTGACCTCATCGTCTTCTAGCGAGGTGATGGCCGCATAATAGATGGAGAACATCAAAGCCTCCATTCCTGGTGATAAACTGTCCATGTCGCTCCTGATCTTCCGTATAATGGGATTCATCGTTGGGATATGTAGTATCTTGACCACTGGGTCTACATTCTCGACGTAGACTTGCCAGATGAAAGGTATTTGAGATGGAAGCGGATGTAATTTCCGCAGGTCAACGTCTGCCGATCTGTAGCCTAACACAAATGCATGGTGATCGGTCAACAGTTCTCTGTCGGAACGAGTTGTCTCAGCAGAGCTTCCGTCGTCGTCAGAACCATGGCTTTCCTCGTCAGTGAGCTTCTGAGTCTCAGCCCTCAAAGCTGTAAGCTCGTCATTCATCTTCGACCAGAACGCATTGCTGACATAGCGAGTTTTGCCTTTGTCATTTAAGACCAGTCTACCGAAATCCTTATTCACACCGAGCGTAGGGCTCTGTAACGCACCCCAACTCGAATTACCCGTGGTCATCAATCGACCGGGAGCCAAGGGCATTGCATGAGGCGCCGCTGGCGTAATATGACGAGGTGAAATTCCAGATTCCTGCCGTCTTCGGTCTCCATCGTGCGTTGAATCTTCAGGCGACTCTCCAGCGCTGGATGGGTGTCGCGCTTCAATCTCAATCTGCCCACTCAACTCCTCTACTATTCCCTCGAGCTTCCTTAGACGCTTGATCAATTCAATCTCTCGCTCGCTCGTCTGCTTCGGCGGTGCATTCGGATCTCTCGGTCGTGGCCGGCGCGGGGCTCTACCGGGGGCGGGGAAGATACAGGATATACGCGCTTTGCGGCAGTTGCCACACGGCATGCGCTTGTCACAGCGGACCTTCCTTCTCCTGCAAGTCACACAAGATCTGGGGTTCAGAGTCGAGGACGGTTCAACACTTGGATCGATTACGGTCGCACCAGACGCCGAGTGACTAATGCCGGGGATAGACCCCGCTGCGCCACTATCGCGAGGCGTTGAATTGAGGGGTGTGTTCGATGAGTCGCCCTGGCCGTCCGGTAAGTGATCCGGCGAAGCCTCCATCGGACTTGAATCATCATCTGGAGATGCGGTAGCCATTGCGGCGGAAGTTGGGGAGGTCCGGCGCAGCCTATGTCCAAGAACAAATAGCAGTCCAAACCTTTGGCGCTTTGATGCAGCCTCGGTATGTTACATTTAATACCCTCAGAGTACCGTAAATGCCGCAATAGTCCGAAAAGACGTCGGCGTACAGAAAGAAATGGAACAAATCAAGCTCGTGGTGTTGATTAGACTAAGAAGTAAGTTTCAAGAGCCAAGATCTTATCGCTAGGAGAAATTGCTGCTTCGAGACGAAACACAAACCATCCCCCGAGACCCTGTCTTGCTCCCGCTCTCTGGCCGGTTCATAGCCCGGTTCGTCATTTTGACTGGCTCTTTTTGACTCGACGGCATTCGCCGTGGAGACCCAGAGAGCTAACGTCAAAAGAAACTGGTGCTTGCTTACCTTGCATTAAAGATGCACGATTGGTCATGACCATTCTCGGCTTGTCGAGGCTCAGTGAGTTCCATCGGGAGTCTACCGTCCTATTCTCGAGATCTATTTCTGAAGGTCTTCCAACCAGGTTTATGCCTCTGGCTTGGTTGAGGCTCCCAAGGCTTGTTACTACTCTGACCAGGGTGGAGCTTGGCGATGGGTAAGGCTGGCTCGCTGCTAGGAAATAAACAATGACGCTTGGAGTACATTATATCCGACTCTCTCCGGTTGTCTTCCAGGCCTATTTTAGCAGCAGGACTAACGCAGCGGGTCCGACAGTCGGCGAAGCCAGGACCCATGCGATACTTCAATGTTCATCTTTTATCTAAGGTTAGTGGATACTTAGCAGAACTAAACGTCCTCTGGTTCTCCCATGTCTTGCCCATCTATTGGATATAATAGAGACCCTTCCTCTCTGCAGACAGCCCGGCCCGTGGTACTAGTCAAGAATTGGCTATGAGCGGCCGTTTACGTAGAATACAGTTTCTACTAAGAAAAGGATGCGACCTAGACCAGAGCAACCTTTGCTGAGATAATAAGATGAACGACTACCACGGATCACAATTGAGGTGCGTCGACAATAAACTAGGTGCCAAATTAGACGTCATGTATCATTAGTCGCAAATTGTATTTAAGTGCATCACGATTGTGACCCGGTTCCTCCGACTGCTGTAGTTTTCAACCTTACGTTGCCATTTCATACAGTAGTATAGTAGACAACCCTCGTGTTACTGTGGTACATTTTATGAACATGTTACAAGTCGCACACCGAATGAAACTCAATCTAGACTAATACTCACGCTATGCTTGCACCTGCAACTAATAAGTTGTTTACAGTGTACAGTCACGGAGAAGGTGGCGAAAGCATCGGGTGCTTTTTGCGATGCTTACGCAGGGCAGTCCGTGACGCCAAGAGCTGGATTTACTCTTCGCAATTGCATCTCAGGTCAAACACAATACTTGTCGACTTTCTGTTACTCATTTCAGTCTATGTTGTCTTGTTGTCGTCATGGCGCAGCTCCGTCACAATGGCCTTGTTATTGTCTATTTTCGTGTGGGCACGGGATTATCTTATGGGGACCTCGCGGCAGCAGGAATACTTCATCTAAATATCGTAACACATTTTTGGGCAGTATAAGGATAGGTTTAGTTTGGCATATATTTTCTGATATGAGACTAAGCACCCAAACTGATGCAAATATCAAGTATCCTTTATATCATAAAAGATATTTATATTAGTTTTAGACTAAGCTTAAACTAAGTCCTTAAAGAGATGAAACGCAAGTTATTAAACTACCAACGTCTGTACAATGCAAATAGCTTAACGTATGGGTGCCACAATGTTAGAGCTACAACGCGCAGCAAATAGCGTGAACAGACGTTACTAGACAGTGGTGCAGACGAAGTGTTTATTGACAGAGAGATCGCAGGACAGATCTAGAACAGCAAGAAAGGGCGCTTCAATGAAGACGTCGAGCTCGTCGGCACTACGACGTCGAGGGATCCGGCAAAATGTGTGGTTCCTAAAGACACCGACCGTATGTATGTACCGGTATTGAAGGTGGACGATGGGATCTAGAAAGATTTAGCCCTTTTGAAGATTTGCCGAACCGTACACGGTACACAGGCAGGCCAGGCGACTTCATGACGATGCCTTGTAAGGCCTTGAGCAAAGACGTCGAAGTAGGAGGAGTTAACATTCCTGTCAAGAACTCATGATGGATGGTATACAGAAGGTTCAAGAAATCCTGGAAAGTGGAGGTGGTGGTGCGAAAAGGGCTGTTCTGACAGTTGAATTTTAGAGCCCAAATCTGTATGGATTTCAAAGCAACTCGATTTCTAATGACCCGCTCGGTTAATATGCAGCGAAATTGATATATAGATCCAATTCATTAAACGACAAATGCATATGACCCGTCAAGGTATTATATTTGGATCATTTTGCGAGGATAGCGACTTAGTAATACCCGCGCGGGCTTCTCCTGCCGCCTGTCTGACGTCGCCAAGCATCACACTAGCCACAAATGTCAGCCCGGAATAGCACAGCATGTGTTCATCAACGATATAGCGATCCGAATCTTTCGATCAGTGGGGAATGCGTAGGCGTTGCGAAACCCGACAAATGGGCGGTATGACTTGCCGTAGAACATGGCAATCAATTGTGCAGGGCGTTCCGTCATCATACGATATTTGTTTCTGCGGTAGCTATATATAAATATGAAGTGTGCCTACTGCAATCTTCTGGACTGTATGAACCAAAATTCAATATCTCAATCGAATTGCTCCCTTCTACACTAATATGGCAACCGACGTAAGTACGAACAGCAATGTGCTTCTTTCTGCTCTCAGCCTCTGAGTATTACGCTGTGTACTGAATAAGATGCTCAAAGAGACTTCACCGACCTAAATGAATCATGTCCAGAAATCACTACTGAGAGAGGCTGACATTTGTTTTGTTTTTGCTACACAGATTAAGACTTCAGTCCCGAGCAAGGTGCTCTCGCCAAACCGCCTCGCCCATGTAGTTCTGCGCACCAATGCCACAAACTTCAAGCCTATGGTCGCTTTCTATAAGACCTTCCTGGGTGCCCACGCCTCCTATGAGAATGAAATGCTCTCATTCCTCACTTACGACGAAGAACATCACCGCATCGCCATTGCAGGTCTCCCAAACACTGCAGCCAAGCTCCCGGGCTCCGCCGGCATGGACCATGTGGCTTTCGCCTTCAACAACATTCACGACTTGACCCTTTCGTATCAACAGCGCAAAGATCAAGGCATTTTGCCCATCTGGTGTACCAACCATGGACCAACACTTAGCATGTATTATCGAGATCCCGACGGTAACAAGGTCGAGGCGCAGGTGGATGTCTTTGACACTCCAGAGGGGGCGACTGCATTTATGACGAGTCCCGAGTTTGCGGAGAATCCTGTCGGAGTTGACTTCGACCCGGAGGATATCATTAGGCGGCTGAGCAATGGCGAAGATGAGAAACTAGTCATGAAGAGGCCCAACGTCGGTCTACGTAGGATTGATGCTGCTCTCGTGGACAAACAATAGTCCATGCTCAAGCAGAGGTCACTATTATGTGGGAGGGCCTGTAGATAATAGCAGAGAAACGACAGTTTATTCTTTTATCCATCGAACAAGTGTTTTCATCGATCTCATGCGACTTTGATAACAACCTTTCCGAAGTGCTTGCCTGCAAAGAGATACTGGAAAGCCTCCTTTGCCTCGCCGAACTCGAATGTCTTGTCCACCACGGGATGGATCTGTGCCTTTTCATACGTCCCCAACATCTCCTCAAACCTGTCCTTGGGACCATTCAAAATCCCCTTCAGCGTGACGTTCCGCTTCAGCGCTAGCAGATTCGTGTTCATTCTATTTCCAGGGGCGTCCTCCTTTCCGGACAAGTAGCCAATACAGCTGATCAGACCGCCGAACGCAACACAGTCAAACGACTTGCTCAAAGTTTGGGCGCCACCAGTCTCGAATACAACATCGACACCCTTTCCGCCGGTGATCCCAAGAACGGCGCTGTGCCATTCTGGGTTCGTACGGTAGTTGATCGTGTGATCTGCGCCCATCTCCCTTGCGCGCTCAAGCTTCTCATCTGATGAGGACGTCACGATCACCGTGAGGCCGAGCGCCTTGGCGATCTGCAGTCCCGAGATGGAGACCCCACCGGTGCCCTGAACCAAAACCACCTTGTCCTTGCCACTCAGCGGCTGGCCCATGGGCTGGAAGCCGTTGATCGCCATCCACGCCGTAACCGCTGCGATGGGCAGACAAGATGCCTCTTCGTCCGACATGTAGTCCGGCACCTTGACGAGTCCGTAGTCCGGAAAGACCCGGCGCTCGGTCAGGCAGCCTGGCAGCGGTAGACCGAGACCAGAACCCATATCCTTCTGTGTCACCTGGCCCTTGACATGGGTCTGGTTGAATGTGGACATGACACGCTGGCCTTCCTTGAGGTCGGACACACCGGGCCCGGTCTTAACGATGATACCGCAAATATCCGAACAAGGAACCAGGCCGCTGGCGCCCTGCGACATAGAGTCATGGTGGCCATATAAGCCCATGCAGACTGTGATAACAGATAAGCACCCATTCAGTCCAGGAGGACACGGAAAAAGCAAACCCTCTTACCTTCAGTATCGCGATAATTCAACGAGACTCGACTGATTTTGACAAGAACTTCACCCTCCTTCAGTCTAGTCTCATCTGGCGCTGGCGCATCTACCAACTTGAGATTCTCAAGACCATCTTGGTTGGTGATCCACTGCTTCATGTTGGCTTGATTGTTTCAAGACTCTTCGTGTTTAGTTGGGTATGGCAGTTGGTCGGAAGTCGTTGTGGGAGGGGGCGAAATATTTACAGGGGGAAATTTCGTCCCTGATTATGTCATTACTAATTACTTTATGGAAAACGGAAGAGTTTCGGTATTGCACTCCTAGACCCGGCCTCGGCAGAGCCCCGAATAGAAGCGGAACCCCATCTAAGAATCAACCCACCTCCGATCCACACAATCTTATCAGTCACCCGCACGTCACCCGCACGTCGCATGCGCCCGCAAGTGTATATACGTGATGGGACGACTGTAAATTGCATAGGAACTATATATTGATTGTATACCCTTGTTTCTATTTCTCTAATCATGTGATCATCAGAGTTATGTTGCGTGGCTCTCCCTCAATCTCAGATACATGTGGACGCTATCTCACTTCGCAGATTTGCTTGGCAACCATGCGATGACCTTTTTAAGGTTGTACTATACTGTACAGGGATCCCACTACAACAAAGCTGTAACAATCCCAAGCCCACAATCCAAGTTTATGACGCCGGGTAAGTGGATATTCACAACGCAAAAGCCATTGCGCGAAACCCGGAAAATCAGATGTAAGGAGACATGAACTGCTCGTTATCGTTGAGACCAACTTCGGCCCACATCTATCGCAGCTCGCCCGGCCCTTTCTCAACCACAAACGCCACCGGTCTTCTGGCTCGCCTGTTGCTGTATCCTATGTTCATATTTCGCGGTGGTATCAAGCTCATACGCTTCATCATCGGCGGGCTTTGCGCGACCCATGACTTCTCCATCTCACTGATGCTTTGTGGTTCTTTTCCACGGTTCGCACGCTCATCGTAGCCCCATCTACCAACACCTCCGCCGTTGACCCAACTTTCAAGATTGCGACACTGGCTCACGTCTAACCATGTCAAGCGTGAGCAGCCGTCCAACACGCTTTCGGCGCCCACAGCAGTAACGCGCACACAGCCCCTAACGCTAAGTCGCTCCAGATCGTTCAGATGGAGCGCAATACAAGCAAGGCTGTTATCACTGACAGCGCTACCACAAAAAGCCATCTTGAGCTCTTGCAACATAGGAAGCCCAAGTGCCACAACTTCCGTAGCTGTGTCGGATAAAGCACAGCAAAATGACAGATCAAGATGGGTTAGAGATTTTGCAGAATTTGCCAATGCCACAATGGCGTTATCGGAGAGATATGTGCAATCTGCCAAACATAAATGAGTTAAGTTGTTGAATCGGAATGGGGTCCATGACTGGAATCCAGCGTCGGTGATTGAAGTGCAACGAGTCAGCGAAAGTGACTCAATGCGATTTGAAGCGTGAGCGGCCAGGTGAGCCATTGAGCGGTCTGTGATATGTTTGCAATACGAAAGGTTGAGTCGCCTGAGTTTGGGGCAACCAATAACTGTTCCGGGCGGAGGTAAAGTGATTGTCTGCGTTTGGGGCTTCTGGCCCCTGCCCCGGGAGCTGGAAATGACAACTTGTTGCCGGCCTTGAGGCGCCTGTTCTGGCACGACCCAGCCAACAACACGAGCAAGCAGGTTGTCTCCCACTTTCCGACAGTTGCTCCAATCTACTTCTTCTAACCCTTTGGCGTGCTCGCTCATGTCCAAAATTTGATTAGCAGAGACGTCCCAAACTGACTTCATTTTCCATGTTTTGATATTTCTACCACAAACCTTCCACAGAGTTGAGAAACCTTCATCTGTAATATGGAAGCAGTTGCTTATGTCTACTAATGCAGGACGTGGGCCAACGAACGGCGCTATGATGTTGACAAGCGCATGGTCCGTTAGCTGACGATTATATGGCGTCAGGTCAACTTCGCGGCAAAGTTTCGGCGATGTGGCCAAGAGTTTGCGCCAATGCATCGAGACTTGCCGAAGGCGAAGAAGCTCGACGATATCAAGCCATTGCCAAATAGCGACGAGTATATCATCTGGGAGTGCAGCTTTCCCGGTTTGTGCGGGTCTTCTTGGGAGGATCCTAGCCTTTTTAGAAGGACCTTCGGAATCAGGGGAGAAAAAGGGGATTGCGAACTTGACTGGTATTGTCATATCAATCATGCGCTGTCGCAGCCCATTTGCCGTAGGCGTGCCAGGTGAGTCCGCTGGCGGAGTTGGTGGTGCGAGCGACCCTCGCCGTCGAGTTCGAAGGTTTTCCATGTCGACACTGAGAAACGGGTCCGGGTCCTTCGGCTTTATAATGTCCATATCGTCTTTGGAAGGCGACGAAGGCTTGGAAGGTGTTGTGAATGTCATTGTCGGAGCGGTTTTCACAGGCGTCGAAGGTTCAGACTTGTTGATTGTAACAACATCCATCATGTCGGCGTCTTCGTCTGCTGATCTAATCCGCGTCTTTGCCGTCTCTTCCACCTGTTTCCGGATGTCTGAAGGACATCTGCGCCAAAGCTCCTCAAGTGCTTCTGCACCAATCATAAGACATTCGACGGTCGACACGGATCTGACTGTCGCCGTACGCTCGCGAGACAACTTTAGACTCGCAACTTCGCCAAAATATTGTCCCTGTCTAAGTCTCGGCCGCACATACGAAGAACGAGTCAAGCGCTTGTTGTTTTTCTGGTCATTTGGAGGTTCGTGTATTACCTCAGCTTCACCACGCACAATAAAATAAATCTCCATACCTGCGGCGCCCTGGCGCACGATGTCGGTGAAAGGAGGATACGTCTTGGGCTGTGCGCTCATTCCTAGAAAGTGGAGAATGTCGGGCGGTAGCGTTGAGAATAGTGGCAGCTCCGTGAGCGTTTGTCTGACATTGACAATTCCACTTCCAAGGGCGCTCCCCGACGTAGGGTCGTCAATAACACCAGGGCTTGGCGATTTTCTCTTTTTATGGTTCACAACGGCGCCTTCCTTTATGACGCCCTTGTCTCCCGTAGAAACCTCTCCTGGCGCAGCTTCCCTCGCCAAGGTCGATCCGCTCGCCGATTTGAGCTGTTGACCATTTTCCTGACGCTTCTTATTCAAAATAGTAAGCCGCTCATGAGCTTCATGGCGAATCGCTTTTTCCATGTCAGGAAATCCTGGGAGCTCCTGCTGCAAATCTTCTTTCTTGAGCACAAGCAATAGACATTTGGTCCGCGCTACGATGGTGGCTGTTCGAGGCATGTCCATGAGCACACCGATCTCACCGAAGAAGGACCCGGCCTTAAGCTCGGCAAATACGGCCTCTCCATCCCTAGACGTCACGGCAACCACTCCTCGAACCAACCAATACATGGCTTTGGCATCGTCGCCTTCCCGGAGCACGTGATCATGCGCGGAATGTATTTGAGGCCTCAAATGTTTGCCAATGGCGACCAGAAATTCCTCTGGAGCTGAACTAAAAAGGGGAAACGACCTCATGCGATCCAGGAGGTCAAGGGGCATGTCGGGAATGGTCGATGCCGTCAACGGGGAAGGGCGCATCGGCCGAGTAGGGTTTGTCTCGCTGTTGAAGGACCTAATCAACGATACCGAGTCCATCATCTGGCCCCCAGCTGGGTGGTGCGCCAGTGCCCTGTAGGCAGAGGGGGGGGATCGAGGGCTTCTGCTCCGCATCATGTCTGACGGCCACAGGCCCGGGCTGGGCAACCCCAAATAGCACTATCGACTTGGCCAACAGCAGTTTCCGATATTTGTATGTATGTAAGTATGTATATATCTGTGACTGCTATTTGCCTCGATACTTTGTGTTGACACTCGTCTGTGAAGCGCGGGACCGATCAAATAGTGCCGTAGGTCACAGAAGCTTCATGCTATACTACCAGGAGGATAGCAAATAGTGGACAGGAAATAAGCAATTTCGGTAATTGCGTCAGCGCGAACATGCGGGGTGTTCAAGCCGCAATAGGATGCGCGACCATCCGCGACAAGTGGTCCGTGGTTAGAAGCAACACGTCGGAGCGTTCGAGTCGGACTGTGTTCGTCGCGATTGTAGGAGAGGTTAATCGTAAGCTCCAGGGTTGAAGGTATCGGCGTGGATAATTCGTGTGGGAGACCGGTTGCAGTTGGTTGGGAAAAGACAAGCCCTGCTCGCCGGTAATAAGTCAATCCACACGATGCTGGTCTGATCATGTACCGAAGTCCAGTCAGCTCCCATGCTATTCTTGTGCCTTGTCAGACAGACGACATCCTCGAAACTCACAGCAAAGTATAGCAGCTGCTGCAGCACCAGTGGCTGAGCCGCACCCAAAAAAGCGGTGGATTGGTGGAGCCTTGCTGCGTGCTCACCGTGTCACAGACACAACAATCGGGTCCTCCGATGTGAACCAGATCGAGGAGCCGCAAGTACTGGCTTACGCGACCCAGTCTCGAAGAGTTTTTTTGGGAGGCGCAACGGGAGGCCGTGTGGTCGGGCGGTATCCCCAGAGGTATCCCGAAAGGTATCCCAGAGGTAAGGTAACCAGGCGGGAGTGGGAATTAATTTGAGGAATTAGTTAGTCCCAGGATAGCTACTGTAGCATTAACTACAAACGAAACAGCAATGTGGGCAATCGCAAACGTAGAGAACAAAAAATAAAACCGAGGACGTAACGGCCCCCAATACCAAGAGGCTCGAGGAAGAACAGAACTTGCGCTCAAGGTATGCTACAGGTTGTACGGAGTACTGGGGAATAACACAAAGCGAGTTGGATGTTTTAGACAGAAGATTGGTATTGGCAGTTTAGGGGGTTGACGTCCGTGTGGTGGGTATGGATTGGTGGTGCGGAGTGATCTCCTCCCTCTCATTGGAGAAAGCTCAGCGGCATACGTCAGGAATAAGTATGCGGCCCCGTGTTTTCTGAGTAATAGTGCAGCAGCAAAAAGGACCAGGACAATACATCTAACCTAGGTGTAGGGCATAGATCATCGTACGTGTGGTTGAGAATAAGCTACAAGATACAGCGCTCTGCCGTCCCCATCCCCGTCCCCGCGGTAAATGGCTGCAGGAGATAGTGGGACTTCTGCTTTTGTTAGAGGACTGCAGGCTGGGAGAAAGTGTCTCACGGACGCCGCTGCGCCTGGTCTCGTGTGTAGGGTGTGGGTGGATCGCCAGGCTCACTCAACTGCTTTTCGTGCTTCATGACGAGCCTTTGGATCTGCTTTCAAACGGTGACGATTTCGAGCCAAAAGCCAAAAACCAAAAGCCAAAAGCCAAAAGAGCTTGGGGCGTGAGAACAGGCAGGATTGAGAGAAGCTTCAGAGCTTCCGCACGGGTCGCTGGATGGCTTTTCTTGCTAAAATTGGAGTCCGGCTGGATGCTACTCTAGTTTCGATGGACCATCGCGGCGAGCCTTATCTAGCAGATCATTCACGTGAGGAATGAACGCCCAAAGGACGTGGTGGCTTGGAGGGGGATCTTGGTCCCTGTGGAAATCTACTATGTGTGAATGCAGCTAGTGTGGATATGAAGGATATTACCGACAACCATGAAAGGTCCCTGAATATGTATAATTGACACATGGAGTTGTCATATCCGTAGAAGCACCACAGATTCCAGAATCGTTCTAGAAGGAAACGCGCCCTTGTCTTTGTGGCAGGCTCTCTGCCCCGCGATCATGACCCAGCGAGGCCGTGGCTATGGCTGGTAAAATGGCTGCAGAACGTTCACTTGAAGCTGCAAGCCCTCTGCTGTCAGGCATGGAAAGGAAATGAAACCCCCCCCCCCCCCGAATTTATAAATGAATAAAAACTTCACGGCATTGTCGAGCAGACAGTTGGAACATGTCAGGCTGACTCGTTTGTTAGAAGTCTACTGGGGCGCAGGGATTTGCATGTTCACTAAATGCAAAGAAACGACGGGACGCCTCAAGAGGTGGTGAGTGACATGCTCTCTTCGTTTACTGGTGGGGGTGTGTCAGCCCGTTTGCTAATGATCCCTTCCCCCCCTTGAATAACACAAAAGCGTTGGGAGAAATGAGCTTGCTGCTCTGAAAATTAATTAGTCTGCAAAAAGATATTATAAGGACGGCGAGGGATTTCGTACTGCTCATCAATGCAAACAAGCAGCTGAGCTTGACTTTAGAATGGAGGTCACTAAAATCACGACCCACAGCAGACGCGCTAATGGATCAACGCAATGCGCGGGGTGTAGAAAGGAGATTGGTTCCTTCGTCAAAAGCCGTCAATATAAGATGTGAAAACAAATGACTGCCAAATTGGGAACACAGCTTATCTGGCGAGAGTGAGCCATGCCTCGGACATACATTTTGGGGCAAGTTTACGTAGAGCGTATGCCTCTTAGGAAAAACGCCATTGAAGCCGAGTCGGAAGCAAGACCTAGTGGCGGCGGCCGTCTCAGCCCTGTCAACCAAATAACGGTCACCCTGCGCAACGTCATAATCGTCTTCCATGTCAAAAAACAAAATTTAATGTAATCTCGGTCTGTTGCCATTTAGAATCTTGTTCCTGAACAAGGGTTTCCTCGAAAAGACTGCAGCACATGTTTCACCATCTGGATGGGCTCATGGCTCTGCTCAATAAGCTGATACAAAATATTTGGCATCCTGGTTCTCCGGGAGACCCCTCGAGCTTTGCCTTAGCCGAAGCGTCCGAGGGGTGTTCCCGGCCACTAGCAGGGCTCCTGGGTCTTTGTGCCGCTGCTTCCATAGGCCCATGCTTCTTCGAGAATGTTTCTAGCGTTTCCAGAGCCATGTCTCGCAACGTGGGGCACATGCCCTTCAATACCTCTCCAGCCACAGCGTTGGTCATATTCTGTACAGCCATTGTTTTTGTGTCCTCAAAAGCCACGTCAGGCAAACCCTGAAGAAGTAGTGCTTCTAGTTAGTGAAAGTACAGTTATTGCGTGGCGTCCCCATCTTGATGATTCGACGGCACCTGATATTCCTGGGAAGAGATCAACGGTTCTCTTTTGTCTGGAGCGTCCGTGCAACAAATTTGTGACACCTTCGCTTTTCTACGTCTTGGCACATGTGATTATACTTTACGAACATGCTTGCACTCGTTGGCCGTTCTAATACAGCTCCTCTGCTGAACGACTGGAAACATATTCGGTGCATAGCAAGCTTATGGCAGCAGGAAGATGTTTCGCAGTACATGTCATACCCGTGACTTTGGGCCGAAACACACGATTTCACAACCCTTGATCTACCATACAATGACGCATATGTGACGAATATTAATAGCCTTATTGGTATATGATTTGATTGTACTGAAAATGCCGGCTCTCTTTTCGAATTATCTAAAGTGTTTCGAAAAGCTCAAATGGTGCGTGCGGTTCTTCATTGATCATCACATGACAGAACAAGGTGCCAAGTGAATCGTTCGTTCTGTATAAGATCGTGCAATATGATGGCACACAAGATCTGAAGATTCAGGTACGCGGACTATCAGGAAACAAGACGCATTGATACGTATCTGGCACACTTGCTTCATCGGGCACGCAAGGGCAAGCTGTCCAGGCTCCCGATCCGGCAGGTGGTAGGTGATTCTCTCCAAGCTACCCCAATCCTTCGAGAATACAATAAACACACGTCAATGTTTACGTATGCTACAGAAATATGATTGTTCAGAATAGCCTAGGAGGCGACCTAAGCAAACATTTGGCGTCCTATGTAACTGTGTCATGCTCGAAGTAAGTTTGACTAACTGAAAACTTTTGTCCGGAATTGTCTGGGAAGCGACATTGGGGCAGTATTTCTGTAAAATAGCCTGAGAAATATTATTTAGATATCGTGACATGCTTGTGGACTAGAGGACTCAAGACATGCTGTTATGAGTTTCGCAAGAGGTTGAGAATCTACTTTGAAATGTTGCTCGCAATAAATGATATACATGAGCGTGATAATTGCTGATTCCATGCTAGATGAAATGAAGAAGCCCAAAGCCGTATATTCTTATTCAAGGCGACTTGTTGAGAGCCGGAGTGCCGTGTGTATCGGTTGGGTATTTGGTGATCAAGTTTTTCGCTAAGCTCGTCTTTGATTGCAAAGTGCCACCGTCTTAACCCAAAGAGACATAGAAGTCCTCAAGCTCAATTTTAGTCGGAAACTTTTGCGCAGTCGAATTATATTCTTGCTTTGGTCGTGCCGTACCCTTGTCCCTGAAAACATCGTTTTGTATTCTCGTAGACCTAAAGCAGCCCTTTACGCCCTTGAACTGTTAACACAAGTGTATCCTGTTCCCACGAGATCGAATCCACCGGCCCGGAACCTTGAGTTGAGTATCTAGTAAACCTGAAAGCCCTACAGAGAGCATAGCGCTTATAGTCTAGACTCCCAAACCACATATACCAAAGCTACAATCAACCAAGTCGTCGCGATAGCAACAAACATTTCCTCCAGCACAGAAACAACCTCTTGAGGTCGTTTTCTCGCTCAATTCAACTTCCGGACCACTGGACTCAGGGTGGTCTAAACCTGTATCCGGCGATGATAATGGCGCCAACGGCTTCTGCTTCTCTCGAACTTCAGGTCTGGGTGGCAATTGTATAGCACCAGCAGATTGAATGGTGGGCAAAGTAGTGATGGCCATGTTAATGCCCAGAGTCAGCACTAGAACGAGGCTAGAAGTTTGCTTCATTGCTGCAATGCACGCCGTAGATGTGCAACCTCAGATGAGGGGGTTTAGGAGTGGTATTTCCAAGTAGATATTGTGTAGAAATGTCTCCAAAATCTTGTCTGGATCCAGTGGCAGTGAATATCGAGTGCGCACTCTGAGGAAGACGAGTGTATCTGGTACCCTGGCTGGCCCGTCTGTATCTCAGGATGAGCGAATGTTATGTGTCGGCTGGTGACGTGGTGCCTGCCGTGTTACGAAATACAAGTGCCGGCAGTATACTTGGTGAACAAGATTAAAAGTAACGAACGAACTGCCCGTCGGCAACACGAAGATCGGAAAGAACATGGAACTCAGTGACTAGTTTCAAGAATTATTATGACGATTGAAAACAAATAGTAGGAATGATGCACTTTATGACTGGTTAGGGGGTCCCGGGACCAAGATTCATGTACAAAAGACGGGTGGCTATTCCTGGTTACATCTAGATTTCTTAGCTCAGCATCAAGAGCTACCGAGCATGCAGCACGGATACTAGTGCTAATCTTGCCGTGTCAATGACTATTTTTGTCTTGCATTTTTGTGAGCGATGACCAATCTCCGTCCGTCTTCAAGAGACGCCAGGCTTGGGCTTTTATATGTCTTGAACCCAAACGTCTTTCGTCGGCAAGTGCGATTGTTTTTAGCGGAAGCGGCGGTGTATCCCAGTGAAAGTCGTGCAGTGATCTTATTGCTCATGATATGCCACTAAGAGTGAACTTATGCTTTTGGTAAAACCACTGGGGTCTCTAGCTCGAGTATTTGAAGGAAATTTCAGAGACATGTTACAGTTCTGCTCCAGGCGAGTAATGCCAATGTCTTCCAAGATACTCCCAAAGCTCCTGCGTTCTGCCTTCGCTTTGCAGCGTTCTATTTACAAGTTCTCTGGATGCTACCTTGACTTGGCGATGATATTCAGAGATCCGTTCAGGAACCCTAGCAACACCTCTTGAATAGTCATATTGCATCAAGTGTTCGAGTTCAGACTCATCTGCGGTGGGGTTTCAGCTTCCAGTTGCGATCGTATTAAGGGAATGCGATGCGTTGTGCCTGGTAGGAGAATTCCAGTGAAGGTGAGATACTCACTTCGAAGATGTTTGCAAATACCCCCTACCGATAAGTAAATTGCATAATGTCCACGCAGGTCGGCTCTTCTATTGGGTCGAAGGCCGCCTCGTCTCTTTTGGATTTGTGCTGGGCTTGAGCGACCACCTCTCTCTTCATGTGATCGAGGGCGTCAATTCGAGGCATAGACGTTCTGTTCGGAGCGTGACCAGCACTTGATTCTGAGAATTCTCTGATAAGAAATTGCTCAACGACATTGGAATGTATTTTCTTCCTGCGATGGGTCTTTCTACGTCGGCTTCTCCTCTCGTGTCTCTTGAAAGCCATTTTGATGCAATTGAGCACTCGCAGATGGCTGTCCATCATGATGGTGGTGGTTGGGGGAAGAGTAACGACTCATTGAAATACGATCTAAATGTGCGAGTAAGGGGCTAACATGAAACCAGAAATTATTTTTTCTTACTTTTTATTTTTTCTTCTTTTATTTTTTCTTCTTTTTTCTAAAAAAGGACGAACACAATGTTGGTCTGTCATCTTCTGTGTTTAGGTGGAATCTAGGTCCACAACCATGTTGAAATCACCTAGTATACCTTCACTGTTTCATGCCGTGATAATCATGGGCACATCTGCTCCCACAGTGCGACGGAGATATCTCAAGAAATGGGATAAATCAGTTATTGTCACTGTGGAGTTCATGTCCGGAAAACCCCAACGAATTACACGGAAAGAAAGTTGCAGACGCTAACATCAAGGCCATTATATTTATTTTGAATTGAGTCTTTTTACACCCAATTGGGTTACGCCACTTAATAGGCAGATGGTAGACTCGTACTTGACACTGTCAGTAAAGCATTCAGCCATCGGCTCTCATTTTGTTCGTTTCAATAGTTAACAAACCTTCGTAGAAACAATGCTACATTATAAGCTGTCAGGGAAGCGTGCGAGTTGTTGCGATTTTATTCAAGAACAGCGCAGAGTTTTAGCTCTACGCATGATATGTTATCTATTCTTTTCCATAATCTCTATTTGGTCTCGTCTTTATTTCGTGTTTTCCCGTAGCCAGTGTATTCGTTTTTTGCCACAGCCCCTATGAGCTCTGTGGGTAGTACGTTGATACAACAGCATCTACTCACAGCACAGGCACCATCCGAAAGGACAATAGCGCTAATGAGCCCTTTTAGCGTGGTTGGTTAAAAGGTACCGACTGTATGTACGGAGCTGCGGAGTACTCATCGTAAATGGACCGCACAGCGAATGTTCCACCAGGTTCCCATCAGCTTCCACTACTGATAATTCTCACAATTAGATGACCTAAGCAAATGAAAGCACTCCACTGACTTCCCACCAGTACGTCGCGGCTCCACCTCTCCCTCGGAAACATCGTCGTCATTCTTCCTTTGCCTCCGGCCCGGAGTTAACTGTCTTGACAAAATCAAAGCCTCACCCCTTCCACATTGTCTCACCCTCGACGTTCCCGTTGTCAACCCCCAGCATCGGAAACCGCGAACAAGATGTCATTCACCATTACAGTTCGCCAAGGGCCTGCGCGCCTGGCGACGAAACTGCCACAGCTCACCAAATCCGCTTTCAAGAGCGGCGCGCCCATCCGCGCATTCCACCAAACATCCACGAAACCATTGACCTTCTTCTCATCGAGGACAGCAACCGCCTCGTCCATCTCCCGCTCCACTCAGCGCAATGTCTTCCAGCAAGCACGATCCTACCAGTCCCAATCCCGCCCTCAAGCCGTCGACACCAGCTCCGTCGGTCGGCGCCTCCTCACGGGCGGTGCCATCTTTGGTGGTACTCTCATTGCAATGAACCTCATGTTCAACCGCGAGACTCGCGAAGATGGTGGTATGCCTCTGTTTGAGAGGTCCTACCTCAACCAAACATTCATGCACACCGGCTTGGGTATTGGCATCATCGGCTTGACCGCACGACAGATGATCCAGAGCGGCTTCGTCTACAGACTCATGGTCACCAACCCATGGGTTGTCGCCATCGGTGGTCTGGCTGCCAGTTTCGGTACCATGATTGGAACCAGGATGGTCGACCCTGACAAGTAAGTCGTAGCCATGAAGCTGACGCCTTGGATGAATGTGCATACTAACTGCTTCATAGCTACGTTCCCAAGTACGCTCTCTGGACCGCCTTCAACGCCACTCAAGCCGCCTTCATTGCTCCCCTGCTCGCCTTCGCCCCTGGTGCTCTGATTGCCCGCGCCGGTCTCTACACGGTGGCTATGATGGGCTCCATCTCCTTCGTCGGTGCTACTGCCAAACAGGAGAAGTACCTGTACATTGGTGGACCTCTTCTGGCTGGTGCTGCCATTGTCGCCGTCTCTGGTCTTGCTCCTCTTGTCATCCCTGCCACTGCCATCCGCACCCTGGCCTTCACTGAGAACATCTGGTTGTACGGTGGTCTTGCCGTCTTTGGTGGTTTCACTCTGTACGATGTGCAGAAGGTGCTCCACCACGCCCGCCTTGCTGAGCGCGGTGTCATCAAGAAGGATCCCGTCAACGAGAGCATTTCTCTTGAACTCGACTTCCTCAACATCTTCATCAGAATGGTCCAGATTTTGATGATGCAGCAAAACCGACGCAAGTAAGGGAGACGGGAGTAATGATAGAAGAGAGGGGTCGTGTGGCATCAAGCAATTTTTGATTTGACAAACGATACCATGGAAACAGAACATCGTCGAGGAGGTTGAATAAGGCAGAAAAATCTCCTCTCACACCACGGACTGGGCCAAGGTCAGCAATTTTGCCCAGCTCGGAACTATACCAGGCGTAGAATATGTAAAAATTCAAAAACACATCTAACTACCAAATCGCTCCTATCGTCGAGTTTTCCTGGAAGACTTAACACAACATGAATGCCCAGTTTCTGCCAACACGTGTTCAAGATCTATATTTAACAAGGGCCTTGCATGTCTCCTGTATGGAAGAAAATCCTAGATAGCATATCGAATGCCATGATGTCGCTTCTGTTGCGTCAAGCCCGGATTTAGCAGGTGAATGCGTGTGTTATTAACCGCTGTATATACGCGTGTCCGATGATCTCCTGTCGGTACAATAAGTTCTCATAATAAGGCCTCTGCGTTTGCCTGTTGGCTCTATGTCATGGGACCTAGTAAATTGGCAAGATTGCCTGCGAGAATACATAGTTATATGATGTGTATAAGAGAGAAATCTGCAACGGCGGACCAATCCGAGCTCCAAAAAGCGAAGATGCCGTGGCGGCGTAACACGTGCGGCCCGGACGCGCCCAAACAGAGATCACGATTCAAGTCATTTCCCGGCCTATTTGATTGGTCTGAATTGCTGGTTTTGACTTGCTTGTTTTACTTCCTGTATACATTACACAACATACCCGAATCTCTAACCGAGTATTCAACCGCACAGCATAATAGCTTTGGTACATTCTTATTATCCCGCTGGTCCTTTGAGGGTTGGTTCAAAGAATAAATTGTGGTTCTCTCCCATGAAAACTGGCTTTGTCTGCCATTCATCGTGGCGCCAATGAGTGGAATCTCTTCTTTGCGTCATAGTATAGCATTGCCGTAGTTCGGGGTGCGGAGTTGTCATGAAATGAGAAAAGTCGACTAGCCCGGCAGGGGACGTTTGATCTGATGGGCTTCTCTGCATTACATCTTAGAGGTCTTTGGAAGTCACTTCAGGTCGGGAAAGGTCCTCAGGAAATGGCTTGGGCACTCATATCCGCTGGGATTCTTGTGCAGGTATTCCTGGTGGTAGTCCTCGGCGTCCCACCACTTGCCGGCAGGCAGGATCTCTGTCACGACTTTGCTTTTCCACCATTGTTCGTCGACCTTTGATGTGATCTCCCGGGCGATCTTGGCCTGCTCCTCGTTGTGGGTGAAGATACCCGACCGGTATTGCGATCCGACGTCGGGCCCTTGGCTGTTGCTCGTAGTCGGGTCGTGCATGCGGTAGAAGAACTCGAGGAGTTGCTGGTAGGTGATCTTCGTGGGATCGTAAATGATTTGGGTTGCCTCGGCGTCTGTGGCGCATTAGCATACGGGTGTCGATTCTCCTGGGACAAGTCACGAGGAGAACGGCTTACGGCCGGTGCTTCCGCTACACACGCGCCTGTAGGATGGGTTCTCTACATCGCCGCCAATATAACCGACGCGCGCGTCGTACAGGCCCTTTCCACCGAAGTGCTTGCGGTACATGTGCTCAACACCCCAGAAGCACCCGGCTGCCACGGTCACCTTCTCGGCGCCTTCGGGAATTGAGGTCAGACCGACGCCGTTCGATTCGCCAGAGATGCCCAGACGAGTCGAGGTCGTGAGAGGCCGGAAGAGGCGGCCGAGGAAGTTGGGCATTTGGAAAGCCATTGCGGTAAACACTACCGCGAGTGAGACGAGGATAAGAGGTTGTTTGACGGTCGCGAGTAAATGGCTCATCAAGAGGTAGTGTTGTAGAGTTGGAAGCGACAAATGAGGACGTCTATGACGTGCTCGAGTTTCCTGATACACGAGATGACAAATGGCCTCGAGGATTGCGCCACCTGCCGCAACCGAAAGTCAGATGTGTATATGGAAGTACAAGGACTGTATGTATGGAGGGGCAGTGGGTGGTGGGCAGGGCTTAGCGGGGCAAAATTTGGTGTCCCCCGTCCGCTATTTCTGCAGGGTCTTTTGCCTCAAGCTCTCCCACAGAGCCAGAGAGCCTGAGAGCCAACCTCACTGTAGGTTGGTTACTTACACGTAGACTAGGTTAGGTTAGACCACACATCCCCCCCCCCCCCCCCGGACGTCGAGCCTCAGCGTCCAAAATTTAGATCGCGCTGGGTCCGCCGTTATCCATCCAAGGTAACCATTCCCTTGGGTCTTCATCTTGAGATTGTCGAAGAATTGTCGCTGTGGGTGTTGCCGCGGTGCAACACAGTTCAGAGCATGATGTCCGAGAGTTGTTGATACAGGCGGACTGTGCTTTCTTGGCTGAGCAATGAGTCTGCCAGACTGTCCCTCGTCTTTTTTCTTCTTTCTTTTTTGCATTTCTGTGTATTCTTCAGACGAACCGCCAGAGCCGCATCGGTCTTCTTAGGGTACCTCGAAGCCAGAACAAAATCTGCACTCATCAAGGCATATGAAGCACATCTTGGGTATGAAGTATGTTTCTAGATGCTTCTCTTTAGTATTTAGCTTGTGGCACTGATTGCGGTGAGGGGTTGTAAGACATTTCGGACGAGGTTGAGTGATTACCTTGGAGTCCGACCAAGGTTTCCTTTGCCACTGAGTCTCGCACAAAGATCTTGCCATAGCGGGTTAGGTAATATTCAAATCAATTAACTGCCTCATGCTCGGTCACTATGTTGGAGATGAGCACATTACAGCGTGAATGACCTTGTAGACGGCCAACGATCATTCTTGAGATATTTTGCTGCTATCATTTGATACACATCCGGATGCGCGTCCTAGTAATCGATAGAAGCATATCGTTCCCAATTGCTAGATGCTAGTGGCAAGGGTATAACACAGATTAGGAAATTAGTTAGAGACACTGGTTGGGTGGTTTGGAAACAAACGTGGGGATTGTATGATATCTCGCATATTTTAGGAAATGAATTGTGTTTATTCGTTTCCTTGGTGTCTTTTTTCCGACTTGGTCCCTCATGAATGTCCCTCGGCCATATTTTTCTAGGCGCATATCACATAATCTACAAGTTTGTTCCTTCATGTGCGCCACCTTTGTGTTACTTATTTGATTTCTAGGCATGATTCCTTTCCACTGTTGCCCCCTTTGAATATTGAAGTCAGTGCAAACCGCAATATTATCACCGATTTTGTCATTAATGGGAGCTGCTTGGGGCGGGACCGTCCCGACGCATTGTCCCCAAGGGACCACACAGCCTTTCATTTTTATCATCTCCGGGAAAAAGGACGGCCACCGGCGTAATGGTGCTGTCTGGCAGTTTGATCGTCCCACTGCACTGATCATCACCACACAGTGTTGGTATAGGAAAAATCAGGACACTTGGGGGGGGGGGGTTTATAAAATGCGATGCGATCTTGAGTGGATTCTTCTTACAAGTGTCATTGTTCTTGCAGGCCCAGAGAAGGTTGGAGCGATATGCCTCGCAGCTATGGCCACATTGGAAGTAGAACATAATGGCGAGACACGGCCCGCTGGCCATGAGATTTCGTAGAGCCAGTCTTGCCTTTACTTCATTAGCTTCAGTGAGTCGGACGAGATGGAATGTTAACCCGTCTTTATCTTTACCATTTATAGTATTCTCTTGGCGAGAAACGCCTTCGAGATTTATCGTCAGGGACTTATAAACATCTTTACTACTACTAAACAACCCTATACGCTCCATGTCTAATGGCGGATAAGTATCCTGCGGTCCGTCTGCTTGAGGGGCAGTTTGATCGCACTGCTTGCAGCTAATGATGATAGTGGTATGAATCACTATTTTCTCATGGGCGTTGACGACGCTAGGGTAAGACGGGCTGGTAAAGTTAATTATAGGGTTGGTTGTTGATGATGCATGTGCCATAGCGTTGCTGCACACTTCTGCACTTCGCAGTTCGACTGAGCCGCAGCCGAGGCAGTCAAATATAGTACCCTGACACATTTTTATTCTATGGGTGTTCTTTTCTTTCACTACTGTGTAGAGCTGTGGTTGTTCCTTCGATGAGGGGGTTGGGTTAGGTTGGGTTGGGTTGAAACCTTTATTTTGAGTGCATGAAAACATAGGTTGAAACAATGTGACAACAGCCAAGTAGGAATCTTTACATTGATAAGATTAAGCTCAACATATTATTTACTATTCTTGCGGGAAGCATTATACCATAATTAGAGATTACCGTTGTTTACAACTTAGTTGTACTCATCCTAAGGAGAAACGGAGATAAAGGCTGTGAAAATAACATGTCTCATATCACCAGAATACATTATAACACAGTGTTTACCGCCCCTGGTTTCATTTACCAGAGTAGGTTTCCGAACAATTACCCTGTGTTATATACTTGTAGACAAAGAAAATAAGCATATATGCTATGATAACCTCTACGTATATGATCATTGAAAGCTCTGATTGAGTTGAAAATAATTACAAAAAGTGACAACTCTTCAATAGTCAATGAACTGTTAAATCCTATTTCATTCGATCCTTACTTCGTCTATGTTCGGAAGGGATGATCCTAGCAGGTCTAATGAGTTTGGAAGATCGTACTCGATTTTTGCACCTGTGTTTCGACCGTAGACTAAGCGCCAACCTTGCCCTTTCCGGACCAGAATATCTATCTATGGAGATTTATTTCCTATTTGCGTCACCTTCGAAGTTGAGTCTGCTGTTTCCATGAAAGACCGCTTTGGTGAATCAAAACCGCAAATTGTACCGTCTGTAACAACTATCTCATTTTCCTCGGCCGTTTGCCTTGAAGCGAGTCAGCAAACTGTCTAAAAATAATTTGGAAAATTACCAAACTCACGAACGTCCTCTCACCAAGTCACTCATGTATGTAAATGGAAAATCGCTTGCGCCTCCCTTTACTGCAACATATCATCAATGGCCGAATTGATACAGACTGTTCTCAACGCCCCAATGTCTTCTACGTCTGCGCACTTCATCCACCTGAACCTCACATGCGAAAATCTCATCTGGAGAATTATTGCCTTGCACAAGAACATCTCCTTCGGGTCCGCACTACATCGTACGGGGTCAGCAATTGCCACTTCGAGATTGATTTGGGAACTTTCAGGCGTATTATGAAACAGTCACAAAGAGCCGAAGTTCCTGTAAGAAGCAATATGTGCTCCTGAGCCCTGCTGTGAAGGGCAAATAGTGATTCTGAAAATTGCTCACAAATATGGCATTTCCCATGCTTTTAAATGTGCCGTCGGTACCGGCTAACCCCACACTCACAGTATACATGAGATTTGTGAATGCATTTGTCCTGTTCGTAAGTTCCCCGATTGCTTGGTTGGCGGAGTGTAACCTGCTGTACGCAACATGACCTCTGCACCCTGGTAAGCAGCCTCTCTTGCCATTCCAGGAAACATGCTATCGTGGCAGATAATGAGACTTTATCGTAACGCCGCCGGGACCCTCAAAAACGGATATTACCTGCTTACCTGGATACCACGGCTCAACTGGTGTCCAAGGGTGCATCTTTCGATAATAGTTGACCAGATCACCCTTGTCATTGATGATCAAGCCTGAGTTCCAAGGGTGTTCCAAATCAAGCTCATTCTTCTCCATGATGCTGAAGCAACCCCATATCTTCTCAAATTTGCATGCCTCCTTGAATGTCGATACTTCGGGCCCATCAAGGGTACACATTATAGATGGATCTGTCACCATGGAGAGACCATGTATACAGTATTCCAGAAAGACGACCAGGTCAGTTGCGGGATAGACGCGCTTCGTGCGCGACACTAGCGAGACCACGTGCTTCACTGCACTGTCGAGATCATCGTCAGGCGTTGTCACAAAGAACAATTGGGACTGTACGATGGAGATGACTATCCCCCCCCGGAGTTTTGTTGAGGCCACCCAGGCCTGACATTGTGCATAGTTATACAGAAGAGCTCCCGAAACTAGAACGCCTTGTTGTCCAGAATTACGGATATCGTCAATAGGTGGGAGTATAGGACCGCGGGGCTCATCGGCTCTCGTAGCCGGTAACGACGTAGAGCTTACAATAGACGCTATCGTACTATATTGTAATATTCCTACAGTAAATTGGCCTACGGGAAGTTATCATCTTGTATAACCATATAATTTCTCTGCTACGAAGAAAATCTCGAGATGGTCTTTGAGGACTACTTCCGTTCTATGGAAATCTTGCCGAGAAAGTAGAAGCAAAAACTTCATATGTAACTTGTGAGCCACGGGCTGGTATAACTTATGGGCCCACATAATTCCAGGTAATTGTATTACGCATAAAGGAGCAATCCATGAACTGCCCTTCACCAGAAAGATGCGCCTGGTATAGCACCATCATCAATCATCCAATTTATCGAGTCCGTATTTCCTCCGTTCAAAAGAGTATCGGCCATCTATCCAACGTTAGAATACTGAGGTATTCATTTTCAATCAAAGACTTACTATCAAATCCCAATCTGCATCAGACGGCGTACTATAGGACACGTGGTGCACCTCCGCCGTTCCCTCGGATTGGCTTTGGCGAGCGAACTGCTCAAGAATAGGTATGGTTGTATCCTGAGATTTGACCGCAGCTTTGATAAGAAGGTGCGGAAGCTCCTCAGAGCTAGCATTTCGTATGAGGCCGTCGACTAAAGCCATGATCATGCATGACATGAGATAACCTTTAATGTTGCATTCCCCGCTCTTTATGCAGTGCAAACTCCAAGACTGTGCATCGCGCAGTACGGCAAGTAGATCCGGCCGTACCGGCGCGGGACCGAGACTATCGTTCTCCTGCAGTTGCGTCTTCAGCTCGGCTGCAATGAGAATGCCGGCCTGGGTGGCAGCTAGGCGGAACATGCCCGCTCCGCAGGCTGCGATACGTGAGAAATCCTCCGAGTTTGACGGATTCGTACCGTTGATATGACTCCCATTGAGTCCTTGTAGGGTGGGACGCACAAGGTACCAGATCTTGAGTGAGGCATCGATGACAACCTTGCGGGAAAAGGCGAAGGCAGCCTGTTCGAGAGATGGTCCGAAGAATGGTATGTGTAGTGCTGCCATATATCTTTGCATCACAAAGTCAACAGCTTGGAACCCAAATCCCGAGGTACCTGGTTCAAGGCGAGACCTAAATGACTGGAGAACGCGAGTGATGTCTTTGTAACCCTTTCGAAGCTCCGCATCAAGCTGTAACGTCTCTTCATAAGTACATGCTGAACGAAGATTATTCAGAGATTTAGTGATTGCAAGTCGAATCGGCAGAATTTTGCGTAGTGATAGTGCGAGAGAAACCTCTGTGAATTGGGCAAGCGGTTTCGGAATCGGCTCGTCAGTCCCCCCAAGCTGGTCATCGTCGAGGTTGCTAGGTGGCTCTGTATCGAAGTCATCGAATGAGAAGAGAGGTGGCCCTCCGGAAGTCAAGCTCGACTGTATGCACAGCTCCAATACTGTATTCCAGATCCTACGACGCATTTCCGCAACCAAATGCGATTTGTGCGGCAAGTGTACCGGATCTCTGTTCAATCCCATAACAATCGCTCTCCTGAACAGGTCGCCCGTGGCGATATATACCGAATCACCACTAACGTCCACTATTTCGCGGGCAAATAGCAGTAATATATGTACTTGGAGCCCCTGAAGAGTTAATTGGTGTTTTGTGTTTGGTTGCGCTATCCAGGTCTGCGCCTCGTATACCCAGCGGGTAGCTGATATCCTCAATGAAAAGTGATCATCGTAGGTGGCAGCACCGATAGCGAGTATCAACTTCAACAGAACCAGAAAGGAGGGGTCAGGCTTATCCTCCGAAACCCAAAGAGCTCCATAGTCTCTCTTGAATGACGGCACATGAACGATTCGGTGAACACTTTCTAGTGTACGAAGGTAACGGTCGACCAAGACGTCGGAAAGTTCTTTGGATGGTAATTCAGATGTTATACTTGTTGGCCAAGCCGGCCTCCAGTTGGCTTTGATGGCCTTTGACAAAGACTTGGCCTTTTGAAGGTTTGGCAATACAGGATACGTTCCTTCACGCAAGAGCGGTTCTATGAGTACCATTAGGTCTTTCAACTACAATCCATGAGCTCAAAGTTTTACCTCAATGCTAGAGAGTACAATAATACTTACCAAAGTCACGTTGTTGATCCAATGGCTTTGTCCGAAATGGCGCGTCTTGTGGGTAACGCTGCGGACAATAGGTCTGACCCCTTGTTCCCGAAGGACGAACCAGGTACCACCAAGGCTCGAGCTATTCGCTTCAATAGTTGATGCTGAAGGAGTGGCAGACTGTGGGGCTGGTGTTGTGCCAGCTTGGGATAATTGTCTTTCGAGCTGAGACGTTTTACCCTTGATTGAGTCGACATACCATGCTGGCGGCACACCGCCGCCCGCCGTTGCCTTTGACGAGGCATCGCCTTGCGAACTTGAAGGAAAGTTCTGGATCTCCAAAGACTTGCCTGTACTGGAAGATCCTTGCAAATGACACCCTCCGTTCTCACTTGGTCTTGCTACACGTGGCCGTGTGGGCTGAGAAGACTGCGTCTCATAGATGCAATTGCGAGGGTCGGACTTAAGACAATTGTTGCAAGGCTTCTCGCGATTGCATTTTATCTTTCTCCGCCTACAGAGAGTGCATGAACTGTCGAGTATTTGTTGTTAGCGAACAGCGGCTACATTGGAGTGGCGGCTCGTACACGGCTGGTCTTCTCCGACGGCGCTCGGGCTCGTCCATAACACTCGTCATGATGAAATCTCCACAACGAACGCTCCACAAGAAACTCTGAAAAATGGTACAGGTAGACTGAATTAATTAAGCCTTAGAACACAGTGTTCAGCTCAAATAACACGGAACCGTGGGCTATCCGCTTGTACGGCGTAGTTTCTGTCGGAGATAATTCTGCGGGGTCGGTCTTCAAAGCTGATTTTCCCGTCCCGACCCCGAGTCCGAGATATATCGCAAGTCTTAATTTATCTCCGACGACGCTCAGCTCAGGCTGCAGCTAACGACACATCGAATAGTAAAGTATCCATGATTTGATAGTCAATCAACTCATAATATAAGAGGCCAATCCCGCGAGATTTGGACTTGCAAAAGAAAGAAAGAAAAACGAAGAACAAAAATTCCAAATCATGGGAAATCTATGTTGTTCCGTCGCCGAATCATGTGGCCTGGATTGGTTCGGTATCAACATTCCTCAAGTTTGCAGTGGGCATGGTCGCGGGACTGATGTTCGATCGTTTTGGAGCCAAGGCACTTGGATTCCCATCTAGTTCTCGTGAGACAACATCTAACAGCAGGTGAGGTAATTTGGTCGGCGGCTGTTATTTATTTCTTCGCCGTGATGATGTTAAGTCTTTGTAAGACTTATTGGATAGTTATGTTAGTCCAAGGGGTGCTCATGGGCATCTTTATGGACTTATCAAGGTCCCAAAGATTGCCGTGATTCCTCACGGGTTCAACAAGAAGAGAGCAGCTACTTTCGGTGTGGTGGTATTGGGCTCATCGATCGGGGGTGCCGTGATCTCAGTTGCTATCTCCAAAATGTTCAACGGGACTTCTTAAGGTATGGAAAGTCTGTAAGTATCATGGGCTTCCTCATCGTGCCTCTTCACTCATTCTAAAGCGTCATCGTGAAATCTCGAATGCCACCATAAACTTTGGAAGTGCGGTTGGCGCTGATGCGCTGGGCGGGGTAATGACTATGATACCTACGCTAAGATACCGGCGTCAGGAGATCCTGTATCGATTTCAGTCGAATAAAGTGACACTGACATGCAAACTCCTATAGCTTTTACATGGTCCGCTGACTACAATTCTTTGATCTTGAGGAAAGGGCAAGGCCATGGAAGTGCTTGGCGGTTTTGTGGAAGTATTATTGAGGCACTGTAGTACGTATGATAACTGTCCAGTCTCGTTTGATTGAGATACAGACTCTCGTTGGTGCGCTTTATTGGGACTCCTATCAATATTGATCTTAGCAAATAAGGTTGCTTATCACATAGCCAGGGAACAGGTGATCCGATAACCTCGATGCAGGCTGAGCAATGCCTGCACTAACCAGCCAACAAGCAGCAAGCCTTACCATATATTTAGAGCTCGATGCAAGGGGCATAAAAGAGGCCTGGGTCTGCAGGTATTTCGTGCTTTAGGCACCCGGGGCCATGGTTATTTACCAACTATGCGATAATGTTCGCGCCGATTCATTTCTGCTGTTCCTTCTCAACCCGTTCACCTCGAATTTTGCCAGTCTTTAAATCGGCCTATCAGGATAATGACTTTTTTTTTATCGCCCGTTTCCGTAGGCACGTTACATGTGAACGATGAGTTCTTGACGAGGACTAATCAGACTTTCCAAAGTTCTAACTGTGGCTTTATCATTGCGAGATGATGCTGCCACTCCTACATTTTGCAACGGCATAGAAACCAGCCCAATCTCTGTCGGTACATGTTAAATTTATGTTGTGTAGTTTGCCGACGATATCACTTGGGTAGTCCGGATTCTCTTACACGCGAGTAGTCATCTGTTGCTAGTCTCTATCTCGAGTATCATAGACGCCGAGATAAGGACCCTGGCTGGGCTTAGTCAAGCCAGCTTTTATTAGTCACCGAGGCTTATAGGCGGCAAGGCCGACTTCGATAACTAATCAGACATCCGTACTTGGTTGTGAACTGGGTCTATGGGTCGTTTCTAAAGTGGACAGTCATGACTTCCGACTAGGATCGAGAGAAGATACTTCGCCAACTTGTAAATATCTAATTAGAGCTATTTTAGTGCACTCAAAAGTCCTGTAGTACAGATTTGCATTGTTGGTTCTAGACTTTCAATCACATTTGATGAACATCTAGACAAGGAAATATAGAAATTCCTAAGTGCTACGGGTAGGAGTTTAAGTATGACTGGAGAGACACTCTTGGAATGTCTTCCTCTTAAGAGTAAATAAGTGCTAAAAGGAGCGTTTATAGTGAGAATCATACCAGCTATGAAGTGCGAAATCTTTTGACTAATCGTTTCTTAAAGCATCGTAACGTAGTCTCGTATAGCTTACGTTCGTACGGTTCAAACCGCCGTAAATACAACTATACTTAGCAAGTTTGAGAGTTGGCGAGAAGAACTAGATAGCTTTAAGTTCACACCAATGCCCGGGCTTTAAGATGTATTGTCGCTAGCGGGAATTTCATCAAGTAGAATGCGGCAAGAGAAGCTAAGAACGCATATATTTGGGGTGCAAATTAACTTTAGCTCGTGCCTGGGTGCTTTGACACGCTCCAGGTAACTATTAATAGAGTATGAACAGAGCCCAAACAGGCTAATATTATTATCGTGAATCAAAAGCTCCCTAGATACGTTCAAGAGTGCGTCACGCTTGTAACATCCGGAGTTTCCACATCCTTCGTAACGCTTTCAACGCCGTTGTAGTAGTGAAGCCCGAAAGATCAAAAGATGCCTTACTCTTTAAGAACCCAGATGATCGGTTGAATAGAGTTCTCGATTAGTGTTGGTCTAGCAAATAGAGTAGTGTATCACTGGTGTCGGTAAGTCAAGACGAGTTGTATCACGAGTCGTTGAGAGGAGCAAAGAATCATCGTGAGGGTGTTATAACGCATCCGGTGTAGTTTGATTATGTGTTGATAAACTCTAAATTCTCGGGAGAAATGGCAACCTCTGGGCTCGTTGTTAATAGTTCAAATTCCGTACGCTTGAAATTGCTAGGAATTCTATCGTGAAATCGTCGCACATACCATCGGGTTATATTACGCGCTAGTACAGCCTCTTTTACGCGTCATAGTAATAATAAAAAGAAATTCTAAAATGACTTTTCATTTAAAAAGTTGTACTACCTTTTACTGGTTTGAACTTGAAAAAGAAATTTAAAATTATTTTTCTCCAAATTAACATTTTAATATACTCAGTAATATATTCTCATGAGTATGACACGTAGAAGTGTGAGGGTAGTGTGGTATATGGAAAGAGGGCACGAAAGGGAAGATATCCACAAATCTATGGATCCGTGACTATATACACATATCTAGCTAGCTGCCCTGGGCAGCCACGATGAACGCCTTGGGGGACATATCGAATGACGACCTTAGTAATCTTTTATTCGCATATCACATAACCCTTAGCACTTGCCATGTTTTAAGAATCATAAACATAACAGAGATAGCCACCCTTCGTGTCCATAACATCATTAACAGTGGCATCAGGTCTCAGACCTTGGGAAGTGAGAACATAATCTGTTGTCAATTGCGTGCAAGGACTGGCGGTATCTGAGCAGCCATTGATTTGGTAGAGGCGGCTTGCAACGTCCGCATTCTGCCAAGATGTCCAGCTGTGATCAACGAATCCATGATGCATGAAGAACACGGGGTCAGCGGGTGACCCAGCAACTTGCGACATGACGGCGCCAATACCGTTGTGACCATATCCGTGCGGACTATAAGATAGGTCAGTAAGACACAAGATTGCAGGAAAAGCACGAACTTACCCATACTCAAAGCACGACTCCATGTCAGAATACAAGTTGTTTGAATTGCAGCTGTTGACGAAGTCGGTATTACACTGAGACGTCGCACTCTCGTCGACGGCTCGAGACAGACAATGGTCGCCACCAATGTGAATCATGGTGCCACCGAACTCGCCATCGCCTGCCTCAATGCAGGTGGCTTGACCATTGTTCAAAGGAGCAGAGCCGAACCACTGAGACGTGAAGAGCGGAGCATTTGCAAAGTCGCCCGCATCCAGGGGTTCGTTCCACCAGGGCATGGGGGCGGCATACGAGCATTCCTCACGTAACATGGTCTCAAAGACATGAACGTAGTAGCGATGCCAAGGCAAGAATTGTGCGACCATGTGTATCGACCCTGTCATTTGCAAGTGAACGGCCACCAAATCCTCGTACCGGTTCTGCGCGCCGGTGCCAGCAAAACTTCCCGAGGGTGGCAGGTCGATCAGGCACTTAACCGCCTGCACGAACGCCGTCCTGTCGGCATCCGAAAGGGAGCGCCACTCAATGCGGGTAGCCGGCGCTGTGCAGGTATCCGCCTGAGTAGTCACAGTACCGTCATCAGCAGCCGCATCGACAGCCTCAGTTGATGCAGTTTTGGAGCCGGAACCAGAAGTTGAGGTATTCAAGAGGTCAGCATGGTCGATATTGTTCTTTGCGGCATTAGCCTTGGCTTCTTCCAGTGTGATGGTGTGGAAACCGGTGCCGAACTGTGCGAGGTCTACCAGTTGCGCTCTCTTGACAATGGAAAGAGGCAAAGTCAAGGCTGATACAGCGGAGACGCTCCACAGAAGCCGAGTACAGATTGTTGATCTCATTGTTCTGCTTATTTACACATTAATTAACATGAGATTGATATGCAAGAACTACATCAACACAAGAACTCGAGATGGCGGATGCCCGGGTTTATCAATCAACCATAGATTTCACGAGTATGAGGGGTTCTGCCTTGTCTGCAGTCACATGAACGGTACAACATTTTGACGAAAATGAAGACGATCATCGTTTTCGTTGGTGAAGCGAGGAATGATCGCTGACGGGCTCTGCGCCATACGCTATTCAAGTAACGGACCCGAGCGCCAGACAAGCTCATGGTGGTAAGAGACGCCGCTAAAGCTTAAATATGCTGTCATGAAGCCTTGTCCCCGCCGTTTAGGTCAGCGAACAGCCTTTGGTGGCTGGATGTCATCCAATGTAAATTACGATGAAGCGTTCTTCCTGCAGTCATCTCCATGCGATGGGATCCCCGGCAGCGGTCGCTGTGTGCAGAGCTGACAGATAGTTTCGCGTTACGTTGCGTTCGACTGGCAGGCGTTGAGCTGCACTGTAACCGGAGGTCTGAAGTCATCCTGCAGGCTTAGGTCGGTCCATTGATACCCCAGAGCTGGAAGAGAGAGCATGGAATACGAGATTCTCTTCGTAGTGCGTAGAGGTGGCTAGTACTGCGTGCAGAGCTAGGTATTGTCGATCAACCCCAGATTTCCAGTAATACAACCTCCAGCTTGTACTACCCCAACCAGATCTATGCTGTTTGTGGGTGAGCATGCACAACGGCGTCATTTAGAGTAGCCGTCAACACTTTGGCAATGGATGGACATGTCCCAATTTAAAGCTCAGCTTGGTTCGTTAGCTGGGAAGAGCTGACCTCTACTACGACTGGCATCCTGGGCGATCTTGGCATCAATGACGATATTCACTCCTAGCCATCTCAGCTTCCTCATATGGCTTTAAATGTTCTGTTGCTAGAATCCCACCTTAGCGGGAATAAGCATTTACGGTTACAATTTATTTCTTTTTATTTCTCAATTGCATTACCATGACTGCAGGTGGACATGTACAGCCAAATTCGGTAAGCAAAACCTTACATCTTTTTTTCTCTTCTCCATTCACTCGGTTGGAGTTGAGACTCCTTCCTTTTCATAACTGACAGCTTTTATACTGCTCGTATCAGACATCAATATTCAATCCTTGCGCCAGAGACATCACTGTTTATCGATTCATAAAGCATTCCATGCCATCGGCCACAATGCGTTCCATCTGGGGACCGATAAGTCTAAGATTTCACAGCCATACAAAGAAGTTTCTCAACGGAGGCATAATCCACCATCTATTATTCCAGGCAAATGCGGGCTTCTCCAGGCGAGCATTTGTGGTCAGATCTCATCATCAGCTACGGAGGAAGTTATGTACTACAGGACTTTTGAAACGCCTCTACCATAGTTACCGAGTTGATCTCGGCTTTCTGATCATCATCGCAAGCTGATACAAACCCGTCTGCCCATTGGTGAGTTTTCCAAGATCGAAGTCCATAGTGTCGACTTCACGGAACCTCAACTTTTCATACAGCGGCTTGCCGGCCGCCGTGGCTTCTAGTATTGCAGTAATATCGTTTGCATCTGCAAGCTCCAGCATAGGCATTATCAAAGCTTTGGCAGCGCCTCTTCTATGGTACTTGGGGGCAGTACATATAAGTGATAGGCCTTGGCGATATATAAGTTAACAAGAAGCAGTCCTAGTATCATGACAATTCCAGACTCACCTAGCATGTCCTTCGTGTGCCACTTGCTGGAACATTTAGTCAAGGCACCGAAGAAATTCTGACATAGAGCTGGGTCTGCACCCTCCGGAATGTCCACTGTTTTTGGTGTAGTGTCTACTGCTGGGGCACTAGCTGAGATTTCCTGACTTCTCTCTGCACCATCCTTTGGCTCAGGATCGCTCTTGACAAGGCTAGAGACGTCCTCAGTGCCGACCCAGTCGCCAAAGTGAGGTGAGTTTTCTGGTATGTCCCATCTTGCCCAAGCTACGATATCGTTGCTGGCCACATCGATTATTTTGAAATGGCGGACGCCAGGATCAGACATCTTTTTCGATATTCTCTTGTGCATCCAGGTCATCATATGCTCCCGGCTTGGGGACCACCAATGTGAGTTTCCCGGGTCGGCTTTGAACGAATCATAGTATATGACAGACAGCGCATCAATATCCGCAGCTTCGCAGCGCGATATGACAAAGGCAGGATCCAACGAGGCCGGGGTCGCAAACGGCAATGCCATGATCCCTGTGATCGTATGCTGCGAAAGGACTATTCACACGATGATGTGCAATTGAATCAATGAGCGTGTCGGCGACGATATTTGCTGCGCGAGGTCTTGAAAATCTAAATTCTCTGACGATCGCGAAATATGCTCGGAAGTTGGCAGCTAGCTAGTGCACGTCAGGTTCGAGGCTTACATATGTAGTTACCGGACGCCGGTGACTCAATACCGGGTCCGCTGTTCATGACCGCAGCCCACTCCTGATCAAATATCGTACCATTCAACATCTTAGCTAATCCTCCTAGACAGCAGCCAGGCGATCTGATCTGAAGTAAGTGCATTTATCGTGAGGTTGGATTATCGGTGGTGACTCTCGATCTCTTGTTACGATATCGTTGTGTGGTTTGGATATACCCACCATGCTTGTCTGTGGGCAGGATTCCAGTTCAAGGGCCTCAGGAACACTGCGAAGTGCTCGTCAAGTATTTCCAGTGGTCGGCCTCGCAAGACCTGTTGCACGCAGCTTTCACCACTCACCAATTCCAATATATCCTATTCGGAGGCAGACTTGTCCATGGTCTTTGCTGTCAGGTCCCGGAGGGCTTCCGAAGTTTCGCATTATAACCCTTGGCTCTGCAAATCTGTGGAAAATACCGTATTGAAGACGCGCGAGACGAGATCATTAAAACTGCCGTGCTATCCATATCCTATGTAGCCGGTGGTGTCCGCCAGATGCAGCGATAGTGGACCTGCATACCCCACGAAACGACGCTTGAAGCGCTAGAACATCAGTGGAGCAAGGGGCAGGGTGCTGAAACGATTGCAAACAAGGTCAAATCAATGTTTGTTGGTTTTCTTGAAACAGTTTCAAGCATCGGATCGGATCAGCCAGAATACGTTCACAAATGATGTATGGTTAAGTGAGGTGGATGTAGAGGTAAATGTTAAATGTACATGTAGATATTGAAGAACGGGCTACCAAAAAAGGCTTCTTGTGTAAGGCGGCGGTGGCTCCTTTGCGCTTGGTGTTGACCGTCTTTGTGTAAAGCGGCGCCACAGATGAGCGAGATCAATGACCCCGCGCTCCCAGAAGCGCATTCGTCATTCAATAAGTTAGCATGATCATGGCGGACGAATGTTGCCATCTGATATGGTAGAACCAGCAGATGAGCCATTTTTGTTTGTTGTCCAAAAAATTGTCAAGTCACCAAACTGGCTTTTGCAGCGAATCATATTCTACGCTTGCCACAGCTGAGTTGCAGCCGATATCACATGTGCCTCCGCGGGGGCTCCAGTTGCTGCCAGGATGCTCATACTTGGCCATCAGCTGTTGCGGCCGTCGCAATCAGATGGAGGGGTCTCAGCCCAAAGGGCTCCCCCTGCCCCCTGGAGCGTCACGGTCTATTGGCGCCTGACACGTCCCGCATACCCAGTCTGTCAGTTGTCTGTGCTCGATGTCGGCAAGGCATCGTCTCGAGTTCTACACTATCAAACTTGACGCCGAAGCCGCCGACAAGGTTCAAGAGGTATGCAGCAGGAAATGTAATGTTTGGCGTAGCGTAGATTGTGCAGTTCTCTACCCTACGTAGCAGTTCGCGGGGTCGTGAAGTCGGAACTCAAAGCAAAGTTATCAACCACCAACCCTCTGCTAACTTGGACTACGAGTCAACCTGCATAGTTCAGAGTTCACAACGCGAGCCTGTCGCGCGCGGACTAACCCCAGTTGGGCTCCCTCTGGCTCCCTCTGGCTGCCCTCTCCTGGCCACCTCCTCCCCCTCCTGGCTCCTGGCTCCTGGCTCCTGGCTCCCTCTGGTTCCGGCCCGCCGCGCATTGGGATCACCACCCACCTCCTCCACTGAACACTGACACTGCGTCTGGAGTCCGAGCCCGAGTCGAAGTCGTTAATCATCACCTGCGAACCAACCTAGTCTAACTACGCCTCAACTATACCTCTACCTTTACCTTAACCTCCCTTGATTTCCTGTGACTTGACTTACCTCTTCTGTTTTGGGCCCTGTGACACCTTTGCTCTTCCTTCGCTTTCCTGGCGCCTCTACCTGCCCCCTTTTTATTGCCCATTTCCACTCGACGTACGGACGACTCTTTTCTTGTGATACCCGCGCCCTTCCAAGCTTGTTTTCCTATTTGTAACCACACGAGCACTCGCGAACGGCGAACGGGGCTGACCCGAATGCGCCATGCTGAAATACCAGCTGCATGATCAACGTTGAACACGAATAGCGACGTTCCTATCTTTGTTGTACAATCCCGACGCCACGATTTCCGTCTCCTTCTGCTTCGTTCCTAGCTCATCAAACGATCAAACTGGACGATCCAATACTGGGCTGTTTGCCCGTAAGTCATTGACCAACATGCGTCCGCCGAGGATCGCAATCCTCTCCCTGTTCTTCGCCGCATGTTTGTTCCTCCTCTGCCGCTCCATAGCATCCGCCGCCCGAACCTCCCCTGCCATCTCGGCACCAGCTTCCTCGACACAGAGATCTGGTTTCCGAACACTGTTCTCATGGACTGCGCCCTTCTCGCTCTTCTCTCCGAATGCAATCATTTCGATAGCCGAAGACAACAGCACGTCTTTCGCCGCGCGTCCGGCCGCGTTCGGCCCCCTGTTGCCGAATAAGGGTCTCAACGGACAGTTATGGATTGGGAGCGGATTCACTGAGGAAACTTTGCAAGACGATGAAGATAGCGACGGCGAGCTCGGTTGTAGCGATGTGCCTGGCTGGGACGGGAGCAGCCTGACGGTTATCAAGACAGCCGCCAAAAAGCTCGACGACAAATCTAAATCAACCAGCACCAACAGCGGTTCCAAACGTCAGAAGCGTGAGCAAGGCTCCAAGACGCCCATGGGCGATCGTCCGTCTCACTCGAATACCGACTCGAAAGCCAAGAATAAGCACACGGATGATGGCACTGATGACTATCTCCACGAGGGCCTGGACCTGACCTCCAAATCGCAAAATGACGCTTTTGGACTATCAAGCTCAGGTCACGCTGACATTCAATCAATCCAAGAAAGTGCCGAGATCGCTGGTAAAATCGTCCTACTCAGCCGTGGCGGTTGTGGGTTTCTCGAGAAGGTCAAATGGGCACAACGGCGTGGCGCCATCGCCTTGATAGTTGGAGACAAAGTGCGAGGTGGCCCGCTGATTCAGATGTACGCACGTGGTGATACTTCGAACATTACAATTCCCTCCATCTTCACGTCACGAACCACAGCCTATCTTCTGTCTTCTTTGATGCAACCTGGCAGTTTCATTGAGGACATCATTGACGAGAATGGCAAACCGTCATATCAGGTACAGCGCTCGGATAAGGCCCGTAGAGCCAGACTTCACACAACCACAACAGCGCAAAACCCTCAAACTACAGATGCGTCGAAAGGGAAGGCCTCAGCTACTAAGAAGGCAGTCAACACGAAGGCCACTGATAAAATCAAGCCTGAGACTCCAGCCTCAGGGTGGTTCACTCGCATCTTCAAATGGGGCTCCGGCGCAAGATCGACTAGCAGAAGCCGCCCGCCGAGCAGTGGACAGCACGATTGGGTGCTTGTTGAAGAGTTCTCAGACAGCCAAGACAAGTTGATTAAGAACAACCTCGATAAAACAGCGAGGAAAACTGGACAGCACGCTGGCTCCAAGTCTGACAAGTTATCTGGCGACGAGTTTCAAATTGGGGTTGAGGACTGGAGAGATCCCGACCTGGTCGGTTCTTCAGTTCAGAAGGATAACCAAAAAGGAACGAGCAAGGACGGTAAAAATGTCCCTGAAGCCGGTCTGAATACCGACGCTGGTAAGACAGACGCAAAGACCAAAGACACGAACAAGCCTAAAGGTGGTAGTATTACTCCTGGCAGTGGAGAGTACTCACCCAAGAGTCCAAAGGGAAAACCATCTGAACTGAAGGCTGAAAAACCAAAACCGCAACCTGCAGAGTATGCCGGCCTTCTCTCGAAGCTTTTTGGAGGACACCATAACTCTCAAGCCGCTGCAGCGAAGCCATTACCTCCTCCTCGTATTGAGACCCCCATCGTAGAGAAACCTGCGCCGGGCGAGCTAAACCCACCGGAGCAGGAAGGATTATGGGTGGTTATCACCCCAACAAGTGGAGCAAGCCCCTTCTTCGATACACTCTTGGTTCTAGTCGTCAGCCCACTCATTACGTTGACGGTGGTCTACGCGCTTCTGATTCTCCGTGCACGGATTCGACGCAGAAGGTGGAGGGCCCCTAAGTCTGTGGTGGAGAGGCTTCCGGTCAGGACATTTCATACAGTTGCCTCGACTCCGAGCCAATCACCTCGAGTTACACGGCCTCCTTCTCCTGCGCCTCCTTCTCCTACTACTCCTTTGCTGCAGAGTCAGCACAATGCTTCAAGACCAAGGCCTCGTTCTAGGACAACTACCGGTGTTGCAAGCGATTTGCTGCAAGTCAACTCATCTCTTCAAGTTCCGAGGTCCCCACCGCAAGAGAAACCTAGTGAGTGGAAAAAGTATATGGGCAGGCAAGTGGAATGCGTCGTGTGTTTGGAAGAGTATGTCGACGGAGTTAGCCAGGTCATGAGCCTTCCGTGTGGCCACGAATTCCACGTCGAGTGCATGTGAGTAAAACCCCAATGTTCTTGATGAAACACATTGGCTGATAAATCCCAGTACACCATGGTTGACTACTCGGCGCCGTACATGTCCTATCTGTAAAGGGGATGTTGTCCGATCTTTGGCACGAGGATCACCATCTAGCCCACGCTATGAGCCTTACCGCGACGACAGTGATGACGGTTTTGGTGCAGAAGCATCAACGTCGTCTTCTCTTGCTTCACGCGGTCCTATTCATCAACAAGACCATGATTCCGATGTAGAACAAGGTGTTTTGTCTCCTACTGGACATACACCTCAGCAAGAGAACTGGTTCAGTACCTTATCAAGGGGCCTAAGAGAAGCGACCAGTTCCGCGAATTCAAGGCCGCGCGACACGGCAGAAGACCGTGACAGGTGAAGCTGCTTCGTCCCAATTTTCATTTTTCTTCCTCATGACTTCACATACACGGCGTTCGGTTTGGGTCATAGCGAAGGTCCTGCTCATCTGGAAAGGTGGATTTCCTACTGTGAGGGAGTGTGGTTGCGCCGCATTTGGGGGGGATTTACTGTCTGGCGCATAATAGGATTGGTCACTCGCTCATTCCCTTGTTGATACCACTTTCTTCACTCATATTCACATACTACTTCTTGTTTACATAGAAAGCGCGCATCAACCGAGTGAGGTTCACCTGTGCACTCAATGACGAGGATTGAAGGACTACTGTGGATATGATACCCAGTCTTGTGAGACTTCACTTTGTTCTCTGAGAGGCGAGGCGTGAGAAGGTGCAGGTCGGTCGCTGGGAGACGAATATATTTCTTTCATTGAACACATGCTGCCTTGGCCTCTAAATTGCTCACGAATCTTCGTGGTCTCACTGCGCCAATGCAACAATCATGATAAAAGAGAATAATATTTTCTGTTTAGCAAACCTTCCACACCTGTAACCCAATGGGTTTTACCAATCGGCGGAGACCCTTCAAACATTTTAGCTCTGGATTTGACACAAGACGATTATAGCCTTGTTGAGAGTTTGAGATACTATGTATATGACTCTCTGTCTAATGCAAGGATTAAACCGTGCCCATGTTTTTATAGTCCAGTACGGTAGAGTTGTGCCAGATCCACGTGGTGGCTTTTGTTGCTGCTTGTGTCGCGTGCTCAATTTCACTGGGTGTCGTTTCACCGCATAACACTAAACAGTTGATTGGCTAATGTAGCAACACGGCAACCGAAACGAGAACGAGAACCTGTACCGATTACACAAGCTAGTTAACCTCTAGTGTATCGAGTGCTGCCACCGCTTCTTTTCCTATGCCATCGGTGCCGACACCGGCTGCGGCGTCTGAAGCCGAACGCCCCGCATCCTTTGAGACTTTTCCACAGGCACCATTGCAGACGGGTTGGAGAGTGAATTTTCTTTTGGTGTTGTACAGCATTAATTCCAGTACAAGCCAAGGATGGAAGCTATCGTTGGGCCGCTCAAGTGGTTTTACCATGAGTTCGGTGTTGCATCGATATACGAAACTGGCCGAAATGCCTGGCTTATCATCCTAGCCCGATCATTGCGGATGATCGCATACGGTGCCAATTCACTAATACTTGGTGAGATACGCCGTGCTTATTTTTCCGACATCGACATGAAACTAACAATAGTCACAGCCATCTTCTTCTCAGCCCTCGAATTTTCGGATCATCAAATCGGGTTGTTCATGACTTTGACATTGCTTGGCGATGTTTTCCTAGGCACACTTCTTACTCTCATTGCCGACAAGCTTGGCCGGCGTAGGGTCTTGCTTGCTGGTTCGTTTTTGATGGTGTTTAGTGGCGTGATGTTTGCCGTTTTCGAGAACTTCTGGGTTCTCCTTTTGGCTGCTATCGTGGGGGTGATAAGCGTGACGGGTGGTGATTTCGGGCCGTTCCGGAGTATAGAAGAGTAAGTGATAAAGGGGTGCAAGATAAGGATATGTGTGAGACTGAACCACTATGCAGGTCAATACTGTCTCAGCTCACCACCCCTTCGACCAGGTCTGATGTGCTGGCTTGGTACGTCACTATATCGACCGTGGGCTCGTCTCTGGGTAGCGAGGCTTCTGGTCGGATTATCCGAACGCTTGAAGTCAAGGATGGGTGGACAACTGTGGATGCATACCATGCTATATTCTGGGTGTATGCAGTTATGGGTATCGTCAATGCGCTATTGACTCTGCTGATGACCGAGGCTTGTGAGCTTGAAGACGAGAAGGACTACGTTCAAGTCCCGCAAAGTGAGGGTCAAAGTGTTGGAACTCAGCAATCTCAATTAGCGGCGCCTGAAACGGTTCAAGCACAGCGGAACTGGTTCATCCGATCTATTAATTGGCTCTCTTCCCGACTGGCTCAGATCTCAGCGCCGACTCGGTCCGTCATGTACAAGCTTTGGTTCTTGCTTGCGGTCGACTCTCTAGCAGACGGCATGGTCCCCTACTCGATGACAAATTACTATATGGACGTCACCTTTCACCCCAGCAAGGCCACACTCGGTGATGTTCAATCCATTGCTTATTTCCTGGGCGCCATCTCTTCGGTGTTCGCTGGACCACTGGCTCGTCGGATTGGTCTCATCAACACGATGGTGTTCACGCATATACCGTCTTCCGCCGCCGTTGTTTTATTCCCATTTCCGCCAGTCTTCTGGCTGTCGGCAGTCCTCCTCTTTGTGAGGGCAGGCCTCAACAACATGGATCAAGCCCCACGTACGGCGTTCATCGCGGCAGTGGTCAAGTCCGAGGAGAGAACAGCAGTCATGGGCATTACCAGTATGCTACGAACTCTTGCCGCCATGGCGGGGCCGACGATCACTGGTGTCCTGGCGGCGGACAACAAATTTTGGATTGCATTTGTGGTTGCTGGTAGCTGCCGCCTGGCATATGACCTTGGCCTGTATGCTATGTTTGTTAACATGAAGTTGTATCAGCATGAAAACAATGCCGGCGAGGCGGGAAGCGATACTTCACGCGGAAGGAGGGAACTAGATGAGGAAGAGACGCTTGAGATGGCTAGTCTCGCTGACTCAGATAGTGATTTTGGAGACGACGGGAAAGAAGGACCTCTCGCTCCTCAGACGTCAACGAAGGCGTCTTTAGGCGTTCCAAGGCATGAAACAGTCAGAAGCCGAAGTCCGCATAGTTTGAGGCGCGGTTCTTGAGAACAATGGCCTCGTTACTGCACGTGCTTCAGGTAAGAATACTCGAAGAGCCAATCATCTTCGTCAGTTCTTCTATATGATAGGGGAACAAAATTGAATAGGATGGTCCACCATTACGATTATATATGTGATGGGACGAATGTTGTTCCGTGGGAGATGCTTACGCCGCCACCTGAATAAACACAACTGCAGAATATTCTCGATGTGATTGTTGTTTGATCAAGTCTAAAGAGCTACCTCGTCTAAACCTTGTTGCCTGGCGCACCAGGTACTGAAAGCTTCCAAGCTCCAGCTCCAATTGTGGGAGCAATTTTAAATATTCCAATTCACAACACCACACCACTCAACTATCGTTAAATTAAATTTTGACTTTGGGCCAGTGAAATCATTGAGCACTGCTTGATGATAACTATTTTTTGAGACCCCCGAACATCATAGTCACCAGCTTGATACTTTTTACAGCTGTACTAGCTACACGCACCTGGTTTGCAACGATGGCGACCTCCAACACCAATGACCTGAAGCTCGGATACGACATCCTCTACCTTATTTCATGCCATCTGCCTGACAGGACACGACTGCAACTCTGCATGACAAACAAAACACTTTATAGCATGGGCTACAGCATGCTCCTTCGCGACCATGTGCAGAGAGCACTGAAGGAGCATATCAATGACTTTGCTTCAGATACTGGGAATAGTAGTGTCTCAAGTTCCCATGATGACGAGGAACACGATGCACTCAATGAAGATGAACAAGAAGAGGACGACGACGAATTCGAGTTCGATGAATCTTCTATCGAGTACGGTATGGAAGGCAAGGTCGCCATGATTCCAAGAGTTCTTTCTTTCACCATAGAGAAAGACAATGTAGCATTCGCAAGACGACTCATGGCTCTTATAGACTTCGAAGACTGTAAGCTGATCAGAGATCACCTACGCCACTTTTGGATAGATTTGATCTCTATCTGCGTTACATGGTCAGCTCTAGCATGCTTCGAGTTTTTCGCAGAAGAGACAATCCTCATATCATCCGTTAACCACCGCGAAGCATCAACGGGATGGCTAGAGGTTATCGCTGAGGAAAAGGATATCTCCATGCTTGATAGCCTTACAAGAAGCGTTCTATTCCTTATCAACAGTGATGAGGTGGACGCACCAAGTTTCTCACACACTTCGGCGATAGCTCAGAGTGTAACTATGATCGAAACCATTCTCAATCTTGCGGTCACATATATTCCCGACCCACTGGCCTACTATATCATGTCCCAGGCTCTTGTGGCTCACTGCGGTGTTTTTGGTTCTCCATCCACGATTGTAAACGTTCTTTTGAAGTTCTGGGGACCTGATCCGCCTATGAGCTTTCTAAAACCTGGCTTCGTCGCAGCATGCAAGCATCTCAACGTAGAAGCCATGAAAACTCTGCTTGAGCTTGGTGATCCGCGGTGGCCACAAATGCTCGAGGACTTCGATCCATGGAAGACTGTCCTGGACCAGATGGTTTGGGATCCACTCAGCGGTGGATCAGACTACAATCATCCAAAACCATGGATATGGCGTTTGTACGATACAAGAAGAGGGACCAATAATGGCACGGAAAGAGCCTCCGAGATTGCAACTAGCTCCCCTAGCCACACTGAGCCGTGCCAATTCTGCGTGGATAATCTTTTGCCTCATCATCGCGGTAGTTACTGGGCTTGGTTGGATCAAATCCAGCTATTTGGAAAGAGACTGCTTGCTTGTATCACATTTTTGCTAGCGGCAGGTGCAGGTGTAAGCATGAGTAATGAATCAGGAGAATCCTCCTCTCTTGAGACATTTTTCAAGCTCTCCGAAACCATCATTGTACACAGCCGAAGCCACCGCTTTGGTCGCAACGTTACTCCGGAGTCCATGTGGCAATATACCGAGAGGCTTGCAGAAGAAGCTGAAGAGTTCCAAGTGTTTGGTGACATTTGCGACGAGTTTCTAAATGCAGGGGCCCATCTTCTCGATCTCCAAGCAATGCCACTGGAGACTGGATATTTGAGGCTGATAAGACTCCTTAGAAAATGGCAACACTCTTAGCTGTTTATCAGATTCTATGGTGAGGATCAGAGGTTTGGGATTAGACATGAAAAATAAATGAGAGACGGAAACCTCCACGAAGTTGTTCAAGATCGCGGCAAAGAAAATCATGAGAAAGCGGACAGAATTCAGCGGCACGCTAGAAGATCAGGAATCTTTAAAATCGTGCAAAACCTAGTTATAAGTCTCTAGATTGATACTCTGTAGTCTTTGAACCTCTTCCACATAATACTAGGTTTATGTTCTAGCCGCGCAAATTTTTCTGTCATTGGAACAATTATTTGCTACTATATGAATGAGTTTAGCTTTCTGGCCTTCAAATCACGCAAAGTACCATTGCGATGCTCTGTGCCAGACGTGGACAGGCCCAGTCATTATTCGGTTCACGACGACCTTGGATAATATTAAAAATAGAGCAGATGATAGATCATCCTTCAATCTCTCAGTATCGGCGCCTCTGTACGTTTCAAACTTCCATCTTTTGGCGACAAGACGCTCTCCTCGCTATCATTCTCACTGACACCGTTCTGATTCATATTGACAATTCGGGCATGATATCCCTCAAAAATCGCGTGTTACTCTATGCTGCTCAAAGCTATATCTTCCTGTTGACGGTACTGACTTCGTTGACGCGCGGCAGTTTGTTGGCCATTGTAATAGTATAAGCGTTTCGATTCTCCGCCGAGCGCTTTCGGGAAAAGCGGCCGGAGGATGCTGCGATAATCCCAACGTACAGCTCGGCGCTGCATGAAGATACATCATCAGCAGAACTCAAGAGAAGAAGAGGTCTTTAGTACACGTACAAGTTCCATAAAAAGAAAGCATAATGCCTGCTTTAGAGTTAATATTAACTTCGAAAGCCGTCGCTTCTTAATAACAACTTGCCATAGTGGATCCGGATCCGCAAAGTCCACAGACATCAGATATACCCGAACAATGGAAGCAACACAGGCGCTTTAAAGGGTCAATGAAACCAGATATGATTCTTAAACCATCTTGGCACTCACAACAGACCGAGGCTCAGAATTAGCACTAGTGTCGTCTTGGTTCTTTTGTTTACCTTTAAAGCAAGAATAACTGGAATGGGAAGAGTAACAAAAATGACATCTGTCATCACGTTGATGATTCCATTAAACCTTCCAATCTTCGCAAAAGTCGCATTTGAGAAACACTTTGCACCTGGGGCAGCCTTATCGATCCAGGAAGCAGAAACGGGAATGCATTGGAGCAGCAACGTGAGATCGCTAACAAGTGTGAACACCGCTAGGAGGCCTATTCATTTGCTCAAGTCAGCTAAATATGTGTCTGAGTGGCACACCGATCCTGATTGAAGTGGAAGCTCACCAAGCATTATATAGATAGAAAGCTTATACATTTTCCCCTGCACGAAATGCAGTAGATGAAAACCCACCGAGGATTTGACCAAACTGATACCTGTCACAACAATGGAGCCGTGAATATACTGCCAAAATCGAAACTGAGTATAGTTATTGGCTGTGACGTCTTTTCTGTGTGTGCCTGCGCCGTGCTCTGTTTCCGTCACTACACAGATGGTAGTGCCTATGGCCATGGCCTGTTGCCAATGATACTGGTTAGTGCAAAACGAAAGATGTATCGAGATAACTAGATGGACGAACTGCCGCCGAAACCATGATGCCATCGTCAATCCCAAATGCATTCTTCATGAAATGTCGAACGCAAATACGTAAGGTAACCACGATAAGGCAAAGGCCGAACATGAATCCGTTCCATCCTAGAATCGGCGCCTTGTTGGATGGGATTGGCATTGTGTCAACGCTGCTCAGACTGGTGTGGTCCCATGAGTTTAAACAGCTTGCTAAATATATAATAAGTATTCGAAATTTGATCAACCCGTTGGGGGCTGGGGACATGCGAAGTAAAGAATTAGTGAAGGCTCCGCCCGTAGACTCCATTCAGGGCTTAAGACAGTTCAAGGGTTTTGAGGTGGAACGGACCCAACAACTACTAAGAGAAGGATTGTTGATGTGTTCACAGGACTCATTCAAGATGGATGGGCATATTCTTCGTCGTTTACTTGGAGTCTGCATGAGGGTATGATCGCCAGGTGGCTCCGTTGTAACCTAGGATATGGCGAAATGAAATTTCGTTTCATAAGTGATCACACAGGGATCGCTGTCAATGGCCCGTCACAAGTTCTGGACTTAGAAGAGAAATTGCGTGATCACAATGATATTGTTTGTTTTCGATTTATGTACCTTGCCTGGTCTAATTGTGACGGGCACTGCAATGATAATGGTCTGGTTTGGAATAATCCTGCAGGAACTCTTTATGGAGAGGAATGAGTGTTATCACAATTCAAAAACTATGGCAGTCATGAGAGCACCTCTGGTCATGTACAGGATCATATTAAACAGTAGACCACGGAACAATGCGAATGATGCTTCAGCGTATAAAGCTAAATATAGTGATGATTGTGCATGCTTAACACAAGGAAGAAAAGGAGTGGAAACGAGCGTAAGGCTCATGTTATGCTATTATGCCAAGAATATTCGAGCGTCTCGCCTGGAATGAGCTCAGAAAGTTCAAACACTTTCCCTGGCTCGTGCCATTTGTGGATTATCTTTGGCAAGGGAATAGTAGTTTTTGTTCGCAAGCATCCAGTGCTGATAAAGTTAAAATCGGGCCCTGCATCGTTTCTCTCCTTCGGAATGCGTGAATTTCCGATGCTCCATGCTCCACGATCACCTACATAATAGAAGAGTCTGAAACTGCTTCTATATCCCGATCGCTTACTAACCGATGGGGTCCAACTACAAGCATCGCAGGCCTCTTGTGAATCTTCCAAGATGGTATTTTGCGTATTAGGATCTGGTGACTGATCTGGCAGAATTAAATTATTCGCTTGTTGTGTTTGGTTTGCATCATCTACCGAGGAGATTTGACCCAGATCCAAAGTAAGATCTGTCACAGACATGGCTGTAAGTTTAATAGCTTTATGCGTCGTGTGTATTATCGCATGTCTTCAATTTGCAATGCCACAAGATTTCCGGATGTAGCTAAGGTCTGGAGCTTTCGGGCATGGTAAGATGCCATTGATATCAGTGGAAAGCAATGTCACTGCGGGAAACCTGTTTGTTCTTTCTCGGCTGATTGGTTGCCTGAGCAACATCATATCATAACCAGCAACAAAAGAGCGATCGGCCAAGCCACGACACCGCAGGAGATCTAAGGCTTGAGTATAATCACACAGCTTAGTCGACTTCATCGATACGTTTCTATATCACGACGGAGTGGCATACGCTAAAAGCCACCGACCCAACTGTGTCTTACCAAAGTGATACTAACAGCCATTTTCACCACGTCTTTCGAGACTACTATTTACGCAAAGCACATCGGCTCTCGAAGAGCTGAGTTATTGCAAGGTCCCCTCAAAGCAATTATCAAATGGCCACTACTTCAGGTCTCAAAAGAATATCCACCATTGTTGTGGCAAATTAGTATCACAAAACGGTGTACTGGATATAATTCTGCAGTATACAACTAAATTCTCTTCCCAGCTGTAAAATAAGTTCAACACCTTTGTCAATAAGCTATAGGCAAATGAGAGGAAGAAATAATTAACAAGTATAGCGTATAATTCGTGGCAAAAGATTGTTTTAATGAGATGTTATTTCCCGTAAGCCTGAATCAATCCTCAATATCAGAAGACCTCAGTCTTAGAGAAACAACCTTCATCCGAAAGCTCACAGTCTCATAAGCATGCACTAAAGAAATACCAAAGTAAAGTGCCTCGATTACAGCTATGGGACGAACAATATAAGTAAGAGGGAGCTACCTAAGAGATGCGGTAAGCCGCTTCGTTACTCAAGATATAGCCCCTCTAAGTTGATATTAGGTCTTACATGTTGCTATATGACGCTTGTGACTTCGATCAGCAGATATGAAAGCTTCGGTGGTTGTGACAACAACCTCACAAAGGGGTTGAGGTTGTCAATCTAACAGTATTATGCCTGCTGGGACGAACTGATAATTTGAACAATTGGAGGGTGGATGAGTACTTCAGTGGAACATATGTGGTAGATGGTTGTAGATAACGAGTGCTATTTTATCTCAGATGATACTAAAAGACGAAAAACGGAGAACCTTTTTGTCCTTCATACCTATACTAGCCCCTCCTGATCATAGCGATAGTCTTCCTGCTTTATCTAAATCCTCGATACCTAGAAAGGTGGCTAAGTCGACAAGGATAGCCCAAATAGCGAAAGTGATGTCTATACGAGGATGAGAAAACAATGGACATACGAAAAACATATAAAATGTAAGAACCAATATCCCGCATTTTTGATACCCTCAGCTATCCCAGATAGCACCATATGCCGGAATGCCACGAGTTTCGAGCCCGTACACGACTTTCTTGGTGATCTTCTCATTGGCGATGATAATCACGGCCTCGGCACCGGAACTCTTAGCGAGACTGTAACCCATCTTAACCAAGTCCGGCCGTCCGAGTAGCTTCGTGTCATGAATCACAGCATCTGGGATCTTTTCGCGGATAGCATCCAGCATGGGACGCCCAAACGTCTTTTCCGGGTTGGGGGTTGACCAGATCAATTTGGTCGGGCAACTAGGATTCTGGAGATGGCCTAACTGGGGCCCAATACCCGACCCGGTGGCTATGACCACAACCCGGTTGAATAGCGTAGCAATGCGCATCACGCCACAAGTCGGTACACTTCGTACCCACAAATGAGTGGGCGGATTATTAATTATGTCTTTCGTCCAGTCACCTGCATTGGATACCACGAGAGAGTAGCCTTTTGACCGACCATTCACGGCTTGGGGAGCTGGAATGGTGGCAAAGGAGTGCCATTCAAAAAGAGGCTTCCTAGAGATACGTGTGAAGCTTCCATTGACAGGAACGGTGTAATCGAAATGCAAGCGGACAGCATGGGGTGACAAGACCTCTGCATCAACACGAACCCTGCGAAGATATAGCCACGACAAGGCAATACTACACGTCGCGACAACGAGCAGCCAGAGTGTTGGGGCGCGTAACCAGGCAGAACCCAAGGATTGGTGAGCCGGCTTACTATCATTGACCGACAGCACTGCTTGGACCCAGAAGAGCCCAAGCATTGTCCATCCAACAAAGCGGTGGACTTTCTCGAATAAATCATGATTTCGCTTCCTAAATGGAGGCCAAGCGAATCCGAACATGAGAAGAAAGAACGCTGTAAGAATCCAAGAGACAACGGCGGTGGCTAACGATTGGGATGCTTCCCCCGCGATACATGTCTCAGGGGCTAGTTGGCAAGTGATGTTTGAGATGTTCGACGCGAGCAGCCACATGGCCGCACATACGGCAGCGCTTGAATGGACACCACCCAAGTGATATATTTTGGCGCACTTTTTGCGTATCAAAAGCGGCCAAGATGTAGGCACAGAACAGCAGATGGTGTATAGAGCGTTTATGACAAAGTCTTGACGAATCAGTACAGCCAGAACAAGGTTGATGGCTGTCATTGTGCCGAGCCATTGCCGGTCAACTCCTTTGAACAGGATAGCAATCAGAGCACCCACATTCCCAAGGCCGACCAAAGAGAACAAGAAGCGGTAAACAATGAATACACGATAAATGAGGCCTCTGAACGGTTTTCTGAGACTCTTGTCGGGTATATCTGCGGACAAATCGGACTTCTCGTCGATACTTGCGGCACTAACAGTGATTCCGTTGGTAGCAGCACCCTTCATTAGACTGCCAGACGTCTCTGATCCAGAGGTTGATATGTTACTGCCAGAAGCACTGGATGCCAACAACTTGTCGTCCTTTGCGGACCCAGCCATTGCGCGAAGCAGCTTTTTATCGAGTTTGCCATTGCTAGTCTCGGGGAGAGTTTCTAGCAGATGAAATTTGCTAGGAACGGCGTAGTATGGTTGTTGTAGCGTCAATTGCTGCTTGACAGCATCGAGATTTATGGTCATTGGCTCCAGATATCCGTGAATCTCTCCTTGAATAAGCAGAGCTGTGGCTCGGATCACTCCAGGACATCTATTCAAAGATGCTGACACTCCGTCAAGCTCCACTCTAAATCCTTTGACTTTGACTTGATCGTCAGCTCGACCGAGGATATCCAAAACGCCATCTGGCCTCCATTGGCCGATGTCACCCGTATTGTACATCATGCTGCCATCATTTGCGAACGTGTCTGGTCTGTATTTGACAGCTGTAGTATCCGGTAAGTTAATATAGCCCCTTGTGATACCAAGGCCACCTCCCCACATAAGACCAGGCTGTCCAACTGGTACAGGCTGTAGATCTTCATCCAGCACATAGACTGAATTGTTCGGAGTTGGCGCGCCGATGGTCAGGGGGCCACCTGGAATGTGTTTATGCATGGTGTTTACAATGGTGGTTTCTGTAGGACCACAACAGTTGTAGTATGTACCATGAGAAGCCCATAAATCAGCTATCCTTTGCCCACTAGGTTCTCCAGCAGTCGCGACCATCTTGATGTTGGGATATACATCCGGGCTGTACTTGGCCAAAATACTCGGCGTGCAAATGAGAACCTCTATCTCACGAAGAGCTTGCGCCCAATCTGAACCTCTCAAAATGAGGGTGCCTCCATTGCAGAGGCTCCCAAGAATTTCCCATGCACCCATATCAAAACTAATGTTGAGAACTGAACCTACTCGCACCCCGGGCTTGATACCAAGGTTGCCAGGAGACAAGCCAATCAAATTCGTCACATTTTCGTGTGTTACGTCGACTCCCTTCGGTGCTCCAGTTGTGCCAGAGGTGTAAATGACATAGCATCCAAGATCTTCTCTGGCAAGGTCAACGAAGCTCTCTTCAATTGGGTAATTTCCCTCCCACGACTTGAGCTCCTCGATCTCTTCGTCAATAATCACAGACCGACAGCCTTTTTCATCGATGGTGGAAAGTCGATACTCGGTGGAGGCAAGACAGACAGCGACGCCTCCCCCACTTTGTTCTAAGACAACACGCAGGGTAGTATCGGGAACCACACCGCCATCAAGAGGCACATATTGTGCACCACATGAGAGGATGGCTATGATACCGACCAACATTTCAATGCCTCGCTTGACGACCAGTGGTACACGATCTCCAGGCTCAACGCCTAGCGTACGGAGGTGGGTAGCGAGCCGCCGGCTTCGGGACGCTAGCTCGCCATAAGTAATAGTCCGGACTGAAGGCTGCGAAAAGTCTCGCGCTGCGATGGCGTCAGGCTGTGCCTTGGCATAGTGGAAGAACGCGGCCGTGACAGTACGAAAAGGCCTAGCTTGACGTGGACCAAAACTGAAGCATAGGGGATCTAAAAGATTGACCGGAAAGCGACCGGCTGACATTCCGCGAGCCGGAAGCGCTTGGTTCGATGGTGTTGCCATACTAGTTGCACTTGAGTTCGGCAAATAAGCGAAGCTGGAATATGCTTGTCTTATAGGATGAAAGGGAAGTGCAGGTGCGGGTGCGGCACTGGTGAGAGTGAGATTCCAAATACTTGACACTTGCCATGTGGGCGAGACTCCTGCACCTTATATATGTCTTTCTTCCCTGGCTACCGCTGTACTCCATTCTTCCCTTTCTTTACACCATCATCTTTAGGAAGCTGGAAAAGAAAGTGGAATGCCGTGCTCAGGCTCGTGCCGAGCGTCACCTTGCACGCAAGGCGATGCTGCCACCGGGAGCCTATGGGATTCATGATCACAGACATTGGACACCGGTCAATGGTAGCAAGGAATGTTGCCACTTGAATGCATTCAACCCAAAATGCTTCACGGCATCGAAGATCCGGCAGTTCACACTTGCCCTTCCTGGAAGATGTTCGACGATGAGACATATCTGGTCTTTTCACCACAACCTTGGCAGATGTTTGCAACCTTGTCAAGCATGGATGTATACCTGCGATGACACTTGTTAGCAAACCAACAGGTTTGACGCTGAAAGTCTTTGGTGGGATAATTCCCTCAAAGTCACAAATGTGAGGAGTCTTGGGAGTGGGCAGGCCTCCAAACGGAGTACCAATTCGACAAGACCAGATGGGGGGCGTTGTGAGGTGACATTGAAAGCCGAAGGGCTGTACCAGTGTTCTTGCCATCTTCCAGCAAATTCTCGAGACATCACTAATATGACGAGCTAATACCCAGCTCTCTGCTCTGTTTCGGGTACTTCTCGATGCAAGGATCCGCGGATCCGTTTGCAATTCCTGAAGTCTGTGTAGGGTTGGGCCTTCACTTATGGCTGATGCTCGGCAACTTCTAGTTCGGGGAGAGCAATACTACAGGACATCCATTCAGTATTAGCTATTGTCTAGAAGTCAGTGTTTGGAATATGCAAGAGCCGTCTTGGCCATATCTGTTGCTCGGGGATACAGAGACACCGGTCCGCAATATTAGATTACACTAATGACTGATCCTGGAAATGACTGCGTTCAAGGTACAAGACTCAGGCTCAGGCAGCACGGCTCCTGGCGTTTGTCCTCCAATGGAACCAAAGGAACTTAAGCCAACCGGTACGAGGCATTAAGTTTAGGGTTTGTGCCAAGTCGGCATCGAGTCCGGCCTAGTAATGGCAGGGCGATCAAGGGTCATAAGGGAGGCATGGATATAACCAGAGCAATGGCTTTCTACACGTAAGTCTACACGTAAGTGTTCGGTAACTCTCCATAAAAGCTAACCTTTTTAGTAAGAGCTCACCTAAAAGGATATATGATGCATAACAATGTCAGCACACGTGGTCAGCTTATGCTGCATAGACATCCTTCGCAATCAGTCTATGGACCATTCTGCCTTGCTTTTGTTTTCGGGGTCCAGTTACGATGGCGGCTCGGCAAGCGCACCGACTCCCCCAGTCAAGTGAAGTTATCTCCACTATGGGGTAACGAGGATGTCTAGACGCACCGTTGGCGCTGATATCGGCCGAGCGTCTACATACAAACTGTAGCGTTCGGAGGCGGACGTTGTTACACATGGCGCTGCAACGTGCCTGCGTTGATCTAAACTCAATTGGCCATCGATGCTGCGGGTACTCGGCTGGTTGGCCTAACGCGGCCTAGGTGATGCAAAAGCATTCCCACAGGCACTTGCCGCTGCTTCTTTGGTGAATGGCCAGAGCATCCTGGACGCTGCAACCGCGCATGCAGTCACAACCTTGATGTTAAAGACAACGAACCAAAAGGTTGTAGGAATGCGAGTCAGGATTGTTGCGAAATATGGCGAAATTATGAACCTCAGGACCAAAAAACGCATGTCTGATTGGCCTTCCGCTTTGGTGTGATTGATCTTTGACATGTGAAGCACACATTTCCAAATACTGGCTTGCCATCGCGGCTGTGGAAGTTGTTTGGTTGAGATCGATCGGCGAATGCCGTCAAACAAGGTTGCTTCAACCTCTTGGTAGGATGCTTCTGTGATCCACGGACGTAATGATACGTGGCACCCTTCTTATAGATTAGGAAAGTCGTATACCAGAAGCTGACCTTGGAGTTGATAAAGAGTGTCTGGTCTCAAACAAATTATTTGCAATATGACGCCTTTCCTTTCAATCGTCGATCAATTGCAACACAATAGCTCTTGCCACCAAAGATACCAGCAGACGAGTGAGAGACATGACAAATTCCAATGAACTTGTAACCTCCAGCACGCCTGTGGCGAGTGTGAGGGTCATTGCATTCGACCGGCCAAATAAGAGAAACGCTTTATCGCAAGCGCTCATCGATGACTTCTTAGGAAAGCTTGCCGCAGCAAGAGATGAAATTGACATCAAAGCGATTGTGATTACGGGAAACGCATCCTGCTTTTCAGGTCAGTGAGACGCCTTTGCGGCAAACGGCAACGAAAGGACTGAAACAAGACAGCCGGTGCCGACATCAAGGAAATTGCAGAGCTTAGCACAGAAGCCGCACAGAGAGGTCGTTACCTTGAAGACCTCTGTAGAGGTATGGATGCAACCCGTAAGCCATTGATCGCTGCGGTAGAAGGCATGGCTGTACGATAAACCAAAGAAAGCCCGATAAATGCATGGAATGATTGCTGACGTCGGACAGCTTGGCGGCGGATTCGAAGTGGCGCTCATGGTATGACGGCGCCCAACCCCTATCAAGTTTTGTCTTTCAGCTTGTACTATAGTATACTAATCTGTTACGAAGTGCGACCTCATCTTAGCATCAGAAAAGGCATACTTTGGTTTGCCAGAAGTGAAGATTGGACTAATTCCCGGCGCTGGAGGAACTCAGCGACTGACGAATGCGTTGGGCAAGTATAAGGCTATGCAGATGATCCTCTTTGGATCAACTATAAATGCGAAGGAGGCAGAAGCTTATGGGCTAGTCTCCCATGTATATGAGCCCGGGTCGGTGTTGGAGAATGCTTTGCAAGTCGCAACCCAACTGGCGCAGCTCAGTCCTGGAGCGCTGTCGCTAGCCAAGGAAGCTATTTGCCGTTGTACGTTCCAACCTCTCTTCTTCGACTATTTGACACAGTATACTGATCGAGGACTTTTCCATTTCAGGCGACAAGAAAGGTCGCGACGACGAGTTCGAGCGCAGCTTGTATTATTCGGCGTTCAGTTCTTCGCACAAGACGGAAGGAATAAGCGCTTTTTTGGAAAAGCGGCCGCCAAAGTGGTGATGATGCCCGTTGTGTACTCAAAAGACTAGCTGCCATATCGGCTTGTCTCGATTGATGATGGCTTCGTATCTGTGCAAATTGAACGAGCTCATTGGCAGATTGGCATCTCGGCAGACAGATTTGGCGACAGATCCTTGAAGTTCTGCGTACCTGCATATGTCACACGCACCTTGTGAGCTACGTCTTCTTTGCAAGACAACTGGGCATTTTAGCCTTCTGAGGTTGTGCCAACAAAGGAAGCTCAGATGCTCATACCGAACTGATCTTAGCGTACATTTGGAAAGAATTAATCATCGTCGCAAATAAACAGGTGGGTATATGTGCACTGGACGTGAATATGAGTCACTGGAGGTACTCTCTGGTTGCCTTTAGACTAGAGCAGAGCGTCCTGAGCCTGCGGTGACACTGAGACTGGATATAGACCTCCACCAACGCGACCTCTTTCAGCGGAACTCGCCCGAAACCGCTCCATTGGCCCTAGGTTGCTGAAAGATGAAAGATGCAAGATGAAAGTGATGAGCAGTGGTGATACGCCGCGCAGGTTGGAAAAGACTGCAAGCCTCGGCTGCTAGTCAGGTTTTCGTGCCAATTATCAGTTAGGAACAGCCTTGCACATTCTCCAGGTTATCACAGTAGCAAAGTAGGTCGTTGCATGAGATGCACCAAAAGTCACTGCCAGCCTCCTGCATGCCAACTTCTGGTGGAATGATGGGAAATTGGGTGGTGGGTGACATCATTCTGATCCTATTGAGGGGAAGTTCAGGGAGCAGCGACAGGGGTCAAGGGCACCGTAACCACACCCGGCTTCACACTAAACTGCTACTGTAAGGTTAGAAATTTGCCGGACTTCGGATCTCGACAATCTTTGGTGATATTTTGTCGGTAGATATTCCCCAGCCTCGTAGGCCCTTTGTGTGTTCGGCATGCAGCTAATACTTTAGTCAATATGTCGTCATGGAGATACGAGTATATATATTTATATATATATATTGTATGAAAACTCAAATGTACCCGGTTATGGAAGGTGATTGAGATTCCTATCCAACCTGTGGTTCTTGTCTCCATTGTATCGTGTGTTCGGCGTGGTTCATTGCTCGACACTGATCAATTGATTGCCATCGATAATAGACAGTCCATTTTCGCCACAAGCTCGCGACCATCGTAGCAATGGCGCCCGTTCGAGACCTGAGCGCATTTCTCCCCACGCGGTCTGTCCCGCAGTTCGCCACAAAAGTCTTCGCCCGTCAAGCTGCCACAACCACCGTTGTCACAACGGGCTCCGACAGCGCCAACAGCAACAACTTATCCGGTGGCGCCATCGCCGGTATCGTCATCGGCTCCATCGTGGGTCTTCTGTTGCTGATATGGATCATCCGGTCGTGCTTGAACCTAGGAAAGACCAATCAATGGGGACAGAGCTTCGGCGAGCAGGAGAAGCCTCCTAGATCCGGCCCGCCCCCAACATACTATCGCCAGGAAGCCAGCCGTACTCGTCATCACAGCAGGGGTAGGCGCTCAAGATCCAGGCGCTCAAGGTCCAGGCACTCGCACTACGATCGCAGCCCAAGACGCAGTGTAGAGGTGCGCCCTGTCTACGTCCAAGAACCTGTCGCACCTCAACAGGCCTATTATCCAAGAGATACAAGACGTTCATCGAGGAGGAGTAGTAGGAACTACTATGTCTAAGACACCACTTTGGGGAATGGAAATAATGGGGGTGCGAGGTTTTTTTTTTTTTCTTTTTATCTTTTTACGAATCGTGGATGGTTTTTTCCACTAGTCACAACGTTGTATGCGAAATCTACCATACATCATCCGATCTAACGAACATTTGGAACTAGAATTTCGACGCAAGGGAGATTAACCATGGGAATGACATGGGCCTTGCGTTGAGTACTTAGACATTCTGATTTATGATATGATTATAAATTCGTTAGACGATACAGTCAATTTATCATTTTACATTTATACAATTTCTTCATGCTTCTTAGTGACACTTGTGACCACTCTATGTATGTGATAATCTTACATCGGCTTAACTTTTGAGTCTTTCCGTTGTATACGTTGTGACGAACAAAAGGGACCCATGCTGCCGTAGGCGTCACTCTCGACATCCTATTCCCGCTTCAGTGGGTTCCCACGATAGGCCCTCTAACAAGGAATTCCGATGGAAAAAATTGAAACATGGACACCATGAAAGTTAGTATTCCGGCTATAACGAGGTCCAAATTACTCAGTCCCAACCGATCCAGATTTCGCTGAAGGCTTGATGGATAATGGGACTCCCATTAGTAGCAGTTGCGGATTCTCCAGCGTTTTTTGTATACCTTCAAAGATAAAGCCCTCCGCTGACATCTCAACCTCGTCCGTAGCACTACTGTTATGTCAATCTTTCGAGACGGTGCAAGTGGAGTTGGGGTATTGAAATGTAGAGACTAAGGGTAAACCGGAGGTAACATGTTCAGTGCTGGACGAAAGCGTCAGAGAAGTAAGCTCGTAAATCATATACCATAGCATCAGTCGGTCCGTGGGGAGTAGGAGCCAGTGGTCTGGCGGGTTCAATATGTGCAATCCAAATATGCTCTCAATCAATTCTGATCCTTGTACCGTACTTCTGACAGCGAAATTCTTGATCTCTTGCAGGTGACAGCCAAACTTGAGAAGATCCGAAGTGTGAACGCCGGGCATCTTGCATCGAGTGTGAACACTGAGCACTGATCCAGCGACGTAGCTTGATGTCTGGCATTCTGGTTACCATCAGCTCAGTCACACCGTTGCTGTTATAGATGAGCCATTCCAGCGCCGCCATCTGTTGCATGACTGCTAGACACATTCTTATCCAACTCAAAGACTGACAATTTCATTACTCGTAGAGCGGTCCAGTCATGCTCACGTCCAAAAACTACAGCGAATGAAGCGCCATCTAGTCTCTTGTTCACAAAGGCCACCTTTGCGCCGTGTAGATTACCCCTCAGCTGCGGTGACAAGTCCTTACGTCAAAAGTTGTAGGTGACACTGCCATGGCAGTTGCAATTGACTGGGAGGATATTGAAACGTTAGAATGTTGCCATCAAAAACCAGGCCGCCTTCTGACGGCCTGTATTCTAGACCATCTCAAGATATCACCTATCCTGTTTGTGGTCAGAGTCGGCTCATCTTTTACCGTGCTCAAGTTAGCTTGTCTGTTCGTCTCATCGCCTGTGTCTCCCTAATCATTGCTATCTACCAATCTCTTGGTCTTCCGGGTTCTAAAACATGAGACTCGACAAGGCAGTGGGCGCCTAAACCTTCACAATGCATGCAAATATCAAAATCACCACCAAGGCAGACCCTAAAACTAAAGTAGATTTTTCTCTCACGATCGTCCAACATATGTCGCACAAACGACGGTCCAACGAAAATTGTGCAGGACCCGCTGCAGCCTGGAGTTGTTCGAGGATAGGTAAACCTGTCTTATCTGCAAATTCGATTATTTGCTCCACAATATGTATATGGTTCTGTCTTTGCGCCCACCAGAACGGGGTACGACCGAAATCGTCTGCCAATGTCAAATCAGTGTTCGATAAAGGCAGAAGCACCCTGACCATATCCTTATGCCCATATCTTGAAGCTATGGAAAGGGCCGTGGATCCAAAATGATCTTTAGAGGTAACGAGTGAAGGGGTACAATCCAAAAACATGGTGAAAAGTTCGAAATTTCCAGAACTAATTGCGTGGAGGAAAGCCGATCGACCAGTGGAATTAAGTGCCATAACGTCGGAACCTTTCGCGAGAAGTAGCTTAACCACTTCGATGTGTCCATTGTATGAAGCATTATTTAGCGGCGTCCATCCATCATTATTCGCCATATCCAGGTTGGCTCCCTGCTCGAGAAGCAGCTTAACCACTTTAATGTTCCCTTTAGATAAAGTAACCTGTAGCGCGATGCCATAGTAGCCGCCTTGAGCATTGATATTAGCCTCGGCGTTTATTAATAATTGTATAACTTTTTATGTCCTGTACACGAAGCAGCCTGTACCGCCATGCTATAATCACCGTTATGAGGATTGGCATTAGCCTCTCTATCTATCATTGCTTTAATATAACATGAAAGCCTACTAAGTGATGCGCAGTATAGGCTAGACGGTATATTGCTGCTTTGTTGGAAGTTTTCTGGTTCATCTTGCCATGGTCGGTCTAGGTCATATAGTCGGCGCTAGCTCTTAATTTTATTAGTACTCGACAATAAATGTATTGCTGGCGCAAACACTTGCTAGTGGTTATAATACCCGATAACAGCATGACCTATCTAATACCGTGCCGAATAGCGAGAGAATGGGAAAAGCTTGCTCGTGTCTTTTTCTGGTTTGGGCTTAAGAATATACGATAAGCAGACTTTTGTTATAGAAGCTCGAGCTAGTTCCTGCTCCAAATAATGGTCATCATCTTTCTTTAAACGGTTAGAAGTGGGGTAGTCCTTTACTAAAAAGTGCGCTATTAAATCTCTTTAATCGTTTTATCTTCGTTATATTTGCCATTTTTCTAGACGAGAAAAACTAAACTTGAATAGTATCGAGTGACTTCTTACGGAACTAGTAATTTGCCTTATATGTTAAATTAAGACCTAATTATTACGTCTTCTCTAACATTGATAACAATTACATTAATTACCTTATCTAACCGTAAGGGCCGATCTAAATATATTAAGAACTATAAGATTTGTTTTGTATAATATATGGAAGTCGTGAGTGTTGGCTGTACTATCATAGCGGAAAGGCTAAGTGGATTATATCGACCCTTGTCGGAGTTATATTTGGCTTGATAAATATAAGGCCTGAGAGATAGGCCTTTCAGATAGTTTTCTTTCCCATACTTTTACACTTTTAGTATAGTTAGCCGTTAGTTTTGCAGCGATGTATTTAGCGATAACGAGCCAAGCTCGTTATCGCTAATTAATAATATTTTGGTTGTCGAACTCATCCTTTTCACTCTTTATCTATTGATTAGTCCACGAAAGAGCCTGCGAGCTCATCGTAAGGCCCATAGCCAAGGGACAAGACAGTATCCCTAGTTTAATATCCTTGCCACTTTACGTTCTTATATATGTCCGAGTAGTCGCAAATGCTGCGAATCACAGGACAAGGGAAGTAGTTCATTAGTCTGGCAGCCTCCATTTCGAAACCTAGTACATCCTTTTCTGCCGAGAGCCTATCTCGTATAGTTACATCCTTTATTAGTTGATTAGCGGACGCTATAAGGCCGAAATGAATTATCGGATCATCTTGTTCTTCGGTTCGCTTAGCTCGGCTAGTCAACTTCGAATCGGTAACGTGTAGTCGTATAATCAGCATCATCGTTCCTAGTATGTTAGAAGGAGGGTATATATAGGCGGTCCGAGCTAGAGTCTGGCCTCCGGTATTTGACTCGTAACCGCGACTTCTTTTCGAGAACGCGGTTAATCTTTGTGTTCATATCATAGCCTTCACTCTCATATTGAGCCTTTAGCACAGACATCGCTGCCAGCATAAACTGCGGCGGCTGATTCAAGTGTCCAGTCATGACGAACTTCGCGTCTTGTACCGTTTAGCCATAGTCGTATTGTAGTACACCTCCAGTGCCATAGCCTGGAGAGCTGACAACGATGTCACCTAACCGAATATCGTGTTTCAGACTTGGTGCACCACCGCCGATACCGACCATAAGCCCGATCCTCACGTTGGGAGCCCTTAGCTTGCCCTCAGCCTCAAACCTGAGCCTGCGCCTTTGTGTTGACCTCCAAGTCGGCTGCATGCTGAAAGATGAATGACCAGAAGTCTATGGCGCAATTACGAGGAACTACCCACTTGTAGTGCAAGGCATACTCATCGGGGGCGGGGGCCTTTAAGCCTCACAGATTCGGTGAAGACTTGCATATCTGTGATTGACGACGAAATCATAAGGTCATCAGTCTGTGTTGTTTGGCAAGAAGTGGCGTCTAGACTAGACTAATAAGAGCAGAAACCATCACAATTCAAACGGTGTTTATAAATCCTTCCGAGGATTCTTCTAAGGTTAGGTTACTATACTTTCCGTATTTGTGTCTAACAGCCCAAGATCATAGATCAGGGTTAGCGTTCCACGGGCCCCGTGATTAATTTCAGTCTAGACTAACCTCCGCTTTCACACATGTACAGTAGTTGACCTCAGACTACAGTATAAGTTACTGTAACTAACCTAGACTAGCCAGATAACAATACATAACACTTCCCTGGCATGGGCTGTCGCGTTTGCTTTCAGCTCACGTGAAGTGGTGTTTTAGCGCATTGCAAGTTGGCGTTTTAGCGCGCTGCTACCTAAATTTCCCCAGATGAGCGACACGTCTCCCTCCCCTCCCACTAACTGTCAATTGACGTCGGACCTGTCGCTGCAACTCTATGTGTGGGAACCTCATCAGTCTGACCTTGAGTCGAGCTCTAATTACTCCCTGCTTCTTATTGAACCAGCGTCACAATTACAATCCAGGTTGCAGCTACACTTGCGGCCCCAGTCGTGTGTAGGTAGGATGACCGTGCGTCGCTCGAGACACGCCCAAACCTGCCGACATGTGGGTGCTGGAACATGAAAGCGACGCCTTCGAGGGTACAGAGCTCAGGAGTCCCACGTGTCGCTTCTTGTCTGACTGACACTGCTTTGTTACAGGAAAGCGACTCTGGCTTCGACCCGGAAAGCGCTACCTCTTTGGCCGTACTGTCGCTGAACGTGGGTTCTGCTTCCGGTCCACCACTACCCACACGTGCTGACCAAATCGCAGCTGGAATGCTGGCAATCCACGGCGAGAAGTCCAACTCGGTATCTCGCAAACACATCACGATTGAGGTAGATCCGGTCCGTCGTGGCGACTCGGTACGCTGCTCTGTGCAACTACGCCCACAAAAGTCGCCTGCTGACTAGCTTACACAGCAAAACCTCTCGAGTCGTTCCAAGGTCACGGTCGAGGATCTCAAGTCGAAGCTCGGCACAGCAATCAACGGACACAAGATCAAAGGCGAGAGACATGTTGTCACCCAGGAGACTAACGAGCTCAGGCTGGGAAGTATGGGTGGCTTCAGGATAATCTGGGTTCCCGTTGTCCTGAGCTTTTCCTTTACAAGGAGAGAGTTGGAAGCTGGCGCCCAGGCGACACTGCAGGAAAATCTCGAGCAGCTCGATATCAAGTTCCTCGCCGATTACGACTCCCACGCCACCACGCATGTCGTCAACAAGAAACGCAACACGTCCAAAGGCCTCCAGGCCCTTGTCAACGGTGTCTACATAGTCGATGATGGCTTCATAAACACGATAGTTGCTGCCGCGAGGGGAGAAGACCTTGGCGGAGGCGTTTCAAGGAGCACCCTCGAAGGTGATTTTGATGCCCACTGGCCTGATGCCATCAAGTTCTTGCCGCCGCCTGGCAATGAGCCCGTACCAAGACCAGCCGAGGCTTTTGCACCCAACCCGACAAGACGCCATATGTTTGAGGGATACACGTTCATCTTTTACGATCCAAAGCAGCACGAAAGCCTGATTGGCCCAATCACGGACGGCAAAGGCAAGGCGCTGTACAAACAAGTGACTGCGCACGAAACCCAGATCGACGATTTCATCCGTCACGTCAAATCTATCGCGGGGGAGAAAGGTCTGGGCGAGTTTGAGGATGGCAGTGAAGGCAAAGGTGTTGTAGTGGTGAGATACGTACCACCAAACGACAAGTGGTGGGAAGACTTCTTCATGGCCGTTTCGCTTCGTCTGGATCATCGCATGATTGATCAAAAAGATTTTCTTGATGCCATTCTCAGCTGTGATGCGAGCGGACTAAGGAGAAATTTGGAAGTCGAGACGCCACATCATAGCCAAAATCCGTCTGTTGCTTCTGGGCAGCGGATGGAGGTGGACCACAGGCAAGCACCGACGACCCGTTCGCAAGCAAGCGCTCCTCGACGTCCTGCTCGAACAACAAAAAGGAGATTCAGAGGTTTCGTTGCCGATAGCGACTCAGATGGCGATGGCGATGGAGATGCTGCCATTCAGGATAGTACTTCGGAAGTCCCAGCTCAACCAGCTAGCGCCGGCGAATCCCCGCAAGAGGGTCTCTTCGTCTCTCAGGATGCGATCTACCAGGAGCCCGACACATCAATACAAGAGGCTCAGCGGTCACAACGAAAGAGGCGAGCAGCACAGAGCTTTGAAGATGACTTTGCTCCGACTGCAGCGCAACTAAAACGCAGACGTATAGCAGCTGGACAAGATCCCATTCCCCGACAATCTACACCGGAACCAGAGTCGCAAACGAACGTAGATGCAGAGAAAGGAAAGAAGGCTGCGAAAAAGAGCTCCACAATCAAGAAAGAAGTTGATGTCATTGAAGTCGCACGTCAAAAGCGCGAGGAAGCAGATGCTCTGGCCAAAGCAGAGCGGGAGCAGCTCGAGGCGGACGCTGAAGGACTCGATCTGGCTGAGATCCGTCGACTACAAATCGAAGAGCCGATGCAGCTTCGTACGGATCTCTCCGCGACACGAACACGAGAGCAAGATATATCAGATGGTCGATGGGATCCGGCGTGGAACGGACGCAAAAACTTCAAAAAGTTCCGCCAACGCGGCGCAGTTGAACCTGCCAGGGCGCCACAAAGGATCATCGTTGCTCTGGAGGAGGTCAAAATCGCCACGCAAGGCCTTGGCGATGACTATTGGCTCGAAGACGAGTCTGCGCAGAGACGAAAGAAGAAGAGCCAGCACGAGCCTCAAAGCCAGGCTACTGCAAACAGAGCCAGCCAAAGATCGAGGCAAAACACCGCTGCTGCGTCAAGTAGGCAAGCGAGAAATAATGCTGATCATGACGGTGAGGAGGACACGACTATGGGCGACGTCATTGATGACCATGCCACAGGCGGAGACGGGGACGACGACGAGGGTAAGGACTTGAGATTCTCTGCCACCGGGAGCCGCAACACCAGAGGAGCGCCTACATCGCAGGACTCGGCACAAACACAACGCACGACACAGAAGTCGCAGGCATCGAGGAATACGACAAAGAGACCAGCGGCTGCATCTCCTCCCAGAGAACAGCCAGCCAAGAGGTCGAGGAGACTGCATGTGCCCGCCAGCGACGATGACGATGACAGCGATGACGAGCTGAGGTTTAAGTTCAAGCGGCGTTGACAACGGACCGACGGTTGCCGTCACGGGTTTCAGTGGAATGACTAGCAGTATGATGGTCTTTAGAGCGACACTGCTAGGTATTTTGGGTCTGTGACATGGGCATCAGGTGAACATGTTTACAGGCGACGAATTCGTGTTCCAGACGATAGCCTCCATTCTTGACATTCGTATTGCTGATCGGGGTATCTCTCTATATAGCTAGTTTCTATATTGTCCTTGAAACGTCGACTGCGGTATTGTAGCTGTCGACTCGTGACACTTGATCGACCATATATCCGTCGCACGCAAAAAAGTATTTGTAAATAACCTGAAATCTAGACCCATGCTCTAGTTGAACCTGTGATTAAGAGTTGTTCAAACATGAGGCTAGGTAAGTGGTTGTTCAAAGGCTAGGAACCTCGAGATCTGGCCAAAATGGTCTGCCCAGAGCGTCTTACCAGTGACTGATTTGGCTGTACTGGTGTGAGCGAAATGCATTCCGCTGTCCGTCGTTTTGTCTCCAAAAAGATGTTCCTCTCACGTCAACCGTTGTTGAGCAACCCTTGGTTTCCGCGAAGCATACAACTAGCACCAGGGGTAACGAGTGTGCTGCTTCAGTAGGCAATCCCACATGGTATGGTGGAAGATGGGAAACAGTTGCCGAATCGGAGGTCGCAATCGCGGTTGACGACACCGAGATAGCAACGATTCGGCAAGGGGCTAGTCGAGCGGTACACATCTGCCTCTGGTTGCTTCGGGCTTCCATGGCCCAGCCCATGGTCCTCACGACCACGTTCGTCCCGTCGTCGATAAAGCCAGGCGGGATCAGAGCGTGGGGGTTCCGTCAGTCCATCTCGTCCATCTTTCCGTTCCCTGACTCTTCGCCCTCCTCCACGAGCATGCCGATCAAGCTGCTGGCCAGCATGCCCTCGTAGTTGACCCACGGGTGGATCTCGCCGAACAGCTTGGTGCCGTCCCGACCGGCGCACCTCATCAGCTCGGGCTCGCCGCCAGGGTGGAATGGCAGGTAGGCCGTCATGTTGTACACCCTCCCCCCCAAGGCCGTCCAGGCGTCCTTGCCCTTGCGACCGGTCATCTTCTTCAGCATGGAGGGCGTCACCTTGAGATACGGCGTGCCCGGCGGCAGGTTGCGCAGGTCCGAGGTGGGCGAGTTGGCTATCCGCGCCCAGTCGAGCGGCGAGTGGCCCGGCTCGAGGATGACCTTCCGCGACGGCTTTGAGGGCTTGCTGGAGTGCGTAGGCGGCGGCGCCAGGGTCGAGCTGCCGGGCTGTCGGGCGGCGGACGCCAGGCCGTTGGGATAGTTGTTGCGCGAGTTGTTGACGCTGTTCAGCGCCGGTGGGCGCGGCGGAGGGGGCATCAGGGCCGAGGGTGTCGCGACGGGGGGGCCGGAGAGCTTTGGTAGTGTGGGTGCGGGCGCGGTGCCACCTGCGCGCGCAACAGCGGCTGCGGAGGCTGGGGGAGACGAGGAGAGCGACAGTGAGGGCACCGCGGTAGAGGTTGGAGCAGCCCCGGCTTTGGGGGTAGTTTGTGGTGAGGGTGTCTCTTCTGGCTGGGTTACGGTTGGAGGCAGAGGAGGCGGCATGACGGCGCGGTCGACTGTCGGCTGCGAAGGCGCTCCATCGTGGTTACGTTGGTGCTCATGGGGTGTGGCGTTGGAAGGTTGCTCGATTTGAGGTTTGCCTCGCCATAATGCGAAGAGTGTCTGCATAAGGGGCGGTGGGCGGAATACTAGCCAGCAAATTATTGAGGCGATGACAAGCGACAGGGCCAATAATGCCATTCCCAGTTGATGGCCCAAGGTTGGTTGAGGTGAACGAGGGGCGGTAGCTGCTCGTGCTCGTGTGCATATACAGAGTACTCGTTGATACAGATGAAGGGGGATGGTGGAGTTTGTCCTGCGAATGATATGCTAATTTTGGTGTGATATGCAGCGATATGCAAACCCCCCACCGCCTTAAAGTGCTCCATAACGGGCTGGTGGCCAATACTAACATTAGTATTGGATAGCGGCTCACCTAAAGATTGTAGAGCCGGAGTTCAGCTGGAATTGCAGCGAAACTGCCTCGAGTGCCAGCCAATCCATGAAGCTTCGCATTCTGGCTCTTCCAGGGAGGATCGGGAGGATCGACGTCAGTTGTTTTCCATGGGCACACCGGGACGAACATGGTTCGCTGTCAGTGACCCTATATTGCAGGTAACTAAGGTTAGAGCATCAAGGTTAAGAGCCGGTCGATTATGACGCGCTATCAGGATCGCAGCTGGGATGCAGGGCAAGCCACCGTTGTTATTATGATGGCGCTTGTTATGTAAGTTACGTACTGTACTGCGGGGAAATTTGTGCTTAGGTCCCGAGCTGACACGAGTTAAGCAAAAGCGCTGAGCGCATGAATAAACAATCTCATGTCGGAACAAACGAAACATAATAAAACAGAGAGGAGGACGAATTGGGATTTTGTTTACTCCCCTTGAGAGACATTGTCTCCCGACGCGTGAATTGAGCCATGCCCGTGACTAATTGGATGGGATCCTTCACCACAGAATTGGGCCTTTTTTACATCATATTCCGAATTTCAAGGCGAATCCTTCAATCTGTGATCGGGCCATGTCAACCCACTGGGCAGTCTAAGGTTAGGAAGTAGCCGTCATTTCCATTAACGAGGGACTATCCGGCTAGGGAGAAAAGAAAACGGGGGTCCATGTCTCCTGTGCAAGCTGTGATCCGTACTCCCGCCCGGAAACGACATTGCGGTAGGTTAGATTAGAGCATTGCAGGGCCAGTACATCCATACCTACGCCTATATCTACGCCTGTGCTTATTTATACCTGTACCTACGTGAAACATTCTAACCTTACATACTTTCAGTCGGTTCTGCAGCACATGCACCTCCCCGAGCTCACCATAGTGACCATCCAGCCAGTCACAGTTGGAGAGGCGCGACTTTTTGCTTGGGTACTGGTGCTGGGACTGGCAACGGCAAGGGTACAGGTACAGGTATTGGCGCAAGTATATTTTATGTATCGGTGTATACATTGTACACAGGCACACTACACCACACCACACCACACTACACTACACTACCTTGACCTCGGACGGGAGGTGCCCCCCAGTCCAAACTCCAATCGAAAAAAAGAAAGAAAACAACAACAAAACAATGCGGGCACTTAACCCAACAACCATCGGAAAACTCAATACCAGCAAACCTTCCAGTTCGCAGCGAAAACAGAGAACAGGAGACACCACCGCATCCGAGGTCTCCAGCAGTCCTTACCCACCGAAATTGAACGCGAACCCGAACCTGAACGCAGCGACCACCTCAGGACCCCGCCCATCATCTCGCCAGTCCACCGCATCGAGCTCCTTTTCAGCAGGGTCCGGGACGGCTGGACGCAGCAGCAATACCAATACCAATACCAGTACCAATACCAACAGCAGCATCAATATCAATATCAATACCAGGACGGGCTTCAGGCGGTTCGCTTCGTTCGAGTCGCTCACCACCAAGCCGCCAAATTCGAGACCGACCATCATCACCAAGACTGGGGCGACCAAGACCTCGAGAGTTGTCTCGGATTCGGCAGCAACCGTCAGAAATAATACCAACAATACCCATAACAACCATCCCAGACCCGCCTCGATTCAACCAAAGCCGAGTCCGACATTATCACCCTCGCTATCCACCTCGGGGCGACCACTCAACCCTCCAAACGAAAATGCAGCAAAGGTAACAGGCACAGTGCCGCCGTCGTCAACAACAACTACATCAATGTCGAGAAACGTCAGGGTCACAATGCCCTACGATCGGTCGCCCAATCCCACTGCCGGGAGACCTCAGGTGCCCATGCTCAGCGCTGGTGCAGCCAGGGCTGTGAACAAACCTACCCTTGCTCCTAAAATCGCCATCAAGCCCTCTCAAGGTCCGACATTGGCAGCAAATGCACACACCCCCTTGCCGAAGCGAACACTGCGCCCGGGAACTGGAAACGTTGCCACCCCTGCCCCGTCGAGGAGTACGCCCCAGCCGGAGGAGGACCCTCTGGCCTTCTTGAGCAACAACATCACCCCACGCTCCGGCAAGAGGCAGGGTCGGGTCGAAAGCGCGAACAGCACTCCGAGCGGCACACCGACACAGGATGCGTGGGAGAGGGATGCTAGGGGGGGCATCTCGCCCGCACCACATAACCCTGATGCCACGAGGAGGCCCGTTGCATCATTCACCTCGAACCCCTCAATGCCTGGAAAGCATGAGGTGAGGGCTGACCTGGATTCCAAATTCTTCCATGCCAGCGAGGTCAAGAGCACCCAGCCGCCCCCTCAAAAGCATACTCTAGCCAAGGCCCCCTCATTCTTCTATGCCAACGGGAACAAGCCAGAGAAGAAACCGAATACGCCATCCATCACCTCGGCGCCGTCACACGACAACCTGTCGAGCAAGTTTGTCTACGCAAATGGCACCCCGGACCTCAAGCCGAGCCCTCCATTAGGCACCTCTCGGCCGAGCTCGGTCGTTTCCATGGCTTCGAGAGCTCCCTCTAGTCGACCTACCAGTACTCACAATGGGCTTGGTTCAGCTCAGAGACCAGCATCCCCTGCAAGAATCGCCCAGCCTCCTCATGTTGCGCAGTCCAAGCATGCCAGTCGGCCGCAGCTCACCTCGACCCCTTCACTTGGTCCGCCATTAGGGCTACGGCGCACTAGCACGGGAACATCCATATCGAGAGGAGCTCATTCTAGGAATAGTAGTGGCTCAAGACTAAGTATGGGAGAGGCGGAGATGAAGCATGCTTTGGTCCCCCCTGGCCCTACGTCGCCGCTGGCGTCGCCCTCGCTGGCCTCCCCTATGCATGCCCCCTTATCGTTGGCTTCGATTATACAAGCCGCAGAAGAGTTTGGCGACGATGAAAGTATCCCTTCACCCGATGGCTCTCGCTCTGACGCGCGTTCCTTACACGAAGTGCAGAGCCCAGCCAGATCTACGCATTCTGGAGATCCACTCGGCGATCTTGTTGCGAACGCTCGGAGAGAGAGAAAGGTCCAGGACCTGCAGATCACCAATGCGTCGCTCGAGGCCATCAATAGAACTTTGGAGCGTCAACTTCGGAAGCAAACGGCAGAGCTTAGACGCTTTCGACGAATGTCGCGTGCCGGCGGTTTGCCTGCAATTCCAAGCGTTGCGTCTAGTCGTGTGGTATCTGACGCTCATTCCGCTCATTCCGCTCAAACCGGCATCGAAGGGCTGTCGTTTTCTGATCTCGAGGAAGAGGATTCGGATGACGAACCACCCGACGAAGAGGACGAGTCGTTTTCCGATACGGACTCGGCTAATGAGTCACTAAGCCCGACTATAATTGCAGAGCGCGATGCTAGGCGTATGAAAAGGGACGAGAAGCGGCTGCAACTCGACCTCTCGAAACACCAGGAGCTACTGGTCGATTCACAAAAGATCAATCAGAGTATCAAGCGATGCATGGACTGGACCGAAGAGCTTATAAAAGAAGGCAAAAAGGCTCTCGAGTACAGTGTTCGTGTTAGCGATGTTGAGATACATAGACCAAGAGTCTTAAATCCAGTCGATGAGGATGATGAGCCAACACAGGCGAGCATCAACTTTGACGCAGATGCCACTCTGGACGACATTTCGGTGCTTATAGACGAGGGACACGGCAATTCGGAGAGAATAATGCCACTAGAGCCCAAGCTAGCCGGCTGGAAACCAGAATCGCAAACCTGCGAAACAGATGCGCAGCTCCCAGTCCAGGATGGATAAGGAGAGCAAGCATATATCGTGTGCCGTCACTACCGCCACGACAACAACCACACCCGAATTTCTTTCACAATCATTCAGCATTCAGCATAGCAACGGCGTTCCAATCACTGATTTTCCGGCCGGCGATTTGATTACCTAGCATTTTCCTTTGTCTTCGTCAGTGTACAACTACCTGAACCATATACCCCCTGAATAGTTTTGGGACGACAAGGATTGGATGAATCTATAGGTCGACGGACCATCTCCACACACTACCAGCAACTTTGGAACATATCATTTTCCTTAACTTATCGATACCCTTGTTGTTATAGAAACGACGCAGCGTCCAGGACAGGAAAGCCACAAGGAGGAAATCAGTGGTTTGGGTGTTGGCAGTGGGAAGATCTCAGCATCCACTAGGATTACGCTTCAGAAGCTCGAGTGTATGCATAGTGATAATCTAGACAAAGCTAGAGCCAACGACGAAGAAACAAGATACCGGTAATCACTTCATTACATGGTCATTTTCCGTGCACAATATCAAATGCTCGTGATAATGTAGATCATCAACAATGCAGCAAGGACGATTTAAGTTGTTGGCATATGGCACAGGCTCTTTCACCTTCCCCTCCATGTCTTCTTTCCTGAACCTTATAGCAGCTTATAGAGCCAACTAGACCCGGAAGGGCGCAGGCTCGCCCTCAATGAATACGTCCATAGCTGTATTTCAACATAAATAGTTGTATAACGATACAAAAGCTGGCGTAACCGTTCCTGGGTTACGGGGGAGACATCGGGTATGGCAATGGTTTGCAAATAACAGGTGTATATCTACATGTATGTGGGTATGTGTTTCAAATAGGAGGGGAACAAGGTAGAAATCGAAGAGCTTGAACGTTTCTTTGATGATATGTCACTTCGCTAATATATACAGTGCCAACTCTTTTTCTTCTTTCGCCGGAGATATGGCATCGTTTGCAATAGCTAATGCTAGCAAGCCATGCATGGAGTTTCAAGCGGTCCGCCCGATCGCAAACAGTTCTTCACAATAGCGCATGCATAGAAGGAGGTAAAAGCACCACCTAGTTGTGCAAGTAGTCATAATGGCTTTGTTATGCCAAACGGAAGGGATTTGTCAGAACGAAAAAGGGAAGAGACGAACTTATTATACCTCTCGGTAAAAGGCTTGAAAACGTGTAGCACCATGAAAGGAAACAGCATCCTACATGGGCCAGTATTATTGCAGCACATCCGGCCATGGACCCCCACCCCCCTCCGGAAACTTGCACGTACTGAAAAATAATGGCATGAAGTTTACTCTGAACTACTCGAAGCATCGGAGGTGCAGTTCGGCTGGCCGAGTGCGGTATCCGTTGATACTTGGACTCTACAAAGGCAAGAGAGGCGTGTTAGGTCAGGCCATTCGCACCACGCGACAGGTACTCTAGGGATACCTCTCGCCCGACAGTTCACCGCCTTTGCAGCCGAGAAATTTTTTTTTGCGCCGATGTACGCAGCAGGCGCCGGAAATCTGCATCGCGACAACCGCGAGTAATGATCCCGATGGCCGCTCTGCCTTGCAAAAGCATGTTCGCCGCTTAGAGGTGAAGGTGAGGGTTCAATAAATGCAAGATCACTGTTGTCTTCTGGTATCTCAACTACGCTGCTGTTCGGCAACATTTTCAGAGTGTGTCGATGTCGAAATGACCAACTTCCATTACAAGCAGTATGGGATATATTTTGTGGTGATCAGAGCTCAACTCACGGTCAACCTCAGACATAGCTGGCGGTACTTTTGCTCGAGTGGTCGTTTTCTCTGTAAGCCTGCGTCTTCTGTGCATGCCACTTTGAGAGGACGAGGACACTACTGACGGGTCAACGGTAAGTTAGACCTCAGGCGCCGCAGTAGAGGAATCGTTTGTTCCTCTAGAACGGTTGTCAGATGCTGCAGCGACTCGGCTTTCTCTCGTAGCCCTGAATCGAGACCTGGCACCTTCCCTTTCAACTGAAGCACATTGGAGGCAGACTGACATGTGCATTCTACTCCGTTCTTGGCACATCGCCCACGAACTGACCGTTGATCATCACCCTGCATTGATCAATCAGAAAATTTCATGCTGGAAATGCAACAGTGCTCGTGGAAACCCCACTAGTAAAATGCAGGTATCCTCGCGGCAACTTTCTGGGGTGCGACATTGAACGCAAGCAACCGACACATGCGCTCGTTTCTTCTGCTTAGTTCGACCGGGGTCTCAGGCTCATGTTCATCAAGAGGCGAAGGTAAAATGGACCGGTGGGTGTTGTCCGTAGCAAGACTGGCACAATAGTCTAGAGTTCTTGGCCATTGAAATTTGGCCGTATGATCAGGCCAGCTTTCTTACGGTCGAGGACTAGCATTGATTCGTTACGGTAGTTAGGGAGGGTCTAGGCCATGTCGATATACGCTAATGCGTGTGCCTAGCTGTAGAGGGTTACGTGTGTAAATATAATCGGACTTTCACGATACTAGGCTGTTTAACATGAGAACAACGTCAAATGAAATTACTGAGAAGACGAGGTCGTTGAGTTTCTCACTGGCCATCTCACAGAGAAGGTCTCAGATGATCTCCGTCGACTGTTGCGTCATCCCAACAAAGTACAACTGTACAGATATTGAAGCACAGTAAATATAAAACCGATTGCCACTTATAGTCTCTGTGTAAGCGTGAAGCTCTCGTGGAACCATGTTTATGCTTGGCGGTGATGACTCGTAACGGCGGTTGACTTTTACTCTGACTAGTGTCAAAACCGCCCTTAGTAGAGAATGAGCAATATCTTACAAGCGCAGCGTGAATCAATGCGAATACTCCAAGTGGTGAGACACGCGCCGTAGAAAAGCATTCAAACCTCCATGATACAGAGCAGTGTAGGCGGCTGACGGAACAGGTCCAGGTCACATAATCTATAACTGCAGTCGCTCGAATCGCATAACAGAGAACAATATAGGATTGTCTCTGTGAAACGATGGTGAAGATCTCGGTGAAGTTTGGCCTTGCCCCTTTTGTAGAGGTCATCTAGATTCTATAGACGACTTCCCAACTTTACGTACTTGAAACTATCTCTGACTATGGTTAAGTGGAGCGGGTGCTAAGTGCCCACTAATCTGACCAAACAAAGCTCTGCATTGCCCTGGCAGTCTTCCTAAAATGGATGTCGCTTCAGTCTTAGGTCCGGACGGCCCAGAGCGGCTCAATTGCGTGATTGCGTCTGTGAAAAACTTTTGGTGTCGAGTTGACGCCATAAATCATCGCAATGGCTTTATTTAAATACAGTTGAGCGCCTTCTCTAGACAGGTACTTGAACTTATGCAACTCACCGACGATCTTCTCTCGCCTTGGGCCTAGTTTGTAGAACAGTTCAATATATCGTCAAGATGTCAGCCGACTCGGTTACTCAGGTCAATGGCGGCCCGAAGAAGCACTCCATCTACCGATCCGTCGCCTTCCAGATCTTTGTCGCCAGCGGGGTCTCCTTCACTGCGCCGGGCATGTGGGACGCACTGGGCGGTTTAGGCGCCGGTGGTGCTGCTGAGCCTTACGCTGTCTCGGCCGCTAACGCATTGGTCTATGGTCTCTTCTCCATCGTCTGTGTTGCAGCTGGTGCGATCAACAACCGTATCGGCTTGCGGTACGGCCTCGCTCTCGGTGCCATCGGTTATCCGCTGTACGGTGCTGGCCTGTACACCAACAATATCAACGCGACAACATGGTTCATGCTTTTCGGCAGTGCAATCTGCGGTATCTCGGCCGGTTTCTTCTGGGCTGCGGAGGCGGCCATCATCATCGGCTACCCCAGCCCCAAGGATCGTGCTTTCTACCTCGCTGTATGGCAGACGGCCAAAGCTTTGGGACCGATCGTGGGTGGCGCTATAAATCTTGGGCTCAACGCGAACCGATCCACTGCCGGATCTGTGGGTTCGGCAACATACATCGTCTTCATCGTCATCATGTGCTTGGGCCTTCCTATCGCGCTGCTGCTCAGCCCTGCGGAAAAGGTTTGGCGCAAGGACGGCACCAAAGTTGTGGTACACAAGGAGCCAACATGGGCTCTGGAGTTCAAGGCTGTCTTCAGACTTCTTGTCTCCAGGAGGATCCTACTACTACTGCCAGCCTTCTTCATCAGCTACTTCTATAACGGCTTCCTGAGCACCTGGCTTACCACGTACTTTACCGTGCGATCGCGTGCTTTCTCGTCCTTCTTCACCAACTTCGCCGGTATCTTCAGCTCTTTCTTGATCGCAGGCTTGTTGGATCGTCAATCGATCCACATCAAGACCCGAGCCAAGATCGGCTTCTTATCCATCGTCACCGTCTTGATTGGCACCTGGATCTGGGCCATCATCCTCCAGAAGCAATTCTATGATGCCCCCGAGTCACCTGTATTTGATTGGTTCCAGGGTGGCTTCGGAAAGTCATACGCGCTTGTCTTCTTTTGGACTTTTGCCGGACAGGCATTCCAACAGTTTCTTTACTGGCTTGTTGGCCAGTATGCAGAGAGCTTGTCGTCCTTGTCCCATCACACTGGTATCCTACGTGGGTTTGAGGCTCTTGGTCAGACAGTTGCTTGGGCGTAAGTTTTGATAACAAGCCTTCCCAATATCATAGTGTTATGTCACTAACTCTTGGTTCACAGTATGCAATCCGAAGGTAATGCAAACCACTTCGCCAGCATCGGCGTCAACTTTGGCATTCTCCTAATCTGCATCGTTCCCACATGGATCGTGCTTTCCGAGCTGGACCACACCCACGAAATCCGAATCACCGAAGATGGCGCAACCTCGGCGGAAGAGGATGCGATTGGCATTGAGCACGAGACGGGCAAATAAATATTTTTCAGAGAACAGAGCGTTACGATTATGGGGTTTGCTTTCGTTTAGGATACCCCCAGTTCCATACTGGATTTAGACCAATTTACAACTTTTAACTTCAATTTGCGATAGACTGCGTTGTTTCTTAGTGCTTTTCGAGACATTGGAAATCTCGTTGAGCCTGTCCCCTAATGAATCTATGCATAGCCTCAGATGCATGTCAGGCAGCCCTTTCTTGGTCTAGTCTAGTGTCGCCACGCGAACGTCTTGTGCAGAGTCTAGCGACGGTTCAGACAGACTATAATGTGACAAGTCCTGCAACTGGGTCGGTGCATATCGCGGTACATTAAATGTCGGCGACTCGTGCATACCTCGGAGAGATTCACTTATAGGACTCCTCTCAAAGGGTACATTGAGGAGGCTAGCCGGTCGCGAACTGACTTGCGGACTTGGTAGTCCATCGGAGATGGCGGTGTTTCTTTTTGACAAGACTGATCTGCGATCTGCTTCGTAACATGCATTGATGAAGGCATCTCTTACTATTCTTAGGTCAATCCAGCTCTCGCTGTATTCAATGTGAGTGGCTTACATTTCGGGGACGCAAACTCAATCTCGAGATAGGCGATGTGCTGAACATCTGCGTTGGGTATGATCCCTTTGGTGGTCCTGTCATATAACACCTGCGGTGTCGTGCTAATAGATGGTGATCGTGACTTGCTTGAGCTGCCCGACTGCCTCCGCATCATATTTCCAAAGTTTTCGATCATGGACGCTTTCCTGCTCGGTGTCTCGGGCGGTTTGCCATACTCGAGATCGGCGTTAGGAGAGTAGAATCCAAGCACGAGTTTCGCCGTATCCCTTAGTTCTGGCGTCTTCCTGAACCATCGAATCTTGTATTCTTCCTGATGGTTGCTTTCTTTTGCGCCGTGTCGGGCAAATGAAAATGTTGGTTCCTCATCTGATTCATTTCGACTCCAGACCTTAAGATGCACCACCTGGGCAATGATACCACTCTGGGCACGGATGCTCCTCGCTTGTACCATCTCAAGGAATTGATGACCACGAAACTTTTGTTGAAATGCATCTCTATCTGTTTTATAGACGAATTGATACCTGGGCTTCTCGTGCACTTCTTCGGTAACGCCATGTTCAATGATCTCAAAAATATGCTTATAGCTCGACGGCAAGAAAGAAACTTCAAATCTCGTGTCGCCTGGATTTGACGGCCTCGTATGTGGAATTTTGGAGACGGGTGTTGGGACTTGTCCCGGAATTAGCAGTATTCTGGAAAACCGCCGCCAGGTGTAGTTTGAGCTTACCATAGTGACTTAGTTTCGTTGTGTTATTAGCCCATACCAAGACCTGTACCCCCTTCACATCGCTGATAGCACATGATGCAGCCTTGAATGTCCATTTTCGTTTACCCAGCACCCTTGGCAGAGTTCAGCAATCAGCTACCAGCGATTGTCAGGCCACTTACAAAATTGCACTATGAGAATCGCTCAAGGGCGAGGCAAAAGGTGCTTCCATGCCAGTCACAGAGGGTGGCCCTGGGTATATGTGAGGTGAGATTTGTCCAAATACATCCTCACGACTTCGCACCTCAGAACTCGTCCGCGATACTGTTGTGGAATCTATGGCCGAGGCATACCCCCAATTCGCGGGGTCCGTTCCAGGTGTCAACAATAAATGTGCTGGTGATACCACTTGTCCACCATGGTCTCTAGACTGCTGAGACGCCTTACGACTGCGGACTCCGGATGGCAAAATTACTGATAGGGGTGATTCCGGTATCGATGCTAACGATGGTGTGCGCGACACTGACTGTATGCCGGGTGAGTCAGGGCTAAGACGTGGTGAACTTGGTAGCAGTGTGTCGCCCGTGAGAGTTCGTTGCGGTCTTCGATCAAGCAAATGACTAGGAGGTGTAGAGTAATGAGACTTTTCATGCGATGTTGTAGATGAGGGTGTATTGTGTGTTCTTGCTATCCTGAAGCATATATTAACATGTGATGTGTCGACAAAGTCTCAACTTCTTATAACACACCAGAGAGTGATGAGGGACTTGGGCCCAGATTTCCGACTTACACTTCGTCGATTTTTTTCGACAATACACCCGATCTCCATTCTTGAAGTTCTAGATAATGTTGGTCGATGCGTTTGTTGTATCGTTCTAGTCGAGTTTCGTCGGATCCAACGATGAACTTAGCTCGTTGAAGAGTTGATCTGCGGCCCGATTCCGAAAGCGCCTTTTGGTAATTATTAAGGAAGACTTTGCATTCGTCAAGAGTCTTTTCTAGAGTATGCGTTCCATGGAATTGCTCGACAACACCGTGCTCACTATCTCTCGTCTGTTCTACTATGTTCTCAAAAACCTTGGCAAGTATTTGAAGGCGGCCATTGAGTTGTCTCAACTTATCGACACTCTTATCATCGCCGAATAACTCGCCGTGGACTTTGTTTCCTATATTGAGCACAGATGTACATAATTGAAGCGCCGTGAGAACGGCTCCAAGGGCACTTGCAGGGTCCATGGTTACAGTTCCACGGAGAAAACCCTCGATCCACGGCTCTTTGAATGTGAGAAATAACTGTGGGTCATGCTTAGTACAGCACATAACTCAAGTCTCGGTGTCTAGATAGTATATGTCTTCGTAGGGCTGGAGGCACCCAACTCTTTTGCCGCTGTGGTGCAAAAACGCACTGTGAGGATGTGACCAGGGCTGGGTGCGGGTGACCAATAGCGATCGGCACCGAGCACACGTTTCAAGATTGGGATATCGCACTGGCTTTCGAGCACATAATTTCTCACCGAAGCTGTCGCAAAGGCAAGGGTGATTGATTCGACCGCTTCTCAATGAGGACGCTCAATAAATGATTTGGGCATAGACGATGGGGCTGAGTGCAAATTTCGTCAAGCCCCCGTGGTATTAAAGGTTAGGGAAATGCCCATCGGTCAGCCCGATGGCTACCGATAGCATGCAGGCGTTCTTGATCTAATATTGAGCTTCTGACTAGCTGAGCCTCATAAAATGAGTAAAAACATAGCCTGTGTTAAGGACAGCATGCCTGCAGGCTAAGTTGGTCATGTTGAGAATCGGAAATGACCATGATTCACCCGCTGTAATAAAGCCGGTACATCGTATCCAGCTCCATATCTGTCTTCACGTTTTGGATAATAAGGGTTCGTATATCAAAATCACAATTGTTTTTCTTCAGGATGGGTGGATACTTCTCAAGACTCAACGCCGATGTCCGCCGCGTGGAAGAAGAAATCGAATATGTGAGCACGAATTTTTCCCATCCCGGACCGACACCGTTTAACTCTAAGATCATGTTTAGGATCCTCATGATCCGGAAGGCGCTGTCAGAGCCGTTATTGACCGCCGCGGTCTAGATGGCTTCAAATGGCGAGTTTGGTGGGTAGCAGCTTCTGGCTTCTTCACGACATCTTATAGCATTTTTGCTGCAAACACGATCAGTCCCGCACTGAACTATGTATATCCTGAGAAACACTTTGGCTCCAATACCTCTCTTGTGCTAAATTTGACCACCTTGGCGGGAACAATGCTTGGAATGCTGGTGTTCGGAGTTCTCGCCGACAGATATGGTCGCAAGAGTATATATGGCCTAGAATTGACGCTAGTCGTGGTTGCTACCATCGGTATGACGACAGCTTCGACGGGCAAAAACAATGCGATGAACATATACGGTTGGATCGGATTTTGGCGCTGCCTCTTAGGTATCGGACTTGGTGCAGAGGTATTGAACCCCCTCAAAATATACGTAACTCATGAATATTAACATGTGGCAGTGTACGTACATAAACAAGCTGCTTCCTTGAATTTCCGCTTTCCTTCAAATCTGAACTCGCTGATGACCTTCTGTCTTAGCCTGAAGGCTTTTGAGAAGTGAAACACATTGGTCTTGAACAAGACATAACTCCGAGGAATATTTTGTGGGCGTCATATAACAAATTAACTAACGGTTTTGTTTTGGTAATATAGATCCACTCAGTGCTGTGATCGCGGCAGAATGGTCTTCGACACGATCTAGAGGGACAATGATGGCTGCGGTTTTTCTGATGCAATCTCTTGGTCAGCTTGCTGCTTACGCGTTTGGGCTGGCTATACTAGTTGGTTTTGGCAACAAGCTATCGGACCAGAATGCCGACAATGACCAAGTTGAGCGCACCATAGACATTGTATGGAGACTAACAATCGGTATCGGTGCTATTCCTGCTTTGGTTTCTCTGTTTCTTCGTCGCATCATACCTGAAACGCCCCTGTTCCTCGCTGCGCAAGGCAAAGTTGACGATGCTGCTGAAGCTGCTGCCATTGTCTACGCTCCAGATGCCGCCATCCAACCCATTGGACAGGGTGAGGCGAATCAGAACCACCAAGGCACAAATGGCTTGGTCAGAACTTTGAAGAGCAAGAAAGGGACATCACCGACATCCACAATCGACCATCTCAAACAGATCAAGGAATATTTGAGTGAAAAAGGTCGCTGGAGAGCTTTGCTTGGAGTCATGCTAACATGGTGGCTTTTGGATCTGGCGTATTATGGTCTTGGGCTCGACAATCCGAGGACTATATCCACAATATGGTTATCGAGGGATCCTCTGACGGATCCCGAGGTGGACAAGAGCTGTATGTTTATCGATTCATCAAACAGTACCCTAAATGGGACTTGGCTTGACGAGTCATGGCATGCGGACCCAGCAAGGCCCTGTGTCTCCATCTATGAGATTCTGAAGCAAGACAGCATTCGAAATATCATTACTGTCTCAACAGGAACTGTGACAGGAAGCGTTGTCTTACTGTTTTCCATCAACTACATACCTCGCGTAACCTGGATGGGCTGGATGTTCGTGGCACTCGCAGCGCTATTTGCAGTTAATGGTGGAACTTTTTTCGTCACGTTCGAGTCCGACAAGCATGCGCTGACAATGACGCTCTATGTCTTGGCGCAAGTTATCTTCAACCTGGGACCAAACACGATGACATTCATTTTGCCTGCCGAACTGTTTGGAACGAAATATCGTGCAACATTTTACGGCCTAGCTGGGGCTTCCGGCAAATTTGGCGCTATCGTTATCCAGGCTATACTCAGTCAACCTGTCTTTAAAGGAGCGCGTCTCACCGAGTCGTACGAGAAGAGTTTTGCAGGACTGCTCTTGGGATTCTGTCCGGCCATGTTGTTAGGTGCTTTTGTCACTTGGACATGGATTCCCGAAGTTCAGCTTCCCAGAGGCCTCGACCAGGCGCGCGACGAAGATGTTGATGAAAATGCTTCTGACGATGGCCTGAGCGGAGACCCAAGAACCGTCACATTCAGACAACAGCTCAAGTTACCCAATCGATCCTTAGAGGATATAGATAGAAACCCGGACGCTGGCCAGATCTTGGGCATGAGACGGAATGTGTCAAGGCTACTTTGTGCTTTGACGCGCAGCAAAGTTATTTCCAGGCCACAAGCATCGATGGCAGAAGTCGGAGGCGGCGGGTCCAGGCAAGCAGAGAACCTCATTGGTGTGGAAGAGTCCGATATTGGAGATGGATTACAGCCTCGTGGGAGGTACTAGCCGCTCCTCTTGTGTATAGTCATGACCGATGTAGGTATCCCCATGGTGGTGGGGCCTCGGTGATTTCAACTTTTCTCAGATGTGAATGCGAATCCGCAGACAACAATGAACGCCCAGCATGCTGGAGCCAGTACATTCGGTAATGCAAACAGATAATATAGGCACTGCAGACGTATTTCAATACCATAGAAGTGTCTAACCAACACTAATATTCATCACTCGTTATAAAAGCCATCCTATAACTTTATCGAATCCTCAGAATTTGAGATATATATAGTGCATCCGGGTTTTTATCTTCCGAGCAAGTAAATAGCCATCATTGCCGACATAATAAGTGACTGGAAGAGTAATCGCTGACTACCTCCACCCCCTTCCTAAATGCACCCCTTCCCGAACAGCAATTCCGACGCTAGTTTAATCCTATAAATATAGCACTTGTCTATATTGTATATATCTTTAGGCTATGAATAACATACCTACTTTTGACACGTTTTCCAAGATAATAGAACCGTTCCATCGAGTTCTTATCAACACCTTTCATTCGATCGGCGTTAACAACTCGTCCGATTTTGGTTTTGCGCCGTGTATGGCGTTTTAGAAACTTGTTCACTAAGTTCTTGCCGAGTAAAGCAAGGCCTTCGATAGCTCTGAGACCTAACGCGATATCCCGCACGAAGTCTCGAACCATAACCTTCGTCGGAACTCTTCCACATAGTTCCTCGTGTAATATACAGTCTTGAACCTCACTCTCTTGTATAGTTGAGAGCTTTTAGTCACTTTCGTGGTACGGGAATGAGGCTGCACACCATGGAGCCGCCTAGAGAGCGTTGAGGGCGCTATCCCAAAAGCACGTGCTACACGGTTATAAAATTCAATTGCTTCTTGGATTTTATGTTCATTTGCTTTAGGCATCTTGAAAAGATCTAACAATTCTGACGAAGAATGGTGTTGTGGTTGAAAATTCTGCAAGTAGACCTGTATCGGAGTTCCCAAATTTCGGTGTTCGGGAAGGGGGTGCATTCAGGAAGGGGGTGGAGATGATTAACCTAGGCAACAGCAAGCGGGCCCTCTTATTGAGTTAACCGTCATTACTGTGGTGAGTCCTAAAACAGGCTGCGATCAGTTAAAACGGGCAAAGCTCCAACATATTCTCCTGTGCTTTGAATATCATTTTCACTTCATTCATTCATTCGGTAGCCTGCAGTTGGGAAAAAAATAAAATTTTGTACAGTCTTCGAAATGAGCAGCACTAACTTTGTCATACGAGAAATATGCGAGAATCCACAGGATGGCGACTTCATTCTTGCCGCGTTCGATGCTGCTCTGCCACATCTCGCATCCACGGGGAGTAGTGGGCAATGGGGCTCGCAGCCATTCTCGGAAAGAAGCGGTTCCCATAAGCGAGTACACGATTGGGTCGCTGCATCAGAAGCGTTTCGGTTGGGTAGGGAGGGCAGTGCAGCAATGCGATTGTTTATTGCCGAGGTAGAGATACATGATGATAGCGATCTCGATTTGGCGGGCTTGTCCGTTCGACGTGATGCACACGGCAAACGTTTCCTCTCGGTTGCTGCTGCAACAGTACGGGAGCACTGGTGGCCTGGATATATCGAGAAATTTGAAGAGCTGAAGCCCATCGTTGACGAGGCGAATGCGCGGGGAGCTTCGTTCTACCTCGAAGCCCTAATTTCGGACTTCAGAACAGGTAAAGCACGAAAAGGAGCGGGTCGCGCATTGATGCAAGCGATTCGAGATTACTCTATATCGAGGGGAGCCAAGGAACTATTCCTAGACTGCTGGGCTGGAAATAGCGGAAACTTGGTGAAGTATGATCCTATACGCGATCTTGCTTAGATTGCAAAACACTAATCATTGCTGTAGATTCTACGTAGCCAATGGCTTTACTCCAGTAGCCGACTTCTTAGGCAAGCAAGATAATAAGGAGGATTGGCCTGGAAAGCTGTTGCGACTGCAGCTTGGCTAATTCCTCAACTGCAACACAGAAGGCATTAATGCGGGTCTCTCTCTCGATCACTATAGAACTTAGCGTCAATCCATCTGCACAGTCACATCGTCACAAGACATCTTGTAGTAACTCCGCCCAGTTATCTCAACGAAAACCGTCAGCGAACCCTTTGATTGGCTCGGTGCTGTGGCGTCATAGAGTGAATAGTGAGAATTCCGACGGCACTGTCTGGCTGCCCGCCTCCTACACGACGGAAACGGCTGCTCGGCAAATTCTGCAAGGCACAAAATTTTTCTACGCAAGCTTTTTGTTGGTGTCAAGCCTGTTTCCTGTGAGTTAGATAATGCGAAAGGCGCTGTTGGGCCTCAGCTCCTACTGAAAGTGCCACGGCCGACGGTCACATTGGTCAAGAACCTGGACTCCCCGAACTGCCTTGCATGAGGAACTGCCAGATTATAAACACACGATTTTAAAAGCACTCAAGGGTAATTCTTCCCTTGATACTTGCTATGAGTATGTTATAGTAAACAGGCGAGAGTGTGGTCATTCTCTCGGTGCCTCTTTCTTTGAGTGAGGAAGCATATCTGGAGCTATTGGATCAGTTTCACAACAAAGTCTGCCATAAAAGCAGTGCATGAGATGAAGAGGCGGTTCCCCATTGGTGCACACAAATCTGGCTGCGGCTGTGGGATTGAGCGAAGACATCAAATATCTCTCACCAATGGGTACAAAGTATCTAGCGATGCGGACATAAGACGCAATCGAAATAAGTTGTTAACTACAGGTACTTTCCCACATGTCTGGCACCGCTGTGCCCTGGATTGGGTAATGAATTCAAAGTACTTACCATGAGAGCAGACACGCGAAATATCTTCTAGCTTCATTAACCTAAGGTATTGATGTGCTCTCTTCCGTGTTTTACTGAACGGAGTCGTTGTCTCCCCTGTACTTCGATATGTCCGATATTGCTCATTGAGCCTTGACATTTCTACTACCAGGGTGCCGTAGCAGCCCTCTTGTCAAAGCGTAAGCCGTCAGATTAGGCGCTTTGAGGGATGCTAGATTAAGTCAACGACTACTCCATATGTACCGTTTCTAATATTTCAATAAGCAATAGAAGGCGGACGCCTCTGCAGATGCTCCGCTTTAAGGCTTTTAATATCATGGTTAATCGTCACTTACACTTAATATGATGACAGCGCTTCCTTTCCTTTGAATTTGCTGTGAATGTAGCAGTCAACCGGCTTCCCTAGGGCTATCAAGTCAATTGTTCTGGCTCACAGTATCTATATGATAAAGAGTTTTCTGATGATGCGAAACCTTCACTGACATTGCCATAAAACACACGAAGCAACAAATTTCGAATATGCATTCAAAATAGAGTGGTTGAAATCGGACAAAATATGTTAATCGATAATAGGGATAACACCTTCCTAATACCACAACAGTGACTCGCCAAGGCTGATAAGGGACACGCGCATTTTGTGTTGACGTCTGACGTCCTTCGACACTACCAAAAACAAACCCGTTGTGGTCCTCAGATCATCATCGTCAAGTGGCCTCTCCCAGCACATGGTTGTCAGCTTCCCCATGGCACCCCCAAACGATTGGCCTGGTCACTGCTGCCGGTCAGCAGATGGCTCAATCACTCCACCAGCTCTCTGAAGACTGTGTCTCTGCTGGGCGATGTCGGCGTTCATCCAGTCCCCTGTATGTATTTCCTTTGTTTTGTCGTCCACACATCACAGCGCTTGTAAAGATACATACTCCCGAAGAGTGTCAAAGTAATCTCAAGTCGAACGGTCCGCCGGCTGATTGATGCATGCAACCGTCTTTGAGTGTAGCTGATCTGTGGCGAGAGCTTGCGAAGCCTTGGTTGTCGTCAGGCAAAGTAAGACGTGGGATCGTGGGCTTTAGGAAGGGCAGGGTTTGCCATGTATCATGATACAGTATAGGGTACAGTTATAAATACAAGACGGACATTCTGCGAAATACCGAAGCGGTGGTGCGGCATCCCACTGATCAGAAAGAACGGGTTATGAAAACATGATGTCCGTCAGCCTCGAGGAATATTTATGCAGCAAGCGAGCTGCTACAAGTATCACGACAACGTATAGTGCCAACATTGTGAAGTAATCGGAATGACTGAGGACCCTTATAGGCTGCGAGACAACAGTATAAGTGACGAGCAGACCAGAATTTCCAAGCTGGAACGAACAATCACAGGGAGAGTCAGCCTGAAAGGTCTTTTATATACTCAGCAGTGTCCAAGCAGGGGTAGTGTCCAAAGTCCCATCTTGCTCAGAGCATGCTACAGCGATTATTCCTGTTGCCGCGATGGGCCAACGGGCACATCGAAGGCAATGATAAGGGGTCTAGGAGACAACGGCCGGAGCGCCAAGAGCCTCACTGCGACGCTATCGAGAGAGAACGGAAGTCGGTCGGAGTAGCCAAGAGCCTCATCCTGCAATCTCGCATCGACAGGAACAAAATGGCGGTTATCGGTCATTGGGCGCCAAGACATTGAGTACGCGGCTGCAATCGAGCGTGCAACGCTATATGGTTGTAATGAACTATAGCGGCAGGTGGATGCCACCGCCAAGACTTAACCGAGAACCTCGCTCCAGCCCACTGCACCAAGATCATGTCTCGAGATACCACCATATTCCCGAGTGTACTCGGCTCTCCGATGTAAAAATAGCCCCTTCACATGCTCTTAAATGACTTCTCAATGAACAAGTCTCAACTTGTGATTGCGTTCCACTTGACCAGTCACGAGCGCGTCAGGGTGTATTCGGTTCTTGTATGGTACTCACTGGTAGAATAAGTGTAACTGAAAACCAACAAGGAAACACAGGTCAAATATGGACCATCATGTCCTCAACAAAAACTTCGTACCTGCAGTTATACGGTAAACAATTATAGCGACTAAAACATAGTATAGGGACAGTTCAGACGTGCTTCAAATGAACAGCCGCTTGGGAGTCGGCAGGACAATCCCGAATGTTTCCCAAAGGGGCAACTGCCCCATCACAACATACGACCAAGTGTACAGAGTACACCATTATTATACGATGCGTCCGTCGCTCACAAGATGACGTCCCAGTCTCAAGACCACTACTCAGCCGAACTAACCGGCATGCGCTGTTTCATGAATATGAGATTACCTAGAGCGAAAACCGGCATGTAAAGAATTTCAGCGCAACGGCACGTTCGACGAACGTCCAGTAGTTGAATATTGGCTCAAATATGGCCAGTATCGAACGACCGCAAATATTGTAAGGACAAGAAACGATGTAGGCTTGCACATATAAAGAAAATGTGAATGCAAATTGTTACGGGGCAAACAAATTTGGCCACATTCTACTTGGTTTCAGATCGAGGCTACGAATAATTGTCAGTGTCGGTTGAATTATAGTCTTCACAGTACCAAAGTAACAAGAATAACAAGACTTGGCAAGTCACTGCGACCTATCCCCTTCCCTCCATTTCCTATCATCTGCATACGAAGCTTTCCTTACAATGCTCTTCGTCACTAAACATCCTGAGGTATCGATATATGCAAATAAAAGCAGACCCCACGAATAATTGTAAATCGCAATCAGGCCCCTGTAGAATCTTTGTTCGTACCATATCTTACGCCTTGAACCCCTTGTATTGAATATCATGCTCTAGTGTCGTGGCTAGGCGAACCCTCGCTTTCTTCTTCTACGTTGCTTCTAGCTAACAGTAGCGATGAAGCTCTGGTACTGCTCATCGTCTGTAATCATTTTCGCTGCTGGCTGCGGTGCCAGTTTCGCTGGCGCGGTCTTCGCTGTCCACAAAATACCCTGCTGTGGTTGAGGTTGGGCTAGCTGGCGGTCAAACTTGGGCGTTTCGGAGCGCTCTTCTGCCCGATCTTCTTTATCTGATCGAGGCAGCCGCATCGCTAGTAATATGTACTCGGCACGCGTCATGTTGTCCATAATGTCATCCATATATCGCCTTACTTCATCCTGGGGAGCTACGACTCTAGCGATCTGCTCGAGATGCTTCCCAGAAGGTGAAGATATTCGGATTGTCATGGGTTGATAGTAGTCCAGAGCAGGGTCACCACCATACTCGGATTTACTGCCTTTACGTACGATGAGGAACGAGGCAAGAACTTGAGAAGCACCTGGCTGGTACTCGAGTATACTGAACTTAGGAAATAGATACCTGTCACCTGTGCCGCCGGAGAATTCGAGGGCAATTGCTGAGAACTCGGTCCTGAAACTTGGGGGAGGGCCTTTTGAACGTAAAGCTTGTTGTGAGGTTGGCGCTGCTGATGCCTGTGAGACAGACGCTTTCCTCGCAGAAGCACCATTGGCCACCGTGTTGGAAGCATTGGCGACAGGCGGTTGTACTTCTGCTTTCACACCGCCCTTCGAAACCAGATCTTTGAGTCTGTCCAGAATGGCCTTCAAGTCGGTCGCATCAGAGAACTTCGCCTGATTAGTTGCCACCCGCCGAACCATGTTCTTTGTTGTACCATCTTCTAAGGCTTTCTTGACAAGTAGAATGACCAATGGATCACTGTCAACAGGCACCCTCAAATCCGATGCCTTTTGTTGCGGATTTGAAGCCAAAACAATGTCAAGTATAGCTCGGACCTCATCAGCAAAATACTTGACGGTACGGCCATCAACGATAAGCCTATCAGCTGAGGGGCCTTGTTGTCCTCCGTTTTTCTTGTACTCTCTTGTGATTGCATCGATAATCTTTTGAAAATCGGCCAACTCATCTGGTGCAGCTTGCCCGACGGCCACTCTCTTCATGAGATCACGGAGGTGAGGATCGTGGGAGGCCTTTTCGGCAAGCGTTACAATTATTGGATCAGCACCAGCGGGCGCCGGCGTAGCAGACTGCACGCCTGGTGTAGGCGGTTTCTGCGCCCCAGGGGTAGTTGGCGTGCCGGCTGTCGTAGGGCTAGGGCTAGGCGCCTGTGGTCTTGACAAGCCCGGCTGAGCTGTCGTGGTTGCTGGTGAGGCCAAGGGTTGCTGCGCCTGTGACTGAGGCGCAGGAGACCGCAAAGGGGGCTGGGATGCCTGTGGTGCCTGTGGTGCCTGTGGAACAGGTGGCGCTCCCGGAGCTGCAAGTACCGAGCCAGGACCGGTACTGGGCGAGACGCGCGGGAGGTTGGGCAAAGGAGCAGCAGATTGGGATCGTTGGGAATCGGCAGACGGCGGTTGGCCCGATGGATAAGACTGCGAAGAGACAGCTGGTGCCTGCGTGGGTGGCTGCAAAGGTGTGCCTGATGGAGGTGCTGGCTGCGCTGGAGCTTGGGAAGGAGAAGCCGGTACAGCGGAGGGTGTGGTCGGAGTCGCAGGCGTGGACGGCTTGGGTGGTGGAGGCGGCGGCGGCATGACACCATTTGGCGGGCCATATTGCATTACAGGTCGAAAGGTCGAGTTGGTCGTCGGGGCAGTGGATTTGGTGTTGTCCTTGATTCCAAACATTGTGGCTTCGACGAGGTGAGGCTCGATGGTGATAATGATGTTTCCAATCTTCTGCATGCTGTCCTTGGGCGGGTTGTTCGGTTCCTCCTTGACCACGCCTTTTCGCTTGACCGGCTTTGTCCAGTATTTCTCAAATATGCCTTCGTTTATCCATTTCTGCCGCGACCGTGTAAGGGATTCTGCAAGAACGCCGCTGGGAAGATAAACCATTAGCACCGGGTTCTCGTCTGTCCGATCGGCTGTTCAAGATTCCGGGCGCGCGCTTACCTCTCTTGTATCGACTGGTAGTCCTTGCCGGATAGCTCTTCTGACTGGGCATTCTCTACGGTTGGTAATGGATTCCCTGCTTGTATCGATGTGGGCAGTTGTGGTTCCTGGACCACAGGTTCTTGCCCTGGCTCAGGTTCCTGCTCTGGCTCCGGGACTGCTGGTGGTGGCGGTTGGGCAGATGCCACTGCCCTCTCCGGAGGTGTTGATGTACGCTTCTTGGCGACCTGCTCGACTCGAGCTGCGCCCCGAGGCGGGTTCTTTCGTTTGACTCCCCCCGTCATTATTGTTGACTAGCTAATGACACGGCTACGATTGAATGTGACAAGACAATGACGTGACATGGGAGAGGTGAATGGACTTTGCGGTTCTTATGCTGGTTCTGGTTCTGGTTCTGGTTCTGGTTCCGGTCCCGACGCTGGTGTTCTAGGTATTACACATACGCGAGCATGTTCATGGCAGATCCAACAACTGTTGACATCTGCATGCGGTCACGGTGTAATATAGTTATACAAGGGAAAAGAGCGTGGTCGCGAATCTAGCAGGTCGATAGTTGTACAAGAGGTTGGAAGGGATGGAATGGAACGGGAAAAAGAAAGGCACAGGCAAAACAAGGAGATTGCAACAGAGTTCGAACGAAAGCGCTGGGAATGGAATTGATGTTTGGCCAAAAGCCCGCCCGTGAGCACGCAGCGAAGGCGAGGGAAGCGAAGGGGAAGCGGAAGGCGGACTGTGTTACTACGTGATAGCCAATTGGCCAGGCTGATGTTGGAGCAGTCCATTGCGAGAATCTCATTGGCTCGGCGTAACGTTAAAAAATGGGCTGGACAGGTTCCAGTGCATTTGCGTTTGCATTCGCATTTGCCCACCGGCGGGACGCTTGCACCTGAGTGAGTGAGCAAGGCACGTACTTTGGCCACTTCCTCATCAGACATGGCCACCGTGATCGTGCTACACGTTACCTGTAATTACGTGGGCATTCAATCGCCACTACCAGGCAGGACACGAATGTCTCCCCCGAGTGCTTTTGTGCCCCCCTTGCACTTGACTCGGGGCTGAAAAGTCTGGTAAAGTCCAGTCAATGAACGACCTTTTTTTTTTTTGACGGATACAGGCTCTATTTAAGTATCTTCCCAATACGCTACGGAATCAGTCAGCTTATGGCGGAAACAGCAGCAACATCCAGTGCTTGCAAGTCATCACCATGACGATCGCTAGCTAGATCTGAGCATGTTGTGGTGTCCAAATTAGTAGTTTCAATATCAGAAGGCGCATCGATGAGGCTGGGTTTAAGTAGTTAGTCTAGTCTAGCTGACGGAAGACCAAAGAGCAAGCGGCTCCATTGTCTCTCTATTGATCAGCGACTTGTAGCTCCTTAACAGCCACTGGAATCTGCATGGCCGAATTCCATGCCAATCTCGGGCCAAATGACTCCCTGCAAGTGCTTAAGGTGTTAGTGGTGTGAAGGTCAGCAGTCGCAGCGCTGGAACCCCACAATACCGTAATCCTTGTCGCTGTTGACTTCATCGGCTTGCCAACTGCTGGCTTCCTCGCTGCTTCTACTTCACATGCGTGTTCTGAAAGGACAAGGTAGCGACAATCTCGCTCCGGCAAAGTAGTGTAGTTCTTTAGTTGTATGTTCGTTCCACAGATACTCAAACGACCTTTGTGCCGTCGACCTTCAATTTGCTGCATGCTCGAGAATATGCGCCTGCAATAAACGCTGACTTTAGCTTTAGTACAATGGCTCCCCAGACGTCGCGATGGGCGATTCCATTGGTTGCTGGTCTTGCCGCACCTATTGGCCTATACATGACCTTTCTCTTGCTCGGCTCTATCCCTTTCTTCCAGAGACAGTAAGTCTGCAACCGCGCGGTCGCGTCCACAGAACCTTGCCGCTGACCACTTACAAGTTTCTTTTATGCGCATAAAATCAATACGCTCTTCTGGCATGATATAGACAAGCCAGAGGAATGGGGCTTTGCGAGTAAGCCACAAACATCCCATCGATAACGCCATAATTTGTTCAACATATGTCGGCGACTAACACCCTCCAAGGAAACCAAGTTACTCCTTTTTCGATTGGCACCGCCGACGGGGAGACCCTATACGCATGGCACATCATGCCTTTGCCTATTTATCTCAGAAACGAAGACAGACTTCAAGCAGAACCGCACGGCTTTGTCAAGGACTTCACTTCCACTGAGTCTTTCAAAATCCTCAGAGAAGATCCCAATGCACGTCTCGTCATTATGTGTAAGTAGAAAGCAGTCCTCTTGTCAATTATCTGGCTAATCGATCATAGATCACGGAGTATGTTTCAATTCAACTCTTAACACTCTAGTCAAACCACTGCTAAAGCGTGAGTAGAATGCTGGCCACGTAGCGCAAGCAATACGCCCGAATAGCTACCATACGCTGACTGACAGCTCAAACTACCATGTCCTCGCGATTGACTACCGTGGTTTTGGCAAATCAACTGGTGTACCATCTGAAGCCGGGCTGATCAACGATGGTGCCGCCGCAGTTAACTGGGCCATAAACGTTGCAAAGGTTCCATCAAGCCGCATTGTCATCTTGGGCCAGAGCTTGGGTACCGCAGTGACTAGCGGAGTCGCTGAACATTTTGCTCTTCAGGGTATCGAGTTTGCTGGAGTCATTCTTGTCGCCGGCTTCTCCAATCTACCGGCACTACTCAGCAAGTATAGTGCTGCTGGATATATACCAGTCTTGTCACCACTGCGAGGGATTCCGCCACTACTTCGCCTCGTCCAATCCTTTATCGTAGAAAAGTGGAAGTCTGACGACAGATTGGCTACAGTCGTCGGACTCGCGCACAGTAGACTTCGACTGACACTAATTCATGCCAAGAACGATTGCGATATCCCATATTCCGAGACTGATGCCAACTTTAGATCAGCTGCATTGTCTCTCATTGGCACGAAATTGGACGACGAAGAATTTGCAGAGTGGAAGAAGGAAAGAACTGTGCTGCGCGAGGACGGCACATATATAGCAATTGCTAAGGGCGACAACGGTGTGATTATTCGGGAGGAGCTCGTACCGTACGGTGGTAAGTTGGATGAGCACCATTCCTATCATGTTCAGATGCTGATATTGCCGCAGGGCACAACGATGTTATGTGGTCGTCTCCGGTCGCGCTTGCTGTGATGAGGTCGTTCGATCTTGAGGCCTAGAATATGCCTCGATGGCACGTTTGTGGGAAACGAGGGTTTGAGCCATGGGTAAATTAGACAATAAGATGTTAAACAAGTTTTCTAGACTAAATAAATACTTTCTACTTCGTGACTTTGGTACCAGCTCAAGGTATGTCGACCAAACAATATCTGCTCAAAGTGCTGCCGCTCAAGTGGCAACCTTAATTGTGGCAATCTCCCGAAACTGCCAAACCTGCTCAAAAGGCTTTTGCTGTAATGATCTTGGTCGTTGTCTGGTCGACTAAAAACTCTTGTAACCCCCCTGCTCAGTCATCTCGGTCGTCGTAGTCTTCTTCCAAACAATGGACGCCGAACACAAGTCACTCACACTCATTGCCATGACCCACACTCAATCCACGAAGGCCGACCAGGCCCTTCCGACGACCACAACTGCCATCGCAGCCGACCCGACCCTGGGATACAAGCTCCGGGTGCTCCTACACGACCTCCGCAACATCTCGCCCAAGGGGTCCGGCTCTGCGAAGCGCCTCGGCCAAACCACCAATCATTTCTACCTCAGCCTACCCTACTTCACACCCCAGGAAGCGGGGTGTCTCAAGAATGCCGTGATAGACCGGCATGAGATCCCTGCTTATTCGTTCTCCATGCACATAGTGAGCGGGAGCGACATGAATGACCACGACCACCCTTCTTGGCAGCCGGGGAGGGAGATTCTACGGGGCATGGTGGTCGAGGATGCAATTAATGTGAGACTGGGCCACGGCTTGGTCAAGAGAAAATCCAGTGGCGACTCAAGATCGTGTCCGCCGTATGACTTAGCGCCCCTGTACGAGATGGTGTTCGGCATCAAGAGGGGCGAGCTGGAAGACGAGGAGTTTCTGGGCAGGCTGGGGCACTCAGGCCTTGCGTCTTTGTAGGAATTCTGTACGTGAAAGCGGCGGGATGAGTCGCCTATAGCGTTAAAGAGGAACAAGAGAATACGAATGTTTCATGTATTGACCCATTTCGAGATGTTTGTTCCCATATTAGACTGTCACTCATTCTCGGCAAAATGGAATTATTATAAAAAGTCCAAGCCTGCGGTCTCCGGTCAATATACTGGGCAAGGAATACAAATCGCTTACATGATCCCAGGCTCATACAGATAGCTTACACCGATCTTCTCTTTTATCTTCATATTTAGATGTATTATGATAAGCTAGGGGGTGAATACTAGTAACCAGTCCATGATCGCGAAGGAAGCAGCGGCGAAGATGCTAAAATGAATAGTAATGTAAATATTGAAGTAGTTCCTGTAACCTATGGGTTCCATGTCGCTTCAGCAAGGAAACATCGTAGAAAAGGGAGGATGGTGTTGACGAGGAGCACCGAGTTCAGGGTAATGATGATTGCCCATACGCCTCTTTTCAATCGCCAATATGTGAGTTTCAAAGACGTAAGAGTGAAAGATGCCTTCGAGCATGCTGCGGTAGCAAAGGTGAACACACTAGCTATGATGACTAATTTAATCAGCGCGAGATTGTTCTCTATCGGTACCGTGCCCTCGTGTTTTTTCGAGTCCAAGGGATACAGCATATGTCGACATGCACGCTTGTGCAAGTATAAGCAGCTTGACGAGTCAGAAGTTTCCGGTCGAGAAAGTAGATGACAATAGCTTACTCATGACGCCGAGAGCAGACGGGCGTCCCACCGTGACCGACTCCGTGTAATACTTATGTAGAGGCGAGTGGCGGGAAAGAGACAAGAGATGGCGGTCAACGTGCAACTAATCCCATTAATCCTCGGCCTGAGATCATTACTAGCCCTCGCAGCTATACTGGACATGTTCGTGGTAAGATCAAACACGTCATGTCAAGCATCATAAAGGATAACCTATTCAAGACTTTAGGGCAAGGTTCAACGGGAGGATGGGAGAATGGAGAAACAGAGCCGGAATACATGTTGCCTTGCATATTATCTGAAGACACTCAACAAGGAGATATGACTTATGTAGAGAAAAGTGATAAGATTGGACTAGAGATATTTTGGCTATGGCGGCTCCAGGCCTGCTCGGCACTTGCATCGTTCGAACCAGGTAACCCAACCGATCTGAAGGTAACTCAGCATTGTGCCTTTGACATAGGAGCAGATCTTTCAACTAAACTCCATGTCCACCCCAGGTAGAAAGCCAAGGTTCCAGTGATGCTAAGTATCGGGGTCTTTCTCACCCCTCGGCTACTGGATAAATATTCCGTCGAGGTCCTCCATGACATGGACAACGATTGTAGCTGGAACGCCCGAAATGGCAAAGCAGTGACCAACTGCATTGATAAAATCTTGATGCTCCGGCGAGAGGGAGCAGCTGGTCGGGGTATCAATCTAGCCGCCCGTCTATCTTGCAGGCGCCTAGATCCCAAGACTGACTGTGCCCTCTGACCGAGCCTGCTGGCAAGTCTTGATCATTGCAGTCAACATCCAGGCTGCCAGCTACACAACCCAACTGGAGTCTGGTGTGTAATGGGTCTACAAACTGGTAGCTTCTTTGGGGCTCCATTGACTTTGTGTTGTGGAAGCTAGGGAGCCGCCTATAATGGTGGTCAAAGATAAAACCGGCGCGCATCAAACATTGCTCATATGCCATCAGCCAACGAAAATGACCAGCTCCTGGATGGGGTCTATGATCAATTCGACTAAACTAGTCTAGGTGAAAGAAATACTGAATGAATAACACCATCTGCTTAACTCCTGTCTCTGACCGAGAGCAGCGAGACTCGGCCTCGCATGCGGACTTGTATTCTTCTTGGCAATTATACTCGAAATACAACAATATCAAAAGTCCACATGGTATACATCGTTTACAGTAATTAATGTAACTTAACTCGGACACATGTGGTTTGTGTTTGCATGTGCCTGCATAATATAACATAACGTAACCCCACCTCTCAGGGACCCCTGCCAGTTTACCCCGCCGTCCAGTCGGTGAAAAAGGTATCCATTCATCCATATTCGTTGCGCTCGCTGCTTTGCGAAAGCCAGATCACCAACTTCTGGCCCGACAAGCCCACTAGGCGCCGCATCATTCCAAACTGTCACGGCAATCCCATTCGCTGCGGCATCATCGAAACCATGGCTGAGGAATCCAAAGTCGTCGATCCCAAGCTCACCGCGGGCGAGGAGGACCTCAACGACAAGGGCAAGGGCAAGGCGGTTGCCGTCGAATCGGCAGACGAGGGTGATGACCTCGCGACGGAAGCAGACGCTGCTACATCGACCGGTGCCAAGAAGAAGAAGTCCAAGAAGAAGAAGCTCAAGGATGCCCTCACTGGGAAGTCCTCCAAGGATGACCAGGAAACGAACCTGCACAAGGCAATCGACAACCTCACCCCCGACCAGGTCTCGCAACTTCTCGACCTGAACCCGGCCCTGGCAAGCGAGATCGCGAGGACCTCTGGCAGCAATGACCTGAGCTCCGCGACCGAGGCCCTCAAACGCCTCAAGCTCCAGGAGATCATGACCGGCTTGGCATCCAGCGGAAAGAATGCTAAGGATATGGGAGCATACAAGTTTTGGTCTACGCAACCTGTCACCCACTTTGGTGAAGAGGCCAAGTTCGAAGATGGCCCGATCAAGATACAAACCATTGATCAGGTCTCCAAGGAGCCCCCGCCCCTGATCCAAGGATTCGAGTGGTGCGACATGGACATCTCCAATCCCACCGAGAACGAGGAGGTTCGAGACCTATTGCAGGGACACTATGTTGAGGATGACGAAGCTCTATTCCGGTTCAACTACTCCTACAGCATTCTGAAGTGGTGAGTAACCAAAAAAAATCTCTTGCTTTTTTTTTCTTTCTTCTCGATAATTCATGTTCCGGCCGCTGACAGGATGGAAGGGCCATGATGCCTCCCAACTGGAAAAAACAGTGGCATGTTGGTGTACGTGCTTCCACGTCCAAGAAACTGGTTGCTTTCATCTCTGCCGTGCCACTCGAGATTCGCGTCCGCAAGAATATCGTACATGCGTCTGAGGTCAACTTCTTGTGCATACACAAGAAACTACGGTCGAAGCGACTGGCTCCTGTGCTGATCAAGGAGGTCACTCGGCGCTGCAACCTTGAGGGCGTCTTCCAGGCCATCTACACCGGCGGTATCGTTCTGCCCACACCTGTCAGCACCTGCCGTTACTACCACCGTGCCATTGACTGGCAAAAGCTTTACGAGACGGGGTTCAGTCCTCTGCCTGCTGGCTCCAAACCCCAATACCAGGTTCGCAAGTATGCCGTGCCCGACAACACCAAGCTGAAGGGCCTCAGAGAGATGCAGGAAAAAGATGTCGATGCCGTTCACGAACTCATGACCAACTATCTGAAGAAATATGACCTCGCCCCCGACTGGAATAAGGAGGATGTGCGCCATTGGCTTTTGCATAAGAAGGCCAACGACCAGCTAGAGGAGCAGGTCATCTGGACCTACGTTATTGAGAACGACAAGGGCAAGATCACCGACTTCTTCTCATTCTACTGCCTTGAGTCTTCTGTGCTGCGCGACTCGAAACACAAGGTAGTTCGTGCGGCTTATCTCTTCTACTACGCGACCGAGACCGGACTAGGCGACAACGTTGACAGAGAATCATTCAAGACACGCTTGAACGCGCTCATGTCTGACGCGCTTGTTCTCTGCAAGAGGAACAAGTTCGATGTTTTCAACGCCCTGTCACTTATGGACAACGGATTGTTCTTGGAAGAGCAGAAGTTTGGTGCTGGAGATGGTCAGCTTCATTACTACTTGTTCAACTACAGGGCGAACGCCATCGCTGGTGGTGTCGATAAGAGAAACCGCCTGGATGATAAAGCACTTAGCGGTGTCGGATTTGTCATGCTGTAGATAGTTATTAGAGATACCATACAATGACATTATAGTTGACTTGTTCTAGTCGCAGTTCTAGGAGGTAACTAGTCTATGCATCACTCCAATCTATCTGCCCAATCTCGTGACCATTTTGTGCTCTGTCTGGGAGAGACGTATACCGCAGCAAGTCTTGGCAGCATAGTACTCGAGGATGGATTGAGCTGCTATGGTGAACAGCCAGGTGTGACCTACCAAATGCCGGATCGCATTATGACTTGCCCGTGGAAGCAGACCATTCGCATCTTGTATGGTGGCATGGTGTCAGGTCCCAGTCAGATCAAGTACGTTGTTTCCCGAGGATATTTCCTTGCGGAAATGAAACTTGATGCCTCAACGAAAAGGAGCCAAGACTTACTTCCCGGTAGAAATTGTCCGTCTATCGATGATGAATGAGAACTGTGCTTGGAGATTCATCGCACGGTTCAGGCTTTGATTTTGATGTAGTTTGTTAACGTATAAACATCTACTGAAACACGCAGCTTTCGTAATCTACATGACGCTCAGTAAGGAACAGGCCAGCCATAAAAGGCTACACTCCATGCATAAGAAAGTATCAGCCCATCGCTCTAATCCGCCCTTTGGTTGGAGGCCTTTGTCGATGCGAGAGCCTCTCTGCAGTCCAATTCACCTATATATTCTCCATCACTTCGTCTTACATCGTTGTGCAATCTGCAGCCGGTGATACAGAGCATTGTAACGAGCTGTCACTAGTTTGAGTATGTCTCCATGGAGTGTGAATTATAGATTTAGCAGCTCTTGAACTAAAGTAATAGATACTGGACCATTACCGGTTTTCTGAGTCATGGTTGTGGTGAGATGAATCGTGTAATTCTACACGACGGAATCTTTTTTTTTTTTTTGGGGGGGGGGCGGGGTTGGTTGATTTTGGGACTCTTTACACAGTTCCAAGGTGGTCTGACTGCTACTACATATACACAAGATTGTATTGCATTAAGGGCTTCAAGCTCAATCTTGCCAGTATGACGGACCCAGATGAGATAATGCAGCCTTCTTTGCTGACATAAACACAACTCCACGTATGCGTGACGTGCCAAGCCTGTTCGTGCAGGGGCGGGAACGCCAAGCTGTGTTGGGCTTGGAGACCATTGCGTACACGTTGAGAAACTGTTTCGCCCCGATTTGCTTGCGCGGTCTGTGTTTGAACGGGGCATGGTCAGACGGCTGATCGTACCGCGTCGTGATAGTCTCACTATGTGGGAACCATGGCTTGCGTGGTCGTCGGCAGTACCAACCCCCGAGGCTTTCTCGGAAGAGTTGCAGGAAGTGCGGTGGTAAACCGCAGCTTCTCCACGTTCAATACGGTGGGTTTTAATCAGCAATGTATCCTAATGGTTCCACAATGTTATGAACCGAGTAAAGTAGTGTATATGGAGCGTCTGGGTTTTGGTTAACTCAATGTTAGTGTATCACTTCTACATTACAAGTTGGGACTACATTGCACTTTGCCGATTGAATGGGTATGTACTTTCGGTATTAGTTCTACCTTCGAAAGAATATTCACAATACGTTCGAACTAGAGTCTGTTGTTGCACCATGAACGCCGGTACATCTCGTCTCCTCCGTGTGGTCTATAATGCCCTCTCCCCATATGCAAAATAACAAATATGCAAAAAAAGACTTTCCCTTACCCCTCATGAATTGTCTCACCCGCGCGTGCAGATGACGCTCGATAATTTGAAGATAGTGATGGTGGTCGATAGGGAGCAGATATAAACAGCTGAAATACTGCATCTCGTACGTATTGTGGCCTACGCTCAGCATGCTGGAGTGAATAGTTGGACATAACGCTTGAAAACTGCATCTCGATATCGATAAAGACTGGCGAAAGTTGGTCTAAAGGTTGCCATTGTTGGCAATGAGGTTGGTAGTGTTGGCGGTGTTCTTCTTGACAGAAGCACCCGAGGCAGTAGCGAGCTCCTTGATGCGGTCCGAAACGGCGGTGACGTCGGTGATGCCCTCTAGAGACATAATGTAGGCAGCGAGACCAGCAATGTGAGGGGAGGCTGTCGTAATTATGTTAGTACTTTCTTGGCTTTCGTGGAGGTCAGGTGAGGTTTGAGGTATGCTTACCCATGGAAGTACCGCTCAGCGTCTCAGTTGCTGAGTTGCTAGTAATACCGACACTTTCCACATCGACACCAGGGCCGAAAACATCGACATTGGCACCGAAGTTGCTGAAGCTGGCCTTACGGTCGGTAGTCTGGTCGATAGCACCAACGGTGATGGCGTCAGGAGCAGAAGCAGGGCTGGTGTTCGCGGCATCTTGGTTCTCGTTTCCGGCAGCGACAACGGGAACAACGCCAGCTGATGCAATAGCCTCGACAGCCGAGTTCACAGCGTTGGACTTGGAACCACCCAGGGACATGTTCATGACGGCCTTACCGGAAAGACCCTTGGCCTTTGCATCGGAGGCGACGAAGTTCAAACCGTCGATGACACCAGAGTTGGTGCCACTGCCATCGGCGTCGAGAACCTTGACGCCGATCAAATTAACGTTCTTGGCAACACCAAAGGTAGCACCGCCAATGGTACCAGCAACATGAGATCCGTGGCCGTTCTCGTCGGTGTCCACGTTATTGACAGCGTTGAAACCCAGAGTAGCACGTCCTTGGTACTCATCGTGGGTGGTGAGGATACCGGTATCAACAATGTAAGCTGTGATGCCCTGGCCTGCCGTGTCGTCGAAGACATATCCCTCAGCAGTGGAGTTACCAGAGGTGGCGGCATGCGACAAACGCACCAGACCAGTGGGAGCGTTGGTCTGGGACTGCAGGGCGAAAGTGGTGACCTTCATGTCGGGTTCGACGTAGTCGATCATGGGGTTGGAACCGAGACTCATGGCAGCAAAGTCGGCCGTCTCGAAATGTACAGCCTTCAAGCTTGTCATAGTCCAGGTCTTCACGGTAGTGGACAGCTGCCTTCCATCGAGCGCCCGCTTGCCAACGTTTCGCTTCTTGACAAAGTTTGTAATTTCCATGGCGTGAGCATTGACCTCATCATCCGTGCAGTTCTTCCTGTAGACTACGATGTACGAGCCGTCGATAGCGTTGGTAGCATCGGCGTTCATCATGCGTACACCACCGAAACGGTCTACGGCCGAAGCCACCGAGGCTTCGGCTGCTTCGATCTTTGAAGCCAGGTCAATCTTGTTGATGGCAAGTGCATCAGTAAGAGGCGCTGCTGCTGCAAGCAGCGAAGTCAGGAGAGTGCTGAGCTTGGGGGCCATCTTGAACAAAAGCTTTTGTGTATGAATTTCAGTTAAGTGAGAGTGTTCCTACTGTTCCAGACAAGTCGAGGAGATGTCGGATTGTCGTATCCGAATAGTGGTCCCGTCCTTAGGTAAATCGAGGTAATGAGAGACTTGAAGCGTCCAAGAGACGGTGATCGAAGTTCTGATATTCAAGACTCCTTTGTTTTTCCGGCTCCAGGCGAGAACGTGATGTTAAACACTATAGTGACGAATGAAGGACTTGTACAATAGTTGAAAAAAAAAAAGTACTGGTGAAGTAAGTGGTATGAAGAATAGGGAATGTGGAGGAACTCTGTTGTAACAATCGAATCTAACGAACAAACGATGTCTTTCCTTTACAATCTCCTACTTTGCACCACCGAAGAATCGAAATGAAATTTTTTGGGAAAGAGACGAAATACGAGAGGGACTGACGATTGCAATTCAGATGCCCACACTGGGGTCTGCTCACCTTTAAAGGCCCCATCTCAAGATGGACAAAAGATCTGCTAAGGGGCAAGTGCTTGTCTGCAGCATCAATACCAGACTGGGATAGCGGACCAAGTACCTGCATTGAGGCTTGAAAATGGGTCTTCGAGACTTGGCTGGCCCACTGGTTACAACGCCCCGATTGAGCGTTGAGGGGTGTCAGGGTGTTCAGTGCGGCGCCAAGCGCTAACCACGCAAGCCCTTGCCGCCAAGTCAAACCAGGCGCCCCTGGGCAAGCCGCCGCGATCCACCCGTCCATACTTTTCTTTGGGGGGGATACAGGCAATTCCACTCCAACGCTGGCTGGTGCGACTGGCTCTCAGGACACAAGCAACTCATGGAGCAATCTCGCCGACCAACGAAATACACAATGGAGCACCATGTGAAATGAAAACGCCTGTACATACCCGTGCCGGCCCAGAATTAGACAGGTTCGCGTGCACACAAGTACTCCGTACTGTGTAGACTGGTCGCGTACCAGCATGTCAATATAGACAACTTTAAGCATGAGTCTTAGATTGGCTCCATATTCCGATTATAGCACTCGGGAAACGGCTGCTTGCGTCGACGATTATGCTTAAGCATTGTCAAGCTGCCGATCGCTTTTGTCGTATACGCCTGGAGGATGTGATGTGTACTTCGCATTTCGGATTTCCCCTCGCCAAAGAAAACAAACAACCTGCTGCTCCCGGTGGGATCATGTGCAGTATCGAGTTTCTCCTGGTTGCTTCACACCCTCGTGTTGACGTGGCCGAGTTGGGAATGTCTTGTCCTCCGAAGTGAGTACCATGGTACGGGTTTCTGAATGCGTACGTCGGAACATGAACGCTTCTGGTGCAGCTGCTGGGCTGATCACTCTGGGGAACCTGGAGAAACGTCAAAGCTGGGCAGCTGCTTGCTCGTGACCGTGGGTAGAAAACGCAGGGAATGCCGTGGGTCAGCCATCAAGTGTCGCAGCTGTGAATCGATTTGGGAATGCTGACGGCGAGGCAGCGTCAACAAGAGGAAGGACAACAGTATCAGACCTTGCAACAATCTCAAAGTTGAAGCTTAGGATCGTGCAGAGAAGTCTTGGCTGGAACGCCATGTTGGAGGCTCTTTTGTGCATTGCTACGGAGCTAACCCAGTACTAGTAGAAGACCGGGCACTAGACAAGTTTTGGAAGCATGGTCGCGAATGGTACGGTATTTGGGGTCTGGAGATCCATAAAACAGAAACAAGCCTCCCACAAATCGCAAGGAGCCGTTTCAACCTCTCAGCTGAATTCTCATTGGTACATTTGGATAATTGGAGGAGGGTGAAACTGTGAACAGCCGAGCGGCTTGGACCAGGATCTCAGCACGGTACGGCAGTAGATCCCTTCGTGATAGGTTCCGACCATGAGATGAACAGGAACTTCGGGAAATTCAATGACAGGTGAAATTTGCCAGAATTCTTTTATTATGCATTCTAAGCCTCCACAGCTGATAAGCAGCATGTGCAACTCTAAGGAACAAAATCAACTTTGACACCCTCGAAAGCATAACCGTGATGACCCAATTCAGATTCTGCATTCTGTAAAGACAACTTCTACTCTGGGTGCGGCTGAATGCATGTCCGTAGGTCAAGGGCTTTCGGCTACAGAGTCGCATAGGTGCGGGTCGTGCTTTTAACTCGCATGAGTTTGTCGCCGTTGTATCAACGGCCCTTGCCAAAGTGAGAGCCTCAAGTGGAGGAGCATGGGAGGTTCAATATATGTAAAACTTTGCAGGTTCGCTAGCATCAGATCTGGTACGCTACTCTAATTATTACGAGATCTGTCTCGACAGCTATCTTGAAAGTGCCAAGCAGCATCTATTCGAGCCCGGACCGATGGCTCCTCAAACTTTCAATTTCCGCTACTCTTGGTCATGGTTTTGCCCAGCATAAACTAAGTTGACTGAAATGGAAGAGGTCAAGAGGAACGAATGGGATGGTTTAGTCTCTTGAGCCTCAACACATAAGTAATAAGGAAGATACAAGCTGGCGCTTTCCACCCTCATCCTACATTACAGCGCTCTCTGTTTTGTGATGAGTTCTTGGAAATTTTATTGGGCGTTTACTAATACTGAGGCCTCGTTTTTGTGGGCGTTAGATGATCCGTCAGTGGATTGGAATGCCAGGTGGGCTACCTGGCTACCTAACACAAGTGGCTTTGGAAAGTTGGTAGGCTTTGAGGGTCTAGACTAGACTCAACAATGTCCATACATAGATGGGACATGGAGGTGAGTGCGCAAGACCCAACCCATGAGAACAAATTCCAATGATCTGATGGCAACGATATCTCGGTACTCTCGCCAAGTTTTAAACAAGTTGTATACGCGAAAAGGTTGATTTTAATCAGGGACTTTCCGCTCATCTTGCTTCTATCCTATTTTAACAGTGTTTGCTCAGAAATTGAGCTCTCATTTGCTATTGCACGTCTAAACTTACATCAAAACCTTGGATTAGGCTATTCTGGAAATGCCAACCGAGATTTTGTATTTACGATGCTGCGCAAGTGTCACATTGGAGCCCATCAGATTGAAGCTATCGTGAGTTTGTCGTTTAAGCTAGGGTTGGCACAATAATTGCGACTAATGTGGTGGTGGTCATGGGGCCGGGGGGGCTGGCTGGTGCCAGCGAAGTAGATGCCCCATTTCTCTGTGCATGCGACATGCCGCTGAGCATCCACCCGTGACCAACGAAGTCAATGATTATAGGAGATCTGCAGCGCCTTGATGTAAACTGCAAGGATGACGATTGCACTGCTTCTACTGTAATCATCCCAATTCCACCAAGTAATGCGATCAGAAGGCTGGTTCTGCATGATGAGATTGCGTGGCTAGGTACGCTGGGGACGGTACCGTAAGAGTTAACGTTAAGGCTTGTTGTGCAAGGCGGCTATGCTACTTGGGTCCCAAAATAATTCAATGCACACTTCGTCCATGCGTTCAGCGTACAAGTAAGGCAAGATCAAGTAACCTACACAAGTAATGGTCATCGCGTTATTGCCGGCGCGCAGGTATGTACACACTGGACATACGTAATTGATGAGTGATTAACAATGCCCTAAGGAGGGGTGAACCTGAGCTGAGTTCCACTGTCGGTCCAGCCGACTATTCCTGGTGTCATGCAAAAGCACTAACAAATTTGTGTCGGAAATGCTGCTAGGGACGATAGCATGGGATCCAAGTATGCAATCTCGGAAGTTTTAGTCGAGATGAGTGGGTAGAAGTGTAAGTCATCATGTACTCTACAGTAGGTTAGGTTAGTAGATCACACCACCAATGATGGCCCAGACCCTTGAAAGGTTGTGACCCAGCGGTTTGTTACCACAAACTAACTAACCTAGACATGATCCCACTCCTCCATGCCGACGCCGTTGGCATTGCCCTGCATGCAAGGGAACTTTCTTTGGGTTCTCCTTCCGCAGGAGTGCGCAGTAACCGTAGAAGCAAAGCACTGAAAAAGGGAGAGCATTGGGTGCTTTCTTGGGGCCAGGCAGCCAGGGTGAGAAATGCATGTCCAAGGACAAGCAACCGGAGCTCGACCTGTCGACTGCCCCTCCGGCGGCACTGGGCCCATACCCGGCCCATTGCTCATTCCACCCACTCGAGAGTCATTTGATGCTGCATGCCCGCCTTGAGTCTGATAAGGTACCTCCAATAACTTACAGTTGACTTAAGGAGGTGGGAGACATTTAGCCCAGAATTTCCTAAGTTCACTTCTTACTTACATTACATTACGCTGATTTGAGTTGAGAGGAGTCGAGTTGCGGTCCGGCCATCTTTTTACAGGTAACCTCGCAATCGCCGAAATTACCACGCGCTCACTCGCTCACTCACTCACTCACTCACTCACTCACTCGCCGGTCACTTACTTTCTGTAGTTCGCATTCGTCCCATCTCTTTCTTTCTGCCCAGCAATTATTCATTGATTGATACCCAGATTTTGCGGCACTGCCCGGTAACACAACACTCGCTCAACTAGACTAGTAACTCAGTTCCCCATTCCATTTCCGTCTGTCTTTTGGTTGATCTAATCTGATCTGGCCTGGCCATCCAACTGTCCCGCACTCACATCCATCCATTGGTGTGTGTGTGTGTTTGTGTGTGTGTGTGTGTGTGTGTGTATATACGTGTGTCTGCGCAGCCGAGTTTACTCTGGGAAATTATCTTGACTGCACGCGACCACGTTGCATTTCTCGTCGACCGACCGACCGGCACCCGACTCGATCCTCCGACCTTCACATTCCCACTGTTTGAGAGCGAAAGAAACGAAAGTTAAAGCAGGACTTTGGACTTCCGATTGCTCTCCACCCGAACGTTGATTATTGTACCATACATTCGTCCGCCTTGCTTCTTCAATCCGCGACTCTGCCAACCACCGTTCCATTCCGGTTTCATTCCGCCCTGTATGCGAAGCGAAGCCTTGGGCTCGGTGGGTTAGTATTCAACGACGAAGAAGAAGAAGAAGATGATGATGATGATCGGAAAGCGGAGTTCTGCCATCTTTGAAGCTGATGGCGATAACGATGGCATAACCTCTGCCGCCAGCTCATTTGAGGCCCAATCTCAAAGCCTTCACCTGCCGCGGACCAACACTTATCTCCAGCGGGACATGCCAGTTGATGGCGGCCACGACGACGATGACGATAACGAAGGCTCCGCGACCACAGAGCTGGCAGCCATCATGACGACGACATCAACGCCGGTCAGCCCAGGACCGTCGAGCCCGCCCTTGGATCAGGCAAAACAACCACAAGATTTTGTACCACCCACCAGACCCAGCAGTACACCTTTTCCAAATGCGCAGCAAGGGCAGACCGATATCCGATGCCTGCATTGCCAGACGGACTGCCAAGATTGCTTTGAAGATGCCATGGATGAGAGTCCTATCGCGGCCCTGGCAGCCGATCAGCAGCCACTCCAGTCGCTCTATGCACTGCCCGCCGAGATCCATGAGTGCATTCTCGACCATTTGTTTGGCTACCGCGTGTCCACCACTTCCCCGAGCTCGTTAAGCATCCCGAGTGTCAATGCCAGAAGCTGGAGCACTGCTTTGCGGCATTCCAGGAGAAAGGAGTTATCCAACTTGGCACTCGTCACACCCCTCTGGAGATACTTGGTTCAGGCGAGACTCTTCCGGCACATCAAGGTCAAAGCGACTATCTATGGCTGTAACGAGGTTGTTCAGTTCTTTGCCGATAACACGCATCTAAGAGACTACGTTAAGCACATCGAGATATGGTTCCCCGTCTTCCAGCCAAAATTCAACACGGCTTTCCCGACCAACTCTGTGCTGACGTTGCCTACCGTCTCCCCTGAAGGCATCTCGAGTGCCCAGTATGGCCTCCCCACCGACAACGCAAGCCTGGAAGAGGTCTTCTTCCTCGTAGGCAGTACGTTTCCTGCGGTGCAAGTCATGACACTAGAAGGAGGGGAGCGGAAAAAGGCACCGCGCGTCAAATTCACATTGCCTACTCCACCTTGGCGCCCAAGAGCACTTCCAGCAATCAAGACTATTCGCACCTTGATCATCAAGAGTCAGTGGAATATCATCAGAGCACCAAAGGACTGGGAGCAACTCTCCAATGCCCTCCCGAACCTCGAGGAGTGGCACGGCACTTACGCCAAGCCCAAGTCCAAGAGTTATCTGAGCATGGCTGGGACACTTGAAATTTTGGATCGCAAGATCACCAAGCTCAACCTGAGCCTCGAGACGGACTATCGCCGCGAGATGACATGTCCTCCATACTACCTCAAAGTATGCGAGCAACTACACTGGTGCGAAAAGATGGCAAGGGCGGCAAGTCATTTGGAACACTTATCATACACGGGTCGTGTATGCCATACCTTCTTCGATATGCTCACCCGGTATTCCAATTCACGTACCTCTCGTCTCAAGACGATTGATATCACGGTCAAGAACTGTTGTCGCCAAAACGCGCAATGGAACGAGTCCGGATCCGGCATTACCGACATGCATTTCATTAACGCTTTCGAGCAGCTTGTCCTAGGCGGCATCCGGTGCTTGGAACGCCTAAAGCAGGTGGATCTTTTGCGGATCAGATATGTTGATCTAGGTAAGTCCTGCTTGATTCCTTGACAACGCATTACCTAACTTGAGCTTCTAGATTCACCGGTTCCTCCTTTGAACCCCTATTTTGTCATCAAGGATGGCTGGTGCTCAGGTGTTTGGAGTGACGAGATTGTGGCCGAGCTGAGTCGTGTTAGGCCCGATGTGCGCTTTGAGTCAATGGCCGAGAGCTTCGGCGAGGTTGGCTACAACAAGGAGAACCGTTTGGTCATCAGTCCCGATTTCCCGAAGTCACGGGTGTTATCGCTTAAGTTGGCGAATTATGCCTTACTTTCTGGAGGCATCAGCATAGTGTAGAGGACAAGCAGCGCCGTTCGAAATCGAATCTCACGCGCTCGCCAACTTCACATGCCACTTGACATCTGATGGGCTCAAAATTACGGAACATACAACAAGACGTCAATGACGTCAATCTGGCGATTTAGCAATAATCGCAACCAACAAATTTCTTTTGTACGACACTACATATTGCGGCACGGCGTTGATAGTCCTTGTTTCTGCAGTTTTTTGAGGCGTAAAGAATGGCCGGCACGCGATACCCCATGAGGAGGGCAACCACTTAATCACCATCATAGGAAGGAGTTCATTTGGTGTTTGAGATATCTTTGTCGCAGTAGCAGTGACATTGCATAATTGGACGGTGTTCAAGGGGAGAAGGACAGGAGGGCATTGCCCGTTGCAGTCAGATTATTGTGGTAGTGCCACAGACACTTTGCAGTAGATGATCATGATCTGCTTCAGCAACCAAGACTTCTGTTTCCATATCGCTAACCTGGTTTTTGTCCTCAAATTCTCGGGAGTTGATGTGGTTAGATTCTTGGTTGGAATGGTGTAGTCAATCTCAGCAATAGTACAAAAATGATGACAACAAGAACTCAAGGGCTCCGTCGTGGTTTGTGCTATCCATGATTGTGCTGCTTCTACTTGATACACCATGACATACAGGCTCTTACTCCAGCCGACTCCACCACCTAGAAACATCACGGCTATTTTACGTGCGCAACCTCCTGTGCTCCTTTGGACCTATTGCTGGACGGGTGTAACCGTTCGAAATCCCCAATGATTATGCCCAACAACAAGCAATTTACCAGGAAAAATATTAGTGATGCGTAGAACAACCCAGGCACAAACGTGCTCTGCCCAAGAAACTCAAGGTTGTAACCTTGCTGTAACCAGAGGCCCTGCCCCGCAACCCAGAGTGTGAGGGATGCCACCCCCAAAGCGGGTTGGCGCACCAGTGCCGAGTTGGGCAGGTATAGTGGCAGGAAAACCATATACCAAAGGAAGTACTTCAAATTGTGTCAGCACCATACTTTTTCGACAATGGTCCGAATCTGAATAGAGCACCTACCTGACTAGTACACACTTTGTTGAAGGTCACGAATGCAAAAGTCTGCGCAAGCATGGTGGCCGGTAGGTCTTTCTTGGCGCCCACGAGTGGAATCAGGACGCAGCTCAACAGGAGCTGCGGTACAAACGCTACGCTCTCGATTTTGAGACCCAGGAAGTTGGCACTGCTCATCCCGCTCACGTACGGCTGAGCCGAGGCCAGGTACAGCAGAATATTGTAGGGGCTAAAGTTATGCCGATGATCGATTCGCGTCACGTGGTGCAGGAACGTGTGCTGGAGGAAATCGTGTCCGTACAGCGCATACATCCAGACATTGAGCGCCGCAAATGTCGCCAGGCTGACCACGGCGAGGCGGACGCGCTCCGGCGTCACGAAACGCCCGATCAGCGATCTGCTGCTGCTACTGCCAACAGCGATTATCCGGCCTCCCATCCGCTCGGCGTCCATCCACCACACGATCGCCGGCGCGTAGATGAACGGGTAGATCTTAAAGTGCACGCCGAAGCCCAGGAGCAGGCCCGCGGCCGCCACGCGTCTTTCCAGCACCGCGTACAGCAGCGCCATGACCAACACGCCCAGCAGGCCCTCGGAGCTGCCCCGCGTCGAGATGGTCGCCACCATCGGGTTCAGCAGCCAGATGCTCGCGTACTTGAGCGCGGGGGCCGTCGCCATGGCCATGTGCCTCTGCAGGACGCGCACGATGAGCCAGCCGGCAGCCAGGTCCGCGGCCGCGAACAGGATCTTGCCTGACGAGAACCAGAAGGTGCCCGGCAGCGTCGTCGGATACAGGATCCAGGCCAACAGGGGCGTGTAGCGGTAGGTCTCCCGGGCGTAGGGCGAGCTGTGCGGGTCAGAAAAGGTGAAGCGGGCTGCGTCCGTGAAAACCAGGTAGTCGATGTCCGTGTACTTCAGCGGCGAGTTGGCGTCTTGCCAGAGCCCATACACGAGCAGGATGGCACGCAGGAGGAAGGCTGCGCTGAAGACTGCCAGAGGCGAAGAGAAGAAAGCAGAGATTAGGTTCGCCATGGCGTGCGATTGGGAAGGCGCTTCACAGATTTATGTGTTACTTTTTCGTCGCCTTGTGCCTGGAGTTTATACTCAAGACTATGTATAGGTTGAGTGACAATTCCAGAGCTGCTGGCCACAAATAGTACCAGGCCGAAACTGTGACCCAATGACCGGATTGACAGATAACAAAATCACTTCATGTCTCAAGTGCCACGGATTGTGAAAACAGAAGCGGTTGTCTCCTGTGACTTGGTATTAGGGATTGGCTTGGATGAACGGACGCTTTCGAACTGGGTGTGTCATGTATTTCTGAGTAACGCGCAAAGCCTCCTTGTAAATCGTTATAGGGGCTAACCTCAAACTAAGCCTATTGAAGCATATGCGGGGCGAGCAGAGTTGTGATGTTATCCCATCCCAAGTGACCAACCCTTGGAATAGTCGAGTCCGTCATTCTGACAGTGTAACATGTGTTGACAACCTTCATTAGACTTTTCGAGGTATACATCATGTTCTTCGAGTTGGCTCACTGATTGTGCCGAACACATTGGCATTATCTATAATTTCGGCGCTTTTGCTGGTCGGATTATCCACAACGCAGCCCCGCAACAATCTCTACAAGGACGCCCAGGCGTGCTTCTGTATTCGCGTCTCCATAATTCAGAATCATCATCGTTGTGGGAAGTACACATGTCGGACCAAAATAGCAGAAACACATCGAGTTCGGCACAGCGTGGAAACAAGATGCCTGGAGTCAAGCGAGATTACCGAGGAAACAAGCGGGATCTCCCTGTCCGCGATGTCCCACGAAATCAGTACACCTCAATGTTTGAGGGCTTTCGCGATGAGCTCGACAAGCATCACGACCGCAGAGAAAAGATCGTTAAGGTCTCGAGAGACGTCACGGCATTGAGCAAGAAGATGTGAGCACGATTTGTGATCTAAACTTACATGGAGTCGGCTAACCTGAATTCTAAGCATTTTTTCGTTGCAGAGGTAATTGCTTGAAACTTTTCTCCTTCAAATTCACATAATATTAATATTGACTCAGAGTGCGCAAGCTTAACCAGCCTATCCCCGCCAATATCACCAAGGAAAATGAAGAGCGGTTGGTTGACATAAAAGCTCTGCTGTCGACTATTGTGGAGGATGTGTCGGGCATTCGTCGACACCGTTACAATCTCATGTGCTTGGAAGAGTTTGTCGAGGCTGTATCCTTCGCCCACTATCTCGAACACCAGGAACTCATCACTCCTCAAAAGACGCAGGAATGGCTCGGCGACGTCAACGTTCCATTCACTCCTGCTGATTACATCTACGGTGTCTTTGATCTCACTGGCGAGATGATGCGCTTCGCTACCACAGTCACGGCTCTCACCGGTGCGATCCCCACGGGTATCACGGAAGACAAGCAGGATGACGAAGACGCCATGAAAGTGGATGAGCCATCCAACGCAAATGATGTTCCGCCAAGAAACATCCTGAGTGATCTGCAAGACGTCTCCAGTATGCTGCAGCTCATTCAGTTGTCTGACAGAACGTACAAGAAAAAGAAGGACGTCATGATCGAACAGGTGCGAAAGGTAGAACGTGTTGGCTACGGTGTCACTGTTCGTGGTAATGAGCGTCCTAAGGGCTGGATGCCGGATATGAATGAAGATTATGGTGGCGGAAATCATGATGACGATGGAGCTTTGGAATAAGTATGCGATTACTATTGTCACGACTAACTCAAGGATGGAACAGCTTTTCGTCTATATCAACGTCTTGTTTGCCGCAACTTATTGTAGTCTCGGAACTTCAGTACCATGTTGGCTCTGAACAGCTTAGTTAAAGGCATTACTCGGGCCAAATCGAGCATCAGGCAGTTTAACATACCCTCTATGGATTCTGCATTGTTTCAGTCGACTTAAAAGGTCTCTACCCTCATCCATTAACTATTACAATGTTTTCCGCTATGTTACTCATATATTCCACTCCATAATCTCGAGTCAAGGGTGATGCTATAATTTCAAAGATACTGAATGCCCACTATACTCCCTACGATGGCAAACTCTTTTCTCAAAAAGGGGGATCCGGCAGTACACCGCCCCTTCGAGGCAAAGCAGCTTTTTAATCACCCAAACCTACAGACGCGCGGTCTGCCATCTCTAAACTTCTTACTCATCAGCCGTATTAGTAGCTAAACGTTCTAGGCATCACCGGCCCACCTGTTTGTCATAGAGCGTAGCTTGCGGGAAATACACAAATGGCCATTCATATTGCAGGCATCCTCGTCCATACTCAGGCAAACCGTTACAGAATGATCGTTGTCAGCTATTTCACATTTGATTAGTCCAGGATCCATGATTTGCATCTGTCTTACCGTCCACTGACTGTGCCCATCCTATCTGATATCAGCTCAATCTTCCTACATAGTGACATGAACGCTAGAACTAACATGACCCTTGCGCAGGATATCCTATCAAGCCTCGCTTCTCGCCTCCATATATTCTCAAGCCGGGTCACGGGATATTGCTTGTGAATCGTACTTTTTGCCAAATTCAGAGACCTGGCTCTGCGTGTGGTTGGCCTTGTGCCGATTCCGCAATCAATATTAAGGTACTTCCTATCTACAGGTATAGGGACCGAGCCATGGCCTTTGTAGCCTTCTTGCTCGCAAACAGACCGGTGCGTCTCCGGTCAAGGTTCAGGGAAATTCTCAATCTCGTAAATACTAGAAAAGCTTGATCTGCTGAAAACATGACACCGAATAGTCGTTCGCCAATTCGTATTCCAAACAATTCACATATCAAAGACCAGATGTCGCTCTCAAACTTAAACTTTCTTAATAACAGGATTCTTGGGGAGGCGTACTATAGTGGGATACTGGTTGTAGTTGCTGACTCGTTAGCCACCAAAGATTCACCAACAATAGTATATTGATCCTTGGCATGTTCAATATTGCACACCACATCGCCTTTGCTGGGGATATACAATGTTCCGGAGCGATTGGTCAAGTATCGCTTCCACATTAAGTCAACACACCGTGATTTTTGAGCCACCCGAGCATCTTCAATAGCTGTGACTTGTCAAGCTTGTCGAAAACCTCCTGCTCCAATCCATAAGTATGGTTACTGGCTTGAGAACCCATGAACCACTACCAGCTCACAACAAAAATGCATGTCCCAACCAATTTGGTAGCAAAAGTTACGCAGACTGTCATCGACTTTGTCCTCATCCACCCCAACTTGACCGTGCCATCGAGACATGGAACATTTCATGACGGCCAAGATATGTCTTCTGTTTGGTGTTTAAATACAAAGCCGCTCATTCATGGAACCTGGAAGCCTGCAGAGCCAAATTTACGAAGAAATTGAATTTTTCATTGACTTTGTCGTCAGAATGGACCGGGCGGGAGGCAATGTTGTGCTGGTTGACCCTCGCAGCCCAAGCCTTCGCGTATTACATCGCACGCATATTCCTGCGTGACAGACAAGACTGTCGATGCGATTTGTTCAGAAGCCATGTCAACGATTTGAACCCATGATTTCTTTTCAGAGCGTTCGTTATAACATGCTGGCCAGCAAGAATTCTGGGTCCTAATCAAAGCAACTATTACATTTGTGTGCACCCTATCGCGACTACACTTTGCTTGCTGGTACTGAAAGCGCGCTGAAGGCGATTCAAGTTTTGACTTGTCACAGCCAGAGTACCAAGGGAGTCGCCGAAACAAAATGTATTACAAAACCGATAAGGCTTTTGAAATTTTTTGCTACATCACGCCAGCAAGAGTCGTCCTTATAGAGACACAAACCTATGATAAAAAAGCAATCTGTATGAGACTCATTTCTCAATAATTATGTATGAACAAGTTTCGGATGTTCAAGATCCTTCGATGGAGTTGGCCGGGATCGTCTTGACCTTGAATATAACACTGGAATAACATATCCAGGGAGTTTTGTGGTACGAGACACAGGAAACCAAATGCCACTCTCTCCGTCAACCAGTTGGAAGGACTATGTTAATGTCGGAGCTTTCCTGGTCACAATCATACAAAGGTTTTATACCTGTCTTGACAAATCCACTTCCCCTCTCGGGCAAAGCAGGAATTCATAGAGTGTATAATTAGTGGCCTGTATCTAAGAGTATGGAAGAATTTATGTTAGCATCAAATGTTTCGCGATGGATGCTGCCTGAAGCGATACTTGCAACGAGGTATCAAGCATGATAAACTTTGACAAGTGAGGTTACCAAATCTTACCAGATCAGTGTGTAGCAGCTTGCTCAAGCTTGGTGCATGGTGTTTTATTCCGAAAGCCGACCGAAGTGAGATTCCCCAGCCCGAATGTTTGGCCGAGCACGCTTGTCCACTTTTGAATGCGTCTATGGGATTCCACGTTGTGCAAAACGTTGATGTCTCGTCCCCTAGCTCGTTCTCGGCGCCATGGTGTTTGTAAGTAATTAGATAACAATATGGAAGATCCCGGTTTAGTGTCCAATATTCCAGTTTTGAGCTTCTGGGGGCGGTTACCGCGCCGCTAGCACCGTACTTTTAGTGGCCGAAAAGCCCCCAGTGCCTCTGAAAGGTGTTAGAGCCCTAAGGTTAGGGAATGCCGCGTATCATACTCACTTCATAACGGACGGGTCAGCATAAATTCCCTCAATAGTAAGACGGACAAACCGTAAGATAGTTCTGGCGACGATCTACAAGATGCGGAGGCAAGTCAATGCTACGAGACTTTTCGATCTCTGCCTCAGTGAGCCGATATATTCACGCTTATTATTCCGAATGACTCGGATTGCGGGCAGGGGGGTTGGAGCTCGCCCGCCCCTGTAGAATGAACTCCGAAGCCGTAATGCCGCATAAGCTTTTCCGATGGTCTAGGTTAAACGATTCTGGAGGATAGTGATGGCAGATCAGCTCCTTCCATACTGGGATAGGCTTACATACCAAGATTATACACTGTCCGTCTGCTTATACCGGTAAAATACTTAGGCACGTTCTACACAATGTTTTCAATCACTTACAGTTTCATATATACGGGTTCCGCAACCTGAGTTTTTGTTATTGCAGCATGTCCTGAGATCAAAAACGTTTCTGCGTCTTCCATAATTTGCTCGATCGTACCTATGAAGCGGTGCGATGATGGCGATAGCTTTGGTCCCTCGTTGGGACCTGGCTTTGATTGTCACAACTTTGATTTCACCGTTCTATTCGAGGACTACATCTTTAGCCTGGTGCCTTCCACCATCGTTATTCTTCTTGCTGCGCATCGTATTTATCGAGTCTACTATATGTCAAAAGTTGTCAACTGGCCTCTTGGTCGTGCACTAAAACTTGTGAGTCATGAATGACCATCGAGGGAGAATACAGGCTAAGTGATCGCAGGTTGTTTATACGAGCCTTGCCGTATTTCAATGCGCGCTGATTGCTCTTTGGTGTGGCCGCTATGGAGTAAGATCGCGAATCACATTGCCTGCGAGTGCTTTGGCACTGGTGGCCACATTGACGCTTGCTATTTTATCCGATTTTGAACATCATCGAGTTTTGCGGCCGTCCTTAATCAATCAGAGCTATTTCTTCTTTACAGCCCTTTTGGATATGGTGCGTGTCCGGACGCAATGGTTACTGGAAGATAACAGCATTGTAGCCTCGATTGTAACAGTAACATTCCTTCTAAAACTCAGCATCTTGGCTGTCGAGTCGATGGAGAAATCTCTCTTCCCAAACACCAAAGGCGACGCCGTGCCTCCGCTTGAAAGATGTGGTATTTTCGGGCGTGCTCTACTTCTATGGTTGAATCCCTTATTTATACTTGGTTACCGTAAGGATTTGAACCTCGACGACCTGTTCCCATTAGACGACGACTTAGGCGGCACTCATCTCACGGACAGGCTTGAAGCGCGATGGAAGACTTGCAAGTAGATAGTCTAATGTACCTGATAAGTGCTAACATATTACTAGCAAACAAAGAGAAGATGCACTGTTTGACGAGTACCGTGCTAGCCACCTTTATCCCCGAGATTGTTTTGTCGTGGATACCGCGTGCATTCCATATTGGCTTCATGATCGCTCAGCCTTACCTCGTCAAGATAACGCTGAATTATATCATGAACCATAATGCGTTACCAGTCAGCTATGGCTACGGATTAATTGGAGCTTTCGGATTTGTTTACATTGGTATTGCGGTACGTTCCCTGTCTTCGGTCTAACTTCTTGTGGAACTAACATGTCCAGATCTCATCACAAATGTTCAACTTTTTGTGTTTCCGGTTGATGGTCAAGATGCGCGGTGCCTTAGTCGGCATAATCTACCGCGATATGTTGGCTGTTCGAGCAGAGAGCAAGAACTCGGCCTCTGCAATGACTCTAATGAGTACTGACGTTGACCGGATTACTATGACGGCTCGGTGGGTCGTTGACATAATCCCGAATTTGGTTCAAATTGGTCTTGCCATGTGGATTCTCGGTTTGCAGCTTGGCGCGGTCTGTATCGCGCCTCTTGTAGTTGCACTGTTGTGTGTATGTGTTTCATTCATATCCGACCTTTCTTTCCCATGGTATTGGAGGCGAGTTCCACATCGTCATTGCCTTGGTTCAGTAGTGTAATGGAAGTCGTACGCACCAAAGATGAAAAGGAATGCTAATGTGCTTGTGGAAAATAGACTGGTGCAGCTGCAGGAATGGCTAAAATTATACCTGTACGCCAACGGAGATGGATAGCAGCTATTCAGAAGCGAGTTGGTATAACATCAGACCTGCTTGCTGTAATGAAAGGGGTCAAAATGATGGGCATAAGTGGTCCAATCTCCAAGCAGATTCAGGATCTGAGAGACTTTGAGATATCCGAGTCCAAGAAGTTCCGAAAACTTCAAATCGCGGTGATTTCATTTAGTAGGTCAAACGGACTTGTGTCGAGTCTGCAACTAACTCGTCTACAGATATTGTTCCTCTGATGTCAATGTCAGCTGTTACTTTTACGGTTTTTGCAATTGTCGCAAAAGTGTCCGGAAGTGGAACTCTGGGCATCTCACAAGCTTTTACTTCGCTTAGTCTCCTGGGGATATTGATTATGCCTGGTAACCCTCCTCACTTTCTTCGACAATTATCGTCTGTGGTGAACTAACGACGACTAGTTGCGCTTCTTGTGTCAGCTTTGGGTAACATTTTCCAAGCAATGGCTTGCTTAGACAGGATTCAAGATTTCTTGCTCTTAGAGAAGAGAACTGATTATAGGAGCACAGGCTCGTCTCTAATTTTAAATTCGGCCAGCAATGAGGGTCGTTTCCCGTCGGCAGAGAAATTAAACCCCGAGCTGAATGGCGCTGTAATTTTACTGAAAGAAGCAACTTTTGGTTGGGACAGGGGTCCAGAGAGCATAGTACTGAAAGACATTAATGTTAGGATCCAGCCTTCGCAATTGACCCTCATTGTGGGTCCTATAGCAAGCGGTAAGAGTACGCTGCTGAAAAGTATTCTGGGAGAGGTCTATCTTCATCGTGGTATGGTTCACGTAACAGATATAGGCGACATAGCCTACTGCGACCAAGATTCATGGATATTGAACCAGTCCATTCGAGAAAATATTATTGCCTTCTCGGAGTATGAAGAAGGCTTCTACAAGACTGTTATCAAAGCGTGTCAGCTACAAGAAGATCTAAGCCATCTCCCCAAAGGTGATCTCTCGAACGTTGGAAGCCAAGGAATTTCTCTTAGTGGCGGCCAAAAACAGCGAATTGTGAGTTCCTCTGATTGTCTCCACGTACACTAGCTCATGTTTCTTTCAGGCATTAGCAAGAGCCGTATACAGCCGGAAGCGGATAATACTCATGGACGATACCATGAAAGGATTGGACGCAGATACTTCGAGCAAATGCTTCCAGGCACTATTTGGACCACAGGGACTTTTGCGACGAAATCGAACTGCAGTAATCATGGCAACACATAATGGTAAGTCTGTGGCTGTACGATTGCATGACAGATAGGCTCATCGATGCATAGCTCAATGGTTTCCGAGTGCCGATTTTCTCATCGTGCTCAATGTCGAAGGTTGCAGGGCGAACTGCGGGTCTTTTTCAGACCTTCGTGGCTCAGATGAGTACATTAGAAGTCTTGAGCCATCCTACAAACAAAATGATGTTGGAGATGCTGAGCAAGATGATGCGTCGGCGTCGGACAGTCTTGATATGAAGCCGAGATCGCCTGTAGAGAACTCGAATCAAGAGGAATCTCTTTCGAAACCGGCATCAATTACTCACAAAAAAAAGGAAAAGAGCCGAGGCAATCTGAATAGCTCCTTACCGTACTACATCAAGTCTCTTTGGAACGCCACATTCACGATATTTGTTGCGCTCATGATTATTCAGACTGGCTTTCAGGTTATTCAACGTGAGTATGCAACAAACCGTCAGAACTGCTAGCTAACAATCAAATAGCACTGTGGCTCAACTTTTGGACAGCGGCCAATGCTAAAAACGCGCGAGAAGACCCTGGGAAATGGGTGGGTATTTATGTTTTATTCTCGGTTTTGAACGTTGGTGGCATGATCGCACAATTTTCGTAAGTGGACGAAGAAATGCTCTAATACAAATTGCATGTCACTGATATAGATATCAAGGCTTTTTCTTCTTCGCATTGTTCCAGCATCCGCAAAACATCTTCATATGAGTATTCTCGAGGCTACTATCCGGTTTGTCTACGTTTTTCTGCTTATATCATGCAATCATGCTGATAGTCTACGGCGTACAGTGCCCCCATGTCTTACTTCGTGGCAACAGATGTAGGTCAGCTAGTAAATCGATTCAGTCAGGACATGACTCTAGTGGACTTCCCTCTACCCATTGCATTGATGCAAACCACCGAGAGTTAGTTGTCACACCATATACAAAACATTACGTGAAATGAAGCTGACCCTCTTGAAAAAGTGTTTATCACTGTGATCGGCCAGATCATTTTAACATGCGTCTCCTCTGGTTATCTCGCCGTCGTCATACCCGCGCTCTTCCTAGTTGTGTTCTATGTGCAGCGTTTCTATCTGCGTACGTCTCGACAACTACGTCTGTTAGATCTCGAGTCTAAGTCTCCGCTTTATTCGTTTTTTATTTCATCGTTCTCGGGTCTCACAACGATTCGGGCCTACTCGTGGGCGGATAAGTCCTATTTCGAGCACATTCGAAACTTGGATACCTCTCAGCGTCCGTTTTACCTGTTGTATTGCATTCAGCGATGGCTTATGCTGGTACTTAACCTCATTGTGGCCGGATTGGGCGTGCTACTTGTCGGAGTTTCCGTGGCACTCAGAGACAAAGTCGAGCCAGGCCTACTTGGTGTCGCACTAACTAACGTGACAAGTTTCGGTATGACGATAACGCAGCTTATCATCGATTGGACCGATCTGGAAACTTCACTTGGCGCGATCACCAGGATCAGGGAATTCATCGCCGAGACCCCTAAAGAGAACGAAGGGGTGGAAAACCCGCCTGAAGACTGGCCGTCCTATGGTGCAATCACCATAACTAGACTCACTGCAAAGTTTGGCGACCACACTGTGCTAGACAATATCAGTCTCGACATTCAAGCTGGTACAAAGGTTGCCATTTGTGGTCGTACTGGTTCTGGAAAGAGCACTTTGCTTTCCCTTCTACTTCGTCTGTACGACCCCGTTGCCGGCACTATTACCATTGACGGACTGGATACAAACGATCTAAAGGTTGACGCACTGCGCGAGGCTATAGTAGCTCTACCACAGGATCCATTACTGTTAGCTGGGACTGTGCGGTACAATCTGGATCCCGCGTCCCATGCAAATGATGAAGATATCCTACTTGCCCTAGAAAAGACCGGCCTCCGTACTATGCTTGAGGGAAAAGGTGGACTTGACGCGGAGTTCAAAACCGAATGGCTTAGTTCGGGGCAGAAACAGCTCTTCTGTCTTGCAAGAGCCATGCTGAGAAGGAGTAAAATCCTATTGCTCGATGAGGCAACAAGCAGGTAAATAAAATATTTCCCGTTCCGATGACGTTATCAGGGAAAGCTACAGCTAACAAAAGCGTGAAGTCTGGATCATCAGACCGACGAAGTAATACAGAAACTCATCCGAACAGAGTTTGCAGGTTGGACATTGGTCGTTATTGCGCATCGCCTTAAAACAATTGTAGATTTCGACAATGTTCTTGTACTTGAAGACGGGAGGGTTGCTGAGTATGACAGTCCCAGGGCTCTCATTGAAAAAGGTGGTCTGTTCAAGGCTCTATGGGACCAACAGGAGGCCTGAAAAACGATAACGTTTGTATCACGATATATTTTTCTGCTTTCAATAGTCCCCTGCTATCTGAGAGGCTTTGTAACTAAGAGTACTCTCATATATTCGTTATTTATCGTAGAAACAATACGTACCACGTGTATCATGCTTCATCCGTGACGAGCCGATTGCTGATCATCAACGGCCCACTCCAAATAATTTCAGGGATGTTCATATGGCATTGTTACAACGGAAACTTAATCACTCCAACTTTTATCGAATTCAAGCCGAAAGAAATATGAGGCCACCCTTGACGGTGGCTCCCAAGTTTCCCCTCAATTTCTGCCTGTCAGCCAGGTGGGCTTGCCCCATCCATGTGAGCTTTAATTGGAGAAGCGGGCAGCCTTCTCACCCAAACTCATGCAAGCAGTCTAGAAATGCTGGCAAGATGCAGATTTACTTGCATAAGCCAGGCGCAATTGGCCAGGTTTCGAAACGAAGTAGGCAGCACAGCCTTTTGGCTGCCTTACACGACTTGGCCGCGTCGTATCAATGCTTGGCTACTACATAGCCGGGCGGAGATCGTTAGATTGTTCTTGTGTATCAGTATTATATGTATCCCACGTATCACAGCCTCACATCTCACCCGGCTCGGTAATATTAAAGCGTTTGAACTCCCCACAAGTCTCAAACAACTTTTGATTTCGTTAATTTCTCATGCGTATTTCGCAAACATGGATGACGATTCCCGTTCCAGTGGCAGCTTCGAAGAAATTGGCCCAAGAGCCTACAATCGCTTGGGCGCTGATGATTACAAGCCAATTGAAGAGAAGACTAAGGATCAGCTGAAGTCTCTTGTGGCCAAATCAACGTCTGACGGAGCTAAAGCGATCGTTGCCAACAATGATGCTCTCGATGTCGTTTATACATTGCAGTATAAGGAGCGATACGGTGGCAGGGTTACAGAGCGTAAGTACCCTTTGGGTAACTAGTCAAATACTAGGAATCCAATTGACTTACGAATTTACAGTCTGCCGTAGCACGGACCCGATTGATATCCGCGATGTAACTGAAAAGCCGCAGGAGGGCATCACGGACATCAATGGACGTTCCATCCTTGAAATAATCACTAGCGTTTCTACCACTTTTGTGGATAATAATCGCAGTGGTAATCCGCAGCCAATGTATATGGCTCCGCCAGGGTATGAGGATGACTTTGACTATAACTATCCTCCTCCTCCCATGCCGAGCCAGATGTACAAACGGGAGGAGAACGACGACATCAAGATCAAGAATGTTGAGGAGACTGTCATGGTGATCAACTCAGCTCCGTTGATCAATGCCCTCCAGGCAGTGGTGGATTACTATCCAGGCTGTAAGTACACTTGTGTTACAGCGTCTGAAAAATGACTGACTAGGTGCTTGTAGTGAGCTTCTCTGGTGATAGCGTCAAGATCAGCGCTCCTTATCATGTCTTGGTCCACCATCGCCACGCACTGGCGAGCTTCAAGGTGCGACAGCCGGAGACTCATGATCAGGAGTATTCATTTACGACAGCAAGACACATCGACGTATTGCTGAGATTCCTGGAGCGGACCCTGGGCAAGGATCTTCGTGACGAGGAGCAACGCAATAATCATGTCGCTGGGCCGAAAACCATTTTCAAGAACCTCTGGATGTTATTTAAGCCGGGAGATGTGGTATATGCAAGACTTGATGGCAGGTATTGTCCGTTCGTTATTAGCCGGTGCTTCGACGGGACCCCAAAGACGAACTGCGATGATAGACCCTCTGATTACAAACTCGATGTTTGGAATTTGAGTATCCTCAGCAAGAGTATTCGCCGTCTTATGTATACATTTAGCATTGCTCCTTTCGCTGGCGAGGATTCCATCAACAACATGAAACTCGTCCCCGCTCGGTTCCTCAAAGAAAGTCACGAAATTGCTCGAGAAAATATCAAGCTTGGCAAGATTGCGTGGGAACTTGCTATGGAACCGTCATATATGTCCTACGATGGTGATCTGTCGAAGAGGGGTCCTAACCAGAACTGGATTGATACTCAAATGAGTACAGGCCATGTAAGTAGATGTCGCTGCTTCAGAACGGACACCCATCTCTCTGGTCATACCTAACATTGTCTGCAGTTCACTGGTCGGGTTATTGTCGATTGCGAGGGCTTCTACCGTTTTTCTGGGGGAGCCAATCACCAGCCCCCGCGCATGGGCAGGCCTAGACACCAAGTTGTCCCACCCAAAGATCCACTGCCCTATTTCAAACAACGTTGTGGGTGTATCAAATGCAGCAGAGACGAAAGCCAAAACAAGCTGCACCGTTTCGCTAAACTTGAGGACCTCCGGCCTGGTGTAAGCCCAGCTCCCGAGAATGACCTTTGCTATCTGGTGCTCTCGAAAATTGTCTCCGGTTTCATTCTCAGCGAACGCCGATGGGCTCACTTCCATATCAAACATCTTGGTGAGGTCAAGCATGACAGGGAAGCCTTCAAATACCTGGTCCTCGACGAAGAGATCAAGCTTACTGTCAAAGCACTCATCGGAAAGTTTTCTAGTGACAACGGCCAGGTCACTCCATGGCCTAGCGATTTCGTCAAAAACAAGGGACAAGGTCGAATCTTCCTCCTGCACGGCAGCCCTGGTGTCGGAAAAACGGCGACTGCCGAAAGCATTGCTGAACTGGCGCGACGACCTCTACTTGCCCTCACGAGTGGCGATCTGAGCACCAATTCCTTGCATGTAGAGAAGAACCTGGAGTACTTCTTGCAGCTCGGTGAGCGCTTTGGCGCCATGGTGCTGCTCGATGAGGCCGACGTATACCTCGAATCACGCCGCGCCAAGGACATTGCGCGGAACGGTCTCGTCTCCATCTTCCTGCGCGCACTTGAGTACTACCGCGGCGTTCTTTTCCTAACCACCAACCGTGTGCAGACCTTCGACTCGGCCTTCACCTCGCGTATTCATGTCGCGTTGCATTACAAGACTCTCACCGATGCAGATCGCGAGAAAATCTGGCTCAACAGCTTCGAAAGACTTGAGCGCGATTCAGGTGGAAAGGTCCACGTGTCGGTCGCCACACGCGAGTACGCGTATGAAAGCGAAGACGTGCAGAGTTTGCGCTTGAACGGCCGCGAGATCCGGAATGCTCTGCAGACAACGGTCGCACTCGCCGAGACAGAGGCACTTGAAGACGATGCAAGTATAGTTACCGTTTCAGAAAAGCATCTGCGGGCTGTTGTGAAGATGAGCCGAGGCTTCAAGAATTTCCTGCATCGCCGGCGGGTGAGGAACAATGACGAGCTTGACGAGGACGACGAAGATGATGATATTGAAGAGGAAGATGTCTATAGCCGTGCCTCCACACCCAACGCCATCTATGATTGATCACTAACAGTTGTAATGCCGGCTGCCAATTGAGGTTGGGATTGGACTGACGTGTTACCTTGCCCCGACATTTGGTTGGGCCTATGCAATGCATTAAGTCATGCCTTACGGGACGGGTTCTTACTATTATTTCTTGGTATTTTTCATGGCATTACGTGACACTGGAATCATTCATTAAAGGAATCTTTACAGGTTTCCACCTGGGAAAAGAAGGAAGAAGGAAAGAAAGAAACCCGACACAACGGTGGTTAAGATGTGAAGTTCGGATAATTAATATGCTTCTTGTTACATGGGTAAACCTTCAGATGCTGAAAAAGGAAATGTGATGTAAGTTATTGCATGGCGCTTCAACATTTACCTTAGCGGGCCGCTGTAACGTGACAGGCGCGTCATGCCATCAACTCGAACCAATTTCATGGAAATTTGGCCGCCATTTGTCTATATAGAACATTAACTGATGGAAGTCGCAACTGTATAGGATCGTTATCTTGATCAATACGTGTACATTGATCCTCCGTAGAGTGTTGTTGAGTGGCGTAGTCCCTCAGCTATTCTGAGAGATCTCTGAAGGCTATCTATCCAGGGTGGACTGTGCACCCCAGGTATCTACTTAATGTGGTGACACTAGGCAACCATTATTTACTAATTTTCGATGAAAACGATTCAGAACAAATTTAGCCAGGTCTCTAGGTGACTTTCAGCATGGCGAAATCCTAAATCATTGTTCTCTAACAAACACTCGCGAAGACATGCGCTAGAGAGTCCATCAGAAGTACCAAAGATCTAGCCTGAGCTGCGCTGGAGACTGCAGTCCGTCGACACAACCTCAAACGCGTTGGGGCAATTCAGCCGAGATCTGCTTGGAAACACTGCGATGCCATTTGTCATTTCTCGACATTTCTCTATCACGGGGCATTCGCGCGTCCCGTTCCCTGTCTGTAATTTGCACCATCTTGGTTCTAGAATAATGTGGACAAGTTGGTTTTTGCAGTGCACCTGCGTTGGAAGAATCCTTCGGAGTTTTGGTTCAGCTTGAGAGAAAAGTGGTACAGCCTATTTGCATACTCTCATACAAGCCCAGGGTATAAGTCGTACCTGCATTTAGCCGGACGCTACGTTGCCATCGTTGTGGAAAGGTCATGTGCTCCGTCGAGCAGCTTCCATGTCGTTCGCAGTGCTTGGGAATATACATTTGAAAAGAATTTACTGCTTCGTGATTTATCTCCTACTAGGTCAAATTGTCTTTGAAGTGTATAAATGATTAACCTTCAAGATGAAACCAGCACATATTGCAATCCTTGCCTCATGTTCAACGGTGAATGCGCTGTGGCTTCCCCAGGCCATAGGCAGCACAGTTCAGCCAACTTATAGTTGGAATGCGACGAGTTGGCAGTGTGGTCTCTCGCACGGAAACCCTGCAGCAGCCCAGAGCGGTTGGTACGGTGCGTTGGTTTTAACCAGGAATCACAAGTCCTGTAGATGAGGGATGAGAACCATGGCTGATTCTTGTCACAGCTTTCACTGTATCTGCAGGCGAAGCAACGGGCGAGGACATCATTATACCAGCCTTCTCGGCCTCTTGCCAAGGGTCTGCCACTGGGTTCCCACTGGTTTCTGAGTTTGCCAACTGCACAATAAATTCTAGCCCTGCAAACTCCGTTGTTCTCGCTCGAGTCTATGCCGCAGATGATGGCACTCAGTGTCATATAGCGATCTCATATTTAGTCGATGGGAAGTATGTCATGACCCCATTCACGGAGTACTGGAACCTGGCGCCAGAAGAGGTGACGTGAGCGCTGACTCGAATAAAAATAGGAACATCACGGGCTATACTACGAAGGATTGGGCGCGAGAGAGGCCGCCATATGATTTCACGATAACTGATATCACGATTAGCTGAGATGCTCTTGACGAATGCTTGTGAAAAACGTAAAACAATTCCTCGACAACTCATCGTAATTGCGAAGCCTTTGGTGAAAGAGCATAAAATTCACACGTACGGTGAAAAGCAACCAGAATAGCAGTTTTGAAATACGCTCGGGTTGAACTCATCCAGAGTACGAAGTGACGGTTTACTAGCTCCCCTAGTTCGTAAAAGTTTGCATCAGAAATGAAAAAGAAACATGCCTTGTCCATATGATTTCTGTTACTTATGGAATATCGGTATAGCAAGTCCAAGGTACGCATTCGGCCGATCGATCGACTCGATTGTAGCATGATCTACAAGCATACTGCCAGACCTACGTAGCACGACTCCACCGAGGCTCCGAGAGACCTCGGCCCGGCGAGTCAAGTACAGCAATCGGTAGAGAGGTATTTGAGTGGTCTCCTCAAACTACTGATAGCCGGATAGTGCCAAAATCGTAGGCCCGTACCATGTCAGATGAGTTGCCCAAGCTTAGTGCATCTCAGTATATCCTAGAAAGGAGGGGACTGTTCGAGATAAGTAGCACTAAAGTGCTACTCCATTTCGGAACCGGCTTGCATCAGTCTTAGCCGTAAGTGAACATGACCGCCGGCACAGTGTACGTTTACCAAGTAGCTGCGTATCCTTGCATGAAAGCTTATGGCCTGCCGACGGTGTTAGATTCCTCCGGGTAAACGGTAAAATGCATTGATCCTATACCATCGAAGATTACGGGCACGATGGCGCAAAAACTATCTTGTCCCGTTCCAGACATGTTGAAATGTGGCATTGTACTTTCTGACTTGCGTGGTAATCAAACAGCTTGTTCAGGAACGTGTGGCCCTGGGGTTGTGATTCGCGCTCGAAATAGCTAGCAGTCTACTTGTGTCAAGGGTCCTGGTCTTGGCCCTGGTCGACTGTGAAGTACGTATTTGTGCGACGATATGATCCAATATGGGTGCTTACTCGCTTGCGCGTAAATACATGTCCAAGGGAACCTGGGAACTTCCACTGAGACCAGGGCTTTGAGGACCCATGATTAGCTTTTGCTCGAGACCTTCCGGGTTTCGAATATACCCTCGCCATTTCTGGTTATGAGCTTCGCCGAGCAAATTTACAGTTCACGCCCAAGTCATACGATTGCACCCAAGACGAAATGGCAATGACCCTTCGATAAATAGATTCCGAATAAATCACAATGAGTTGGGATACGGAGACATGATGGATCAGCGCTAAGACGTCAAGGCTCAGCATCATATGAATTGCAAAGAACAACACTCCGTATTCCAGGCTTCTTCCGTTCGTCCGCCTGGCCCACTTGGCCAACTGCAGTTTTAGTTTCAACGATCAGATGTGGAGTTAGCCACGCGCCGCCAAATCAATTATGAAAAGCAGCAAAGAAAAGAAGAGAGAAAGATACATACCCCAATACGACTAGCGTTGTTTTGGGGGCTGTCGTTGGAGATTTGGGGGAGTTGGGGAACCTGATACCGCTGAGGGCTGCACGATACGGCAAGAAAACAGGAAAACTACTTTTCCGGGCAGCAGTCAGGACATTTCAGTTTTCCAGACCCGATAAGCTCATAATTGTTTCGAGTATGTGTGGCGGAAATCTGAAGCACTACAGAGTAGCATGAATAGCGTGAGTAGAATGGCATTCCCATTCAAGTGGCCCTGGACGTCATTTCACAATTGTCATGACGCCCATCGACCCCCAACCAAGAGTGTGGGGTAGGAGTAACTCGGCAGCGTTTCGACAGCGGAATACCGTCAGCCAAGAACGCCGAGCGATCGACGACAAGCAATTGAGCACATGGCATGGCGGTAGTTTAGAGCGCCACCGCCAAGTGGACGTTTCGGTAAATTCGGCATGCTCGCAGGGCTCTAAGACAGAATTCAAATGACAAATTCGAACACTGCGGCAGCATAATGAATAGCAAAACTGACAAACGCGCGGGGCCCCGCAAAGGAATGTTTGTCGGAGATCCACTGGGAGACACTATTTCATACTACGATCTGTGGGGAGCAGATATTTCAATTACCTACGGGTTTGAGCCGGAATCGAGAACAGCCGGAGATACACAAGCATCACGTACGGATTACAGAAATCAAGTACCTATGTAGATGCTCCCATCATCTTACGATTCCAAGCCACTAATACTGTAGCTTGGGATTCCCTGAAGTTCGCCCACGCACTGAAGCCAGATTCTCAGTGGTTGCTAGGTTGGTGAGCTGGTGAGCAGTTGGCAGGTGAGCTCAAGCTGGTAAGGCAGCTTGCAGATTATCGATAGAAACGGACAATCAGTGGATTTGCAAAGCTGTTCCCCCTTCAGCAGTGCCCCTTATTTCCGTTCACGACAGCCTCGGCATTCACTGTTTCCTGACGCCGCTTCGTCATTCAAGTTAGCGCAGCGACAAGGACTCAGATCTAAGTTGGAGAGCAAATCGCAAAGGTCACCCCTTGTGGTACATCGTTAAACTAAGTACAGGAAATGATTAAAAATAAAAACAAAAGCTTATGCTTCGGCATGTCTCACGAGCGACACCACGCAATTTCAGCTGATCGAGAGCCAAGGATTATCTAAAATCAAACAGCAGGTGCAATTGACCATCCGGGGTTGATCAAAATCTGACCACTTCGCTTGATGGGAAGACAAAGTGGTTTCCCACAGGCTGGTACGACAAAGCCTGGGGGGTGAATTATTTACGTATCGCGTGGGGACATTCCACCGACCTGTCACTATAAGTTCAAGTGCTGTCGATCGTGTACCGTGCTCGAAACCGTTCAGCTTCCATTTTGCATTGCCATCTGTTAGCAACGGCAGTTGAAGAAGTCGACGCTTCGGTGTCCAGCTGTTCGGGAGAAGGGGAGGAATGATTTTCTGGCAATTATTGACACAAAGGAGCGCGCGGGTTTGATTGTTACCCTAACGTTAGTCCAGTTAGCGTGGCCTCTCGAAGCCGTCCCGTTTCCCCGACCATCAGCCATCTCAACAGCTGGGGCCAGTCATTTCAGTGGATTTGCTAGTTGTAAGTCTGCAATGATCATTGGAAGATACCCGGCCACTCTCCTATTGTATCGTGTCAATCAATTTGACAAGGCCAATTCCTCCAATGATCAGCTCCATGTTTGGGTCGGCTTGTGCGGAATGCATTATCCCCCATGCCAAATTGTTGCATCGCCGTCGGCGCCATCCCCCGGCCCATCCATGGACCCCCTGCCCCTTGCGACTTGGCTTCCTGTCCCGCAAAGCCAATGCATTGTGCGTGCATGTGGCGTTGCAACCACTCATAATTTCGTCTCAAAGCATGGCTCCATGGCTCGCATGGCTAGCTCTCCATGTTTCGCCCAGAGCTTCCCCGGACCACTTCTCTGCTCCTCCACAGCTTGTTTAATGGAAGAAAACATCATGCGCACCAAGTTCTCAATTGTTGAGTCCTTCATCGATCCCTCAGATAGGTGTCAATCTCTGCCTGCATCCAAAGGTTCTCTGTGCTTGGACTACAGACATGCGACCTCCCACAAGGCTGACAGAACTGTCGAATCCCTGAGGACAAGTTTGGCTTTCCCCAGCAGAGCCGCCAACCTTACTTATTTACCAGGACTGCAGTAAATCACAGACCGACCGTCTGGATAGTCGGGGTCCTGATGGCAGTAAGTGCATTAGCAGATCTGGTCACGACCTCAATCTGCGACCGTTCCTGCGGTGTACGCCATGGGTTTCTTATTGGTAATGTTAAGCTGGGTTGTCTTCGGCCAGTCTACTAAGTACCATTTCTTTTTGTCATCGCTCCCAAGTGGTTCATGGACTATGGTGCTAGCCCGTAGCACAATGCAAGTGCTCTCTTCCTTTCGTCCAAAGCGGATCCAAATGTACATAGTAGCGACACCGTCGCCATGCCAATTATGTGATCGCCGTGGTATTGTGGACCCTAGAACACTTGTATCTCGTATGTATCTGTCCATCCTCTCATGTCGCCTAGGCAGTTAAGGCCGTTGAGCGGTCCGTAGGACAGGACAAGGGGACCAAGTGTGCGGATCAGACGCGCAGACGGGGTATGCATCTTCGAACAGATGAATACTAGCATTTCCATATTAATGTCGACTACTTATTTCTCCCGGGGCCCCCAGTCGCTTAAACCAGCGTCTCCTTTCCCCATTACCCTACTTAAGCTTCCCACTCCGCAATTTCTGGGACAGAGCAACCTGACCATTGTCGTCTTGTCGTGGATCAGTGAACCTTATACAGCTCCACCCACGCAATAAGAGCGCGTCCCCCGCAATAAGTCTCTACGTCCTCCATATTTCCAATCCTCACATCAACTGGATCTCGCTCTCACCGCGAAAACAACCATCCTTCAAGTAAACAAGATGTCCGCCGCCGCCGTTCAGAGCCACGCAGAGGGGCACCCTGACCTCGAGAAGGTCAACACAGCGGGCGACAACAGCAATGGCAGGACAAACGCTTATGACTATGGCGGTCACCCCATGGCACGTCTTCACACCGGTGGAGAGGACAGACTCGCTCCCTTCGGTGGAGAGTTTCAACCTGGTCTTTACAGGCCTGTAAAGGAAAGGAAGTTCGCCAATCCCGCTCCTCTTGGTCTATCCGCTTTCGCCCTGACGACATTCGTTCTTTCCCTCATCAACCTCAACGCCCGCGGAGTTGCTGCTCCTAATGTAGTCTTGTCTCTGGCCTTCGGCTACGGAGGTCTGGTCCAGCTGCTAGCTGGTATGTGGTAAGTTCAGATTGTGATCCCATGATAACTGTAGTTTTCAATGCTACGGCTTCTGGGCAATAAAATCATTGCATTTTACTGATATGTGGTAGGGAAATGGCTGTTGGCAACACTTTTGGTGCTACTGCGCTGTCGTCCTTCGGTGGCTTTTGGATCGCCTACGCCATTCTGCTCACTCCTGGTTTCGCAGCACTCGGTGCATATGAGACAGCTGATGAGGCATCCGTTCTTGGATTCTTCTTGGCTGGCTGGTTCATCTTCACATTCATCCTACTCATACTCACCTTGAAGTCGACCGTCATGTTCTTCCTCCTGTTCTTCACCCTGGATCTCGCATTCTTGATGCTTTCCTGCAGTGAATTCGCAGCTTCTAATGGCAACCCCTCTGCTTCCTTGACACTCAAGCATGCTGGTGGCGGCTTTGGCCTTCTGGCCGCATTCTTGGCCTGGTACAATGCTTTCGCCGGTATGGCTGACCACACGTACGTTCCATCCCTAAACTTTCCAATAATCGTTGCACTAACTCCCATGATAGCAACTCATTCTTCCTCATTCCTGTTATCCACTTTCCCTGGTCCGAGAAGGGCCGTGAGGCTCGTGGCAAGACCGCTCGCGAGACTGTTTAAGACTTCCATGAATACGAGTGTTGAGAAATTTAAGCGGTGCAATTGTCTGATATATGCGAAATCGATTATGTCGACCTCGATGAGATGCATTTGCGCAAGTTGCTCTAGCATGACATGATACCAGGAGGAAATGTTTGAGAAGGATATGCGTCACGGAGCTCTGGGACGGGAAAAGGGTAATGATTTATATCGGTGGTTTTTTCGCGCCCTTGATCGTTAAACTATAACTACATTTTATTAATACCAATACCTATCGATCATTACGCCTCTAGCCCGGCTCGTCCATTTTCTCTGTCAATTTTCTTGAACAAATCTGTATCATATGCATAAACCATTGTGCTGTGTCGCGTTAGGCTCTGACTTCTGAACCTAACCGCTCTCATGATGGTCTCGATGATTCGAACGTGCTGATCTATTAGTGTCTATTATTGCAACAAATGATGAAGTAATAGATGTAGCTGAATTTGATTTTTGAGACCTTGACTGAAAAGACATGTACTAAAGGTTTAACTCCATAGGCAAAGCGGCACCAAAACAGGTTCCGAGTTGATATTCGAAGAGAGATTTTGAGCCACCTGATTGCTTGTAGTATTTGCATCGGTCCCAACAGCTTCATTGTTGACTATCGCGTATTTGCTACCTATTAGCGCTTTTACACCGACAATTCTAGTGGCAAGTTTCAGTATTGAACGAGAGTATCCGCCACTTGTATTGTAATACGCGAGTTTTACTGCGTAGGATAACGATACTTACGTCAAACTTTCTTTTCTATCATATTAATCGTCTGATAATCGAGGACAGGGGACAAGCACAATCGTTGTTCGAGTTCTTCGCTCGAGGTTAATTGCCGCGGTTGACAAATTGACGCTGATATTTATGTCTGACGTTGTATATGAGACCATTAAGATCGAGATATATTTTGTAACTCGAAGGAGACTAGGCGGTCTCGTTGTAGGCTTTCATTTGCTCGAGCCTCTGTGCGACAGGATCTCAAGTCGACCGATGCAGCCCGTTCTAGGGATCGGAAATAGCGGCCCTAAAGGTTTCCGGACGGGTAAATCTACTACGAGGTAGGTCGTACCACTCGACTTGCATCTTCTATATGGCGCCCTTGAGGAAAGTCTACTCAAGCTACCTGGAGATTTGAATGTGTGCTCTTCGCCTACACCACTTTACACATTGAGAGAACCTGAGTTAGTTGATGCCTTGTGAGAATATTTTGAAGAGCTGCCGGACAATATAGATGTGGCTGTCCACTTCAAGCTCAACTTATATCAATATGGCAAGAGCTGTCAACTTTTGGCATACCTTTTTTACACTGTATCGGAAATCCTTAGTACGATTCTGATCCAAAACCGGGTCACATATAAGGTCTTTCGACGACAAAGCGAGGTTGTCCTTGCCATCGTTAGCTGGTTTCAAAATCCTTAGTAGCTTAGTTGCTATTGTTGGGAGTTACCAGCAAGAGAACTACAGCTCGGAAGCCGAGAAGCTTTACCCGATTACGAAAATGAGAGACCTTGATGTCCATGAAAGCGAGATTGGTGTTATGGAGCTACCAAGATCTAAAAGGCCAAGTACTGGTATCAACCCGGCTCCGTTGCAATGAAAACGTAGTCGCAGATCCGCAATATCTGAATTATTAATAGGAGACACGGACGACTCCGATAGCATGAAAATTTGTCGCTCTTTCAATTGCCTCATGACATAAGGGTGGTAATTGCATCCAGGATCATTAGAACCCCTCCTAGCCCTGCCAATATTATTGGAAGACTAAATATCTGATAAACAGCGGTCAGAGCATGGAATGCCTTGTCAAGCGACCCTGCCTCAGTAATACCCCATCATGAAATGGGCCTGATAACCTTGTTTGGCCAAGATAGTCATTAGTCAGGTGCTCTGATGATTGTCGCCTCTTTGTTCACTATTTTGCTTGGCCTGCTCTTCATGTTCCGGAACATTTTACACGACTCATGACTGGCTACGTCTGGGGGACAACAGGTATGGTATGAAAGCAAGACTTTGCCGCCATACTTGATAGTGGGGCAGAGTTGCATTTCCAAGAGTAGCTGGATCATGTACCTTAAAGTGTTACCTGTTAATGTCCATGGTAGTATAGCACTACGTAGAAATGCTTTATACTCGGTTGGTTTAAATTCCGTATGTCTTCATAAAGAATACCGGTACTATACAGAAGCGTCCAGCAGGTTATCATGGTATGCAATTCATCTTCTGGCGTGGAAGTGTCACCTCGAAATGTGAGAATTGTTAAGTGCATAAAAAAAAGAATATCAATTCCACGCAGATTTCCAGCTTGACAAAACCATTTCGAACAATCAGGTGGACGGCGCACAGTCTAGAGGAGTTGATTGAATACAAACAGAGCTGTTGTTCTCTCCTGGTTCCATGAGCTTCTTCTTTTTCTACCTCTCTTCTTTTTTTCTTTCTTTTTTTCCTCTTCTTTTCTTCTCTCATGATTCAGTTATCTAGAACGCATATTCATTCATTGATCGCTTGCTCCCTTAAACGACAGACGTGTATCAAATCTTTCGGTATTGGCATTCCCTTGAAGCTTTGCTAAAGCGTAGTAATAAGGCCTATACATGCTAAAGACAGTATATTTTGGTTTAACTTATAGCTGTACTTCACGTTATGAAGAGTACACGCAACACTCATACCACTCTATACAAAAGCAGACCAATTTGGAAAGCTTGCAGAAAGTTGACGATACTTAGACCTAGCGATGAAGCAAAACTCGATACGCCATAATGCCTTCTTGCATGGTACTATTATGGGGTCCAGCTTTCTTAGGCTTGCTCTTCTTGTTAACAGATCAGGATGATCCTTCTTACATCGGCTTGACCGATCGAGTAAAAAAAGCAAGTGGCGAGAGGAAGGTGTAATATGCTTTGTTGGGAAACGGATTCGCGAACAATTGGTAGGTGGGTGTTGGTCAACAGATCAGATTGACGTAGTCTAATCCCCCCCCCTTGTTTGCTTGACGCTCAATTTGGTCTGAGTATGCAGTTTAGCGAGGGCGTTACTGCGAAGATAAAAATAAGGTCTTGGCAACTCTAGGCCTGCGTCATTGTGGTTTTGGTTGCTGCGCCGCAGCTTCGTATCCTTCAGCCTTAAACGTTTGAGATCGACGAAATTTAACATGCATGAGACGAATCCTTTTGCGCAAGTTCAATAAGTCATCATCGATCATTGAATCCCACATATACCAGCGACAAGACCTCACAACAGAGTTGAGTTACCAGAAAGCCTCGCAACTACACATTCGCGCACACAAAACCGGCCAAAGTGACTGATTCTTACGTGGCAAACCACATATCTCGATATCACACAAGACCACCTCTCAAACTAATAGTTCTATCTTCGACATGTCTGGTATAAACATTACGTGCAGCCCCGCCAACCTGGAGGCTCTGACGCCCCAGAGCGTCAACTATGCCTATATCGAAAGCTACTGGAACTCGGTCAATGTGACAGCCATGACAAAGTGCTGCGCTCCCCAGCCGGCGACCCAAGACGGCTGCTACACGTGGTGCCGGTTGAAAGATGACGCCGATATCAGCACTGCGTCCGCGAGAGAGAGTTGGGAGGCCAACTTTCAGGACTGCCTGACCAGAGAGGGACGTCTTGCGAGCAATGAAAGCTTCGTCGCGCCCAAGATCATTACTGTCAAGAATTCGAAATCAAATGCAGCTTCGCAGGTTGGAACCGGTGTGAAAGGAGTTGTCCTTGTTGGGCTTGGGGTTCTGTCTTGGGTTTTGGCGTAAAGTGCAGGTATGCTTCGTGGAAAGGAGTTTGATAGAGGAGCAATTTATTGGAACGCATATTGGTATAAAGAGTCTCACTTACTGAAGTTCGAGGCCTGTTCTTTCAGCGAAGAGGATCAGTGGGTTAATGCAAAAGCTTTTCTGTTTTCCAGTCATGACCAAGAACATATGGCCGTACATGGCACAAGGGAGTTTCCTCTAAGAATTGGGACAGGCGTTTGTCTCATTTTATCAGTGTTCTTGTCGATACACAATTACTAGGAGATCACAGTGAATATGATGTTAGTACGTTGTAACAGCGCTGAGCGACGTAAACAAATTACTCTATTTACCAAAGTATCATATGAAGTTTTAATTGAAACACGTTATTCCAGCACACTGGAAAGTGATTTTGGAGTTGCCTCGTCGGCCTGATTGGATAAATCCCTTCTGACTTAGACAAGCATCTATGTGATATTGATGACATTTTCACGTGTATTTTTGCCCCTCGTAGTCAATCGAAAATAAAGGTCTGAGAATTTGAGCATCGTCATAGCTGCTGGAAACAATTGGTGAAAATCCAGAAAAGGATGCCTTCCTGATTTAAGACGTCATTAAGGCTAATTGTAGGCTGTGAGGTTTTCTTGGCAGCCTGCGGCGTAAGGGAAGCCAAGTTTCTTGGCGATATTGATCAACATGGCAGGCGAAAGTGTGGCATGCGGCGTGGTATGTTAGCAGCTTTCGATTGCTGACCACAAATCCTGTAAGATTCCTCAAACCTTATTAGATCGCAACAAAAGTGACCTTTACTCAAGTGTCCTCGAGGAGTCATCACTTTTGAGCATCTGGATTCCTAGAACCCTACGCCTGAAGGAATATCTATATACGGCGATCTGCAGCCGAGCCACGATTTTAAAAAAAGAATAAACAGCTCCCAGGACTATGTTCCTCCCGGTCGCAATGAGCTCACAGCTACCATGCTGGACACGACGCAGTTTATGATACGCAAGAGCATACAAAGAAATGTATACATAAGCATGGAAGATCACACCTGGAACATGATTCCATACTTCATGAGGACCTTACATTACAAAACACCACACTTGCCACAAAACTTATAAAGCATCACTTTGAAACTTCACAAAATACTCAATACTAAATTCGTCGCCTCTCTAGCCACTTCACTTTGATAACCGACTTAAAGAACCGCTGCACAATCCTGTCAACTATCTACGACAGCACCAAGATGAGAACCCAGCTATTTTTTGCAACTCTAGTAGCGGTTGCTAGTGCCATTCCCGCGCCAAACCCCGAGATATGTGGCCCTAATTCAAACTGCGAATTGGTGGCCTCCAACGGTACCAAGGCTTACCGGTTTAAGTCGGGTCATGAGCCGGGCAGCCACGACTACCAGAAGAGATTTTACGAGATCCCGGGGCCTCGGGGGCTGGCCCGCCGGGCCGATGCTGTCGAAACCAAGGTAGTCATGGGTGAGACCAGGATGCAATGGGGATGTGACACCGACGTGCAGGCCAAGCTTAGAGATTCGATCAATGCAGCCTGCAAGAAGGAGGGCGGATGTGACGAGGGCACTCCGAAGAGCTTCGATATTAGCAAGTGGGAGGGCACGACCAAAGAGCCCAGTGACGCAAAGTTGAATATCAGACTCGAAGGCAAGTACTCCAACGAGGACGCTAGGAATGCCCTGCAGGAGGCCCTAGAGGCTACCGTCACCGGTGACAGCGTTACTACGAACGACCAGAAATGGATAGTTCGAGCCTCTGCCTCTGCCAACCATTGGGGTATGTCTGATAGAGGGGGAGATTGCTCGGAGAAGCAATTTCCTAACTATGTTGCTATCAACCGTTTCGAGAGCGGTAATCTTAAGGAGTCGATGGAGTTTCGAGCGGAGCTTGTTGAGGGTGAAAGTAAGTAATGACCAAGGTTCCTATCGGCTTTTGTTTCTGTTGTGACCACGAAAACACAGGCTGCTATCTTCTGATGATAAATTTGCTAATAGTATACATAGAGAATTGCTTGGGAGTAACTATCATGGGAGCCATTGCTGGGGCAATCAACCCCATCGCCGGCAAGTTCTTTGGAGCTGTGAAGGTATTATGCGAGAGCGAACTATAAATGAGAACCACGAAGACTGTCAGTATTCCGTTGGTCAGGTGAACGGTTCCGGATTTAGTCCCGATACTATATGTATCACTAGCGGTACGTGGCTGCGTTTACCATTTGCTGTTATTTAGCGCTATATTATCATTTATGTTTTTGTTGCGTAATATCACCTGTATAGTAGACTTACCAGCTTCTGCTTACATCGTTGGCCCACATATGCTGCAATTCTTCTGTCTATCTCTACACCAAATCGTCTAGAATGTGAATAGTCAAAACTAAGTCCAGCATAACATAACCAGCCGATCACGGTGGGTGGTCGTTTTCCATGCCAGACTTGCTGCACCAGGACTTTCTCCGCAAACAAGTGCTGTTGTTTCATTGTTGGGGGCCGAATTGCGAAAAGTGTAGACAAGGAATTTATGGGCGGCCCCTTGTGAACTGGTCTGGGTAGGCGCCGAGGATTATAAATTTGAACACGCGAATGTCCACTAAACAATCATATAAACCGCATCGATGTCGAACACGAGTAGGTAATTCAGCGTACTTATTTTAAGGAACCTCTTCTCGCTCTGGCTCGAAGTATGCTATCTCCAACGATATTTAAATGTACCTTTTTTCACCACGCCTGATCTGAAATATTTCACGTCCCCCGACTTAAGGGCCATGATCGCTGGCGACCAGTCAATATACTTACTTGTTTGTGATCGTATCATGGCGCCTAGGCTAGGCGAGTCCACCACAATTGATCTCAACTGACAGTCTAAACTGTCGCCAGGCTTGCATTTTGCGATTGAGGTGACAGGGGTTCTTACCACGACATGTATAACACATTCTCCATAGGTCAAGGATTTACCAGTTTGACAGAGCGAAACTAGACCAGCAGTGCGTACAATTGATTTCTAGTAGCCTTCCACTGGTATGGCATAGATTTAGTAAGTGCCTGAAATGAGAAACCAGTATTGCGACATAAAGAATGATGCTTTATTGTAGCTGGACCTTCATACAGGGTCTATCCGGAGCTGATTTCTTGGGAGTTTCGAGTTGGAATATCGTTCTCTATCTAATATCTTAAGTCCCTCCGGGCACGGTCAAGCCCAAATATTTTGATAACGTCAAAGGCAAATCGAACTAAATTCGCCTTCATTCAGCCTCAGCCTCAGCCTCATCAGCCTTTCCCACAGACCAAGATCGCAAGAATAGACATCTACGACTCACCGACAGCTCATCCTCGAAATAACCAGACAAGCATTGTTCGGAGCTTTTTCTCAGTTACTTCTGGTAAACCGGCGGCATGAGAGATACACCAACTCTGTTGTTAGCAGTCATGATCTTAGACTCGGCAAATGTGATCCAACTTCTCCTAGAGAGAGGTGCAGATCAATATACAGCTCATTCCAAGAAAGGGAAGTCTATGAGGAATTGTGTCCGGCCCGATGCAGGGTTCAAAGAGGTATTCGGGAACATTCTTGTGGCTAAATTGGTGAGCTTGGTTGGCTGGCTTATTAGTGCAACACCGAGGTGTTTCGACCAAACATTGATTGAGCCGGAATCCGTCAAAAAGCCGAGTTGGTTAGTCCAGCAGGGTGGAAACATCCATGCCGATCTTGATAACTCTACGCCACTAGGTTAGGTTAATGCACTGTCTCCGATATCCAGGGTGCAAGGCCCCATATGCAAATGAACCCATATCCCCTCAGAAAAGCCTCAGCTCGACCTCATGAGACATCTTGATGTCGGAGGACAAAATTTCTATCGGCGTCGTCCCCCGTTTGGACGAGCTGATGCCTGTGATACCGGCAGACGAAAAGGGCTGCTCGGTTTGGGTGCGACATAATGCGCCATGATCTCGGCGCCTGGGGAAGCGTGGACTTTTCGGTCACATAATGAAGGATTTGAAGATTGTGATGCTCAATTACTCGTACTTCGCAGTAAACAATATGATGCGGATGAGTTAGTTATAGTCGCGTCCTCCTTGGTTGTGTGGTACATGAAGTGATAGACGAACAAACCATGGTAAAGTTGACAAGGTCACTGGTACACTGCTGAGTGATGATCCTGTCAAATCGAAAATGGATAGAATTTGATATCTCATTTATTCATCTCTCATCCCCGCCCCCAGTACATCTCCTTCTCATCTAATGCATGCTATTGACAAACATCAAGTACAGATACTCCGGCTCTGTGCAGTAAAATAGACATTTCGTGTAATAAGACAAACTCCTCGCAATGACAGCGTTTTCAATGTAGTGTGCATAGTATGATGACCTGCGGAGCAACCAGTGGATATCTCAATCAACAAAACACCTGATTCGATGCCCTCCATATTTCCATCCGTCCGCCTTGTCCATTATCGTATTCTCATGCCGGCATGTTTTCATTACGTTGACTAACGTCCACCTCCTGCTTCATCATGGCTGGTTGTGTATTGCCACTCCTCAAAGTCTGCCACCGTTACGCCCGACGCGACGTTTATTGTGTCCGGTAGAACTTCTTGTACAGCAGGTGAAGCAGCAAGTTGACATTCAACTTCAAGTTGCCCTCGAAGACATTCATGAATTGATGTGATTCGAACTGAGCCTGCAGCACATCTTCGATTGGTATTGAAGCGCTCGCACCAGGAATCTGGATATGGCCACGGCTTCCCTCGACATTAAAGACACCAACTTCGTCACAGCTGATGGTCAGGTTGATGACGCCCCAGTCTCGCTCAGGCGATCCCTGCCATGAGACCACCACACCTCTGTCGGCGAGAGCACGGACGCTGTATTTGTAAGAGCCGAACTTGGGCACGCGGCCGGAGCGTTCGAGTTCGCGCTGGTGGTTGAATTGCTTGGTGAAGGGAAGTAGGAAACGTTTTTTACTGTAAAGTGTATGTTAGTGTCGGATGGTCAAGTTAGTCTGTGGGCAATAACTTACCCCTTGCTCTTTTGCAGGGTAGCCATAGCCTGCTCAATGTAGTCGTCGTAGCTCCCGCGTTGCTGCTCTAAGTATGCAGCCTTCTGATGCAAGTTACTGAGCGTCATACGAACACCTTCAAGCTCACGCTGTCTTTGGACACGTCGCCTGCTCTTGGTGCGAATGTCGAGAGCAATAGCGTTGAGAATATCCTGGTAATAGTTTTGCTTGGAGATACGACCCATATGTTCTAGTCGCATAATGTTCTCGAGAGCGTTTCGTTTCATATCATAGTATGACGTCCGGGTGACATCAACCATATTAGCGTCCGAGTAAGCACCTTTGGTGTTATCGCCAGACGCAAAGTCTTCATGGAGAACGGCTTGCCATTTTTGTTCATCCTCTTGTGTTGGTGGCCGGACAAGAATTTCGAGCAGGTTACTACCGCTCTGCACACGAATGATATAGAGGATACAACGTTTGGTCTCCATGAACAGTGACTTCACATCGGCCTCTGGGTCATCGACATCATGCAGTTTCGGTGTCAAAAATAGTTGGACATCGGACGAACCTGTACCGGTCATCTCGTTCTCGTTGCTCTTCGCACTACCGAGATCTTGCATGATCTCCCGCAGCATATCGTCACGGCCAGGGCAGACGAAGGCAAGTTGTTGTGCGACCAAATTGTGAATCGCAAAGATGTCACCCATCTTGATGTAGAGCGTAGGCTTGTTCTTGGAATAGAGGTCGTTATATTCATCGATATCGAACGTACTTTCGGCATCGGCGACGGAAATAAGGTCGTTGGTGATATGTGCGAAGCGTTCGGCTGAATCAGCAACAAATGCGTTCAGAGGCTGCAAATAAACATTCTCGCCACCAAATGGTCGACCAGAAGCGATCTGGCTTAGAACCTTGGACACCTCGCCAAGGTTGCGCTTTTGCAACGGGCTGAGCGTCTTCTCCATCACGCCAACCTGTTCGGGGTTTACTAAAGCAGGCTGTAAATAGAATTTCCAGACCCAGTTGGTGATGAGCTGTAGAACTTGGTGCTGTGGCTCTCTGCTAAATCGTTGGCGCAAGGCCTGGAAGGTTTGCAAGCAAATGAACCGAAGCCCATATGGCATTCTTGGCAGGAAATCTTCTAGTGCAGCGAAGAACTGATCGCAGATTTCTCGGAGATCGCGCAGGTGGTCGATGAACAGTTCGCGTGTCTCAGGGTCCTTGATGGCCAGGTCTCTAGGCACGTCGAGTGGCCTCCTGCTTGGTCGGCCAGTTCGGAGTTCTTCGTTGTTGATAGCAGACTTATAGATCTGCATGGGGTCACTTTCAAGATCCAAGGCTGGATCCTCGACAATATTGTCGCGAATCAGAGGACCAAGGAGATCTCTCAGGTATTTTCTATCGCGGGGCGAGCGCGTGTAGTTGCTGAGTATCCTAGAGCAAAAGAAATTGCCACGTAGGTAGTCTTGAATAGAGTTGCATGTGTCGACTTCTTCACGTATCGATCGAGCAATCACCTTCAGAAGGTAATACTCCTCTCTGCGTTTTTGAGCATATCCAAAGAGGCCCATGATTAAGTGTTCGATCCGCTTGCATTCCTTCTCTGCTGTGCCTTCTTCCCGAATCCTCTTGAACAGACGAGCGAGGTACGCAGGTTGTGTTTGAAGGTTGAAAAATAGCTGCTGGTACGATTCGAGCTTTTTGCGAGAACTTTTGTTGAGGGCCTTCAAGTCGAAATGGTTTGCAGAGGCAATAGAACTGTTGGCCAGTAAAGAGCTTGCGTGGCCACCGAAATTGTTCTGATGCCTAACAACTTCATCAAGGGTGATCTTGTTCTTCACTAGGAGGGCAATCTTGATGTCCAACTGATCGATATATTGCTCGAGCATCTCGTTTTGACGTACTTGTTGGACAACCGTCTTCCGTAATCTCTCAAATTCGATCTCTTCATTGAAGTCGAAGTCACTGTCATTCAGAAGATGCACGAAATTCTTGACAGCATTAACCGGAGGGTTCTTTCCGGTTGTGAGACTCTTATACGCTTCGCCCTGGATCTTGGCACGGACAAAACTCTGGATCTTGATGACTTTTTGCATATTCTCGTTGAAGTGCCTCTTCTTCTCCTCGAACTGAGCTCGAACAATATAACCTTTGGTGAGAGACTGGAGCTCGGTAATTGCATCATCGTGCTCATCAAGTTCTGCAAGCAGGTCGCCGATGTTCGCTCTACAAAGCATGGCGCGAGCTAGAGCTTGAAGAGATATGATCTCATCTTCATGGGATTCAAGTTGGTCCAAGAGGGCGATGTGCTGCGCCCTAGAGTGCGAGCCGCGGATTCTTGCCTGTAGGTCTGAGATCTCAGAAGCCAGGTTCTCGAGCTCGTCAAGGTCGGCGGCCACCCTTTGCCGCTCTATCATACCCCTTGCGTTGGACTGCAGGTCGATGATAGCCGCTTCATGCGAGTTTAAATCGTCGAGCAGGTCAGCCGTGTCCCTACGAACAGCTGCGGCCCGGATCGACGCTTGCAGAGCGCCGATCTCCGAGGTGTGCTTGTTCAGCTCGGCTGTCGTGGCAGAGACATCTGATCGGACAGCGTTGGCCCGGCAGACAGCTTGTAAGGTCTCCCATTGCTGCGCGAAGCCCTTAAGAATCTCGCGCTGCTGGTTGATCTGCTTTCGCGTCAGCATCGCCCTGGCGAAAGACTGCAAGCCTGTTATGGCTGGTGACTCTTGTTCAAGATGAAGGAGATCCTTCTCTACGCTGCCTCGCACCAGCATACCCCGAATTGCAGATTGCAGCATCATTACAGGTCCCTGCAGCTGGTTCGTCTCCTGCTGCTGCGAAGACACCTTCTCACGAGCGAGAAATCCTTTGCAAAGAGCTTGAATGCTCCTCACGGGACCATCAACAGATGCTAACTGAGATCTAGTCTCGCGTACCTCGTTGCGAACTTGAATAGCCCGCATCATGCTCTGTAGCTTGATGATGTTCTTTTCCTTGCTCTTCCAGAAATGCTCTCTGTTCATCATGCTGTTGCGAATCAGGAAGCCACGGGCGGCGCTCTGAAGTTGCACTGCAAATTGCCTCATCTGAAGTCGATAGTCCATAATCTGTCGGGTCCAGTCCCCGCGAATTCTTGCTTGGAGGTCGATGATCCAATCTTCGGAATCCCACAGGGAGTTCATCACGTCAGCGAGTCGCATCCGTGCCAATGCACCTCGGATCTGGGCTTGCAAATCTAGTATCATCGCTTCATTTTCGCCGAGTTCCCGGTCGATACGTTCCTCCTCAGTCTCTTCGGGCTCGGGGTCAGGCTTAGGCGTAGGCTCAACACCAAAGTCAGCGCCCATGGTACCAAAGCTGGGCATGTTGACTCCAAGCTTGTCCAACCCTTTTTGCATAGCTTCCAGCTCATGGTGCTCGAACTCGAGCTGTCCAACCAAGTTGCCTATCCTGAAGTCTACGATGCCCTTGCGAAATAGTAGCCAACTGAGAGCATGTATGCAGTAGATGACCTTTGGAATGTTCTTTTTTTCGTATAGATCGATCAACTCAAATCGGAACAGGTCTGGCATTTCGACTTCATCCAAATAACGGAAAAATGTAGCGACGTTGTCCCAATGCCGCGCCTGTAGCCGCTGGTGGCGGAATATGCGGAAACGCCTGTCAGGGTTCAATGCCTCAACGACTTCGGCAAGTGTAACGCCATCTCGCAAGGCTTCTTCGAGCTCGACGATGGGCGGGATTTGCCGGTGGATGACATCCTCTATCCATTCCTTAGCTTCTCCTATATGGCAAAGGTATTCATAGGCTTGGAGGAATTGGCGCTGCTTGTCCATCCAGTTGCGGCCACCGAAACCATACCTGTCGCCAGCTCGTTGGCCATTCTGGTCACCAGTTCGCTGTAATCTACGGCGTCCACGAAGACCAACAACTTCTTGCGTTGGGGAAGTAATGGCAAAATCTTCTGCAGTGCCCAGCTTGGACAGTGTCCTAAGTTGGCTTGTGGAGGAGCGACCAAGCTGCTGCAGATCCGGTCTCGCCAGTGGTGAGTGTACGACAGCGTTGGAATGTGTGGTCGCTGGAGATTGCCTTATAGAATCGGAGCGAGTGAGAAGCATCGAGGTCGGGCGAGACGCGGTGGTGCGAGGCGGACGAGTCGGAGATGTCTGTGGAGATGTTCGCGGCGAAGTCTGCTCGTTCGATAATGAGAGTCTACCGATATCGAGACTCTGGCCGCGTTCATGACGACTTTGACTTGGTGGCGTTTTGGGTATCCCAAAATCAACACTCTGGCCACGCTCTTGTCGGCCATAGCCAGGACTAGGAGGGGTCTTGGAAGGTGATAGGCGATGAGCTGGCGGGCTGGGACTTGGGGCTGGAGCTTGGCCTAATGGTCTCAAAGACTGTCTGACTGAGCTGTACATGTCCTTAGCACTTGACTTGGCCTCATCGTAAGTATTTGATCTTGTCGGTGGCTGTCGAGGAATAGCTGCCTCGCTCTTCCCGCGCCTGTGGGTATGTATCGAGGGGCCGAATGCGCTGGAGGTCATGGAGGAGTTAGTGGAGGCTCGACCGAAGTCATACGATTCGGAGGTATAAGAATACCCAGATGAGGCCGAAGAAGACGTCGTGGAAGGCTGGCGGTTGATGTTGTTGTCGTTGTTTGTGACATCGAGGTTGGCGTAGTCGACAGTGTACGACTGCCGCAAGGGATGAGGGCGGGTTGACATTTTGGCGGATGATTGCTAGTACGCTAAATGGTGCTCGCTCTCGTGCTGGTGATAATTGTATGGGTCGCCGTGTGTTGTTAAGCGCCACATTACAGCTACCAGAGATATCGTCGCAAACAACTCAGGCACAAGTCGGAGGCATGAAGCTCGAGCAGGGCTCAAGTGACAACACGAACAACAAGATGGGTTGGAGCAAGCGCCGGTCGCAACTGTAAATGTTTTTTTTTCCTGGTCGCAATAAATTGGAACCAAGTTGACGCGTAGGTAGGGAAGGGCGGTCGGGTGTAATGAGAACTTGGCCAAAGACGTTGTAGCTGCGCGCACTCCGGTGAATATCCAATTTCAAAGTGGCCCGGCCGTACTAGAGGTAAAAGTGAAGCGCGCTCTACGCACAGAGGTAAGGCAAGGCGAGGCAAGGCGAGGCCAAGCGAAGCAAAGCAAAAGCAGGGCAAATGATTATGTGGTTGTGTGACGAGGGATGGTGATAACCTCAGAACATCGAATCAAAGGGAGTTGAGATTCCAACCATGTATCAGCCACGACCATTAACAGAAACCCATTATGGACTACATGGACTCAAGTTGGGACAAAGGCCATGTCGCATTGGAGGGGTTGGGGGGGGTTCCTTCAGGGAAAGTATCAATCAGCCCGGGCCAGGATGTTTTGTTTACTTTGGGCTGAGGCCATAGCAACGGACCGCATCAATAACCAAGCTCCCGGAGGAAAAAGGTGGGAAGATTGACCAGGGCCTAGACTGGTTAGTGCTGTGGCTGGGGTGGGAAGGAACACTGGAAGCCAAGTCTGTGTCCAGCCACTTGTTCGGGCATACACGGCACAGGCACAGGTCCGTGTGTACAGCCCAAGCATTGCTCCCTTATCGCTCACAGGCTCACAATCTGTGTTATCGATAAGTCAGCATATAAGGATGAAAACTTCACCGCCCTCGCTATGGGGCCTGGCCGGACCTCAGGCTTATTTTTGAAAGAGAAATAAGAAAGTACTTGGGCCCTGGCGGGTGATCACCACTGACTGGATGTCTACTACTAACAGACTGCCCCTCATCCACTAATCTAGAGGGTCCTGCTAGACGCCTCTTGGAGAACAAAAAAAACTTCGGCGAGCTCGCTGCAGTGAAAGTCTTTTCCTCTCTTCTACTTGGGAAGAGGATCACCGTACAAGCTGCCGTCGACTTGGAATTATTTCATTTGACGTCAATCTTCGACCTCACAGATCGCAAAGTCTGTCTATCTGTCTTCTGATCAATCCAATCCAAGACACGATGCCCTCCACCACCGGTGTCAATGGCTCTGCCAAGGTCCTCGACCACACCACGGCGCTCGAAGCCCTCAAGGAGTATGAGACCCGCGACGGCCTCAGCATCCATGATTTGATGGACACCAAGCAGCGTGGAGGTCTGACTTACAACGACTTCCTGCTCTTGCCCGGCTACATTGGCTTCCCCGCCTCCGAGGTTGCTCTTGATTCTCCCGTAACAAAGAGAATCACCCTCAAGACCCCCTTCCTCTCCTCGCCCATGGACACTGTCACCGAGCACGAGATGGCCATCCACATGGCTCTGCAGGGTGGTCTTGGTGTTATCCACCACAACTGCTCTCCCGACGAGCAGGCTGAGATGGTCGCAAAGGTCAAGCGATTCGAGAACGGCTTCATTGCCGATCCCGTCGTCATCTCCCGCCAGACCACCGTTGGCGAGGCCCGCGCTCTGAAGGAGCAGTGGGGTTTTGGTGGTTTCCCCGTCACAGGTAAGCCAAGGCTGCTTTTCTTCAATCTCACTTCATGAAGGAATCCACGGATTCCTCCAATCCTTACCAAGCCGGCCCACTACCTGATTACAAACAATAAATTATAACTTTCGTTCCACCGTATAGACAGCAATGTCATGGGGAGAGACTTATGCTCTTTATGATACAAGCCATCATTATTATTCCTTTCATCATGCAGTTCATGCTCTGAACGAGAGGCTAATCAATGCTACAAACAGAAACCGGCAAGAGCGGCTCCAAGCTTCTGGGTATTGTCACTAACCGTGACATCCAATTCGAGGAGGACGACAGCAAGTCCGTAGAGAGTGTCATGGTCACAGACCTTGTCACTGCTCCCCACGGCGTCAACTTGCTCGAGGCCAACAGCGTCTTGGCCAAGTCCAAGAAGGGCAAGCTCCCCATTGTCGACAAGGACTTCAACTTTGTGTCCATGATCTCGCGCTCTGATCTGAGAAAGAACCACAACTACCCTCTGGCTTCCAAGCTGCCCGACTCCAAGCAGTTGATCGTCGCCGCTGCTATTGGTACGCGTCCCGAGGACAAGGATCGTCTGAAGAAGCTCGTCGACGCTGGTCTCGATATCGTCATCCTCGACAGCAGTCAGGGTAACAGTATGTACCAGATTGAGATGATCAAGTGGTGTAAACAGACATTCCCTGACCTCGATGTCATTGGCGGAAACGTCGTGACTCGTGAGCAAGCTGCTGGCCTGATCGCCGCTGGTGTCGACGGTCTTCGTATTGGTATGGGTAGTGGAAGCGCCTGTATTACTCAGGAGGTCATGGCCGTTGGCCGTCCCCAGGCCGCCGCTGTCTGGTCCGTGTCGTCATTTGCTGCAAGGTTCGGCGTCCCTTGTATTGCCGATGGCGGTATTCAGAATGTTGGCCACATTGTCAAGGGTCTCTCCCTTGGCGCCACTACCATCATGATGGGAGGTCTTTTAGCTGGTACCACCGAGTCTCCTGGTACCTTGACATCCTTCGTCACTCGCGAGGGCAAGCTTGTCCAGACCAAGGCTTACCGTGGTATGGGTAGTATTGACGCCATGCAAGACAAGAAGGCTGGTGCCGGTTCAAAGAACGCCCAAGCCAGCAACGCTGGTACCGCTCGCTACTTCTCTGAGGGAGATAGCGTTCTCGTCGCTCAAGGTGTCTCCGGTACTGTCGCTCACCGTGGCTCCGTAGGCAAGTTCGTTCCCTACCTCGCTGCTGGTGTGAAGCACTCTATGCAAGACGCTGGCATTACTAGCTTGAGCGCGCTTCACGAGAAGGTCGCTTCTGGTGAGATGCGCTTCGAGATCCGTACTGCTAGTGCTCAGCTCGAGGGTAACGTAAACATGGAGAGCTACGATAAAAAGCTCTACGCTTAAATAAATAAATAAGATATAGACATGCATATGGGGGATGATCATGATTAGCGGGTGGATCATCCAAATGATACCAAAAGGGGCCTTTGCGTTTGCCTCATGACTTGGACATGAGTACCTCAAAAAAAAAGGCGTTTGGGGCTGGTTTCGGTATTGGTCGGTAGCGGATTGGATTACGCAGCATTGCCGTTCATGCGATATAGGCATCCTCGACTAAGGACAATTATTTTTACTCAGCCATGAAATGTACTTCTTGCTCATCTGTGATGCTACTTTCACTTGACAATGCCTTTCGCAAGACGACCTGTATGGATTACATACTTGCTGGGTATTCAAATACCCCCTATGGGATACGACATGCAGTAAGATGATGTGTCCAATGGTGCTTGTGTTCTTTTGCGCTGCCTGTTCATTTACAGATGTACCTTAAATTGTTGTCGTGTTTACGCGTGCTGCTGGTGGAGGGCCACATAGCACACATGGCACCAAGCAATCGCCATCATATCTGCTCCGTCAACCGAACAAATTTATCGATCGATTGTCGTCGTGGCCTTCTTAATGCAGCCATCGATGATGTCAACCCACTTGATTGCGTTGACAAAGTCGCGGTTATCAATACTCTCCACCAAGCCGGGGAAGACGGCTAGAAGACAGTCAGTAAACAGGACAGACGATGATTTCCCTCCGAGTTTGAGACGCGCTCCGAGAATAGAGAACTTACCACCAGCGTACCCGGTCCAGATGCCTGGCGCAAATACCACATGTTTAAACCACGGACGTCCGTCAAGGCCACCCTCGTATAGGAACGCGCGCTCGATCTTCTTGTACGCCGTGTTTGCGAACCGGATCTCATGCAGCAGCTTGAGCTTTGTGATCCACTTCCACCAGGGGATGTCCTCGTTGGCCTGCTCAGAGAGCTTGGCAGCCTTGGCGTCGAGTTTGATGGCCGCATCCTTGAGCTTGGAGATCGAGTACTGCAATTTCTCGAGCGAGAACTTGAAGGCCGCGACGTCGCCCTTGGTGGCGCTGTCGATGTCGGTAGAGCGTGCGCGGAAGGCGGAGATCTCGGCCTCGGTGCTGGGTTCGTAGGTGTCAAGGGAGTTGAGCTTTTCCTCAACTTGGCCAACGTAGCCCTTGAGGGCAACAGCGTAGTCTGTTGCATTGAGCGGCACGAGAGGTGTGTCAGAGACCTTTGCCACGGTCAGAGCGAGGAGCTGTGCCATGGTCTTGTGGTAGATGAAGCCTGGGTCGCCGAACTCGCTCATCCAGTGGTAGCTGTCATAGTTGCTGTGGTACTGGTAGATCGGGGAGTCTTCTGATTGGCCGCCGAACCCCATATCCAGGGACGGAACACCAGCGTAGTCTTGGAAGGCGGTGAAGTCGCTTCCCGATCCCATGGTTGATATATGGCCGTTCCAGGTATCGCGGACGGTTTGACCAGGGACAGTCTGGTTCGGCGATGGTACGAGATTGGTCACTTCGTAGATCAGGTTGTTGAGCATTGGTGCGGCAGAAGCTGAAAATACGGGCGAACGCACGCCAACATCAACGTTGATGTAAGCAACGTTGGTGATCGACAGCCAGGGAAGGTATTCCTCAACCCACTCTGTACTGCCAACGAGACCATACTCTTCACCATCCCAACTGGCGAATACAATGGTGCGAAGTGGCTTCCAGCCAGCCTCAATGGCCTTTCCGAAACTGCGAATGGCTTCGTTTATAACGGCAGACCCGCTGTTTGGGTCACCAGCACCTCCGGCGATCCAAGCATCACGATGGTTGCCAACGACAACGACCTCGTCCGCGATTGTTCCGTTGATGATTCCAATGACGTCCCACAAGGGCGTGATGGTGTAATCCTGCTCATTGTACAGATTAAGCACAACATCTTCTGGCGATGGGCCAATGTTGTAGTCGACACCCTTGTACTCAAGTCCCTGGTTCCGGGTCCAATACTTATTGAAGTCGGAAGATTTGGGGCCGTGACCATTCAGCGCCTTCAGAATTGGAATAGCTTCGGCGAATGAAATCGGTAGGGAAGGAATGCTTGGGATCTTCCCTTCAACAGGCTCTCTTGGGACACCGGGCTTTGAGGGATAGCCAGGTGTTGTCGGGTCACCGGGAGCAACACTCAAAAACTGAACGCTACCGCGCTGCACACTGCTGGGGTGGCGAGCTGGACCGTCGGGATAGGCCTTATATCCATTCTCCTCTGTAATCTTGCCATCATCACCAGGGTCGGTGAAAATAACAGTACCGACCATGCCTAGTTCCTGGGCTCTCTTGACTTTCAGGCCACGGAAAATTCCTCCATACCTCGCAAGTGCTATTTTGCCCTTAAGCGTGATGTTTGCTTTGACAAGGTCGTCAAAGTCTTGGTAGGTACCATAGTTGACATAAACGAATTGGCCCGTGACGTTACCGCTGGCCGAGTACCCATGGAAAACTGGAATCCGATCGTCCAAACCACTTGTGGGGTCCTCCTCGAGAACAGCTTCCTCTAGTGTTGCTTCAAATTCTACCTTGTCTTTCTTCAATAGTGCCAGGCGGTGGTCTACCGGGTAGTTGATGTATGTTTCATAGGCTACAACGTCTGACTTGATACCCCATTCATTCCAGCGGTCTCGTGTCCATTCCGCCTGCAGATGCATCAGCGCAACTAATCCGACGTGAATGCTAGCGATTCAACTTACTTGTGACAGGTTCTTGCCAGCCAGATGAGGACCAGATGTGTAGTACTTGCTCCACTCGCTAGCCTTCTCTCCGCTGGGTGTCTCGAGCAAGATGGCTTTCAGTTCCTCGAAATTGACATGACCTTTGTGTCGTCCCAGCCATTCGGGTTGGTGATCATGATCATGATGGTGGTGGTGATGATGGCGTCTTGGTGGCCCATCAGCGAAAGTCCATAGAAATGTAACTAGAAGAGCCACGAGGGATGAACCCAGCGCGATACTGCAAAAACGCCTCAAGGTTTGGTGCGGGTAGCGCCGCGGTACTTCGCCGACTCTGACCGTGGCGATGAGAGGCGTCCTCTCACTCGACATCTTTTCCACCATTTCCAATACTCGCAAGGCGTGTTTATACCTGTGCGACTATCCTTGACGATATATATTGTGTGACTAGGAAGAAACAACAATAGAAACCAGGCCCTGCAAGGTGTTGATGCTCTTGCGGCAGGATTGTCTATCTTATCGTTGGCGACCTCCGACGTAATCCTTACCGGGGTAGGTATCGGGATGGTGGTTCCGTACTACGTAGCCGTCACGGCTCCGGGCCGGGTGTCACGAATGTCTAGGACCCTTCGACAACGCCGTCGAAGTCAGCGACACTACTTCAGGAAATCTTTATCTTATATCAGCTTTGTTAACACTTGTTGCAATATCACAAAGTCGAAATTGTTCGGTTCTGCTTGGGCTCGTTGCCTAGGGACAGCTCTCAGAAATGACGATTGAGACGGCAATGCACGGGCCACCATTGCATCCACCTGCCCAATCTGATATCGCGTCATTCTGGCGGCTCCAACAGGCGCTTTGTGGATTCTTTAAAGTCGCCATTTGTACCGCTGAAAACGCAATTGATATTATTCACATCTCCTCCGACTACGCTGCGCAGAGTGCACCATTATTCAACGTATTATATCACGCTTCATTCATTACAGTATGCATTCTCTACGCCGCAACCCGATCCTAGGAAGCAAATAGTAAACTAGAAATGCAACTAACACACAGATGCAGTCTGGCTCCACTCGTCCATCTACAATTCGACAGCAGCGTCTAGACATATGTAGTCCGTGTACATAGGAACAAGCATTGAAATTGCCGGTTCCAGCAAGCGCACTCAGTCACATTTCGCACGCATTGTTATCCGGTACAGTCAGTAACGAAATACGCTTCTGCTCTACTCAACGAGAATTTCTTCTACCAGGAGCCAATTCTGAATTCTTCCTGGGGATATGATGTTAATACTAGCGTTTGCCCAAATAGGCAAATTCTCACCTACACATAGATGCTACATTTTGTGGCGCTAGAAATACTTCACAGCGATATATTCATGCTCCCGCTACATGAAACACTCTTTCAGACCGTCTAGTCCACGTCTTTTCACGATCTTGAGGCCAAAGTTGTCGGCAATAATCTGTATCCAGATCTAATTGCTTGATTAGCTTAGTCGCGATATTCGTATACTGACAGCCCTACGCTCAGTCATCTTCTCCCCCGGAAGCAGAAGCCTTTCTGGCATTTGATTCCGAGCACCAAACCGCGACGAATTCGAAGAATTACAGACCACACGATGTGTTTGGCATACCCCGAATATGGAGACATAAAATCAAGTGCTATTTGACAAGCTTCTTCCTTAATATATGCAATAGCTCGGGTCTTTCACACCCGGCTTATCGGGAGATGAGAGTCACATTCCATGGCATGTCAACAGACAAGTATTTTGCCATGATATACTCTACTTAACACCGACTCCGTCTGTTCACCTTTTTGATGAACGTGCCTGCTTCCCATCAAAAACGACGTGGTGCTGATGCCTAAGAGTGAACTTTGACCAGGTTGGTACGCTTTGTACTCATCACAAGCGTTTGTATACGCGATGGGTGGATAAAACTCACGTCCAGCATATTTCGGGTCGCCACTGTTGGTGAAGGAATTGCACATGAAATTTACCGTGTTTCTGAGTTCATAAAAGCCAGGAAGCTTTCCTTTGAAGGGATTCGGCCTTACGAACGGAGGATAGAGGTCTGGAACCGCAGTCCCTTCGAAATCACGAAAGGCAAATGGGCAGCGCCAATGTAAGGCCAAATTCCGTTGGGGACAGTATTGAGCCGATATTGATAAATGCCTACAAGACTTCTCTATGCCTACACACAGAGCGCCAACCTTGTTGGCCAGATTATCATAAGATCTCTCACGATGGTCGATGCTATTTTCTATTGCAAGCCGAGCGATGTATTTAATGAACCGTTGTAGGCCGCAGGTATGAGGTAAGAGATCGTATCTCATATAAAGGATAAGACGCTAGTTTAGCAGCGAGGTCATCGTCGATGTTGATACCTAGAAAGGCAAAAGTGTTGCCCTCGTCCAAATTTTGCCCACTACAGCCTCTCAGCCAGCTGAGGCAGTCACTTCATCGTACACCATCTCCACGAAAGCTACGACTAGCTGGCTAGCACTAAGGCGATGTTTCACGATAGAAGGCTATGCACATACCATCATCGGGGTTTGCCACGCCAAAACCTCAGGTCGAACCAGACTAAGCAATGGTACTTCTGAAGTGCTTGTCGTTACGGCCCTTGAACGGCAAAACTATTTATGAACGGAAGCTGCCCCGCTACCAAGCAACCTATTTACCAGCAACACATCACAAGAGAGCGACGGACTCACGCGCTGTCACCTGCAATTACAATTTGAGCCGGATCGCCTCCAAAGCCCTCGATATTCTCTTGAATCCGCTGCTATGCTACTATGTGTGGTATCAGATAATATCCCCAACCTAAGAAGACATAAAGGTTGGATATAATGTCACTGGTAATCTCCCAGAACTGTGTCGTCTCCGAATCCAATACAGAGCGTGACCGTATTCGGCCGCATTACGTTGGTCGATCCAAGTCTCATTCAAGCTCTGAGGACCTTGAAGCCGCAGATTACCTGCAGGATGTTATGCAAATGGTACGTCAAAAAAGTACTCTATGCCATAGTTCTCTGGGCGCAAGCCATAATCAGAGCCGTTTCGAGCAGTAACAATTGGTGTCTCACGTGAGCTATAGTCGCTCGAGGAAGTTGTGTTGAATATCGCTAAAAAGGGTCGAGAGCGTTGAGAAAAATCGAGTCCTCTCCATAGTCATAAGCCAGTTTGAGTTAACCTACAGAGTCAACAAGAAGGAAGTTTATTTATTTGTAGCATGCCCCCCCCCCCAAAAAAAACCCTTGAATTATGAGGAGTATTAGTGGCTTGCCGATACCTGATACGCCTTTACTTTAATTAATATCCATCCGCAAGTATATCACGGTCCAACAGGCACACGAAAGGCTGAGCTTGCTACCGTATATATTGAGAACGAAATGCTGAAGAGTTAAGGTTCTCCGACGCGAAACGCAACTAATAACAGTGGGAGTGTGATAACGGCGCCCTCAGGCGCTCATGATTAAAAGTAGTCGATATCCTGCTCGTGCGAAACGTGCTTATACTGTTCGGTTTAGACTTCTATCTGTGCCATGGACTATGACAATCGTCACACGCGCCCATCATCAATAAAAATTCTCACTCGTACAAGGTTGTTGCGCTTCGTCGCCTGGAAACCTTCTAAGACAAAGATGTTCGTGTTATCGCAGCACGAAACAGAGCTTTAGACCCACAGTACTAATTCCAGGTCTCTTCTCACGCAATCTCTAGTCCCGACGTGAGTTGTCAGCTACAATGGACACCTACGCTTTTTAGTGCATACTGTAATTACTGTATGTATGTACTCCGTAATGCTTCAAATGCAGTGCTCCGCTGGATTTATCCAATGATGCGGGGACGTTAATCCCGACCAATAGCCCCTTACTCAAAATAAAAAAGTGGAGATGCTGAGACCACAAGATCCTCCACTTCGAGAAATTTTGGCCTCGTGACTGGCTGCGTCATGGGCGCCGACACGCTCAGCCGCCCGGCTTGCAGATGATAGAACTCACAAGGTTGTGGCGGCTGGCCGAAACTCTCGTTGTCAATATCCGATAACGGACCCTCACTGCCACCCAGCATTGAGGCACGATTGAAACCTCATGGCCAGTTCTGCAGCACCTAGATGTCGAGGCCATTCCAATCGTGGTCCTATTCAAATATGAGCGGGCCGGTGTCACTCGGTTATTAACATGTCCATGGTGACAGGCCGAATCTCGCGTGGAGCTGGAAAGAAATCTCTGCTGTTAACCCGATAATACACCCCACTCGCCGGACGGATCCGTACTTAGACAAGCATCCATGGACGCAGACTAGCGGCACCAACCCTTTGAGCTTGCAGCACCCTGCCTCCTTCTAGCCCAAAAGCTGCATATGATGAGCCGGGTTACCATTTCAGGGTCTGTTGGTGTCGGTAAGCGGTCTCCTTCTCTTTTGTTTATGAAAGGTTTTGCTCTTTGATCACTATACAGCATTTCAGTTTTCGATTTATTCCTAACTTTCGACTACTCTTTTGTTGGATTACGCTGCCATTCAGTACTGCTAAAGATCGATGACCACTGCTCTCGTTACGTTTCCCTACTTGTAATCGATCTTATTTGCATTTTGCACCTGTCGAGATTGACGCCGCGTTTTCGTTCGCGGGTTATAAGATCCACCCGCTGCTGGCATGATGGCCGATGATCATGGACCGAAACTTCCAGCCAAGCAGCTCGCCATTTTGGGTAAGCAATACATTATCTTTTCGTTTCAAGTCTTCAAGCCTCGCATTACTTCCTGTGGTGCATCTCAACCTCGTGGGGTCAGATGGTCCCTCTGAAATAGCGAGGGGGCAGGATAGGGTCAAACCAAACTGCTGCACCCCACGGATAGTCGTGATATGGGCACTGTTCTCGCAATACAAATGTTGGCCTTGAAGCCTGCCGATCGCCACAAAGTGTACAAATCTATATCTATGGTAATACTATGTATTGTTGTGATTCTGAACGCCCTCATATCAAATATGGCATAAGAACCAAACCAGACTACTAGACGATGCTGTGAATGGCCCCCACAATAAGAAGAGTCACATCTAAGGCAGGAATAGACATACTCCCTTTTTATTATTATTTATTAAATTTTCTTTTTAATTAATTGTTTTTGGAAATTATACTGACATGGAACTGCAGCTGTGGCACGTTTTGCCGAGCCTCTGGCGATGACCTCTGTCTATCCGTATTTGCCAGAAATGATTGCCAGCTTCGGCGTCGAACGAAAGGACGTTGCCAAGTGGGCTGGTGCCACGAGCGCAGTTTTCTCACTGGCTCAAAGTTTGACAGCTGTGCCTTGGGGAAGAGCTTCCGACAAGTTTGGAAGAAAACCAGTGATTATAACGGGGCTGGTTTGTACTATGACCTGTTTCTTGATATGGGGTGTCTCTACGAGTCTTGCGATGGCGATCACTGTGCGAGCTATTCAAGGAGCAAGTAATGGAAACGGTAAGAAAAAGTCATGCTCTCTACTCGCAGATATGTCTGACTCATGCTATACAGTCGGTATCATCAGAACAATGGTTGCAGAAATGGTGCCAGAAAGAGAGTTGCAACCAAGAGCGTTCTCGATTATGCCGCTTGTCTGGAGTATCGGCTCGATCTTTGGGCCTGCCTTCGGCGGGTTCTTCGCAAATCCAGCTAAGCAGTTTCCGTCGCTATTCGGTGGGAGTGAATTTCTCAAGGCCTACCCCTTTGCGCTGCCCAATATCCTTGGCTCGGTTATATTTCTTATTTCCGTGACCACCGGAACACTCTTCTTGCAAGAAACATTGGCCAGCAAGCGAGGCGCACGCGATTGGGGCTTGGTCCTTGGAGACCGTATCACCGAATCATTGACCAGACAAAAACATCATCGGGTGAGACGATACTCTTTCCAAGATGACGAGGCCTCCGCACCTCTCCTTCCTGCAGATGTATCACACAGAGCAAATAAGATTGGTCAGCACAGCAGTCCACCGCGCCCAACTTACAAGGCTGTCTTTTCGCGCCAATCAGTCATCAACCTGGTCTGCTATACCTTCTTAGCCCTCCATTCAGTTGCCTACGATCAGATTCTCCCCGTCTTCCTCAATTATCCTCGTGATGAACACGATCCTGCAAAATTCCGCCTTCCGTTTGTCTTCACCGGCGGCTTCGGTCTTACATCGGGGAGTATTGGCACAATCTTCACTATCTATGGTATTGTGTGCGGTGTGGTCCAGTTCTTGTTCTTCCCTCCGCTTTGCAAGCGTTTTGGTGTCCTTAACTGCTATAAAGCTTGCGCAATTACTTTTCCAGTCGTATATGTTCTCACGCCATTCACAACACTTATCGAGGACGAGCGCGCACGTCTTGCAACACTGCTAATCGTCATGTGCCTGAAGGCATTCTGCGTCATCATCGGCTTCCCTTGCACGACTATTCTGCTTACGAATAGTGCAACGAGCTTGAACATCTTGGGTACTTTGAATGGATTTGCGACGACATTCAGCGCACTTGGCCGTGCTTCCGGTCCGGCGATGACGGGTGCCGCGTTTACTGTAAGACAATTCGTGATTATTATCTGCCAATTTCAACATGTCCGCAAGGCTATACTATAACACTACCGAGAAGTACCTGACCATTATGAAGAAGTAATTACTGACTCTCTATGTTGTAGTGGGGCGTCAGACGCGGCATCATCGCCATTCCATGGTGGCTGCTCGCTGTCATTGCGTGCATTGGAGCCATCCCCGCCTGGTGGATTGAAGAGGGGCAAGGCCCTTCGGTGTCAAGTTCAGCTTCGGACTCAGACACAGATAGTGATGAGACTGTCATCGAGGATGATGGGAACAAAAACGAGCCGCCATCTTCAAGATCTCAGGCGATTTTTTTTGGTGACGGAACAGATGAGCTGGATGCCACCGAGCACGATTCCGTGATTCACGATCCTACAGCCCATGATGACTTGCCTCTTGTTGGCAGTATGAAGAGTGACAGTGGCGTAGGTTATTCGAGTATGACGCGGCAGAACAGCATACCCAAGACTACCGGGCCGAGTTACGGAAGTATCAAAATTTGACTTTTTGTCTCTTGAATTTTCAATCAGCACAATACAGCTGCCTATAAACGAACTTACGGGTGTATATCAAGCATTAACGGATGAATAATGGATACATGATGTGACGTGGCATTTTTTAGGCGTTGGCCTTGGAATAGGCTGGGTTCTTCATTTTCAGGCTTGGTTCTGCAGCATCAATAGCGCACAAAGATTGGATGTCTTGAATTTCTGGTTCCTTTCTCTTTTTGCAGTACTATTTTGTTTACACCAAACGGAAACACCGGTCCTCGTGCTCCCAAACCTTGCTGCCAAAACATTCCAGATCATCTATTGCCAAGCGGAAAGTCTTCAAACTGTCGTTGGGAAATGTCTCCTGGTTCATAGTGAACTGTTAAGATACAATGGTGTGGAATGTTCACTCATTTATTATGGTATATTATGATATGTATGTCTGTGCGGATTTCTGATCATTATGTGCCCATAGATCGATCGTCACCTCAAGTGTTGTCGCAACCAAGCGATCGTAACGCTGAGAATGTATCTAACCTTCTTGTTATCAATTTCTTAAGTTGCACAGGCTGAAATATGAGCTCTAAATTGACCCTGTTGTGCTTTTTTCCGTTGACTACTGTAGGCGCCGGTCCATTTTTCAATACAACCTACTTCTCGGTGGCAAACCGCCGACTCGACCACCGAATGTTACGGCGTTCGGTGGATCCACCGCCGGATTCCTTGCAGCATTTACTTTCCGGCTTGAATATATTTAGATTGCTATTGTAGACATTTGAAATGAATGAGATCTCCTATTATCTTCTAGTACACGTTCATCTTACAGCTTCATCGACGCTTTTCTTTTCATAACTTTTTATTCTCATTTTTATGATGGCTGAACTACCGATCACAATGCGCTCTCTCGTCGCACCCAAGCCATGCAAGCCTTCAGGTTACGAAATTGTCGACCTGCCTTTGCCCCCAATCAGCAATGCTGACGAGATGCTCGTTAAAGTCCACGCATGCGGTCTGATGACTGGCGATACTCAAGTGGCTTCGGGCTCCATGAGTTTTCTAGTCAGCATGCGGTAATGCAACCTACCCCTTCGACACCCCAATTTTCGGCGGAGGCCGTCGGACTAACTCATTCAACTCATTTAGTTTCCCGGCAGGCTTAGGTATCGAGTGCTCCGGTACAGTAGTCTCCGTTGGCTCCAACGTCACGAACTTCAAGCCCGGCGACGCCGTTTATGGTATGGCTTTCGGGCGACCCATGGAATTCGACCGCCTATCAGGATTCTGTTCACAATACTGCATTGGAAGAGAGAAGCTCTTTCTGCACAAGCCTCCTCATATCTCGTTTGAGGAGGCGGGTGGCTTACTCAGCTTCACACTGACGGCGTACGAGTCTCTCCAGCTGGGCGCTAAGCACATGGCCTCACACGGAAAGAAGCTTGAGGGTAGCACAGTCTTCGTTCCTGGCGCACTGAGCGCTACTGGATCAATATGCATACAGCTACTCAAGAACGTGTTTGGCGTCAGCAAGGTCATAGCGACAGTGTCTACGTCTAAGATCCCATTAGTTGAGAAGTATCTGCCTGGTTTGGTAGACCAGGTTGTGGACTACAAACTGACGCGAAAGCTGACAGATGTGATACCGGCGGGAGGTGTGGACTTTGCGTATAACACGCAATGGAATACCCTTGAAAGTGTAGTGCCTTTGATGAATAAGGACACTGGAGTTATCGTATCAATCGCCAGTATCTTCCCTTCGCGACTGCTCAAGTTGGCTTTAGGGCCCGCCTTGCCTTTCTGGGTTGGTTGGATAGCAGATTTGGCGCAGTTATATTATCGCTGGCTGGTCTGGGGCACAAACATCAAGCTTGACTTTGTCTCGGGTAATGGTGAAAATAGGGAATTGGTTGAGAAGACAGCAGAGGTCATTGCACTACAGAAAGTAAAGTGTGTAATGCGAATTGTGAATTTGGAGAATATCGAGGCCGTGAGAGTTGCATGTGATGAGGTCTATACGGGAAAAGGCGGGATTGGCAAATTGGTTGTCAAGATAGTGTGAGTAACTCAGATAATTAGACGCAAACTCAGATAGATGGTACGTAATAATTTGCCAGCGGTATAAAATGTGCTGTATTTATGCAACAAACAATCAGTCATTTCGTGCAACTACATAACTCGGAGATGGCCAAATCCTCGAAAATTCTTTATGAATGGAAATAAAATCCCTGTAAATTCAATAAGTAGCATAACATCGAGATTGAAACAAATGCATTATAGGTTTATTTCGCTGAATTCTGATTAACATTTCTTATCCTTGAGATATATATTATTGACAACGCTCAGCGCAGCCAAAGCTCGAGCTTCTTGGGTAGTATATTCTGCAACGCCTTAAATATCGGACGAATAAAAAGATTGCTATCAACGACAGTATGAATTAGTCAAAATTAGCTTGCACTGCGGTAACCATGTGAAATATAAACTCCGATAATTACAAAGCTCAACGACTGCTAACCATTGCAGTTTACCCAACCATCCACATGTGATACTGGTTACATGAGACGTGATCACCTGCTCCCCATATGTCGTCGGCCTCTGCCATGGTCATCTTACATCCCAGACTCCGCTTAGCCTTCTCGTCCCAGATCCGTGCTTCTTCAACATTCATATGATCGATCTATGCTTGTGCAATGTTGTTTTGTATCCACAGATTCCGACGTGGCATTGTAAATACCTGTGATCAGGCATAATCCTGTTGTTGGGAATTTTCACTCGCCCCTTTACCCCCAATTTCCAAACTTAACGTTATGACAAACCCCATTCACAGAAGGCCCATGATGCAAGTCTTGTGGCCCTGTCATCGTCCTATCCCTTTAGTGCCTCCAATTATCCATGAATTTCTGATCTATAGGATTTCTTAATATTTATTGAAGATCATTCATTCAGAAGTGGTTCATCAAGATATTTGAGCATTCATGCATCCGAGGGTTTCGTGTAATGCACTATTCAGGCGAGAGTTAGATGTAAGTATCTAGAAAAGTTCATTAGGAAACCCCTCGTCATATTCACTGTCGGTGCGCTCCTGCATTATTCGTGCTGATTTCGAAGTACTAGAGGTATCCAGTGGTCCACGTCTCGACGTCATCGCAAGTCGCGGCAACGGTGCAACACTCGGCCCCGCCTTGATCGGGTTCACAGGGGCAGGAGTTGCTGATGGGTAATGAATGATTGGTTGCTGAATATGTGCCCTTCTTACTCTTGCATTGGGTCTTGAGGTAAATGAGGTAGTTTCGCCATGGTGGTCATCGTCATGGTCGTGGTCGTAGTGGTCGCCGCGGTGGTAATGGCCGCTAAAATTGATGACAGGTTTACCACCACTGTTTATTTTCCTGCCGTTTGTCTTCCTCCTGGAGATGTTCATTTTCATTACGTCCTCCAAGTCAGTCTCGATATTGACCTGAAAGGTATCATCCTTCCGTTTCTTGGACTGACTTGTGTTGCCACGAGCTGGAATTACATGATCATAGCCCAATATGTCGCTCATGTGCGTATCAGTGTCTGATTCTGGACCAGTTCCCGAGTCTGACGGGTGTCCTCTTCCACCTCCTGAATCTACATTGTTTGACCTTCGAGATCCTTGGCTACAGAGGGTGCTGGTTTTCTGTTTTTTAGGTGCCCGTCCGTCAGCGGTAACAAAAGCAGTGTTTACCTTGCGCTTCAAATTCAAGCGACTAGTGGACGGTGTCTTGGAAAGATCTATCTCAGGCAACAGCGGAACCCGCTCGGCTGGCGCTAGCCAATCTCTGAAAAATTCCGTAAAGGATGAAGTTACGCCCGTGGGCTTGGGATCAAGGACTAGATCGGTTGTTAGCATATATGCAGCGTCAAGTGGACCTAACAGTTGATGCCCTACTTCTCTCAAGATCTTGACTCAATTTCACCTGTTGGAGCAGCGTGTCGCCCATAGGGAACACAGCTGGACCTGGTATGAAGATCTGTTTGGGCCGCACGATCGGCCTGAGCCTTGTGATAGCACTGGTGATATTGGCAGTCTTGTTGACTGTGCCGGCAATCCTTGCGCCTGGTGGTGCCACTCTGAACTCCCATCCGGTCCCAGAGGCCTCGTTTACCTGTTTGACAATCTTGACGACCTCCTTTGATAAGCTATGTATTAGTTGCTCGGCAACAATCTCTTTGTCGGGATCTCCGAGCAAGTGAATGAGCTTGGAAACCACATCGCTTTGAGCGGGAATCATGGGGACGGGTCCAACCTTGATGTTATATTTGTAAAATCCAGACACAGCCTGCATGTCAGGGTCTTCGTCCGCACGAGTTGTGATTTTTGTTCTCATTTCCTCGTTCGGCTGTCTGTTCAATGGCCACCTCCTCATGTCGAAGTAGCGTTCGCGCCTATAAGGGGAGTGACGCTGTCTAATCGGCTCACTTCCCCAGCTCCAAATATTGGCCCGCTCATAGAACTCGCCCATAAATCTGTGTCTGTCGGTGTAGAGAGCTCGTCGGCTAGGGTAAAGCATAACGCGATTTTTGACCATGTCGTCAATAATACCGTCCCGAATTTCTTTGAATACGGTTGTTGTGCATTCGCTGTCCTTGTTCTTGTTTTTGACATCTACTCGCTCAATTACGCCATTTGGTTTTCCCAATTTGACTGGAATGACAGTAACATCATTCCTTGCTTCTTCGTCATCCCATACATTCTTAACATGCACCTTCCATTCATCAAGGGCAGCGTTGAGATGATTACGGGTCAAGGCTGAAGGCTTCGACGTCCTCTTCTGCAAGGCTCGGTACTGTCGGATGGTGCGTCCCATACGGTAAGCCAAATTTCGCATAAAGTTGATTGTCTTGAAAGAGTACCCGACGTCCTTTGCCACGACTGTTCGGTAGTCGAGTATATCCTCCCACGCTGGAGCCTCGCGCAGAGACTCAATGCTCCTATCTTCGAAGTTGCTACCTTGCTTCCATATGATCTCTGGAAGGAATTCTTCCTCATATGCTTCCTCATTATACTGCCAGGTATCCCGCGCCATTCGATTTCCTGCGAGCATTGCTTTCACGTACTTGTCTTTCTGTCTGGCGTTCTCATGATTGAACGTGGCTTCATCCTGGTATCGCCAGCGAATTCGTTCTTCAGGATACCTAACGGGGTTCTCATCAGAATTGGCATCCACTCCCAAAGTAGTGTTGGTGCTTGGGTCAATACCGGGCGGCACAGGTGCGACACTACCACCGATATGTTGAAAGTTGTTGTCAGGGTAGTAGTACAACATGCCTTTACCTGACCACCATGATTTATTAAGCTTTTGGGGGTCCTGTGGGCATTTGTATCTGAACGTGTTAGAAGATAGGTTCAAAAGAAAGAGGAGCGGGGGTCCTCACGCGACACGGCCTATCTCCGCCAGCTTAGTACAATGGAACTTTGCCTCCTTTAAGCTAAACTGATACAGCGAATTTGAAATTAGCGCTCCAGTAGGTTCAATCTGCGTGGCAATCTGATATTCCGTGATAGCGGTGGTGGTATTGCCATGTTCGAATTTCTTGTGCTTGATGATGCGACCGCCACTATTGATCATGCCGAGAAGGTGTTCAAGAGAGATCTCTCTAGGTCTATAGCTCGGCTTAGCTACTCCCGGCATGGTGTCTATCAACCAGAAGGGGTTAAACATCGGATCATTGAACAAGTTCTGCAAGCGGTGATCCAATAATATGGTGAGTGTGTCCTCCGGTTTCGACAAGGATAGGCCAGCAATTGCCTTGGTGGTAGGAGGTTGGCATAAGAGTTGGATCCAGGCCATATCTAAGTCATCGGTCAGCTGATACTTGCCAGCCTCCTTATCTACAAGGTCGTAGTTTTCCCTGGCAATGACCTCAACATCTGGAGTTTCGCCCTCTTCGCCACGCTTGATATCTTCAACGACTTTCTCAAGGAGCCAGCGGGGGCGCTGCACCACCATTCTTTCCAAGTTTGCCTGAAGCGTCACTAGTTTTGATCCCATGTTCATCCAATAATCATAGTAGATGCATTTGTCATTGAGCGAATAGGGGCCTTGGAAGTTCACTGGCAGGGTGATCTTTTGGAAATCAGTCCAGTAGCGTTTGCTATAAGACTGACGAGCCCATGCGGATATGTATTTGGCCTGTTGAAGCCATTCGTTGTACCAAAAAATCCATTTTGAAGGCTCGAACTGTATGTGCAGATCTAGTCCACCGTCACCCACTGTCTTCGGTGCTGTCCTACGTTGCAAGACCCAAGGGTGGTAATGAATGTGCTGGAACTTTTTGACAGGTTGTGGGAAGGCGACTCGCCTCCACGGGGTATTCGTATTTCTGTTTTCACTATTTGTGATCAGGTTCAAGACTTTCTGGATGATGGCACGTCTTACGCCACGGAACACTGCAAAGCCACAATGACCTGTAGTGTCAGACTTAACCTTCTCGATAAGTGCTTGTTGTGTCTGAGCAATTGTCACCCAGTCCATATGCAGAAGACTTTCGTAGGCATCATTCTCTTCACGCGCATAGTTGACTCCTGCCGGGTTGTCCGGGTCTTTTGATACTTGAAACTGCTTGTCACTTTTTGAGCTAACCCTCTCGCTGCGCCCATGAAGTTGCGCATAGTATTGGAATGTCCCCCAGCGGGCCAAGACCTGCTGAGCAGCAGGAAGGGAAAATAAGTTGTCCCAGTGTGGTTCATGTTTGAAAGCCGCGAACGCGATAAACGGAGGAAAAGTTACCTCCTTCGGGCGCGGGACCAAGGACGTGTATGTCGAGGGTGATTTTCCATATTCGTCGCACAGTTCTGGGAGTTGTCGACGATATGGCGCAAGTCGTTGTGGGTATGTGATGGTCAGCTGTGGTGCGGTCGAAAAACGGGTGGGCCCTTTGGTCCATTCATTGTAACCCACGTGCAGTCTTTGAAGATCCAGACACTCTTTCAACTTGACTGTTAGATCCGCATTGAGGACGATTTCACGTGCTAGGCGAAACTCCTCTACCTGTTTCAAAAAGACTCCCATGCGACCAAATTGCGGAATCCAAGGTCCATATCGATATGGATCTTCCTTTCGCAGGAAATTCCAGGCTTGCTCAATCTGATCAGGAATCTTATTTATGTCCGGTGGACCGATCTTCTGAATAGTCTTTTCTTTAGACCGACTCTTCGAGTTTTGTCCACGAGATCTAAAAGACCCCTTGCGCTTTGGCGCCATGGCGCGTCAGTATCTCCAGGGACAAAATTGTTGGTTTTATGCGTCGCTTCAACCCTAAGTTGTCATGCAACGTACTTGAAGTCACCCAAACGTGTATTGATGCTTGGCGGACAAGTGTGATAGGTGGAGAGTACCAGGGTTGGGAGGTCGGCATAGCCTGTGCAAATTGAACTAGAAATTGGGATATTCAAGAAGGAGAAGAAAATGTGTAGAGCCTCAGCTAGCATTATGTTTTGGGAAAGTTACGTTTTCACAATCTTGCAAAGAATTTCCCAGGTCACCAGGGATGGAAGCGAGAGCATTCCAGAACTCCCTTGGAGACCAGCGCGTTCGGTAGACAATAATGCTGAACAAAGAATGTTATTCATATATGGCCCAAAGCTTCTACGATAAGGATTGAGACAAAATGCGAAACAAGGCAATGTAAAATCGCGGTTCTGTTTGCGGTCCCTGTCTTTGTGTCATATACTGAATGTACGAACCACTTTGCAATGACCATCATATTGAGATGCTTTGGTAATTGAAGTATGCCACAGCTTGCGTCACCCGATGTACAAGCCAACCTGTCGCCATATACATGGACATATCGTTTAGTACTAGTGCTAGCTATAGGTCGCTAAGTCAATAGAAGAACACCAAAAAGAACCCCCCAACTTATCTTTTTGATGCGAACGTCACGGCCACTAATCTTCTCAGTCACTAATCTTTTCAGTCATATCACAATGATGCTTTGGAGAGAAAAATTAACCAATTGCTGGACCACTAGTTCAAGATTCTGTTATATCCATTTTTGAGAGCATCGTGAGTGATAAGAGCCATGACTAGACTAAGATTTAATCAACGGAGCCCCAAGCTGACAGGGAGTTGTGTCCAGTCACAAGTCAATCTTCGAAAACTATCCCAAATCAATGATTGTGCATATAATCAAATTGTAAAGGGTATTATTCCTATAGATTCAAAGGTCGCCTTTGCTCCTAAGTAAGACTGAGTATCAATGGATTTAAACTCACAAATGACTCTACCGTAAAGCAGTATGCAGAATGAGATATAGACCACAAAGCCCACTATGTTAAAATAGAGATAAACGACAACGATAACGACAGCAATATCTGTTGTTAGCTTCTTTTCCTCTCCTAATACAATTTTTTAATACAGGACTGATAGAACAGGATTTGATTGAGTTTCACGTCTTGTTGGCATGGGAGCCGGCCTTGCTCAAAGCGTGCGCACAATACACTGCCGTCCATACTCTGTTGAATTTGCTGTCCAGCGTTAACAGTATCACAATTGCAATATAGGGCGTTTTAACACCAAAATGTTGCCACATAAGCTGGTGGCACCTACAAGACAAAGTTATACCTCAATCATTTCTGACGTGCCTTGGGCGTGTCAGTAAGGAAAGACTTGGCCTAGTAACGAGCATGTCTTAGAGGTCTTGTCGTTTTAGGCACAGTTGAGTCGGTCTGATCAAGCCCCAACTGGAAGGTTTGTTATCAATCAAAACGTCCGATTCATTCCCTCAAGAAAAAGGAAAAAGAAAGAAGAAGATTCCAATACCCCTCCCCCCAAACAAAAATTGTAGACGCACGCCACACGCAGGATGTCCTACGTATGGTGCATCCGCAAGGACTAGGCGTGCAGAAACACTTACAGAGCAAGATAACTATTGGATATGGTAAGAGCGTTGAATGAAGATCGCCTTCAAAGTATGTAAGATGGTTGTTTTTCGGTCTTGGAATGAAATCGGCGGCAATGGCGTCAGTATTGCTCTTCCCGGCTTTACTATGTCAACTTGGACCATTGGAGCACGTCGTCGCCCCCCGTCTCTGGTGGCTGACCATCGACGCTGGAAACAGCCGGCGCAGGTACGGCAAATGATTGCAATTTACAGTCGTGCATCCGGCTTTGCCATATTTGAGCTGCACGCCGTAACTTGAGACCTATCGGAGAAATTTTTGGGGGATGAGCTCAAGCCATTGCAGTTCGGAAATGAGCCGTGTCGAGCAAAATGGTTGGGAAAGCAAATAAGTTTCCTCAGCAAGTGGCGCATGCAAGAGTTCACAGAGGGTACAGTTGATTCTTAGTGGTCTTCCAATGAAATAGTGTAGAATGATCTCATAATGGTTGAATTTGGTGTATGATTAGACAAGCCAGTGGTATAGTATAGAACAAGATGATTTATCACAGTTCGGCCAATAAATGTTCAGATTCGCAGGGCTTTCTGGTACTTGTATCGACAGTTTGCTTAGCGTGCTGGTGATTTGCAGGTCGCCTCATCGCCTTAACTGTTTATGGAGAAGTGGGAACAGCTTTGAGTTCGGCACCGCAGACGTCAGCTTCGTGGTGGCACGCCCGCAAAAGCAGTACCGGGTGGTATGAAGTGTAGTGTTGCGAGGCTTACCATAATTAATTGAGTATCAAAGCTGATTGATCAGCTAAATTGAAGATTCGATCAATTCCCGGCCGGGAAAGAATTTTCTTAGCAGCAACAGGTTGTATTATGTATTGTTTGTAAAACCATGGAGCTTATCCCTTGTCTAGCTGTAGTTTACATGGTGTCGACGTGAGTTTCGAAGCGCATGACGTGGGTTTCAGCCCACCGGAAAATGATATACCACCCTTGCTAGGCACTGCGCGGTACGGTGCCAGGTACTCAACATTCCGGTCTATAGAGAAATGTCCGGATTAAACCCTCTTGGCGGTGCTGCAGCAGCTCAA